TAGAGGAGAATCTATGTATATATAGAAGTATTCTATAGCCGTGGTAGTAGCGTGGTAGTAGCGTGGTAGTAGCAGAATAGTAAGAAATTTTGAAAACGAGCAAAATCTGTTTTCTCTTAACTTAAGCTAGACTACTACTATAGTATAGCTATGTAGATACTAGCTATTAATAGAGGAGAATTTATGTATATGTAGAAGTATTCTATAGCCGTGGTAGTAGCGTGGTAGTAGCGTGGTAGTAGCAGAATAGTAGAAAAACATTTCCTATTTTTTGCCCTTGTTTAGTTACGTATTCCTAGCTCTGTGTGGCTATGTAATTAAAACCGATAATAGCATACACTTATTATACTATAAAGCTTCAAATGGCCTATTAGAAAAGTGCTTAGTAGCTATCTACTACTAGATTTCTCCTAAAGTTTCTATGCCTCCTACAAAAGTTACTACTTGATATCTCTATGGCTACTAGCTATATATCTATAAAGTAAATTTACATTTATGACTCATATAGGTGTAGTTTGGCACCAAAATTTTTTCGAACTCTAGAAGCTACTATTTGCCCGTAAAATCACGTTTTTTGAATTGGGACTTTTGGGAAATTGCTAAGACCCCACCCTAATTAATGGTATGGGGTCTTAGCAATTTCCCAAACATTTGGGGTGGTATAGGGCAATGCCAAGACCCTATACCATACCACCCCAACTAGTCCCAACGGGATGTCTAGATATAGTATCTTAGACTATAGTCTTATAAAGGTGTAAAAGGTGTTATAGCTTATGAAAGAAGTTGCAATAGGCTGCTATAGTACATGAGGTGTTATTATAACTAACTTTTTATACTACGCTTTCACACATGGTCGACATGTAGCCTATACATAGCATGTAAAGCTATAACTAACAGTTATAGACTAACATATAAAGTTATAGGCCTTACAACTAATTCATGTGATAGAGATTTCATTTGTTGATTCATTTGTTATTGTATATAGCTATTTTTCGAGAGCAGTTAGAGTAGGTGCTTTAACTCTAGGTAGGGGAGGATGTTATTGCGTTATCGGAGTAGCTCTAAATAAGCAGCTCTTGGCGCACAAGCTATATAACCAAGGCTCTCGTACGTAGCACAAAAATCAAGTTCTTTTTGGCGATTACAGGATGTTGTTTTGTCGATATCAGGGCCACCCTGTCAAAAAATCTGTATTGGATGAAACCATTAGGCAGGCATCGATGTCAAAGATGTTTCGGGTCGTTTATGGGCGTACGCAATTGTCTTTAGATAGAGGACGTACGTAGTCTTTGTAAAGTTGTTAGGTTGCTGCTAGGCAACGGATGCCACGTTTTTGAGGCTGTGAAATTCTGTGTCTGACAAAACACGCCAGGGAATCAACGAGGTCGAGACTTCATGCAGTGTTTTGTGGACAACATCTAGTTACCTAAACTCCAAGCGTGTGGAGAATTAACAGTAACAGTATGTCATTCATGGCTACAAGTTGTTCGCAATATAAAACAAATAGAGATGGGCAGCAAATAGAGCATCTGGATGATAGTCAGGGACAGTGCCTTTGGCGGACTCTTGCTGCACAGACATCCGGTGGGGCAGCGTGACGTATCTCATCGAACAGTCGAGGTTTGAGGAATAGCCAGCGAGGCGACGGTTTGTGCTGATATTAAAAGCATTACAGAAGCTCGCGAGAGGGCTAAAGCCATCAAAGTGGCTCCTAATCTATTGCGCAACCTCAAGGCGCGCGGCAAAGTCATCAAGTCGAAGCCTTTCCTGAGCTACTTGCTACCATCGCAGGTCACTCGACGCAGCGCACGCTCTCGATTCCACCATCTCCGTTTCGACACGCTCCCCCGACTCCGTCATTCAGCACAGTCCCGTATATATCGTTTCCTGGTCAGCCGACAGGTCAAGAAGCAGCAGCGCAAGGCCAAGGGCATACTCGCCTATCTGCGTCAGCGCAGTCCGGCTTTCCTTACTTCACGCGCCTCGAAAGATGGTCGTGGATATCTACAGCGAGCAATCATGTCATACCGAGGATACCAAGACGATGCCCCTCGCGAATCAGGCGGCCGCCGTAAGAAGTTGGCTGGATACCTCAAGGCCGCGAATGAGCTGAGACAATCTTATGCATCGCAATGGACTCAATCAAGAGACTTTGCCAACGACAGCGAAGAGCAACCGGGTATCTTTCCCGGCGCCGACGTCGTTCGCAGCGGTAATGAGGAGATGATCATCTTCCCCAGCTATGCTACCAAACACATCCGAGCAAAACCACGTGCCCAACCAGGCACCATACAGCAGGCCTCTGGCACCGGTCGAGACTCGAGAGACACAGTGGGCGCTGGAGATGCTGAATTCTGGAAATCACAATGGGAAGAGTACGAACAAGACAAGGCCATCGTCGATGTCGATGTGCGCGGCTGGCTATATACACCACACCAAGGCCAACTAAGTCGCAAACATCGTCTCATGGTCGGTCTTGCGAGACAACTGGTCGGTATCCAAGCTCCATCCGGTAGATCGAGTTCTGCCAACAGTCGAGCCAGCAGCCGTTCCTCAAGTCCGGTCGGTCATCGAGATTCGACTACAAAACAAGAGGAGGAAGTCATACAACAGCAAGCAGAGGAGATCTTGAAGAAGGGTGAGAAGGAGGCCGAGATTGCAGGAAGAGGTGGCTTCAGCGAGCGTCCATCTCGCTATGCAGAGAGCACTCGCAGCAGAGAACCCTCTCCTGCTCCGAGCGCCAAGGAGGGTCCAACATTTGACGACTTCCTTGCTCCTACAAGGTCGAATACTGCCGGATCCGACTACCTCAACCCAGTTCAGAAGCGCTCTTCATGGCCAAATCCTGCCAAAATGTCGTCTGAGCAACTTGTCACAGCGAACAACCATCTCATGGCTCGCCTGAGGCCTTTCATGGCGAACCCTCTGGCAAATGCATCTGTCAGCGCTTTCTTTTACAACGACAAAATCTCGCGTCAGCGGACTGTTCAGACCAACGCCGCTGGCCATTTCCACCTGAGAGCCGCGCTTGATTTCGTCCCTACCCACGTCCGCGTGCTCGCATCCGAGGACTTGTCTGCTACTGAAGAAGTCAAAGTCACCCCTGTCAGAGGTGTGAGTCTGATCAGTGATATCGACGACACGATCAAGCATAGCGCCATTACTAGTGGTGCGAGGGAGATCTTCCGCAACGCATTCATCCGTGATCTCGGCGATCTGACCATTGAAGGTGTCAGGGAATGGTACTGCAAACTAGCCGACATGGGTGTTCAGATGCATTACGTCTCAAACTCGCCCTGGCAGCTCTACCCTGTTATTACTGGTTTCTTCAAAGCTGCTGGGCTGCCTTTGGGATCATTCCATCTGAAACAATACAGCGGTATGCTACAGGGCATTTTCGAGCCTGTTGCTGAACGTAAGAAGGCTACTCTCGACCGCCTGTTTCGTGACTTCCCAGAACGTAAATTCGTTCTGGTCGGTGACAGCGGAGAGGCAGATTTGGAGGTTTACACCGATGTGGTCTTGGAATATCCAGGTCGGGTGGTTGCCATCTTCATTCGTGATGTTACATCAAAACCTGACAAGGGCTTCTTCGATCCATCCATGGGGCCTTTGAGCGGTGACAGATCATCTCGAGGTCATGGGCGTAATATGTCGACCGACAGCTTGATAGGAGCCAAGCGATTGAATCGACCAGCCGATATTCAAGACGATGACGAGGAACTCCGAAGAGCAATTGCAGAGTCGCTCAAGGATACTGAACCGGATAGGAGATCACTCTTTGGTGGAGATGTTGAGCCGACCAAAATGCGTGGGGGACGACCTGATTTACCACCAAGACGTCCTACAGACCCGCCTGCACCAGAAGCATCTGCAATGGAGGATAATCTCATCGATTTTAGTGACGACGAGAGCACTTCACCATTGTCCAGCAACGAGCCTCAGAAGCGTTCTTACAGCACATCACTCACTAGAAGACCTGCTATCCGCTCTCATACCGAGGGCCCCGCAAAGCGCTCTACTCCACCACCTCCCCCGAAGCCTCTGGCGCTGCGTTCACCCTCGATGGAAGGCAAGAATTTCAACAATGCACTATCTACAGCGGCTTCATCAAAGTCTCCATCACCGCCGCCACCAAAGCCGCGCAAGCCAAGCACAACTGTTAATACCACAAATGTGCCCTCACCACTATCGCAAGTCGTCGAACCATCACCAGCAACAACCGCACCACCACCCCTACCAAAACGCCACTACCTGACCTCCGCGAAACAAAAGCTAAGCCCCACGACCGCTCACTTTTTATCCTCCTCAAAACGAAGTCCTACCTGGGCTTCTGAGAGCAGTGGAACCTCCACCCCCGAAACCAGAACTTTAAGCACAGCAGCAACCCGCAGCATGGACGAATTACGCCCTTCCGCCCAAGCCCAGCAACAATCACAAGCACTCACCCGCCCCAAACCCCCTCCACCACGCCGAAACCTATCCTCCTACCCAGCAGCAGCGGCTTCATACGCATCCAACCGTATCAGCGGCGCTTGGGGCAGCGAACACGAAAACCTGCACCCCCTGACCGAACCCGAAGGTCCCATCCTCAGCAAAAAAGAAGAGCTCTGGAAACGTAGGTGGGCGAAGGCGAAGGGTATTATGGAGAGAGAAGGTGTTGTGCTCAGGACTTGGAGGGTGGGTGATGATGTCATGGATGTTTGTGTGGAAGCTGTTAGGCAGGAGTTGAGTGAGATGGAAAAGAAAGATCGACGGGATTTGGAGATGCAGAAGTTGAAGGAGGGGAAGAATGGTGGTGGTGGTGGAGAGGGTAAGTTGATCTGAAGAGGTGTGGATTGTATAGGATGAGACGAGCTTTTGATGACGGACAGACTGGGTGTTTTTCGGATCATTGTTATTTTGGCTTTTCCTTATGAGCGAGTTGTTTTCTTTGGTCATTAGCGATTTCCAGCGGTTCCGTGATAGAGAAAAAAAGTGGCATTGTGTCGTATCATTGTTTATCATCTTTTGCTATGCTTACTCTTCTTATCTTTTTGACCTCTCTTCACTAGTATTCTGCCGTCTCCGCCTGATCAAATCTTCTCGCATGAACAGAGCCTTGGTATGAAGCAAATTGGGGTTGTCTGCTGTAATCCATCGACAATCCGCTCTGGGTGGCTGTATAGATCACCCCCTCCCCCTATCCCAGACTTCCTTCTCATCGTCAACCAGCAAGGAGATCTACTGGGTCTGGAGAAGCCGCTCTCAACCTCCAAGAACCGCCGTAGTACTTCCCGACCCATCTTTGCCGAACAGACGGACGAAGAAGATCCACAGGCACCTCACGTGCTTCACCGAGCCATCTCATCTACCACCACTACTTTCGGATTTTTGGGAATTCTCGTATTTCTTCAGTGATGTAAGATGCTAGGGCGAGGGGGCTGGGGTCAGGGCGTGAGATGATGTTGCTTGACAAGGGGGTAGTAAACCCGGTTGTCATCCTTACTCTCTTGCCTTCTCTGTTGACGTCGTGTAGAACAAACGCCACGTCCACCGCAAAACGCTTTCTAGATCTTCGATATTGTCTTTTTTCTTGAGCAGTTGCTTAGTTTCTTTGATGAGAGAAGGAAAAGTCTGGGGGTTGGGTGTGAGGTTTTGTTTTTAATGGATTGAGGGTGTTATTTGCGGTACGATTGAGGGTGGATGGTGGATGGTGGATGGTGGATGGTGGTATGGTCGGTGAATGTAAGAAAGCGTGTGAGGCTCTGGAGACTTGTGTAGGTGTCTTTGAGTGGAAGGTGGAATGGGTGTATCGTTCCTCCCTGCCCGAAAATGATGAGTTTTCTGTTGTAGATATTAGATGGTTGATCTCCCTCTTTTTCCTCACAAAACTTCCTAAAGAATACTTGGAAGCTTTACATCAAACACTCATATGATACAAGAAAAATCCATCTCAACAATCACTTCTCCCCACTCAGATAAACCTTATACAATCAACGGAAATAACACGATGCAAACATTCCCTTACGCCTTAATCCACCCCCTCTCCATCACTATGGAAAGGAAAACAAATAATTCACAAAAACTCAAAAACACAAAACATCTCTCCTCCCATCCTTATCCAGTCAAGAGCCGCTGCTTCTTAGTTACAGTATCTTTGATCGAGACGGACGATTTCATAGACAGCGGGAAACATACACTGTCAAATCAGTCCTACTCTCTTCTAACATTCAGACTGGAGGAAGACGAATAAACCCCTCGCCTATACTACTGATATTCTAACCCATAATCTACTGTCGAGAAAGCTATTGCAGAGCCAGAAATGCATCAATGAACGCTTCTTTGGATGAAAGGAGCACTCAAGAGCGCCTCATCGACCATTCCTAGCGCTTCTAGACACGTATGATTGATTTAGGCTGATGAGCATACAAAGCCGAGAACAACAAGCAAGCAGATGAGCACAAGATACATGAATTCAAACATCAGGTTCCTACCTTTTCACCCCCCCAACACCTAATCCCAGCACCATCTCCGGCACCATTTCCAGCACCATCTTCCCCCTCTAACCCCTGAGTTGAAGATATACAGTAGTCTTGTCAACACTGGGGTCAGATATTCAGGAATAAGCTTCAGGCGATGGTGTTGGGGAGCCTGATGATTTTTTATCTCTGCCTTTTTCTCTGCCCGCAGGTCCAGAGCATGTGGCAGCAGCAAGACACCAAGGGTCATCTGGCGAGGGAATTTTTTCCAAGGTCATCTCGCAAGGAACTTTTTCCACTCATGGAAGGAGAAAATATGCGGTAGAGGGGGTTTATACAGATTCAGCTGTGGTTGATATGATATGATGTGATGCGAGGTTGGGTTTCACAGTGAACCGTCACTCGGTTGGTGCAGCCCTCCAAATGTTCAGAAAGTGTGACCCGACCTCATATGTGGAGGGTTGGAGGACATGAGGGAGAGATGGACAGAAAATATGATGCATTCAAAAACAAACAGCGTGAAATGGGTGGGATATGACACTTGTTTTCCACTTTCAAATCCCAACTCAAAGCTTCCTTCTCTTCTTGTCACCCCCAGTACCAGTACCGACACCTTCATCTTCATTATCTTCCTGATTGGCAGCTCTGACACTACTGTTCGCAGCCGCACCTTCAACTTGCCTCCAATCCCTGACCTTAGCTTCGATATCATCAGCCATCTCCCTAGCATCTTGTACGATACCATCATTGCCGGGATTGAACATGACCGCATTGGCAAACATGCGCAAAACTTCCTTCTCGAGTTGCGAAGAATTGACAATCGCCTTCGGCGGGATCAAATCGGCAGTTTTATCCAGCAGGACCACAGAAGATGCAGAAGCAGAGGATGGAGTAGCAGCCGGCGAATCAATAGAAGAGGTAGCAGCGTTGATAGCACGTGAACCAAACGTAATGGCGGCCTTGATGGATTTCAAATCTTGCGGTCGTTTGATGATGTCGGAGTATCCTTCTGCATCCTTCTCGCGCACGGGTTTTTGAAATGGTCCCGCGTGTTTGTGTTGTGTGATATCGTTAATGATCACATTGGAAATACGTGCGAAGTTCCTATGCGCTTGGACTTTGGATTTCAGAGGAGGGCCGTATGCTTGTCCTGGTTCTGGTTCTGATGATTCGGTTGGCATGGCGGGGGAAGAAGGGACGACGGGGGTTGGAGAGCGGGCTCGCTTGCGCTTGTTGCTCATGAAGCGACCGCGTTTATTTTTGGGTTGCTGTTGGGAAGGTGGGTCTGAGGTTTCGGCTTGAAGAATTTCTTCTTGGAGGAGGTCGGCTGGAGTCATCGGTTCGTCCTTAACAATACGTGATACAGCTGATGGCTCTGTGGGGATGGTATGGCTCTCGGTGTGTGAAGCGACAGATTGACTCCTTGTTCTCGCGCGCACCGAGCTGGCCATTGCGGATGAAGCATTGCTGGTAGCACGATTGCGTCTGGCGGATTTGCGAGCAGATTTGATAGGCCTGGGTGTTGGTTCTGATATCTCTTGTTCAAGTTGTGGATGATGATCCTCTGTGGGTTTGGCCTTGATAGGAATCTCCTTTGTTCGAGCCGGAGAGACATTGCGTGATGGTGGAGGTGGAGTGATACGTTCAGGAGCGGGACTCTCGATCTCACCGAAGAACGGTCGTGACAGCATAGATGGCCTCTCGCGTTTCCAGGTCGCGCCACGAGCGGAAGAAACAGGAGTTCCTGGACGAGAAAGAATTGCGCGAGGCGTTTGTCTCAGACTGCTCAGGATGTTCAGAGGGTTGACATTCTCAGCACGGCGTGGGTCTTGAGCAGCAGGATATGCGTATGGCGTATGGGGAGAGTAGGGAGCAGCGATCGGTTGACGAGCAGGAGTTGGAGGTTGTCGTGGCTGTTGCTGAGTCAAATGTTGCTGATGCATCCTGCTGGGATCCTGAGCAGCGACCTGGAATGGTGGTAGTTGGTATCCTCCTTGGTGTGGAGGACGAGGCGGATATCCTTGTTGAGACTGTTGGTGCTGCTGTTGCTGAGGATGTGCTGGTTGCTGAGGGTAAGGTGGGTAGGGTTGATGGTATGTCGGAGGAGTGTGCACGTGTGGTGCTCTTGTAGCCGGCTGCAATGGTACAGGAGGCAGACGCTGGTTAGGAGATGGGTACTGTGCAGGACCACCGCGGTTCGAGAGAGCGGGAGAATGCGGTTGAGGTGGCAGGCTCATACCAGGAGGAAGTGGCAGGACTGGACGCGGAGAAGATGGTGCAGGACTGTGACGAGGACTTGGCTGACCATTCGGTCTAGCAAATTGCGGAGGAAAGCCATTTTGCTGTAAGACCGGAGACACACGATAGCCTGGTGCGGATTGAAGAGTCGACTGTAGTTGTGGCGATGGCTGAGACTGCTGCATGTGTGGTGGCAGAGGAGACTCTGGAGCCATCTCAGAGAGAGGTGGCAGAGAAGTGGTCGAGAGTCTGTGTGGTACGGCAGGTGGGGCATATTGCTGTGGCTGTGATGATGATGGAAGCAGAGGAGGGGTAGGCGAGATATTTGGACGAGTCGCGACGGGATCGTGGTTGATGACTGCGTCGATTTTGGCGCGATTTATACGTGCTGGCTCCTTTACTTGTGATGGCGCATTTTGTCCAGCTGTGGAAACAATAGCCCCATTGGTCTGGGAATCCACATCTGCGGTCGGCAGCTTCTGAGTCGCATCGATGGGCGATTGTCGCGTGGGTGCTGTAACTCCGGCCTGCTCACTCCTCAAGCGATCATCCCATTGTCCTCTCTGAATCTCTCCAACCTCGCGCGCCGCAGTGAAGTATTTTTCCTCGTCGTTCTTGATCTCGGCAACGATTCCCTCTCTGTAACGTGTGTATAGGCGATAGATAAGGCGCGGGATCAAGTGCGTGTGTTTCGCGGCTTCTTCGACGGTGGGTATGCTAGGGCTGAGTTGGCTGCGTTTCCTGTCCTCATGCTGATCCAGACTGTTGCGTGCCTCATCCTTGAGGAGTCTCAAACACAAGTGCTTCAAAGCATCTTCATCCAGACGGGAGCTGTCGTACGTGGGGTCGTTGCGAATGAGTGGTATGCCCTTTAGCTGCTCGGATATTTGGCCGAATCTGACGGCTGTCAGGCCATCACCTCGCAAGGCTTGCAAGAGTAGAAGCGACTCGAGCGGAGTGTGCTGGGCCAGGCTAGTCATCATTTCATGGACTTGTCGCAACCTGTTCGCGACGCTGTCGACCAGAATAGCCTGTCGGATCTTGTTCGGACCAGAAGTTGAGTAGATTCCAGTTCATGCTTCTCCGGGGTGGATTTACGCGTCGTGGCCCATGGCGATTAAACTGAGAAATTGTCGATGGCCTGAAGTTGAATATTGGACGTGTTGTCGATGGCCTCGTGCTTGATTGATGGATCGCTCTGATGGAATTTGCGACCGACTTGTCCTTGTCGCACGGCGCCTCTTCCGCTGCCGCTGCCCGTTGCTTGGCCAAAGCAACCAGAAAACTGTTGTCGCCAAATGTTTATATCTTATCGTCTATCGAGAACTCGTCATCTCTTTCACATGCTAATTAACCTGAGATGCCTCGATTTCTGTCAGGAAAGTTATTGGGTCCTTTCTACACATGCCCGACATCACGCATCATGACCAGTCATCGCCATGCACCGAGAGAACTCTAATCTGGCCACTGTTTACCAAGGTCTCAAGGTTTGGCCCTTTCACTCGTCGTGCTGATTTTTATCAGTCCCTTGAAGCGGTTCCAAAGTCCCATGAAACTCCTTATCAAGCCTTAGAGACATGTACATTCCTTCTTTTTTGATATGCTTGTCATCTGCTAGATCTAATGAGCCTTGGCGACATGGTCTTTCCTGAGTCGCCGAGTACGTCCCCTAGGTTGGCTCATGCCGCAGCTTGCATATGATTGAGACGATCCTCCTTTTATTCCATGAGCTCTTTCCTTCATAACCCTGATCCTGATTCCATTCGTCTTCCACCCCGCTTCTCGTGTTACATTTTTTGACATCTCGTCCTCGCTCCATCTTCCATCGTCGTCAGCTTACCAGCCATCCGTACTCTACTGCAGCTCATTCATCCCTGCCTACAACGTCATGGAACACACAACCCAACCACGGGCTAGACCCGAGTCGTAAGCTTCGTCTTGTTGACCTGGTCGCTTTGCCATGCACTCACACAGATCAGTATTGCTGCTCGCAACTTCTCAGATGACCTGGACTCATTGTTTGGCCTGAACTCAGGTACTACTCTTGGGAATCTCTCATTTACTGTGCAGGAGAAGTCAGTCTTGTTCAATACTCGTCACATCACCATCTTTCACTGACTACGTCTTCCAGAAAGCGTACAGTCACAACCCGAGAGGAAGAGCTCGCTGCCATTGAAGCCCGTCTTCGCGAGACGGAACAACGTCTAGCCCAAGCCGCCCACAGTCCCGATCACGAGTCCTCAGCATATCAAGCTGCGTCGGGCGCCGAACCATCATATCCTGCCAGGGAATCTTCATCCAGACAAGCTTCCGGTTATCAACCATACCCCGAACAACAATATCAATCAAGACCGCCAAACAACAGAGAAGAGTCTTTCCAACCTCACATCCCCGGTGCAATGCCAAAGACACCTACACCACGCTATGCTCAAGGAAATGACTACGTGACGGTCGATCGCACTAGATGATGATATTTGGCAAGCTGCATCATCAAATACACGTATACAACATTTTGCGAAGGAGTTTGGGATTGGATAACACGCATTCGAAGAAGGGCTAGCAAGCATTTCATACACCTGTCCCTACACACGGAGCGAGATACAGGGTCGTCTTTTTCGCGTTTCGGGAGGCATACTTTCGAAGTTCCTTTTAATCAGAGCTCCATCGGCTTAAGAGCTACAAGTAGCGGCGCTGCACGCATGCATTGAGCGATTTTCATGTCCCCAGCCATTCCGTACCTTGCCAAGATCAAGTGCAGATCTGAAACATTGAAAAGATGACGGTTCTCCCAAATGATCAGTTTAGGCATCATCTCGGGGCGATGCAGTAGTTTGGCGGGAATAGTCGGTAGATGGTGGAGTGATTACACGGGCTCTTCGGGCCGTGTTTGTCCTTGCAGATCCCGGTCTAGATGCTAAGAACAATAGCATCTGCATGATCATCTCGAGTCGAGTATGAAGGTCGGTAAAGGATCTGTAGGACACGACATGGCTACACCACAAGTACAATTGTGGTGTTATCCTCTATCGACGAGCACATGGAGTCTACGGCGGAAAGGATGCACTTCCGGGAGAGGTGGGGTCTTGGCAGCGGCCCGCTGACCTACCCTCGCGACTCAATGCGACCCGCGATGCGCTACACGTCAAGTCGGAGCTGGCACTAGAACGAGAATCGGACCTGGTGTCGCAGTAGCTGCTTCGCCGCAAAGAGATATAGTCAAGAAATGACGGATGCCGACACAAAACACGATCGAAATGGCAGCACCAACGACGCGAAAGCGGCCAAGCAGCAATCGCAGAATGCAGCATCCACGGACACACCCAAGTCGCAAGAGAGAGCCAAGAGCTCGACCACGGTCGACAGCCCGTCCAGTCCACCGAGAAAGAAGCGTAGAAAGGTCAATCATGCCTGTGTCTATTGCCGTCGTTCGCACATGACATGCGACCTCGAACGACCATGCGCCAGATGCGTCAAACGCGACATTGCCCACCTGTGTCACGACGAACCGCGGGAACCTACCAAGAGCAAGAAGCCAGACACGGACACTCCTCCTGCCACTGAGAACTCGGTCGTGGAAGATGATCGTAGAAGCAGTGTACGAACAGAAGGGCCAACTCCCTCTCTCATCCAACCCAAACCAATGTCGCCAGCACAACTAAAGAGATCACAATCCACCTCGACCACACAACAACAGCAACAGCCACGGCCCTTCTCCACGAACGACTGGAACATTGGCTCTACTCAGAATCAACTACACGACATGCGAAACCTGCACCCAAACTACACCTTCAACACTTCCGAAGTAACAGACGAGTATAACTTCCTCGGCGACTTCCTGAATAACTCCCTCCTCGACGACACTGGTAATTACAACGACACAGACCCCTCCAACACCGCCCTCTTCAACGACCCTCTTCTCGCAACAGGCTCCCTCTCTACCTACGCAAACAACATGAACCTCTTCTCTGGAATACAGCAAGGAGCGAATCAGCAATCTTCCTCATCTCTACAACCTCCCCAACAACAGCAACAACAACAACCACAACCTCAAATCTCCGCCGCCAACGAAATCTCCAGACCCTCCAGTACAATGCCAGTCGACTCCAAAGCACGCGATAAATTCTACATGACCGCCGCCGATCCGGCCGGCAACGACACACCCGAAGCCCGCATGTTGAAACTGCTGCAAGCTAAATACGACGCAGGCATGTTACGTCCATTCAACTACGTACGCGGCTATTCTCGCCTAAACACGTACATGGAAAGTCACATGCGGCCAGTGCTGCGTCAGAAAATACTCAAGCAACTGGAAAAATTCAGACCCATGTTCAGAGAGAAAATGATGGGGTTGACGGATGTGCAGTTGATCAAAGTGGAAATGTGGTTTGAAAGCACGTTGATGGAATATGACCGCGTGTTTGCCTCCATGGCCGTACCCGCATGTTGTTGGCGAAGAACCGGTGAAATATTCCGTGGGAACAAGGAAATGGCCGAATTGATCCATGTCAATATGGAAGAATTGCGTGATGTGCGTCGTATACTGTTTTCTCCCCTACCTCTGCCCTTCCCTTCCCTCCTACCTCTTCTTCCCCACTCCTGTCCCTTCTGTCTCTGATCATCGCTAACTCAAGAGGTGCTAAAATAGGGCAAACTAGCACTCCACGAAATCATGGCCGAAGATTCCCTCGTCAGCTATTGGGAAAAATTCGGCGCCATCGCCTTTGATCAATCGCAAAAAGCCATCCTCACTTCTTGCACGCTCAAGAATCCCGATCCCGAAAGCAAAGACAAAGGCTTGAAATGTTGTTTTTCTTTTACCATCAGGAGGGATACGCATAATATGTGAGTGTGTTTTACTGCCTGGAACCCCCGAAGAAGACGGGATGCAGAGATTGGGGAGGGAGAGATGAGGGTGAAAAAGGATTGTGATGCTGACTTTTTGTGAATTAATAGTCCTAGTGTTATCGTGGGGAATTTCTTGCCTATACGATAATTGGTCTTTCCGTGGATCTCGACATGATGCCCCGACTCAAGCTGGCTTTCGACCAACTCATTCTTTGCATCCATGTTTTTTACCCTTCTTCTTCTTCTCGTAGCTACTCTACCACTGTACAGACAATGTAGCTCCTTCCCCTCTTTTCAATCCTTGTGTGTTATCCATACCACTAGCTTCCAAATCGTTGCAGAAATCGGAATCGTGTCCGAACCAAGGAAGAAGAATCGCCTGACAGAATGAGAGCAAACCTTTCGACAACTACGAGACTGCTGTATCCAGATCATGCGAATCCTTTCTCGAATTTTGGAAGACAAGCACTGGTTTGACCTCTCCATCATCTCGATGGCCTCTGCCTAATATCCTAGCTAGCGAATGTGCACGATGGCTACAGAGTGATCAAATTACGTCTGGTTAGGGATTGACTTCTCATCACTCTGTTGCTGGATATGGTGGTTAATGCCAGAACCTTTCATGAATTGCTGCAGATCATCACGATGGTCACGATGATGGTAGGATGGGAATGGATCTTGCAAAGGTATAGGAAGAGTATGGGGCTGTCAGACGAGTGTTGAGGAACGTGAAAAGAGCAAAAGCGAGTAATATTGGTATCTTGAATCTCCACGTCTTCGGCCCAACCTAGCAACAGGTGTCATGGGGGGCCGACCTCTATTTCCGATCCGACTGTAAATGATCCTGCATGCATCTACAGTTGCGACACCTCCTTTTGTGCAAGCTGCCGCTGAGCCAACTCATACTCCTCACGCTTGCCAGCGCGCTCGGCATTTTCCCTCTGCTTGGCGGGTTTCTGGCGATGCTTCTCGTTCTTGAGACGGTTGTCACGAGTCTTGGACTGGAAACGGTCGCAGGGCTTGCAGAACCAGATATCACACTTCGGGCAATTGAGAAGGATGTGCCACCAGATACGACAGTCGGGAGAGCGTGCGTCTTCACAGAGCAAGACTCCAGGTGAGGAGAACTTTCCATGGTATGATATTGGGGTTACGACACCGACTGCGTTCCCGTCGGGGCCTGTCCAGGGTGCTCCGTGGTTGCACTAGGCAGATGTCAGAGTTGCCGCGTGACGAATGTGGAGAAGGCTGGTTCGCTGATACCTCGAGATTGTTGTCTTGGGAAGACCAACCGACTTGCAGTCTTCCCCAAGCGCGGACATGGTAACGACCTTCGGCGAGGGCTAGTCTGATCCAATCAATGTTTCGGAGGTTGTCTTTTCCAGACAGAGAGGCCATGACCATGTCTTGATGGGTCAGAGCAGTAGACGAGGAAGGACGGGACGAAGGAGGTCGAGGCGAATGAGAAGAGCAAGAGGAAGTGAGACAAGGCGGGAAAGAGCGAGGTGATACGGTGCGAACTGTCTCGAATGTGTCGAGGCGAACTCCCCCCTGACACAAGATTAGCTGCTGATCATGAAAACATAGGTTGGGTCAACTTACATCTTGATCATCATCAACATCATCAACATCATCATCAGCTGGGACGGGCACGCCGCCATCTGGTTCGGTGATGTTAGACATTGCGTGTGGTAATTGCGGCGGGGGGAGGAGGAACGAAAGCAGAGATTGGCTGAGTGAGCAGTCTTTGGAAAGACGCCCTTGATGCCGAGATGGAAAGATTGACGAAACATCCAAGTCAACGAGACTAACAATCAACAAGTCCACTCGATCTCGCACCTTCCCAACGCAACTCAGTCCTGTAGATTCGATGCAGAAACTCCAAGGCCACGTGTAGTACTTCTTCAGCCAGTAACGCATAGTCCTTATCTGTGCTGACAATTGACCATAAGCCGCACATTCAGGCGCCTGCCTCGAACCAATAACTTGTGTTTTGGAGAGCTGATGGTAGACATATTGGTTTTTCACGATTACCTATTCAAGTACAATAGGCGGACACACAAACACATGTCACAGATACATCTCGACTCTTCAGTAAGGTTTGCGAAAGTTTCTTTCTTCATAGCAATCGTTGTGTCCTGAGCGAAAGAGAAGAAGTTGTGGAGGCCCTACCGTCTGGTCGTGGAGTGGCAGAACCATTCACCGCCTGCCCGATTCAGTATTACTCCAACCTCTAACATCTTGCGACTATTGGGCCATTCGATATTCTTCTATAACATCTACGGCACTACCTGTTTTGATGGATCGCTAGCTTGCTACGGTAGTCTGGATTCGCCATCAATCAACTGCTCCATTGTCACAAGCAAAAACGCAAAGCTTTCTCGTCTTCAAGAGAACGACTTAGGCGTTTGCATAGCATCAACGTTTCTCCACGTCGACATCTTCGTTCTCTGCCACAAGGATGATTCCTCTATGAATTGCCTTGTTGACTTGACACATCCTTGGAAAGAAACTCCGGATCTCTGACCATGGATCGTCATATCTGTGAACGTTTCCTGGATAGCCAAATCGACGCTGATCTTCAGGGAGGTTTGTCCAGCCTGGCTCGAGGATCGACTTGAAACGTAAAGCTATATCATGATCATCAGGAGAAACGTCAAGACATCACTGAATCTTGGTTCACTCACGTCTAGGTACAAGGCTAAACCATGCGTATACGCAGTTCTCGGAAGTAGTTGAATCGTCCTCCCTCGGCAATCTAGGATCCTTTGAAAAGTACCTTGGATTGGTATAGGGACTTTCACTTCCGAATTTCTCTTCTTCGGCTTCTTTGTACTCGATCCAGTCAATGTTGCCTACGTCCAAATTTGGGCCCACAAGGTCAGCTTCCCCTATGGCACATCGGTTTACACCAACAACATGGTGCCCATCTGCGCCTGGCGCTTTAAGATACACAACGAGCACACTGTCAGAAGATGCCTTCTCGACAGCAATAAAGAAATAGGGATGTATCGTCTCGTCTTCATCTCGAACTCGACTGTGGTGGTCGTATGCTTCTCGCAAACTTCGAGGCTGGAAATCCTTGACCAGTCTGCAAGCATGTGGTCCGATATCATCCTGATGGAGCGCTGCAAGAAGCCCGTTCATTCCATCTGAAGTCAGCTTCACCAAAGAATATACCAAGTATTCGATTCCCTTTTCCGGCATAATCTGAGGATGTGCTGGAGTGGAAGCTTTGAGTGGCAAGGTGTTTTCAAGTTCAGTGGTAGTAGTCATGGTTGAAGAAGAGTCAACTGGTGCAATACAAGATGACGAAAAGCGAGCAGACTCGTCGAACGTGATGATCTAATGGAGACTGCGACTCCTACCATGGGGTGAAATACAAACATTTGCAGATGATCAATCTAGTCCCGTATCGGGAAGGAAGGAGCTTATCGTATATATACAAGGATACGGATAGGAGGAAAAAGAAGGAAGCAGAGCAAGAGATGAGGTTAGGGGAGCCACTACAGGAGACTTGGCCCGTCGGCCCGACTTCGAGCAGATGATGAGAGCTGAGGCAAGCAGAGAACAGAAATACATGGTGTTAGGCATCAGGCCACGTTGAGAGGAATTTTTGCTTGAGATTTCATTGTACCAAGCTCCGGAGCGTTCTGTACAGCGAAGAGATGTGTCGAGTTGAGGCATCCGCGTAAACCTCGAAGGTCACGCGACTATGTTCTCCTTCAGACAAAACGTGGTCCCGATTAAAGACAGATTGTCGTGTATAGGTTGAGAAAACAGCTCGTAAGGAACGCAATTGATCATTTGGTCTATATGGTCGTGTCGGAGGTATCTTTGCATCATGCGTAACAAGGCAAGAACAGCGCCACCGGATAGTAAGAAAAAGCCCAAGCTGTCTCTGGGTCAGCAGCAGTCGTACCCCTCTCCAGCAGCACCTCTGGCAGAGGACAAAGCGAAAGGGCAAAGGAAGATCATCATCCTTGGTCTCCAATCTCTTCAACTCATACTTCATCACCGTGAATTGTAAAAAGGAAAGCGACCCATATGTGCGCTAGTTTCATGACATGAACATATCTTTTCTTCATCTTGCACCAGCCAGCCAGGGAGCTCAATCGTGCGCGCCTGCGGCTGGAGAAGCGAGGGACGGCATGTCGCAGTCGTAGCGGCAGCGAAATTGAGGTTGGATGGTTGTTTATCGACGTGGTATGGTAACAGGAGTTTAGTGCGACTCGTCGCGGATAAGGGCGACGATCATGCTGTAGAGGTAGAAGAAGAACATGACCAGGTGGAAGCCGAGCTTGATGAAAGATTCCTGAAGCTTGAATTAGCTTCGTGCAATGTGAGAAAGTAGCCGGCGCAAAGAAACATACCTTCTTATGAACGTTGAGCTTTCTGAAAATCTCGGTCGCATCCAGGAGATGTTGGTTTTCGAAGATCCTGTATCACGTTAGCAGCTGTTCTGGAGAGGAAGACTGTTTGAACTCAGGACTGACTTCTTTGCGTTCCAGGCAAGGAGCGGCAAGTTGAGGATCAAGGCGATCCAGTAACCGTTTACGAGGAAGAGGATGGTGAGGAAAGCGTGGACAGCAGCTTCGGGGACAATGTAGGTGTTGAGGCGGTTGCAGAGGTCGATAGGATTGATGTAGTCGCTGTGGGAGGAGCGTGTCAGCATTTGATACAGCAAGGCGGTGAGAAGAGTGGGAGACAAACCATTCCAGATCGCTGTACATGATGGTGAAGAAGACTTGAAGGAAGAGGTTGACGGCATTGATGAGGACGGCTATCAGGTATAGCCAGGCTTCTCCGGACATGATTGCGAGTGAGGGTGGTAAGACGCGTCGGGTGTGGTGTAGAGGGTCGGATTTGACAGGGCGCGTGAATGCGAAGAGTGCGGACAAGCTTCGATCGAGGATATGCGGACTCGAGAAGAGGAGGCGACGGCTGACAGGAGTGAGTTGTTGTGTGGAAGGATAAGAGTCGGGGTGGTATGCAAATTACAGTTGGGATTGCCAGCCTGCCCGGCCAAATCGCGCGCCCGCGCCCAGAGCTCCTGCTGTCTCATGCTCGTGTGGGGTCGCTCTTTCCATCACCACGTCAGTCGTAGCCAACTTTTTTGTTGCCCTGACAAGCACAATGATCAACTGTCACTCTCAGATGTTCGTTCTTGTTGAAATGCTTCCATGGTAGATACAGTTTGTATTCACATTTCTCAATAGATGTAGTAACCGTGATCCCGTAATTCATAAACTCATGACCATTCCTCGTCTGAGCAGCGTCCCTTGTGCTCTTCCCCAAGCTCAACCGTCGCTTCTAGAACTCAATCCTAGCCCTTCTCTACTCTCAACTCTGATGCTGAAGTAACCCTCTGGACTTGCACTGCCAGAAGTCCTGGTCATTCCTCTCGCGACTAGAGGGCTTTGTGTTCCGTTGCCAGTTCCCGTCCTCCTATGCTTCCTCGCGACGGCCGGTGAAGCAGGTAATTCGAGGTATCGGTTCATGTTCATCCAGACAGCTTCTTCGTCTGCACTCTCGGGAAATCTCCAACCTCCTACGCCTTCAAAATCTCTGTCTGATCCGCTGCCGACCAGGCTTGCGAAAGAAGGTGATTTGCGAAGCGCTGCAGATGGTGTGGGTGGTGTCGTGTGCTTCTTGCGGCGTGCGGATTTGGCGCTCGGAGAAGGTAGAGGTGTGGGTGGTGATGAGGGAACTATTGCGCTGTTCAAGATGGCGATGAAGAGGTCAAAGTAGACAAAGAGAAGTCGGAAAAGGAGAGTTCCCAGCGCAAGAGATGTCGTGAAGAGAGCGAACAGGGCGAAAGGAAGTCCGAGGCAGACGAGAAATGACAGCCCTACTAGCCTGGAAAGCCCCGAAATCATTGTATGTGTGCGACTTGCATGCGTGATATATGCATACTCGTCTTCTATGTCTGTCTTTCTCTTTGTTGATGCTACGAGTATGTTAGGACGTGAAGAATTGAAGAGCCGCCCCTTCCAAGAGATGGTCTGTGGCGTGCTCCGTGTGGGGAGAGCTCTTTGCATGCCGTTACATTTTCCTTGTCCAACCATGCCACATGTTTCTTGTTCTTGACTGGTCTATCGCCATCCCAAATTCATGAATGAGGGTTGCGTGAATGTCTGTAATCAGTGGTCCGAAAATCATCGGTGTTCTTGCAGTGCTCAAAATGGCCGTCACTCGTCTTACTGACCAGCCAGCATTGCACTATGTTCACGAGATGGGGAGCGTCAGCCAATTTCATGTTGACCATCTGTGCAGTCCAACACATGTGATAAACGTATTTTCATATCATGATATCATGCAATTGGTATATCCTCCAACCGTCTTCTTATGCGCCAATCTCCCTATCCATGTCCTTGTCACCGCCGTAACCACTCTTTTCCCTCTCGCTCACAGCATCCTCAGTCTCCTCTTGTGCTTTTGATCCTGCATCGCCGCTGTTTGCTTGACCGCTGCCGGTAGTCTGTCCGCCCATGCCGTTCTCGCTCAATGATTGACCGTAGCGGATCTTCTCTGCTGTCTTTTCACCTGCTTCTGCGTTCTTGGCCGCTTCGACTTCAGGGACTGAGTCAACTGAGGTTTCGGGATCTGCGGATCTCAGTGTTAGTGGCATTTATCGGGAGAGACTTAAGAAGAGGAGCCATACTGCCAAACTGGCCGCCAGACTTCTTGTGAGGCTTTGTGACGGTGTGGATGCTGGTGTACTGCGAGGTTCCCATGTTGGTGTCGCCGCCAGGAGAGGTGTCCATGAGGTTTTGAGACATGTTTGCTTGTGTAGTTTGAAGTGTAGAGCTCAGAAATTGAAGATGTTGTACGTAAAGTGGTGAAGTTGCCTTGGTGGTGGAACAAGAAGTGTCAAGGTCGAGGATTATGACGCATTGCGGGGAACTTTCTTCGGGCCCTCATCAGTGTCACCAAGGCACTTCTGCGGTTGAGCTCAGCGACATCTGGTTGATAACCTCGAGGTCAATTGATGCCTCTCCGTATGCAGCAAGAAGGGTTCTGGAGGGCAAGTGGCATGATCACAAATCACGACTTTTCAACATCTAAGCCGTTGTCCTCCAGCAACAGGTGAAGCCAGACGACGAGGTATCTACATTGTTATCTATAGCAAGGCACTGCCTTATGATCAAGAACTTCAAGCATATGCATTCCACGAACGTACTCAATATCAAAGCTGTTTGATATCAAGTATGGTAATCGCTGGGCTTGCTCTGCATGTCCTCTCCAGCTCGAACATACCTTTCGATCGAATGCACAGAATTTGCTTCAGGCACGCAGCTTTCGCTGAGAGCCTCAGGTTTTATGCAATCAATTCGGCATCCCCTGTCGACGCTGTTCCAAGTGGAATCACTTTGTGCACTGCTACAACGCGTGACAAACTTCTAATGCATATTCTGAGAAGGGACGAGGGTCTACGCACGGACGCGGTGTACCCAAACTCTCCAACTGTCCGGTGATCAACCTTCCTTTGCTGACAGACAAGGTTTACCAGTCAGATTCGAGATACGAGAACCCCTTTACAACAACATCCCTACAACAGCGCCTTTGTAACAAAGAAAATACCGGCCTTCAGCTGAGTCTTGAAGCGCCCGTTGGCCAGAACCGATGCCTCGGGGTTCCCGGTGAGATTCGGCAGTCTAAAGACGCCTCCCCCATAGCAGTGTCCACTCGCTTCGTTGAAGTCTTCTTCAGCTGAGTGCTAAATTTACTGCCGCTTCTCCAGAACCTTAGCTGGTTGCTTACAGGAAGGTGTTTAAATATTGAGTGCATATTACAGCCTTGACGATGGTTGATTGTACGCATGGTCAAGTGATGGCTGTGTACTCCTTCCTGGAAAGCCACATTCCTCCCATCAATTCGTGACGCTTGTCCAGATGGTATGAATAGATCAACTCCAGTCACACCTTGTAAACAGTCAAGACTCTCCACCATCACAAGTCAAATCACCCTGCCAAGTGTGCTTTTCCACATCTGACACAGGCGAGCCGCTCACGTTAAGCCTCTGCTATGACTTTAGCTATCCTTTGGGCAACATATCTTGGCAGTACTATGATCCATCTCCCATCCTGTCCCCAGCTCACAGCCATATAGAGTTGAACTCAAAGAATAGCCAAGAGTTTCAAATGAACATCCAGCACTCAGCTCAACGTCGACCGCACACACAGCGTGATCACTTTAGTTGCTTGGTCTGACATTACTCGACTTCAGTAGAACATGAGCTTTTGGAGAAGACAAAGCGAAATTGGTATCACAACGTCGACACACAAGATGGCTGAGAGGAGATTGCAACAATGCTCCTGGCTTCTGCTCAGCATGTATATCAGAGAGGCACCTCTGCATGCCATTGAGATGATCATCCAGCGAACCAACCTCGACAACCACACTCCTTCCTTGTTCCATCTTTGGGACGTCCATTCTTTACACCTAAGTCTTGGTGACCTGAAGCCATGGCAGGACTCGGATACCTCATTCCTGGGCTCATCTTGGGTCTGGGAAGCAGCGTCTCTGCATCTCCTTTGGTAGCCGGGCCTATGAACTCCACATTTACAAACGTCACTTCCAACCCCCACTTCAGTAACTATACCAGCACCAAGACCATCTTGAGTACCGCCACTATCTACAACGCGGCAAGCACCAATGCAGTCGTTGTTGCATCCATTGGCGGACAACAGTCAGGCTCTTCCTCTGGCGCCTCTAACAGCCCTGCTCATGGGTCTGACTCCGGTTCCTATGCTGGTGTAGCTTTCGGCTCGTCGGCTGCATCTTCTGCTGTTGTGGTCCACGTCGATTCACAAGCAAAGTCTCCTGCAAGTTCAGACGCATTCCAAACCGTAATTGTCACCCAGACGGTTGCTGGTTGTGGTATCCCTACCTCCTCCTCGACTGCCAACCATGCTCCATTCGCAGCCGCCTTGTCTTCCACTACTCCACAGTATGCTGCCGCCATCGTCCAACCTGCCGTTCATTGGGACTTTCCCCTTGACAACCTCGACAACCTGATTCCTTCCAAGAATGCCAACCTCTACTATGGTCTTGCTGACCCCAAGGTTGAACATCCCTTTGCTTCCGTGGTCACTGACATGACTCACGATACTGTCGTCCTCGATCACTCTTCGTACATCTCTGGTACTTCTTGTTCTGAAGAGGGCATTCTTGTTTCTTTCACCAGTACACAAGCCTTCAACTTGGCTTGCGACAGCTGGTCGACTGTTTCTACTGGACTTGTACTCTCTACATTCTCGGATGGATGTCATGGGGATTCCGAGGACCAGCGAACTTTCTGGTTGATTGCCTCTCTTACCTTCGATAAGAAGACTCTGACCATCAAAGCCTTTGTCAGTGCGGAGCTTGATATCGCGCAACTATTCGAACAAGTAGACCTTGTCTGGGGAAGTTACATCCCCGCAAGCAGTGGTATCCCTGCTATTGGAGGTAGCTCGACCTCTGCCGGAGGTGCCAAGTCTACTTCTGCCTCGACTTCTGGTGCCAGCTCAGGCGCTGGTTCTACTACCAGAAGCGGCGCTGTGCCAACCAGTACTTCCGCGGGTAACGCCACCCTCAACGGATCTGGCTGCGGAGCTGCTCCCTCATCTGTCATTGACGGCCTGCCCGCAATTGACTGCGGTGATGCGGATTTCGATTCTCGCCTTGATGACCGCATCGGATACCTTGATACAACCTCCAGCAACTATGCCTCTAGTATTGAAGAGTTCGTTCCGGACGTTGATTTCAGCTCAGAAGATCTTCAAAACGATAACGCAGACCTTACTCGTCGTGACATCGTCCGTCTACAGAAACGCGCTTGGTATGAGTGGCCAAAGAAGGCAATCAAGAAGGTTGGCAGCGTCATCGTGACAGGAGCTCAAAAAGCCGGCAACGTCATCAAAGCAGGCGGAGAGATTTTGGTCACTGTGGCCTCAGGTACTGGTAAAATATTAGTCGCAGGTGTACGCTCTGTGCCTATAGTCGGCACAGGCTTGGACCAGCTCACTGGTGGCGCTCTCAAAGACCTTTCCGACTTCAACCCCTCTATCGGTGGATCTCAAGAATTCAACTACGGTCCTCAAGCCTCTGTCGACTCACCTTGGGGTAAGGCAGCATCTATCTACTCCAAGCAGAAGGACTTCAAGGGCGACAAAGGCAATGTCGCTGTCGATCTATACTGTGTCGACTGCGGAGTCAAAGGCAAGGTCTCTATGGCTGGCCAAGCAAAGTGGAACGCAAAGGATGGCCTCCAGTCTCTCAACGCCGGCATCAACGCCAATATCGAAGCTGGTATTCATCTCGGTCTGGTCGCATCTGCGTCTTACAAGGACGAGAAGTCCAGCAAGATCATCAACCAGCCTCTTCCTGAAGTCGGTGTCTCTGTCGGCAAGCTTTTCACCGCTGGTGTTTACCTGAGTGTTGATGCTAAGGCTGCTATTGATGTCAGCGCGGAGGGTCAAGTACTTGTTGGTGTCGTCATGACCATTCCCAACTTCGAGGCCAAGCTCAATCTCCTCGATGCATCAAGCTCGACGAAGTCCTCTGTGACTGGCTTCACACCTACCTTCAAGGAAAGATTCGAGGCTAAGGGCAAGGTTGGTGCCCAACTCACTCTGAGCCTACCCATCGCTATCAATGCTGGTATTGAGATTCCTCCTCTCAACATGAAGAGAGTATTGGCCTTGATTGAGGAGCCTAGTGTCTACGGCAACCTCACTCTTGCCGCAAGCACGGCAAACTCTGAAGTCGCTAGTGAAACCTGCAACAACGGTATCGAGTACTTTGCTAATCTTCAGAACGATGTCAAGCTTGATTTCCTTGGCCTCAAGACCTTCAATCTCCACCACTACGACTCCAAACCTCTCTTGCAGGGATGCAAGAAGTTTGACGGCTCAAAGGCAACGTCCAAGGTCTCCTCCGCTATCTCTTCTGAGGCAACATCCGAGGCCTCTTCTGATGCGACATCTGCTACCACTGACGCCAGCTCTGCACTCACTACTGCTGCCAGCACCGCTATCACGAGCCCGGTCTCGACTGCTGTTGCTACCACTGGAGCCACAAGCGCTGCTACCACTGATGAACCTTCGGCCACCAGCAATGCTTCCGAGCCTACAGCTACCAGTGACGAGTCCGAACCCACTGCCACCGACGAGCCTACTATCACCGATGGCGCGGACACACCAGTTGAGACTGACTCGCCCGAGCCAACCACAACTGATGGTGCTGAGACTCCTGAGGCTACGGACGACGCATCTCCCTCGCCAACTGACGATGAGACTACTTCGGCACCAACTGAGGCGCCCACTCCGGACACTGGCGAGAGTGCTTCCGATGAGAGCCTCCAAAGACGCCATGCTCGTAGCTTCTTGACTCGTCGCCAGGACAACACTACCTCGGTTGATGATTCAGCTACTGACGACGACGACGAGAACTACGTCTTCGACGATGAAAACAACTATGTCGAGGACTTCAACAACGATGTCGCTACAGCCGCTGACCTTGCCGATGATGCGATCGGTGACTACTCCGAAGACCCCGATAACACCGCCTTCCTTGAGAACACTGCAAAAGCACTCGAACTGGCGTCTACTCCTGACGCGCCTACCAACGCCAACTACACACAGCTCATCAACGTCCAAAAGACTCTGATCGTCGTACCCAGCACCAACGGAAACCTTTACGCCGCAACTTACAGTGAGGAACTGATCCAAACGAACGGAGCACTCTTCGGAAACTACGACAACGCAATCTTCGGTGACGACAGCGGCCGCATTCTCCACTTCCACCCAGATGAAATGAAGGTCTACGGTGCCAGTCGCCTGCGTCTGAGCGACGAGGACAGCATTCCCAAAACCGCTGATTTCATCACCATGACTTTGGAAGATGTCGAGGATAACGGATCGGCCTACTTCGCTGCTGATACATATGGCAATTTGTACAATATCGTCATGTGCAATTTCGCCAACAATGCTGTCAGCAAACTTTTCGTTGTCAATGGACAAGATGGTTTGGACGCCTTGACCAGTAACCCGAACGTCAGGTTCACTGTTACTGGCGCCCCTGTTCAAGACTGCTACCCTCTGGCTCTTATTGATGCCCCTGCAGCTTGAACGCTATGAGCCAACATGCTCTGATCTTCCACATCTCTTTCTTCTGATCAACGTCTTAACCTTTTCTTGTTTCTTATGTCTGATGTCCATTCTTTTCTTTTTGTTCTGATGGGTTGAGCCTTGGATGGCTCCTCTATTTCTTACTTTTATCTACTTATTTCTTACGCATACATCTAATGTATACAAAATCTGTCATATCTTTATGCCTCGTCACATTGATCACGAAAGTAGACCAGCACTACAATAAGGCTACAAACACAAACTTGGGTTAGGAAAAAAATGCCCGGTCTTTCTTAACATACAGAGTTCTGCCTTTAGCCTTAGTATGCGTAAAGAGCTTCCATATCACGAGTTGTAAAACATAGAAAAACAATCAATGAGATTTAAGGGAAGGAACGATCACAATGATAAAGATCCATCCATTAATACCTTAATCATCTCTTCCTACTACATTAAGATCTTAACCCCTGCACTAGAGGATTCGCCCGTCGTGCTATATAAATCACTGCTGTTTAGAAATCTGCAACTATAAGTATCAAGTAGATACGAATCCGCAATGCTCTTTGCTTACTTCTACGAAATAGGGTCTTCTAGGTCTCGTGCTTTACATAATATACGGCTTCGGACTCCGGTGAACGTTTTGATATGTTTGTTCGAGTTTACACCGCTCTAGATGTCTCGCTAATTATTGTGGACTACGAGTCTTGCTAGCTCCTCATCGTTTCCATGGCAGTGTGGAAAACAATACTGTGAATTCCGGTTGGGTAGGGGTACCAAGCTACTGAAACACCAGTTATCCCACCTGCAGAGATGATATCTACTCGTAACTGGTTGTATTTCAACATTACACTCCAAAGCAGATCTAGTCATCACACCGACACCAAACATCGATAATCAGAGACAGAACTTGTCGGAAAGAGAAAAACATCATGTTCTTGTCGTCGAGAGCATTTTCTCAATTTCGTATACCACTCAATTCTCCTATCTCTTATCATACACTTACATACTCATGAATACGTGAAAAGAACGTAGAAGAAAAACACAAGAACAGCAAACCCCGTAGCTCCTACGCTTACATCCAGATAAAGAAAGAAAAACAAGAAAGGAAGAGAAAAAAAACCACACAAGAGCGCTGGTAAGACCAAAGATGCTGACAAAGACATGCAATCAATCAAGCGGATCCAGGCTCCTTGGGTGCGCAGAAAGCATAGCCCAATAACTCATCCGCAGACGGTCGCTTCTCATGCTCAATCTCGAAAGTGCGCTCAAGAAAATCCTTAGCGCTCTCACTCGCCTGCTCAGGCATATCTGGTCTTGCCTGCGCAGCTGAAGATCCAATTTTGAAGATCGCTTGCAACTGCGTGCAGTTAGGATGAGGATGCACACCGGTAAACATCTCCACGATGAGGCAGCCGAGTGACCAGATATCTGCTTTACGAGTGTAGGCGGTTTGCTTGACGACTTCGGGCGCCATCCAGAAGACGGAGCCTTGGAGGGAGACACGGGGGCCTGTGCGTTTGCCTGTGGATGGGACGAGCAGAGAAGAAGCCTCGACGCGCTTGCTGATGCCGAAATCACTGATTTTGACGCTACCGTGGTTATCGACGAGAATGTTGGCGCCTTTGATATCGCGATGGATAATGTCTTTTGAGTGCAAGTATGCCAGTCCAGATAATATCTGTCTGACGAAATTGGCAATCAGAGGTTCACCCAAAGAACCGTAGTTGACGAGCATGGTGGCTACTGAACCACCGGCGACGTACTCGAGGAAAATGTTGAGATGGGAGTCGTCGGAGTTGGAGCCGAGATATTGCACGATGTTGGGGTGCTTGAGCTCGCGCAAAAGTCCTATCTCTCGCTTGAGGGCTTCGACCATGTTGTTCTTTTTGGCGTCGAGGTGTGTGCCAGATGAGGACGGCATTTCGACTTGCTTGCAAGCCATTAGCTCACCAGTTATGGCGTGTAAAGCCAAGTAAACAGTGCCGAAAGAGCCTTGACCAATCATGGCACCCTTCATGTACTTGAGATTCTCCCAACTGTCATTCTCGAGGTGCTCCATTAGTTCGTCGTCTGATTCTTCACCATCTTCAGCGATGACCTGACTCAGGCGAGAGTTGAGAGATCCACCGTTCTCGGTGTTTGCTGGACTGGTGCTACCAGTGTCATCGAAGTAGCTCTGCATGATGGTGTTGCCTTCAGGGTCGGTCACAGCAACGTTGCGGTCATTCGAATCAGAGCCGCTGTCAGCACCGAAAGACACGTAGGACTTGCGATTGGGCTCAAGGGGTGACTCCTCATCGAGAGGCTCAAGAACAGAAGATGTGATAGAGTCGCGGTAGTTTGAGACGGGACGGCCGAGACGTACAACGGAGAGCGGTCGAAGAGGCTTGGGTTGATTGGCGGTATTCAACCAGCTGTCAGCAATGGTCGGAAGAGGAGGAGCATCCTTCAAGCTCGAGGCAACGCTGAAGCTACTCATAGTACTCAGACGGTTGGCAGCTCTACTAAGTCTGCGTGAACGACGGATTGACATGCGGACAGTCTTGTCCATTTCTTCCTTCTCGATATCAGGGAAGTAAGAAGTAAGATCTTGAGTGATGAGTTCGGTTGGAGGACGAGCGCCGTAAAACTCCTTTAGCTTGCGAGCGCGAGCACCAGCAGTGTTGATGGAAGGCTGAGCAGCAAAATATGAGTTTCTCTCCCGCTCAAGCACCGAGGCAGGAGACATGGGGTAGCTGACCGCAGCCAAGGGCTCGCCGATGAGTTGTTCGATCTTGAGGTGGCTCTTTGACTTGTTGATGGGTTGCTGTACCTCAATAGCTGGAGGTGAAGGAGCTTCTTTTTCGGCGATCTTTGCGGCAATGCGTAGTTGCTCTCCATCTGGCTCTCCAGCATGAATCTTTCTGAGCATGAGACGACCTCTCTCGCCACGCACACGATCACTGCAGATACGGAGCAGCTCGGTATCTCCCAGACGACGACAGTACTTGGGCTCGGGGTTGAAGCCATCAAGCAGGTAGAAGCAGAAGTTCTTGACGTGATTCTCGTTGAGTGCGCCCTTCTTGAGCGTTTTAAGGACGATGTCATCAGCAGTTTCGCAGCCTTCGATGTTGATCATGGATGAGCGGCCACTGTCAAAGATGACTCTGATCAAAGCCTTATCGGCAGGTAGAGCGCTGCTATATGTAGCGAGGTTGTCGACGCTTGGGCTTGAACGGATATGACCGGCCACAGGACCACCGTAGCGTGGAGGGGTCTCGCCGGGAGTGAGCCTTTGAGATGGCTTGGGTAGGTATGGTGTACTGCTGCTCTTCTGCATAGGCATGCGAGATCGGTTCTCTTGGTCGATCAAGGGTGATGAGGGACGAGAGTTTACTTTTGCAAGGTCTTGGCCTTCTATGCGACGGGAGAGACGCTTGTCGCGGAGGGAGGTAGGCGGAGGTTGTATCCGAGTGGTAGACAGTACGGCTCGTTCACGCGGCGATGAGGCAGGAAGGGCATTGGCTTGGGCGTTGCCGTCGAGTGTAGCCAGAGAGAGCTGTATGGAATAGTCAGTGACTGGCGGAGCTGATGAGGTTATGCTTGTCCCTTACCCTGTTCATGTTCCGCTTACTCGTCTTCCTATAGACGCTTGTCCTGAACAGCTTTGCTTGCGAGCCAATGCGGACGCGGTCACCGATTTTGTTGACACCCATCTCTTTCAGCGTTGCAGGGTCCATGTCCATAAGGTTCTCTCCAGTGATGTTGTTTCCTGCATGCCCGTTAGCCCTGCCTGACTGACAGCACACCCATGGCGGGGAAGAGCTCACTCTTGAAAATGTCGACATATTGGCCGCAGTTGATACTGACAAGCCACTCGCCGACGCGTTGTTCGTCCCAATTTCTGTGCAGTCTGTCAGCCCCTTCTCAATGGCAGTGGATTGCGAAAAGACATACTTGACAGTATCAGACATCCTCGATGAATCAGAAAACTCGGATTCTGTAGGGCTGCCATAGACTCCGTTGTTGACAGAGCGATAGGCGGCGCTGTTGGAAGGATATTGAGTTGCTCCCAGAGGGGCAGGAAACGAGGGTTTGGAAGCCAGCATGGCCATTGTTGTTCGACAAAGCGACTGTCAAAGAATTGCGCAAGAGGCGTCGACGGCTATTGCTTCATTGTCTGCTTGGACAAAGTATGATAGAGGCCGATGATGTCGTCTTTTTGTCCTGGACGTGTCGTCCTTGTGTCGTGTGTCGGGGGCTTGTCAGACGGCGGCGTGACAGCGGGCAGCGGGCGTGCGGATTTGTGCCTCTCTTGTATTTCCAACGTCGCTGTCGTGATGTGTCGCCTCAATTATGTAGATTGAGACACTACCAGCCGAGCAGTCGCAGCTCAGGATGATTTGCAGAGGATGAAACGTCACAGCGACAATCACTCGGTTACGTCGGATTCTACTCTTGCGGCGTTTCTTGGTGACACGGAAGCTGCGAGCGTCGAGAGACTGAGCTGACCGTCTTCTTGTTATCGACGACGACAAAGACACAACAAGGACAACAAGACAGACGCACAGTCAGGATAACGCAAAATTAGGACGACAAGTTCGAAAAATAGCTCTCTCCTCGTCGTCGCGTGCGCTCCGTGCCTGTGCCTCCATACCTAATCGATTCCCTTCAATCGTCGCACTAACTGAAGATGAAACGCGCCGCCGCATTTAGGTCTTGCCCACACAAAGATGCGTCCTAAAAGGGATTCGGACGCCCAACGGCCACCTGCTTTTGCTCCTGGACGACTCGTCGTGGATATATTGATCAAAGACAACAGCGACCACTGACCGCTCCCCAGCCTCTTCACCGTCATCACCAGTGAGGAATCATTCAGGAGCGTGCGCAATTGTCAAGAGCCTCAGGCTCACATGCTTCAGCTCTGTCTAGACCCAGCCCTAAACAGCCCAGACATGACCGATGAGGGGTTGCTTCTTTACCATGCATGCCTCTCAAACCGCTGAATGTTGCTCACAAACGCTCTGCATGATCTGTAGGTCATCATTCCAGTTGTCCTTGCCAAGGTAGGACACGTCTGCGAGCTTTCGTCCCAAGAGTTTACATGAGTTGCAGCTGCGCTCCTTCGTATCGAACATGTAGCTATACATCGTTTCCTAGAAGATATTTACAAACTTACCATGTCCCCATCCGAGAAGCCGCGCCAATGTGGAACTCTGTGAGCTCGGCGTCTAGGCGCATGTGTCAAAACAGGTCGTCGGCCCGGCCTGCAGTGTGAGCAGCGTCTTGGTAAGATAGTGATCTGCTGGCCGAACGGCATCACGGGCGGAGTGGAAATCTGGTATTTCCGATCGTGATGAACGATTAGCCGGAGACCGAGTTGACCCACGAACGTGTTTCGACGAGTGAAGTTACGAGAAGGTGGCAGCGTTTTCTAGCGGGGCAGAGGGTTACTGGTGTCCGGTAGGTTTTGGCCGGGCCGTCAGCCGTTGTTGATCGTGGAGCATGTGTTTGGTAGACATCAGGCTGTTTCATGAAACGATGACGCCGGAACTTTGTCTTTTAGAACATTGTTGTGTTGTTGTATCAGGGTATTATAGAAGCGGCAAGATGGAGGCTCCTGACACGATGCCTGGTTATGCCGTCGGCGAAAACGCATGGGTGTGTGGTGAATTCCATGCGAGCAGGGTGTGTCGCAAGTTCAGCTAGCGTGGACGAACAGATTGGCTTGGAGGATCAGCACTTCCGGCGTGTTCGTCTGACTGGGCGCTTCGGTTCGTCTGCCTTATTACTACCCTCATGATTGGCGTGGCGCACTCGTTTCTGCAAACCTGTTAGGTCTCCTTGTCAATGACGATGTGTGGCTCGTCCGGCGCGCTCAAGAAATGGCACCGGCCTTGTCGTGCTCAGCAACCCACACGATGAATCTTCTACCAAGGAGACTCGAGAGATCAAAACACAGAAACAAGGCTGCTTTCTTTGGACCGGACGCACGAATTAGAAGGAACAGAAGGTAGCGTGGCTCGCACCTTCCTTGACTACTTTCTCCGTACTTCCCCCGCAGCATCGCATCGTATCGCATTGCCCTTGTCTGCGCCTGGGCCAAGGCTGACCGTCCTCGCTTTATAAACACACCCTCAGCACGCGGAATTACTGTCACTTGGATCCCTGGTCGTTGAAACCTTGACAGAGCATCGACTTCTTGACATCAGAGAAAGTGACGATCGGTGACGGAGGCTAGCATGGCTTCTGGAGAGGGCTACCGCTCTCCGATGCAGTCTGCAAACGACAGCTTCGAACTGCGCCGAGACGACAACTTGCAGAAACCTGATCCGGATGCCTATCGCCGTTCCAGGCCACGGGGCAACTCAAATGCTATCAGACCCAGCAGTATCTACCCTCAAGCTCCTCCAGTCGACGATGCGGTCAACCACGCTTTCGAGCGCTCCGACGCCGCAGGCCAAGTAGATCCAACTTTGGTTGCTCAAATCACCGAGCAAGTCATAAACACCCTCAAAGCCTCTGGCATTGGTCAGCAGCAGCAACAGCCGCAACAACCACCACCTCCCCATGCCAGGTCTGCTCAGTCGAGATCTCCCGCCGAATCTGCTGCTTCCCTCCCTGGTCGATACACTCCGCCTTCCCCCACTAGAGACACTGCAAGCCACAGATCACTGTCTCCTGAGCCTGCCATGTTTGACTCGGATCCATACAGCGTCAACTACGATCTCCCTCGACCAAACCGAAGCAGCGACGATGCATCGCCTGTCCATGCTCAAGAGGCCAACAAGCCAAGGCCCAAACAGGTCCGCGTTCCTTCCGTCATCGAAGAGACGGTTCTCGAGAAGGCGTGGCAACCCCTTTTCCAGTCAGGCCAGCCTACTGCAAGACTCAGCCAATTTCTCCGAGGACTTGCCCTCCACATCATCGACGATTATGAACCGAAACGCAGTTTAGTCATCCCACCAGCCAAGATGCTTCAGTTTTTCGACGATGTCAAACTTTCTACTGAAATTTACCCATGGCGTGATGTCTTTGGCGGCCGCATTATGTGCGAGTCCATATCCAAGATTTATCGCGACCTGCGATGCCAACATCATTTTGTCCAACTTGGCAATCATTCAGTTCCGGACATCCCTGCTCTGACTCCGGATGGATTTGATCGATTCATGACCACTCTCATTCAAGCTCATCCCGCTTTGGAGTATGAGCGACTCGCGAAGGCTGTCTTGGACATGCCCATCAGTAACGCCGACAATCCAAAGGAGCGTTTCCCCAAGGAGTTGAGTCAGAGGCTATTCCCAACTTCCGACGACATCACCCAACAGCAAAGATTACACGCTGCTATCTCGGCTGACCGAAATATTCAATTACGTTCAAGCAATCCCATGCCCCCTCCACCCCCACCTTCATCGGCACAGCCTCAATCTCAGTCTCAACCAGGATCGACCTCGCACCCAACTTCGGCCACATATGCTGAGAGAGAGCGTGCTCCCTACTCTGGTTACGCATCCGCAATAGATGAGGATGATCTACGTACCACTCCGGCTCCAATCGAGCGTCAGCGTCAGCCTTATACAGCCAAGGAAGGCTCTGGAAAAATCCATGAAGAGGATCGCTGGAGCACTGATCGCTCAGACCATGCAACCCGCACTACGCGTGCCAACTCTGCTGCACCTCAGCCGCAGTTCAGTCAGAGCAGACCTACAGACATACCCAGCACTAGCCAGAGACATCATCGTCTTTCTGCCAGTGGGCAGCGACCCAATCTGGGCACTCCTCCCAATCTTGGTTACCCACCCAATCCGTACACCAGGTCAGAAGGCACAAACGTGGGCGAGATCCCATCGACCCACTACAGTTCAAACTTGCACTCCGATGATCGCAGTAGATATCCGAGACGAGAAGATGAGTCCAGGGATGCGAGAGATACCAAAAGAGCCTCATGGTATCCCTCTCGTGGCTACGATTATGACAGCGCACCTTACGACGACAAGCGGAGAACAAACGGTGGCACCGATGGCTACGGGAGCTATGGTGGTTACCCTCCGAGATACTGAACACGAAAACTTGACGGACTTCGTATACAGCAGACTGGATCTGCTAAACCGCGATTACCTCACTCATTTCTTGAGAGCTTGTTGACTCACGTCTCTGAGCTTGTGTTGATTTCCCGATTCTTGTACCCTCCGCCCAGCTTCAACTACCCATCTTGTTATCCCCTTTTCTTGTAACACACCCATTGCATTTTCATCCATGATGTTTCTCTTCCTTTTGCCGTATACCCCTTTTCAGTAATGCTTTTCGCGGATTTGAAATACACCTGGTGGAGAGCAGGCGCACAGCGTATGCCTTGATATCTTTTCTTCACAATGCAACATTTATAGCGCTTTTTCTTCTTCCTTTTTGTATAACTGTCGCTACATCAGCGACCAAACACAATGTTTACCTAAACCCGCCCATCGAGCCTTGCGATGTTTTACATTATGCGCTCAACCATCATCATGTCTTTGGAACAACAAGTCATACCTACGTATTGCAGTATCATGTAGATTGAATTGACATGCGAGCTAAGGAGCAGTGGCACTACCCCATCTCAGACATCAGCTGTCACGATCTGGGGAAACCACTGACGTCACAGGGCCCTGTCTGCCGCTCAAACAAGGCTGGCACATGCAAGGTCGCAAGAATGATCTGCAAAAGTAAGCACACTGTTTCTCTTCGAAACGCACCTGGTGACTTCTTCTCTTCCTTCTTTCCTCTTTTTCCACCCACAATCTATCGAATCTCTGAAACACAAGAACGAATATCGCGTTTGAAAGCACAATACGAGAATACGAAATCATGTCGGACAACAAGAACCAAGAACCCACTCATGATGAGAGTTTGAGCAACTTGCCTGCTGGCTTGACTGATGTGCAACTGGGTGCGCAGAAAGGTATGCACCTCTCCTCACCATCGCTCTTTTTTCCTCTCCTTTAACCCACTCGTCCCATCCTCTTAAGCTCTTGCCTCGGCTCATACTGATGCAACACAGGTCTCCTCGCACCTCTAGGCGACCCCCTAGGCAACGCTCTCAATAAAGGCCTCTCTCCCATCGGCACAGCAGTAGGCGGAATCACAAATGGAGGATACACCAAGAGCAAAGAGATGGACAAGGCTGCCGAGGAGCCGCAGAGTATCGGTGGCAAGGAACAGACTGGACAGAACCCTTTGGGTTTGTAAAGAGCTCGAGGACGGGAAAACGATCAAAGAGTTGAGAAGTGACAGATTAGGAGGGGAAGCTACAAAGGATGAGGGATCCTTGATGAATGTAATGATTGTATTTTGAGCTTGACTGGACTTTTTCCCTTTGATCAAGAATTGCTGGTCGAACTTTTTTTATATCAGCTCCGATGAGGACATGTGTTGATGAAGGTATTACTGTTTCCATCACGTCGCGATGCATCCAGGCTTTTCAACTTTGTGAGGCGCGGTCTGAGATGTCTGGCTCTCAACTTTCTGGCATCAGCCTGTGATTTGTACTCTCTAAGACCTATGATACTCTAGAAACATCTTGCAATCACTCGGTTGCAGGAACATTCATGCTTATCCCCACGCATGTCCTAATCCATCACCATCAACGTCAACCCTGCAACTCACCCACACCGACAACACTCCACCCCCCATCCTCCACCAAATCATACACATACCTAGCAAACAGCCTAGCCAACCCAACAACACCCCTGAGATGTCCAAACACATAAATATCACGGACAATTGTGGGACAACTTCCATCTGCGTTCATAGGGCGAGAGTTTCCAGAATATGGCGTTGTTTTGGGGATGGTCGGTGAAAGATGATGTCGTGGAGGATGTATTGACGGCTGGTTTGGGAGTTGGTGTGGAAGTCTGGTTTGCCTTTGGGTGATAGTGTCAGATTGCAATGATCAAGAAGGGGAAAGGTGGTGAGAGGGAGATACTGTAAGCAGTGCTCACGTAAAAGGATTCCTTCAGCCAGCTTGCGGCCCGCGTGTTGTTTCAGCATCAAATGCACAGAGGATACAAGTATGAGATTGGCCAGCGAGAGGGAGGTGCCTGGGATAGCGATGGAGCTGTCAATGTAGCCGCAATTGCCAGCATTCTCAATTCGCATCGATAACTTTCGATACCTCTGCACGCCTGCGCCTTTACGCGGGTTCTCTTAAGAACTGTGAGCACGGCGGTAGATTAATAATTACATTCTGTCACGATTCTAAGTTCGTGCGAGACCATTCTGTGTTTCTGTAACTCTGAGAGTCTGAGTTCCTCTGACACTTGACGCGGCCTTGTGAGGTCCCAGACTAAAATGGCCAATGTGGTCGACTGCTAGACCACATCAGAGGCCGCATCGTTGCAGAAGGAAGACGTGTAATATCTGCCAACGACGTCCATGCCTCTACCAGAACTCATCTCCCACACACGCCCATCATTCCTTCCATCGCAAAACCACATAAGAAAGCAAAAAGGGTATTCATCCGCTCCATCCGCTCCATCCGCTCAACCATAAAATTACTCTCACTCTTCCATTGAGATTCCCAATGCCCATGCTCTTAGATCCTCTTTTGTGCAGGCAAGTTGTTGCGATACGAGTGGTGCTCCCCTCCTTGTGTGAAGGCGCGTTTTAGTGCGATGCCGAAGATGATGAAGGGGAAGGCGAGGACGTAGACGAGAGCGTCGGACATGCGTTCCATGAAGGTGCGGTTGTCGTGGTCTGGACTTGTCGTCGGCATTGTGGCTTGATTTTCGAGTGATGTTGCGATTGGGGATTTGGTTTCTCGTTTGCGATCAAGAGTGTCGCGTGAGAATCGATTTGACAGGCGCGTAAGATGTGGTGATTGGTTCGAGTAGTATGCGCTTTGTGGTGCTGAATTCAAGCTTCGATTATTTAATTTTGGGGTGTATTTTTGGTCGAGATTTTGAGATGTGGTTTAAAGCAATGCAATTGTCAGAAAATCAAGAGCCGCGCTGTATTTTGTTATTTGATTCGATAGCGCAAGGGTTGATTTCATGATGCACCCTCGTGGCGATGACATCACGGTTTTTCCATTTCACAGCCTCCCGGATGTCTCGGTCCCCGGACGTGGACGTACAGAATGCGCGATGAGCATAGTCACTGGAGACAAGTCATCTTGTGATACGATGTAAAGGAGGAAGAAGCATTGAAAAAGATGATGAGTGATGTATAATCCAAGTGCCAAATCTTGATCTCAGGACTCGGCTTCGACGTCTGGTCTTTTGGCTCACGGAGCCAGTGAGACAGGGTTGCCCCCTTTCCATCCCCTTTGGACTAATTATTTTACAATTCAAGAGCTTCGATGAGTTGGTGAGTATGTTTGTACAATCTGCATGGTAATTCGGGAGATACGACACACATCTAATACATTTTCGATCATTTCCTGGAGATCTTGTAAGTATCTTGGAAAATGTGGGCGCTCAAACACAACATCCCATGAGACATGGATATCCACATAACTTGTAGAGTGTACACATCTGCTCCACTGCAGAGATTTCAAGGATTATGTATTTCTCATCCATCGTACAGTCTCTCCTCCTCCTCGTGTTTCGCCGTACTGGATCTTCTACCATTTCGCCATCGCTGCAACCAGGAACTACCCATCACCTTCTGCTGCCCCCTTCGAATAAGTACCCTCAATCTCTTCTGGTAAGATATACCCGCTACGAAACACATCACCCAGAACACTGCTGTGACGATTGCAAACTTGAACTTGCCGGAAGAAACCACAGTCCCTTTGTCTGCAGTAATTATCTTGGAGCTGGCAAGCACGTTGCCGTTCTTGTCGATGGCGACGATGCGCAAGTAGTCATACTCGCCATCCGGTAGCCCGATTTCTGTCTCGAATCCATCCTTGGGCGTTTTGACAGCATTGGCGAATTGCAACTTACCGCCAGACGTAGCTTCTGCAGTTTGCAAGATCCAGCTTGTGACTTCGGTAGCACCCATCCAGCTCACAAGTGCGCAACCGTCGCTCGGATTGAGATAGACATCCGGCTGAGTGTTCGGTCGGCCAATCCATGTGGCGGTCCTGAAGGCGCGATAGGAGTGTACAAAGCCGAAGGGGAAGAACACAGCCGGATTGATATGTGTGTCGCAGAGGATCGAGCCATCAGCGGCATACTCCGTGTAGCCGCCGTGGTAACCCCAACCTATCAACACATTGCCAGAATCGAGGACTTGCATGGAGCCTTGCTGAGGTGACCCTCTCGAGCCAGGGTTCACATATTCATGGACCAGTTCGACGGTCATGTTGCTTGTGTCGAGCTGGACCATCATGCCTCGGCTTATTTCACTGTTATCTCCCAACAGCTCCTCATGCCATTTCTTGTACGCGGCATTGTCGAAAATGCTGAGTCTTTTGCCCGCTTGCACAGAGACATGGTGTTGCCAGGCGAAGTCTGTCGCGCTTCCGTCCGATAGATCCTCGAAGTCATTGTTACGGCCTCCTAGGATCCAGAGAATTCCTCCTGTATTCGCAGAGACGCAAACAATACTGTGTAAGAATCGGGACGAGATAATGAAGTTTCCATCCTCGTCTTTGTCAACGCTGTTGATATGGAAAAAGTCGAAAGGGGCCTCAGGGCTACGGCCGGCAGACCCGATGGGGTAGAAAGTGTCATTGATAGCGAAGTGGTCCGAAGCACGCCATTCGAAGATGATATCTCCTGTCTCGATATCGATCTCTCGGAACAGGCTGTCGTAAACCCAGCCTTGGCTCTGAACACCAAGGGATGATAGATCAGTGATGATAGTGTCATAACTTGTCAACAGAGCTGTATCATCGGCTGTAATGGCATATTCGTGAAAGTCGTTCTCCAGTGTCTTCGATGCAGAGAATTGGTTGAAAACCTGATAATGGGAATCAAGCTGAGATGAGACGTTAGTCAACATGCTTTATAACGCGTGAGGAATGTAGAGGTAGGGGCGCAGATGATCCACCAAAAGCAAATTCCTCGACAGAGGCCATCGCGAGCCAAGGTCCTTCTGAGACGAACAGTATCGCTCCTCGAAAGCGACCCATCGGTAGGCTCTCGAGGACATGGCTTCTGTTCTCAAGGAGACCGTGCCTCCAGATAGGTCCACACCAGCTCATATTGGACGAGGAACATTGGTGCTAGTGTGATCTCTACATCTTCGGTCCCATCAGCCTTGCATAACTTACCATATAGTAGGTACCCAATCCAAAGCCTAGACTGATGTCTCCAGACCAAAAGGTCAGATACTGCTCGCCTTTGTATTCTTGCACCTTCAAGTTCATCACATAGGGACCAAACGCCTCGTCCATCCACACCAGATCTCCACGTCCATCCAACATAATACCAGCAGGACTAGAAACTGCGGTTCCCCGTAGGCTCAGTAGAGTGTATCCTTGAGCGCATTGTTCATCCCATCGGACTGTGTTCATTCGAGGCGGCCGGAAAGGCGATGATTTGAACGATTGCTGTGGATACCGGCCAAGTAGACCCCATTCGAACGCTTTAGAGCTCCAAGAAGTGTCGGAGAGATCCTGAGTGCACTCGATCTGGGTGAGTAAAAAGGCAAGTGCTGTCAAAGCCAGCATATGGCAGCTGCCTAGTAACCGGGAAATCATGGAAGCGTTTCGGTGAGGAGAAGAAGCAGAGAACACCTGTTAACGACACAATGGGGGAATCGACTCATCTTGAGTCTATTTGGGGTGGGAGTAGCCATGGTACATCGCCCCATGCTCAAGATTATCGTCGCGATCGAAATCCTGGCATTGTTGTCCCTTGATCGTCATCTCTACCACGTACTTAAAAAGACTCCGGAGACAATGATGCTTGGCCCGCGGCGGCTATTTGAAAATTATCGATCTTAATCCTCTATGTGTGGGGATAACGATTCAACGTGAAAAGAGGCAGCACTGTATCTGATAAGATTGAGGTCGCCAAGATGTTCGAGTGCGTGTTTGGACGCGTACGACATGATATCGATCTCGAGTTTCACATGCAACCAACCGAGCCACAGAACAGACGCGTGCTATCAAGGTGGAAGATGATTGTGGTCCAAGAGAGGTCTTATTCCCCTCGAAAATGTGTCGTGTGTCCAATTGCCGCATGGGAAAGGTGACGTTGCTGCCAAGCACAAACAAGACGGAAACAAGACCGGCAAAACGCGGCTTCCACTTTGCATGGCCGAAAGAGGAGGACATTACTCAAGCGCGACACCACCATCGTGAGAAAAGTTTGGAGAAAAAGCCGTCACACCTCGATATCTTGCGGCTTGGTGACGATGTCGAATCACGTGGTTAGACGGTTGACTCTCTCTCTGTTTGACCAACGTTAAGCTCACCATCTAGCAAACTCCCGCGGCCACGCCAGGGGTTCTGCGAACTGGAGCAATGCACAATATCTCTAGTATTGGTAAAGCCGTCCATGGAGAAGCGCTGACTATCACCCTCTCAGTCGAGGCTAGCTTTAACAATGCTAAGATCTTGCGTTCCTACAGCTATAGGCGTGACAGCTTAGCATACTGGGAGGTGGTTGACTGTGGTCTGCCAACTCTGCTTGTGCGCGCCCCTGTCTTATACACGCTGCAAAGCTACCAGAGTTTCGGTCGCTGGTCGCACATCCTACATCTCTCGCGGTCTGCCATCGTATATCCGACTACATGATGAGGCTGGCCGAGCAAGTCCTGTCGCTGGTGACTTGTTGTCGCTTTCCAGGAGTACGGCGTAATAAAGAACCTCGTCTTGGCTCGAGATCGTTGTTTGCACATTGGAGATAATACTTGCCGTGAACAGCTGTTTGCTAACCATGTCATCTGACACTCCTTGCTAGTTGTTATCAGTGTTGGCCAAGGCGCCAGCATTTTTAGCGGATGCAGGTTGATCCATCTCGCTTGATATAGATTGACAACACCTATCACTTTAGATCTTCCATCTTTTCCCTTCCAACGAAGCAGGGTACGACATCATTTCAGGATGTTGACTAGAGAGCCACCTCAACGGCTTCCGGTTAATTTCAGCACAGGAGATTATTCCTACAACAAAAAGACTTCTTGCCAACATTCAGAATGTTAGAAGCACAATAGCGCAGACCGTGGAACTTTCGTCGGCTTGTTTTCAGAATGCTATCAGACCCCTGATTGACATCGAAAATTCGACCCAATGCGAGCTCGGTATGATAGCTATGCTTCGATACGCATCGCCAGAGGACGAAGCTCGCAATGCCTCAGTACTGGCCTGTCAGCTTATGCGCGAAAGCTCGGCAGAGCTTGTCGCGAGGGGAGACTTGTATCGCACATTCAAAAAAGTTCATGATAGACAGGAAGCGCTTGATCATGAATCGACCAAATACTTGAATCAGCTGATTAAGGATTACACTAGATGCGGACACGGTCTACTCGACAATGACCAAATTCAGCTCTACCTCGATAAGAGAAATGCGATTGACAACATGAGATCCAAATTCAACAAGAGCATCAGAGATGAAGAGAGCGGATTATGGTTCTGCCTCGAAGAACTCGACGGAGTGCCTCAGCATGAGCTCGCTCGATTCGCCAAGCAGGTTGAACCACAAGAAGCTCGATTGAGATTTGTCCGTAACCGTAAAGCGGACAGTCAAGTTGTCTTGGAGTACGCGAGGAACCCTGCAACACGTAAGAAGATGTATGTCTCTAGCGCGTGCAAGCTTCCTGAAAATGTGGAATTGTTGGAGGAGATTGCGAAGCGTAGACACGAAAATGCATGTCGTCTTGGATACGCCAGCCACGCCGCCTTCCGACTGGAGACCAAAGTTGCTAAAACCCCTGAGTTTGTGGAAGAATCGTTCGAGAAACTGGAGCAAGCCTTGTTTCCACAAGCATATCAGGAACAGCAAGTGATCTGGGAAAGGAAGAAATCTTACATCCACGACAACAACGACCTGACTGATGAAGACGAAGACACGTTGAACCCATGGAACACTGCGTTCTACAATCGACTCGCGAAGGAAGATATGCGAGTACACCAGGAGAAAGTATCAGAATACTTTCCACTACGTCACACTGTCTTGGCTATGCTGGAAGTTTTCTCTTCGTGTCTACAGCTTCGATTTGAACATCTATCCCAAGATTATGTACATAGTTCCATATGGCACGAGGACGTCGAGGTATGGGGGGTATGGGACGAAAGAGAGGCTTCGATTGGTGAGTTTGTTGGCTACTTGTACACCGATCTGTTGTCACGGCCAAACAAACACCAAGGCAATCAAAACGTGGATATACAGCGTGTGAGTTTCCCGCGCGGACGCATCCCCAATGTTGTCTGACTTCAGCAGGGATACCTTAAGGAAGATGGAACAAGGGTAAAGCCGGCAACAGTACTCATGTGTAGCTTTCAAGCTCAGACTGCAACTGGATGTCCGTTACTGAGTCACGATAACTTGATCAGCTTGTTCCATGGTCAGTAGAATCCTTAAGCCTTGCAAGGTAACTCAACTGATACTATATCTGTAAGAACTGGGTCATGGAATCCATGACCTCCTTTCAAGGACCTCTTACGTTCGCTTCCATGGTTGGAGCGGGCCAGCTGACTTTGCTGAAGCTCCAAGTATTATGCTGGAAAACTGGTGCTGGATCGGCGATGAATTGAAGAGGATGAGTTGCCACTATACGCGAGTTGATCCTCAGCACGCACAGCAGTGGAAAGAGGACCATCAAGGCGAACACCTTCCACCTAAAGAGATACCCGACGAGCTATTGCACAATCTCACACGAAGTCGTGACTTCAACCGAGCGTCTTGGTATATGCGCCAGCTGTGAGTTTTACCTTCTATTAGGAACATGCTTTGATCACTGACTATATTCAAGTGCATTTGCTCGCTTCGACATGGCGCTTCATAATGGTGCTAGTCATCAAGATGGGCAGGCGTTCGACTCAACCGCCACATACCACGATCTGATGGAGCGATACCTTCTCGTAAAAACCCCAGACCCTTCGTCTCGTGGGCACCCTCAAGCCGACTTTGGGCATCTCTGTGCCGGATATGACGCAGGATATTACTCGTATCTTTGGTAAGGGGTCCCGAATATCTATCAAACAGAGGTCAATTCTGACTTAACCTGTGAACAGTGCAGGAGTCTTTGCAGCGGACATGTTCCAAACCAATTTCGCAACCGCTCCGCGTGATCGTTTGGCTTGGGATCGATATCGTCGCGAGATTCTTGAGCCCGGTTCGAGTCGCGACGAATTGGAAATGCTGGAGAGCTTTTTGGGCCATCGTCCCAACCCTCAACGACTACTTGGAGGATTGAGATCAACACCTTGATTGGCAACATCTGTTTAGATAGAATTATGCGAAGAATCTAGGGGCGAAGGGCGTTTCCACTCCTCACATGTGCCAAAACCTGTCGCAATTGGTGTGATGCATGATTTTTTCCAACAGCAAGGCTGTGTTTAAAGAGAACATCAGATGTTGGCTCATCTCGGTGGACATCTGCACTCAGCCAAAAGTGACCGTGCATCTCTACAACAGATTTAACTCAATGGACGATTGTGGTAGGGAGCGAAAGTAGCAGACCTTAGCACATGGGTAGATGGGTAGACTTTGGATGGCAACAAGATGTCAATAATTGCGATAATAACGCGTTGGCAACGCTGCTGGCATCAAGCGTACGGCTCCAATCAAGCTTCTCAGAAAGATTCCAACTCAGCCTCCCAGCGTTCATATCTCTCTTCATCCTCGTTCTGACGATTGGCTATCCTGCCGCAGCATGGTTCTATATGGCTTGAACACACCCGTCTGGTATGCCGCGCTACACAGCTTCATCATAATGAGGTCATCGCAGGAGCGACAAGCTCTATGTATAGCCAACACCGTGGCACTTTGGCTGGTGCCTTTGTTCTTGATGCAGCCTCACGCGCGCCGGAACTTCAGAATTTTTCCACTTCCAAGAATCTTCCTGGCCGTTGTCGACTTTTGACAATGGGCCACTGTTATCTGGACGTTCTTCTCCGGTTCGAAAGGCACATGCAGATGGAGAAGGCAGGATCACCCCGCACACTATACAGCAGGCGCAAGGCTTGTACACAGCCCCGATCGCAAGCGCTTACTCACATGATATAGCGCAGCCTTGTTCCTCAGCCCAGGTACAAGAGCTAGCCCAATCATGCTAAGATGGTCAGTACAGCGTGGCATCCATCAAAGCCACTGCCCGACTCGGGCAGCTTTGACCCAACAGCTCAGACAGCGGCGATTCGATGATTGGGCTATTCAATCACGAGGAGAGCGACCTACAAACAAATGGATACGCATTTTCGTCTGGTTGCCGTCGCTTGTCTAGATCGGAAGAGGTTTCGGCAGTCCGGGAAACAGACTTACAGCATTATCTCTCGGTTAATACCTTGTATGGTGCTTCACCAGATCTATTTTTTGTGCTGCAAGAGTCGCTAGCTGCATTGGCTTCGGGATATGCGTGGTGGGAGTGCTGTATATCCAACATGACGTGGCGCCTCTCTGCTTTTTAAGATAGTTCTAACCCCAGCATCGCTGTCGATACGCAATCTCGTCGTGCGAACGCGAGACGCAAATGCGAACAGTCTACGAACGAGACGATCAAGTTTGAATCAACTATGCCCGGCCGCCGGTGCTCAGATATCTCGACAGACCTGTCGACCCTTCAAGGCTCTGTATTTGACACCATACACCTGGACACCGACCACATTCCGGAACATCATACAGATGATGCGAGATTGTCCGCAACGACAGTGGTGAACCGGGAAGAGCATGCGAATGATACTGCGCCCTTCCTGTCCGAGACCGATGACCCCTCAAGCAAGGATGGCGACGACACTTCACGAAGCACATCATTGGCTGTATCGGAAAAAGTCTGCAATTGGCTTCCAACCACGCTGAGAATACCATTCCTAGTCTTGCTGTTTATATATTCGCTAGCTGCTGTGCGAACGAAACCGACGGGGTCGTCGGAGACGCTGCCGTCGGTCACTGGTCAAATTACGATCAGGCGAGGAGGATGTACGAAATGCACATGTCTGCCAGGTGGATTGTTGGTCGTCCGCTCAATGGGACATTCCAACCTACAAATCTAGACTATCCCTTATGGATCTGGCCAGAAGAGCCACGACTGCTCGCAACCAACTGTACGCCCCTCATTGAACAGGCTGAAGCCGAGATCACAGCTGATGTAGAGACTGGCAGTGTTCTGACATATGTCATCAAGACCGAGCCCAAGAACTTGACTATGGCTTGGTTGGACAACTATCTCGAGCACAATTCTTCGGCCGACTTCACAGGTGAGACATACCACTATACTATCTCGGAGGAAAATGTGACAGTCAGGTACGTAATATTTTGCACATCCTCTACTTCTTCTTGTCTGACTCTATCAGCTGGGGCAACTTCTTCTGGGACACTTTGTTGAACTCTGGGCGCTCCTTCGATATTCTGTCCAATCCTCAAGGTATGAGTGAGCCTGATGCTTCTCGATATCGCTCTTTCAACTTCCAGGTCCGTGGTCTAAACCTTGACTTTATGTCATTCGCCATGCTGGCGCTCGCAAACAACAGCAAAGAGGCTTTGTTGGATCCACAGACATTCATGGACTTGGCCAACACAACATTCGGGACGTTCTTCAAGCACTATGCGTCCGAGAATGTCACAAGGCTATCTGGAGGTCACACATACGAACCTGTTGGCGAGAAGCTGCCTTGGGCCATAGGGCCAGTCTTGAATGAAACCAACAGGACGACGCATTCAACCTATCAAGGAGCATTCGCGACAGAGAATCAGACCGCACCTATCTCGCCAACGATTGTAGCCACCTATTCTATACCAGTCCAGCAATTGGTCATGTCTCCTATCGCCGTCTACCTTTGTCTTTCTATCCTCGCACTCCTTGTGCTTACCACTATCATCATGTACTCGTCAAACCGGAGTCATTTCAAGGCGCTCCCACGAGATGTTGATACATTGGCTAGCACACTTGCCTTTGTTCACGGTAGCGACAGATTGCTTGACTGGGCTCAAGATAGTGCGGTGACAAAGCCATGGTATAGGTTGCGTTCTCGTCAGGACGTTCAGGCACGAGAACAGTCAAAGCGGTTGATGGCGCAGATGGGACCGTTCAAAGATCAAGATGGCAATGAGGCATGGGGCATCGAGCTGGTCAAACCCAAGGGGATGGTACAACATCATGATCGCCAAGAGACCGAATCACAAGTATAGATTGTACAAGGTGCCCTTTAAAGATGCGCTTGAATATGACATGATTTTTTCAATGCTGTGGTACTTCCCATTTGCTCGGTCTTCTCACATTAACAGCCGTAGCAATGCACGATTCATTCCTAAGGAGGACTAATTCTGGAAGAGACTGTCCGAAATTCTTACCTCTGTGAATGGCTGCACCAATCCCAAAGACATCTTGTACTTCTGCAACTTGAAAGTTCTCAAATGTGCGGCTCAAGAAGGATCAAGCTTCTGAGAAGGATGGAAACGCAGCTCGATTTATGCGCACGGTCCTTCCGTAGCTCGCACCTCCTATCAACTTGATATTTAAGCCCACCGTAAATCCGCCTAGATCATCTCGGATTAATTCAATAAGCTGATAGTGCTCGCGCGATCTTTCTGTTGTGTGGCGTGACGGTATCACATCGTCGCGTGCGGCTTGAACAGAAGGTGCTACGACCATTTTTGGTTGTGTACCTGCCTAAACAAGCGGCGGCTGTTGATATCGCTCAACTTATTGCCCAGGTAGATAAACCCATGGTTTTCGGTCGGACTAGGCAGTCACCACCCAACATTTAAAGTCATGCAACACCTGCCATCCCCGCCCTCACCACTTTACTCATCACTCCGGAGATGAATCACGAAAAGTATGAAGAACGCCTTGCCTTCGTCCGCTCTCTTCTACAACAAGAATTTGTGCTTGAGGTGAATCCATAGCAAGTCTCATGCTATGATGATATAGCTGATGCGCTCAGATTTCGAATATCGAGCCGATAGCATATGATGCAGACTGTCCGTTCGCTTACAACAACTTCTTGTATCGAGTGGATGTCAAAAATCACGGGAAACACTACCGAGACCAACAGCCATGCTCTAGTACAATCCCAGCCGATGCTTCTCAACTCGTCCTTCGTCTCTCGAACAATGCTTCCGGTATCCCTCCGGTCAATCGCGTCGAAAATGAGGTTGGAATGATGAATCTCTTCCGTGAAGCTTTGCGCGATTCTCACTCTGCTCATCTCATACCTGAGGTGTATGGCTGGGGTAGTGCTGAATACGGCCAAGGATGGATCTTGCAGGAGTTTAAAGTTGGAGTACCTCTCGATGAGTTTTATCAGACTCTACCTGGCGAAAATAAACCCGCCATACTCGAGCAGATGGCAGAAGTTCTCCTTGCCATGCAGAAGTACAAGCTTCCGGAATCAATCAAGCTTCTTGGAGGTGTGTCGTTCTCGGACGACGGGCATCTTGTTAGTGGACCGTTGACAACGCTCTCTGCTGGACCTTTCAGAACATATACCGAGCTGTATCAAGCTATGCTACAACAGCAGGTGGCTTCATCCGACAAAAGCCCGGTTCTGCAAGGCTGGCAAGAGGATGGCATACGTGCACGTCTCGAAAAGTTCTCTCTGCAAGGGATTGCACAGATCACTGAGGAGTACGCTCAGTCACCCAGGGCCATCGTGCACAGCGACTTCAGTAAGTCCATTCACGTCCGATTCAGTTCATCTTTACTGACTTTTTGCACTTAGCTATGAACAATGTATTGGTAGACCCTACCACTAAACGAATTTCCGCACTTCTGGACTTCGATTGGTCGTTCGTTGGTAGCCCAGGTGACGAGTTCCTCAGATCGTTCTTTGATCTTGGTGGCATACCTGGTCCAGACAGTACGGGCGAGGAACTGACAATTCGTCAAGCAATTTTGCATGGGTTTGAATCTGAACACATCTTCGATGAACCACTCGATCAACTTCAAGCCTGGTATCAAGCACTTAGAAAGCATCATGCTGTAGTGCCCTCAAAAGTATCTGGCATGGAGCAGATATCCGAGCTTCATCATTTCATCAACCAGACCGCACCATGGCTTCTGACCCATGAAGTGCCTCTCAGAAGAAGATCTAAAGAGCAGTTGGAAAGTGTCAAAGCGAACACAAAGAAGACATTACTCGCATTCCTGGAAAAACACGGTTTCTAAATATTGATCAGATTTTAGCAGATCCAACCCAAACACTTCTCTGATTCCATCGACTTCTATCATCTCTTACTTAATCCAACCCCCACCCATCGCGGTTTGTGCCACCTTTCCCCAAATTCCCTTTCCCTCGGAATGTTTCTTATGCCACTCCATCTCCGCCTTTAACGCCGGGTTCACACCTTTTGCTCTGAGTTCGGCTTTCGTTTCTTCGTCGTAGAAGTTTTCCCAGTCGATTGGTTTATTGGTTTTTGGGTCGATTGGTGTAGATATAGAGGTGTTTGGGGTGACGCCCCATTTCAGTGCTGCTGATTGGTCTGGCGTGTCGTTGGTTTGGTTTTGTTGGGACATTGTGATGTTTTGGTTGTTGATGTGGCTATGTGTTCAGTTGGTCTTGATAACTAGGTATTGGAGTTCCCCGTGGGGGTGATCTTTCATATCTATAGAAGGTGTTTATCATAGTTTATATGACGTCAGTGTTATTCCCGAAGGATTGACTGTTCCTTCCTTCTCGACGATCATTCTTTTCTTGTCATCTCTCCATGCGCTGAATTCTGTCACATCAACTCTCTTGCCGCAGATCCATCTTGAGAGAATTGTCCGACTGCACGATCATTCTGAGTAGGACTGCTTCAACCATAGAGAGCGACTCTCCGAAGCTCTCTATTTGGACCTAGTATCGATTCCAAAAATCATTGTGCATTTCTGCAGCTTTACCCATGACGAGGTTTAGCGTTCGCGGAGGCAGGCACGCATGTCTCTTCGGCATTTCTATCCGAATGTTCTTGTTCCTTTTAAATCTTGCTGCGGTTGAAGTTGTGGCGGTGTTAAGTAGTTCGAATCTTGAGAGCAACATCAAAACGGAAACCATTCCGCTATATAACGAAGCTTGGAATGGGGGATATAGAGAACGTGGGATGCTGAATAGAAATCCAGATTGTATCTCGCCATGATTGGAGCGACGTGCGTTGAATGGTATGAGGGCACCAAGACAGTGGAGGAGAATGGTTCTATTTGGAAAGGAAGGGGAGGCAGATGGGTATGTTGGTGAAGGCTTGGACGGCGGTATGTGTGGTTAATACGTGGGTTGCGAAGGACGGATTGGAGAGTATTGCTGGGTTGTGTGTGGGTGGGTTGATCAACGTTGTTGTTGAATTGGGATTGTTGACTTGTTGAGAGGCAGTGCTCGAAAGGTATTCTTACTGTGCGTTGTGAGAAGGGAAATTTGCTAGGTACATCGATACTAGCATAATGTGTAGAGACACCTGCAGTGTAATTATTACGCTTGATACCATGTCTTAATATGTGAAAGGCACACCCTCCGCTGGTACCGGACAAACGATACCTGGTCTCCCATACCTCTCCACAAAATCCCAGAATGATTGTTTGAAAAAATCGGCCACCCAACTCATCTCCACCGGGAATAGTTCTATTATCTTTGGGGGCTCGGGTCCAACGTTCTGCAATGTAGGATACCTCACGTGTGTGATACCACCAGGCCAGTTCTGGATTTGTAATCCATATGGTTGCTCGCAGCGATCGCTGGTTGGAGCAATCGCTCCTCCATAGATTAGAGTTTCCCATTGCCAACCTAATTCGCTGAAGCGAGTGTCACGAAAGAAGGGTTCAATTGATGTTGTGCCGTGGCGGGCTAACCAGAGGGCGTGCATCAATTCGTGTACCATTGTTGTCGCCAGGGACCACTGAAGACGGAGACGAGCAGAAGGGTTGTCTGTGCCTGGAGACCAAGGCTTTGAGAAGTCTGAGGCGTTGATCCTACCGCAGAGGATGGAGAGAACGTTCTCGTTGATGACGATCTTGGAGCCAACTCCGCTGGTTTCTTGTGTCAGTTCCACGGCACAAGGGAAAACATGATGGAAGTAGGTCAGTCCGAGGCTTACTGTTTACTCAATCCAGAGACCGATCGGTCTACTTTCGTGGTGCCGGAGACCCCGCGGTGGCGCTCTTCTGTAATCTCCAGAGCCGACCATTTGATACAATTTTTCAAATCCCAGAGATCCTCCCATAACAACCACAATTCTTGTTTGGACGGCCTCTCCTTACATTGGAACCAGTGGACTGCATGCCCGTCGAAGCGCGTCTTGATCTCAGTATGCGAACTACGGTCCAGCATACCCATTATGTAGCCCGACATGACTTTCTCTTCCAGCAGAAGGGTGGCAAGTTGCCAAACTGGTTTCAATTCCTCCCAATAGGGACTTGATGATGAAGCAAGTTCCTGGGTTTCCCAGCGGTCGCGGAAGAAAATTGGATGTATGTATGAGTCCTCTTCTACAGCGACGTCCTGTTCACCATCTGCATCTATGGTATTAGTCTTTTTATACGTGCGATAAGCCACTGCGGGAGTCGTGTGTTTTCCATAGCCAAACCCTGGGTCAGGTTTTGAGACAGAGTCTAGATTGATGTACCCATCTTTGTTCAGCCGCTCAAGGCCAAGCACCTGAATCAAAGGATCCGTAGTAAGAAGATAAGGAACAGGGGAAATTTTGCGCAGGGAAGGTCGATCGGGAGAAGAAAGCGTGAGTGCATTTATCATGGCAAGTGCCTCTGAGCCGGTTGGGGAGGGCGTTTTCCCGATGTCTGTCCATTCGGTCGGTGATGGAGTCCTTGGCTTCTTGTCGTTTTTGCTGCGGTAAGATTCCGGATCGTTCGCCCTTCTGCGCTTGTTACTGTTCGAAGACATGTTCTGCAGTCTTTCGAATCAAAATTGGTATTTTGGCGAAGGTTAAGGTGTACATGTAGACTTGTGATGAGATTCGAGTCTACATTGTTAGTCTTTGTTCATCTTCATCAAAGAACTACTTCGAAAGCGCCGAAAGCAGCGCGCCTTGATATCTGTCTATGTGCGGTGCACATGGAGCACAAAGAGAGATGATAAGAAGGTTGAAGAATCAGCAGAGCAGCTGTGGACATTTACCATGGCGCAGCCTGTACTTTCAAGACATGAGCTGCTCGAGTACAAACTACTGGCTGGTCCGGTGACATATCAATCATTGTCGATGTTGACACGTAGAATATTGACGTGCTTGTGCCAAGTTGTAGGGGCCTTTGTCCAAAGAGAATAAGTGCTCGATGCGACGAGTGAATGTTCACGAAGACAGAATGTGGTCTGTGAAGAGAAGGTATGACTGATACTCGAGTACTGTAGGGAGCTCGGAGGATCATCGGTATCCCGGGCCGACGCGCAAGCAGCGCGAACGTGTCCCTCGTCCGGAGAGCTTGAGCTTCAAGGAGATTCGAGAAAGCGACAGCCTAGACTTGGACAAAACATCGCAATGGCAAACCGAGGATACGACGTCGTAGTTGATGTAGATGCAGAGGTTGGTGACTGTATGCGATTGTCTTTCTCATTCTTAGATGCTGACCCTTCAACAATAGGGAGATCTAGGTCATACCGACCTTCAGGAGGACCTCGAGTTTCACTCATCCAGTGAGTCTAGCATTCTGTCGCAGTAGCAAACTCCCTCTCTGACATGCTGTACAGACTTCGACACACAAACATCGACGCGCGGCAAGCTCCCAGCAGGCAACAACTCGTTCCTCCCGACCAACAACGGCAACCCCTCGGTCACCAACAGCAAACACTACCTCTGGAGCATCTCATTCTACGCTCAATTCTTCGATGTCGACACTTCCGAAGTCGCTCGCCGCTGCCGTGCTGCCATCTTTCCTCTTTCGAACTTCCTCGACGTCCTAGATGGAAACCCTGATCTCTACGGCCCCTTTTGGATCGCTACCACCGTCGTCGTCATCCTCTTCCTTACAGGCACAATCTCGCAATATTTGGCAAAGGAGGGAAAGAAACACTTCATCTACGATTTCTCCCTTCTCTCAGGAGCTGCCGGTCTGATCTACGGATACACCTTCCTCATTCCCGTTGCACTCTGGGGTGCTCTCAAGTGGTTCAGAGCAGAGTCTGCCAACTTGCTGGAGTGTGTGTGTCTATACGGCTATGCGAACTTGATCTGGATTCCTGTCGCTCTGATCTCTTGGTCACCCGTCTCGATTCTGAATTGGGTCTTTGTCGCCGTCGGACTTGCTGCCTCGGGCGTCTTTTTGGTCAGAAACCTGTATCCTGTGCTCAGTGCTACCGATGTCAAGACGAGCAAGGTCCTTTTGGTCGTCGTCGTGGCTTTGCACTTTGGCCTCGCTTTGGCCATTAAGATTCTATTCTTTGCGTAAGTTATCACACGTCTTTGCTTTCCAAGTACACCTTACTGATTCGTGTTGCAGACATGGTAGTCCCGCCAAGAAGGACAAAGATCACAAGGATGATGATGATAAGATGATGCGTATGCTCTTTGGCATGTAAAGTATTCTCTGCGTCCTTGAATTCTCGAGCTGTATGTTATAGCCGAGCTTCCGTTGCATCTCCTTACCAAGCCGGCCATTTCAAGCCTTTTCTTCCTCGCGTTGCAAAATACCAACTTTCCAAAACTTATGTTCTTCTCTGTCATGGTCCCTTTTGTTCCCAGATCTTTCTTGCGCACTCTCGATCCATGGTAGAATGCCGTTCTGTGTACAAGCACCACCATAATTTACGGCCGAATCACGAAGCAGATATATAAGTGGGTCGTTCGATGTCAGGCAGCACATGAAAAGGCATGATGTCAATTATCAATCTTTCACCCAAGCACAGCCCCGGATATCGTGCCGACTCCGCCGTAATGCCGTCTTGGGCATAAACCATCAACCACATACTCGTTTCTATAATCAATTCACATCCAGAAGTACTATAAAATCACACCGTCTCCATCACCTTTCAACCGCCTTGCATATCATCTCAATATTCAATCATGAGCAACTCATCAACATCCCCCGAGAAGCAATCCCTCATCCCACAACTCAACCCACCCATCCCGACAGCATCACCCTCTGAAGTTCGCGCCTTCATCACCGAACTCCTAATCCTCACCCGCAACCTTCCAGCCCAACATGCCAAAGACATCGCAGACAAATGGCACCTAGGCACCGGCAGAGAATTGACAACATACCCACCCAGTGTATACGCCGACATCTTCGGCTCCGAAGACGCATGGATGGTATACAAAGAATCCCAACTCTTCATCCGCAGAAACAAGCAGGAAAAAAATAGACGGCGAGATGAGTTGCGAAAATGTACGTCAAGCCATTTCTCTCAAGAAGATATCTCTCCTTTCATCCAGCCTCTTCTCCTCCACTAAAACGCGTCATTCTCTAATACGTTATACAAAACACAGGGGCCATAATTCTGGGTATCATCATCATCAATATCATAGGAATCGTGTTATTTCTCAGGCTACTATTGTTGCATGTACAAGCAGAAGCTTACGCCCTTGCGTGGATCTTGACAGTCGGTGTATTAGGATTGGTTTTTGGTGGGATAAATTTGCTCGGCAGGGTTGGTTTGGAGGTGGAGGTGGAGAGGGAATTGTATAGTGGTATGAGTGTGGGATGTAAGAAGTGCACTTAGATTCAGATTATTTTTCTGGATGTTTTGGGATGGGATTTATGCTTCTTTGTGTTGGTGTTGTCTCGATTGTTCAAGAGGTGGTGTTGTTCACAATGAGACCTTGAAGAGACCGATTGCATGATGTTCAATCCTTTTCTGATAAACACCAGGCACCGAAACCAAAGATGCTTCGGCCAACTTGACACTTCGGGAACGCGACGGGGTTGAACCCAAGGTGATTGTCGTGAGTGAAAAATGTCTAATAATGCTATTGTTTTTCTAATCGCCCCAAAATGCGTGTATCTAGTAGGTATCCTTGCACTTTGCTTCTCCCTGATCCCAGAAAACAAACTCCAAAGCTTCAAAATCAAATGTGGTATCAAAAGAATCGCCCCTTCTCTACTTCTTCATAAATCCTAGCTTCTTGTCTCTGGCCTCTACATCTCTCATCTCCTCATCCATGACCGAGTTGAAATGGTCCGCTCCATCAAGATAGACATGATGGCCAGCCTTGCGAATAATCACGACCTTAGCATCACCATTCTCCCTTGCCTTCTCCTCGTCTGTAGCAGTGGCAAGAGCTTTTTGCTTCTCGGCTTCAATCTTTTCAGCTGCAGCGCGTCCGCCGTCCTTGTCCATCCAGTCATTTTCGCCGTACATTAGGACGACTGGAATGCCTGTTTCGCGGACCCTAGACAGACCAGTGGGTGCGGAAGACGTATCATCAGGTGTAGGTGCTGAATGAGATTCTGAAATCCATTGACGGCCTACACCTTGGATACGGCGAATCAGGGGGCTACGGGCGAAGGCACCCGGGGCGAGGATGTATGCGAGAGCGTATTCGCCCGATCCACGTTGGCGGAAGAGCGAGTAACTGTAGTCATGAAGAGCTTGTGATTCATCGGCAGGGAGATGGCTGAAGCGGCGACTTGTCCAGCCTGAGACTAGACGAGGGCCTAGAGGGCCAGACCAGCGGACAAAGGAGAAGGGTGAGATGTTTGCGTCCCAGAGAGTGGTGAGCCATTTCGGTAAGGGCTTCTTAGGAGGCTTGCCGCTGTTGTTGGCAGCATCTCGCTTTGCCTTCGCGTTTAGGAAGTTATTGTTGTCGCCGGTCTTTGCCGAAGCTGAAATGTCTGGATTTGTGCCATTGGCTGAGTTTCCTTGGTCTTGAGTGAACTCGTTGACCATGGTCGAATCTTCCGGCTCGGGCATGTCTGCGTTGACAGCGTAAGGGTCCTCAGGAATACCGACAGGCGATGCGAGAATCAGCTTGTTGAGGTGACCAGGGTATTTCAGGGCGTATGCGACAGCCATGTAACCACCCATGCTGTGACCGAGCAGAGTGAAACGATCAATACCCTTCTTGATGCGCCATTCTTCCAGAGCGTCGATGAACCAACTCTCAGCCTCTTCGATCTTGCCCTGACGGTCTTTTGCGTGAATCTTGAACGGCGGGCGTGACGAGCGACCCATACCAAGCATATCCAGAGCATAGAGTTTCCAGCCAGGCAATCTTGACAGACTTTCGAAGTTGCGGTAGAAGAAACCAAGACCAGCACCGTAACCATGGATCATGACAAGGTTGTTGTCGACATGTTCACCGATTCTCTCAACCGAGAATTCGTTCAAGAAGCGACTCTTTCCAGCCAATTCCACCAAGTCCGAGTTCCATTTGCGAGGTCCGTAAGGATCGTTGATGGAGGATGTGGTGACAGGCTCAGCCTTGCGGTCTTCGGACTTGGTGATGTCCTGAGTTGAGGCGTTCGTCGAAGCGGGAGCAGAGCCAGTCTGGGTGTGGGTCGGAGGCTTCTGGAGATGAGGGATGAAGGAGAGCACGCGGTGTTCGGTGACAGCAGGAGAGAGACCAGCCCACTTGGACAAGTTAGCAGGAAGCAGGACAAAAAGAGACAATGGGCATACACACCCATTGAGAGAAGCCCTCCTTGTAGCCTAGAGGGAAGTAGCCAGCCTTTCCCTGAGTCCTAGTGGCTTCGGAGGGCGTGTCTTTGCGTTGAGAGGCCAGCATGGGTCGCTGACCACCAGATTCCGTGTCTGAGGAAGCCATGTTCGGATTTCGTTTCGTCGTCGGGTGGCGGTTGATGCAGAGGGCGTTGTTGAATGTATCGCTGACTTGAATCCACGCCTGTTTTCCAAGGCTGATGGTGGCGCGGCTGGCGCGCGAATATTGTAATGGGCTAATCTTGGATGGAACTGAAGACAAAAGCAGAAAGAGAAAAGGAAAGAGCGCGGCGGGAAACGACTTTATTGTGGCAGTTCTATTAAGGTCAAATGACGATGTAGGCAACAAGGACGGACTTTAGGTCATTCCGCTGTCCGCTCCGCCCAAGGGTCGGCCGTTGAGCCCGTCATTCGGCCTGCATGAGCTGACGCCGCATCATTTCTTAATCAATTGCACGTCAACCTGTATAACACAATAACACACTACACGGAATCATGAGCTGAAAAAGCCCGTCCACTCATGTCGACGTCCACCCTGGATAGAATCGTCAAGGGCGCCCCGCCGCCCGACGTGTCTCTCGACCAAGTCGCCCAGTCCGCCCGCCGTTCCAGCACCACCACCCTGTCGCACCAACATGGCCACTCGCGCAGTGACTCAATCACCGCCCCTCACCCTCCCTCGTCAAATCAATCCGACCCTCTTAACAACCTACCCTCGTCGCCTGAGCAGATCAAGCTCAATCTCCTCATCCTCGAGTCTTCTCTTCGCGCCCAGTACCTATGCCTAAGAGCCCGCTTACGCCTTTACCTTGTTTTGATGACCGCTCTTGCCCTTTGGATCTCAACTTTTACATATCTCCTTTTCTTACGTCCGCGCGAAGATGGCAAAGGTACCGGTGGCTCTCCTTACTGGGTCGTCGACATTGCAGAACGACTAGGCTGGGTCGGAGGTCTTGTCACTGCTGGTCTCGTCTGGGGCACTGGCATGTGGGATCGCGGTATCCGCTGGCCGAGGAAATGGGTCAACATCACGAACAGAGGCTTGCGAGGCTTCAATCTCAAACTCGTCGTCATTCGCGGTCCTTGGTGGAAGGAAACTCTTGGCTATCTATATTTTCTGGATCCATGGGGCTGGTGGGGTGATGTCAAGGGCATGCGCTTTGAATTTATGCCCAAAGATATCGAGAAATCCGCTTTGGAAAACAAGGACAAGGTTGGCTTGTGGGAGACTGGGGGTCGCTATGGTTGGATCGAGGAAGATGTCGCTCCCGGCGGAGACGTCATCAAGCTCTTATTACTACCGAAACCCTTCTCGCCTGACTTCCGCGAAGATTGGGACACCTATCGTCATAATTACTGGGAAAAGGAAAACGAACGTCGTTCGCAGTTGCGAGGCATCATCAAGACAAGAAAGAGACAATTGGCAAAACAGGAAGGTGGCTGGTTATGGTGGACTGGTTGGAGAGGCTGGACTCGTCTACGACACCCTACAAGACCCAATCACGATCAGTTCAACAGGCTGCAACGCGAAGCTCGCGAGAAGCAGAGTCTTTCTCACATGAGAGAGAAGAAGGCCAGGCCGAACAGCATCTTCAGAGATAACAGCCATTCGCGTTCGAGCTCGAGAAGTTCCACTCCCGATTCTGCTGCCTATCGTCCAGAAGGGAAGCTGAGGAGGATGAGCAGTACTCAGAATCTCAGAAAGGATCGCCCTAAGCCGGTTACTGGTAGGCGCTCAAGCCGTCTGGCCTCTTCCTCTGACTCGAGACCTGGTACTCCCAGTTCAGTAGGCACTGCCTCTGAACACGAGACCTCGCCAACGTCTCTGCATAACCGTGCCAGCAACCTGAGCATCAGCTCGACTTCGACGTGGACTAGTGATGTCCTTAAGGAGGATACACCACCCACTGATGTTGACACGGCTGACAAGGATCAGGTCACGCCCAAGGGTTAGCCTTCTTGACCGTTGTATGTGATAACGATTGTTCTTTTCCACTCATAATGACCTGCTCGTCCTATCTTTCTGGTGATCGTGAAGCTGTCTACACGGCTGATAGCAACATTCCTAGTCTGAGACATCGGGATCAGATTTGAGATTCATCATGTGTTCGCTTTGTACTACCACGAAACAGCACTTAGGCGCATAGCAACTCTTGCGCTATATCCTGCTGCTGAAGATGTTCGGCATTGTCATCAGCTGTTGCCTCTGGAATGACTGCTACTTGAAACGGCAATCTTGGGAGGGAGATGCTGACCTTCACTTGCAACACGATTCTCACTATCAGAAGGTGTCATTACCACATGCGGCCGCCATCATCCACAACAATCACATATGGTCTGACGGTTCATCACCGCCATCATAACGCAGCTAACCCAATTCGGCAGTCATCCATCAATCATACGACAACAACAACAACAGCTGAGGTTCAATCCTCTGCATCAGCTAATCACTTTCACACCAGCAAATTCATCAACAATTATCGGTCTCTTGATAGACGCGCCCCTGTGGAAAGGTGGTCTGGTCACTATCAGAGGCTGGAGGAAGGCAGAAGGTGGAAAGGAGGGAGGAGATGTATGAAATTGGTAAGTCGCAAACTCCAACACCGTCAGATCGTGATTCTTTTTTGCTTAGGCGCTTCCTTGCTGGTTTTTTTTTTGGTGAGTGACAATCCCGTCCGCCGAAAATCGCCATGCTCCAGCTCGACCTTCGTGATGTCCAACACACCTTCAGTCTTCCAACGCGATCTTCGTTCTCGAGAATGTTCTCCATTGTCTCCGTGGTCAGTCAACATCGCGTTCTTTGTCTCGCGCTCTGAGACAAGACAACACATTGTCAAAATCATTCGTTTCCACCTCCACACAAAGAAACATCAAAGAAGGAAAGAACAATGACTTGTTCACGAACTTTCACCAACAGAAGCACCTCGACCTTCGTAGAAACATATATAACCACCCACATTCTAATTTCAAGCTCCACATCTCCATCCAGAAACACCCCGACACGCAGAGACACCCACTAACTCACAGCAAAGCACCCCTTGTCTGGCAGGATCCAGAAATCTCAACGATACAAAGTAAGTTTCCGATCCCAAGCCCCAAGACTAACAACCCATCAGGTCTTCTCAAAATGCCTTCGAACACTGCCGGTGAGTATCAGCCTGCCAGCTGGAGCGAACTTTTCTGTCAATGCTTCCCTCTTCGCACCAAGAAGCCTTCGCCCGCTGATCAAGACATTGAGATGCAGAACATGAGCAACCCTGTCGTCCCTGACCATGTTGTTCGCGCCAATAACCCCGACAACATTCGCAGACCTGCCCGTCCTTCACCTCAATCTTGGTGGTTGAGAGACGACACACCTCCTGTTGCACCTCCCCCTACTGCTGGCCCTAGTGGCCCTCGTCAGCCTTACACTCCTCCTCAACCTCATCGTCGTGATCTTCGCATTGCAGCTAACAGCCCCGATATGTTTGTTCACGACTCCACTTCCTCGCCACAGTTCCCCTCGCTCGGAACACCTCAATGGGATCATCTGAATAGAGTTCAATGGACTGCAAACTCCTCCAACTACTCTTCTCAAAACAGCGGTCGTATGCCCACCCCTTCCTCAATCTACAGCGAGCACACTTCCATGGCCCCTCTCCCCGCCACCTCGACTATCTTCTCTGAATCTCGACACATGATGTCGGGTGCCCTGCCTACCAGATCCTCCCCATCCTCCACCTACTCTTCTGCCGGCGCCGTCGCTGCTTCCTCCGCTCGCCCTCTCCCTTCTGCATTTGCCCACTCTGAATCGCTGCAAGTCCCTCCATCGACCCCTAGAAGGGATTTCTATGCCGGTGTACTCGCCGCTCAAGAGGCCATCGACTACAGACGTTCTCTGCAAAGATCAGGCTTGCAGCCCCCCTCCCCCACCGATGTCTTCCTCGTCAGCCCCCCTACTCCTCAAGTGACACCTAGAAGCGTTCAACATGCCGGTGTGTTGGCTGCTCAGGAGGCCATTGACAACAGACGTGCTTTGCAAAGGGAAAGCTCGCAACCTCTTTCACCCATTGATGATGAAGCACCACCCAGCAGCCCTACTGGTTCTGTGGCTTCTATTGACTTTTTCACTGGTGCTGCGAGGAATGCTGATTTTGGTGTTAGACCTGCTAGACCTGCTAGAGTTGCTGGGGCTGGCCCTTATGTTGCTTGAATACCCTGCTGCTTTTTTTTTTTTTTTGAGTTGCTTTGCAAAATATGATGGCTTACTCACTGGTTTACTCTGTTCTGATCTGTATCTGCCCTTTTTCTGACCTCATTCCAGCGGTGTCTTTCGCTCTGGGTGTTTTCATCTACTGTTCCATATAATGACAACATATCAAACTCTTTTTTTTTTGCCTCAACCAAATATCATTTTATCTTCCGATGTACCCTTGCCTGCTGTTGTACTAAAGTATTATTGTATCGTATCCCTGACAATTTTTAAGTCACGACGCGTACATGAAACCTGTACAGCTCTTTTTTCCACATGAACCTCTTTATCTCCATGTATTTGTGACTTGTCAACGGTTTACGTAGGTATAGAAATAAATGGCTATTTTCCACGATAAATTATATTGAGTAACCCAATTTTCTTTGGATGACTGATTGTGCCGAATGCTTTGTGGATATCTTGCATTCCAGTAAAACTATCTCCATCAACCAAGAAAAGGTAGCTCTTACGTCTGTGATGTTCCAGTCTGAGGGAGGTTAGATGTGTCGCCGAAGTTCTCGTACTCGGTTCTTGTTGATTTATCTGTGGCTACGAAGGCGGCGCTGGCTTCTTCATGAGCTGTTTGGGCTTGAGTGCATGGCTGTTCCATGGTTATCGTGTTAGCAGGATTTTGGCTTGATCTGATGTTTCTGGCGGAGAGTTTGGGAGGCAGATGTAGAGGCACAGAATTGCACCGCAACTGAGCTCTCAGCCTAGCGAGGCGCCTTGCAAACTACTGTCAGAAAGCATAATATGTTTGGTTCGGTTGAAACTTTCCAAAGAAACCAAGGAGGAGCGCGGCTCTCAATGGCCGTGTACCTGATGACGAAAAACATACTGCCTTTCCACAGTTAGGTCAGAAGCCTTACATGGATGGAGGGAGAGGGATTTGGTGCCAGATCAATCTCTCTCTGTGGCTACATCTACGTTACATCTCTCGCTTCGAAAATGACAATTACAGAAATCCTAATATTCCACATAACTTCCAACCTCAAGTTTCGAGGCATCGAATCCAGACTCGAGTGACGCCGTTTCGGTTCCAAGCCTGACTGTATATGTTTTCTGGATCATCTGGTTTTGATCTCCTGGCAGATTTACTGTTATCTTCACCAGACAGTCGGTAGTGTCATAAGCAACTTCGTTGTGAGCGTCTGTCGTGGTAATGTCTCTCCAGAACTCACAAGGCTTCAGGCATCTTGGGTCAGTCCTTTCATCAACCAGCATCCTTGTCCACACAATCATCCTCTATGTAGCCATTTCTAGTGTTTTCCTAGTCTCGCTCTCGTTCGGTTTGACTTGCGCCCTATATCCTGAAGTGTTCTACTTGATTGAACACCATCTAAGCTGTAAAGATGCAGAGTATATTCAGGTACGTTGTGGTTGTCCATAAGAATGGGACGCTCGCTTCGCCTTCAACTGACATGACTCTGACACAAGCTGCCGGGTGCTTGTGTCGCTGAATCCTCTTGGGTATTCGCATCGCTACCTAGACTCGAAAAGGTGCCAAAAAAGACCAGCTCGTATAGAACACCTTAAGCACTTTCCAACCATCTCGTCTATGGTTAAAGCTAACGTAGGGATCCTTTGAACCGATCTTTGAGCCTTCGAAGGATTTACCACCACGTGCCCCGGACCGAGATACAGTGATACCTTCCACGAGTCACAGAGCCTCCATTCAGTTGTCCAAACGATAGTGTCCCCGGTGCCGCGGATTGAGATGCAGAAGACGCAACTAGTCGAGTCATTGTCTTGTCTTCCGTATCCCGTATCTCGCAACATCTCTTGCGAACCGCGGAGACAAAATCGATTCGCGGGGTGGAGGAAGGAGGGGTGAACGGAACATGACTCTTTCCACCAAGCACTCGACTCATGGACAACATCTATCTATTACCACTGGCATTACATTATATTGATATCGCAAGAACTGCTCGTTTGGTCTGTTGTGTTGTCTAACATTCACACATTTGTTCTATAGACGCGCGGGTGTTTTGGAAGGAAAGATCTACCGACGCACAGGTTGTCGATCATTGATACACATGGCCACTGCCCAGAGAGCCTCCTTCTCTGACAATCACCCTTCTCGCTTGTCATCAGAACTCAAAAAGAAAAGGGTCTTTTCTTGCGACATGACCCCGAACTCTGAAGCGACTCGGGGAATCTTGAGGCCTAATCATTGTCCGATCCGCACGTAAAAGTCGTCTGTCTATACCGTACGTGCGTTGTGGATTCATGGCTTGACGAAAGGCACAATGGCTTTTTTTGTTATACCCGCAGCAGCACCGGAAGGATGGATTGACTTTTACACCACGAGCATCTCCGTTATTCTACTACCGGTATGCCATGTGCTCCTCGGCGCCGAGTACCATATTATCATGACGCAGGAACCTGCATATCCAACTATCAGGGGTGGACTTGGCAGCCTGTTTCAGAAATGCAGCCATCGTGAAGCAAAAGCACTACGGTTCTCGGCCGGCTCATTTGTCCGTCCGTATACCAAGTTCGGCTGATCTGCCTTTGATTGCGTAGGGCTGTGGTTTTGGCTGGGAAGGATTCACACGTGAAAGAAGGACACTTTGGCCTCGAATAACCTTTTGATATACGCGAAGTTGGGAAATTGGATAGAGGGGCGTTGGGTAGCTACAGGAGAGGAATTACGGTGTTGGCCTGTCGACCATTGAGGCTGAAGAGGAAGTTGTTCGTAAATTGATAGATTTTTGAGATGTATGTACAAAAGTCTGGTATATGTGATCAAATGTTGGGCTGTAAAAACCAGAGGCGCTAAATGTGACAATTATATGTCTTGCTGAGACATAGAAAAAGTGGCTGAAAGTCAAGATCAAACAGGTGAGTCGTTTTGACTCTTCCGCAACATTGCTTTCGATGGCTTCTGGGGCGGTGGTACTATCGACGTTGTCGAGTCGCTGGTGCTGCGTCCGTCATCACTGCTGTTGCCTTCTCTGCTGCTACTGCTTCCTGGTGGTGGTCCGGCTGGTGCTCGTACCGCCCACGCTTCTGCCCATGCTGAAGATGTGCCTGTCATGCTGTCGTTCTCCCTCTTCAGACTCATGGTGTCCTCGCTGACGTGGATCTCCGTGTGGCGGTGAATGCCCTCGAATTCGTCCGGATCCGGCATGAGGAGGTCCAAGTCAATTTCTTCGTGTCGTGGCTTTTTCCGCACAAGAGTTTCGACACGTGTATGTGTGGTCGTGTATGTAGGGGTGTAGCCGTTGTAAGGTGTGTAGGTGTTCTTGCCAGAAAAACTGCCCAGAGATCGAAATTTGAAGGTTCTTCGGATGAGAGCCCAAACAAAAGCGGCATTGGCTGTCAGAAGTGCAGTACTTGACTCTCTGACGTACCAGTACACCCAACTCACCCCGAACGGTGAGCGGAAGCTGTAGATTTTGTTGAGGATGGCACAGATGATGACAAAGGTTCCAAGTGAGAAGATACCAACGATGGCGATTTTTTTGCGGAGTGGTAGCCGAGTCTTGATGAACATGGGAAGAGCGACAGCCAGTATCAGAGCGTCAGAACTTAGATTAAAGACGGCATTAGTAATCAGGTGGTTTGTGGCAGCTGTACACTGCTTGGTCGAAGGTACGGCCCAGTACATGGTGAAAGGGCGACACCAAACGCCGAAATAAAGAACCTCCATAACGACCCAGCTGATTCCGACGTAGTAGAACAGTATTTTGATTGCAAGTCTTTCTTTGCTTCCAACTGTGACCAGACGTTGGTAGAGAAAGAGAAGGCAGAGCTTCTCGCACCAAGTGGTCATAATTTGGCATTGTTCCACGACAAGCACCAGTTTTGAGCCGTATTGACGATCATGAATCTGCTCGGCGGTAAGAGTGCTAACGTCGAAGCCGGGTGGTAACAGGTTGGAGTCTGATTTGGCAACAATGTTGATAGTGACGATCAAGGTGGTGTAGAAACACATCGCAGCGACGGTGATGTAGTCATCAGCTTGGAAGCGCCTAATCGTGCCGAGGCTTTGGTATCTCGATATCCTGGATTTGGGAGTCAGAACTGCGTTGGGATAAAGGTCGCAAGGGCTCAATCACATTCGACAAATAACACACAACACCACAAAAGACCACCAGATCCACGTCTCGGCCTTTAGAGGTACCATTTTGGCTGGGGAGACTGGAGAATATTTGCTAGGGCGCGAGGGTAAGGCGACTTCAGGGATATTCCTGAGGCGAAAGTGTAGTCCCAGCCTTTTGCTCCGTGGTCATATCGCGGCTACCGCGGTACCCAGGGTCGAAAGGGGGGTGGTGGAATAAACCACTGTAGACGGGATGTCAGAAAAAGAGTGAGACGTGAGATGTTTAAACACAAAAATGTGGGAGTTTGGAGGATTATCAACTGCCCGGACCCTACATGCAGAGCTTATTCTCTACCTGATTCCTAATTCGAGAAGAACTCTAGCGTCACGCGTACCCAGTAGAGATTCACATCCGGCAAACGGGGACTCTGATGGCGAGAGGATCCCGCCACCAACGTGCGATAAGAAGATCACTGACTTTTGCCAAGCTCATTGGGCCTGTTGCTTTTGCATATGAATGTCGCTTCCCTTGAGAAAAGGTGCCAACAGACGAGATTGTGCTGTACAGTGTCCACTGAAAGCCGTAAACAGTCAGAAAATTCAGCGTGCATCGGATACGCCATTGATCGACAATGCGTCGAGTCCGTCTCATTACGATCGCGCTTCGTGAGCGTTGAGGAGGAGGATCAAGGGACCGACAACTTGGGGTGAGGGCAAGGACAGGCGGGACACTCCAGGTCCGCGGCCGAGAGGAGCGCGAGAAGATCCGAGAGCGGCGACCTTGCCAAGCACGCCCCAGACTCCTGTCCGGTATGAACTCAAAAGTAATATCAAGAACGTTCATCTCAGGTAGAAGCCGCGTTCATGTCCCCGGATGGAGGACGTTGGTCGCGTTCAATACCGGTGTGATTTCTCCAGGCCTTCAAAGCGGCTCGCTACCGTCGGGACGTGACCTGTCTGTCAGAGTCAGTCAGCACGGCTGACATAGATCTCCACTGCGACGAATGAGGGAAACACACAAGCTGGCTGACTCGTCTTTGAGCAAGAGATAAACATCAGTGTTCAAGCCACTATCTATTCGAATCCTTTCTGCAGCACTACAGAGTCAGTGTGGAGGTCGCTCAGCCCCAGAAATGCTTGGGGCTCATTTTAGGATACAACGGTATCCGCGAGACACCGGCGAGTGGAAGAACCTAGAACGATTGGAAGCCCTGACCCGGTTCAAGATCGACAACGCAATAGCTTTGAGACCATCTTCGAATATGGAAAAAGGAAAACGTATGATAATATCAATAACGCCAGTGATAATGTTCAGAATCCGATCCCGAACGCCGTGTGGTGTAGTCACCAATGTGGTTATTCCCAAACCCCCTCCTTCACGCCATCGCTTGATGCAAAAAGCCCTTTTGTTCCGTCGCCTAGCACTACTTGACACGGTCAATATAATCTTGAGTAGGTTGCTCGTATTCCTGAGACAGGTAGTTGCCTGCATTCTTGCTGAGCCATTGAGTCATCTTGTGCAATTCCTCGCGAAGACGGCTCACGGCTTGAGAATCCATGTTGGTGTGCGCAATCAGATCAGGCATGGAGACTGGGAACTTGTTAGCAAGGTAGTCCTCACATATTAGCGATTGATGATACGCACCAAACAGACGGCAAAGATGCTCGACTCCGTAGATGTCCGTTGGGAGCTTGCCTGTCAGATCTCCGGTGCCCTTGTTGAGCTGCGCATGGATGTCTGACCACTGAGGACGCTCGAAACGGTACAGCAGAATACGGCCTATACTCTTATTGAAGTACTCCTTGACACCAGCAATCACCTCCTCAAGGATATCTGCTTCAGCACTGCCCTCTCTGCGCTTGAGACCCTCGGATGCAGCGTAGTCTGCAAGGAATTGCGCGACTGGAGTCTTGGAAGGAAGCGGGACCAATCTGTTCTCTCTGGTGACCTTCTCCCAATCATCAACAAGGATGGCCTTGAGACTGTCGGGCATGAAGATCTTAATCGACGGTCGACGGAGAAATTCATCCTCCTGTTTACATGGTCAGCAAACAATTCTGATGATGGTGTTTTTGGTGCGACAAAGATCGAGCAAGAGTGAACCAAACGCATCTCGGTAGGTCCATCGTCTCGGTGTGGCTGGGTTGTGGTACACACAATCTAGAAATCTTGTAGCGAGGGGCAGAACCTCCGCACCACACGACACGTAAAAAATCGTGAGTCACGAATATACGAAATAATTCACTAACCTTGTCGATACCCTCAAACTCTCTACCACGTTTGGTTCCCCTCGATGGTGCAGCAGTAGCAGGGGCTGTTCTTTCCTCGCTGCCTCTAGCAGATCCAGTGTTGAGATCGCGCTTTCTGGTAACGGTCGCAGTCATGGGCTTTGCGGCCGCTCTGCGCTGTGCATTCATTTCTTGCCTCAAGTTCTTCGAGAGCTCAAGGTTCTCGTCATTGTACTTGCGCAGGCGATCTTGAGGCACCCAGTCGTCCCAGCTATACAAATATTAGCACAATTCGTGCCCACAAGTGCGAATTCGAAACAAATTTCGGTGCAAAACAGAAGCAGGGTCATCAAAAAAATGACACGTGTGCCGAGGAATGTTCGTGCCAGCTTTGCAGTGAAAACTATGATGGTATATGCGGAAGTGATGATGATGTTGTGGTTGCTACAAGTCGAAAGGTCCACAATAGGAGATATTTTGATGCGCGGAGAGATGGTGAATGTTCGAAAATGTCGCAAACTCACGTGTTCTTCCAGCCCTTGTAGTGAACCTTGTACTCGTAGGGTGATTTCTTGTCATTTTGGTCGGTGTGTCGGGAGTCGAGCACTTTTGCTTCATAGAGTAGTTCGTGATGGAAGCAAAGCGCTCTTTCGTCTTTGCCATACATGGGTATCGGTGCAGCTGGCGCCATATTGAACGTTTGACCTGATTGAGACTGTTGAGTCGCGAGATAGTTGTTGTTGAGAGATGATCAACCACGATCGAATCTCGAAGTTGGTCGGGGGATGTTTGATGAAAGTGGTCTTGGAGATTCAATCAAGGAGGAATCTGTGAAAGCGTGTCAACGCTCGGACCTCCGCGTTCAAGTCTGGCTCTCCTTCCAACCGTCCACACGATTTGTTTGATGGTGCTGTGTGATGATATCTTGTCTGTCGGCTCGTGCAATACAAGTGAACAATATCCATGAAATCAGCGATGGGAGACGATCGTCTAAGATTACAGCGGCCATGCGCTTCTCTATCTATTTTCTTGAAATATCTCTACAGATCACATTCTTCCACTCTTCATTCTCTACAGATCACATTCTTCCACTCTTCAATCTTTCCATATCCGTCGTCAGCTTTCTAATCGAGCTTGACCTTGATGCCGAAAACTCTGTCAAGAACACCGAGGAATATCGAGAGCATGAAAGCTACTGGTGGTAGGGAGAAAAAGAAGCTCACGAGGCTTGCGAATCTCATGATCCAAATCACCGCAGTGCGCACCGCATGATCCATCATGTTGAGCTGCGGTGCTTTTCCTCGTGAGAACGTCGAATCCTTGAACTCGAAAGGCAGAGTAGCCCCCAAATGATCAATCGCTACCTTCAGACCACTGCTAAAGCCATCTTCGTGGAAGCCGTACTTAGTCCACGCTCCGCAATAACTGATTCCTGACGTGTTTTGAATCTCGCCCATTCTGTTCTGCGACCTGACTGCAGCTGGGGTATACAATGGGTGACGGTAGATGAATTTGCCTTGTGTCTTTTCTGGTGCAGGCTCGTGAGGAGGATTCATCGTAACAAGGACGGGACCAAATTTGGACTCTGGAATGTGCTGCAAAAGGTTCATCCAGTAAGTCAAACTTACACCTGCAGGGTGTTTAAGCTTGGAGGGTGCAGAAGTCGTAAGATAGTTCCATGCAGTGAATACCGGTCTCCTCAGAGGCATCAAAGAGAGATCCGAATGTAGGTATGCAACGTTCTCAGATGTCTGGAAAGCGCCCAAGATTTCTTGCTCCTTATCTGAGGGTGGCACTCTTGATTTGGCCGATAGAAGAGGCAAGATATCGTCTCCATGACAAGCCATAATAACGTGGTCGAAAGTCGATGATTCCTGAGTACCACTGAGCGGGCTTTTGTAGCTGACTTCGACTACGGATTTTCCATTCTGATTCATTCTCGTCACGCCTGTGATTGGAGTTGAAGTGTGAAAATGAAACCTCCTGGGGTCAGAGCTTCGCACGATGGCATCAATGTACTTCTGAGAGCCGTCCTTGATAGTCAGCCATGTGGGTCGTGCTGCGATAGTAGAAAGCAGGTGATGATTCCACATGAATCGAACAAGGGTCAAGACAGGGAACTCCAGACTCGTCTTGTCAGGTGAGGTGCTCCACACTGCAGCAGTCATCGGAATGAGATAGTCATCTTTGAATGCCTGAGAATAGCCTTCTTCCTCCAGATAATGACCAACTGTCTGGTCGGTGCGCGAAGAGTCGTCTTCGGTCAGAAGGTCCAAAGCAAATTGATTGAAGCGAATGATGTCAAAAATCATGCGCCACATTCTAGGCTTGAAAATGTTCTCCATTTGAGCGAAGATGCCTTCGCCAGAACCAGACCATTCGAATTCACCATGATTGCGGGAAACACTGAATGTCATCAGGGTAGGAGAAATGGGAACTTTCACATGATTCAAAAATCTGATCAAGTTTGCTGGAAGTTGTCAGCATCGCGTACGAAACAAAAGCAAGGATGGGCCAGAACGAACGGTAGGTGGCAGAGTTCATGACAATAAAACCGGTGTCGACGGGAGTAGAGTGTTTGCCATGTGTGAATGTCTGGGTGTTTGTGTGACCCCCCAGACGATCAGACTTCTCAAAGACATGGACTTCATGATCAGTGTTCTGCAATGCCCAAGCTGCACCAAGTCCGGCACATCCGCTGCCAACGATGGCGATACGCTTCTTCTCTGGAGGCATTGTAGAGATGATGGAATGCAATTTATTCAACCTAGCTTGAGAGGTTGACGAACAGTATTCCTTTGTCCAACACGGCAGTACAAGGCAGATATATAGGAAGGTTTGGCTGAGACGATCAAGCTGGATATGATCAGAAACGCGTCTTGTTGGAGGACGTGAGGCGTTTAAGCTCGAGCGTCATCATCGAAGAAGCACTGGCCTCCAAAGACCCATCCTCCGCCAACAAGGTTGTGTCAAGCTTGGGACTCTCAGAACAAGACTACCTAGATGGCTAGCCAGGCGATCAATTGGACATCAAGTGCTGCAGTCTGCTCAACAGAACGGCAAAACTGTTGTTCCGCAAGCATCGGAGGAGACGAAGAAAGAATTAAGGTCCGCGGTCGTCGGCCTGAAAGAGTGCCGAGGAAAGTGGTCCGAGCTTATGTATTGCGGCCTCCAACATCATCGTCGCTTCCCCGACCTGATGCATATGCAATAGCAATCAGGCAGGCACAACCATCCATAACCGAATTACAATCACAGTCAGTTGCACGAAGTGACACGATTTGATACACCTCCAAGCCAATCCACCATCACCGCGCGCACTAAACGCTCCTTCTTGTCCACCAGAATAAACCGCACTTGATCCACACTCGAACAACCGCAGTCAACACAATGGACACCGACGCAGGATCTGAACTGTTCAGCAACTATGAAGCTGAACTCAAGCTCGTCCAGGCCGACTTGAATCAGAAACTCGATCAGCTCGCCGAACTCTCGGGAGAACAGCGCAAGGCTGCCATCAGTCGCGCGAACCACACGCTGGACGAGGCCACTGAGCTCGTGAGTTGATCTTAACAAGCATTCTCTCGATCGGTTGCTAATCATAGCCATCTAGCTGGACTCGATGCGACTGGAGAAAGAGAACCTGCCTTCGAACCAAAAGGCCAAGACGAACCAACGTTTCCGCAACTACGCAACCGACATTGATATGGCTAAGACAAAGCTCAAGGGGCTTTCTAGCGACAAGTCTGCTCTGTTCAATAGACGCTACACCGATAACCCCACTGGCGACGACCAGCTGGAACAAAGACAACAACTCCTGTCCGGTACCGATAGACTCGACCGCTCGAGTGGCCGTCTTCGTGAGAGCCAGCGCATCGCTCTCGAGACTGAGGACATTGGTCGCAACACGCTTGCAGATCTTGCCAGACAAAGAGACGTCATTGACCACACTCGCACCACTCTGCTCGAGGGCGAAGGCTACACCGACAGAAGCAACAAGACTTTGAAGCAGATGGCTCGTAGGTAATGCTTGATCCTATACCCAACATCTACCTGCCAGCCCGAACTAATCTTGACTAGAATGGCTACGAATAAAATAATCACCATTGCCATCATTACTGTTCTGGTTCTCCTGATCCTTGCTGTCATCATTAGCAAGTTCAGATAGACGGCAGTGCATGACGTCCTCTTTCCTTTCATTTTTTTGTCTGTATCTTCTTTTCCAATCGCCGCGGCGCACTCGGAGTTCATATGGCAGGCACAAGTCGTTCAAGGTCGGACGAGTCTTTTATACCAGGTCTACCTTGATCCAGACCACATAATCCATTATCTGTTCCTCGCTGGGGTTTCTCATTCCTGTTTACAATTTGGCCTGCTTGGCGTATTTGTTCAAGAAACTCACCAAGGCAGCATCAACTTCCTTAGCCTTGGTATAATTCAGGTAATGGGGCCCACCCTCGATCACCTGCAACTTTGCATCTGGACTGTTGACGAAGAGCTTGATCTCCTCCTTTGCATTCTCGACGCTGTACACCACATCTTGATCTCCGTGTAGCCATAGTACAGGGGCCCGCACATCAAAGAGTCTGCCATGCAGACCGTCTCTGTCACGCAGATTGATGGCAGACATTCTCGCGCGTCTGCGGCCACCATCACCGCCCCAATTCTTCTGGATAGCCTTGACCCAGAATTCGCCATCTTCGGATGGGATGTCCTTGCCAAAGCCAGTCTGGTTCATGAAATGGCAGAAATCATCTGCAGGCTTAAAGTCGGGAGTGCTTTCGTTGCTTGTCCATCCTTCGATTGAAGGGGTAACGTTTTGCTTTGCATCCCAGCAGCCTAGTTTGACTGTTCGTTCGTTTTCAGTGTCCATTGAAGTGCCGAGAGGGATGATTCCGGCGACCTGTCGTACTGTTCAATTGCTGCTGTTGTATTGCATAAGTGTCACAACTTACCCTCTCGGGTGCTAACAGAGCCATTCTTACAGTCTGCCAACCACCCTGACTAGTTCCCAAGACAAAAACCTTGCCTTTGATCTCCAATTCATCCAGAACCTGCAAATTCATCACCGCACTGTCCCAGTAGGTAAAGTTCTCGGTCTTTGCTCTAGTCTGTCCATGGCCCAGCAATTCGATAGCCAGCAGGTTCACTAGGTTGTTCAACTCGGTGTTTGCATATTGGTGGCGGTAGAGGTCTGCACTGGTGCCGAAGGAGTTGCAGAGAACAAGGGTGGGTTTGGAAGGGTTGTAGGGGTGAGGCATGTAGGTGCTTGCGGAGATGCCACCGAGATGAGGCACATGTACGATTTTTGTCTGGACTGGGGTGATAGTCATGTTGGCGGTCACTCAATCGTTGAGGTGTAAGAAGAGTCAGGATCAAATCTGAATAGATATATAGTTTTATTTGCAGGGAGAGGTAGGATCCTAGCACCTATGTGACCGACCCCTCATATGAATGCGCTCCACTTGTTACTGAGCAAAGAGCCTCCAGTGATCTTGATGATGCTTTGGCGACTAGTTTAACCGAGGTTGTCGAAACCTGGACCGAGCGTCGTACTTGGAGTTGCAACATTCCAGCTTGGCAACTGTAGCACAGCTCTTGATTGTTTGCTGCTTTCTCCTCGTGACCATCAACCACTGCTTCTGTTGAAATAAGAAGGCATTGGGGCGCCGTGTGGTAAACTTCTTGACTCCATGTCAGGCTTCCGCGCATCTGTCGGTACATGGAGCAGGCGATCTCTGCAAACACTCAACAGTAAGGACCTTGGACTCAACAGATGACTAACACCGCGCTCTACGCCAGCGGCTTCAATGCCTTTGGTCAGCTCTCACCGGGCTCGGAAAAGGACATCACCGAGCTTCAAGAGCTTGTAACCCTGCAGGATGCTGACAACATGGAAGAGGTCAAACTCCTTTTCACCGGCTGGAGTGAGACTACCTTCTACCAACACGGCAAAGGTAAGTCAAGCGGTCGAATCATCCGCCATGGCAGCATCAACACCACTCTGGATTCGCCACTGGCTGAATTGGCTTCCGGATTTGGAGATCACAATGGCCTCCTGGGTGTCTACAACAGCAAGGGGGGTGTCGCATTCGCCGAAGAAACTCAAGTCGAAGCGCACGTTGCATCAGCAGACTCGCTCTCTGACGATGAAACTCCAGGTGTTGCACACTTGGCCATAGCAGGCAACGGTCATGTCGCCGTGATTCTCGCATCTGCAAGTTCACCTCGAAACAGTATCCTCGAGTTCACAGCCTTTGAGAAGTTCCGCCAGTGGTTCGACGATGAAGTCAATGTTTATCACGGCCCCAGAATCAGCCACAGCGTTCCAGGCCGTGTTGCACAATTGGTCGCCAACGTCACTGGATTCGTATGCCTGACGCAGGAGGGCAATGTGTATACCTGGGGCGATGCCAGACATAGCTCGCTGGGGCGGAGTGTAGCTGAGACAGAAGCGAAGAGCCCTGGTCTCGTGGAATCGCTTGCCGGTATCCAGATCAAGAAGATTGCCTCTGATGGCTGGATGACAGCAGCGTTGTCAGAGCATGGCGCAGTGTATCTGTTTGGAACAGCAACACCTGGGACTCAACATACCATCTCATGTCTGCAGGACCTTGATTCTACTCAAGCAGCACTGGTAGAAATTGAAAGCAAAGGAGAAGCACTGGACTTTCTGGATATTGCTGTCGGTGATGGACATGTCTTACTGCTGGCTCAGGATGGACACGTCTTTGGCGCTGGCGACAATCGGAATGGTCAACTGGGTCTTGGTCAGAAAGCATCAAATCATGTTCAAGACTGGTCGGAAGTCACCATCCCGGATCAATATCGATGTGTTGCGGTATATGCAGGCCCAAAATCATCATTCTTCAAAGTCGAAAGGTGACTCGGATGGACTCAATAATCCTTCGAGATGGTTCCTCAGGCCGCGCATTGGGCGCTTGGTCCACTGTCAACACCACGTGGGATTCTATACAGCTCCCGCCTTGGCACGACCTCCCGGCGCCCACCACCACATCGATTTATCGTCACTTGGTTGGCCTAGCTGCGGAATACCGACTGCGCCCTCGACTATCCTTACAACTCTCTCACGATCTCTACGCCATCATGGCCCCGCTCAAGAAGCGTACACCCAAGGCGCGTTCCTCAAGAAAAAAGAAGACCGCCAAACTGCAGCTCACCGGAGTTGCCGCCAACACTGATACCTTGCATTGTTGTCTTGTGTGTTTCAAAGACCAGCCTTTGAGCGCCTTTCCCGATGTTGGCAACACTGGTAACCATGACCATGACAACAACACGTGTCGCAAATGTTTCAACCGATACACTGTTGACCAGATCAAGTCTGGCAAGGATGAGATCAGGTGTTGCGAATGCGCAGAGCATTTGACCTACGACCAGGTCAAGACCATCATCTCCAAGACTTCTCTGATCACCTACGACAAAGTCTTGGCCAAGGCATGCGTAGAGTCAGACGCTGACTTTCGCTACTGTCTTTCGGAGAAGTGCAAGTCAGGTCAAATCCACGTGGGTGGCGCAGAGCAGCCTCTTTTCAATTGCGGTGCCTGCAAGGAACAACACTGCGCAAACTGCGAGGTCCCATGGCATGAAGACGAGACTTGCGATCAGTACCAGGCCCGTCACGATGATGAAATCGTTCAGACAGCAGTCGTCTTGTCCAAGATCTCAAAGCGATGCCCCGGAGGATGTGGTGCTAGAATTGAGAGAGACGGTGGATGTCCCCACATGATCTGTAAGTCATGCTCAAGAGTCCGGGGTTTACATGACCGTTGACATGTTTTCATGCAGGCATCAAGTGCGATCTTGACTTCTGCTGGAACTGCCTTGGAGACTACGAACACTTGGATACCCAGGGATTATGCACACCAGCCCCGCAAGCCCGCGCTGATTCGCCCTCTGATGACATCAAGTCTCGTCAGGCAGAACGTCAAATCCGCAAGGAAGCTCGCCAGGAGGAGGATGATGCGTCAGAGGCCCTCATCATCGTTACCACCAAGAAATGCCCCCGCCTTCATTGCGGCGTACCCATCACAAAGGACGGAGGATGTGATCATGTGACATGTCCCAACTGCGATACCCAATTCTGCTACTGCTGCCTTGCCAACTACGCCACAATTCTCAAGTACGACAACCGCCGCCACAAGAAGCATTGCATTTACCATCCTTCCCACAGAGATCGTCAGGAGTTCCCCACCAAGAGTGACTCCGACGAAGACGAAGACGAAGACGAAGACGAGAGCACCACCGCCGCCGATCCTCGCGCCCATGCTGCCGTCAACGATCTGGAGAGCGAAGAGAATTTTGACCAGGAGCTCGTTGACAACGAAGTGGCCAAGATGCTTGAGGATCACGGCAGGGCTCGCGCAGCCGACAAAAAGGCTGCGGCCAAGAAGAAAGCCGCTGCGGCTGCATCAAAGAGCGCAGTATTCACCACTCGTCGCGCCCTTAGATCGAACACTTTGGTCTTCACATCGGTCACCGGAACGGTCGAGCGTCGCATCGACAGAACCCGTACTCGCGCTCTTGACCGCGCTGTTCGCGCTCGTGGCATCTAAGACGCTCGTCGTTGACTCAAGCTCGCTACTCATAACTCCGTTCTGACTTCCACCTTTGTCAACGAGTGATTGCTAGCAGTGTTGCATAACTGTTCGCAGTCAGTTGGTCACTTCTGCCTCGATGATCGAACAGGATTGAAGTACCGCGGTTGGAAGGATACACATCAGGGATTGTCTCATTCACTTTCGTAGATAGCATACATTCAATCGTCACTTGACTTTCCTTGATCTCAGTTAATTGTGCTTCACTCTATCCTTTCTTCACTTGTAAACACCACATTCGACGTTTCTGATTAAGATATCTCCAACACAAATGTAGAGGCACAAGATCGCACTCTCAGCCTCCCAGCACATCCTATCAATCATCTGTCAAAAGGCAGGATGATTTTCGAGTTGACGTAAAGGACCGGAGAGAGCGTACAGGGAAGTCGCTTTCAGCGGACCAGCATCAGTTTCCAGTATCGCTCTCACTGGATAGGTGGTAAGTTTTGAAAATTATCTTGCATTCTGATGTGTGGTTTGAGAGCCGCGTTGGGAGATGGAGATGTAGTTCTAGATGTCCGGATGCTTGAGATGTCGCTATCGGTGAACATTCATCGGTCACTAAAATCATCTTGGCTTTTCGATGGCTGGACGAACAACCATTAATCTTACGAAAGAGAATGGTTTAGGGCATGTGATTGTTTTTCGCATAGCCACAGCCACTGTGTTTATCTTCAACCGACGAGAAGAATATCGCGCAACGTGTGGTTTCTGCAAGCGGTCGGCGATCTGCAGAGTTGCTCGTCCGGAAACTTCATGGCTTTGGTGATTACTCGAGTATCTCGACGACGGTAATCGAGTACAGCGAACGTGAATTTTGAAGATTGTATACTATTGCGAAATATGAAGATGGTGATTCGTTGGAATTTTGACGCGAATCGACCATACGGTCGTCGAGGTATGCTGTTCGACAGCAATTGATCTTTCGCTTACTGCGACCATGAAAAGCTGGTCTGCACCAAACCACCAACCCTCCTTCATCACCCCGCTTCCTGCACCACCGAACATCAAGAAGGTGTTCGCAGAATGTGGAAGGCCCATGCGATGCGACATTTTGACATCCCTTGCATAGCCTCACATCAAGACAAAGAGGGAAGCTGCGACACTTGCCTACTGCTGCAAGAACGGTGGATGATAATTCGCGCAACTCACCACAGCAACAAAGAAGCCCCAAAATCGCGCATACCTTTCTTTGGCTGCTACCGTGCTGTCGGAGAGGGGCGATTGTCACGTTCGGGACCATTACAAACTCGGTAGGTCGTAGAATATGATCCACCACATTGTTTTGTCTCGTGAGAGGAGGGTAAGGGATTTTTCTATCTGGCTCCTTGTGGTAGGCTAAAGCAGCAGAGCCTCGATAGTGGCACAGTAAGGGAGTATATCATCTGCGTTGTCCATTGTTCTTTGCATTCTCTCTACATACTCTTCTTCGATTTCGACTGTGCTGCCTCGAGCCGTCTCACCGGTTCTCGCAATCATGTCTTCGCAAGTTCAACAGGAGGAAATGTTGGAGCAAAAGGTGCCTCGTATCACCTACGCCGACGATGTCGAGAATCGCCCTCGTACTGCAGCACGTCTATCGCGTCGCTTGTCTACGGACTCGATGTCGATTCGCTCGATGTCGCGCCAAAGATCTGTTGACCCTTCGCTGGCTCTGCCTCCACAGTTCAGGACGATGTAAGCACTGCGACAGGTTTCGATGGGGACAAGCAGTTAACGCATCGAATAGGTCTTTCGATATCGAGCAGAGCAAGGCGAGGAACGATCTACCTGTCAAGGGTGCGGTAGAGAAAGAGAGTGGTAAGAGTTTCGTGGTCCTGGCATTGGTGGTACATGACTGAGCAATATGCAGACTTTAGCAACTACGACCTTCACACCATTCCCATCGAAGAAGTATTCGAGCGCTTCTCGAGTTCGCCTACCAGTGGTCTATCTTTGGACAAAGCCATGGTCTCGTTAAGAGACGTCGGACTCAACAAACTTACCGCACCACCATCCAACTGGTTCAAGAAAACCGTCACCTACCTCTTTGGAGGCTTTGGTAGCATCCTGTTCGTCGCAGCCATTATGGTGTTTGTTGCTTGGAAGCCTTTGGGTGACCCTCCTGCACTTGCCAACTTGGCGCTTGCGATCGTCTTGGTACTCGTCTGGCTCATCCAGGCAGCGTTTAGCTTCTGGCAAGACTTCTCCAGTGGTCGTGTCATGGCCTCGATAAATACTATGCTTCCTGACAATGCATTGGTGTTGAGAGACAGTAGCTGGGCAAGTGTCGAAGGAACCAAGCTTGTACCTGGCGATGTCATCAAGATCACCATGGGTAACAAGGTACCGGCAGATGTAAGATTCTTCGACGTGTCTTCAGATGCTCGTCTGGATCGATCCATCTTGACTGGTGAGGTCAAGCCTTTGGTCGCAACAACTAAATCTACAGATACCAACTTCCTCGAAACCGCAAATATTGGTCTTGCCGGAACCAATTGCACCACTGGTACGCTGCATGGTATTATTATCAGTACGGGTGACAATACAGTCTTCGGAAAGGTAAGACTGCTTTCAACATGCAAGCACGATCATCATGCTGACCGACCGTAGACCGCGAGACTTACCAGTCACTCCAAGCAAGGTCTCACACCTCTCCAGAAAGAGATCTTGTTCTTCGTCGGCGTCATCACTGCTCTCATGATTTCCATGATCCTTCTCGTCATCATCGTCTGGGCAGCTTGGCTTCGAAAAGACCACCCTGGTTGGATATCGGTCCCTATCCTGATTGTAGACTGTGTTTCCATCGCTGTCGCATTCATCCCCGAAGGTCTTCCAATCGCTGTCACCGCTAGTCTGACCATCACAGCGGGGATAATGAAGAAGAATAAAATCCTGGCAAAGTCTCTGAAGACGGTCGAGACACTTGGAGCTGTCAATGTCATTTGCTCTGACAAGACCGGAACAATCACGAAGAATGAGATGACTGTTACCGATTTCTGTATTGGTTATCACCCTCATCAAGCATCGAAGGCAGCTCAAATGGTTGACCAGAGTCCAACCTTGGCTCGCCTGGCCATGCTGAGTGGTGTCTGCAATGCTGGCGAATTCGATGCCAGTACCAGGGAGAAGCCAATTGCTGAACGCAAAGTTCACGGTGACGCTACCGACAGAGCAGTATTGATGTTTGCCGAAAGCATCATTCCTACTGCCAGACTTCGTAGCCTCTGGCGTACAGTCTACCGCATCGACTTTAACTCGAAAAACAAGTTCATGGTCAATGTCTGTCAGAACGACAATGATCCCCAGCAAGGTATTCTTCTGACCATCAAGGGTGCTCCCGATATCCTTGTTGGCAAGTGCTCCACATACATGGACCAGAGTGGCAAGATTCAAGAGCTTGGTAATGAAGGTCGTTCCGTCATTGAGACTATCAAGAACAGATGGTCATCTCAAGGCAAACGTGTGCTTCTTCTTGCCCAAAAGCCATTGAGCAATGTCAAGCTCAATCCTCAAGAGCACCCGCAGGTTTATGAGGAGTACATCATGGCCAATGTCACTTCTGGTTTGACTCTCGTTGGTCTCGTTGCCATTGTCGACCCTCCCAGACCCGAGATGCCCGAAGTCGTAAGGACACTGAAGGGTGCCGGTATTCGTATTTTTATGGTCACCGGTGACTTCAAGCTCACTGCCAAAGCTATCGCTACCGAGTGCGGCATCATCAGTCAGGAATGCGATGACATCCATGCGCTAGACTATGATGGCAGCTTGCACGAGTTCAATGGCTCAAAAGAAGGACACGTCCATTTCAGTGAATCCGCCAGATCGATCGTCGTCACTGGAGCTGAGATTAGATCCTTGGAAGATGACCAGTGGGACAGGCTCTGCCAGTACCAAGAGGCTGTCTTCTCTCGCTGTATTCCCGAAGACAAACTGATCATAGTCAAGAACTTACAAAAGAGGGGACTGATCACGGCCATGACTGGTGATGGTGTCAATGATGCACCATCGCTCAAGGCCGCTGATGTCGGTATTGCAATGGGTTCTGGTTCGACTATTGCCATCGAAGCAGCCGACCTTGTGCTCTTGGACTCGTTCGCGGCCATTGTCGAGGCTGTCAAATATGGCCGTGTGGCTTACGACAATCTTCGCAAGACAATTTGCTACCTTTTGCCGGCGGGTTCTTTCTCAGAATTCTGGCCAGTCCTTACAAACGTCGTCTTTGGCCTGCCTCAGGTCCTGTCGTCTTTCCTCATGATCATCATCTGTTGCTTCACAGATTGTGCAGCTGGTGTGGCTCTAGCGTACGAAGCGCCCGAAGCGGACGTATTGAATCGCCCTCCTCGCTCCAAGAAAGATAGACTTGTGGATTGGAAGCTTATTCTGCACGCCTATGGTTTCGTTGGTGTGTTTGAGACCGTGCTGTCTTTCACAGTGAGTTATTGGTTTGCCCAGCGCCGCGGCCTGCCCTTCTCAGAGTTGTGGTTCGGCTTTGGCAAGATCCCGGATGGCATGACACAGGACAGCGTGAATGGCATCCTCAACATCGCATCCTCGATCTACTTTGTCAACTTAGTCGTCATGTAAGTCAACTGCGCATCCTCGCACGAAAAGGATGAAAGCTAATCTCTTCTCAGGCAATGGTTCAACTTGATGAGCGTGCGCACTCGCCGACTCTCGCTGATCAACCATGCACCCTGGAAAAATCCGTATCTGTTGCCGGCTATCATCTTTTCAATGCTGATAGCCATCTTCTTCTTGTACGTGCCCAAGTTCCACAGCGTTCTTGGCACTTCAATTATACCGGTGGAGTATTGGTTTTTACCTTTCGCTTTCGGAATGGGCTTGCTCCTGCTTGATGAGACAAGGAAGTTCCTGGTCAGAAAGTTCCCAAGAAGTGTCTTCGGGAAGATCGCCTGGTAGGGGCAGGTCGCAATGCCGTGAATGGACGAACCCTGTAGATACTGGCATTGAGGTTCCACGTACGTAGTCAATCCATGTTCATAGACACACACAGGATTATGGTAAATTCAGAAAGGTTGTGCCTACCGACCGATCAGCTCCCACATGTGCTAAAGGCTGTCGCTCCCGACCAAATCTTGCTATCACAGGTGAAGACACTTGTGCTTTAAAAGCGCACGATGCCTTCGAGATCGGTGCAGTCGTCCACAGATATGCGCTTACTGACACGCTGTCACATGTCCCCCTTGTCGCCAAAAGCCTTGAGAGGTTCGGCGGCTGTGTGGCACATCCACGCAGAGAGGCTGTCGGAACGAGGCTGGACTCATAGATATGTGGTTGGTCTCCGGCCTTGTATGTAGCACACCGCCGTTGTGTTCTGAAGCACACCAGCCATTGGAACGTGTTTCAAGATCATCCCGTGAGTATCTGTACTTTAAACGGCGCCTCGAACATCCTGCGACAGACAGGGGCGTCCATGTCAGGGTGACGAGCGACGCGCCTTGCAAATACATGCCGAGATGTCACTCAGAGGGCTGAAGTTGTTTTCGGACATGGTGTATGGAATATAATCCGTGGATCGGGGAGGCTGGCGATGATCCATAATGAGCCAAGACTCAGACCTTTTGACGTCGATAAGATCCCATCACAAGCGGTCGGAGATCAATTCGTGCATGAGTGGCTGGTTTCTAGACAAGTATGTCGTTGAATTCCGCCGGGCTGGCTGACTCGTCTGTTGAAGTTTTCCGGCAAGATTTGGAGGATGTACTCTGAGTACCGAGTCACCCTTGTACTTGCAGGATGTCTCTGCAAAGCTTTGCGGAAGGGGTCGGTTTGACAGCATCATGTTGGGGAACGCTTCAAGGTGTGTGGATGAACCCTGCCCAGGTACAGTTCCGTTGTACTTGTTCCTGGATCAGGTACAGAGAAATTTTATTCCCAGACTGGTCGCGTTGTCTGCACACTGCGCGCTTGTAGTGTGAGAGAGATGGTGTAGTGGTGTAGTGGGGGCCAGCCACCGCGCGGCACACACAATTGACCGAACAATCGCACCTGTTGGAGATTCGAGAGGAGGTTGGAGCATCTGTCAAGTTCGGTTGTGTGCATTCAGCCATGGGATGCGCTTTCCCGACCTGCTTGCAATCGTTGACCTGGTAAGGCAAGGACATGTTGCACTGCACTCGAACGTTCTGGGTCAATTGTGCCTGAGACATCTCACAACGATTCCTCCATCGTTTCTATTGCCTGTATAACTTTTTCAGTTCTATTGCATTATCGCAGCCTCGACGTCGTTCGATGGTTGAGGCATGAAGCCAATTGGAATTTGTAACAACCTCTCCACTTGACCAGTCTTTCAATTCTCTCCCACAGTCTTCAGACTTCAGCCTGCCATTCGACCGCACTCAACCGCGGACTGCGCCTCGTTCGGTAAAGAGTGCCCCGCCAGGTGACAGTGATTTTTCGCATGGCAGACGTCGTTCTGCATGTTTCCGTGATGACAAGTCAGCAATGCCGCGAGTCACAGATGCCGAGCTCAGCAACGAGGCTGGGCATTCCAGTACGACAAGTTGGTGTCGCTGCAAGATTCTCACCTCCCCTCTTCTCAAGGCTGTATTTCGCTGGCACGACTTTCTTTCCCGCTTCTGCCGCTTCCGTGGAACAACCCCGATCGCGCGCCAAGAGTCAAAATGGATGGGAGTTGGACCCACCTCACGACCTTCTTCAATGTTTTCGAATTCAGAGTCCACACACACACAATCGCTGCACACTATCGAGTACCAGGCGGCAAGCGGGAGATTGACAGCAACTCGGTGCGCGGATGGCGCATTGATCGAGAGCGTGCGAAAAATTCTTACAGAGCTTCTAAGCCAATCAGATACCTCAAAAAGCAAAAGAGTTTTCGTCTGTTTTCTCGATTTTACCTTAGCGTGTGGAGCTTGGGTTTTGCTCTTGTCTTCCTTTTGCCCTACATGTCTTGCAGATGCTTGTGCGGCGTGTCGACGCTGGGACCTCCATGTAGAAGGTCTTCGTGTGCTTTCCGTCACCAACATCCACGCTTCAACTCACACGTCGCATAAGTTGGTGCATAACAGACATATGCTGGCAGCGATGAGCCGACCTTTCCCAACCTTTCCAGCATGAATTGAGGGGGAAAAGCCATCAATCACGTAACCTTGCACTAACCAGCCAGTCGAGCTCAAGCTAGAATCGAGGCCTTGCAGCATGGCACCGTTCATCAGCCGCTGTACCAGCGAATGGTAGAGGAACAAGTCCCGGGAGTGCCTGAAACGGCGCACGAATGACAGCGCCAGAAAGACCGGGTACCTGGACCGAGTGGTCCGTAGCATCAACTTTCCGCACCCCCCACCAGAACAAGGTCTCTCTCGGTCAACTCGCTGCCTGCTGTGATTCATCAGCTTGTCGGCCACTATCCCTCGATAGGGTTCGCGCGTGAAAAAGCACATGGTAAGCCCAACCTTCGTGCTCCACATGGGGCGGCTCAATATTTTTCAACCTTCTGTTTGGTGTGCTGCTTCGGCCTGGACGACGAGCACGCATAAGAACCACGGACTGCTGCTCCAACTTCCGTCTCGTTTTGCACCACCAACGTCCATCTCTATCATTTGCTCTGGTTAGCAACGCTGCTGTGCAGTTCACTCTTTCACTGCTCGCCACATCAGTCTCTACCAACAAGGTTTCAGCTTTACCTCGACTTTACGACAGTACTTGAAAGCGCCAGCGCATCAATACAACAACCCCAGTCATCAACATGAAGAACTCTGTTTTCGCTACTGCCGCCCTGGTGGCCGCTGCCGCCGCTGACAACGTTGGAAGTGCCATCGTCGTTAACAAGTGCAACTACGATGTTACTCTTGTCAACGTCCCTTCCTCTGACGGTGGTTACTCCGAGATTGACAAGACTCTGTCTCCCTACGACACCTACACTCAGGCCTGGACCTCTCTCAGCAACGGAAACGGTTGGTCCATCAAGCTCTCCAACAGCACTTCCCTGGAGAACATCCTTCAGTACGAGTACACCTACCAGAACGACGGAACTATCTGGTACGACCTGAGCGAGGTCAACGGAAACCCCTGGGATGGCGACTGGGAGATCACTGCCGACTCCTCTTCGTGCACTCCCAAGCAGCAAGCTTACCGCTACGCTACCGATGATGCCTACGGCATGCAGGCTTGCCCCGCTGACTCCACCATCACTGTGACCCTCTGCTCCGGCGAGGAGCAGAACGATGGCGCTGCTTCTTCCATGTCTTCTTCCGTTCAGGCCCAGACCACCACTTCCAAGTTCTCGACCACTGTTCCTGCTCCTACCACCAGCGCTGCTCAGGCCCCTACCACCACTTTCCAAACTTCCACCATCACCCAAGCTGCTAGCTCCGACAGCGGCAACAGCGGCGATGTGATTGTTACCGCCACCTACGTTGTTACCACCACTCAATGGAACCACCACTGGGGCAGCTTCACCAAGCGCGACCACCACCACCGCCGCCACCCTCACGGCAACTAAAGGAGCATTGCTCCGACCGAGCACCCTGGATGTTGACATTCGGGTGCTTGCACGCCACGATGTTTGATTTGGATCTGATTTATGACAATCTTCTTCTTTCGGCTTCGTGAGAAGACTTGTCCTCTCATGTTGTCCGCCCCCTTTTCTTTTCGATTTCTGAATGAACATTCTTTTGGGTGGTATGAGATGCACCACAATGCTCTCATGGTTTGGCGATTTTTCTTCATCTTATGCTGGGTTCTTTCGAGGACTGTCTGCAGGCTGGGTTTCTTCTTTTCTGTGCTTCCCTTCACGAAGGTGAACACTGGTTATTGGCGCTGATGGTCGTTGGGATACAAGATACGATTGGGGCTTCCACGAGGGCGAATTTCACGACGAGTCACGGCTGTTCGGAATGACTGGTCGTCATGGATGAGCCTTCAATCGAGGCAAGAACGAATTTCTTTCACGTGTAACTTCTTCGACGACCAAAAGATGCCACATAGGATCTTTTAGGATTCACGACTTTACTTCTGATTCAAAAAATAGACAAGAGACATTTGATCCCTTGCTACTTTCAATCTTCACTCACTCACTTCCCATGTGCTAAAATATGTCACATCTAGCCATCTCCTGCGACCACAACTGTACAGATTCATCTTCGGCTGTAAAAATGCGCAAGATTTTTGAGGTTAGCAGAATTGTCCACAGAGACGCGCTGGATGTCTACCTCCACCCTAACACAGCAAGAATCGTTTGCAAGGTCACATTTTTCATGTCTGATATTTTTTTCCATGCTGCTTACCTCTTGTGAGACATAAACAGACGATCTTTTACCAAGCTGTCGCCGAGGATCCGCGATCTACAGGCACCATACCAAACCCCACTTTGGCAGTTTTCGGCTTCGCTTGCGGCTACTCCAGGCATTCGTCATGGATGACGACCAAACGTGTGGAGTTGCAATTGTGCACGGGGCGCTTTCTGCAGCTTTCACCTTTCCACTCCGAATCCTTCCCACTGCTTTCTTCGCCGCGGTAACAGCTTTGAGATCACCACCGAGCATCACAAACGCACATGCAGAAACCTCTGTTCAAGCGAGTCGGCAGCGGGAGAAAGCAATATATCAATAATACGAGCTTCTCAACAAAATTTAGTGAGGTGGCAGCGACAAAATTGCCTTAAGGTGACGCATTGCCGACGAATGGAGACTTGGTAACCTGCGATCCTTGCTGCTCCATCACACCCATCGATGCAGCGCTTCGAATCATGCTCGCGGTCAGGAGTGTGTAGTGGGCTTTTTGGCTAAACTGCATCGGCAAACCAGGACTCATCCGTCATGTCCAATATGTTGAAACCCAGGATTGCTCCCTGTTGAGCACATTGGACTGGATTCTGTTGTCGATGCGACCAAGATACGCACACGCGTATGTAGCTCGGTCGTGGGCCATCCGTCGCATGTTGACACTTGCAACTGAAGGGCAATCAAAGCATTCATCACAATATCCAGGAATTGCCTTGGTTCATTCTGCACTGCCCGGAGCTCGTGTTCAACTGTCAGGTGGCGACCCTGCTTACGACGACCGGTTGTCTTTTGCCAAAGTGCCACGAGTCTTGACAAGCCGTTGCATAGATGGGCATCTTTCGGACAAGTCGAGCATACGGAAACATTATGAACAACTTTTATACGAATGATAGTCGTGCCTCGAAGCATGTCTTGTCGATGCTTAACGATCCGATACACGCCTGGTCCATGGGAGCGGGTTTCTTCCACGATGCTAACAACGTATATGTAGGGGAACAGGAATTGCAACAGAACCGAACTCTCAGCCTAGCAAGGCTCCTTATAACATAGCAGTCAAAAGGCACATTGGTTTTGGTTTTTGATGTAGGTCCAAAGAGATCAAGGGGCAGTATCGCTCTTAACGGACATGTACTTGATCATCAAAAGTATCCTGCCTTTTTGCAGCCAAGGTTGCAATGCCTTGCAGGCGAGAGGGAGTTCGGTGCCGGGTCAATTTTACTGCGGCTACGTCTACGTTACTCCGATATCCCAAATCAACTCTGCATCTATGTAGCTAGCCCGTGGTATATCGGTCTAATCTCCTACGCTTCTACAAGGCGGCTATGTGTCGAGATATAGAGTGTTCTGGTTGTCGAGTATCACTTCCAGAGGAGTAGCGCTTCCCTAGCTCTCTAGAGAATCACGAAGACATCAAACCCTTGGTTCTACTCAATATCTACGCTTTTGTCATATCACAAATCGCACCAGAGGTACCAACAGAACATTCGTTGGCCAGAGTTGTTTGGTTGCACACACACACGGTAGTTCTACCGCTATTGAGTAGCACGCATATCCATGCATCTGCATCTCAAACGGTCCGGTCAATTTTCTAGTTTGCACTCAGGCTGGGTGATTGTGCGGCAATGCAAAACTCGACAGGATGGTTATTGAGATTGTGGAATAAGATATCAAGGTGATAGTGAAAATATGACCTCTCCACATAGCGAACGGTAGAAATGCACGATCCTTCTAGGCTGGAGGTGGCTTCCATTGAGAGCGTGCATCGCTGCGATCAACTTGACTAACCCACGGGATATTGTGCGCTTATGCGGCCTGTGTAAGGGAGCATCTCGATAATGTGAAGATATCATCCTTTCTGATCATAGTGGTTACAGCGAGGATGATATCCGAGCACAATAGTTCGGGTTTGTCAGTTGAGTTGGTGCAAGGGTCTCGTGGTGAACTTCGAAAGATCGTGTCTAGGATAAAGGACACGTGCAGATTGCAGCAGTCACATGACCACCAACTAGAAACAAACCACACAGTCAATGTAAATCATAGTTCTGAATATCGCCAAACTCGTTTTGGTATCTCTAACAATTATGTTGATCTCGTAAAAGCACAATGGTTGCGTCGAGTGGTCGTCAACGGTGTGACCCTGGCCGCGGCTGCCTGACTGCCTGACTGCCAGACTGCCTGACTGCCTCATTGTGAAACACTTTGCATCGCGCCTGCCTCCGTCGTAGGGTTTGCGCATGAGCTAGCTTCTTCAGGCTAAAGAGTATACGAGAGCTCTTGTTGGTCAAATGGCTTGTTCTCGCGAATCTATTAAAGACGGCGCAGCTGTGTCAATGTTCATAGAGACTTGGAATTTTGTCCGATGGCGTTTCGGTAGACTTTTACCCGACCACCGATCCATGACCTGCCGTGCCACCACTTCTCGAGCTGCCTGGTCTCTCACTTCTGACTCTCCTCTCGCGTCTGAAACATCCAAACTGTCCTTTCGTGCCTTCTCTTAGCCTCTTCAAGATCGCTCTCATCTCTGGAAGCTCGGCCTGCAGTCTGGTCCTGGCATCTGCATCTGTTCTCTCATCAAGCACCAGGTATATCCTCGATTGTATGTCCGAAGCCTTCTCAGTCGTGTAGTTAGAAAGCGTTTGTGCTAGCAACTCGACATCGAGGGTTGCTTGCATCAAAGCCGTAAGTGAGTAGGTGCGACGTTCAGAGAAAGCAGCAAGAAGAGACTCGCTAGCAGATTCTAGGAAGTGAGATAGCAAGGGTGAAGTCAAGGTGCTTGCTGTGGTCGAGACTTCAGTATGGACCAGTACCAAGGCAAGCAATACATCGTAGATATAGGGACGAGCGTTGGTAGGTCGTGACGAGGTCTTTGGCAACCAGTTGGGTGATGAGATGCCGGCGGAGATGATCACACGGAGTTGTGTTGTGGTGGGCTTGACATAGCCTTGGAAGAGGCGGTCGTCAATTTGTTTGAGTACGTCGCGGATTTGCTTTGATTCATCGGTGAATTTGATCGAGAAGGAAGATTCGAATTGCGAGATTAGTTGTGGAACGACTTCACGGCGTAAGTGGTTAAGGTTGCTAAGTGTGAGTAGTAGACGGACGTTCTGGTAAGCTGAGTTAGGCATTGACAGAATGGCTGCATGCATGGTTTGACATACCTTGTCGGTTGCTCGTGTTGTCAAGACGTTGTTGTCCGCACCCAGACCACCTTGCGCTATCGGCACTGTAAGACCATCTGGGTCCACGATACCTGACTCTTCCAATTTCTTGTTCTTCTCCGCGTTCTCAACTGCACCGCTAAGGGTCTTGTATATGCTGGTGATGAACTGATGTCTGACCATTTGTAGAAGCTTGGTAGGCGGAGGCCCAACGACGTCCTCATAACCAGGACGTGACATTGCCCCAGAAATGTACAGAATCTTCTGCATATCGCCAAGGATAGTTTCCTCAAAGGCGCTGAAGCGGTACGGCATGTTGGTAAGATCTCGGCGATCTGAATGTCTTGACCAGTCTTCGAGATATCTGGTCTTGTCGGAGTCGACGTTCCAAGCAGCACAGACAGCCTGAATACAGCGTTCACGCACTCCACTGACCATGGTCTTGAGCTGCTCTGCCATCCGATAATTATCTCTGACGAGAGAGAGGCTAGCAACCTCGCCAGCCGATGTACCGACAAGAAGTAAGATATTACTGAGATAGTGGACACCGCTCAAAGAGTTTGCGTAAGGTGCCCAAAAGGCGAATTTCTCCCATGATTCACCACGTTTGGGTGAGGGCTCAGGGATGTTGTTGACATCGAAGGAAAACATGCGTTGATCACTGGCCAGACTAGAAGAAGGGGTATCGGGTGTTGCAGGAACCGGTGAAAATAGTGACGAGATATCCTCAACAGGAGAATCGACAAAGAATGAAAAGACGTTCTCACGCATGCTGTTCAGCAGATCGGTAGCAGAATGACGAAGGCGGCTGATCTCGTCTTCTCTCAGATCAAGATGCTGACGACCGCCTTCAGAAGAAAAGACTCCGGTGGGTAGATTTCTCTGGGCTTTGTGCGAGATGAATGACTCTGCAGTCTCCCAGAACTCAACAATCTCGCTTAAAAGCCCACCCTGGGAAGATAGCAGACTGTTCAGTGCGCTTTGCACCTTTTCCCAAAAGTCGATAATCTTCGAGGCGTCCATAGCATTGGGTTCGTTGTTCGAATTTCGGTCTTGCACAAAGTTTGCCACTGCAGACTGTAGATGGAGCTTCGAAGTTTGAAGCGTAGGCGGTTCTGCAGATGCGAGACGTCGTCTCGAAACCTCAATCTCGATGCGCATACGATCGAACGAGCGGGTGAGCTTTTCTTTGAGGTTGTTGTATCGACTGAAAAGCCAGAACGTGATGGGGTTATCATCCATGTCGATCTGTAGTAGTGTCGCTATCAATGTCATAGTCGTGTCAGGCTGACCAGCAGTAGACGGTGTAGAGCGACGAGTCCTTGCGGCAGATAGTTGTTTACGAGATTCGCGCTTGAAAGCACCGATCTGAGATTGAGCGTCCGACCAAACCTTTGCAGCAACCAGAATTTGATGAACGTCCGAGTCTGATAGTTCTTGACTAGTTTCAGCTTTTCGAGTCGCATCATTGGCAAGCTTTTTGGCACGGTTGTATTCAGATACAAGAGAATCGTAATCTTTCTTGCGGATGGCATCTTGTAGAGCCTGGCCAATACCAAACACGTCACGATTTTGCTCAACATAAGACAGGACAGATTTGAGATCTTCCTCCTTTTCGCGACCGCCGAGTGCAGGGCCCCAGACTTCTTCGGCCTTTGCACCAAGTTCGATCAAGGGAGCCTTTATTCCAAGAACGCCATATTCACTCTCCTTTGTCAGAGCATTCTTCTTCTTGTCGGGCAGCTTGTTGATTACGGTTGGTGTCAGAGCTCCGCTGGGAGTACGGAAATGTGAGATGCCTCCCCTACTCGTGTGCCTCGAATGTCGTCGTTGATGGCCGGGAGAAACTGGCATGGCCTGCTGACCTTGGGTACGCATCTCGGTGTATACATTATCGATAGTCGCTTTGGCCTTAACAAAGCGTTCGAAGTTGGACTCGACCAGCAGTTTCAGTGAAGCGGACTTTTGCTCGATGGAACGGGACAGAAAATCAAGACCGTTGAGTAGGGAGTCGGTCGAAGCGGAGTGGTGGACTTGAGAGAGGAACAGGTTCGGCGAGAAGGTGGTCGACGACAGCATGAAACGATTGCGTAGACGGAGGTTCTCCTCAACGGGCAGTCCACGGCGACGCAACTCGTGTACTACGCTAGGAACGATGCCCAAAGGGTCGGGTTCATCTTTCTGCACACTGTTGTCGGATCGTTTCCCTCCAGCAGAGAGGGTGCGATCCAGAGCAGCGAACTTGGACTCCCTATGGTTCGCGCTTGTCGCGTCAGTGGCAGCATCGCTGTCGTAGTCGTCATCGTCGCGGTCCGGCCATTCTGAAGGATATAAGGAGTCGAGCTTGTAATGATTGAGCAGCTCTCGCTCGACTTCGGCAGACATTGGAAGTTGATGCTACAGTTATCATTGACTACTCAAGTAGTGACTGGCTGGCTGTCGCTGTACGAGTACACGTCCTCAAAGTCAATGCATGGGCCCGCCAGCGTGTTCAGTCGTGTTGATGCGGGGGGTATCAGATGGGAGCGATTATCTCTTGGCGCATGCTGGCTCCCGCTCCGGCTTGTCCCTTGTCGCGAGCCGACTCGAAAAGCGCTGTTTGGTAGCCTCGCTTTCGAAGCTGTTGAAGTCCTCCACCACGCACTCTCGACCGGCAATCTCCTCTCCCCGTCGTCTCTCGCTCTCTCAGCCAATTCATCAACATGCTCGGACCCCGAACATTGGCCAGCCCTGCGCGCCAGTGCCTGCGCCAGGCCAGACAGCAGCAGTTCACCAGACTTTCCTTCGCTCGCTCCTACGCCGTCGCCGCCGGTGACAAGGTCGCCAAGTTCAAGGGTACCAAGGGCAACGACGGCAAGTACACCGTCTCCCTGATCGAGGGTGACGGTATCGGTCCCGAGATCTCCCAGTCGGTCAAGGACATTTTCTCCGCCGCCAACGTCCCCATCAAGTGGGAGCCCGTCGATGTCACCCCCCGCCTGAAGGACGGCAAGACCGTCATCCCCGACGAGACCATTGAGTCCATCTCCCGCAACTACGTCGCCCTGAAGGGTCCCCTCGCCGTATGTCCCACCGCTGCCTCTATGCGCCCGCTCTTGCAAAATCTCCCCAGACTGACTCCCCCATTCTAGACCCCCGTTGGCAAGGGTCACGTCTCTCTCAACCTGACTCTCCGTCGTACCTTCAACCTCTTCGCCAACGTCCGTCCTTGCAAGTCTATCCAGGGCTACAAGACCCCCTACGATGGTGTCAACACTGTCCTCATCCGTGAGAACACCGAGGGTGAATACTCTGGCATCGAGCACGTCGTTGTCGACGGTGTTGTCCAGTCCATCAAGCTCATCACTCGCGCTGCCTCTGAGCGTGTCCTGCGCTTCGCCTTCCAGTACGCCCAGGAGGTTGGCTTGAACAAGGTTCGCGCTGTCCACAAGGCCACCATCATGAAGATGTCCGACGGTCTCTTCCTCAACACCGCCCGCGAGCTGTCCAAGGAGTACCCCAACATTGAGTTCGATGCCGAGCTTCTCGACAACACCTGCTTGAAGGTCGTCACCGACCCCACTCCTTACAACGACAAGGTCCTGGTTATGCCCAACCTGTACGGTGACATTCTTTCCGACATGTGCGCCGGTCTGATCGGTGGTCTTGGTCTGACCCCCTCGGGTAACATTGGTGACGAGTGCTCCATCTTCGAGGCCGTCCACGGTTCCGCTCCCGATATTGCTGGCAAGGCCCTTGCCAACCCTACCGCTCTCCTCCTTTCTTCCATCATGATGCTGCAACACATGGGTCTCCACACCGAGGCCAACAGAATCCAGAAGGCCATCTTCGATGTTCTTGCCGAGGGCAAGGTATGTTTCTTGCTTCTCTACTCCCTACCTAGCCAAAATACTGACTCTGTTTCTAGACCATCACCGGTGATCTCGGTGGTTCGGCCAAGACCCACGAGTACGCTGCCGCTGTCATCGCCAAGCTCGCTTAGAAATCTGCTTTATTGCTTGAGAAAGACGATTGGCACGAGTGGTGGTGAGGCGAGTGAGAACGAGAGACTGATGAAAATATATCAAATGCCGGTTTCTTCCTTTTCCTCTTACCTTCCTCTTTTGTTCTTTCTCTCCCTTGTTTATCGCTGTAAAATACACCCTCTTCCTAAATACCATATCCGCCCATTTTCTTTGACATGTTACCCCATCCTCCATGCTTCCATGTGTTTGTTCAAATTTCCTGGGAATGTGGAGGAGGTCGGGTCGGCGGGAGCTTTCGGCTATCTACGTCCGTCGCGGCCCGAGAACACGGCAGTCAGTTCAGCTGCTTCCGGCATGCTCATCACAAGGCACAGCAACCTCTCCGTGTATTAAAGCAAAATGGCGACATACATCTGGCAGTCAGAGATCTGTATTGGCTGCATGCTCTCAGCTTTTAACGTGCTGACATTTCTAGCTATCAAGATGTACAAAGTATCTGAGGATGAAGAAAGTGCCCGCCAAGACTGATACATTGCCATGTACTCCATGTACGAACACATCAAAGTCATAAAATGATACATTTCAACAGCTACAGCATAAGAGCAGGATGCGGAGAGGAAGGTGACGATCAAGATGTCATTCTTGATTAGCTGTCGCGATGTGCAGTATCTTTTAAGCGCTGGAAAATGGACATCGAGAGATGATTCAAATGTGTTTCCGTTCGATTGTTGTGCTATAGCCATGCTTTGATAAACTCCACTGAAGTAAAAGAGCAAAAGACCAGCAATGTTTCCTTCCTTTCCGTGCGTATCGTTCTTCTCGTCTTCTCAGAAAGCATGTTGTGTGGTGCGCCTCATATACGCCAGAGCCCAATGCAAGTGAAAAAGCAACCAGGCATCCCTATACCATTCTTTCCCTTTAATAACCCCTTTTCTTTTTCGTGCTCCCGGTGTGGGAAAGCTACTCGTGATGCATGAAGAGCTGGCTGATGCTTTCACCGTGGTTGTTGCGGCGGATAGCTTCAGCGAGCAAAGTGCTGACATCCAAGACAACCAACTTGCGGATGCCCTTGCGCTTTTCCTCGGGAATGGGGAAGGCATTGGTGACAACGATCGCATCAATCTCGTCACACTCGTCCATCTCGCGTAGACAGTCTTTGCCAAAGAGACCGTGGGTGGCCATGCAGTAGACTTTTGTGGCACCACCGCGCTTGACGACCGTCTCGGCAGCGGCGATCCATGAGCCAGACTTGTCGATTATGTCGTCGACGATGAAGACGGGGCGATTTCGCACGTTGCCGACAAGTGTGATAGTGGTCTCAAGCTCAGGGTCTTGGAGAGCTTCTTCCTCTTCGTCGTCTGAGGCTGTGGCGTCGCCGGTACCGCCAAGAGCAAAGTCAGGACGGCGAGAAGATGCGATGGATGCGAAAGATTGCATCATGTGGTCGGGAACCTCCTCATCGTCGGAGCCTGCGCTTCTCATGGGGTAGAGGCCGGGTGTGGAGCTGGACATGGCGGACATAACAGGCGAGGGGAAATCGTCGTCGACAAGGTGACCGTGGATAAGACGACCAGTAATGACGTTACGGGCACGCTCGTCGGTGTACTCATCGGCGGCTTCTTCGTCTTCGTTGTCCTCGGTGGGCTCAGCAGGAGGCTGAACGGTGCCGAGTGCGGTGGACACGCGGTGAAGCTTAGGTGGGCCGTCGAGTGCGGAGACACTGTCGGGCTTGTCGCTTGATTCATCATGTTGTCCCTCCTTGTTCAGGCCGTCAGACGAGTCGGGGCGCGAGAACTGAGCCAAGGGGCTGGGAAGAGCCGGGGCACCCAACAGCCTGCTGTTGAATGCAGTGGTCGAGCGCGGCTTTCCGGGACGGCGTTGGAAGTTATCTGGACGGCTCTCGGAGTTTGCATAGTCAGAAGGTTTGCTGTCGCCGGACTGGGGAGCGAAGTCGTGCTCGATCGGAGGAGCGTGGTCGAGGTCGGTGTGTTGCTCGGCTTCGACTTCTTCAGCTGCGGCAGCTGTTGCGGCAGAGGAGACCTCGACTGGGGCCATGGACTCGCCGGTGGCGGTCTCGTAGATGACTGAGTTGTACATGCTCTGGCCCATGTTGGGGCGTCTTCTGTCAGTGGTGACAATGCCGAAGCTCAGCTTCAAGGCATCGGCCAACGAAGTCACACGCTTGGTACCACCGGGGTTCTTGCTAACAACGACACCCTCCTTCCAGTTCTCGACGGTGCTGCGGATCCAGCGGGCAAGGAGGGGCTCGGCGACCAGATTGTCGACGGGGCACTTGAAGAAGCCCTGCATCTGGCTTGCGTGAAGGTCAATGGTAATGACGTGGTTAACGCCGGCAATGTGCATCAGGTTGGCAATCATGCGGGCAGTAATTGCACCTCTGTGACTCTTCTTCTTTGACTGGCGCGAGTATGGGAAGTATGGCATGACGGCTGTAGAGCTTGGTCAGTGCTGGGCGCATCGAAAGAGCTTGTTTGTATGTTCGATCTTACCGGTGACAGTCTTGGATGAGCCTCCCTTACAAGCGTTAATCATAATCAGGAGCTCCATGATGTCGTCGTTGGTCCTGAACGGTCAGCGGAGTCCATGGCAATGATCAAATGCCATACTTTTGAGAACCGCTTTGGATGATGAAGACGTTCATGTCGCGCACCGACGTCTTGATCTCGACACTGGTCTCTCCGTTGGCGAACTTTCTAAGATCGACCTTGTCGGGACGTCTGCCGAGTCTCTCGCAGATGCCATCGGTCAGGACGGGGTGGCTACGGCCGCCGAAGACACACGTCTTACGCATGTTGAAGATGCACGGGGGTGGTTGTTGTATGAACTAGAGTGGACGCCGAGCTTCGCGGAGCCTTCGACGTGCGAGACGTGGCGTTTGTTGTGGTTTGTCGCGTTGAAGCGAGTTCTGCTTTACTGCTCTCTTCACATGGTGAGGTAGTGAGCTCGACGTAATTTTGCTCCATAGAAGTTATTTGCTTGCTTGCTCCGTTATCGCGGCCCGTGCCATATCACTTGGCAATGACCAATGCGACTCCTCTCCAATCGCGTCAATTCCTTGTGTAGGACTGCTAAATCCTGAAGTAAGAAGTCAAAAGAATATGTCACTCGGAAAACTACTTCTACGGCACGAGCTAATCTAATTATTTGGACGTGGTGTGATGGCTTCCTGATGCGGCTGTCGGGACAACACTTCTGACCTCTCCGGACGCAAAATAGACAGTATTTTTGGTGTCGCGTGATTGGCTGAACTCAATTGCTTACACGAGTGTTCTTCTCCTAACAATGCACGCTTTATCGCCGAGAACGGTATGAACAAACTGAACATGTTGGCAGGCAGGCTATGCAAAATCGAACCATGGCTTGCGTCCGAGAACAAACAGTCGCGTTCGCAGTGCAATTTCTGGTGGAAGAAGTTATGCCTCACTTAGGTGCAGCATCCACTGTGACAACCATCTGACTTGGATCTTAAGGATTTGAGCAATCTTCTACGAGTAGCTACAAAAGTGTGGCAGGCACAGTGAAAACAGCGGTCAGCTTCACTTCCTCCAACCACATGCCGTTCCACTCACACAGCGAGCTTGCGTGTCTATATTGCGCGGGGTGGTCGCTGTGAGGCTGGAGCTCTTTATCTGCTGACCATCTTCCACTCTCTGTTTCTTGTTACCTTCTTCTCTTCATATCAGGAGTCGTTCTCAGCCCTTCCAACCTCTCTCAGAAGTAACCAGCAACCCAGCCCATCTCATTCCAAGCAACAAATCGAGTTCCGGCAGTCATGTCTCACTCATCTTGTCCCAAGTGCGGTGCAACCATCTCCGGTGGAAAGTCCTGCGGCTCATGCGGTGCTGTATGTTTCTTCTGCCAAACATCTTCTCTCGAGTACTTCCAGATCATCAACCCTGACCTTTCATCAGACATGCCCCAACTAAGACCCTTCCTATGACCTGCATCCGTATCATCACGGTTATGCCGATCAACCGAGATACCCCGCGGACACGACTTTCCCATCCTTCACATCATCCACATTTCTTCACTTACGACAATGACGACAAGGTTGACAAATTTTTGGTTCTTGGAACACATGCGCGGAGTTGGCCTCCGCTGTTGCTCACTGGTTAGCAAGGGAGATTTTCAATCATAAGACTCGACTCGAGGGCCAGATCAATTGCGTTTAGCCGGTGCATCGATATTGACATAACAACAAGCAATAGCATCATCCACATGTCAATGGAAACTCTTTCTCTCCAAGCGTGACGTATTGACCAGATTATTGCTCCCCTATTATAAACTGCTCTCCCTCCCTTCAGCTCGTCTTGAAACCATTCTAACGTATACTACCACTCTCAATCACATCCATCATGTCGGACATCCCTACCACAGGCACTCGCAGTCAGCTGCACCCCGAAATCCAGACCTTCCTCAAGGACCACCCAAAACTTCACCTCGGAGGCCAGGAAGATTTCCACGATGAGAGGAACCACCATCTCGAGGTCTTTGGTATCCACAACCTGCCCAAGGATAAAATTCACCCCATTGGAGAGGTCGAGTTCACTGCTATCCGTGGGGCCCATGGAACAATCCCTGTTCGTGTCTTGTATCCCAAGAGCGGAGAGGATAAACGCAAGAACGGTGAAGCAGCTGCTTTGGTCTACTTTCACGGTGGAGGTTACACGGTCGGCTCAGTCGATGAATTCGAGAACGGTCTGAGATTGCTGGCCGAAGAGAGTGGAGTACAGGTAACCATCCCTCTATCATTATCACCTACAAGCAAGTTGCTAACAAGCTCCAGGTCTACGGTGTCGACTACAGACTCGCCCCCGAGTACCGCTTCCCCATTCAATTAGATGAGTACTCCGCCGTAATCGACTGGCTCCAAGGCGATGGAGGCAAAGCTCGCGGCGTACACCCCTCCAAAGTAATGGGCGGCGGCGACTCAGCAGGCGGCAACATGACCGCAGCAACAACCCTTCGCCGTGCAGACAAAAACCAAACACCTCTCGCCGCACAAATCATGCTGTACCCCGAAGCCCGCGTTCCCTTCGACACCCCCGCCGCGGTCGAAAACAACAGCGGCTACTACCTCGAGTGCAATGGCATTTTCAGTTTCGCCGATCACTATTTGCCCAGAGGTACACCGCCATCAAATCGCTACATATCGCCCGGTATGCAGGATATCAGTAAACTTGGTGGCCAGCCCCCTGCTGCCATCTACACGTCTGGCTTTGACCCTCTGCGTGATGTGGGTGTTGAGTATGCGCACAAGTTGAAGCAAGCGAAGAATGAGGTTGTTTGGCATCATTATGAGGATATGACCCATGGATTCTTGCAAATGACTGCTTGGTCGGACAAGGCTATCTCTTGTGTCAAGGATATCGCTATGGATATGAAGAAGTTTGGCTACGGCTCATGAATATAATCTACAGGGGGAAGGGACGCCGGTAGTCACTTCTAAATCTCGTGCTCAATGTACATCATGAATGCATGCCTCGGCATTTCTGTGACTTCAATTGGTAGTGGTTGATGGAATGCCAATTTCAAGGTATAGCAAGAAAGACAACTATGCAACTTACCAATGCACTAAAATACCCTTGTCGCTATAGACATGTACGAGGCCTTTCAGATCGGGAGACATCCGTGAAGATGAGCAAGTCGGCGTGCTCTCACTGGATACGACTCCGACCTGAACAAGATTCTGACTATTTACAGTCACACCCCTTTAAGGCTGCTCGCGAGAGGGAGCGAATGCGACATAATCAACAGCTGATAGGAGTTCGTGATCATGTAATATAATTAAAACCAATCGAGTATACAATATAAAGCCTGTCACTGAGAAGGGTATGCCACACTTCCCATGAACACCCTCGTCCCAAAAACCGATATCGTGATCCCAGCTCGTCCCGTCGTATCAACATGTTTAGGTGTAGATACTCTCAGTGTAGTAGTTGACTGCCAAGCCCTTCTCAGCCATCTCTGCGTTTTCGAGGAAGTGAAGCGGCATCCACACAAGATGTCCCTAATTTGCGTGAGCAGTTGTTCAGATCGAAAGGAGTGAATACCACTTACCTTAATCTTGTCCAGGTTACTTTTTACGTCAGCCTCGGGTTGGTACTTGTTGTACAGATGGCCCTGTTTCATGTCTCCCCTGGGCAAGAAGTTCTGGTAGTCTTCAAAGGTGCGAATGTTGTCATCGGGATCTGCGTGGAACAGATGACGGAAGACCTCTGTGTTGACAGTAGCTCGCTCGGTCCACATATTCCAAACCTCGTCGCACAAGGGGTCAGTAACAAGCTTGTCCCATTCGTCACCCTCGTACCAGTGGTTAGGGCAGACGTCCGGGGGCTGTGCGTTAGGGTCCTCGCTTGCGTCCAAAGGCTGAGCAGGCAACAAACCTAAGTGTTCACGCCAAAGCATACGACGAAGGGTAGCAGCGTGATGACCAGCTTGGTATTCATGGCCGTCCATCATCGAAGGAAGTGCATTAGTATCCTCCATGATAATGGTCAGTTCCGAGTCGTGGTAGCCCAATTGAGATCGATCGTTGATGTTACTGCTTCCGCAGATGGCAATTCTGTCATCGACAATGCAAGTCTAGCACAAAGTCAGCGTTACTCCTTATAAATTCACAGGTGGTTTCATTCACCTTTCCATGAACGTAAAGTTCCTCCTGAACCCAGTTTTCCTTCTCTTGTTCGGCGGCATTCTCGTCCCATGGCTCCTCGCTAACCTTCTTTTCGCCCAACATGGCGCTCTTAGCCACACTGTCTGCACTGATGACTTCATCCTTGTTGAGTCCGGCAGCCGCTCTACGGGCTTCGAACTTGCGCTTACGATCCTTGTAGTGCTCCTTCTCATCATCCTCGGATTCGCCCTCGTCGGAAGAAGACGATTCTGCACCACCGTGCACACCGGAGGACATGATCTCCTCGGCCTGGGCACGCTGGACTTCTTGGTAAGTAACACCGGACTCTTCTTCCATCTTCTTCATTGCTGGTGTCTTGTTGAGTCGATCGTATGAGCGAAGGTTGAATACGAAGACGTGCTTCTCGGGATCGATACCCTCCTTTCTGATCTGGCCGAAGATGGAATGTTCTCCTCTGTTGATCGACTTGTATTGGTAGTCCATGATTGCTCTGAAGATGTGTTAGCGGATGCGTGAGCACTGAGGAAACAGGAGACTATCTTACCTAGTACCGGCGGCGGCATTATCTCTCAGGTCACCAGCGAATCCAGGAATAGCCGGAATAACGATGATGACTCTGAACTTGCGACCTTCCTTGCCAGCTCTAACACAAGCGTCGACGATGGCTCTACCGATCAGATTGTGGATGGGTGCTTGCTCCTCTCCAGTGGAAGTGATGAAGAACTGGTTCTCAATGTAGACAAAGTGCTGGGCATTTCTGATGATCTCACAGTATGCGTTCTGGATACTGTGCTCGGTCAGGATACCACTGGACCAATCTGCGCTGCTTCGCACAATCTGCGCATGGACACTGCCTTGGACGTTTGAAGGATCCGGTCTGCCAGTCTTGACGTTCATGGGCGAGATGGGGTGGTGAATGTACTCTCCAACAGGATGCTTAGGCCTTTGGACTGCAATCAGATCCTCATCTTCACCCTCACGGCCCTCCAGAGTGAGCCAGTCGAAACGGTCATCACGCTTGTACTTGTCACGCTTGACAAAGTTCCAGCGCAACTGGAAGTGCTCGGCGATATCGTAGACACAAGGACCGATAACACCCATAGCCACATCGTGCCAGGGCATACGTCCATAATCGGCCTTGCTCAACTCATTACTTTTCCAATCTTTGACATCCTGGAAGTCCATAATACGATTGTTATTGAAATCTTGTCCAGGGAAAACTTCGTTCTCGACACCCGAAGGATGAGCATCGGCTAGGGGATGCTGCATCTGGTCCCAGCGACCGAAACAAAGGTCAAGGCCGCCGATGAAGGCCAGATCGAAGTCGATGACGATGAACTTTTCGTGATGGGCCCAGTAGAAGGTCATGTCTCCGGCGTTTTCGAAGACGTTGTGGTCGGGGTGACGCATGCTGTGTATGAGATCAGTACTTGATATGGATTGGGGAGCTGCACGCGGTTCTGTGGCGGTATGTACAGAAGAGGGGACGGTCATAACTTACACATGGATGTTGCCATGGCCAGGAGTTCCCTCGGGGCAGAGAGCACGAAGGGCACGCTTGGTGTGGGCAGAGTTGCAGGTCAAGGCTTGGTTGACTTCCTTGTAGACGACAATGTAGATTTGGACGCCGCGTTCAGCTGCACGCTTCAGGATGTGATCCAGACGCCAATCTTGAGTGGTGAATGGAGGTCTGCGCAGGAAGAGTTCGGGCGACAGCCACCAATCCTCGATGTAGATTGTCTCCTTTGCTCTTTCAAGTGCGACCGACACGGCGTGGAAGTAGTCGCGGCCGTCAATGTACCACTTGATTTTGTTTCCATCTCTTTCCGGCGCGAAACTTTGGAAGCGATGGCCTTCGCCGATTTTTGTTCTCTTCTCGTCGGTAGCCTTCTCGTGCTCTTCGTCATGACGATGGTTTGGGTTGATCAGGTTCTGCCACTTGCCAATCTTGTGCTTCGCGTGGACGGCCTTGACCTTGATGTCGTAGAGAGATGTCTCCTTCAGCTTCTGTCTCAGGTCCGAGAAAGGATGCTTGATGTGGTCGCCAGCACTCTTATGCTCCGCGTCGGTCGAGTCACGAGTCTGCTCTGCCGAAGAGTCGACATGCGACGTCTTTCCGATAAGACCCATGTTGCGTATTTGGACTGGTCAGCGCTTAGGTATGCGCAGCGCACGCGATATTAGGTATCGAGTCGCGAAAGGGTCCAATCAATGACCTCAATCGATTTTGAGAGATAAGGAAGTGCGGAGGAGGGGAAGAGGGACAAGGAAAAGAAAGACCGGCTGAGCTCGGAGTGTTAACGTTTACCTTGAAAATCGAAGGAACGCTGCACCTTCCGAAAACCTGATCGCCAGACACAAGTCCTCGCCCAACTTGTCCGATCTTGGTGCAAGTGTGGTGTTTCGAGTGTCGCCTAACCTACGAGAGCCCCGCGCTTACTATTATGTCATCCCGCAGCTTCCAAACCAAGATCAGATCAGTGGAGTTGGTGTGGCTTGCAAGGGGTGGCTGGCTATCATCTTATCCAGGATCCATCAAAGAAACATCCCCTTGAAAGTTGGCTGGTGGTCAAATCAACTCTTAGGTTATGTATGCTCATATTACTGCCATATTCATGTATGAAAAATCATCTAGACACAAAACACTCCCTTCTTCCCTGTATGCATAAAATCCATCCCGCAAATTTACAATGCCAAAGACGGTGAAATTACAAATGCCAACGCCATACGCGAACAGCAACTTCATCTTGTTCCAAAACCGACTACATACCAGCAGCCAACATCAAGCCATAACCAACCGTGATGATTACGACGTAGGCCATGATTGAGGCGGGTACACCACGCGTGATGAAGTGCTTAACCTGGAGGTAACGTCTGCCAGTGTTGGGCTCTTCCATCATGATTGCAGCTGTGGTATTACGTCAGTACTCATTCGCAGCAGTTTACAGGTATTCAAGAACTTACTCATGTTGGGGAACCCAGAAGTGGGAAGACCCATAGCAGCGGAAGCCATGAGAACGCTTCCCATAACAAGAAGGTTGGGGTGTGGATCGCTCATGCCCTCACCAACCTGCTGAACCAAGGGCAACACAATCAAGGCAGCGACTGTGTGGGAGATAAAGGTAGCTACGACACCGATCAAGGCAGCAAACACAACCAGCACGCTGTAAAGGCCGAGACCTTCGACGCGAGTGGTGATGGATTCGGCAATGGTACGCAGCAACCCAGACGAGTTGACGGCCTTTCCGAGTGCCAAACCGCCAGCAGCCAGAATAATGATGGTCCAGAGGAAGTTGTTGAAGTCCTCCTTGTTGAGAATGCCCAACCCGAAGAAGACAACCATAGGAAGAATGGCGACAACGCCCATGTCACCAAACATGAATTCGAGCTGGTGGCTGAAGCACCAGAGCACGATGGTGAAAATAGTGACAAAGCTGATGAACCACTGGGTAGGTGTGAACTTGTCCTTCATAGGGCGAATGGGCACGATTGTCGTGTTGCGACCTGGACGGAATGTGACCAAAAGCAGACCCCAGATCAAGAGGATGGAGATAATGCAGACGGGGAGTGAGATGAAGAACCAGACTCCCCAGCCGGGTGCTGGTGTCATGTTCTGAAGGGCAATCAAGTTTTGAGGGGAAGCAATTGGCGAGGCAGCGCCTCCCATGTTTGAAGATAGAGCAATGCCCAAGAGCAGAGCCTTGGACATATCCGAGTCGGCCGGCAGGTTTCGCAAAATGGGCTACAATATGGTCAGTGTTTTGTCCTCAATAGTCTTGGGTGAAGCACATACCTGAATGATGGAGAAGCAGAGAACAGGAGCTGCGACGTTACTGATCCACATACTGGCAAACATAGCAACAAACATGCTGGTGATGAGCACGTTGCGAGGTTTCGTGCCAGCCTTACTAAGTACGAACGTCGCCATCATCTTCGCAATGTTATGCTTACTCAATGCAGCAGCAATCGTGAAGCCTCCGAGCAAGAGCATGATGACAGGGGACCACATAGCACCGAAAATGTAAGTTGCTGCTGCCTTGGATTCGAGACGACGATGAGGCTCGGCTTCGGATCTGACGACGCGCAAGACCACAACAAGGAAGGGGACGAGCAGCGAAGTCACGAACAGTGGGATGGCCTCGGTGGCCCAGAGCAAACTTACAAGGACGACAAGCGCCAAGCAGTTCTGTTCAACTGGAGACTCCATGATGGGTGCGAATAGCAGGATGAAGAAGACGGCAACCACAGCCACCAGAGTATAGAAAGTGCTTGACAGGAGGAAACGTGGGCATCGGTACTTACCAAGAGGTGTGACAACCTCCTTGGTAGCCTCCAGCTCTTCGTCACCCTGCAAACGTGCCTTGCCGCGGTCTTCGATACCGCCCAGCATTGTTTGGCCGAGACCCATGTTGGCGGCTTGTGCTTTTCGCTCGATACCAATCATCTCACGCCAGACGGTGTTGCGCTCCCAGACGACGTGTTCGCGCAAGTGTAGGCGCAGCTCACGTCTGGCCAGGTCGACATCGCCCTTGGTCACAAGATCTGCGTATGCTGTCTCGAGCTTCTCGATGTTGACATTCAAGCGATCGGTAGTATCCTGTTGGAAAGGATAGGCATTGTCGACGTTGGCCTTGATGTATGAGCTCTTGAGCTTGCGGTCCAGAGTTTTGTCGTACTTCTTCAACACTTTCGCGAAACCAGTCTTATTGAGTTGGATGAAAGAGCGCAGTTCGCACAAGGTGACATATAGACTGATGGTGCGTTTCTTGAGAGTCACGCCTTCGTTGTACAATACGTCGAGGGCTTGGTCGTCAAAGTCGTGAGAGCTGCTAGGTCGTCTACGCGACGAAGAATCCAGATTGGAGCTTGCCGACATGTCGTATGGGTTGCCGTCGCGAGAGTTTGACTTGGTGAGACCGGTTCGTTCATCATCACTCTCGCCTTCTTCTTGATGGCCACTCAAAGTACTGGCGCGTCTTCGACGACCGATGCTGAAGCCCTTGAAGATGCTAGCTTTTCTCGCCTTTGCCAAAGTACCGTTCCTTGCAGCCGGGCCAGCCTCGTGTTCTCCATCCTGCTCTTGTGTCTCTTCCTCAAACTCCTGTTCATCCTTGAGGAGTGACTCGACTTCGGCAAAGATATCCGACTCCTTGTTCTGGTAGAAGGAAATGATCTTTTCCAGGTCGTGGTCTAGGGCGCGGGAAAAGACCTTGTCTGGGTCCTCATTGTCGCCGGCAAGAAGTGGTGAGGCCTCGACATCTTCGGGGATGGTATTTGCTTGGTGAAGCCTCTTCTCGAGGGTGTATATCCTGGCGTACGTCAGTAGGCAGAAAGCAAGGGCTTCGTGGACGCGACGGACAATTTCTTGAGATTGCTGTACGAGATGTAGTTGTTGCTCCACTCGGGCACGGCATTGAACTGGATGCTATGCGAGAACTTCATGTCGAGTATGCGCGCGAGCTTCTCGAGTCGCGCGGCCGAATATTCGTTGTGCGATGATGATGTCGACGACGGAAGTGGCACTGCGGGTGCGGGAAGAAGAAGGCCGAGCTCGATGTCGGTATCGTTGAATCGTCCACCCTCCAGAATGCTGACGCCAAACGGTTGTTCTTATTGATTCCGGTATCCTCTCACGTGGACATCTGTATCTACAGGTGTGGGTAGCCTCAATGTATCGCACGTAGTCGCTGTGATGGACTTCAACGTGGGTAACGACACCGTGCCATCATGATTGGCTTGGGTTCCAAGACAACCAATCCCCCAGCTTGGCGTAGGTATGCTTCTCGCGGTCCCTCCTCGACCAACACCACTTTCGGCCCTCTTGAATGTCATTTGACCTTGTTATGTGGCCCTCGCCCTGCGTACTGGTCCACTTCGTTCGCCTCATCATGTGCACCCTGCATGCAAGGTGCCTGCACACCGACGCCCAGAATGTCACTGCAAGATAGCTGTGTAATTGCACCATGTCATGCTTTTGTCTTACTCTGTGTTTCGTCTCAAGCCATGTGCTGACTGAAGACCGATGTACTGCCATCGACAGTTCAGTGCTACGACAAGCTACAGCCATCCATCTTCGACGATGATCAGGACTGAGACCAGGCTTCACCTCGACACGCAGGGGCTCAGAAGAATTTTGTGACACTCTACATATTCGGCACGGATCTCTCATGCTCATCTGGCCATTGTCAGATCTGATTAGAGATCCCGCTTGTTCGTTGTTGGTAGTTGCCTGGGATTGGCGATCCCAAGCCCTCATTGTCATTCCCCATCAGGATTCAATATCAAATCTTCGCCATCCATGTTCTGCTCTGCTTCTTCATTATCAACATTGTCGTCGTCGTCAGTTCCATCGTCTTCAGCCGACCACTTCTCCAGTCCATCCTCGTCCTGTTCTTCGTTCGGCTCCTCCTCTTCGTCTGGGGGCAGATCGGGGTCGACTTTCTCTCCTAGGTGACTTGTTGGAAGGAAGACTTTTCCTTGCAGCTTATCAGGGAAGTATTCCTGGACGACCCTGCCTTCTCTGTAGTCCGGGTTATATTTGTATTCTTTGCCGTAGCCGAGTTCTTTCATCAACCTTGTCGGAGCGTTGCGCAGATGCACTGGAATAGGTATGCCGGCAATACCAGGTTCTGACAGAGCAGCATACGCGGCATTGAGACCTCGATATGAGCGTGTAGACTTTGGCGCCTCAGCGAGTGCCACTGTAGCATGTGCAAGGTTGATTCTGCACTCAGGCATGCCGATCTCTTTGGCAGCCGTGTATGCAGCTGTTGCCAACGGAAGCAAGGTGTTGTCAGCCAGACCAATATCCTCGCTCGCCATGACTACCATTCGTCGCGCGATGTAGACTGGATCCTCTCCGGACTGCAACATACGAGCGAGGTAGTAGAGTGCTGCGTCAGGATTGCTACCTCTGACACTCTTGTGAAACGCGCTGATTGTGTCGTAATGCTGATCTCCCTGGCGATCGTATACTAATGTTCGAGTCAAGTTTTCTTTGACAGTCTCAACGGTGGTATCGGCATCGTTTGACAGATCCAGAGCAAGGGAAAGAAGATTCAGGGCTGTGCGAGCATCACCGTCTGCAAAGCTTGCATGATAGCGAAGTAGTGCATAGTCATTGCCTTCTAACAACTCTGACGCGTGAGGTGTCGTGGGAGGTTCAAGGCTCAGAGCACGCCTGAGTATAGATGTAATGTGCTCATCATCTAGCTTGGACAGAGTGAATGTACGACATCTTGAGAGAAGAGCATTGATGACTTTGAAGCTGGGATTCTCCGTAGTAGCTCCAATCAAAGTGATTGTGCCATTCTCTACAGGGGCTAGGAAGACATCTTGTTGGCTTTTACTGAAGCGATGGATCTCGTCACAGAAGATGATTGTTCTGCGGCCAGTGAGAGATAGTTCATTGCGAGCTTCGGCAAACAGTTTCTTGCATTCGCCAACACCAGACGATGTACTGTTGATCTCAACAAAACGATTGCCTGCGGTTTTAGCAATGAGGCGTGCAATAGTGGTCTTGCCTGTACCTGGGCCGCCCCAGAGGACCATAGAAGGAACACGATCGGTTTCGATCAAGGAGCGGAGAACACCTTTTGGGCCTACAAGCTCTTGACCCTGTACTTCGTCTAGAGTACGTGGTCGCATTCTTTCTGCCAGAGGGGCAGCTTTTTCCAGGTTGACATTTTTGGATCTTTTAGGTAAAGGTTGATGAGAGTCTTCTTCCTTGACATCCTCTAGAGGTCTCTTCTGAGTTGCGATGGGAATTTGGACATTCTTGTAAACCTCGGTGCCATTTACGGGCTGGGTAGAAGAGGGGATGCTCTGAGTCCGTTTGGCAGCTGGAGTTTGGAAAAAGCTGGCCACCTGAGTTGGTTTCGGGGGAGGTTGCTGTGTCGGTGGCGGTGATTCGTCGGTGAATTCATGGCAACCTGAATCGATATGTCGATTGATATTCAGCTCCTTGACGGGCTTGCTACAGATAGGACAATCGACGAGCTGTTGTGATGACATGGGAGGTGGTTATGGAATGACATGACTTGATAAAGACGCGGGATTCGGAGGAGACGCGTTAAGCTCTCGAGACGAGCGTCGAGACGACGCGCCTTTTGCGGTATCGGCGTGCTGGTCCCGGTGATGTCGTGCTTGGTAGTGGGGTTGGTCAAACATGGGGTAGAGATAATATACGACTAGCAAGCTGACTCTTACGCTCGCCATGAGATTGCTTCGACCCTCACTTGTTTCTATCAGGACTCTCCCTCAGAAGTCTCTCGTCCGCCAATTCACATCATCCACGTTCAAGATGCGCAAGGATCCGTTCAAGCCTGCAGCCCGCGTGGCCGGCCAGAAGCAAGATGTCTGGTCCATCGTCAACGAGGCCGCTGCCTCTTCCAAAGTCTCTGATGTTGTGAACATGGGGTGAGTAGGCGAAGACTTTCTATGGCCAATCTTTAGCTGACCCCCGACACAGACAAGGCTTCTTCGGCTACAACCCTCCCCAATTCGTCATCGATGCCGCCAAGGGTGCTCTGGACAGAGTCGAGTGCAACCAGTACTCGCCCACCAAGGGAAGACCTCGTCTGAAGAAGGCTTTGGCAGACGCATACTCGCCCTTCTTTGGGCGTACTCTGTATCCTGAGAAAGAGGTCACCATCACAACCGGCGCAAACGAGGGCATGCTCTCGGCCTTCATGGGCTTTGTCGAGCCCGGCGACGAGGTCATTGTCTTTGAGCCTTTCTTCGATCAGTACATCCACAACATTCAGATGCCTGGTGGTAAGGTTGTCTACGTGCCCCTCCATCCCCCAGAGAAGGGTGCCACTCAGACCACTTCCGCTGGTGACTGGTCCATCAACATGGACGAGTTGAAGGCCGCTATCAACGACAACACCCGCATGATCGTTCTCAACACCCCCCACAACCCCATTGGAAAGGTCTTTACACGGGAAGAGCTGCAGGCAATCGGTGACTTGTGCGTCCAACACAACATCATCATCCTGAGCGATGAAGTCTACGATCGTCTCTACTACACGCCTTTCACTCGCATGGCTACTCTGTCCCCTGAGATTGCCAACCTGACTCTTACTGTTGGGTCAGGAGGCAAGAACTTCTACTGCACAGGTTGGCGTGTTGGATGGTTGATCGGTCCTGAGCACCTCATCCAACCCGTTAGTGCTGCCCATACTCGTATCTGCTACAGCAGTGTTAGCCCTCTACAAGAGGCCACGGCTATCGGCTTCGAGGAGGCTGACAAGCACAACTTCTGGGACGAGACCAAGGCCGAGATGAGAGGCAAGATTGATCGTTTCGTCGCTGTCTTCGATGAACTGGGCTTGCCCGTGAGTCCTGCTCCGTTCAACATCGTGTCTTCTCCACTAATATGACCCTCCTAGTACTCCGATCCCGAGGGTGGTTACTTCGTTCTTGTCAACATGTCCAAGGTCAAGCTGCCATCTGACTACCCCTTCCCTGCACACGTTGCAAGCCGTCCTCGTGATTTCAAGCTATCGTACTTTATCATCAAGGAGCTTGGCGTTGCTGCTATCCCTCCTACCGAGTTCTTTACTGACGACAACGCTCATATCGTCGAGGACTGGTTGAGATTTGCCATCTGCAAGAACGACGACGTGCTTGACAAGGCAAAGGACAGACTCAGAGGTTTGAAGAAGTACATGCAATAAGCGCTCCAATACCCATGCTATAGATTTACGAGAATGACAATTGTGTACATATGATGCAGTGTACATGCCAGAAGTGACGACATTTGCTGTGCAGACAGTGAGAATACCGGTGTCCAAAGGTCTTGATCATAAAACTTCGGTCCAACCCGGGGAGCGTGACAGACATTTTAACAATACCCTGGAGAGCTTTCTAAATAGTGCTTGTCTGTTTGAATTCTGTTTCCGCTTGGTCGTCTTGAGTTATCGCGTCCGGACATCAAGACCAGGGTCACCCAGCAAGCGATGAAGCAGATCTATCGCGATCTATCTCCACCTTAGCGCCAGATGCTGACATCATCACCGATCTCTCTTGACGATCAAGGGATTCATGTCTCTGCACCAGTGCATCTTATGAACTAACGATTCTGGAGAAAAAGAAGCATCGTCATAGCTAGCTAACAGGTAGACTGAGCTCATGTGTATCGCTGTTTTTCTCAGCCTCTTTTCTTTCCAATTTCCACACCTTTTTCTCATATCAATTGATGCTTCGGACTTTATTTCACACTTCTGCGAGATCCCTTGCGTATAGAACCAAGACAGTTCTGGTCCCAGTCAAATTCTCACCCATCTCACGATATCAAGCCACTATGGTCGCTGCTAAACGCAAGAGAAACGCGGCCACGACAGCTGCTGCAGTTCCGTCTCCGCCACCAAATGGATTGACTAACCCTCAAGAGAACTCAGAGGTCATTGACGCGCCGAACGCGTATCGAGCTTCTCCAGACAGCGATGTAGACCAACGATTAGCACCAGGACCTATCAAGTCAGAAGCAGGATCAGAGTCGCCTCTGTCAGACGTCCCGGATGTCGAGCCGCCGGCTAAGAAGAGAAACACCAAGAAAGGTGCTGCTAAGGCGGGGGCCGCTATTAAGAAAGAGAAAGAAGATGTAGCTACTGAAACAACGCCGGCTAAGAAGACACCGGTCAAGAAGGCAGCCAAAGACGACATGGATGATCCGGAAGCTGAAGACGAAGAGGAGGCCGGCGAAGAAGAGCTGTCTGCGGCGCTAGGCCGACCTCCTCCCGTCAATAGCGATTATCTGCCTCTACCTTGGAAAGGAAGGCTAGGATATGTAAGCTTGTAGCGAATCAGCGTAAGGGATGACTTGCTAACAAACATAGGCTTGCTTGAACACCTATCTCCGCTACAGCACACCACCAGTCTTCGCCTCCCGTACTTGCCGCATTGCCTCAATCCTGGAACACAGACATCCCCTTCGCGATCCTAACGAGCCCGAGCACCCAACGAAAAACCGTCCTGATAGAGAGCAACCTGCCAGCATAGAGCGAGGTCAAAAGTACGTCGAAGCACTTGGTGTCGCCAATGCTAGGGATGTCATCAAGATGCTCAGGTGGAATGATAAATACGGCATCAAGTTCATGCGCTTATCCAGTGAGATGTTCCCTTTCGCTTCTCACGAGGAGTATGGTTATAAGCTTGCTCCTTTTGCTTCCGAGGTACTGGCAGAGGTCGGCAAAGTTGTTGCTGAGTTGGGTCACCGTGTCACCACCCATCCTGGACAGTTCACACAACTGGGTTCACCGCGCAAACAAGTTATCGACAATGCTCTGCGCGATCTGGCTTTCCATGATGAGATGCTCTCGCTTCTGAAACTTCCCGAGCAGATGGACAGGGATGCAGTCATGATTTTGCATTTGGGAGGCGTCTTTGGCGACAAGGTAGCAACTTTGGACAGGTTCCGTGAGAACTACAAGGCACTGCCACAGTCTGTTAAGAACAGATTGGTGCTCGAAAACGACGATGTCAGTTGGTCAGTTCACGAGCTGCTGCCGGTTTGTGAGGAGCTCAACATCCCTATGGTTCTCGACTACCACCACCACAACATTATCTTTGACTCTGAGCAGCTTCGTGAGGGTACAGCAGATATTATGAACCTTTATCCCCGCATCAAGGCAACGTGGGACAAGAAGGGTATCAAGCAGAAGATGCACTATTCTGAGCCAACGCCCGCTGCCATCACTGGACGTCAAAGGAGAAAGCACAATCCTCGTGTGGCCACTCTTCCACCTTGCGCAGACGACATGGATCTCATGATCGAGGCAAAGGACAAGGAGCAAGCTGTTTTCGAGTTGATGAAAACATTCAAGCTGCCAGGCTACAATACTTTCAACGACATTATTCCACACGTCAGGAATGATGATAACAAGGTGGCCATGCAGGCCTCCAACAAGAAGAAGGCCACACCCAAGAAGAAGGGTAAGAAGGTCAAGGACGAAGATGAAGAGATGGAAGACGATGAGGAAAGTGCCGTGAATGGCGAGACCGCCGCATTGGTACCCGAGGAAGAAGTTGGCATGGGTGGTCCTGAAGGTCGCGTATACTGGCCACCAGGCATGGAAGACTGGCTTCGACCTAAGAAGCGTGAAGTCAAGCCTAAAGCCGTACCTGGATCCGCAAAGAAGGTCACTCCTGCACAGAAGAGAAAGGCCCTGGCCGATGCTGTCGCCCTCGAAGCTGCCGTAAAAGAGCAGCACGAATCTGATGAAGATGCCGCAGAAGCAGCCACGCCAGCAACGAAGAAGGCCAAGGAAGCTCTCAAGCAAAGAGCAGCCGCTGCCCGCGCCAAATCCGATGCCCTTCAAAATGCAACTGCGCCTCCTGCTGCCGCACCCGCACCCGCGACGACAACAAAATCAGCGCCCAAACGCAAAACACCCGCTCCCAAGGTAAAGAAGGAGAAGGAAGAAAAGGTCGAAGTCACACCTCCCACCAGTGATGACGCCGAATCAGAGCTCGAATTGAACTCATCAGAGGAGGATGCTCCAGCCAAAGCGCCAAAGCGACCTGCTCGTGCCGGTGCAAGATCAAGCGGTAGAGCCAACAAGTCCAAGGTCAGCTATCAAGAGGCGGACGTGAGCATGGATGAGGATTGACTCGAGGGGCAAAGGGGCTTTGATCTTGTTCAGCATGCTATTGCTGCTGCCCCGCCTGGTACTGTGTAGTAGAAAACTTGATATATAATAATTACTTGACCTTATTTCCCACTGCCACATGGCTCGCCATTGTGTTCAAATATAGGCATAAACATGCAAGATGATCTTCGACCCTGGATGACTGTTTGTCGACAATAAGATCGAACAGCTGCCCGACTCTCCCACGTCTGACTCCAGTAAATCGATGCCTGTTGAAATGCAAGATACCTTTTGGATCAATCAACACGTCCCAGCGGCATAGACCCTCCTTGGACAGGCAGAGAATTGCAAATAGCTCCGTGCAATTTTAAACAATTATTCGCCGGCCTCACACTCCATCGGGCCCTGCACATGGTGCACCAGAATCAGTCACCAGGGCATCCACAAACACTCGACAACAGCAATTGCTCCTTCCCCTCCTCCACCAGCACTCTCGCTTGAACCAGCCCGGACGATCGATGTAATTGTCCACAGAGAGCGGTAGCTACCCAGGCTCTTGTTGAATAGATCATCGATAGCAAATACCTTCTTGCGTTCTGACCGCACCATCTGCTAGCTTTACCTACTGTCGATGGAAGTGGGAAGAGTTGCTGCACCAATGTTTCGGCAATTGTCCTTGGAATGATTGGAGTGACGATGAGCTCAACACAGAGCATTGATCAGACTATAGCACGTGATAAAGACAGCATGAGCCCTGGCGCTAGCTCGATTCGTTCCAAGTCACAGGATCTCTCGACACGTCCGGAAGTGTACACGAAGCAGGCAGGATGGCAATTAGGCCCCGAGGGAGTAGAAATCTGACAGCACGTGAAATATGATAAAACCCTTTCATTGATTGATTGCTTTTTGATAGTTGTAGACTCGTGATTGAAACATTAGCGACATTGTACGTTAATCTTGGAACTCTATGCGCCAACAGACACATTTGAGCTAGCCGGTGTCATATTTCCCCTGCTTCCTTGCAGCAATCCGAGCAGACTTTCCGCTGCTTCTCTTCTACGAGCAAGATCGTCCTTGATACGCTGGTGTTTGGCCGCTGCACTGCGTTCTGTAAATCTGTTGGAAGTGCTTTCTTCCACGAACTCGATCGAGTGAATCATGTAGCTGACACCGTCGTGATCGGAACCCCACTCCCGAGAGCGCAGGAAGTTCTGCGTCGATGCCATGTAATTTGTAAGAGCAGGCAGTATGAGGAGTGTAATGTGCAGGTCAGCCTTGGGTGGTAAACGCAATGGCACTTTGGGCTTCTCTGTGACGACTTTGCCCAGTTCTGGAGTGTCTGAGGCCTCTTCGCCTTGCTCTGAGAATAGCTCGCGGAGGTCCTCATTAAACTCGCCAAAGTCACCACGGATCCAGCCAGAGTGAACAGCAGCAGCGACAGGGTCAGAATCGTCAGAATAAACTTCAGAACCCCATACTGCGCGTGTTTTACAGATTTCCTCGAGACCGCCAGCGACAGTGTCACCTTCGTCGGTAGTACCAGAAGCGGCAAGATAGGCGCGTGGTACACGAACGGTAAACGTGCAATTGTCTTTGCCTTCGAACCTAGGGATCGGCTTGACAGAGCTCTTGAAATGATACTTGGAGTCGAGAGGAGTGGACTCTCTTGGAGGCAGACTGAGCTTTGTAGAGTAGAGCTGGCTTCCGAGGTGCTTTCGTTGGAAACCTGAGATGGATGCGAGCAGTTCCTGGTTTGAGACGGATGTTTGAGGTTTGCGTGCAGAAGGCATCAGCGGTGGCCTTACATTGTGATGATGGTGGTGGGGCGGATGCGCGTGAACGGCATGGTGATGATGATGGTGGTGATGATGAGCAGCAGCTGCAGCCTGCTGCGGCGTACTGGCATTAGACGGGAAGCGGAGAGGATGGAAAGGTGCTTGGGCTTGAGGGATTTGTTCTTCCGGCATGCCATGGTGATGATGGTGGTGGCTAGGGGGTCTTGTCAGCATCAGCGTGGCCGTACAAAACGGCAATTGGATTACTTACTGGTGTGCGTGGGCATGATGGTGATGATGATGCGGTGGTTGATGTGTTGTTTTGGGCCGCTTGCTGCCTCTCTGGCTAGCCGTCGGGGTGTTCCTACCATCCACGCTATCACTGTCCTCGCGATTGTCTTCTCTCAATCTGCTTCGTGCTTTTCTACTATCTGTGTCTTCGTTGACATCCACCTGCCTGGCTGGACTGCCGCGTGAAGGGGTTGCAATACCGGCTGTGGGAGTATTACTACCAACACCGCTACCGAGGCCCGAGAACATTCGACCAAACTCACTTTTAACGCCAGGGTCCGCTCCAGGGCCTATGTGTCGTGGTTGTGCTCCTTGAACCGCTTGAGGCAGTGGTGACGACCTTCCATTCTTGTGTCTGATCTCTGATGCTACGCCCAAGAAGGCTCGCTGAAGAGGGTGTTCTTCTCCTTCTCTTGCTTCATAGCCCGGCGGGCCGTACATGGCGTAATGTGCTGCATTCGGCCTTTGCCTATCATCCATGCCGTTCATGGCGGGCGATTGCCTGTGTTCAGGTCGACCGATCATCTCGTTGTGTGGGCCACGTTGTTCCATCTCTTCTCTGCTCGGCATCTGCACCGCAGGCCTAAACAGACCTGGATACTCCTCGCGCACTGGGCCGAAGTTCAGGCGACCATACGATTGTGGTGGAGGCGCTGGCGTGGAGCGTGCTGTATGTGACATTGTGTGAGGCAGCTGATGATGGCCATGACCGTTGAGATCCGGCCGTTCAAGATCAGCCCTTGAAGGTGGTTGCGACAACGGTCCGGGTCTGCCCATGTGGTCGACGTATGGTGGGAAAGCGGAAGGGTGACGTGGCGGCGGTCGGTCGTGCATGTCTTGCCTGTTTCGCAACTCCTGATCGAGGTGAGCATGCATGGGTTGACTGTTAGGTCGGGATGGCGCATGCCCAGCGTAGTGATGTTGCTCCTCAGGATGGCCTGAAGGTGGAGATGACTGGAAGGGGCGGAAGCCTGGAGCAGCGTTATGTTGAGACATGTGGAGTGGTTGGTGTGGACCAGGTTGATGGAAGGGCTGAGACTTTGATTCTGCAGGTCTCTGAGCTTGCATCATACTGGTCGGGCTGTGGGGCCGTGGGTAATGGCCAGGCGGGGCTCTTGTGCTGGCCGAACGAGCTCTTTGCGGGGACGACGGGTGTATAGGCTTCATCGGAGGGGAGGGCGCAGTCGCGACGGTCTTTGGCGAGTGGTTTCCATGGCGAGACGACGGGTCGCCGCCGATGAGCGAAGAGATGGACATGGTGGTGCCCGGTCGGGAGCTGAAGCCTGGCAGTTCCCTCGAGCCCACATAAGGCGAAGCGGATGGGGTATGGCGAGGCGCAGGCATGGAAAACCCAGAGCCTGGTGGGCCCGAGGTAGGGGAGGGTGGTGGCATATTGCGAGAGGAGTATGCGAGATGTGGTGGCGGAGGAGGAGGGTCGAGCGGCGCTGCGACAAAAGTCAGCCCAGGTTCTGTTTGACAAGCTTGAGAGAACGCGGAAACGTGCCTCCTGGATAGCGCTCACTCCCGACGGAGCGACGCCGCGCAGGATCGTAAGGGAAAGGCCCGCTTGACATTTGCGCAGAGGTGGGAGCAGATGCGGCGGTGGATGAAGGAGGATGAGAGGTGGGATGCGGAGTCTGAGACAAGTGCTGGTGTTGAGCTTGCTGGTGCTGCTGGGGCTGTTGACGATGATGTGCCAAGAGAGCTAAAAGCTGGGGTTAGAAAAAATCTTGACCTTTCTCGACTTTAGCGCGGTGGGCCAGATTAGGCTCCCGAAGCCGCTGCAGATTGGGAAATGCACGGTCGCGTGGCTGCTGAACCCTGCCATTCAAGCTGTCATGCCAACTGTGAAACCAACCCACAAAAGACGCGCTCATGTAAAAGACAAAGACTCAATTGTCGTACCTTGTGGCTGTGTACTCCATGCTCTTTCGTACGGTGCGCCCAATCCAGGTGCCGCAGATGCTCCGCCGGGGCCAATACCATAACTGTCTCTTCTGCTGTGCTGCGTCGACGAGGGCATGAAAGGGTCGCGCGTGTGGAATGGATCCGAGAATGGCATCTGAACAGGCGGTTGCGCGGTTTGCGTATGGTATGGAGGATGCGACGACGATGAGACCTGAGACGTTGCGGATTGCGCGGCCGCAAAGGGCTGAGACGAGGGTTGTGGCAGTCGATTATCCATCTTGACACAGGCATTGCATGTTAGTCCGAGACCTTGGCTTTGAGAGTCGACCCTGTGGATTTTACCATGGACGGCCGCGGGCTTGTACATGCTGGCTTTGGCCTTTTTCCTTGTCAAGAGACGCGTAGACCTGATGTTGAGAATATGCGATAGCACCGGGAGAAAAGCGAGAAGTTGAAGAGAGGAGGGGGTCAAGCGCAAGACTCGAGCTTGCTTGGTTTGCGCTTGGGCAGGCTCAAGACTTCAGGCCCGTGCTGCTTTGGATCAATCTTGACTGCGTCACTCCAAAGTCAAAACTCCACCTACAAAGTCCACACCTCGTGCCAACGTGCTTTACAAACTCGCGCCGGCCAGATCATGCTCCCTATGCCTGGTGCTCCCTCATCGTCGCTCGCTCTGTTCCGCCAAAGATTATTCAACATGTTCGAGGGAGCCGACAAACGTGTGATAGCTTCGTTTTGGTTGTTCGGTGAGCTGCATCTCCTGACCACCCCCTGCCTCTACCTACTTTAAGTACCTTGCATGTCCAGACTATTAACTCATCAACCAGGTCTCATTAACAATGTACTCTATGTGATCATTCTCAGCAGCGCTCTGGATCTCGTCGGTCCTGCCGTTCCAAAGTCGCTCGTCTTACTATTCGATGTTGTACCGTCATTCCTGGTAAAGCTCACCGCGCCATACTACATCCACCTCGTTCCGTACAACTTGCGGATTCTGGCTTTTGTCGCACTCTCATCGTGCGGCATGTTACTTGTTGCCCTGAGTCCTGGTTCCGCCGACTCATCTGTAAACGCCGCTTCTATCTATATCAAGATGTCGGGCATTGTATTAGCATCCATCAGTAGTGGTGGAGGTGAACTCAGCTTTCTTGGTCTGACCCATTACTACGGCCCCTTCAGTCTCGCGGCCTGGGGGTCAGGCACTGGCGGCGCAGGACTGGTTGGTTCAGGTGCCTATGTCTTGTTCACCACTGCCATAGGCTTCAGCGTTCCAACTAGTCTGCTTGCTTTCTCCTTCCTCCCCGTCATCATGCTCTTCAGTTTCTTCGTCTTGTTGCCTGGCAGGGATTTGCTCAAGGCGAAAAGCCATGTCTATGTTGCTGCTGGGCAAAACGACCTGGATGCAGACACTGAATCGCTACTCAACGACATCCCAGATGACTCTCGTCCACTCTCGTTACCGAAACCGAGCCAGGGCACTTCATCATCATCTGATGCATGGCTCAATCTTAAAGTGAACTTCTTACGGGCCAGAAGTCTATTTTTCCCATAGTAAGTCACAAGATCCTGATACCGACAGAACAAACGGTAAGCTGAACACTATCCTCCTACCATAGTATGTTGCCTCTACTTCTCGTATACGTGGCCGAGTATACGATCAACCAAGGTGTCGCACCCACTCTGCTGTTCCCTCTTAACGAGACACCCTTTGAGCACTATCGATCATTCTATCCAACCTACAACGCCATATATCAACTCGGCGTCTTCATATCTCGTTCTTCATTGCCTTTCGTGAGGATCCATGCACTATACCTTCCTTCGCTCCTGCAATGCGTCAATCTTGTGATGCTGGCGACACATGCCATGTTCCCGTACTTGCCGAACATATGGTTCGTCTTTGCCATTACATTCTGGGAAGGATTGCTTGGAGGAATTGTTTACGTCAGCACCTTCCGCAGGATTGGAGAGGAAGTAGCCGAGAGTGATAGGGAGTTCAGCTTGGGGGCAACATCTGTGTCGGACTCAGGTGGAATCTGTATTGCAGGGTTTTTGGGAATGGCAGTCGAAACGGGACTTTGTGGGTGGCAAGTGGCACATGGGCGAGATTGGTGCAGGAGGCTATAATAGGGTAACATGCAGCTCACAAGTATGAGACAGGCACTGTGTTGTTGCATAGATGAAGAGGTCCGGAGGCTAAACGGAGTTAAGCGGTCAACACGCAATGCGGAGAGATGATCAGCATGTCACTAAGCATAGCGCATGCCCCAAAATTAAACAAAGACATGTTACAACACATGGCTCTTTAGCTGACAGCTCCGCAGCATGAAGCATGGCGACTCCGTCCAAAGTGCGCGCCTTTGTGCAGTGGAAAGAAAGCAGCGTCTTTGCGGGCGAGGAGATTGAATGCATCATCAGCTTCAAGAACACTTGCGACGACGGCTCGCAACAGACGGCCGATGAGCAGACGACAAACACCCGACACAAGCCTGCTCCGAGGCAGCGTACCGTGACACACTCGACGCAACAGCTGTCTACCGCGCCTTCGGTAGCTCCCTCTGTCGCCGGATCAAGGGCGCCTTCACAGTCACAATCGCGTGGCCATCGACCCACCCTCTCCCTGACCGTCTACCCTCCGCCGCCGACCAGTGCCCATGCCCGCATACCCAGTCATGCTGCCACCAACACCACCACGACGACAACGCGCCATGCAAATACCCATGGCCGCTCTCTGTCAATCATGTCAATGGGCAGCGACAAGGCCGCAACCACGACCCCCGTAACCACCCGTCGCCCTCCTGCTCGTGGCCATGGTCGCTCTGCTAGTATGCAGGTCCTATCACGTACTCCCTCATACCAGGCGCCAAATCTGTCTTTCAGTTCCTATAGAAACCCTTCGCCGCTACAAGACCAACACCCTCCATTAACACGACGTACTTCGGGCATCCGTACTGCTCCTGGCACTCCTGCTTTCAACTTCCCTTCACCTACCACAGCCCAGCCGCCCTATGCCACCACCACTTCTCCCTCGAGACCTCCCTCTGCATCTCACATGATGCCTCCGCCACGCCATCCATCGGCTTCTTCAGCCTCCTTCCCACCACCCAACTTTTCATTCCCACCCGAGTCTCCCGGTACTTCACGAAGAGGCACTCCTACGCTTGGTCGCTCTCCCATACCCGAATTCCAGTTCCCTCCCAAAAGCCCCGCTCCACCACAAAGACCACATCACCCTCCCTCTCCAAAGCCTCCAAACATGTCTGATTCTTATGCCAACCCTCTTTCACGCATAATATCCGAGTCTGGAGCCAACGACACTCCTCGCACTAGCAGTGACTTTTATTCTCTAACAAACCACTCGTCTGAGACTGTCTCCTCTGACGCAGCCGCTCCACCGACCGGTAGGATCCTCCCCAAACCGCTCAATGGACGCAATCAATACGCCCCACCGACCAGTCTGCCGAGAACTCAGCTCCCCGAGACTTTGATGATGGGATATATCCAGACCATGGGATCTTTTGTCCTTGATGGCTCGCTCGTAAATCAAGCTCCTTTTGAGGACGTCAAGAGAAAAGGCGTTGTGGGTGGCCAAGGTGGTGGTGGCGTGGTTGGCGTGGAAAAGTCGAAACGTGAGAGTGGCATGTTTGGCTTCGGCTGGGGCAATATAGGCGAAAGTTTAGGTGGCCTCCTGGGCGGTGGTGAAATGAGCAGTATCAAGGAGATGCGTAATGTCGCAAGCTCAAAGACCATTCCACTGCTCAGCACTCCACAATCCATCCTTTTCGTGGACTTACGGCTTGCACCAGGCGAGACCAAGAGCTACTCATATCGCTTCCGCTTGCCGCGAGGGCTGCCACCTTCTCACAAGGGACGAGCTATCAAGGTACAGTATCACCTGACTCTCGGTATCCAACGTCCAGGAGGAAAACAGCAGGTCAAGCACATAGAAATTCCTTTCCGCGTGCTTGGAAGTGTTAATCGTAAGTTGTATCCACCCCAATCAATGCCATATGCTCACAACCTTTAGATCAAGGAGAAACTCTAGGTCATGATTTGATGTCTCCCTATGTACTTCTTAGTGACAAGGCAAGGAGTCAGAGCATCGCTCTTAGCGGTTCAAATCCACGATTTCCATCAACAAAATCACCCTCAGATCGAGAGATATCATCTGCTTCATTGGATGACTTCTTATCGTACGCGGATCAACTGTTCGCCCATCCAGTATCTGATTCTGGTGCATTGTTATCTCCCACAGCGGAAAAGCCGTCACGAAGGCGATCCTCGCTCGAAGAAGCCGCGCCGAATAATATGAAAGAAGCTATAGACCTGGCCATCTTGAGGTCAAACATTTCTTCCGGCTCGCAAGACCAACTATCGCAGTCTAACAACCGCTTTACGATTGCAAGAGGTGGCCAACTTGTCGCCGTGATTACGATTGTGCGACCAGCCTATCGCCTGGGCGAAACCATAATCGGCACAATAGACTTTACTCCACCAACACCCGAGAATGAGTCCGTCACAGATCATATCCCGAGCTATGGAATCAATGTTTGGCTAGAGACCACTGAACGTGTAGACCCAAGCCTGGCTTTGCGATCGTCGTCTTCTGTGCAGCGAGCAACGAGGAAGACGCATGCTCATGTTAGTGAGAGCGTTCTTTTTGCTCGCAAAGTGTCCTTCAGACTCGAGATTCCTACTACAGCCACGCCTACGTTCGAAACTACAGGTGTGCAATTGGTATGGAGAGTTAGAGTGGAGTTTGTGACCGCGAGGGTACGACCAAAGGCAGCTCGCGGATTGGGCATTGATGATTCAGAGATTGGTGGTGAAGAGGAAGAATTGGCACCGACCCCAGACAAAGAAGACGATCTACTCGAAGAAGTCGGTCGGGATGAAAGAGGTGTTGTTAAGATCGCAAAAGAGCGACTAGTCGCCGAGACTTTCGAAGTCGCTGTGCCTGTTCGGGTGTATGGTGTTGCTGGCACAGGAGTTGACGGGCACGAAGCCGAGACTGATGGTCTCGAGGTTTGATCTTTAACTAGGATATGACATGTACCGATATACAGACGGGGAACAGACCAAAAAGTGAGAAATGTCCATGTACTGTATAGCATTCGGTGTGACTAGTCAATCATACTTCCTTCTTGCTACTGCAGTTTTTCGTCATGCGTCATCTTTGATACTCATGTTGTTGTTTTCTCATGCGACCAAATTGGCAGTCAGATCTATCCCATAGCATCTAAAGCAATCTTTGCGGTTTCACGGGTGCTTCCAAGTAAGTTGGAATCATTTTGCAAATGCTGCAAGCGTTCTCTCCAGAATTTCCACCTCTCGATACTTGTGCCCCCCTCTCCCTGCCAGAGATCACGCTCATTCTGCTTGACAGCGTGGATTTTCCCCTCTTTCACTTGTCTTCTGAAGTCTTTGCAAGAACGGAGGAGGTAATGTTCATGTGGCGTCCGTGACAGATCGTAGAGTATAGGCCCTGCATATGAAAGCCACTCTTGTACGGTGGGCAGTTCTATGTCGAGCAGTGCTTTGCTGTCCTCCAGTGTATCGCAAATTCGTGCGAGGCCTTCGAACTTGAGGCCTTCTCCTAGAACATCGGCATCAACCATGACAAACAGCGCTTCAGTGCGTGCGATGTTTGCGATCTGTGCAAGTTTCTCCGGCGATCTGTAGGTATCTGGATGATTACGCCAATGGTTCTGATAGTACCACCAGTTTCCATCGTACCATTGATGGCCAAAAGATGGCAAATTGAGCCAAAATCGAGTCGAGGAGTTCTTGACTGAACCCGAGTCTGGTCGCTGTTTGATGCTGCACATCAGCTCAACGATTTTTGACTGCGAATTTGGAAGTTGAATCAGAGCGTCTTGTAACACGCCCCAGAGATTCGGAAGGTCTTCTAAGGGGTTCTCGCATTCTTCAGTCGGCCGAACGATTTCTTTGGCGGCTTCGATCACAGTGATTTCGTCACGAAGATAGGCTCTCAGAGCCTGTGCTTCCTCCGGACGGCAACCGTCTTCTTGGATGCCGTCAGGTGCGATAGCGTATTCAAACCAAGAGTCAGACATGGTTCTTTAGATGAATAGGAATGGACGATGAAGAAGAACGAGATGTGCAATGAACATGTGGTATCGGAATCATCTCGGCATGTGTGATGTGGGATTGACCACAAAAGCATCCGGAAGTCAGGGGTCCCGAGAAAGTTGACATTCCGCCTGCGTCACTTTGTCGCTCCTACACCTCGACCAGTAATACCATGCACTCGAGTACACAATTCCATCACCGCTGTTCTAAGCAAAACACTGCTCTCAATCGAAGGAGTCACGCAAGTAATTGTGACAGGAACAGGATGTCTTGTCGATCTTTACAGAAAGGTAAGTATGAGGCGCATAAATACACTCTTGGATGTATATGCAAGACCCAGCCTTGTCGTCTATTGAGACTCCGACTTGACCAGATTCCCAAGGAGTCCTACAGGCTCGACATCCGAAAAGTTGACTAGGTCGTCCTTCATCTCTTGTCCATGCTCGCCAAAGCCCTTCATCATGCCGTCTTGGTTCTCCCATTCCATGATCGTGTGGAAGGCATAACCTTGTGATGTTTCCGGGTTGAGCTCGAGGATTTTGTACGACTTGAGGCCGAATGGCTTGAATCTCTCCATGGCCAGAGGCATGTGGTGGTCCTTGTAGTAGTCGAGCTTGAAGTTCTCGGTCTTCTTGTAAAGTGCAGAAACGATGAAGACCATCTTGACGGACTTATGGAGTTGCGAAATATGCTCCGATATCTCTGATGCTTCTGATCAGTACAGGCAGACGGAAGGTGAAACATGGTATGCTGACCTACTCGAGTACGAGAGCGCTGGCTTCGACTACAGTGTATTCAAGAAATAACTCGTGAGCACAGCAAAAATACGAAGAGTAAGGTCATACATATCCTGCATGCCACTCGTGGCATTTATATCTACATCGGAGTTAATGTTATGGTTCCGGCTTATATCCTATGTCCTTCGGCCGATGGGATTGATATCTGAAAGAGAGTTCATTCTGGGTACGGGGATACGGGGATACGAAGATACGGAGGACGTCGTTTGATAATCGCACCATCGATTCACCTGAGCGCGTGCTCGTCGGATATCTTAGCATTTGAGCTCCAAGAGCTTCGGAAACCACGTCTGCCGGTGGACGAACCAGCAGCCGACGGTCGAATACATGGCCGACGAGTGAATGTGTCCCATGCTTTAAAGTGGTCGTGCTTGAGGCTATCCACTCCGTTCTCAGACTCGTCGCTGAACATTCTCATACCGCCATTGTTATCCTGTTTCGAGCTCAAGTCCTTTTCCAAGATGCAGGCTTGGCAATATTCAACAACTGGCCAGGACATCGTCGCAGCTCTGGAGCTCAAGAACCTGGATATCCGGGCCAAATCCTCGCTTCGCAAAGATGAATTGCTCATCGAAGTCATCTCCGCATCCATAAATCCTGTCGAGTACAAAATACCCGAGGCCAGCGGTGTCATGTCCTCTTTTTTGCTGTCACTCCCAGCTACACCGGGTCTTGATTTCTGTGGTCGAGTCGCAGCGAAGCACAAAGACTGTTCTGCTTTCCAGGAGGGTCAAAATGTCTTTGGCGCGCTCAGTAGTGCTTTCATCAAGGCTGGGACACTCGCTCGCTTCGTTGTCGTCAACTCGAACCAATGTGTGCTTTTACCACCTGGAGTTGATCCGGATCAGGCCGCCGCGACAGGCACAGCAGCGCTTACAGCCTACCAATCGCTGTTCCCTAACAGCACGACACAGCCCGGGTCACATGTGTTGATCAACGGAGGGAGCGGCGGAATAGGCACTTTCGCCATACAGATGGCCAAAGCCAGAAACATACACGTCACTGTCACATGTTCAACCCCAAACATCGAACTCTGCAAAGCAGTTGGAGCAGATGAAGTCATTGACTATACAAAGTGCGACCTTATCTCAGAATTGACTCAACGTGGACAGGTGTTTGACTCAGTCCTCGACAACGTCGGTGTGCCAGACAATCTCTATCACAAGAGCCATCAGTTCTTGAAACCTAGCGGCACCTTTGTACTGGTTGCCGCGAACCCCAACGTCTCCGGCATGGCTCGAATCGCGCGATTGTTCATGCAACCATCATTATTAGGGGGAGGTCAGCGCCGTCTGATGTGGACAATGGTGGAAACAAAGCAAGCAGACCTTACGCAGATCGCTGAATGGCTCGCCGACGGGAGCCTGCGTACAATCGTCGACTCTACGTTTGAATTCGAGGATGTACCAAAAGCTTTCCAAAAGCTGAAGCTGGGTCGTACTAAGGGCAAAATCGTCATCCATGTCGCAAAGCAGCCATAGAGTAAGACCGTTTCCGTTGCAATTTTGTCGGAAGACGCTGCTCCACAGAGCTTGGGAAGACCTAAAACTTCCTACTCACATCCTATGGACGAGCGTGCGCCATGTTTTGAAGAAGAAATGTATTCATTTTGCAATCATTATTTGAACTAAGCAGATTTTGCTGGCCACTTGACTCTTCTCTCCGCACGTGCCATGAAGTTTGTAGGTCGGATAAGCTGGAAGAAGGGATCATACTCGACAGCCTCATCATCGGCTTTTGACCAGTGGTAACGGTAAACAAGTTTGGGCAGGAAGATTTTAACTTCCAGGAGAGCGAAGTTGAATCCAATACAGCCACGAGGTCCTTGGGCGAAGGGTATGTATGTGGACCGGTGGCGGTTCTTGACCTCCTCTGTGTCCCATCTATCAGGGTTGAATCGTGCCGGGTTGTCCCATAGCTTGGGATTGTTGTGGATGTGATGTAAGGCTGGGATACATATGCCGCCCTTTGGAATCTTATAACCACCTGGCAGGATTAGATCGTGCTGAGCTGTGCGGCCGGGCTGGTAAGAGGGGTTGTGTTTGCGCTGCATTTCCTTGACATACTTGTCCAGGAAAGGGAGCTTGCCGATGAGATCGGCGTCAAGTACGGTGTCTTCGTCGATGTCATTATCGATGAGCTCCTGCAGCAGACGTTCTTGCATGCCCTCGTAGGTGACCAATCCGTAAATAAGCCATGAGAGAAGCGATGAGGTAGTTGTGAAACCGGCTGCTGTGGCTACCATGATTGAGTGGCTGAGGTAGCGTTTAGGTAGCTTCTCTCCTTGGCCATCAACGGCACGAACAGCATAATCTGAATTATTGAGTCAGTCAAAAGTTGCAAGGATGTCATATCAACATAACTCACCCGCAATACAAGATGCCTTGAGCGCTGCATCCTGCAAGTCCAAATCTTCAACACCGTTGGGAGTCACTGCAGCGATAGCAGCTTCCATCTGGTGCTCAAGTTCGTTTCTGACGTGTCGCAGTTTTGCCGGGTCGCCGAAAGGCAGATATGAGTACCACGATCCCATGGTAGAAACCTTCTTGTTCAACTCCAAGAGTTCCGCAATGTCGCGTACCATCTTGTGCATTGGCGCATAGACCGAGGAGAAGTGGTTGAAATCGAGCCCCAGAGTAAGTTGACCAACAGCTTGAGAGCCGAGCTTCAGCATGTACAGATATACGTTGAATGCATCGCCTTGCTCATCCAGTTGATCAAAGACCTTATACGCCGACTCTACAGTCTGCTGCATCTTTGGGCTGTAGTGACGGACGGCCTTTGGGGAGAAAGCTGGAGGAAGGAATTTGTGCGTAAGTCTCCAGGCTTCAGTATCTGTATCTGCGAGGAACAAGCCTGCTTCTTGATCCATGATACCGAAAAGCGGATGTTCGGGTGTGATCTGTTTGGTAAAGAATCCGTTTTCGTTGAAGACATGGTTGGCGATCACAGGGTCGTTAGTCTGATAGATGGTTGAGCCAAAATTGGTCGTCTTGAAGACAGGACCATATGTATCGAAAAGTCTCTGGTTGTTACCGAGATGGTCGGGGTAGATTTCGTAGTAGTTGCCGATATAAGGAAAGCCTTTAGGACCCGGCACTTCTCTGACCTGCTTGCCGTCTATCGTGATTGCGACTGGTTGTTGACTGCTGATGACCTCTGACACCTCGGTGAGGGTGTTTCCATCGACGGAAAAGTCGATGCCTGAATTGAATCAGTAGCTGCTTGTGTTGGAAGAACGACATGCTTACCACTCGGCTCCAGGATAGCAAAGTATCCTGCCACCAAGAGACGAAGCGACTCATAGTCAGATACTGCGCTTGAGTCGACCTCGATCTCATGCCCCGTGGTAAGATCCTGGCCCAGAAGATAGAACTGTACTGAAGGCATGTTTGCTATGGTTGATCAATACTATAGTCTGTTTTTGCCCATGGAGTTTGAGGGAGTCTGTGTTATATATTGAGCATCCACTTCATAAACGGACAGCCTACCCAGTTGCTTGTTGCTGACCCATAATGCATCACGGACCATCAAATACCCTGCCGCGGTTCGCAATTCGTCTTCATCAAAAACTCATTACAAGCGGGTCGAAGTAGGCGAGAAGTCTCGAATCTCGGCCGCGACATTACACCGCTACGAGTAAGTCCTCGCATCTTTGCGACAATCATTTGAGTTTGCGATGAGTTTCAAGGAATTGCGTACGGCATCATCTAAGGAGGCCGAACGTGTACGAGCGGCAATCGAGCAGATGAGGCGACCGATATGATGTTTTCACATGTCACATACTTGCGAGGACGGGCCGGGGACGCGTTCTGGAAAAGTTTCAGGAAGCGCAATTATGAGTCGCAACGATATCCAGATGTGGTTGCCCCCGAGTTTGCCGATCGTATGGACACTTTCTAGCGTCGTCAAATTTAGATTAAGCTGCTTAGTAAGCTGTCATGACAGGTGGATGACCCTGCCTCATGGTTCAACCACCTCGATCTCCATCCTCGGGAAGCATCATGGCAAAAGAGCAGAAAGACTGAGGTTGAATCGTTTAGTGCGATGAAGTTTTCTATGGAATCCGGACACAAATAATATGGAAATTGGCAAGCCAGGAGGAACCTTTCTCACAATCTTACACCATTAAATAGACCGCTGAGACTCTGACACAAGGCACAACGATTGTCGTCATTGACTGTTTGTTCAAAGAAAGCTGATGCTCCTACATCATTGGGAAAATCACAAATTGGAAGCTCAATGTACGGGAAAAGACAGTGAAGTGAACACGAATGGTATATTGAGATCATCGGAGCATAGTACATTAGAACGTGAAGATATCATCGGTCATCTTGCCGACAGCACCAGGCTTCTTCCATCCCAGCTCGACTAGGTTCTTCTTTGTGGCATTGATCATGCCAGGAGGTCCACAGAGAATAATTTTGGTCGAGCCATCGTTCGAAGGTGCAGGCATGTGTTGCTCCAACACGTCCTTGGTGATGAAACCACTTCCATATTGCCAACCCTCGGGTGGGTTGTCGAGCATATAATGCACCTTGAGGTTCTTCGGGTAAGATTTTGCCCAAAGATCCAGCTCCGATCTGAGTAGGATGTCATCCTCAGTGCGATTGGCGTACACCAAAGAAACCTCTGTGGTGTCCCTTGGGTCTTCGCAGATTGATCTGATTAGCTGGTAGTGAGGAGTGATACCAGTACCTCCAGCAACCATGCCGATCTTCTTAGCATAACCCTTTTGGTACTTCATAGCACCCTTGGGACCACGGAAGAGGACTTGATCGCCGACCTTGAGCTTTGCAAGGTATTGTCCGGTCAACATGCCGTCGTCGTAGAGACGGATGAGAAGGACCAGCTTGCCGAGATCAGTGTCATTCGAGGTTGGTGTATATGAGCGTGTGATTGTCTGCTCTCCAATTTTAGCCTGGATCGCAACGTGCTGACCGATGGGCAATCCAAGTCTAGTCGTCGGAGTGGGAAGCTCGAATGTCAGGCGGACCAGACCCTGACCAGGTAGAATCTGCTTTGACACCAATGGCAATGGCTGGAACTCTGTGCTTTTCAGGAAGCCGACGAAATGCCTGGTGGGCAGCTTGGGGACCTTCTTGTACATTGCACTTCGCCCGAATCCGCCAGGAATAGTCGTGATCTTTGAAATGTACGATGCGAAGCCTGCTCCGAATGCTGCTGACAGCACGCTTGCAAGCAAGAAGCCTTTGAGGAAACCATTTTCGGATTGCAAGAAGTTTATCTTGTGAAGGTATTGCTGGGCGCCAGGAATGTGAACTTTGCCGTGCAGCTTGTATGCTACTGTTGTGACCGTACCAGCAACCAAGCTTGCGGCGCCAATTGTGCTGAGAGTCTTTGTGCTGAGTAGGTTGCTCTGGCTTGAGACCGGCTCCTTGCGAACGATTTGAACAGTCTGCTTGCGTGAAGTTTTGGCGCTGAATCCTTGGACCGTGCCGATCAAGAAAGGAGCCATGATCTCTCTGGCCTCATCCGAATGCCCGACGTCTTCGAATGCTTGGGTAGCATCTTGTCCAGCCACTTCAACCAATGATTCTACACCACCGGGATGATCTAGGGTGTATTTTGTAACGTCGTATATGTTGCCATCGACTATGATCCAGAGGTCTTTTTCGGTGTTGTGCTCTGAAACCTCCTTGAGGGTGTATTCTGTGATTACTGTCATGGCGAATTTGGTGTTTTGGCCTTCGGAGACGGTGTGAGAAAATGCTTTGCACAAGTCGAATCAAGGACGGCAGGGTCTAAAACGGATCTTCGAAGCGCACAAGTTTTCTTATATTGCTTACCGCCAATAGCAATAACATGCTCTCTGCTCGCCTGAGCATGAAGGCCGAGGCCTATCACCTCTGCCGAGCCTGCACGGCCGCACTCAACAGTGGATCGAACGCGACATATTGGTGCGTAAACAAAATCCTGGTGATAGGCTCTTGACTAGTCTTCCTCCCACATTAGAGATCCTAAGGGGGCGACCATAGCGAGATGAGGTATGTCGGGGTCGTGTCAAACCGGGAGGTCAGGATCGGTCCGAAACCGAAGGTAGATGAGAGGGTTGTTCACGGCTGTCAGTTTCAGAGAGCCCGACTTTTGTCGTCCGTGCGCATGGGCCGCTCGTATTCTCGTGTGCAGAAGTCGTGAGAATTCGCCACCCCCAACCTCTTGATGTCACCGATTCCATAGCTATTTGATCGTTATTCATGCTATTTGATGCTCTATACAGCTCCTGTTCCTCTGATTTCTGGCGTAATAGCTCAAGGTAACCCTGCCCTGCAAGTATCTGAAATTTGAGCAATATTAGAGCAATATCTGACTCGCATTTTAGACATTGGTTCGACAGTCGTTATGCCGCTAAACGACTACGATAAAGACCTTATATAGGCCATGTTTCGCGACAGTTGCGACGTATCTATAGTCTCTAAAATTGTTCCTTATGTAGCTCCTAGTACGCTCTATCGCATGTAGCAAAATGTTAAGCTCTTTAGCTAGGTCCGGAAGCCTCCTAGTGCTATTAAGCGCTTAGGAGCTCCTCGCAAGATTACGCTAGTTATGCGTGAATATCTTATAGAACTGCTTAGCTATAGGAACGACCTTTAGTAGGAGGAGTTAGTGTTTAAGTTATAGTACGAATTTAATGTAATAGTCGACCGATCGACCATTAGTAGACTACTCGCTAAGGAGGACCTATCGAATAAGGTTAACATACGTATTGCAAGTTGTTAATCTATTGCTTAGTAAGGCGCATACCTTAAGGAGCTAGGTAGACTAATAACTCGTAGCTACGACGTCGACATTAACCCGATAGAAATGCTACTCTATCTAGATAAATCTATAGCTAGCGAGAAGGTAATGTTTCGAAGGCGCTTATAGTCTTAGATCGGCCTACTAGCCTATATAAGAAGCGAGTTAGTATTAAAGATTCGCTACTATTACCTAAGCGATATACGAGCACTAGCTAGAGAGTGTTATCTTACCTTAGTACGAGCCGTTTCCTAGCAGAAGATCTATTGTTATTATAGATAATTGCTTAACCTACTACTCTAACAAAGTATGTGCAAAATTTGGTGAGATTTAGCTATACCCTAATATCCTATAGATTACCGAGTTAGGTCGACAGTTCGGGGTGTTCCTAAATCCTACTATACTTGCTACCCTACTTACCTTACCTAAACCCTATCGAACCGTCCTTATACCTCTTAAAATAATGGCTCCGTAGGTAGAGAGATCTAGTACTAACACCTAGCGAGATAGATCTAGTAGCGTATAGGGCGGCATAGATACTGCATCTTAAGTAGGCGACGCATTAGAGCCTAGACGGTGTTAATGTTAGGAACTTGTTCGTTAGAAGCTAAGTACCTTATTAGATCTAATGGTCGCTACTCTTATAGCTCGACGACGACGAAGGGGACTACGATAAGATAGACGTAATACTAGCTAGAGCGCGAGAAGTTAAAGCTAATAATGAGGCTAGAGTTAGTCGGTGTTCTTATCTAAACTTATTAATAAACTTAGTTAGCTCCTTATAGAAGACTATTCGAAGACCTCCTTACTTAATAACACGAGCTAGTTACTTATTAGATAACTAGAACAGTATGCGTAGGTTCCAAAAATTAGCCTCTAGAGCGACCCTCGCCTAGTCGACACTACTAGCCTACTCTAGATACGCTGTTTTAACTGTTTTAAAGAAGGATTACTAGCTCTTAGAGGTAGATAGTTTAAGAGGGATAGGTAACACCTATCGAGGAGGTGTAATAGGTGTCGCTAGAGCGACTAATATAGTAGGCGACTAATGCTACTCGGGCCCTTAACTAATATAGAAGTAGTTAATAGTTACTAGGTTTAAGGGCGATACTTAAGTCGAAGCAGCTAATGCTAGCGCTAGCCGTTTAGCCTTTTATAGCTCTACCTCGTGCTAGTAATGACGACAGATAATAAGCTACCTAATCTCTCTACTTAGCCGTTTAAGGGTGCTTTAGCTATTACGAACTAAGTCTCTCTACTTTATAGCGATATCGAAGAGGATCTAGTAATAGCGACCCTTATAAACGAAGCAAGCGAGACCCCTACGCAATTTAATATAGTAATAGTTCGGGTTAGGGCAGTCGTATTACTATATAATAGCGTTCTAGAATAAGGCTCGTTCTTCGAAGTAAGCACTAGTTGCTTATTAAGACCTCTCTAAACGATGACTATAAGAAGTAGGAGTAGCTAGAGCAGTAATAACTAGCGTAGATAACTCGTACGAGGGTAGTTACTCTAGCGCTAGTTCCTAGCTATTAGTCGTCTAAGTAGACTCGATTATAATAGTTAGATCCTTTATGCTAGTACGAGTGTTATACTTAATAAGGTCTATTGCCTTCTGCTAGCGCTCGCTAGCTCCCTCTACTCGTATTAAAGTAACTACCTTAGTCTTAGGTAGATTACGTATACTAATCGATACGACTAATGCTCTAATCTTATAGGGCATAAAGACATAGATTTCCTTGTTCCTTAACTATAGAATAATGGTAGTATCTATCTCTTTAAGAATAGCGGACTATAGCTTATACGTATTAGTAATATTAGTGTCGTCGTTAGAGACCTTTTAGTAACCCTAGCGACTCTTATATTAAAGCTTAAACACTACTAGTACTAGCGGTAGTAGAGTAGCTATTTAAGGAACAACAGCGGCAGTATTTAATAATACTCTCTTTACGAGGGCCGTCTTATTAGCCTTACGAAGGATAGTGCGAGGTTTAGTGACTTTATTTAAAGTAGTTATTAAACGAGAGCGGGTTAGGGCTAACCTGCTAGACGGCTTTATAGGCAGCTTCCAGGCTAGTAGGGCCTATATCTTAGTCTTTTTTAAAGTACTTATTATTCTCGTTTTTCCTAATGTGTTTGTAGCATTAGAAAGTAGTTTCCTCTTTTGTACGGGAGTTTTTAAAGGTTGTTATAGTTGTTAGGTAGACGTAGTTCGTTTGTTGTTAACCTTAGAGCGCGTCGGAGTTTAGGGTGTAGGCGCATCGATAAGCCGGTTTAGCGTAACACTACGCGTACTTCGAGGTAGCCTTGCTAAGGGGCCCTCCTTAGCATCATCTTCGAAGTGTATAAGCCTCTTACTAGTCGTTAGAGACTAATAGATTAGTGCTAGCGAGGGTAGTAGCTCTAAGAGCTCGGATTCGGCAGTAGGCGTGTTTCTAGCTTCCGACGCAGATTGCGAGCGCGTACAACGGCCGGAGTCGTTAATAACGTCTAAAATGGCTTAAGCGTCCTGAGAAGTAGTTATATCGGTGATTATAATGGTCTAATTCGATGTGGTATTGGTGTTGTATAGATAATTAGAAGATTACATGCCCCCCAGAGCATCAAGCTCGAGGCTGGGGGTGGCGAATTCTCACGACTTCTGCACACGAGAATATGTCGACTTCTGTTTCTTCATAGAACAACGTTCATGAATTATGATTCAGAACCACTCATGATGAACGTGCCCTACCACTGCAGTGTCTGTTCCGAAATTCGACCCTCGCGGCTCATCGTTGCCGGTCGTGTTGTGCATACTAGTATGCAGCGTCATCGCCATCTCCATCGCAATCGTTGTTGCGGCAGCAGCATGCCGGTCGTGTTCAGTCGTTCATGTTGGTATCTATGAACAAACCATTGTGATGTAAACATAGACGCCTAAGTAGCGCCCATATATACCGTTACTGAGACCTGTAGATAGCAAGCTTCACATCACAATATTTTCTATCAAAATTTCTCATCTCTCACAAGCATGTGGACTCCTCCTCAAAACTATGCCTCAAGGCCAGTAGCCGTACTCGGTGGCGGTGTCCTAGGAAGACGTATCGGTGGGTGATGAGCGTATGATCCAGATTGGATGGATTCAAGCTGACTAGTTTATGCATAGCCTGCTGCTGGGCATCCGCTGGTTATAACATCCGAATCAGAGATCCTAGCGAACAGCAGCGTAACGATGCTGTCGAGTACTTCAATGCAAATGTGGCATCATATGCCGAAGCTACTGGAAAGACCCCAGGCAAAGTCGCTGTCTTTGTAGATCTCGAATCTGCTGTCCAGGACGCTTGGCTTGTGTTCGAAGTCGTTCCTGAGAAACTCAACATCAAGATCGAAACCTTTGCAGAGCTCGAAAGACTTGTGAGTGCATCTCTTTGAGTTTCGAGTGGCTCTACGGCCCATTCAAATGGCCACATTACTGATTTCTGTCCTCCAGGCTCCCAAGGATTGCATACTCGCATCTAACTCATCATCATACAAGTCCAGTGAGATGATTGAGAAGGTCAACGACGAGACGAAATGCCGTATTCTGAATACTCACTATTTCATGCCGCCGGCAATCATGATGGTCGAACTGATGACTGATGGATACACACACCCGGAGATCTTCCCTTTCCTCGCAGAACGTCACAAGGAAGCAGGACTCGTCCCATTCGTGGCTCGCAAAGAGTCGACTGGGTTCATTTTTAACCGAACATGGGCTGCTATTAAGCGCGAGTTCTTGACGATCTTGGCAGAGGGCGTTTCAACGCCCGAGGAGCTGGATCAGATGTGGACGTTATTCTGGGGCTCCAAGCAAACTCCTTGTCGCATCATGGATCGTGAGTCATTCTCCTATCCAGCGTGAATCCAAATCATATGCTGACACTCACGCAGAGGTTGGTCTAGACACTGTCCAATTTATCGAACAGCACTACGTTGATGAGAGAGGACTGCCCAAAGACAAAACTGTCGATTTCCTAGAAGAGAACTATATTAAGCCGGGAAGGCTCGGAGACAAGTGTCAAAAGGGCGGTCTCTATCCCCCTTCAGCACCCGACACATCCAAGATCGTTCTTTGCGAGCTTGGTGTGTCGAAGTCGCTCAAGGGAAAGGATAGCACGAAAGAGGTCCTCAGCAACGGCCGTCTGTTCCAAGTCTCAAAGGACGGCAGCAAGCCTTCGACATTGTTGGAGAAAGCCGGCTTGCCAGATGGTATCGAGTACTGTAAAGCCGACAATCGTCTGTACACCACTGACATGGGCACTTTCGGCAACAACGACGGAAGAGTCTTTTCCTGCAAGCTTGATGGCAGTGATGTCAAAGAGATTGTACCCCGTGGTAGTGTTCACACACCGAAGCAGACTGTCATCGACGAGAAGAACGGCAAGCTATACTTTTGCGACAGGGAGGGTCTTCGTGTAATGTGCTGCAACCTCGATGGAACTGATCTTCAAACGTTGGTACAGACAGGAGACTGGCGAAAGCCCGAGGAAACAAACGACCAGAGCAAATGGTGCGTCGGTATCACACTGGCTCCTAATCTTGGCAAACTGTTCTGGACACAAAAGGGCTCACCCAAAAGCGGCAAAGGTCGCATCTTCAGCGTCAACATCGATATGCCTGCCGGTGATTCGGCAACTAGTAGATCAGACATGGAGTGTGTCTTGGACAAGCTACCCGAGCCAATTGACCTCGAATTCGACGACACCAACAACATGCTTTACTGGACGGACCGAGGCGAAGTACCTTACGGTAACAGCTTGAACAGAGCACAGCTTGATGCAAATGGCCGTGCGCGCCCGATGGACAATGGCCTCTTCCCAAAGCATGAGATCCTCTTCAACGGCTTCGACGAAACTATTGGACTAAGACTGGACATGTCGAACGACACGATCTATGTTTCTGATCTTGGCGGTACATTGTGGAAGCTCCAGAAAGGCGTCAAATCAAAGGTCTTTGAGGACAAGACCAATGCGTTTACAGGATTTGTTATAGTCCCATAGACACTTCACCGGATTCAACCAGAAGCTCGAGTAGGCAAATGTGTAATGCAATAGTTGCAGCGAGATCTGTGCCAATCTTATAATGCGACATTGCGTGTGATCAAATTGTTTGATAAAAGCGTGATACATTCCGTCAGTCGTTGATAGTATGTCCAATCTAGCCGGAATCTCCTGTTGGCGTGCTGTGATAGCTCACGAACTCACGTTATGACGTTCGTCTGAGTCCATGAGCGAGGTCCAGCCATCAAGCTTTTCAATATCTGGAGAGTCTGTGATCGTTCGTCCGAAGTAAATCCAGAGACGTGTATAGAGCTTTCGAGACTTATCAATTGTCGATCCAAATTCTCGATAATCTTCGCTCGCTTCAGAATGCTCAAAGGGGTATTTGTCGCTGGGAGGACGGGTGCGATGGCGAGATGAACCATTTCGTAGCATGCGAAGAATAGCATAACGACTGGATCTCCCTGAGCGAGGCGTTGGAAAGCGCTAGGGAACCAGTACATCCAATTCCTGATAGGGTAGAGTGCTTGCAACTGGTATTCGGCCGGTGTATTTGTCACTGAGAGCATTGCCAGACTAGAGACATAATTTGAGAGCTCTTTGATGCCGCGCTTGAATTCATCATCAACCTTGAAACTTCGTATCCTCTTCAAAACTGTACTTAGTACCGTGAGAGCTCTGGTCAAAGGTCGCTCCGGAAGGCTAAAAGTGGCGTCTCGTAAGATGGAGACTTCATCGGAGGATGCAAGAAGCGATCTCAGATCAGAATGTTGTTGGTTGACATCCATGAAGTCAAGCACGCTCTTGACTCCTTGCATCGTATGCGTGTACTCGTCACTCGAAGGAGCTTGCCAGGAGAGTACCAGCGAAGCGGCCAAGACTCCAACGAGATTGTCCGGATCGCTGTCTGACAAATTTTGACGCAGGCCTCGTATTGCAAGGTATCGATATTCGGCACTAGCGTGTGCCATATCCGTAGTTTTGGTAAGAGAAGAAAGATGAGAAGCAGAAAGAGCGCAAATCGCATGCCTAACGAAGTCCTTTTGCATAGCTATCTTGAAGGTTCTAGCAGATATCAGATCCGAGCTAGTGCAGAGTCGAGAGGAGTGTTTACGTACTCATGCAACACGAGTCCTCCAAATACAAGCTGTTGTCTTTGTCTTTGCTGAAGGTCTCCAATCAAGCAGGAGAGATGGTTGAACAAGTACGAGTCGCGATCGAGCCAGCCAGGATGTTCAGTCAATGGAAGTCGGATAGGTAGGTTGCCTAAACGTGCCACACTGGAGTCCTTCATATCTGGATATTCGCATTTTCGACTGAGACGTCCGCAGTTCAGACATTCAGGTCTGTGTTCGTCACATCGTACCTGTCGCCTCTTGCATGTCAAGCATCCGTTCTTGCTCTTAACATGTGGGCGGCGCTTCCTCTTCTCCACTGACGAAGCACTGCGGGGCGGCATCTGTTCTGTGTGGTCATGGGAGTGTCGAGCTACACGACGAGAACAAAGGTCTGTTTACATGGTTGGGAAATTGATCGAAAAAGAGTCAAGACCAGAGGATGAAGAGACCGGCCGTTTGAACCGAGGCTTCCCGACGCGCACAGATCTGCGGTCCAGCTTGGTGTCGTAAATTTGCAAGGGCTGCCATCTTCATACGACTCTCATCGCTGTCTTGCACTCTCAAACCCAGAATTATCTCATGCTCAGAGTGGTATGCGTGCGCCCGTGGTTGTATACCCCTCTCAAAGATGTTGCGAGAGCGGCGGCGACGCGTCTTCGTTGATGCACGTGTACCCTTGACCCCTCTTCGCGACATCGTATCGTCAACGCCTTCAGCTGAACATGCCAATGGAGGCTGTACTCTACCTCAAAACCTCCTTTGTACAGGGGTGCGTTAAGTAACTTGACGCGTGACATCTCTTCAACAAAACTCGGCCAAGCGATGCGCAGTCAATTCTCATGAGAGAGTGATTTCACAACGGCTGAAAGTTGCGTGTTCAAGCAGACTCCAAGCGCTGGGCTTGCTTGGTATATGTAGATCGACGAGCATCGAAATATCGAGGCATCGTGGTCGCTGTTTACGAGAAACCTTGTTTTGGTTCCTGAATCCTGACCAGCTGTCACAAGTTGCGCCATGAGATCACCCGCTCGTATGAACCACGTTATCGCATATTGTCTCGAAAAGACGGCACTTTTACGAGGCGTTATACCGCAGGTGGATGCTTCGCTTGACAGATTGGCAAGTCACTGATCAGCTCTATACCACAACATCAGCAGTACGCGCATGCTCACGATGGTATTCTGCACGCCGCAGGAGATGTGCTGTATATCCGAGCCGCATAAGAAATGCGACGATTCGTTGGGTTCCTGCTTGAGCCAATCTATTCCTGCACCTCGATTGGACCCCTCACCAAGCCAGAAAGTCTTAACGGTTTTAGTTCGTCAGCCAAATGCGCCAACTCGACTAGAAATGCCGCGCTGCATGGCAGTGGCAGTATTGTGCCAGGGGATGTGCTGGGCAACATCTCGACCCATGGCTGGTGAGTTCTCGTGTTTCTGTTGTACGTTCTTCTCAACTTTCAAAAAACATTTCTTCCATTCTTTTCAAAACTCTCTCACAACCTCCACTTGGACATGATTCGGCCGCAGTGTTGCTTTTGAGCTTTCGTTTCGACTCCGCATTCTGCCCCAGAAAAGACCCTAGGAAACTGCATCCGTGCACCATCCTGGAAGATAAAGTACTCCTGGTCGTTGCATCTTTGGAATCGCGTCCTTTTCCGACCGTTGATCGCGCGATTGCTGCGTGGGCAAGATATAGTCCTTCTGTCACAGCCATATGCAGCAACACCCGCTCTTCTGATCAAATCACAACACAATGGCTTCGCCAACCAGACCTTCATCATCACGCCGTCTCACACGACCAGAATCATCATACCTGGACGATGAAAGACATGGCGAGCAAGCTGGACGGTCGGCGGTCAACCTCCATGCACAACTTTCATCAGCGTCTTTGCGACCACCCAGCAGACGAACAAGCAGTGAGAATATAGCTCGACATGATCGGCCGAATCCCACGACCGCCCATCGTTCCACAAACTCGACCGTGTCCGACCAATCGTCAAGAGATGGATCAGTGGGGTCACTACACAACGCGCGTACACGAGATGCAAATGCTGCTGGTATTGCACTTGGTCAAGGGTTATTGCCTCCCCCGCCTATACCAGCGTCGCGGTCAGCTTCCCGTCCCTATAGCATGCGTAATGTTAGCTCGTCCACAAGCTTATCAAGGATGGCCACGCCCAGATCTGTTCGAGACTTGGGTCGGGACTTTGACAGATATTACAACCCATTCGCAACACCCTGTCAATCGACGACCGATCTCACTGCTTTGCTGCCCCGTCGCAATTCAATGGATAGTACGCAACATGCCGGAGCTACTTCTGTACCGATATCCAGACGAAACTCGAACCCGTTTACTGACGAAAATCATCCCGCGAATAACTTGGAGACCACAGTTGCGTCTCCTGCTATAGGTGCCGCAGCGATTGCAACCCCTAGGCCGGACTTCGTCGACAACAACGATCCGGACAGATCATTCTTTCCGTATCTCGATGACAGACTCGGTGCGCCACTCACCGAAGAACAAGGCTACACGTTTCCTCTATACTGGCACGAGAAAGAATGGGATGATGACATGCACCTGCCAATGGTCGACGATGATGTAAAACTCAAACCGACATTGCGAGACCACTTTTCGCGCAAGAATGTGCTGGACACACTTGGCCTTGCATTCATGGTCATCGGTTTGCTTAGTGTGTTCATCATGTTGCCTGTGCTCAGCTGGTCAGGCATCAACATCATTGGATACAACGATACGCCACTGGATCAAATGTGGGGATATCTGGATAATGAAGTGACCTGGGCGACGGTGAACGCAAGTCGAAAGTGGCCATTGCTAAAGAATGTGCGTACTGGACTGATCGACCCAGACACACCAAAATCAGAAAGGACAAGAATAGGTGTTGACGGAGATCACTACAACCTTGTCTTCAGCGATGAGTTTAATGAAGTGAACCGCACATTCTACCCTGGAGACGATCCATACTGGTTTGCTCCAGATTTCTGGTACGGAGCCACGCGAGATCTCGAATGGTACGATCCTGACGCCGTGACAACCTGGGACGGTGCACTCCATCTCCAACTCGACGCCTTCGGCAACCACGGCCTCCAGTTCCGAAGCGGCATGCTAAACTCGTGGAATCAACTCTGCTTCAAAGGCGGCATTTTCGAAGTCTCTGTGTCACTTCCCGGACCAGCAGGAATTCACGCATTGTGGCCCGGTGTCTGGAGTTTGGGAAACCTCGGGCGACCAGGCTATCTAGCAACCACAGACGGCACATGGCCTTACACTTACGACTCCTGTGACGCAGGAATTACACCAAACCAAAGCGACAGCAGCGGTATGAACAAATTGCCCGGTCAAAAACTCGCCTCTTGCACGTGTCCAGGTGCCGATCATCCCACTCCAGGCAAAGGCCGCGGCGCCCCTGAAATCGACATCATCGAAGTATCTGCAGACTACGGCGGCAAAGGCCTCGGAGTAGCAACCCAAAGTTACCAAATCGCTCCCTTCGATACCTGGTGGTATCCCAATGTCGACTTTATGGAAATTCCTGATTACTCCTTATCGTTCCTGAATACATGGACAGGAGGACCTTTCCAACAAGCCGTTTCTACAACCACGATGTTGAATAATGAGTGGTACGACGGAAAGGCCTATCAACGGTATGCTTTTGAATACGAACCTGGTGTTACAGAGGATTCGTTCATTGCATGGACGGTCGCAGGAGAGGAGATGATGAAATTCGATGCCAGAGCCATTGGCAAGAACGGAAACATCGATCAGAGGATTATCAGTGAAGAGGTAGCCACTCCCTCTCTCTCCCACCTCGTTCCACGCCCTCATTGCTAACATGAATCCTAGCCAATGTCCATGATCCTCAATCTAGGAATATCCGAAAACTGGGTCGCTATAAACTGGTCAGCGGTAGAATTCCCGGCAATAATGCGTGTAGACTACGTTCGCATATACCAAAAACCAGGCGAAGAGTCAATAACTTGCGATCCTCCCGGTTTCGAAACGACAGAGTATATCAAAAATCATCCAGAGGCGTACTTGAATCCCAACTATACTGTAAGTAACGCAAGGACAAGAATTAGAGGTGAAGAGTTGAAGCTGATGATTTTTTGCAGACTTGGGCGGATACTGGATATGAATGGCCGAGGAATGAGTTGATGCATGGGTGTTAGTGGTATGGGAAATGAATGTGTATGATGGGACATATGAGGGATGAGGATGTAATGTACAGCCACCGTGGATATGGCATGTAAGATGATAGAACGCTACATCTTCAAGCAAACACCACGTCCGTACAGCTTGAGACAAACGGAGGGCATGCAAATGACATGCGGTTTTTGAAGTCGTAAAATTGTTCATTATGCTTGATGCTGCCATCCTTATCCACCTGGTCCATGGTATCAGAACTCCACCGTTTCTTTCCAAAGCCCCGGACCTTCCCTTCCTACACTTTGATCTGAACCCCCGACCATTACCCCAAGTCTTGCCCTTGCCCCTTTCTATATCCTAAAACCAAGAGAACTCCCATAACCAAGGGTCAAAAGTAGAAAAATGCTCAAGCACCGACGACACCCAATCCATTAACCCCCAATCCTTGCCCCTGCCCCATTCCAGACGTGTTCTTTCCCTTGACACCCACCCAGCCTCGTCGTTGCCTTCCAGTCCTTCCCCTACCCAACCAATTGTACTTCAACTCCCTAGTCAATCTCTCCACCATACTCTGACTCTGATCTCCTGTTTGTGCGCCAGCAACCACAGAAACACATTGTAGCATTCTAGCCACGGTTTGAGTGACTTGAGCAGGGTCTGCAAATGTCGGTGGGCGGCCTGAGGGATCAGGGGAGAATGAAGATGAGAATGCGGGAGCGGAAGTTACGCTGTCGATGGACGCAGCTGGATAGTGTGATGAGGTGTGCGGAAGGGAAGTGCCAAAAGATCCCGCAGAGGTGTTGGAGGTGGCGCGGCTGCGTGTGTGTTGGGGAGGTGGTGAACCTATTACTCCGTTGTTATTGTTATCAAGATAGTTTGTATTGCTGTTGAAACTGCTTCCGAGGCGTGGAGAGAGGCTGCCACCTGTGGAAGGTCTTTCTGCTCCTCCTGCTGCTGGATTTGAGAAGCCCCGACCGCGATTGCTGGATATGGGTGGTGATGAGGAGAGATTGTTCGGGGCAGGTGCGGTGTTGATGCTGTCCAGCGACAGTCGCGAGAAGATGGCCAGCAGCGACTCATGACGAGGGAGGAGCACCACATCGCGAAAGACGATCAATGCGATGCGACGGACGTCCAGCTCTTCTCCCAAACCGGGCATACGATTTGATGTATTGCTCGTGATCGTCGCGCCTCCAGAACTGCTCGGTCTTATTTCGTCGAACGAGGAAGAATGTTTCCGGAAGAATGGTGGCGGCATCTCTGCAGGTACAAAGGCACCCCAAAATTCTTGAGCCTCTCTTGCACTCATGATACTGCCACGACCCCTGAATTCGAGGTCGAGAGGTAAAAAGACAGCTTGAATGAAAGGAAGGATAGAGCTAAATGTTGTCTGCCAGATTGCGACAAGTCGTGTTACAAGTCGCTCGTCTGGCACACCTCGTAAAGTTTGTGCGAGAGAAGAGAAGCCTGTCGCTAGTAGTTCCCTCAAGTCCTCTACCAGAACCACAGGAGCACGCTTCTGAATGCATCGCCGAATGTGGACAGAGACGAGTAGGTTGAAGTCTTCGATAGGTGTCCGTAAGTCCTCGCCAGAAAAGATATTCAACAGTCTTGCCTTGAGTAAGGGCCAAGCATCATCGGCTGTGATGCCATGTAACCCCATGCTGTTGCCCAAATTGTTGAATGCAGCGGCTGACATTGTAGGCTGCGGCTCGTACAAGGGAAGCGAGAAGAGCGAGTTGCTACTGGGAGGACCTAATATCGAGGTCGAGTCAAGACTACTGGGACCCATGAAGTCACTTCTCGAGTCGTCTCTCAGCAGATTGCCAGAGCTGTTGGACATGATTGGCGTAAGATTTGTCGCGGCCGCAGCAGCAGCCTTTTCTTCCTTTTTCTTTTCCCTCAAGGCACGTCCGCCGTGTCGTAAGTCCAAACCACTGACAGATTTGGAGAAACCGGGAGACTGAGGGGTGAAGGAGTAAAGAGACTGTGGAGCATTTGGGTCTACTGCAGTCGAGTTTGAGGAAGCCGAAGATAGAGGCAAAGCACCGCGATCTTTTTGTTTCTGCCTTGACAAGAAGTGGTGCCTGTGTTTCTCCTTGTCCTCTTTCTTGTCTGCTGTTGCCGTCGCTGTGGTGGTTACGGGCACCAAGGTTGAAGTCGAAGTATTGGCGGAAGAATATACAGAGGCAGCAGCAGAAGAGTTTGGATCGGTCAGACTAGTCATGGAAGCACTTGCGAAACCAGCGCGCAGCAAGCCACGGTTTGGAGATGGCAAGGCTGGAGCAGCCTTTTTGTCAAAGTCCTTGTCTTTTGTGATTCCAATACTCTTTGGCTTGTGGAACAGCTTCATCTTGGAGCGTTCCTTGACTTTTACTTCCGAGGGAGTTGGCGGAGGAGGAGCGGAAACAGGTTGATCGGCAGTCAAGGCATGGGGAGAAGGCATGGGGCCTGGGCTTCTCGGGAAAGCGACGTTGGCAGCAGTCGTAGCAGTGATTCTACTGTCGATATGGGAAGACTGTTGCGGAGGAGGACTCAGTGTAGTTGGAGAGGCTATGCGACGGTCCATACGACTAGCGGCGACATTGATGGGCTGTAAGGGAGGATTCGGACGTTTGCGGTCTTGGTTCGCAGAGTGCATGTGGTGCATGGCGGCTTGAGCAGCGATTTGGGAGGCTGGCATATGCGAAGTGTGTGGTAGGGAAGGCTCAAAGAAGCCTTGCGAGTGTTGACGACCACGCTGGAGGATGGATGGAGGGGCTGACGGCGGAGGAGGTGGGGGAGAGGTCATGCGCAGTTGAGCATCGATGGACTGGCGAGGTTGAGGACGGGAGAAGTTTGCCAGAGCAGAGGGCGCAGTGGTGCTGTGGGCGGTGCTAGGACGAGCCGAGTATTGCTGTTGCGGTGGTTGGTGTTTGGTGGACGAATCGTTGGTGGCCGCCGACATGCTCGATGCGCTGCGATGCGACGACAGGGTGCCTGTGCCTGTGCCAGAGCCGGAGCCAGAGCCAGAGGGAGAGCGTTGTCGCGGCCGGGGTCGCAAAGGGGGGTGATGGTTGTTGTTATTCATGCTGCCTCATGTTCGGATGTCTTTGGCCCAAGTACATGCACCATGTCTCAAAGTCCCTCTCTGATTTGTGTGGAGTCAGACTTTCCACCGTCATCATCCAAGCCCGTCCCGTTCCTCGACCTTCCCGAAAACAGTAAAGCCTCTCCTGTCAAAATCCCTCTCCTACTCGAGTACTTCCAACCTCCTGCTATCGACAACTGATACACCGGATACTGCCAACATGCCCGCCCACTTGACCGCCGTCTACACATCGCCAACTGCGACCAACACCTTCTCGTCCCCGCTCTCATCCGCCCCCACCGAAGCCAGCTCGTCACAGGAAAAGTCGCAATATCTCGCTCACCTGCGCGACAACGTCTCTCAAATGCAACACGACATCAACCAATTCTTGACCAAAAAGATGGAAGAGGACAAGGCTGCCACCGACGCTCCTGCTGCGTCAAACGACGAAGACATGGAAGAGCAGATGTACGGAGAGGAAGTCGTCGATGAGGCCTGAGTTCATCGACAACAGTCAATGTACAAATATCCTCTTTGTTGTCATCTGCAATACCCCATGTATACCCGCTCTCTTTCGTTCATCTTGGCTCCTTCCATGTCGGCAAAGTCACACTCCTGCCGGCTCCCGCTTGGTCCTATCGAGCGTGAACGGGAGCCCGTGGGAAATGTAGAGAGACCTATCTCGAGATGACCTCGTCCGTGTCTGGGAAGGTAGGAAATCGCAAGTCTTGCTTCGATCCACACGGCAGGAGATAGCCTCCAGATCTCGTATCTCGCTCGAGATCCTCAATTCCAGCAAAAAGTGGCTTCCTCAGGGGATCGAACCCGCATCTATATACTGTACCAAACACACAGAGCAACCTCATCCCATCCACCCAAACCCAAAACACAATCACCGCGCATACGCACCAATCTTTTCTTGAAAACGAGATATCAGTCAGAGATGCAAAAAAGAAAGTCTTCTCGGGTCGCCTCAGTCTCCGGCTGTTTGGACTGGCTTGACCCGCCCGAAAGATTTCCATCCTCAATCTCATTTGAAACTGACTTTTGGCCCACCGCATATGACAAGTTGTCAGTTGACTAGCAAGAGCGCGCTACCGATTGTGCCATATGCCCTTTCTTTTGTGCTTCAAATCAATCCGACTCTAGCTCAATATAAATGCTTGTGGTAAAGCGAAGGGTCTTGGCGTGTTTCGATCAATCATTGCTCGCTTCCATCCATTGGCATGACTACATCCTCGATGGCCTGCGGTCAAGACTTTCTCAAGATGGTCATCTGCTTTTCGCGTCACCCGTTGACAAGTGAGAAGGCATACACAACTGTTAGTGGGAGAAGCTCCAGCGAGAGGAAGACACAAGTGAACTCTCAACTGACAGTACCTGATGACTGAGCTGATCCTTGCTGTGTTTCAATTTACGAATTGATCATGGGAATTTTTGCAACCAAGATCACCGTCGTGATCTCTTGTAGCCACCATCACTTGATCAAACACACCTCTCATCTTGCTTACACCTCGACTTCGGCCAGTTCTCCGAGTCTCTCACATCAACTTTCACATGGACCTTCAGTTGATATTGCCTCGCCAATTGAATGTGTTGTCAACTCCCACTCTCACATCACTATTCTACCGGTACATAACTCTTTCTTGAACCTAACTTTATCTCTTTCACAACACACTTGCCAATTCCGACAGACGATCTCTGCAATCATGGAGTTCAGCGTATGCATCTCTTTCCATACAATAGATCGCCTCGAATATTAATGCTGCACAGAGGTACGACAACGGGCTCGAATACTACAGAACTAGCGCCGGGAAGCTGGAAAGAACAATTCTCGATTTACGTCGGGGCAACGAAAGACGTCAAAAACTGGTGGACGGCCACAGCGTCGAAAGTGAAAAAGTAGCCGCAGTGAAGGCCCTGAAGTGTCTTAGACGTGGGCCACCATGCGAAGCCCAAGAAGATCTCGAGATACTCATCACACTTGCCGGTCGTGAATACATCGCAAAGCACTTGATGGTAAGTTGGATCATATTCTGCTGGATGCTTGTCGCTAACAACGTAAGCACTTTTCTCTGAGCGCAACCAAGATTGGCACTATCGGCAACGACGAAAAGCTCAAGGACCTGCAACCTAAACTGGAGAAGTGCATCAAGTCGATCGAAGAAAGTGGTACTCAGGTCACTGCCGCAATGACCGTTGACTGCGACCTCTTTGTCCATGCCCTGATCCAGGTCCTGGAGGAAGAACAGTCCAGACTGCCCTTTTGACCGATCCTGAGGACTACGATGTTGATGAAGTCTCTGCTCAGAAGTAGGACTTTGCAATCATCTGAAGCAACGATCCTTACAAAGTAACATCTCACGAAAACTCCTGCGACAGGTAGACAGCCATCAGGATCATAATTGCTTCAAAGCACAGCCTATTGGAACCACTTTCCCTTGTAATCAAAATTCAGATTGAGATTGACATCTCGCCCCAATCCGTCGCCATTTCTTTCCTGCTGGTTATATTCCGCCTCTAGTAAATCGTGTGTTTCTTCCGCCCTATCTCCACTACTCCTCACAGATTGCAGAGCTTCTATGTGCGCATCTTTGATTCTTACACCACCTATGACCGAAACATGTTCTCGTCCTCACATGCATACAACGCCAAACGCACCCATCACCTCATTCTCTGTCTCACATCTCCGCCATCATACGTTCAAGACAAATCAGTCTTTGATCTTTGAACACCAGGTATAATGTTCCGTCACCGGAAATAACAACCAAGTGGATTTTCAATATGGGTGATGTACCATTTTTCTATCTGGCCCGCATTATGTCAAGCTTTGAAATCGTCCGCAGGTCCAGCTCCAAGAATGCTCGCACGACCATGGCCGTCTCGCACCCTGTAGATAGATCTATATCACGCCTTCTCGCGCCCCCTCTTGAAGTATCGGCTGACTGCCTCTCGCCCGGCTCCGAAACGTCTTCTCCATTGCTGATGAATGCATTGCCGGGATGAGCCCTCACTCCAACAAGTGCTTCTTGAGCCACTGTGTCTGATGCTCTAGCAAGCCCTTGTCGGTGAACGACCAACCAGTCTCATCGATCAAAGCCTCAGCAGTGTCGTCATCTACCAGCAGCTCGCTATCCAGAGCATAGTCCAGCATGCGGTTGTATTCCTCATCGCTAGCCTCGACCAATGCTGGGGCAGAGCGTTTGTCGAGGTAGAAGGTAGGTTGGGTGTACTTTCCAGACTGGTCGCGACCTTGTTCTTCCAGAGTCTTGTTGAGGCGGCGTCTCTCAGAGCTGACGAGCTCTAGTTCCATCTCAAGACGCTCCATCTTGAGTTTGAAGTGCTTCACGGCTTCGTCGTGCTCTTCCTGGATACGTGCACGCTCTTCCTGCTGATATATGTTAGCGTGACAAAGTGAATGGTGGTTGTGGATGGCTCACAGTCATCACTGCATCCTCCTCGATCTTGGCTTCTTTGTTTGCAGGCTCTTCTTGGTCGAAGTCGGTCTCGCGATCTGTGATTAAGTAAGTGTTGAGATCAGCAGGTGGGAAACGATCATGGCGTACTCTTTCTTCTTGCATTTGCACGGGCAGCTCTGTCGGCCGAGGCAATTGACTTCATGCCATTCATGATCATGGTGGAAGACGAGATATCAAGTTAGATGTTGATGACCAGAGTAGGTAGGGATGAGTGGGTGTTGAAGTACTCTTGTAGACACAAGGTCTGCTGTGAGTGATTGTGAAAGTCTAGAAGCTCTCAGATCATGAGAGATGACATTTTCTGGTTTCGTTGACATGCTACGTGGAAATGGCCTTGAATAGGGCAACAGAACAATGTTGAGAGAACAAGAAGTGAAAGCTAAGGAAGTGAATCAGTAAAGTGGCTGACAAGAACTGTTGTCTCCCGCTCAGCCCTTGTAACTTCGACGGGCGTTGTGTTGAGTTTCTTGTACAGTTTCCAGAAGACATCTAGCGACACTTCAGTCAGCCCGCGTGCATTCGATTGAGACACATGCACACGACAACACAAGATGCCACATAAATCATGGGATCATCCATGCAGAAGAAAACCAAACACGCTATCCATAAGATGATATCAAACTACAAACTCCATCCCATATGACTTTTGCCCTATAAATCAACGAGCTGATTTAAGCCCTGCTGGCTCTGTTGCGGTTCTCATCTCTCTGACCTTGACCCTTGGGTGCGAAACGGCCCTTGTTGACACCGCCACCACCACCACCTCTACGATCGCCAAAGCCACCGCCTCTGCGATCACCAAAGCCACCGCGCGAGCCTCCTCTACCACCGCCTCTGCCTCCCCGATCGCCGAAACCTCCTCTGCTACCACCACGGAAGCCGCCCGAGCCTGAGCTGCCGCCACGGAAACCACCTGAGCCAGAGTTACCACCACGGAAACCACCGCCACGGCCTCCACGAGAGTCTCCCCCACGATCACCACGGAAGCCGCCGCCGCCGCGACCACCAGAGCCGCCACGTCCTCTGAATCCAGAGCCGCGTTCGCCACCTAGACTCCTTCGTTGAGGTTTCGCCCTTGCGTCTGCGATTTCTTGAGCGTCGATTTCCATCTCGTCCTCATCTTCACCCTTGGAACCTCTGTTCTTGAACTTCAGCTTGCCACCTCTACCTCTCTGTGCTGCATCACGTCCCTTGATGGCCTCAACATATGCGTTGATACCATCTTCAAGAGATGCAGAGTTGCCAGCTTCGTCAAACTCCATGACTTCGTCGTCCGAGTCGGCTTCGTTGAAGACGAGTTTGCCGTCGAGGTCCATCTTTGCTGGTTTGCGAGTAGCAGGTGTGCGAGACTTGGAGGGGATTGTGCTGCTGATGTTGGCAAGGGCTTTGCGATCGAGCAAGTCCAGAGGTTCATCTTCATCTTCGACGATGAAAGTGTCACCGCCAGCCTTTGCCTTACGGCCCTTGGCTGCTGAGCGACCAAGTACTTCGTCGTCAGATATATCAGAGCCGGAGTCCTCCTCATCACTTCCATACACTTGCTCGTCAAACTCTGATTCGAATTTGCCTTGGCGCTTGGTGGTGTCTTCCTCTGCGTCGTCGTCCTTGCCAGCTTCCTTCTTTCTCTTTGCGCGGTCGCGAGACTTGCGGATATTGGAAATGAGCTTCTTGTCTTCTTCGGGGCAGTGCTTCTCCACAATCTCAACACCAAATCTCTTGATCATGCGCTCGAAGATATGCTTGACCTTGAGACGGAAGTGGGCCTTGTGCTCGTGGGACCAGACCATGAGGTTAGGAATGAGCGTTGCGAGGCGAGGACGCATGAGATCAGTAGGCAACGAAAGCACACAAACCTTGACGAAACCAAGACATGAGCGAACAATTTCGCGGTTTGCGGAGGTAAGGAAGAGATCCATTGTTTGTACCAGATCCAGAATGACAGGCTCGCTGAGAGTGTGGCGGAAATCGTAGAGAAGACGAGCGAGAGCGGTGATGGAGGCGGAGATCATGTGAGGGGTTGAACCGGCGAGACCAGCAGATACCATGGTGAAGTATTCCTCAAGACTGGCTTCGACAGGAGCGGCATCATCGGGCATGTGAGGAACCTTTGCATTGATGACAGTACCACCCTCGGTCATCTTCTCACCCATTTGTACAAGCAAGTCGAAAGCAGCGGTACGTGCCTTCTCGTTGACTTCCTTTGCGCTGATGACGACCTCGGAAAGGATAGAGGGAATGAAGTGGAGATCATCCTTGGGGATTGAAGAGATGATCTGAGAGATGGCGGTCAGACGGTCGCGACGAGAGGGAGCAGCAGCCTTAGGACCAGCCTGAAGAAGTAGTTGTTGGAGATCAGAGTTGCGCTCAAGGATGGCAGCACGACCAGATTCAGACTCAGCAAGGCGAGGGATGAGCTTGTAGGCCTTCTTCTGCAATTGCGGGTCAGAGTCGTTGTTGACAATGATGGCAGCCATGTTAAAGAGTCCAGCGAAACTGTCACGAGGAAGATAGATAGAGATTGTGATGACCAGATCCATGAGGGTGTGGGACATAGGGGGCATCTTGTTGGGTCCCTTGGTTTCCTTTTGCTTGTCGGCCTGAGTTTGAGGGCCGCTCTCGCCGAGAGATGACTCGAGCATGGAGGCAACACGGGTGAATGTTTCCATCAATTCGGACTCAGGAGTAATGCTGAGGTAAGCATTGATAGCTTGAAGGATAATACCACGGTATTGAGGCAGAGTCTCACTGTAGACGTTGAACAAGACCGCAAGAATGTTACCAGAAAGTCCGGAAAGGTGCTGGATGTTCTTCTGTGCGTCAGCTCTTGAAATTCTACCCTGTGCAATAAGGTCCTCCTCTCCTTCGATGGAGAGAACGGTCTGATTGGACTCAACCATGTTCTGAAGAGCTCTGCAGAGCTCGGTACGGAGTTGAGGTTGAGAGTAAAGAAGATTAGCGACCATCTCGGCGAAAGTTTGATCAAAGGCTTCGGTAACGTCAAGAGGAAGGTCGCAGTATCCAGGAAGGGTAGCCCAGATCTGTTGAACAATGGTCTCGAAGATCTTGATCTCCATAGTCTTCTCGGCATCGCCGTGGTTCAGGACACGCTGGAACATGGCTTCACTGAGGGGAACGAGTTCAGCACGGAAGTGAGCGAGACGGGTGTTTCTGACAGAGTCACGGAGAATAGGAAGCATCCAGGCACGTCCAGGCTGTCCAGGAACAGGCTTGGTCAAGTTCAGGGGCAGGATCTCGAGAACGTTGTCAGGGCCCATGGCTGTGATGGCCTTGCCAAGAACAGCATCTGCTTCCTTCTTGCCGGAGAAGGAGTCGTTTCCACGAAGATCACCAACAGTCTTGACAGCAGTGTTTAGAATACCCTGGGAGCGCCACTTCAATGTGTCGAACATGGCACCGATGACGGAAAAGACCTCCATCCAGGCTGACTGGTACTTGATGCTGAGGAGATCATTCACCTGGTTTCCGAGGTTCTCGAATACCTTCTCGTCGTAGATTGAAGGCTCAAGGAGAACAGAATCCGGAACACAGTTGTTAAGGAAGGAGATAAGACACTCCGAGGCGGAGATGCGGATGTTGTGGGATGAAGATGTAAGGAAGGCCGAGACCTGGGTGAAAAGGGTAGGCAATTTTGCGAAAGTCTCCTCGGGGTCGAGTTGAGCAGCAACATCATAACCTCTCGAGATAACGGCGATCCACGGGGGCAGGAGTTGCGAGTCGTTCTGGGAAGGCTGAAGCTCGCCGATAACCTCTAAAAGACGGGGGAGCTTTGCAGCCGAAACCTCGTTGGCCAGACCAGCAAAGATAATCTCAAAGACTTCGAAAGCGGACATGACCAGAAATTCGTGGCTAGACTTCGAGATGGCGAGCAAAAGCTCACATAGTGAATCAATCTTGCGCGAAGGCCATCCGTTGGCGGCCGTGGCGATAACCTTGACGAGTTGCAGGGCGTGCATCAAAGCTGGGTCATTCTCTTGTTCCTTTGCTCCCTTCTTTGCCTTCTTGGCCTTTGCAGACTTCTCGGCGGCGTCCTGGAGCAGGCGCATCGAAGTTTCAGCGGCCATATCAGAAGCCGGGTGGTCAAGCGAAGGACTGGGCGGAGGGTTCTTGAGAACGGTCGTGAGGGCATCCTGAGCTCGCTTGCGAACCTTGGGACGGTGGTCGGAAGCCAGACCAAGCAGACCGGCAACAGCGCGACGGGGACTCAAAGATGAAGCGGGGAGAGCCCATGCCTGAGCATCTTGTGCGACCAGCAACGATTCCAGACATCCGATACTCGAGCGCAATAGAGGGGCCTCTGCTTCCGGATGTGTAAGGGCGGGGGCGAGACTGCCCAGGATCTGACTGAATTTGGAGCGCAATAGCGGTGCGGGAACGTGAGGCGTAACGAGATCGAGGAGGTATACGACGGCGTAAGCGACTTCCTTGTTAGCCATGTCAAACTGGGCAAGCAGCGACAGGAGGGCGGCAAAGTAGGCCGTTGGTGTTGAGTCGGCCTTTTGCGAGCGCAGAGTGTCTTCGACTGCGCCGAGCACGACAGCCGTCTGTATATCAAGTCAGAAGCTGTCATTCGGTCCAAGTATGTAGTCACTCACCTGCTGCATGCCCTGCAGCTTGGGCTGCGTCCTGATCTTGTCGAGTCTCTCAGTCAACGACATGGTCGACATGATGTGTGTACAAGCAAGAAACTGTTCAGCCTCTTTGCCCAAACTTCAGAAAAGTTGCACTTGCTGCGACCGACTTTCCTTATCGATAAGTGCACGGATATCGCAGGCCGAGACCCTCGCCAAGCCTTTTATTGCGGAAAGAAAAGCATCCTTGCTAGATCCACGACCCTGCAGCCATCTTGACCTTGTCTCGCCTCGGGTTTGTTCTGTTTTCTTTCTCTATGCATTCTCCTCAGGCTGTTGAAAGGCTCCTTTCTTCCTCGAGATGCACGCGAGTGATATCCAAGTATATCAGTGTTCTCCTGGTTCGTGGTCGAATGGTGGTATGCTTCTAGAATATTTTGAGCGTGGTGTCAACCACTCAAGTAAACATTGCCTACTTGGGTCTGCACAACAGCTGCTCTTCACCACCTGATTACTCAATCTAGAAACAGGATAAGACGTGTGATTTAAAAATGAGATTCGTCTGCATCATTTTTGCGTGATAAAAACTAGGGGTAATTACTTAGAGACTACAAAAAACAAAGAAAGGAAGTCCATAAAGTCTTTCAAAAAGCAGTAGACATACATCTACTGTCCAGTCTCGGTCTCAACACCAGGCTGTCTGCCGTTAAGGCCACCTGTCAACTTGTTCTTGATCTTTCTCAAGCCAATCTTTCCCTCATCCTTTGCGAACTTGAGGTTACGTGCTGGCTTCCACTGCATCAGTCCACGCTGCTTGCGCTCTTCAGTGCGCTTGTTCTGCTTGTTCACATCCTTGGGACTACCATCAGTGTTGTCGGAAAATGTCGAATTTGTGCCGGCATAGGAATCGTACGAGCTGCGGCCGCCAGTGGTGTCCGTAGCGTAAGACTTTCTTCTGGATCTTTCGCCGTTGTTGCCGCCACGGTTCTCGGAGTTGTTGGCATCCATGACGCCGAGATCTTCCGAAGACTTGTCGTTGTCAGAGTCGCTATCGTCGTCGGAGCTGGGATTGTGAGGATCGTGAAGGGGAGGTTCGGCACCGGGCTCGCGACGCTTTCTACCTTGCGAGTCCATGTAGGCCTTAGGGTCTTCGCCAAAGGCTCCACTCCAATCGGTACCTTGCTTGCTGAGCCATTTTTGCTTCTCGTCAGGCTCTTCTTCCTTGAGGATGTCGCGGCCTTCAGTGAGAGATTTTTCGTGCAGAGCCTGAACGCGGTCGGGCATCTCCTTCTCAACCAATCGTGTACGGACACCCTCAGCAAGACATGCTTCCCAAGTCTCATAAGTCTCGCGAGACTCGTTGTCGGCGACAAAGTGCTCATGACTCTCATCCATGCCAGCCTTGAAGCGACCGGAGAATCTGAGGCGACCGATCTCCTCGAGGTCGTCAAGTCCTGGCATGGCCTTGTTCACATTCTCCTCGGTGATGTAGTTTTGAGTTAGTCTTGCTGGAGCCGAAGTGCGCCAGATGGGAATATCAATCTCGGTGGTCTCATTGTCGACGAGGTGCTGCAGCCAGAGAACAGCGTGAGCATCAGCCTTGCGCTTACCAGAAACGTGGAACTCGAAGACAATAGGACTACGGTAACGGTACTTGACAGGAAGGCGAATAGGTTCCTTCTTCTCGTTGTGCTGAACTTCCCATTCAAGACCGTTGTCAACCTTGTGGCATTGTGTGCGAGGCAGCTTGCCAACGGAACCACCAGTGCGCATCTTAAGCTTTGCGTGGTGAGTGTAGCCAGTTGCAGTGATCTTCTCGGAAAGGAACTGGAAAGTACCAACATCCCAACCGAGCATGTTAGGAGGAAGACGAGTTTCGATGCTGCGGAAGAGAAGCGAGATACGAATGCGACCGAAGCCAATACCACCGTCAAGAGGGTACCATCTGGTGACCTGCGAGCTGGTCTCCATAACGTCGGATAACTTGAGGGGCACAACTCCGAGGATAGGATCGTGTTCACGGTTGCGAGAATCGCGAACAGTAACAGTGACGACAGCGGATCTCCAGTCGCGAATGAAACGCTCGGTACCAGCATTGAAGATAGGTTGACTGCTGACTGCCTTGGCACGAGTTCTGTAGACCAGCTCATCGTTGTAGAGGATGGTACAGTAACTGGTAGGAAGCTGTTCACCCTCCTCGTCAGTGCCTTCGCCACTGGGCTTGGCGGGCTCGTACTCTCTACCCTTGCGGCTGCCTTCGGTGCCCTTGATGTTATCAAGTTCGAGGTTGACAATCTGGTGGACGACGATACTGCAAACACCACTGGGCCAGAGAGGGTCTGGGGGAGTGTGTTGAACAGCATCATCGGTGTCGGTATTGGCGATACCCTTGTCATCTTGGAGCTCGGGCTTGTCACGGAGGTTCTGAGGGAGTGCGTGGTTCTTTCCGTCGGTACGAAGAGCGGGCCTGAATTGAGGCTTGCCAAAGAAACCGACTTCCCAATGGAGCTCTCCGGGCATTTCGCTGTCCGAGTCCATACCAGCAAGCTTGGAGACTTGAGGGTACATCTTGCCGGGGTGTTGAATCATCTTCTGCATGGAAAGTTCGACCTTGCCAACAATATCATCGGCGGTGTGACGGTCAGAATCCCAGAGTTCGACACTCAAGTTCTCATCGGCTTTGATGAGCTCAGGAGTAACGAGGAGAGCAGCGGTTTCTTCCCAGATAGGGTTCAAGTCGTCGGTGATGACACGAGTGCAGTACATGGGCTTTCCGTACTTGGAGAAGGACAAGGTGATGTAAGGATCACTGCCTCCGTGTTTGCTGCCACGCTTGTCCTGCTTGCTCAGACCGACAGCGCGGTGAATACGAATCCACATGACACCAAGAGCCTGGACATCCTTGGTGATATCGTCGCCTTGAAGCATTGCTCTCATGTCAAGAGACATAGACTTGGGAGCGACGTACATGCTAGCAGCCGCACCAATAGCGTAGTTGACAAAGTTCGAAATGAGAGGAAGGTTGAGAATGTTGACGCCCTTCTCGAGCATAGGGATACATCCTGCTTGGACGTGAGGAACACCCATGAGAGTAAAGGTCAGTGTTTTCAAGAATGGAGGTTCGGGAGTCATGGCCATGCGCAGTCTGACGGTACCGACCAGCTCTTGCAGCTCGACGAAGATTGGGAGGGGAACGCCGAAGAGACCCTTGATACCCAGGTAGAAGACCAATTGCATGTGCATGTTTCTAGCTCTGTCGGATGCTCTCTTTCCAGAAGGAGCAGCGTGGTATGCGAACGAGACCTCGAGGTTGTAGTAGTCACCGCCCTCCTCATCAGCGGCAGCTTCCTGGGGATCCTTGGTCTTCTTGTTCTCTTCGTGGATTGCAGTCTTCATCTCCTTCATATGCTCATCGGGAAGAGCGCGCAAACTGAGGATACGGATGGGGTTGCTGCCTTGGTTGATCTCTGCGACACGCACATTTTCGATGATACCAGGAACCGATGCTTGCATGACGTCTTCGAGGGTATCGGCGACACTCTGGAACATATCCGGATTGACGAGACCCCAAACGACTCCAAGCAATGTATTCATCCACTCGACGGATTCGGGAAGGAGGTTAGCAGTTGCCTATGTCGCTCGTATCAGTAGGAGAACCCAATCAGAACGTCCAGGTGCGAAGCTCACCGTTCTACCTCTGATCTTCTCGCTGTCCCATTCAACTTCTCTACCACTGCGGATGACCTCTTTGGCCCAGAGGAAAATACCGGATGAGACACACATGGCCAGAGGGATGAGGCCCTTGAGCGAGCCACCGAAGATGTTGCCAACAAAGACGATACCCAGGAAAACACCAATACAGAGACCTGTCGCCCTCTTCTCCATGGCAGCGAAAAACGGCTCATAGCTGACGGATGGTGTGGGATGGAAGAGGATGTTGGTCTTCTCGCCGTGGATTGGTACGTCTGATGTGCTTCCTTCGGCGACAGGATCCGGAGGGGCGGTGACATCTTGGTTGTGTTTGTAGTCTGCCATGGACTGGGAAGGGTCTGTCTTGACAGTCTGTGTTGGGTCAGTCATGTCGCATACTCATTCGTATCTGTGTGACGTACTGTAGGCTTGTCCAGGTTTGCGTTGGGTACAGAAAGCTGCTCGCGTGTCAGATAGCTTCCCCTCTCGGATTAGATCAACATCTTCATACCATGGGGTTCTTAGCCGCCTCGACCATCTCCTTGTTGACATCCTCGATGACTACCTCCTTGCCGGTGGTAGGGTCTGTGACCTTTTGCTGGTTCTCCTTTGCGTGGAGATCCGATGTCTGCTGATGAGGGACAGCATCGCCAGTTGCGCCTGTGGCCTTTGCCCTCTTCTGCTCGTCAATCTGCTTGTCGCGAGTTGCCTTGTCGCGATCGAGCTTTTCGATAAATTGGTTGATTGTCGGGATCTTGTTCGAGCCCGAATAGTGGCCTCCAGGCGCGTGCTGCTGTTGAGCATCCGCCATGGCTTGTGAGGTGGGACCGGTTGGCTTTGGGAGAGTATGTAAAGAAAGAGGAGAAGGAAGCTAACTGAGGTATTGTTGTCTTCTCGCATGCTACACAGCCTTGCTCAGGTGCGATTGACGCAGAAAACCTGGAATGTCATCCACATCGAGGGTATGGCGCGTTCGAATGCGTTTCTCTACGTCATCCTTGTGGCTCTTGTCTCGTGTGGCTGCAGCGAGAAAGCCTGCCCGTTGCAACTTTTCGCCAATTCCTGCTCTACCTTCAGAACTAGACCAGGACGCGATGTCAAAGGGGCTCTACTATAAAACCTACTTTCTCATATCAGACATCACAACTACAAGACAGCAGTAAGAGATGTTACAATGAAGACCATGCCGAAATCTTCAAAAGTGGCAGCCACGACGACTGATGCGGAGGAGTGCGGAGCATTGACCAATCCAGCCGCCCGAGGGGTCTCGACGATCATGGTCAAAAAGACAACGATCACCAAGTTCGGCGTCCATGATCTGATCTTCCCCTGCTTCTCGTTCCTTGATTGATTGATCTTATCAACCACGTGTGGCTGGTTTACCTCGTCCTTGAGATGTTGTCCTTGCATGCGTGGCTAGCACGATACTGGAGACAGACGGTCTCTCCTACAAGGAGGGACGCTCCAATCAATAGACAGGTTCTAAAGTCATCCATAGTAGCTATCTACACTCAATTTACACTCTATCCACACTACCTCGCCACCTCGTCATGCTAGTCATGTGACCTGCTATCGCCGAGCACCGAATATCTCTTAGCTAACGCTCGCTTTAGTTAACACCTACTAATAACAATGTCGTCTACTACATCGAGCGATAACGACTCGGACCTAGAAGATACCCTTACTATATACATGATCTAGAAGGGTTAGCGCATTAAACAATACCCTATTCACCCTTTTCGGCCTAGATTTAAGTATAATATAGACTAGTAGGTATTAGACGCATAGGGGGATTAGAAAGTTCGCTTTTACTGCCGGTACTCGAGTCTTCTGCTACTCTAACTTAACTAATAGCTAATTTAATACGTAGGTTCGGTCGAGAGGACGTTCCTCTACTTATTAAGAAGTTCGAACTAAACTACCTCTACTTTAAGCATAGATATAAGGTCGATTCTAAGCTCGCCCTCTACCTTACCCTTAGTCGCTTTATATATCTAACCCGTATCGCCGCTCTATCTAACCTATACGGCCTCGCTCCTTCGACTGTTTCCTTAGTAATTAATAACACCCTTAAGTAGATTACTAGCCGCTATTGTCGTATGCTACGCTAGCACCCCTATTTAACATACAAGTTTATAGATCACTGCTAAGAGGCTATTAAAGAGTTTAGCGATGCCGACTAAATTTAGGGATTTATAGACGGTACGTTTAACCCCTTTAGTAGGCTAGAGCACGAGCAAAAGGAGTAGTATTCCGGATATAAGAAGCTCTATAGTCTCTACTACTAGGGAATTATAACACCTAATAGCATAATGCTATTAATAGATAGTCTATAGGAGGGTAAAAGAAACGATCTAACGATAGCTCGCTAGTCTTAGATAGAGGACTAGCTTCGCCTTATTATAGTAGAAGGGCTCCGTAAGCTCTATCTATACGGTAATCTAGCATATAAGGCCCTCGTCTTTGTTATATATGCTTTTACTAGAGCTAGCAATGTAACGGACTAGAAATGGAGGAAGGAGTTTAATAAGGCGATGTCTAATATACGGATTAGTGTTAAGCATAACCTTAGTTAGCATAAGAAGCTCTAGTCTCTAAACCTGTTTAAGTACGCTCTAAAGTCTAGCTTATAACCTATAGCACTCTACTAGGAGTTTGCTGTCCTTATGTTGAACATATATACATGTCTATACCCCTATAGTAGCATAATAGCGACTCGGTTTAATATAAGACCGCTAACTATTAGTTAGTATTTATGCCCTAAGGCGACGGACTAGTAGGCTTTAACTAGAGAAAATCTACTAACTAACCTTCGCGCATTTAACAACGACGCTTAAACCGTTTTTAATACTTAATAGCTTAGATTATAGCGCTTGATTAGCTCTACAATCTAATGTCTTTTTCTTCTAAATCGGACTTAATTTGATGGTATAGTTAGTAGTAAGAGTAATGATATATTTATTTTAGAGAGCTCGCTAGGGTAAAGCTACGGGCAACTTATACCGCCGGAGAGCTCTAGAGATCTCTAAAGAGTTAGAACTAGGCAAATCTAGGGCCTTAGCGTTGTTTTAAGATAAGACTATACTTCTCGAGTTGTTTTAGAGCAAGATAACGACATTAATTCTTGTTTGATTCATTTAAAATTTAAATCTACGCTCTATTATAGTAAGTTAAGGAGATATTAAGGAAATAAAGCTAAAAGATAAGGTAGTAATAGTACGGTAGGCCATTAAATAGCACCGTTAGATAGCCGCATGTCGCCTTAATCTATCTACTCGACTAAAGCAACCTTAAAGCTTACTCCTTTGTTAATTCTCTTATAACAATACTTCTAACAGTCCTACGTATTAAAGTAAGTTAGGGCGCGCACTAAATCTTCCTACTACTAGCTCTAACTGTCCAGCTATCCTCTCTCTTAATTATGCTTCTCCTACTCTTTAAACGATAGGTTAGTAATAGTATACGGCATAGTTAATAACTTAGGCGCGTACGGTCCTATTTCTCGTAGCCTTAGTAGATTAAAGTCCTCGTCCTCCTCTACTTACTCCTTATCCTCTTTAACTAAGTTATCTATAATGCGCGCGCTATTTAAATAGCGAGAGACTAGTGTTAGCGATGTCATTATCGTACTTAAAGACAGTTCCTCTACGCTAGTAGCATTAGATAAGAACCCTACTAATATTAGAGTAGACCCCTTCGACACTAGTAAAAGAACTTACGATAACAAGCTCTATATTTCCTGCTAACCTTGTTTAACACGACTTAGCCGCTTATCTACGCCATTATTAAAGGGCGTAGAGGACTAGATGCTCTACGAGCGACTTATTCTTAAGCGCGCTATTCTCCTCTCTAATCTCCTCTCTACCTTATCCTTATTTATTCCCTTTAATAATAACACTATCTACGTCTATATCTTAACATTATCCTCTAGTTAAGGTCTACGCATTCGCTAAGGAACTTAACGGCCTAAGTTACTAACCTCGGACTACATTACCTCGGTCGTTTTACTAGTAGAGGAGGGATCTAAGAATAGTAGTTCTCGGCTACGTATAGTAGATAAAGAAGGCGGTATTAACTTAGTCTTTTTCTTCTTCCTTATATGCTCCTCTATGTTAACTTAGTTACTCTAAGACTGCTTAAGGGTCCGAGTAGTAGTAGCGATAGTAGCGTTAGCGGCATCTTTAGTAGTAGTATAGTTATCGAAACACTTAATCTAGTCGTCTACTACTCGGTCTCGCGGAGTATCTATTATCTCTTTACTACTCTAGTAAGTAGCGAGCTTAGTCCTACGCTTTTTAGTCTACCTTTCTATTAACCGCTAATAACTCTAATAGGTATATAGAACTCCCCTCTTAGCCTCGAGCATATTAGCAATATTATTCTAGAACTCGGTAATTTTCCTATCGGCATATAGGGTCTCGAAGTAGTTTAATGCGAGCCTTATAAGTAATGTCTAATCTGCATCGCTTAGTTAATTACTATACGTAGTCGTACTCTACGAGGGTGCTACCGAGGGGCGCTAGGATAACGGTGCTTCGGAGACTAGTATCTAAGAGGGTACGGGCATAGGAGGGGGTTACGTAGAGAGAGGAACTATTAATGATAAGACTAGCTTATTATCATTACGGCCGTTTAAAGTAACGAGTTCGCTACTACGAGGTCGAGGCATGTTAATTGCTATATAAGAGACAAGAACTAACCCTCCTTCCTTCTACTAAGGCTTTAGCTAACGTCTCGATAGCCTTCCTCGCTTAGCTACTTAGTACCCCTACCTTCCAATTCGATGAGTTCCTAGTCATCTACACTTAGTGTAAACCGCTCAACACTTCTAAGCCGATCGAGCCATCCGTCAATAGCCGAAGGCCTCTTAGGGACTGCGGATCGAGTGCGGAAGCGAGTGTGGATGGTTTCAGAACCTCTCTAATGGGTCTTGACTGGACGTGACGTTGTTTCTCGAAAGAGCCATGTCTTTTCATATGGACTTCCAACAGCTCTCGGATGTTGAGGATATCTGCTCCTGGTCGATTGCTGCGACACCGTCTAAGGCTATCGCTTCTGCTCCAATTTGACTGCATGCTGATGACTTGCTTGCTTGAAATAATACATCCAATTTGACAATGAGCAAGGGTAGGGTATTGGACAGACGAACAAAGCTTCGAAGAGCACAATATCTACCTGATTCATTGAACATGACACCGATAGTTCGCATTCATGTTTGGAACACAAGCCGCTGGGGAAGCATGAAATATGTGGCATAGAGGTCGTAGATAATCGTTTTGTTTTTGCTGGCTAAGCAGCGGCTGTCAAATTGGACCGCGTCAACGAGGAAGGTGGTGTGCTAAAAGGAGAAGAAAATACAGAACGTGTCTCCGATGGAAGCTAGGAAATACATGGATTTGTGTTCATTTACAAACGCCTTGTGTTCTCTTCTTTGCAGGGTCCACTGCGGGGCCGGGTTTGTTTAGCACGGCTTCAACGGCGGTTGCTGCGAACTGTCAAGGACAAGGACATTTTCATTCAGGAGTTGAGGCAGCCGTTAAGCCGGCGACGATAAAGGGATAGCAGAGAAGAGAGCTCGGAGCTGTCACTTGATCAAAAGCTGCAACCTTCAACCATCTTCCAAGAGTCCAGGAACGCAAAGTAATTTAATCAGACCAGCCATCTTTCGCGCGTGCTTTGCAAGTGGACAAACAAAGCCGGGACCAATCACTTTATACACGACACCGACCCTCCAACCATCCATTTGCATACTTTTCAAGAGTGATATAGAGACTGCGACACATACAGCAGCAGGGAGACCATGTCCGATATCGAGGCCAAGCACAACGACGACAAGCTGCAGCAGCCAGTGCAGCATGCCAACACCAGCGAAGAGGACGAAAGGGATACGGTAAGTTCCTCGCTTAGCCCTGCCATCAACTCTCTTTGTTGTCTGCATTTGGGCCTCATTCGCGTCTACCGCGTGCTGGGACTGACCACCTTCAGAACACATTCGAAGATGCTACCGATACGACGAGTGCTGTTCACACTGAGCCGCAAGACACAACGCGCCAGTCCATGTCCATCTTGAATCCAGGAGACGACACCCACCATGAGGCTCACTTAGCAACAGACAGCCTGGAATCCGACGAGACGGTACCCAAGGTCTCCACGCCACTCGCGCCAGGAGCCTTTGACGCCGACGACACCGAACACACCACCAATCCGGCGGATGCGAAGAAAGAGATTGAGCACGGAAGTCAGCCGACAGGCGATTTGGTGGATGAGGAGAGTCGACCTTCAACAGCAAAGTCTTTGCAAGAAGATGATCGTCCCGTGACAGTCGACCCAGTGCCCACGGAAAGTCGCCCTTCAACCGCCAGATCCGTGAACGAGGAAGCCGCTACCGCTGCAGGAGCCGAGGACAAGCGAAGCAGTATCGACATCATCAACCAGGAAGTGCCTTCCGCCGAAGAGGACGACATGCCGCGAGCTGCCAAATCCCGTCAGAACACTCTCGAATCTGTCCCCGAACTACCCCCCGCTGTGCCCGAGAAAGAGACCGACAACGAGCCCGTCAAAGGTCTATCTGGTGATCTTCCCACACTCAATTACCCACCACCGCCACCACCTCCTCAAAAATCCCAGACCTTTATGGTTTCGCCTACGATCGAGAAGCCTCCAACCACACGGAAGGTTTCGAGCCCGTTTGCCTGGTTCTCCAGAGCTCGGAAAGCCACTTCTCCATCCAGGCCTACAAGTCCACGAAGAAACACAGCTTCGTCGTTGCAGAGCTTGACCACAAATCCGGACTCAAACGACGATGCCTCCCATCCACCCACCTTAAAAGATCGCTTCCATCTGTTGAGACTGCAGGGTGAGTCTGCCATATCTACAGATGACAGTTTGGCTCTTCCTCAAGGCCGCCACGGTCGCGCAGGAAGTCTGCAGAGTCCAACTAAGGAAGAGAGTGGTCAATTGAGTCCTCCGTTTACACCCCGTGCAAACTCCTTCTCCGCCATCTCATCACCCACGACCAAGCTTCCTCCAGGAACTGTATCCGGTGATGCCGCAGGACCATCGGAAGAGCAAGGTGATGTCAATTGGGATCTCTGGCAATCTGTTGTGTATGAGGGCCCATCGGCTGTAGCACGTACCAGTGGGGACGAACTCAACCGCGCAATTGCCAACGGCATTCCTCAGCCCATCCGTGGTGTGGTTTGGCAAGTTATGGCAGAAAGCAAAAATGATGAGCTTGAGCAAGTCTACAAAGAATTGGTTGCTAGAGGTACCGACAAGGAGATTTCTCAAGCACCCGCCGTTCGACGTATCAGTGGTACTGGCGAAAAGGAATCAGTGGCTTCTTCAGCTTCTTCCATTCATTCGGATGCCTCCGCGTCGGTATCTCCTCAGATGAATGGAGCAGAGACATTCACCCCGACCGAAAAGAAGCGCAGATCGAAGGACGAGACTGCTGCTTTGCAGAAGCTCGAAAAGACCATCAGACGTGATCTGGGTGCTCGAACGGCATACTCCAAGTACATTGCTAGTGCCGGTCTTCAGGATGGCTTATACGGTATCTGCAAAGCATATGCTCTGTACGATGAACCCGTTGGCTACGCTCAAGGCATGAACTTTATCGCTATGCCCTTATTGTTCAACATGCCCGAGGAAGAAGCTTTCACTCTGTTTGTCCGCCTCATGTCAAAGTACAATCTCCGCTCCTTGTTTACGGCAGAAATGACGGGCCTGCATCTACATCTCTACCTGTTCGAACGCCTCCTGGAAGACTACGAACCAGCACTATACTGTCATCTCCACAGACGAGGCGTTCCTCCAAACCTATACGCCACACAGTGGTTCCTCACTCTCTTCGCCTACCGCTTCCCTCTACAACTCGTCCTCCGCGTCTACGATCTTGTGCTTAGCGAAGGTCTCGGCGCTATTCTGAAGTTCGGTATCGCACTCATGCAACGCAACGCTCAAGCACTACTGGAGATGAAGGACATGGTTCAATTATCAACCCACCTCAAGGAACGCCTCTTCGACGTCTATATTGACAAATCACCCTCCGCAACCTCAATTCTCGAATCAGGCTTCTTTGGCTCCACCTCCAGCGGCACAGACAAAGAAGTCTACCGCGCCGACGAACTCGTCCGTGACGCATGTGCCGTGACCATCTCCCCCGAGACTCTCGCCGCGTACACGTCCGAATATGAAGAACAAGCTCGCCTAGAAAAAGACCGCGAAATCGAGCTCGAGTCTCTCCGCAATGAAAACACAAATCTCAGCACCCGCGTCCGCAAACTCGAACTCCGCACGCAAGAATCCGACGCCGAGCACGTCGATCTTGCATCCAATCTTGTTCGCACCAAAGTCGAGAACGACTCTTTGCTAGACGAAAACGAGAGCTTGAAAATGCAGGTCGAGGAATTGAGGAAGATGGTTGATAAACAGCCAGCAGAAGTCGAGGACAGACTCAAAGGGGAGATGGATAGGATTATGGCGAGGAATATCGAGGTGCAGAATAGTAATCGTGCACTTGAAGAGCAAGTCCAGGAGACTGAGCAGGAGCTTGTGGGGACAAAGATGATGTTTGCGCAGGTGAGTTTTATTACAGAAGTGTGGATTGTGATGATTTGATGCTGACTTTGGATTACCAGTTGAACGCCGAACATGATGCTCTCAAGCAGAAACTCAGGGATATCCAGAACATGCTCGCCAGTACTGATGAGAAGTAAACCTCTTCTCTCCACTCTCACATCCAGCATAGCAAAGAGGCACGAAAGAGTTGACCTCTTTGGACTGTAGATCAGTCGTTTTTGTTTTTGCCTTTGTGTTTGTTCAACATTGGCGTTCTCTTTGTCTTTTCAGGCTAGCGAGGAGAAGAGCGATTCTCTTCATTCCAAGCGTTCGATCATTTTTACGGAAGAGCGTTCCAACCGTTGCATTATTGTATATAAAGGTTTAGGGAATAAAGCATCCTTCCTCTTCCCTCATTATTTATCGCTTTCTTGGTGGCTATGTGCATCCAAATACTGATCCTTGACAAGAACTGACTCTTATTCGAGCAATAATACTTCTCTCCTTGACAGTCTGTCGGTCTTGAGAAGCGCTTCCAAAACATGTAATGAGTTGCAGACTTTCTTGAGATTGTGTGTAGGGTGTTTTGATGTTTGAAGATCATTCATTTCGCTATTTTAAATCCTTTCAAAACCTACGCCATTCATCTTTTTGTAACATCCATGTATCATTTTCATTCAGACAGAAATGCAGAGGACATTTAAAATCTCAAGTCCCAGCCAATCTTAGGACCAAGCTTGGGAAGCTCCTCGGCCACACTCTGCACATCCTTGTCACCACGACCAGAAAGACAGATGACGATATCCTCACCCTTCTTCATTGTCTTGGCCAACTCGACAGCACCGAAGATGGCATGCGAAGTCTCAAGCGCAGGAATGATACCCTCAAGCTGGGACAGCAGACGGAAACCGATAAAGGCTTCAGCGTCAGTGGCTGCGATGAACTTGGCGCGGTCGGTGTCTTTCCAGTTTGCAAGTTCGGGACCGACACCAGGGTAGTCAAGACCGGCGGAGACTGAGTGGGTGTCGGAGATCTGGCCGTGCTTGTCTTGAAGAATGTAAGTGCGTACACCGTGGAGGACACCGTGAGTGCCGCCGGAGAGGGTGGCTGAGTGGCGGTCAGTGTCTACACCGTCACCACCGGCCTCAACACCGAGAAGCTTAACGCTGGGGTCCTTGGAGAAGGGGTAGAACATGCCAACGGCGTTAGAACCACCACCCACACAGGCAACGACAGCGTCGGGGAGCTTGCCCTTCATGGCTTGCATCTGCTCCTTTGTCTCTTGGCCGATGACCGACTGGAAAGTGCGGACGATGGTGGGGAAGGGGTGGGGACCAATGGCTGAACCAATAATGTAGTGAGTAGTGTCGAGCTTGACAACCCAGGCGCGCATGGCCTCGTTGACGGCGTCACGGAGGGTACGGCTACCAGCCTCGACGGCGATGACTTGAGCACCGAGAAGCTTGATACGGAAGACGTTCAGGGCCTGGCGACGGACATCCTCAGCTCCCATGTAGACAGTGCACTTCATGCCGAACTTGGCACAGACAGTGGCAGTTGCGACACCGTGCTGACCAGCACCAGTCTCGGCGATGATCTCAGTCTTGCCCAAGCGACGGGCCAAAAGGACCTGTCCAAGGGCGTTGTTGATCTTGTGCGAACCAGTGTGGTTGAGATCCTCGCGCTTCAACCAGATGTTGGCACCGCCGGCGTGCTCGGTAAGACGCTCGGCCATGTGCAAGTGACCGGGACGGCCCATCCACTCGTAGTGTGTGCGGTACTCCTCCCAGAACTTCTCATCGTTGATGGCAGACTGGAAACCGTCCTCCAGCTCGCGCAAGCAGTCCATCAGCGACTCAGGAACGTATTGACCGCCGAATTCACCAAATCTTGCAGGGATAGCATTTGAGTCCATGGGTCCATCGGTGTTTAGGGCTTCGATTTGGTCAGCAAGACCAGGGCCGTCGGGGGTGTCCTTGTCCTTGACAACGCCATCAACATGGACGTTCTCGGGCTCCTTGGCCTCGTTCATGGTCTCTACCATGCCGACCTCGCGTGTCTGCGACTTGATAGTCTCTCTGCGCTGGGTGATACCATCCAGGTAGTCCTCAACAGCCTTTGCGCCCTGGCCAGCAGGAGCGTCGGCTAGAGTTGAAATGATCTGACTGCCAATAACGACACCCTCGGCCATGCTACCAATGCTCAGGTAGTGGTCTCTTGTGCTGACACCGAAACCGACAGCAGCGGGGATACCGCCGGAGTATGAGTGCACGCGATCAAGCAGATCTGGGAGTGCAGTATTGACAGTACCGGAGGCACCAGTAACACCCATCCTTGATACAACGTAGATGAAGGAGTCGGCAATCTTACACAGCAGCTTCATGCGGTTCTCTGAAGTAGCAGGAGCGATGAGGGGAATGTATGAGAGACCGGCCTTGGTGCAGTGGTTGCGGAAACGGACAGCCTCCTCTGGGGGCAGGTCGACCATGATGAAGCCGTTGACGCCAGCCTCCTTGCAGTCCTTCAGGATCTTGTCCTCGCCGTAGCTGAGTACGGGGTTGTAGTAGCCCATGAGCATGACGGGAGCACGCAGACCTCTTTTCCTTGCGTCGCGGACCATCTGGATTGTGGAGATGATGTTGACACCGTTCTTCAGGGCGATAGTGTTTGCTTTTTGGATGGTAGGACCGTCGGCGATGGGGTCGGTGAAAGGCATGCCGAGTTCGATAACATCGGCACCACCAGCCTCCATGGCGAGCATGATGTCGGGAGTCTCCTCGGGGGTAGGGAAACCGGCGGTAACATAGGTGACCAGAGCAGGCTATGGATATGTCAGTCGACTGCGAGAGTCAATTGCGCTTTGTCTGGACTGACTCTGCTCTCCTGCTTAGCCTGAGCAAATGTTCTCTTGATGTGCTCCATGCTGGGTGGTTGTGTAGTGGTGAAAAAGAGGGAAACGGGTATATAAGGCGACTCGGCCTGTAGTAAGCACACAATGAATTGACCTTGGTTGCAAGTCTAGGGAGTGCGCGGGGGTGATTGATGTAGTGTGCAAAAGTTGTGGTGAGTCAAACAGAAAGCGACACAGCCAGAGCGTCGGTCGGCATTGATCATCGTTTGCGGGCAGAAGTGGCGGCGGCCGTGCTTTCTCGAACGCCGCGACAATTGCCCCTCCACCCTTCAATCGTTCGCCCAGCAATATCAATTCTCCCGCTCGGCTAGATGCTTTTGCTGTCATCTCAGTATCGAGTATTTGTCTAATGGGTGATCTCACATTCACACGTTTTCCAGTATTCCTCACAGGTTGTGTCTCCTATTGTCAGTCTTCAGGCTGCTGTAACGAGCCTCTCGATCCTCAGTCATGGACTCGACGCTGCCATCGGCTCATGCGGCAGCACCATTTGGTAATACCACAATGACTCACAAGACAGAGCCTCTCCATTATCAAATCATGCTCTGTGTGGTACAAGAGGAAGATGATTTCGAGTCATCCTTTTAGTACGCAATACGTTGGCGGACCCTTTTATGCCGGAGTGCCGTTCCTGCATGATTGTCTACTCGTAGTTGGCCCTTGGGACGTGCCATTCTGTATCTGATCTGCACAAAGGATATACTGAGAGATGGTTTCGATTTTCGAGAACGTTTGTTCATTGAGCTTCAACACTCAGAACACATGGTCGATCGTAGCCGCCAAACCCGGCGCTTGCAGACACCAGCAAACACTCGAGGCTTCAAGACATCCAACACAAAGAGCTGGGCGGCTATCGAAACATTACCCCCAACTTCCAACCCTCGGCACTTCTCGCCAACTTGAAACAAGACACTTCACCTCCTTCCATAGCCGCCCCGTAAGAGGCCTCGACAATGCCTTCTCGCATTGCTATTTCGAGACAATGGAAGCATGTAGGTTCTTCTAGAGACAATAAAACTTGTTGTACCCTGCTTTTTGTTCTTCCACGCCCTTTCACGATTTCCGTTCACGACTTAGGACAATCACATTCGCTCAATGACACGATAGGCTTCCATTGTCGATAGCCGCATTGCTTTCTTTCAACACTCTTTCAAGTTCCTTCCCTTCCTATCTTCTTCTGTTTCCTGCTTTTAGACACTTTCAAGAATCAACAACACATCCCACGCTGGCCGTTTACTACTTCTACACTTTAATCACCATCTATTTCCACAACTCCTTCTACACCTGCTTCGACATATTCGCAAACACCAACCATCAACCGAAAGATGTCGTTCAAGAAGACCTTCGAGAGACACCTCAACAAAGAGCTTGAAGACAACCAAGACAACGCTCTTTACCCACCACAACTCTCGCCCAAGGACCTCGAGTCTCAATCTCCACCACCTCCTCCACCTCAGCTCCCTCCTCAAGTCTTTCCCAGCTACCCAGAGAGAAGAGGAGGCATGAATATCCCAACACCCATCTTCATCCTTCTCATCCTGGTCCTGCTCTTCGAGTCCTGCATCATCTTCGTCTACACAGTTGTCGCCCTCTGGAATACTCTTCCCATGCCAATGCCTATGCCTATGCATCTCGAGCAACCTCAACCCCTCATCATCTCTCCTCAGTGGCAGATCCCGGCCGCTGCTTCCGCTCAAACAATTACTGAAACTGTCTCTACAACCATTTTCTCAACAATCACCGCAAGCACAACACTCTCTGCATCTACAACTACGCTCTCTGCTTCTACAGCCACAACCACACTCTCTGCTTCTACAACCACGCTGTCTGCATCCCCGACTACGATTCCTCCTGTTACCGTAACAAAGCCTGTACCTACGATCACCGTGTTGAGCACTGTGAGTGCTCCTCAATTGCCGTCCATCACCACAGAAACTATTCTATCAACCACGAGTTTGGGCAGCAGTAGTACGGTGACAAGCACCGCTATCGTTACAGCCAGTGCCGTTTAGACGAGACAGAGACGCAGAGATGACATGAAGAAAGCTGTATGTGTGTTTTTGAAATACATGATTTTGCATCGAGAAGAACTTTGCAACCAGAAGAATCATCATGACAAGGAGCTGGTTCTCCTTCAAAGCGATACATTGTCGTACATTCACGACGACGAAATTGCTCAAAGATTACGAAATATAAAAGTCTACTCAAAACTCCAACTTCTATGTACCAAGACGTGAAGCCTGATGTGATCCCTCAAAGGCCGAAGTCCAATGTTTATCCGAAGTGACATGCATTTCAAGAAAGATATGAATGCAAGGGTGCATGTTCTGAAACCATATGAGATGCAGAAGAACTTCTCATTCGAAGTTTTTGCTTAATCGACTGCAACTATAGACCTCGCCTTCGAAGTATGTATAAAGAAAAGGGCAAAAACGCAGAATTTTCCCCCAACGCAATGCTCAATGACCCCATGAAGAACCCGCTCCATCGCCCTTTGCCCCTCTGGTTTTTTTGTGTTTTTCGTGTGTTTTTATGTGCACAGTATCCTCTCCGATGATTTCCGTTATGAGTAAAGCAAGTAAAAACAAGAACAAAGGAAAAGGAAAAAAACAGAAAGACGATTGCTCCATTTTGATGTGTGATGACCCCCTTTGTCCTGTGTCGTGTTGAGCATCAATCATCAGATTCGCAGAACTCGCAGAGTGAAGAAGAAAACAGTAAAAAGCTCAAAGTGAAGAAAGAAAACAAATCAAAGAAAGACAAAGAAAAGGGGAAGGACACTAGCATGCTTTTCCAGTGAAAAGATGCCCATTGCCGCGCAGAACTCCAGAAGATGCAAGAGAACTCCGTAAACGCCCGCTCAAGATTATAACATGTCGTCGAAATTGATGCCTCTCTGGGCAGCGAGCTTGCGGAGGAATTTCTCCATGGCGTCGTTGCCAGAATCAATCTCCTCGAGGTAACGGGTGGTCTCAGTGAGAACGGCACTCTTGCTGAAGCCACCAGTCTTGAGGTTGGGGACGATTTCGTTGAGATCTTCGTAACCTTGCTTGATGATGTTGCGGCGCTTCTGCTCAGAGCGGATGTGGTTGCTGCGCTTCTGATCTTCAGTGAGGTTCTTGCGAGCGATGCTGCTAAGCTTGCTGTTGGCGCCAGAGGAAGCTCTGCGACGCTTGCCAGTAGACTTGGGCACGTTGTTGCTCTCGCCATCATTGTCGTCAGAGTCAGCAACAGTGTTGTCGCCATCAGGGCTCGAGTTGTTGGTGACCTGGAATGCAGGCGAGGTGATGGATGTGTCAAACTCGTCTTCATCGGGGATCTTGAACTTGCGACGCTTCTTGGTCTTGGAGCGGTCAGACTCTCCAGTGGAAATCTGATCAGCGAGGGTGGCAAAGGGCTGCATGTTGGCAGGGTAGTAGCTGTGAGTACCCCTGGTCAGGTCAGGGGTGTGAGGCACAGAATTCTCAACAGAAGACATGGCGTCGTTAGAGGAGTGGACCATGTTGCGCGCGAAATCGACTTGTTGTTGGGTGAGAGCGTCTTCGAGACCTTGATAGGGGGCAGCGTAACCGGATTGGCGAAAGTTGTTGTCTGTGCCAAAGTGGAACATAGGGGTACTGGATTGGTGGGAGGAAGAAGAGTGGGAATGGGGAAGTGAGTTTACGTTTGTTGTCGAGTTGTCGAATGAAGCACGAAAGTGGCCGTTCGTCGAGGGGTACTGGGAGGTCGAGGAGCTAGTCGCCGTGGGGACTGTGAAGGGAAACGACGCATGTCGGCTTTCGTGCTGCGCCATTGGCTGCTGTTGAGCTACGGGCGCAGGGAAGCTTCCGGAACCGAGTCTATGAGTTCCCGGATTTCCTTGAGCTCCTTGAGTCGAGTTTGCACGGTACGAAAACAACGTCGACGCAGCATGAAGCACATCCGCAGAGGCATTCGCTTCGGGTATACCAACGATGGCGAGCAGATCCTTGGGGTCCTTGGGGATCTGGAAAGTCCGCTGGCTGTAATCGCCGTTCTGGTACTGGTATGCTTGCTCTTGAGTGGGGTATGAAACAGGATATGACTGATCGCTGGTAGGATACATCCATTGAGTGTCGCTGAGCTGGTCGAACTGCTGAAAGCTCGAGTCCGGCAGGGTGTTCAGGTTTGCCAAGATGGACTCGGGCATGCTGTCGGGCCCTCCATAGTGGTCAGGATCGCTGAAGAAGTTCTGGAGAGTGGTAGATTCGTCTTGGTCAAGCAGAGGCGGGCCCGATGGGGGATCGTTGGGCTGGTAGGGGAACTCGTCTGTCATAGTGTCAGCGCGGTAACAGTCAAATGCACGTGCTAACATGTGGCAGGGCACACTCGCACTCACATCCAAAGGGAGTTGTGGACCAGGACGAACGGTTATCGGAGGCCATCATGGATGGGTACGAGGCAGTCTCGACCGACTCGAGTGGCTGCAAGCTGTCGCTTCTGATCTGTGGAGTAGCGCTCGTGTTGAAAAGGGCATCATCCTAGTATTCCCAGTCCAACTGCGATTGGCGCATCGAGAAGAGTTTGGCGGCTTGTCTTGGTCCGGACACTTGAAGATGGCAGAGATGGTCCTGAGCTGAGGTGTAATGGTGTGAGTTGAGATGGAAGTACGGCGCCGCAGTGATGACGAGTACTGATATACCAGGTGATGGTCAGGTACGGAGCTATCGATACTATTCCGGTGCTATCCTGAGAGCTGGAGTGTGTGGTTGTGGTCGAGTCCAGATGGCCGACCATTTGCGAGAGTATGATGCAGACTTGCTTGCATGTGATTGCCAACGTGCACGGACCACCCGCTTTCACAGCTACCTTGAGCACGTGCAATCAAGTCTGCTGCGTCCTCCGCTCCTTCCTTCTAACGAATACTGACACCGCCCGCAGGAGCATGTTTCTGCTTCTCAATTCACTTTCATATACGCCTTGAGTGACGGCCAACTAGCATGCACGCTCATGCTGTTCTGAAGACGATGACGTAGCTTCCCAGAAGGAAGATGAAAGACAAGATACACAGTTCTGTCGATTGTGAAGTACATCTGATCGTGGCTTGACATGGAAAGCTGCGAGATCATCACGCACATTGCAATCCTTGACTTGAATTGGACCCTGATAGGTATACATGAGAGGCCCGGCCCGTCTGCATGTCAAGGCCTTCTACTTGTCCATCGTGGCGCAAAGTGTGGTTTGAAGACAGGTTGGTTGACCTTCAGAGATATGCCCTACCTCTTGGCTTATGGCTGCTTGCCCTCCGTTTCATCTTCAGTGATGATACGAACATGCTTCCGCTTCGAGTTTCGTGTCTGCCTCGCCTTTTTCTGCCCTCCAAGAAGGCATTTACAATGTATTCTTTATGCTGCCTCGGAATCGTGTCCTGCAGCTCGCCGCATTCCTCGGGACTCCGCATTCGCGGTCCGCCTTCTGCCGCTTTGCAGATCTGGAGCCTCTCTTCTGCAGAAAGCACTGCACTTTCAAGTCACAACCACAGCATCTGGATGGTGGAAGAATTACACTCCACACAATGATCTGCAATACCAAGCAATTCTTCCGAAACGCTTCGTCTTTGCTTGTGGAGACCCCATGGGCAAATTAAGCCACCTCATTGAGGCTTCTCTCGCTTGTCTTGCCTTGGTCTGCTTTGCTGGAAATGCTTGTTGAAATTAACGGATGAATGATTCTGTACATCCCCTCATCCATGTAACAAGTACCTGATGTTAGAATACAGGCCAAGTATAAGTAGCTATACCACGCTCCGATCGTCTCTCTTCCTCCATTCAACCATTCAAACATTCATTTTGAACCTTTTCTGTCCACGAAACAACATGAGATCTCTCGGTTCGTTCAAACCAACATGACTTTCTCTACTTCCAGCTGACCTCTGAAAGCATTCCAGTCATTGTCACTTTCCGGACTGGCAGCAGTAGCCGCCGCTGCCCCAGCTTCGAACATCGCCAGAGCCGCTGATGCTTGTCATGTCACATCGTACTCCGGTGTCGCTGCTGCTGTCTCTTCCTGTACCAACATCACTCTGGATGGTATCGCTGTGCCTGGAAACACCACTCTTGATCTCACCAAGCTCAAGGCAGGCACGACGGTGACGTTCGCTGGCAAGACAACTTTTGCCTACGCCGATGCCAACTACGATATGATCAAGTTCGCTGGTACCAACGTCGTGCTCACAGCCCAGAAGGGCGCGATCATTGACGGAAACGGTCAAGCATGGTGGGACGGTTTGGGTTCGAACGGAGGAGTCGCTAAACCCAACCACTTCATTACCGTCAAGGCCATCGGTAATTCCGTCATCAAGGACCTTGTGATCCAAAATTATCCTGTCCACTGCTTCAGTATCTCTGGCAGTAACGGCCTTGTTGTGAAGAACATTCTATTGGACAACTCAGCTGGCGACGCACCCAACAACCGATCCAATGGACTTGCCGCTAGTCACAATTCTGATGGATTCGATATTTCAAGCACTGATGGCATGATCCTGAAGGATTCTCGGGTCGTGAACCAAGATGACTGTGTTGCTATCACCAGTGGCAACAACATCACCGTTTCGAACATGTACTGCGACGGCGGTCATGGTCTGTCGATCGGTAGTGTTGGAGGCAAGGTGAGCATACACTTACTCCCTCCATCGTTCGATCATCTTATCTGACTTTTCACAGAGCAACAACAATGTCACCAACATCCTTTTCGAGAACAGCAAGGTGTTGAACAGTCAGAACGGCGCAAGAATCAAGTCAAACTCTGGCACGACCGGCTACATTGCCAAGTAAGCATTACATTCTCTTCGTCCTAATTAAGCAAGCCTAACATCCTATCCAGCATCGAGTACCGTAACATCCAGGTCTCGAACATCGACATCTACGGTATCGATATCCAGCAAGACTACCTCAACGGAGGCCCGACTGGCAGCCCAACCAACGGAGTCGTTATCAAGAATATCACTATGTCGAACATCTCTGGTACTGCACAGGCCAAGGCCAGAGACTACTACATTCTCTGTGGCGATGGCAGCTGCTCCGACTTCAAGTTCAACAACATTCACATCACTGGTGGAACCAACAATTCCTGCAATATCAAGCCTACAGGAAATTTCCAGTGTGTTTAGTTAGACATGCAGCAAAGACGGAACGCTGTATCCGAAATAAGGGAGAATACCAACCAACCACATTATACTTGATTGGAGTCTATGAATAGTCTGTGCTCATGCTGGCGCTTAGATATCCAATGAGGAAGGAATACAATTATTTTCTCTAACCTCGAAACATCATCAAGCTGGAGGTCACAGCAGTGCGAACTTCCCATTTTTTACTTCCAAATATTTACTTTGTCGCTGTTAACCACTCGTTACATCCGCCAGGATGGTCACTACAACTCGCCTTCTGAACAAAAACAAAGAGAAAGACTGCATCTCAGTAACCTTTGATCGAAAGTATTACCAAACCACGACCGCTTTCATCAAGCGAAGTCTGCGTCCTCAAGAATGGCAGGTCAGCACGTTCCATGGCCGTATCATCGTTCCACGCCTCGGAGAAGAGCGATTGCTTAACGAAGCAGCCGCCCTTGAATTTATCGCGAAGAACACCACGATTCCCGTGCCAAAGGTCCTCGCTTGCTTCGAAGACGATGGAGCCGTGTATCTCATCACCGAGTTTATTGATGCACGACGCATGGACGACCTCACGTGCTCTGACCGCATCATCATCGAGGAGGAACTAGAAGGCTACGCTCACCAACTGCACACACTCCGCTCCAGAAACCTTGGCGGTTGCTCTGGTCTTGTAATTCCACCCTATCGAGTCTGGGACAAGACACCTCGTGATGAGTGGAAGCTGCATCCCTCGGAAGTAGAGGAATATGTGTTTTGCCATCATGATCTTAGTCAAGCCAATGTCCTGGTCTGCCACGATGAGCTGAAGATCAAAGCTGTCATTGATTGGGAGTATTCTGGCTTCTAGCCTGAGAGGTTCGAGAGGGCGTTTTATAAGCGTGTGGGAGCTTCGGTTGCGTTGGAGGGGGAAGCGGATGATGTGGACGAGATGTTGAAATTTATGAATGAGAAATTGGTTCGTTGATTGGTCCGGCGAGAGCGACTGTTACCTGTTATGTTGGCAGATATGTGGATGTTATGGCGATCCGGACTTCGGAATCGTGCACGAATCTACTTCGTGGGCTGAAAGCAGTTCTGCAGCAGTAACAATGGCTTCAAATCATAGCGTGGGGGAATTGAGCAGGCGAGAATGGCTTGGAGGCCTCATGCGCATCTGAACTTGATATTGAGGGGAACAATTTTGTTTGAATGGCTTCTCTCATCTATTGAGGGTTGGCTTCGCTCGCACCGCTGCTTCTCCATGCGCTCAAGATCAAATCGACGATGTGATCCACACCCTTGCCGTTCTTGACTTGGGCGAAGATAGTAGGCCCACCCTCTCTGCGAGTCCTGTCAGCATGGATATTCCAAGATGTATTTGGAAAAACGTACCTGATCTTCCTCGAGTCTCTGTCCATGACTCCGAGATCAGCACCAATAAGTTCTGCCAGATCAGTCTTGTTGACAACAAGCAAGTCAGACTGTGTGATTCCAGGACCGCCCTTGCGAGGAATCTTGTCGCCTCCCGACACATCGATAACGTAAATGATAAAGTCGGCAAGTTCACGGCTGTAGTTTGCAGCCAGGTTGTCACCGCCAGACTCAATAAGCAGCAACTGAGTGTTGAATTCGCGGTGGAGATCCGTCAAAGCAGCCAGGTTTGCCGAGATGTCCTCACGCACGGCAGCATGAGGGCAGCCTCCAGTCTCGATGGCTCGAATACGTTCAGCAGGCAGAGCCTTGTGTCTTGTCAAGAATTCGCAGTCCTCGCGGGTGAAAATGTCGTTGGTGACAGCAGCGATGTTGTACTTTTCGCGGAGAGCCAGGCAAAGGGCCAGCATAAGTGCAGTCTTTCCAGATCCCACGGGGCCACCGATACCGACCGTGAAGGCTCGTTCCTTGAAGTCACGACCTTCAACGATAGGCATCTCACGGCCCAAGAAGGATCCAGGACCATCTAGAATCTCATGGCTGTGTCCGTGGTCAACAGCCTCGTGAGAATGAGAGTGGGATCCGTCGTGCGAATGAGACATGGTGCGGTATTGGAACGAAGGACACTTGGATGTAAAAGTAAACAGATGCTCAAATTACGAGTCAAAGTTTGGAGAGCTCCACGTCGAGGGTCTTGGAGGGTCCGAACGGGTGGGGCAGCCCGGCGATAAGGACCGAGTCCAAGCTTTTTGCCCGTTATCGGGAGTCGACGACAACATCCAATTGTTCATACTTCTCTCCCACGCTGTCTAGACTTCATGACCATGTTGTTACGTCTTCTCGTCAAGAACGACGAGAGGTAGGATATCAGATGATGGATCTTGAGTCCGTCGACGCAGTCACATATACGTCCTTTGGTATCGAGAGATTCTGAACTTCTGATCGGATGTTCTTGGGTGAAGGAAGCATGTCTATTCGCCCATGATGATGCGGACGCCCTCCTCTATCCATTCTCTATGTCTAGTAAACGTACTCGAAGTTGGGATTCTGCTTGTCCGTCAAATTGCTGAACGCTGTATCATTGAGCGCAGCAGCTTCACCACTTTCACGCATCCTGAGTCTGGTGTTCTCCTTACGCTTATTCTCCCAGATAAACACGTATCTCAGAACTCCAAATAGCACGAGCTCGACACAATTCGCTACTAACAGGGAGCCGATCCCGAGAGGATACGAAGGTGCTTGCTCCTGTCTGTAGAAGAATGGACTGGCAATGTTTCCAACGCATGCGCCGAACCAAATCATTCCGGAAACTATCATCTTCTTCGATTGACCTCCAGTATTGCTGGTCACAAGCGAGAGAGACAGCACGAAAGAGGCTTGGTATGAGCCAGTCAGATAGCTTCGATGGATGTCAGCTTTGTTTGGTTCATCAACTGAGGCCCTGGTTCTGAATAACTTACAAGCAAATCAGTCTTCCGACGTAGGCGGTGTCGGGTGCCAACAAGAATCCGAGAGCACCCGCAATTGTTGGCAACATGAAAAGAGCACATACGATTGTGCGGCTGTTCTTAGGCAAATATCTGTTTGCCATGGCTCCCAACCCAATCCAGATCACTACCAGGGCTCCTTGAGGGATACCGAGCAATGCTGTATGTAACGTATCAAACCCCAAGCCTTTGATAACCAGTGTGGAAAAGTTGCTCAAACCTCCGTTAGGTAAATTACTAAAAAAACCTAACAAGGTAAATAACCATGTTTTGTAGTCGAGGTATGCTTCCTTGATTTGGTCCCAGTTAATTCGCTTCTGCTCAACACCAGTCTGGTTACGGCGCATACGAGCGATCATGATCAATTTCTCATCGCGAGAGAAGCCTTTGAAAGTCGTGGGTGAATTGGGGAGAAGGAGGCAGAGCGCAATAGCCCAGACCGAACAGAAAGCACCGACGATCAAAAACTCGTATCGCCAGGAGGCAAGAGCACCGTTGATATTTCCAATTCCGTATCCGATAAGACCACCACCAGCCACTCCCACGCCATTCCAGACATACCAGGCTGCAATTCGAGAGGGCTGTTCCTCACGAGTGTAGTACATGGATGTGATAAGCATGAACGCAGGATCGGCGATGGCTTCGAATGCTCCGGACAAGATACGTAATGCTGCCAGAGCTGGGAAGTTGTTCGCGGCAGCTTGACACATGAGGAGAGCTCCCCACATGAATATATTGAAGGAGAGGTACCACCCAGGTCGGCATCTTTGCATGATGAGGTTGGAAGGTATTGCCCAGACCAGCCAGCCAAAATAAAAGATACTTGACAGCCATGAGTATTCATCTCCAGTTAGGTCCAGGTCTTTTTTGATGCCAAAAATTGCTGCGTAGGACAAGGTAGTCTTGTCGACGTACTATATCGTGGGAATCAGAATAAGCTATGACTGCTTTTCCTCCATCTATAGGGCGTTTCTCACGTAGAAGAAGTAACAAATTCCCAGCAATGGGATGATGCGTCTATCCAGCTTGCGTTTGAGTCTTTTCTCATCTGCCTGATCAATTGATTCATCATTCGGATAGCGTTGCAAGGCTTCTGCATAGAGGTCGGCTTGATCGTTGTCGAGCTCCCCAGTGATCGGTTCCTGAGGCTTCTTGTAGTCAATGTACTCGACCTCCTCCTCCTTGGCCGTATCGTCGTGCTTGTCCATGGTTACTTCGGCGGATGTGTCGGATGCTTTCGTGGGAGACGTTCATGAGGGATCAGCGTGTCTTTATAGCGACCATGCATTGTCGGGGTCCGGGGATTGCAGTGATCCTCCGGCGAGAACCCCGCTGAGATTCATGTCCATCGGTATCACCGCGTGACGATCGTCCAGACATGTATGTCGCAGTATGGCGGTCCTGGGGTGCGTGAGGTGGAGTATCACTCTTGGCGACTGGAGTTGTTCCACCAATGAACACCTCTGAGCCTCGAGACGAGCACAATTGAACACCTGAACTTCAGATGTGACCCCAGCCGAATCACCGGCAACACCGCCCCATGGGGCACCTGCTTCCAGCCTGTGCAGCTTCTGAATGTCTGTGCCCTATTCGACGGTATTGGCTAGTCTCACTTCCGATGCTCTCTGCAATTGTCCGGCGGCCTAAAATCTATGCAGAGGCACCATCGACTGTGGACAGCCTCGTAACCAGTGCGCAAGCAGAGCAAATGCTTCCGCGCTGCTACATCCATGTCTCTCTCTATGACTTGATCGGAGACGGTCGTGGCGCGAGTGGCCCTGCCTACCGATGAGAGCACCACAACTATTGATCCGAGCCGTCCGTTCATGCCAGTAGATGGACCCGATTTGTCTTCTCCCAAGTGCCCAAAGCTGTTGCGAGTGTGTGGGTCGAATTGCGGACCTGACTTTTGTGACCGCCAACTTCTTACGTCTACTCCTTGCTCTCCCGGGTATTCAGTCGTACCACACTCGATCAAGTAAGTATCGATCGCCGGGAGGGAGAGAGCAAGTCCCTACAACGAATTTGAGGTTGAGACCAGATCATCGATTTTGCTTGGATTGGGTGCGTGCGAGAGGTAGCACTCTGTGCTCCTCGTTCCTCTGTCTGTCATGGGACTTGCTAGCCACTCTCGGTTAGCGCGGGAATTGGTTTTCTGAACGCTGGGGTGCTTATTTCGAACCAACTGCTGAGATGACCCTCGAAGACTCAATTGAAAACTCCAAAGGATTTACAGCAAGCCGTGCATGTAGATACGTTAGAATCTGCGACGACTGCTACGTTGTATGAAAAGCGAAGGTATCGAGGTTCCCAGCGAGGTTCAAATGTGACAAATTTGCAAGCCTGCTGAGACTCTTTCGAACTTGGGAAATCTCTGAGAAGGCAGCGGCAGTTTCAAGTGCTACTATGTTGCAGAAGATGGCGAACGTCTGGGTTGGCAGACTGACGGAAAGCAAAGATGAAGCTTGTCCTGGCGACGGCAGCAATAATCTAAAACGGGACGCTCTCCACAGGCCCCCATGGGGATAGAATTGCCGAACAAGCTAACATCTACACACGAATAGATCGTATCTACGGGTTGCGACACGCAGTGAACCGCAATGTACGCCTAGCGCGAGAAATTCCGCGATTTTAATATGGGTGGAGGAATAAAGGTAGGCCAAGAACTCGATGTCAAAGCCACTCTTCCGCGCCAGGTATCCAAAGGTGAATTCTGAGCCAAGAGAGTGATTGATACGTTCATCTGTAGTGCTCGTTCGGGATCCCGTACTACGGACTGTCCAGAGAGAGAGAGAGAGCAACAGAAGTTTGTGGTCGGTTGTCAAAAACAGGCAGGTCTTTGAGCCTGCCAAGCCTGCGGACGCGAGGTCGCTGAGGAAAAATCTCCAAACTTTGATGCTTCCTGTCTGTTTGAACCCATCCTTCATAACATTTCTGCCCCAACACGGCGGATGCAGTACGGTCAGTAGGCGGATACGCCGTATACCCGAGAGACACGGTGATGAAACTAGGGCAAGACCTGGCGCAAACAACCAATGAAACGCTCTGATTCTCGACTCCCCAAGCCTCGTAACGCAATACGGCGGATACGACCGTAATTCCTTTACGGTCAACAACAGTTTTGATTGCGACTTGTACGAATAGAAGAGGCAGTGCTGCAAGGCAGACAGGTAAGATGTATGATAAAACTGTAGAATCCGGCTCTTCTCTCTGTTCTCTTCTTGTCACTCCATCTCCCGCTCCTATACCTCACGTCAGCCTCGTTCCTAAGCTCGCTCTCAGCTTGAGTACCATCTACTTACTCAGAAGAGACGATACGCACTGAACCACACAAAATGTCCGACTCAAACGACGGAGAAATCAACTTCGTTCTCTACCATTACACGCCATCAATCGTAGCCGCCATCATCTTTGTTGTGCTTTTTGCACTCGGATTCTTCGGACATGTGTTTTACATCTTCAAGCTGCGTGCTCGCTATTTCATTCCATTCACCATTGGTGTGCTGCGTGAGTTTTCTGCATTAATCATTTACAGGACACAGCTAACACGACATAGTCGAATGTCTTGGATACGTTGGACGTGCTCTCTCACACAGCGACAAGGAAGCTCTAGGGCCTTTCATCATGCAAAGTCTTCTGATTCTCGTCGCACCTGCACTGTACGCAGCCTCGATCTACATGGTTCTCGGTCGCATCATCCGCCGTCTTGATGCCGAAGAGTACTCGGTCATCCGCACCAAGTGGCTGACCAAGGTCTTCGTCATTGGCGACGTCTTCTCCTTCCTCGTCCAATCCTCTGGTGCTGGACTTCAGGCCAAGGGTGATCTCGACTCTTTCAACCTCGGAAAGAACATTGTCATCGCTGGTCTCATCATCCAGATCATCATCTTTGGCTTCTTTGTAATTGTGGCCGGTCTATTCCACGTCCGCGTCAACAAGCTCCCCACCGGTGCATCCGTCGATTCAAACTTGAGCTGGCGCAAACACATGTACAACCTTTACTTCTGCAGCGCCATCATCCTTATTCGCAACCTCATCCGTGTGGTCGAGTATGCTCAAGGAAACAACGGCTACATCATCACTCACGAGTGGATGCTTTACATCTTCGACGCTGTCTTCATCTTCTTGGTCACCGTTGCTTTCCTTGTCTTGCACCCCAGCAAGCTTTTGGGCAGCGGGCGTTTCCCTGCTCGTCCTTCAAGCGATCCCCAGCTCTATGCCATGGAGAGTGGTCGTAGCCAGGTTAGATCACACCGCCGCCATTCCAAGCATAGACACAGTCGTACTCATTCGCATTCTAGACACCCCCACAAACATCATCAACACCATTCAGCAAGACCGAGAGGCCCTAGATCTCCTCATCGATCTTCGAAGCATGATCGCCGAAGGATATCGCGCGAAACATGAGAAAGAGCTGGCTGGGAATGGAATGGGAAGGGACACATGATAGCGTTCGAGCATCACACATAACGAACAGGCGTTAGGGAGTTCTTTAGCTCAGGCTATACCACCTTTGAGCATTGACAAAAGGTCATGATTGGAATTGAAGCAAGGCCTGCACATACTATGCTAGTAAACATAATGAGATTGTTCGATATCATTCCGCTCTGCCAACCGAGTGCTAGAGAATACTGCTATCATGTCTACTTTGTCGCCATTATCCAGAACTCTTGAGCTCATGGTAGTTACAAGCGTTTTTGGAAGACTCAAGATTCTCAGCAACACCATCCATCTCTCGTTCAAGAATCACTTCGTTTCTTCCTTAATGTCTCTTCTTTACTTGGGTCCTCCAAAACAGAGACAAGAGCCAATCAAGAGACGCTAGTCTGTTGGTGAGCAGCACAGTGTTGTGCCCCAACACAAGAATGATGGCCAACATGACATCTAAGCTATTTTGAGGAAGCAAACCGTTGTCCATGCAGTCATTAAGCGATACAGCTATTGTAGCAATCTCGGAGTAAGCAGAGGTAGATTGCAACAACAACGGCGGATGAAATGACAAGCAAAACGGGCAAGCGCTGCGAGAAAAAATACGTAGATACAACGGTGATCAAGTGATCATGCAGCTCTGATTTAAGTTTTGGTCAAGGCTAATGAGATTGTTCATGAATGTGAAAATGGTTTGTCTTTTGTGTGTAAAAGTGATCGTTCTATGGAAGACGATCATGCTTTCTCTGTGATGATTGAGAAGGAAGATGTGACAAGGGAGAAAAATGAAATAGGCATCAAGCAAACAGGAAGCGACAACGGGGGTATGGTCCTTTTCTCCTGACATCATTAACAACAAAAACATCAACGCCGCCGTAAGCATTAAATTCACAAGAATATGTGAAGTGGTTAGGTCGTTCAAGCAGCCACTGGTGTAGACTCCGGAGCGGCTGGTTGCGCATCAACAGACGTGCTATCATCACGAACAACGTCACTGAGGCGTAGACGTTTTGATGGGGGTGCAGCTTGTGACTTGTAGGACTCGATCTCGGCTTCGAGCGACTCGACTGTTCTCTTCAAAGCAGACTCGCGAATCAGGGCGGCATCAAGGTCGGCTTTGTATTGGTCTGCGGCATCGCGAGCTGAGGCTTCCTTTGCACGGGCATCTTGCTCGCTCTGTTCAAGCTCAGCGACTCTACCACGGAAGAGGTCGTTGATGACTTCCAGTTCGCTAACTCGGGTCTTCAAAGAGCTGTTGTTCTCTGAGTACTGGTGTGCATGTTCAGGGTGCATTCCGTTGACCGAAGGTGCGGGAGAAGGTTGACGAAGGGCGAAGGTAGGCAGACCGGATGGCTGGAAGGAGGATTCGGCGAGAGAGACGTTGTCAAAGACATGTTGAGGGGCGATGTTGGGATTGTGGTGCGAGACCATTCCAGGAGTATTCGTGCGAGATGAGGGCGAAGGGGAACGGTGGTGTTCGCCAGAAGACATGCGATCAGAGTGACGGCGCTGAGGATATGATCCAATCGGAGTGTTGATGTCGGCATGGAAGCCAGGCGATTCAAGCGAAGGCTGAGGCAACATTAGCTTGTGCCAGAGACAGAGTAAGAGTGACAAGTTGGCTGACCTTCTTCTTGGGGCCGGTGGCTGTCTTGACGCGGTTGCGGCTCTTGATAACGTCCGTCTTCAGACTGATCGGACGCGGACGGCCATGTAGCTTGAGGAAGAGACCGCAGGCATTGCACAGCACTGAGCCCATCTCGTCGCGGCGCCATAGTGGAGTGGTGCTTGTACCGCAGTTCTGGCATACGGGCTGCGTGTCGAGCTCAAGTCAGTTTCACGCTCGTTATCGATTTGAAAGATAAGGATAAGGAATCGCGACGCGCACCAGTCGCGACGGACCCTCGAATAACACTTACAGGTCCATTTTGCTGGCCACCAGCAGTGGCAGCAGGCGCCGAAGTTGCGTAGTTCATCGTGTGCATAACATTAGAAGTCCTGTGAAGAGAAGGTATCAGTCCTGTATCAATTGCGAGATGCGTTGCCAATGCCGATGCGCTGATAGGGTAGGGCAGAGATTCCCACAGCTTGGGCCTTATCTCGGGTCTACCTGCCGACTCAAGATAAGATTCTCCCGACGCCGACCGACTACCCCACTACCAAGTAACAACAACAACAATCAAGAAAGGAATGCTTACCTGGGCATCATGGCCATTGGATTTGCTCCGAATTGTCCAAGGCTCGAAAGGCCAGGAAGTTGCATCGGTCCACTGAAAGATCGCTGAGGAACAGAGTATTGTGGTCCTGTGTACATAGGGGCTGCCGAGGATGGTCGAGGGATTTCATGTCCCATGTGTGCAAAGAATTGTCTATCTTCAGCATAGATTGGAGGCGTAAGAGTGACCGGGTAGTGAAGGCCCATGGAAGACTTGGGTCTGTACACATCCATTGCAGCATGTCTGTACGAAGTGTCGATAGAAGTAGGTCTGTATGCCTCGATAGAAGAAGGTCGGTGGAGCATCGTAGCGGTGATTAGTTCGTCAAGTCTTTGTAGAGTATCGTCAATCGATTAGTCGTTGGAGATGGTCTAAGATATATGAACCAGGTCAAAGGAGTGTGTATCAGAAGGTATTAAAAGAATGAATGACTGAATTAGGATGGAAATTAGTATAGAGTCGAACAAAGGAGTGTCGTGAGAGAAGTCGTAGGTAAAACACTTTGTCGTGAGGCGTATGTCTAAGTATACATATGTCGTGAAGACATGCCCAGGGGTGGCGACTATGTAATGACAACGGTAGAGGCTTGAAGTTCGGCGTCGAGGTAAATTGCCAAAACAACAGCAAAAACGCAAAGCGGTTCTAGTGGGCGTTATGTCCACCGTCCTGCGTTTTTATCCTGTCCAGATATCTGTGACAGCATCTCAAGTCATGGTAAACATTGAATTCACCATGTACCTGGTACTCTGATTCCTGTGTTTGTAGTCCTATTTGATTCGAGAGGGCTCTGAAGTATCATGACGTTCTAACATTCCGAGTCTCTCGAGCTTTGGAACGAGTAATCGATCTGTGATATGTCTTGTCAATTCATTCCTGGAAAAGTGCGTAATTTGACGAAGCCTTCGACCAGCGTCATCCGTGGAGCTGCGTACAGGTGAGCAGCAAACAAAGCTCCTTACGAGAGCCGCAGGCCGCAATCAAAGTACAGCTCGCGTTCGACGGCTGCACAACGGTGAAGACAGGAGATTGGCGGTAGCAAGTACACGAAGTTTATCCCTTACCCGTCACGCATGAACAGAGATGAGGTCCGTCCTACTTGGAGAAGCGATCGGCGATCGATAGCAAGTACAGCTTATTGTGATAATACTGACTTCTGAAACTTGATTGCGATTGGCATGATGTATAGCGAAGAGAGAGCAGGCGAATGCTTCCAGGTCTCGGTGAGCTTGGACCCTGGCAGATCCAAAAGGAACAAGTTCAAGGGGCATTGGGGCTTTCCGTTTACGAGAGACAGCTCAATGAACTCGGCGTTCGCGGGACAAGCATGGTTCGACGACTTGAGGCGGTGCAATCAGGACTGAAAGTTGGAATCTGCTATCGAACAAAAACGACTGCTGTATCGCGGAATCGTTGGCATTCAAGCTACGATAAGCAAATGATAGCTAGCTGAGATGTACAAGTTTCTGGCCATGACAATTTTTTCGATTATTCTTTTTGCAGTAAATCGACGTGTAAGCAGAGAGTTCTTGGTTACAAGGAAAAGAAAACACAAGGCTATTTAGACAGCTGTTGAATCCCATGCTTTGAGATGGAACTTTGATCAAATGTGCAACCCCCTCTTGTATTTGAGTCAACATGGGGAAAGCTTGGCATGTCCAGTCGTCATTCCATCGCCATTCGTGTTCAAGAATCACAAGGTGACTGTCTTGGACTGGCCACCTGTCTTCCCTGAAACCACGACCAGTCAAAATTTATCATGGGAAAGTCGAGGCCAGCAACGTCCGGCTATGCCAGAATTGCCCAGGCAGAAGAGGAGGACGACGATTCATACCATTCCGACGAGGACATTCACCAAGGCCAGTCCCGCATCTCGGTGGATGCAGACAGTACGACGTATGCGCCAATACAACCGAAGCGACGTGAGCGTATGGACCTGCCCGATGGTCGACCTTCCAATCACCGACGACGACGTACAAACTCTGGAGTTGACATCAAGGCCATCAATGCCAGGTTGGAGAAGTGGGCCGACGAGATCGCTCAGAAGTTCAAGATTCGCAAAGTCAAGGGCAAGTCGCAAGAGGAGGAGCAATTAGAGATACACCATTCCGTGTTCCAGGCTCCTGACTGGATCAGACCGGCCACAGCCGAGACACCGGCAACCGACCTCGACGAGCCCAACGATGACAGAATATCCAAGATTGAATTCGACGACATTGTTGAGAGCGTCCGGGTCGCCATTGAGATGGGCATGCAGCCCAAACTCATCTCTCAGGGAAGTTCTGGAAGTTACTTTGCGAGGAACACGTCTGGCAAAATCGTTGGTGTTTTCAAGCCAAAGGACGAGGAACCGTACGCTTCCAAGAATCCAAAGTGGACAAAATGGATACATCGAAACCTCTTCCCCTTCTTCTTCGGACGCGCATGCCTTATTCCCAATCTCAGTTACATCTCTGAAGCGGCCGCCTATGTGTTGGACAGTCGTCTACGGACTCATCTTGTACCCTATACCGACGTCGTCACTCTGTCTTCCAAGGCCTTCTTCTACGACTTCTGGGATAGGCGAGCGCATTACCGCAAAGGCAAGCCATTTCCTGAGAAGCAAGGTAGTTTCCAGGTCTTCCTCAAAGGCTTCAAAGACGCGAACATCTTCCTCAAGGAGCACCCATGGCCCGATCAACATAACTCAGGCTTCCGAACAGATGCTGCGCCCAAGCGAAGGAAGCGAAGATGGGGAGAGGACTGTCGACCCAGAGGTGCACCTTCCGATGATGAAGACGAGGATGTCGAGGGGTCTCAAGCACCTTATACCGACCGACAACGCTCTCGTAATGTGTTCTGGACGCCCGCTCTTCAACAGTCATTCCGCGAGCAGCTTGAAAAGCTTGTCATTCTCGATTACATCATGCGCAACACCGATCGAGGACTTGACAACTGGATGATCAGGATCGACCAGCAGAGTCAGGAAGCCGAGATTGTTATAGAACCTCCCAACAAGCCAAAAGATGGACAAGCCGACCCTTACAAACGACAAGAAAACATGAGCACAGGCGGCCCAACTAGTTCACGACCAAATGCCACTGTGACTCTTGGTGCCATCGACAATAGTTTGTCCTGGCCTTGGAAGCATCCTGATGCTTGGAGAAGTTTCCCATTCGGCTGGCTTTTCCTACCTGTTTCCTTGATCGGTCGTCCGTTCTCGGAGAAGACCAAGCAGCACTTCCTTCCTCTGCTTACGTCAAAACAATGGTGGAGTGAAACGCAGATCGCGTTGCGTAAATGCTTCGAACAAGACGCCGATTTCCAGGAGAAAATGTTCGCTCGTCAGATCGCCGTCATGAAAGGACAAGCCTGGAACGTCGTGGAGACTCTAAAGACACCGGACCACGGCCCTCTGGAATTGACGAGACGTGCTCGTGTTTGTGTCTGGGATGACCTTGTAGAGATTCCAGTGGCCGTTCCCTTACGTCCTTCCAACGATATTCGCCATAAGCACACCGACGTTGTCAAGGTTCCAGGAATCAGAGAGGAAGAAGAGATGGATATCAGTGCTGCTTATGCTTCAGCACCTCCACTGCACACCGATCTTCTTGGCCCCGATCCTGCGCAAAACAACCGGTTTAACATCTCGCGACAGGACAGCAGTGGCGACGTCCGACGCAGTGATGACAGCAACACTCCTCTTTCGCCCTCCAGTGTACAAGGTTTCACATTCGATAACGCCAAAGAGTCCAGATTTGCACGCCCTGTTGCCATTCGCTCCAAGTCAAGGCTCAGTCTCGACGAGACGAGAAGACTATTTGACAATCTTGGGGAACGTCGGAGATTCTCCTTCGCTCTGGGAAAGAGAAACGATGATCTTGATGTTGGTGATGATGATGCCGATCTGGATGGCGACCTCGGTTTCGCTGCAGCAGAAGATCAAGATGGTTACAGGAGAAAGGTGATTGTCGAAAGGATTGAGATGGTCAAGGGCAGGGCACCTGTCTTCACTTGGTGCTAGTGTTACGTGTTAACGGCGTTTCGGATCTGGATTGGGGCATGGGAAGCTCAAAGACATGGGTAGGCGGCATTGCAAGGCGCTGTACAGATACCACGTGTATACCTAGGATACCTGAAATGAATGAATGATGACAGTCTCTTGACGGGATGGCTCTGGCCAAACAGCGAAAATGCAGTTTCCACCGCGTCAGTGTCGCAATGCGTACTTCCAGCGAAACTCGAGAGCACACTAGACCTCGAATTTGTCGCATTGTATAATACACAGGATTGCGCATCTTTGGGTGTCGCTATCTTTGGCGAGTTCAGACTCGAGATTGTTGATTGCTCACGGCCGGCTCGAGTCCGAAGTTCGTCTCGAGACGGCTAGCGACACGTCATGATTCACAACCAAACACAATCCTGTCCAAACCAAACATCTCGCCAGTGATACCAATACCTTTGGCTTGAGTAATAATTTTGTCGGAGGAAGACTGTCTGACTTGCTGCTTGCAAATCAAAGGCTCATCAATTTAACGTTGTTGCTTGAGTGCGACCGAGTGCCCCAGACGTCTTGCCGGATGAACGAACCTTCTCTCACCTCATTCGCTCGACTTCAGAACACTGTTATCACATGTTCAACTCACAGCGAATTTTACCGGCCACTTGAAACCAGCAGGCGATTGCCCTTGAGTTCTCGTGAAATCGATCACTTAAACATCATTCTCAAATGAACGCTGCGCAGAGAGCGGCATTGCTCAATCCAAAAGCTGCACGTAAAGCGGCTGCAGCAGCAAGTGAGTAGCGGAACAATCTTGCATCACATCGCTTCTTCACCCGCCATTGTTATCTCTCACTCTTCTGTTGTCGACATCGACGCCATCTCACTTACCTTCTTGCCTTCCTTGCACTGCTCCCCTCTTCTTCTCTTTTACCTGAACTTCCTCTTCCTCTTCCACTTCCACTTCCACTTCCAACCTTCCAACCTTCCAACCTTCCACTTCCAACCTTCCAACCTTCCAACCTTCCACTTCCAACCTTCCAACCTTCCAACCTTCCACTTCCAACCTTCCAACCTTCCATCGCAACCTCAATCATCCACTTTATCAATCCAATACATGCACTCTCTTCCACTCGTATCTACATCAGTTCGATACGTCCTCTCATCATACAATACAACATGTCTTTTGACTTCGCCCCTCCACCCCACCACTCCCCCGGCGCTTCTTCCACCATGGAGCAAGATCTGACTGAACAAGGCAAGAAGCGAGAGCGTCAGGATGGTCCCCTCGAGGATGACACTGCCGAAACCATGCAGCCTGGAACTGGACTCGGCTCTTTCATGGAGCGCATGCACAACGTCACCGATCGCGAGGCTCTCCCTGCCTCAAAGAAGCAGAAGACCGACAACAATGACGAGAACGACGAGAAACGCAAGACCACTTTTAAAGGTGGCAAAGGTGGAGTCATTGGTGAGTATCTCAAGGAGCAGCGCGACCAGGGCGCTCGTGAAGCTGGACCCATCGACCTCACTGCAGACGACGAAGAAGACGATCTCCAGATAGTGTCTGTGAAGTCGACTCCTCAAGATCCCAAACGCGAGATCTGCCTGGGTTCCATCTCAGCCAAAGTCATGGCTCACAAGGTACCTGCTGCCAACAGAACCCTGGGCAAGTTTTCAGAGAACTGGCCGCCAGCCAAGATGACACTTCATCCCCGAGTTGGCCAGGAACTGGTTTTCATCGCACTCGACGGCAAAGGTGTCGAGTTCGGTAAGCTGGACGTCATTACTGCCACCGCGCTGTCTCCTTTGCTCAAGAATGCCCTTCTGAAACTGCGCCTCGCCCCTTTGTTAAAAGAGCGACCCAAGGAGACCGGTGAGGAGCCTGGACAGACCATCTCGAAGCCTTTGGACATATCGATTACTCTTTACTGCACCGCTGAAACCGCCAAAGGCATTGGTCGACAGCTCAGCAAGCGCCAAATCTGGCTACACAAGCCCCTGACCGTTGCATATGGCACAGAGGTTATCAATCCCCACGTCCCCAACTACAATTTCATTCCGAAGGCCGGTTTCTCAGCTCCGATACTTAGCCAATCGGCCGGCTTCCGCGTTCGTACTACCGAGGAGATCAAGAGCGACGTTCTCTCGATGTTCGACCGTCTTGGAAAGGCAGAAGAGCTACCAGAAGCTGAGGCAGACGCGACACTCGTCAAGACTGAACTTATGCAGCACCAGAAGCAAGCTCTGTACTTCTTGAGCAAGCATGAGACTCCCACTCCACCTGAAGAAGACCCGCTCTGGAAGGACGTCATTCGTAAGAATGGGACTCGGGCCTGGTACAACGTTATTACAGGAGACGAACTGAAGAAGGTCAGCCCTACCTTGGGCGGTCTATTGGCTGATCAAATGGGTTTGGGCAAGACGCTTAGCGTGCTTTCTCTCATTTGTGCGACACTCGAGGAAGCCAGAGCTTTTGGCGATGGAGAATTGGAAGCAAGCGATCAAGTTACCGAGAGCGTTGTGCGCAGATCTGGTGGAACCCTCCTCCTCTGTCCCAAATCGGTTATTTCAAACTGGCAAGAGCAGATCGGCCAGCATTTGGATAACACAAAGGTCCGCTTCTACATGTACCACGGCAACAAAAGAGAGCAGGATCTCGACGTTTTGGCCCAATACGACGTTGTCGTTACATCATACAGTATTGCTGCTAGCGAGTTCACATCATCCTCAAAGAACTTTAGCGCGCTAGCTCAGATGGCATGGTTTCGCATCGTTTTGGATGAGGCACATCAGATCCGCAATCAAGACACTACTACCTTCAAGGCAGCCTGCAACTTGGTTAGCAAGCGCAGATGGGCAGTCACCGGAACACCAGTCCAGAACAGACTCGACGACTTTGGCGCTCTTATCAAATTTCTCAAGATTTACCCCTTCTCCGACAAGGGTGTCTTCGAGAAGCATTTTATGGCACCATTCAAATCCGGTGACCCTCAAGTCCTTGACAACCTCCGTCTTCTGGTATCCAGTATCACCCTTAGACGCTCAAAGGACAGGATCGATCTCCCTGACCGTGTCGAGGAGATCGTTCGTCTTGACTTCTCGTCTGAGGAACAAGCTCTCTACGATGCGTTTGCTAAGGATGCCAACAAGAAGGTACGCGCCATGACCCGCGGAAACGACCGCCTTAGAGGCAGAAGTTACGCCCATGTTTTGGTCAATATCACCAGATTGCGTCTTCTGTGTGCTCACGGTCGCGAATTGCTCAGCGAGGATGACATGAAGGTCCTGCAAGGTACTTCGTACGAGACAGCCATTGACTTGGGAGAGGAAGGAGATGCAGAGAAGGCCGTCATGACCAAGGACCAGATTAACGACACCTTCTATCTTCTCCGCGAGAGCTCAATGGATATCTGTTCGTGCTGCATGGAGGGAATTGGCCGTCTCGACCCCATGGGAGACACCGGCAGCGACACCTCTGATGATGAAGATGAGGCAGAGGACATTATCGGCTATCTTACCCCTTGTCTCCATCTCGTATGCCCCGCTTGCGTTGATAAGTTCTGGAACGAGCTGAGAAACACTCAAAGCCGCGACAATTACGCCACTTGCCCTCAATGTGAACAATACGTCAAGGCCGTGATGCACCCCATCAGTCAGAAGAACGTCGACGAAGACTTGGAGATGCGCCAGAAGAAGAAGGGACAGGTCAAGTCCAAGAAGGGTGTTGAATACGGTGGTCCTCACACCAAGGTCAAGGCATTGATCTCTAACCTGCAAGAGCACGCAGAGAACTCGCGTGAGCTGATGGAGATTGGCGAAGCACCAATTCGCAGCGTTGTGTTCTCCGGCTGGACGTCTTACCTCGATCTCATTGAGATCGCTCTCAAAGCTGCCGGCCTCGGTTTCCTTCGTCTTGACGGCAAGCTCTCCGTCAGCGCGCGCACGCAAGTCCTCGATCGCTTCAAGACCGATCCATCCATCTCTGTCTGCCTCGTGTCAATCAAGGCTGGGGGTCAAGGCCTCAACTTCACTGCCGCAAACAACGTCTTCATGATGGAGCCTCAGTTCAACCCTGGTGTTGAGATGCAGGCCGTCGACCGTGTTCATCGCTTGGGACAGAAGAGAAATGTGATGATCAGACGCTTCATCATGGCCAACAGTTTCGAAGAGAAGATCGTGGAGTTGCAGAAGAAGAAGATTGAGCTGGCCAATCTTGCTACGGGAGGAAAGGCTGTAAGACAGGACGCTAAGGAGATCTTCCAGAACTTGATGAGTCTGTTCTAGATGAGAACAGACGGGGAACGATTGAGGGATTGAAGGATGGGGAAGTTGAAATTAAAGCAGAGCGTGCGGTTGAACCGGCGCAGAGAAGAGAAAGAGAAACGTACTTACATGGCTCAGAGAGACCTGACAGTCAAGTACTCGAACATAACGTAGCAATCAATCTCCGCAAAGCATTGACAATCCAGGCTCCCTTTGAACACAACTGCTTTCCTCGTGGTTTACTGCATTGTGACAGCACAGGCTAACCATGCGACAAACTCACAAGATACTGGGGGAACATCGTGGTCGAAGCGGCAGTAAAAAGAAAGGCGCACAAACATTGCATTGGACCTCCCCGTGTGCTGAACTTTGTCAAAGCGCTAACTTTGACACTCTCGGTGGAAGGATGTACTGATCTTGAAACAATCGTGCAATCATTCAGCCCGGATGACCTCAGTTACGATTGCGAGAGGCGGCTGAGTGACAACCGTTAGCACACGGGGAGGGAGAAACAACCAAGCCTCAAGGGCTTTAGGGAATAGACGAAGCAATGTGGGGACCGATGCAAGAAATGATAGTGTCCAGAGGTTGGAAGAGGGTCAAGAACAATTGCAACACCAGAGTTAGTGCGAGCAGATCATCTTCATGACTGGATGCCGAAGAGGCAAAGGAACACCAAGACTGCTTTCGCTTCGCCATGCATGATATTCGAGGATAAAGGAAAGATGCCCGAAATGCGCCCACCTGTGGTATTTACAACGTACAGCCTACAGATCCAGACCCCTTGCCATGCCCAGAGATTTGGTTCACTTTTCATTTAGATTCAATCGTCGTCTATTGCTTGAGCTTCTCGGTCAACTCGGGGACCTTCTCGAAGAGATCGCCGACAAGACCAACATCAGCGACTTGGAAAATGGGTGCGTCGGCGTCCTTGTTGATGGCGGCGATGACCTTGCTGTCCTTCATACCAGCAAGATGCTGGATGGCACCACTAATACCGGCGCAAAGGTAGAGCTGAGGAGCGACGTTCTTTCCGGTCTGACCGACCTGCAAACTGTTGTCTGCGAAACCGCTGTCGACAGCAGCACGAGAGGCACCAATGGCGGCACCAAGGGCGTCGGCGAGCGGGGGCATGATGCGGTCGAACTCTTCCTTGGACTTGAGACCACGGCCTCCTGAGACGACCTTCTCGGCGGTAGCGAGATCAGGGCGGTCCGAGGTAGCGAGGTCTTCGCTGATCCACTCGGTAGGGCACTCGGCCTTGGGGTCGACACCCTCTTCGACAGAGGCGCTACCGCCCTCTGCGGCGCCTGAAGGGAAAGCAGTACCACGGACGGTAACGACCTTGGGGCTGTCATCGGTTTGGACGGTGAGGATGGCGTTGCCGGCGTAGATAGGACGGACGAAGGTGTCTTCGGACTCGATGTTGGTGATGTCTGAGATTTGCTGAACGTCGAGCAGGGCGGCGACTCGAGGCATCAAGTTCTTGCCAAAGGCCGAGTGGCCAGCGAAGACATGTGTGAAGCCTCCCTTCTTGATGTTCTCGACGAGCAACGGGGCGAAGTTTTCGGGCAGACCCTAGGCTTGTTGTTAGCGACTTGGACAAGAGGGGCGAGCAATTGTGTGACACACCTTGTCGTACGAAGCATTGTCGACGTAGATGACCTTCTCGAGTCCCTCAACCTTTGCGGCCTCCTCAGCAACGGCCTTTACGTTGGAGCCGGCGACGAAACCAGTAATGGAACCACCGAGCTTCATGGCAGCCGAGACGGCGGCCAGCGATGACATGTTCAGCTTTCCCTCTCTTTGTTCCAGGACAGCCAGTGTCGAGAGCAGGCGGGCGAGGGCAACATCGCGCGACAAGGGGGAGGTGACTCTAGGGCGGAGACATGATGAGCGGGCTTGCCGCAGGGCCGTCTGTCGTGCTGCTGAGAACATGGTTGTGATGTGTGATGTGTAGAATGGAATCTCCAGAAGACCAAAAGACTCCCCGCTCTGTCATACAAAGATGGTTCGGCAACACCAACTTCGAGCCGAGGGACCGACACCGGCCGCCTCGTTTAGTCCATCACCCTGTCCGGATATTGCTTCTACAGGAACACACCATCACAGTCTACTAATGGACCCAAGTCCTGTGTGGGGTCATCTAAACCAATCAGTAAATATCTGGGATATGATTTGTGGCTATCTTATTGGCGTTGTACGATGGGAGACATCATCCACGATTCAGATGGTTCAATCAGAATGTCAAGCTGAACGAGTGAGGACTCGTGGGAAATGTGATTGGAACAAAGGTTGGTGTTGGGATGGCTAGACTTCTTTTACTATATACGACCAACTCTCATATTTGACCGAGTAAGAGTCCAGTTTTTGAAAGAAGCATTAAACTCTGTCTCGGACTGCTTGTACGATGTCTTTCCTCACAAGCACTTTCACAAGGAAGGAGCTCGGGAGGGCCGGTTGATCTCTGGGTAAACGCTCGTTGCGGAGGATTGGCTTGACGGACGCTCAGCGCGGAGATTCAGACGCGTCGGGCCCTTTCCATACCAAGTCGATCTGTCAAACCATCGACACGCGCATTTCTACCTTTGTCGCATTCCCCGCCTGTTGCATTATGGATCCTCTGGCGAGCGAAGACACTGCCAACGCGCCTGGAGCCGTGTCTGACGAATTGATCCACGCCGAGAACGACCAGATTGAGCAACAGCAACAAGAAGCTCAAGGTATATGCCAACCCATCCCCATACTTTGCGCCCATCACTAATCACTCGGCGCAGAGGCAGAAGACACTTCTATGATGGACGACACAAACGCAAAGTCACCGTCCGACAATCCACTCGATGCGCCCGATGGCCCTCCCGCCGAGAACGATGCACAGCAGGGCGACGACGAGGACATGGCTGACGCAAATGAAGACGCAAACAAGGATGCACCTGAAGCTGCCGAGGATACCATGGATGCCACACAGCCGGAACAAGCACAGCAGACAAAATCACAAGTCGAGACCTCGGCCCGCTCCCACCTGATCGAACAGACACACGCCATCATTCTACCCTCATACAGCGCATGGTTCGACATGCACCAAGTACACAACCTCGAGCGCAAGGCTCTGCCCGAGTTCTTCAACTCGCGCAACCGCTCAAAGACTCCCGCCGTCTACAAGGACTACCGCGATTTCATGATCAACACATACCGCCTCAACCCTCAAGAATACCTGACTGTCACTGCATGTCGCCGCAACTTGGCCGGTGATGTCTGTGCCATTATGCGCGTCCACGCTTTCCTCGAGCAGTGGGGCTTGATCAATTACCAGGCATGCTCACCTTACCACTCCATTCTACCCAGTACAAGCTAACAAGCTGTAGATTGATCCCGACACCCGTCCCTCGAACATCGCGCCGCCTTTCACCGGTCACTTCCGCATCACCGCAGACACTCCTCGTGGTCTCCAACCCCACCAACCGGCACCCACCTCCGCAGTCACTGCCGGACGCGCCCACCCCGGTACAGACCGTCTAGCAAGCGCAACTCCCGCAATCAAGTCCGACTCGAACTTGGAAGTCAGACGCAACATCTACGAGTCCACTGGCAAGGACCTCACCTCCAAGCAGGAAAACGGTACCGACCTCGACGAAGCGCTCAAGCAGCCCGGAAAGCAATACCACTGTTACTCATGCGGCAAAGACTGTACCCGTGTGCGTTATCACAACGCAAAGGCCCCTCCGCAACAAATAGTCGGAAAGAACGGCGCTATCGCTAAGTTTGATCTGTGTCCTTCCTGTTTCATGGAGGGCAGATATCCCAACTCGACTGGCCCGGCCGACTACACGAAGCTGGAGAACGAGAAATACACGACTATCGCCGACCGTGAGGCTCCCTGGGCAGACTCGGAGTTGTTGCTGATGCTCGAGGGCCTTGAGCTGTTTGACGAAAACTGGGAGCAGATCGCAAACCATGTCGGTAGCCGAACAAGGGAGGAGTGTGTGCTCAAGTTCTTGCAGCTCGAGATCGAGGACAAGTACCTCGAAGGAGAAGACACAGTTGACGGCGCATCAAACAACCTCGCTTTCCTGAGCAATGGCCGCATTCCCTTCTCGCAAGCCGACAACCCCGTCATGTCTGTCATGAGCTTCCTTGCCAACTTGGCAGATCCCACGGTGGCCGCAGTCGCAGCAGGAAAGACAGTGGAACAGATGAGAAAGCAGCTCCGCAAGACCTTGGAGAAGGACTCGACATCTGCTGAGCCAGAAAAGGAGAAGGAGACATCGACCGAACATCAAGAGGCCGCTAAGGACGACAACTCGATGGAGGTGGACGACAAGCCGGCAGCCGAGAAGCAATCTGCAAGCCCCAAGCCGATGAAGGAGGAACCCAAGGACACCGCATCTTCACCCGCCACACTCGCTCTCAGCTTGACAGCTGCCCGTTCTTCTGCTCTGGCCTCACACACCGAACGCCACGTTAGCTCACTGGTTTCCTCGGCCGTCAACTTGCACATGCAAAAGCTGGAACTCAAGCTACAACAGTTTGACGAGATGGAGACACTTCTCCAAACCGAACGCAGAGATCTGGAGCGCCAACGCCAACGTCTCTTCTTCGACCGCCTGCAGTTCAAGCGCAGAGTCGCCGATGTCGAGAGTAAGTTCGCAAGCATGGGTCTTTCTGCAGAGAAAGATGTCAGAGCAGCCGCACAAGGCGAGGGCGAGGACAAGGGCGACAAGCTGGGTGTCGTGGGTACTCAAGAAGGCGCAGCTGCTGCTCAACAGACAGAAGAAACAAAGCCCTCCAGTGCCGATGAGGCGGGATACAAGACTGTTGAGATGTAGTATACTCAAGGTCTCAATGCGGTAATGGCGACGGCGTTTTAACAAGCGAGCACAGGGTTCTGGCTCAGGATGGGGGTTTAAAGATCAAAGTCTCTCGAATTGGAGTTCTCATAACTGCTACTACTACTACACAAAATATCAGCAATTCAACACTGAAACCTTTGTCGTCACAGGCTCTCGGTGAAGAATCCTCGATGTTCGCTAGACCTCTGCATTCATATAGTCGCCTCTGAGCCGAGGAAGCTTGTTGTGGCAGAGCAGCTTGGAGTCATGGCTTCGCGTACGTCGCTCTTCCCCTGCTAATGTGCGCCGCTGCTACATTACTACCGTTCACTGCGTATTACAGAAGTCAAGAGAATTCATCGTGGAAAGACAAAAGACTGTCAAGGCAGAACAAAACTTTACTTTTCAAAACCCAACTTTTCAAGTACAAGAGAAGTAACGACAACGTGAAATTTCGAAAGTGGAAGAGCAGAACAACAATGCTACAGATGTGACTTGATAAGTACCACAAACGAAGATTAAAAGGGTCAAAAAAATGATGGAAAACATGTCAAAGCTGCAAGCTGCAGGCTACTGTATGTGTCTTCACCAGGAAGTAACAAACAAAAAATAAATAAGCACCATGGGCAGGAATCGAACCTGCGACCTCCTCGGATCTAGACTGACACGGCGTTGAGTAACAACGAATGACTGCGCACGTGTTAAGACCTCGGGTGTGATACCACTACACCACCACGGCTGATTTGACTTGTTAGAATAATCTAACGAAATCTCGAATATAAAGGTTGAGTAAGAGTGGTGGTCAGTGGGCAGTTCAGTGGTGGAGAGGTGCGCGTGGTTGAGGGAGTTCGAGGGATGAGCAGGCTTCAAGATTGGTCGATGTCGGATTTGCGAGAGTGAGGGAAAAAGGAAGACCGAGCATCACTTCTTCCATATTGCATGGTCCATCTTCTCCCAAATCAGTTCCACAAGGGCACCGATTTGCATTCCTCCCTCCAATAGTACCATGAAAGGCACGTCCGCTCTCAACTCTCTCCAACACCAGTTTCTCAGCTCCGCCACGACCATACTGTCCATTCCAAAATCGGACATTGGTCGATCGAGTGAGGTCGTAAGTCTCTCCACCTTCGCCATTACAAGCTTGGAGAAGTGAGCGAGGAAAAGATCGCGGACGGCGAGATGAACAGCTGATTCGCCATCTGCAGCTGCGTTGCGCAGGAGAGTGGTAGTGTTGAGGGCGGAAGAAATCATGGATGTAGGGTGTTGATTCATTTCGGCTACGGCGGTGGCAATGCGTTCGAAACGGGGATCAGCGAGGAAAGCCGGTTGGATACTTGATGACACAAGTTGACCTGGCTCTAAGCCAGTGACGATATGAGCGACACTCAAGGTATCATGGTCAGATAAAGCTCTGACGGAACCTCGAGGTCGGCATGCGACTTCCATCATCTCGATGAAGTCGTCTTCAGGAATACCGTATACACCTCTCTGCTCGAAAGATCCCTTAATGTCTGCTTCATGTTAGCAATGGTTTGTTGAGCTTTATGGTGTGCTGCGAATGTAAATTCACCAGGATGAGACTCGACGTGTCCGACTCCAACAACCATCCCCAGCGCAATTGAACATGCTTCCAAACCCAAGCTCCATCTGTGACGTGCCATGGAGTCCAAGAAAGCGTTAGCTGCAGCATAGTTACTTTGGGTCGAAGCTCCGATCGTGCCCAGTGTCGAACTGGTCATCACAAAGAAGTCCAATGGCTCATGCAGAAGTGCTTCGTGTAGATTGATCGTTCCTTTGACTTTTGGATCCAGCACTTTATGCCAGCGTTCGAGTGACATGTCATCAAACAGATCGCTCTAAGTTGGCTTTAGCAACACACACGAGAAGAAATTAAGCCAGGACTTACTGCGAGCGCCATTGCCAGTTGCATGACTCCCCTGATGGGCGTCTTTGCCGACGCAATGGCTCGATCTACATCAGCACGATTGCTCACGTCTCCACTTACAACAGAGACCGTGACTTCACCGGCTGACTCTAGCTCAACAACAAAGTCTGCCGCTTCAGGCTTATCGACTCCCGATCTTGAGAGGAAAACAAAGTTTCGTGCACCTCTAGAGATCATCCACCTGACAAGGCTTCGACCCAATCCACCTAAACATCCAATTAGCAGATACGAGGCCTTTGACTCGAATTTTACTAGTTCGTGAGGCAAGTTTGTTGGTACCATGCTCTGGCGATCATACGCAAGAATTGTTCCCGCCGTCGAGGTACTTTGCGACACTGCAGAAAAGGCGTCTGGAAGCTCCGATACATCGTATGTAGAGCTCGGCTTGATAGCAGCAACTGCACCATCTCTCAGGAGTCCGAGGACTCTGTTGACTAGCTTTCCCAATTCTTGTGGCTGCGTTTCAAGCATATCATTCATATCGAAGGACGTGATCGAGACACCTCTTGCAAAGACTGATCGATCGAGGAGGCCAAGATCAGGTAGCTCAGAGTCTTGCGAGATGTAGACAAGACGACCATGCTTCGCAAGAGATTGCCACACCCCAGACACATCGAAGCCTTTTGGGCGAGTCAATGCCAGACTAACACCGTGGCCACCCGTGATAGTGTTCACCTTGTCCGCCAGCAGCCCCAAGCTGGCGACACATGACTCCCAAGTCGTATCCTCTGGCCAACCTTTCTCGAACAGAGTCTTTTTCTCTTCCGACTCAAATGTCAAAATCACCTTGAAACCACGGGTTAGAGAATAGCGTATCACAGCGACAGCTATCGCTTCTGGCATGTCGTGGATCAGTATTGTTTGTCCTACAGCAACGCGAGCCAGATCATCGAGGATATGAACAGCTGTACAATATGGCAAGACAGATGTGACCACATGTCCAGCGTCCTCATCAGGGCGCAGTAGCTCGCACCGAACATCACGAACAGTGAGCGAGGTATCAAAGTTACTAGGAGAGAAACAAACGACGCGGTCACCAGGTTCACACTTCTTTGTCTGAGGCCCAGTATGCTCCACAATCGCAACGCAGATGTTGCCAAAGTAGGTTGCGATTTGCGTACCTCTCAGAATGGCAGCTTCTTGTGCGCCGATGCCATAAACCGTGGGTGTCAAATGGACCTCATCTGCCCCAAGATCAGAAGGTGCCAGAGGCTTTTCTTTGAAGTAGAAGCTCTCGACTCGTCCGACTTGTCGAAATGTCAGTTCTAGGTTTTCCTTGATCTGGCATATTTCTGGATCTGGCCGAGATTGACGCGCAAAATCGTGGTTCAGCGCATCGTCAAGGATGTAGCGACTGGTGTATGCAGTGCTCGCGGAGATGACAAATTCGTCATCAAGGGTGCGACTGTCATCGTTGTGGAAACTTGACTCATGTTGAAGGATAAAAGACGCCGAATGCGAATCGTCAGCATTGTCAGGATCGATATCAATGCTCGATATTTGGAGAGACGGCTGTGCTTTAATAATTGATCTTTTCATACCAGAGATGAGCGAATACTCTGGATGTCCTCCTTGGAGAAGGCCGCCTCGAGTGACCCACACAATGGAGGAAGCAAGCCTAAACAGCGTTTTCACAGCATTCAAACATCCCTCTGTCATGTTGATGAGCAGTGGACCCTCGAGTTCGGCGAGCATCAAAACTCGTTGACCTTTAGAGATGTGCTTGTCTACAGCAGAGAGAGGGATGTTCTGAGTCTCGATGCCTTGAATTCTTGCGAGAGTCTCAATCTCTTTAGCAAGAGGTTGTAGAGTTTTATTGTAGACGAGGCAGAGCTTTCCAAGCTTTGGAGGCGTGGTTCGTGAATCGGCTTTGTCCTTGGTCTCAATAATGGGTTGCCATACGAGTCGAGCGAACGGTTCACGAGGCCGGTCGATCTGCTGGTCGGCAAAGTCCCCTTCAAGCGAGAGCAAGGATACCGACATCTGAGCCAGGGGGCGACCCTCAGTGGTGAAAAGTCCAGAAGCTCCACGTACCGAACGCGTACCGCGACAAGTGCCATGGCTCAGCAGCACACCATGGCCTGGAAGTGGAGGTGAGTTAGGTACTTGCCAAATTGTCAGATTGTCGATCTTTGTAGGTAAGTACGCTTTACATATCCCTTTAACGTCGCCATTACAGGCCGCGATGACTGCAAGCTGGATACAAGCGTCTAACGTAGTCGGGTGTATGATGTAGCGCGATTCATGGACCATGACGCCTTCTGTCGATTTCATATTCACAAGCGCAGTTGCTGTTCCCGGTTCTGCATCGGTTCTGATGTTGCCCAGCGGACGAAAGGTAGGTCCGTAATGTAATCCGATCTTGGCGAGCGCGGTGTACCACTTCTCGTCGCTCTTTCCCGAGTTTTCCGTCCAGTCTATGCCTTTGACATCTCCATTGCCCACCCCTCGGTTCGTTCTTAGCTCGTGAATAAGCACTGTTCCGACAGCGTGCTCAGTCCATTTGTCTTCTGCATTGACCGAAGTTACGCTAAACTCAAACATCTTTTGACCAATCTCTGAGCTCGACACATGAATATTCCGAAGGTCGAACATGGACTCGACTTCTCCATCGGGTGCGATGATAAGAGGTGCTCTGATCGAAAGATGTCGGAATGTGTAGCCACCAATTTCCATCCCACAGGTTTCGCCAAACTGAGTCACTGCTTCAATTGCCATTGCAGAATAGCCAGCTGCTGGGAAAAGCACATCACTTCCGATACGATGATCAGAGATCCAAGGGACGTCCTTGAGCTTCAGTCTATTACGCCACGACGGGCTGAAAGAGGAGCAACCTAGTTGAATGCTACCAAGGATATCGTGACGAGGGTGTTTTCGGAAGCGCAGCTGTCGACTCAGTCTGTTCTCCGCCCATAGTATGTCGCCTTCGTAGTTCCATTGATAATTGGGCAAGTCCGGCAGGAATTGACCCGTCTCTCCACCCTCGGCATTGACGGCGTCTGTATTGATCGGGTAGCCGTTACTAAAGAGGGAACCGGCTAGCTTCAGAACATTCTCCACGCTGTCTTCGCCACGTATTATGCTGGGAAAGTAAGTAAGCCTTTCGGGCTCAATACCCAAAGAGGACCGTATTTGTTTGATTGGACCAGAAAGTGCAGAGTGCATACCAATTTCTATCAAGCAATTGACAGTAGGATGAGCTTCCAGCAGAGACGAAAGTGCTTGGGTGAAATTCACTGGGCTCTCCAAGTTCTCTCTCCAATACTCAATGCGAACGTCGTTCGAGTTCGTGAGTACTTTTGGCTTTATGCAAGAGTACATTGGGATGTCAGAGCATGCTGACGTAGGCGGAGAGGTTGGGAGTGAGGATTTGAATGAACTTTCGTAATACTGGCCAGCGTCTTTGACCAAATGGGAGTGATAAGCATTCTGTGAGGTATTGAGAATACGCGCAAAGATTCCCTTCTGGCTGAGAATACTGTGGACTTGTGAAATTGCGATGGCTCCGCCACTAAGTGTCACACTCTGGGGAGAATTTTGACAAGCGATCATAATGTCGGGTTGATTTCTCATGAGAGCCTGCATCTCTTCGGCTCCCAGGCCGACAGCCATCATGGCCCCAGGCTTGCCATACTTTGTGACAGCAATACCACGGAAGTAGGCGACTGCGATAGCTTCCGAGATGGTCAATAATCCTGCCGAAAAAGCTGCTGCTACTTCGCCAGAACTATGACCTACGACAGCTTGCGCCTGTACACCCCAGGACCGGAGCAGAACCGTTAGAGCAATTTGGAGCGCCGTACTTAGAGGTTGGGCCAGTGCTGTTTCGTGCATGCGACTTTGGTCTGTCGACCTAGAAAGCTCTTCAACCAGGCGCCATGCTGGAGGAATGGGAAGTGCAAGAGTCTGCATAGTCTCGCGTACGACATGATACTGTTGGATAAGTCCATAGCCCATACCCGGCCATTGTGCACCCTGACCGGTGAAGACAAATGCGATCACTACTTTGCCGGAAACTTTTGAAGGGACATGCTGTATTCGTCCTGGCAAGAGTTGAGACCGAATGCTCTCTTTCGTGACTGTAGCGAAGGATCTGTGGCGGTGTCTCGTCTTTTTTTGCGCAAGGGTGTACGCGACGCTCGCGATGTGGTGACTTTCGGCTACATCGGCCAATGCAGCGATATTCCTGTCGAGGGTGGACTGATCGTGCGCCGAGAAGACGAACAGGTATTTTTTGGGTGTTTGTTCCACGCAGGAGTTGCCATCGTCGACCACTTGAACCAATGAAGCACCCACATCAGGCCCTTGCGACTCCGAATGGATGAGCTGGCGGGAGCCCAGTATAATCTCGGGAGACTCAACAATGCAATGTGCATTGGCGCCACCATAGCCGAATGAATTGATGCTCACCCGCTTTGACGCTCCTTTCGGCCATGGGACAGTGTCACGAACGACCTTGAGGCATCCCTCCTTGAAGTCTATTTGTGGGTTGAGATTTTCTACGCCAACGGTGGCCGGTATCTGGCCATTCTCGATGCTCAGAACTGCTTTAATCACGCTAGCGAGTCCACTAGCACCTTCAGTATGGCCTATGTTCGTCTTGATCGAGCCCAGAAGTAAAGGGTTTTGTGGTGTCCTGCTAGGCGCAAAGATATTCGCAACAGCCTTGACCTCAATGGGATCGCCAACGGGAGTGCCAGTACCGTGACACTCAAAATATCCAGTATCAGCGAAATTCAGGTTGGCTTTCGTGTACGCTGCCCTGATACATGCCTCTTGTCCCTCGGCGCTGGGGTGGTTGATGCCTCGACTTCTGCCATTGGTGTTGACAGCGGTAGATCGGATGACAGCTCGAATGGGATCATTGTTCGCGACGGCGGCGGAGAGCGTCTTGAGGTAGATTGCACATATGCCCTCTCCTCTGCCGAACCCATCCGCTCGCTCGTCAAAGGTGTGGCATGTCGACGTTGGAGACAGGACTCCAAGCCGTATGCTAGCGATATGCTGCTCGATGTCGTTGATGATGTTGGTACCTCCGACAATGGCTGCTTCGGAGTCTCCGGAAATGAGACTCTGACAAGCGAGATGGAGAGCGTAAAGAGATGACGAGCAAGCTGTGTCAACCGTCATGCTTGACCCTTTCAGATTGAACACATAATTAATCCTATTGCTGAGTATCGTCATGTCCGAGCCGGTCATCTCGTAAGGCTCCCCGTATTCAAGATCTCTAGAGGTCATGCGACGCATGTCGTTGGTAAAGCAGCCGACAAAGCAGGACGTTTTAGAACCAGAAAGTTCATCAAGTGTAGCTCCAGCATTTTCGAAGCTCTCATATACGACTTCGAGTAATTTCCTTTGCTGGGGGTCTAATGAGGCGGCCTCAAGAGGGCTAATCCCGAAGAACGATGGATCAAATTGGCGCAAGCTGTCATCGTGGCTCAGGAAATATCCTCCTCGAGTGTTTACGCTTCCTGGTCTGTTTCCGTCTGGGTGATACCATGCATCAAGGTTGAATCTGTTTTTGGGAATCTCCGACCACGCAGATTTGCCATCTCTGAGAAGATTCTCCCAGAGCTTCGACGGTGTATTCGACTCTCCAGGCAGCCGACAGCCTTGTTTTCTGTTATTCTCTAAGTATGTGATGTTTTCGTATAAACCTACCTATGCCAACAATGGCTATTGGTTCGTCAAGAACTTCTGAAATTGTATCGGCGGATAGCATACTCGCCATGGCATCCGGAATTCACACGAGACGTAGTCGCCTATCATGGCGGCTCTTCGACCTTTTTGTTCTTAGCAATCGCTGACATTGCGGTAGCCATGTCAAACCTGCGTGCCCACGCTAGGCTTGAATGCGCTCGCTTATGTATGCTAAAACAGATTGAGCTGCAGACAAATCACAATGGTACCGAGCTCCCTCAATCTGACAGAAGCTATCACGGGGTTATCGAATAACACGGCGTTTTCGAGAAGCAGAGTTGTAGCCCACAAGAATGGGTTCGGTAGTTAGTCTCAATGAGTGACCTTGTCAGTCAGGAGTCTTGTGCCTTCCCAAAGTCTGCTTTAGCAGGACCATTGCTGTCGGAGCGTTGTTCCTATCGTTCATTTCATCCGGGTAATTGTCACCACGAGGCGATCTGTCGAGCTTCGAAAATCATCTTGATTTGTCGAAGGATGAAAGACTGCAGGAAGAGGCCGGTCGCGTCGCGTGAACATGATTGGCCTGAGCTTTGACGATGGCCCACTTGCTTGGCAAATATTGATCCACCTCTCATATCAAGACTCATTCTGCGTCTATCCAGACATTATCGGACCTACGGCTGGTAGTATAGTTGCGCAGAGTTGCTTACAAGAGGTCTCACATCCACATCTGTACTGTCATTCCTGCATGACGGCTACCCGGTCATCAGGGATGAAGCAGGCTGATCAGGCTTATTGTGGCTTGGTCTCAACGAATACTAATATCATCCTTCGGCCATCTGCATGTGGTTTGATAGTGCTTTGGTGAGACGAAGCAGCCCCATGAATCTCATTGGTGATCAAATTCTAGCCTCCGTCATGTTGGTGGTGATCTCGGCCATCGCTCTTTCCATCAACGGTTGTCGCATGATCTTCCCGTACGCGTTTCTTTGGATGGTTTCCACGAAAACAACACCACCATCTAGAGCCTTGAAGCTGGCCAATCTATCTCTGACGAATCTTTGCACCTCTTGCTCGTCGATGCCGAAACCTCCTTCACGAATGACCACATATGCTCTAGGGAGCTCTCCGTCAACTTCCCTGGTGGGAAATCGAACACCAATCACAGCGGCATCAAGTATAGATTCGTGCAACAAGAGAGTCTGCTCAAGCTCAGTCGGAGACACTTGCCATCCACGAACTTTGATAAGCTCCTATACACGATCAGTCACCATGGTCCCTTCGATCTAAAGGACTCGATCGTTCCTCACCTTCATGCGACCAAGGATGTAGACATTACCGCGTTTGACGCACCCGAGGTCGCCAGTCCTGAGCCAGTCTGCGGTTGACACACCAGTAGTGGCGTCATGGAACCTCGAATAGCCATTCATCGTAGAGGGTCCACGAACTTGGAGTTCGCCTGCAACGCCTTCGTCGAGAATCTCCAAGCCATGGCTGTCCATCACCCTATGAGAGCGTCAGCGTCAATCCTGCTTTTCTTGAGGATTCCAATACCTTGCTTCCGTGTTTGGCATCAGTTCGCCTACACTTCCGTCCATGGTCCCCCTATCCCATGGTGTGGAAGTAATGCGACCAAACTCTGTCATCCCCCATACTTGAGATATGCAAGCGTCTTCATGCAGGATATCATACATGGCATCACTCAAAATCGGAGATAAAGACGAGCCGGCACACCATATTCGTCGTAAAGTCTTCAACACGAGCGGCGAAGTTCGTTGGTTAATAATGCTTGCCACCATAGTGGGAACCACAGCAATTTCTGTCACGTTGAACCGGTCCACAAGACTCGTGAAAATCTCTGCATCAAATCTACGCATGACATACGTAGGCTCACCACTCTGGTATGCCGAGTTCTGGACAAATGACGCACCGAAAGAATGAAACAACGGCAGAGAGATCAGTTGAGAGGCGGCGTACGGCTTCGGCTTCGAACACTGCATGGCAACTCCTGCTGCGACCAAAGCATAGTGAGAGGTAGCAGCTACTTTCGGTAGCCCTGTTGTCCCGCTGGTAGATTGAAGTACAGCAATAGTCGATTTTGCTATCGCCTCTCCGTTGAAACGTATCCAGTCTTGCTCGCCATATTGTAGCAAGCTAGTCCAGCATTTGAGCTCTTTTTGGATGGTTTGTCCGGCGTTCGGATCGAACACAAATATCTGTTCTGCTGAAATCGAGGCTTCCAGAGCAGTGGATATCTTCGTCAAAAGCCCTGCTTCGATTATGGCATACTTTGGCTGTGCTACTGATATCAAGTGGCTCAGCTCAGTTACTTTGTAAATGGGATTGGAGCCGACGAAGATTCCGCCTGATCCAATGATGCCAAAGTAGAGGATGGGATAAAGGATCTATCAGAGGCTTAGTAGCTTTCACGATGTAGGTTGGACCATACTGACATGATTGAAAGCATGCACAAGAACACAATCCCCTGGCTTCAATCCCACTGCTCTGAAACCAGCAATAAGCTTATGTATCAACGAGATAGTTTGTCGACTGTTGAGTCGACTTTGGTGATTGGCAGCATCAATCAGGATCTGTCGAGATAAGAATACAGCATATTGTATTGTGTGTTCTTGACAAGATACGTACGTCTTTCTCCACATCTACTCCAGTGTTGTCAAAAAGCCAGGAAAGCAAATCTACAGGTGGCACCTCACGGTATTCACTGGGCAAGTAGACCATGATTCTACAGTGTTTCAGAGCATGTTTCTTGAAAGAGACTGCATCTTTATGACAACCAATGCGAGAGGTAATATATATTTGGAGACCTTGCTGACCGCCAAGCACGCTATGAGCGCCACACCAAAGCTGCCCCGAATCTATGTGATCCTGCGAGCTTCTGGCAAGATCGAAATAAGACGAATTCCTGACGAGGTTTGAGGACTCATAACGTGCCATCGAATTCGTTCGTCACGGCATCTGTAGCTCGTGCAGTAAAGATAGGTGGCCAGCTCAACTTCGGGCCAGGGGAGAGGCAGACCTGACCAGGCTCCTCGTCAGAATCTCCAGTCAGATCAGACCTTTCGGGTAGGCAATAGATCCTCATCTGCATCCGCGGATCTCGATGGAGAACTGCTGCGACAGCCGTATCCCAACCATATATCCATCACTGCTCCACGTGTTGCTCCAAAACTTCAGCATCCATCCATACCAATGCGAGCGACATCTCTAAGCACCGCCCGAGGCCACCATAGATTCATCCCGACGTTCATACTGACTCGACACTGTTGCAGCGCCAGGGGCAATCTGCACGCCGCCATTGCTTGTGACTGTAGCTATGGGGCGCCCACAGTTGCTGCATGTGTGACGTGTGTCTTTGCATTCATCCAAAACGCAAGGCAACCAACAAAGGCAGCCGGTCAAGACGCAGAGGATTGCACCCCACATGAGTGCTCTGTCTCCTGAGTTTTTGGTCGTTCTCGTCATGACTGGTGCTTTGCAGACTGCACAGTCGACCTTCGCTGGCAGGCTTGAGAGCGATCCAAGAGGTGTCACATTCTCAGGGTTGGGGGTTGCGACTTTGGCTGGGTATGGCGGTGGGGCCTCCATTGTACGATGTGTTTGGAGGAGAAGGATCTGGGTTCTGATGGTCGATGTCGATGCGTGGTATTGATATAGAGTTGGAAGGCTCTAGCCTGGATGAGAAGATGCGATTCGATGTTTGTGGAAGCAGGCTGTGCTTGAGACCTTTTCTTTCAGAGCTCGAAGGATATATGGACTTATATGCTTCGATGTGAATGCGGAGCATCTCAATAAGTGAAAGAAGAAAATAAGGCAGAACCGTTCACCTAGGCAGATGAGAGCTCGCAGCTCAGCCATGCCCAGCCATTGTGCCTACATTCCTTCGCGATAATCCTCTTGACCATGCGGCGGTTGCGGATTGAAATAGACAAGGCGCGTTGATCAGGCTGACCGCATTGATGTGGCGCAGCTCAAAGGATTGCACGAATCCTTCATGTGTCACGAAAATATCGTCGATCTTCTTGAACGACCAACATTTGTTTCGTTTAGCGCTCTGAGCTTCGACGACAGGTTTTGGTCACTCACATATTACCAAGTTGTAGGATTTCCGAGCCCGTTTTCCGGGCATCTTGGCCAACATCATTAATGACTTACCATGTCCTCTTACTGGCCAGAAAATGTGCGGAAAGGGAGCACTTCGGGTGAGCATACAGAAGAAACATTGATGTTGTAAGTTGGGTCGCGAAAGCCCAAAAGAATCAATTCCAGCACTCCCGTACGTCCCCTGTGCAATTGGATACATGACGAGCTGAATGCACAATATGGATTCCGAGCTCAGGACAAGCATAGAAATCGGGCTGAGTTGCATATATTGTCTGAATGAGAAGAGTTTGATAGCATGGCCACGTAAATACAACGGACAAGGCATTGCTCTTACAGGATTCTGGATGCAATACCATCATCCTCATCTTCACGCCGCCCCTCTGCCAGTTCATCGGCGTGTTGATCACCAGCCACAACAAATCCATCCGCATCCGTACTCTCAATCCATCGTTCACCAGCTTTGCCAGGTTGTCTCCATGGAGGCACCTCTCCAGGACCAACCTTGCCCACACCCCTTTCTCTCCACTTCTTGGGCGGCTTGATACCCAGCTCGGCCATCTCTGTCCACTTCTTCTCGCCTCTCTTCTCCCATCTTTCTCTTCTGTCTTCAGCTTCTTCTTCATTGGGCTGCCATTTGCTCTTCAGAATACGCCGGATAGCCTCTGGTGGGACTTTGAAATGCTCAGCCAACACGGCCGTACTATATGTTTCTGGTGCTTTGGCATGTAGAGCTCTGATACCGGCCAAAGCATCTGGCGAAATGCGTTTACGGGGGTTCCAATTCTGCTCTCCGAATTTCTCTTGCAGCGCGTTCTTTTGTACGGTCCAGGTGTCGAGGTTGCGGTTGCGTTCCTTTTTGGCTAGCTTCGCTGCTGCTTGATCTGCGATGAGCTTTTCGGCGGCGGCGTGTTTTGCGGCCTTTTCTTCCTCTTTTCTGGTCTTGATTGCTTGGGCGATTTTGGAGGCTTTTGCTGCGGAGGGCAGCTTGGGGGAGGTGGCAGAGGCGATCAGCGAGGCCATGTCTACGGCCTCCTCGTCTTGGGTCGGATTTGTTTGTGATTCCAAAGCTTGCGCTGCTGCTCTTCTTGCCTTTCTGTCCTTTCTGGCTTGCGATATGGGTTTTGGCGTGGTTGTTGATGCATCCGCAGAGACGTCTTCAGCGGGCTCGGAGCTAGGTGTATTTTGTTCTAAAAGAATGGCCTGGTCCTCCGGAGCTAGTGGCGCACCCCTTGCCTTCTTCTCTGCTCTTACTTTGTTCTTGGAAGGCGACTTGGTAGCTGTTGCTGGCCCTGTTCCAGAGACTAGATCCAGAGTCACTGACGATGCGTCGTTTTGTGGTGGGAGAGATTGAGCCTCTGGAGCGTGTGCCGCTCTTCTCGCCTTTTTCCGAGCGTTTTTGCCGGGGTAGTTCTGTTTCGGTGTCGGCTCAGAGAAGATGTTCAATCTTTGGCCCAGGGACATCAGTTCACCAGGCTTGAGTTGAGGTTGTGCCAGCAAATCGGGGAAGAAGATGGCATCGACTGCTTGGTCTCGGTCCTTCAAGTCCAATTGTTGTATGCGCGCATGGCGTACTATTGGGTCGGGTTCGGTCTGCGCATGCTCTTCGTGTATGACTACCTCGGGCTCAAAGTCCACAGTGCTTCCAATCTCTTCATCGGGGTCGAACGGCTCGGGCGAGTTCAAGTCATGGCTCGACTGTGGTAACTGCGATATGTCGGACGTGGCATCTTGTGTTGTCGTCGTCGAGAGTTTGGGGTCGGTGATGTTATCGAAAGGCACAAAAGTGTCATCGAGTGAGCGGATAGTGGTATATGATTGAGAGGCAAGGGGCTGCGACGAGTTGTGGCGTATTTGCAAGGCTGATCGGTTGCTTAGATTTCTGAAGCTGATGTAATTGGGTCTTTGGCGGATGTCGAGGCCAGCGACATCCCTGACAAATGCCTCTAGAGCCCGTACTGAGCAAGGGCACTTGTAAGAACGCTGCATTTGATCGAAAGAATAGACTGGTTATGTGTTGGCGAAACGAGGGAGTCGAAAGACTGAGATAATTCGCCCATCGACGACCCCACCGCCAGGCAGAACCCTGGAACAATCATCTTGCTCCGTTAAATCCGCACAACTTTCGAGCCTATTTTTGTCGCCTACTGTTCAACTAGGTACTCAGAGATATCGCTGATTTTGGATGCTGTAATCATTCTTGGAATTTCGACATGACAATGCTAGGTCTGCAACATGCTCCACGCGCTCTTGACACCCCATACGGCCACACGTCCTCCTAGTAGACTGGCCTTGGTGACCACAAATCCAACCACCGATACAACCGCGACTCCCATCAACAACCACTTCAGACTCGCAATTTCAATCTCTTTCTTCGATAACTTGGCTTCCTCGACTCCACCCATCTCAGTCATGATGCTGTACTCTGGCACGTACTTGAAGTCGAACGATGTCTCTTCACCCTTCAATCCACCCTTGACGATGATTTTCCAGAAGATGTCTCGCAACACCACCAGCTTCTTCTGATCTGTTGATTTGTTCATGCGATTCGTGTAACACCAGAATCCGAAGAAGATGCATTGACCTGCCATCAATGCAGTATAGTATATACTCGGTTTCGGAAGCGCTAATGCATCACACAACTCATTGCCATTGAGCCATCGTGCTCCTGCGCAGAGGAAATCCGAAGATGCATAGCCAGGAGGCTGGTCTTGCAGACTGCGAATCACATTGTTGGCCAGGATCTGTGATGTCCGCGTCGGTGCAATCTCATGCATCATGATGCTGTCGAGGATGCGCTTGCTCTGTTCCTTCGTTTCCAAAAGACCCTCGACAGGACAGCCAATCACGTAGGCAATGTACCGCCATAAAGCTGTATAATCCTCGATCTCCTGTGGACGAAGATATATGCCCTGTCGAGGCAGCGATATCCAGATAAGTGCGCTAGAGAAGCTGACTATCGTGCCAACACAATCCATATTGTTGATGGGTACTCCAAGTTTCTCCGTGTCGAAGTATTCCGGTCTCGTGGCTGCAAGTTTCATGATTCGATTCCGTACTGTTGCGTGTAGTAGTCGTACTCGGATCGTGGCCGCCCATCCTTCACCTCCAGGCTGAATGGCTTCCAGTGATTTTGTGCACTGAAGAAGATATTGTGTGGTCTCAAACAAGCGATTTCTCGCCACATCGACAGAGAAACCTCCTGTCCTTGACAAGACCTCGGTCACTCGAGCTGCTCCGAGCCCACCGAGTAGAGATTGATATGCCAGTCCAGTAAGAACAGGTCCGCCATATCGATAAAACACATCCTGTCCGCGTGCAATTTGCTCCCAGTCCACCCATTCCGGAACAGTATTCACCTGCTGCCAAAGTTCCTGCAGTACTTCATCCTTCTCGGCATTATCGCGGAAGATCGCATACAAGTCTCTCTTAGGCTTGACCTCTGGAGTCGGCTGCTTCTCCTCATCAGGAAATGGTTCTTTTCCTTCCGAAGGTTTCTTCGTGCTGCGCGGTGGTGGTGGCGAAATCTCGTTTAGTCGGTTTAATGCCTTTTCTCCAAGATAATCCCATCTTTGTTTTGCTGGGTTCATTTGGTCCAGTGTCAAGTGCTCGTCCGTAAGCACGAATTTGTATCCCCATGCTCTGTGTCACAGTCTCAGTATTTTTGTACTGCATGTGATGTTTTGCCTCCAGACTTACGAGACGGTATTGGGCGGATCTCTTCTAAACCACGACATTTCTGCTATGCTAAGATGTGATTACACCAAACGAAAAACGAAAAGAAAGAACAGAAAGGGATACGGTGTAGGAATATTGTATTCAGGTTTAGTGATGAATCAACAAGAAGTAGTAATAGGGAAGAAGTAACGGTCTAGCCTAGATCAACGATTGGTGCGAAACAATTAGTTGGAGCCGCTAGACAGTGAGGTCATCGACAGATATTTAGCCTTTCGATGCTTATGCATCCTTTTCGATCAAACACGTGGAGAAGCCAGATTACCTTGCATGTATTGCAGATCTGTTTTGTATCCTCCCTACTACTACAGCGAGATTCGGCAGAGAAATCGATTTGTCCCATGGAGAAGTGGGTTGTTCGCCGCGTAGCCCTTCGAAAGTCAGGAGTTGGGGACGGCATGGGGAAGTTGCCACCAAAAACATGCACTTCTTCAAGAACATGAAAGAGAGCCGACAAACGTATGAGAATTTGATGAATCGCCGTGAGGCAGATATAAAATCTAGATAAATAACTGAACTATATGACAAAGGTATAAACGTAGAAGAAACTCCATGGCTCTTATTCCTTGAGCATGCCACCAACCACACCATAAAACACCTTTCGTCGAGAGGTTCGATATTTCATTCCTGGGATCTCTCTTTCTCTCTCTTTTCAAGTTCTCGACACTAAATAGTCGAGAACAAAATCATTAGTTCATATCCATTCAAAATATGTGCCCGACGCCGGATAACGATGCAAGAAAAAATATCAAGGGACTGTGTCGACGTCTATGCGCGTCTGAAGATATCTCGCAGCCCCCTTCTGTCGTTGGTAGATTCGAGAGAACAGCTACGGTCATAAAGAGCCTGGAAGATTCAGTTAGTCGTGTGTCTGCAAATACCTTGATCTCTGAAGAACTTACCTCGTCATCTCTGATCATGTTACTGTTCAGGATCAATGCTCTCAACTCATCATTCCTAGGGCCGAGCATGGAGTTCCTATAAGGCAGACCTTGCGCCTTTTGAATCCCGACGACCGTTTCTCCCATGACTTCGAACTTGCGCCAGTTGATTCTGCCATTCACTTCGTCGCCGACAAAGGTCTTGTTGCCTTCCTCGGCGGCCACAAGATCTCGGATGGGTAGAGGGAGGAAAGGGATTCTCTCTCCGCTTGAGTTCTCCCAAGCCAGGCGATAAGCAGAATAAGAGCGAGTGGGAGACATCAATATCTCCAGCTTCATCCAATCCTTGCCGGTCTCGGGTGAAACCAGTTCTCGAGTAGCGGCAAGTCGGTGTACGGCTGCACTGCTGATACCGGCAAGGAACGCCCCCAGCGAGTTGTAGTTGTTCATCTCTCGCAGCTTACGGGCGACATGCATGAGCTTTTCCAACATCAGTACACGGTGTTTCGCCTTCTCTCTAAGCAAGATGAAGTTGGCCACCCAGTCTCGAATGTGATTGAAATGGTCGATCATGCGGCTGACATGTACTATGGATTTGCACTGTGCCTTCTGAGTTTGCGATAAGGAAACGTGCCGCACCAAATCACGCGGACGTACTGCACTGAACATGATCCAGTCAATGCGTGTCAGTTCGCAAGCGATGTGATCCGTTGGTGTTTCCATAAGCATGTGCCAATGCATCTTGCTGATTGGAATCTTGGGGACGGGAACCAGAGATGGGCCTTGTCTACGTGCTGCGTCCACGGTCTGCAGCATGCCAAAGTCGGTATGTAAGGAATGGGCTGCATTTCTACCCTGGCCGCCATCGAGAGACAGGCTTCCCAGGTTGTCGCTAAAGTCAAATTCGGGATCGTCCAGGAGTGTGCTCACACGGGATGACCAGCCGAGATCGGGGCTCAGGAGACCGCGTTTTTCACGATCCATGTCACAACAAGCCCAATTTGTATCATCGTCTTCTGTCACAACGTCCAAGTCACAGCTCATCTCACGAGCGGCAGCAGAGAAGATGCGTGTGTTGGACAGCTTGGCGACGAAGATGCGCATGCGACGGCGGGTTTTTGTGTGTGCAAAGTCTCCAGGGTATGTTCCAATCCATTGCTCAATGACAGATAAGTAGCGTAATTGTGAGACAGTCTTTGTCATGAAAGGACAGTTTTCTTTTTCCAAGGCTTCGAAGCGATGAACTATAGCTTCCAGCAACTGTCCGGGTGCAGCGAATTTCCGATAGAGGGCAAGAAAGACAGAGCCGAATCGTGTGTCGGCTTTTGATCGCGGTAGCCCCAGGAGACGGTCGACGAGGTTGTCAAAGGAGTATCCCCGCTCATCGGATGGGGCCTCTGATTGACTATCGACATCAAGACCGCCATCCTCAGATGAGGAGGCGTGCTCAGAACGAGATGAGTCTGTAATGTCGTCGCGTGATTCGTCCAAATTCGTGTCAATGTCGAGGGGCGGATTTGTGGAGGCTGAAGGGGTTGTCACCATTGTGGTAGAGTCGTGTCGTGAGTCTTTGCGCATCGTGTTTGACTGTGCCGAGCTGGCTCTTACGTGACCTTGACGTGAATGTGATCGAGAGGCTTGGGAGAAAGCCAGGGCGGATGATATGGTTCGACGGCGAGATGAGGCAGGGTCTCTCTGGGCTTTACAGAAGTTAGCCAACTATACTTGCATGGTGGAGCGTTTAGGGCATTTTCAGGGCAGGATGGGGGCGCCATGTTGACAAACAAGACTTGTTTGCGTTTGCATGGGAGCGACGCCGGGGCTGGAGGAACAGGGAGGCGGTGGATGCGACTTGCCCGAAACAGCTTGCAACAGGCTGGCTATTCCCTTTGCGTGGGAATCGACATGCGATATGGAGGATTGAAGCGTGTCGAGCGAGCGGAGGATGGCTTTTGCTCGTTGTTCGATGTTGTTTGGATCAAGCTGGCGATAGGTCTTGTCGATGTCGCATTTGTTTGAGACAAGGACCGAAGGTACCGACGATTTCTCGAGGGCGTCTAGACGGCAGTTAGCCATGTTGAGCGAGTCAGGGCGGAGAGTGGATGGGTCACTCACTCAGGACGACAGGGACGTCTTCAAAGGTGTCCTTGTTGGAGATGTCGTACAAGGTGCATGCGGCGTCAACACTGGGCATACGGGGGTCCAAGGGCCAGGTGATTCTGTTTTTCTTGTCGACGTGGACGTCTTCGAGTCGGCACTCTAGCATGCGCACCAGGTAAGTAGCACTGTCGACCGAGATGCGACGGGCATTGACTGCAGCTGTCGGGCGGTTTGCGAGGCCTAGGGACTGCTGGATGAAGGTCGACTTTCCCACGCCGATGCTCCCGACGACAGCAATGTTGACTTCGTATTCCGAGTCGTTGTTGGTCTGCAGGAAGCCGTTAGTCGCCAAACGGCGTGGGCTTCCTGCTTGCTCATCCGTGTCAATGCCCAACCCCCGTGCGTGCGACAGTGAAGACGATGCTGCGTCCGCCAGAGGGGTCGAGGGCCGACTGAGCGAGGATTGCTGCTGCTGGCCGCCTGCATATTTGGCCGTCGCGACTGGCGAAGAGTGCGTCCGAAGAACGCGTGGCCGTCCAGACGCCGACATGTTCAATTGTGCTTGGGCTGCTGTTTCTGCTGCCATTGTTGGAGTTGGTGCGGCTTGTTCATGGTACTGCTGTTCCGCCATGGTCTTGATGAAAAAGGCAGCGACTGCTGCATGGCCAGTCATTTCATGTCTCGAACTGGGTGATCCGCCGTGACTTCTTAGACCATTTGACGATCTCCTTTATTCACGCCAAGCCAGAGTCTGCTTCGTCTAATCACGACCATCTGTGCTGCCTCTCCGTCCGACCTCTCTATTCCTCTGTCTAGACCTTCATCTAGACTCTCGCTGCCTCTCTTCTCGTCGTGTCCATTTGGCTCGCCTTATTCATCAACAATATTACGAATCCCATCTTTGAATCAATCTTTGCGCGTCCTAGCTGACCCGACAGTCGGGGTCTGGGTCTTCGGCCAGCATCCGAGAAACGGCTCCACGCGAGTCGGCCCTCCACCTAAGCGTCCTTGCTTTCTCTTTTCTTAGCACCCAAGCCTCGTTCAATATCCTACCAAGACTACTCTTAGAGTCATGCTCAGCTCGCTTTGCTCGAATCGTTCAGAGCGGCGGTCAGCTGGTGACCAACACAGCCGAATGGCTCGTGGAGATCTACCTTGTCTCGAACCCAACTACCAGCACAGGTTCCTGTTGACGAATACCACACTCCCCATGTCTCCTTGACCTGCACTTCCGGCTAGTATTCCTCAGCTCCCCTGATTGCGTAATTGCGGACTGGTCTTCTCGAAGAACTATGCGGTCAATATGGACATCTCACAGTTAAGATGTAAACTGTCTGCTTTCAGATCACAGCAGAGGTACCTGTGTTCTTCGCGATCGAGTCACTTATGTACAGAGATTTTGACTCTACAATGATCATGCGAATCGTAAGGAACAGGAAGTGGAATGCCATCCTTTACATGATATTTGACATCAAGCTTCGAACCTTCTGACCATCCAATACCACAACTGTACAATGACGTCAAGAACACTTGATGAGCTCATTTGACTTACCTCTACCCTTCCAGAGCTCAAAGCTGTTTACCACAGAAACATTGAGACACTTACTACGTACACAATGGCTCCCTCCGGATTGGCAATTCTCTTAGGCGCAGGCCCCGCTACTGTGAGTATGCTCTCGAGCGACAAAGCCATCTGTACTGAAAGCAACAAAGGGTGCTGGCATCGCACGCGTCTTGGCCGACCCGGCTCGCGGCAACATGGCAGTCGCGCTGCTTGCTCGACGCTCTGAAGTGCTAAACGACCTAGTGAAAGGCCTCAAGTCATCTCTTGATGATCCTGTCGTCGAAGCTTTCCCTTCAGACACCTCGCCTGATTCGTTGAAGAAAGCATTCTCAGACATCGGCCAGCACAAGTCTTTCAGCGGTCTTAAGCTCCGTGTAGCCATCTACAACGTCAAGCACTCTTCCAAGAAGCCTTTCCTGACCGAGACCTACGGCGATTTCACCGAATCATTGGAAACATATGTCGGGGGCGCCTTCACGTTCTCACAGGAATCACTCAAGCGATTCTTTGCCGACCATGGAGAGTCAACACTAGCCGAAGGCTCCCCTAAGAAAGGCACACTCATCTTCACGGGAACTCTCGGTGCTCTCAGATGCAATGCCGAGTACGCGGCATACGGCGCTGGCAGATCAAGCGTAAGACAGCTTGCCCAGACACTCGCTCGCGAGTTCAGTGCGAAAGGTGTCCACGTCGCACATTGTATTGGCAACGGATCCATCGAAGATAAGGACGGAGAGGATCAGAAGACCGGAAAGAAGATATCGGCTGAAGCTGTGGGCAAGACCTATCTATGGTTGGCGGAGCAAGAACCGTGCTTGTGGACTCATGAGCTCGATATGAGACCCGCACAGGAGAAGTTTTGAGCAATAGGGCGAACGCCGACAGGTTATCGCTGCACAGGATCTTCCTATCAACTCCGAACGCCGCAAATCTACGGTGCTATACGGTATCTACCAACGTCTGTAGTATGTAATGCCAAGTCGTTATTGTCAGGGTTATCTCTGATGGCCAAATTTCTCTACGGTTTTTACAGCGACCAGATGACGAGTAAGTAAAGATCACCATCCATGTGCTTCGTGCGCCGCCAACGTCGACACCAAGAGCACCATGTTTCTTCGTCACGCCACTCGGTTGCGGGGGAGGACGGGCGAACCAGGCTTCTGGTAGTCATGCTGGATGCTATGGAAGAAATGACCCGCCAATATCTTACTTGACATTCTGCATGGCATTCTCCGAAGAGAGTAACTGTCGTACTGACAATCCTGACAGCCTCAAAGTGGGCAAATACAAAGCCTACGATTGCAAGATCGATGCGTGACTCGGAAGCCTGTCATCGAAAGCGGTGAGCCTACAGCAAGGCGGCTATTGCCAATGGCCTCGCATCATCAATGTTGAATGGCTGACCGTGGTCCGCGGACAAACAACCGAAACAACTCCTCGTCAAAGCTGGCTTCAGACCCCGACAAAGTAAAGGTTTGTGGGAAAAACATCTTGCTGGCGTACTCGTACGACAAATTTCAATTTGTGTCCTCCTCAATGCTTGCTTCAAACATTACATCTGGATAACTCTTGATCCACCCACAATCCCATCCTGGCATGTCTGTATCCATTCGTCCGTACGCAAACTCATTCGACGAGACAGTCTGCTCGATCAAGGACCTCACCACCACGCCATACTTGATACGGCATGCTCATCAGGGCGTCTGGTTGGAAGTATTCTGTTCAGGGAATCAACACCATGGCTGTCGAGCAGAGACAGCCGGACTAACCTTGCTGGCAGCTATTCGCACAATCGGACCACCAGGCTCTCGTGGAGACTTTCTGCCGTCCGAAATGCAATTTCCACAAGCGTCATATGCCTGAGTTGTCCAACGACCGCATATGTGAAAGTATGTGCATTGGTGTTTGAAGAAACCGCCTTGGCCAGCACTCATGATGGAAGATAGGATGTCTGGGGGTTTTCTTGTTGAAGAACAGAGCAGATGATAGGATGAGTCGACACCCTATACCTTCTTGCCGGTGTGGCCGTTCTTATAACATGGCAAGCCTGTCAGGACTCTGCGTGGTGTCAATAAACCCCGTGCCGTCCAACTGCATGTTGTTGGTTCTTTGTCGTTGTCGATTTCCTCTTTGACACAAAAAGATACAGAGATGAGAACGCCACGATACTTGTTGCAATACGCCTGCTGTCGTCGAAAGCAATGCTGTTGGTAGCCAGGCTGTCGGTGAAGCTTGCAGCTGTCAGAAGAGGGGCACGAGTTATCGGCGGTACACATTTTCATGAAGACACCAACAACATCGACCTCCGGTGGGATAACTGCATACCCAAAAGCAGCCGAACATCGTTCACAGAAAGGCCCGTCTCCGGTCTTACTGAGATAGAGGCTCTTTAGACAGCGTTATTGCTTTGCAAAGCATTGATGCAAGGCCGCAGCTAAGCGCGATTTAGGAGGCCTGTCTGTACAAGGTCGTCATTATAGGCGAAGGAAGAGCTTCTTTCACATGTAAGAGAAACTTGGACCCTTAGCAACAGGATGAAGCGACTGTTGAACTCGGCGAATTAGACAGGGCACGGAATAATGTTCACAGAGACTTTGAACCAATGAAACTCTGTGTCGCGAGGATCAACGTCCGCCTGGACGCGGTTGGGTAAAGTCTGAGAGAGGTTCAGGCACCCGCACTGGATAGAGCAGCATATTTAGGCGGATGTGGGCTGGGAAGTGGTGCAGATAAAGGACGATTCGGCGGCGCCTCGTCGAAACGATGATGGTGCTCATGCGGAGAAGGAGCACCTCATCTTCCCGTGCGATTCGCTTTCGGCCGTTGTGACCCTGACTCTTCTGTCAAGGTTCGCAATATTGCGGGGTTGCAGCATGGACTCTGGAGATAGCTCGCCTAAGTCCAAGATGTTGATCGCTGATGACTAATGGAAGCGAAAGCGAAGGCTACGGCATTTGAGGGGCGGGCACGCAAACACGGTCCTGTCGAGCTCGTTTAAGAGGTTTGTATGGGGAGCATGGATGATGTATCAAAAGAAATTTCATAGAACGATTGATAATTTAAACAAGGCCTTGCGAAGATACGAGCGGACTGGCGCAAGAGGGCGATAAGGACTCTCATTGGCGGGGGAAGTGGATGCGATAAGGTTCGAACTGGCTCTGGAAGCCTCGGCTCTCGCCAGAAGGCATGGGGGTTGCAAAGCGTGGGAGACGGAGTGATGAGCGGGCTTTCCCTAGCTCGACTGTCCAAACCATGTCCTATTCTCAAAGACTACCATGCCGCCTGTCATCAAAAGTATCCCTCGTGAACACTCTGAACTCCGATAACTTCTCTTCTTTGCTGGAACATGCTACCTTGGCTACTCGAACGTCCTCTCTGCCTAGACGCCACACTCTCCACACACAACTTGATATCTCCATTATTTGAGTGATTTCGACCCTCAAAGACGTCCAATGCACACGACCTGACTGCTCGACGCTTAAAAGATTTCTGCAATTCTTCCGCCATGAGCACAGCATGCATCAAGTCCGAGGTCAGTGTTGGCCCAGAGACCAAGCCAACCATCAGAAAACGTCGAAGGAGGACGACAACGACAGGCGCGGCCGACGACTGCTTTGCATGCCGGAAACGAAACGCCCCCTGTGACCGCAGGAGACCGTACTGTGGCCAGTGCCTCGAAATGGGAAAAGATTGCTCTGGATACAAGACCACCTTGACATGGGGTGTGGGTATCGCTAGTCGAGGAAAGCTACGAGGCCTGACATGTCCCGTGGCTGAGAAGGCCGAGGGTCCGGTTGGTGTCACCAAAAGGAACAGTCTATCACAGCCTCGAAGGAAGCCTTCCACTACTGTACCTGCTTCCGAGCGACCCCCGCGTATAAGCATAACCACAAACACTGTGCCACCTACGTCTCAGGAACCTCTCCGCACTCCGTCCTATGGCTTGTTATCTCCAAACGACCCTCAACAGCCCATCTTTTGGCAACCGATACAGCAATATGCGAATCCTGATCTCACATCACCGACCTCGCCTTATGAGAATCGCCATCTAATCCACCAAGGAAATACTTCGGAGTATCCCATGACTCCCTCCTCGCTGAACTACAACGATGGCCTACAGTCTTCTAATAATTACAATCTTCTTGAGCCTACCTCTCAATCTTGCCCTGAGTCTTTCCCTACAGACTCAGCTTTCTATCCCGATCCACCCTTGGAGGCTCCTACTGCTACCGACGACCTAGGGTTTACTCAACACCAAGATACATCATTCTTCGAGCCTTCATACGATGCAACAGGCGCAGATTATGATCAAAACGTGCAACCTGACGAATTCGAGTACAGCAATCTCGCCATGACTTTGGCGACTTCACAACAACCTCTAAACACGCTGCCAGACCTGTCCATATCGATTCCGAGGGCTATGGCCACTTCGTTGTTCTACCATCTTTCGCCAAGAATGCAGTACCTGTTGGACTACTACGACAAGCATATCTGCTCTGTTCTTGTCGCCTTTGATGACACGGTCAATCCTTATAGGATGCATATCCTTCAGCTCGCTACACATAACGAAGGTCTCCAAAACGCTCTTGCTGCTCTGTCCTTGAACAATATGCGTATGCGACTGCATAAGCGGGCTCCTGTCAAGGGGTTCATAGAAGAGCTGGACGTGAAGCAACAAGATGTCGACAACAGTATTCTAGCTCGACCGTCACCCGAGGAAAGTTATTACAAGTCCGTCTCGATCGGTCAACTGCAGGCTCAATTGGCAGATGCGGTCAACGCTCAGGACGATTCGGTCCTTGCTATCTTGCTCATTCTGTGTTTATTCCATGTTTGCGATAGTGGCTTCTCCAAGTTCAAGACCCAGCTAGAGGGGGTTCAAAAACTGCTGTCCATGCGTGATCCTGGCGTCAGGACCGGTTTCATTGGTTGGGTCGAGATGTTCTTTGCTTGGTTCGATGTCATGACCTCGACTGTCAACGACAGAGAAACCGAAATCCAGGGCGATCGTCTAGACATGCTTCATTATTCTTCGAATCTCGGTGCTCTGGAGCAATTCTCTGGATGCGACGGTCGATTGTTCAAGTTGATCGCCCGCCTCGGCCGCCTGAATCTTCTATCGCAGAACAGACCAGTACGCCCAGATCCACGAAACTCAAAGGCATCATACGGTGCCACGACAACTCCCAAGTATAGGGAGCAGAACACCTTTCCAAGCTCAAGAGGATGGCGTACACGTCCTCATTTTGACCCAATGGACTTCAGCCGCCTAGATGGTAATGGCTGGGGTGCTCTTTTGGCCGACCTTCCTGAGGATAGTGACACAATATTCAGAGAACCTTCTGACACGCGACAAGAGTTTTGGAAGGAATGGCATGACATTCGATCTCGTCTGGAAACATGGTCGATGGAAAGTCCTTGCTTGTCGCCTACAGCCCTCGATGCTCCAGCAGCTTCACTCGAGCCCGGACAAAGAGACTTGACACATATCAACGAGTCTTTCCGTTCGTCAGCACTTCTCTACACTGAGCGACTTGCTCACCCATTCCTCCCCTCCTCATCGCCAAAATTCCAAGCGCACGTTCGCAACGCTCTCTCGCACATTGCTGCGCTGGAAATTACTTCATGCGTCAACAAGTTCTTGCTTTGGCCTCTCTTCATTGCAGGTACCGAATGCGTCGACGCGGCTGATCAAGCATTAGTGCGTGACAGATGCATAGAAGTACAAATCGAGAGCGGTTTTTTCAATAACATCTCCGTCTTGGATGTCCTTGAAAAGGTGTGGGCCGAGAACGAGAATCCAGACGTGCAGGACGCAGAGTCTGATGAAGTTCAGCGCCGACGCGACAGTGCTAAGGAAAACGGCGATCGTGTGCAAGCGTTCAGATGGAGAAAGGCTATGGACAGGGTTGATGGCGAGTATCTTGTCATATAAGACCAAAAGTTTGAAACATATGCATTTGTGTGTACATATTTATGTCGAGAATTCAAGACCCATGATTACTGCCTTCTCTGACTATCTATTACTTCCCTTGTCATTTCTTTGCTCAAATGAAAGCTTGTGTCTTCCTCATCTGTTTCTGGATCGCGCGTTGCGTCTCGCTTTTCTCCATGTTCGAAATGCCTGGCTCTTCCTTCTTTGGGTACGCAAACCATCACTTCCTCTTCTAGATGAACACAATTTCTTCCTATTTGAGACGTCTCGGTCGTTCCTTGTTTGCCTGAAATAGAAGGTTCCATCCCTGGTGGACTCGATTTGGTTCTTTGAGCATTCACATTTCATTTGTAATATTTCTGCTAACAGATGAAACTTCAGTGCGATCGGCATGAGCATGTGTGTTTGTGTTGATTGTACATTGAGCAGTTCCTCTACACATCTCTATGCTATTTCTACATGGTTAACTTTTCTGTTTGGATGTGCCCAGCCTCTCTTACACCAAATTCTCTACAGTAACTTTATTCAACTCTGCAGAGCTTTCCGTTCTGCATATCGTAATCCCGCCACTCGGATCCAACTCTAGAGACCGCATACAACGACTCACTAGGATCGTACTTTCTCTTGATGGCAGCAAGTCTATCATAATTGACACCAAAGAAATCATGTTTCCAGTTCGAATTGTAAGGGTTGGCTTCGTTCATGTAGGCACCTGTGTTGGGCGCCCATTCGCGCCAGACCGCTTCTCTGTTGACTTCATACCACTCTGCAGATTTCTTGATGATTTGAGATGGAGAGTCGGTCTCGTCGGAGGCGGGGCCGGAGCCGGAGATGGCGTGCACGTAGGTGGAGCGCCAGACTGGGTTCACGGCGCCTTGACGTTCGAGAGGTGTGTTGTTGACGCCGGGGCCGGCCATGAGGCCCAGGATGAGCATAGCTCTTCCGCTTCCAGGCTCCGTGTACATGATGCGGCGGAGGTAGGATGATACTTGCTTGTAAGGAAGAGTGAGTTGGGCACGGCCGAGCAGACGGCTGGTCTCCAAGCCTCCGGATCCTGCGGTGTTGGAGGGTGTTTTGGAGCTACTGTTGCGATCGAAGGGAGCCACTGTAGGCTCACTCCATTGTAGAGAGAGGCTGGAGTTCCTGCCACCAGTGGTGTTGCGAATGGCTGCGATGATAGGTTCAACTAGAGCAGTCAGGTTGGCTGCAGTGCTGTTGTATGCGGACAGTTGGACTGTAGCCGAGACTTCGCCGGGTGTTGACCCAAATGCAATAGCATTGCCCCAGAGGCCTTGGTCCATGAGGTCAGGGATGTGGTTGAGCAAGACAGCAAAGGCGTCCCAGGTAATGTTGCCAGTAGCATTCTTGCCGGCACTGATTGCCAATGTTCCGGCTACGGAGTTGGCAGGAGCTGGATAGGCTTTGAGTACGTACTCGGTAACAACGCCGTAACTGCCACCTCCACCGCCGCGAACAGCCCAGAACAGATCTTGATGTGCGGTGCTGTTCGCAACGAGAACATCGCCCTGAGTTGTCACGACAGTGACTTGCAAAACTTGATCGGGCGCAAGACCGTATGTGGCACTACGGGGTCCATAACCTCCACCCTGAATGTGACCACCGAGACCTACAGATCCATCTGCACCACCAATGACCACTTTGCCGAGCTTCGCTGCAGCATCATAAACATTGCCCCATTGCTGGCCACTGCCAACATGAACAACGTCTTCAGTCTTATTCCAGTTCGACTCGAAAGTGATGTTGTTCAGGTGGTGAGTCCAGATAGAGAGAGAGTGGGCACCAGTTGATCTGAGATGTGTTAGCCAGTGTTTGAATGACAAGAATACAAACTACATACCGGCCGTCGAGATCATGACCAGTTCCCTTGACATTGATGCGGATGTTACGGTGCGAAGCCCAGCGCATTGCCTTTGCAATCACATCATTTGATGTGCCGTTGACGATGTATGCCGGGTAGAGTCCGAGAGTACAAGGTCTGCCTTCAATGTAACCTTCGGTTCCAGGAGGTACACACGAGCTGTTTGTCCAAAGCGAGAAATCGATAGACTCTGGAAGGGTAGCATGGAAGTATGTCGAGTTCCACTGATCTTCCACCTCATTGCAGGAAAGAGTAGAGTTGAAGGGATTGCCAGGGTAGCATGCCGATGCAACCGGACGGGTTTGCAGAAGAACACCACCGAGTGTGCGATTCAATGCTGCCCATTCAGATGCTTGAGGCCAATCAGAGTCCAAAGGGGTCGATTTGCAGACTGCTGCAGTGCTAGGACTGCAGGCAGCGAGAACTGCTATAAGAGTTGTGCTTCGCATAGTGCTTGGTGGGTGCGATGAAAGATGAGAGCGAAAGACTGTGGAAGATTCTTCTTATATAGATACATGTTAGCTTGTCAGAAGTTTGACTATGACATAGCAGAGGGAATGCAATGATGCTCGGAAGTTAAGGGCTCGGCGTGTCGTGGCCAGGTCCACAGCGTATGTACCATACGCAAATCCCGTATCCGCATACGGACAGGGTCTCGCCTTAAATTCACCAGTACGTACGCAGCTTGTGGCAACACAACGTCCGGCAAGATTCGGATGGCTTTGAAACTGCGTTAATACATCTGTAACCTACCATAATTAGACCGTGATCACATTCCTCAACACATCAAACTTTCTTGGTTCGGCCTTGGTTTCGTCTTCACCAAACCTCAGCCACAATGCGTGATTACCCCATACTCCCTACAACACAGCCGGAATTGCTATAAACCAGACGTCGAGTTTGGAATGCTTTGCGCATAGGAATCAACTCTGCTGTGCCTGCGGGAAACTTTGACCCAAAATGTGACGCTTGCGGGCATACAAATCCAAAATCATCTGACCAAAGAGTCCATTGGCCCACGAGAACCACGGTCTGGTGTAGTCAGATGAGTTAAAGGTGTTGATGCTCTCATGTATAAGTCCAAGAGTGTTGGTACTGTCGATGATCAAGGCGAGTTGCTCGCTGATTTCGGTGTCGTTATCGCTGGTCAGAATGCGTACAATCGAAGCCATTGGCCAGGCATATCCAGGTCCTTGGTGTGGCCCTCCAATTGCACTAATGACAGGACCTTGCATGAAGTAAGGATTGCCGTAGCTGAGCAGTAAGGCGCGTGTGTTCTGGTAGACATCGTCATTGGCGTCAAGGTAGCCAAAGAACGGTGCTGAGAGGAGCGAGGGGATGTTGGCGTCGTCCTTTGGAGGTATAGTCAGCAAAATTCTGTTAGAAGAACGGCAGACGGCTATTGTCCAACAAGCCAGTTCACAAATTGAACTTGTCATCAATGAGTTGCGCCCTAGACGCATTCCCTCGATGCTAGTTGAATGTGCAGACTGGCCCGCTGAGTTTGATCCTTCGGCTGACGTACCATGATGTTTGCAGAACCATAACCGTCAACCTCGTAGGCATAGACACGTTTGCCCCCAACAGTAACGATACCATGTTCCTCTATACCTTGTCTTATGATGGTAGCGAGCTGTGTCATGTGCACGGACGTGACAGCACTCTCTGAATCGTTCAGAGCAACCATGATTGGAGCAGCTGCTTCAAGGTAGCGAGCCAACATCATATTGGACGGAATGAGGTACTGGTAGATGGTCGCATCATCCGAAGGCCTGAATGCTGAGCGGAACAAGCCAATGCCGCCTTTGAAAGGATTGCCCAATCCGTCGTTGGCAAGGGTCTCAGTTGCGCGGTCGCTCACTCTAGTGAAGCTGTAATCTGGCTGCTTGACCTGTCCATTAACGTCGTACGTGGAAGAGAAGTAGAGATCGTTGAAGACTTGGTAAACGTGATTGATGGCTTCTAGCCAGTGGTGCTTGCCGAAGAAAGCGGCATCTCCTGTAGCGTTGTAGTATTGTGCGCTAATCTGCAGGAAGGAGGCGAGAGAATCCAACTCGTACTTGCACTCGAAGACCGAGGCATTATCGTAGGTAGGGAAGACAACATCTTGGCTAGCTGAGGGATTCTTTGCAGGAGCGATACCGCTCTCGACGGGAGGCTGAAAAGCATTGCAGTAAGGCGAAGTGAGCAGGTATCGAGCCTGGAGATTAATGACACCGCGGAAGAGAGAGGCAAGTGAATCCGCCGAAGAATTGGCTGTGAGAAGAGGAAGATAAGACTGCATCTGATTGCTGCTGTCTCTCAACCACATAGCATCAATATCCCCTGTGACGATGAAGGTAAGCTCCTCATCGGGAGAATCGGCGGCATAACCCTTCCAGCGAATGGCTGTGTCAAGGGTGTTGGGGTAGGCTATCAACATTAGCAGCAGAAACGATCAATTGTCAACATAACTTACAGTTGAGGAAGGTACGCCACAGGTCGAAATCAGACATGGAATAAAAGATAGCGTCGGAGGAACCATCTTCGAAGAAGGACATGTTGAAAGTGCGGCAGGCAGGTTCAGGACGCATGTACGAGATATTGCGTGGGCCGGATGAAGGTGGATAGTGCCAGGATTGCGAGTATTGGAGATAGTCAGGGCATTGGGCAATGGCAATGCCACAAAGCAGGGCAAGGAGTGCGAGCAGATTGACAGACATGTTGGATGGATGTCGTTTGGTCAAGGAACAGGGAAAGAACGAGGAAGGGGGGAGTGCGGACGATCTTTAAAGAGGAGAGAACGGATGAGCGAGTGCGTGCATCTGTATGGCAAGAAGAGAAGTGGAAAGCATGAAAGCACTTGCCTCTGTTGACTATTTCCAGATTCGCGCGTCGATCAAGTCAAGAGCATCATCACATGGGCAACACGAAGTGGAATATTGTCGTTTGTACTTGAGATGGGGGAGCATCAAACAGCGGAGACAAACAGCACGAATGAGACGCGAAGGAGAGACTGCGGGGCTGAGGCAGGGATTTGCAGTTGCACTCTGAGGTTGCGCTGCAGTATTGGCTAAATGGAGCGAGCAACCTTGTCGATGTCAAGTGAACACTTTATGCAAGAGAGCGACGGACGTTGCTGCCGGTGTGTGATGTCTCGGAAGGAGGGCAGAAGTGAAAGAGCTGGGAGAGTGAGAGTGAAGAAGGAGCGACGCCGTGGCCTCGGCCCGCAATTGACGTCGTTCATCCTCAGGCACGGTCTCAGCGGCTTTGTCGACTGAAATATGGCCCATCACCTCAAATCGCTCTGAACTTGAAATCAACACAACCACTCGCACGACACAATACAGGATCACATCAGTCTCCTCTGTCCCACGCGCGTACCTCGCCACATCGACTCTGCGCGCCATGGCCGCCCAGGCAGCCACCCTTCGAGGCGACGAGTACTCCTCCCGTTTGCCCACTCCACCACGTATTGTCGTACCGCCGCCGACAGCAAACATCAACCTGGCTCCCGAGTTCGATCTGCATCCCATCGCCAAGTCCGGCCCGCTTGCAGCCGTCAACTACAAACACATGACAACCAGCAGTCTCCTGGACTGGAGCTACGAGCGTCGTCGTCAAGCCCAGCAAATCCTCCCATTCCTCTACCTGGGCCCCATGAGTGCTGTCAAAGATCGCGACTTCCTACGAAATGAGGGCATCACTCTGCTCATGGCCGTTCGTCATTGCCAGACGTTGGAAAGCAAAATCATGCAGTCTGCTTTGAACGTTGCCGACGAACTCAACATCGAAAAGAAAGCCCTCGACATGTCTAGTGCCTACGAACTGGTTGCCTCGTTCCCTCGTGCAGCAACCGTCATCAACCAACACATGAACTCTTGTCCTGGAGCAAAGGTTCTGATCTTTTGTGAAAGCGGAAATGAGCGTTCTGCTGCTGTCGTCGCTGCATACATCATGGATATTCTGGCCGACGTCGATCACATCAAGGCCATGCAAATCGTCCAGGCTCAACGCTTCTGTGTCAACTTCGACGATAACGTCAAACGTCTGCTCCAAGGCTACTGGGATATCTTGCAGGCCAAACGTGCCACCGCCAACATGAACACCAGTGGCACAGCTAAGCGCGTCCTTGAAAGAGAGACCGACGACGATGGCATGGACGTGGATGATTCAGGCGACGATGGTGAGAGGTTCGGGAGCAGAACCTTTGCTCCCTTTGTGGATACTGCATAGTCAGATCATTCTGCCTTTTCTGTTTTTCAATGCGTGGCGTTTTGCTTTTCCCCAATATACCCCTCGGTTTTGTTTGCTAGGCGTTGGAGGCTCGGTTCTATTCATGACTTGTGGCACAAAGGGTCACTATCACCATCACAGTTTCATGGTGTAGCATGGTCACGGCGTTAGCTCAAGCTATTCGGGCTTCTTCATTTACACATCTCAGTTCTTCGATTTGCACAGTCGACATATTTCGTTCCACTACAGTGACTTTGGACTTGGGTGACACGGCTTCTTGCAGTGCCATGGTAGGCTGCTAAACACACGGGTATATACAATTCATCTCGCCGCCTTCTCATCGTCGATCTGCTTTCTCAGGTCGCTGAGAACCTCCTCTCTTTTCCTCAGGTGAGCCTCGAGACCATCAACCTGCTCTTTGACCATGGAAATCTCATCGCTGAGGCCCTTCAAGCCCTGGCCCACCTTTGCTCTTCCCTCGCCTGTTTCGAGGTCACGCAGCTCGCGACGCTTCCAATCCAACAGCTGCTCCAGCTCACGCTTGACTAAAGCGGGCTTGCTCTCGTCGCGTCTGCCACCACGTTCTCTTCGCTTCTTTGCTTGCTCCTCTACCTTTTCCATCTTCTCTTCCAGCTCTTTGAGTTGCTTCTTCAAGCGTACCTCTTCCCATTCGGCATCGGTGCGGGTGGCAGTGAAATCAGTGCCCTTGGGTCTGTAGGCACCACGGTCACCGACTCCCAAGCGACTGAGGTATGCATCGCCGAACTTCTGCTTCTTGCCGCTCATGGTGCTGTCATCACGCTTGGTCCCCCAACGATCGGCGGCGGTTTGTACTTTGTCGACTTGATAGTCGATGCGGCCTTGTTCGAAGGTGGCGCGCAGACTGGGAGGAACGGAGCGAGGTAGGCGGTAGCCTTCGTGGCGGTTGGCGAGCATGTGAAGGAAGGTAAGGCATTGGTCCTTGCCAATTGCCGGGTCGCTACGGGGGTTGACGAGGTTCCATGCACTGCGCATGTCTGTATCGGGCACGTCCAGCGATTCGTAAAGCGGGTTGAGAGATTCGAAGGTGATGCTACCATCGCGAGGGTCGCGGTTTGCGCTGTAGATTTCCTCGTACTTTGTGCGGTCCGACGGGGGCATGTACCAGTCGAAACCATCTTTGAGTCCTGGCGTGTCGTCTTCTAGGTCGTCGACTTGTTCGAATTGAGCCTGGCGACCTGAGATGGCGTGGGATGCTTGGATCAAATGTGCTTTGCTCTCGGGGACAAGCCAGTCAGGCAGTGTTGCTGGGACGTCCATGTACTCCTGAGAATAAGTCAGCACCCATCACAAGCAGCTGCATCTTATCTCTCTCACGTACTCCGTTGACCAAATCAAAGATCAAGCGCATGGCGACGCAGAACTCCTCGAAATCCAGGCTGCCGTCACCATCGACATCTGCCAAATCCCATACTCGTTCCAGCTGGTCGTCGCGCAATTGACTGTTCTTCAGCACCGAGGCCGCCTGTGCGCCATTGAGGTGGGTACCGCCATTCGACAGCGAGGCGAAGATTTCCCAGTATCGTTCCACCTCCCACTGCTCGATGCGCTTCGTTGCCATATTGCCTGTCTGTCTATCGATACGCGACTAAGGAGTGAGCCTGTCGGGATCGCTGCCTTGGCTTGTCCGGTAGTTGGCGGCTTGGCCGATGACTGCTCTCGGCTCTTCCTTTGTCTGCTTCAGCTGGTATTATCGTATGCGTATGTACTGCTGATCCGACTATGTGAGCTCTGCCGTACTTCCGCAAGGGTGTTGTCGTGTTCCTGGACCGCTGGACTGGTCGGGCTGTGAGTGACGTGCACTTCTTGGCTCTACCGACCCCAATCTGTCTCCGCCTTCTCCTCATTTGTCGCCCGACATCCAAACTCACAACTCACTCGACTCGTCGTCTATATCGCTCTTCAGAACGCGTTGCTGTTATATTGAAGCGTGATTGCGGAATCGATTATACGGGTCTGAGCGTACGTGTTACGCTGTCGCTTCCATGCAGCACTTGCTATCCGACAGACTGTCTGCCAATGGCTATCAACTCTTGATTCTCCCAGTCACATAACAAATCTTGAGAACGCCGCTCTCTCTCCTCCATGTCACAAGAGCTTCTCAGCTCTAAGCCGCGTGGCTGTCTATGTTGGGTCAGCATCTGCTTCAGGCCATCCTCCAGCCGTCAAGCCAGGTGATTCCGTTGTTCCTTCCCGACAGTATTGCACAGTGCATCTAAGATCCTTGTTGTACTTTAGTACTCAGACAAATCACACGTACTGCCATGGATCCAATCGACGCCCGCGGATACCACACCAGACTCTTCTCTGACTTATTCCCGGAAGTAGACAGTCGTTCTTACGAACACGAAACATGGTTTTGAGTTCTATGCTTACGAGACGCAAGTCTGTCACGATGTCTTTGCGGAGAAATTGATGCCTGTAGACTGGCTCTGCTCCCGTGCTTTAGCATCAAGCTCCGGCTCACTAAACACATCCCCTCTACTCTGGCTGTAACCTAGGGTCGACGGATATCACGTCCAGCTTGCCATCTTTTCAAGTCTATATCTCCAGATAGACAGATTTTGAGCCTCCAGATCAGACTTATCGGAAGTTCAGATAAGCATCTGTCGTTTCTGTGGCTTGCTTGGCTCGACACAGTGCATATAGATCTTGGCATCAAAATTTACCTAGATTCCTTGTCACCTTCCAGGTCTCTCCCTCGGTTTTGGAATTCGCAAATATCCGTTGCGTTGGTTCGGATTATTCTTGAGGTCCATGTCAGAAGTCCGTAGTCCTGGAGGCCGGTTTCTTCTTTTGGAAGTACTGCTGCCGATCACTCGACGATCCACACACTACCGAACATCCTAGAGTACGTCACGGTCTAAATCTCCGAAGCCTTTGATGATCACCTTCTGAAGATGTACCACGCATGAGTGGCTAAGCTACAAACACCGCTTACCTTGCGGTTCCACAGCTCAGAGGCAATGCGGGTCCGTGACGGGACCAAGTCTCCATCCTTCTTGCTGTCTGCCGTTCTTTCCCTCGAGATCTTAAGATCCAATCGTAAAATACTCATTAGTCTTTGTCACTACACGGAAGTTTGCTCTAAAGGTTCCTGCGCAGCCAACTCGGAGATCACCACCCTTGCATGGTTTGTTCGCATCTCATCTCGGCACGCGAGTAGGAAGACTAAATCGTCTATCTTTGGCTGGGCATCACATTTGCCTGACTGTGTGGGTCAGTACGTATGCTATGCTCACTGCCCTGAAGCCGCTCTTCCGTCGTACTCGAAAAAAAGCCATCACGATGAGCTGTATATAAGATCAAGTCAGATGTGTACGTTTTCTCTCTCTGTTTCTCATTCCACATTGGCAACATTCGTTTCTTGCCTCTCAGTAACCACGACGTTCTTCGAGTTGTACAGCTCACACTTCTTCTTATCCTTCGTACTTACATTATTCATCCTTTGCTTCATTGCAATGCATTTTGAGAGCTTGACCGCTGCCTGCCTTCTGGCATTGGCGTCCGTGTCTTCGGCTTCATCTTCTGGTAGAAAGTATCTATGGGGGAGGGGTGGTCAGGGCAAGATGGTTCGCCGTCAAGCTTCTTCGACATCCTCAGCTGCTGGCAGTACCTCAACTTTGGTCGCTGACAGTGCCTGTTCCAACGGGCCTTTCACAAGGTCTTGCTGGACAGATGGATTCTCCGTTGCTACCGAGTATGCAGTTCAAGACGACCGCCCCTAAACACTGCAGCTAACTGTATCCCAGCTTCGATCAAAAGTTTCCCACGACTGGCAATACCGTTAGCTACAACCTCGAGATCACAAACACAACGTGCAATCCTGATGGTGCGAATGAGCAACAATGCCTCCTGATCAATGGTCAACTACCAGGACCTGTGATCAGAGCCTCCTGGGGTGACACTCTTTCCATCACCGTTACCAACTCTATGCAGGATAATGGCACATCCATTCACTGGCATGGAATCAGACAATTCAATTCACCCGGAATGGATGGTGTGAACGGTGTCTCCGAATGTGCTCTTGCTCCAGGCCAAACCAAGACATATACTTTCAAGTGCACACAGTATGGCTCTTCATGGTACCATAGCCATTACTCAAGCCAGTAAGGAAAAATTGCTTTTCTCGCATCTAATATTAACTTGCTGACCCATTATGCAAAAGGTACGGCATGGGTGTGGTGGGAACCATCTTAATTGATGGTCCAGCGACTGCCAACTACGACATCGATCTCGGCACATTCCCTATGATGGATTGGTACTACAAGAATGCCGACGTCGTCAACACCTTGGCCCTCATCAACTCTCAAGCTGGAGGCGGTGCTCCTCCTTCGGATACATTGCTACTTAACGGTACGAACAACAACGGTGCTGGTGGCAAGTACCAGTCGGTCGCACTTACAAAGGGCAAGAAGCACCGTCTGCGATTGATCAACACTTCCGTCGACAGCCATATGTTGGTAAAACTGGACGGTCACTCTTTCAGTGTCATCGAAGCCGATTTCATCCCTGTCGAAGAATCAGCCGTTGATGGCTGGCTTTTAATCGCTATCGGCCAAAGATACGATGTTGTCTTCGAGGCCAACCAGACTTCCGGCAACTACTGGTTCAGAGCTGAGGTTGCCACAGAATGTGGAAGTGTTAGTAACGGCAATGGTCGTGCGATCTTTAGATACGACGCTTCCGATACCTCCACTCCAGAGGACACCACAGAAACCCCTCCAACTGTAGAATGTATAGATTTTCCTACTATTCCCTACTGGAAGCAGTCGGTGGACAAGGACGACTTCGCTCAGCAGGCCAAGACTTTGAGCACTGGCTTTGGTGAGGGTGTCACTGTCAATGGAGAGAGTCTGCTTTTGTGGCATTTGAACACCACTGGTAAGTTTACGAATGTCCTGGGTCTATGCGAACACATGCTAATGTCGAGCAGCCATGTCCATCCACTGGGACAAGCCTACGCTGGGCTACGTCTTCAACGGCAGCACTTCCTACCCTCAGGAGTATGATGTGATCGAAATTCCCAACGAAGGCGTTTGGACATACTGGGTTATTCAGCAAGTCTCTGGATCTCCACCCATCACTCGTAAGTTCACCATTTCAGAATCCTCCCACCTATACATTCTTCATCATGCTGACTGAGCTCTCACTATAGACCCTATTCATCTCCACGGTCACGATTTCTTTGTTCTCGGACATCAAGCGTCATCAACCTTCGATGCTTCATCCATGATTGACCAACTCAACTTCGATAACCCACCCCGCAGAGACACTGCTACCCTCCCTGCCTCTGGTTGGCTTGTACTCGCCTTCCCGGCAAACAATCCCGGTAGCTGGCTCATGCATTGTCACATTGCCTGGCACATCTCTGAGGGTCTGGGAGTGCAGTTCCTGGAAGCTAAAAACCAGATCGTTTTGCCTGATGAGGGACAATTCACTAGTCAATGTTCGAGTTGGAAGCAGTATACTGCCAACATGGCTTTCCCTCAGATCGACAGCGGTCTCTAAGGGTGTTTGCCAGCTATTGTTTGGTTCTGTTGGCAGAATAGGCGAGACAAAATAATGTTAATGACTTTATGGAATCTAAATTGTCGTTGTGTACTGGACGCCAAACATGGCATTTTCCAACTGTTCCACATAAACCAGACATCCTATCGTCAACCAGCCAGCAGATAACAAACCGAACTTCCAAATATACGCAAAGGGATTTGCAGCATTATGAGCTCTATGGATGTATCTTGATTGCCATGTCGAGTATATGGGATGAGAAACGGGCATGCCATTGCGAGAACAGGGTGGCCCTTGCGGCGTGACGAGAAAAGATACTCGTCTGTGATTGGCCGATCTAGATCTGAGCGATCTACAACTTTAGATCGCAACACCAGATCGCGACGCAACCAAACGCGCCTGCGTCATCAGGTACACGTCCGAACTTGGCTCAAGAAAAGGCAAGGGGGAGATGTATCAATAAATTTACATCTCCTATCAATTCTCGACAGCAACTTTACACACTAGTATTAAGTTACCGAAGGCCACAGAAACAGTCTTCGATTCATCATGGCACGTCTTTCGAGAGGAGCTGCCAAAGCCGAGGAGGCAAAGCAGCCAAAGCAGCCAATTCCTTCGCTGAAGACAGAGAAGAGTGAGATATCATCAAACATGGAAGCCGAGGAAGCAAAGATGGCAGAAGCTCGAAGAGTTCAGGAAGAAAAAAGAGACAAGGAGCTGGAGGCTGAGCGAGAGAAAGATCGCAAAGGCGGCAAAAAAGTCGTCGACACCAAGTTCAAAGCTCTTGAATATCTCCTGAATCAGAGCAAGTTGTATTCGACCATCATGCTTGCTCAAATGCAACGACAAGAAGAGGAGGCTCAAGCTACTGATGAGAAGGGCAAGAAGCGAGCTTTGAAAAGGGAAGAGACTGCGGAGAAGGCAGCCGAGGTCAGCCAAAAGAGAGCTACACGATCAGCAAATGCCGTCGAGGAAACAGCAGAAGACGCATCAGAACAACCAACCACTGGAGCGGGTCGAAGGAAATCAGCACGAGGAGTCGCAGCCAAGCCCAAACCTGGAAAAGGAAAGATTTCAGATTATCTCAACAAGGACGACTTGAAAGCAAAGGCAGGCGACAAGTCCATCAATGAAGCCCTGAAAGAGGAAGCCGACTCCGACATCAAGGCTGGCGACATTGGCGTTCAGAACTTACGGTCAGCCAAGCAGCCAGCACTTGTCAGCGGTGGTTTGATGCGTTCCTATCAGCTCGAGGGTCTCGAATGGCTCACATCACTCTACGAAAACGGATTGAACGGTATTCTAGCCGATGAGATGGGTCTCGGGAAGACTATTCAAACGATATCGTTCCTCGCTTTCTTGCGCGAGAAGGGCACATACGGTCCTTTCTTGATCGCATCACCTTTGAGTACAACAAGTAACTGGGTGAATGAATTCAAAAGGTGGACTCCAGAAATCCCAGTCGTACTCTACCACGGATCCAAGCAAGAGAGAGAAGAGATGCGTCGAAAGAATTTCAAGAACCCGGGCAGCAAGGAATTCCCAGTCATCTGCACTTCTTACGAGATTTGCATGAACGATCGCAAGTTTCTTGCCAACTATGGCTGGAAGTTCATCATCATCGATGAAGGCCATCGTATCAAGAACTTGAACTGTCGTCTCATCAGAGAGTTGCAATCCTATCAGTCGGCCAATCGACTTCTGATCACAGGAACGCCGCTACAGAACAACTTGACGGAGCTGTGGTCGCTATTACATTTCCTCATGCCCACCATCTTCGACAAACTTGAGTCTTTCGAGTCGTGGTTCGACTTCTCTGCATTGAACCAGCGCAACGGTTATGAAGATATTCTGTCTGAAGAGCGCAAAACCAATCTGGTCACTTCTCTTCACGCGATCTTGAAGCCATTCTTGCTACGCCGCATCAAGACAGATGTCGAGACCTCTCTTCCCAAGAAGCGCGAGTACATTCTATACGCACCTCTCACAGCCACTCAACGCGAACTTTACCAGGAAATCCTCGAGGGCAACAGCCGAGCATACCTCGAGAATAAAGCAGTCGAGAGTCTGAGTGGTGCCAACACACCTCGCAGCACTCGAGGCGCCAGTCTCAAGCGCAGTAGACTCGAAGAAGGAAGCGCCACACCGAACAAAAGCGTCAAGTCCAGTCGAGCATCTACACCGGCAACAACAGCAAGTGCTCGCGGCAACAGAAGAGCCAAGAGATCACAGAATTACGAGGAGCTATCCGACACTGCCTACTTCAAGCAAGTGCAAGACGAACAATCAGAAGAATCAGAGCACGAACTAAACTCCAGCGAAGAAGAAGCCCAAGAACAGGCCCAGACCCTCGCATTGGCCAAAAAGCTGATCGGAGCAAAGAAGCTGCAGAACCCAGTTTTGCAACTCCGTCTCTGCTGCAACTCGCCTCACAATTTCTTCTACCCATTTATGGAAGAAGACAACAGTGATGTCGATGAAACACTAGTCAAAGAAAGCGGAAAGATGATGCTCTTAGACTCCCTGATGCCTTCTCTCTTGGAGCGTGGGCACAAAGTCCTCATTTTCAGTCAATTCAAAACCCAACTTGATCTGATAGAGACTTACTGCGATGTACTCCGCGGATGGAAATGCAGTCGTATCGACGGCGGAGTCTCCCAATCAGACAGACAAGAACAAATTGCTCAATTCAACTCGCCAGAATCAGAGACGAATATCTTTCTGCTCAGTACAAGAGCCGGAGGCCAAGGAATCAATTTGACAGCAGCGGATACGGTGTTACTCTTCGACAGTGATTGGAATCCTCAGCAGGACCTACAGGCACAAGATCGAGCTCATCGTATCGGTCAAACACGCCCTGTCATCGTCTACCGCTTCGCCACAAAAGGCACCGTGGAGACTTTGCTCTTGGAAAAAGCAGAATCCAAGCGAAGATTGGAAAAACTTGTTATTCAAAAGGGCAAATTCAGATCGATGAAAGCTGGTGAGGTTTCGGGGGCTGAGTTCAACGAGTTGCAGCGGTTGTTGGAACAGCAGGATGGTGAGAGGATGGAGTTGGAGGAGGGGACTAAAGGTCTGTTATCCGAGGAAGAATTGAACACGTTGACGGACAGGAGTGAAGAGGCCTATGAGAGGGCGGAGAAAGGTCTGGATGGCGGTGACAAGTTTAAAGCTGTCGAGACAAAAGCTGGTGGTGAAGGGTTCTTGGAGGCAATGAGCAAATGAGATGTTGCGTATGTAGAGCTGGGTTGTTGTACCAGAGGGAATCGGAACCCCGCTAAATGCATTCATTTCAGGCTGCTTCATTCTAGACCGAACAAATAGGCAGGAACATATTCAAGCCGGTCGCGCAGAGAGTCCGTAGGAAAACACAGTTTACGGTCTCTTGTATCCAAAATGACGATAGCTAGTCTATCTGTTGTATCCTTTCTGACGGATGAAAAAGCGAAGTGTGTAAGAAAATAAGATCTGTCCAAAAACGCAAGGGTATCTGACAAGAATGACAAAACATGACTTTTTCTGTGTCCCCTGTGAGCCACCGTTCCATAAAAGGAAATTTCGACTAGTCTACGGTATCAGCCTCGTCGTTCGTGTGCAAGATATTCTTCGAGGGCATCAGTAAACGTATTGCGGCCATCTATGAGAATGTCAGCAAGTTAATGTCTTTAAGTAAAAGGAAGAGATACTCACTTTACGGCCCACTGCAAACACCAGCCGTTTCCCATCGGCATCCCAGTTGAGACTGGGCTCGTCACCAGTCTCGTCGCCATCAGGCAAGTTGTTTTCATCGCCTTGGTACCAATGTGTGGCGGCGGCTCGCCATGTGAGGAGCGGTACGGAGCCGGTATTAAGGTCCCAAATCTTGACAGCTTCTTCGCTTGCGACAGCAAGACATGAGCCTGTAGGTGACCACGACAAAGCCAAAGCAGCTTCATGAGGACCCATGGTGAACTCATGGAGGGTTTCGCAAAGATTGGGAGAAACGCGGTAGACCCTCACAAGTCCAGAGTCATGTGTTACTGCGAGGCGCCTGGGTACAGGAGTGCCGATGTTGCTTGCAGGGTCTACCGGTTGGAATGCCATAGCAGTGGCACGTCTACCGGCGGGACCATCCGCAGGGAAGCCAGGCAGAGGGACCCATCGAGGGGTAGTTTTGGCGAGCAATATGGTACAGTCGTCGGACACAGAAGTGGCAGCAACAATGCCGTTTACCGAGTCATAGCGTACCTTGTCCCACTGCTTGTCTGTTGGATGAGAATATTGCAAAGCAAAGTTTCTGGTCCCAGTCGAGGCAAAAGAGTCGCCGTTTGTATCAGTACCGTTGGGTAGCGAAGCATCATGGATCTGGTAAAAGTCAAGACGGTTCTCACCGCACACGACGATTGAGTCATCGGAGGCCCAAACAGCATCAATGACAGGCTGATTAAATAGCTTCACAGCTACAGGATCTAGTGAAGTTGCGGGCTGACTAGCATCCCAAATTTCGACCAGGCCACGCTTCATGTTTGTAGAAACACTCAACAGACGTGTTCCAGATTGATTATAGCGCAAGGCGACAATCATGGCAGAGTGTTGTAGCAGGTAACCTTGAAGGTCGTAGAAACGTTTCGTACCCTGAACAGTAGCATCGAACATTGATCTCACAGGCTCATGACTACCTCCAGGCAAGCGGCGAGTAGACTCAAGAGCACAAGTAGCATATCGCCCAGACGGATGCCAGCAGGCAGCGGTGATGATGGAGCCCTTGGGCATGGTCTCTGCGTCGGTGTGGTGAGCACGCTGAACACCGCCCTTTGTCTGATTCGGCAGAGTGTAGAAACGGCACAACGATTCACCGACAGTAAGTAGGTGGGTGGACTGCGACAGGGTTGGGTTCCACAAGGCATGCAAAATAGAAGCGTCCGGTTGGTCCAAAGCCCAGTACATGGTCTCTGACTTTGATTTCAGCTTTTTGTCGGTTTGTGTAGCAGAGGAGGTGGTGGGAATGTGGTCTGGCTCAGGAGCATCTGAAGTGGGCTCGTGTTCAGCGTCTTGTTGGTCGTCGTCTTGCGGTATGGAATCAATTTGCATGCTATCTGGATTGAGCGAGTCATTGCTCTTTCGGGAGCGTTTGGCGGGAGGTATCGGGAAGTCGTGTTGGTTCGTAGAAGATCGTCTGTCGTTGATGGAGGCGCGGTGGGCGAAATGCCTGGTAGTCAGGTTGAAGCGGCGCGATTGGTTGGTGACTTGAGCGAGCAGTTGGTCGTGGAAGATGGCGTCCTGGATGATGTGCACCAGCTCGTGCTGCTTGACCAGCGGCGCGAATGGCAGTTTCTCGGGGTCGCCATATTCTTGTGGACGGTGCCAGTCTTGATGCAGTGCCTTGGCCGCGTTCTCATGGCCTGCTTCTTGCAGGTAGCGGAGGATCAAGTAATTGATGTGGTCCGAGCCCAGAGCTCCGTCACCCATGGCGCCTGAGGTGGAACTGTGGCCGACTGTATGCGAGTGCCAACGACAAAGCCCGAGATGGAGATGCAGATGCAATTGGCGCGAAATGACAAGGACCGTGTGCGATGCTATGCGATGCGATGCGACCAACCAACCTGGAAGAGTATTGGCCAGCCGGTATCCACTATCCACTCGATGCAGCCAAGTCCTGCCACATTCCCTCAGCCAGACAAGCTTTGGCTTTCCGCTCCACTCCGCTCCGTCCAAGGAACGTGCGAGGTGGGGGAGTCGCGACCGGAAAGCTCGCTGCTGTTGTTGCTGCTTTGCTCTGGCTTGCTCCTGCCCGCATTCGAAGCTCCATGAACGTCGGCCAAACATAGATCCTTCTTCGTCGTCATGCCCATTCGCATCAACTTACCGCCATTGACACGGGCGCTTCTCGTGCTTCTGCTCGTTCTGTCCCTGCTCAATGCCTCGTTCAGCGTGCGCAGTCTCATTCGCGTTCAGGCGGTGCCGTTCTTGGCCATCATCCCTGCGAACTCGCTGAAGTACCCATGGACGACCCTCACCGCTGCCCTGCTTGAGACCAATCTTGTCAGTTTCGCCATTTCGGCCATCACCATCTTCTATGGAGGCCGTTATCTGGAACGTGCTTGGAGTGGTCAAGAGTTCGCCAAGTTTGTCCTGTTCGTGACCATGATTCCCAATTTGTTGACCTTTGCCATCTACTGTCTGTGGTACTCTCTGACAGGGAACCAAGTCCGAGCGTGAGTCTTCCTCTGCCTGCTGCCTTGCCCATCTCCTTGCTGACAGTCTCTAGAAACACAATCATCAACGGTAACGTTTCCCTCGAAGCCGCCTTCCTCGTTGCCTTCAAGCAGCTGGTGCCCGAGCATACCGTCTCCTTGTTCCGTGCCACCATTCGCATTCGCGTCAAACACTTTCCCGCCGTCTTTGTCTTGTTGAACAGCTTGTCTGGTCCACTACTCGGCACTGACACTGCTTTCTTCCTGTCATGGCTTGGCTTTTTGACCTCTTGGATATATCTACGTTTCTACAGAGTCGCGCCTTCTCTGGCAACCACTGCTACAGGCGAAGATGCCGTTATAAAAGGCGATGCCAGCGATACGTTTGCATTTAGCCACTTCTTCCCCGATCCAATCCAGGTTGTTCTGGACCCCCTGACCGACTCCATCTACAAGACTATGGTTGCGCTGAAGCTATGCGCGCCATTTTCTGAGGATGCAATCGATCAGAGTAACGAACAAGCCTCGGCACGAGCAGAGGGTGGACTACCAAGCATAATGACTGGCGGGAGAGGGGGTCGTGCTGGGGGCAGACGAGAAGAAGCAGAACGAAGAAGGGCGCTTGCCTTGAAGGCTCTCGATCAGAGGTTGAATGCCGCTGCAGCTGCTCGTGCGCCCGCCGAAGCACCAACAGCACCTACTGTTTCTGCAACCACCAGCGAGGCTGCGGAAACGAACACGACAGAACCTGTGGCTGCTTGAAGTTATTTGTTGCGCTTTTTAAGATACCCCCATGCGAAAGCTATTGTCCTTGATCCCCGGCTTCGTACACAATAACGATACAGTATACGCCTTATAAGCGTTTCATGAATAATGCACGACGAGACGCGTGCAAGTTTTGCGTAGTACGGTAAAGGTGCCGTAGCGAATGTTTGTTCATGCTGTTTCGCTCCAAAATCAACTAGCAAGTCCCACCCGAAAACCATGTCTTCTCTCCTTGTACGCCTTGAACAGAATGGGATATCTCTTGTATTAGCCTCGATGAAGCGGATATATGGTGCTTGACCAGATGTCGGATCCATGTGTGATGTCGTTGTTTCGATGGGTATGGGGAATTTCGACGATCGCATCAATCCATGCGTTGATCTTGAATGCGGCTTTCGACGTAAAAGCCAGAGTCGGGTCTACGGAGTTCCTTGAGCTCTTCGGGAGAAAACTTCTGGTCGACCTCCTGGACGTCGATGAGTTCCTTGACGGCGAAGATTTGACCGGCGACTTGTTGTGAGACGGGGTGGTAGACGGTCTTCATGCGTTTGCGCAGACCGAGAGCCTTGAGAACGCCAGAAGCCTGCTTGGGCAAACCAATGGCCGAGCGCAGCAATGTGATGCGGAAGTACGACATGTTTGTCTGGCAGGTGTTAGAGCTGTGACTTGTAGGTTGGGACTTGTCGCTACGCACGATTGGACAAGCACAATTGACAGGCGTAATTGTGAAAAGCTGATGGCGAGGGTGATTGACGCTTGCGCTTCGATGCTGTCGGCGCCTCTTGGCTTTCCCGACGCTCCGCCGCCGCCGCCTTCTTCTCCGCATTCACTCTCTCCGAGGCTCCGTTCACGCGTGTGCATGTCCATGTTGGTCCCTTGACGTCTTGTGCCTCGCATATTGACTCAACATGAATGACACGGACGATGTCGCCAATCGGCTTGCTGAGCTGCTGCGGCATCCAGATGATTTGGAGAAAATCACCTCACTGAAGAGTGAATTCACGCGCAAGAAGGCCGCTGTCGACGGCCAGCTCCGTATAGGTCTCAAGGAGCAGCTCGAAATCACTCAGCAAGGAATGTCTAGCATTAGTGACGGCCAACACACTGTCAATCTGATCAAAGACGAAATGATAAAGATTGATCGTCTCTGTGTCGAAGCCCAAAACATGATTCAAGACTTCCCATTCGTCGACAAGGTCGCCCAAACACATCGCAACTTTGCTCAGGTCGAGGACATGAAGGCTCAGATTGAATCCTTTGGCCGCAATCTCGATGAGCTGGAGCAGCTACTTCGCGAGGACGACGAGAATGTCGAGAATCAGGACAACCTCCTTGCTATACACTACGGCCTCACCAAGTTACGCGACATCCGCGACATGGCCCTGGACTCGATCAAATCGTCAACCGAAGATTCTGGCACCGAGCTGATCAACAACCTCCAACTCGGCGAAACCGGTGTCACGTTGCAAGACCACTTTACGAGACTCGACGACGTTGTCGACTGGTTTGACGAACACGTAGGGTCTGCCTGTCTGAACCTGATTCCTCTTGTCCAGTCAGGTAACAACGGCATCATCGTGCGTCTGGCCCTAATTGTTGAGAAAGAGGAAGAGAAAGACCGCCAGGTCGAGGCACTGCAACACGCTCATCGCGAGTTCAAAGACCTGGCCTCGCGTTTCAAATCTATGAACGCTGGTCAGAAAGAGCTGCGCGGCTACAAGGACAAATTCTTAAAAGCCATCGAGTACAACTGTCAAGCTCAGTTCGATCAAGCTGGAGAGAGCTTCTTTGAGGACCCAGACAAGCTCGAGAAAAGCGTGCGATGGTACTTCAATGACCTCAATACCGTCAAATTGGGCATGCAAACTCTTATGCCCAGAAAGTGGCGTATCTTCAAGACATATGTCGCCATCTACCACAGACTCATGCACGATTTTCTCATGTCCAAAGTCCAAGACGATCAACTAAATCCTCCACATATGCTGGCTGTTGTCCACTGGGTCACTAAATACTACGCCAAGATGGAGAAGCTGGGTGTACCTGCTGACCAACTTCAACCTCATGTCATTGATGACAGAGAGGCAGACATAATCCGTGAATACAGGACGCTCATTACCAATGCCGTCGAACAATGGATGGACCGCATGTCTACTACGGACCAACAAACTTTCCTCGAACGTAAAGATAACACACTTGACACTGATGCTGAAGGTCACCTCCGCACCAAAACCTTGGGTGACTTGTGGCGTATGCTTCGCGAGCAGCTCACAGTCGCAGCATCTTCGGATAGACCTGACGTCGTCGAGGGTGTTGTGGAATCGATGATGCGCGCTCTCCAGTCAAGGCAATCAATGTGGCAGCAACTCATCGACTCCGAGACCCAAAAGTACACTTCGCCTGCAATGCAACAAGTTGAGCAGGAAGGTCTACAACCCCTACAAGACTGGCTCGTCGCAATAGCCAACGATCAGATCGCATGCATCGACGATCAAGAGGACCAAGGCCAGATCTCATACCTTACGACCTTTAGACGAGAATATGAGACAATGGTCACACCTGCATATGCAATCTCGTCAAACACTGAGCTCGACACTCTGCGTGATGGCTATGTCGATCTTGGTACTCACTGCATATCGCTTTTCACTGCTCTCATCTTCTCGGTCGATTTCCGTGGTATTCTTGCCGAGTTCTTCACTCCGACGTGGTACAACAAGAAAGCAATGGCTCAAATCATCTCCACCTTCGAGGATTACTTGGCCGACTATTCTGATGTCCTGCATCCTTCTTTGAGGGATGTTCTTGTCGAAGAACTCTCAGACGAACTGCTGGTACGTTACCTGTCAGCCATTCGCAACCGAGGAGTCAAGTTTCGTCGTGGGGATCCTTTCAACGAGAAGATCAAAGACGATGTCTTGACGGTGTTCAACTTCTTCTCTACCCAGGAAGCTTCATTCCCTGCCATCAAGGACAAGTGGAGAGCTGTCAATGCCTTTGTCGAGCTCCTCAACGCTGAGAAAGGACCTGCAGTCGCGGATGCGTACGAACAGTTCAAGAGAGAGAACTGGGACTTGCAAATTGGTTGGGTTGAGGCCGTCTTGAGGACCCGTGATGATTGCGACAGGTCCTTGATTGGACTCGTCAAAGCTCGGGCTGCCGAAGTTGAAGTCGAGAGAGGAATGGAGACTGTCATGAGCAAAGTGAGATGATAATGATAAGGTTGCCTGTTTGTTTTCTGTTGGAACTATGCGGACTTGTGTTCGGCGTGGAGGCTTGAATTGAGTTTTGGTTCCTGCATGGGTTCTGCACACCCTGTTTGTTGGTGGTAGCAAGGCGTTCCTGCGGGTGAGGTCAAAAAAGATACCCGGTTTGATTAGAAACTCTTGATATAGAAAGAGTAGACTATCGCTGTCCACTGTCGGACATTATTCACTCTCTAGCCCAAGCACGATACATTAATCACGGGAAAGCGCAATCACATTCTGAGCCCCTTTTGGCGTTTCGATAGTCATGCAAGAGAGCGAAGAACAGCTGCAGGCTTCGGGCAAGCCGCCACCTCACGGGCTCAACCGAGTGCTTGCCGCAACTTTGTCTTCTACCGCGCCCAACCGTCTGCTACTCGGTGAGAGGCTTGCAGCTGAAGTGTCTGCCACATCGTCAGTCCAGATGGCGCGCCACTCGTTGACGTCCGCCACATACACGCAGCTCAGGCTGAGCTCGCCCATCACAAGAATAGTAACGGTCCGTGGCGGACGGCAGCCGCGCACGCACAAGCAGCCGTGCCCGGTCCTGTCGATCGCCCTCGACCCCCCGAGTTTCAAGTTACGGCTCGCGTTCTGTGAGAAGCTTCCGAAGCATCTCTCTCCAAGTTTTCGTTGTTGGGAAGGCACACTTCCAACACGCTTTGGAGTCGGCTCTTCTGGCGACATGATTTTCGCACTCGCTTCCGTCAATGTTCTGCTGAGTTACAGTTCAGCCCTTCCAGAAGCTGGCAGCGAACTGGCCTTCAATAGCAGCGCATGGACATCCCCATGTTCCATTTTAATCTCGGTCGGATCAGTTCGTGAACTTCCTGAGCCTACCAAGGTGGAGCTCTCTCTACTTATCACCGCGGTGGTGTTTATTTGCGGTCGCGTACCTCGTGCACTGTATTCACGTTCGCGGTGTAGACGTTACCGTCCAACGGCCATTGACTCTCAAAAGAAGAAGCAACTTGAGCAAATACATACAGCCGTTAAGTCGATGCAAAACGACGTCAAGAAACAGTGTCTCGAACAGATGATTGCCCAAAATGCTTTTTCGTCATCCAATAGTAACTCGCCCAACCCCCTTGTCGCAGCACAATCGTTGAACGAGGAAGAAGCTCGACTCTCAACGTGCTGCGGGGGAAAAGTGAGACTTGGCGTTAGTGTAGCTCTGTAACCCGATTCTGACAAGGCTGTGATTGATTCCGCTAATAATTTATTGTTGTGTCGTTGCCCCGAACCCAAGACGGAGCTGGCAGGTTATAAAGTCGACGATCCTGGCATTCTCGTTCCCGCCGTCCTTCTTCCCTCTCTTCCTTCCTCCTTTTCACTCTTCTCTGAATTGACCTTTTTCTTGTGAGTCTCGCCAACCTGTCACCCTCGAGCCCCGCAAGCAGCTTCTAATACTCGACCTCGAAGTCCAATTCAGTTTCACATCAATCACAATGGCCTCCGAGATGGCAACCCACCTGAAGCCCAACGGCGGCGCTGAGTTCGAGAAGAGACACCACGGCAAGACCCAATCCCACGTTGTACGTTAACCACCCTTCGAGCTGGTGATGGATGTTTTCCGGACACGGTGTCATTGTGTGGGCGCAGAGAAGCTAGAGACGGCAGCTACTTCGTGTGGAAGCTCTTCCATCCTCTCATCTCAGCTTATGCTGAGCTGACGCGATCGTCGTTGCCCCCACCATGTTGCATGGCTTTTCAGTTTCGCTCATACAATTGACGTGTACCTTCGACGGTACCATGGCTTGTGGCACAGTCAGGATTGTTTTAATCCGCCAGCTCGACAAGTTTGCTTAGCAAAGTTGCTAACCGTGTCGGAACAGGCTTTCGAGAACACCTCGACCTCGGTCGCTGCCTCGCAGATGCGCAATGCATTGAACAACCTCTGCGACGAGGTCACCGACCCCGCTGAGAAGCAGGTATGTTTGAAACTCGATGAACTTCACAAACTGTATGTTCTGGAAAACTAACACGCACGAACAGCGCTTCGAGACTGAGATGGACAACTTCTTTGCCCTTTTCCGCAGATATCTCAACGACAAGGCCAAGGGCAACGAGATCGAGTGGTCCCGCATTGCTCCCCCCAAGCCTGAACAGGTCGTTGCCTACGAGGACCTGCCCCAGCAGGAGTCTGTCGACTTCCTCAACAAGCTCGCTGTCCTCAAGCTCAACGGTGGTCTCGGTACCTCGATGGGCTGTGTTGGCCCCAAGTCGGTCATCGAGGTCCGTGACGGCATGTCTTTCCTCGACCTTTCGGTCAGACAGATTGAGTACCTCAACCGCACCTACGGTGTCAACGTCCCCTTCGTGTTGATGAACTCGTTCAACACCGATTCCGACACTGCCAACATCATCAAGAAGTACGAGGGCCACAACATCGACATCATGACCTTCAACCAGTCAAGATACCCCCGTGTCCTCAAGGACTCGCTCCTCCCCGCCCCCAAGTCGGCCAACTCTCAGATCTCCGACTGGTACCCCCCTGGTCACGGTGACGTTTTCGAGTCGCTCTACAACTCCGGTATTCTCGACAAGCTCCTTGAGCGCGGCGTCGAGATTGTCTTCCTCTCCAACGCCGACAACCTCGGCGCTGTTGTTGACCTCAAGATCCTCCAGCACATGGTTGACACCAAGGCTGAGTACATCATGGAGTTGACTGACAAGACCAAGGCCGATGTCAAGGGTGGTACCATCATTGACTACGAGGGTCAGGCCCGTCTCCTCGAAATCGCCCAGGTTCCCAAGGAGCACGTCAACGAGTTCAAGTCGATCAAGAAATTCAAGTACTTCAACACCAACAACATCTGGATGAACCTCCGCGCCGTCAAGCGTATTGTCGAGAACAACGAGCTCGCCATGGAGATCATCCCCAACGGCAAGTCGATCCCCGCCGACAAGAAGGGTGAGGCCGATGTCAGCATCGTCCAGCTCGAGACCGCCGTCGGTGCTGCTATCCGTCACTTCCACAACGCACACGGCGTCAACGTCCCCCGCCGTCGTTTCCTCCCCGTCAAGACCTGCTCTGACCTGATGCTGGTCAAGTCTGACCTCTACACCCTTAAGCACGGTCAGCTCATCATGGACCCCAACCGCTTCGGTCCCGCTCCTCTCATCAAGCTCGGTGGCGACTTCAAGAAGGTCTCAAGCTTCCAGAGCCGCATTCCCAGCATCCCCAAGATCCTCGAGCTCGACCACTTGACCATCACCGGTCCCGTCAACCTCGGCCGTGGCGTCACCTGCAAGGGCACCGTCATCATCGTGGCCAGCGAGGGTCAGACCATCGACATTCCCCCGGGTTCCATCCTCGAGAACGTTGTTGTCCAGGGTAGCTTGAGACTGCTCGAGCACTAGAAAATTTCTTTCACAAGGCGCGTGTTATTATGGAAAAGATTCAAGAGACGCAGTAGATACCACGGAACATCCAGTAATTATCTCATTTTCAAGTCATGGCGAATTCATGCAACCTTTCAAATTTCTCTATTGCAACTGCTCATCCTGCTCATCCTGCTCATCCTGCTCCAATCTTACTGCCTGTGTGATGTTTGTCAAGGTTCCAACGATAAGGGTTACCTCGGAGATTGCGGGATGCATCTCCTGGCTTCATGATGGCTCTCAAGATCGACGACAAGTGCCAGAGCGCACTTTCAGAGATCGTATAGGATCCCAACACTGTAGAAGCGACTCTTGTAGGACAAACATGCAGAATAACAGGGTGTGGATTCTTTGTTTGATCAACAAGCACATGGAGAAAAGGACAATGACATAAGGCTGTGTCAAAGTTGGTTCAGCTTGGCACGGCACGTTTTACCTTTCCGAAGGCTGGATGATGATGAGTGTTTGGGAGTTTGTTGGCGGGCTCTTGAGGGCGATCTCTGTAACTCTGTTGCAAGTCACGGCAACTCAGTAGCAAGTTTTCGTCTCCAGCCAGGAACACTTGATGTCGCAGCGTATCTGAGTGCGGCCATGTCGCGTCGTGTCACCAACGTAACAAAGTCAAGCCGCCGTATCCGCACATCACCAGCCGCCGCCGTCGCGACCCCGTGTAGCTTGTCCTCGCCGTCGTCGCCATAGCCCGGCGATGCAGCCATCCCAGGGCTTGTCTGCTTCCGCATCGAATCAAGCACCCGACTCTCAATCCTCGACATTGAACGCTTCCAACCACATCTTTCGCGATTCTTCGTCAGCCGACAACCGTGTCGTCCGCTCCATCCCGCCATGGGTGCAGACCGAAGACGACAGCGATGATGAGTCGATCGATCAGACACAGCGTCTCCTACCTCTGGCCAATACCGTTCCCGCCTCTCATCACTACCTCCCTGCCCCGCCCACCCAACACAAAGCCCCTGGCCGAAAGTGGGATCACATACGCTCCGCCGAGCCTCCGTTGCTAGATCAGCCGATAGATACGAATCAGCAAAGATGGCTTCCCTACATGGTGTCCGGTCCGCAGCCACGAGGCGTACCTGGTGCTAGGCTGGTCTCGGATGCCTGGATGGACGAGAACATGCCTCATCTCACTACTACCTGGACTGCTGCCGAACCTGAGAAATCCTCAGATAAGCCCAAAGGCTTGTGGTTATTTACTCGCGAAAGAAGATCAAAAACTTTCGGGCGCATCAAGGTATTTTATATTCTTCCGCTGTCGGTAGTCTTGATTTCTGACTATTGTGGCAGCGCATCATCCTTAAAAATCCTTTTGTACCTCTAGTTTTCCGTCTCATCGTTCTTACCTTTACTCTGGCTGCCCTTGGCTTGGGCGCCAGAGTCTTCCACGAGGCCAATGCCGTCAATCGAGATGGCGAAGGGCCTTGTAGCAAGCGCGCCTCGACATACATGGCTATTGTCCTGGATAGCGCTGCCGTGCCTTATATTGGCTACATCACATGGGATGAGTACTTGAGTAAACCGTGTGTATCGTCCAATTGAGAAACCCACTGAGATCATACGACTTACTTTTGTTCATAGGCTCGGACTCCGCAGTGCTACGGCCAAAGTGTCCCTCCTTCTAGTCGACCTCTTTTTCATTGTTTTCTACTCGTCCAACTTATCTCTGGCTTTGGATGCACTTGACGATCCTCGTTGGGCCTGCTTCGACCACAACGAATCTTTACTATCGAACTGCCCCGCTTCTCCTCGTATATGTCGGTCTCAACAGGGTCTTTCTGGTGTTTTGGTTGTTGCTTTGATGGCGTGGCTCTTCACGTTTGTTATCAGCGTACTCAGGGTAGTGGAGCGTCTTCGTTAGCGAGGAAGGGAAATCCAGCATGTTCCTTTGTAATCATTTATGCCATCCCTTTATGTTCAGTGTATCTATTTATATCCTCCATCTAGACATGCCTGTTTTTGATGCCCATGGCTATGCTTCTCCACAGATCGTGACTCCGTATTCGACATCTCCAGATCTGCCTCGCACCAAATGGATCAAGACAGATCAGCGTGGAGGACGTAGGAAAATCATCGACCGCGTTGATGCCGAGGCATCCAATTTAATTTAAGCGGTTTCAATCAAGGCCCTGGTTCGAGATGCATCTCTACAAACGCCACAGAAACATCTGGCTGTGGCTGAGCGACAACTCAGCCACACGCGACATCCACGTCACTCAAGCATTTCGCGGACTTCTTTTCACCTTTCCTCCCATCGCCAGCAATCAAGGTACCGACGACAAACATTGCCCGATTGTCTCCTCAGCATACATCCCTCCCATCCACACCATGCGGTTATTCCTCCTCCCCATCTCAACACGACGCACGCTCATCTACTGCGATCGCGTCGCAACCCAAGTCAACGCCAGCGGAAAGCTCTCCTACCACGATCGCATCGTCAACAAAGCAAACGAGACCTGGGCATCCTGGGAGAACTCGCCTAACAAATACAAGAAAAAGCTCACCGATTACGGCAATGTGATCTTCAACCGCATCTCCTACGAGGAGTGGGGGCTCAAGACATTGCCTTCATCCACTGCGGACCTTACACCCACTGAGATTATCTTTCCTGGTCGGTTCCTGGATCAAAATAAGGTTCCCGAGCTTCTGAAGAGGCTGGCGACCGAGAGGCAGGGCTTGCACAAACAGAGGTTTTGGGGTAGTTTGATTGGATTGCCTTTCACTATCCCAGTTGGACTGCTGCCCGTCATTCCGAATATTCCTGGGCTCTACCTTACTTTCCGAGCCTGGTCGCATTTTAAAGGTCAGTTCTTGAAGCTTTCATTCCTTTGAGCGCTGCCTCTTTTGGCACGCCAAGGACAGGGTGTCCCTTGGTTTACTCCTTCCACGACCAATGATGCTGGGATGCAAGCAATCAGTTCACCGACGGTCATGATGTATGCTGTCTGAAGACCAAGGCGTCTTGACAGTCCTCATGGGTCCAAATGGCTTCGTATCATTCGTGATTCATTGCTTTCGTCTCAATCTTTGTTCGGCGATGGCTGTCTCTCAAATCAAGGGGAACCCTGTCCTCTGTCAAAGAACGTGATCGCGAGAGAACCACAAACTCCTTCGCGCGCTGATACAAAGGGCTGAATCGCTGACTATCTCACAGCATTATATGGATCAAAATATCTAGAAGCTTTGATTAACAGCAAGGAGCCCTTGATAAAGATGTCTCCGTCAAAAGCTTTGGACAATCTTTACGCTGCTGGCTTGATACATCCTTCCCGAGAGCACTCTAGGCAGGCAACTCTGCCGTCGGACAACGAGTCCCAAGAAGTCGCCAATCTTGTCACACAACAAACTAACAATGACACAGCCGACGTCATGTTGCTCAAGCGGTGGAATGGCAAGCTACTCGCCGAGCAGTTTGGCCTTCCAGGCATGGAGCTTGAGATTGAGAGAGCCGTCGAGCAAGTCCAGAAGACTATCGAGATTGAGGGCGAAAAGAAAGACACCAGCACAACGACGGAGGAACAGGCGCTTTCGGATGGCGAGAAAAAGTAACGTGCTGGGGTATCTTGCTTCCAATCACCGAACTGTATTTGTGTCCTTTGCCAACATTCCTGGGTCTTGAATCTCTACTCTTCGCAGCACTGGCGGTATCGTCGTCGATTCTATATTCTGGATGCCTTCTCGAAGCTGGGGTATGACGCTCCAGTTTAGGAAGCAGAATCTCAATCGTCGGAGCATCTATCGAGCGGTGTAGCCCCCATCGACGGGCAGTGCGACCTGCATTAGTGTCAGCACATATACTACAATAGTCGACAATTACGAATGATGCTTACTCCTGTTATCCATGAAGAGTCTTCGGAGGCCAGGAAAACAGCAGCCCGTGCGATATCGTCCGGAATGCCCAGTCCCCGGAATGGATGCAGGCCGATTATGTGTTCCTGCGTCTCTTCATCCATCATTAACTCGCTAGTCATCTGAGTCGATGTCCCTGCGTCGTGTCAGTACGTACTTGTACACGCCAAGGTACCTTCACACTCACATCCGGGACAGATACAATTGACATGAATCCTGTGAGGGGCACAATCCAGTGCGACCGCCTTGGTCATGTTGACGATCGCACCCTTCGAGGCGCAATAGCTAGCGAAATTGCTTGTTCCCACCATACCGAAGATACTTGCGACATTCACAATCCAGCCACGGTCGCCGTTTGGGTGCGGATCCTGGTTGAGCATCTGCCTTGATGCGAATTTGCAACCGAGAAAGACGCCCTTCGAATTGACTGCTTGTATGTCGTCCCACAGGTCTTCGTCGGCAGACCAAATAGGTTGTAACGTCTCCAAGTCAAATGTAATGCCGGCGTTGTTTACAAAGCTGTTCGAGACAAATCAGGAAAATGCGTCGTCTCAACAGAGGTGAAGTTGAACGTACATGTCGAGTCGGCCATACTGAGATACGGTCGTTCGTACCAAGTTCTCTACTTCCTGGCTACACGCTACGCTCGTGCTGACGAACATTGCATTGCCGCCTCCGTTGATGATTACGTTGTGTGTTGCATTTTCGCCAGAATCGCTATCGCTGTCGGATGACGACTCAGTATCGGCACATACAACATACGCGCCCTCGGCTGAGAACCTAAGTGCAATCGCTCGACCGATCCCTGTGGATGAACCTGTAACGCTGAGCCGGTGTCAGCTGGCGGGATAGGATAGCTGGCGCAAGACCCCTGATCAGATATATGATCAGCCGGATACTCACATTGCTACTTTTTCGTGCAGCCGTCCACATTGACCATTGTCCATCATGGCCGAAGAAGATCACACTCGTCGATGTGTATGTGACTGAAGTCTGCCGTGTGACTTCGAGGATGATAGCTTATACACCGTGGCCACCGTTTTCGATCAGACACCAGGTACTGTACAGTTTTGAAACTTCATGCAACAGCAGCCTGTCGACAGACCATGCGTACTTTGCTGTATAGGTCGGATAGTTTGCTTCCAAAGTCTGAGCACGTTCGATGACACCTGGAGATGGATGTCTTGGCTAGTTATGCCCTGTCTCAATCACGTCTGGTTGTCCTTGCGAAAATAGCCAGTGCTAGGGCTGAGAACAACCTTTCAAGGATGATGTAAGGCGTTCGTCGAGACTGTTCGTCAGGGGAACAAGGCTTTCTGGCGGGTGTGCCACCGAAGGGTCTGCAGTTTGCGAATCAAGACCGGGTCAACGGTCGGATGTAGAATATGATGAAGTCGAATCTTGTGGTAGATGGGCCAAATTGCGGCTCGAGGGTCCACACAAGGGAAGGTGCGATGGAACGTTCCTAATAATACAGCTGTGCCAAAGTCATGCTACTCAAGATTCTTACCCACTTGGCCGATAAACGAACTAATCAATAAACTGACCATCTGCCCGAGTTCATACGACGCGTGGCTTGAAAGAGTTACATGCATCTAAACTTACCAACGGCGCCGGCTTGCGGGGAGGCTTGCATACTTTTGCTCTGCCGACCAAGAGTCCCCAAATTGCTGACGATCGACCGGCAGTTGTCGTTTAAGGTATTTATTCGGAACATGTGGTGACCCCTCGATCACTTCGCACCCATGCAAGCAGAAGGGGCTTGATCCGAGATTCTGATAGAGAAATTTTGATCTTGCTCATTCAACTCCTCATGGTGGGACCGTGGACGTTTGGCTGTTGAGATGGAACAACCCTAGGGCCAGTGTTTGCAACATGTATGTCATGCTGCTATCAAATACTCCAAATTGTTACGGTTTGCTTGTCTTCTTCCGGCCTTCCGGACCTGAACTTACCGGTGAGTCCTTGTAGGCTAGTGTTCCACTCAGTAAGGCTCTGCAGGGTGAACGCTACTCGTATACGAGGAACGACTTTGGTAAAGGATGAGTCCAGATAATGTCAGTACCGTCGTGTCAAGAGGGAAGGGTGGACTAGTGTCATGGGCTTTCCATCTAATCGTACGAAGTACTATGAAATATAAGTAGCCATTCCTAACGGATGCGATCATCAGTAGTGCCAGGCAGGCGCGATTGTGGACTACAGTCAAGCTATGCAAATAGAGTTTCTGCAGTTGTGCCGTCCGTTTGTCTAGAGTGAACTGGTCGCTGACCCCGAACAGCTACTCCGATCAAGATCCGTGATTAGGCGCTTACCGCCCGGCGGCTCTATGATCTATGATATCTCTTCCTGAGCCCCTAATCATGGGCTCCGGAGAGTAGGTCAGCCCTTATGTACGTGACTGCAGAACTTGGATTTAGACATTCTGCTTGTCAACGCAATCGCGCGATCATGGTCAGCTAACGCGTGCTAGTCTCAACAAGCTGCGGACCTTTCTGTGCTGATTGCCTGCCCACCAGCCTGATCTTTTGATTGATCGTTGACCGTATGCGCTTGGCACCATCAGAGCAAACAAGATTTGACCAAGCCATCATTTATCCGAGGTGAGTGACGAATAGACGTTCTCGAGTCTTGACAGATGGGTGAGACCCAGCCACATCTCAACTGATGGTGCAATGTTTCTGACTCTGTCTTAGAGTTACGAGCTAGGGCTAGATGGCAGAAAAAACCCCCATGCCTTGAGCCCTCGTAGATCTTCACAGGGAAAAGCTGCTCAGCCGTCCACCAGATGCAAGATCAGGACCGCGTCTCTTGAAACAACCGAGTGAACCTCGGAGGCTGGATACTACTCCCTGCGCATCCATTGGACAAGCTGGAGAAACAGAGCCGCTTGCCAAGGGTATCAACTCTAATGGTAGTCTAGCCTATCCAACGGCAGCGGCGCACGTCGCAACAACACATGGCTTGTGTGTCGAGGCGCGTGGGGTAATCCTGATTCCGCGATTCTTTCCGCATGCAATATCAAGGTCAGCTACCGCAAAACGATGACATTCATCCAAGGTTTTCACCAAAAAGTTCTCGAATCAGAATCGAAACACACTACGTTTACCTGAAAAGATGTGATGCAGTGCAGAGGTGCATGCACGACCTTTGCGTTGCGCTGTGACGACAAAAACATTTTCTGGGCGTTGGTCCTCTGGAGACTGGATCTTTGGCCCTTCAAATCTCGGTCCGCCCAAAGAGACGCCGTTCAGTCTACCCATGCTAGTTGAGGAGAAGGATCACGGAAGGAATTGAGATCTTCACACCTAGAATGCAAATCTCTTGGATTGACGAGAGCGCATCTTTGACAGAAGCTAACTAATTACACTGCAGTACTGGGGTATGCTCAAACTGATATCAGCTCAGCGGTCACTTGTGCTTTGCCCTGACCAAAGCTTCACTACAACGATATCGCTTACATGCGTTGAGAGATCGCACATCTAACTTCATTTGGCCTGCCGACTCATGTTCACTCCGTATCGTTCTCCTATAAGCTCTTGGGTGAAAAGCCGTACGATTAGGAGGGCAGTGGTTCGAATCCAAGTGTTCAGGATCTGTAATGACTGTGGTTTGGAACGTGTTTCGAGCCTGGCAGGTCCTCAATCCTATGTTGCGGAAGCACTCTCAGCGCAAGTGCCTGCCGAAGTCCCTGCGCTGAGAATTGCAGATGCCGATCGACCATGTGTTTCGATCATCGCTCACTGGTAGACCACGACTTCAACCGCAGTACATGTCAACTCTACTTGTTTCCATCTTCAAGCCGCACTACCGACATCGCGCTGCCGGTCCCAAGTCCTCCGTGGGTCACACTAAACGCAATAGGATAAGTTGCTAAGCGGTTAGACTAACATCCCTCTCCGTCACCACATGCCTTTGGGACTAGCGCACGTTCGCTTTACATCAGCTATCGCGTACGCCCAAGAAGCGTCTTCTCTGCCTTTGTTCCGTTTCGAATGGAATGGAATAGGACGAAATGGAACGATCAAAGTGATTGCATCTACAAAGTAGTAGATCGAGAGTGTTTGAGTTATCTTGTCGGATTATCCTTCCAACCACTCGCACTTGTTAGGGTTCAAGCGATTCATGCCATTCATCAATCTCGGGCGGAGGCAATCAGATACAAAGACCGGAGTAATGTATCCTCCAGGAGCAGGGGCTTGATCGTATTGTGCCTTGTACTCTGCATGGCAGCGCCGGTGTCTGACGGATCGAGCATCTCCCTCCCCCCAGACGACATTCCCCCTTCTTCTACAGATACACGAACAGAGTCTGAAGCCGTGTTCTTTGTGTATTTGGAGATGAATCTCTACTCCAGCAGTCACGCGTAGTCATTTCTGTGACGATCACAATCGCACATCAGAGATATCAATATCGTTCTGCTTTTCTCAAAAACGTCAAACCCAGCCTGATAGGAGGAGCGGGTCGATTCGCACAAACGTAGCCCTGCCATGAACCATCCAAATAAACTGCTCGTAGATCGGCTTCGCCGATATCTGCTTCACGGTTCTGATAGACCCGTGGTCGACTTCATAACGAGCGACTAGTGTCATAAAGTGTTGGTCCTTCTGTCGCGGCACGCCCGTGAGCACAACTGCCGCCGTCATGACACAAATGTCTACAGACACGTCGCAACCCGGAACTCTTTTCCTCTAGCCCTGATCTTACTAGCCTTCTCGTGCCCCAAAGTGTGTGATATAGAATCGATTACATGTTCTAATGCCTTGACGCTGTATAAGTAGGTCAGAACTTGGACCTCATCATAGTGTGATAGTCCCACTTGATAGATTCTGCACGTCAGTGCGGAAAGAGAGCGGTGAGATTGACTGGCGCAATGTGGGACAGTGGAGAAATTCTCCGAATACGCACCCTGATTGAGAAGTCATTCGGATATTAGAGCTCTGAAGATTGTGGTCACAAGAACCAACGCATGTACATACACTACGCACGTAGCTAAGGATCACGCTTCTCAGCAATAAAAATGAAGTCCTGATAATGCAGAGTTGAGATATGGTCACGCAGCTAACTGAAATGGGTCTTACACAGCAATACTTGATTGTCCGTTATCCTTCTCCATCGAAGCTCACAGGCTAGAACCATGTCGATTCAGGATAGTACCTTGTCAACACATTAGCGAAAGCTGGGAGCTACAGTATCTATCCCATTCGTCTATTCCATCTCAACGGAGTGATCATCTTGGTCACCGTGACACTGGCACGGCTGATGCGTAAGGGCCGTCTTTTTGGTAGCGTGGTGCGGTTCTCTGCCACATCATTAATCGGAACCTGTTTTATCAGCTACTTGTTATCTAGAAATGCAAACAGCAACAATGGCGATTGATGAGAGGGATGTCTACTTCGGCGACCCAATGAAATCGGGAAGCCTGTGAAGGCTTGAGACATATCGAGCTTGGCTCCGTGCGTAAATAGGGTTGAGTTACAGGTGTACTGTGTATCACGCCTTTGTACGGAGGGAGGCATCTCATGATGTTGTCTACATCTTTCGGCCGAGTAATTGAGGCTTGCCTCTCGTTGTTTTGAGCAGACCACGCATTGGAGCTGCCACTGCTCTAGCTAGCATCAGTTGCTCTTCGCCTCTCCAATAATTGGAGAACACGTTCCACTTCATGCAAGGAATCGCTGATATGATCAAACTCGTGCTGCGGTACGCATATTGCTAGTGTGGAATCATGTGAGGAAGAGCAATGCGATGCCTTCCAATGTACAAGGGCTCTGGATATGATCAGGCATCAAGACTGGATCTCTTGTATGGTAAGGCAATTTGCACATATCGATACACCCTGGTCTGCACATGCCCATACGACAAAGGTTATAGGCGAGTCGCTTCGACATTCAATCCTTCCAAATACTGAAACGAGCAATCGCTGCCGGAGTCTCGGTCCGATCTCTGACGATAGGGCGCTGTCCGAGACGTCATGATGTTGTGGCCGTCAAATGCGCACAAAGGACCGAAGAAAAGTTTCGTTGTTTGTTGCTCTATGTTCCAACGATGTTGTATGCGGCTTCCAGGAAAACTTCCGATGGCCGAAACGCACGGAAGCCCCGAGGGTGACATTACCGGCGCGGCTTGCAAGTTGCAACGTCCTTCGGTTCACGAGTCAGACCGCATGGCTGCTGATGCCAAGAGATCTAGAGACATGGCTCCACTTCCACTCTCCGCGCTCCACGGGTAAATCCTACCTATCGTTCCACTGACATACCGTCCCACCGAAGACTCACGTCCCGGGCCATTGCGCAGGGCTTGCTCACCCGGACTCGGCGAGCTCGGGACTTGATGAGGCGGGGCCTTTGACTGAGGGTGGGGCTGATGGAGGATGGAACACAAGGGCGGGCGGACCTCGCGGATTCTGAGCACGAATTATCACCAGCCGGACTCCTTTGCAGTTCTTGGGCTAACGTTTCCCTGGACTTAGTCTCACCTTTACCAGCGCACCGTTTGGCACCTGCCACCTGCTACCAACCGACACATAATTCCGAGGGGTCACACGAGGATACGATGTTGAAGTCTGCAAGTTGTATGAAGATGAAGCCTCGCACTAGATCTTTGCACAGCTAGCCGCAGAGGACGCTTTGAGTTGACAAAACCAATCCCTGGCCATCTATCTGACTTTCATACAAGACAAAGGTAGGCACTGAAATCGATCTTCAAGGATGTCACCAAGCCTATGCTCTACTGTCTCCGTGAGTCATGTTCGGCCGAACCTCTAGACACACATGTAAGGTGCTGGTATAATCGGCAGGGTGAGATGTTAAGAGCGGCATAGTCGAAGCTTGGAGAAATCAATCAACCGGTGCGAATTGATCTCGCCATGCCATGGCTTGCTCTAACGTAGGACAAGCTCTTCTTATCGACTCATGATCCAGCAACTTTTTGGACCATCGATGCAAACATCTTGACACCGGTTCGAGTACACCATGTCGCTATCGGTCATCGGTACGTAGAGCCACATGCAGGTATTCGAGGTAGTTTCACGAAGCAGGTGATACCATATCGTTTGCTCGACGTACTCAAATATGGCCAGGATAGGCGAACATGCATATTTTCCCAGTACAGATCCAAGAGCCTAGAGGAAGAGGCAGCACGCAAAGGAGATATGGCATTCATCCAACGGCTACGGAGACTCAGGGGCTGCCACCACATGGTTAGCCAGTACCTAGCATGCGAGTATGCACTCTGTGGAACAATTAGTGTGACAGCGTCACTCGGCCGCTGTTCCAGTCCGCTGGACCGCCGACACTCAAGTGCTGACTCCATATAAAGTATCCACTCAAACCAAGTCGCTGTTCAGCGAGACAGAGGCTCGGGTCAGCCGAACTCGCCCGCACGACAAGTACACTCGGGTTGTACTCCGCAGAGCTACAGTACTGTATCCCGAAAACGATAGATTCCTAACTTCTCAGTCTTCAAAAGTGTTACTCCTGCTTGGTTTATCGCGGAAGCCTCTCTTGCAACTGTGCTACTTACAATTCAGATGGCACAAGCATGTCCAGTTGTTCTGGTTCACGGCATGCAGGGAAGACAACATATTTCATAATTGGACTATGCTATGAACGGTTCTCGAGACCTTTGGACCTTTTCACGCGATCATATGCACAACAGAAATTATCTACCGGATCAATCATTTGAACAATGAAGCCTCATTGTACTGCTCCTAAAGAAGTAAGGACATGCCCGAATGATCAGATGTGGTGTATCCGATACGTAGCATTTGATGTGGTTTCGGAAGCTGCACTTAGGATGTAACTCTGTACCTTGTGGAGCTGTCTTGTCCAGATGTTTGCAGTCGAAGTCATGAATAGGTCATGAACAAGCCTGTGTCATGGCAACTGGGTGGCATTCTACGTGCTTGAACATCATGGCCAACAGAACGAACTACCTATCGCTCTTGTCGTTTTTGCTGTCATCTCTTTCTCGGGATTTATTCTTCCCGTTTCAGGGTTGCTCCTTCCGGCTCCAAATCCATGTTTGACCCATCCGCAGATCGCGCCCTCCTTGCTTGTGGCTACATTTTTCTGGTCTGCGACCACCTTCCTCTTCTACACACGTTTGACATGCTATTGTTGTGGTCTCAGTCTTCCAAGACCCTTGGCTATAATGAGCTTGACTCTTCTCATCGATCGAGTCGAGATAGAGGAAGATACCTGTGGCTGTCCCAGCCGCTCAATTCAACGAGCACCATGACGGCCAGTATTTGTTGACCTCTTTAGGTTTACCATCCACCACGACTCCGAGCCATAACAAATCTTGATCACCTTCTGCGTCTTCCGACCACAAGTACAATCACATCGTCCCGTCGTGTCGATGACAACAGCAGTAGCGATTGCTGTCTGTATCGTGCCTCACACTTCGCCCTTCCGCCTACTACATGTATCTTTCTATCTTGAAAACCACAACGTCAACAGCAAGACCTTACCTACGAGCCCCGTCTCGTCCCGTCCCTACGACCGTTATTTGTGCCCCGGAGCTGGTATTTTCGACAACCACGGAAGACGAACATCCAAAAGACCAGGAAGAAACATGGAGGATACGCACAGAGAGAAGATGGAACAATCCATGTCAACACATTCGCTGACCAACGGCAAGGAACTGGCAGTCAAGTATACGAGAAAGAGCAAGTAAACAGACAGGAAAAGGACGATAGCGCAGATGAGGGAGCAACTAGCAGCCAAAGATGGAAGTGAGAACACTTAAAAAGAAGAACCGAGCGACCGAACAGGCACAAAGGTGGAAGCGGCGATCAGACTCGAGAGGATAGAGCGATTGATTAGGTGCCGGTCACTCTTTCCTTTCGTTTGGTTCGCTCCATCTCTTTTCAATGCTCTTACCTCTCGGATTTGTATCGTCTGCATTTCTAGACCTTCCCTACTTGGCTGTCTTTCCATTGTCTTGCTGCGATACATCAGTTGCAAGTCCCCTTGACATTTTCCTCGGTTATCACTCCTGTACACATCGATCGTGCCTCAGATCAGTGATTTGTTTCTCACCAGAGAGGGGTATGATCTATTCAACTGTTTATCATCTTGTGTATGTCTCTCATGTATGCAATGATATTCTCTACTATACATCATGTTGACGCAGTCAGTTTCTGCGAGCGGAAACATGCAACCATGCAAGCAAACCCATCCATCAAGATAGACATAACGGTTGACGAAGCAAAAGCCACTTTTTACTCCAGACATTATGTCTTCTGCTATCATGAAAAACAACCTTGTTTGTTTTGTTGGAAATGCTCATAGTACTATGTTGTTTTGCAAGTGGCCTTCAGAATTCGACTTTTGTTGTTTCCTTTTTGTTATATTGCGACCGCAAACACAGCCCAGCACACCCCGTATCCCTACATAGCATCTGAAATATCGCAATGAATGCATACAAGCAATTAAACTGGTTCAAAGACTTATATGTGAACGATTAGACTCAAGATAGTGTTTGGAATGGCTGCAGTAGGGGTGACCCTGGTCGAGATGTCGTATCCGGACCAATGTCCTACTTTTCGTTTCAACAAGAAAGTGGCGATTGAGGGCAAGTAGGTTCGCATAGATATGCAGATAAATACGGTGAAGCATACCGCAGTGATTTAAAGCACTGTCGTTAGTACTTTGACTTTGTATACACCACTGACCAGCACACTTACTTACAACACTACACACTTGACCACTTCCGACGATGAGAATCTCCCACGAGGATCATAGCGATTTACTCGGCATGGTGTGATAAGACAAACGCTCAAAATATATCGCTGTGCTATGGAAAAAAGGGCCTGCCAACAACAGCAGTAGTTCTATCTATCCTACAAATAAGATCCTGAATTTTCCGCCTTAAATTTGAAAAGGGCTGCGACTTTAGCCAGCATGCTCGACAATCTCGCTGACGAGCTTGCCATCCTTGAAGTAACTGCGGAACTGCTCGGGAAGAGGGCACTCCTTGTAGTCCTCTTGCTCGGTCTTGGGAGGCAGGTTGACGTTGATGCTCGTGCACTTGGAGGTGTAAATCTCGGTGTTCAAGCTGTCCTTGGAAAGATAGATGGCGGCACCATCGACTTGGTCGAGCATGACAGTGGGAAGGCTACCCAAGACCTGGAGGCCGAAGTTGGGACACTTGATGACATCGACGGAGGAGATGAGGTCGTCGACGACGAGGTTGGTGCGTGGACTGTTGTCGATGCTGATGGCGTTGGCCTTGCCGATCAGGCGAATGCTCGTGTTCTTGCACTTTGTGATGAGAACAGACTGGGTGACGGTGACCTCGACTTCGACGAGACCCTCGGCATCTTCAAAGTTCTCGATGATCCACTTGTTGCCGTCGAGCTCCTTCTTGGGGTCCTTCTTTGGTGCGGGTTGTGAGATACCCTTTCCGCGGATGCTGTCGGGCTTGGGCTTGAGCTCGGGGCCTCTGCTACGGCTGCGGGTGATGCTGTCTTGGCTTCCTTTTCGGTCAGTGACGGTGGAGCCAGCGCGTAGCGAAGGGTTCTTGTGTGTCATCTCGCTCTTGTCGACCTTTCTCAGACCAGACGTAACAGACTCGCCTCTGTTCAACTGATCGAAAACAGCACCCATGTCACCACCACCAGCCTTGGCGGCAGGAGCCGGACCTGGTGGAGGTGGGGGAGCAGCGTTGTCGAAAGTAGGAAGTGGTGGCGGCGGAGGAGGTGGTGGGGGGCCGCCTGCACCACCTGGGGCCGGAGCGGATTGTGAAGGAGCGGAAGTGGGAGCAGAATCGGCGGAAGCTTCCTTGAGGGCCTTTGCGAGGTCCATGCCTTGAGGGTTCCATGTGACACCGGGCGAGTAGTGGGTGCGGATGTAGGATTGGAGGTTCTTCCAGATGGAGTAGTATGATTGAACGTAGGCGACGTGCTTGGGGTCCCTGGGATGTGGTCAGCAAGATGAAGCCTGAAGCATGGAGCGGTCGTGATTCACTTCTCCTTGTATTCCTTGAGCACCCTGTTTCCGAACAATTGCACACCTCCGAGAATCTCGGCAACGTAGTCGGCGGGCTTTCCCTCAAAGACGACCCACTGCAGACCACCCATACCCTCGGCGACCATGTTCAGGTGGTCCTTGAAGGGCGAGGCACGGTTCGAGTCCTTGATCTCGGTAACGGTGCCCATCTCTTGCTGAAGGTCCTTGATGAGTTCGGAGAAAGCTGGCGAGGTCATGTCGGGCTTCTTGGCCTTGTTGGCGACGACGAGATAGTGGCGCTGAGCAGCAAATGCGCGTGAAACAGCGTGTGCCTAGAGCGTGTTAGTCGAGGTGTGGTCGAGTCGTCGGCGGGTCATGGTCGTACCTGTGTCTCAATGTTCTTATCCAGACCTGATGCAGAGTCAAGGAACTTGGCGACATGTTCGTTGATCAGGCTGTCCATGTCCTGGATGGGCTTAGGGAGACTCGGTTGCTGAGGAGCGGGCGAGGCTGCAGTCGGAGCATTGGCACCATCTTTGGCGATTCCAGGCAGTTCGGGGGCGCTGGATGAGGCGGGAAGATGGGTGGCTCCAACATCGGCGACTGTGTTGCGAGGTTGGTCGAATGAAGCCGACGAGGTAGCAATGTCCTCAAGACGGGATGTCGCTGCCTCGAGTCTGGCGACGGGCGTCAGTAACGTGTGTGGTATGAATCAACAGCATGCCGGCAGACGAACCGCTTGATCAGCGTAGTGAGGTTGTGCATGCCGAGGTTACTCGTCGTTGTCGCCATGTTGAACAAATGGAATTGGTCACTTCGTACAAGTACAAGCAGTTGGTATAAGGAAGTCAAGTCCGAGTACGGATACCCAAGTGCTACTGTATTGTTGGACCCCCGGCCTGACGCTCCGCCGATGCACGAGCCCGGAGGCCCAGACACCGAGACCAAGCCACTTCCGTCGACGCCAACTTCGACACCATCATCTCGGATCCATTCACCACCCAAACACTCTTTGTTTCGCCTTTGTCACTCTCTTGCTTTGGTCGTCATGCATCCTATTGATTTCTGTACTACGGGCATGTTCATCATTGGTAAGTGGCCACCCAGTTCTGCCTGCTCCGTCTTCGCTTCGTCTGTATGATACCGTTTCCCCGGACAAGACGTTCGTTGGACAGACAATACTCGACCACCAGTCCTGGACACTTGTCTCACAAACTATTGCTCTAGACCTGCACACGTCTTTATTGCTGAGATAGGTGCTTCCTCGAATGCTAAGTCGTCTTTCGCAGATGACATTTACCCTTCGCCCTCTGCCCCTGACCAGACTCCCTTCCTGAACATTCCTGGTGGTGCTGGGACCTATAGTGCTTTGGGTGCTCGTGTGCTCTCTCCATCACCTCAATCAAAGCGTGTTGGCTGGCTTGTAGATGCTGGTCATGACTTTCCTTCGCTGTTACGTGAAATCATAGACTCTTGGGACACTGCCATCCTTCTGAGATCGCGCGACGGCTTGACCACCAAAGGCTGGAATGGCTACGGTGCCAATGAGCATCGCGGTATGTACAAACCCTTCTTGTAAATTGCCTTACTAAACAGAAAATCAGCATTCAAGTACCTGACGCCCAAGCTTCGTATCACGGCAGAGGACTTGTCGCCCGAGTTGCTGACTGCGAAATCATTCCATTTGATCTGTGCTCCGGCGCGTTGCATTGAACTGGTTGAAGGGATCAAAACTCGAAGGGCTGAGCTTGGACAATCACTCGAAGAGCCTCTTTTCATTTGGGAACCTGTACCCGATCTCTGCGTGCCTGCCGAGTTGGACAACACCATCAAAGCGCTCGAGCATGTCGATATCATCAGTCCCAACCACGCAGAGCTATCCAATATCTTCTCAGTTGTTGGCAACACAGAATCTGGGGACGTAGATGGTCAAGTCATCGAGGACTGCAGCTCAAAGTTGCTCTCTGGCCTTTCTGCATCTCGAGCATCCAAGGTATCAGTAGTGGTCAGATCGGGCAAGGATGGGTGTTATGTCGCTTCAGCGTCCAAGAAAGCATGGCTTCCGGCATTCCACGCACCGACCCCAGACAAGGTGGTTGACCCAACAGGCGGAGGTAATGGTTTCCTTGGAGGATTGGCAATAGGCCTCGTCAGAACGGGAGATGTAGTCGAAGCATCCAAATGGGGCAACGTAGCAGCAAGCTTCATGATCGAACAAGTAGGAGTTCCAGTGTTACAAACAGAAGGAGGAAAAGAGAGGTGGAACGGAGTGGTGGTAGAAGAAAGAATGAAGGAGTACTCGATGCGATGCGAGACTGAGGGAAGCAGATAGACAGTAATGGTATTGGTCAACCTTTTGAAAAAGAAAAAAATGTACAAAGTGAAAGGCCCCGAAACTCCGAATTAAATCATGTAGACGTGCATGGGTCTACTCGTCCTTGGGTGCAAGTGTTCTCTCGTGTTCGCGAATTTGACGGCTCCAGCTGTGCGTGTGGTCAGTATGATGCTGACTCGTGGTCTGGGGGTTCGGGAAGTATGTACTATCTGCTAGGGAAGAAACGGCCCTGCTCGGGCATCTTGTAGCGGTGTTCGCGGTCGGCGCTCAAGCTGAAGAAGACAGCAGCGACGGTGAAGACGGCAAGGCCCATGACGGCAGTGTTGGCTTTCCAGTTCTTGGGTTGCGAGTACCAACCACCAGCGGGGGACCAGACGTGCTTGGGGTAGCTATGGAAAGTTAGAGGTTGTACAAGTCGAATGCGATAGCAGTTGGCAGGTGTAAAGGGTGCGGTGAGGGACAATTGAGCAGTTTTGGGGAGTGGGTGGTTGCATGGCGGAGGAGGGTTCGGAAGTGTGTCGAGACGGCGGTAGGGACTGTAGACGAGGGAAAACGTACGGGATCTTGTCGCCGGCCATTTTGAATTGCGATTGAGAGGAAGTCGAGAGAAGTGAGGAGTTGGGTGGTGTTCTGATAGACAGCTCTTCTGACGAGTCGAGTTGCTTGTCGATGGACTTCCGCTGACGGGGCCGCCAAGACATGCAATGAGGACCGTGCATGGTGGTAGTTGGTGATGTCTGGCAAAAATCTTGCCCGTCGACGACGAGGTCCAATTGCAACACCATGAAGCGCATTGCAAGTCAACACATGCGTCGCTCGCTGCTGTCGCCGCGGAATCTCCGCCTGTCATCGCCGCTATCTTCCATCTCCTCGTCTCGCCGGTGCTTCGCCCTGTCCGCCCGCCTCTCCCAGCATGCCCCCGTAACAGCGGCGCCCGCCATAGCATCCGAAGCCGTCCTCGATACTCCCTCGACCGACTCGCCAGTCGATCTTAACAAGTCGAGTCGCGCTGGTCGTGAAACCTCTCCCAAGCTCAGCGCTCTTCACGCCCGTCTCTCGCTCCCGCCGCGTTTCCCGCACGCTTCTCTAGCTCGCTGTCTCGTACATCCCTCAGCCGACCGCAATCCTCTCAACAACAATGCCTCTCTCGCTGTCCTTGGACAAGATCTTCTCGCATACTACACTGCTGAGTGGTTGATGTGTAACTACCCTCGCCTTCCCATGGAGGTCCTGTTTGCCGCCCAATACGCTTACTCTGGCCCACGTACTCTGTCCGCCATGCGCGAGGAATGGGGTGTCGAGTCTGTTGCCGCCCCTGGTCCCGAAGTCGATCCCGGTCTTTTGCAGTTCACTCGCCGCCAGGCCGGTAACGCCATGGCCGAGGGCGGTATGGCCCGCTTGAAGGATACTCAGACCTCAGACAAGAAGACTGGTACTGGCCGTGCTAATGAGCAGTGGAACTACCGCCGTGGTACCTCTTCTCGCATTGTCTACGACAATCAGTTCGGTGACCTGGCAGAGCACGCCGATAACCCTGTGACCACTGCCAACGCTTCAACCCCCCCTGGTCCTGTCACCACCGAAGAGGCTTCGGCTACCTTTATCAACGCCGTCTTCGGTGCTCTCTACTTGCACGCCGGTGCCCAAGCAACCCAGGCTTTCCACCAAGCTCATATTCTGTCGCGTCATATTCCCCTGCATACTCTCTTCTCCTTCACCCACCCAACTCGCGATCTTTCGCGCCTGTGTCTTCGTGAGGGCTTTGAGTCGCCAGTTGCCCGCCTGCTCTCCGAAACTGGCCGTCACTCTCGCAGTCCCGTCTTTGTCGTCGGTGTATACAGCGGCAGCGACAAGCTAGGAGAAGCCGCCGGCTCAAGTCTGGACGAGGCTCGTGTGCGCGCAACTGCCGCCGCTCTGCGCGCATGGTACCTCTACTCGCCCCCTCGCGACCACATTGTTCTGCCCAGTCAGTCTGCCACGACTCAATGGCGACCTCAAATGGTCGACGTTGGCGAGGTTGTTACTTGAGGATTTTAACGACATGTAAATTTCTGTACCATTAGTTATACCTGCGTCCACAGGCCAGAGGTGCCGCGGACCATACCGCTCCGATTTAGGACACCCGTTCCGCCAGCTTCTATGCTATCCAAGCATTGTATCCTGTGGCGCGCCAAAAGAGTAGGGGAGACAATTTGACTCTCCCTGGTTGTATTCTCTGCATACGGATAGGCGTCAAGGATGGTGGGCTGTCAATTTATCAGGAGTATCTATGAATCTCCCTTGAAGATCCGAGGGTTTCTGTGTGTAAATATCCATTTTTTCTTCACAAACTGTACAATCATCCATCATGTCTTGTGCCAATCTTTGTACCCAGCTGGCACCGATTCAGCCTTCTTCGCCAACAGCTCTGGATGCTCATCATCATCTACGCATTTCTGGAAATCATACCGAAGGTCCAGTCAAGTAAAGCCGAGCGATGCCGAAGCCGTCAAACACCATCTCGCGTCTCCGATGCTGAGTCACGCCCTATGAAGCACATCAGTCAACAGTACGCGAGGTGGCTTTCCATCAAGGTCGACCCTGCCGAGTTCTCCGGACCTCCACACGCCCTTGTATCAACATCACTGCATATTGCGAATTACTTCATGTAGGAATCGTACGATTCAATTCTCATCCGTCTCCCTGTCCAGCTCGCCATGCGCGGTTTCTTCTTTGCTTGCAGTCAGCTTGGTAAGCCAAAGCCCAGGAATATATACGGCATATTTGGTGGAGCTGAAGATGGTGGTGGTGACTCAGCATGGTCAACGATTGTGGGGTATCTTATTGCGGTGATTCGCTTTCGGCCTTCTTGATCCTTCTCGTTCTTGTCACAAAACAGGTCGAATGTCAGCCTATAGGGCTGATAGTCGCGTTTTCTAGTCGCGGTATGCCTACCACACGTCTGGGTCGAAACGTCAAGAAAAAGGCGTGAAGGATTGCAATCACCGCCTACCTTGTTTGTAGAGTCACAAGGGCGTAAGGTGAAGACTCAATTGAGTACACGAGGAGTCATTGTGGCTTTCTTGTTGGTTGAGCGGTTTGCCAGAATTGCATAAATAGTTAGCGGTAGGTTCTTTGTTGTTGCCTGATCATACCATCTCGAAGTAGCAGCTTTTGCAGTCGATCTAACTGTACTGTTGACCTTGTACCTGTGGATGATTGTCAGACCATTTGAATCCTTCTTCATCTTCTGTCAGATATAGTATCTGCTGCATCGCCAAGTTTGAACGACATCACAACTCTCTACCATTCTAGTCGACAAAACCACAACACAGATCCACCTGGAAATCAAACATTTATCGACTTGACAAGATGCCTTCCAACCCCTTTACCCGCCTCACATCCTCTGCTGGTTCTTCAGACACCGCCTCAATCAACACAACATCCTCCACATCATCACTGGCAAAACTGCTAAAGAGGAACCCATTCTCTTCATCCTCTTCCACCACCACCTCTGATACAACTTCGACCGCCGCCTCCACATCAGATACGACGACCAAAGCCAAACCAGACAAGAAGGAAAAGTCAGCACTATCCCCAGGAGAAAAGCAAAGGATCAAACAACAAGATCGTATGAGTATGCAGGCACTGGCGACTCATGCAGCTTTCAAGTGATGCATTTGTGCAAGACGAAGACATGTCGACAAATCCCCCGACTAGAGATAATGAGGTCTGACGGCTCTCTGAACAACGGATTGAATCGTGATTATATGGCTAGAGGTGGAAAGCAGCAGTGATGAACCACATTGGAGGATTGATAGACGTCATAAAGTGTTGAGTAGTCGAATGGAGTGGAAGGGGGAGTGAGTTGGGAGTTGAAGAAAAAGCAGTCGAGCAAGTTGCTAAGGTGATGCGTTGAAGAGTTGGTCGCGGAAGAGAGTGTGCTCCCCGAAGTAGTACGAGTAACGATAATGCTTTTAAATCTCCCGGTTCCAATTTCCCCTTCGTCCTCTCCACATGTGCCTGCCATCGTTGAATCTCGAAGGGAGTTCCAAGAAGGCAGGAGCGCACCCAACCTAACCACAAGAAGCTAAGGTTTAGACCGCTCCTTCTCTTCTGAACGAGAGGTCCAGGGGGTTACAAGAGATGCGAGGAACTCATGATAGCAGATCGAGAAGGATGAAGTGGAAAAAGGCTGCGATTTCGCTCATGTAAAACATTAAAGAACTTTCTACTCCTGATACGCCCCACCCCTACTCCTTTGTTCTTTTGTGGATATCATGCTGTGTCATTCATTCGCCGAAGGAAAAAAAAAACCCCATTTCCCATGTTCGCCGAAACCAATCGAGATTTGAAAGTCGAGGGAAGGGAAAGAAATGAAAACGTCGTGCTACCCGCTCGCACACAATCAGCCACTCCTCTCTCTACGAGCGATAAAGTAGACGATCAAATTGCGAGCACTCTCCTGCAACCCATTCTTCTCCAGCATACCCCAGAACTCGCTCTTGGGATCGCCTGGAGCAGAGGCATCAGAAGGCCAGCTCATGTGCAGTTGCGTCGCCAGCTCAACAGAAGACTTGCGCACCTCTGCATCCTTGGAGCGCAAAGACACTACAGCAACGCGACCGGCACGTTCGCCCAATTCCTTTGACAAGGGAGAAGCAGTAGCCGTGGTGGAAGCGAGCAGAGCGGCCAGATTGCGGAGAGCCAATGCCATGGCTTTATTCTTACGCACCATACTTTCATCGCCATGTCTGGCTTGAATAGCAGCAACAGCTCCGTCGAGTTCTTGCTCTTGGGTATCGTAATCGGCTTCTTGCACGCGATTCTCAAGCCACTGGATGATTGCTCTCTCGCCCTCGTCCGGGTGAATTTTAGCCACGATGTCGCTAGCCAGAGCTTCTAGATCCTTGACTAGGAGGCCAGAGCCTTCGACGTTCTGACGTGCGTCTAGTGCGCCGGTGAGGGAGCGAGAGTACCAACGTCCTGCGGCAATCCACTTTCTATAAGGTGATTGCTGTGCGTTGAGCACAGTTCTCATCACACTGGTAGCCTGTCTTCTGAGTTCTTGCGAGTGTCGGACGTTGGGGTTTGCTGCAACGTCGGAAGACTCTACAATGTACTCGAGCAGAACACTGCACAAGTCGTCGAAACGTCTGCCTTCTCCGACCGAGCCGAAGATCTCGCCGGACTCGGATGACTTTATCAACTCGAGCACTTTTCTAAATCCATGTGCATCGAGAGTGCGTCCACGGATGCGCTCGATGCCGGACATGAGCAGTTTTCTAGAGCGCAAAGTTTCCTGTGGTGTTGAGTCTTCCGTTTCCGGCACCTCGTCTCTGTTGGAGCCTTCGGCGATGGAAACTTGGCTGAACTCATTGACAGGCACCTCACTCAGGACATTGCGAGCATCTTGTGATTGCTGCACCTTTTGTGCTTCCGAAGCCTCAATACCCTCCATGAATGGATCCTCGTGGATCTGGAAAGTGGCTTCCTCAGACTGAGGAGCAGAAGGCTCGATTTGAGCTGCTGGAGCCAATGTGGGCACAGGAGATGCTCTAGCGCTTGCAGTCTTTGGTGGGCTGACTGGACGAGGGCTGGCCCGCTGACTGATAGTGATGGGCGAATCATTTCTGTCCGATGCGCGACGTGTATATTGCGGTGCTGCAGGCTGTATATCTGCGATGGGATCAACATTTGAAAGTTGCGATGGGCGACGCTCAAATGAAGGCATCTGGGTTCTGTGCACAGTGGGTAACTCCATAGTAAAGGTGTCATCCGCGATTACAGGGATCACGCTATCAACGGAGGCAGACCCGTTTAAGGTCGGTCTACGAAGTGTCGATTGTGGGGAAGTTGGAAGATGACTTCTTGTCGAGTTTGGAGAGGTGGGAAGGTGGCTCTTGTACGAGGAAGTCGGCACAAAGGAAGCAAAGTCATCTTCTTTGGGCGCTGCTGGCTGCTCCGATTTGCTGTCTCTGCTCGAGGGTCGACTTCTGTTTGCAGCTGAGCGTGGAGACAGGTATGACTGACGGAATGGACTCAGCGCCGGGCTACTTCTTTCGCCGCGGTTCTTGCTTGCAGATGTGTTGGAGACAGCCGTCGCAGTCTCTTGTCGTGGACTGGTAATGGGGCTTTTGATGGATGGTGTCTCGGGTCTGGCTAGTCTGCGGCTGGCATAAGGGTCTGCTGTAGCAGGACGAGGCAGCTCTGGACGCCTGACAGGTCGTCTCGCAGCTCCAGACATTAGTGCGTTGGGTTTGTTGCTGGTAGATGTGGAGGAAGAGGTGGAAGCAGCTGAAGGCACGCGTGCAGAAGCCGGTGGCGCGGCGGAAGGTTGACGAGCGGATAAATTGTTCGAGGACTTCGACCTCACCGTAGTTGGCGATACAGTGGCCATGGCCGAGTTGGGACGACTCTCAGCTTGTGCCTTCTTTCGCGCTGCTATGATTGCGTCTCGAACCGAAGATTTCGAGGCAGCACCTGCTCTACTCACAGTGGAGGCGCGTAAAGTCGAAGCGTGTGAAGCACCAGTAGTGGGAGCGTTTGGATTTTGTGGGTGCTTCTCAAGAGCCGTCTTTGCTTTTGGATCGAGAGTGTTCATGATGAGGTCAGCTCTGTTGGGCCAAACCTTGGCCAGAGCCCAGTAGGTGGCTCGCATGGCCTCCTTGACCTTGGGCTGAGAGTCGTTGAGGCCATGCTTTACACACTTCTCAGCAAGTTCGAGACCTCCGGTGCTTTCGAAGTGCGACTTTGCGCCAGCCTGTCTGCTGAGGATAGTGCGGAGCCAACCTGAGGCGAAAGTCCTCGGCTGAACGTTCTTGTCCTGACAGGCAACCCAAACGTGTTGCATGGTACGGATGTTGTACGATACGTATTGGTAGATGGTGTCGACAGTCTGGTTGCCGTTCTGAGCAGCAATGTTCTTTGTAGCTGCACACATCTTGATGAAGGTTTGCAGGTAGATCTCGACCATTGGGTCAAGAGCAGGACCCAGGGTTCTGGCCAGCTCTTGTACCATAAAGCAACCGTTACTTGATGTTGTCGTTCTGAGAGAAGTTGCAACCTTGATGATGCCGGCCTGCATCTGTTTCATCGAAGCCATAAACAGAGTGTGATAATCGGTGGGAGCGTTTCCTTTGAGCAGTCTTCTCATCTTGGTCACGCTCTTATCGCGGTTTCCCCAATTTTCCTCGCTCTCCCTGCCTTCGAAAAAGGGCAGCATATCGCTGAAGGTGTCTTCTAGTTCTCTTTGCGAATGGACGAAGATGGGGTCCATTGGAATCTCCTCGGGTGGCGGGGCTCGAGCGGCTTCGCTGTTGATGCTTTCGGCGAGGTGTGGATCGAGGGCAGGTAGGGAGCGAGTTGAATGTGACATGTCTGGTGCAGGCGCGGAAGCCTTGTCTGAATCGATTTGTGTAAGGATTTGAGATGCGATGCCTGTGCGTACGCCGTGCAGGTTCAACTGCTTCTTCAGGTCGGCTTTTGCGCGGTCTGGCGCATGGCTACGGGCGAATTGTTAGTGGAGCTGAAAGATGCTCAATAGGAGCGACATACCGGAAAAGGTCCACCAGAGCGCTCTTTGCTGAATCCCGCACTGCGCCGTCGTGATCCTCGAGATTGGCGACCATCAGAGGCACAAAACTCTTGAAAGGTAAGGCTTCGTCCCGGTTCATACGCACAACCCAGTGCATGGCTGCATCCTTTGCGCGTACATTTCCAGTGGGGATGACTTCATCACGGACAATGTTCTCGACGTCCTGGGGACAGAAGTGCCAGGCATCGGCGAATGCTTGCGACGCAGCGTTGCGATGGTTCTCGCGAAGGTCGCCCAATCTCTCTTGCAAAGCGACGAAGAGTTTGGGGACGTGTTGTGAAATGGCAGTACCGTCGGGGTCCTGGATCTTCAGGCGCTTAATAAGATGACCCAGCGTGGTGAAGGCAGCAGTGGCAAGGGTACTGGAGGCTTGTTGGGTCAGGGCGACTCGGAGACACTCGAAGATGATGGGTTGCGCATTGTCGGGTACTCGGTGGTGCTTGATGTCAGACTTGAGATTGTTCAGCTGGGTGAGTTTCGCATCCGACGCGGCTGAGGAGCGCTTGAGCGTCGTCAACAGAGTCGTGGCCTGCTGGTCCATGGCGGAGCGAGGCGGAGGTCGCGTGAGGGGCGGTTGTCGGAGGTCGAGGACAGTTGGCGCAAGTATCTGGCAGAGAAAGACAGAGTGGACGGGCTTTGGGCGCTGTTGTTGTCTCCCCACGCCGGAGTATAAACAACGGCTTGGAGCTGAACCTTGTAAATCCTCCCTCTGCTTTAGCCGCGATTATGCACAAACTCAGCCAGCCTATCCTTGCAGTTTCCCAGGTTTGTTTGTTTGTACCTGTTCTTTGTCTTTGTAATCAATTTCACTTGTGTTTCTCCAATGCGACGATTCGATTCTAGAAAATGTCTAGGTCTGACGCAACTTTAGTCGGTCCCGAACGGCTTTGGGCTTATCTAGCCTATCGCAAACGCCAAGCTTTTCACATCTACTCCAAACTCAGAGGAACGCATTCGAAACCATCTGATATACAACTATGTAAAAATAATACCTCCGTCAACAACTTGCGTTTGCCCGGTAATGTAGTTACTGTCGGGGCCAGCAAGGAAGGAGACCAGTTTGGCTACGTCCTCTGGCACAGACACACGACCAAGAGCAATCAACTCATCTGTATATTTCTTGATCGTTTCACCCTTCTTGATGACTTGGCCCAGATCATTGCCACGTTTCTTGCCGAGCTCCTCGTCGATCAGATCCCACATGGCTGTGCCGACAATGCCAGGTGCATACGCATTGACGGTAATATGATGTTCGGCCATTTCCATTGCATAAGCCTGTGTGAGTCCTCGGACTGCCCACTTGGACGCCGAGTAGTGCGAGAGGAGTGCGAATGGCTTGAAGGCTACAATCGATGCAGCAGCCAACATCTTGCAAGGCGCCTCTGCAGTGCCATTACCCTGTGAGATCATCTGTCGTGCTGCAGCGCTGTAGCAGTTCTGTACGCCAAATACATTGATTCGGAACATGCGTTCGAAATCTTCGGTCGTGAGGTCCAGCAACGGCTTGACTTGAGCAATTCCTGCATTGGCAATCCTGCAATCAGAAAAGTCAACGACCAATTCAACACATTCTCTCACTGCAAAAAGGTGATAATCATATGGGCAAGAGACAAAAAATACGCTCCCCCGGACAGGCTTGAACTGTCAACCTCTCGATAGCCAGTTTCGAAGAATCGAAACCTAACAGTCGAACGCGCTAGCCAATTGCGCCACGGAGGAATTGAAGAAGTTGTACTTCTCGTGGCAGGCTTGGTTGGGCCTGGTTGCGGGGTGGCGAAAACTTTGCGTATATATCGCCTCAGGTGTCCGAGCGTCTTGTGCTTTGACTGCCAACCAGCCCGAGTGCTTCAATCTGATGTGCATGATGGACAGATCCCAGCTCTTACATACTACAGCTTGCTAGGCATAACTCATGCTCGCTGTGAATACATGGAAATGATGAGAAAGGTTGTTGACAGAAGACTCGACTTACATTGTGTTCAACGGGCCAAGCTCTTTGACACTCTTTTGAATTACAGCCTCCACTTGCGAGAGGTCTGAGACATCGCCGACAGCTCCGACAGCATTGACGCCTGCTGACTTGACCTGGGAGACGACCTCATCAATGCCTTGCCTATTGGCTTCGACATCGTTGATGCATAGATTGTAGCCGTCCTGGGCCAAACGGAGAGCGATCGCCTTGCCGCTGTCTTGCGTGTCAGCATTGGGAAGCAAGATTGGAGTCAACATGGTCAATCACATTCCACGACTCGCACCAGTGACAATGGCTGTCCTCTTGTCCTCTCTTTGGAGGGTGCTTGCAAAGGTCCTGGCCTGAGAGGTAATGAGGGACGTCCTAGCGGAGTTTACAGCTTGCCAGGCTGCTCTAGAGGCGATTCGTGCGACCATGATAAGCTATGGGCTTATGGGATGAAGCTGTTCAACGAGTAGAAGCTACAGGGAATTGGAGGTCTGAGAGCTGGCGAAGAAGTAGAGAAGAGTAGGAAAGCGAGGAAAGGCAAGACCGGACAGTTATGTGAGAGACGGGGTTACGGAAAGACAAGCAGGGCACAGCTAGGTGACCCCTCTCCAAGAGGCAGTTGAGGATTCACATGAACGGAATGATTTCATTCGGAATAGCGATCTGGTGAGCTGAAGGAGGAGAGATGCATGCCCCGCATCTTGGCCAGCAATAGCAGTCATCCGGGGTTGCGGGAGGAAGACGATGATCCGGAATCTCATAGCTCGTGGTGTGTTTGTCCGAAAGACGAGAGAGATGAGGCAGATGGTGGATGGTAGATGCGGGGTTCCACCTGTGTGGCTACTAGCTGCTTGTAGGTAGGAAGCATTGGTAATTCTAGGAAGGAAGGTGGAGCGAGAGATTGATTAGATACAGCCAACTCGGGGGTTTCGGGCTAACAAGCAAGTCGTCTTTGTTTTGGTCGGCGACAATTGCAGCGTGACAGGATCCAGAATGTCTAGACTTGGAGGAGCAGCGAGCAGTCGCAACTTGAGTCTGACAGAAGAGCTCGAAAGGCTTGAACAGTCAATCACCTTGACGCTACAGGGTGGGTTGAATTGATTCTCAATGTCTGGCTAGGATTGACGTGTTTGGCAGAAATCGACCACAACTTCAGCAAGGCGCATCGCATTGTAACATCAAGCATTCTACCCGTTGTCGACCAATATGCCCAGCACTCTCGCGATGTTTGGGAAGGCTCCCGCTTCTGGAAGCAGTTCTTCGAGGCATCGGCCAACGTCTCCCTGTCGGGCTACCAGGAGGGCGCATTAGAGGAGGATGTCTCCCAAAACGACACAACCGCCCAGGAGACTAGCTACGATCATGACGCGTCAGTAGAGGACCTCGCCGACCGAACCACGACTCCTACGGGCCATGATTACGCTCACGACCAAGATGACGAGACGTCCATCATCGACTCTCCTTCAAACACAACCGGCGTCCACAGCACTCCTCAGATCAAAACCAAGCCCAAACACTTCGCTTCCCCTTCGCCCGTCAAGCCGCAGTTGTCAGATCAGATCAGCACACCTATGCGCGACTTGAACTTCCAGTCATCATCTCCATTCGAGCCCCCTTCAGCCTACCAGCCTTCAACCGCCCAGCGCCAACAGAACCCCGACCCCTTGATGCATCGCATCATGGACCGCAACTTCCGCATCCAGGCTACTCCACACACTGCTCGCAAGCAACAGCGTCCCGCTCCGATCGAAACCCCTGCCACTGCTCAGCAGTCCCACACTCAGACCCGCACTCGCAACTTGTTTGCCGACAGCAGTCCCATGAGCAGTCCCGAGATGGCTGCTCCACAATTGCGCTCCGACCTATTCTCTCCTCAGAAGTCTCCCAGAAAGACCTACCAGCCGCCAACCACCCCCGGTATCTCTGTTCAAACTCCTGGTCGCGACATCATGACTAGCACTGGCCGTGCTTTGTTTACAGACACCAAGGACAAAACCACCCGCACCCTCTGGGAATCTGACAGTGATGGCGACGACGACTTTAGTATCAGTCCTCCTAAGACCATGCAGTTCCACGTTCCTCAGTCCCGTCTCATGCAGACACCAGCAAGAGAAGCAAGCAGGATCATCGTCGACGACTTGTTGGCTACTGCCGGCGCTGACCGTACCGAGTCCATTGAGGGTGATAGTGTCCCCGATATCAGCCCGGGTCTCGTCAGGAGAAAGTGGGACGATGATGATACTTTCTAAGACACCTGTTCTGGAGATACACTTTCAATACTAGTAAAATTATCACTTGCTTGGAAGATATTGCTTGTTCGGCGCCGTGGTCGCGTAAGATGCCGCCGTACTACAACTCCCATGTCCCCAGTTATACCCCGCCCAAGTACGCCGTAACCATACATAATAAACAAAAGACCTTGATCACTCAACTAGAAGAACAGCAACTCATCATCGCGCCAGCCTTGATTCAACAAGGCAGCATGGCAACTCTTTTCCAGCGCCTCGGGTCCACAGATCAATACCAACGCTTGTTCGGTCGGATCCAGCTTGAGCACTTCTTTGCTGGCGTGTTCGGCGAGTAGCGGGGCAGCGATGCGTCCCCTGAGACCATCCCACTCATCTGGGGCTTGAGTGAGCGTGTACAAGAGTTTTGCTTTGTGCTCATTGTCCTTGGCAAATTGGTCCAGCTCGCCCTTGCACAGGATGTCTTCGACAAGACGATTGCCGTCAAGAACTGTGCATTTTGTCTTGTCATCAGCATCCTGCATGACTGCACGGAACACTTGGTAGATAGGTGTGACGCCTGATCCACCACAGATCATGACGAATTGTGAGATCTGGCGTGTGACACCATTGACGGCACAGAGACCTTGACTCAAGTACTCGAATTTGCCTATCGGGCCTTTGAAGTCGACGAAGTGGCCAATAGGTAAAGAATCCAAGGCTGTCGACATCTTTCCTCCTTCTTGCGTGCCGTTCTTGAAGTAAACCTTGATCAAAATGTCCACAAAGCCCTTCTCGGCTGTCTCGGAGATTGGTGTGTAGGATCGGATGATGGCCTCGCGTGTCACTGGATCGCGCAAACGCATCATGAGATGTTGACCAGTGGGGAGGCCGAGTCGCTGGTCCTCAGTCTCGAGCTTGAATCTGAAGACACGACTGTCCCAGGATACCGTGGTCTTTGACTGCAAAATTGCTTTCTTCCATGTGCGTGAATTCAAGAAGAATTCCGATGGTGTTGCATTCTCGTCTGGTTGGACCTCCTCACCGCTCAGTGCTTGTTTGCCTTCTTCGTCCAGAGTGCCGATGTGATAGTCCGGCATCATGGCTTTTGCAGTCTCACTGTGGATAGCCATGAACTCGTCGGTGCTGTCCAACCCAGCTGCTGAAACGATACTCTGTGCACCTCCAGGATGTCCTTCCAAGAACGCCGTGCCATCGTAAACTTCTCCATTCACAACGAACCATGGCTCTTTCTCCGTGTCGTGTTTGCGCAAATCGTCAATCGTGATCTTTTTGTCTATTCCGTCCTTGATCATCTTGACCTCTTGTGCCGCTTCTGTAACAGGCTCCGGTGCTTCGGAGCTTCCGAGTTGTTCGCCCCAGTAGCCGTTGGCGAGGTTGCCTCCTAACTTCTTCACTCTTTCCATCCAGCCGCCAGGCATCAGAGCGGGTTGAGTGGGATGCTCGAAACGCAGATAGTCGTTCTCGCGATGGATGGCAATGCGGAACCAAGGATTGTTCATCATACCCAGAACACTCCAGTACATGTCGCGAGGCTGCACGTTCATACTCTCATCCATAGCTCGGCACATGATGTCTTTTGCGTCTTTCAGGTCATCGACCGGGATATCGATGTTCCAGAATGCCCAGGAAAAGCAGCTTTCTCTCCACTCCATGTCCAGTCTGCCACCGTAAAGGTCAACTGGGCCAGCGTCGCGGTACCTGTCTTCTGCGTAGTCGACATTGGCCAGACGCCAGCTCTTGCCTTTGTCCAAGGTAACCTCCACACGAGTGATTCGTCGACCACCGCCACCATATGCGTATCCTTTGACTCGATAGTTTTGTGGTGCGCCAACTATGCATAGTTGCTCTTCATGCACCGGGTGTGCCATAGCGGAGTTGGTCGAGAGATCATAGATGGCATATCGCTCATCCATCCACCAGTCCTTGTTGTTGGCCGATTCTTCTGGCGACACGGTGGTTGGCAGCACTCGGTTGTCGTAAATGTGGTACCAGTTGTCGCTAGGCTTGTCGGTGATGATGAGCTTCTTGAGCCATTTCACGCTACGGCCTCCGATTTGGCCAGGAATGATGGCTCGTAAAGGTTTGCCGTGGTCTGGCGTCAGCATTTCGCCGTTCATCTTGTACGCCAGCATCATGCCTCTGTTGGGATCCAACGCCCAATTGAGCTTGACAGAGGTTCCGTAGTATCCATTGGGCTGTCACGATTAGTACAAGCTTCAATGTTGAACATGCAGAAGCGTCTCACCAATTTGTCAGCACCCTCCATACACACATATCTTGCTCCTCTCTTTAGTCCGGCCTTCTTCAAAATCTCATGCATCATAACACCAGTCCACAGTGCATTGGAAACACCAGCTGCACCCCAAGAAAAGCCTTTGGTCTTACGAACAACATTCTGCTCCTTTCGTCTATTACCAGCACAGACGAGAGTTACAGGACATGTGATCTGGTCATATTCTCTGACAAGGTCTTTGAATTTGATTGTGAGTGGGTTTTGAACAAGTCTAGCATCATTTAGTGACAACCTCCTTGGATCTCGCAAGAAATATCCTTACCCTTCTACTGTGAACTCCCAATCGGGGATGTCTGCGTCGTTGACCTGGGGAACGGGACCGTGGTTTCTCACATAGAAAAGCTCCGGACTTGTCAACCATCCTTCGTTGTAAAGATCTGTGAGAGGGGCTTCACAGTTGAACGGGTGGGCTCCAGTCAGTCGAATCAGTCGTGGGTCTCGTGGGAGCCATCCATCTGGTGTCTTGTGGTCTAGCGGATTGATCTCGGTGGGTGGGTGTGATGGTGGTGGCAAAGCGAAATCTGTTGATTCTACTTTGCCGCTTGATTTCTCCGAATCACTCAGATCTGAATCTGGCGGTGTTGGTGGAAAGTCCGCAGATACCCTTCGGAGATGCACACGCTCTTCCTCTGTTGCTTGAACGGCGGCCATCTTGAAGGTCCAATCTTGCAAGAAATTTCAAGGATAGATGCTGGACAAAATCGGGGCACGAGAAACCAAGAAAGAATGTTGTAGGTATGGATTGAGTTCTGTTTTGGATATGATTGTGCAACGAGGACCGATTTACGAAATCAGAATAAAACGAAAATGTCCCCGGAGAAAGGCTGACCACAAGAATGCCTACAATTTAGATGCCAAGAACGGTCAAAGGCTTCACATTCGTCATACCGGCATGTCCAGACATGTTGTGGGCGGAGAAGCAGAAAAAGAGCCTCACTAAACTACGATCACAAGTTACCGCGGAATTGTTTGTGCTGCAACCGGGTCAAGGAGGTACCGCTGTCAGCATGTCTGTGGGACGTGGGTGGTTGAGATTGAGCAGAGATAAGGCTGTCTGTTTGCGGGATAGCGTCAAAAGCGAGAGCCAACATGCTGCTCTGCCCGATGCACCCGTTTTCGAGATGGGATTCTCCAGTCTTGCTCCTTTACAAGTAATTGCTTCTACCCGCACTCGAAGACGAGCTTCAGACGTCGATAAAGAGGACCAATGGTCCAGCATCAGCTTATCAGTGGTACATTGTTGAGCAGGTGAAGTCCAAAAAAGACTCTGCGCTTAAAGACTACTTTGCCAATCGGTCTGCTGTGATTGGTTGCATCCAGTCTTGTCAGGGTTCCTTAAACTTCTTTTCTTCTTTGCCGACAATGCTCCTTTATCGTCCTTATCAGTGTTGCTCCAGCTTAGTGCATCTCCACGTTCACGACCCGTTTCCGCCCTCGACGATCTTATCCGAGGAGAAAGACATTGATGTCGCCGTGCAGGTGTTTTTTGTTTGGTAATCGCGACCTTCGTGTTTGGCCACGTCCCGCTGAACGCTGACCAGGTGTTGCTTCTCCGGCCGCCGCGGCACACGTTTATGCCATGGCATTTGCTGGGCTTGCATGTGCTCCAGTAGGCGGGGAGGCAAGATATCATGTTGATAGATAGCTCTGTATGGCAAGGCAGGTCCATAAACCCTCTGTTTCCCATCTCTATCTTTGGCTTCTACTATCTTGTGATACTCCTGTTTCTGCTCTACACCACTTCCACGCCAGCGTCGCTGCTGTGCTTTACTAATACATTTTCACCTGTGCTTGGCCAGTTACACTACTCGCCAACATGAGTAACAGCGAATGGAACGATGCTGAGGCAAACCTCCTCCCGGAGAAGGTTGAGGAGTTGGAGCTCAAAGGAGAGCTGCCCAAAGACACGAAGAGGAAACGAATTGTAGTGGTTGGTTTGGGCATGGTCGGTGTTGCATTCATGTGAGTATCGCGTGGTCCAAGTCACATTGCATACGCTGACTTCCTCCCTACAGAGAAAAGCTTATGAAGTTCGACGTAAAACGACGAGAGTACGACATCATCGTCATCGGAGAAGAAGCACACCTCGCATACAACAGAGTTGGCTTGACCAGCTTCTTCCAACATCGAGAAGTCGAAAACCTATACCTCAACCCCAAGGAGTGGTACTCATCAATGCCCGAGGGCTCGTTAAACTACCACCTCAACACCAAAGTCACATCCATAAACTCAGAGGAAAAGAAGGTGGAAACATCACAAGGCACTACTGTGCCCTACGACATTCTGGTCCTCGCAACTGGATCCGACGCTGTTCTCCCTCGCCACACTCCTGGACATGATGCGAAAGGCGTATTCGTATATCGCACAATCGAGGATCTGGAAAAGCTCATTGCATATTCCGCCACGAAGAATGGATCAGTCGGTGCAGTAGTCGGTGGTGGTCTTCTAGGCCTTGAAGCCGCCAAAGCCATGATGGATCTCGAGGAGTTCAGCAAAGTCAAGCTCATCGAGAGAAATCGTTGGGTGCTGAGTAGACAGCTGGACGGTGATGCTGGTGGCATGGTTGTTGAGCAAGTCCGAGCTTTGGGCTTGGATGTGCTTCTCAGCAAACGTGTTGGAAAGATCAACGTCGACGATAGCAACAGTGTCACTGGTGTGACCTTCGAGGATGGTGAGCAAATGGACTGCACATGCATCTGTTTCGCCATTGGTATCAAGGCTCGTGATGAGCTTGCCCGCGCGGCAGGTATCAAGTGCGCTGACAGAGGAGGTGGCATCGTTGTCAACAACGACCTTTCTACTTCAACGCCAGACATTTACGCCATTGGAGAGTGTGCTAGCTGGGAGAGCCAAACCTTTGGTCTCATTGCACCCGGTGTCGAGATGGCCGATGTCCTTGCCTTCAACCTTACACAAGCCAAGTCTCATGCATACCGACAATTCAAGCGACCGGATCTCAGCACTAAGTTGAAGTTGCTCGGCGTTGAGGTTGCCAGTTTTGGTGATTTCTTCGCCGACCGTGACGGTCCGCAGATGCTTCCCGCCAGACGCGGTGCTGGAAAGAAGGAAGGCACCACCGATCAAGAGGACCAAGTCAAGAAGCTTACTGAGGGACCCGCCCCGCCTCCGGTTAAAGCTCTCACCTACAAGGATCCCTTCAACCAAGTTTATAAGAAGTACCTCTTCACCACCGATGGAAAGTACTTGCTTGGTGGTATGATGATCGGAGACACCAAAGACTATGTCAAGTTGGTGCCTATGGTCAAGAACCAAAAAGCTCTTGAAGTCTCCCCTAGCGAATTCATCATTGGCGCAAGCAAGGGCGACGACGATGCCGACGATCTTGCAGATGACACCCAGATCTGTTCTTGCCACAACGTGCTCAAGGGAGATGTCACCAAGGCAGTCAAGGATGGTACTTGCAAAACCATCGGAGACGTCAAGACATGCACCAAGGCCGGCTCTGGTTGCGGTGGCTGTATGCCCCTGGTTCAAACCATCTTCAACAAGACCATGGCATCTATGGGTAACGAGGTTAAGAACCATCTTTGCCCACATTTCGAGTACTCTCGTGCCGACCTCTTCAACATCATATACGTCAAGCAATTGAAGAGCTTCGCGGAGATTATGAAGCACTGTGGAAAAGACCCCGAGTCACTGGGCTGTGAAGGCTGCAAGCCCACTATCGGAAACATCACTGCTTCTCTGTTCAATAAACACATCCTTGAGAAGGACGGTCGTGGTCTTCAGGATACAAACGATAAATTCCTTGCCAACATCCAACGAAATGGCACGTTCTCCGTCGTCCCTCGTGTGTCAGGAGGTGAGATCACAGCCGACAAACTCATCATCATCGGAACTGTCGCCAAGAAGTACAACCTGTACTGCAAGATCACTGGTGGTCAGCGCATCGACATGTTTGGTGCTCGCAAGCAGGACCTTCCTGCAATCTGGCAGGAGCTGATTGATGGTGGCATGGAGTCAGGTCATGCCTACGCCAAGTCACTGCGTACTGTCAAGTCCTGTGTTGGAACTACCTGGTGCCGCTTCGGTATCGGTGACTCTGTCGGTATGGCTGTTCGCCTTGAAGAGCGTTACAAGTCTATCCGCGGACCTCACAAAATCAAGGGTGGTGTCAGTGGTTGTGTGCGTGAGTGTGCTGAGGCACAAAACAAGGACTTCGGTCTTATTGCCACAGAGAAGGGCTTCAACATCTTCGTCGGTGGTAATGGTGGTGCGAAGCCTAGACACAGCGAGCTTTTGGCCAAGGACGTTCCTCCGGATGATGTTATTCCTATCCTTGACCGCTACCTCTCCTTCTACATCCGCACTGCAGATAAGCTCCAGAGAACAGCTCGCTGGATTGAGAACCTTCCCGGTGGTATCAAGTACTTGCAAGAAGTCGTTCTCGAAGACAAACTCGGCATCTGCGCCGACCTTGAGCAACAAATGGAGCAACTCGTTGGCTCCTTTTTCTGCGAATGGACAGAGGTCCTCAAAGACCCCGAACGTGTAAAACAGTTCTCCCAATTCGCCAACACAGAAGAAGGCGTTCAAACCGTCGAGGACGTCCAGGAACGCGACCAGCACCGTCCAACCTACTGGCCCAAGGACTCCATCACCACCGACTTCCGCGGCACAAAGTGGACAGATCTAGCATGGCAACCTCTCGCTCGCTCCGATCAATTCCAAGACACTGCAACCGGCAGTTCGCTAGCGGTCAAGCGTGGCGACACACAGTTGGCCATCTTCAAGGTCAAGGGCCAATACTACGCCACTCAGCAAATGTGTCCCCACAAGCGCGCCTTCGTCCTCAGCGACGGTCTCATCGGCGACGACTTCAAGACAAACAAGCTCTGGGTCAGCTGTCCCTACCACAAGCGCAACTACGAACTCAGCGGCGCCGACGCAGGAAAATGCGGCAACGACGAGAGCGTGAACATTGCCACTTTCCCCGTCGAGGCCCGTGAAGACGGTAACGTCTATGTCAAGCTGCCTCCTGTAGAGGAACTTGACTCTGTGTTGGGAACTAGCAATTTTGTGGTCAAGAAGGAGGGCGAAGAAAAGCCTTTCGAGAAGTTGGACAAGAAGATTCTCAAGGGTCAGAAGGGCAAGTTTGTCAGTCACTTGGAGAACGGCATGGGTATGAAGGCAAAGGCCAATGCTATCCTTGCTGGTGGCGAGAGAAGTGGTGGTATGGACTGGTAGCTTGCAAAGCATACTTGCTAGAGATGATTTGACGACTTTTGAGCATTGGGTTGGTGTTTTTAGTGGATGATGGGAGTAATACAGATGATATCACTTTTGCATAGTTTTGTATTTCCTTCATAGACAAATTACATTTCATTGATCTACCAAAATCAGACTCTTTTTCTCAATGCAATGTTGACTTCTTTCTATACCCTGATTCCTGTTGTCATCTGTGCCCCGTCACCCCTTCCTTTATTTTCCATCTGCGATCGCTGTATGACAAACAGAGTCCCTGATCATTTACAGGACGACTCAACCATTCTCAAAATGGTCTTCAATGGAGAAATTCGCCTTGATTTCATGCATTTTGACACGTGTGTGTGACCGCTATAGCATGATGGGCGTTACTGCTAATTTTGTCGACCACGATTATGTTGTATGCGCTTATAAGTAGCCGCCGATACATCGAAGACCATCGAGATGACACCCAGGGATAAGACTGTCTTGTGGCAGGCGAGCAGAGTCATTCTGTCTACGTCTCACAATGGACATAGTCTAAAGGAGGAGCCTGGATAGGACAGACGTCTCGAGCCAATTGAGTGTGAGTGGATTAGCCGTCCCGCAATCGAATGACCATATTCTGCAGGAAGGGACGAACGCGGTACAAGCATCCGAGTTGTGTTTGACACGGTTGAATGCAGCAGCAGCATCATTGATCTTCGAACAGACAATTGCACAGTTAATTAAGCGGCTTGTGATCACAGGACAAGATCTAGCAAGGGACCATGAAATCAAAAAGATTGTGTAAAAAAAAGACGACTTTTGATAAAAAGGAGTCGAGTGGTTGGTATATAAAGCTGGCGTAAACAATGGACTAACAAAAATCAAGGCTAAGTCTTCGAACAGGGGTATTTTCTTTTAGAAAAGAGGCTGAAACAGCAGAACAGTGCGGGCGAAAACAAAAACAAAAAGTCAAGGATAACAGCGTTGACCATAAAACGGCAAAAGAATTGATGAGGGAAGAGACGGGAGATGAAACATAACTGGGTGGTATATGTAACAATGTAATCTCAACAAAAAATGATGCCGGTAAAGATAAAAAGCAAAATAGGGAACGTCAGGCGGTCGGATATCATTTGCGAGGAAAAAAGCAGACGCGAGAAGAGAACAGAAAACTCCAGGGGGCGAGAAAGGAATGATCGCATGAACTCCACCTTCTCCCTGGGATTGGAAAAGACATACGTAGTCTGTAGAATCAAATCAAAATCATTGCGGAGGCCCAATAGGAGCCGGGTATCCAGAAGCAGGTGCAATAGGAGCAGCAGAACTCGAAGGACGCGAGCCAACCGGGCCATGTGTTGATGACGATGACGATGCGGACGTATTGCCGCTATTGGCATTCACGACCTCGACGGAGATCGAGGCCGACCGATTGGCGTTGGCATGGTAGTGAGCGTTGGAGGCGACATCGCCGCCTAGCCCGGGTATCAAAGTGGTGTTAAGCGAAGTCGTAGAGCCATTACGCCCAGCGCCAAAAGGAAATTTGCTTTCATAAGGTGTCGACGAAGTAAGCGATGCCGAAGAAGTAGCTGGCCTGCTGCCTGCCGCAGCCAGAGTGGCCCACCCGCCGTTCGCCTGATTGTTGGCGCTATCGGGCTCGACTTCGGGACCGTTGTCATTCCAAGGATTGCGATAGCCCGACTCTCGCGATTCCAGGCTTTGCAGCGAGGCCTTGGATGCATTGTTCGAGGCGTGCTTGAACAAGGATGAGGCAGGGGAGTTGGAACTGTTCTTGCGCCTGTCGAGGAAAGACGAGAGAGAGGAAGACATACTACCCGGCTTCCTGAGTCTATCGAAGATTGACCGATGACCTTCGTTACTTTCCCCACTGCCAAAGTGAGTGCGCGTGGGAGATTCGGCCACGACGGGCGGCTCGGCGCGTTGCAGTAGCTTTGAGTCGAAGTATGGCATCGAGTCTTCGAAAGAATCGGACTTGGGTCGGGGAATCGCACCCTTGACGGTGCTTGCATTCAACCCATGAGAAACCAGTCCAAGGACCAGGAAGTCTATGGCATCCTTCAACCCACCGGCATTGTTGCGAGTATAAGTTAGAAGGAGATTCTCAGCCTCGACATCGTCATCGCCAATCCTTTCGAGCTTGGGCTGCTGGACAATGACCTCAACAACGTATTGGTCTTTGAGTTTCTGCAAAACATCGTCATGGAACTCTGCAGAGTTTAGGAAGTTACGAAGCTCGACAGTGCTAGGAAAGGAGATGTCGTGGCTTTCGGGAACCATACCCAAGAACTCGTCAACTGCTTGCGGGACCTGGTATTCGGGACCAGACACAGTGATGATGTCGCTAGCCTGCTCGGTGCCGGGGAAAGTGATCTTACAATTCCACTTTTTCTCGAGCTCCTCAATTTCGGGCATACGAGCGACCAGCTCGCGGTGGTAAAGTCTGTCGACAATGACTTGTTCTGAGACGTACTCGGCATCGACCTTCTCAACCATGTCCATGATCTCCTGCTTGACGAGTTCAAGGTTGTCAGCATTTCGCGCAGGGGTACGGCAAATGACATTGTCGACTTTGACATCATCGTCGTCTTTGCCAATGCCGCCACGATCCATTGCATTCGAGAATTTGACGAAAACAGAGTACTTCTTCATGATGCGCTGGATGTGTTGGCCTCCGATACCAATAATCCGCTTATGATATTGGTCGGGGACATGGAATGAGATAGAGGCAGGCATCTCGAGCTCGACAAGGTCAAGTCCGTTTTTGGTAGCTTCATACTGGGCGCCACGAACGTCGATGTAGAAGTTGTACTCATTGAAACCGTCGAAGACAATCTGGACGTTGCTTTGACTCATGATTTTGTTGATCTTGCCATTCTTCTTTCCGCTCACGAATTCTTTGTGTTCGTTGGCAAGCTCAACCTTGACCCGCAGAGTCGAGTTGGCCTTCTTTACAAACGGTAGCGAGTTGATGATGGTCATAGCGGCTTTGACAGAGTCGTCACTTCCATTGATGTGGAAGTTTAGTTTCTCAAAGTTGATCTCGGCGCCGGAGTTGATGCAGATGTCGGGCAACATGGCACGGATGTCGGAGGGATTGGGCTGTCTTTGCATGGGGTCTAGCTGTGTCAACCACCAAGAGGCGCTGTAGAATTGACCGGCCAAAGACATGATGTCGCGCACAGTACGCTCGACGTTGAGAATATCAGTGGCTTGTACGCGCAAGAGACCACTGTGATTGCCTAGCGGGGGCAAGAGGACATATGAGCCGTTTTGCTCGACAATCTTGCGGATCTTGTCGAGGCGCTCGAGCAGAATGTAGTCGACTTTGCTGGTTGTGATGGCCACGTCCTTGACAAAAGTCTTTGTCGTCAGGACTAGATCCTGAAGGCGTCTCTTGGCTTGCATGATATTCTCTTGGCTCTCGCCTGTGATGATAATCTCGTCTCTGGCGCGGGGATATGAGCCTGCGGGGCTATAACCGAAGATGCCAGGAAACAGGGGCGGGAAGTAAATGGCGGTACCGGTGGCCGATTCAATGAGCTTGATGTTGCGGCGATGTCGGCCACAGATGAGGGTGTGGAGGGAAAGCTCGAGCTTGATCGTATCGACTTGTCGCATGAGCTGAAGTACTTGTTAGTATACGAAGAAGGGAAAATGGGTGAAAGACTTGGTGGGCGTACGATTTGATCGATCATGATCAGAATTCTAGTCTTTGCATGCTCGCAGCACTCCATGTCACCAAAAATCATGAGACGCAATCTGTTCTCGACCAAACTGTCCATGGCACCGTGGATACTGGCCGAGTCAACGTCGAGGGGGCGAGGGTTCAGCAGGAAGATGTCGGCTTTGGTACGGTCGGAAATGTCGTCCATGTGGCGGAGGACATCAGTACGCACACCCTCGGTGTTGGGCACCATAATGAGAGTCGAGTCCACGTCGACGGTAGCGGAACGCTATTTCGAGTCAGCGGGGTGCTCTATGTGTAAACGTCTTCTTCCCTCATCTACCTACCAAGGTGATGGGAGTCTCGTTCAATATCTTTGCCCGCATCTTGTAGACTAGCTCCGAGTCGCCAGAGAGGCAGACGTTTGTGACCAGGGTGTTCAGGGGACCTCGCTGCATGCCGGGGACAGGCTTGGGCTGAGCTGACGTGACATGGGCCTGGATCTGGGCACCGCTGGCCTCGGTGATGACCTTGCACAGCGACTTGAGGTTCTCGACATTGCGGGCGTGGACGGGGAGGTCGTGGTTCGGCGGCGGAGAGTCGGGATTCGTGGCTTGGGGATGCGTCCAGCGCGCGTAAGCTCCAGGGCTGGCGTATATGACAGAGTCGGGGTCAGGGCCTGAGAGATTCGAAGCGAAGGGTATGTTGAACGACAGGTTGACGAGGTGGCCGGGGACTTGTGGATTCGGCTGCATGACATGCTGGCTGGCCATGTTTCGCTTGATGTTTTGCGGAGGGATGGACATGTCCTGGTGGTGAGGACGGCCGAAACCCATTGCAGGCGTCATCTTGTCCCAACCATGGCGTGCTTGGCCGGTGAAGTTTGATATCTTGTGCATCGAGGACGTCGGGGTCGGGTGAACGAGCGTGATGGGTTTGTGGTCAGATGGACGTCGAGGCTGGAGCAGCGCACTGCAGGAAGCAACCGATAATCAACGGAAATCACGGGCGCCCAGAGAGCCCGCCAGTTTATGAAAAGACAAGCCAACCAATGTGAGTCGTCGTATATTGCAATCCCCGACGATTTGCTTTGTTAAACTCGTCGTCGTCGATTTTCCCACAGCGCGTACGACCTCCGCCGATACTAGCAAGCACACATCCACGCAAACTTGGGGCTTCACGTGACCGTGCCATCAACTGCCAGCCTGCCAGGTGCCTTTAGCCTTTCCGCATCCGCCGACCACGAAACCTGCACGAGGAATGAGGGGCCCACCACTTTTCACTCCCATGAGCCGCCCATCATCACATCCTGTTTTACTCACTTGTGCACACGCAATACGGTACTCTGTTGGATGATTGTTTGCCTTTCTGACCATCTGCATCTCTGGCCGTCTGTTCCGACACACAACCCATCTCTTCCCATGCTCTTCCCTCTTGCTCAGTAGCCTACTCTTCTAACCTCTCTTCCGTACTGATCTACATATATCTCCCTGGGCGCTGCCGATCCTTCCTCGCCGTAACGCGCTCCAGGTCCTGCATATGATCCTGCAGCTTGACCCGCTCCGTAACTATATCTCATGTCCACCGGACGCCCATATTCAGATCCTGGCACAACACTGACGCCTCTCATGGGTGCAGGAGGAGGTGCCATCGTCGCCGCACGACCTCCTGCCTCTCCCATCCGGACAAACTCGCTCTGTGGTGCCATGCTCGGTTGTCTTGACATGTAGCGAACAGGCTCCATGTCGGGACGCACACTATACGCTCTGGGAGCATATGGTCCTGGTGCCGCTTCGGGTGGGTACACTGAAGCTCTACCCCCTGGCGCCTCCCTAATGTACACAGGCCCGGCTGCCTCGTCTCGATAGTACTGCGGCTCTGGAGCACGGGAATATTCTCGCTGTCTGTAGGCACGGTAATCGGTAGGCATAGCCTCCGGCTGCTCGACCATTCTACGTACCGGCGGAGGTGGTGGCGGTGGCATTCTCGTACCATGTTCATCCTCGTATACACTGTGGGTCGGCTGGCTTGCGTAAATGACAGACTGTCTGCTCGGTGCACGTTCGTACATCATCTCAGGCTCCGGTCGCAATTGCGGCGCGACTGACAATCTGGAGGATACCTCAGGCTCGTTCGCGTAGTATCTATTGCCGTATTGGTCCACGACAATCCTTCTAGTCGGTGGCAGTGGAGGAGGTGCCATAGTGGACATGGGAGCCTCCCGCGCGGCCCTGAGGTGTGGAGGAGTCACCGATCTCTCAGATCGAAGGTACTGCATTTGTGGTGCTCTCATGACTTCGTCGCCATATCTCGATGTCCTTTCGGGAAAAGGCTGCGATACAGTACGGTAGCCAGCAGGGGAGGCTATCCTGCCCATAGGAGAAACTGGACGGTGCGCAGCATGCAGGCTTGCCACGCGGCGTAAGTCTTGATCATCTCTTCTGGGTCTGCCATAGACACCCGGCGAAGATACTCTTATGACACTGGGAGAAGAAACGCCATCCAAGCCGTAGTGCGAAGGTGGTGGTGGCTCCTGATAGTAGGTTTGCCTTGGGCCTGAGACTATCTCGACATCTGATGGCAGTTGGTAGGGACGAGTGCGCACAGATTGCAAAGCAGGAGGTGCAGCAAACGGTGGAGGTGATACTGGCTCGGGTTTGATGTACGGTTCGGGAGATGGGGCGGCCGGCTTGTTGCGTGTTTTACGGGCCTTGGTAGAATGAGCCTCTGCATCTCGCTTCCTCTTTTTGTTGCCCTTTCCTCTCGGCTTCTTGTAAGCGCCATTTGGACTGGTTTGTGTGGAATTGCGAGGAGAAGTCGTCGAGTCGTCGGACTCGAATTGCTGACGATAGGCGCTGGATGATTGATAGGCATGGGGTGAAGCAGGGTGTTGGTTGTTTGATGCTGAAGGATAACTCGTCTGAGATTGACCAAGTCCAGGTGGCTTGACCATGGTAAGGGGCGAGACTCGGGCAGGCTGAGGGGCAGCGACTTGTGTGAGGTGGCTTGTGATGACAGGAGCTTGAGGCGATGGGACGTAAGCGTCTTGAGGCACGAACTCACTGCTGTCTGATGCAATGCTTAGTCGGGCCGTGTCCAGCACAAACAGGAAACACTTACCATCATCTAGATCCATAGCATCTGCATCACCGTCGGGTCCGCTGAAGGCATTGGCATCTGGAGGTGAATATTCCTCCGAGTCTTCTCGTTCCGCGTCGTATAGGGCTTCGTTCTCATGCTGAGCAAAGGCCTGTGAAGAAGGATGAGGCTGCTTGTCAAGAGACTCAAACTCGACAGGATGCTTCTTGGGAATAGACGCGCTACTTGCCGTATGTATCGCTTCCACCTTCTCCTTGGGAGAGCCCTCTTCTGACGACCAGTCGTTTGCCTGGCTAGAGTAATATGAATTCTCGTCGAACGAATCACTCGCTGCAGTCTGGGGGTTAGCGGCAGGTTTGAGACCTGATATGGGCTTGACCATTTCGAGGGCTTTTGAAAAAGTCTCGCTCAGGTTGACGAGAGGTGGTGCCTCCTCAGTATTTCTGAAATGAGCGTTGTGTTTGCGCTGATCCGCCGCATCCTTGAGCTGTCGCTCGATACGTTGTCTTTTCAACTGCATCTCTGCTCTTATCAAGTCTTCCGATTTTGTCAACAGGATTGGGTCGATACCGCTCTTGGTGGCATTTGTCCCTGTCGCCGTAGACGTGTTCTGCGAGAAAGCTTGCGCATTCCCCAGACGAGCAGCAGCGCCGTAAGAAGAGCCAGACATTGCCTGTTCTCTACTTGATCCGTTTGACAGACCAGGTAGCTGAGAGGCCAAGGACTGGCTGGACGTAGTTGGCGGTTCGGCGGCGGGTTGAAGCCGCTGTTTAACGGCAGCTGGCAGCTTGAATCGCGGATGTCTGTCTGCAAGAACATTGTCCTTCAGTTGCAGCCACTGGTCGTAGAAAGCAGCTTGTACATGATGCTCCGCGATCATGGACCTGTGGCCATTCACCTGCGTGGAGGCCATGACGAGAAGACTATCTCCTGTTTGCGAGCGTCGAACAGCAATTTCACAATAGTGATGGTACTATGCAAGCGCCATGCCTCTGCGATTCTAGTGATAGTGGATGGATGGCACGCGTGTTGTTTCAGCAAAGGGAGGAAGAAACAAGAGCTTGCATTGAAATTGTGAGATCGCCCGCCAGACTCGGGCTTTTTCCTTGGCGTCGTCCCCGGACCGAACGCGGAGTGATCCCTTCGTTCTCCATACCATCCACGTCAATGTGAGTCTTTGCCTCTGCTTCTTTACAACCTTGTTGAATGTTGCACTCTCTTTATCGGTCTACTTCTCTCTTTGGTCGGTCAGGTCTTCTTGCTTCTCGGAGTTTGGCATCTTCTACGCATATACACGCACAGAGGTTTCAGAGCAATATGGCGGACAATCGTAAAGTCTTCTTCTTTGATATAGACAACTGTGTATGTACCCAACCGAACAATCTCACGCTCTCTCCTTCGTTACTAACACCTAGTTTAGCTGTACTCGAAGAGTAGGTGAAAATCGATACACATCCTGAAATCATGTCTAATGAGTCACAGGCAAGAAGGTGCATGAGTTGATGGGCGATCTTATTGGTACGCGTCTTCGTTGTACGCCTATCTCAACAGAATCACTAACGGTATGACAGACAAATATTTCCAAACTCATCTTTCCCTATCACAGGAGGACGCCAATGAGTTGCACATGCGATACTACAAAGACTATGGACTCGCTATCGAAGGACTCGTACGCCATCACAAGGTTGACGCACTTGAGTACAACGAGAAAGTGGACGACGCGTTGCCTCTCGAAGACATCATGTTTCCGGATCCCAAGTTGCGCAGACTACTCGAAGATCTCGACACGTCGAAGGTGAAACCCTGGCTCTTTACCAATGCATACATCAACCACGGCAAACGAGTGGTGAAGCTCCTGGGTGTTGAGGACATGTTCGAAGGCATCACGTACTGCGACTACTCAGCAGCCAGGTTTTTGTGTAAGCCATCGCCGGACATGTTCAAGAAAGCTATGAAGGAAGCTGGTGTGACGTCGGCCGAAGATTGCTATTTTGTTGGTATGTTGTAGCTCCATGACTTTGTAAAGATCAGTACTGACGTGTAAAAGATGACTCGGCCATCAACGCAGTTGGTGCAACCAAGTTGGGCTGGACTGCGGCACACTTGGTAGAGCCGGGTGTCACTGCTCCTGTGACACAAGCCTCAAAATATCAGATCAGCAACCTCCAGGAACTCAGGAGCATCTTCCCTCAATTCTTCAAGTCGACTTGACTGAGGTCTAGATGATACGTTTACTTGCTGCTTCATGACCTTATTCTAGAGCTAGACGATACATTAGCGTAATCATAATTTTCGAAGATGCTAGGGGTGCTTGGCTTGCGATATCCACGAACAATGCCAGCCAACAGAATTGACACAGATGATAGAGAAACGTGTCGGAAGCGAACGACTCATTCAACAATCCTGCGTGAAGGCACGAAGGCACGAAGGGACGATTCGTTTGAAAGACAGAAGCGAATGTCCAACGAAAGTAAGTCTTTGAAGTGTCGTGCCTTGGGCAGACCGCTCTTTGGAAACCCAGTCCCTGTAGGATTTGGGCAATCCCCACGTCTATGTTGTGCTATGATGTCGACGAGTCTCATATAAGGATTATGGCGATTGAGTTTGGTCAGGCCTAACATGAGGTTCAAACCTGCACGAGTAAGGGAGATGAAACGTTTAAGGAGCCGCGGCGGGTCCTCAGCCCCTATAAACAAGCTCAGTGGTAGAAGACATTTAGCGTCTTCTAGAATGAAAAGTTAGAAAGTATATGGAGACAAGCAAGACTGGGCTGCTAGAAAGAATTCTGTAGACCAAAACGGCCGTCGGACCCTGTTATGCCTGCATAAAGAATGTAGACAGTCCTGAAATTCGGCGCTTTTGAATACGGAGATTGGCCGAGGCGAAGACGGGTTCATATCCAACAGCAATTCGAAAGGCTGGAGGTGGAGAAGCCACACAAGATCAGACAAGAAGCGACAAGCGGAAAACGAAGCGAAGCTGGAGAAGCTTGTCGGACTTTGAATGTTTTGAAGAGTGTTTTTGCCGAAAAGTGCGACGCTGCTGCAGGCATGTTCCTGTCAGCACCGCAGCAACAATCGGTGCCTGTCAGCACGGCAATGGAGAAGGTTTCATGTACTCTTTTGCATCGACGATAAGATTTGGATAACAAAAGAGGTGTGGCTACGGAGTCATGCTTCTCTCGCAGTAGAGACTGGGCATCCAGAAAGCAGGATATGGCAGAGCAGAATGATGAGAGTGGTTGTTTCAGCAGTCTGGTTGGAACAAAACTTGGGCCCTTGTCTGGTTCCTTGAATAGATGGCGCTCGGACTTGATAGCGAGACGGGCTAGACGGGGCAAGTTGAGGGAGATTCAACCAAGACAAAATGGGGCTGGCGTTGCGGGAGTCCAGGTTTACGGAGGTTTGCCACGGGCTGACCTCGTCGTCATGACCAGCGGCTGTGGCGATCGGGTTACAGCAAAGAGGCACGAGTTGAGGCAGGACAAGTGACAAAGATTGATGGGAGGTTGCGAATACAACGATGGTGCAACATGGTCAGATGTTAGTGCATGGTGCTTGGCTGGCAGGCACTTGAACGCGTAGTCGAATACGAAATGATTGAGATCGGCCGAGATGGATGTGGCAGGGCGGCGGGCCCATGTTGAATTGTCAGAGGGGATTTGGCAGAAGCACCAAGCCTGCAAGTGCCAAAGCCCCCTTAAGACGGCAAGCACAGGCCCAAACAACATTGTAGCGCGACACCTCCCGATCAACAATCTTTTTGCTTGCTGCTCCTCTTTCGCATCTCGCATCTCGCATCTCGCATTCCGCATCACCTCGACCGTCTCCGTGACCCTCTGCGACTTCCGTGTCCGTTCCGCCATACAGCATTGCCCGCGCAGGCCGAGGGCTGGCCGACTTGCAAGACTCTGAGTAGACGCTCGCAACGACACACGACTTCCGACGGCGACTTCTCCGCTCTCCACGCTCCACCACCTGTCTCGCTCTTGCTCGAGTTTGTTCAATCACAACCAGCAGTATGTCATCTCCACCGGACGCCTACCAGCCTTCAACTCCTCACATTCGGCTGAACTCAGGCAGCGACGACCTCGTCAACATGGCCGACTCCCAAGACCACCAAGCCACACGCCAACCCTCGTCTCGTTCATTGACGAGGCCTGGCACCGCTGGCTCTGCTTCCATCCGCCCCTCGTTACACCCCGCCCCTTCAACGAACAGCCTATACAACGCCGGGGCTCCCGAGTCGGCAGAGCTCCTCCTCCCGCCTAGCCGCTCTCGTCCGTCACGGCGCTTCCGCGATGACGACTCGCCCATGCGATCGCCCAGCCAAAGTGGCTACAATTCTCGCCGCACCAGTTGGGGCTCCGAGTCGACTGGCAGCAGAGACAGCCGCGTGGGTCCTTTTGCCTCTCCCTTTGACGACTCACGCGCGCCGTCACGCGCTGGCAGCGATGACGAAGGCGTGAACACCCAGACCGTTTCGGAAAAGTACAATATTCTGCCTTCGGCTGGTCTGCTACTCTTCCCCGAAGATGTCGAGAAGGACGATTACCTGCACAATCCGGATCCCAACGAGAAAGAAGGTCGCATAACGTGTTCCGACTTGTTTTCGAAACGTGGTATTACCAACTTGGGTGGCCTCGTACTTATCACCCTAGGAGTCTTTATGCTGTTTATCGGTTATCCCATCATGTATGTTGACCCTTCACTCATACACCGCCACTTCACCACTAACTAGCCGCGCAGCACATTCGCTGTCAAGTACAACGAGGCTCCCGTAAATACATGCTCCAGCGACCCCATGTGTATCAAGGACAACGTCGCACTGCTGAAGAACGTACGCCATGGCCTCATCGACCCAGCCACCCCCAGCTCGGTCATGACGAGAAAGTCCGTAAACGGCAAGACTCTCAAGCTTGCAGTATGTCGCACCGCCCCAAATGTGATATGCCTTATACTGACTGCTTTGAAGTTTTCCGACGAGTTTGAGACTGACGGCCGCACTTTCTATGATGGTGATGACCCGTACTTCCAGGGTGTTGACATCTGGTACGGTGTCACTCAGGATCTCGAGGTGAGTCTTTCACACCCTTTCATCTACATCTCCATCTGACAATAGCTAGTGGTACGATCCCGATGCTATCACCACCAAGGACGGTGTCCTCGAAATTACATTTGATGCTTTCCAAAACCACGGACTCAACTACCGCTCTGGTATGCTGCAATCTTGGAACAAGCTCTGCTTCAAGGGCGGCTATCTCGAGGCTAGTATCTCGCTTCCTGGTAGGGGTGACACGATCGGTTTCTGGCCTGGTTTCTGGGCTATGGGCAACCTTGGTAGACCTGGCTACCGTGCTACTACTGATGGAACCTGGCCTTACAGTTACTCGGACGTCTGCGACCCCGGTATCACTGCTAATCAATCTTCTCCCGATGGTTTCAACTGGCTTCCCGGTATGCGACTTCCCGCTTGTACTTGCGATGGCGAGGAGCACCCTAGCCCTGGAAAGTCTCGCTACGCTGCCGAGATCGATGCCATCGAAGCCAGTGTCTCCTACCTCGATCCCGAAACATACGGTGCCGCCGTCGGCTCAGCCTCGCAAAGTTACCAGACCGCTCCCTTCGATATTTTCTGGCGCCCGAACACCGATTTCATCGAAGTCTACGACAACTCCATCTCGGAGATGAACTCTTACCAGGGTGGTGTTTACCAGCAGGCTCTCTCTACTGTCACCCTTCTGAACAACGATTGGTATGATGGCAAGGCCTACCAGGTGTACGCCTTTGAGTACGAGCCTGGTTCAGATGGTTACGTCGCTTGGTACGTGGGTGCAGAGCCCACATGGAAGATGACTGCCGATGCTGTCGGACCCAACGGCAACGTCGGACAAAGAGTCATGCCGGAGGAACCTTTGGCACTAATTGCCAACTTCGGTCTCTCGGCCAGTTTCGCCCAGCTGAACTGGACTGGTCTGGCTGAGCTCATGCCTGGCAAAATGAGATTCGACTACATCCGTATCTACCAGGATGAGGACGGCGAGATGACCTGCGACCCCGAAGGCTACCCCACAACCGAGTACATTAAGAAGCACTCCAAGGCATACGAGAACCCCAACATTACAAGTTGGGAGGATGCAGGATTCAGCTGGCCCGAGAACTCGTACGTCGATTCTTGCAAGAGCAGCAACTACAAGGGCCCGAATTAAATGGACGGGAACGAGGGTAATGGCGCAGCAGCATTTTTGACAAAGGCGTTATTGACGGAGTAAACATGGACCATGATGATATTTTCTCTCGAATGGGCGAAAGACGGACCACGCGGCAAGACGCAAGATTTTTTTGATTTTCTCTCGACAAAGTTACAGCATGCATGGGAGTGCTCGCCATGTTTTCATTATTTGAGGTGGAATTCACGAAACGGAAAGAAACACACACGATTGATTTTTTGTATAGATGTTTTGAGCAAGTCACCCGAACTGGAGCAGAAGGCATCGAGCTTCATCTCGTCATGACTTTTGGGGAGGCAGTTGTTATTGTTTTGTCGTTTCTTCGCATCTGCTCGTTTCTGTTTTCAGTGTTTTTGGAGGGTTTATGCTTTTGGCCTGATGTACTCGTACGACATGAAAAAAAAGCAGTGTCGGTGTTTTTACTAGACCTTAATCGAAAAACCAAAACACATTTCATAATTCCCAAAGACCGAGTTGCCAATTGGGTGATATAAGAGGATAGAAGACACTGAGGATTGAAGTAATCCAGAGAAGTGGAGTGAGAAGGGGGTATAATACAGGTATATGTACAGGTAGTTTCGTGATGTCTGGTGCGCCTTGTCTAAGCGACAGGAGACAGATGGCCATCCTTGTCATACTTTGCCTTGAAGAAAGTATAGTTGAGGGTGATGGTGTCAATCTTTGACATGTTCGGATCCCTCAAGAACTCGGGATCAATGTAAAAGAAGACAGGCATGTCGACAGTCTCTCCCTTGTTCAACCTCTGCTCTTCGAAGCAGAAACATTGAATCTTTGAAAAGTAGGGGGCGACTTGGCCGGGAGTCACAGAGTAAGTGGCCACACCGATGATGTCTTCCTCTTTGCTCAGATTGGTCGCGGTATAGAAGGCCAGCGCGGTCTCGCCAGGCAACACACGGACTTCCCTCTGCTGAGGTGTAAATTTCCAAGGCAGCACGTCCGAGGTCGAACCAGCAAAGGTGATGCGTAAACGGCGGGAATCAGTGATGGGGATCAGGCGAGATGCAATGTCGTCTTCTTCGTATTGGCCACTGTGGATGGAGATGGGTTGGCCGCCCCAGCCCATTTGCTGGCAGATCATCTTGTAGAAGGGTACGGAGCCATAGGATAGCGCTACTGTGCCCAGGATGATTGAGAGGGTGTAATAGAGAGTGTTGCGATTCTTGTTTTTGAATTGAGCGCGCAGATCTTCTTGGGTGGGCATGCGGGTCTGTTGGTGTTGGTTTGGCTGTGGACGGGTCTGCATGCTTCTTCTAAAGAAGTTGCGCGGTAAGGAGCGGGCGCATTGTGTCGTCGTCGTCGATGGTGCTTGTGTTCGTAGTGCTGTGCGCGCTAGATTGCGACCGAGCAGCGATATCGAATTCATGTTGGATCGTGTTTATGAAAAATGTAGATCGTCATGGATGCGATCAAGGATGGGCCTCTTCGGAGGTGAGCCACTGGCCGCAAAGCTTACTCATCCATCTAAACTCTTTTTTACCATCCAACTCTGTCTCTACCCATCTATACAACCAGTCAAGATGGGAGAAATCTGTGGAGTCTGTTCGCAGAACGAGTCCAAGTACAAGTGCCCATCTTGTCAAGTGCGATAGTGAGGTTCTCGTCATCAAGAGCAAAAGTCGCATGCTGACCATCAACAGCTGCTCCATCGCATGCTTCAAACAACATAAAGAGACGCACGCAAATGACCCACCAAAAGAGAAGCCCGCCCCTGCGCAACCGATAGCTGCCGAAACAACCACAGTGCCAACCACCACAAGGAACGCCCTCCCAGGAAGCACCAAGAAAATAGACTTCACCAATTTCGAATCAGACCCAGAACTCCTACGCCTACTATCTCGTTACCCAAACCTGCGCATCCAGCTCCAGAGCGTCTATGGTCTGACTCTAGAACCTCCACCGCAAGAGCAGCCTTCGTCCAACTACAGAGGCAGAGGTAGAGGCAGAGGAAGAGGAGGTTTCCATCAGCAATCCCACTGGTCGCAAGCAAAAGGTGACAAAGAGGCTACCGAATCTTTCAAGAATATGAGACGTGTCGAGGGTGATGACCAAGGGCTGGCTGAGTTTGTTCACTTGCTCAAGATGAGATTTGCGACTGATGCTGGACACGCTGGCCCTTGAGTCGCATGCTGTCAAAAATACCAGCATCGGCTACTCTACCAACTGGACCTACACTTTCACTATCAGAACCGCATCATGACTTTCAACTCGGCACGAATCTAGTGTCAGGATGAAGGATGCGCTCAGCACCTGCGCCAAGATTTCGATCGAAGCCCAAGGCATTGCATCCACACAAAGCAAACTTGATCACCATGATTCTGAGCCTTCGACACAATCGCCAAGGGGTCAAAGTCTCAGATTCGGTTCTTATCAACATATCCAAAATTCTGGCCAGCCGATCCAATCCTCAGCCTGGCCAATCCAAGTCATCAGTCGGGTCTTCCCAATCATTCGTTCATTCATCTCTCTACTTCAGCTCTTTCTTGCTGTCGACCGACAACTCGGAGAGGGGGCCGTCTTTGACCATGAGTGTCTAGAGAGGGAACTTGTTAGCGAGACTTCAAGATGATGCGATGGGCTTCATTTCACGTACCATAACTTCGTACAAAACGTCGGCAGCGGCCATGGTGGTCAACTCGGCATTGGTATCGTAAGCAGGCGCAACTTCGACGACATCGGCGGCCACAAGGTGGATGCCCTCCAGGCCACGGATGATGGTACGGAGCTCACGGGTGGTCCAGCCACCTGTCTCAGGGGTACCGGTTCCAGGAGCAAAGGCAGGGTCGAGCGAGTCGATGTCGATGGAGAGGTAGACAGGGTTATCGTGACCAACACGATCGTGGATCTTCTTGATAATACCATCCATTCCAATCGTATCAATCTCGCGAGCCTCGACGATTTCGAAACCACAGTAGCCGTCGTTTTCGTAGTCGGACATGCCCGAGAGGGTTGTGCGGATACCAGCATGAATGTTTGTATCATTGCGCAGTAGCCCTTCCATTGCGGCATGGTAAAAGTACGTACCATGGTTGATAGAGGCAGTCTTGGAGGGTGCGCCTCCGAAAACCTTTGGCTTCCAGGTGTCGAGATGGGAGTCAAAGTGGATGACCGTGATGGGTCCGTATGCTTTGTTCATGGAGCGCAGAAGAGGCAGCGTGATAGTGTGGTCTCCGCCGAGGGTAATGACGCGAGGAAGTGTCTTGCCGTGTTTGCTGGGGCCAGTCATGTGTGCGTTTGCGGCGGGCTCGCGCATGAGGATGCTGTTGTGGCCCTCTTCGATTTGCTTGAGAGCCCACTCGTTGTCGTAACTTGTCACGGGGATATCACCACAGTCGATGACAGTGGCCCAGCTATTGAAAGGGTTCGCTGTAATTCGAATTAGTACTTGATATTATGATGCATGTCATCGTTGGTACAAACCTTGGAGGGGGACGTTGAAACCTCCGTAAAGGTTCAGACGTCTCGAACCCTGACGAATACCGCTAGGACCGAATCTGGCACCAGGACGGTACGAAGTGCCAGTGTCGAAGGGGGCACCGATAAAGGCAATGTCGTACTTCCTGGCATCGCTAGCTAGGCAGGGGTGGTACTCGATACGACCAAAAGTCGAAATACCAGAAAAGACCGAATCGGCCTGAGTACCACCATCACCAGGAAGGGTATTGTACCACAAAGACTTGTGAGGGCCCTCCTTGAAAGCCTCTTGGCTATGGTCGCCGTGTGCAGAAACACCAGCTGCCAATGCAGCGGCAAAGGTGACCAACTTGAACATCTTGAGCTGTACCCTTCAAAGATGAAGAGGATTGGGATAGTAAGATAGAGTTGTTGAGAAGTATGAAGAGAAGAGAAAGAAAACCGCAGCAGCTCACTCACAACTAATACTCTTGCGATCCTCCAGCTAGCCGCCAGGAACAGGAAAAACACCTACGCAACCAACCTCGAGCTTACCATATTTACCTAACCACGCCCTGTCAAGATTGTCAACACAAGCTAAGCTACACAAGGGAGCTCAGAACGAGCAGAGATCATGTCGTCAGTGTCGTGCGATCCGACATCATCTTCCCGGGACTGGTGATCGCGCGAAGGTGTCACAGCAGAGAAAGCACGATATCAATCTATCATACCCCACATTGGTTGTTGACACACCGGCCTTAGAAGGCGGCGGCCGCAGATATGCACCCTCGTAGATATCTCCGGCTTGAGTTGAGTGATCTACACTCGTGCAGTGGTGGGGTTGGCAGGGCCGCGAAAAAGCTGGGGTTAGTAAAGAGGGTTTATAACACTGACGTCGGTGCATCACTCGAGTACTCCAACCACTCTATCTCTCCGCTGTCAATAATCTGGATTGGTAAACTTGCCGTATCGCGTGGCAGAAAGTCTAAATGGTCGTGGTATCGGAAGTTGTGTCAGATCGAGGGATTGGTGTGGATGCAAGCCAGCTTCCTAATCCGGTGATATGGTTCTGATCAGGCACTCCTTCCTTACCAGGGCTGAGAATCCTCGTCATCGCATAGAACCAGGTATGGTGCTCTTGGCATCAAGCAGTCTATCACCGAAACAGCAGAAGCAGCATCTCAGGCGTCAAATTTGGTCAGATTGTATTATCTATAGTACTATGATATTTTTGATGCTGGATGAGCCCAATGCTATCTACTTTCCTCACCCTGGTAGCCCTCAACATTGTTCGCCAATCCAGACTCGACCTGCTCCTCATGCTCCATCCTTTCGAAAGCCTTGCGGACTTGATAGTCCCAATTACTCCAAGCAACAATCGCCCACTCACCAAACCCGACCAGGTACAGAGCGATACATTGACCAACCCACAGACCTGCCAAACCCCAGCCATGGAAGGCCAACCAGATTCCCAAAGGCAGGGCACCACAGTAATAACTGATTATGTTGACCAGAGCACCAACATGTTGGCGTCCCATTCCACGCAGAGAACCACCACAAGACCCGTTGAGCCCATCAGCAATCTGGAACAAGGCGACCCAGGGCATGACTTCTGCAGTCAGCTTGATCACATCCTGATCGTCGTTGAAGATTCTGGCGTAGAAATTCTTGACGCCCATCAGGAGTGCAAGAACAAGGGCTCCAAGGATCATGGATAACCAAGCAGCTACATTGGCGCTACGTGCTGCGCCTTTCGCGTTTCTGCCTCCTAGGAGATTTCCTACGCGTGCTGATGTTGCAACTCCAACACCGAAGGGGATGGTGTTGAGGACTTGATCTGTGGTCATGATGACGGATTGCGCGGCCAAAGGGATGGTTCCGAGTTTACCTGCTGCAAGAGCCACAATCTCAAAGGCCCACCACTCTGTACCTACGTGGACGACTCCAAGTAGAGCAAGCCTTGTGAATGTGCCAATGTTTTGGAAAGCTTTCTTTGACCATCCGCCCCAGCAGTCCCAGCCTGAGACAAAGCGAGCATAGGCGAGAAGGAGGAGGAACGATAGCCAATACGATATGCTTGTGGCCAGAGGTGCCCCGAGGAGACCCATCTTGCAGGTGTAGACGAAAAGATAATTCAGACCTGCATTGATCGGCGAGGTGATGAGAAGAACATATGTGCCAGGTCGCATGATGCCTACACGTCGTCAGCTGGTGTCAGAAGTTCAATATTCATGTCTGACTTACCCTGTGCTTGCAGGAACTTCTTCAAGCATTCGAAGTAGATGTATCCAAGTCCACCGAGCGCAAGAACGCTGAGGAACTTGCTGCTGTCGTGCGACAATTGCTCGTCTTGGCCAAGAGCTCTAAAAACAGGCTCCGAGCAAAACCATAGAATAGCCACCGGAATGTATAGCAAGCCAAGTACGAACAGTGCTCTCTGGAGGATGATCCCCAGATCGTGTTTGTCCTTGCTTCCAGTAAAACTCGCCGAGGCAAGCGTATCGATGGCAGTGGTTCCTCCCAAAGCAATGAGCCAACCAGAGGCCATGGCGAACATGTAGGAGAAAGCCGCTGCTGCTAGTGCTTCGGGACTCAATCGTCCAACGACCAGAACCGAAACAGTTTGCAAAGAGTTTTGCAGCATATATGCAAGGAAGACAGGGGTTGATCCGCTGAGCAGCACCCAGAATTCGTGGATAATGAGCTGAGTGCTGCTTTTGTCCTCGTCATCAAAGTCGTCGACTGAGCCAATGGTTGGCTCATCGTCAGGCTTGGGAAGAAGAGAGGTTCTTTCATCTGGTTCTTGAAATTTCGAATCAGTCGACTTGCGGAGGAAGTTTGGCAGCCACGAGCCGGCACTCTCGGTGCCATCTTGACGACTGTCCATGATGCGGTAAGGTTGATTGAAATCAGAACAGTGTAGAAAGGTGCCCAGAATCACTCAGCAATGGCTGTCCAAGACATCAAGTACAAGGCCGATGCAACGAACAGAGATCTACATTGAATGGGTGATAAGTAACATGATGTTGTAACCACTCAGGAATCAACGTCAATTGTTGGCCATGAGAAAGAACGTTTAGTCACACTGTTGGGCGCAAACCGAACATAACAAAGTACGGGCTGAGTATCCAGAAGCAGACTCCCGATAAAGGTACGGAAAGACAGTGTAGACGATAGACGACGGGCCGGCGGCAGTAGTGTTGAGTCAAGTGGATCTTGACTCTCTGACAGCAGAGTGTTTAACCTACTGAACAAGGGCCCTGTGAGCATGATTCTTCTTATCAGGAGGATCTGCTGGGGTAGATTGAGCAGGGTTGACTAAGTCGCATGGCTAAGCAGCGATGACTACAAAGCCATGTCAGCCGCCATCTATGCTTTTATCATCCTGGTGCATAAGATCGGGTATCCAGATACGAGCTAGGCTTTTACACCATCGCAAAAAGAATTCATGGTGTGGCATTCTTATTGTGACTGTTCAAGATCAAGAAGATTGGCAGCGTGGATGGTCGTCGCAAGATAACGGTCGGTAACGAGACCCCCGCCTCACGGTGTCCTTGGCTTGAACTGCGAGCTTCGAACCCAAAGGTAGTGAATCCACAGTGTGGTCACGTCTTTGACTTCAATGCTTGCAAATTAGGTCAACTGCAGGGATTTTCAATCAATTACAAGTAGGCATTCGTTATATAGTAATGCGAAGGCCGGAGGTGTTGTTGAATGAGGCACAGAATGTGGGGCGAGGGCAGTACACAGACCACTGCTTGATTGCTCTTGCTTCCGATGCCACGCGAGTAGGCAACTTCAAAGATCCCAAACGAGACCCTGTATGGGTCGTCACCCTCGTACAATAATGCCTGTCGATATGGGCAAAACAAATTTCCATGAACATTTGATATCATCTCTACCGACCTGCCGAGAAGAGACAGGTGTAACGAGATCAACTCCTGAGCCTGACGACAACCAGGTCAATCGACCCGCCTCGATATGTCGAGTTATAAGCCACCAATGAAGGAAGCCGTGTAAGGCAGCGAGTTCGATGGACGATGAGTCTTCCATGGCGTCGTGTCAGACATGCGATCGAGAATTTGTGTTGCCATCCTGCGCGCCCTTGGTTGCGCCAAGTTTCATAATCAACCCACACTCTGTACCGGGCTGAGACTCAAGATATGAATTCCCGCGATGTGGAGGCAGCCTGCGATAGCACCTGCATGAAGACCCGACGAATGAGATCCTGGCAGACGCGGCACCTATCGGAAACCCTACGAGTCGTCTCATAGGGCCACGAACAAAAGTGTTGCTCACTTACACAGACCTATTATCCATACGCAAGATTGGCTTGAAGGTTTTCTCGATGCCTTTTCATTCCTTTTGCTCTTTAACACGGTCTCGCCAGCATCTTATGCATTCCTTTACTCATCGGCTCAAAGTCAATGCATTGAAAGCATCCACCAGCCATGTCTACCAAAGATGAGAAAACTCTCGAGTATGGCGAGAAACCACCAACAGGATCCACCGAACCCAGACAGTCTTTGGAAAATGGAGTTGGCGAGATCATACACACAGTCAACGCTTCGGGCCATCGAGATCAACTGCAACGGCATTATGGTCCTCTACAAATTTGCGGTCTCGCTTTAAACATCGACTCTGCTTGGGTAGCCTTTGCTGGCTCATTGATCCTTTCGTTACCCAATGGTGGTCCTGCTGGCGTTCTCTACGAACTTATCACTGCATGCATCTACTATGGTATCATTGCAGCATCTATCGCTGAGGTATACTTGACATTATATACACGCATCAGTACAGTGTCACTAACCTGAGTACAGCTTGCTTCAGCAGTTCCTACCGCTGGAGGTGTATACCATTGGGCGTCGGTCACTGCGGGTCCAAGATGGGGAAGAAGTATTGGGTTCTTCGCTGGTAAGTCATAGCTCGTCGAAGGTGATGGTCTTCGCTGACAAAACTCTCAGGTTTTCTCAACTTTGCTGGTTGGATATTCGATCTCTGTTCGATCATTGCAATCCCATCCAACGTCGTCCTTCAAATGTACTCGCTCTTCAACCCCGATTTCGTCCTTGAGGCCTGGCACACCTACCTGACCTACGTTCTGATAACATGGTTCTGTGTTCTTTTCTGCATATTCGGCAACCGCTTCCTGCCACTTCTACAAAATGTCGGCCTATTCTTGCTTATCGTCGGTGGAGTTGTCAGCATCATCGTACTAGCTGCGACACCGAAAACACATGCAAGCAGCACTTTTGTCTGGTCAGACTGGCAAAACACTACCGGCTGGGGCGGTGGAGTAGCCTTCTTGACTGGTGTGCTCAATGGCTCTTTCACCATTGCTACCGTCGACAGTGTGAGCCATATGGCAGAAGAGCTCCCCAACCCACGCCGCGATATTCCACGAGCAATCTTTGCACAGGTCTCTCTTGGAGCCATAACCGCATTTTTGTACGCCATCGCACTTTTCTACGCAGTCAGCGACCTCGATGAAGTCATCAACACTACTGGCTCCTTTCCTGTCGCCGTCATCTACCACCAGGCAACTGGCAATGCTGGTGGAGCCTTCTGCCTGTTGCTCATCGTTTTCCTCATCATCATGATTTGCGCCATCTCGACTACCCTGTCTCTTGGTCGCACCTGGTGGGCCCTTGCCCGCGATCAAGCCACACCTTTCGGCAAACTCTTTTCTTCTGTAAACGAGGATCTCTCCTGCCCTATTCCAGCAACCATCCTTGTCGGCATCCTGGTTACCGGTCTCGGTGCCATCATTCTTGCCTCGGGCACTGCTTTCAACGATCTTGTTGGCTCCTTCATCGTCTTGTGTGCATTCAGCTACTTCCTGGCCATCTTCCCTCACCTTATCACCGGCCGCAAGTACACACCTAAAGGCTCTTTCTGGATGGGCAAGTGGGGCTTCGGAGTTAATGCCCTAGGTTGTGTGTTGATCGTCTTCTTCAACATCATGTTCTGCTTCCCTTATGCTATGCCCGTCTCACCAGATTTGATGAACTACAATTCTGTGATTTTGGTGGGTGTGCTGATTATTGTCACCTTCTGGTGGCTTTTCTATGGACTGAAGCATTATCCTACTCCAAAGGTGCTTACTGAGGCAATGAAATGAGTACCACTCCCTCCATAATGTAAGATATACCGCTTGTGTTATTGCGTTCGCCTATGAATATCTGTAGCGCAGTCTGTGCGATGCAATATCAATAGAATTCCCTCCGATTCCTCCCAAATCAAGAACTCTTTCCTCCAAATCAAGACTTCTTTCCTTTTCCCTTCTTGCTCACATCCTTGCCGGACGCTCTGTCTGGCCAAACCCCTTTTCTCTTGAACCACTTCGAACAGGGGTTGCAGACATGGCTGTTCTTGACTGGCGACCACGCCCATCGTTGGGCTGCTGTAACTCCACAGAGATTGTTGGCGCAAGGCAGATTCTCTTTGCGTGAGGCACGTTTGTGGCGTCTTGGGGTGCGAAGCTCATCGTTGTTCTCCCTTGCATGCACCTAGCATGCATCGCACAGATAGAAGCCATGAGCGAAAGTCCAATGCCAGGTAGAGTTGCCGTCCATGCCACATAAACCATTCTGACAGACTCCCGGTGGTGGAGGGTTGGCAGCCATTGCTACAAGGTTTGCCGCTTTCGTTGTAAGACGGGACAGGAGCAGCCGAACCAGGACCTCTGACAGTGCCACGGGAGTTCTTCTTGACCAAGGCCTTGCGAAGGTTGGTGGTCTTCTGCTTGGAGGCGGTCCAAGACTCGTACTGGCCTGCGAAATTTGTCAGTATCTGTCTGCGAAAATTGTTGCTCAAGGACATGACATACTGTGGTCATAGAAATCACAGAGCTCGGGGTGGCTAGTGAAAGCACAGTTGCTGCAGGCACCGAAGTTGACATCGCGGGTGCCACTGTTAAGGGTGCGGCAGGTGCTGAACTTCTTGGAGCTGTTGCGGCGACACTAGGTGCAACAGTCATCGTCGTGGATAACAGAACCGCGGGCAGCCTGCTGGAAGATCGAGCCTAGGTGGTAGGAGTGGCTAAGCACGGCGAGTTCGGCATCACGAGCGTTAACCTAGTCGAGCTCGTTAATGAGGTGAAGGCGACGGTTGTGTTGATCAGCGAAGACACCGCCATGGGTGCCGAGGGTGCCGGGATTGATGGTGCTAGAGATTAAGGCGCTGCGCATGTACTGGCGAATGTATAACAAGTCTACGAAGGTTGCGATTAAGCCTAAAAACGTTGGTCAACGATCTGAAGATCTGAAGATCTGAAGACTTACCAGCAGTGGTGATGTCAAAGTCATTAGTGTTATCCTTGTGACCAAGAGGACCTTCGTTGTTGCGGTTAGGCTTCTTGCAGCTATCGTCACCCCCGCCGCCGCCGCCTAAGGCGCTAGAGGACGTGCCGCTAGCGGTGTCATCAACGCGGTTGATGGGAGTGCAAGTCGTCATGTTAAGAGCGCGTGAGATCGTTAATGCGCGTGTTAATGTTGTTGTTCAAGAGAAGCCGGAGAAGTTGTTTTGAAGGCGCAGGCGTCAATTGAGAAGGCGCAGCAAAGAGTGATGAAGACTGTGAGTGATATTGAAGAAGAAGAAAGACTTGAGGCACGAGAAAGGAAGTACTGATCAACCAACAACTGTTGCTGTTGATGTTGATGTCGTGGAGAGCGTTGAAAGCAGCCGGAGGAAGTTATTTGTGGCTCCCTTAAGGCTTCCAACGACGAGTGAATTCAGCTATTCACTCGCTCCATGGAGCTCACGAGCTTCTTCAGCTATTGCTGCCTTGCCTCGTCGACCACTGTCACTGATGGTCATCACTGGAGAACTGAGAGATCAAGCCTCCAGTCCTCACCGACTTACTGGTGAATTTGAAGCCTGTTGAGGCCATGGTATATAGATCTTGAGGAGTATCATTGCATCACTGCGAACATTCGATTTGAACTCATGTCATAAACCATTCTGACAGAATCCCGGTGGTGGAGGGTTGGCAGCCAGTGCTACAAGGTTTGCCGCTTTCGTTGCAAGACGGTCGACTTCCTCCGGCGTAGGGTACTCGTCGTATGACTTGTAGTACGCATCGCAACGGTGGCACATTCTGTCGCCATTGTCGTCGTCGACTCCCTTCACGAGATGCCATGAGTATGCTTCGGGTGTCTCGCAGTTCGCACAGACGTAGTTGTACCTGCCAGTTGTTGCCATGTAGATCTTCTTCGATTCGTTCTGCATCTTGCGAGTCTCGGCGGCGCGTGTTTCAATGTCGATGGGATCGTCGCTGCTGCTGTACGAGAAGCCTTCCCGTAAGACGTTGGTATGGTTTGTTGGGACGGTTGCTTGGATGAATCTCAGCTTGTTGTAGGAAGACAGCGCACTGAGCTCTCTCAAGTGAGGGACGTCGGCGTTCGCACCAAAAAGCTGCCGTGTGACAGCCTCTGCAAAACGAGTAAAGTCTTTGTCCAGAATTGTCTCTCGGCATGTAGTGATGACGAACGGGTCCAACGGATGGTCGATGTCGTCGATGAGCGGAGTGTATGGTAATGGACGGCGGTGGTACGAAGAGTGTAGTGATGGATGACAAAGGTTGTGTTTGTGGAAAGAGATGAGAAAGAAAGCGGGTCCGTCTTTGTTTTGAATCAAGTGAATGATTGGACTTTGTTGCCATTTGAGAAGTCGCGCAGTGTGGGAAGTCGCTGCCACGCCCATCACAACCAGCATCTCTCCACCTCCTTCCTAATCTCGTCCGTCGTCTTTCTCCCGTGTGTTAAACTTTGTCACGCGTATGGCTGTAGAATTGCACGATTTCCAACATTTGCAGAGGTAGCCTCCATTGAGAGCGTAATAGTTAGTGCCTCTCTCCGGATGACTAGGCCGATGTTGGAAAACATTGTGCATTTCTACAGACCAAAAATAATTCTAGGCATGGCCGTGGGAGATGGCTAAATTGACAGAATTTGGCACAAGGGGAGGTTGTGGTTCCGTCGAAGGAGGGATGCAGGTCCGAGGAAAGCGTCACGATGGCGTGAAACTATGAAGTGTCTTTGAAATGACTCTCCCAGATCGAACCCGAAAAACGCCGGACCAAGCAGGGCACGTGAGAATCTTTTAGGCCTGAATTGTTGGCCTCTCTAAGCTATCAGAAATTATAACACTGACTCGGGAGGTCAAGACTCTCTTGTCATTGCTTGATCATATTTCCGGTCGAAAGTTGTGTTAGTCAGGGTGACACTGACAGCAGTATTGACATCCTCATGACATTATTCTGAACAGCAGAGCAACAGAGGAGCTAGAGCAAACGTTTTGCATACTTCCGCGAGACATGACTCGGGTTTTCAAATGCTTTGTGTCTTTGTATCATCAAAGTCAGCTACAATCAACGAAGTAATTCAGCTCGGTCAGGGTGAACTCTGCGCAACGCAATCTGCATTACTGCGAACAATCGATCCAAACTCAGGACTCCTCAATGTGAGTAGGATGAAGAAGTTAAACTGAGTGTGTTAAATTGCGGCGCAATAAAAGTCCATATTCACATTAAACATTACTCATCAGATATGCTACTATCCTCCAGCGTGCTCTCCTTCGAAGAATGACCGATCTTCAGCAAAAAGACCAAGACGGCAGCATAGATCAATCCTAGCGCGAGGAACGGCAGACCAACGAATGCGCCTCCCAACTGCAAGCCACGCTCAAACAGCCAAGCAAACAGAGGACCGCCAACCATAAGAGCCAGAGTATCAACAACACCAATCACAGTATACAGCTCTGCGACCTTGTTCGGCTTGACCAACTCAGTCAAGAAAGATCTCAGATACACCGGAAAGCCACCGCCAAGGGTAGCAATCATCAGACTGATGGTAAAGAGGATTGCGTTTGGAGATAAGCCTACGGCAACAATGCCGAGGAGCATAAAGCAAGCACTTCCACGTGCGAGGAAGAGATCTCGTTTTCGTCCACTCAGACCTGATTTGGCGAGGAGTTTGTAGATCCAAGATTGCATGCCTAGGAACATGACGATCGTTACCCCAGCTTTGACGGTAAGCAACAGAGTTGCTTGTGAGAAACTCATGCTGTAGCGGGTACTCGTGTATTGTAGCAGTAAGGGAACAGCGGTCGTCGTCAACATTACTGGAACGAAGGTAAAGATGAGGCAGATCACACGTTTATCCTGTAAGAAGTACTGAGTCGATTCGATCAGAGGCTCATAACATCGCTGCAGGAAGTTTCTGGCGTCTTTCTTCGAAGCTAGCGGCGGTCTCTCCTCATCGCTCTGCTGGAATTCGCTGGCTTTGGAGTTCGAGTCCTGATACCCAAGCGTCTCTGGGATCAACAGACACATGGGACAACCGATGGCGAAGCAGACTATGCCGAGGAATATCGCGATCAAGGGGTTGAATGTCATGATCCAGGCCGCTATGGGTGGGCAGATGAGGTTAGCACAAAGGTTGGCCGCGAAGATTCGCAGATAGACTGCAGATCTGGTCTCTTGAGTTGTCACGTCTGAGATGATGACGAAGAACAAAGCTGATAGTACCGGCGAGCCTCCACCAGCAAGATTGCCCAGCGATGAGAACCAAGCGACTCGCAGATCGAATGTTTGCCAGAACCAACCTGCCCGGCTATTAGTGACCCTTGGCCAGAAAGCAGGCAATCGAGGCAGGGTCTACCACAACTTACAAACAACTAATTGCCAGACCATCTGAATAGGGAAAGAGCAGATACCGAGCACGATGATCGGTCTTCTGCCCCAGCGATCCGCTAAAATGCCTACTGGAATCGACAGAATGAGACCTGCATGTAGTCAATAAATAGACCGACTTTCAATCCTGAAGATCAACTCACTAGGAACACAGTCAAGAAATTGTTGAGTGCCTTTCAGCATTGCAACCTTTCCTTGTACCTCGGAAATTTTGCACAATCGCTCTTCAACACCTCCAAGTGCGCCTGGTCCAATAGCAGATCTTGGTACGAGAATCTTGGTTGGATCCTCTTTCTCCCAATACTGGTAGCAGTAGATAGACTCCTGGATCCTCGTCAAGGGCGCTTGCGAGAACTGATCACCGCATTGAACGATTAAGATCAAGACTCCCATGATGATCAGGATGGCACGAGGGCTCATCCGACGTGGCCCATTGTCCAGTGATGCTCCATCGAGAGAGCCCAGATCGCGTGCCAAAAGCGGCGTCACTTCTGTTTCAAGCACTGCCGGTAACTTGCTGCTCGCTGGTTCATGTTGCTCAATTTCGAGTACCTCAATTGTGTCTTTCGATGGTCCAGCCGTCATGATGTAAAATGGAAAAAATGACGAATCAATCCCCAGCGCAAGCCCGAAAAACGCGTAAGGGGAGTACGAATACAAACACCCCAAAGCTGTAGTCTTGTAGTTGTACTATTTATCCACCTACCCTTTTGGAGCGCCGCGCCGGGACAGCTCCTACCGGCGATTGTTTGAGATAACGCCGTCAAAGGGGGCCATGTACGACCAGGCATCCACAATCCAGCGACCGCCATTGGCTGATGTTAATTCAGCTGCCTGCGTTTCCAGAGATCAATTTTTGTTTTTTCTCAATGGTATGGGCAGCGGATCCTGATCCCGCCATCGGTTATGCATGCGTTGTTGAAGATGATCTTCTTACAGCAGTCTGATAACCTGTGACGCTGTGACATTATGATGCCGAGGCTCAAGGTGATTTGACGAGATTTGGCGCGCTATCTTACTCGTATGTACCCACCTCTCGAGTGGCAGATGTCCTCCAACATTGACGAGCAGCGCATGAAGCATGGCTGGGAGATACGTGTACAGACGTCGTTTGGGATGTTCGCTTCAAAAGTTGCAGGCTTGTCCGCAGCCAATTTGCAAGCTCAGAACATCGATGAGGCATCAAAAACGTCACTTTCCGCACATGGAAGCCGAGATGTGCAAGATTCGGACATGAGCCGACTTTGACGTTCAATGTTTTTAGGGTGTTGTAGATATTTGGTCAGGCACATCAGGTCATTGACAAAAGAATTGAACATATGAATACGGAAGTTACTTTTTACAGAGAAGTTTAACCTTGTAATCCCACGTCCGTGAAAGACCGCATGCAATCACAACAATGTACGAGAATATGCCATCAATCGTGGTTGACACCGTTGCTCGCCTTGGGGCTGTTTCTCTCGCTTTGAGGCTTGACGGGCCTCTTGTCTTCATCACCACTGTCATCATAATCCTCGTCCATCTCCATCTTACGAGCGGCGGGCTCCAGATGGGGCTGCTGAGGCTGCGGCTGCGGTGGTGGTTGAGACTGAACAGGTGTCGGAGCTTGGGTAGGAGGTTGAGGTTGGGGTTGAGGAGGAGGGGGAAGCTGTTGAGCAGGAGGTGCTGGGGTGTGCTGCTCTCTGCGCTCCTCGTTTGCGCCAATACGTGGAGAGGGTTGAGGTTGAGGCTTCACCTGAGGTGGGCCAAGAGCTGGCGGGTGGTGTGCAGCCTCTGATGGGTGGTAGTTATCGGTAGCACGACGCTGGTCCTCTGCGCGTCGCACTTCTGACGGGCTTCTATAAGGAGAGTTGGGGATGCGATCCATACGGTCTGGCGGCGAGGCACGTCTGCTGCTAGGATCTTCCAGGCGCGAACGACTCTCCTCGTTCGCAGGCTTCTTCTGAGAGCTCATGCTGGAAGCATCATCTTCCCATTCTCTGTGTCTCTTGGGAGGAGCAGTCGAAGGGCGGTCTTCGCGCTCCCTTGCTGCTGCCTCTGCTGCATGCATAGCTGCACTAGGTGGAGGAGCACCCCCAGCGATGCTGGGAGTACCAGATGTAGGATGGTGCTCAAAAGGCTGACGACCAAACTTGCCGTTGGGAGAGGTGTTCTGGTTCTCCATGATGGGACGTATCTCGGGAGGGCTGCCCATCCTGTTAGGGTATCCAGAGGCTTGACCTTGAGCCGGAGGAGGTGCACCCATGCTCACAGCTGGAGGAGGCACACTGGACGACTGCGGGCCATAATTGGGGTTGGCAATACGGTTAGGGGGAGCGGGTCCTTGTTGCTGAGGCAGGGGCTGAGGAAGCTGAGAAGGAGTCTGAGCTTGAGGTGCAGGAGGGTATGCGCCAGGCCCAGGAGCATTGTAAAGCACCTTGGGAGAGGGCGACAAGCCTCTGTGGGCTGGCGGAGGTGGACGCTGAGGTTGGTCCTGGAACTGTCTAGGTTCTTGCTTCGGGGGAGTGGGCTGACGAGGAGGCACATGCTGAGCAAGGCGATCTCTAGAATCATACGGGTTCAACATCTGAGGCTGAGCACCAGGGTTCTGAGGGTTCTGGAGATCGGCAAGACGGTTAGCACGAGACCAGTCTCCACCTGCGGGAAGTGGTGGCTGTTGAGCCCCTTGAGCTTGGCCCGGAGGAGGAGCTCCCCATTGAGGGGCCGGCGGACCAGCGCCTAGAGCACCTGGCTGGTATGCTTGGGGAGGTACATCCTGAGGAAGTGGTGCACCTGCTTGGTTGGGCAGGCCGTTGGTGGGCTGGCCCTTCAGCAGCGCGAGACGGGCCTTGATGTGCACATTGGTGGGGTCGAGTTCGGCAGCTCTCGAGTATGCATCGAGCGCGTCGTTGGTCTGGTTGTTACAAGACTCATACAAGGTGCCGAGATCATACCAGACCTCTGAGATGTTGGGGTTAAGCCTAATGGCGCGGGAGTAGGCATCCAGGGCATCTCTGTACTGGTTGATCTGATAGTACAACACTCCTATTGAGCACCAGAACGTCGGGTTGCGACCATCGCGATAGACGGCTTGTTGATATGCCTCGTAAGCTTTGGGGTACTTCTGCTGAGACATGTAGCAGCGACCAAGAAGGTACCAGCTTTGTGCATCTGTCTGGTCCGAGTTGACCGACTTCTCGAGGTATTCGATGGCCTGCTCTTGACTATTGAAGCTGGTGCTTTGTTGATGATGCAGCCATCCGAGCTGTTGCAAGACCTTGGCGTGGTTGGGGTCGCGGTCGAGGACGCGCATGTAAGCGCTCTTAGCCGAATCATACTAGACCTTGTATTAGTCGTGGTGACGAGATGTGATGAATGGTCGCCTTACCTCTTTCTGCTGCTCGTAAACATGACCAATCTGGAACCAAATGTCTTCTTCACTCAATGGGCGAGGAGGGTCATTGACAATGTACTTGAAGCACTGCATCATGGTCAGTAATCTAGATGTTGCGAAGGACGGTGAATTGACAAACCTCCAAACTTTGCTGGAACTTCTGCTGCTGCTTGTATATTATACCGAGGCGAAAGTATATCTCATTGGCCTTCTCGAAGCGAGGGTCCATGCGCATGACTTGTGAAAAGGCTTCTTCGGCGTGTTCGAGGGAGCCGTAGCGATCATAAAGAATACCGATGCCATACCAGAGCTTGGGTTCCTGCCGGGTATTTAATATTGGTGAGAGCGACGACATTGAATAAGCAGGAGTAGACAAACCTTGGGGTCTGGCAAGTGATACAGCGCTTGCTGGTATGCCGAATAGGCCTGTTGCAGGTCATCCATCATGAGGTAGCAATGGCCTAGACGCGATTAGCTTGGAAGCAGAGAGAAAGAGAAAGGTAGTCGCGAACCAAGACTGCTCCAAACCTCCCCATTGGCATTCTCGATTCTCAAAATCTGCTTGAGATACTCAACAGCAGCAGGAAATTGGTCCTTTGACCTAAGAATGCAGGATATAGCAAGCATGGCCTGGACCGAGTGGTGGTTGAAGCTAAGAGCACGCTCATAGGCCTGAGTTGCGCTATCAAGCTCACCCATCAACTCGGAAACACTTCCTGGGACGTGTTAGTAAACGCGTCATACTAGAGGTAAACACGAATACGCGGAAACGTACCAAGTTGCAGCCAAATGCCCTCATTTGCTTGCTGGAGGAAATGCGATGCTGGCTTGGCCTGCTGAGGTGGCTGCAAGGCAACAAGGCCATTGGGTTGACCTCGACCCTGCTGGACAACATGGTGGGGGTGCATAGCCGCCGTTGGAGACGTCTGAGATGCCATCATGAGGGACTACGGGAAGAGCGCTGTGCTTGGTCAGTCTCGGGGAGCAGCTATAGCAGGAATCGCGTGGTGTTGTGTTGATAGCGCGAAGGAAGAAGACTTACTTGTGGTTACGTGAGACGCGCGCAGACAGACACAGTGCCAAGCGAACAGAGACAAGGTGGGGGAGTTGTGTAGGAAAGATGTCTAGTATAGCTCTGATGAGCGGTGGATGGAGGCTGCTAAGTCTCGGGGGTGTTGATGGGATACACGCGACGAAACAGGCTGCAAGTGAGAAGAGGAAAGAGAAGAAAATCGAGAGGGGAAATGCCAGCAGTCGGATGGACGACGCTTCTCACAGAACCCTAACCCAGAGTCCTGAAGGGCCGCCGCACACCTACATCTGCTTGGCGTAGCTGTTTTTGATGAGCCAAAGAGATCGGCATTATGGCGCCCGCCCCTGTCGAACGGTAGCGCAGGCGGCGTGTGGAGGATACGGAAACGATTCAGGAAATAATGGGGGTTTGCCGAGCCAAGCATTGAGGCCTGCCACGGGAAGGAGCGAGAGCGGTGCACCAATTGGACTGCTTAGATCTGTTGACATCTGTTGCCATCTGCATCTAATCTTCATCTGCAGAGCTTCTAAGCATTCCATCCATCGGCAGCCTGCATGTTTGGCAGTGACAAGGCTCTGATCACGGTCCAGCGCTGTGAGACTCCTTGCCTCAGCTACAACAAGAAGTAGTTGTAGCTAAGACCACACCTACGGTTGACATCCGTACCTTGAAACTGTCGTCTCGTACCTTTGAGCGCCACCCTCCCGTCTTGTGGGAACACCGAGGCTTTCGCGAGAGTTGATTGACATCGTGGGGAAACCACGAAAAGAAACTCAGGAGAGAAAAATGATGATGCCTGCACGTCCGTTGAACTTGGCAAACCGCCATGTTGCGCCCTAAACGCCTTTACACCGCAACGATTCGATGGTCGAATCTCAATCTCGTGATGAACCAGCCACGTCGAATCCTTCGGCGTGCATCATCACTGCACCGTGTGCACTCGCAATGCAGTGATGCACACCGCGCAAGCAAGCCGGCCCGCCGTGCATACTGCAAATTAATGCGCCAATCCGTCAAGCCTGTCGATAATCCCACTCGGCTATCTTTGTCTCTGCCGGCGCTTCGCTGCATATCTCCCCGCCCAGTCAAACGGACGTCTACAGAACGTTCCGACAATAAACCTCCTGTACACAAAGGAGTAATCCAAAACGGTCGGCTGGCTGCTGCAATAGGTAGCGATGCAAAGACATAGACGACGTTGCAACGACCAAACAAGATCCAACGGAATCTAGTATGAACCATCAGGTGCGCCACGGCGAGCCGCGAGCGGCTTTCGAGTTCTTGGAAGCTCTTCGCTGTGGTTAACGTTTGGCTTTTAAAAAGGGTGGCTAGGTCAGGGCCACGTGCAGCCAGATGCTTTTAGGATTTTGGGTGTGGAGCCCACTCGTCTGCGGCTCGATGGCGTGCCTGGCGTGTGTGGCTTTGGCAACACATCGCTAGATCTCTCCGCATCCTGACACCCCCGAACAGGTTCAAGGTCTCGTCACACAGCACCAGTGTGATCGACAGTCAGATGTCCGGGAGAATTTACATTCACTCTCTTGGAAGTACACGCAGGACATGGGCCGAGTTCAGCTGATGTTGCACTCAGATACTAAACGGGTCACCACGGCTCCACGGATCCACTATGCGAGGTTGCAAAAAAGCTTGTTCCTGAAAATGGCGTACTGCCCGATCAAGCTTCACCGTGCTTGGCTGTTAGACATCGATGATCTGAGAATTGACACAAACATCCATGATTCGAAAGCTTGTCAGTGTGAAGTTGTGTTTGGAAGCGCAGTGATTGACTGGTAATTGGATTGCTTTTTCTATTGTATGTGCTGTCGGGCAGCGGCACATTTGGCAAGGTACTCTATGCATGGACCTGCTGACGGCTTCTGGTGTCCCCGAACTTCACGTTGCAGCGTCTGCATGTCGCCTGCACGCAGTTTAGTGCAAGCCCAGCATCTCGGGCGCTCTGCACGAGAATGTTTCAAATCAAGACAGATTGATTTGCCCTCGGTAGCACTCCTACCCTGTGGCTCGTCTCAGTTTAGCAAGGGTTGCTTTCCCTGCGCGGCTTTCGTTGGGCTTGCCAATCTCGCTGGTGATCCAGTCACCAATTTTGCTAATCTCAGAAAGGTCGATACCAGTGTTGACCCCAAGGCTTTCTAGCGAGTAGACCAGGTCTTCTGTAGCGACGTTACCAGTTGCACCTGGCGAATAAGGACAGCCACCCAAACCACCGACAGCGGAGTCAAACGTTCGAATACCATGCTCAAGTCCCACAAGGGTGTTGACCATCGCTTGGCCAAAAGTGTCGTGGAAGTGCAGGGCCAGATCGTCATTGCGAATGCCTGCTGAGGTCAGAGTACGCAGCAGTTCTCTTGTGCGAGGTGCTGTGCCCATTCCTGTGGTATCCGCGACTGAGATCTCATCGGCTCCCATCTCAAGTAGACTAGCAGCTAGTTCTGCCACCTTGTGCGGGTCGACATCTGGGCCTTCGAAGGGACAACCTAGAGCGACGGAGATATAAGCACGTACACCGAAGCCCTTGTCTCTGGCGGCAGTGATCAGAGGCTGGAACCTATCAAGCGATTCGGCGATGCTGCAGTTTGTGTTCTTCTGCGAGAAAGACTCAGTCGCGGCGAGGAAGATCGAAACTTCATGCTTCGGCTGCTCGACGCTTGACTTTGCATCCATGGCGGCGGCTCCAGAAGTCGCAGAGGGCATGTCATTCGGATTCTGAGATGATGTATTCAGTGCAGGACCAGAGTCATGAACAGGAGATGGCGGAGGAGTTGGGTAAGAATTGGTCCCCTTGGTCGAGGACTGGTTGTGGGTAGAGATAAAGTTGGTTAGACCCTTTATGTTTGGCAATAACCATTGATAAGTTACGGGTTCGGTCGACTGAGGGGGTTGTTGCAGAATATTTTGCAGCACCTTGTCTGAGCTTGCCATCTATACAGTGTCAATTGTCAGTGAGAAATGTTGAAGTTGGACATACTCACTTGCGGAGTCCACTTTGGGTGAACGAACGAGCCAGCCTCGATGGTCTTCAGTCCGGTGGCCGCGAGTCTCCTGACCAAATCAATTTTGACATCAGACGAGATGGATGACTTTTCATTTTGCAAGCCATCTCTGGGTCCGACTTCAACAATTCTGACCTGATCTGCAAATCGTTTGGAAGTGATAGAGAAGCATCGCCTGCTCAGAGGCTTAGGCAGCCTAGGATGTCTCAGTGTACGCATGGTTCCAGACATGGTCTTTGATCCAGAGAGACTGCAGCTCAGGAGCGAGTCGAATGGAGGATAATCTTTTCGCAATGCAAAGTACACTGTACCAACAACAGTCACAAAGATGGAGTCATGCCTCGGGCTATGTGGAGAGAGAGAGCGGGGGCGGCAGGACGGGAGCCAAGGCCGAAGAACGACGGCGCGGCGTCGGCGGCTATCGGCGCCGATGCCGTAGGTAATCATGATATTTTTTGGACATGGGCGCAACTTTTCGAATAAGAACAAAATGGAGCAAGACCGACGACAAGCAGATCTCTCGACACCAGAGCTCGATGGCGAGGCCATCGCCGTGTCTAAGCAACCTAAGAAGCGATTCATCGGACGTAGGGCAGCAGCAGAAAAAGCAGCGGCCAAAGGCGAGACAAATGGCGGCGGTATCGAAGACAGCGGGGCTGTTCAAGGTGCGCATCTTGCTATGGTCTGATTACGAGCTGTACTGATAGCAATCTGCAGTCGCCGCACCCAGAAGGAGCGCTCGTGCCTTGAACCAAGTACCTCCCGAGATTCTGAACGATGAAGACATCAACGCAGCCGTTGCCCTACTCCCCTCCAACTACAACTTCGAAATCCACAAGACCATCCACAAGATCCGCACTGCAGGAGCAAAGAAAATCGCGCTACAATTTCCCGAAGGCCTCTTACTGTTTGCGACGACCATATCCGACATCATCACACGCTTCTGCCAGGACACGAGCACATTGATCATGGGCGACGTGACATATGGCGCATGCTGCATAGACGATTACACGGCGCGCGCATTGGGGTGTGACATGCTGGTGCACTACGCGCACAGCTGTTTGATCCCTGTCAGCGTGACGCAGATCCAGACGCTATACGTCTTCGTCGACATCGGTATTGACGTCTCACATCTCCTGGCGACCATCGAACGAAACTTCAAACCAGGATCTAGGATCGCCATGGTTGGCACCATTCAGTTCAACGCGACGCTGCATGGTACGGCTCCACAGCTGCGGAACGCGGGCTACGACGTCGTGATACCGCAGATTGCACCGCTGAGTAAAGGCGAGATTCTGGGTTGCACAAGTCCAGCCCTCAAGGACGAGGACAAGATTGACTCGATTCTATATCTGGGAGACGGACGCTTCCATCTGGAAAGTGCAATGATTCACAACCCGACGATACCTGCGTACCGATACGATCCCTACTCGAGGAGGTTGACACATGAAACATATGACCACGAGCAGATGATGTCTTTGCGAAGTGATGCCATCAGGTCAGCAGGAAAAGCAAAGAAATGGGGGCTGATTCTTGGATCGCTCGGAAGACAAGGAAACCCGCATACAATGACCATGATTGAGCAGCGGTTGCAAGAGAAGGGCATACCATGGGTGAACCTGCTGCTCAGCGAGATCTTCCCGGGAAAGTTGGGAATGATGGACGACGTTGAGTGCTGGGTGCAAGTAGCATGCCCTAGACTGAGTATCGACTGGGGTTATGCGTTCCCACGACCATTGTTGACGCCGTACGAGGCGTTGGTGGTGTTGGGAGAGAGAGAAGGATGGGAAGGAGATAAGAAGGTATATCCGATGGACTTTTATGGAAAGGATGGTCTGGGAAGAACAAAGCCTGAAGATGTGGCCGCCAGGACGCGGGCAGTCCAGAGTGTCGCGTAGATGTCATGTCACAATATCAAAGATAGCGACTTGTTTGGATGTTGCAATTCATGTTCGACCGTGATGTTTAATTCATGTTGTTGTGCAAAGTCAGGGAGGTCTTTATTGATCGGCGTCGACGCTTCAACATGGACAGGGACATGTGTTTCAAGATGGCTTCTCACTTAGCCAGCTCATTCAACCTTCCTAACATGAGCAAATGAGATCATCGCAACAATGGCAAGTCTGACGCTGGGCGTGGGACAGACAATCGAACTCAACGATGGGAGACAGGCCGTGGTGCGGTTCCTGGGAGCGACGGGCTTTGCGCCGGGAGAATGGGTCGGTGTAGAGCTGCACGATGCGACTGGTAAGAACGATGGATCAGTCAAAGGCGACCGGTACTTTGACTGTGAGGCCAACCATGGCATGTTCTTGCGCGCCCAGGGAGTCAGTCGTATCGTGAGTCGGCCGACGACGAGACCGGCTAGTATCAACCTTGGACAGGCGCGTCTCGCAGACACCAAGGCGACTTCTGCTCTGCCTTCTCCTACAAAGTCGCCGACCAAACTTGTTCGAACTGCTACTCCGACCGCGTCTCAGCCCACCAGGAATGCGACTCCTCCTACCACAACGACTGCACGTCGCCCTGTCTCGACCGCTACTGCTAAACCACGAACTGCCTCAAATCTGAGCGGTCCTTCCACGCTATCTGCTGCTGCTAGGAGGACATCCACTGTACCCCCGTCCAATGCCTCGACTACAGCTCAAACCCCTCGAACTTCTGGCTCAACAGCTGCTCCCTCCTCGTCGCGTTTGACTGCTCGCAATGTCTCTACCGCAAGAGGCCTCACCCCTGCGACCAAACAACCTCCCGCACCCATCCGTCAGACTCCCGCTGCCCGTCGCGTATCGTCCGCGCCAAAGCAACCACAACCTCAAGATAGTCCTTCGCCTGCGACTTCCCCCTCGATCGCTCACCCGGACCACTCTCAGGACCCTCAAGACAGTGAAGATGCTCCTCAGTCATTCGCCCCATCCTCAAAGCCTGCCACTTCACCGGCTGCATCACATACATCACTACGCCCGACCAAGACTACCGCGCGAGAAGTTGAGGACCTACAAACAAAGATGAAGATTATGGAACGCAAGCGCCAGGAGGACCGCGATGCTTTGAAAAAGATGCAGAATGTCGAGCAAGAACGGGATAAATATGCGAGCGTCGTTCAGAAGATGCAGTCAAAGATGCAAGCCCAGTCGCAAGAGTTGAACGACCTCAGGGGTCAGCTCAAAGACTCTGAGAGCCGCTTGCTCGATATCGAGGCAATCCAAGCTGAGCACGATGCTGTCGTTGAAATGGCCACTCTCGATCGTGAAATGGCCGAGGAGACAGCAGAATCGCTCAAGACTGAAGTTGACGCTTTGCGGACCAGCAATGAAGAGATGCGTCTCGAACTCGACATTCTCAAGGAAGAGAATGAAGAGCTAGGCAGAGAAATGAACCCCGAAGAGCGTACAAGTCAAGGCTGGCTCCAGCTAGAACGCTCCAACGAGCGTCTGAGGGAAGCTCTGCTCAGGCTGCGTGATATGACCCAGGAACAAGAGTCTGACCTGAAGGCTCAAATCAGCAGCCTCGAGGAAGAAGTCAAGGACTTTGGTCTACTGAAACACGACTATGAAGAGACCAGAGAGAAATTACTTGCAACCGAGGCTGATTTGGATGACATCCGCCAGCAGCTCGATGCTGCCATGGGCGCTGAAGACATGATCGAAGAGCTGACGGAACGGAATATGACCATGCAAGAGAAGATTGACGATCTGGAACTGGTCATTGAAGATCTTGAAAATCTCAAGGAACTCAACGATGAACTTGAGATCAACCATGTAGAAGCTGAAAAGCAGATGCAGGAAGAGATCGACTTCAAGGATACCATCATCGGCGAACAATCACGTCGCTCTACACAGCAACAACAGGCCATTGAAGATTGTGAATACACAATCTCACGCTTCCGTGAGCTTGTTACCAACCTGCAAGCCGATCTGGAAGACATGCGTGCATCGCGACAGATCACAGAGACCGAAGCAGAGGAACTGTCAAGCAGAAGCCGTGCAATGATGGATCTCAATATGAAACTTCAGATGTCTGCTGCCAAGACACAAATCAAGACAATCGATCTCGAATTGCGACGTCTCGAGGCCGAAGAGGCAGCAGAGCACCTGTCGATCGTCCAGCTGTTCCTACCCGAAGCATTCCATACAGAGAGGGACTCGATTCTTGCATTACTACGCTTCAAGCGCGTGGCCTTCAAGTCTCGTCTGCTCAACAACCTGATCAAGGAACGTCTGAATGGACAGGGAACCAAGATCGCTGATGAGGACATCTTCGCCGCCTACAGTGTGCTTGACAGACTCACATGGGTTGCCGAAATGAGCGACCGATTCATCAATGGCATGCGCAGCTGCTCTGTTGAAGAGTTTGCCAGATTTGAAAGTGCACTCTATGAGCTTGAGCCTGTGGAAAGAGCATTGAATACCTACATCGAGTCCATCAAACGAGATGACATGAAGGAGGGTAGAGTGGACGAAGAGCTGCAAAGGTCAATGGCAGTCATGTCTCATTTGGCCTCCATACATATCAAAGAATCACTTGCAGCATCTGCTAGCGATATGCTTATGCAGACTTCCCTCGTCCAGAGCCATTTGGACAGCACTTCGTCAGCGATCAGTCTGTGCAGATCCTTGGTCCAGACGCATGTCCCTACACCACCAGACAGCGAGACTGACGAGGAAACCCTTTTCACACAGCTGGATAACATCATCTCCAGCATCAGAAGTGCTCGCGTCGTGGTCAACAAGACGCATCGCAACATCACTGATCTGCAATCACGTTCGCTTGCATTGAGTCCCTCTAACTTAGAGCTTCTCATCTCCGCAGAGAGTCTGACGTCCAAGCTCGCTGTCTTTGGACGTCGCGCCGGCGAAAAAGTCCAGAGCCTGTTCGGTGAGGAAGGCCGTGAAGATACAATCACCCTGGGTGAAACCGAGCTTCTCTTGACCCGTCTGTCCGCAAGCATCTTTGGCAGTGGCGCAGCGGAGTCAGCACCATTCGAGTCTCTGTCTACCTACCTTACCTCGCTGACCATTCAACTCAACGAGCTCAGCGACATCTCAGCCAATCTCGAGAACACCCAGGAGTTTGAACGCCCGGCCGAGCCATGGGTGATCCGTAGTTCCACTCTCCGCTCCACCAAGCTCACCTCCATCGACACCGAAGCCGAAGTCGTCCGCCTCACAGAAGTTGTCCGTGAACGCTCCCTTCTCGTCCGTTCCAAAGAACAAGAACTGGAGGAACAGAGCGTGCGTATCGAAATGCTCGAGGCTCGCATGGCCGAAGCCACGAAACGATCATCCGCCCTCGCCGACCTCGAAACTTCCATCACCGCTCTCCAAAAGGAAAAGAGCATCCATCAGACTGCTCTTACTGAAGCCGAAAACAAAGTCACCAGACTCAGGAGAGAACGAGATGAGTGGAGAAAATCGGCAGAAGATAATAAACCAGATGTCAACGCTACTAACAACGTCGCCACCGAGATGGGAGGAGCAAGTAAGATGGAGCTTGATAGAGCCAACCTCCGCATTACAAGCCTAGAGTCAGCAATCCGCTATCTCCAAACCCACTCTGCTGCTTCCACAACCACCACTGCCACCAGATCTTCAGATCTGGACTGGCTAGAGACACCGCTTCTCCCTCCTCCATCCAAGCATCAGCAACGCCAGAAGACACTTCACGCAGAAGGCAAGACCGCATTCAGCGAATTGTTGAAACTGGTCACCGAGGCCAGACCTGTGTCTCTCGGCAATGCACCAGCGAACAGACTTGCTTGGAGACCTGCTGCACAGACAGCTAACTACACTGCTCAAAAGAAGAAGGAAGATTGGGCAATATGGCGGGATTGGGAGAGAGATATTCTTGATCGTGTTGAGGGTAGATCTGGCAAGAAAATCAGCAGGCCATCGAAGGATCAGGATTATGTTGGCAGTGGAGATGCTGTTGTCATTGTAGGCGAAGACGACATGTAAGATCACTAAAGAATTGAAGAAACGTTCTTGTCAAATTTGTGAATCGATGTGTTTCTTGCGTGCTTCTTGCGCTTTGTGTGGACTCTCGCCCCTTGGAGAACGAAGCCCTCGTTAACTCGATACGGCTAGTTTCGTCCCGTCACGTGTCATGCTCGCTCGTGGAAAGTTATGCCGTGATGCAAATAAATTATGCACGATGTCATCTTTCTCCTGAAGGCGCTGTCGTCTCTATATAGCTAACGCTGGTCTCTGTCCTGGTATCTTTATAGATTCATGGACCTCATGACATACCACAGAACACTGTTGAGAGTCCTTGGATCTTGTTGTCACGAAGAAAACATTGTGCTGCGAAGAGCTGGTTTTCAGACCTGAGAGCATGCAGAAAGCCCGTACACATCCATTTTCTGTAATTTGTATGTTCTATGTGACCAGGAATGAAGAATTCTGCAAAAATCGGTTGGTTTGGGGCAGAATGTTCAAATTCGGTGGAGGAATGCTGGTATGCGCGTCGAGCTGCGAAGACACCTCAAACCGATTGAGATCAAATCGAAGATCTTACTGACCATACAAACCTGTTACAGACAAGGTGGCCATTGCTTTTACGAGAGCCACACACTTACTTGGACAACTTGTGCTCACTCGCGCGAAGCTATCAGCAGATATGCAAGCGTTTCGTAATAGTGGACTGGAATCTATCCTCCGATGAAAGACCCCTGTGCTCGCTGGGCATTATTCGATCATAAACAGAATTATGCACATCAACAATGCTGGCAAGGAGAGCATTTTGGTTTGGCAACACAGCTTTAGAAATTGACGTCAGCGGTAAAGAGGGGCAGGGCACTGTTTGTTACCAAGAAATCTCACAGGCACCAACAAACATGCAACGACCAACACTCAGACTTTTACGCACACATCTACTACGCGCCAAAACTTCAAGATCAATCTCCAGGTCACCAGCACAAGAAAAGATTTACTTCCCTCAACGAGGTCTATCACAAACCACACGAATCAACATGTCATCCGATCAGGAATACGCCAACTTTTTGGAAAAGGCCAACCAAGATACCGGCAGCAGCAGCAACGAAGTCAAGAGCAGCGGTTTCGCGCAAACGAAAGCAGTGGATTCCGCTGTCCCAGCACCGCTGAAAGATGTGGATGCTTTCTATCAAAGCGACACCGATGAGCCCTTCGAGCCTGTTGCGCTGAAGTATGGCAAGAAGGATTCCATCAGTCAAGGTCGGTTTATTCGAAGAGGATTTATCAAAGTAGAAGCTGATGTACAACAGACAAATTCGCTGATCTGATCAACCATTCTGGAGAGGTGGAAGAGATCAGTGTCAAGGACTGGAATGTCAAGAACGTCTATGCTGAGGTCGTTGAGGCTGTCAAGAAGGCTGGTAGTGGCAAAGCAGATGTGCAGGTGTTCCGTGTCGCTCATGGCAGCACTCGTTGCGAATACTACATTGTCACTCTCAATGATGAGGGCGTCGTTGTCGGTGTCAAGGCCAAGGCTGTTGAGAGCTAGAGTTTGGCTATTTGGCTTCTTCAACATCCTTTCTGTTTCCTGCCTACTTCTGCGTAGGTAATTTTGATACCCATATCCAATCCACTTCATCATAGAATGAGAGTGCCCAACGTCCGAAATGATATCCTGATTTACTGATGTACAAGTCTCACACAAAGCACACTAGCCGCAGCAGCACTTCCACCCAATCCAACCATCTTCAATCCCTCCACAATTCTACACCCCCACCTTCTCTCTCCTAGAACAGCAGTCTTTCCCACTCCGAACCCGAAAAGTGTGAAAACCATGACCACCACCGAACACACCAAAGCAACACCCCCATCCTCAATAAACACATACGGCAACAGCGGAATCAACCCTCCAAAGAAATAGCCAAAAGCAATGCATAAAGCACTGGTGTACAGACGAGGTGATACATCCGCGGATTCGAAGCGGTGGTGGTGTTCAAGTAGAAAGTTGATAGTCTTGTCGTGAGCCGAAGTGATGTCGGTGGCTACTGCGTCGAGCAGAGAGGCAGAAACATAGCATTCTAATGTTGATATCACCGCTGCTCTGGCTTCTGCTGGTGATGTATAGACCATTGCGATGGTACTTGCTTTTGTCGTAGCTGCTGATTGTCTGTTGCACATCAGTACAATAACTTCGATATCTCCAGACGTTAAAACACTTACGCTTCACCACTAGCTCCTAGATCTGTCACAGGAATTAGCATGCAACTTCCTCATGCCCTTGCAAACACCAAAAACTTACAACCACCGATTCCCATACTTATACTCCCAGCCATCAACTCAGCCAATCCCGCAAATACCACAATTTTTGTATCTCCCAGTGCAGCTAGTCCGGCGGTGAGAGCAAATGGAACGGTCAAGCCATCGCTCAGACCTAATGTCAAATCCGAAATTGTGCGAGGGTCGATTCTCTGATGCCATTTTGAGGGTTTTGAATAGGCAGTGGTGAACTCAGAAGGTGATTGTTTTTCTGAGTCACTACGACTAGACGTTGGGAGGGGCGAGTATGTGCCGGATGTATCGCTTCGCAGAAAAGAAGTTATAGAGCTAAGTGCCATGTTTGGTGTCGAATATGTTATTTGTATTCGAGGATGAGCTGGCCGGTGAGTTCGGGAGTAATATTTGTGTGAGTGGGCGGTAGGTACTGTAGAGAGGGAGGGAAAGAAACATGAATGAACGGGTGCTGGGGCGAGCTACAAACATATATGCTCGAGTACTACCCACGTGGTGGCTATCAAGCGGCACACTTTCTCTGTATCCCCCGTCCCCGCAAGATCAAGAAAGGCAGAATTGTGACGCGATAGGCATAGTCACACCAATTGAATGGTAGGACAGGAGCTCTAATCTCATAGAGCAAAAATCCTGGATGACTGAAGGTTTTAGAAGTTTAGAAAGATACGAAGAACGGAGAATTTAAGATGGAAGCAAGACAGACATATACAGGAAAGATAACACTGGGGCATGGCCTCTTTTTTCCTAGCAGGCCCAATGGACGACCATCACGAGGCTCAACAGTTTGTGGGATCTGAAGCCCACAGTAAGGCAGACTGATTTTCGATCTCTCATTGGAAACGACCCTGAAATAGAAAACGATTGTGCCTTTTCACAGCTTCGTCAACAGCAGTCTTCATTGCTGGAGTCTCTCTGCTTTTGTTCCCAACTGTTTTACGTCTGAATTTTTGCTCATGATAGGCTTAATGGACTGTTTTCCGCAAAAGCATCAACCTCTAGTTGGCCCAGCCCTGGGGAGGGTACATGCCATCAGGGATCTGTACAGTGTTCTGATAGTAGGTCTGATTTTGAAGTGATTCGTCACCCCAAGTACGCACAATTCTGCCAAGAACCTTGCGGCCGTTTCTGACAAGCTTGGTGTTGGGAGGAGGAAGAGTGACAACTTGTCTGTCAGAGTTGAAAAGACCAGCGAAAGAAGTGTTGAAGAAGTGCGTAGGGTTGGCACTGGTAGCTGCATCCCATGCAGTGTTGGTGTCGCCAGTCTGGTCGGCAACGACAGAGAAAATATTGGCGCCAACGTCCCAACGACCAAGTGTGTGCAGGTTCCAGTTGGCCTCGACTGTGCTGATCTCGGAGTAGTGGTTGTAGTATTGAGGGTCAGTTGTACCAATGAGCTTCTTCGGAACTGCGTCGCCAAGCAGCATGCCCAAAACGCGATTTGATGAAGTATATGTATGATTCTCATCGAAGGTGACCAGGATGAGTGTGTTGGCCATGAAATGATGATGCTTCTCATCTAGCAACGGCTCCAAGAAGCTACGAGTCCAGTTACCAGCAAAGGTCACAGAGGTGTCATGTCCATCGTTTTGCATACTAGTAGTGAAAAGTCAGAAATCACGGTTGTGTCTGGAGGAGGAAGAAGAAGAAGTAGAAGAAGCGTTTGCTTAAGCATTCGTACCTAGGAGTGATGAACATCCATTGCGGCAGCTTCTTGGCTTCAAGGTCGCTGTAGAATTGGGTCAAGTTCTTGTTCTTGGCCAGTCTTTCCTGGCTGGTGTTCGCATCGTAAATGATAGCGGGGTTATGTTTTCGGACGTAGTCATTGGCTTTGGTTTGTTGATTGATCCAGGCCTTGCCTTCGAATCCAGAGTAGGGCATATCTTCCTGGTATTGAGACCAGGATATACCTTTGTCCTCAAGAAGGTCGATAATAGACGAGACATTTCCGGGTAAGTTGTTTACATTGTCATTGTCCATGCCAAAGTTGTCACCGCCAATGGCAGCCACATAGTTAGGCTCACTGGGATGGGTGACACCAAAGTAATTGCTGAGTGTAATACCCTTCTTGGCTAACCATACAAGGTTAGGGTCACTGGCGGCTTTGTCGTAGTCGGTGTTCTCGAGCCAGATGACAACGAAACGATCGAACGCCTTGCCCTTGACATTGGAGGTTGGGGAGAGTGTCAGGGCGGAAGCTCTAGCAGCAGCGACATCTGCTGCTGCAGTCGCAGTCAAGTTGACAGCGACAGCCTGGCTGGAAAGAGCCAGCGCAGACAAAACGAGAGTAGAAGAATGCATCGCAGATCAAACGAATGGTGTTGTACTGATCTTCGATAGGAATGAGGGCGGGCAAATACAACCTTTATCATCTAGCATATTGCACTCTGCCTCTGCCGTCGCCGCAAGCACATACCGCCATTTGGGAGATAATCGACCTTCCTAGAATACTCGTAGCTAGGTGGCGGACGAGTGGGAAGAGCTTGTGTCCATGAACCCTACACACGTGGGACCTAGCTGTACAGGACGGCATGTAATAGCCGCGCCCTCATTGGCACGGCGGAGTCTGGTGTCAATCTCCTGCCTTAGCAAGAAAATAAACATGTCGGTTGGAAGTTCAAGCTCCACTATCGAGCATGTAGAAGGTTGTTCAGCAAAAGTCCGAGGCGGGTGGAGGAAGCACATGTCGAACAAACAGCCGTGATTGGCCGCTCCGAAGCGTTTTGTTTCTCCGTCCACCTTCCCTTCACGAATCACGACCACATTCTACGGATATTCGGCGCGCGCACCTTCCTGAATAATAACAAGCATTGCCGTGATTTTCTAGGCGTGTCTTGATATGAATTGGCTCCCGCCCGCCGCCGCGGCATCAGCCTGCAGGCCAGCTACAAGCAAAGACGTTCGAGAAGTTGTCGCGTTTTCGACCCGCGCCACATGATCATGTTGAGTAGAAGGCAAGAGCACTGAAGATCGCCGCAGGATACTTTTGTATTCGCTCGAATTTTTGCAATTGCTGTCTTCATACTCTGCTCAGTTTCTCCTCTCCTTGACTGGGCAATATTGAGGCTGCCAATCGCCGAGCGTACAACATGACGGCAACGGACGAGGAATTCGCTATGAGCGAGACTTCCGACCATTGGCTCGACAATGATTCTCAGAGCCGAATTCTGCTTGATGAAGAGAAAGCTCGCACAGATGTCGGCTCACAGCCACGTTCATTCAGATGGTGGCAGTTCGCACTGCTGTTTCTAATATCAGTCTTGTTTCTTGTGCCATTTGTAGTCAATCTCGCGCCCAAGGGCTCATCGTGGAGCGAGTTTATGACAGATGGTTCGCGACAATCAGCTGTGAGCACTGAGTCGTCTCAACCTGAGGAACCCAATTTGGCGACTGCAGATCGGACAAAAGGCGCTACACCATCGCCTGAAGATGAATATCTGCTTGATCCTGCCTGGGATCTCCAGGCTGCCCCCACTACGAGAGAGTACAATTGGACTCTCACGGAGACGGAACTGAATCCAGATGGCGTATGGAGACCGATGCTGCTCATCAACAACCAGTTTCCCGGTCCTCTGATAGAAGTCAACGAGTACGACACAATTCGGGTCACCGTCAACAACCTAATGAGCAACTCGACATCTATACATTGGCACGGGATCTATCAGAACGGCACAAACTCTATGGACGGGACCGTTGGTGTCACGCAGTGTCCAATTGCCCCAAATCACAGCTTCACCTATGAATTTGTGGTGAAAGGGCAGAGTGGTAGTTACTGGTACCATGCGCACCAAGGTCTTCAGACTTCGGATGGCCTGGTGGGTCCATTGATAATCCACTCAAGAGACGAGCGGAAACTGCAGCAAATTCAATACGCCAGCGACCGCGTCATCACGCTATCAGACCATTATCACGATTTGTCTGGAGCACTCGCTAGGAAATATCTCGCCCCAGATATGGAGAATGCAGAGCCCGTGCCGGATGGAGCTCTCATGAATGGTCGTGCTATCCGTAATTGCGACAACCTGCCTCATCGGAGATGCGACAACACCACAAGCAATGTCGGCCTACCCACCTTCGACCTCGAGCCGAAAAGACATCACAGATTGCGCATAATAAACGTTGGTGCTTTTGCCGAGTTTCAATTCCAAATCGACGAGCATGAGCTGGCAGTCACAGAAGTTGATGGTACTGACGTCCGACCAATCAGCTATCATCGCCTCAATATCAACCCAGCTCAGCGCTATAGTGTGATTGTTCACACCAAAAGCAGGGAAAAAACCAACTTCAGAGTGAGAGCTCGGATGATTACTCACTGTTTTGCTGAAAAGAACCCATATATGGTAGCAACGGTTGAAGGCGTTTTGCGTCATAGCAGCATCCCTAATCACGAGTTGGCCACTGAACTTCCGGAGACTATTGATTGGGACGAGGCTATCGGCCTTGAGTGCAAGGATTTGAACACCACAGAGTTGGCGCCTGTGCCAGTCATTGCAGCACCCGCAAAGCCAGATTCACTTGTCTACCTACGTTCCAATTTCGAGATCGGCGCCTACAGGCTCTCTAGAGGCAAGTTCAATACGAGTAGCTGGCACGCGGATGTTCAAAATCCTACATTGTTCCGAGCTATCGATGGTTTGCAGGCAAGCAACACGTCCTTCGATGAAGCGCAAAGCGACAGGTCAGTGTTCGTCAACGACCGGGCGTTCTATCAGCCCACGGAGCTCGTTGTTCAGTCCTCAGGCATTAAGACCATCGACATCTTGATCTCCAACTTTGATGATGGTAATCACCCGTACCACCTTCATGGATACAAGTTCTGGGTACTTGCTCAAGGCCACGGATACCCTCCAAGAAAGTCACTTGATGGTCCTATGGATCTGGACAATCTCTCGCCGCTATATGATTCGCTTGACTTATCGAATCCTCTGCGTCGTGATACGGCTAGTATTGAAGCGTTCGGCTGGGCCCTGATTCGCTTCGTGGCCGACAGTGCAGGTGCTTGGGCCTTCCATTGTCACACATGGCATACGGAAGCTGGTCTTCTAATGCAGTTCCTCACGCGCACTGATCTCCTGGTTGATAGCGAGATTTCAGAGGCTCATCGGGGACTCTGCATGGCAGATAGACTTGATCTGGAAAGAGGCATGGGCCCAAAGGATGAAATATATTACGATGAAGCATGATCGCTGTATTGAAGATATCGTGATCGTCTCGATCCCTCCTCGGGCCCCTAACCTGTGCTAAGATTTGTTTTCCGCAATATTCTTGGGGTCGTTTTTGGGCCATAAAGAGATGCAGAATCATATCAAGATTGGAGTCGCGTCCAGCGAGAGGGGCAGATGGAGGCCCAGAAACATTTCAAAGCTCAATTGCTTGGATTCAAAGCAAAGTCTTCCACGCCTGAATGTCATCGCTTCGCATGATGATTGAGTAAACTCGACTCAACGACTAGTGGGGAGTTGTGTTTGGCTCCAATCTGAACTCGCAAAAGGATTCTGGGTCAATAGTCTGCGACAAAGATGAGGATCAATTTGTATTTGGAAGACTGAGCTTCGGTTCCACTTGTCACCATTTAGATATCCACGAGATATCGACCTGCCTCGAAGACAATCATTTCCACGTTCATTGGACTATCTGGACGTCTATCAATGCGGCTATGCACACTCGTCTCGCTTCTGCAGCTATTAACAGTTAAATCGGCATGGCATAACGGACCCCGTGGGCGATCATCCTCACACGAGCGCCGCCAACACCTTCCGCTGCTGCCAAGGCATCTTGGCATACCAATCATTTCGCGACTTGGCAATTTGTCCCTTGTTGACCTTCTTCTTTGGGTCGTGCATCCTACCTCACCGTGTAACGAGAAGGTGGGTCGAAGGTCTTGGGTCGCGTGTGCTCCTTGTCTTGGCTGCTCATGCCTGAGTACATGTGTACAGCCGCCACCATCGAATATTCGCTATCTCTTGGCTTTTGGCACCATTGTCAACCGCTTCTGATAACAATCCAACAGGTCTGTACTGTACAGGTGATTGACCCGCGGCTCGACAATATAAAGTTTTGAGGAATGCTGCATATTTCACTTCCCCTCTTCTCTCCGTAGGTAAGTTATATAACGAGTTGTATCTTCATACCTGCTCGAAGACTCTCGCTTCTCCTTGTTCGTTGTTTCATCCACTTATTCCAAGGTGCATTCCACCTGAGAACATTCCCAACAATGAGCAACACCGTCCTTGACGCCAACGAGCTCGCCAAAGCTCATGTCCCGGAGGCATCAATGCAAGGCACTGCCTTCGAGAGAAATGCTGGCCGTGGATCAATGGACGTCGGCAAAGCTGAGCCTCTCTACGAAGTGAGGACTCCGGAAACCGAAGTATACGACGACCTTCCTACCGAAGAAGACCTTAAGACTCTTCGTCGTGTATCGGGAAAGATTAATTGGGCTGCTTATACAGGTAAGAAAACAATTTTCTTTTACGCGAAGAGCACGCGTTTTTTATAATTTTCATTGTCGATAATAACAAAACAAAAAACGCAGTTGCATTCGCAGAGCTGGCCGAGCGATTCTCATACTACGGAAGTTCTATCTTATACACCAACTTCGTACAATGGCCACTTCCTGAGGGATCTCGAACTGGTGCTGGTGGTCTCAACGGTCAGCCCGGTGCATTGGGCATGGGTCAAAGTGCTGCACAGGGTATCTCCCTGTTCAACCAATTCTTCGCGTAAGTTTGAGACGTCCCAAATTCTGTTGTCAGCTATGGGACAAGGGAAGAGAGGAACCGCTGCTAAAAGTTCGCCAGCTACTTCATGCCATTGATTGGTGGTTATGTTGCCGACGCTCACCTTGGACGTTACAAGACGATCCACATTGCCATCGTTATTGGTATCGTGGCTCACATTATCCTCGTCGCTGCCTCTGCGCCCGATGTCATCATTCACAAGACGAGTGCGACGGCCGCTTTCATCATTGGTCTTTTGACCTTGTGTGTCGGTACTGGTTTCTTCAAGGCCAACATTTCTCCTCTGCTTGCAGAACAGAATACTGACCGCCGCATGCGTGTCGAGACGCTCCCAACGGGCGAGAGAGTGTTGGTTGACCCTTCTGTGACCAATTCCAGAATTTTCTTGGTGAGTCGCCTCTAGCGGACTCTCAAGATCGTTCAACTAACTTGAACTCGTACTTTTATTTTGCTGTCAACATCGGCTCGTTGACTGGTCAGATCTCCATGGTGTAAGTAAGAAAGGGTGCAGGCACCGGAGATGAAACCCGACCTCGAGGCCCAGATCTCAGCCGCCACTTTCTAAAAGGCTGCATTCATGCTGACTCCACCCTTCACAGATACGTCGAGAAATTCGTTGGCTTTTGGCTCGCATTCCTCCTGCCAACTGTCTTGTTCGTCGCTGCTCCAGTAGTTTTGTTCTTCAATCGCAAGAACTACATTTTGAGCCCACCTACTGGCTCTATTCTGTCCAAATTCTTCCACATGCTCAAATTCTCCTGGAAGAACAAGCAAGGCTCATTCAAGTGGGACGTTGCAAAGCCTTCGAACGTCCCCGCAGAGCAGCGCCCTGTCTGGATGACATATGATGATGCCTGGGTAGACGAAGTCAAGCGCGGTCTCAGTGCTTGCAAGGTCTTCCTTTTCCTGCCTCTCTTCTTGTAAGTCTTATCCTTGTCAGCGTATTAAGGCTTCAGCTGGCGAGTGGTGGCTCCCAAAATCGTTCCTGCAAAGTGGTGGTGCTAGGTTTTGGTTTATCTAAATTTTCACCAGCTCAACCCAATCCCCTATGCCTTCATTATACTGACTTTAAACCAGCTTAGCGTACAACCAAATGACAGGCAACCTGACTTCCCAGGCCGCTGTATTGCAACTTGGAGGTAATTATGAGTCCTGGTGGTGTTTTTGGCGTTTGGGGGTCGAAAATGCTAATTTTGCTCTCCACTTGCAGGCGTACCCAACGATATCATCCAAAATCTTAACCCTATTTCGATTGTCATCATGATCCCCATCCTCGACCACGTCATGTTAGTCTTCTATCGTAAAGTGTTCTTTCATTCGCGAGTGCTGACTCCTTTTCAGCTACCCGGGATTCCGCAAGATAGGCTTTGCATTTACCCCCATCAAGAGAATGACAGTCGGATTCTTCTTCGCTGCCGCATCGATGTACGTCACTTACCATTCCATGAGCTTTTCCGGAGTGGCGTTTCGGTCTTGTTTGAGAAACTACTTTTGTCAAAAAAAAACCCCTTTCTCCAGAACAGACTCACACCCTGGAAGCTCATGGCGTGCCTGCCAGCCCTACTAACCAAAGTGAATGCTGACCATCTTTCCTTCAGGGTCGCTGCTGCCGTCATGCAACACTACATCTACGTCAAGTCCCCTTGTGGTAAATCGGCTAGTGATCCAGATTGCATCAAAGAATTTGGAAAGGCCGATATTAGTGTCTGGGCTCAGGTTCTTCCCTACATCTTCATCGGTAAGTAAGCTGAAGGTACAAGCTCAATAAGCCAGTTCTGCATGTTTGGCCAGTTGATGAGACAGCGTCAAGGACGTTGTTTCATTAATGTCAAACTCGATGTGTGAGCCGGCTCGCCGAACAAGTATCGTAATCCCCATTCAAAGAGCTTTGCTAATTGTGACTTCACCTCAAGGCATCGCAGAGATTTTCACAAACGGTAAGGATAATCACGGACCCGAGAAGCCAGAGACGAAAGAGAATATCGTTTAATTTTGGCAAATTCTCTGTCCAGCATGCTAACCTTATCCCAGTAACCTCCCTGGAATACGCATACGCCAAGGCACCCGCCAATATGAAGTCCATGGTCATGTCTATCAACCTCTTCATGAGTGCCTTCGCCTCTGCTATCGGACAGGCGTTCACTCCGCTTTCTGAGGATCCTCTTCTTGTCTGGAACTATACCATCATCACTATCCTTGCTTTCCTTGGTGGTGTAGGATTCTGGTTCTGCTTCCGTGACCTGGACGCAAATGAAGACAAGCTGAACATGCTGGAAAGGAGTAACATGCAAGGCAAAAACACTGTCGTCGAGCCGAAGGACACTGAAGCACAAGTTCAGCACGTTCACGAGCAGAAAAACTGAGATGGACTTCTGTCCTTCAAATAGACTCTACCTCGACGCGTTATGAACTAAATTCAGTTGATGCCTATCACTGGTCGTTGTTCATAATCACCACTATATATCTTCAAGTACTCTCGTTTAACAACTATACTAGGGATCTTCTTCCACTATACGCATAATGTTCCAGTCCTAAGGCCAAATTGATCTCGATGTTCTATCCACACTCGGATATAATAATGCCGAGGGTATATGGTGTAGCAACCGACGTCAGTAGGATTCCAACGCACTACGTATGGAACTTTCAGGGTCCCGACAGAGGAAAGAACACAGCCATTAGCTCTCATATACAGACTGTTTCCACGTCCGACGGTTAGCGTGGGAGTCAACTTTCTTGCATAGCAGGGGCATTCAGCCGATGACAATGCTTACCAAGGTCGATATGAGCAGTGTTCAAAGCTCACACTAACCGTCAGATGCAGCAGCAGTCTGTACAATCCTAGAACAATCGTGCGGTTCTACGACCTCTCCAGACATACAGGAGATGCGGGATGAAATGTGCCCGTAGAGAATTGCTATAGACTTCGTTTCATCCTTCTGCAAGCCATGCTGACACAACCCCGCGAGTCTGACCGGTTGTCCCAGCCATTCCCCCCACGAAGTCATTCCAGACTTCCTGCAGCTTACACTCGACCAATCGATCCTCCGCTATTTGGAATTTGTGTTCTACGATGCGCGACCGGTCAACATCAGGCGTGCAATAAGGATGACAGGAACAGAGTCTAGACCACTAATCAGAAAAGGTGGCAAAATCTATATAACTTTGCGTATCCAGCATGGGATTTCTTTTCTGTTTTTCAAAACACAACATTTGTCGAGCAAACCGAGAATCTTCTCTCGAATAAGCGATATGACCAAGTGGGACGACCTGCTGGTTAATAATGGAGCACGAATTCACCAAGGTCATGGACGCAGACTAGCTTCCGTGCCTACCGGTGATCGCGAGATTGACAAGGAAGGAGGTGTCCGTACAAGACCCATGAAAGTCATTCTTGCCAGCATGTCAAGAACTGGCACTGTTTGTAAGCTACCATATTGTCCATCCTCCCGAGCCATGAAGCTATCGCGCCGGTATCAATAAAGCTACACGATGGCTTCCGAGCAGGAACCACTTCTAAAAGTAGCGTGCTCGGCTGCTTCTTCTGGAGTGTTCTGCAGACTTCAAAAATATCGTGGATATAACTCAGGATGTGCGAATTACAAACTGCTACTTTGAGAGGGAGATAATCGAAAACATATCGCTAACGAGACAAGCCATGTACACCGCATTCCAGAAACTGGATCTTCATCCATACCATATGGGTATGACATAATGAGGATATCGCCACAGTCACCGCTGATGAATTCGTAGTCGAGGCCATAAAAATGCCGGCTAGAGATCTCGCCATAGCAGTCGAAGCTATAGACGCTCGTAACACTGAGAGGGCTTATGGCATAGCTGAATTCGACAAATGGATAGGAGATTACGATGTAAGCTTATCGCAGTCTACGGGAATCACCAGCTAACAAGGATAGTCTGTCTGCGATACTCCCATGAACTTGCTGGTCAAAGAGCTTATCGAAGCGTACCCAGAAGCCAAAGTCATACTCACGACTCGCGATCCTGCTAAATGGCGCAAGTCAATTGAGAACTCCATCCTCATCATCGACAAATGGAGAGTCTGGGGATATCTGCCGCTCATCAGTCCCGATTGTGCGGCTTTCATCAAGATGATGCACAAGATGGACGAAGTCATGGATGGCTACAGTATCGCTGCTCTCAAACGTCATAATGCCGGCATTCGAGAAGTTGTGCCCAAGGAAAAATTGCTTGAGTTTACGTTGGGTGAGGATGGATGGAAGGAGCTCTGCGAATTCATCGAGCTACCGCAGCCGGAAGGCGAGTTTCCGAATGTGAACGATGGGAAGCTGTTTGCGACGATGCATGTTGTGCTGATCAACATCTGGGTTATGAAGGCACTGAAGGATGCAGCAGTCCGCGTAGCTCCTTGGGCAATACTGCTTGGGTCGATGTGGTTTGTCAAGAGGCTTGGTTACTTCTAGCAAGAACAGAGCTGATCACTTTTTGAAACACCCATCTCTTGATAGCATTAAGAACCATCTGACCGTCCACTTTGAACAATAACCTCATTAGCCCAACCGGCTGTCTGCACCAAACGTCTCGGGTTCGACTCGGCTCGTTGCTAACATTCTTTCGCAGCTTCAATCTTCCCAATCGGTTCACTTCTAATCCTTTCCAATTCACTTGCACGTCTCACCCTTCACAACGTTGACCTGTTCCATAGGTCCGCTGTTTCCAAACCACTGCTGGGCTTCGGTCCTCAGTATTCCAAACCACTGCTGGGCTTCGGTCCTTANCCGGTCTTGGACAAGAGGTCATGGTGGTGAAAATATGTGAAGTGTATATTTGAGCTGAACGCTGATCCCCAGTATAACGAAGACCTCCTTCAACATCTATCAAAATGCAGAAATCGATTCATTATATCGAGCAGGTCTGCAGAGAGCTTGGAAATCATCGACTTTGCTTGAAGTTCTGATTCCGTTCAAAGTCTACATACAATTGGACCTTGATCTCTGTATACCCATCACAAGCAAAGGAGGACGACTCGTACTTTCCGCCAACAAACGTTGCAGTAGGAAGCGTTTCTATCAAATAGGCAAGATTCAATTCACTATAGTCCGCAGGTCCAGGGAAAGCTCCGTATTCATCATCTTTCTTTGGACGTTTCAGCCATATTCAATAACTTCGTGCATCTCTACCGTGACTTCTCCATGCCTCTGGTGAGCAGAGAGAAGAAGATTCATTCATCTCCGACAGTCAGTACAATAAAAAGTATAGCTGAAGAAACGCAAAAGCCATTTCACAAATCACGCATGTCCAGAGAGAGCACTGAAATTGACAACTCTGTCAGCTCTCGTTGGACATTTTGGAAAAGGCGAAGAACTTCTTGCACTCCCGCGAAAGATAGATCAAGGCAAAATGGGTGCTGGGAAGGTCTGATCCTTGCTCTCCACTGTCTTCCTTACTTGTCTCCAAGAGTGTCAGGGGAGCTCAAGATAATCGCACAAGTCTTCGGAGCAATAGTCGACGTCGTACTCGGAACAGCAACCATAGCGATCATCAGTGTCGTCGTGATAGCCTGCATGGGCTGCCAAGGAGGTTAGTAACAATATCCGTGCCCAACGTCATGCCGTTCTTCCCTTCACACACGAGCGAGATTCTCTTCTTCAAATCGGCAGCCATCATTTGCAATTCTCGCAGATGTGTATGCTTTCCGGCGACGGTGCCCATTGCTCCGTTCCATCTGGTTGTTTCACGGCCTAAACATCATTGGCCTATGTTACAGGTTGTGCTGCGCAATGTGTTAGCTTTTCGGTGACCTGTTTGATCTCGTGTCGCGTGTCGTGTGAACGACATGCCAAACATGGCGGCAGAGATTGGCGCGTGTAAAGGTTGAAGTGGCAGTACGCATTTTGTGACTGTGATGATCAAAGCGCAAGCGAGGAGACTGATTTATACGAAGCTCGTATGATTGTGCTCGACCAGCCTGGAGAAGGCGCGAATGCACAGTTCAGCGCCAAGGCGAAATCACCAGCAGACTTTCGTTGCGCAGTGACGGAGCAAGGGACGGCTCATCATAACCAATCAAGCATCGTCCCCATCCAAAACAGCGCAGAACACTCGACGAAGACACACAGAACCGACACAACCCAGTAAACCACATCAACATCACACTTCGCACTTGCAATCATGGCTTCCTTGCATGGGATCAATTGCTTGGTCGCTCGGGGCTGAACTACACCCTTGCTGCCATTAAGCCTAGAACAGAATGGAAGCAAGGTACTTCCACGACCGCAAAGGCCAAACCCAAGCCTTTGTCAATGCAGGACCGTCTTCTTATCGACAATTGGCAGGGAAGACCTTCTCGCGCTCCCAGACTTTCTTCCTGCTGGCGTCCGCGACTGCCCAAGGGTTTACCTGGTTAAGCCCCGTCAAACAAACACTGGCAAGAAGAACTCGACCTCCAGGGCAAATGAGAAGGTACGCCGCGCAAAGCGACCTCGAGACACAGAAGACAGCGTCCAACGTCGCCCATCGAATCCAGCTTCTACCTACGCGACACCTCAAGCAGTGGCATAGGAGCTCTGAACCTACTCTGGCAACTGATGACTTTCAGAGTCGAGTCCGTCTCAACCATAACTACACCCATGACCTCGGTCACATCCAAATACTGCACGGTCTCGGCCACAGTTCTTTTCCTCCAAAAATTGCATTGGCCAAAGGCCTCGGTTTCTTTCCTGTCGTAACTGCATTGGCTCCGGCCTCAGTTCTCTTCACACCAACACCAACTGCATTGGCCTCAGCCTCAGTTTCAGTCTTCCTCATACCAACCCAACTGCATTGGCCTCAGCCTCAGTTTCAGTCTTCCTCATACCAACCCAGCTGCATTGGCTTCGGCCTCAGTTCCCTATATAAAGCTACTGTATTGGCTTCGGCCTCAGTCTTGAAAATGTTCACCATCAAACCAATGTGCCAGACAAAATCTGCCTTGCTGCAGAATCTATTTTCGGTGCGCGATTGTGCGCAACTTCTTGTTACTGTATCTGTCTACCCCGGTCCTTCGATTGTGCTGTCAGAATACACGAAGTTATTAGATTGATGCAGATGGCTACGGAAACTAACCACTTCATGTGCTCTCATTAAACATTCTCCTCGGTCAAAGAGCAATCGTGCATCTTGGAAGATGCGTGTGTCAGACTTTTGCAAGAAGAGAAGGGATCATTTGAAAGCTCGATGTGGTAGAGATCATTGATGATGACACTCCCTCACCCAAGTTCGGATCGCTGTGTGTTTATCAAAAGGCACGAAGTGTTTGAGAGCATTGTGAAAGTCCAGTGGGAGTGAGAAACAGGGACACTCTCTGTGGAAGGAGTCCCTATTTCCAAAAGCTTCTTGCATTTTGACAGTTGAAAGTGAAACCATCTGGCAGCTGGGAGCCTCAGCTACTCTCCTCGATTTCCATATAGCCACTGTCCAACTCAGCTTCGCAGTCATATTGGTTCGCTAAGCACAAATATCATCATCACCACCCTTGATCTTGCCTTCTGAAATGTGCCACGTCGTCATTATTCTTCAACTGTGACTCATGTGGTTAGCATATACAGACTCGACTTGATGATAGCTCCTGACCGACGCTGCGGTAATCATCAAATACTCTAACACGGAGGTTCTTCCGGGACAACCCAAGCACAGTCGTCCCTACGCGCACGACAATCGCCAGACAATTAACACGCTAACAACCAACACGAAATGCAATAGATAAAAACTTCCGCAGCAACAACAACAACAACAACAACAAACCAAGACAAAGCACAATACATCACGAACACTGAACCATTTCTCCAAACAGACACAATGAATCTTCAGTCGCAAGTAATCGCACCTGCCAGACCTGCACTTTGTCCAAGATGGGCACTTGGTCTTTGCCCCTACGGACACCACTGCCACCTCGATCATCCCAACAATCTAGATCCGACAATGCCAAAGGAAGTCGATTACAAGGTATCCAACGAGCTGGGTGAGGCTTGCACAAGATGCTTGCAAGCAGCAATCAAGGTACGCAGCATCCTGCTCACTTTCTTGCATTTATTGATGCTGACATGGATGCAGTGTGACAAGCAAGGACGCGATTCTGGATCCGATGACCCTTGCTCAGAATGCCGTTGGTTTGGTGGAGCCACCTGCAACTGTACTCTCTCCATGACTAGCTCATACAACGATGCATTGTGGCGCGGTATGATGGGCAGACGCGACTCTGACTTTGACCTCGCGCAGCCCAGAGACAAGCAAGCTGCATTCTCTAATGGCAGAGTCCCGGCACCAATGCCTGATGACAGGCTCAAGAGTAACTGGCAGGGAGCCTCCAAAGACGAGCTCCTCGCAAGAAAGAACATGTTGCCTCCGGAGGTTCGTCGTCACCCAAGAGCCTACCTGGTTCCCCCACGTGAAAGCAACACAAAGAAGAAGTCAACAGCCTTTCTGTCACGCAGCGGCGCCCATGATTCGAGTAGGAACGTGAGCATATCTTCCAGCAACACATCGATGGCACCAATGCCATACGGAGGATTACAGCAGCCACCCCCTCCGCAACCCTCAGCATACCCCCAAGGCAACGCAGTGGTAGCATCTGCAATGCATTGGCCGACCGGTCAACGTATTCAGCACTTCCAGTCGGGCCATACCGTCATCAGCCCACGACAGAACATGTTCCCCTTGCTGCAGAACACATTTTCTGCTCCAGCATACGGTACCAACCCTACTGTGAGTCACCTCCATCTGTTTTTTAAGTGTACGAAACCGAGGTTTGCACCAAAGCCGAAGCTCCAGGGAGGTCTGAGCATTGACCTATACATCAAAAATCAAGATGTTTCTGATGATGGGGTACACGTTCGTTGAGAGAGCAAAGTTCATCAAGCTCTCTCTGGCCATTGTACCTACATGAGGATCATCTTGCTTTTCGATGGCTGTTTGCAAGGAAGTTCAACTCTGTCTCAAACTCTCTGTCCCTATATTCAAGTTAGTCAAGACTCATGTTACTGACCGATCAGCAGTGGAACAACCCGCCTCCAAGACTTCCACCAGCCCCAATGCCAGCCATGCGCACTCGCAACCAGCCGTCAACATCCAATCTTACAAGACCTCCACCAGCCCTGATGCCAAACATGCGTGCTACAAACGAGCCCTTGTCATCCAACACCGCCGGACCTCGCCCAGCCAAGAGACAGCGCACCATGAGCACTACCGCACAATCGTCCAGCACCCGTTCACAAGTCAATGAAGAGCAGAACGAGTCGAAAGCAAGCACCGCTAGCGACTCTGGCAAGCCCACCAACCACGATGACTCGGATGAGGAATACTTCTCTGCTCCAGAGTGATGTTTTTACTGGCGCTCCCTCCCTCGATGACACCTCCGCGGTGTTTCACTATCTCCTCTGTACACTGCATGCCTGCTGGCTTTTCTGTTCCGTCTTTCGCTCCACTCTGTCTCAGGACTTTCTCTGCCTTGTCCATTGACTGTGGAATAATGCTTTTCCTTCTATGTCCGCTACACGGTCATAACCTTCGACGTCCGAAGAAGTAATAAAGAAATCAGATGCATTCCGTGTTTCCATCAAAGTATCCAAGCCTGTGAATTGATACCTACCCTTTTTCTGGCTCCATAAGTCGATTTCATCATCATAGCAGGCCTTTCGAATTGCCATCAACAGGCACAAAGCTTCTCACACTGTTGTGAATCTCCAGTGAGAATTTGAGGATGTGGTGTGCCGCCATTTTCTCTGGACAAGTTCGCGGCCATGAAGAGGACTCTACGTTTCGAAAAGTATTTCGAGAGGCGCGTGGAATTCGGCGTGAAGAGGACTGAGGAGAATGAGTCTAGATTGTAGATCATGTTCATCATTTGTCTCATGCAAGAAGACCTGGGCGAATATCGTGTCTGCTGATCCCTTGAGCCTCATGACGATCAGTGTCAGATCAAGCTGTGGTGCTGGGAGGACTGGTAATGAGGTCTGGTCATGCGATACCGGTCCGGTCTGCCATCGCATCGACAGCACCTTGCTGTACGCAGGCGAAGATAGTCGAGAGTTCCATAACTCGGAGCTCATCGGGTTGTATGAGGAAGTGATAGAGGGGGTGTCGATAAAGTAGCGAAAGTACAGGACGAGCGCTGCAGCCGAGTCGGTGATTACTCGCTTGACCATGATGATAGCGATGAGTGTTATAACATCAAGCAAAGTGCAACTTCGCCTATGGATAGAACAGGGGCTGGTTGAGTAATTGAGCCAATCTGTTGTGCAATCAGTAATGATCTTCGTCTTGGTTGATTATGAAAGCTCGAACTCTACAATCATTGTTTATTATGCCATCGGTCAAGAGAATTGTTTGCCCATATCAACGAACCAAAACAGCCAGTGTCATGAATTGCAAAACGTGCTTCCAGAAGTAACTCAAATGTCAAACCAGCGTGTCGACTGAGAATTGTATTCAGGGTAGCTGTCTCGAAGCCTCTCCGGAGGTTGGCAGGCTGGGAATGCGGTCTGATCAGCCCTTAGGGCTTTGCAAGGCTGTGATCAACACCACGTTTCATGAGGTCCAACATGGATTATGACGATTGCGGTTCTAGAAGGCTTGAAGATGTGTGTCGATTGCAACACACGGACGTATGATTTCAGCTCCATAATTGTTGAGCTGAACGATTGCTGTTGACGAGATGAAGCTTCCCGTGTGCTGGAGTTTGTCGCTCTCATCATTCTGTTGCGGCCGAAGATCGACTTGTTGAGCCTGAGGGGGAGTGCTCCGCTGTCGAAATCTCCAGCGCGTCGTCTATTTTTCTCAAAACAGTTAGACCGATTTAGGGCTGCATGGTGGACTCTTCTCCGAAAACCCTCGTGATCTTTAAGCCGCGACGATGCGACAACAACTTACACTTTGGCGACTCCAACAAACTAGATGATCCTTTCAAACAACTACAGCCGCACCAATCGCTGTGTTTCGAGAGAGTGCTTATACTTCTATATTAGGCTGCGTACAGCAGATGATCAACGCAGGGTTGCAATGGCGCCGAGCATCTTGATGATTTTTAAATGCCAAGCTGTTCGCTTCGTCTCAGGTAAGTTCTCACCCGCAACCTGAGACGTCGGCGTTCGCTTTAGAGACGACCTTGGTCTTCCGGGCCTTGCTCGCAGTATACAGGGCTCTGTAGCCGATATTGGCATCATAGTAGCAAGTCTGTGGAACTTCGGGGGGACAGGTAGGTACAAACATATAAGAAGCTTTATGTGCCTCCTCGAATGTGACTCTCTCATCAGTTCTTCATTCGTCTTGTTTCTTCTTTGTCCTTTTTTATCCTACACTTGTCACTCGTTTCGACTATGAAGTCATTCACTCTTTTCACTTCTGCTCTGGCAGCATTCGCAAGCACTGTCAGTGCCGCTGGTGTCACCGGTGCCGCTGAGGGTTTCGCAAAGGGCGTTACTGGAGGTGGCTCTGCTGCCCCTGTCTACCCTTCCACCACCGCCGAGCTGGTCTCGTACTTGGGTGACAGCTCGCCCAGAGTCATCATTCTCACCAAAACCTTCGATTTCCGCAACACCGAAGGCACTACTTCTGCCAAGGGTTGCTCCCCCTGGGTATGTGATACTGATAAGACATCACCACAAGCTATCCAGATATCTGTTCAACCTTTGCGAACTCATATAAGGGATGTTTGTGGTGGTGGCTATCGATCCTGCCAGAATAATGATACTAATTTTCAATAAAGGGCACCGGCAGTCTCTGCCAACAGGCTATCGACAAGGACAACTGGTGCGAGAACTACGAATCCTCGTCGCCGAAGGTATGTACTGTAGCTCCTTGGGATGTTCTTTGTGGCTCCAGGATGTTTTTTGTGGCTCCAGGAATTTTTTTTGGTGGCTCCAGAATTTTTTTTCTTATGGCTCCAGGATGTTTTCTTGTTGCTCCAGGATGTTCTTTGCAGCTCCAGGATGTTCTTTGTGGCTCACAGCTGATGTAATCAGGTTTCTTCCCTCACATACGACAAAGCCGGTATGATTGGCATCACTGTCAACTCCAACAAGTCCCTGGTCGGTCAGGGCTCCAAGGGTATCATTAAGGGGAAAGGTCTACGAATGGCAAACGGCGTAAAAGTATTTTTAGGGTACTCCTGGTTGCACAGAGCGATGCTAACTGTGTTTCCAGAACATCATTATCCAGGTTTGTGGCCAATTCGATTCTTGGGCGATTTTCGGTCTCTAACAGCGGAACAAGAACCTTGCTATCACTGACATCAACCCTCACTATGTCTGGGGCGGTGATGCCATCACCTTGGCCGGTACTGTGAGTTTTGAGGTCCTCAAGGTGTTGTTGTGAGCTGTATACTAACATATCACAAGGACATGATCTGGTAAAAGGAATATTTCAACACCCATGTTTGACCTTACATTCTGACTCGTTATAGGATTGACCATGTCACCACACAAAGAATCGCACGCCAGCACATCGTTCTCGGAGAGTCTGCCTCCGGTAGAGTCACCATCTCCAACTGTGATATCGACGGTGCCTCATCTTGGTCGGCCACCTGTGACGGTAAGACTCCCCCAAATGGAACAGTAAACAGGAAGAAAGAAAGGCAAGGAGAAGGAGATGAGAAACAGAAAGAAGGGAAGAGGAAGAGGAAGAATATCAGAAAAGACGAAAAAGAAAAAAGGAGAAAAAAGCCAAAAATTTCCCAAACCCTCCCCCAAACTCCCCAATACAGTCCAGGACTAACAGTATCACCCTAGGACGCCATTACTGGGCCCTTTATTTTACTGGGTCTTCAGATTTAATCACGCTAAAGGGAAACTACATTCACCACACTTCCGGTCGTTCTCCCAAGGTCCAGGGCAACACTCTCCTCCACGCCGTCAACAACTACTGGTACGACATTGATTCCAAGGGTCACGCTTTCGAGCTTGGTCAAGGCGGCTACGTTCTCGCTGAGGGGTAAGTCAACATACTTCTGACTTGTGGTACGTGAATTAGCATACTGACTCTCTCTATAATAGTAACAAGTTCCAAAACGTCAACACCATCATCGAAGCTGGTGCCACTGGCAAGTACTTCACCGTACCCTCCAGCGGCTCTGCTTGCAGCTCTGTCCTCGGCCGCAGCTGTGTCAACAACGCATTCGGCAGCTCTGGTCTCTTCTCCTCTGCCGACACCAGCTTCCTCAGCAACTTCAAGGGCAAGAACATTGCTTCTGCTGCTGCTGCCAGCACCGTCTCCACTGCCAACGTCGGTTACGGTAAGATCTAAGCTATCAGTATGGCTTGATCGTCTCTCAACTTTCGCTTCTTGGTGCCCTATTCTTGCTACACACTTTAGATATGAGTCAATGAAATATCATTCTTGTGTCAACCACGATCTCTCACAAGTGAGGACTATTGATAGTACCACAGTAGTCAAGCTCGAGTCACTTCAGGGTAGGTGACCATCAGTTGCATTGAAGACAATTATCTGCCTCCGGCGACCCCTCGATCCAGGTATCGAAAATCACAATACTTTTGATGGTTGGCTCACATTTCTCGAGATTAGGGGCATCATGTGCTCTATCTGGGCAATCACTCTGCCATGAAAAGCATCGTGCCTTTTGAGGCTTTGCTATCAAGACGGAGTTGTGTATTGACGCAACTTTTTAAAGGTTGCGGGCAATTCCACTACGTGAACGTTCCGTGTAAACCACACGCGGCTCCTATACTTTCTCACCATTGCGTGTCTTGCACGGCAATCTATTCACATATCTTTTGCATTCTCTCCAGGCAAAAAGCTATCACGTGGATGACTGATCATGCAGGCTACTTTTCCGGTTGATGCAGCGGCCCACAAAGATGACCTATCAGCTTACTGTCACTGTACATGAAGTCTGTCTGGAACTCAGCGTACGTTTTTAAGGCTCACATCAATAGAATAGACTAAGAGGTTGGAAGTTGATCAAGGTGCTCGACAGAAAGGACGGGTGAAGATCATCAACATCCTCTTGCACCAGGGAGAAGAAGATGGTTCAATATATAGCCGGAGGAAGGTGTAGCTTCGCAGAGGCATGCTTTCTCCAGTTTCACGCCGTCACCTGCGAGCAATGGCTTATTTTGAAGTGCGAAATTTTGGCTCGTCCGTTCATCTCTATCACTGGATGCTTCCAATCGGTTCGCTCGTCACAAAAGCGTTTCGCCTTTTCACACTCGGAAAAACTTGCTGGGGAAAGAAAATCCAGTTACTGCACAACACTTTTCTCTCTCGTCCGCGCAACTTCATTACCAGAACCAAAAGGCAAAAGAATGGCTGTAGCGAGCAGGATTCGAACCCACGATCTCCTTGCTTCAAGAGAATTCACTGAGGACCGAAGATCAACAGTAAGGAATTAACCTGGATGCTTGTGTTTGCAAGACATGTTTGCAAAGGCGTCTTGATCACTAGACCACAGCTACTTTGGATGATTATTGTGGATCTGAATAGTATCTGAAGGTCGGAAGGAGAGATCGTTCAGGATGGAAGTAAGTCAAGTAATTGGAGGCAGGAACGCGCCTTCCACATCGCATCACCTTAGAAAACGCAACCCAAGTTCCACCTCAAACGACGACATACTTGCGATGCCAGTGAGCCATTTTTAAAACCTGTGATCAGTATCGTCTGAGCAACTTTGTCAACCCAAGATCTTGCGACCCTGATGGTTGCTTGATGGGAACACCACATCGAGATACGAAATGCGCCATATCTCAGCGCACAATGCCACGGTGCGTCTAGAGATACTCTAACCATGTCTCTGAGAGTCAACAACCACTATCGTCGTATCAAATACTGCACCGACTGGGTACCTCGCCCTACATGCTCATTGTTGACTTGGAAAGCAACGTTGAGGGGATGACCCTGTCATCACACATCTGGGACAAGCAACTTCGTCATCAGAAATTTCTTGCGATAGAAACAAAACAAGAGAAAAAAGCGAAATCATCGAATTCATCAAATTTTATTACTTTACAAGCTGGAGCAGTGTCTCCTAGTAATTCCCTCGAATTTCCAGCGAAGCGCCACGGTGCGGGGTCGACATGCTAGCTCCGAGAGGCCGAGGAGGCGCGAGAGGTAGAGGTATAGTAGGAAAGGGGAGGTTCGAATCGCTATTATAGGGTAGCGGGGACAGGTAGGATAAGGAGGATATAGTTATAAGGGATAGGGAACATGCGGAAAAAAGAAAAAGAGACGGCAGACAGGGCGGCGCAGAAGATAGCCCTTAGAGACGCGACGTACGCATCGATATAGACTCTAACTCGACGTTAGTAGAAGCGACACTAAGGAAGAGACCCTTACCTATAGCTACAAGAATGGCGACTAGAAGCGTAGAAAAAGAAGGGAGGAACATTAGCCACTAAACCGAGGGTAGCCCTACACCTAGTAGTAGTAGAAACAGCGACAGTATAAGAGAGGTCATAATGAACGACATTATGCAACAGCTATTAGATACACAAAGAATGGCTAGAGAGAGAGAAAAAAAAGAATAGGAGGAAAAAGACAGATATAGAGAGGAGATTAGACAACTATAGACGACTGTCACAATGCTAGTCCTAGACATTAAGAGCCTACAAGAGGTAGCCCTAAACTAGGGTTCCCTCTAGTTATCGTCCCTATAGACAGGAACAACCGATTCCTACGTAAGTGTTGCAGCTTAGGGAGTATAACTGTCAAGCTAGGAAGTAGTAAGAACGCTAGTTAGGTCGCCTAGAACATTAGTGTCATTCGACCTTTTAGAGCAGTTAAGCCTACCGTAGTCACCCCTAATATCTGTAGGAACGTCGATTAGAAGCGCAATAAAAAAGTCCAAAAATGCACAAGAAGCAGATATAGTATTAGACATAAAAAACCTTAAGATAGATGGATACACCGGAACATAGCTTAGAATAAGAACTAAGAATCGAATTATCGCTACGATCAGATCTAACGAAGGGCTAGACATAGTCGTCCTTAACTAGTTCATAATTAGACATACGAATAAGGACGTCTACCTAGCGTACTTTAAGATCGATAAGGAAGTAGAGAAAGTAGCGAGAGCTTACGTAGATAAGTAGATACCTATATTCCTCGAAGGGGTAAGGCTCATCGAATCTACCTAGTACCTAATTAAGGTGGATTTTATCCTAAAAATAGAAGCTACGGACCACTAGACCGGAGCAATTAGCTAAGAAACGCGAGATGCTTTTATAGAGGAGAATAAAGTAGAAGTTAAGTTAATAAGATGGCTAGGTAGACTAAAGGAGTACGCCTCCTATGCATCTATAGTAGCTAAGCTAGCGACGAAAGAATAGGTAGAGAGACTACTCTAGAGACAAGTAGATAGCGAAGAAGTATAACTATTTAGCTATATAGTTACAGTCTTAACCTTCTACGACAATAGAGGACTAAGAGCCTATTATAACTGCCACTAGTTTAGACACACATATAAGGAATGTAAGAACACTACTAGATGCTTATAGTGCGCATAAGAAGGACATAATAGCTGCAACGTAGGGAAGCCGAAGTGTAGCAACTGCGGAGGAAGTTACCTAGTAGGCTACAAGAAATGCCTAGAGTATAGGAAACAACAAGAAAGAGAGATTAACCTACGTCGCTATAATTAGTACACTAAACATTCTTTAAGCAAATTTGCATAGGAGCTTAGGAGTTTAGGATGCTTTATATAACGACTTAGACATCTAGGACTTCGATGCTATTCTCATATAGGAACTACACTATTAGGAAATTGTAGGAAACCTTTAGATCACCGGAGCCGGACCTAACTTTAAAGTTATAAAACCAAAAACACTATAAAGAGAAAACTAGACATAGAGGATTCGATCGTGCATGTAGATTAACCGGAACAACGAGTATACGCAACTTACGATAAACAGTAACAACATTATAGCAATCGTTATGAAACATAGGACCCGTAGCATACTGCTAGTGTCTATATACATCCCGTGTATAGGCAATAGGCAAGAAGTTAACATATAAGAATTATATACCTAATTGCAAGAGGTCTAGGAAGCAATTATAAGAGAGGGAGACTATAATGTAGAGTTAGAAGTATTTATCGTAGGAGACTTTAACTAGCATGACACGATATAGGGAGGAAATGAGGTAGCATTAGGGATAAGATAAGGTAAAGGCAGTAGAATACTAGATTTCATTAAGGAAAACAACCTATAGCTACTTACATAAAGAGGAGTGCTAACATAGGAACGTAATAGGTCGACATTAACGATCGACCTAACTATAGTTAGTAAAAGACTGTTCGAGGACCGAGACGTCTATTAACTCTTCGAGAATGAATACGGCTTAGACTATAGGGCGATTTATATAGCTATAAGCATAGGAGACACTATAGAGGACCTAACAGCTCTACGATACCTACTATAGAAAGCGGACTAGAAAGCGATAAGAGACAAGATAAGACAACATCTTGCTAATAACCTATTCCTAATAGATAATCTTAAAGCAATGTAAGGCTACATTTAGGAAGTTACCTAGGCAGCAATAGAACACTATTACCTAAAGGCAAAACCATTAAAACACGTAAAGAGATAGTAGTTAAATAAGTTGACTTCTATAAGAAAAGAGTACATAAGGACTCGTAACCTAGCAAGATTAAGAAGGAGATAAGGCTAGCAAGATAACCGCCTTAAGATCGTAGTAAAGATAGCGAGGCATAACTTTTACTACGCGATTAAGAAACGCAAAAAGGAACATTAGATAGGGTTCCTCAGTAAATTAGCAAATATTTAGAAAGCAGCTTAATACCTTAACCTAAGTAAGAGATTAAGCTTCGGCAGGATTACATCTATTAAGGGACACGGAGGGGAGGTCATTTAAGACAAAGCTAAAATTGCTAAGGAACTGCTACACAGTTTCTTCCTAGAACTACCTATCCCCTAGAGACCTAAACATATAGGAGACACTGTTGCAGACTAGCTCTTTAGCAAAGCATTAACACTAAACGAGATTAAGAAGGCACTATTCTCTATAAGCCTAGACAAAGCGGTAGGAAGTAATAGCTTAACTATTAGAGTATAGAGAGAAGTCTAGCTAGTTTTGCAATAGCAAATCTACACACTCTTCTTAACCTCGCTTAGGTAAGGTAAACTACCGTTATAATGGAAGGTAGCAAAGATTGTTCTACTTAAGAAAGGGAATAAAGATAACTACACTCTTCCTAAGAACTATAGGCTAATATCTTTGCTAGCAACGCTAGGAAAGATAATAGAAGCAGTAATGGCTACACGGCTTGCATACCTTACGGAGGTGCATAGACTCCTACCTAATAACCACTTCGGAGCAAGGAAGCAGAAATTAACAGTACTAGCTATTTCCTACCTTTAAGAAGCCATCTACGACGCCTAGAGAGGCAAAAAGACCCTATTACTAGTTTCATTCGATGTTAAAGGAGCATATAACAATGTTGTAATAGGACCACTTCTAGAGAGGATAAGATAAAGAAGAATTCCCGAAACTATAGTTAGATAGGTTTAAGACTTTTGCACCGATAGGAAAGCAAGTATAGTAGTTAATGGCTTTACGTCTAAGGTAGAGGACCTACCTTAATTAGGCTTGCCGCAAGGATCACTACTTGCCCCGATCCTATTCCTTTTCTTTAACGTAGATCTAGTATAGATGGCAATTAAAGAAGGGGCCTCTATAGCATTTGTTAACGACTATACTACGTAGGTAGTTAGTAACTCCGCGGAAAGAAACACAAGGATAATCTAGAGAGATATACTGCCGAAATTGGAAAGATAGGAAAAGGAGAGTAGAGTAGTGTTCGAAGCCTCGAAAACAGCGTTCATTTACTTTATAAGATATAACGACTTGCTTAGAGATAGCGACATGCCCCTATACTTTAAAGGAGACCGAATATAGCTAAGCTAGTCGATCAAAGTCCTAGGTGTAATCCTAGACTAAGGGCTTCGGTTTAAGGAACATCTAGTAGAAAAAGTAGGGAAAGTACTAAAAGTAGCACTAGCCCTTAAAAGACTGCAAGGCTTAAACCCTTTAACTATGCGGCAGTTATACACTATAACAGTTGTACCTATTATAGATTACGCGTCGCTAGTTTAGTATCTTGCAGTATCTAACAAAACGCTATTAGTGCTACATAGAGCCTAGAGGGTTACAGTATAAGCCATTATAGGAGGATTTAGAACGCTAGGTCTCGATGTTGCAGTCTTAGAAGTAAGGATACTATCCTTATAATAAAGACTACACGAGCAGACACTTAGGTTCTAGATCTCGATCTAGAAACTAGAGGCGTCACATATCCATACAAAGCTTACTAGGATAAGACTAATTAAGCGGTTTAACTCGCCTCTCCGGAAAGCAGTAGGGTTATTTATAGGACTTAATGCGAATAGAGCTAAGAAGATCCCCGCTATAGGGTGTAAACTATAGAGCCTAAAGGCCTATGTTCATATACTCGATAAGGAAGCAGCTAAGCTTGTAACAGCGGAAGAACTAGGAACAATCGACTTCTATACGGATAGATCTATCCGTAACGGACGAGCAGGCGTAGGGATCTAGACATTAGCATAGGAAGCGTTAAGCATAATAAGAAGAGCTAAAGAAACTAACGTCCACCTAATAGAGCTAGAAGCGATATAGATGGCCATTAGAGGAATACCACACGGGAACAACAGATTAGTAAAGATAAGGGTCTTTTCCGATAGCTAAAGTGCCCTTCGGAGCATCTAAGCTACAAAGATTAACGATAGTATAGGCCTAGTCATGAAAATTAGGGAGAAAATTGCTAAAGCGACATTCTCACTGCACTAGGTCCTAGGCTACGAGGGAATTAAAGGTAACGAAAGGGCAAACGAGCTAGCTTAGAAGGCGATAGACGCTAACTTAGCTATACCTAACCCTGCAAACAACGTCCCGATTTTAGCGATATACGTAAGAGCAAAGGTCATAGATTTTAAGCTAAAGCACAAGGAGTTCTATAGCATAATAACAGGCAAACATCTTTAGAAGATCGACAAAGCATTGCCTAGAAAGCATATAGCTAAGCTATATAATGCACTTAATAGAATAGTAGCTACTATACTGGTCTAACTAAGGACAAACATATTAAGGCTAAATACGTACCTTAGTAGAATTAACATTGTAGATACAGATAGGTGTAAATGTAGAATAAAAGAAATAGTACTACACTTCTTATTCTTATGCCTAAGATAGAAGGATAAAAGATAGGCTATAAAGGTAGCACACGGCAGCAGATACTAGGATCTGTCCTACGCGCTAGGAGGATACTTAATAGCCGAAAGAGATAGGAAGAAGGTTAACGGCGAGAAGGGCAAATAGTAGCTAGACTTAAACGCAGTTAAAGCTACCATTAAGTATGCCATTAAAATAGGAAGATTGCAAAGATAGTAATAAAACAGTAAAAAGCAAGACGAACCCTATAGACTAACATAAAGTGCTCTCTATCTAACTATAATAACATAACTACTACCTTAATCTAACTACCTCTAAGTAGTGTTCGGCTAATAAGGAAGAACACGACATAAGGAATTGCCCATATGGAGGAGGCTTACACCCTCTAACACTTAAGGGAGGAAAGTGTAGAGTCACTCTTTATAAGAGCACACTAGAGTACTAGGCGTCTGCGATTAGTTCGAGGTCTAAGAGACCTCCACCCTCCTTATATAACTAAGACCGATGGTTGTGATTGGCTGGAAATCTTATCAATTATGGACAGCTCATACCCCTTGCGGGGTAAATAGCTTAAGAAAATCAAATCAAATCAAATCAAATTTCTTGCGATTCATCGGCAGCGAAGAAACACAGGATTTTTGGATGTCCACAAGTCAAAACACTGCACTCTACGTGTTCTGCGTTCACGGCTGCTGGACTCGGCTGTCGAAACAACATTGTACCGAGTCTCCTTGATTTGCTCCCGAGTCCTCCAACTTGGCCTTCGCAAAGCCGTCCCGAAGAGCCGAAGAACGTGGCCGAAGATCCACACCAACATCAATCAATATCCGACCCCTAACATGCATTTGATTGTCTCATCTATGTCGCCAGGACAAAGCTCCTTTTCAATATGATCATGATCTTACCGTTCTCAACAGCAAAGTTTCGTGTCTAGCGTGGAGGTTGTTCAGCTCCTTATTTTGATCAGAAAATTTTCCTGTTCCACGCTGGCTGCAAAGAATGGTAAGCTTTACAGAAAGGGGTTTGACACAAACCGTCTGCGATGCCGAAGACCTCACCACAAGAGGCAGGAGCTCGTTAATAGGAACTTGACAGAACGTTGCATGCGATCTGCGTGAAGCATGAATAGTAGACCTGCAGGTTTAACGAGTACAATGAATTGTAGGATCGAAAGTTACTGCATCCTTCTACGTTGACTGCTCGATCAAGTTAGACGAACAGCACTATTGGTCGCATGCGCCTACTCATAAGCCGCCACAGCATCTACAGCGCAGCAATACTACCTGAGGGATCATGAGCTGTCGTATTCGCGACAGACTGATCGCGATGGAGATTTTACATCTTTCACATGAAGCCGGCAGGCGCGCGCTTATCCAGAAAGCGCAACTCTCTGCATTCTCTGGTTGAGCCAGCAAGAAGCGTGAAAGAATTTTCCATAATAGCGCCCCGTGCTCAGTCAATATCGTCCCCATGGAGAGCCCCACGCACCTCCCTGTATCCACAGTCCCCATGGTGAAGGAACGTTGAGTCAATCACACTGTTTACCATCCCCAATCTTGATCGGCAAACGAGGCACACCGCTTATTGTTTACTCTGACATGAGACTCTCGTAGGATCACACCCCAGCTTCGATTCGTGCTTCTCAGCCACTCAAGCCTATTCAAGCCATTCCAAGACATACAAATTTCGGCAGTCGCGTGAGTTCTGCCCCAAGCCTCGGACCAAGCAAGTGCAAGCATCCACAACGCCGCCACGCTGGCCAGCGTTACTTGTATGCTGGCATCCACCGATGCCGCATCGTGCAGTGGCATGCGCCAGAGGCAACGGGCTGGCTTGAACAGTCTTACACATGAGAACAGGTAAGCTTAGCCTGGAACTTCCAGTCCATCAGCCTCGTTGTAGGGATATTGCCTATGTTATGCCACCACTACAGAGTTTATTTTGGTAATTTGGCACAAGCTCGATGCGATTTCGGAAAGGAGCGTTCAACTTAGGGCGCGAAAAAACTTCCGCCCCAGCTTTGCATCCATCTCCAGTGGGGTTGTTCGGGTCGTTCGACAGTTCTGGTATGGCGCTTGCCTGGAGGTGACACGGATCTGAGATGATGATCCACTTCGGCCATCGCCGCATGGTCTGACTGTACAAGGATGTGTCTGACCTTCGGCACCCCGTGAAAGCATGCCGTGTTGCAAGTGGCCGAGGCGTCAAGCGTTCCCGAGTCTTTCCCCGAAATCCCCACCTCCTCCCCAAAGCCCTCCACACACGCCGCTGAAGGTCATCCCCACAACACGCGAGAAGATCAACTCATGATCCTCTCTGGATGCGAGAAATGCGATGGAGTCACATGCTAGAGGTTCTGCACGAACATGTACAGGTACATGTTAATCATATGGTAGGATCATCAACTCCGCATTTGGGAGCTGGAGACATCTCTCAAAAGAGCCAATCATGGTCGGCTAACATGTACGAAGGACCCCGTACTCAAAACGTCCCAGGGTTAGGCACCGCGGCAAAGATGGCATGGTTCGCGGAGCACAAGCTCAAATTTCTTCACATTTTCCACCACACCTCTCGAGACTTCCGAGGAAACATGTTCGTGGTTATGCTAAGGCGATCGAAACGCTTCATGATTTCATATCTTGGATTCGTCATGGTCGAGAAGCACAAGACGGCGAAGCATCGGGCGCTGCGAGCTTGTCTTCGAGACGGCGAGTCTATTGGGTGGCCGAGGCTGGGCTTGCCCGGCCGGTCCTTGCTCGACGTTGGGTGGACCGTTAGTCTAAACCCACATCAAATTTGTAAAGCTTGCCCCGGCGTCCCGTTGGTGAGTCTCCCGGCAGAAGCACTTGTTTGCTTGCCAATCAAATGTTCTAGATGGCTTAACGATCGAACCATGTGACTGGAACCGAGCGCTGAACGGCCATTTTCTCGTCATAGCTCGCCGAAGAAGGTGTCTCTCGAATTTGTTTTGGGCTAGATCGAGATGTTTTCGCTGTAAGATGGGGCCACGCGGGGATCGAGTCGAGAACGAGGGAGGGAATACAAAACCACGGGTCTCGCACCCCTCGATGGATTTTCGTATCACACAACCAATTCATTCATTCAAGCCTCCGCCAACATGCCTGGTGCTATGCTTGCTACCACCTCTGATGTCAATCAGATTGAGGCTCCAGTCACCTGGAAGGCCTATCTGATCTGTGCCTTTGCTTCCTTCGGAGGTATCTTCTTCGGTTATGACTCCGGTAAGAAGCATTTCACAAGACCGCAACATTTCTACAGCCTCTGACAATTGATATAGGTTACATCAACGGTGTCACTGGTTCTCCCGTCTTCATCGAGCTCATCGAGGGTGCTGGCGCAACCACCCTCTCTGGTCCCCACAACTCTCTCATCACTTCTATTCTCTCTGCCGGTACTTTCTTCGGAGCCATCATCGCTGGTGATGTCGCTGATACCATTGGTCGTCGCTGGACTGTCATCATGGGTTGCGCTATCTACATGATCGGTGTTGTTCTTCAGGTTGCCTCTCACGGTCTTGGTCTGATTGTTGCTGGTCGTCTCGTCGCCGGTCTCGGTGTCGGTTTCGAATCCGCCATTGTCATTCTGTACATGTCTGAGATCTGCCCTCGCAAGGTCAGAGGTGCTCTTGTCGCTGGTTACCAATTCTGTATCACAATTGGTCTCCTGTTGGCTTCCTGCATCAACTACGGTACCAAGGACATCAACAACACTGGATCGTACCGTATCCCCATCGGTATCCAGTTCCTCTTCGGTATCGTTCTTGGTGGTGGTCTCTTCTTCCTCCCCGACTCTCCTCGCTACTTCGTCAAGCGTGGTAACGTTGAGGCTGCTCGCAGCGCTTTGGCTAGACTGCGTGGCCAGCCCGGTGACTCCGACTACATTGAGGCCGAGCTTTCCGAGATCGTTGCCAACGAGGAGTACGAGCGTTCCATGATCCCCACCACTGGCTGGGTTTCTGGTTGGGCAAACTGCTTCAAGGGTTCGCTCTGGAAGCAGAACAGCAACCTCCGCAAGACTATCCTCGGTACTTCTCTCCAGATGATGCAGCAGTGGACTGGTGTCAACTTCATCTTCTACTACTCTACTCCTTTCCTCCAGTCTACCGGTGCCATCGGCAACGCTTTCTTGATTTCGCTCATCTTCACCCTCGTCAACGTCTGCTCTACTCCCCTCTCTTTCTGGACTGTTGAGAAATTCGGTCGTCGTCCCCTCCTCGTCTGGGGTGCCCTCGGCATGTTGATCTGCCAGTTCATCGTCGCCATCATTGGTGTTACCGCTGGTTTCAACAAGACTCACACCATCCCTAACCCTGCCGGTGGTGACCCTCTCACTCGTGCCAACAACATCTCTGCCGTCAACGCCCAGATTGCTTTCATCGCCATCTTCATCTTCTTCTTCGCTTCCACTTGGGGCCCCGGTGCCTGGATTTTGATTGGTGAAGTTTTCCCTCTTCCCATCAGATCTCGTGGTGTCGCTCTCTCCACCGCCTCCAACTGGCTCTGGAACACAATCATCGCGGTTATCACACCGTACATGGTACCTTCTATCGCTCTGTATTGTCTGACAACATGCTAATCATCATACTAGGTCAACGAGGACAAGGGTAACCTTAAATCTTCCGTTTTCTTCATTTGGGGTGGTTTGTGCACCTGTGCCTGTAAGTACCCTCTGAACATCATTTCTACTGTTTAACGATCATGCTAACGCGTAGTCTAGTCGTCTACTCCTACTTCTTGGTGCCCGAGACCAAGGGTCTTTCCCTCGAGCAGGTCGACCGCATGATGGAGGAGACCACTCCCCGTACCTCCTCCAAGTGGGTCCCCCACGAGACCTTCGCCTCCTCCGTCGGCCATGCCAACGGCGGCAAGCTCGACATGGAGGTCGTCGAGGACGTCGAGAGAAAGGGCAGCGTCTTCTAAGCGCATCGCCTATCTCATGGATTCGCAAAAGAGACAGAAAACAAGACAAGTTTGGAGCCACCATCACTCCATTGTACAGTTCTTTATAATGTTGATTGTTATCTATTAGTAAATCACTAATAAACCTCTCTATTTCATCTTCAAACCACCTCTCTCAATGTTACTGCTGTGATGCATGATGTTTTTGACACTCCTCTAGCTCGTCCCCTGAGAGCAGCAATCGACCGCACTCTCAGTGGACCCAGCACTGTTTCTCAAAACATTCGTGCATTTGGACGAGCTCACAGCCCACCAGACAGACCATCACGGTGGAGAGAAAGTGACGATTTCTGGGGCATTGTGTTGTGCAGATCACGATCGTCTCGGATCGACCACGAACCGCTGGCCGGTGTATCTCTTCCCGAACGTCCAAAATTGAGCGTAAGCAGCACCGAAAGTCGTTCCGATAATTTCGTTGTTGTCAAACCATCGACTTTCATCTTGCCTGTTGCTAAAACAATCCACTGATGAGCATAGGATCCAATATTCCTTCGTAAAAGACCCGCGAGGAGTTCTTCGGCCGACGTCCCACATCTCAAAGTTTTCCTTCCTTGGAGGTCGAAATCCAAAAAACGGTCATCGCAAAGCACGGGAGCTTATTCATTCTGGCCCCTTGGTATTATTTCTCGGCGCCCCTCTTATGTGTCTCGACTGCGCATCCCTGTGTTACTCAACATGGCTGGACTCCCGCCTCGTGTCGAGCGGCAACGCCAGCTTACATGAGTCTTGTGTCGCATCAACGCGACCGATCCTCGGAAAACATCTCATCACCATATCGCCAAGTTATTATTGCAAACGGCACAGTCGACTGGTAAGCGCAACGTCAACGAAATGAACAAGCAACAGCCACTTTGCGGGAATTGTTCTTGTCTGACGCCAACGTCTTTCTTCCTTTTTCTTGTCGCTGCGACAAGCAATTTTCCTTTTCAGCTGCCAAGTCGGCGGCGGCTTGCTCGCGTGACTCGGACGACTTTCCTCTCGCATCGCATGCAGAACGAACTGCAGAATGTCACATATCGAGCGCATCTTGCGGCATGGACATCCTTGCGAAACTCTGGGCTGTAGCATATTCATGTGCTGAAGCTGAATTTGTGCAGCCTCCAGATTGCACGACGACGACGACGAGCACACCAAATAGTCGCCTTTCTTGACCCATGCGCTCACATCGAAAACCTCTGCCCAGGATGATGGATGCAAGCACCGCGTGTAGTAGACGCGGAAGTTCAAGTTGACTAAACTGAGCATAAGAGGTCAGGACATGTTGGTCACAATACCGGTAGGTACACGTATGATGCCAAGACTTCACCATACACAAACCCTTTTTTCTGGTATCACTGCATGATGAAGACCCAATGGGTTTCGCGGCTGCGTACGACAACTTTCGGAAGTTTTGCCATGTCCACGTCGTTGAGCATACGCATGGCCGCGAGTCCAATGGAGGGGTTAAGGCTATCAGTGTACGAATAGAGTGTTGTACTCTGGTTGTACTGAAGCAGTGACGAAGAATAAGTTTTCCTTTATTTTCTATTTGGTGCCCTTTTGTCTCTGCTCTTCCACCCTTCTACTTTTCTTCCATCCAAACATCTAAACCGCGATCAAGTGTTCACATCACATTTCCAACATGCAGCTCACAGCATTAGTCGGCGTCGCTCTGGCAGCCATGACCATGGCTCAAGGTCTGAACAACACGGACCCAACTTCCACGAACTCAGTCTTTGCATCACAAGCATCCATGAACCTTGCAGCACAATCTTCTCTCATCTCCGTAGCCCTGGACTCCATTTCTTCAGTCGCCGAAACCGCGACCGGCATCTACAAGACCCAAATGCAGAGCCAATATTCAGCATATTCGTCGCAGGCTTACGCTGGACTATCAAGCCAGGCCATCGCAATCAGCAGTCAACTCGGCTACTCCATATCTGTGGCTACGAACATGCCCATGACATCGGTGGTTGTTGTCATTACGAGCACGAGTACGAGCTCGGTGTTTGCTGCTGGAAGTGGAAGTGGCAATGTGACTGCTTCTGGATCCAGCTTCAACTCCTCGTCAACGTCATCAGGTGGTTCCTCGGGTTCATCAATCAGCAGGATTTCGGCCTCTTCGACTGCGGGCTCATCATCTGTTCGTTCGTCGGCTTCTTCTTCTGCTTCGTCCACATCCTCAGCTGGGGCTGCTTCTATCGACATACCAGCTTTGGGTGGGTTTGCCGGTCTCCTGTTGACGATCCTGCATCTCATGTAATTTCCTGTCATCATTTTATCCCATCCTTTTCAAGCACTTCTCATAATGATCTAATATGTTTCCATTCACACATATACATACCAGATATTACCACAACGCAACTCGCACCATTCAAGCTTCCATTGTCACCATGTTCTATTATGTGTCTACGGAGACAAAGTGCGAAAAGAAAAACGAAACCGTCGGGCGAGAGAGTTGACCGCTGGTCATAGGTTTGGCGGGCAAAACTCTTACAGGTCCTCCAACCCTCGGACCGAATCACACGAAGCCTTTTATTCATACATACCATTGTTGAGAGTATGGTGGTATATATACGCTGAAGTATTCACAAAGATAGAATATGACTCAGGTATAGTATGGCCAAAATCAGTCAGTCTCAATGGTCCACGAGCCCCTTGTCAAAAGCATCCTGCATTTTGATATGCAAATTCGTGCGGATTGTTGTGATGGGCGATCAGTGTGTGATAGGGACGGCTTTGCCCCTATCTACCATATCATGTCAAAGGGGTGGGTGACCCATCAGTTCAGTGCACGTCATCTCCAAGAGTAGAGACCATCAGATATCAGCCTACCAAAATGCAAGATGGTTTTCTATATTCGTGGTTTGTCCACTGAGAGCTCAAACACTGGTACCCTCCGTCGAGCGTTATTCCGATCTTCAACTTCCTTCTGCATTTTCATGACTACTCTTGATGGCCTACCACATCGTAGAAAGCAACATTCATTGTGCTTTGGAGTACCCATGTCTTGATACCGATTACCATGGCTCTCCTGTGCCTGCGCTTCCACGCCTCAACCTCATTTTTTCAAAGGCAAATCCACATCCACCAAAAACGCCGCGTTCACAGGATGATACCCAGCATCCATGATCGCCGCATTGACCATCAGTGTCTGCTCTCCCCTGATGACCTCCTTCCCACTCGTCTTACTAGCATCCACATAGACTGCTCTCTGCTCCATAACTTCCTTTTTGTCCACCTCTACTGTCTCAACACTCTTAATGCTCTTCTCCCATCCTCCATCCTTGAACTCCTGGATCGTCTGTTGCGGTTCTCTCTTGGGCGTGTCTTCCCAAGTAACCCTCTCAGCGCCCCAGCCCTCATGAATATGACCGAAACAGTGGATCAGTGGTTTGGCCCTCGCAACTGCTTTGAGGAGATGCGGACATCCTACATTTCCATGTGGTGTGATGTCTCCACGCTTGAAGGGTGGGCCATGAGTGCAAATAACATCCAATTGTTTGGCGGAGAATGATGGGATGGGGTTAACAGAGATGTGTTTGGCGTCGATGAGGACGTTGGAGATGTTGTAGCGGTCTTCGTGCTTCCAGTAGGGGAAAGCCCAGTCGCAGAATTCGGGTTGGTATTGCGATGTGTAGAGCTGGTTTGGGAAGGAAGATGTTAGTAACTTTTCCTTGTGTTTGTGGTGGTGAAGAGGTAGATGATGGGAAGTCGCGCTGGGATCGAGGGTTCTTCTTTCATGTATCGGCTCATGGTGGGTATCCAAAGGCACGATGAATTTGATGTTGGTAGGATTGGATGTCCAAAGAGAGTCGTTGAAAATGTTCCCAAAGCTCTTCCATTGTTTCCGTCGTGTTCTCACCATGTCACCAAAGCGAGTGACAAAAAGAGTGAGATAAGAAAGATAAAAAGGAAAAGAATAACTTACAGTCAACACACCCCCATTCTTCAGAGGCACCTCATGCACGCCCTCCTCCAACATAACCACCCCCTCTCTCCTCGCCCGTCCTTTCTCTCCAAACCAAAACTCCCTCGCCTCCTCATAAGTCTCTCCATCCCATAGATGATTCTGATGTTTTTCCATCCACGTCTTGTCAAGTGTGCGATCATGATTTCCGGCAATGACCAGCTTGATAGGTGCGTCGATGGAAGCGAGCAAATCCAGCGTTTTGTGGTATTCAGAGGTCAGTCCTTTCATAGTGAGGTCGCCACAGTGGATGAGGATATCTGCTGAAGGGAGGGGTTGGCGGAATGGGTTTGGAGATGTGGTTGGTTGGAGAGGTGTGCTGTGGGTGTCGCTGACGATCAGGATGCGTGTTTTTACTGTTTGCGGTTCTGCCATGTTGTGCGGTAGTCGTTTGGACGTTTGTGAGATGGAATTTGGTAGTCGTTGGAAAGTGTTGTTGTTGGTGGTGAGTTGGTGGATTGATGCGATTTGGAGCTTGGGTTGCCTGCGTGGTCGCGTCACAAGCCTGATCTTGGGTGCAGCAAACACACGATTCACAGTGAGCTTCACCATGGAGTCGCACATGGTTTCATCTATGTATCAATATATAGTGAAGGGTAAGAAGCAGAATTATAATTGTTACATCACATGCGATCTTTCGAGTGATGGACTCATCTCTAGTCAGGCCGAGGCTACCCAGACACAGACTGGCAACTCTACTGGCTACCAAAATGCAATATTTATTCAGTGATCAGGTGAACATCCAATGATAGAGGCTGATCCTACATCTATCTGTCTTGCCGAGAAGGAGGGCTGAAATCGAAGAAGACAAAGTCAAGCACATTGAACCAAAGTAGTCAGGCACGTTGGAGAAGATAAAAAAGTCAATACCAAAAGCACAATCATCTCATGAAATTTCTGTCGACAGATACAACTTATGAGGGGGTATTCGAAAGGCTTTGAAATTTTTTTGAGAAACAAGAGAGAATTTGACGTAAGCTAAACAACAACAGTGCTTTTTGCTGTCCCGAGCAGACGCCTGTGTCATGAACAACGACGCCAACCATGTGAAAAGCCATGATGAACATCCCCCCATAATCCTTCGTTAACGGCGGGTCATGGTTTACTTGCGGATGGCGCGCTGGTAGAAGGCGAGCTCCTCACCCTCGAGGATGTAGCCGTCAACACGACCGCTCTGGCCGGGGCGCGAGGCGACAACGGCGAAGAGACGACCGGCCTCGAACTGCTTCTCAATGGGAGACTCGACCTTGCCGGAAGCCTTGGTGCGGGCCTCCTGCTTCTTCTCGACGGACTTGGACTTCTTGACCTCCTCGGCCTCGGTGCCCTTGGCCTGGCGACGGCGACCGAGAGCGGCACCGTAGTGGGCCTCGTACCACTGACGGAAGGGAGCGGCATCGATCTGGACAACGGCGGACTTGGTCAAGGTGTTGGTACGGACGAGCTCGTTGTTGGAAGGGTGGTAGGCGACGGCAATGACACGGGTCTTGCGGGAGATACCCTCAGAGCCCCAGGAGAAGTTGCCCGAGTCGAGACGGAGGGCACGGAACTTGCGGTTGCCACCACGGGTGCGCACGAGATGGATACGCTTGGCACCGATACGGGTGTTGGCGGCCTGACGGCCCTTCTCGAAAGCTGTAAAGACGAAAAGTCAGAAAGACAGTTCGTCAAGCAATCGGGTTACGGTGTTGGACACCAGTTTGTTTACGTACCGCGCTTCTTGTTGGCGGGAATGCTGAACGGAATGTCAGCGGGTGTTTTCCCATAGAGCAGAGATTGACAGCAAATATTTACCGCTTGGCGCCAGAGGCGGCGCGCTTCCAGTTACCACTGCGAGAGATACCCATGTTGTCGGATTATGAAGGCTGCTATGCGAAAGCGGAGGTCAGCGTGCTGTTCGAGGTGCGTGTTGAGAATGACGACTGAGAAGGCGCGAGCGAGGATGGTACGGCGGACGGCTGTTTGCAAATCTGAATCGATCGGGAGGGCTTGAGACGGTGGCAGTCGAGTGGAAGGAGTGCGCGGTGCGTTGTGTGGTATTGTCTCGATCGTTTGTCGAAGATTGTGTATGCGTGTGCAATTTTTCTGTCCTCCACTGACTGTCCCCTGCGCCGGTCCGACGCGGATTTGCAAAAAGTCGATGGCCGTGTATGCCCTGTCGCGTCTTCTCAGGCCATCAATGAAGCGACTCACATTGAATGGCTTCACAAAGAGGGGGTTGTCGAGGGTTGTCGTTGTCGTCGTCCGATCGCGAAAAGCCAGACTCCAGTGCGATTTGTGGAAAGCTGCAAAATTCGCTTGTGGCTAAACTCCGGCTTCCTTCCCTACAAATCCTGGGGAATTCCTGACTTCTCGTCCGCCAAGCTTCGACCATCACTTCAGGACCATCATCCGAACATGGCAACTTCCCAAAAACATCCTTCACAGCGGCTTGTGCTGGCGGTAATGAGAAGCTCTGGCATGTATCGCCAAGAGTCTAACAACTGTTGATACTTCGTATCAAGAGTCTTCTTCCATGAAAAACTAACATCTAAGCTGCACGATTCATGCTGATAAAGGCAAGTAATATGCAAGTGCTGCAAACCTCGATAGGTCGCTCTCAGTGCGGCCAACTTCACGCAAGGCGAGGGGAAGGCTGTTGGAGTAGGCAGCTTTCCATCGTTGCTGCCTCTTCTGTCATGCAATCCTAAACTGTGTTTCTTTCTGCACCTCCGCACAAACACTCATCAACTGCAACATCACATCAAGAACATTACAATCCATCAATTTTGCAACGTAAGAATCCATCAATCATCCCGCAATCTCATCTACGTTACCAAGCAGTCCATCATGGCTGCACATATCGAGACAGAAAAGGACAGTCCTGCACAAATCAAGACAGAACAAGACAGTCCTGCACAAACCAAGATAGAACATGACAGCCCCATACAAGACAATCATCCACAGGTCGTTCCTCCACAAGTCGTTCACCCACAATTTTACCCTGGCCAGGGCCCTCTTGGTGTCTTCACCCTCCCTGGTGTGTACAGTTTACGTACCAACGAATGGCCCACTGTCGAGTTCAAGAACGAGTTTCGTTACAGAGGCGTACTAGTCTTCGAGTTGAAGATTCACCAGGACCCAGCCACTGTAATTGATCGGAAGGATCCCATCACTGTGAGAGTCTTGGTCCTTAGAATGAGCAAGACTCCGCACAATGCCGACTCGAAACTTGTCACGTATCGAGAAGAAACAACTAGCAACAACTTGACGAAGCGGATCACTTATCGTGGTGTGCCAACACTCACCTATACCGGCCGGGGAGAAGATTTCAGACCACCTAAGGTGGACAACGTGCACTGGTGCGATGGTCTAAGGACAGACACGGCCTGGGACGAATCAGAACTGGAACAAAATTACCGACGCAAGGAGTTGATTGAGCGCATTGCGGAAGTAATTAACATCGAGGATGAAGATTGGGAAGACGTTAATTGGGGGGAGTTCAAGGTACTTCTAACCTAACGCACTTCATGTCTGAGTAATGACTAACAATATTCAGAAACGCGTCGATAAAAAGGCCAGCCTGCGCACCGACGTCATTCGTGACCTTTACTAGCCCACTTCGATGTCGTCTTTTCCCGCGACATCATGATTTTCCCCGGATACTGTCGATATCAGCACGTCTCAAGCTCTCTTCCGTCATTCTCGCCCGACCACAACCCCCATTCCTCATCCGAGAGTCTTGACCCCAACAGAACACAAACATCTCTACGAGTTTCAGTCACTACAGTTTACAAGGAAGGGGGAGGCGAAGAAGGGTATAAAGGATCATCAGTCTGTCATTCACAGTTCATGATACTTCCTTGAGTCGATCATTACTCCGAAGTAGTCGAGACTCTTGATAGCAAGCATCAACCAAACAGTCGTCTCTTCCCCAATGCTCTCGTTTTTCCAGCTCTGGCTCCGTGTCCTATTCTTGTGTTTGCAGGTTAACTCTAATGCTGAAAAGGTCAAGCAGAACTTGTACCACGCGGTCTTGCGTGTTAGAGAAAGTTATTGTTGTTCAATAACATCTTTCAAGAACATGACAGTGTCTGTTGAGCGCTGGGAGAGTGTTACTGTCGAGGATGCTTCTTCTTGTAACACAATTTCATAGTAGCGGCTCTGATCGCCTTGCCAACACATGCTCTGCTGGGAAAGAGTGTTTCTGAAACATTAACACTCATGAATTAGTCGACTCGTTTATAACATTATACATCTCTTGTCGCGCAAGAACTCAGTCTCTTCAGGTTTCATCGTTCTTTTGACGAGCGCTGGAACGTTCTTGTTAAGAGAGAATGGGGAACTTGTCTTGGTAGACGTCAATGTCCAAGGCTGACATTCCTTGAGCGAGTAGAAGGGACGGCAAAAGAGCGATGAAGATAATCATACAAATAAACGATAAAATAGGGTATCTAGAAAGATAATAGCTGACAAACAAACGAACAACGAAAAAATCGCGAACATAAATCGCGAACCTCTTCCTCCACATCTCTGTATCCTCCATCACATCTTCACCACCCTCACCTATCACCCCTAAAATCTCGTCCTACTACTCGCCCGACTATGACTCCTCGTGCCTGCCTCCTTCTCCTTCCCGCTCCCACCCAAACTCAAAAAACTCAACCTCTTCTTGATACTAGCTCTTCTACCTCTAGGTTTCTGCGCCGCCGTCAATTCGGTCTGTTGTGTATCTATCGTCAACACTTCCGATGGCGCTCTTTCTCTGGCTTCCCTTGCTTGAGGGATTTCTGTATTCTGCCATGCAGGGGAGCGAAGACGCCAATCCCGTGATGGGTAGAGGACATGCAGCTCCAAGAGGAAGGTCTGTTCAAAGGAAGTGCGGAGGTGTTCTTTGATGGCGGGGGCGATAAAGGGGGAAGAAATGGCTAATTCGAGACAACGGGCGTGGTCGTCGAGGGAGGTTATGAGGATATCTCGTAACTGGCTTTCTTTGGTCTTGACTTCGCCGCCCAAGGCATCGTGGTAGATGGATTCTGCCATTGTGTTTGTTGCGGTGCTTCCTGTGCCTGGACGTGAGGTCAGGGAGTCGAGGAGGCGGTGGTATTCGGCCACACTGCCTGTGCTAGAAGTGTCGACGCTGGCTTGAATACATTCGATGAGTGTTTCTGCTGCGGATTCGCCCTTGGATGCTGTGGAGTGGGCAGCTACTGCGATATTCAGGGTTTTGCGTTGGGTGCGGTCGATGGCTGCTTGTACTGGCGACAAGATTACTCTTTCCTCGCGAACGATAGGGGAGTATGAGAGGAGTGTTGGGAATGCGGTTGAGGTGTAGAAGACTGTTTTCTCGACGACTTGGTCGACGACGCTGATGGCTGGGTTGTCGTGGCGGGATGTCATTGCGAATGCAATTGGCTGAGCTGTCAAAACGTGTTCTCTGAAGCCGGGTGCGACGCCGCCTTGTTGGTTGATGGGATGGAGTTGGTTCTTGTACACTGTGACGGGGCTAATCTTGACGGCTGGATCTTGTGTCGAGGATGTCGGATGCTTGTAGTCCGGACCCAGATTGGCGACATAAGGATACTGCACTTGGAGCAATGTCGAGAAGCTCTTCCGATCGCAATTGGCGGGACCTTCGAAGATGAACTGCCTGCTCCGAACAGACTCTGGGAAGAACTCGTGGTCGCTGAAAGCAACATAGAAGTAGCGAGGGAGTGGTACAGGGCCGGCTGCCAGAGTGTTGTATATGCGTGCCTCATCAAAGCGGACTTGTGCGATACCAGCTGCGTCCCAAGTCGCCTCTCGACCTTCCGAAAGTTGTTTGAGAGTCTTGATGACATTTTCCCAGCAGTAGCCTTTCTCAAAGTACGTTGCCATTGTCCTGTACAGACGGTCTTTGCGCGATTGAACCAGTTCTGCAGGAGTTTCTAGCCCCGGGATCTTGGCTGGAGAAAGTACTCTGGAAGGTTGGCTCTCATTCAACACCTCGACATGCAGGTTCAGTGCACACGCTGCGCTGGAGTAGCTCTTGGCTTGTACGTGGAGCTCAGCAAGTTCGTGAATGCGACACACGTATGCCTCTTCTTGACCACTCAACCGCAAGAACTCCATCAGACGTAGCAGCTGCACCATGCGAGAAGCAGGATCTCTCACCTCGCCCAGATCGGCCAACACATTGAACAGGCGATCGACTTCTGCAATCACACTCATAACAGCTTCGTAAAGCGTATGGAGCTCGGTGTTCTTGATGATGACGAAGTGTTTTCCGAGTCGCTCCAGGAATGCTGAGGCAAACGGACTTTGGATAGGGGCACTTTCGCGGTGCATTGTGTCGAATGCGTTGATGATGGCCGCTTGGACGACGCCAAGGTTCTCATTCAACTGCCATTCGCTCACAATGATAGACCGAAGGACGTCGAGACCAACAGATTGAAGTTGGTCATGCAATCCCATGCAGAGCCTGACGACTGACGGGATGACCTCAGTAGAGAGACCCACCTGATATCCACCAACTCTGTCCATCGGATGGAGAACCTGAAGATACTCGGGTGGTGCCTGCCAACCTAAGCAAGCCCATCCTCTTTGGAGGAGATTGGCAGCGTCTGCACGAATATCACCACCGATCGTCCAGATTGCTCGTCGTGTCTGTTCAGTAAATGTCTCCATCGACACCATCTTACCAAGAGCTAGATCAATCAAGATCTGGAACCAGAGCTCCCACAAATCAGGGTTGAACTCCATGACATCGTTGACGCCAGTGTCATCTTCTGAAGGCACAAAGTTGGTGGCGAGAATTTCGAGCAGCCACTGCAGAGCAGAAACTGCTACCTTGGCATGCGTAACGTGCAGACTGAGCCATTGCGTTGGAAAAGCTTCTCCATTATGAATAGATTGGAACACTCTGAAAGCTTTCACCAAGAACTCTCGCTGCATGATCTTTGAGTCCGATGCAGTTGTGCTTGTGAAAAGCTGGCCTTGTGGAGGACCATTTTGGAAGAAAGTGTCCAGAACAGCAGCAATCTCCATCAGAACCTCAGAGGGTACATTCGCCGCATCCACAGGCATGTTTAGAAATGGGTAGTGGCTTGGGAATAGATATGAGAGTGACTTCTTCGACCTGTTCATGGACAGCGAGGATACTCTTCCATCACCCCCATCCTTCATGAATTCATCGATGACATGGTATGCCTCGACCAACCTCCAGATGTAGTGCAGAGATTGAGCCGGGATTGAGATTTGCGCTTGCTGCGTACGCAGAATAGAACAGCACATTCTTACACCCTCGATCTTTTGCTCGGTCAAATTTGCAGCATCTGGCCAATAATCTTCAAGCCATCCGATTGTCAAGGCATGAAGCTTAGGCAACACTTCAGGGTCGGAGAAAGTGCCTTGCCCAGACAATTCTTTGACCATGATCAATCTGTGTATACGCAGACCACCCTTCTTGCTGGCGGATGCACTCATCATGCCTTCGACGACGTCCAATATATCATCAGCAGACATGACATGAGCAAGCTCAGGAAGCCAGGAAGAAAATTGTTGCATAAGGATAGTCTGTGTGCCGTAGAGATCTTCTCTAGGGTTTCTCATCAGGTTCACCAATGCGACTGAAACAGAAGAGACAGCATTGCTCAGAGAGGAGGTGCTTTTGGGTGACCCAGGTTGGCCGCGGTTCGTGACAAACTTCATTACCTGGCCAGAGACTTTCAAGGTGCTACGAAGCTCTCTTGCATCTTCGACATCGTAAGGTCTGCTGATGAAGGCGCGTAAAGCTCTGCAGACACCTTTGGAGGCATCGTGTGAGTGTTGGCGCTCTTGGATGTATTCTTCGAACAGAGTTTTTGTGCTACTGAATCGACGATCGCGCGTGAGATGAAGCATGTGGACCAGACACGACAAGGCCCGCTCGGTGAAGTTTTCTCCAAGGTTTACTCCAGTTCCAGTGTCATCGACCACACGGTAGAAGACATCAAAAATCTTGTCAAGTGCTGTCAGCACAGGCTTGAAAAACTTGACGATCTCTGCATCCGGTGCTTGCTTGAAACCTCCTAGCAAAGGCATGAGACCTTGTACAGTTGTTCCGTCCCATTGAAGAAGAGAGCTGATGGTGGGATCTTGAGGTGTAGTACTACTACTCAGCGTGACGTCTACCGACAATGCCGCCATTGGCGTATTGTCTTGTATTTGTAGTTGATCCAAGCAAGATGGTAGCATCTGATATGCGCCTCTACCATGAACAGTGCTAGCAGTGTATTCGCTGTAGTCCCAGAGAGCCAGCGTTTGTTGGCCATGGGTACATACAGCACCCTGATGATCCCAAAGAGGTATCCAAGCCAGTGCGAAAGGGAACTGGTTGCCCTCAGCAATACTAAGGACAACATGAGCATGCGGAAGGTCTTCGTTGGGGACTGATAAGCGAATGGTCTGATTCCAGATCTCATTACGGTCGATAGCAGAAGTCCTGAAAGCAGTATGAGGTGGTCGATTCGAAGTCGGCCAGATCGAGCTTTCAATTCGCTTTCCTGATTCGGTGCGCACCTCAAGTGTCAGCTGCAGATTTCTTAAATCTGCTTCATTGGGTATCAATACGCTTCCTTCTTGAGGATGGAAGCAGCGAGCGCCAGATGGGAGGATGGATTCTTTGAGTGTCAGATACACGTCGCTTCTTTGTTGAGCTGATCCGGAAGAAAGATTTAGTGCTTGAGTACAATAGACGTCTCTTAGTAATGCGGGATGATCTTTGATCAGCGCATCCGCATTCGCGTGAGCAAAAGCATGTAGATCGAGTTGGAAGTTTCCAACCGAGCTTGCCTTGGTGAAGCTTCCCATTGGACTGCGGACAAGATTCTTGATGACCTCTTCCCAACCATCAACTCCAGTGGTAGGTTCCTCAATGACTTCTTCAAATGCCTCAGCAGGGGTCCACAATGAAATATTGTGGATGATATTGCCATGTTGACGAATGAGCTCGCCAATTTCTATGGCGCCATAGCCAATGACACGCCGCAACTTCTTTTCTGCAGTCGGGGGACGTCCTTGGGTGTCCGCTGTCACAGGCGTCTGTGGTCGACCTCTCAATTTCGATCGTGAAGATTCTCGAGTTGGAGGTCGTGCTTGGTCCTGGGAAGTGCTTCTTTCTAGGGTCTTCCGGCCCCGTTGACTACCCCAGAGGAAGCTGCGACGTGCTCCCGTACTCTCAGAACGGCTATGGGATTCCGGACGTTCTCCTTGAGGCACCGCGGGAGAAGGTGCGATGGTTCTTTTTCTAGGAGCCTCCTCGCGATGGAGCAGACAGACAAGATATAGATGGGAGCTTGGATCTGTAGCACTTCCTATCTCAGCTTTGGTCAAGTCTGTGAAAAGTGTTTTTGGCAATTGGTTTGGTGTAAGACTCTCGAGAGAATGACGATCGAAAGGCACCTCAACAGCAAAAACCTCGGACACAGCACGTGGGACTGAATCTGATGCTTGACGACACAAATACATGTGCAATACCCCAGACTCTCCACTCATATCGCCAGTTTGTTTTAAATCAACCAGCAAGTGTGAAACCAAAGACTCTTGAGCAGGAGGTGGAGGAGGCCTATCGCGCATGCTCATTAACGCCTGCAGCTCCAGCATTTCTGGGATGCTGTCCTGTGCGGTGAGGATGCGACCTTTCTCTTGTGGACTCCGGACTATGACTTCGCCATGGAGCAGCTTGTTTCCGTCGACCAAATCCCATACTGTCCTCTCTCTCAAAGATGCAAGCTCTTTCTCTGTTAGAAGATCGTGTATCAACTGCTTGCGAGCATTGTCCAATCTTCCAGCCAAATCTGACAGCTTTTCCAAAAGGTCGTACTCGTGGTTGAGTACTAGTTGATGTACATGAGTAGAATGCCATTCGCGCAGACATGAAGAGATCTCGTCGACCAGAGGTTCTTCATTCGAAAAGGGGGTCGCGTCGCCGATACGGAGGGCAGGCAGAGGAGCCTCGTCTTTGAGAGCACCCACCGGCCTAGGCTGCACGTCCACAGGCAGCAGGTGCGCATCGTTTGGTCTGCGTGGTAGCAGACGTGTCCGTCTCTTCGACTTTCCTCGGCTTGGTGCAAATGGCGGCACTTCCGGGGCAATGTCTCCATTCTGCGCACCTCCATTTGCCTGAGCAGTATCCAATTGTTCCTTCTCTTCTCCAGCAGTCTGGCTGTCTTCAGTCAAGACCTCGCGGATCTCAATGCAGTTGCGAGGGAAGATTCCAGCGTATGCTCGCGGCATCAGCGCTTGGCCGTTTTGACATTCCAGACCAGTAAGGATCGAAGGTTGTGATAGTAGCCATCCTCGACACCACTCATGAGTAGTTCCACCTATTTCCGTCACGTAGACATCGTCGCCAATCTCAAGAGCGACATCGTTCGGGTGGGTCGCTTCAAAACGCTGCACGCATACAGCATGTACGATGTTCTTGACCGGTCTCCACGACATGGGGGATGTGCTGACTGTTTCCTGCTCATATATGCGCTGTCTTCATGGGCCAGGGACGAGTTCACACAGGGTTACACGGCGTGTCGTGTGGGCTTAGCGGTGAGCGGTCGGTCGAGCACGAGGGGCAGCTTGGAGCTGAGGACGATCAAGCAGCGTTTCCACAGACGATTAGCTAACGAGCGACTGCCTCGACATATAACTTTTGATCGAGACGAAGGGCGCAGCTGTAACAGTGAGAAGGTTTGAGACCGCCTGCCGTCGTTTCGGATATCTATGCGCCTACAAGTCCGCGCGTTTCTTGGTCTTGCTTCTCTTTTGCTACGAGTATCTCGTCCCCTGTGCTGCTTTTCTCGGGGTGACCCCTAGAACTGGGCTGATGCGATTCGGTCTCCGCTCAATTCAAGGAGCATGATAGGGAACGTGTAAAGGAGACTCACTGATCGATGACTCCTATACCGACTGCCCACGAACGCGCTCAGGGTAGTCTACCAAAAGGTTATTTCGGGCTTCCAATGGCTTCATGGCACGGACCATCTCATCTTCTTGAAGGTCGCACTGTCTCAACCAGTGCAGATCCTCCATCTTTTGCTGATCTTACCGTCTGTCTTGTGTCCATCACACCTGCCACCCGTGCTTGGTAGTACTTGTGCCGTCCTTAGGGTTGATATGCGATGGAGACTTTGAGCGTGGTCGAACCAAGTCGCACAGCCGTCAGCCTTCAGCTCGGGTTCAGACGCCCTTCTCACCCTGTCGGTTTAGATTCCAGCAAACACCAGACGATCATCATGCCGTGCTTGCCGGGAAACATATTACAGTAGCGACAAGGTCGAAACTGCGCGAGAACTTTTTTGACAGTTTTGGGATTGATCGCTGTGTGCCTTCTGAATCGTTGTCGATACCAGGCGCATGATTTCTCTGACTCGAGTGGCAGCGGCTGGTGAAGATCTGGTCTCGAAGATGGAAGAAGTCTGTTGGAAGCCATAGTCGCCGACGTCTTACTAGAAATTATCGATCTTCCGATACGTTCGTTAACAGCTACTCACTTTGTTGTCTTGGAGAAGATACGCACGCTGGAGAAGATTTCTCTATGCGTTAAATCTCATGCCCACTGCGAATTGATCTGAAGCTACCACGTTCGGAGCGGAGAACCACCGTCCGTGTCAAGAAGAAGACATGATCATGAAAGCTTAAAGGGTTGTCGACTGCGCGATGCATCGGTGCTTCTTTCCTGATCAGTGACGAGATCAGATGAAAGGCTGGAGAATCTCACGATCTGTGAAAACTGGAGAGGAGACCCCTCTTTGACCTTTCCCACAGCAATCCACTCTCGATACGACCCAACTACGACTGCGTGCGGAGTCGTGCGGGATGCCTACCACTTCCCATACAGGACGACGTCATCATAGCAAGCATCTCTAGGGCTAGTTCAGTACTCAAGTAGGTTATCTCATAGCTTATAAATGAGACGCCTCTACGCGTGACAGCTCGTCGAAACACAAGTAAATGGTTCAATCGCTCCATCATGTTGGTTCGTAGAATAGCTGCCATTGCAGCAACGCTCCTCCCGAAAGTCTTTGCCCAGAATATCATCAGCCTTAGTGGCCACGACTGGATCTTGTCAAACTCGGACTTGAACATTTCCTGCCCTGCCTCATTGCCATCTCAAGCTCATCTTGACCTTCACGCCTGCCAGGTCATAGGGTCGCCATACTATGGCCTAAATGATTTCAACCTTCGGTTTGTAGCCTGGGCCAATTGGACATATACCAGTGCTCCCATTTCCAACCTCCAAGCCAATTCATCTTCAACATGGCTAGTGTTCAATGGACTGGACACCTTCACAAGCATATCATTCTGCGGAGAGCACGTTGCCGCAACAAACAACCAGTTCCGTCAGTACTATTTCGATGTCTCGGCCATCTTCGACGACTGCCAGGACGACCCAGTTCTTAGTGTCAATTTCGGAAGTGCTCCAAAAATAACACAGGAAACCGCAGACGAACCTGGTCAAGAGACATGGCCATACGGGATCGAGATCATGTATGAGTTCCCGAACAGGCAATTTATGAGGAAAGAACAGAACGATTTTGGATGGGATTGGGGTCCAGCCTTTGCTCCTGCAGGTCCATGGTATGTGTCGTGGAATCGCGGTCAGATATGAGAAACGTGCTTATTGTTTGATTCTACCAGGCAACCAGCATGGATAGTGCAATTGAACAACCCAGAGGTCTACATCAGGAACTCTCTTGTCGATATCTATCGCCAAGGACAGCTAAACAACCTACCTCCAGATCAGAGCCAGCCATGGGTTGTGAATGCTAGTCTGGACTACTTCGGAGCGATTCCGAATGGTGCATCTCTACGCTATATCATCTCTACTCCTGACAATACTGCTGTTTCGAGCGGGTCGTTATCAAACATTAATATAACCCAGGGTACAGTGACAGGATCGACAGTGGTCGACTCTTCTCTTTTCGAGCTATGGTGGCCGAGTGGCTTAGGACCACAAACACTGTACAACATGACCATAACTCTCGAGGACAGCCGGAACAACACACTAGCAAGTGTCAACAAAAGGACCGGTTTCCGCACCATTGTCCTGAACGAGAACCCGATCAGCCAAGCACAACTTGATCAAGGGATAGCACCAGGCAACAACTGGCACTTCGAGATCAACGGACATGAGTTCTATGCTAAAGGCTCAAACTTCATCCCACCTGATCCTTTCTGGCCTACTGTCACCGAGGAAAGAATGCGAACGCTTTTCGAGGCCGTAGTTGAGGGGAATCAAAACATGCTTCGCATTTGGTCTAGTGGAGCATACCTTCCCAGTTTCATCTATGATCTTGGAGATGAGTATGGTATCCTCCTTTGGAGCGAGTTTGAGTTCGGAGATGCTCTGTATCCTGTGGATGAACTTTTCCTCGATAACGTGAGGGAAGAGGCAGAATACAATGTGCGACGAGTCAACCACCATCCCTCACTGGCTGCCTGGATGGGAGGGTACGTATCTCGATAGCGTGACCCGCGGCAATCGCTGACGAAATTCTAGCAACGAACTGGAAAATTTGGAGTTGGCGAACGTTAACAACACAGCTCCAGAAGAGTATGATCGCTACGTGTCTGAGTATGAGAAGCTGTTCCTCGACACTCTTCTTCCAGTAGTATTCGGCAACTCTCGAAGTATCAGCTACGCACCCTCTAGCACAAGCAATGGGTGGCTGGAGCTCAATTTCTCCAACCCGATCCCCATCGTTGAGCGATACAACAACCTGACCGAAGGGTCAGTATACGGCGAGACAGGTTGGTGAATCAATTCTTGCCTTTCCGTGTGCTAAACCTTGTCACGCGTACAACTATGAAACAACACAATTTCAGCATTGTTAGGGGTAGCCTCCACTGAGAGCGTGGTAATTAGCGTCTCTCTACGGACGACTTACCGATCTGAAAAACATTGTGCGTTTTTACAGGCCAGACGACTCCAGGCGTGGCCGCAGGAGATGGCTGGAAGTGACAGGTTTTAGCATACGGGGAGGTGGAACGACTCTATGCTGACACACGAATACAGATCATTACAATTATGATCCGACCGTCGCTTTCAACCTCTCCTCATACCCTATCGGTCGTTTCTCAAACGAATTCGGGTACCACTCCATGCCCTCCCTCCAGAGCTGGCAACAAGTGATCCCAGAATCCCAGCTCTACTTCAACTCTTCCTACGTCCAGCTACGCAATCGCCACTACCCACCTGGCGGTCTAAACACCACAAACTACTATAACAGCAGTCTTGGAATGGGCGAGATGACAAGAGCTGCTATTGAGTGGTATCCTGTGCCAAACAAGATTGATAGTGTGGCCAATTTCTCTGCTTGGTGTCATACTACGCAGATCTTCCAGGCAGATTTCTATCGCTCGCAGATTGAGTTTTATCGCAGAGGTAGTGGACTTCCTGAGCGTCAGTTGGGATCTTTGTATTGGCAACTTGAGGACCAGTGGACGGTATGTATCTTGACAGCTGGCAGAAAAGACATGTGGACTGACCTGATCAATGACAGGCACCCACCTGGGCAGGCATCGAATATGACGGTGAGCTTGGAGCTGGCCGCTGGAAAGTGTTGCACTACATTGCAAAGGACGCATACCAACCAGTCATCATCGCACCATACTATAATGTCACGACAGGTGATTTGGAAGTATACGTAACCTCTGATCTCTGGCAAGCCGTGTCAGGAACAGCTAGCTTCAGCTGGTACGACTGGTCAGGTAATCGCCTAAACATCTCAGCAGCACCCAGCGCACAAGTCAACGTGGGCGCCATCAACTCCACACGCGTGCTTTCGACCAACACTTTCGACATCTTGAACAGCACTGGCTTCAACTACTCGGATGTGTTGCTGCACATGGAAACGACAGTCCAAGGTATGATGCCCAACAGCAATCAGAGCAAGACATTCACACATGAAAACTGGTTCCACGCGTCTCCATTGTCGACAGCAGCGATGGTAGATCCTGGGCTTGAGTTGTCGTATTTGAACAGCACCAAGAACTTCAGTATAACTGCGACTTCTGGTGTGGCTGCTTGGGTGTGGATAGACTATCCAGCAGGCGCTGTGGTTACTTTTGATAGCAATGGATTCTGGTTGCTGCCAAACCAGACACGTGAAGTTGGGTACAAAGTCAAGGCCGACTCTACTGAGGGTGGATGGATTCAAGGAGTCTCGGTGGAGAGTCTGTACAATAACACGATTGCGTGATGAGTTGCTCGTGGAGAGTAAGCACTTCTTGCCTTCTCACTAGCCGTAATACAAATCTCAAAAGCAGTCGTGCGTTATGACAGACAGCCAACAAATGACTTGCCGGTGGGGTGTGATGCTGGCCAGTATGTTCGTTCTGCATGGGTTCGAGACATTTGAGTGACGGGACTCAGTTTAAGATGTTTCCTCAGTCGTGCCTTCCTTAGATTTGGCTCGGCGTTGCTCTTGCCACTCAGACCTGTAGGGAAGCTCGCCATCGACCGCTCCACGTTGCGAAAAAGCGAGCAGAGAAACGTAATCGTCAAATTTTGCCACTTGGTTCACAATGCCATCGATTAAATAATTCGTCGAGAAAGTGGACGAGTGAACAGTCCAGATGTGCAAAGTGAAGGGTCCAAATCACATGACGACGGTGGTGCGCAGAAAAGTCGGAAACTAAGCGAGGACCACGCTGCCAAGACTTGCACGGCGGGCTTTTGCAAATTTGATTTCCTCCAGCCTTTCACTCTTCAGGTCCTCCTCGTTGCAACTAACCACAGCAGTCAAGCAAGATGTCGCACAGAAAGTTCGAGGCTCCCAGACACGGCTCTTGTCAGTACCATCGCTACAGCTACACGCTCAATCGGAATCCCATCTGGACGAATTGCTAATGCGCGCGCAGTGGCCTTCCTTCCTCGCAAGAGAACCGTCCACCACCGTGGTAAGGCCAAGTCGTTCCCCAAGGATGACTCCAAGAAGCCCGTCCACTTGACTGCTGCCATGGGCTACAAGGCCGGCATGTCCACCATCGTCCGCGACCTCGACCGTCCCGGTGCCAAGCTCCACAAGAAGGAGATCGTTGAGGCCGTCACCATCATCGAGACCCCTCCCGTACGCTATCCCGACCCTCCAATCCGACTCGAAACAACTACTAACACGCCCTGCAGATGGTCGCCGTTGGTCTTGTTGGCTACATCGAGACTCCCCGCGGTCTCCGCTCGCTGACCACCGTCTGGGCCGAGCACTTGTCCGACGAGGTCAAGCGTCGCTTCTACAAGAACTGGTACAAGTCCAAGAAGAAGGCCTTCACCAAGTACGCCAAGAAGCACTCCGAGAACGCTGGCCAGTCCGTCACCCGCGACCTCGAGCGCATCAAGAAGTACTGCACTGTCGTCCGTGTCCTCGCCCACACCCAGATTCACAAGACCCCTCTTAAGCAGAAGAAGGCCCACCTTATGGAGATCCAGGTCAACGGTGGTTCCGTTTCCGACAAGGTTGACTTCGCCAACGGCCTCTTCGAGAAGCCCATCGAGATCAGCTCCATCTTCGAGAAGGACGAGATGATTGACTGCATCGCCGTCACCAAGGGTCACGGTTTCTCTGGTGTTACCTCCCGTTGGGGCACCAAGAAGCTCCCGAGAAAGACCCACAAGGGTCTCCGTAAGGTCGCTTGTATCGGTGCCTGGCACCCTTCGCACGGTATGTTTCGACTCACACTTCCAATTTTTGTCCTCTCACTAACACCCTCTCAGTCCAGTGGACCGTTGCCCGTGCTGGTCAGGACGGTTACCACCACCGTACCTCGGTCAACCACAAGATCTACCGTATTGGCCGCGGTGACGATGCTGGCAACGCCTCGACCGAGTTCGATGTCTCCAAGAAGACCATCACCCCCATGGGTGGCTTCGTCCGCTACGGAGAGATCAACAACGACTTCCTTATGCTCAAGGGTTCCGTCCCCGGTGTCAAGAAGCGCGTTGTCACTCTCCGCAAGTCCATGTTCATCCACACTTCCCGTCGTTCCACCGAGAAGGTCGAGCTTAAGGTTAGTTCATCCTACTTACCCTACCATGCCATGACGATGAATGCTGACTTGAAAAAAAGTGGATTGATACGTCCTCCAAGTTCGGTCACGGTGCCTACCAGACCCCCGCCGAGAAGAAGCAGTTCATGGGTACCCTCAAGAAGGACCTCGAGCGTTCCGCTTAAATGCTTTCTTCACGATAGTAAAAAGTCTTACTTGCGACATGACCGGCGTTTTGTTATTCAATTAGCGGTCTGGCAACTGGGGAAGACGAGTGCTAAATTTCAAAATGATTCCCACCCCAACCAACTTTTATGTTTTTCGTTCTTTCAATTTTTCGTTTTTGTGCACGATCGATCATTCAAAATGCCCACTCTGTGCTACCTTTAGTTTGACCACCCACTGATTACAGGTGTAGACATACTCTTTAAATACTCAAACCATGTCGCCACTCTGACTGAAGATCATGGCCACAATGTCAAATGATTCATACCTGTCCTATACTCGACGACTTCGTCCATACTAACCCAAGCAATGTACACATAGAGGTATAGTCGTCGAACCAAGACCGAGCTCCCAACCTGGTGAGTGGCCTCACTAATCAATCGTCAAAAGGCACGGTGTTTTTGGTTTTGCTATGGTTGTCCAAAGAGATCATGAAATTATTGTCCTCGACGAACAAGCATCCGTCGACACTGCTGTGCAGGACGCCCACAAGAAAGATCGTGATGAGTCACCAGCCTCTGCGACACGAGCATCTGTCGACACGGCTGCGAAGAGCTATCCATCAGAAAGACCGTAGTGAGATCTCAGCCCCAGCAACGCAGTTGTCCGTCGACACTCCCTCGAGGAGCCAGTCATCGGAAAGACCGCAATGAGGCACCAGCTTCCGCACCATGGTCATCCATCGATACTCCCGCGAGGATCCTGCCCCGAGAAAAAGATCAAAAGGCCTCTCAGCCGCTGCGCTACAGGCTGTTGTCGACACTTTCTCGAGCAACTATCGCTAGAAATATCGTAATGGAATACCAGCCCGCGCATCATATTCATCCGTCGACACTCCTACTACAAGTGCGACCATGGAAAAGACCTTGGACGACCACCAGCCTACGCATCACGGCCATCCGTCGACACTCTTATGAGGAGCTGGCCGCCAGAAAGATCTTGAAGAGCCACCAGCCTTTGCGCCGCAAGAACTCGTCGACACTGGTGCGGTGGAGCAACAACCAGAAAGATGTGAAAGACCCTACACCGCCGTACCGCAGGCTGTCGTCGACACGTTCTATAGATTTGCTATCGAGGAAAGCCTTGTGGGAAAACTAGCCTCTTCGGCTCGATTAGTCGTCGACGCCACTTCGCGCACAGTGTTGATGGAAGCTCGTTGGCTCTCACCGGCCAGTGACCGTTAGTCAAATACCTTCCTGCGTTTTGATGGCTTCTCTCCGTAGCTGCACGGCAGTTGAGAGCAGGGCCGTTACTCGACATCTCTGGCGTCTCTGGCCTTTCACTGACATTGTCGAACATCTTAACCCATTAGGCAGTATGTCCAAAAATCCTTCAACATTCATCGCACAATAGCCGTGGATGGAATCGAACAAGCTTTCCACTGTTGGGTAGGGACTTGCCTACCTGCTCCAGTCGGGTGATTGTCGTGGATTGATAATCATCTTGCGTTTCGATAGATGCGTCAACAGCGCTGCCTGGTACCAGAGGTTGGTTTGGTTTATGTGTACGAATTTCCTCACCACCATATTAACAATTGTAGTCTCCCACCCGAAAGTTTCGACGGAAACAACAAAAGTCCGGTAGGAAGCTCAATTGAAGGAGCTTAGGAGGTACGTGGAGTAGTCTCCTCCATCATGCAGTGGACGTGATTGGAGGACAGACTCTTGGTTTCGAGCAGAAGGAAGCAGGATCAGGAGACAGACATGATCGGAGAGCGATTTGATTAGGGGATTATCTTTTTTTACAATTTCTGGATGCTCAAGTTCTGATGCCATGATCTCCACAACCTCCATGGCTACCACGCTTACTCTTACTCACTCCACTCCAGTACTTCTTCTTCTTGCCACGCTCATCCTTAGGAGGTCTCCTACCTGAACGCATGACATTCTTTCGCCAGCCTCTGTCACGACCAGGGTTGTTCGCCTCATAGCACGACCTACAGCCGTAGCCTCTGCACAATCCACACTTTTGAATTGCAACCCTGGAACATTTGATCAGCATTGTAAGATATTGGCAACAGAAAAGAGCGAGTTGCGTACGTTCTACAGCCCTGCTTTTCCCTGTTTGGGGCTTCTCGTCCGTCCTCGCACTTGAACTTGTGGCGAGAGTCGTGGCCGTAACCAAAGAATTGACTGTGATCTGTCCATCCATGATTACAGGTTTGTGCCTCGGCACATTTGTGATTGTTGCGCATCACAAGATCGTCGAGAGTGATGTGGATTCGTTCCTCGTCATGGTGTCCTTCGTCTTCCATGTCTTCCATGTCTTCGTCTTCTTCTTCATTGGTATCCAGGATGTCCCTGGCTGGAGGGCTTCCACGAGTAGTCTAAGATAAGTCAGCACAAAAAGAGCAGGAAAAGAAAGAGGGCGAAAGAACGAACGGAAGCTGCAAGCTTGACTGGCATTAACTCAGTACGATATGTACCGAAAGAAGGTTGGGCGAAAAGAATTGGCTGCCATCGATCTTCGGCAGAAGTACGAAGCTGCGTGCGTGGTTCAACAAGAGCTGAGGCTTGCGTACGTGATTGGAGAGGAGCTGTAGCCAGCTCTTGTGATTGAAGAGGAGTAGTAGCTTACGTACGTGATTGGAGAGGAGCAGTGGTTTGCGTGCGTGATTGATGAGGAGCAGTGATTTGCTGACACGATTGAAGAGGAGCAGTTCGCTGCAGGTATGATTGTCTTGCATCAAGCTTTTTGTGTTATTTCGGCATCTCCAGCATCGATCCCAGACATTGAATACTTATCAAAAGGCACAATGATTTCCAGACCCGTGATGTTGTCCAAAGAGAGAAGACAATACGACGACTCTCAGTGGACGTAGCTCGACACTACAAAAACATCGTGCATTTTGACAGAGGGTTTGGACGCGTGGCTCTGGAGTCGAGAGAAGAGGCTTAAATTCAACATCTCCATCATCGATCTCAGGCACGAAATTCTTATCAAAGTGCACGATACTTTTCGGATCAGTGAGGTTGTCCAAAGAGAGCATGAGAAATGATTTTTTATCAGACACTCCATTTGGGGGTTCACGTGCTCTCTATGGACAGAGAGTCGGATTACAAAATCACTGTGCATTTTGACAGCAGAATTCTAGGAGTGTTTTGTGCTTGGGGTACGCACCTGTAATTGAACATCGGACATTTGAGCCCCTTTTTCTCTTTGAGCTGCTTGTGATCTCTTTAACCGACGACTAGGGAGGTTGCGTCTGTCAAAATGCAAGATGATATTCGATCTCATCGGCCGGCCCCTGAGAGGCTGATTGTGGGTGTCAAGTGAATGATATTTACCTTTATATAGAAAAATCAAGCATCCTTCAAAACGTCCTCTCCAGAGAAGAACCAGCCCTGCTTCTTCACTTCCTTGGCCCATGGCTTCTCCTTCACTACCTCGACTTTCTTGACTTCCGGTTTCTTTTCGGGCGTTACGGCAACAATAACAGCGGCAGGGGCTTTCACTTCTTCGATAACCTTGTCCTTCTTGTAAGCCTTGCCTCCAGATCTGTCATCCTTTCCAGCCAGCAATGCTCCCAATCTCTCTTGCTCAGTGCCAACGACCTCCAGCTTGGCAGCAAGTTTCTTGGCCTTTCTCTTCTCTCTCTTGTGCTGACGGATCTTTTCCTCCTTTTCTTCTTGTTGGTGGCGTTCGTACTCGGTATTGATAGTCTTGTCGAGTAGCTTGTAGATAACCCATGGGGGCTTGTTGAGGTAGTATTTCTTGACATCCCTCTCAGGAGCCAGGATGAAGACGTCGTTGTCTAGCATGTATCCGATGGTGTTGTATACGGCGTCGAGTGCGGTGAGTTCCGGCGGGCATGGGTTCTCCGGGTTGAATCTTCCCTGTCTTCATGTCAGCGAGCCTTCCCGTTCCTTCTTCGAAATTACTTACACGATCGAGTTTGCAGATCAAAACCCACTCGCTCTGTGTTGCAGCGATGAGTGCATAACCGATCTCCTCTCCATCCGCTTGCAGAGCTTCGTACAGCTGATCCTGCAGCTTTTGCACCAAGTTTCTGTTCTTGACTTCGGTATCGGGGTAGATTGACATGCACTTGCTACGATCGTAGGGGCGGACTGTGTAGTCAAGGCCTTCCAGTTCGGTTTGGAGGGCGGTAAAGTTCCCGAAGAGCTCAACATCGAGGTTGCGGATGCGGCCGAGAATATCGTAGTTTGGGTATCTTGGAAGGTGATTGGTCACGCATGACTCCCACTCTCGCTGTGGGCAGAAATCAGAGACATTCTGTCAGGAGAATAATGTCAAGACTCACAGCGCTGACATCAACGGGCGCTACCATAGCATCTGGTTGCTGGGCGTGAAGAAGGATTTGGAAGCGGATTCCCTGTTGAGGTGTCAGATACGATCTGTGCAGGGCCTGGTTATGTGGCTGAGTTACCGAGTAGGGTGGCATCTTCGCGATACCAGTAGCTTAGGTCGTAGGGTGATGAGAAGACAGTGGTCGGAAACGAGAATTGGCCTCAGAAAGTCTTGGAGTCAATCATGAGAGGTAGAGAGTGTGACTGAGGGTAGTTGTGACGGCCGTGCCTATCACTTTTCAGTCTTTGGTGGGAGTGAAAGGAGTTGAACAGCGAGGCTTGTGAAATTCAGAACGTGAGCAAACGGAAATGTTGCGGGAAAGAGTAAAAGCAAACGAACTGCTTTTCCTTGAACAATGTAAAGATTCTCGACTTGACAACTTGCTGCAACCTCACTTCTGCTTGGTTGTTGCATGCGTCAGACCTACTACTGTTGAACTTTGTGTCATGCAGATTTACAGCGGTGCAATGTTCACCACTATCTCCTTACTGTTGTATGCTTCCGAGATACATGTTGCTCGAGACAAATTAGGCCAGGAGGAAAGATAGTGAAGCGGCGTCAGAGAAGACACTGTACGGTGTTGTAATTGTGTCGTTGTTGGACGTTGACATGTTCGTGTGGCAGTGATCGTATTGTAGGCATCAAATCTGTTACGCCTGTTTATCGCGTACATGCCATAGATCTGGCCTGACAAGACGATCAGAGCAGACAAACAGGGCAGAATTGATCCTCAGTACATGACGGCCAACACGCCAATAGTATTGGTGTGCACGAAGAAAGGATGTGGTTGAGAGAAAGTGCAAACAGGGTCACCCGCTGAGCAAAGAACTGGTCAAAACGTAAAGCCGGCTCGAGCTCGGACACAAGCCTTGCGATTTACTCTGCTAGTCCTCGACACTTGGCAGTCAAAAGTTGGATAGCCTTCTGATAACCAGCCATCCATCCGAGGTGATCGCACAGTGCATGTATCCTTCCGCTGCTGAGGTGATCGAAAGAGCAGATCATATTTTGATTACTCTGCAGAGCAGGGCTGGTATTGATGGTGTGAAGAAGTATTGTTTACCTTGGACAGCATCTTCAAGAAAACATGTTGTGCCAGCATGTGATGCATGTGGCTGGGAGCACAATAAAGATGCGCGCTTTTGATTGGGCAATGGGGAAATTGTACTTTCCAGCAATTTGGATGGGAGAATGCGCCGAGGAGCTCTTCAAGAACCCTGGTCGGACACAGCAAACGCACCCATCCAAGCGAATGTGCGACATGATTTCCAGCCGTTGCTCGTTGTTTCTCCAATGCGGATGAGTGCGGTCGAGGATGTAACTGCGCCATCTGGGGTCATTTGAGATCTGAGAGGCTGGGTAATAATTCTGTCAAGCCTCTTGAGCCCAGAGCCATGGCTGTGTACAAACACAAATCGTGGGGTATGGATCTCATGGTTTGAGTGACCGAGCACAAGGATCAATGGACCGGAAATAATCGCACGTGTATAAGCAACCTCGTCAACCCAGCGAGAGAGACCCTTTCCAAAATGCAGTAGGGGTATCGCATGGAAGCTTTAATGGCCAGCGTTTCGAGCGGTAGAAGGCAGGGGTCCTTGTCTAATTTACTGCCCTGCAAACTGTCATACAGCACCCATCAACGGGAGTGCTGCCAGTCATGGGCGACCACTGCTTCAGATCTCACCAGCGGTAACTCCTGGCGGCAAGCCTCGAAGGCTAGCTGTGGCTGGGTGATGTGGCACTGTGGCACAGTGGCTAAGCCCTGTCGTACCTGCATGAAAACAAGGAAACTGGCAAAAGGCAAAGTCGAGCTTGCCAACACATGATGGAGTAATCACGAGAGATCGTGGAAGGCGCTCGCGAGTAAGACATGAATTGAATCGTAAAGCTTGCGGATGATGTCAATCGGTAAAGTGATATCAAGGGATCGTCAGGGCACGTTGGAGGAAGAAAAACAAGCAAGGTTCCGACTAGTTTGCAAGCAAGCGACTGCAGGGCGGTGGGAGCAACGGTGTGGATCTGGGGAAGCTCGGATGTGCTCCCACTGCGATTCACAGCAAAAGGAGAGCTGTAACACAAAGGAGATGAAGCATTGGAGGAACTGCGTTCGACACATCGCTTTGAAACAGAGACATAAGCCATTGAATGCAGAAGTCCTGATCTCATTTATCCAACGGCAGGAGGAAAAGGCTCGTCGGCCGCCGTTGCCAGCTATCAGTGTTCCTGCACTGGACCGCTAAGCGGGAAGCCAGCGCCATTAGCGGCCGAGGGATTAAGTCGATCATGGTCACGAAAGCTACGTGGGTTATGTGGATAGTGCACGCTGGTGAATCAGGAAATGGTGGAAATGTGGGAAACTGGCTGGCAGTCTAGGCCGACGTAGGCACGGCATCGAGCGATTAGTGTGGTCAGAAAGTGAAAGAAGAGGCGTGACCGCATCGTAACAGCCTTCCTCGGCGGGAATTTAAGAAAGAGCTCGCGCATGCATCGTCACTGCGCATCCTTGACCAGCCATCAACACCTGCCTCCGAATTACCTTACTTCTCCCTCGCGTCTACATCTACCATCCACATCCCCTCATCGATAGTCGTTTCATTCTCCACACTCCAACCTCGTCTTACCGTTCCTCGTAAACGATCACTATCTGGTATCCTACTCCCAAGCATCTACCATCTACGCAATCATCATCACAATGAAGTACGCACTTTCTCTCATCGCCGGCAGTGCCGTCCTCGCTGCCGCCCAGGAGGGTCTCAGCGCTTGCGCTGTAAGTCTTCAATCTATCAAGATCTTCCAATTCGCAATGCGCTAACACAATGCGCGCAGCAAAACTGCTTCACCAACATGGTCACCATCGCTCAGACTCAGTTCGGCTGTGCCACTGGCGACGTCTCGTGCTACTGCAACCACGCCAACTTCGGCTACGGTGTCCGTGACTGCGCCAACGAGGCTTGCGGTGCCGCTGATGCCGCTCAGGCCATTGGCTTTGCCAACAGCTTCTGTTCCGGTATGCATCATCTCAATACTCTCGCGAGCGCCAATACTGACTCTTTCTCAGCTGCCGTTTCTCCTAGCACCGCTTCTGTCGCCTCCATCCTGAGCACCATCTCCGGCTCAGGTTCTGGTTACGCATCAGCTACCTCTGCCGGCGCTGCTGCTGCTAGCTCTGCCGTAGGCGGTGCCGGTGCCGCCTCCTCTGGCGCCCAACAGTCGTCAGGCAGCACCTCGTCTGCCGTCACCACCTCTGCTTTGGTTGGCACCATCACCTCGGGCGGTAGCACCATCCCTACCACCACTGGCTTCTCTACGATCTACTCCGTCGTTCCTATCGTCGGTGGTATCGTTGGTGGTGCCTCCAGCGCTGGCTCGTCTGCCGCTTCAGCTGTTTCTTCCGGTGCCTCATCCGCTGGCTCAGCCGCCTCTTCTGGTGCCTCGTCTGCCGCAGCCGCCGCCTCTTCTGGTGCTTCATCCGCCGCCTCGGCCGCCTCTTCCGGTGTTTCCAGCGCTGCATCTGCTGCCAGCTCCGCCGTTTCTAGCGCCTCTGCTGCTGCTTCCTCGATCGTTTCCAGCGCTTCTGGTGCTGCTTCTTCGGGTGCCTCTTCCGCTGGTGCCGCTGCTTCGTCGGGTGCCTCTTCCGCTTCTTCGCGTGCTTCCTCTGCCGGATCTGCCGCTTCTTCGGGCGCTTCCTCTGCTGGAGCCGCTGCCAGCTCTGGTGCCTCTTCCGTCACCTCTCGCGCCTCAAGCGCTGCTTCCAGCGGTGCCTCTGCTGCCAGCTCTGGTGCTTCTTCGGTCACTTCCCGCGCCTCGTCTGCCGCCGGAGCTGCTTCCAGCGCTGCCTCGTCCGTCGTTGCCACCGCCGGCGCCGCTCCCATGATGACTGCTGCCCCCATGTTCGGTGCCGCCGCCCTTGCCGCTTTCATCCTGGTTTAAGCAAAAAACAACAGCAGGTGCTCTCACTCAAAGTCTCCCAGCACTGCTACGAGTTACGAAGATTTGCTTTACCAGCGTCGAATGTCTTTAAGTTAATATCGGCCTGGGTCATCGATGTCAATGAGCATGGAAAGCGACATTGGCTACGGCGTAGGGAAACGAAGAAAGCTCTTCTTCTAGTTGGAACAGCTTCAAAAACCTAATGTGTACTCCTTGAAATGAATATACCCTCTTCCTCATTTATGATAACTTGCCTGTCTTGTGTGGTGAAACGACTCAAAATCAACTGTTCTTGTCCTCCGTCCAGTCTACTCGGCATGCCGCCAGAATATCGATTGGGTCATCATGTAAAAGAACCCATACAGCATTCATCGTAACTCTTCAGCCGCTGTTGTCTACTGTGTCTTGGTTACTTGTAACTTACCTATTCACAAGGCTGCAGTGAAGTACTCTTCGATTCACGTGATCAAACCGTAGGGCTGAAGCTCTCACCAAGGCACGTCATCCAATCAATCGCGCTCGCGGTATGGAAAGTTGAGCGACATCAATACAGATCGTAGCACTTCCGAAACAATCACATATCATGGAGAACATGAACATGCAGAACGCACCTCCGCCGCCACCTCTTGGTGGAGGTCAAATGCCCCCGCCGATCCCCCAATTGCCTCCGCAAATGTTCACGACCGCAGCGCAACTACTTGACTTGACCGACAGTGAGCATGCCCTGCGCCATCGCAAGAGCTGTACTTCACCTCAAGAAAGAGACTGACCGGGATGTTTGACTTGGCGAATAGAAAAACTCATGGTTTCGCTTCGCGACGGCAGGAAACTGATTGGTGTCTTGAGAAGTTGGGACCAATTCGGTATGGGGATGCGCTGCGGAACATACTGGCATCGCAGTCGTTGACAAGACACAGGAAACCTCGTTCTCCAGGACACAGTGGAACGCCTCTTCGCCCAAAATCTATACGCCGATGTCGACCGTGGTCTCTTCCTTGTCAGAGGAGAGAACGTCTTGCTGCTCGGCGAAATCGTACGATCAGCTTTCTCATACCACGACTCTACAGCCACTGACGTTGCGCTACAGGATCTGGACAGAGATGATTACGTCCCCCCAACCTTCCAACAAGCACCCCTGGATCAAGTCTTCGAACTACACAAGCAAGAGCAGGCCCAAAAAAAGAAGCAGGAGAAGATGAGACACAAGAAGTTGGCCGCCTACGGTTTCGAGGGCGAGCATTCTGGAGAGGCCATCTTATGAGGTGCTCCATGAGATATGCATGGGAGCCTTGTACACTTTGCCATGAGCGACAACCGTATGGTCAAGAAGACCTGCCTGCACGTTCGACCTCCTATCGACACCATGCATCGAGCCTGAAAGTCATGTTAGGGCCAGGGTGCCGCGACCTCCAACAGTCCCTATCTAGGGCCACACAGAATTCGCCGTTGGGTACTCACTATCAGGTGCGTTGGCATTCTTCTTATGCTGTATTCGCCAAAACCAGGAGGGCTCATGCTCTCTAGTTTCGAAGCAGTTCCATGCTCCATTTATTTGGCAAGCAGGTGCATGAACCTCAGTTGATCATTAATGAAAACTCATGACACGTAACATGCCAGTATTCTTCTCCTTGTGCCTTTCTGTATTGGGTACCTCTTATAAAGTTGTTGTTGATGTCCACACATAGTCATCGATCGCCCAGATATTCGAGTCTCAGGTTAAGCTATGTAAATGTACAATGCCACCACAACACTGAGAAATATCTGATAGAGCATCTTACTAGGTAGACTTTGAGCGGACACACGATACCCAAATTGGTTCTTGCCACCGGATAGCTACCCAGCTGGTGAGAAAGAGTGGAGCATGCTTCCATGAGAATGTTGCAGGAAGCCTCGAAGGACACATACCTGAGGAAGGTACGAGAGAGCGGGCTCGCGAGCTTGCGGGTATTCTAACCCGCTCCGCTCTCAATAGCCACTGTCGTCTTCACATCGCAGAAAGAGCAACCAACCTGGACCAACATGAGGAAAGATCGATCCTTTGGCTTTCGTGCTCGTGCCTCTCTCAGCTTGGACAACCCATCTCTGCTTCAACCTGACGCATCTCCCAACATCCTTCGAAGACAACGACGACATATTGCATTACTGGACGATTATTCTTCGATTCGACATTACAAGTGCATTCTTAATAGCTCTTCTCTCAAAACACAATCCGGTTCTCGACGCTTCATCCGCACCTAGGTTCGACATCGACCCGTGGACTTTCGTGTATGTCGCTCGACCCGTTCACTTTCACTCACTATGGTAGTAACACAGATGCAGCTGCTTCTACGATAATTACTCACTTGAGAGTTTTCTGCTTGCATCGCGATTGTCATTCTACCGATACAGACGCTGCCGCCCGCTCAATCTTGTTGCTTCGCTCGCGGTCCTTTGTTCGGCTTGACCTCAATTGGACGTTCATCAGCAAATCATGACGCGTCCCTATTACAAAAATCCTGTCCTTGCCGACTACAATGAGGATATAGATCAGGCTCTGCGAGATGACACTTTCCCAGGACGTCTTTCACTTCTAACAGCTCCAGAGACCCGCTGTCCCGACTCACCTGGGCAGCGCCCGACGACGGAACATAGATATGTCACCCTAGTGAACAGAGTCATACGTAGTCAGTGGCCAGGGGCAGAGTTGGCTGCCTATGAGGTAGACAAGATGATGTCAAATTATCTGTACCAATACCCCATGCGCAAATGGGTCATCGACCCCAAACATGCCGAACTTGCGTACGACACGTTCCTTGCAAGAGAAAGTCTCCGCAGACAGGGTCGCTCCATTTATGACGAGAACCAACCTCACTCCCCGTGGTCTAGAGAAATATCAGCCTCGGCTATCCAACATGCGCGCATCAACAGTGCGCCCCCTCTGCCCGGAACAGATGCTCTTGATACTGCAGCCAGCTCCAGGCCCGACCCTCTCGAGCCTACAGGGGAGAACCCTTATGCCGACCTTGACACGGAGGTGGTCTCTCCACGCTTCAAGAAGGAAGACTCGATACTCAAAGCACCCCCTCAGGATGAAGATAGTAACTATGAGAAACCCTTTACCGCTGACGGGCTTTCTCAGAACGTGGACGGCTCCGAACCTCAACATATGCTGAACCAGACTGTGAGCACATCTTCAGGAGAGCGATCAGAAACTCGCGAGTCGTCATCCGAGGCAGGGTTTGGAAGTGATAACAGATCTGCTACTATCGATGAAATTCCTCCATACATGGGAAACCCTAAGCCCAAATGTCTGTTGGAAGCACTTGCCCGCACAAAAACACGGCGGGAAAGGAGTATTGACGAGTTTCCTTGGCGCCAGACTTGGGCGAAGAATGCCCCGACACATTGGGATGATACAATCTATCCAGGAGAGCGTCTCAAGGAACTGAAATCAGTGCATGAGCAAAATGAATTCTTGGCGCTGGAGTATGGAGCATTCGACAGCACAAACTACAGGAAGAAAAAGCAACCCTCGCATCTCAAGACCGGTTACCACAGTCTTCAGTTCCGCGATCAAGGATTCAGATACAAATACAAAGATCTGATCGACTTCGAAAGTGCTAGAAAAGCAATCAAAGCCATCCTCAGCCATCATCCAAACATGTCTCAAGGAGCCCTCGAGCGGTTGTCTGAAATCGAGATCTACTATGGCTCCAAGCATTCAGGAACAGGACTCAAGCCTTTCTACTTCTCGCTTCTAGATTCAGTCCGCACCCGCATCCAGATATCATCGAGCGAGATTTTTTCACTCGTCGAAGCTCGACGTATTATCGACTTCGCCCCTGATTTACTATCTAGAATCACCCTCCTGCGAGTACTCGCTGTAGGGGATGGCATCCTTGACGAATTCGATCTTCGTCACCGTCTGATGCTGAATGGCAACTACGTCAATCTTGAGAATTTGCGCAAGCGTTTGGAAAACGCTCTTGGTATCGAGATGCATCACTACATCAACAAGAAAGACATGAAGTCAGTTGCGGAGGTCAAAAAGTGGTCTGATGTGAATCATCGCCACTTCCAGGAATTCCAAGAGTTTTAGAAGGTCCGAGGTCTTGTATCCTGTGAGACGCAGAAAGAAAGAAAGGTCACTGGGTTCGAAAAGTTGGGAGAGAAACCGGTGATGCAGGAGGCCGAAGCAGAGGCAGAAGACGTCATGGAGGTTGATGGAGAGATGAATGAGAGGTACGTTGTTGAGAAGAAGACAAAGAGGAAAGAAACTGACCAAGAACCAGTTTCGTTGGCAGTTCGTCGGCCGACTCAGGCTCTGATGAAGAGAAGTCCCCAGGCGTCGAATGCACAGTCGTTTCATGGTACCGCCAAAAACAAGAGATACGAGAGGTAGAGAGGGTTTGGAGATGCAGGAATTGGGCCGGAAGATAGGAAACCAACTGTCACTACAAGAAACTGTCACCAGAATGAACCATCGCTACAATGACAAAAAGCTTGGTTCGAATATTCTAACCATGTAATGTGCCAGTGGAAGTGACAGAATTTTGAGTCGAGAGTTCTTTGTAACGCATCTCATATCAAACGGATCATGCTACCTGGACAAATAACTTGCGTTTTGACAACCATAAGGTGAAGCATTTTGCTTCTAGCCGTCATTTCAATGAATGCTTCGCCGTTGACCGAAAATCATCTTTAGGTTTTGTAGCGATGTAACTACATGTTTGCAGTTGTCAAAATGTCTTCGATCAAACATCTTGAACTCTCATCGGTATCGCTGGAGTTGATATGACACGGCTTTTGCAGGATGTGTAACCTCACAAACACTCAAGGTATATCTATAGGAAGTGAACCAAGAAATGTATGGAATAAGCCGAGTCTAGGTGGTTTCCAAGTCCTAGAAATATGTACTCAGAGGCCAATTGCAGTATGACCCACAGCCATTGCCCACCACCCAAGAATACCAGCAAGGTCATCTGGTGAAATCTGTGGCATTTCGCCTTCGACAGAAAGTGCTTCCTTCCACCTGAGGAGCAATGTTTTGCACTGCAGGATTGCGTTGGATTCTATGGCCAATGTAGTTGGAGAAATGCATAATCGCGATGCAAATACCAAATATGACTTTACGTTCTATTCAGCTATCCATGCATTGAATCCTGTAAGTATGAGATTGCAGAGATGTCAATTTCGAGAGAAAAGCTCATGGATCCACAGTTCTTGTGTCAATTGTTCTCTATGCTACCTGTCCTTAACCTTTCGAGCGGGCTGTAACGAAAGAAGAGAGCTTAATAAGAAAAAGTCGACGATCGTGGCAGAGACGTTGCTTTCGGGTTTAGAGACCATGTCGTCGTGAAACTCTTGCGGAAAACGCTCCACAATCTTTGCTATTGCCGTGGAGGTGTCCGTGGTAGTCAGGCCAGACTACGATTTATATATCTGCTTGCTTGTTGGCCTCGATGCCATTAGTTGATTACGTTAACAGGTCTTTCCGCCGTCATCTGCATAGTCCTTACAATGAAGACATCCATGTCTATGTATTTGTAGTCCCATAGGGGAAGGCATTTCTTGATGCTCAAACTTGGGATATATGCCTTATACATCTTGTGTTCTTCAACAATTTCAATTTCGACGCCTGTTGTCTGATCAGAGTACACGTGGTAAATTTCTCTGCGCCGATTCTTCTGGTGGAAACCGGTTGCTGAGCGATCATGCGCAAGCGAGTCTCTGATCCACCAAGTCTTTGACGTATTGCTGTCAACAGTTTTCGAACGTTTCTTTGGTTCTTCTTCATGCGAATATTTCTCTGGATCAAGTTTCGCGTCTTCTGGATCCTTAAGATCGTCGAACCAATGAGCACACGATGTCTCAGACGCGCCACGTTCAAGCTCAATTCTTGGTTTGTGAGTTGCGTGAGGGGTTTGACTAGCTGAGAGGGCTGCTCGGCGATGCTTCTCCATGACTATGATAGCAGGCAGAGGAGGCGGGTTTCGCCGGTCGTGTGAGGAGTTGTCCAAGCGACCGTTGCCTTGCTGCTTCATGGGTGGTAGGGGAGGCGGTTGGGGCTGGTCATTTGAGGACTTGTCCACGCTAGCGGTGCCTTGCTGTTACGCGCTGCGAGGAGAAGCTACGCCTTGCTGATCGATGGGAGACTTGTCCATGCGAGCGGTATCTTGGCAATTGTCTCTGCTAAAACAAGGAGCGCGAGGTGGTTTGTCGTGGCAGCGCTGGATTTCCTTGAAAAGCCGTATCTTTAGTCGTCATCTCCGCAAGCAGGAGACGCGCGGAGTGTTTCGTTGCGGCGCCAGAAATAGTATGTATGAGAGGCGTGATGTCCTTGCTCATCGCAGCGAGGGGACGAAAGGCTCGATGGTCTGGCGCGGCGCCAGTGATGAAAGTCCTCTCCACATGTGCCTCCACCAATGCAGGGTGCTGCTAGGATGTAGATAACCACGACAAGAGGGCTTGGAGTGTGAAGGCAGAAAAAGAATCGCAACTACTCATCCCTGAGTCGAACCGTGGTCCTCCGCACTCAACCCATATAAACCCTCAGGATTGATTTGTTACCATAATCCTCTGGGTTGGCGCAATGGCTTAACCACACTCATGATTTGATAAAACTCATCCGAATTTCCGACACGTAGTCTTAAATCAATTGAGCCAGAAAGTAGCTGTTTCTGGTGGCATAGATCAAGGAAATTTGTCTGAGGGATTTTCCCAAGAGCTTTCGAGGCTCAGGTTTTTTTGTTGTTTTTGGAAGGGTGAGTTCTTTTTGGATTTTGAAAAGGAGAGTTGCGGTGCTATGTTGGAGCCATCGCGTCAAAAAAACCACGAGGGTGATCGGCCGTAAGCATGAGCCTGCATGAGCCTGCATGATGCCGACTGAGAGCTATGAATGGTTGCAAGAACGCAAATCAGCGTGCTGGCAGCAGCTGCCATCCGAACCTCGGCATGGTTTATACACAGAGGTTCTTCAGACCACATGAGTAACCACCCATGAACTGCAACACAATTGTTTGACCGGAAAGGTCCGCAACAAAGCCAGACCAGAGACTGAGAAATCCATAAAACTTTGTTGCCTGGGTGGAACATCACAGCAAGCCTGAGAAGCATTGTACGAGTCAAAGCTAGGGTTGTACGACATAATGCGAGGCTCCGAGCTGACTGTGGTGGAGGTATCTATACCTTCACAAGCCTTATCTTTGTTTGTTGATTGCCGGGTCCGGACATCCGCGTGAAACATATGGCGGTTTCCAGAATTGAAATAAGGTGTTGGTAGATATATAGGCAGAGACTGGGAGGTCATGTCAGCCTCATCTATAACCTGTCGCTCCTAAGCACCTTACCACCCGTAGGTTAATACAGAGCCGACGTTCGTCATGACTTCCTCGACCTCACTATCGTTCGAACAAGATACAGTCCTCCTTACAAACCACGATATCTATGATGCAGAGCTTGCTCTGTCAGTCCTGCCTCAACGACACCCACTCCAGACCTTTTCCGACCAGATCAAGAACAGAGTACACAGACTGGCTGTGTATGCTGCCATAGCAAGCACAACGATAGCTGGCAAGGACATTGAGCTTCGAAACTTGGATGCTACTTCTGGCAAAGCATACTGCTCTGGTGCGCGGCAAGAGATTGCAGTCCACTGAAGCATCATCCCCGTGTGCTGATGTCTGTCACTGAAACTCTTGTAAAAATGCACGATGATTTTCGAAAGGAGAGCTAGGTCCAAGGAGAGAGCATCAAATCGTCACTCTCTGTGGACGACGTGCTCTTTCTCAATATCTTTGTGCATTTTGATGAGTGGAACGGTGAGTATCGCCGCGGCTTGAGAGGCTGAAAGGCCACACAATGATGAGCCCGGAGCATACGTTTGGTAGCATTTCGACTACGAAATGATGGCAAGTCGTCCTTCAATAACGGCAATTCCAGATACTGTAGATGCTGACCATGAGCAGCATACTGTGACACGTCTACTCAAGACATGTCTATTGTACATTGGAGCTGCTATCATCGAGATCGTTTTGGTTGTCGTACTCGGGCTGAGCGTCTTGGTAAACCAGTAGAAAGAGATGACCTCGTGAGCATCTCTATCAGTCAAGGAAATGGCCAGGAAGGGAAAGTGCTGGCCGACGTCGTGGCCTTCCCCGCGAAGGATCAGGGCGATGGTTTGGAGAAGAGATGCTTTAATCCTTCTGTCTTCGTTATCAGATCTATTCTTGAGCATTCAGAAGAAGATGAACGATAAAACTGATCATTGCATCAATGCAAGGAGTCTCGTCCGTGATCGCTTCTATCAAGATCCGCAATCGGCGTCTGGCGCGTAAACAGATAGATTATTATTATCATTAGCAAACCGATTGGTCAAGAAACAAATCCGGGGCCGGGTGCTCGTCAACTCTTGCGCTTAGGAGAACACTTCCATCTTCAAGACCGCTATGCGCAGGTATAGCCTGTACCAATTTTCCTAGCTGGCGAACACGTTTTCACTACAAATTCCTTCTTTTCTCAGCGTTCCCCTCTCTCCTCTTCTCTATCTTCCTCGAGAACCAACTTTCCTGGCATCGTTTGCTGCAACTACCCGTGTCCTACTTACCTAAGACCCCTCTGCCCCGCGATACCCCACCAAAACAATTTATTCATCAAACATGGCTCCCATTGCCATCCACACCAACCCCAAGGACTCGCTCAATGCTGAGGCCGAGTCCTTCAAGCCTGTTGGAAACAAGCAGGTCGACCCTTACCACTCTGCCACATCTGCCACCGCTATCGCTGCGGAATCAGCATATGCCGCCCACAACTACCACCCATTGCCGGTAGTCTTCTCGAGAGCCCAGGGTGTTGATGTTTGGGACCCGGAAGGTACGTTTTGCAGGTCGGAGGCGTGAGCAAAGCGATTGCCAAAATGGACAGGCGCTAGTCTGAAGGGAGTTCTGCTTGTGCTAGACTCTCAACAGATCCGACCCAATCCTGATCACATTGATGCATTGCGACGGCCACCCCCCGACAAGCCGTGACTCTGAAGGAGTATTCTGACAAAGAACAGGAAACCACTACCTCGATTTCCTCTCAGCATACAGCGCCGTCAACCAAGGTCACTGCCACCCCGAGCTCGTAAAGGCCCTGGTCGCCCAAGCCTCAAGACTCACCCTCAGCTCTCGCGCATTCTACAACGATGTCTTCCCCCGTTTCGCCGAGAAGGTCACATCAATGTTGGGCTTTGAGATGGTTCTGCCTATGAACACTGGTGCTGAGGCTGTTGAGACCGCTGTCAAGATTGCACGCAAATGGGGATACAAGGTCAAGGGCATTCCTGAGAACAAGGCTTGGGTCTTCTCTGCACAGGAGAACTTCCACGGCAGAACAGTAAGCACAATCTGTGTCGGTTTTTGCAGACAGTATACTAATCTGTATCTAGTTTGCCGCCATCACCATGTCCACCGACCCTGAATCCAGAGACAACTACGGCCCTTACCTGCCCAACATTGGCTCATCCAACCCCACCAACGATGAGCCCATTCGCTACAACAACGTCTCTGACCTTGAGAAGGTACTCGAGGAGCATGGCAAGAACACAGCTGCCTTCTTGGTCGAGCCCATCCAGGGTGAGGCAGGTATCGTTGTGCCCGACGAGGACTACCTTAGAAAGGTGCGCGAGCTGTGTGACAAGCACAACGTCCTCATGATCTGTGACGAGATCCAGACCGGCATTGCCCGTACTGGTAAGATGCTCTGCCACGAGTGGAGTGGTATCAAGCCCGACCTTGTCCTTCTCGGCAAGGCCATCAGTGGTGGTATGTACCCCGTCTCTGCTGTTCTCGGCAAGAAGGAGGTCATGCTCACTGTCGAGCCTGGCACTCACGGCTCGACTTACGGTGGTAACCCTCTTGGTTCTGCTATTGCCATCAGAGCTCTTGAGATTATCGAGGAGGAGAACATGGTTGAGCAGGCTCAGATCTTTGGTGAACTCTTCAGACAAGGTCTTCGTGATATCCAGGCCAAGAACTCGATGATCTCCCTCATCCGTGGCAAGGGTCTGCTTAACGCCATCGTCATTGACGAGAGCAAGACCAACGGCCACAGTGCCTGGGATCTCTGCATGTTGATGAAGGAGAAGGGTCTCTTGGTAAGAAAAGCTTCGCTAACGGTGATGAAACAACAGGCTAACGTCGTTGCAGGCCAAACCCACTCACCAGAACATCATCCGTCTGGCACCACCTCTCGTGATTTCCAAGGAGCAAATTGAGACCTCTTTGAGAATTATTGGTGAGGCAGTTGATGAATTGCCAAACTTGAAGGGCAAGAAGGAGGAGCACGTCCTGCCTCCAGGTGAAAAGAACGTTCACATCGGCGTTGACAACTGAACCCGGCCGGGATGATTCGATGACAGAGGAGTACGTCGCGGCTGCACGTAAACCTGTACGTCGGCCTGCACCTACACCTATTAACGTTTCCGCCATGATGCCATGATGCCAACCCCCAGCATATTTTATCGATTTTGTAGCGTTCGAGTCAGGACTCTGCATGGATACCCCGTTGAGAGAAAGCTGCAGTCCGCATGGGATGGTTGGGTGTTTACCACCATTTTCGTACATTTCGTTCGAGAAGCTCCAGCGAAAAACCATAGAAGTCACAGAGATATGGATCTACGTAACCTACCAAAATGCGACCGAAAGAACTTGAAGAACCAGAATCAACGTAGAATCAGGCGCAACTGAGACAGCCGTCAAAAGGTCCTTGGGGTAGTTTTGCTAGACTCTACCGAAGAAGTATGAACACATGTGACATGTCGGCCACGGCCCAGAGCGGCGTAGAGGAGCCTATCAGCAAGCTGGTGAAGGTCGCTTGCAGTGCTTTGCGATATGCGATAGCAGTTTGTGATAAACCGCCACGCCTTCATAACGTGCTGAAGCACTTCTAGGCCAAAGGTTGAGAGCGCCCAGCATCTTCTTGCGCGCTAGTCTTCCGCGTAACTTTGTTCGTGACCTTCCCCAGAATCAAGTTAGCGGCCCGATTGTGTAGGGTAAATTGATTGTGCTGAAACCGAAATCGTTCGATGCCAGTCAAACCGCGGCTTGAGCGTCGCAATCTGTTGAGACGGGAATATTGTACGGGAATGGAGAACCGCGATGCAGTCAGTGATTGGTATCATTAGAACAGCGCATTAGACAGACTCTTGATTTGGCTGCATCCTTCTGAGACTCTCTGCAAGGCCAACGACCAGGGCTCGTCGCTCTAGCCGTGGCTCTAGCCGTGGCGGAGAAACGACCGTTGCTGATCTAGTCAGGGGGAGTTGGTCTGGGCTCAGAAAGCGGACGACTCGAAGGCGTATTCCCTCTGAAAGAGCTGACACGGGCTGGAGGCTTGCAGCATGTTCGATAAAGCATCGAAAAATCAATTTAAAGCGCTAGGAGTGAATGGTGCTTAGCTTGAGAAGTGCGGACGTATCTAAACGACCGTGCTTTTGGTCCTCCCCGTCCTCAACTGCCAACGCCAACCCTCTTCTTGAACGACGCATTGCGCCTTTATCGTAGCGGCTTTTTCTTGTCCTCCTCTTATATCCTCGCGACCCCTCTTTACCGTCTTCGACTGGTTGTTTTCTCGACGCATCTGTGCAACGTATCTCAGTGTGTGCACTGCCAATCCCAGCGATATCATCGACCATCCACACCACCGACGCAAGAGCCGCTGCATCTCCGCCTTCCTCGCTCACCCCCTGGCCATCTTCTTCCGTCGACATCACATAACGACCACATCGCCCTCCGATATCAATATCATCATCTTCGACCACACTCGACGACCAATCATCCACAACTCACAATGGGCTCTTCCAAGTACAACCACCTCGAAGATGAGGTGACTTTCGGTGCAACCGTCGACACTCCCACCAAGTCCCAGAACCACCTCGCTCCCAATGTCTTCGACACTCCCAAGTCGCTCAGCCCCGTCGTCACAGTCGACGCCCCATCGACACCCGACGAGCAATTGACTCCATTCTACGCCGCCCCCTCGGCCGAAATTTCTCGCCAGACTTTGTCCGCCGGCTGCCACAGCGATAACGACCTCGAGTCCGCCCGTAAGGAGGGCTACTTCATCACATCGAACCCCGTCGCCTCAGACCTCAACCTTCCAGCAGACATGGCCAACGTGTCAGCAGTTCCCACTGGTTCAAGATTGAGCTTCGACGGCCGCACCAAAGAATGCACAATGTGGCCCACCAAGCAGACACTCCGTAACCAGGATCAGGCCGAACGAGCCAAGCGCAGAGCTGCCAGATCGTGCGGGTGCAATGGCATCAATGCATGGTGGAGCAGCATGAGCAAGAAGCAAAGACTCATGTTCCAGGTCTTGATCGCTGCCTTCATCGTCGCCGTCGCTTGCGGTCTCGGTATCGGTATCAGCAAAGCTGTCGGTGCTGGTGTTTTTGCTGGCAAAGGTCAATCCAAGCCCATTGCCGACGCATAAAAGCCTCTTTCTCGTTGTCGTTTTTTCTTCTTTCCGAGTTTCCCTTTAACCGCGTTCTTGCTTTCGAGCGTTGATGTTTGTTGTCGTCGGGCCTTCATGGCTATTTTTCTTCTCCTTCCTCATGTTTTCCTTTTTCTCTGTCGATTACATTGTATTGCACCTGTGGCAGTGATGCATTGATGTGGCGTTTGGTGGCTGGAGACCCTCGAAGGGCTATGGTATCGGAGTTTGGGGTCGTGTACAGAGGAGCCTTATTGGGTATCCGTGGACCTTGCAACCAGGGCGGGTGTCTGCCTAACATTAAGAATATGATCTTCCATCCGCTTGACCGCGGATTCTTTCCTGCACTACAATATCGTCTTCGTCTCATGTCTTGCGTCGTAAATGTAATATGCCATGGCGTTTCGTACCTAAATGTCTACATGTCTTGTTGTCGTCTAAATGTGTTGTCGTATATGTGTTTTCACTCACTTGGGCTTGTTCTTGACATCTTGGGCATGCACATTGACACGATTGTACATCCACTTCAAGCAAAGCGTGCTAGCAGTCATGACCACAGCACTACCCGCGAAGAGACCAACCCTGCCGGCAGTACCCAAAACATCAAAAATGGGATAAGGATACCATCCATTATGCTTGTAGCATTCCTCGACCCAGAACCAGTAGGAAACGGCGATACCGCTGCTGATGCCCAGAGCCGGCAATACGGAAACAGTGTATGGTGGGGAGAAAAAGAGGAGGTCCAGGATCAGCGCTATCGAGGGTGCGGCGTGGAAGGAGAAATCGGCTCCAAAGGGAATCCTGGGGGCCCAGTCTGGGAGGACGAGGGTTTCGTCGATCTGAGGTGTGGTCAGTGTCATAGCATTCCATGTCGATGTTGATATGACATACACCCTTGAGACCCCAGTATAAGATACTAATCAACACTTCCATAGGAGCACTAGTAACGGACAAAACATTCTTAATCCTGAATAGCTTTGTCGACAATGTCAAGTCTGCCAGCAGACCGATGATGAAAGTCAATGTTGCCAGACTCAAACCCAGAATAGTCAGGTGTTGGAAGTGTCGGCCATAGGAATCGTTTACTGGGTTTGGATTGGCCTCGAGCCAGTAAAAAGAATATGCGAAACTGGAAAGACCGAGAAGCTGTGAACATGATTAGGAACCAGTCATCACCACTCCTCAAGTCATAGAGGTATATTCATACATGAAGAGCAGCACTAGCGCCTTGAGAAGGCGATTGAAGCCTTTGCTGTGGATGGCGTTGAAGAAGCCTCTGTGCGGTTTTGGAAGACATGGTAATAGTTATCGATACATGTGCTGTAGTTTCTAACAAGTCAAGTTCCGTTCTGACGATCTACAAGAGGAGGAAAGACTCTGCTCACAAAAAACGCGGATATGGTGACGTTTATTAGTGAGCATGGCATAATGGGCATTTCTAAAATCCGGGTTTCCCGGCCACACCGGATGCTATGGCATCCGAAAGACCGTGGGCTGTCATCTGTTCGCCGGGAAGTTGACAGGCCGGTTGCTTTTCTGATGCATTATTGAGACCTGCCTGCTAGAAATGTTGATCTAGACTGCTTGTATTTGCTATGAGAGCGAGTGAGTTGTGTGCATGTGGTTTTGCTCGATGGCAATTGGATGACTGCGAATTTCGATCCTGTCCCCCGCCATCTCTTAAAAAAGATCTCAGATCTTGTGTGCAAAAGTTTGGCACAAAAGTGGCTGTCGACGTGCAAGGCACTTTGCAAGGTCAGAAGTTGTTCGAGGACGAGTGTCGAACCATAGAGAGCCCTTTCTCCTTGAACAATATCTATTCTGTCGAAGGTACGGAGTATTGTGCAATCTGATAGATACTTACATCCCACGAGTGGCGTTACGGCTGGAGGACGGATATGAAAAGCTTTTACAGACACGGGCAAAATTGAAGAGCTTCACGACCTTCAAACAAGCTCGCAGTCTTGACAGTCTTTATTTCAAGCGAACATGTTCTCTGAGGTAATGCATGTACAATGCTAGGGAAAACATGTTCGCATGAAGATGCGCAACCCTGCTCTAGACCGTTTCCTTATCTCGGGCTCATCGGGTCATTGATAAGAAGCCTATTTGCAAGCCTGTGGCCGAGGTGCACTTTCACATCAGGGCTGGTATTCATCATGTACCAATCTGAAAAAATCCATCTACGATGCTTTCCAACCCGTGATATCGAACATCGTTTTGGAAACGCGAAGATACCAATGACCTGGAAAATTGCTGGTTCTAGGATGTATATTGTGCCACATTGAAGAAGCACGCCGAGCCATCTCAACACAACATCCCCAAACATGCCGCGGAGCAAGCCACCGACTGCAGGCAACGAGCCAAAGAAACGATCACGTACTGGATGCCATGGGTGCAAGAATCGAAAGGTCAAATGCGACGAAGCAAAACCACGATGTTCAAATTGTGTAAAACTCAATGAAGAATGCGACTACTCTCTCAAATTGCAATGGGGAGGTCGCAGTAAAAAGGAGCAGAATGCCTTTTCAGCCATGGCCAACGCGACCTCTGGATTTTCTACCATCAATTTTGCTGCTCCTGGTGCCTCACCTGCTGCTGCTGTACCCTCATCGGCTCAGACGCCATCTGGATCAGAAGGTCAATATTCTACACCAGATGTCACAAACAGAGATAGCAGCAGTAGGGTTGATACACAATCGACATCTTTCAACCATGAGACCGAACAGGAAGCTCAGTCAAGCTCTTATACAAGTCGGCCCTCAACATACCCTGAGCCTCCCAACTCATACTCCACCTTACCTCAATTCGCTCTTCCAAATCCGTATCATTCCATGAACCCTCCAACAGGACAACATTACCGAAGTCCTAGTCTCACGCGTCCGCCATCACCATATGATTTTGCGTGGTCTTCCGAAGACAGGACCAAACGAGTCAGACTGGATACTGGTGACGGCCCACCTCGCAGTCTTCCCCCTCTGTTTCCTCGACCTGGACTTCCGGAGCCTGTGGGATCGTCCTTCTCACCATATGATCAACCATCTCCTGGAGCAAGTTATATGTCTGTAAACTCTGCACCTTCACCTCTTACCCCAGGTTCTTCTAGTGCTCATGCATCGCCCGGATTGAGGAGGCTTTCTGTGAACTATCTACTTTCAGGTCCTGCTGGAGACCATGCTAGTCCTAGATCATCCTATGATAGATTCGGTGGCTATCGCAAAGTCGAGGATGGCTGTACAATCTATGGATACGATTATGGGCTACCAGACCTGGACATACCTAAGAATGATGACAACGGTGCTATCAACCCACAGACACCTGCGGCATCCATGCAATCGCCTAGTTTGTCTGATGCTGCATGGTCACCATCACAACTCTATGAGTCGCCATTGGAGAAGCCTGCCTTTGAGAGAGGTGGATATTATGCTCGTCCTGTACCGATACGAATACCTTTGGAGCTCGAACCTTTACCCGCTCAACTCTCCGACAGTCCGATGAACTTGATATACTTCCATCACTTTTTGAACCACACCGCTCGTATCTTGGTACCTCATGATTGCCCTGACAATCCTTTAAAGTCCACACTCCCACGCAGTACGTTACGACAACAACCGAATTATCAATTCGAAACCTTTACTGACATGTTCTTTCGCAGTCGCCGTACGCAATCCAAATCTACTGAATCTCCTCCTCGCCTACTCAGCATCCCACCGTGCCCGCCTCCTGTCTCATCCAGAACCGGCAAATCGCATAGCAACCTGGCTCCGCGATGTCTTCCCTTCCCTCCGCCACTCCCTCTCCTCAAACTCACCTATTTCCAACGCCACCCTGACCACCGCAATCATGCTCGCCTCCCGCGAATGCATAAATCCGGACAGCCTTGACGTTTCTATCCCATGGCAACAACACCTCAGCATAGCACGCCAAATCATCATTTCCAGAGGAGGCTTGAAAGACAAAGGCGACAATGGAGATCCATTTGTCAATTTCCTGGCTAGATGGTTTGCATATCTCGATGTCATTGGCAGTTTGAGCGGATTTAGGAATGAAGCGCCATTGGATGATTGCTACATGTCTTTTGATCACGACGACGACCATTCCGACGACGCGTATGGTTTCACCATCGATTGCTTTTTCGGGTTTACGAATTGTTGCATCAGTCTATTAGCCCGTGTGGCCAGATTGGCCAGACAATGTGGCGCCCAACGTATCGATGAAGAAGGCAATATCGACATTCATTGGCAACCCGGGAGTGAGATATTAGAGCAGGCTGAGTCGTTGAAGGAGGAATTGAGTCATTCGCGCCATCACATTCAACGAGGATGTCGACATTCCAACACCGGCACTGAAGAAGATCAAACACACTCCGAGCGCACTCGTCTGGAACTTCAAGAAATGGTCTCGGTCAACGAATCTTTCCATCTCGCCGGCCTGATACACCTCCACCGCCGCGTCTTCTGTCTTCCCTCTTCCTCGCCTGTGATCCAGGAAAATGTCAAACTGGTCTTGAAAGCGCTTTCCGGTGTTCGCAGAGGAGGTACCGCGGAATCTTCCCTCTTGTTCCCCATGTTTAGTGCTGGGTGTGAAGCTACGGATCCAGCAGACAGAGAAGCCATCTTGGAAAGGTTGAAATTGGTGGAAGGGTTGGGAATGACTTATGTGAGGAATGCACGGAATCTCATGGAGAAGAGTTGGGAGACGGGGAAATCTTGGGAGGGTTTGGTGAAGGGGGAGTTTTTGGGGTAGAGAGAAAAATATGGCGAGATGTGTACATGTGTCTCTTCGAGCATGTAGGAGATGGCTGAGTGTGTTAGCTCTGAGTATTAAGCATTCTAAAAGCGATGAAAGGTGTACTGGGTGACAAGATCTCGCCGGCATGTGGGAGCGAGAATTGGTCCACAGATCACCTCACCAAGGCATCCCCTGTGTACAACGACCTGAAGGTACAAAAGAACTTGAACATGAAAAGGGTAGAGAGACAAGACTTTTATTGGTTGTGATAGATACGAACACGCAGAGCAAAACACTCTGATGTGAAAGAACAATGTTTTTCCCCCTGACCAATCGAACCGTAAAAACGCCATCGCTGTGCATATCCGAGGCAGAGAAAGAAAGGATGAGGTGGTGCAAAGAAGAGAAGAGCAACTCATCACGACTTGTTGGGAGCGTTTCTGCGCTCGTTTGCGCGCATCCTCCTCTCGTTGCGCTTGACACGCTCCACTCTCTCCTCTCTTCTCTCCTTTCTGGCATCGTGCTCACCACCATCCTTTCTGCCCTTCTTCTCGTCAACCTCGACCAGCCAGTCGTTCTCGCCATCCTTGTTCTTGCCCTTGTAACCGTACTTGGGCAACCATTCGCCAGAGGCTTCGTCGTAGACCATCTTGCCATCGCGCTTCTTGTCCTTGATACCCTTCTTCTTTGCGAATTCTTGCCATTTGGTCATGGGCTTGTCGGCGGGGATGGGCTTTTCGCGGGGAAGGTGGGTGGTGGGTGTGGGTAGGCCGAGGGTGACACTGGTGCTGTCGTCTGATTTTGTGATGGGGCAGGTGGACAGGAGTTGGTTGATCAGGGCTTGGGCGCAGTCGCGGGCGGCGGACTTGATGTCGGATTCGCTGATGGTGCTGACGGGAGGGAGAGGGTTTGTGTCGTTGCAGAGGAGGTTGCCCAGGTCGAATGTGTATGGGATGGGTTTGGCGACTGTGACGGGGAGGCGAGGTTTGGAGCCTGTGGACACGTCGGTGTCGATTTGCATTTCGTCGATGCTCATTGTGATTTGAGTGTGTGAGGATTGTGTTGTTGTGGTATTTGAAGTGAGATGATAAAAAAGACCAGTCTTTCTTTGATACAAGTTTGCGGCGAGCGAGCGAGACTTTCTTCGATAAGAGACGGCGATTAGATCTTTGGCTTCTTATCGTTATCAGATCTTTCCCTGGAAGGACGCTCGGGCAAAAAGTGGGGCTCCTTAACAAATAAACAAGACTTGCGAAACATACACGACGACGGCTTCTCGTTCAAATCACAAACACACCATGTCGTTCTTGTCAGGCTTCTATAACCGCCTTTCGGGCACCTTTGCTCGGCCGAATGAAGGCGAAACCGGCGACATGACTACTTCGAACCCAGCCCAGTCGGATGCGGCCAACGAGAACGATGCATCAAGCCGCACTCTCTCTCCCGAGGACGACCAAGGAGATGTCGAGACTCCTGAGAAAGCTCCTATTACTTCGCGATCGCGTGTACCGCCGACACCGTCATTCGCTCCTCCAGCCACTCCATTCGCCGGACAGGCCTCACCAGTCGTCAACCAAGCAGCCGCCGAGCAACTCATGCGCGAGGCCGAGTCCTATGCCACAACACCCGCACTGAGAAATGCACCTACACCATTCTTCGGCATCTTTGCCCCACCGCAAACCCCAGCTGCGCGCAACTTGTCACCAGTCAGAGCTCAAGCAGCAGAGCAACAACTCATGCGCGAGATGCTAGGGGATGTTCCCGAAACACCTGCCACTGTCCAGACGAGAGCAAGAGCTACTCCCATGACATTATACAAGACACCCGCCATGTCACAATCCACACCGGAAGAGCCAAGCACAGAGCAGAGTATACAAACAGATGCTTTCCAAACACCGTCTGTCATGCCATCTAGGCGCCAACGCCGCAACCACTCGCCAATCCAAGAAGAGTCCGAAATCGTCTTTGCAGATGTGGAAGCGGTAGAAACACAATCACAAAGCTCCTCTACATCATCCATCGACGCAGAAGAAGAAGAGGAAGAGCAGGAAGAGGAAGCAGCAGAGCAAGAAGCCCCCTCATCATCACCCTCTGCAACCTCGTCCCCAAAAGCACCCATCGACATGGATCTCTCTTCAGCAGACGAAAACGACACATCCACAACTTCCATCGAATCCAGCGATGACTCGGACAAGAAGCGTCGTATCACCACCATCTCCACCACAACAAAAACTCGCAGAAACCAACGATCATCGCGTCCCAATCAACGCATAACATCAAAAAGCTACGAAGACAACAGAAGAACAAGAGTGCAGAAATCAACAAGACCGGGCGTCAGCAGAAGTGTCAGTGGAAGGGAAGAGTTGCTGAATAGAGCACGCAAGCGATATCACGATCGCAAGGCAGATGGACTGTTCTGATTTCCTTTTTCTGTAAAAACAATAAATACATGCGAGCATGGGAAGTGGAAGCATTTATTTGGGCGGATCTTTGGAAGCGGCGGCATATCAATCTCTGGCTTATGATACCCTTTATGCCTGGGAACATCTTCATTTTCTGGTCGATACAATTTTCTTTTTTCTTTTTGTTGTTTGTAAGAGGAGCTGCAATCTGCCTGGTGTGTTTGCATAGCAAGATCTCTCTCATCGAGAGCCACATTTTTCGTATCTTCGTACAAATCATTGCCTGTTCGAGTTTGTGGACGATCGGAAGAAATAAACAATCAAAAAGAAGAAATAAGCTCGGAGTGAATCATCTTCAATGGACCCTGATGGGTGGAGATGCGTCACGCCCCACGCCCTACGGAAGATTGATGCTACTTTTTGTTTCCTGACAACAACTCACCGACCTTTCTCTCACCTCAATTGATTTCAAGACTTGGTTCAATCTGACACTCGAATCACTGCGCAAACATGGCTACTTCGTTCCCTCCTCCTCCCGTCAGCACCATTGGTATGCGGTTCTAGCACCTCACATCCGCATACCCCGCCATAGCTAACACAACGACCAATTCACAGACTGGGACAACATTGGCTTCCAAGTCCGCGAAGGTATGCGCATAACTGTCCCCTGTCGCAACTCACAAGTCCTAACTCTTCCTCCTACACAGTAAACGGCCACATCGAATCCACCTTCTCCAAGAAAACAGGCCAATGGACTCCTCCCAAATTCGTCACCGACCCTTACCTTCGCATTCACGGCATGGCTCCCGGTCTCAACTACGGCCAACAATGCTACGAAGGTCTCAAAGCCTTCCGCACACCCGATGACTCGGCAATCACCATCTTCCGCCCTTCCATGAATGCGAAACGCATGCAACATTCCGCCTCTTTCGTCAGCATGCCCGAAGTCCCCGTCGAGCATTTCGAGAACTGTGTCAAAGCCGCTGTGGCATTGAATGCGGAATTCGTACCTCCGGCTAGAACTGGGGCGGCCATGTACATTCGCCCTTTGCTGTTTGGATCTTCTGCGCAGTTGGGCTTGTCTCCACCCGAGGATTATACCTTTGTGGTTTGGGTGTTGCCTGTAGGTGTTTATCACGGTGTTCATTCCGTGCCTGCTCTTATCCTCGAAGATTTCGACCGCGCTGCTCCTCATGGAACCGGATCTGCCAAGGTCGGCGGCAACTATGCGCCTGTGTTGAGGTTCAGTGAGCGGGCCAGAGCTGATGGGTTTGGCATTACTTTGCATTTGGACTCGAGGACGAGAACGGAGATTGACGAGTTCAGCACTTCTGCATTCTTGGGTGTCAAGAAGGAGGGAGAAAAGACTACTATTGTGGTTCCTGACAGCAAGAACGTCATCGAGAGTGTAACCGCAGACAGCGTTTGCGATATCGCCAGAAGCTTTGGTTGGACTGTCGAGAAGAGAGCTGTAAGTCCTGTCTGCATATCACTACCACCAATCTCCCCTGCCCTCCATAATCCTCCTTCGCCTATTCCATCCATTCATCCTTCTCCCGCACATCTTACTAACCACTTCAACAGATCAACTATGACGAGCTATCAACATTCAACGAAGTCTTCGCAGCCGGCACAGCCGCAGCCCTCGTCCCAATCAAATCAATCACGATGAAATCCCGCAACGACACTTTCACCTACCTCGACTCCGACGAGCCCGGTCCCGCTTGCCTCAAACTTCTCGACAACCTAAAGGGCATCCAGACCGGTAGATACGAAGACAAGTTCGGCTGGAACGTCAAGGTCGAGCAAGTGCAGAGGAGTGAATTTGAAGGCGAAGCAAGAGATGAGACTAAAGGTGGTAATGTTGATAAGATGCCTTAGATGGAAGGGAAGTGAAGGGTGAGGATGATTGATAAGAGTACTTCCAAATCTTGGACAGGGAAATACAAACCGTGGCATGGAATGAGGGAAGAGAACGTACATCCATATACGAGAGATTTAAAGCATCGCATGAGTTACAAACCATAACATCACCAAAAGAATACTCTTGCACTTTTCGAATCGTATTGTTGCATGCTGTTTGCTGAATTTATGGGATCACTAAAAGAGAAGATTATTGATGTGTAAAGAGAAAGAAAAGATGAGATTGAGATAGAGATTCGAGGCGGGCAACCAACTCATCATCTTCCTCGATCAAGAAGCGAGCCATGTATATGCGTAGCTATCAATCCATTACCCTCGGCACCGATCAGGTAGGTTTCAGAGGCTGCCAATTACCACCAACACCACTACCCATACCTGCATCATCCTCATCATCATCCAACAGATTTCTCTGACCAGTACCTCTCCTAGGAGGCAAAGGTGGCCCTCCATCTCTACTCTGCTGACTAGTCTGTCTAGACCAAGTTTCAATGCCCTTGGTGTTGACCTCGCCAGTATTACTCCTTCTGGGCGGTGGAAGCATCGGCATACTTCCACTTTTCTGCAGTCCTCCCGGCGATTGCGGCAATGTGTTCACCCTCGATGGCAATTTGGGGGCGAAATCATCACGGGTGCTGGAGGGACTTTCTGACCGCAGCATTGACGGTTTCTTCGGGACGGGTGGGGCAGGTTTGCGCGGTATGGTTTTCTGATCCATAGAGGGACGGGGTGGAAGCGGTGGGTCGGGTTCAGAGATTGGGTCGTCGAGGAGGCTGCCTTGTTGTGAAGATGTAGATCTGGATTGTTGATGTGCAGGCCATGCTGGAGGTAATTTACGATTAGACACTGTAGATCTCCTGTTCAAGTTTTCGCTTGACGTTGCAGCAGAGGAGTTGCGTTCGCGAATCGACGCAGCTCTCGAGGCAGGTGGATTTGGTCGGGGCACTTTGACCCAGTCGGGTTCGGAGGTTGCGCTGAAGGGGTTGGGTGGTCTGGAAGGATTGCGGACGTGGCCTTCGGGTGCTTTGACTTGCGAGCGGACAGGGACGCCATTGTCTAGCCACCATTTTCTTCTATCGGAGGATGCGGGAGGTAAACCGGGTTCAATCGACTCATAGCCGAGTAAATCTTCGTCCTCGGTGTCTTCGGCTCTGGTGTTTGCAGTGTGGCCGCCGACGACAGCACGTCTCTGTCTGTAGAGTCCTTCGCTGATATCCTGCTTCTTCTTCTCATCGATCACTGTGATAGTGCATTGGAAGGTGGCGTAGACGGGACGGTGATCTGAGAACTTCAATGGCGCGGTGTTGTAATGAATTTGGCGGAGATTGTGACCTTTGGTCAAGACTCGATCGCACCATGCAGGGATACGAGCTTTGTCGCTCGAATCGTACTCATCTGTGCCAACATCATATTTGTATGTCGGTAAGAAGGTAATCCTGGCCTCGTTGTAGTATGGAAAAGTCTTGCCATGAACCATTTGAAGGTTGAGCTAGAGGTTGTTAGCACACAGCAGGATCCAGAAGAAGAATAAGACTTACCTGATCGTTCTCGTACAATTTCTCAAGATCGCCCATCTTGACCAATTGTCTCGTCTTCTCATTCGCCATACCAATGCGGTAGTTGAAATCACCAAGCCAGATGATAGTGTCATGATCCTCAATCGATCTGTTCCTCTGGAAGCGAAGTCCATGACTGATGGTCCGATAATCCTGGTTACGCTCCTCATAGTTGGCGAATCCTGCAGCCAAGTGTGCCGTGACCAAGCAGATTGATGTATTGGCGTACTCCATACGAATAGCCACAGCACCCTTGTTCCCTGCCATACCAGACATACCAGTCTTCTTCAAAGCTCCCTCAACATTCTTGATATATGGCAAGACGCTTGCCTTGACGAATACAGATAGAGAAGCGCCGACCAATTGCCCGCCTCGCAGCATGACATATTCTTCTGATCCCAGAGTTTGAGCATGTTCATTGAGACATGTTTTTACAGCATCTTCCCAAGCTTGTCTTCTGTGAGGGTCGGTAGACATGATCTGCTGGGGACTGAGATCCACGATTTCCTGGAAACCCACAGCCACAATCTCGGGCTGTTGTTGCGATAGATCGATAGGAGGACAAAGCCAAGGTGACAGATCCTCAGAAAGACCTCTAGTCTTGCCGTTGAGGTTGAAGGTACCAACGTAGATGTTGATATTGTCGTAGGCCGAATATTCATTCGTCCTCTTGATGAGCTCTGCCGATACCCAATCGTTGATCGGGTCGAACAAATGGACTGGAACTTGATCCATCAGACGACCCAAAAGCATATCGATGGTATTCTGTCTGCCTTTGTCCTCGAAGTTGTTGATATACAGTCTTGTAGCACTCTTTCTGAAGTCGGCGAAAGCACCTGCAATAGATGACTTTCCATGCCGGGTGAACGATGACTTCAATGCACCTGTACCTGCGTAGATACGCGACAGTGCGTCACCGTTGTCAGCCCAAAGAGTACCATGTCTTACCCAGAAGTCATTGGTCGCCATCCTTTCGCCTCGTTGGCTCAAAAACTCTTGGATGGCCAGTTGACTGATGAGTGTCTGAATAAGGTTTGTTCTGTCCAAGCAGTCGAGACAGTTTGTGCGGAATATACCTTCCTGCTGGAGTATACTCATGTTTCTTCTGATGTGTGACTGTGGTCTACCATTGGCGTTCTTTGGTTGGTCATCTACCTCTTCCGAGAGAAAGTAGGAAAAGTTCTCGACCGAGTCTTGAATGTATCGCTTGATTCCTTTGGCTGCTTCATATCCAAGCGCACGGGTCTCAGCATGGAAGTCGTAATCGGTTTCTTTAATGAGCTCGTGATCTTCAACCTCTTTCTCGCCAGGTTCACCCGAAGGCAAATTCAAAGGACTGTTACGAACATGATATTGATACCTCCGGCTCAGCTCAAGTTCACCAGGTTTCTCATTGCTGAGCAGGTTGACAACGTGAATATTGCCATAGTTGATCTCCAGGTCAGACATATGTTTGTCGAATGCCGGCTGCGAAGCTTCAGCAGAGCGCGTGAGCTGAATTTTCTGTTGACCTGGTGTGAATCCTGCAGCCTGCTCCCAGAATAGAGGAATACTGCCTCGTACTTGGACATAGGAGAAGCTTGTACCAGCGGGCGTGGAAAAGATGACTTCGGTCTCGACAAAGTTGGCAACATTACCATCATCATCAATACCTCGAGCGTTGAAGCGGGTACCAGCTCTGCGGCAAGATAGACGAGAAAGCAGAGTAAGAGTGGATGGGAAACCAGAGGAAGCATGACTGATTGGCGATGATGCGGGTGGGACAGTAACCGTCATGGCAAATCCACGTATCGCAGACGTCAGAATGCGAGAGGCATCCAGTTCTCTTCTTTCATGTTCTGATAATCTGGAGCGAAAGCTGACTAGTGGCTGAATCATGTATGAGTTCCAGAGGAAGCCGGCATCGAGACTGTCGATTGCAACAGTTGCTGACAAGGATGATCTGCCAAAATTTAGCATCCGATAACGTCGACAGAAACAAGACATGAAATACCTGTCTTGTAGACGTCTGGTCAAATCAAAGTCGGCACTGTAGTAGAAACTGCCTCCGCTAAGAAGCTTCTTCATGGCCATACAAGGGTGTTCCAGGACAGGATCCTTGGCATGATAATGATCGAAACTATCCTCATCAAGATCATCAGTGGAGAAGTTGTTGAGGCGATCCAAAGTAAGAGAGTCATAATCGGACTTGTTGATGCAGTCTGATATCTTATGAGCAACACATCCAACGACAGCCGAAAACAAGAAACTCACGAAATTCGACAGAAGTGATCTTCAAGACATTTTCACCATTTCTAACAGTGGCAGCCCTTTGCGCTCCATTGACAACGCAAAGAAAGATATCGCCATTGATGGTGATCAAGCCGAGGGTTCCGAAAACCGTAAGTGAGCTCAGGGATCGAAAGTCGGTAGTATCGGTATCCGCAACTCTAGCGAATTCGACCATACATCTTGGTTGCAGGGTATTGCTTTGCGTAGAGTTGACGGAAAGCGAGGAGGCGCCAGCAGTGGAGGCACTATGGCGGAAGGTTAAGATGTGGTCATCAGTGGCTAATGCAACAGCGCGATGAGGATGGTCCCTCAACAACACACGGATTGTCATGCCGCATGCTTTGCACTCGGAGAGAGTCCTTTGAAAGCAGAAAAGTCGATGCTGATATTATCGTAGGAGGTTAGGCATAATGTTATAAGCAGGAGATGAACAAACAACAGCTTCCGAACGTCCTGTCTTGGGCAGTGACTCCGCGGGTGACGCCGAGGTCATTCTAGAGAACGTGACTAGTACAGCTATAAATATATACAAGATCGATTATGCTCAGACACGCATTTCGCAAGGTCTCCAAGAACGGGCCTGATGGGAGTGATTGTGTAAAGTCTTTGAGAAGTTCAAAGAGAGGACTAGGTTTTGAAGCTGCAGACTTGGAACCACAATCTGAGACTATCATCTAGTGATCGGACCGCCAGCGGTGACAGGCAGCAGACAGTTCCAGCACGAAGTTTCGACTGTCGTAGGTTTCATACTAGGTGATGGGATAATTCATATTGATACAAGAAGATATTGAACGCCGTATACCATGCTTGCTCTGTTCACGGCACATCAAGCACATCTGATGTATGCCGCTTCCAGAGCATTTCCCTGCCCGTAACATAAGGTTTTGCTAATTTTTGTACATGCGTCTGTCTTGGGAGAGCGAGAGATTCGGAAAAGAAAAGGACATCAATGACTGAGAGTGGATCTCTTCTTCAGGCGTCTTCTCTTTACCAAGTTGCGACCGTTTCTGCTGCGAATGCGGGCAAGGAAACCACTTCTTCGCTTTCTCACGCGGTGCGAGGGGTCGAATGTATCTCTCTTAGGACCTCTGGCTTGTAGGAGAGTGAGGGTGGTGGAGGAGGCTGGTAGAGTGGGAAGCTCGAGGGTGGTGTTGAGCGACAAGGTCGATGTTGGGGCGGTGGGAAGTGTCGGGCGTCTAGCTGACAGCAATGAAAATGTGCGGCTGGGAGTGAATGTTAGTAGGCGCACAGTATGGGAGAGATGCGAGGGGAGACATGCGATTGTGCGGGTTGCGATGCGGCCAGTGGGCGAAGAGTCGACTGAAGCAGCGATGTAGAAGAGAGATTGAGCGCCGGTCGCGCTTGGGCAATCTGCCGTGTGCAGCGTAGGAACAGCATTGTGTGTGTGACTGATGATATCCAGGTCGCCGTCAGTCGCTCGTTGACAGCATCAAGCACTCAGCACTCAGCACTCAGCACTATCGCCGGCGTGCTACGAAACTTGACGCTTGGACCATGACATTTTTCTCGACTTTCGCGAATCCGTCTTCCGCTCCGCAACAAAGATAACTTGCATTTTATTCTGCAACTCAATCATCTATACAATGGCCTCGACTACTCCTTACCCGCCCTCTCGCTCACATCCCTCGACTCGCATCTCCTCGGAAGATGCTCTCTCATCACTAAGCACCTTCATCGCTTCCTCGGAATCTACTCCATGGCTTCACCCCGATGCTCGCATTACTCCCGATGAGATCAAATACTCGACCAATGGAGGTCCCCAAGGAGGAATCATCATGCATCACTTGCGCCGTATCGAGAAGGGTCTGAATGGCGAGATTCTTGCTCCCGAGCCCGACGATATCTTTGGTCTGCCTGAGGGTGATGATGCCAACCTTGACAGCCTCTCTGCTGGCTACCAGACTTCTCTGGACGGTGGCTTGAAGAAGGGCGCTCTGAAGAAGTTCGAAGACGAAGGCGAGGACCCCGAGACATATGCGCGCAACCAGGACATTCTCGAAGGCGACGTCGGCGAGAGAGATACTAGTCATGCTTTCGCTAGCTACGACGCAGATGCCATGGATGTTGATGACGATGCCTACGCTGGGACCGGCGGCCTGTCTAAGGCTGAGAGAGAGGCCAGAAAGGAAGCAAAGAAGAACAAGAAGAAGGCCATTGCTAGAGAAAAGGCCGAGAAGGGCAGAGCAGAGGACTGATCGATACATACCCACGACACGACTCCTCAAACCCCGACTATAGCCACTGCACATACATCGGCAGGCACTACCTCGACCCGCTTGCGCACGCACTACTGCACTGGGACGACATATTGAGAGCGGACTTGTACGTCCTCGACAAAGTTTTATTTACGACACAGCTGTACTACAGCTCACGGCCTGTGGCCTCGGCCGTCTTTTCATCCAAGACCTCCTCCTTTTCTTGGCTCACTTTCTTCTCGCTGGTCCAGCCAACGGCCTTCAGGCGTTCCGTCAGGATTGGGTGAGAGTAATGGAAGCTGGAGTACATCCAGTCGGCATCCATACTCGAGAGGTTCTGAATCTGGAGCTTGATCAAAGAGCTGGCCAATTCCGCCGAGTATCCGAGCTTGAGAGAAAAGTTGTCTATACCAAGCACATTAGCATAAATCTTCATAATCATGCAGCCATGTAACATACCAGCTTCAAACTCCATCTTTCTAGTCATGATGTTCATCAGGAGCTTGATGACCGAATCGGTAGGTGCCAAAACTTCGTTGAAGAGGATGAATCCAATCATGATTGGTCTCTCGCGAGTAAAGCCAAAGGCGTTGTAGAGCGACTGGTTGTTGATGAAGACAGAGAAGAGGGCGAACATGTAGAACAAATGGACCTGCGAGATGAGGAGCAATTTGGTTGTGTGTCCCATCTTCCAGTGACCAAGCTCGTGAGCAAGAACGGCCTCGATCTCCTTAGTATCGGACTTCTCAATCAGGGTATCGTAGATGACAATCTTCTTCTTCCAGGGCAGACCGGTAAAGTAGGCATTGCTGTGAGCGCTACGCTTGCTACCATCAATGACCTGCAACTCGGAGAGAGGGAAGTTGAGACGCTGAGCAAGAGCTTCGACAGCGACCTTGAGCGGGCCAGGTTCCAGAGGAGTGAGCTTGTTGAAGAGAGGAACGATGACGATAGGGTAGATGGTGATAGCGAAGAGCTGGACACCAAGAGCAAACAGCCAGAGGTAGTAGAAGAACTTGTCACCAGTCTTTTGAATGATCTTCAAGAAAGCCCAGCCAAGAGGAACACCGAATGCGACAGAGAGGGCTTGACCCTTGAGCAGATCGGTCACCCATAAGCCGATTGTCTGCTTGTTGAAGCCAAACTTCTCCTCGAGGACGAAGTGGTGGTAGTATGAAAGCGGCAGGCTGAGGATGGTTTCGATGAATGATGAGGCGAAGACAAACAGCAACGAGTGGGCGATTTCTCCTTGACAGCTGACAGGAAGGTAGCGAGTAAGAGCAAGACCAGTGAGAGCCCAGAATCTGGGATAGAAATCGTAGCGGATGACAGCGAGAGATTTGACTTGAGAGATGAGACCAGAGACGAAGCCGTACTTGGCTTTTGCGCGACCGTAAGCCTGAGGAGGATTAGTAGAGGGACCCTAGATGGACAGATGAGTAGGTATGACTTGCCTGACTCTTGTCGAAGGTGGCCTGGTCGACCTCATTCTGCAACTGCTTAGGCACCTTGGTCCCCTGCAGAACACGGTACTGACGGAAGGCCAGCCAGTTCTCCAGGAGATACTCGCCCAAGCTGAAGGAGATGATGAGGGATTTCCATGGGAAACCAGGACGATCAAGCCATCCGGCTAGACGACTGAGGATGTCCATCGTCTTGGGTTGACTAGATGGAATGTATCTTGTTCGAAGAACAGAGTATGGGCAACGTTAGAGAAGTAGCACATGCGTGTGCCAAGCAAGACGTTTGAGCAAGCTCATGGCTTGAAACGGATCACGATATCAAGCGTGTGAGCTTTTCTTATACAGCGCAAGCCAACTTTGGCTCTCTCCAAGACCAGTGCGGTCAATGTCACCATCTATCAATATGCACAATGTTATTGAGAGTTCAAAGAAGGTCCACTGAGAGCTGGATTTATTTGCCCTCTCACCGGACAGCCACAGTTCTCCAATAACATCATGCATTTTGATAGATAAGATCTCGAGAGAGTTTGGTACTTGGAGCATCCGCTAGATAAGCAAACACGGTGCGCTCGGTATCAACTCGTCATGAAACACGACTGCCCCGCAAGCTCAGAAGCTCTCCCAGAAAGGAAACCGTCTCTTCGAGGCCTCAGACGCGGACAGTGGCCCAAATCAATCTATTAAGATTGCTGTAGCCGGCGGGTGGTTTCCCTGTGGCACGTCGGGCGCATCGGAAACCAATCACGGGGCCGGTGACCAATGGCTGCTGCCGCCGCGAATGCACTCTCACGTCACTTCAGAGTTGGCAGCGCTTACGCTCCTCTCTAGCCTGATCTTGCAAGTTAATGCGCAAGTGATGCTTCCATAACCATCCTACTCCACGAGAGTGCGCACCAGGTAGTACACGAACACGCTTGCCTTTCTTCTGTTCTTTCCTCGTCAAGTCACCATGATCGTCCAACTCTTTTGATTGTGCCCCACTATCACTACGCGACCAGCCCCCTCACCGCCCCATACCAACCCGCCTCGTCGTCACACTACTCGACCGAGACAATGGACGGCGCTCATGGTTATCAACGACCTGGCGACTTTTACTTTCAAAAGCCCAGGTCCCCCGAACCTGAAACTCCCACCGTAGGTCCTTTGCGCATTCACAAAGCCAACCATTCGACATCAACCGCTTCGACCACGTCCACTCCCTCGAGAACCTCGTCAGAAGAAGCCGAGGTCGACGGCACCTCGCAGCTCAGACACGCCAGTCCGCCATACCCCGATGATCGTCCCCGTCCTCTACACGCTGCTGCCGGCGCACAACGTCAAGGCACTCCCGAAGTAAATCCTACAGGCATGCGCCGACAGTCCTCAACTCGTGCCAAGTTTGGCGCAAACGATCCAAACCGCCCTACCGTTTCTGGCTATGCCGGCACTCCACCACCCTCGCTCACCCCAGGACTTGGAGGTGACAGAAACAAACTTGCTCCAGAGGTACCAGGAAAAGAAGAAGTTCATGACGACGATGATGGTTTGTTCCAGAAGGCCCCTCCGAAACCAGCAGTACCTGTTGGTGAAGAGGGAATAGCTCAGTCTACCTACCAGCAATACTATCCACCACCGGCAGCTGCCTCGCTTCAACCTCCCAACGCTGGTGTGAATCGTTTGAGCTCAACCGCATCGACTTCCACAACACGTGCTCAGAGGGGCTCTCCACCGCCTCCAGAGACACCTATTCTTGGGAGACCGACTGGTGGCTTCGAGTCAGGTTACCCATATGCTCAGACTGCAGCTGCTTCTCGCGCCAACCAGTATGCCAACCCTATTGCTCGCCCTTCGACCATGTCGCCCTCACAGCAACCCATGGAAGTTCCTAGACCTTGGACGCCAACAGAACAACCTGGCAGCTACCCGCATGGTCCCCCAGTCGCTTTCCAGGGAGACACTGAGGTTCCACCTGCAACGACCTATCAAAGCCCCATGATGCCCGCCTATCAGAGTCCCTCTCAGCCGAGTCAAGCTCGTACATACCAGACTTCTCCACCTCAGCCTGCCCAACAGTTTGGGGCTCCACCAATCCAACCCTTCACAGTCCCAGTAATTCAATCTTTCTCACCCGCGCAACCTGCTCAGTATTTGCAGTCGCCCCAGAACAATCAGCCTGGTTCACGAATGTCTTTCTCTCCTCAGACTCACCCGCTGGAGCAGGATTTGCAACGTCTTCAGGTAGCTGATGAACCCCCTCCAGCTTACTCGAGTGTGTCTCAGCAGAGACTCTTCTCCGGTGCAACTGCTGCAGGCTACCCAAACGAGAAGCGATTGAGCAACGCTTCCGTGCCGAGTTCTGCATCTTCACAGGATCCGAATCTTCGCAGACATCCAGCTTTCGCAAATGATGCAGGACAGCCTGTTGTACAACAAACCGTATTGCAGCCTGTCGCAACTACCCAACCCGTGACTCTGGCCCCCATTCAGATCGTATCGCCCAGCCCGGGACCGAGCATAACGCCAGCTTCGCCTCCTCCTCTTCCCGAAGGATGGATCGCCCACCTTGACCAAAACTCTGGTCAGTACTACTACATCCACCTACCGACTCAATCGACTCAGTGGGAGTTCCCGAAAGGACCGACTCCTTTGAATCTCCAAGAGCCGCTCTCCCCAACTGGCACATTCGCGAACCCGATGGCTTCTCCCGCTCTAGGTGGCTTCAATCAACCCATTGCATCTCCTGGATTTCCACCGCAAAGTGCCTCATATCATCGTGATAGTATGCTCAGCATGAACAATCTTGCAAGTCCTACAGTAGCTGGCTTCACCGGCCCGCCTCCAGCTGCTGGTGTTGACATGTACAAAGTTGCTCCCACTAATGGTGTCTACTTTGGTCCGTACTTGCGTTACACTAATATAGACCTCGAAAGGGGCCTCTGGCTTGGTTCAATTCTCTTGGTCACGGATGTCTCTCAGCCGCCAACTATTCATATTCACCAGAGCACCGATTTGTCTCCCAACCGTGAGTCTCCCCGTACATCGCGATGTTATCTTACTAACTGGAAACAGCCCGCCAACTGAAGGCTAACCCAATCTACCAGCATCAGCGTTGGACCTTTTACCGTTACGATGTCGATCTAGTCATGGATGAACAAGACACCAAGTGGACATATGCCATCACATCACACCTTGGCTGTACCAGATACGAGTTCCTCGTCGCCGGACGCTATGAGACGAGCTGGCGCTTCATTTCTCACTCTGGCAACGACTTTGCGTTGAACGTCAGTGCTAATGAGAGAGCCAGACTCGGCGGCATCGGTCTCATGTGGAAAGATGTCTTGCAAAAACACGTCGAGTGTGGTGGCTTCCATGCTCAACTTGGTCTTGGAGGTCAAATATTCGGTGACCGCCTCTGGAAGGAGGTTCCTGCACTCAGGCAGTGGACTGCCATGAGTGGAAAGGAGAATCGCAAGAATGAAGCTTGGACTGCGAAACTCGAAGACGACGTCTCACATGCTTACTTCCATTACTACTCAAGCCACTTTGATCAGCCTCATGTGCGGGAAGCATTCGCGCAGATACCTCATGTTCTCACGCTTGACGATAACGACATGTAAGATTAATGACAACGGCAAGAAAGTTCTGGCTAACATCTACCAGTTTCGATGGTTACGGCTCCTACCCTGATTACATGCAACAATCCAACATGTTCAAAAACATTGGTCGCATCGGTGTTGACATGTACCTCCTCTTCCAACATCACACGACACATGAGATCCTTCGCAATGTTTCGGGCGATCTGGATCTCTTCACCATCACTAACACTGGCTGGCATTTCATCAAGTATCTTGGGCCGGCTGTTGTCATTGTTGGACCAGACACTCGTTCAGAAAGAGATTCACACAGAGTCATGGCCGGTCCAACCTACCAGGGATTGTTTCCCAAGATTGCTACTCTGCCGCCGAGCGTGCAGCATTGTATCTGGATGATACCAGTGCCTTTGCTATATCCAAGACTGGAGACGGCAGAGCATATCGCTCATACCATGGCAACAGGCAAGAAAGCTGTCACTGGCACGTTTAACATGCTAGGCCGAATGACGAGTTCTATGGCGGGTGTCGTCGGTGCTAAAGGTGTCGTCGGTGATGGCTTCAGCTCAATCAAGAAGGCGGTCGGAAAGTCGGGCCTCATGAGCAGCGTGCTGAGTCCGTTTGGAGAAATTGACATGCTTGACGAATTGCGTGATATGTGGACTCATGAATCTAAGGTAAGGAATCTCTTACATGCGAATGTCCCAGTACTGACCAAACATCACAGGATCTTGAACGTACTTACATGATTCGCACTCTTCAAGGCATTGCGCACAACAAATCCTTACGTATGACTTTCCTATCCGGCAGCGTCAATGCCTGTGGTGCCGGACTTGTTCACGATCCTTCACATCCTGGAGACCACAAGACCATGTATCAACTCATCACCTCATCAATCGTCAACGCACCTCCAGCATCCTACGTCCTTCGATTACTCAACAGTAATCCCAAGCAACCAATCTACATCCCACAGAATGGTCAACGCAGCGCAGGACCCCACCAACCCACCCAATCTACTGACACAAAAGAAGACATGATGGAAATCTTCGTGGCAGATGTTAACGGCGCTCCGCGCGAAATGAAACGTCTCATGGGTCGTAGGAATTACGTCGCAATGGTTGCGTATGACCCTGAGGTTGTGCGTGGATCTCATGGGTCTATTGTTCCTGGTAACAAAGGACCCGGTTGCCTCAGTCTCGCTGCAGACTTTATGGTGCAGAATGAGGGTGCGTATGCGGCGCCTGTTAAGTACGGTCCAGTCATCATCCCAAGCTTGGAGTTCGGGCGATGAAGTGTGGGCACGATGGAAGAAGAGAAGGGAAGGTAGACCAGTATGCTTTGATGTAATATGAGCGCTTTTGACCCTTTGCCTTTTGCTTTCGAGGGCCATTACGATTACAATGACAGACTTTTTTCTATCCGGACTATGCAATCTTTCATTCATTGGTGAAATGATATTGTGATCCCCTTTCACGCCTCTTTACATTTCGCTGATTGTTCTTTCCATTGTTTCTGGAGGCTTCCAAACAGACGGAAGGAGCAACGAGGCATGTGCTCATTAACAAAGGCATGAGAAAGAGCAACCCAAGATACCACATTTGGACAAGAACAATGAGCGGTGTGATCCAAACGTGTTGCCGTAATGTGCGTGTTGGTATTAGATCTGTGACTCTGATATCACGGCTAGGGAAAACCTTCAATCAACACCTCAATAATCTTATTCTTCCTCTGTGTCTCACGTCTTTCCTCCATCTAGACATGATCATCTCCTCATACCTTGCCCTCACCCCTCAACAAATCATACCTCAACACACTACCCATCAAAACCTGCGCCCCCGTTGCACAATCCTCCGGCTTCGTAAACTCCACAGGATTATGACTAACCCCATCCCTACTAGGCACGAAAATCATGGTCGTAGGAACCCTCTTGCTCGTATACACCGAATCATGACCAGCCCCTGAAGTCATAGCTTTTGTCAATTCCTCTTGCTTTTCCCCAAACAGTGCTTTCGTGGTTTCAGAGACACAAGAGATACAGGTGGGATGGAATCTCGTGGCGGGAGAATTCGAGTCGGTTCGCCAGGATACGGTGCAGGATTTTGAAGAAGGAGTGAAGGAGGTGTTGAGGTTGTCGATATCTTCGCCTGCAGCGATGGCGGAAAATGCGGTTTTGCAATCGGCTTCTACGGCTTCTACTATACTGTCGTCTGGGCTTCTGATATCCAGTGAGAAGTCCACAGAGCCAGGGACGGTATTCGTGCTTCCTGGTTTCAAGGTCAGGATTCCTGTTGATGCGAGCGCTCCTTTGCGGGAAGCGGCGCGGTGGGAGTAGATGATCATCTTGGAAGCTGCGAGTAGGGCGTCTGCGCGGTGGGAGAATGAAGTCGTGCCGGTGTGACAATCTGCTCCTCGCACTTTGACGGTGAACCATTTATACGCTTGCACTCCTTGGACGATGCCGATTTTTCTGTTCTCCGCTTCCAAGATAGGTCCTTGTTCGATATGCAATTCAAAGTGTGCTGCTAGGGGCATTGCTTCGTGCGAACAAGCGATATCGCCGAGGTAGCCGATACGCTGGAGTTCCGATTTCATGGTTGCAGTACCAGTGCCTACTTCTTTGAGATCGTGGGCGTGGGAGATGGGGATGTCACCAGCCCAGACGCCCGAGGAAACCATAGAGATTGGGAAACGGGCTCCTTCTTCATTCGTCCAGTTTACCACGCCAACTGGGAATGTGGTTTTGATGTCGTTGTCGTGAAGGGTGCGGAGCATTTCTATACCTGCTGTTACGCCTAGTATGCCGTCGTATCTGCCGCCCTATGCTTGTCTCAGCTTTGTGACTTATAATGAGGCCTATCGTCGTGGATTCGCATGTGGATGAGAGAGGGAGAAGCTTACAGTAGGTTGTGTATCCAAATGACTTCCAGCAACTGTAGGAGGGCCGTCTTTAAGACCAGGACGAATGGCAAACTGGTTTCCCATGGCATCGGTGGTGACTGTACATCCCAATGTTTTTGTCGTTTCTACGAACCAGTCGCGAGCTTGTTTGTCCGTATCCGAGAGGGAGAGTCTTGACATGCCTGTTTCGGTGGGTGCACTATTGGAGGATTTCGTCAGTTCAATCCTCCCACGATACCGACAGAAACAAGAAAAGAGAGCGGTGTTCAAGCTATCGAGAGGGAACAGTCTCCTCGAAGCCCCATAACTCATATGCGAGCCGTAACAAGGCATGATGGTTTTTGGAATCCAAGGTCGCTGTAAGAGACAGTCCACAGATTGACAACTCTAACTGCTTCCCCTTTTCCATCACCTCTCCTATCTTCCTCCCCTCCTGGGCCCATTAACAGAATCAAAGAAAATCAAGCACCTACCTCCCCCATCTCTCACCAACTCCCCACTCGCAAGTCTCATGAATATCCCTCATCAATCTCTCCTGCTGCACCTTGATCCCTCCCAACTCTTCCTCAGACATCGCCCTCAACTCCTTCTTCCGCATCCCCGAAACAGAGAAACATCGTTTACTGCTCCAGACACTTTCGAAAGCTCCCAAAGAAGTACCTCGATATCCCGAAGCTCGTGGTACCGATAGTGACATCCTAGAGCAGGACATCCTACTCAAAATTCGTGATTGCATCATTGAAGGATATCCTCGTGTTTTCGAGCCCGCCAGGTAGCTGATTAAGAGTCTTCACAGGAAGTCGTCAAGACAGATAGGACAGGTTCGGCGGATATACATGTATTGCCCGCATCTGCTTGCCCGGCTATCCTTGATCGTCTCCACCTGCCTGATAAGGATGTTGCTTCGCCCGGTGGCCGACGGGTGGCCGTCGGAGATAGTGGGATTGATGGTTGATGGGATCACCCTGACACCACCTTTCGAGAGCACCTATATGCCACTTCCACTGCCAGTGTCTTCATGATTGTTGGTTGACCTAAATCCTAGCATGATAGAGACAATCAGACGTACCATGTTCGGAGATGTGAGCTGGGTAATTGATGTGCGGCGGCTATTTGAACTTGTCATCCATGTCATCAGCTTCGGGGCCACTGACAATCTGTGTTAGCCGTCGGATGAACAATGGATTTCCTTGAGAAGGAGCAGGAGAAATGCATACCCTCCAAGTCCGATGTGCTCTTCTTCAAAAGCCTTGTGCGCATTTTTTTGCATCAGCACGCATTGTTGCGGTGGGAGACTCAAGCGCTAAAGTATGGCCCAGCGCTACGCCGTCTCCCACAATCATGAACAGCTTCTTAGTTTCACGACACAAGTTCACGCGACACAGGATGTAATCAAGGAGTAGGGGTATGATGTTGTAGATTAATAATGTCAATCAGGTGTCTAGGGATTTTTCTCTATACCACAGGAATTTACTGCCGTCAATGCCTTGCCCGAAAGAACGAAGCCAACCATGAAAACGCCACGTTTGCCAATGCCATGCACAATACACACATCCGCTTACTCAATCTCGTCCTCGTACTGCTCAGGACCATTCGGTGTCATCAAACGCTTGAGCTGATCCTGAACGTACTTGTGAACATGGTCATCGGCGCTTTCTTTCTCCTTGCGAGCGTCGGTGTTACCGTCGTCCTTGTAGATGGTCCAGGCACGTCCGTTAGACTTGGTGTCATCGCCCTCTTCAGCTTCGTGATCACCTTCATGGTCGCCATCATCACTAGGAGGGGCAGACTTCCAGTAATCGCTGCGAGCACCAATGCTACGGCTGGTCGATGAACGACGGAGAGTGCTGGGCTTCTTGGTCTGGGAGTTTCTGCGTTGACGAGTGAAGACGTCGTCAAAGTAGTGGGATGCCGCGGCGGTGGGAGTTCTGGGTGTTTGAGGCAGACGGCAGTTGACACCAGTGTCGTGGATCATCTTGGCCATCAAACCGGTCCAACCACACTGGTGACTGGCACCAAGACCTCTGCCACTATCACCGTCAAAGAATTCGTAGAACCACAGGTAGTCCTTCCAGTGAGGATCAAAGTCGAGCATGTCGTTTCCATCGTTGATGGCACGTCTTCCATCGTCACCACGAGCCATGAGATGTTGAAGGCGGTGCTGAATCTCCTCTGCCACATGCCCAAGGTGCATCATGTCGCCGGAACCCTTAGGACACTCGACCTTGAGTGTGTTGCCGTAGAACATGTAGAAGCGGAGTAGCGACTCGACGAGCAAGAAGTTGACAGCAATCCAGACGGGACCACGCCAATTGCTGTTGCCACCGAAGAGACCACTGTCGGAATCTCCAGGAACGTAGCCGACCGAGAAAGTCTGACCGTTGACATCCATGGAGTAGGGGTGCTTCTCGTGGTACTTTGACAACGAACGGATACCACCCTTTGACAAGAACTCGGTCTCGTCCAACATGCGCTCAAGGATCTTCTTCAATCTGTCCTCGTTGACCAAAGACAGGAGAAGACGGTCATCCTTTCCGCGACGTCTCATACTGGCAATGTTGCGCTCGAAAACGTCGTGCTTGTTCTCAATGAACCATTCCATGCGCTTCTTGAATTGAGGGAGCTTGTTAATAACCTGAGGCTCAAGAGTCAAACAGGCGTACATGGGGATGAGACCGACGAGCGAGCGAACGGGCATCTGCTGGGTCCATGGGCCACCCCATGAGATTGCGTCGTAGTAGAAGCCGTCCTCATCGTTCCACAGAGACTTTGCCTCACTACCGGCGCGGTACTGCATGGCATCAGAAATGAGGACGAAGTGCTCGAAGAACTTGGAAGCAATGTCTTCGTAGGTGCGACGATGCTTGGCGAGCTCGAGAGCGATGTTCAACATGCACAAGCAGTAGAAGGCCATCCAACCAGTGGAATCGGCTTGCTCCAGAACACCACCAGTGGGGAGAGGGTCGGAACGGTTGAACAAACCAATGTTGTCCAGACCAAGGAAACCACCCTCGAAAACGTTCTTGCCCTCAGCATCCTTGCGGTTGACCCACCAGGTGAAGTTGAGGAGTAGCTTCTGGAAGACACGCTCGAGGAAGTCGAGATCCTCACGACCGTACATCTTGCGCTCCATCTTGAAGGTTCTGAAGGTAGCCCAGGCGTGGACGGGAGGGTTGACATCACCGAAGTTCCACTCGTAAGCGGGCAGTTGTCCGTTGGGGTGCATGTACCATTCACGAGTGAAGAGGTCGAGCTGCTTCTTGGCAAACTCAGGATCGATCATGGTGAGCGGGATACAGTGGAAGGCTGAGTCCCAAGCGGCGAAGAAGGGGTATTCCCATGAATCGGGCATGGACAAAATGTCATCAAGATGCATGTGCTTCCACTGAGAATTGCGGATAGCTTTTCTGCCAGGTGGAGGTGGGGGCATGCCAGGATCACCGTTGGCCCACTGGTCCCAGACGAAGTGATAGAATTGTTTACACCACATCATACCGGAAAGAGCTTGACGCTGGATGTTGCGAAGATCGTCGTTCATGGGCATGGGGCTGATGCGGTAGTAGAACTCATCGGCTTCTTGAAGTCTCTGGTCCATGATGTCGTCGAAAAGCTCTTCATCGATGTAGCCCTCGGCCATCTTCTTGGAGATGCGGAAACGGACAACGGCACACTCACCAGGTGGTACACCCTCGCCTTGGTCGAATGCATACCAGGCTGCACTCTTGGTTCCGGACTTGGCAGGGTTGACAGCGTCCTTCTCCTTGTTGACAATATGTCTGTGGAAAGCGTCCTTGGTGTATTCCGTCTTGTTCTTCTGATCCTTGCCCCAGATGGCCTTGAAGTTGGTGTCGTTGTCGGTGAAGAGGAACTCAGGGTGAATATCTTCAGTGAGACCACCAACGTTGGGCGAAGGAGAGCACTGGAAGTAGCGCTTGCCGAGCTTCTTGTGGTTGGTCTCGCAAGCAAACTCGCTAACCTGCTTGCTCTCAGGCTTGGTGTCGTCGTAACCCCAGGCCCAGGTGTTGCGGAACCAGACGTGAGGGATGATATGCAATTGAGCAGCCTCAGGGCCACGGTTGTAGGCTGTCACACGGAACAGAAGCTCATCCGGGTCATCCGTCTCTTTGGCAGTCTCGATGAAGATATCCCAGTACTTGTTGTCCTTGAAAGCGTCGGTGTCGATCAGGTTGTACTCGCGCTCGGTCTTGTTGCGGCGAGCGTTCTCCTCAATGAGATGCTCGTAGGGGAACTTCTCTTGAGGGTACTTGTAGAGGAACTTCATGTACGAGTGCTATGAAACTGATGTCAGCATGATGCAATTGTTGGTTGATGGAAAGACGTACAGTAGGGGTGTTGTCGAGATGGAAATGGCATTCCTTGACACTCTCGCCGTGAACACCTTGAGGGTTGGACAGACCGAAAAGACGCTCCTTGAGGAAGTCACTGAAGCTGTGTCAGCGGATGTACCTGGTGTCAAATACTTTGTGTGAAGCCTACTCTTTTCCGTTCCAGAATGCAAAGGCAATGTTCTGGAGACCGTGAGTGTCGGAGACACCGGCGATACCATCCTCACCCCAGCGGTAGGCTCTCTTGCGTGACATGTCATGCGAGAAGTCTGTCAATGCTGTCAGTTCAGGTCATACAATGGGGATGGGTCAAAGGCAGGACTTACGACTCCAGGCATCTCCATCAGCGCTGACTGAGTGTTAGCAGGTGTCGTCAAGCTTCAGTGTGAGCATTGGTTAGCTTACGAGTAATCCTCTCTCACTGCGAGGTGTCAGCGTTGTACAATGAGGCGAAGGGGAAGCTCAGTGAACAAACCGGTAGCCCATTGTCTCTCAGCAACGTAGGGACCCCATTTCTTCCAGTACTTGGTTCTCTCGCGGTCTTCCTGAAGACGCTTCTCTTCCTCACAGAGAACCTCTGTGTTGTCGACGAAAACCATGGCGACGCGGTGTGTCCAATATCCGATGAAAGGGACAAGATACCGCGGAGCTGGCTAGCGATGGATGTAAAAGTTAGGTCGGGCAAAGAGCGACGGGTTGTAGAGATTAGCTATGATGTTAAGTTTAAGAAAGACGATGATGCGAGTTTAAAGAGAGAAACAATGCAAAGTCAGCCGAACCGAGACAAGTTTCAGGAACTGGAAGCGGATGAGAGAAAAAAGAGCAGTCACACTAGTACTCTCCAGATCTCCGTGTATTTGGGAAGGTCCACTGGGGAACGCACCCGCCCGAGAATCCAACCACAGTCGTCATCCCGTGCGTTGCGCGGGATGAGCTACTCGGTTCTTGGCCCAACAATTTGTTCTTATCGACTTTTTGAGAGCATCGGTCTATTTTACAGACCTGTTATCCACCTGCATTCGAGCCCTGTGGATTTTCTCAACAGTCGTCTATATTGTCCAGTATTCGAGGTTCATGTTTGAGATTGAATTGGCTGGTCATCTCGTCAAATCACCAAGAAAACAGCTGTCGAGTCTCCAGGTCATTTCCCCCGGGCGTTGCTTCCTCTCTCCAAACTTGTTGAAAGCTGCCATCTATGATCTGGAGACTCCGCTGTCGATTGCGCCACAACAAAAATGTGCTCCACACGCACTGTTCAGCTCTCTCCGCTAGACTGTCAATTCACCGAAACTCATCTTCCCCCCACCACCAACCAATTCTCGTTGACCATACGGAGTGCAAGCGGCATACAACGCCTTGTGCTACATGTCCTATCTCCGTAAAATGCTGACCGAGTACTCCGTACTTTCACTGCTGCCTTGTCTTTCATTATCGCGCAGCTGTGGCGTTATATCAGAAACTTGTCCGCGGTTGAGGCTCTGGCGCCAAAAAAACCGGTAGGGCTAGTCGGAGGGTTCATATGCAGGAGAGCCCAGAGCCTATGCTTGCGGTGTTGCTCTCTGGCTTGGTGACAAGCATCTGTTAGAACAATGCAGTCCACATGTTTGACGTTGTGTGTCAGGTCAAGTCTTTGAAATCTCATGTCGTGACATGTCGAACAAATTGTGGTTGAAATTGGTATCTTTCGCGAACAGAAACAAAAACCCATATAATGTACAAGAATCCAGGCTATGCATTAGGAGGCAAGAGACGTATAGCACCTACTCAACGGTGTCAAGAGTGCCCTTACCGGAAGTTCCAGCAGGTACCTCTCCCTTCTGCGCCTTGAGCTTCTCCTCGAACTTGGCAAACTCACGGAGAGCAACCTCCTCTTCCTCATCCAGCACTTGCTGAACACCTTGGACCTCGTCTGTGGGGACTGTTAGCAGGAGGACTTGGAATGCATGTGGAAAGATGGTACGTACCGATATAGTGCATAAGCATGCTCTCAATACCGTTCTTCAAGGTGACGGTGCTCGAGTCGCAGGTTCTGCAAGCACCGCGGAGCTTCAGAAGAACCTGGCCGTCCACGAAACCTCTGAATTCAATGTCACCACCATCTTCCTGAATAGCAGGACGAATACGAGTCTCGAGCAACTCCTTGATCATGCTGACAACCTCGCTGTCGTTCTCGTCGTATTCCAAAGAGTCCTTCTCAGCTGGTTGCTCTTCGCCATTCTTTCCTGCCACAGTGTTCACCAGAGGCTGACCAGATGTGACGGCCTCGGTAATCAAGCTGAAGACCTCAGGCTTGACGTGGGGCCATGGTGTGGCGGAATCCTTTGTGACGGTGATGTAGTCAGGGCCGTAAAAGACTGAGGTAACACCATCTACATTCAATAATTGAGCAGCGAGAGGCGAAGGGTGAGGCGGCGCAAGGGTCGAGCGAGGCGACAAGTACTCGAGGAAGGTAGTGTTCAAGTTCTCAGGCAAGATGCGGGAGTTGGGAATGAACTTCAAGGCATCGGCGTTGGGTGTGTCCTCGGTCTGAATGAAGATCGAACGGGAACCAGTAGGGAATTGATTGCGAGCAGGCTTGAGCGAAGGCGCACTCGGACGGTGTCTGGTGGCGGTCGATGTGAGAGGTGAAGGTGTTGACAAGCGGTGCAGGCTTCGACGGATTGGTGCTGTGGCGACGGTTCGTGATGCGCTCGAGCGAGCGACGCTTCTGCAGGCAGATGTGAACATTGTTGACTTGGCCGGCATTGTGTGTGATATCGTGAATGTCTTAGGAAAGTTCAGAAGTATTGTTGTTGGGTGTTTGCAAAAGATTCACAATTATCTGAACCTCGAATGACGCAAAGCCCGCGCCGCTCTCGGAAACCTCGGCAGAATTGGTAAGCTTCGAGCTCCTGCTTCTGATTCGTTGCCTCTACTTTGTCTCTACCACACTCCAAGACTAGATGCAACCATGAATCTAGCTATCAATATGCACGAACGTATTGTGATCGGAGAGCCTGTCCAGTGAGAGCATAGCTCAGTGGCCAACGTAGACGTAGTCGTAGGGAGATTGATCCTGCCGAACTCCCTCACCCCTTCGAGGCTTCTCCGAGCTCCCTCTCCCCTTTGAGGCTTCTAACCTAGCGGTAAAAAGGCAGGATGTTTTTGATGATCAAGTGAATGTCCACTGAGAGCGGCGCTTCTCTCTAATTTCCTTGGACAACTACATTGCAGGTGATCAGGATAAGGACATGTATTGATTGTTACTACGATGACTACTGATACCACCAGCCAGATTTCTGCGAGGAGACGACGTTGACAAGCCTTTCGGCCGGACTGTATCGAAAGCTAATGCTACTTGTGTTGAGAACCAGAACAGCAAAGACAGGGTGGGATCAAACTTCACGAGATCTAGCCTTTCGGCCGGACTGTGACCGGCTACCAGGATCTATACTCAAAGTCCACGCTCGATGGCGCGCTTTGCTTTTCTCTTCAGAGCCGCAGGGCGGGCTCGATGCTTTGTGTTTTCCTTAGCGGGATCCTCATGCATCTTACCACAAGGTCCGCAGTAAAGGGTGTCGCATTTGCGACAGATCTTGAGGTTGTGGTGCCAGATGCGACAGAGGGCCGAACGACCGTCTTCGCAGCAGAGCACACCCGGCTCGCCAAACATGTGCTCGTATGCCGCTATTGTGGTCGCCTTCACCGGTCGTCCATCGTAGCGTCTCCAAGGCGCAGCATGGTTGCACTAAGTTTCAAGTCAGACCAGAGCTGACAGAGCTTGTCTGTAGCGATTGACTTACCTCGAGGTTGCTGTCTTGAGAGGTCCAACCAGTGTGCAGCCTGGTCCAGTCACGCACATAGTATCGACCATCTTCGAGAGCTTGACGGACGAAAGCATTATGTTTGATGTTGTTAGCTCCGGATAGAGATGCTACAACAAGGTCATGGTGGCTTGTGAAGCGAAGAGGCAGGGTGAAATCGAAGCCGTCGGCGTAGGAGTCCTGATAATGGATGTCAGCTGCATTCCGCATGAACCAAGGAAAACAAGTTGACTTGCATCTTGGCCATCATCGATGGTGTTGGCCATTTCGCCGGTTGACTGCATGAGGTTGGACATGATGGTGCGGTGGATGGATAAGAAGGAAAGAAGGAAAACAATCGGAAAGACGCAAAACAATGCGTCGTGGACAGTCGGGGCTCGCACACTTGGAAACAACATGTGAAAGCGCTCCTCACTTGTGCCTTCCTAATCTGGAACGATTGCGCGCTTGCAGCCTTCCATCTTCCAAGTTGGCACTAACATAATCCCCCATAATCTAATGTTTCACAAGTCATGGCGACCCAGGCAGGAAAGACAGAAACAGAAAAGAAGATAGCGGCGTATCTTGGTATGATATAGTCCCCATGTCCGAGACCAAGCACTGATTGAATCGTGACAGACTTCAGCGCGCAGTTGATTCGGCGCCTTGATTCTAGAAACATCAATGCTGTCACCTTGAAAGAACTCGCGGCTCTTACTGAGCGTACATGTCCTCGCCCCCCGACTGCCAAAGCCATGGACTTCGATCGGCTGGGCACACAGATTTGGAATGCTGCGATTCATTTGAGCGGCCAATCCTCACCCATGCTAAAGACATGGCCACAGCTCGAACCTCAATTGCGTGTTCTCGCCTTCTTCTTGCTGGACGCGGCTCAGAGATGCTACGTCAAACATGGCAACAAGAAATCATCCCAGAACCTCGTTCGCGTCTTCAAGACAGCCATGAAAGCAGCACGCATATGCATCAACGCAAATGCTTTGGACCTCTGTACCAGACTTTTCGAAAAGGTCGCCGATCACGTCGAGCACAAGCAAGATCCACCTCCAGAGCACAAGAAAGACAAACAAGAAAGCGAGGCCGACGAGATGCTCAAAGAGCTGACGGCCGATTACTATCTCCTCAGAGCAACCGCATCATGGAAGCAAGACAAACCGGACAGCGTTACCTTCTGGCTGGCGAGAGTTCTTCTGCTGCCCAATCGAGCTGACTTACTACGTCTGGCTGAAAAGAAAGTAGACTTGACATACGAGGTTGGCAAAGCGGCTCTCAAGAAAAAGCACTTTGACATCGCGGCCAGGTGGCTTGAACAGAGTTATTCTATCTTCGATGATATTGATCAAGAAATGCTGTCTTCTGACTTTTGCGACCTCCGTCTGGTCGTTACGCTCGATTTTGGTATGTCTTAAGCCTCAAATACTGTTGACAAGTCGCTCACTCTGCAAAGCTCGAGCATTAGTCGGTGTTGGTGATGCCGCGTCTTTGAACAAGGCTTCAAATCTCATTGTATTGCTGGATCAGGTATGTATTCTAAACTACACAACAGACACCTACTTATGTCAAAAAGGAGTATGGTTACAAGACCGAAGTCTATCTTCTAAAACTGGATGCTATTTACGCTCAAGAGCCATTTCAAGCCGACGAGTTCCATGGAGGTAGACCGACTCTGGAGCAAACACCACATTCCTGCGACTGACTGACTCTACGATAGCTTTGACTCGAATCATCCGTACTGCCATTCTGTCCGAGGGCACCTTCCGATCGTGAGAGTTCTATAATATATTCTCTTACCACAACTGACGTTTATGAGGATCATGTATCAAATACAGAAGCTCAACACTTATCATCCGCCGAAGGAGGGCTCATTGAACAGTGCCAACATTGTTAACTCAAATCCCGGGCCACACTCGTATCTGGCCTGTCAGAGTCTGGATCTCTTGTTGTCAAGATTGCTCCCCGAGCTACCTGCTGCCCTGAACATGGTTGAGAAGATCGTTGTGACCAGGATTTGGATCAGCTCGCTTTCTTTGCAGGTTCACGATCATCCTTCTAGACTGGAAGCCTTATTCGAGGACATCGCCAATACAAATGGAACGAAGTTGGGTCTTGAGGCAACCCATGCCTCGCAATCTGTAAGCGATTTGTTCTGTCTAGCATGTTTCGTGATACACTAATGCTATGATCCAGCTGATCTGGAAAGCTGTCACATCTCTCCAGCAGGTGAAAAATGAGTTAGAGGCTGCAAGATGGTGTGCCCTCGCCAACCATGCCATATTTGCCAGTTCCGGAGAGATGAACAAGTCCAAGCTGCTACGGTAAGATTGGCTGGCCCCCTCTGTTATGATATGGTCTAACCTTCCTCAGCAAGATGATGACGGTCGCTATTGCCAAAGGCGATGCTGCTTATGCTCGTAAAGCTTATTATCAGATGTCTGAAGTCGGCAAAGCGTCTGTCATGACGAGATATCTCATGTTCAAGATCGCCCTGCAGGAAGGTGACGCACAATTAGGTATGTCGTGTGGGATTTCATGCAAAGCAAGATGTATGCTGATTAATTATAGCCGAAGAGTCGCTCGAAGGAGTTCTCAAAGCCTCATCGAAAGAAACCGAGAAGTATCTTTTTGCCTGCGCACTTGAGGCACAACAGATAGGCGACAAAAGACAATTTCTCGCTACCATGAACAAAGTCTTGGAGTACCATGAACGCAACCCGTCGAGCGATGTTCGGTTGCCAGTTCTACTTCGGTTTGTGGCTCAAGGTGACATGCAATCGTATAGGTAGCTGACTGCTCTCAGCTGCATTGCCGGTGCTATCACGGCAGAGTTGAACACCAATGATATGCCCCTGGAGGCTGGTCTGACGGAGCTGTGCAAAGTCTTTGAAGCTGGTAGGACAACGAGTCCCCTCCAGATCCATGAACCATGAACCAGAGACTGAGCATCACTTTGCAGCAATGAGGCATGGAAGCACTTTCAAGGATGGGAACGATAGCGACTCTCGTCTCGCGGAACTTCGATGGTTTTCTTGCCACAGCTACAACACGGCCTTGAAATATTGCTCGGACATGCACCCAGAACTTCTGATGAGGTTCATGACGGCCAGCGTTTCGGTGTGTCTCTCTGACACATCCAACTATCCAGCCTATTGACATTAAAAAGCTGATAGATCTACTCCGTAATGAGGGCGAGAAAGACGACGGTCTAATCAGTCGACTGCTCCTATGTCGCTTTCTGGCCACATCTTCCTTAATCGTCCTGGCGAGGTCAGAAGACCACATCGAGCGAGCAGTAAGCATCTGGGACGTTCCGGTCTGAAGACAGCATACTAACAGTAACAGCTTCAACTCTATATGGACGTAAGACGGCAAATTGAAGCATTCCACCATAGTTACCAAGAAGCCATACAGAGAAACTTGCTGCAGCCAGATGTCATATCAGATGTTGAGATCAAAGAATTCGAAATGATCCAATTCGACCTTGAAGCGCTTATGCGTTTGGAACAATGGAACGACCTTGATAAAACCCTCACAGTAAGCCAGTCTTCGAGTTGTTCAAGATGACAGACACTGATGGAATTGCCAGATGTGTCTAGATGCACGTCACTCGGACAGATTAGAAAGAGCAGCAGACTTGATCCTCCACATACATACCTATATCGCAAACTCCTGTCATACGAACCAACGCCACCAAGAAAAGATTCCCACCGTCATGGAAAAGATTATCAACACATGCTGGCGTAACAACAAAGACATCACGCGCCTCGCCCGCTGGATACGCTGTCTCTTCCAAATGACCATCACCACCGACCCCGTCATGTCTCTACGCTGCCTAGATCAAGCCCACGCGATCGCAAACAAAGCAGCTATGCAACAGATCCCTGAACCGTATCCTGTAGAAGAGTTGGAGTGGCTGGCAACAACTGCGTTTAATCATGCTGTGGATTTGTGGTTCGCTAGTGCTGATGAGGGAGATGGTCAAGACACCGCAAAAGCGTGGGCGGAGAAGGCATTGATGTTGAGTGGAGCTGTCACTATTGGGGAGGGTGCATTGCACAAGACACTGCAGGATAAGTGGATGAGATTGAGAGAAATGGGTCAGCAGTCGTGAGATATGAATGACGCGGGGAGTCGAGATATGGCTCCATTGCTCAAACATTGCTAGAGCTGTATGATCAAAGAAGGTATCTAGCTGAACAGCATTCAACACTCAACCCCGTCATCCATAGTATACCTCGATCGTGACAAAACTTTCAAACCAATCACAAGAATCTGCACACATCATAAACCGCACTCGAGAACCAAGCTCTACACTCAGCAACACATCCTCACTAACCAGTCTATGAAAAGGCACAGTTATGTTGATCTTTGACCTGATTATCCAACGAGATGACAACAGCGAGTGCTGCCAAGATGGATAAGAGGAATGCGCGACTGTGATTGGAAAATAAAAAGGGGAGATCCAAGCTGATAAAACAGGAAAGAAGGATCCAACAAACCGAGAAAAGGTAGGACTGACGGACGTACAAGATGGGACAGGGCGACCATGATGAGAGGAAATTGGATGAGGCTAAGAAAGAACGAAAAAAGATCAGATGCTCTGACTGGGGTTTTCTTGTAATCACTATAGATGAAAATACAGTACATGCTAAACCTCCAAACGAGCATCGAAGACATTTCACAAGAACGATGTTGGAAACGAAAAAAAAACCATCATAATGCATAAACAACTAGCGTCATCACCCGTCCCATCACCAAAACAATTCTCTCACCAGCCCATCTCACACAGCACTCAATTCAGCAATCCTCCTCTCCACCCCCTCCACCCCTCTCAGTCTCGCCTCCAACTCCTCCCTCTCATCCTCAAGCCCCAACCTCTTTTCCGCATCCAGCACTCCAAACACCGCTCCGCCCTTTCCATCAAATTGCAATATTCTCGTATGATACTGCCATAAACTTCTCCGATGAGATACCGTCAAGAGAGTGATATTTCGCTTTTTGGCTTCCGTGTAGATGAGAGTTTCGATGGAGGGGGTTAGGGAAGAGGTGCATTCGTCTAGGATGGCGTAGCAGGGGGAGTGGTAGAAGAGGCGGGCGGCGGCGAGGCGTTGTTGGGTGCCCGTGGAGAGGATGTCTGGCCAATTTTGCAGTGAGTCCAGTCCCGAGGACGCGTTTTCTTTTCCTTCTTTGGATGGGAGGGAGAGTAGGGAGTTTAGGTCTAGCGAAGTCATGATGGAAAGTAAATCCTTATCTGTCGTGCCCTTTTCATGCATTTCGGCCACGGTGTCTGGGTATATCAACTGTTGGCGCAGACTACCTGAGGCCATCAGATAAGGCCGTTGAGGGATATAGAAGATTTCCTCAGCAGAGGGTTTTCTGACTTCGCCGCCATAGACAGGCCAAAGTCCGCCTAGGATTCTGAAGAGGGAGGATTTACCACAGCCATTGGGGCCGATGATGAGGAGGTGGTCTTGAGGTTTGATGTGGAAAGATAGTGCAGGCACCAAGATGTCACCGTTGGGAGAGACGATGGGGACGTTACTAAACATGATGTCTGGGCCTTCGGAAATGATACCTCTGCCTGCGAGAACTGCTGCGTTGGCGTCTGTGGAGGCGGAGCTGACGAGTTGCTTTTCGAAGTGACCGGCTTGGATGTCTGCGATGACTGAGAGTAGTGTTGACACTCGTGAAGTGTATCCGGCGAGTTGAGAGATCTCCTTGTAGGAGAACATGAGACGGCCGAATGCATCGGACGAGCTCAGCAACAACCTTCTGTTTGTGACGAAGGCTTCTGTGGAGTTTTTCGCTGTGGTGCCTGCATTCTTCGCAACAGGTAACTTGAAGAAGACTGGGATGGAGCAGAGCATCAAGCCCAGAGCGCCCCAGAAGTACTTGATCACAAAGTCTTCCATGATGCCGTGGTAGAATCTTCTCCTCAAGATGCGGTTGACGTGTTTGATCAGAGTGAAGTAATTCTTGTCCAAAGCATCTTTCTCGGCCTCATGGCCATGATACAGAGCAATTTCCTCGCTGTAGTCAATTACACGTGAATGCTGGAAACGGAACTCTCCTTCCAGACGTGCTTCGTCAGCAACGTATTTGCCGAATGGGGGTGTAAGTGCTCGCATGACTGAAGCTGAAAGCTGTACCAGCAAACCCATGGCAAAGAGGCCTTCTCCGCCTACACTTCTTGACAGTGAGTAGTTGTATATGACCATGTCCAAGATTGGTTTTGCGAGATTGCCGTACAGCTCGGCGAGGGAATTTGAGAACTTGCTGACATCTACTGTAATAAGCTGGTCTGCATTCTTGATTCGATCGTCCAAGGCAGAAAGTGTGTAGAAGGTCATGTTGGACAGGTACTTGTTGTGGATGTGTTGGGTGAGGCGAGTGCGGTACTGGAGGGCAAGCTTGCATTGGTGATAGCTGAGCATGGAGTTGGTGAACGTCGCGGGGATGGCGACAATCATCCACCAGATCAGACCTCCAATAAAGTCCTTGCCTTTACCGCGAACAAGGGCAGACACCAGGCGGCCGTCGAGCTCGGCGACGTACAAGGAGATCAAGGTCCGCAAGACCAGGAATATACTGTGGCTGATGAGAAGGCGTAGCTCTTTGCTCTTCCAGCCTGGTATACATATGCGTAACAGGCGTATCAAGCTGCGGAAGAAGTCCCTGTTCAATTCGACCTTCTTCCTGCCGCCAGTTGTGCTGCCTTCTTTTTCTCCATTCCTGCCTGCGGCTCGACGTTGCTGTTCAGCAGCTTTCTGTTCGTTGACAGCGTTGCGTACGCGATTCAGCAGGGTGACGAAGAGTCCAATGTAGATGGCGCGTGAGATGCGTGTGCGATGTTTGAGGTATAGCGACGTGAGGTCCGACACGGCCTTCTTCAGCCTTCCTTCTGACATGAGCCCACCGGGGAGCGACATCTTGGATTGTACCGCCATTTCACTGTCAAGTCCATCTGAGTGTATTGTTCATGAGAGGCTACATGTGTCCAAGAGCCATCATCCATCTTCTGCCCTTTGTCTTGCATGTGATGAACACGACACATGCCGAGGTCTGGGGTCCAAATCCGGGGTCACGATCCGGAGGTGCCAAGGGTGCCCACAGTTTGTTTAATTAATCACAGATAGAGAAGAATAATTCATAGGCCATCAAGAATTGGTTATCTGACCGTCCTGTGAGCCCGGCGTCATGCGAATGCAATACCTAAAGTAGGTATACTCGGCTTTTCAACTACCATCTACTCCCATTCCGCTTCCCAAGTTTCGCCAATTGCTTCAATCTCTCGTTGAAGTTTCGCCAACTCTTGCTCTGCTCTGGAGCTGATCGCATACCCGCTGCGACCTTTTAGCTGTGCTGCCTCCATCTTCAAGTCTGCACATCTTCGCTGGAAATCATCCTCAACTTCCTTTCTGTCTTTTGCTTTCCTTGCCAGGTACCTCATGTCATTCGTCTCGACGGCATATCGGAACACATCCCTCATTCTTCGTGAGTAAAGCTGGCAGGATAATCCTCCTCTGGCCTCATTGCGTATCGGCTGTTTTGTTCGGTTGAACCTCATAGCCACATCCGAGTTTGCCCTCAAACATGGCAACACCACGTCATTGTAACACTCATCACACACCGTCATGGCCGGTGCGAGGGACGGGACGAAATACCAGTCAACTCCTTCGAGTTTGTCATCTCGTATGCATTCCGGTTGCCGAGTTCTATGTCTGACAAGTGTAACAAAGTCGGACATGATGGGTAACCGTTTGGCAGACACCGCATCTTCATGAAGCTGGAACAAGCAATCAATGTAGGCTGCAAACCGGTTGTTGTTTTCTGGTCGAAGAGAGCAGAACCGACCCAGGATGTCGTCGTCGTCTTCGTAAGAGAATCGAGTGGGAAGTGGCACGAGCAGTCCTCTGAATCCAGGGAACAGTAGTTCCACCCTTTGGACGTCTGATGGACAAACGATGAAGTTTCGGAGGAAATGTCCATCTCTGTCACGAATCGAATACCAGTTGCACCAACCTCTTTCAATCCCTGGGCATGGCTCTTCAGTCTCATCAGCCTTGAATACCGCCTTCATCATGTTCAGTGTACTTTGTCGATTGTTCGTGGTTAACACCCAAGCGAGCCGGATCCAGGGGCTACTGAACTCGCATCTTCTGGGCATCCTCGGCGAATTGGCCTGCAATGGTCTGAAAGCAGACCCAAACTGTGTTTTGTCGATCACATGCTTGAAGCAGCGTGGACAAACATTGAAATCAGGGCAACCTTCGAGGCTGAGCCAATCATCGTATTTGACCATGTACTTGACTCGCTTGCATGGTGGTAGTTGCTCCCCTCGAGTATTCTTCGTGGTCGACGACATGTCAGCTGATTTCGGTCTATCTCGTCTTGAAGTGCCAGGTGTCGCAGCTTTCTCATCGGTGGGCCGCACATGGCTAGTTTGTGTTGGCTGTTTCGGAGTATTGACACGCGTCACTGGTTCGCTGAGTGGTGGCGGCAACAGACCGCTAGGCTGTTCTGGAAAGTATTGGTGATCTCTTTCTGAGGGCATGGTCTCGAATGGGCGGTCGTCGTCCGGATAGGGAAGCGGCGAGTATGGACTAGATACAGAGCGCGATGCCTGAGGACGTGGCGATCTAGGCAAAGTCGACTCGGCAAGACGAGATGGTGGTTGAGCGCGTCGCGCTGTTGTAGAAGCTGCTGAACCCATGTTCCAAGGATACTCAGGAGGATGCACAATCCGAGGTGAAGATTGAGGCGATGATTGTGTAGAACCACCTCTTGATGTAGGCCTTGAGTTTGGGATGCTGGGCGGATAAGTGTCTTTCACTTTATCTGAACTCGAGTTGCGTGGCGGCGAGGAAGTGTCCTGAGGGTTGTAGCTTCCTTCACTAGCGTGACGAGGATAGTATGTTGGTCTCTCAGATTGCTGCAGATTGACGACCTGTGGTGGGGGTGCAGGCCTATTCAAATAGTCGTTTGGGTTTGGATAGCCTTCGACAGGACCTGACTGCCTTCTCAAAGGATCGCGCACAGGAGGGTTGAACGGGGTGGGAGGAGACGAGTGAGACTGATCTGGCTTGGACCAAGAGTAGCGGGTTGACGATCTCTGGGGAATATGATCGTCTGCACTTCGGTGTGACTCGGCGGTGCTACGTCCTTCGTACACGTGCTTTGAAGTGGAACGGGGTGGAGAGTTGCCTCTAGTTGGGAATTGCTGTGGACCAGAGGCGCTGGTTGGCGGTGGGCGGTCAAACGTTGTAGACTTAGGTACAGCAGGTGGGGTGATGGTGTCTGGAGAAAGGTATAGGCCTTCTGAAGTCCTTTGTGTTTGGGAAGAAGGGGTCGGTTTGCTCCAGGCATACGGCGAGGCTTCTCTTCGCATCTCAGGAAGGCCAGCTGTTTCTATTCGAGGACCTTTGCGCCTTTCACGGCGTCTAGCTCGCTCATCATCACTAGAAGGAGGCGTGGAGTGTGTTTCAGGAGACTTCTTTGCAGAGGGAACCCAGACATAGCGACGATCCGGAGTGTGGCCAGGCACATCAATGAGCAATGGTTCTTGTTCAATAGTGCCTCTTGACGGAATGCGATCATAGTCTGTGACTTGTGGATTGTATTCCTTTCTCAGGGACTCTTTCTCGTCCTCGACGCTCGGTGGGGGCGGCCATCGGCGTGGTGCTCGACTGTGATCTCGACTCCTGGGTGCGCGACTGCGGGTTCTCGTGGGTATGGTAGGGTATAGGGATGGTTGCGTATAGTCATGGTATGTGGGGTCGAGACTGGCAGACTGTCAGCGGTCGAAAGGTGGGCAGGCAGAAGGGGAGCCGAGGCATACGTTGAGTCGTTTCGTGAGCGTCGTGTCTTGCCGTAAGAGTCGTCGTAACGTGGACGAGAAGTGTCGTAAGTCTCCCAGGACGCCATGCCGGCTGGCTAACCAAGAAGAATGTTGTGCTGCAAAAGAGGGACAAGAGAAGAAATCAGAAGAGGGTAGGGAGTTAGTAGGAGAGGTACGAGACTAGAGGAGACACAAGCGCAGGCCCGAGGGATCATTTGGGTAGGCAGGTGGATATATGCATCTCACCCCACATGCGAGTCGCCGGCGTGAGAGGAAGCGTGGAGGGATGCCTGAGCGGGCGCGCATAAGGAAGGAGCTGACGATCGCGCGTCCTCGAACTCCTTCACAATACCGACAGAGACTTACCTTTTCTAGCCGCGTCAGACCTTGTCGCTTTCACCTTGATCCCATTGAACGCATTCCTATGTGTTTGACACCGCTCTTTGATCCGTCTGTCTGCAGTTGAGGAGAAATCCAGAGCCGTTGCAGCATGACGTCTCGTCCGACTGGTCAACTCTGTTTTTGTGTACCACCAATTTGTCCAGCCAATCCAGGCCACGACCAAGTGACCTCTCCCCAACACACTTGGCCTCCTTTTTGCGTTTCATGTCACTGCACTAATCCACCATCCATGCATTTTCGGCATAGAGGACCGTCTCACTGCGGCTGTCGGCACAGCTGACGCCGCTCAATTTTCTATGGGCTCATGACTGTTTCACTACAATCCAGTTGATGTACAGATATTGCTGGCCTTTTGTCATACAATGCGACAATTGCACTCTCCGGGCAAGACTTCGGGGAAAGATTCTGCCTGTCCTAGTTGAGGTCTTGACAAAGGAGGATTTTTCTAGCAGCTCATGCAAGTCTCACACTAGGCAGGTAGGTCACAAGACATATTACTCGAAATATGCATCTAGAGAACCAAAAGCGTGAGTTAAACATTCAACATTATGGTTACCTATTTTCGATCCTCTTGTCGCGTTTCATATCCATCATCTTGTGTTCTCCTCGGCCCTTGATTCTTTGCTTCCCTGCTCTTGTCTACAAAGGGCTGTATCCTTGTAGAGTCACTCGGTCCGGGCCACGCAACAATGATTCTGCCAACACTCACTCACCAAGGATATTGCTATAGCAGTTAGGAAAGGCGCTTGGACAAAGTTCCAGCTTTACTTACTTTATTCTCCCAAGTCCAGAATGTTCCGCTGTGCTGTATACCCTTGCTCTCGATGACCTTGATCATAGCAGAGACTGATTCTTCTGGCGTCATGATGCCGTCGACTTCCCATCCAAGATCGATGTTTGCCATATCCCTGGTAACCCATCAGCGTGTACTCGGGTCCCTCAACAACTGTACTTACGTGGCGACCTCTCCAGGATGAATTGCTAGTAGGATAGTATCGTCGTCTTTGCGCTTGAGTTCGGCAGCCATATGCCGCATCGCCTGATTCAACGCGGCTTTTGATGCAGAGTAAGCTGCGAACCTGAAGAGGCGGTGAGTAAGAATGCAGAGTACATGTCAAAGGTACATACCCATCCTCCATTTCCAGGAACCGTTGTGCTGAACCTGAATCGCTGGACATGAAGACAATTGTTCCAATCGGAATCATTGTCTGAAGGAGTCTCTGAGCAGTGATGATCGGTCCAATGGTATTGGTATGCAGGTGGAAAGCGAATTCGTCGAACGAACTACAGAATCGTTCGTGGTCAGTCTCGACCAGGCAATCCCTCTCCGGTGCCCAAGTACTCACAATTCGGTCGCTCTCTGCAGAAGTCAGTCATGGTAAAGCATCAAGGACACCTATTACTCACATTCGGGTATCTCAAAACACCAGCATTAATCACGACATAATCTAACTTCAGGTTTGGTATAGCGGCGAGCTGAGTGACGAAACTCTTTGGAACACTGTATTAGCCATCACCTCGAATATTCCAGTACGTATATGGTGCTAAACAGAAGGACAGGGTTGATGAGGATGGGAAGAATGTTCCAATGTACATTTATGCTTTGTTCTGATAGGACATCGCAGATCAACATCTGACATCTGCCATGATCGTTTCCTGCCTGCGCCCAAAGCCCGGATGCATGAACGGCGGCGACGTCGCGGACTGTTGCGAATATGCGGTCTTCACGAGCGATCAACTGTCGCACAAACTCCAAACCTATGCCTCTGGATGCACCAACGATACACCAAGTTTTCTGTCCGGTCTTGCCATACAGAATCTCGGGTATTTGGTTCATGTTTTGACGAAGAATATTGGCCCTAAAGTAGTGAAGGCTTCAGATCCTGGTTACTGAGAAACAAACATGGGCTTTGGTGAAGGAGCCGCGCAGAAGCGTTGAGCCGCGCTCCGGTTAAAACAAACAATCTATCAGATCAAGATCTCGCTCGCGTGTTGCTTTGGCAGCTGAAGGAGCTTGAGCCGGCGCCATTCTCTTGACACGACGTCAAACCGCGTCAATCCGTGCATCACCAAAAAGTGTTTTGCTTTGGCCTGTGGCTTTGACAAGTCACGAGTTCACGGTGATACGGGGCGAATAGGAGCAAGAACAGAAACATGATCGAGAGCAGGTCTGGTGTTCACAATTGACAGTCTATGATACGTTGAGATGAGAAAAGGACCTAGGTCGCCACGCTGGTGAAGCAAAGTCGCGATCCAAATCAAGAAATGTTCCGAGGCTGCCCGAAAAACAAGCGCGTTTCCAGCAACATTGACTTTCTGGCCTTTTCTGATTGGCTGGATTCGATGGTTCGTGCACGGCGCCTCCATCCTAGAAACTCCTTGTTCGCCGCGATCGTCGAACAAAATTCCCATCCACTTCTCTTTACTCTTCAATCACCGCCACACATCCTACATATCACCCTTTAATCTTTTCATACACATCACATATCCGTCAAAATGGGCAAGGACAGCTTCGCACCTGGTAAGCATGCTCTTTCCAGCACAGCACCGTGTCAGCGCACCTAGCAGCCAGGAGCGAGAAACAAGAGGACCCGATCTCGACCCCTCGACACACGAAGGACACAAAGCAATTGCCAGCCTACGGCATTGCCTACGATCATTCCTCTGGTCTTCCGATTTCGTTCCTCCGCTGCTGTCGTCGCTGGCACTTTGCTGGATGCCAATGTTTGCCAAAGTGAACAAGTTCACTGACTGTACCATGTAGGTGACAGCAAGAAGGGTGCCAACCTCTTCAAGACCCGTTGCGCCCAGTGCCACAACTTGAAGGAGGGTGAGGGCAACAAGGTCAGTCCTCCTCCAAAATCAACATCATGAACTGGTCTACTTTCGGAGACCAACTCTTGGTGTTTTATCTCATGTCTGGTTCTCATACTGACCTCTTACAATAGATTGGTCCCAACCTTCACGGTCTTTTCGGTCGCAAGACTGGTGAGGTCGAGGGCTTCGCCTACTCCGATGCCAACAAGCAGAAGGGCATCACCTGGAACAACGACACTCTCGTAAGTTTTACCTGAATCGCCACTGCGTATACACACATGCAGCGAACTTTTGTCTTTCCTACGATCAGTCCCTGACCTCCGCTCCAGTTCGAGTACCTCGAGAACCCCAAGAAGTACATCCCCGGTACCAAGATGGCCTTCGGTGGCTTGAAGAAGGCCAAGGACCGCAACGACTTGATCACCTTCCTCTCCGAGGAGACCAAGTAGAGCACGACGACGACGATGATACCTCCACCTTGTACCAATACCACTTTTAGAGCGCAAAATTAGACCTGGTTGATGGGTTGTCTCAGCATGGCGATGCAAAGCGTGGTGGACTTTTGATCCACACTTGCATGGGGTCTCGAAGGCTGAGGCCTGTATAATGAATCTTTCCTCTTCTCTCACGCTTTCCATTCCTGTGCAAAAGTATGAAACCTTTGCTGAACACTTTTGGCAGCAGTTCTGCGACATGTCCTTACGTGATATGTTCCCCGTTTTTCCGACTAGATACCCGACGCCTGAGATATGCAGGTTACCTCTGCAAGGGACCGATTTCGTCGACGCATTGTTTTTATGGCATGTTGCAGGTGGAAGATGAAACACCACTTCTCGATCCCAGAATACCGCTGTCTGAATTTCCCTCTGCCTTGACTCAGATTGCTATTGATTGCGTATAGGAATTGGGCACACAGACCTATCCTGATTGTTTTCACCCTGCAGTCGAACATCTTTTGTTCAGAAATACTGAGCAAACGACCAGGCTTCAAACGCGGCTCTGGGTCGCGCCTTCCACATACAAATAGCCGACCATTCAGTCCCTTGTGCCTTCCCTCAGTACAACTTCGTCGCTTCGAAATTTATCATTGAACACTTTGTTGTTCCACTTCTCTCTTCCAACGTTCTCATCAACTCCGACCTTAATCCTCATCATCATGTAAGATATCCATGCATCACCTTGCTACTCCCCATTCGATCAATTGATCAGCACCAATGCCTCGATTCCTGCCTCGTCAATCTCTACTCAAAGTCTCATTCTTCCCAAGTCACCAACATCTGTTCTTGTTCCACGGTTTCAGATCTCAATTCATTCTTGCGTTTGCTCATCGACAGCTATCTACTTGACTAATAGCCAATTTACAGATCTTGGCCATCGTCCGAAATCATGAATCCAGGATATCGAAGCGCCCGTTCGCTGCCTCCGCAAAAGTGAGTTTGATGTTTCCTAAGAGTTGTCTCTAGCACTTACTTACATCCCCAAGCGCCTGGTGTAGCAGATGCCCTGGTTTCCGTCCCCTCGCCGCCTTCTCGAGGAGCCGCCAGCAAAGAGTCAATAACCTGCTCGCTAGAGGCGCCAGGTTGGGAGACAAGTCTGTAACATCCATCCTTTTCTGCAACAGCTGTTCTGGTGGCCCCAAGCTGGAGCTCAAGTGCACCGGCTGCGACAAGACTCGTGGCATTAACGAGTTCTCCTCGACCCAGAGGAACGTCCCCGACACTGCCAGATGCCGTAAATGCCAGGCTGAGATCGAGAACATCAAGGCTGGTCCACTGGAGCTTGAAGAAGATGAGTCGGACAACGAGTACATGGCCGTGCGTGTCTTCTGGTCACGTTGATGAGTGTGTCTGACACAGTCGCAGAAGAACATGGGAAAGAATGACCTCAGCTCTATCGCCTCCGCCATGGGTGGCGTCTCCCTGGCTCCCAGCAATGGCTTCGAAGCTCTTCCTTCTTCCACCCGCAGCTCTCACATCCCAACCAACATCACGACTTCCGCCAGATCTAGCACTCGCGCTTCGACTGCCACTACTTCCAGTAGGGCCAAGCTGCCTCTTGTGGAAATCGGTGCAAGTGGCTTCGCCAAGGTCAAGGCTGTCAGTCGACCTCACTTCGGACAGTACCCCACACATGACTGACAGATATCAGGGTCACCGCAAAGTTCTGGTTCCTGTTATGATGGACGATGATGTCGAGACCTTCGAAGACGGTGAAGACTGGGCAATGTGAGGCCGCTGTACATGACATTACGAAGTCCAGAACATATGGGTTTCTGGCCACAATGGTGGGCTGGTCATGAGTGGCTGAGCAGACGCATCACGTTACATGATCAACGTCAACTGGCTTATGTGCATAATTAAAGATGGAGGGCAAACTACAGACATAGAAAGAACCAAAGTATCCTTGCAAAGACAAGTATGCATCAACTTTAGATCTCGTTCATCCTCCCATCTCCTCAATAACATTTCCACTGGGCCCAGTCAGATGGGCCTAACGTCCCCAGTTGCTGTACAGTCGGCCCTGCTTCGTCGATTAAGTGTTGCTTCTGGCAATATCGCTGGGGCGACAAGGTCAAAGACATAATCAGAGGAGCAGGCAAACCTTCGGAAAGAGATGAGAAAGACAGAGTTTTTGCAGTGGCTGATCTACCTTTGAGATACTCTCCGTCCCTGGTCGAGTATACCTCCATCTCCTCTGTCGCGCTTGCCTTCCTTTACATGCTTGTAAAAAGGCAAGGTGCTTTTCAGGTTAACACGAAGGTCCAAAGAGAGCAGCAGATTCGGGCTTGAGTTTCCGATAAAATTTGAGCATCTCACTGGACGTTTCTCTGGTTCTGGAAAGCTTCTTGCATTTTGATGTGGTGTTACACGGCCCCTGAAAAGAAGTCGAGAGTGAATAGAGAGAGGGAAGGTATGAGTGTTTGTGAATAAGGTTGTTTTCCGCACTATCAGATTCAATAATTTCCTATCCCTATCCTGCCCAAGTCCCTGATCCATGATGTTGAATGCCAAAAAAGTCTGAAAAGTCTGAAGATGTGTCCCTGCCAATGCCCAAATCCATGTCTTTGTCCGCCCTGATAATGTCCAATCCTGTTCTAATGATGATGATGATGAAAAAATCTCAAAAATCTCCCAACTCTTCACCAGATACCCAGTCAAAACACCCAACTCAAGCCAAAAACAACCAAGCAAAGCCCCATAACAGTCAAGCAAACCAGCAAAGAAAAACCGAAAAAAGCTGATGAAAGCAATTCTCTATCGTCCCGAATCACCCAACTCCTCTCTTTTGTCAGGGACCATATGCAGTACGACCACCTCAAGCTAGACACCTTTTGAATGAACTGCATCCCAAACCACCATCAGCGAAAAATTCGTCTGCCAGAAGCATAAGAAAATCCCGGGATGTTTGCTTTTTCGTCCCCCAAACCACTGACTGCACCGACTCTCGCTGCTTTTTTTGAACTCTCCGAAGACCCGCCAACACAATGCTCAACACCGAACACGCCGATTTGGACCGATTTCTTTGAAAGCTCTCGACACGGTGGGTGGTTCTCATAGGCTGTATAGCTCAGGTGCATTTTCGAGGCTTTTCCCAAGTTTCTCAAAAAGATGCACCCGAGCTGACGCTGAGTTGACCGTGTGTGCAAGAGCAATCGCAAAAACCAGAACAGGGATCATAATTGCAGTGCCAGTGAAGAGCATGAGTCTTTGGAATCGACGTACTTTTGTTTGTTTGAAGCTTGAAAGTCGGATTGGTACTGGATCCGGTTTGCGTACTTCGCATGGAGAGATGAGCCGGTGTTTTCGCAAAAGATGACCCTCGCTGGTGTGTTATTGATGAGAAGTCGAGTGGCGGACTGGTTGATCTCGTTTCGAGGCTGAAATTCGCAAGACCGTGTGCCTGAGGCGATGCGAGGTGTTGATGACGAGAGCAGGCATCCTTTCTGAGCAGCAAATGTTGAGTCGAAAAATCGAGTTGCTGAACCCTGATGTGCCAAAAAGTGCTGCTCTCCTGAATCTGAACCTGCTGAGTGTCAGTGTATGAGAAATAAACCGATCTTGGCTGAGTACAAACCCTGATAGTGCTGAAACCTCGTGTTTTGTTGAAATATGCCGAGCATCGAAAGAAAAAGTGGAAAAACGTGAAAAGGTCGTTGGTGTTGAATTTGGTGTTGAAAAATGTGGTTGAGTGCAGCTGGTGCGACGAAGTGGAAAATAGAAGATAAAAGGAAGGAATGTGTGAAAGGTGCAAGTTGGCGAAAAAGTCGGCTTTGGCGAAAGGAGAAGTGCCAAAATGCTGTTTTCTGTAAGCATGAGACATCAGTAAACGCAAAAAATCACTTACTTTTTGAGTAAGTGCAGTTGGAGCGAAAAGGAGGTGCTATCCCAGATGTCGAGTGCTGAGAGCTGGCTGGCTGTCAAAAGGCAAGAAGGATTTCAAACTTGGAGAGATGTCCAGTGAGAGCCTGACAAGTGTCTGTGTTTGATGTCAGGGGAAGTTGATCTCAGTGAGCATGAGTGAAGATGACATACCTTGATGTAATGCAAAAGATCTTTGAAAGATGTCTTGATGTTGATGAAAGTTGATCAAGATAGGTGAAGGTAGTTGACCAAGGTAAGTGAAGACCAAAAGAGGTGATGATGTATGACCAAGGTATGTGATGAAGGTTGATGATGAAAGTCGATGATGAAAGTCGATGATGAAAGTCGATGATGAAAGTCGATGATGAAAGTCGATGATGAAAGTCGATGATGAAAGTCGATGNTGCGCGAGATGGCAAGTCGTTGTGTGCGGCGAGGAATTGAGGCGCGCATGCTGAGAAGCAGTTGTTGTTTTGCGTGTGATGGAAACTTGGCGCGCGCGCTGAAGAGCTGATGTGTGCATGATGGCAGGCAGCTGCTGATGATGATGGTAATGATGACCAATTGATGATGAAGAAGGTAGATCAATGATGGAAGAAGATGTCAAAAGAGGACAAAGTGGTTGTTGATATTTTTGGTGGATGTTGTGGAAGGAAGGTTGGAGAGGAGAGTGGGAGAGATGGCGGTTTATATAGGGAGAGGCTAAGCGAGCCAACGAAAGGCTCCCAAAAACACCTCATTTTTGAGGGAAAAACGTCGATTCGATCAAACGTAGCCATCTGTATAGCAAGACAAGTGCCCTTTCATCATTAGACAGTGCCATCGATACCTTTTGATGCCTTCCTCTTGCTACGTGATGCGTGATGATATAGGAACTCGTGCGCAGAAGGGCCTCATGCTGCTAGATGGCGGCGGGAGCGATTGCCCAGAAGGTCTACGACTTTTGCGTGCAAGGCAGACAGGCGGCGGCAAGGTCATTGATTAACAGGAAACTCATGGCTGCACAAGGTTGACAACCTGTGTCTCTCTACCGCGCTCATACTTGTTTTGATATCTTAGCTTGAGTGGGCCGGCCAGCGCCCTTCCCTAGGGAACACCTCTACGACAGCAGCCATTCGAAGACCATGGACGCCAGTACAAGACACAACCGGGGACGAAGACACAGACACTTCCATATCCTACACCGACGGCGGGTCCAAAACACTTACCATCACCCAGGGGCTGTTCCACCGCCTACCAACCCGAAGACCACGACCAACACACATGTCAAATCGACCTCCGACAAGCGCGCATACATTGAGACCTACACTCGCACCATGCAGCATGCTGCTAGGCACCCTTCGAGCGATGCAGCAACCTCTATCATCTCATACATCGATGATCATGAGCAGACTACCGCTGAACGCCAGCCCCTGCCAAAATCACCGGCCACAGTCTCCGACTTCTGCCAGCCCAAGACCAGGCATCTTCAACACACTGTTCACCATGCCTGAGCTTCACTAGAAACACAGAATAGTCGTCCCTATCTCGAGAACCATGGACTGACATCTAGCAGACAACCATGCCGATCGAGAACAGCGCTCGAAGCCTCGAACCGAGTCACCACCACAATCCCAAGCTCTTGACCGGCTGGGAAGTCGCATTGAAGATAGAGTGAAAGGAGAAAGAGAGAAAAGGAAGAGTTCTGGAACACAAAAGGCTGCTGGATCTTCAGAGCCAACGGAGCGCGGGAATGACCTGCAAGCAAGGGGGGCATACTCGAGTCTCAATGGACAACTTCATTGGTCTCAAAAGCCATTTGCCTTTTGACAGCCATAGCTCAAGGCATCACTGGCAAGGAGGGAGAGAGCCTCAACATCAATTCAATCAACCTCCTCCTTGTTGCCTCCTCACCCACCTCCCCACCGGTCAAAGAAACGGATCATCCTCATCAGGGAGCGGTGGCAAGCCACTCGTATCGCAAGAGCCCCAGTTGGCTAGGTTCCCCCATACACGTCGGTACCGAATGTATGCCCCACTGACGCTGAGAAGACTATGTGTCTGAGCGTACCCATGCATCTCCTCGCACTTCGTCACCAGGTAAGCATTGACAAGCTCAAGAGTCTGTCGAGAAGCACAAGACAGACCGGAGACGGCGACAGCTGTACCGGCCCAGTCCGAGGTTCCCGGTGCAAGAGAATCGGTTCCAGCGGTCCTCTCTAGGATAAGTCCAACAAGCTCGGGTGGTAAGATATCAAAGCGTGATTGTTTTTTGGCTTTCGAAGCTGCAGCATGAGACCGAGTCCTCACCATGTTTTGGAACAGGCGTCGGACTGTTAGAGTCTTGAGGAAGATATATGCCAGAAGCTCGAGGTGGGCAACAAAAGTTCTACCCACCAATCGAAACTAAACAGTACAGCTACGAAGACAAGAACATGGGCACGAAAGAGAAGGAACGAAGGGGAGGCAGAACAGCGAGTGAGGTTGAATGAGATATGGGGTAGAGACTTGGCCCGTATCGGACCGAGTTCTACTGGGCATGAAAGGCGAGGAGGGAAGGCAAAGCACATAACCCAGGAAATCTGGTTGAAACATTGTCCATTTTTTAACTATGGTTCTAGTTTGTTTTATTCTTGCCTTGTAGGGTGATTGTGCTTTGTCTGGAAAGGAACGAACAGATGTCAAATCACCGACTGGAACCTCGAGCTTCTTGACTGCTCATTCTCTTGAGCTACGTCCAGTACCTTTGCACCAGACTCATCATCAGCTGCAATTGCTGTTTCTGAGCAGACTGATATTATTGCGTGATCTTGACCAATAAGTATTTGGATCATCAGAAGACAGTGTGACCTTCATGGTTTCCAAAACATTGTCCAATTTTCATGTCTCGAGGGAGACCCTGGCCCAGGACTGAGCTTGTGCTTTACTTCCAGCAGTGACGCAGCCCACCACACAAAACATTGTTCCCCATCAACCACAATCATGGCGGACCAACAATTAGAACTGGCCAAACGGACGAGCACCAAAGGCAAAGTGCCTACTGGCTATGCCGACGAAATCATTATCAGCGAAACCGCCTTCCGCAACGCGCATCGAGCAGTCGAAGCAAACCACGAGCCGCCGACCAAGAAGCGCAAAAGAGAGGGGAAGGGCGACAGCAGTGTCGTCTACGGTGCAAGCGCATATAAAGGGCCATGGGCGCGCTACGAAGTAGAAAGACCCGACGACAGCTCAGGCAGTGAAGAGGAGGTTGAGGTCGAATACGAGGAGGATGAGATTGCGCCGCAGCCTACCGCGCCCTCAAAGGCTGGTACCGCATACCAAGAGTCGGATGGATCGAAGGAGACGACCGAGTTCCATGGAAGCCAGCAATACGATTACCAGGGCAGGACGTACATGCACGTACCGCAAGACTTGGATGTGGATCTACGAGGCGACTTGCCAGACGACTACAAGAACTACGCGCCCAAGAAGCTGCTGCATACCTGGAAGTCGCATACCAAGGCTATCACCCAATTGCGCTTCTTCCCCGATGCTGGACACTTGTTGCTCTCGGCTTCTGCGGACAGCAAAGTCAAGATTTGGGATGTTTACCACCAGCGCGAGTTGCTGCGTACCTACTCTGGTCACACAAAGTCTGTCTCGGATATCTGCTTCAATTACGATGGTTCTCGCTTCATGACTGGCTCGTTCGACAGACAGATGAAGCTTTGGGATACAGAAACCGGTGCATGCATCAGCCGCTTCAGCACTGGTGCCACACCCCACGTCGTTCGCTTCCAGCCAGACCAGAACTCAGCCACCGAGTTTCTAGCCGGTATGAGCGACAAGAAGATCGTCCAATTCGACACAAGGACGCCTGGCGAGTCGCCAATCCAGGAATACGACCACCACTTGGGTCCAGTCAACACAATTACCTTCTGCGACGAAAACCGTCGCTTCATCACCACCTCCGACGACAAATCCCTCCGCGCCTGGGAATACGGTATCCCCGTACCCATCAAATTCGTTGCCGAACCCTACATGTTCCCCATGGTCCGCTCCTCCCCTCACCCTTCTGGCAAATATGTCGCCTTCCAGAGCAGCGACAACCAAATCGTCGTCTACGCATCTACCGAGCGCTTCCGCCAAAACAGAAAGAAAAGTTATCGTGGACACAACAATGCTGGGTATGCTATCGATGTGGCCATCAGTCCTGATGGAGGTATGGTCATGTCGGGAGATAGTGGTGGTTATGTGTGTTTCTATGATTGGAAGACTTGCAAGATGTGGCACAAGATCAAGGCTAGTGAGTCTGCGGTCGTTGCCGCGCAGTGGCAGCCCAAAGAGACGTCCAAGGTCGTCACGGGTGCTTTGGATGGTCTGATCAAGTACTGGGACTAAACGGAGACAGGGAAGATAGTGTTTCATGGAGATGGTTTCTTCTCTAGTCTATCGAGTTCTTTTTTGCGAGCGACCAGGTCTTTGTAGCGCGTGATTCCTTCGTAGCCCGCTGGCATCGCTTGGTCAACATCCTGTACATAGCAAGAGTGGCATTTGTACTTGTCGGGTTCATCCTTTGAGATCCACCAGACTTTCATGCCTCCATACCTTACGTACCCGCAACCTTCGCATAAGTGTTCGACTGGTTCGGGAGAAAGGGACGGGCGATGAGTTTTCCAGGGCAGGTCGGATACCCATTCCGGATGACGGGACACCCACTTGTGAATATTCGATTTCATGGTATAGCGAACATCTCCTTTGTGTTTTTGATAATGGCGATGGGCTCGCTCCAGTTTTAGCTGGCGAAAGTCCTCGTCGGCTTTGTATCTCTGTTGCCCGTATTGCAAGGCGAACTCACGATTCTGGTCATACCATTGCCGTCTTTAGACAAGTATTTGTTGACGATAATCTTCATCGTTCTTATATTTGAGGCGCCGATCTTGGTTGTATTTGTCCATTGCTTCTCTTCGAGCTTCAGGAGTCTTTGGCACTTGTTGGTTGACGCGGCAGACAGAGAAGAAGCGTGCATTCAGCGGAGCCCACGGTATGGAATTTTGACAGCCAATGGCCTGCCAGAGAGGTTTGAACATGATTCGATGTTTTTACACGCTAATGGTCGGTAAAATGGAGGAATTGGTGGTCTGATTGGGTTTGGCGCTGAATAGGTTTGTGCAAGGTCTTAAGGTTCTGATGACAGAGATGGTTGTTCGACTGAAGCAGTTGAGATTGAGGTGACTTTCATGATCATCAGAGAGGATTGATGATTTAATGTTATAGTATGCGGGAATAATCGTGGTTTGTGAGGGCGTTTTTCAAGAGGCTTCTGGGAGCGACTGACGTGGGGGCAGTTCAGCTTTGAGCCCCACCAAGGTTTCCCGGCCTTTGGAGCTTGACGCACGAAACAAAACACTTGTTGTTTACTCGACATCCAACCTATCAATATGCCTCAGGAAGAATCGAAGCCCGTGGATGCGCCTGCCAATCAGGACGCCCTGAACAATGCCGTCTCGGAGCTAAAAGTGTCGGAAGACCAGACCAAGACCGACGAGCAGCAGGCTGCAGAGTCGAGTGGAGACGACAAGGCCGACTCGACACAATCTGGCGCAAAGAAGTCCAAGAAGACAAAGATCAAGGAAGCTCTCTCCGGCATCGCCTCATCGTCCAAATCGCCAGCCGCACCCACCTCGACCGAAGACCCTCTACCCGCCTCGACAATCGACAAGCTGTCCGACTCGCAGATCAATGCCCTGGTACAACAAAACCCCGCGCTGGCCCAGGCCATGCTCAAGGGCAACTCAAGCCTTGACGCCCGCAGTATGCGCGAACTTCTCAAGTCAGTGAGCGCTGCCGACCTCATGACCGGTATGAGCTCGGGAAAGAATGCAAAGGACATGGCCAACTACAAGTTCTGGGCTACCCAGCCCGTCCCTCGCTTCGACGACAAGGCCGCTGCAGACAAGAAGATTGTCGCCGAAGGCCCCATCAAGGAGGTCGACATCAACAAGGTTCCCACAAAGCCGTCTCCGCTGGTCGAAGGCTTCGAATGGTCCGAGATTGATCTGCTGGACGCCGCTCAGTTGCAAGAGGTTCAGGACCTGCTCTGCAACCACTATGTCGAGGATGACGAGGCCATGTTCCGCTTCAACTACCTCAACGAGACTCTCAACTGGGCACTCAAGGCTCCTGGCTGGCGCAAGTCATGGCACGTTGGTGTCCGCGCTACCAAGTCTCGCAAGCTGGTAGCCTTCATCTCAGGTGTCCCCGTACGTCTCAATGTTCGTGACCGCCTTGTGAATACTGCCGAGATCAACTTCCTGTGTATCCACAAGAAGCTCCGTAGCAAGCGTCTTGCTCCTGTCCTCATCATGGAAATCACCCGTCGCTGCAACCTCGAGGGCATCTTCCAGGCCATTTACACTGCCGGTGTCGTTCTGCCCAAGCCCGTTGCCAGCTGTCGCTACTTCCACCGTGCTCTTGACTGGGAGAAGCTCTATAATGTCGGTTTCAGTCCTCTTCCTCACGGCAGCACAAAGATCCGCCAAATCGCCAAGTACCGTCTACCGGAACGTACTGTCACTCCTGGTCTACGCTTGATGCGTGCTGAAGACGCCGACCAAGTGACGGACCTGCTCGCACGCTACATGAAGCGTGTCAAGATGGCTCAAGAGTTCAACAAGGAAGAAGTACTGCACTGGTTCGTGGATAACGAGACCGACCCCAAGAGCGCTAAGCGTGTCGTCTGGACCTATGTCGTTGAAGATGCCGACAAGAAGATCACCGACTTCTTCAGCTTCTACTGCCTCGAGAGCTCCGTCATCCACAACGCCAGCCACTCGAGCACAATCCGCGCTGCCTATCTCTTCTACTACGCCTCGGAAAGCGCCTTTGAGCAACAGAGCGAAGATGACGATGTTCTCAAGACTCGTTTGAACTTGCTGGTCAAGGATGCTCTGATTCTCGCCAAACAGGTAAATAGCATTTTACACTCTACCACTCGAACCAGACTAACAACATTTCGCAGGCTAAGTTCGACGTCTTCAACGCTCTGACACTCCTCGACAACCCTCTCTTCCTCTCCGACCAAAAGTTCGGTCCCGGAGATGGTCAACTCCACTACTACCTCTTCAACTACCGCACCGCAGACTTGCCTTCTGGTGTCGACTCCAGGAACGTCGTCGATGCTAGTCAGCGCGGTGGTGTCGGTGTTGTTATGCTGTAGATGACTCCGAGGGTATCTTTACCTGTTCCCCCCTTCCCCTTTTTTTTCTTAGCGGATACCTCAAAAAAATGACATATGATCCAACACTCCATCAAAAATGATGCTACAAAGTGTGACACGTCGAATATACGCTTTCTCTCCAAGTTGGTGTAGCAAAAGCCAAGCGGTCAAGTAGCAAATTCTAGGCCTACCACAAGTGTAGACAGATATCTTAACGTGGACGTAGCCGCAGGAAGGTTGACCCGGAACCGAACTCCCTCTCGCCCTTAAAGCTGCAACCTTGGCTGCAAAAAGGCAGGATGCTTTTGATGATCAATATCCATGTCCATCGAGAGCGACGCTGCCTCTCGATCCCTCTGGACCTATATCAAGAACGGGAAATCATTGTGCCTTTTCGACTACTATGTTGCAAGGAGGAGTCTTTGCTAGGCTGAGAGCTCAGTTCTGGTGTAGTTCCCGTGCCTATGTATCTATGTTATACTCTTCCTTAGAACCTGCATCGAGCGACTTGCCACATCCGTACACCGCGAATCTCGACACCTCTGCTCCAATGTAAACTACCTCAAATAAGCTCCCTCGTGACTCAACATCCCAAACCCCATCGACTACAAGAACACCCCATGCATCTCATTTCTTCCCTTTCTTTCTCTTTTCTAATCGCGCAGCTTAATTGTCGTAATGTGATTAAAGTCGTAACTTAGCAAAAAGATCGATGATGAGAAAAAACTGTTCATTGCACTGGTGGGATTCTGTTTACTCGAGCACTGGTGGAAACCGGTGGTTGAGGGGATGGGTGGGTGCTTTTTGTTACACTCTGAGGTCTTGATGTGATGGGTGAAAGTTATGTAGGTGGAGGATGTGGTTTGGTGAACTTTTGAGGACTATCAAGACGTGTTGGTTGGTCGGTCATCTGGATGTTTAAGAGTGCAGCGATCTGGTGCCTCCTCGTATGCCGAATTTTGTCACCTCAACTCTCTTGCCGCAAGCGATACGCATTGAACCCCTGTCCGATTGCACGATGGTGAGTATAACCGCTTCGTCCACGGAGGACAACTTCTCAAAGTTCTCTCTTTGGGCCTAGCATCGATTTCAAAGATCATTGTGCGTTTTTACAGCTTTTTACACGTGACAAAGTTTAGCATACGGGGTGGTGGTACTATGGATGGGAGGTTATTGTTGTCGATGAGATTGTTGGCGCTGCGGCTCCCTCAAATATCACGGAAAAAGCAACATACGAATTTCGTTTATCGCCATTTCCAATTACATTGCTATCTTCATCACACCACGCCTTCCAAACCCAAAGGATGATCCAACCCAATCATCTCCCACCAGTCGACATAGACCTGAGCACCTACATCAGCGACGGCGAAGACCATGCACCTGCCGACAAGAAAAAGCTATCAGATACCCATTGCCTCACCTTCCTCACCCGCGTCTTCAACAACAACGGCTCAGCCATGGAGTTCTGGGGTATGCCTTCCCTTCATCATTTACCCTCCCTCTCCACCCATCCATTCCATCTTCCTCTCGAAGGCTTTTGGTGTTCTTCCTGATCGATAATATCCAGGCCGTCGCGTCAGATTCACCGCGCTGTGTCCAGGTTACTCAATGTACCGGGGCCACCCTCACACATATCCCGACTTCGAGCAAGAAAGAAGAGTCTGGGGCCATCCGTGCGGCAAGCCTTTTCCCAGTATGGGTGTTTTCGCCATTCACGTCAGAGCCGTCATCGAAGAATATCTCAGACGGTGTAGATGTTGGCTATGTGATGCTCCCGATACAGAGAGCGATCCAAGTTATGTGAAGGGACCGTTCGATCTGGCAAAGATGAGGAGAGAGGGCATTAGTTTGGAGGAGGTGAGAAGGAAGGACAAAAGGCTAAGAAGAGTGGGAAGCACGGAGATAATACCAAAAAGAGCAGGAAGGGCGTGGAGCATAAACCGTACCTTGTCCGTCGCCGCGGATAGACCAATTCACTTCCTACTCACGTCCGAGCAACGGACATGGAAGCAAAAAGCAGACCTTACTGTACTAATCACACCAACCAAGGTGAAAGCTTCCCAACAGTCAGGGGCGGATGTGATTGGTCTGATGAGAGTGAACGAAGCTCTCCAACAGATGTACCTTCCAAGTTTGATGAGAAAAGGCTCCACTGTTCTCTCTTTGGAGTCTTTGGACATCCACGTCGAGTTCAAAATCATCTTGCCTTTTGACAGGAAGTCAGTCCGTGCCTGAGGAGGTTGAGATGAACCTTTGGTACTGGTGCGAATCATCTTCCCCTATGACAGCAAGGTACCTGTCGATGTAGCTCAGACTGTAACTCCTCTTCTACCGGGCATGCCTCTTGGTTCCTACATCAAAATGCACAATGTCATTCAGAACCGGCTACGCGTCCATTGAGAGTTCGTATGAAGTAGGGTTTCGGTGGACAATGTCCAAGAACCAAGGCATACATTCTATACATGTCTCACTGGAGATTTAAAGATCGTTTCTAGACAGGCGGATAGTCATAGGTATACTACTGCAAGCGAAACTTGAAAGAAAGAAAGAGACAGGGCACCAGACAATTTTATTAATTCGGCTTTCTGCAGTAATTGTCCGTAAACTCTCACAAGTGTATATGTCTGTTCCGACGTGGTTTGCAGAAGACTTTCATGTGTTCTGTCCTTCGGGAACGCAAAAGTCATCATAGAGCCTCCCTAGGTCAAAGAAGTCAAGGTCAAGACCAAAATCGAAAAAGCCCATGCCCTCCAAGGTGTTCTCAGAGGTCGGTTGTGAAAAGACGCCCCGCTCCCGTGTTGCATCAGTAGGGTATGAGCCTTGTACGAGTAGTTTGTATCTCTCGAAGGAGCGTTGTGACTCCTCATCGATCTGCTGAGCCTGGCCTTTATCCCGCAGTCCCACTCCCCACTGCTCAGTCAAGCTTTCTATCACCATGATAGAACGGTTACACCAGAACCATGCGATATTCATCTTGTAGAGGCTGCTTACGAGCAATCGTAGCATGTTTAAAGACTTGCTTGGGTTTGGATTTCCCGGGTCTTTCGCATCTACCAGATGGACAAGCCCAGCTGTAAACGCAGCGTGCACTGCAGATATTGGGATACATCGCTATGAACAAAGGTGAGCATTTGGGAAAGAATCGTCAGATGCATCAGCCGACTCACCAGAGTATAATTCGATTGGTAGCAACGAAAGATGTGTGCAATCTTGTCCGCGGCCGTTGTGCACACTTGGGAGTGATAGCTTTCGCGCTCAGTTATCAAAGCGCTGGGATTACCACGACTCTTCTTGAGGGCTCTTTGGAATATGTGGCGGTGTAGTAAGATCTGAGTGACATGGTACTGTAGACTGGATCGATGCATCAGCGGACTGGCAATGAGAGGAGGCAGAGTCTCTCCTGCGTACTGTAGCTGATACACGTGAGGCAGAGCTGGTCTCAAAGACGATGAGGATATCTTAAGGCACTGTGGCAGCTTGTTGAAAAACTCAGTCAGTTGCAAATACGTTTGCAAAATCGTATCATCTCTCTTGACAGTAGTCAATCGTGGTCGTCTGTAGTAACTGTAACTTCACATGAGCACAAGTCTTGAAATTCAATGTTCGGAAGCGCCTACATGCGATCGAGTGCATCAGAAGATATCTCGAATAACTTGCTTGTGTGCCAGGTGTTGAGGGACATGAGTTCAGGGACATTAGAGTGTTGATCTGGTTCCTTAAAACACACGCTGGGCATTGGGACAGCTGGAGCTAGGGACGAAAGAATGCCACTTGGTCGTCCCATTCCGAGACCAAACAGTCTTGTGCCTAAGTCAGTGATGATCTGGGTAAATCAGAGCCGTGTTTTTCTTACCTATCGACGATGTACACGCCATTCCATGTCAAATTACGCGCATCAGCTGCCTGGCGGGAGAGAACACCAGACCTCACAAGGTCGGAGCAATCTTCGTGGAGGCCAAGACTGAAACTCATACGTGAAGCTATGCCAGCGTAGAGCCAGGCCAGGGATTCATTGTCGGTAGCATTCACGTAAAGACCGTATAGAGCAGCTGCCTGAATTGTAGATATGGTTGGCGCTCGGATCTCGAAGTGCAGCATGATATCGACATCTGCGGCAAACGCAGCACCCGCTGTATTGGGATCATTGGGATCTGTTCGAACCTCGCTCCTGTCTGAGTACCGAGACGCCAAGGCAAGGATAGCTCGCAAAAGTAAGGCTGTGCAATATCTTCCCATGACTCCCGTATGCAGATCATCAAGGAAGGATGCTTGCGGTACAAGCACCTGCCACGAGTTCTGCCACCGCCAAAATAGGTCAAGCAGATGGTCGCGAAGCTCATTCGGCACGTCTTGCATTCCAGAAATTTGAGCAGCCTGTAGTCCGTCTTCTTGCGCACGCGCTGCGGATGCGACGTGAGTTGGAACATTATGTCCTAGGTTGAAGCTGCTTGCCGCGCCAAAGTATCTCAGGTCACCAGCATCGCCCAATGTGAACCGACCGAGCATCTCCACGACTTCGTCGGTCTCCTCTGTGGCGTTCGACTTGCCCGAACTTGGCGTGTCTTGAGTAGTGGAATTTGATTCACCGCTCCTAAGAAGACGAGCGCTGATCCGATCTGCTTGGGCGAGCTCTTGCTCCAAAAAGGCCACTCTCTCTTCAAGGGCATGAACATATTCATTGGTGGGCCTCCTGTTTCACCTGATGAGCTCCGCAGCCCTCCATAAAAAGCAGAATAGACTCAGCTATGCATACTTTCGTTTGCTCTCACCTTCAGGATACTCGCATTGTTCCTCACGATGATTGCAAGCACCGCAGATTGGATGAACACCGTCGCACTTTCAATCCAAATCAGTCGATTTCCTCATCAGTAGCGGACGTGTGCTGGAACCTGTGTGGATGCTACCTCCCCATGTGCTCAAGTTTGTTACTCTTAGCTATTTCTCGCGACCGCAATCAAGGCCACCCAGGCTGGAGAAATGCACAATGCTTTTCAGACCAGTGCATCCCTCCACTAGGAAGCGCTAACTTTCACACTCTCAGTGGAGGACAGCACTGATCTTCGAAATATTGTGCATTTCTACAGCATGCGCGTGACAAAGTTCTACACACGGAGAGGTAGAGTTAAGCAAGGCAAATTGCTCACCTTTGTTCTTTTCGTTCGACAACCAAGACATGCTCGACTGATCCGCTGCCGCTTTGGCCGACTCTCGCCCTGCGTCTCGTGTGACGCTGGCATTCCAAGTGCGGCGTGATGGTATTTTACGTGCGGCTTGTTAGGTTTGCCATTGACGATGCAAGGCAGCTTGTCGAAGTGCGCATGTTCAGACGAGAACAGAGTCTTTGTCGAGTTTAAGAGCCCTCGTGGACCTCGGACGTCTCTGGACCCTTATGAAGTGCTTGACCAAAGTATGGATGTCAACTGTAGTAAACGATGCTATTGACGTGGTTCACGAGCGGAGTGGAAGGGAACAACTTTTGGGAGGATGTCAACCGCTGCCAAGTCAGTTGGTCCTAGCTCTCAGTAGGAAAACGTGGCACGTGCGCTACGGAGTTTACGCAACCTTTGCCGCAACTCTGAACCTCTATCTGGACAACTGTTACCCGGATGTACACTGCAGATAACGAGACTATCCCGGATACCGTGGTGGCAACACTTGTCGGAAGTGGTCGCTATCGTGCGATCAAGTATTTCAAGCGCGGATAGATCACATGGTACGGGACATGCCTGGCTACTTAACACTCGGATACTCTCACAACTTTGGCCCATAGATTTCGACCGTGAGAGATAGCAACGGTGATAGGCCAGAAGGTCATATCTCAACTGAGGCAGAGACGCTCAGCTCTAGGTAGAGTCAGTTTAGTCAAAATCGTGAACATCTGAAAACGCCGACTCTTAACTCCCTTGTCTCGAGGCTCACATCTTGTCCTTCAAACATGGTTTCTACGAACTACAACTTTGCGGTGAGCTTTTGTGCTCATAACCGGCTTCTTTGCTTACGGGTTTGCCAACGCGTGCATCGGATCCATTCAGGCTTACACTCCTTTCTCGAGTAGTTCGACCTGGCTAAGCCTGGTCAATACAGCAACACCATCCGAGACGCATAATCCGACGTCTTTGCTGGTGGCAGCGGCATTGGCGCTCTTGCATTATCTTCTATTGCCGACAGATGAGGCCGTGTCAGACTGGCTCTCCTGTGCGGCTCTCCAAAGATTCCTGAATCGCCCAGATGATTGATTGCCAATAATCGAAGAGAAGAGGCGTTCAAGATTCACTGCGATCTTCATCATGACAAGCTCAACAACGAACGAGTTGCGAAACCGTAGTGCTGTTCGAGAAGAGTTTAGTTACCTCGCTCATCCGGGTAATTGTTAGCCGGATTGCAACAGTGACGCACCCTCAGGTCCGTGGAGCAATGCTGTCTTTTCGACCTTCATATTTTTTGACTACGAAAAAATCTCTCTCATCCTGCAACTCATCAAGAGAACAAAATGCCACCAACTTCTGTCACTCTGATCTTTTCACCTTACCATGTGGGTCTCCGCGACCACCGTGTTGGCAACGGCCCCCATCGCATCTGCAAGCTTGGCATCATCAAAGAACTCGAAGGATTGAACATCGACATTCACATAGAAGAGCTCGAAGCGGTCGATGAATTTGAAGGAGAGATTGGCAAGAGCTTCGAGCTTCTCCGGCGAACTTCGACCGCTGTCTCGAAAGCTTGCGCCCACAACTCGTTCCCTCTCATCCTCTCGGGAAACTGTATGGCTACCGTCGGCGTAGCAGCAGGCCTTGGTCTCGAAGACCTCAGCTTTGTTTACTTCGACGCTCACGATGACCTGGAAACCCCGTCCACAAACACCAATGGCTATCTCGATGCTATGGGAATGTCTATGCTCAAGGGAGAGAGCTGGCACAACCTGATTGCCACCGTGCCAGGCTTCAAACCTCTCTCTCTTGACCGCTTAGTGTACTGCGGCCTCAGGGATATCTCAGATGAGTCGCGTCAGAAGGTCAAGGACATGAAACTCGACGTGGTCTGGGGCGACTCTACAAAAAAGGTGGACTTTTCGACAGAACTCGGAAATGTGCTTGATGCTCGCGCTCTTGGCCGTACGCATGTGCATCTCGACCTCGATGTCCTTGATGATACACTAGGTAAAGTCAACGATTATCCATCGCCTGGAGGACTTCTCGAATCGGATCTTATCAGCTGCATGGAGCTCACACCGAAGAAGGTCGCTCCAACATCTCTGACGGTCTGTTCATTCGACCCTCATGCAGGTGACGGTGACAAGATTGCAAAGATTGCAGTGCGTGCAATTTTTACCTTCATGTCGTCTCTGATTGAGACTGGCGGTCTGCTGCGATCTCAGTCTTGACTCGGCAAGTGTATCTGATATACAAGCTTGGATAGCTTTTGTGTAAAATCGTCATTCATTTTGCGCGCAATCACAAGACTTCGATTTCAATGTGTGCCCTTGCCATGAGAGACTCCATCTCCAGAGCCTGAAAGTTTTTAGTTGTAGTCACAGTCCGCCGGGCCAAGGCGCTATCAGATAATCATACAAACATGACTCGCAGCCGGCAAAAACACTGGATTGAAAGCTGTTAAATCAAGATTCAAGCAGACGCGCCGAGAGGGTAGCGGGTACTAGGAAGCGTCAGATCATGATGATAGGGACAGGACAGTACATCAACAAGTGTAGGCAGAAGGAGTCGGCGAGTAAAGTCATAGAGCTTGGTGATTGATGTTGCACAACTCGAGCCAAATAGATTGAGCAAAAATCCATCTACCATCAGCAAAAAGATGCAAAAAACCAGAGCGTAGCTCTTATGGGGAAACTCCCTCGGAAATCTCCTTGATCAATGTCACCAGATGTCGGTCATCTGGCTGGGCTTACGGAATGCCAATTAAGACTACAGGTCGGAGATTCGAACAAGTGTTTCATTAAATCATGAGAGTGGTTATGCCGTTACACCAAGTCAGAGGATTACAAATTAAATGTAATTCTGATGCAATATGTATTGGAGGAGGAAAGGGCTGGTGTTCGATTCAGGGCATGATAATCCTCTCTTTTTGCAGTCACTCAGTATGTCTCTCAAAGCTTACTGGGTGCTCAAAAATGCCCTGACAATTCATATGGTGTAGTAAATCAAGGGGGTACCTCTTCTCAACATTCACCAAGCATACTGATTGCACGAACGTGTTTGGCCCTTCGAGTCAGCGAACTATCGGAACAAAATCTTGGAAGGCGAACTGTCCAGCACCTTCCCAGAATCACAATAACCATGTGACATACGTCTGGCCTGCCCTTTCTTTCTTCGCTTCCTGCATTCTGACAATCACGACAACTACACTGCGTCCATCATAATACAGCACAACATTAAACATCTTCTTTCAAATCATCAGTGATGGCCACAAGGTACGCCAATACCACGGAGGTTCGCCTGATCGTCAACGGCAACACCGTATTCGCATCCTGTGTTCAGGAAAATACCGGATCGCTTAGCATCACCGTGGCACATGGTTGTGTCAATATCTCCACACCTACCAGTCAAACGTCAATCTTCACTCAACCAAAAACCATCTCAATCAGCACCTGTTCGAACCTTGCGACTGTACCTCTGTCGGCTCCCAGTCTCCAGATCGAAGGTACTCAACAGAGTATCCCCTTCAATTCGGCACCTCTGGCCCTTGACACTCTGGCTGGACATGTACGTTCTGACCTCTGTACTTGTGTTGCCGGAAAGAAATGCCCGCGTCATCTTCGGGTTGCTCAGGAGAAACGACGCAGGCGCCGAGAGAGGAGACAACAGCAAGATCCACCCGTGGGCAAGGTGGAAAGAGACATTGATCCCAATCACACCAATACCGTGAAGCAATGCAAGGGGAAATCTCGCAAGAGGGCTGGGGCCAGTGAGAGCTTCGACCGAGTGGTTCATGGACATCGAAAAAGTACGAGCTCGAGGATTGTCAAAGCAGAGCCAGAATCCGACTTCAACACCTTGACATCAGACTTGAGTGGCAAGCAGGACATCACCTCGAGAGTCGTCGATGTCCGTCGATTCCAGCAGAATACTCACGTACCGGAATACATGATCGGTCTCCCAACACATCTTCCTGGTGAGCTAAATTGGGCCGTCGATGACTCCTCTCCAACAGGCCGCGAAATCAAGTGTGAATTACAGAGTGACACCAGACCTCCGGACGCCTCGATCGAATCCTCCTTGTCGGACGTCCATGGCAAGCAACTAAACAGCTCATCATCTGGACACATCATACCAGGTTTCTCTCTCTTCACTAGCTCTGGAGAGTGGGACCCTCCGCAGATCAAGATCGAAAGAATGGAGGATATCTTCCATAGATAAGGAGACGGGACAGAACATCATGCATGACACTCCACTGATTATCGATTTCTTGTAACGATGCCGGATGGCTTCTGCATTTGCTCTTCTTGCACAATTCTTAGCTACAGTAATGATTGCAGCACTTCTTGATCGCGCTACACATCCCATGTCTCGTCACTGCGTGCCGCACTGCCGAGTGCTACATGATTCGTTGTCATTTGTCTTGATGCTTGCTGCAAATGTTTTGATATCGACCTTGCGTCTGACTTGGGCTGCTTCCAACTTCCAAGCTGACTTTGATTGAATCTCTCCATGCCGCTTCTCCTATGCGCTTTATCTCACACCAGCATTTCGTGTACCCTGGTTTTCTTGTGACAATTGTTGCTCTGTCTGATAATGTCAGTGCTAGTCTCGAAGCCAACAAAGCTGCTTTGATGTTCCATACACTCGGAGTGGAGGTGCCTCATCTCGGGCGACGGGTCCTTTGTTATCATCTCCAAAGTCTTCAGGAGACTGCGTGTTCTCCCATCCACTTCTGGTACTTGGCTTCCATCTCAGGCACGATTCTACCCGCTATAAGAAACTCAGTGGCATGCGTACCAACCAACTTCGACGTCCGTTTCTGCTTGCCAGCAGTCTACGGCCCAGTGGCAGAAAACTTCGGCTCTACCTCCTTTTCGAAATATTTACGCCAGTGTTGGAATCTCTCCTCGAGATAATTCAGTGTAATAGAGTCAGGAACATCCATCTTAGCATGATAGTCTCGCCAACTTTGTTCGTCGCCTCCCTCGCGCTTTACCCTTTCGATTCCATTGCGTAGCTCCATCTTAGACCAAAGTGTCTGGATGTCAGTTTCTTCTACAGCTTGGTCTTCCGCGGAAGCCTGTTCTTTGGTCGGAACTTGACCTTCGAGAGAAACCTGCTGCTTGGTAGGAGCTTGCTTATTGATCGGGGTTTGGCCTTCGAGGAAAAGCTGCTGTTTGGTTGGAGCTTGCCATTTGCCCGAGCTTTGATCTTCGTTTTTGTATGGAATCAGATTTTCAGGCGTGGCTTCTAGTTCGACAATGGGTTGCTTAGGTGGGATCCCCTGGTCGGGGGTGTTGATCCAGAGGAGAAGTACCAGAACAATGAACCAAGAAACATGATTGATAGCCAGGGAGAATAGAGCATAGACGAGAACCAGGCAAGGCATAGCAAAGATGACGACTGGGACGGCCAACAAGGCGTAGCAGGTGAGGCCAACCATAGCGCAGGTGGAGCAGATGATACACACGAATATCAGGAAACATAGAGTGTGCATCATCTGACCGCTTTTCTTGAAGAGTACTTGGGGGGTCATATTTGTTGCTGGTGTCATGATGATGCGTTTCCGTCAGAGAAAGTCAGTCACTTGTATCAATTGGTCATGAAGTTGCTGGTGGCAGACGTATCGTGGATGATCGAGTTCCGAGCACACTGTTTAAGTCAGGCATTTGCGTTGAAGTCTGGGTGGTTGACAAGATCATATATCCAGAGCTCGATGTCCAGAATCTTCTGCTTGCTTCGGCTCATCCCACCCATCATTGTGATGTGCATGTTTGCTGTGGCCAAAGCCGTGATCAAAGAGAATTTGGCTGGATAGTCGCTCCACGGACAACTCGGCATTTGACGACCGAAGTTTAGGGGAGCGCGAGGGACAGATGCTGAATTTAAGCCCTCTGTCAAAATGCACGATATTTTTGCAGTGTGGAGCGATGTCCACTGAGAGCCGACATGTTACCTTCTCTCTTTGGACAACCTCATGGATCTGAAAACAATTGTGTCTTTTGGTAAGTATTTTATGTTGGTGGCCGGTGTGGTGTGGGAACGTCCAGTTCAGCAAAGAGTTTTGCGTATCTCTGTTCTTATCCACGATTCAAACCAGACTAGGAGTTCTCCATCCCTCTTGCCGTTCCTGTTACATGCCAAAGCAGCAACCTTGTGCGTTAATACCTTGGTTCATGTATGTCGCTGAACTTGTTTCCCACGCTGATTAAACTTCGCTATTTAGAGCTCACCTTACATGTTAGACTTCCATAACTGACGATTCGTGAACAAAGCCAAGCAGAACTTTTAATAGAGATTTCAAGATGCAGCATCGACCTCGCAAATCGTGACCACGAAAAACCATCAGCGTGTACTTACGCAGCACAGTGCAGGAAGCAGTTCCCTGATGAGCTTCGATGTGGTAAATACGTTGCAAGTGTTGCACTCGTATGCTCTTCTGGGTATTATCAAGAATTGCCAACAAAGTCAGTAGGGGCTCGAGAGCAGCTTTGGTTATTGAGCACCCGATACGGAAATGCGACTCGGCTTATTGAAGCCAGGATTCGGCGTACCAAGACAACGCCTTCTCGAGGCTTTATTCCAACGTCCAGCTACTCCATTATAGCATACAAAGCGAGATACATGTCCAAGACAAATGTTTTCGACTGAGTATGTGCTGCTGGGTCAACCCTTGTGTCGCCTGCGAGTAATGTTGCCTTCTAATCTCCTCATCATGGTTCGAATGCATCTTCTGACGAGACATTCTTTGAGGCCTTATTGTCAAGTCTTCTAGTCGCGCAAGATCGAGGCCCGGTCTCGTCAAGATATACTGCTGCTGAACATGAACAAGATGCACGCCTTTATCCAGGCTTATTGACATACTGTTCCAACGCGAAACAGATCAGCGAAACATAAAAGAGGCTTTGCCTTCGTCTTATCATCGCCCACTCACCTTCTGAGTATCCCACACACTCTCTACCTTATACAAAAAATCAGACTTCGTCATGAAGTTCACCACTATCGCACTCGCCGGCCTGGCTACCGTCGCCATGGCCTCCCCTGCCGCTGAGGCCAACCCCGAGCCCGTCGCCGCACCTCAACCTGAGGCTGCTGCCGACCCTGCCTTCTCCTCTTGGGGCAAGAAGTACCACCCCAAGATCTGGAACGGATGGGGTGATGCTCCTGGACAGGTCTACCGCCGTGAGGCCGACCCCGCTTTCAGCTCCTGGGGCAAGAAGTACCACCCCAAGATCTGGAACGGATGGGGTGACGCTCCCGGCCAAGTCTACCGCCGTGAGGCTGATCCTGCCTTCTCTTCATGGGGCAAGAAGTACCACCCTCACATCTGGAACGGCTGGGGTGACGCCCCCGGACAGGTCTACCGCCGTGAGGCCGACCCTGCTTTCTCATCTTGGGGAAAGAAGTACCACCCTAAAATCTGGAACGGATGGGGTGATGCTCCTGGCCAGGTCTACCGTCGTGATGCCGCTGCTACTAGCACCGCATCTGCTTCCACCACTGGTGCTGCTCAGCCCGCCGAGACTGGCAGCTCTGAGGAGGAAGAGGAGATGGAGTACTACGCCAGCTTGCAGCGCCGTGACCCTGCATTCAGCTCTTGGGGCAAGAAGTACCACCCTAAGATCTGGAACGGATGGGGTGACGCTCCTGGTCAAGTCTACTAGACCGTGCCTACTGTGTTAGACGGTCAGCAACTCTTTGCCTGGCCTTAGCCTGAACCAGTCGCGAAGTTGGACGTCCGAACCAAAACAAGCTTTTCCCTTTCTCTTTTCTTTTCTGCATCTTTTGCGTTGTCGGAGGCAGGATATTGAACCTCTGGCATGAATTTTTGGATGGATAGATGACGAGAGTATTCTTTTGAGTATTTACCTTGTCGTAATCGAAACCTTTTGTCCATATGCTCTGTATTTTCAATGATCGTGGAATGGTGTGTACTACCCAAGAATCTAGCCATTGGTGATGTTCTGCAGCCGATGAACAGTATGAGTTGGTATGTTATTAACGCCTGCAGACACCTGGCTGTTCGAGGTGGCCAAGCAAGCCACGCGCAGCAGTCACGACGCGACGTGCTCGTAGAGAACAATCAAATATCAGACCATTGATCGCATGGTAGCGTATCATGTCGACGTTCAATTAAGGAGTTGACATGCACATTGGTTGACGATATGAAAAGATCGATGTCCATACAACGGAGTCGGCCGCCAGTGATACGTGATATTTGTGACACGGGTACCCTCTGCCGGAGTGTGTGAGCAATCTCCGCTCAGGCCGGAGAAGACTGATACGATTAGAAAAGAAGCAAAGAGACGACATAGCTAGCAGCAAGATGGCGGTCGACAGTCCCAACATCAAGGCGGTTCTGCGGCTGACAGCATTGCTCAGCAGGAGTACATCACGTTATGGCTCGTATGAGCATCTCAGAGATGAACTGAAGCTCAAAGTGTCGTGATGGCAGGCGTTGGCGTGTCTCTTCCAGCAACAGCTCTCTCGGCCCGATCACGGCGGGCTGCACCCTGGAAACGTGAAGAAAGGTGAGTCGGAGTCCGAGTGGTCTGTGCATAGCTCAGCAGCTTTGTTGGGTGCTTAGGAGGGGTTGAGCGTTCAAAAAGTCCTGCTGTCCACCACCACAAACCTCTCTTTCCTTTCTACATCCACAAACCACAACTCAAATGTAAGAAACACCTTCCTCCACCTCCCCGGGAACTCTAGGAGCTTAGCAGCATCGTCAATTGCGGGGTGTGTCCGGAGATCTCGAGTCAACTGCTCTGAGCTCTCCGTTTCTGCCCGAAGACAGCACCCCTCCGTTCCTCATGACGCTCCTGCTTGACCCTGCTATAGCCGAGGACCCTGTCATGCCTTCCTGAGCATTGAGCTTTGTCCTTTGAGCTCCCAGCTTTCCTCAAGAGATCTACACATCATCCCCGCGTCTTCGCAACCTCCAAAACTTGTACTGACAAAGTCCTCCTTCAGCATCATGCCTATTCAGAAGATCCACGCCCGCCAGGTCTACGACTCTCGCGGTAACCCCACCGTTGAGGTCGACCTCGTCACTGAGGTAAAAACAATCTTACTTTAAACAAAGAGGGCAGTCGACTCACACACTCATAGTCCGGTCTCCACCGCGCCATCGTCCCCTCCGGTGCCTCCACCGGTTCCCACGAGGCCTGCGAGCTCCGTGATGGTGACAAGACCAAGTGGGGCGGCAAGGGTGTCCTCAAGGCCGTCGCCAACGTCAACGATGTCATTGCTCCCGCTCTCATCAAGGAGAACCTCGACGTCAAGGACCAGCGCGCCGTCGACGAGTTCATGAACAAGCTTGACGGTACCACCAACAAGACCAAGCTCGGTGCCAACGCCATTCTCGGTGTCTCCATGGCCGTCGCCAAGGCTGCCGCTGCTGAGAAGCGTGTTCCCCTCTACGCTCACATCTCCGACCTTGCCGGCACCAAGAAGCCCTACGTCCTTCCCGTTCCCTTCATGAACGTCCTGAACGGTGGCTCCCACGCCGGTGGCCGTCTCGCTTTCCAGGAGTTCATGATCGTTCCTTCGTAAGTTTTGCTGCCATGAAGCCTCCATCAAGCATTGACTGACCTTCTCTCCCAGGGACGCTCCTACCTTCTCCGAGGCCATGCGCTGGGGTGCTGAGGTTTACCAGAACCTCAAGTCCCTCGCCAAGAAGAAGTACGGCCAGTCTGCCGGCAACGTCGGTGACGAGGGTGGTGTTGCCCCTGACATTCAGACCGCCGATGAGGCTCTCCAGCTCATCACCGAGGCCATTGAGAAGGCCGGCTACACTGGCAAGATGAACATCGCCATGGACGTTGCCTCCTCCGAGTTCTACAAGACCGACGCCAAGAAGTACGACCTCGACTTCAAGAACCCCGAGTCCGACCCCGAGAAGTGGGTTACCTACGAGCAGCTTGCCGACCAGTACAAGGACCTCGCTTCCAGATACCCCATCGTCTCCATCGAGGACCCCTTCGCTGAGGATGACTGGGAGGCCTGGAGCTACTTCTCCAAGAACTACGACCACCAGATCGTCGGGTATGTGTTTACTTCCAGAAAGATGTAGACAACAAGAATGCTGACATGACTCCAGTGATGACTTGACTGTCACCAACCCCGCTTTCATCAAGAAGGCCATCGAGACCAAGGCTTGCAACGCCCTCCTCCTCAAGGTCAACCAGATCGGTACCATCACCGAGGCCATCCAGGCTGCCAAGGACGCTTTCGGTGCCAGCTGGGGTGTCATGGTTTCTCACCGCTCTGGTGAGACCGAGGATGTCACCATTGCTGACATCGTTGTCGGCCTCCGTGCCGGTCAGATCAAGACTGGTGCTCCCGCCAGATCTGAGCGTCTCGCCAAGCTCAACCAGATCCTCCGTATCGAGGAGGAGCTCGGCAGCGGTGCCGTCTACGCCGGTACCCAGTTCCGCACCTCTGTCAACATGTAAATTTCCTCTTTATTTGATGACACGGGAGTAAAAATGGACAGAGGACGGTCAGGTTTCTTATTGCACACATATATCCCTTTTCTTAAAATTTGACGACGACAAGAATGAAACACTTCAAACAAACAAACTTATGGGTGTCCTAGCAATCTGTGACTGTGTTATGAGTTGATGTAAAGCGCATGATGTTTGCCTAGTCAATGCATGCCAGCTCTACGAAAGGGAATGCCACGATTGAGCTCTCAGTGGGCGCCCTTTTAACCTCCATGTATTCTTACAGCTAGCGATTATCGCGGCATATGGAATTTATATATTTTGTGTAAGGGGAGCAATAAGTTATGCAATAAGTTATGCAAGCAGTAATTATGATGCTCATCCATCGGCGAGCGGCTTGGCGAGATGCGGACTTGGGAAACTTTGAAAGTGTATGAGCGTACAGCAGGCGCAAGCACATTCACCGTGTCGCAAACATGTCTGGATCAATCTGTCTGCGGTGCCTTGCCAGGCCGGCAGTGAGCACATTAGAGCAGAGCTCACTACGAATTTCAGCACAGGCGACAGCAGCTTTCTCGACAAGCGCGCCTTTGGAAGCCAACCCCGTCAAGAAGAAGGGTGCCGTCGTCGTTAAGCCCGGCCGCGGTGCTAACGCATCATTCAGCAAGCAGGGAAAGATCAGAAAGGGACAAGCTGGAGGAAGAACAGGAAAGCCGCCAGGAGAGGGAGAACGCAAAGCGATTCGCAAGAGAGTCGTTCTGTCCAACACCAACGCCGTCGAGGTCCAGGGACTTGACAACCTCTCTGCCACCAACATTCACGATGCCGCTATCGAGGGTCACGTCATGGGACTCAGCAATGAGGTGATTGACGCTCTGCGCGCAACCGAAGCTTTCAAGCCAACTCAAGGATGGAGCCTTTTCCGAAGACCAGCAACATTGGTACGCAAAGAGACGGCAGAGGTCGCTAGGTTGATGAAGGATGTCGAGTCCAAGAAGACTTCAGTACGCCGTGTCATATACGGAGAGCGTGGCTCAGGAAAGAGTGTTCTGGCTTTGCAGGCCAAGGCCATGGCTCTGCTCAAGGGCTGGATCATCGTACACATTCCCGAAGGTATGGGCATTGGAGCAGTTCAGAGGTGAAAAAGAGAAAGACCGAATCATACTGACTCTGTACAGCCAAGGAGTTGATCCTGGGACACACGTCCTACGCACCCTCAAACGAGCCCGGCATCTACAACCAACCACATTTCGCAGCGGCCATGCTAGGCCAGATCGCCAAAGCAAATCACTCAGTCCTCTCCAAGCTGCGTCTGTCAAAACAGCACGACCTCTCCATTCCCGTCCAGTCAAACATCTCTCTCGACCGTTTCGCCATGATGGGTGCCCAAGACCCAGATATCGCCTCCGAAATCTACAACGCCCTCTGGTCTGAATTGACCGCACCCTCGCAGAGCGGTGAAGGCCTGAAGCGTCCTCCCGTCATCTTCACTATCGACTCCATTGCCCACGTCATGCGCGACTCAGCATACATGAACCCTGACGTCGAGCCCATCCACGCCCACGACCTCGCCATCGTGAACCACTTCTTCAAGCTGCTGTCTGGCAAGGAAACCCTCTCAAATGGCGGCATCGTCCTCGCTACAGACTCTGGCAGCAACAGACCTGGTGTCCCTGGCTTCGACCATGCTGTCGCTCTCAACGCAGCTCTCGCACAAAAGAAGGACGCTCCTCAATGGGACCCTTGGGTTAAGGTTGACCAGCGTACAATCGACATCTTGAACGGCGTCGATGTATGGCAGATCAAGGGCTTGAGCAGAGAAGAGGCCAGAAGCATCATGGAATACTATGCCAAGAGTGGTATGCTGCGTCAAACCGTCAACGACAACTTGGTCGGTGAGAAGTGGACTTTGAGCGGTGGTGGCATCATCGGCGAGCTCGAGAAGGGCACTGTCAAGACTCGCATCTAGAGGAAGAACATGTTGATGTCAAATGTAGATGTATTCTGTATGTATTATTTTCATCTTTGTATAATTGAACAAGGCTTCAAAATCAAGGGCGTTCTTTTTTGCCTTGACCACTCGCTCTTAACAAGGCTATTGCTTTCTTCTTGACTTCGTCGACCATAGTTGTTGCACCTATACTTCGAGAGTACTATCATGTCTGTACAAGCAAGCAACATCCTTATCTATGGCCGATCAAGATAGGCTCCATATGCTTGCCCGCAAAGCTTAACCCAGCCTCGCCTAAACGAATCTCTACTACATGTATACACTTTCTTCCACGGCATACTCTCTACCATCCACTTCTCAGATCATTCCTATCCCACAAAGCCGACTTGATCTCAACAATGCGTCTCCTCCCCATCCTCCCCCTCCTCCCCCTAACCCTCGCACACCAATCTCCCCTCGCCGCAATCGATGCAACAGGTCTGACTGTCAATTCAATCCCCTACTCAACCCGCGTACACTGGATGCGTAAAGCCAATGAAGCATTGTCTCTCCTCTCCTCACCTTGTCCTTTTGCAGCTTTCGGCACTGTAATCGTAAATCACACCGCTGTCACCCCCGATGGCTTGGGAGAGTTGGTCTGTATAGGAATTAATGAGAATAGCAAGACTGGGAATCCTACGTTACATGGTAAGCTTGTCTCTTCTTACCTTTCTTCTCCTTCTTCCCGTATGGTGGAATGATATGGAAGCTGATGATGACATACAACAGGCGAAATAGCAGCAATAGCGAATTGCACATCCATCCTCACAGACCCCACTGGACGATACAACTTCACTGCTTCCCAAGCCCAATCTGCATTTTCCAGTCTTTCACTCTATACGAATGCAGAAAGTTGCCCCATGTGCGCTTCTGCTATCCGATGGGCTGGGTTCAAAGAATATATCTATGGTACTTCTATCGATACTTTGGTGCAACGTGGTGAGTACAAAGTCCTTTTTCTACATCTGGACATTTACTGATTTGCTGGAATAGGTTGGGGTCAAATCCGCATCTCTAGTTATGAGATTTTCAAGGAATCGGGAGATTTACCTTCAAAGACGAAGTTGATCGCGAATGTCGCGGTCAACGAGACTGATCCGTTTTTCCTGTGGCAGTATGATCCGGCGTATCCTTGTCCCGTGGGCTGTCAGAGGGGAGCCCAAGGAGGATGTGCTGTTGTTTGATCTGTCAAGATGTGAGGCCCACGAGAAAGGAGATGTTGAGCAAAGTGCAGTGAACCCTGCATTGTGGGATCGGTGAGCGGGCCTGTATTTCTGTAAACTGACCGTGGGTTATGGCCGACACGAATCTGTATTCTGACGTCGAGTCTTGGATTTATGTAGCTTATCCAATGGAGAGCTTGGTGAGATCTCTTCGCCCGTTTGCACAAGACCAGGATTGATCGTGGCTTCCATGTCTTCGAGACGATACCCAGGTACTAGCAAGTCTCATAGCATGTCACATCATCAAGCAGTCTACCTTTCAAGTTCTCAAGCCTCCCCGTGCGCTAAGTACTGTTACTTCTAGCCATCTCCCACACCCATGCCTGTAGTTATTCGGTCTGTAGAAATGCACAATGTTTTCAAGATCGCTCTAGTCGTCCGTAGAGAGGCGCTAACTATCACGCTCTCAGCGGAGGCTACCTCCGAAAACGTTGCAATCGTGCAATCCTACAGCCATACGCGTGACAAAGTTTAGCACACGGAGAGGAGGTTTTAGGGTGAGGAATATGTTGATCATAGGTTACGGTCTATAGAACTCTTGTACTGTGATGTTACTTCATGCAATTTTGACCGCCAAACCTAGGATGTGGAGGTCTGAGGTGCGGTAGAGCCGGCAGTGTCTTTTGGCTTGTCGGGTTCCTTGCTGTCTGCGTGGGTGGACTCCTGAGGCTTGTCGGGCTCCTTAGCGTCCACATGTGCTGGCTCTTGCGGCTTCACAGAATCTTTGTTGTCGACAGGTGCGGGCTCGTGTGGCTTCTCGGAGGCTTTGCTGTCGACATGAGCAGGCTCCTGTGGCTTGTCTGGCTCCTTGCTTTCCACGTGTGTGGGCTCTGCAGCTTTCTGGGTATCCTTGTCGGCAGAGTGCGTAGGTGCTTGCGACTTGTCGGAGTCCTTGTCAACGATACGAGAGTCCTTGGTATCAATGTGAGCAGGCTCTTTTCGTATCTCGGGGTCCTTGTTGTCGATGTGAGTGGATGCATGAGGGTTTTCCGAGTGCTTGCTCTCGACATGGGGAGGTTCTTGGGACTTTTGGAAGTCCTTGCTATCAGCATGTGTAGGTGGATGAGGTGCCTCGGAGCTCTTGCTGTCCACCTTTATTGACTGGCTTTTGTGAATGTCACTCCATCTCGAGTTTGTCGGCTCTGACTCGCTGCGCCTTCTCTCGCTCTCACCAGTGCTGTCGCTCTCTTGGTCCTCGTCGCTATCAGTCTCACCGACTTCAACACTCTCTCCATTCCTCTCGCGTTCGAGGTTCTGCTGATGCTTTGCTTGATAGTGATGCGGCGTGTCCACGTCACGATGGTGCACTCTGACGTCGTAGTGCTCCGGCCAGACATTCAGTTGGGCCAGTTCCTCAGCGACAGCAACGCTTCTATGACGGCCCCTCACACAGGCTACAGCGACCTTGATCTCGATTATCTGAGTGCTGTGATGCTCTTCATCCAGGATCAACGCTCTGATTGTCTTTTCTGCCTCGAAAACTTGAGGCTTGGCTTCATCGATGAGTTTCTGGAAGGCTGGGTCTGCGCGGATGTTTTTGCGGAGGGTTTCGCTGCGACCATCGAAGGCTTTGCGGAGCTCGATGGGTGGGTTGATAAGGCGGCGAGCATTGAGGTGGACGTCTGGCTTGAAGTCCAATGGTGCTTCTTTCAAGGCGTAGCTGGTGATGACTAAAACGACCTTCTTGTGAGGAGAAGCTTCATTGTTGGAGGACATTATGAACTTGTGTATGATGAACAAAGATTAGGATGGTTCTGGTTGATGGATGATATAGATGCTGATGGATAATTGGCAGGGTTGTGATGGGTTGAGGTCAGATGGAGGTTTTGGTTAGAAACTTGAGAAAGGTGGGATGTAGAAAATCATGAAGGTTGGAAAAGCACGACGACATTCGTTTCATGGTCGAACCTGCCTGTCAAGCTTGGGTGCCATTATGCAGCTGTCATCACCTCGAATTGGCAAGAACAGAGGTAGCTGCTGCTCAATGGCAGATTTATCACCTTGATACTGAGCCACGGGGAAAGATTCGATTATTATGTTACATGACCACAACCGCATGTGTTCACGATGAGAAGTATTGTTCACGGAAGGTTGCCCTTCTTGGAGGTCGTTGCCGATCTTACGGATGGTGCCGAGGTTTCGCCTGCTCACGCCAGCTTCTCTCTTTCTTGCCGGCACCATCATGCTTGAAGGTGTTAACGCAGCCTGTCTTCGCTCAGTGTTCCCTTTTACCGCGAGCATGCTCCTTCGAGTTTGATCGCCGTGATTTGCATAGCTTTGAAAGTTGGTGCAGGTTGTACGCGATTTGACCTGTAAGCGCTTGCTTTCTCGTGGCTGGCAATGCTTGCATGCGATTCGCTGTCACCTCCGCTTCTTCACACAGCTTGCCTGCATGCCGTCTCAACTCCAGGCCATGCATAGCAGTGTGACACGTCTTGCCATGGGCGCTTATGGCCTAGATGTACGGGCTCAATTTGCCATTGCAATATCTTAAGCATCCATGAGTGGTGCAACTGTAGATAAGAGCAGAGTCACGGTTCTGCCTGCAACGTCTTCCTTTCAGCACTACCCTCAGTCATATCATCTCACGCCGTGAATATTTTGGCTTTCACGTGTTAGCATTCTATTTCCAGGACTCTCCGCTGAGCGGTCGATCAGACCCCAATCGCCGGATTTAGACACCAGCCTCCTCCACTCGACCCTGACCTATCAGCAGTACGAATTGCCATCCGTAAGAGGTCAGTTACCGCTCATCTTTTATGTACTGGTGTCGCACATTTGTTGGCGCTACGAGCCCGCCTCTCAATCTGACTACCTCTGGTGTTAAGCGCCCAAGGTGTCAAAAGGTTGGCATTTCCTGCACCATTCTCATCAGACTTTCTATCATCATCTACCACACGCTGTATCCTCTTGCTGTACTTTCATTCCAGTTCAACATCAATTTCTGGTATTGCGAGACGAGTACAGAGCCGGTCTCTCATATTTGTATTTTCCCTGAACCGTTCTGAAATCATCTCACGTCAGCCCCGTTTTGTTTCTTGAAAGTATGAGTGCCAACAGTGGTCAAGTACCTACAGACAGCGACCCCACAAGGCCTCGAGCACAATCCACAAACTCCTTCGCCTCGTCCTTCAAATCTCCTCGAGTCGCTCGTTTCGCAGAAGCAACCACCGTCAACTCACCAATCGAGCCACCTCGATTATCTTTTATAGCCGCACCGACAAACCACTTCCGGCCGCAGCCGCAACCGTCTGACATCGGATTTGGGTACATTGATGACAAGCACACCTCACACGTAACTGTCGAGATGGAAGATACAGATTACAACCACCTGCCCAGGGGCAGAAGTGAAGCACCTTTGAGTCCGCCACTGAAGAGTGCGATGAAAACACCTGGAGTAGCGCCGAGAAACTTCGGTAACATCATGAGTCCAACCTTCAGGGAAGAACACGTTTTGGAGAAGAGAGAGCTTGCTACCGAGAAGGAGCAAGCCAAGGATATTGTAGGTCCTCATTATAGATCACAACTTTGCAACTCGCTGACATGTTTCCAGAAAATCAAAACTCGCGTCCGTGCAGCGAAGGTGTTTCTACGCAGCATCAATTTCGCATGCTCCCTCATTGTACTCGCGATGATCGGAACAACATTTGCTATCTTCAATGCGACCAAGAAGCTATCGCCTCGTAGCAATCTCCCTCCGTGGGCCGTCGGGACGAGTCCTTGGCCACAAATCCTTCTTCTTGTCATTGCATGTGTGTCGTTGGTATTCTGCATCGCCATATTCTGGGGATACTTCAAAGGAGGTCACAAGCGAGCTGAAAAGGTCCAAACCTACTATACTGTTTTCGCAGTTGGGTTCTTCGTTTTCAGCATCATCATGTGGGGAGTCGGTGCTGGTGTCCTCAACACTACCAAGAGCAATAGCAACGGACAAGATCTCTGGGGGTGGTCTTGCAAGGAGAACAAGCGAAAAGAACTCTTCGCTGCTGATGTCGACTATGCACTCGTCTGCCGCCTACAGAACTGGTCCCTGGTATGTGCGGTCATCGAGATTGTTGTGGAACTTTCTGCGATCGGTGTCTACTCGTTCGTCTTCTACCGCATCTGGTCGAAGAGAAAGCTGAGAAAGTCGATGGCTGTCCGTGACCGTGCCCGTTCGGATTTGTACCTTGCTCAACTGCGCTCTCAATCCGCACCAAACACACCTGGACTGAATGGTCCCCTCAGTCCTAGAGACGGCGGCTGGAGGCCACCTGTGGACTACTACAAGGCCGGGCCTTCAGTCGAGGCAGGTCCTGTCGAAGACGAGAGCACTCGATACGTTGATGCTTCTCAACAGCCTCCACCCCCCAAGCCATTCGTGCTGCAACCGCCGCCTACTAAGGGCTCGACACCAAAGATACAGCAGACCGGATTCACGCCTCTCAATTACTCTTCGCCCACAGACTCTCGATCTCCTTCGCCAGTACAAGCCCAACCTACCGAGCAACAGCAAGGACACTTTGCCGCTGCCCCCGGTGAACATGTCTATGAATCTGTTCCGATCCCTGGATCATATGCTAGCCCATTGAACTCGCCAACAGTCGCACCAAGGCAAATGAGCTTTCCTCATGTGAGCAGATAGTCGTAGTAATCTTTCCTTGATCTCAAGATACCACTCTTTTTGCAATCGAGTCTCGAACATTCATTTGTCCTCGGAGATACCACTTGGCATTGGAAGGACATCGGCTAAATCAACCGACAACTACTTAGTATGTGGCCTTGTAGTTTTCATGTTACATGAATCGAAAATTATTGAGAATTGCACATCTGTCTACGATATCGTCAAAAGTTCAAGCAACAAGAGGCTCATGATAGTAGTATGCTTGGCGTTAAATGGTTAGGTAACTGGCGGAAGCTTGACTTTGCTTGTCAGTCCCGGCTCATCCGGAATCCGACAGAATAGGTAGCCACGGAGAAGGAAGCCGTTCAACCATTCTAAAAGTTGTTGGATGACATTCCTTTATGTGTTCCCGTCGGCCGAACATAATCTCAATGCAGTGGAGTTTCATGCTGCTCGCGGGAAGGCCCTCCACTATCTGAATCCTCAACGATAAGGTATGATGTGAGGAGCATATGGAGCTCTCACAAATATGACCGGCAACTAATTACATTCAGAACATTTAAGTATCAAAATCACTCCAGCATAGTTGGCGGCCGTTCTGTTATTTCCATAATAGCCCCGGACCGAAAAATCAAATCAATGTTTCTTCTCCACGAAATCTTCAAACGGATCCTATTTTTGACGTCACTGCTCCGCGGTTGACTTTTTGAGAGTCGAACTAATCACGATTGTGGCAGTGTTTGTATATTCCAATAGGAAGGCTCGATTACCCAAATGGCCGAGATCTTCTTCATCCCATCTCCCTACATGATTTTCTGTTGTCCGTGTTGAAAAAGCTGTGCATCTCGTCCTGTCTAACCTGCCGCTCCCACGCGCTCCCCCACACTGCATTCACGCGGACTTGGTGAATCTCCCGAAGTACTGGCCAACACGCTGTAGGATCGGTCTCGATGTCTCTTCCACCTTGGATTTCTGGAAACAAGCACAAGTCTTCGGCCCCTAGCAATGGCTTTCTGTCTGCTACGGGCAAGGTCCGGAATCCGAAGAAGCCCAAGGCGCGTCCTCCCAAGTCGCTCCGAGAGACTGTACTCTTACCGGTGAGGTCGTTGCCAGCATATTCTGGGCCTTACTCTGTAGGAACTATGGAAATAGAAATACCAGTCGAGGAGCCACGGACTTTCTCCAACATCACACGGAAGGGAAATCATCTTCTGCAGTTGAAAACTGTGCTTATGACAATATACTATCCAGCTTCTCCTCCGCAAAAGAAACGCCCGTCACGACAGTTATGGCTGGGCCGACCGCGAATGAGTATGGCGGGAGGATATGGTCACTTCTCAACTCTTGGGCCTTTGGGTGTTCCGATATTTCTACCGACGATGTTCACAAAACTTCCTGCTTTCCGAAATGCACCGTTATCTTCTCAATATCCTCCGGGTACTGGCCTGAAAGAAGAAGACAAAGATGCTGAGGAGACCACAGAGGAAGAAGATGATGGCAACTCCGAATACGAAGACGAAGCACCGAGATTCCCTCTCATGATATTTAGCCATGGCTTGGGTGGCACAAAGACTGCTTATTCTAGTGTTTGCGGCGAGGTACGTATTGGAACCCCTTGAACCGATCCTTTTTGCTGACTCCTGAAGTTCGCGAGTTATGGGTTCGTCGTGATCGCGCTGGAACATCGAGACGGAAGTGGACCTCGGAGCTTTGTCAACCAACCTGGCAGTGGAGAAATTGTCTTTGACAAGAACGGACAACGAGATCCTAAGCATCATCACAGAAAGCACAAAGATACGCACTACGATGTTATGGTAAGTACCCCTTCATACAAATCATGATTTCGCTAAGCTAACTTGTCAAAGGATTATGTCTTCCCCAAAGGTGTGTATCAACGATTCCGCGAAGCTTCTATGCGTACTGACAAGTCTAGATAATGCTTGGGATACGAGTCCGCACAATGAAAAGGGAGTCGATAGAGAGCTTAGAGGGGCTCAGCTGGATCTACGCTTGGCCGAGATCGAAGAAGCATACAAGATCATAAACACCATAAACGCCGGAAACGGCGAGGAAGTCGACAAGAAAAACATGCGTCGAGAAGGGTACAAGGCTTCGAGTACCCATGGTCTGGAGGGTGTAGATTGGGCTGCTTGGAAGGGTAGAGTTGACACAGAGTATGTCGTTGCTGCTGGTCATTCTTTTGGCGCGGCAACTGTTGTGGACATGTTGAGACACGAGAAACGATTCAAATGGGTTGCACAAGGCATCATCTACGACATCTGGGGGTAAGCAAGGCATGCACTAGTCATGGGTACATCACTGACCTTTTAATCCGACAGAAGCGGAACCAGGCCAGCAGCTGCCGAAGATGAAAAGATCCAAGCGCCTCTACTCGCCATCAACTCCGAAGCATTCACCTACTGGCCTTCGAATTTTGACCTTGTATCGAATCTGGTCGAAGAAGCACACCCATGCCCAGCATATCTCATGACCGTTCGAGGCACGATACACGTTTCTCAATCCGACTTCTCCTTGCTATACCCCAATGTCTGCTCAATATTCCTGAAGGCAAGCGCAAACCCCGAACGAGCTCTGGATATCAACGTCAACGCATCACTGGAATTCTTGTCAATGGTTATGCCGACCATACCATACCGCATCAAGAAGGCTTTCCCCAACGAAGAGCTGCTGCGCACGCAAACACATCATCTCGAAGATATTCCCACGATTGACATGCACAAACCGAAAGACGAAAAGTGGATGGCCGCTAGGTTGAGAATCCCGCACGAATTCACCTGGCGAGTGGCTCCTGGATTGGCGAGAAAGTTGGCACGGAAGAAGGTAACAGAAGGTGGTGGTTCGCCGGACGATGAGATCTGGCTGCATTGCAAACCGGTAGAGGGAACGGTCGAGAAGTATAACAGTACGGTGGAGAGACTGAAGGATAGGAGGAAGTCCAAGGACGCAAAGACAGTACCTGCATCTGTGGGCCCGAATGAAGGTGCCAAGCAGGAGCCAGGTTGTAAGGAATGGAGGAATTGATGTTGAATGCTCAGGGTACATGCATATGGATGTGTTTATCAGCAAGCGATGTGAGATATTGTGTAGGTCTCTGTTTCTCAAAGCATTACGCTTTCTTGATTTCTCTCTTCGATGCCATGTGTTATCTCACGCCCGAGACCAAGTATTGGTTAGCACACTTGACTGCCGAGTTTCTCCATGGCGTAATGCTGTGAGTCACCCTTGTTTTAACTGACTATAATGTGACCAAACAGAATTTTCCACATCCACAAGCTGAGTGGCGCAGCGGAAGGTTCGTAATCTATCAAATCACCCACCATCGACTCTTAACTAATTGAAATGTAGCGCGCCGGGCTCATACAGCTCACGGAGCTCATAAATGCAACCCGGAGGACCTTGGATCGAAACCAAGCTTAGCTATCACATCTTTTTGCTCTTGCTTTGGGTGTAGACGTTGTTTTTTGCTTCAAGGCACATATTGTGTAACTTATATTCAATACAGGCTTGTTTGGAGGGCATTGGATCGAATCACAGCATGCTCTGTTGTTGATTCAACATGGCTCATCTTTTTTATGCTGCTGAGATTTTTTGTTGTGGAGTGCCTTGAAGGGGGAAAGCGCCGATCAGCGGAGAACATCTCCGGCTGCGACTTTGCTCCCCCATCACGACACAAAACTACTTCCTGCCTCTAATTAGACATGCATCAGTCTTCTGATCAAGGTAGGTCCGGACAATAACGACAGACATTGTTCATTCTCGTTCGAGATGTGTGATCGCAATGCTTTCTCCATGATCTCTCACAAATGCATTCCGGTCACGTCGTCCATCTACATTCCTCTTTCCTTCAGTCCAATTCCTCTGCGTCTCGTTACCCAGGAAGCACTACGAGAGCCTCATAATGTCAACAATCAACAGGCAGCTCTTTTACAAAGATGCTGCGGAGACCTCTTCCGCGATGTTTTCTTTGCACAAACATTTCACATCTTCATTTCATTGTCCTACCTATCAGTTGACTTCTAGCTTGATCAAGGAGATCCTCATACCATCATCATGCGACCTGTAATCACACTTCTCTACACAACAACAGTGCTGAGCACATTCGGTCAAGCCCTCAGTCTGTGGGGTCAATCTAAGCCACTGGGTCTGCAGAAGAAGGCTAGCATCTGGGGTCTTCCTGACTGTGCCAGCACCTGTGTGACATCCAGTTTTGGCGGCTGTAACTCCATCGATGTTGAATGTATCTGCAAAAACTCTGCCTTCCTCGACAATCTCGGCTGCTGCATGTCCAAGGCTTGCAACAAAGCAGATCAAGATGGTAACCAACCCACTCTCGAAGCTCAATGTCTCACCTACTGACGTTTCATAGCTGCCATCGGCTTTGCCAACAACTTCTGCTCTGCCTACAAAGTTAGCAACTTACCCACCGCTGCGACCTGCAAGTCTACCGACCCGGCCTCTACTACAAAGGAGGGCACGACACCTGCCCCAACACTTGACCCCTCCTCTCCTACTTCCTTGTTGCCGGCATTGAGTTCTGCAGCCTCGGCCGCAATTGCCAACATATCGAATGGGACAAACATCACTGGATATGTCAGCACCCAACGCGTTACTGTTATAGCGACTGTCACGGCTAGCAGCAGTGGCAAGGCTCCTCGTGTCGCAGCTGAAGTGACTGGTTGGGCTTGGGGTATGGGTGCCGTTTTAGCAGGTGCTGCTGCTGTTGTAGTCTGAGAGATGAAGTCTGGTTTCTTTGTTCCCTGTTTCGTAAAGCATATACACCTCTACCAATACTTCATCTTGTCCTCCGCGTGCAAATCAATTAAATACACGTATTGGAGTCAATCGTGAAGAAAAGAATGCCATTCGTGTCCCTCATTCTTGGTGCCGCTCTTTCTTTTGCATTTCCACCCCATCGCTCCTTCATAATGTCTCAACGACCACTGACTATAGGTCGAAAGTCTCTGGTCGTTCCTGACGATTCTTTTGGCAGACATGATTTCTGATCATTGACGACAGGGTGTCCCCTCTAGCTATACCTCAGGTCATCGTCGACGACATTAAAATCGGGTTTTGAACAAAGCATATGCTTATCGAGAGGCTGTTGTGTGTTTATTTCCTGGCCATGAGAACGATCATGGGCTATTCGGTTTACTTTGAGGATAAAGATTGTTCCATTTCTCAAGGGACGCCAAAACTCGCTCGCTTAAATGACTAGACCAGTAAACCAATATGAACCCAAAACCCGAAACAATCGGACCAGATCAGAATCATGCTTTGCCCTTGCCTTTTCCTTCGTAGATTGGTGCAGCTTCGAGTTCGGCACTGGCTTCTTCCTCTTCCTCATCGTCGCTCATGAACTCGTCATCTTCATCATCCCAACCGAAGAAGGTGCGTGTGGCAGCAGGGACAGACGTAGTCACTTGTGCATCATCGTTATCGCTGGATGCAGAGCTAGAGGCCTCGGGTTGAGCGTCACTGCCTTCAGCCTCAGCAGCTGAACTCTCGCTGCCAGTCCTCTCGAGCATGGGAGCATCTCCTTCAATGAGACCAGCCTTCATGGCTGCCATAACCGCATCTCTTGTCTTTTGTTCAGCTTCCTCCTTCGCCTCAACCCACTCTCCGTCCAATCTCGCATTCTTGTTGCCCTTCTTCAACTCCTCCTCTTTCCTCTCTGCAGCCTCAACAACAGCTTCCCAGCGTTTGCGTCTCTCTTCTCTTTCCTTCTTGTCCATCTCCGGTTTTAGCGCGAGGTATTCGGCAAGGTTCTTGGCTTCTGTGATTGTGCGGAGACGGCGGCCGTCCAGGTTGCGGTTGCTACCGTTTATTTGATCGGGGTTGCGGTTACGGTTTTTGCGTGAGGACATGCGGCCACCTGCCGCGCGAAGTTGGGATCCGAAACCTCCCTTTCCACCGAGCAGGCGCGCGCTCAGATTGAGTGGGAGGAAAGATGCATCGTCGCTGTCGGAGAGAAGGGTCTTGAGTGACGAAGTTGAGGAGGTGTCGACGCGACGAGTTGTGGTTGAGAGGAGAAGGTCGTCGGCATAAGGTGGTAGATGGGTTGACAGGAGCGATGTGAAGGATGCGATGGATGTGTCGGCGGGCACGGGGAGTGAGAGCGTGCGAGGCAGCGACAAGCCTGCAAAAGAAGAGATCAAGACGTTGATTGTATCCATGATTGGTGTTGTCGAGTTGTGAGTTGCGCAAGATTGAAGATTGGAAGACGGAGATGGTGGCGCTGTTCCAAGTCGCGATGCGGAGATTCATGAGCTTGACTCGGACTTTCACAATCCCGCCAAGCCTCCGAGTCAACGAAGCGAAGGCCGCCGGTGCAGCGTCCACGGCATTTTGGACATTTGCGCGCGCGCCCGACAGACGACTTTTTTCTACAAACCACGTCGGTACATCAACATCGCCCAAGCCCCACGTTGATCCAAATACATCAATCGTCAAGATGCTGATTCCCAAGGCCGACCGTAAGCTCATTCACGAGTACCTCTTCCGCGGTAAGTTTCGTCCTTTTCCGACCAGATGAATCCCCATCGACAGCATACTAATTTCAAGCGCAGAGGGTGTTCTCGTCGCAAAGAAGGACTTCAACCAGCCCAAGCACGGCGACATTGACACCAAGAACCTCTATGTCATCAAGGCCTGCCAGTCTTTGACCTCGCGCGGTTACCTCAAGACCCAGTTCTCCTGGCAATGGTACTACTACACGTACGTTCCTGCTCTTCCGCCATTCCACCTACAATCTCAACCACCATACTAACACATTCTTCACAGCCTCACCGCCGAGGGCCTTGACTACCTCCGCGAGTGGCTCCACCTCCCCGCCGAGATCGTTCCCCAGACCCACATCAAGCAGCAGCGTTCCCACGCTCCCCCTCGCGGTATGCTCGGTGGTGAGGAGCGCCCCCGTGGCGGCCGTGGTGGTCCCCGTGGCGACCGTGAGCGCGGCGAGTACCGCCGCCGCGACGCCGGCGAGGGCAAGGAGGGTGCCGCCCCTGGCGAGTTCAACCCCCAGTTCCGTGGTGGCTTCGGCCGTGGCCGCGGTGCCGCCCCCGCTCCTTCCTCTTAAACAGCTCGACTCTTTTCTGAGATCGAGATTGTTGAAGATGAGATGATGGCGACATGAGGTCTGGGCTGGATATGGTTGTGTTGAAGGGTATTACTGGAAGAATCGCCAAAAAGAGCCATCTGTCTTGATATGGTTGGCCGAGAGTCTGGCTGTTGGACGCGCGGATGGAGAGGTCGATTATAAAGGAATGCTCATGCGACCAACTTGTTGCAAATCCTTCCCCTGCAAAACAAAAATGAAACGAAACGGTCATTCCTACGGGATACCTTGGAAAACCACAAATTTCTGTCCGTTCTGTTACTCTGCTTGTGAATCGTGACATGTATAGAACAGTTGTGGCTACTGGCGATTATACTGCGAATCGTTCATGCTCACTGCGCTGCCGTCGACTCGTTCGCTAAAAGTCATATGCTTTGCAAGACTTCTTGGTTTCCATCTCCTTTTAACTCGTCTTCTCGACAATTTCTCGAAACGTGACAAAGACAAGAAGTATACATTAAAGATTAAGCTACAAGAAAATCAAAGTATTTCATCAACTTTCCAACCCACATCAATCATAAATCATTCGTAATCATCCTCAAGAACTCATCAAGATCAACATCAACATCATTCCAAATCGTCCCAAACACGTCAGGTTGTTATCCTCGAAACCTCAAAAAAGAAACATCGCTCAGTCAAAGAGCTCTTAGACCAGGACGCCGCAGAAAAGGGCAAAGGCTAAAGCGAAACCATAGGAAGGAACGATCATGGAACCAGCGCTGGCAGGTGGAGCTGCAGTGGTAGAAGCAGGTGTTACGGAAGAGGTCCTGCTCGAAGCTGCCGTCGATGTTCTAGATGCCGGTGCCGATGTTGTCTGTTGAGACGACGCCGCGGATGAAGAAGCAGCAGCAGCAGATTCAGACGTCGAGCTTTGCTCTTGTGTTGGGGACGCAGCGGCACTTCCTGATGTCGTGAAAGAAGTGATCGTCGTCAAAGTGGTCAAAGTATCCGTGGACACAACTGCCGAAGAAGAGACAGAGCTGGCGATTGAGGAAGCAATGCTAGATGCGACACTGCTTCCACTCTGGCTGGACACGGGAACCACAACCGTAGACCCAGATGTCGTGACAGTGGTAGATGCAGCAGCCGTGCTCGTAGCCGTGGTCAAAGAGATCAAACTGCCTCCACTCGACAGCAATGTCACAGTCTGACCACTACTGACCACAACTGTAGATGCTGTGATCGTACTTCCTGCTGCTCCAGTGCTCTGACTTTGAGTCACGCTCGAGCTTGCAGTCGTAGGTCCAATAGGGCTAGGTGCAACATTCGTCTGACTCCTGCTGTATTCTGAGAAAGTGTATGTTTGGAGTGAGGACGGGAAAGTCGCCAGTGCTGAAGAGAGGATGGAAAGAGCATTGGTTGTAGCGACTGCAGAGGCAGCAGAGGAGGCAGGACAGCCGGCGATGGAAGCAGCGCAGGAGGTTATGGTTGTGAAGTCGGTGGTTTGTGTGGTGATGATGGGGATGACGACCGCGAGAGTTGAGCTGGGAGGGATGTCGATCGTTGCTGTCGTACAGATTAGTCGGTGTCTCATAGGAGCAGACAGGAATATCAGATGTGTATGCTTGGAAGATGGTGAAACGGCGATTCTGATCATGGACGCAGAAGATGGAGCAATTGGAAGCATGAACATACCAGTAACGTTGCTTTGACCCATCGCAAGCAGCGGCAATACCGAAAACGCAAGTCCAGTCTTCATGGTTATGATAGGTATCAGATGTATTAAGTATATTCAACAAATATGCTCGTAACGAAGAACAAGACGTTTCAGCGACAATAACGCAGAAGATAGCAAGATAAAACGAAGCTTGCAAGGTTGTCAAAAACAGTTTTCCAACGGACGAAGAAGTAGTGGAGACACTCAATTGATATTGATAGAAAAGTGATCAAGATGGCTGGGAAAAGGTGGGTTTGAGGTGGCTGGGTAGGAGGAAAGACAAAAGGTCCTAGACTGAGACCAACCTTTTGACTTACTTGATATGACTATACCTTAATTCGCAGGAACAAGCCCCGATGGAGGCGGGATACACAGATGTGTCGTTGTCTTACCGTCTTGCTGTCTAGCTTAATGATCGAGCTTGTAAGAGGCAGAAAAGCAAGATCAACAACGATGGAAGTCGTAGCCGCCAGCGGCTTTGGCACCTGTTGTGCCCACTTCTCTGCGTGTTTCGAATTCTCAGGATGTTACACCGTTTATTGAACTGGTCTTCGATTGGAGGAAACACAATGCCATGCTGCGCGAAATTCATGCATTGTGTTCAAGTTTTACGTGTGTGGAAGCTTGTTTGTTAGTCGGTGTGAGGTTGAAGTGGGCGTCAGCGGGGCGCGTGGCTGGGAAAGTTGCCAGTTGCCTCGACCATGAATCTCGTCTGGCCAACTCCCACTGCCACCTCTCACTAATTTGGTCCCACAACCGAATGTGCAGATAGCGTATTGTGGTAGACAGCCAGAGGATGAAGTTCGTTCGGGTGCTTGACTACGTGGTTCACAATGTGAATGGAAGAGTTGAGGGTGGCACGGAATTCAAGGCAAGGCAGATCTGATGGATGTTGATTGATGTCACACTTTTATGAAGCGTTCTCCTAGTATCTACTGAACATGGAACAGATCGAACTCGGCAACGCAAGTATGCAAAGCCGAGAAAGGTATCACAAACTTGGAGAGGCACGAGCGATCACCTAAACTCAAGGCAAGCATAATCTTGCGGAGCTATCCGAGAGGATGTGGTGGACGCGGGCTGAGATGACTATTGTCTCAATTGCGTAATAGAAGAACTTAGACCTGTCTTTTTCAAGTTAGCTGATTGTTCAATACATCAAAGCTTGAAAGTGAAGGGAGAGTAGGGATGATTGTCAGACAGCAGTTGGACAACAAGTATAGAATCGACATAGTGATTTCCGATCAGGTCTGTGAGATATTGCTTTTTCATCATGATAGAGGTGAGGAGGAGAGAAGAAAAAGTAAGAGCTTACCATACTAGTGGATGCCTATGCACAAGCGTCTCTTGGTCCGAGGACGTAGGCACAGGCAACAAGGAGATCAATCCTTTCTGGCTCTCTTGAAGAAAGTAGTCATGGTTTGCTGTTTGTCATCATGCTCAGCTCGACCAATACCACCGCGCTGTCGTTTCAGGCCAGTGAGGTGCTGTTGACCATTGACGACGAGAATGGTGGTATGGTAGCCTGCAAGTAGTCTGAGGTGTTCGACTTCACTACGCTCAGGGTCGACGGCATCTTTTGTGACACTTACATCGCCAACGGTGTCGAGTTGGTCTGTTGGCAGCTCTGCTTCTGAAGACTCGGTCATCAGCTGTGGAGGTACGGCATCGATCGCAGTGACGCTAGGGCTCCTGGGCAACGAGACATCAGCGGCCGTGACAGCGTCTTCGGAAGATGCGGCAGGGCTAACTGCGGCCGTGTTCGACCTCGAGCTTGCATCGGTCTCTGCGCTCTGTACGGACAGCTCGAGGAAGCCAGTATTGCTCCATCCGCCCAAGTGCGCAAGCACGACTGGACCTTGAGACGCAACAACGTCACGCGAGACGGTCACACTCTTTGGGCCCAAGCGGAGCAACAGTCTTCGCCAAAGGCTTGACAGCAAGATGCCATGAGACACGATAGCGACAAGATGCTCTGCAGCACCGCCGAAGTCGGCCTCGTCATCCAACATGGGCAAGAGATGTTGGTCCAAGAACATGTCGGCGCGGCGTGCAAGAGCATCTTTCGATTCGACATCCACGAAGCCTGGCTCCTTCTTGTGTCTCTCGCGATCGGGACCCTTTCTGACAGCATTGGTCTTGCCCTCGTAAAAGCCAAAGTCGCGTTCCATCAGGTAAGGGACGGTGCTGACAGTCAAGTCTCTGGTGGATTGCTTCGCAGCCAAGAGACTGGCAGTCTTGTAGGCGCGCTGCAGCGGCGAGGCAAAGATGCGGGTCAGAGGCTGTCGAGTGTCTGCGAGGTAGTCGCCGAGGCGACGGCCTTGTTCGTAACCATGGTTGGTGAGGGCTGAATCTCTTCTCCCAGCTCTGGCCAAGTCAGTCCGATACTCTTTCATCTGGAGCGTGAACAGGGAGCTTACAGTAAGCCGGCCACATTGTCGACTGTCTCACCATGGCGGATCAAAAAGAGGTGCATTGGACATAGTCACAAAGATGGCCATGTGTGATGAAGCAGAAAGCAACAAGCCATGCACGCTGTTTTGATGAAATCATCTGTGGTGGTCCGAGTGCCCAGCATGACCGGAGCTTGCCATCCCACCGACCTCATCCTCCTCTGCAAAGAAAGCAAGACAATTCACATCACAACTATCTGGTCTTGTCTTCGTCTTGCTGCACCGCAGGCCCTTCTGCGCTGTCTTGGTGCGCAGCTTTTTGTCTATGCAAGACGCGACCAAGGGATGGGATCCTCTTCGCCATCCATGTCCGCAACTTACAGATCTCCCCTGAGGTTGAGTACTTATTCTCCATCAAAGGATTGAGCTCCAGTATGCTCTGGGCCATTTGAACATGGCCCAGATCTCCAGTCTTGCACGTTCGCTGCGGACACTAATCTGTATATTGAATGCAAGCAGAAGGCGCACGACCAGCTTTTGGCTCCTCGTTCGTGCCTGCTTTCTGCAGTCACTCACCTCGCTCCTGAGATATCCCGACTTACTCGGCCATATCGCCTGATCCTGGGGGAGAGAGCTGATCTCCATGTCCTATGTCCTCTACCGAAATCCACTACTTTACCAGCAATTGGTGTCTCTCACAACCATCTTCTCTCATTGCGATCGTGTTGCTTTGGTCACCGCAGGGTCTTAGTCTCCTAATATCTCTCACCAGCTTAGTATTCTTCAATTGTCACTCCTTCTCCATTTCGATTCGATTCGAATCACCCAACCCACATCGTTTGCTTTTTCAATATCTCATTTACTGTCCGTATGCTACTAGTCTTTGGTAACCCCCGAGATAATCGATCCTTATCATGCACGATCGTGTTTGTGTACTTAGTCCTTCAACAGACTTGGTCATCTACGCTTACTCACACGTATAACCATCGACAACTAGTTCGGCCTTACTCGATCATCTGGTCTCTCCATCGTCTCGAACTACTGGACTTGTGCATCAAATCTGGCGTTCTCCGACCGTCTCCAACTGTTTCAACAATCAGTTGCCCTAAAGACCTCGCCGTTAAATCCTCTTCTGTTGCTTTCGATCGATCGAGCCTTGCAACCATCTTCAGCAGCTATCTAGGGGACCCGATTAGCCTGAAAGACTTCCCTTCTTCAACTGCCCGCGACATCTGTAATCACTTACATCCCGTCCTCTCTGCTCTATCTCCATACCTCTTCTGCAACCTCCAGCTTCTCCAAGCTTGATGTCGGCACACAAATCGCAAAGACAAGATTTCAGCTCACTCACCAATACCGTTTATCAGGAATACCCCCAGTATCCGCTAGTCCTCACTTATAACAGCTTCTTCTACCGAAACTTCCTCACACATACAAGAGTTGGACTCAACTTCCAAGCAATATCTCCTCATCCAAACTCACTCCTACCTAGCAAAAGCCTTCACAGGAATCACTTTCCGTATCAGCGACGGTCATTCTTGCTGCTTGGGGTACGTATGCCATCGAAGGATTCATCATCTCCGTTGCTCCATTTTCAGTCACAGTAAGTCTTCATTTTGGCCGAGTGGTTCGACAAGCAATTCATGTCCAAACGCAGGCCCGACATGGAGCACACCACGATGATCGCTCCAGGAGCACTTCACTTCGTCCCTTCTAGCCCTCGCTCAGATCCAGCACCTGCTGTCATCTTGCCACCCAACGATACCAATCATACCTCGGAACAGAACGACCGCCCGGTCCAGGGAGCCGCTAGGTCAAAGCACGATGAAATGCAGATGAACATCGACCTGGCAGACAGCCCCACCGAAACGAGCAATCAGCCTTCGGTGACAACAGATATTGGTATGCAGATGGACGTCGATACAGTCGACGACATCACAGAGACAAATTTTCAAGCTTCCGCCGCAGAAGAACCACAAAGCTCTCCCTCACGGACAGACTCGATCAGTCACTACACAACGTCCAAACCAGTCAGAGAAGCCGAGCCTGAGGCTACTAACTCGACCAGTGGCACATTCTCCGAGCCTGTCTTGGCCGATGTCGAGTCTAGTGACGACATAACGCCTGAGGCCACTGCCATACTCGAAGATATCCAGAAAAGACCGGTCACGACCAGTATCGAATCTGAGATCGTCGAACCCGCAAGTCTTTCCAAGCAGAGCGAAGATGCATTCGCAGATGCCACAGCTACACCCCACAACACTGAGAAGATCCCGATCCCTACGAACACCGAGCCCAAGGCCATGGAGCATGCCCCCACCGAACCCGCTACAACCGAGTTTTCTACCATCGAAGAGTCTACGATCAAAGAGTCAGAACACGCACGACCTACCAAGCCCGATCCCACCAGCGCCTCCAACCCAGATATCGAGAACGACGTTGCGGTGCCGGAAGGCTCTCCAAAGGATGTCAGCTCAAAGAAACCCAGTGCAGAAGATACACACATGCAAGATACCTCCAATCGTGGAGATGATCTTCTCATGTCTTCGAGCCCGGCAGATAGCTCCACGAAGCCCGCAGTATGCGTCACGGAGGCTGACCAACCCCAGAACATGGATTGTGAAGTGCACAGGCTACAAGCCACGTACGGTTCCAGCAATTCATCGAGCCAATCTTCTGAGAAAGAAAGAGGAAGAGAGGGCGAAATAGAAGATAACACCGAGGCGGGTGCACAAGAGAGCGAGACTCTGCCCGATGTTGGAGATGATCATGACATGACTACGGCACCCGCTGACAACAGCAATTTCGTTCCGAGCAGCGTCTCACCTTCAACAGAAAGAGAGATCAAACTCGTTGGGCGAACTTCGGTGAGGCCCTCTTTGTTTGGAGGTGCACCAGGCCCGTTGAATGAGATTGTCACAGTCGCTGGCGTGTCCCCAGAAGCTGAAACCAGTTCGAAAGTCGATGCATCAACAGATTCGGATTACGCTGCAGAAACCGGCCCGGCTTCAACTCTCAGTGCAGAGGCTGCTGAGTTCCTGAATGGTACCAGTGATCCTCCGGGTCCCCCTGTCCTCATGTTTCCTTTGGATATGTCTCCCCTCATGGAAGAGTCCGAGTGGGCGGCGAAGTTCAATTTTGAGTCGGGCGCTGACATGGAATCTTTCGATTCAGCTCTAGAGATGGATGAAGATGCTAAGCCTGATATGAACGCTTTGCCGAGCAACGTACCGCAGGCTCCATCTCATCCATTGACACGCCTTGATCGGACAAACACTATCGTAGAGCTCGTTGATGTTGATAATCTCTACCCCGAAGTTACACTTACTGGAGATGGAGAAGCTCTGGAAGGACTGGCTGAAGAGGGGGACAACGTCCCTGACATGTTCAAGCAGCTTCCTGAATCAAGGCAGCCTCACGAACCAAAAGTACCAAGCTGCTCTTGTGGTCGTTGTCGAAGCTGCAAGTACGGTCTTCGTCCGATGGAGAATGACGGATGTACAAACGACTTCGGAAACCACATCGTTGACACAGACGACACTGGCGACTTCGAGCCTCAACCCGAAGGTCCAATCAAGCAACCAAAGCGGTACAAGTCGAAGAAAAAGATCGCTGACGTGGAGATGGAAGATGGAGAGGAGGATGAAGAGGAGGTTGAAGAGAGTGGCGCAGACATCGAAATGTTCGACAAAACCATTCCTTACAACCAGAACGATCCTGTGATCACTGACAAGCAGTCATACGAGGATGAATTCTCAGACGACGATGATGCCTTCAATACCAAAGGTAAGAAGCGCGCCAGAGCAGGAGCTTCAGGATCATCCAGACCGACCAAAAGAGCCAAGAAGATGGTGACCAAAGAGGTCGTGAAGGAGCCCACAACAATTCTGGAAACAATTCAGCGTCTCTCGACCCCAAAAACAACCAAGCTCTCGTATCCGATCACCTTCAATGGCGGTATTGACACCTGCAGTATCTGCAAAAGATACAATTACGCCATTCTCGGCCTGGGCGTCAGGAAGATCAAAGTTTACGATTATGGTAAAGGCAAAGGACCAGTGGAGATCCCCGATGCCATCGAAGCAGGTCTGTCGAGCCCGCCCAAGAGGAAGCCAGCTGCGACTTCCTTATGCATGGCCTGCACGACGTCCAGAATGCAGATTTTGATGTGCAAGAAGCATGCTATTGGACCCCTGGAGCCTGCCCCAACTATGGATATCATGCCAGCACTCACCCGTCTGATCCATAACGAACCACCTTCAGAGGACGATACCTGGTGCTCAATCTGTCCATCACCTGCTCACTACACTTGTTGTGCAAAGACCGTCCAGGGTGTAAAAGGCTGCGGCCTGAAGGTCTGCGGGACCTGCGCTGTCAAGCTTCAAACAACTCATGAAGGAAAACTGGGTACCATGCTCAAGTATCTGGACGACGAAGTCACAGAAGACTACAAGGCAGGATTGAGAGCTGATGTGGAGCTCTTGAGAATGGACGGACCACTCAAGAGATACATGTCCCTGAACTCAAAGGGAAAGGGAAAGGCGGATGCTTGAGAAAGCAGAGGTCAAAATGACAATTTTTGTAATATACAGCCCGTGATGATTTTGGCCGCGAAAGACCGCGTTTTCATAATTTGCTTTACCATAACTATGCATCTTCCAATCACTGTCTCCCCTGATCTTCTCCAAGAACGTGACAAAACACAAAGTCGTCCTGTCTTGAGAGATGCCTGCACCTCCCACAGCGTGGTCTAACGTGGCATTCACAGCCCTGAAAGTACCTCGATACCTTTGCTCATCCCTAGATATCATGCTCAGAGCAACATGCGATAGACGTGCACAAGACATCCAAGACACAATCTGACCTCCGAAGTCTACGGAACAACCATCCAAAGTCCCATCTCCCGAGCAATTGAGGTAACGACAAAGTTACCGCAGAAATGCACAAAGATTCCAAGAAACCAATGTATCTCTAGAAAGGTTCGAAAGTGCCAGGATCAAACTCTGCAGTTGAGTATATCACTTGTCATAGCTAAGGAACAAACTTGTGAAAATACAAGAACATATCGACCAACAAGCGTCTGCCGAAAGAGAGTGCGGGAAATCAAATGACTACTGTATACAGCAGGGGGCTAAATCTGATACCAAATCAAACACCTCATCACTACTGATGATACAACTTCTTATTATCCAGGTGAAAGAGCTCATCTCGCAGTGAGTATGTATTTCTAAGGAATCCCATGTCAAGCCTGTTGATATCTCGACGGGATTCCAATTAAAAGTGCAAGTCGAGCATCGCGAGAAATGAAAAGAAACGGCAACAACTTTCTGTAAACAGACGTTTGTCTCTGAATAGCCATTGTGCAGTTCCCCCGGCATCGAGGCATTGGAGTTGATTGCCGAGAGTCGTTGAGAATATGGGCTGCATCTTAGCTCAAGTGCTTACTCCCGAGATCGCTGAAATGTCACAAATGTGTTTGTGGAAATGCAAAAATATTTGAGAAAAGGACAAGGATCCGGTGAAATCACATCGCAAAATATTGTGATTGTCGTGTCCTAGGGGTAAGAACGGTATCTTCATTGTCCTAGGAGAGCTATGGAATGATCAAAAAGCGCTTGAAAAGCCACTACCAGAGAACTTGTGAGGATCTCGCATCTCTGGTCGGACGTCAATCTCTTCCATGTATCTGCGGGCTCTGGCGTGTGATACGCGCTGGGAGGCAGGCCGATATTCAGAATCCTCGGTGATACGTGATAATCTTGGGGAAGTCATCAATTTCTTGCGGTTGGAACGGAGTTCTTCCATAGAAGACCGCTCTTGTGCCGAGAGTTGGGGGCTTTCTGAAAGGTAGCGTTGCATGGCTCGATTGTACACTGCAAAATCGGAGACAGACACGTCGTCGTTTGCCATCTGGGCGACACGGGGCAGAGGACGAATTGTGTCCCCATCTCCAAATTCGGTTTCCTGCGAGGATGTGCTTGAGACAGAGGGAATGCAGGGGAAATCGTATTCCGGAAGAGATAGAGAGCTGGTTTCGTCGATGAGCCAATTTAGTTCTTTCATCTGTTCTTTGAGAGCTTCAGCACGTCTATTGTTGTTCTTGGATAGTCGTGCGATCGGATTGGTGTAGTATCTGCGCAAGCGGTGTAGACGTTGGCGGCGTGCTCGCGGATCCGTAGCAATGACCAACTTCTCAATGGGGCTTAGAAAAAACTCGGTCTCAACCCAACGCGAGTACATGGTCGGGGCAGGCAATGTGGTCACCACATCATCACTGAAGCGAGGGTCAGTACGCAGGTCAACATCCATGGGATGCAGGTTCGGTGCTTGGAGGCAGCACTGACATGACGCACTTTGAAACAGCACCGTACCTTGCCAGTGATTCCATAAAGTGTTGTTTGAGATTCTCGATGTTGGAATCGGTGCTGGCAAATCTGGCCGGGCGTAGTACGGGAGTGACAAGAAGGCCATCAGCATTGATTAGGACGGAGTTTTCTGCCGGCAACGTCGTCTGAGACTGTGGTGTCGATCGTTTCTTGAAGATGTTTCGCATGACGAACAGTGTCAATGTGTGATGATGGATGTCAAACTGGATAAATTGGATATGGTCAAGCAAGAATTGATAGCCGCTATAATGTTTGCGTGAGGGACAAGATTGGGGCCGCATGGAAAGCTGGAGGCATCTTGGGTCTGTGTGAGCGAAGCAGGTTCGCAACAAGAACCGTTGCTTCCTCATCGAAAGATAGCCGCCAAACTGCAACGGAGGCCAGACAAGACGGGTGTGAATCGCCCCTTCCTCAAGTACTTTGGCTGGTAACCCAAAGAACCGACCAGAAAGACGCCCGATCCCGTCACCAAAATCGTAGGTGATGTAATTGAGGAAGATTTTCTGCAAGGGAAGACAGCTTGTATATCCACTTCAGAAAAGCCATGTCGCTTTGAGGCTTTGAAGACTGAACCAAGTTGAAGACTGCTGGTACATTATTCGCCATATAGACCGTACGGGCCATATACAAGTTGATTGCGAAGACGTTAAGCTCATGAATTTTCGAAAAGCCTGAAGCAGATTCGAAAATTACAGTAGGCAGGACCATCGTGAAGGGCACGGTGTGACGTGAATCCTTGACGAAATATGTCAAAATTTGTCCTCAAGGCTCAAGCTACGATTAACTATGAGCAAAATTCTAAACTTAGAAAGGTAGCGGAAGCACATTGAATCAATTAATCAGATACTTTCCATGGTCCGCGATGGAAGCAAGCAGCCAAGGTATGCAAAGGTCGAGATAAGTACATGTAGTAGGGATGTCAACATATCGCCAGGGTCCTTTGTGCGGGCTGGAGGAAGCGTTCTCAGTCATGGTAGCATCGACTCGGAAGAGCTCACCCATGCTTATCGGCGTTATCGCTGGAATGTCATTCTGATGAGCTCTTTGTTGAGAAGAGAAGAGGGCTCCAGGGCTGGATTAACTTTGAGAGCAACAAAACCAAGAGAGAGTGCTGATTTGTCGCTTGGTGAAGAGCCGTTTCTTCTTTGCTCTACATCAAGCATCTAACCTTAGCAAGCAGAAAGATGCAGGGAGTTATTGCTGGCAGTCGGCCTCGCGCTAGCACGCTGCGAGAGGGCACATTCACGGTGAGTGAATTTTCTTCCAGCTGTCGATTTGGACCTGCCGTTCTCGAGTACCGTACTGCTGCGACCGAGGACAACTCTGGAGCCTGGACAGAAGGAGAGCTTGTTGGTGAGAAAGAAATCAACCGCGCGGTCAAGATGTGGCCGAGAAGACCCGAGGTTGGCCGCATTGGCGTCATGACCTGCAACCCGAATGACGGCCTTAATTTCTTCTCTCCTGACGCTTGACGGTGCATTTTTGGAGACCCGGTCTCGCACTTCCAAGTCACAATTCTCGAACACATCCCACCTCACGCCACGTTCCCAGTTGTTGCTGTTTCTCCAATAGCAGTTGATCTGACATCGATTGAGTCGGCGGAGCAAATCGGCGCGGGGGAGAAGAACAACCCCGCCATCTCCATCTATTACGGAAACTACCAAGGCAGCGGTAGCAGTCACGCGGCAATCATAGCTGGTGCAAAAGTCCAGACTCTCTCCTGAAGTCACAGCATTGCTTACTCTGCATTTGTCCCCAATACCTCCCTGTCTCGCAATCCGAAGAAATACATCCATCTGGCACCTCTCAAGCCGCTGCAAGCCGCTGGCACGGAATACGACCGCAGCAGACCGTTCACCACCACTTCTCTATTGATACACCTTCTCCAATTCGACAGTCATGGCTCTGGATCAGATACCCTCCGATGTTCGCCAGCAGTACAAGCCCGAGATGCGCAAAGTGTCAGAGGGACAGATGATGCGTCCCAACAGGAAGACTAATGGCAGCGGCGTTCAGGCCCAGGAAACGAGAATCTGTGTTGTTATGGTCGGCCTCCCGGCCAGAGGAAAGAGCTTGATAGCTCAGAAAGGTAGCTTGCCTCAGCCTTCAGCCCATCCAAAACATGCTAACCACCACATAGTTGTTCGCTACCTCCGCTGGCTCTCGATTGACGCAAAAACCTTCAACGTAGGCCAATACCGCCGAACAAATACCCCCAATCCTTCCGCAGAGTTTTTCGACACGAGCAATGCAGAGGGCGAAAGAATGCGCAGAGCTGCTGCCGAGGCTGCTGTGGCCGACATGCTGAAGTGGTTCGACAACGGTGAGGGCCTTGTTGCTGTCCTTGATGCCACTAACTCCACAAAATCGAGAAGACGATGGATTCAAGACCAATGCGATGCTGCCAACGTTCAGACAATGTTTGTCGAGTCGAAATGCGACGACGAGGAGCTTGTCATGTCCAACATCAAGGAAGTCAAGACCACCTCTCCTGACTATGTAGGACAAGATCCTGAGGTCGCTGCACAAGACTTCAGAAAGAGAATCAGAAACTACGAAAAGGTGTACGAGACTTTGGATGAAGACGAGGCCGACCTCACATACTGCAAGCTGATTGATGTTGGACACCAAGTCATCATCAACAAGATCAAGGATTATCTTCAGTCCAGAGTGGTTTACTACCTGATGAACCTGCACATCAAACCTCGTTCCATCTGGCTGTCACGAGTAAGTCTCCACAACACGAATTCCATACTATTGGACTAATCAATGACCACAGCACGGCGAATCAGAGTACAACTTGACTGGCAAGATTGGTGGGGACGCCAACATCAGCGAGAGAGGGCAGATGTATGCTCAGAAACTGCCCGAGATCGTCAAACAATCTGCTGGCGATCTGGAACTCACCGTGTGGACGTCGACACTGAAGAGAACCATTCAGACCTCGAGATATCTGCCTTTCGAAAAATTGTCATGGAAGGCATTGGACGAACTGGACTCTGGCGTGTGCGACAGCTTAACATATGCGGAGATCGAAGAACAGTTTCCGGCAGACTTCAAGTCTCGTGACGAGGACAAGTACAATTATCGTTACCTGGGTGGTGAGAGCTACAGAGATGTGGTCATCCGCCTGGAGCCCATCATCATGGAGCTGGAGCGTAGCGAAAACATTCTTATCGTAACGCATCAGGCAGTGCTGAGATGCATCTATGCTTACTTTATGGGCGTGGACCAGGCTAAGAGTCCTTGGATGGAGGTCCCTCTGCACACGCTGATCAAACTTTCGCCCAGAGCATACGGCACGCAAGAGGAGAGATACTCGGCAAAGATTCCTGCGGTCAGTACGTGGCGTGGAAAGGGATCTAGTGCTCAGCACCAGGATCCGGGTCCTGGTGAAGGTACGGTCGATATTGAAGTGAACGGAAAGCCTGTGAAATAAACTGAAAGCGATGGACGATGGCGATACCGTGATTCTGCAGACCAACTTCTTTCTCCGCAAACCAAAGGCAGCAAAACCTGGGCAAGACAACGCATTAGTCTGACGCCCAAACACTCATTGTATACGTGTAGCATCGCCAAACAACAGCCATTTTGCCTTACTTGATTGAACTCGGACGCCAGCCGAGTGATAGAATTGATTGGTGACCTCCAGTGATCTGCCACGTATGGGCTGTGAAAATGTACAGCTCTTTGAGCGCAGCCAGGAGATCTGGATAACCAGACCATGAAGCCGACTCCCTAAAAGGATGTCCTTGTAGCTTGGTACTTGAAGTCTACGGAGCCAGGGAAGGTAAAATGGCAATAATCTTGTTAGTGCATGGGGTAACAACTTTGACCAAATCACTCTATAGATCTCTGAGTACCTCTACAATTGTTGAAGCTGTGTAAGCCGAACAGCAATCAGAGCGCGTGAAGGAGAAAGACAACGATACAGTACACCAAGTAAGGCAGCTTCCAATCATCGAGAGCACGAGCAAGGAGTCTCTTGTATTTGTGAGATAGATTAAAGTCTGACGTGCAAGCGGTGGGTCCGTGAGCATCTTTGACAAGCAGCGGGCAGCAAACGGCGTTTGCCGATGATATCAAGTTGCAACCGAAGCTACCAGATGCATCAGCTCTCGGACCTTTGAATCTGTCACATTGCTCTCATCGCAACTCTGCAACACGACCCGATCTTGAAAGCGCTGCACCGCTGAAAAGATCCGCCGTCACTTTCACCCGACACCCGCGCGACACCAACGCACCTTCACTTTGATAAATCTCACTGCGATTCGACATCCAGATTCTGGTCGACCCGCATTTGACCGAGCAAATTGTAGCCGTCGTGACGTCTGCCTTGCTCACGACCATCATCTGCAACTGCCCGCGCATCTGTTTGCACCTCTTATTCCGACCTTACCCACACCATCTTACACAGTCTACCTTCCTGGTCTTGTGCCGCCACGACTAGTCTCCACGAGCATCGGATCAGTCGCAACCATACCCAGACACAACACTTGAACTGGTGAAGCGCAAGACTTGCGCTCGTGTCTCGGCACGCCATGGGGAGGATCAAGAAGACCGCCACTGAGCGTCATCTGGCGACTATTGTGAGTTGGCCCTCTCTGTTCGCAGCACCATCTGATTGACTGACTTCTGCCACAGTCTCCGTACATCACCACCTTCATCAAGGCCCTGGTTGAGCTACCTCTGCACCAGCTGCCCGCGCATATCGCCACCTTTCCACACCACTGGCCCTTTCCTAGAGGCGACCTCTACCACTGGATTGCACCGTTAAATCGCTTCGACCGAATTCTCGAGGCTTTCACCACTGTTTATGCTTTGGACAAGGGCCCGCAGACACAGCCGTTTGAGCTACGGCTACTACAGAAGGGCGATGCTGAGGATGGATCAGTGACCGAAGTTTCGGTGCAAGAGCTCGAGAGATGCGGATACTCGGCGGACGGAGATCGCGAGCTCATCGAGAGCGTGCTCAACTTTACTCGAATCCTGCTTGAGCGCTGTGGCAACCGCAGCCTGTACGCTAGCAGCGCACATCTCAACCACCTACTCAACACCGTCTCCCTCAGCCTGCTCAAGATTACTCTGCGTGTGTGTTTGCGCTTGGCCCAGAGATACCATACCTCACGCATGCGTATGGTTTCGCCACATTCCCTCCACAACTTGCTGGCTAGCCACTACAGCATCAACCTGGATCGCATTCAGAAGCTTGCCAACCCTTTCCCCAAGAAGCCCTTGACCACTTCCATCTTCGGCCAGACCCCATCTAAGATCAAGGAGAAGGAAGACGCCGTCAAGCCTGGCGTCAACACTTCCGACATCGAAACTTTGGTCAAGGCTAAGGACGTGCCTCTATCATACAAGGAGGAGCTCTCTAGCGTCCACTTGACATATTACGACAAGACTGACGCATCTGCACCTGCATCATCTGTCGAAATCGGCGCTCCCAACACGCCTGACTCTCCCATGCCCCCTGTCACGCCCACTCCCGCTCGTCGTACTTCAAACCTTGGTCCGGGCTCGACACGTATTGAGCGCACTCCGGTCAACACGGATGCGCCCGAGACTCCCATCCGTCCTCAGCAACAGCCCGAAAGCCCTTCGGCCGGGCCCAAGGTCTTTGAACTTTCTTCTGCTCAAATTTCTGGTAACGAAGCCTGGAAGATTATGGAGGAGAACCTCACCAATGTGCCAGAGGAAAACCAATTCGATTTGCTACACAGGGTCCGAGTGGCATCTGCTTTCCAGACATCCAGAGCGGCGGTTCACGATCTAGTTGCTGTCAGAATTCTGGCAATCTCCAATTTATCGTATGTTTATGGCGAGACAACGTTCCACCAACGTATCGGTCAACCAGACTCCGAAGAGCCTCGCCGCACTCAGCTGGCACAGCAACTCACAGATATGCTCCAACCTCCTAGTTCAGGCCAAGAAGAAGTTTCTCGCGAGATGACCGTCATTGTCATCCAAGCTCTTGAGGCCCTGGCGAAGTGCAAGACCAAGGCCTCTGAAGTTGCCAACGCTCTTAACATTACTGTTAGCCATGGTGTCCTCTTCTACGTCCTGAGAAAGGTTCTTGCTACGCTTGGTGATGAGCAGATTCCTGCCCAAGAGCACGAATGGTGTAAAAACGTCTTCGAGCTGGTGATGACTCTTACCCCTGCAGCACCACACCCACAACGTAACGCCGATGTTCTCGTGGCAGCTGGCTTCGTTGATATTTTGGTTGACATTCTCAAGCTTCGTACGAAGCAGGCTGAAATCTACTTCCCGCTTGCTCTTGGCTTCTTCGAGAGTTTCATTCACAACGGAGTGAGAGATGCATTCCAGGCAATGGTCAACGCCAAAGGCTTGGATGTACTTGCTAATCTCATCGCTTTTGAGGTTCACCGTTCTCTCGAGGCTGCCCAGAACCAAGGAGGTCTACGAACTGATTACAAGACCAAGATAACCGACTATCAGATTCCTTTTGATTCTCAGCAAACTCTGCGCTCGCTTCTCAAGTTTGTGTCGCACATGTATGGCCACAACATCGGCACGGACGACCGTCTTTTACGCAACTTCATAGATTCGCCTCCACTTCTCGAAGCACTTCGCACTATCTTCACCAACGCCTCCGTCTTTGGCTCTAATGTATGGAGTGGCGCTATGAACATCCTCAGTGCCTTTATCCACAACGAGCCGACCAGTTACCAAGTCATTGCCGAAGCAGGCTTGAGCAAAGGCTTCCTCGAAGCTGTCACCCAGCAAACCATCACCGTTTCCGATGTGGTAGTCGAAAATGCCGATAGGGAAGACGAAGACGAAGAGCTTGAAGACGTATCTACTGATAAGGTAGTCCACGAGCCCATTGTCACGGATTCTGGAAACGATGGACCTTCATCAGAAGAGACGGCCAAAGCCCCAGGTATCCTCCCGGTAGGTGAAACTATGCGAGAGATACCCACGGCTTTTGGCGCCATCTGTCTCAACGAGAACGGCATGCGCATGTTCCAAGCATCCCAATCCCTAGAAAGGTTTTTGGAGATATTCGAGAGCCCCGAGCATGTCAGCGCCATGGAAGAAGACTCTGAGGTTCCCACATTCATCGGACAAGCGTTTGATGAACTGACACGCCACCATCCTCAACTCAAAGAAAGAACCATCAACGCTGTCGTTGTTATGATTCGCAATGTGTTGACCATCTGTCAGCGTCGGGCTGCAGACAAGGGTGTTGGCGCTAAGCTCTGGCTTCCAGGAGACAAGGACTTGCACGTAGCAGGAGGACGCGCCGCGTTGCAGGGTTTGACTGTGTCTGAGGCTGAAGACGCCGAGGATGCCGATGACACCAATTTCCACGACCGCGCCCAAGCTGCATCGACTGGCTCGAAGGCGACTGCCACCGAGTCTGAACTCGAGAATGATACTCTTGTCAAGGGTCGCAGTGGCGGTCAAGCTACTTCGGACTTCATAACGGTGGCTTGCAGATTTCTTAGTGCATTCTTCCACAACCATGGAATCACAACAGCCTTCTGCGAGGCAGCTGGTGCTGAGATTCTGCTCGACATGGCCACTGCTGCTTGTAATCCATACAACTTCCATGAGACCCATGCCCAGCGAGAGCTCATTCAGGTGTTCTTGCACTTGGCGGAACACAAACCTCATCTCGTTCTCCCTTCCCTGGCTCGGCGCACACAACTAGCTCTGTTCCAGCTAAGACCATTGATCGAACACCGCCCTGGAAAGACCTACTTTAGTGACTTGACAGACTCCACTATCTCGGATCCAAGCTCTCAAAATCTCGTAGTCTTGAACTCGACATACACAGCCAAGGCAATGGTTCAGATTCAGTTCTTGTGCCAGGTCCTGTCCACGGTTTTGTCCAGTCACGTGTACCATGCTGGTCGTCAAGTCCCACACCACTTTTTCGGTCAAGTTAATTTGACGGATGTTTATGTCGACCTGATCGATGACCTCGGCCAGTTGTACTCGTCATGTGTCTTTGAGGCCATCACTATGCGCAACAACATGCCCGAAGACTGGAGAAAGCAGATACACATTTCCGGAATGAGCTTTGACCACAGTGAGGCCGACAATGTCATGGGTCTTTCCGCTTCAAGCAACTCGCAGTCCAGCAATGCTGAGACAGGTTCGTCACAAGCAGAACAGCAAGAGGTCGAAGCCAAGAAGATTGGGGCACGCAACACTGGTCAATTTAAGAACTGCCAGATTCTGGCTTCTCTATCCAATCAGGTGTCTACAGGCGTGTTGTCTTTCTTCCAAGCCGTAGGCAAATCGCTGCTTTGGAAGCATTCATCGCGGACCAGCTTCAGTGATTACCAAAAGCAGAACGCTGGCAAGATGGCCGAGCACTTAGCAGGCGCATTGATTGATCACATAGCCACTCCTCAACCGTCGACCGTGTCAGAAGTGGATCGTGTGGCGTACGACATCGTGGTCTTGACTTCCACGCTGCAGGCTTTGGTTGATGAGCGAAAGACCACTCGCACCAACGGTACCCATCGCGAAGTCTTCACTTTAGTGCTGCTCGCATTTTACCGCAAGGGTGGCTTCAAGGAACTTGAGACTCGTCTGCTGCAATTCAGCAAGCTCATCGAACAGCACAAGGAGAATTCTCAGGACACTTCTTCTTCTGACACTGTCACATCATCTAAGCGTATCCATGCTTTGGCACTTGCTGGTATTGACAAGATCCTTGAGTTCTACAACAAGATCTGTCATTCGAAGAACATCACCGACGCTCAGCAGACTACTGTCATGTCTGTTAGAGATCGCCAGAAGAGCGAATTCTTTTTGGGTGCACAGTTTGTGGTAGAGCTTCGCAACGTTGTCTTGCCCCAAGTCAGCCAAATGTGGAAGTCTTCCGTCATGGAGGCTTTGCCTGCGCACAGCGTCAAATCAGTCGTCGATCTCCTCAAACTCGTACTTGAAGGTGACGGAGAGTCCAATGCTGTCAAGCGTAGCGAGAACCTGAAGCGTCGTGTCGCTGCCGAACCTCGTAAGTGGAAGATCCGCTCAGAGTCCAAGGATTTATTGAAGACCGAAGGCCTTGATGAAGATCAGCTTTGCGTTGAGGCACTGTACCGTTGCAACAACAATGCGACGGCGGCTAAGGAGTATTACATTCTTCGAAGGGACAACCCCGACAATCACATCCCATGTCTCCCTCTTCCAGCTGATGAAGAGCCTCAGCCACCTGTCCAAGAGCAGTCTGGTGACGCTGCAAACCCATCAGCCGCGTCTCAGAGTGTGCCTTCCGTCGAGATGCAGGATGCAGACGAAGCGGAGTCAAGTACGCATGACACTGATGGCGATCGCTCTGAAGCTGATCTGCTCTTGGGTAGTGGCAACCGCCGCATGATGCTACCCCAAGACATGCTCAGCGGTGGCATTGCGGAAGTTCTTTCTCATGCTCTAGGGGGTGGTGAGGAACTGATGCGTGCTCTTCCAGTTCATCAACGCTCATCGGATGATGCTCAAAGGCCCGCCGATATTGTGACAGAAGAGAGCTTTGTGACTGTTGAAGATCTTGACGAGAAGCGCAAGGATATTCGAGATGGTCTCATTGACAGATGTCTCGATGTCCTCAATACTCATACCGACGTCACCTTCGAACTTGCAGACCTGATCACAGCTGCTATCGCCAAGGCTAGCCAAGATCAATCCTCAAAGGTCGAAATTGGTGAGACTCTGGTCAACTCTCTGATGTCTCTTAGACCTGAGGAAGGTACACCGCTTGAAGGCAAGAAGATCGCTTCCTATGCTCACCTGCTCGCCCTGGTCATTCAAGATCGTGAGTTTTTTGAGGCATCCCTCGAAACCCTCAAGGAAAACTTCGAATATTTCGGCGGCTTCATCAAGATGTTCCAAGGACAGAAGCCGGACGAAACCTCGCCTTGGGTTAGCAACGTGCTTCTCATCATCGAACGCGTTCTGGCTGAAGATGAGAAGCCTCAGCAAATCCAATGGGTTACACCACCTTTCGAGGATCCCCACAAGGAACAAGGCATTGTCGAGCTCAAGGCTCCTGTTGTACCCGACGAGGACAAGTCAACAGTCTTTGATGCTCTTGTCGAGATTCTGCCCAAGATTGGAAAGGACGAAACCCTTGCACTCTCAGTCACGCGTACACTTGTGATCTTGACTCGTCGTCGTGCTCTTGCTAAGAAGCTTGGTGAAAAGTTGTCGATTCAGAGACTCTTCGTTATGGTCAAGCAACTTGCGGGCGTCGGAGGCGAACGCCTTCAGAGTACCTTCCTTCTATTGCTTCGCCATATCATTGAAGACGATGAGACGATCCGCCAGACCATGCGTACCGATATTCAAGCGACTTTCGAGAGTAAAGGCATGGGTAGATCCTATGACACTACACTCTACACACGAACACTCTTCTATTTGGCATTGCGCAGTCCCGAAATCTTTGTCGAAGTCACCAATGAAAAGGTTCAACTCGCGAGATGGGATCAGAGCCGCGCTGGTGGCGCACAGCCACTGATGCTGAAGAAGGCTGATAAGTCTGAGGAGACCAGCAAGGTAGAAGGACCCGCTGCAGGCGACTCAAGCACTGCACCCGAACGACCTACTATCGAGCGTACCAAGACTGGTGATCTCAAACCTCCATCAATTGAAAACCCTGACGGCGTTATTCAGTTTTTGTTGAAGGAGCTTTCTTCATACAAGGATGTGGAGGATAAGGAGGTTCAACCTCCCAAGCCTATCCCTTCGGATGCTCCTGCTGTCTCTACTCCTTCGGACGTCGAGATGTCCGACTCAACTCCCACGCCCGCCGCTGAAACCACTCCTGCTCCTTCCACTGAACCTGAACCGAAGCAGTCAGACAAGCCAGTGTTCAAGGCCGGAGAACACCCGATATTTGCATACCGTTGCTTTATCCTGCACTGCCTTGTAGAGCTGCTCGGGTCCTACAATCGCACCAAAGTCGAGTTCATCAACTTCTCACGCAAGGCCGAATACCAAGTCTCCACGCCATCCAAGCCTCGCTCTGGTCTTTTGAATTACTTCCTCACCAGTCTCATACCGGTTGGTAGTTTGAGCCACCCCGAAGACATCGTTGCCAAAAAGCGATCTGCGACTGCCAACTGGGCCATTAACACGCTCGTGGCACTTTGCTCGAAGACAAATGAGCGTGTGATCGGTCTGAAGCTTTCAACCAGCGACGAAGAGTCTGATCTGGCCTACGTCCGCAAGTTCGTTCTGGAACATGCACTCAAGGCCTACAAGGATGCTATGGCATCTTCGGAACCTCTCGACCAGAAGTATGCTCGTCTTCTTAGCTTGAGCAACCTCTTTTATCGTATGTTGACCGGCAAACAACAACCTGGCAGCAATCACTTCATGCTCGAGATGGTAACCGTCTCTCAAAAGCAGCTTGGTCGCTTCATGTACGAGAAGAACTTCATCACCGCGTTGACATCATCCATCGCCGAGCTCGACCTGAACTTCCCGGGCGCCAAGCGTGCAGTCAAGTACATCCTTCGCCCTCTCAAATTGCTGACCGACATTGGTGTCACTCTGAGTATCTCTGGTGATGTCTCTGCGCCTGGCACTACTGAGGATGATGAGATTTCTTCTGCCACTTCCATCTCTGACGACGAGAACGAGCGTGAGGAGACCCCTGACTTGTTCCGTAATTCCACCCTCGGCATGTTTGAAGCTGCAAACAGTGACGACGATGACGATGAGTCAGGCTCGGACGAAGCTGAGGAATACTACGAGGGTGACGAGTATGGCGAAGAAATGGACTACGACGAGTACGAAGAAGGTGGTCCTGGCATGCATGAAGGAGATGTCGTCAGTGACGAAGACGATGATATTGAGGGCATGGGCCCGATAGAAGGTCTGCCCGGCGATATTGATGTCGAAGTGGACATGGATGAGGACGACGAGAGCGGCGAAGATGACGACGACTCTGACATGGACGAAGCCGACTCAGATGAGGGCGACGACATCGAAATCATCGACGAAATCACCGGCGATGATGAAAACGCCAGCATGGTCGAAGATGACGATGATGAAGACGACGATGATGAGGAGGACTGGGACGACGACGATGACGACGATGGTGATGATCCTTACCACCACGGTGCTCTTCCCATGGACGCTCTGGTACCTCCTCACGGCGGTCCATTCGGTGGAGCCATTCCTGTCCTTGACGACGATCGTTCAGACGTTATGGACCAACTGGAAGGTGACGAGCCTCTCATGACACTTGATATGGGTGGTCCAGAGCAATACTTCGAGGAAGAAATGGCCGAAGACGATGAGGACAACGAGGAGGACGAAGACGAAGAGGTCCTTGGCTACGAACCCGAGCACGACGACCCGGAGAACGATGAGATGGAATGGGGCTGGGAGACTGCCGCTATGCCTTCAGCACATGGATGGCGTCGTCCTGGTGTTCCTTTCTACACTATGGAAGATCAGCCAATCGGACTTCCACGCTCGCATCGTGGAGGTGCTACTAGCCGCGGCGACGAGGATGGTACAAACCCTCTTCTTCAACGATCAGGCCGTCACGCGAATGCTGGTGGTCTACCTTTCCCTGGTGACATGCACGACTGGCTACATCATGGACACCGTCCTAGACTTGGTGGACAAGACGGGCTCTCTTTTGTCAGCGATCTCATCCAGATGGTTGGCCCTTCAGGAGCCAGAATCAGTGTCGTTGATGGTACCGGAGCTCTTGGTTTCCCGTCAGCAGCTCTGGCTGGTGGTATGCCGCCTGCTGTCTTCCACATTGCCGGTGGTCCCGGTAGATTCGGGATGTCTGACATCCGTGCTCTTCAGCGAATGACAAGAGGTCTTACCGGTCGTGAAGCTCATTCGAGCGGCAGATCTTCTTCAAGCGATCCTACTGCATCCGTAGCATTCCAGCCTACAATTACAACTACGCGATGGCAAGAAGAGGCCCGCTTGTTGTTTGGCCACCTCGCCCTCGACACTGCCATGAAGCTCGTCGACTCGTTGTTGCGTCATCTCGTTCCACCTGCTATGGAAGCCAAACGTCAAAAGGACAAGGCTGATGCCGAACGCAAGGTCGCTGAGGAAAAGGCTCGTGAGGAGGAACGCCAAAAGGAAGAAGCAGAGCGCCTCGAGCGCGAGGCTCGCGAACAGCGGGAGCAAGAAGAACGTGAAGCCAAGGAGGCTGAGGAGGCCGAAGCTCGTGCCCGCGAGAGAGTAGAACGCGGCGAGCCCGCAGAAGGCACTGATAGCATGGAAGGCATTGAGCAGCCTGCCGGAGAAGACGCCGCGGAAGCCGCGCCTAGGGTCGTCACCAATATCCGCGGCAGAGAGATGGACATCACACATCTCGGCATCGATCTGGAGTACCTCGACGCACTGCCTGAAGACATGCGCGAGGAAGTCATCATGCAGCAGTTCCAGGAGCACCGTGCTCAGGAACGCACTCAAGATACCAGCACTGGACAACCCAGTAGGTCTAGTGAGATCAACCGCGAGTTCCTCGATGCATTGCCACCGGACATTCAACAAGAGTTGCTTGCTTCCGAAGCAGCAGACCGTCGCCGTCGTGAACGTGACGAGCAGCGTCGTAGAGCAGCCGCCAGCGGTAATGCCCCCGTACCCCAAGCCGGAGATATGGATATGGCCGACTTCTTCGCAACATTGAACCCTACTCTCCGTCAACAGGTACTCATGGACGCAGATGCCGGCACACTTGCTGGCTTCCCTGCAGAGTTCCAGGCTGAGGCACGTGCCCTGCTCGGTAACATTCAACGAGTACGCGGTGCACGTGAAAGACGCGAAAGCGGTCGTCCTCAAGATGAACAGGAAGCTCCCGAACCTGAGGAACAGCGTGTCCGCAGACCTGTCATTCAAATGCTTGATAAAGCTGGTGTGGCCACACTCCTGAGATTGATGTTCGTCGCCATGCAGGACAGCGCACGCACCACAATGCAGGCAATCTTGTCAGACATCTGCAAGAACACCCAGAACCGCGCCGAGGTTATCAGCATTCTTCTTTCTATCCTTCAGGATGGAAGCGCCGATGCCAATGCTCTGGAGAAGAGCTTTGCCCACCTTACTCTTCGTGCCAAGCAGATGTCGGGACAGAAGACACCACAGCCCCTGAAGCGCAGTCTGACTGGTTCGCAATTCACATCGCCCAGCACAGACATCTCGCCTCTTATGATTGTCCAGCAGTGTCTCTCCACTCTTACTCATCTTGCCAACGAGAACCCTCGTGTCAGCTCCTTCTTCCTCTCCGAGCATGAGACCAGTATCAGCCAGAGAGCCAAGTCTGCAAAGAAGGGCAAAGGCAAGGAGAGCAAGGCCGCCAAGTATCCTCTCAATGCACTGCTTACTCTCCTCGACCGCAAGTCTATCATCGAGAACTCTTCTGTTATGGAGGCCCTGGCTTCTCTCCTCATTCGCGTTACCGAGCCGCTGAAGATTCTTCTCAGAAAGGCCAAGGATGCCGAAAAGGAGAAGGAAAGGGCAGCTGAGGCCGCTAATGCAGCTGCCGACGTCCCTATGACTGAAGGTGAAGCTTCGACCACAACCGAGACTCCCGCCGAGGCTGACAAGCCTCAAGAGCCTGCCGCAAAGCCTGAAGAAAAGAAGAAGCACAGAGATCTTACTCCACCTGAGGTGCCGGAAGAGAACCTCCGCTTGGTTGTCAACATCATTGCTGCTCGTGAATGCAATTCCAAGACCTTCCAGAGCACATTGGACATCATCAACCATCTCTCGGCTATTCCTGGTGCCAAGGACACCTTCGGCAAGGAACTGGTCCACCGTGCTCAGGACTTGGGTGATGCTGTTCTTGTTGATCTTCAGCAGCTGGCTCCTCAAATCCAGAACGCCAAGACGAGCACTGACATCCAAGGCATTGCTCTTGCCAATTTCTCACCTGCTAGTTCTCACCAGAGCAAGTTGCTACGTGTCTTGCTGGCTCTCGATTACCTCTTTGATCCCAGGCGTTCTGTATCTCATGACAGACAAGCTTCCTCTTCAGCTGATGCTTCTCCCTCAAAGGCCCGCCAGGATCTGCTGTCGACGCTCTACGAGACATCGACATTCGCTAAGCTCTGGTCCAATCTGAGCGACTGCCTCACTGCAATCCGCCAACGCGGTAACATGAACAACGTGGCCACTATCCTTCAGCCATTGATTGAATCCTTCATGGTCGTCTGCAAGAATACCACTTCCAAGGAGGCCAACCTTGCTGCATCTCAAGAGCTGTCAGCTGGTACGCCTCAGCCAGACTCGCGCATCGAGAAGTTGTTCTTCTCCTTCACTGAGGAGCATCGCAAGATCCTCAATGATCTTGTCCGCAATAACCCCAAGCTCCTCAACGGTACATTCGACGTTCTAGCCAAGAACTCCAAGGTGCTTGAATTTGACAACAAGCGCAATTACTTTACTCGTAGAATGCACACTCGCAACGCTGAGGATCGTATTGCTCATCCTTCGGTGCAGCTCAACATTCGCCGTGACCAGATCTTCATGGACTCCTTCAAGAACCTCTACTACAAGTCGCCTAACGAAATCAAGTATGGCAAGCTCAACATTCGCTTCCACGGTGAGGAAGGTGTCGATGCTGGCGGTGTTACCAGAGAGTGGTTCGCTGCTCTCTCCAGACAAATGTTCAATCCCGACTACGCCCTCTTCAACCCTGTTGCCTCGGACAGAACCACCTTCCATCCCAACCCCATGAGTGACATCAATCCTGAGCATCTCACGTTCTTCAAGTTTGTTGGTCGCATCATCGGAAAGGCTCTGTACGAGGGACGTGTTTTGGACTGCCATTTCAGCAGAGCCGTGTACAGACGTATTCTTGGCAAGCCAGTCTCGCTCAAGGATATGGAGACTCTTGATCTTGATTACTACAAGTCCCTCTGCTGGATCCTTGAGAATGACATAACTGATGTTACCTTTGAGACTTTCTCCGTTGAAGTTGACAGATTTGGAGAGACTGAAACTGTTGATTTGATCGAGAACGGTCGTGACATTCCTGTCACCGAGGAGAACAAGCAGGAGTACGTGCGCCTGGTGGTCGAACATCGCCTGATAAAATCAGTCGAGGAGCAACTTGAGCAATTCCTCAAGGGTAAGTTATATCCGCTACTCCAATCACATTATCACGTGCTAACAGTCTCACAGGTTTCCACGAAATCATCCCCGCCGAACTCGTCGCAATCTTCAATGAGCAGGAACTTGAACTTCTCATCTCTGGTCTGCCGGACATTGATGTCGACGACTGGAAGGGCAACACCGATTACCACAACTACCAGCAAACTTCTCCTCAGATCCAATGGTTCTGGCGCGCAGTTCGCAGCTTCGACAAGGAAGAGAAGGCCAAGCTCTTGCAATTCGTTACCGGTACCTCCAAGGTCCCTCTCAACGGCTTCAAGGAGCTTGAGGGTATGAATGGGTTCACCAAATTCAACATTCATCGTGATTATGGTAGCAAGGACCGTTTGCCTAGCAGTCACACCTGCTTCAACCGTAAGTTCTTGAGATCTTCCGAATTTCGAGATTTAGATGCTAACACGTTTCCAGAACTCGACCTTCCTGAGTACGAAACTTACGAGCAACTCAGACACCAGATGTACACTGCCATGACACAAGGCAGCGAGTACTTCGGTTTCGCCTAAACTCACTCTTCTCTCGACACACCACGATACACAAAACATTTCACACTATTCATGACGATTCGCATTCCCAAAGGCGTTTTCCTTCTTGACACTTTCTCGGAGCAAAAAGGGAGGGAGTTTGTTGCTTCTGGCGTCGTCTTTCCCAACGTGCTTTTTTTTTTGCCGCGTCGAACAGAGCATCAGTCTTCTCTATACACTTTTTCTCTTCGCAATGCCTAGACTTGAAATTGCAGGAAGAAACCAAGGACATGGCGTGCAGGTCTGGACTTGGACTGACCTTCCTCGCGAAGAGGTCTGGCGATGGAAGGGAAATGAAAGAGGACGAGCTGCTGTTCTTCTTTAGCTTTAGTTTCTTCTTTGACAATACTACTTTTCCCTCTTGTTATGTTTTGTTTCGTCTAGATTATGATTTGAAGTACATGTGAACCTGACCTCGAGTCTGGCTTTAAAGCTCGCGCTTGCATGACAATCGACCTTCTGATTTGTGTCGCTCCTTCCTGGTTTAGCTTCTGCATCTCTGCCAGAGCGGGAGCTCCAATGCTCTTGCATACTGCAGCACTCAAAGACTGTATCGTTCTGATTGACTTAGTCATCTCTCCGGTGTCAGGTAAGAACGATTTATGGAGTAAGAGGGCCAGAAGCGTTCTAGACAAGGTGAGCCCGCAAGCATCTCAAGCTGAAAGACCTATCTTCGCAGTGCATGGTATCTTTCGGCGACCACGACGTCTCTCCCGGGCGCAACCGTTCTCTATATTCTCCTCTCCCAATGCAGGTACCTTTGAAACCATCTTGCCTTTCAAAAGCTATACATTTCCCCTTCCTCAGAAACCAAGAGTTCGAAGATAATGCACCGCCAGGGTCATCCTCTCACCCAACTCCTTCCAAACTTCTTCTCGTCCGTCTAACCGGTCAACCGCTCAGCCGTCCGCGATCTCAGAAAACACCTTTTCCCACCACCGTTAAGATACTCAGGTACATAGTTTGTAAATGTCTCACACCGTGTCAAGAAATTCCCCGTCATGTTGATGATTTGACTTTTATATACGAGTCAAAAACAAAGCCACGAGGATGTTGGCAACGGCGTTTGTCGTTCTCGGGTAGTAGAGTTTTTATCATTTGTCCGGATTCTGATTCTAGTGTTTCGGCCGAAGGATTGTTGTCAAGATTGGGGGTTGGAGTTTTGGACCGGTGAGATGGGATGGGATGGGATGGAGGATGAGATGGGTGAAGGACGGGGAGAATTGCGCTCAGCAGTCGTTGTTTAATAGCGATAGATTTGGATAGAGGAGATAACAGTAATGTAGAAGGAAGCAAAAAAGACGATGAATAGAAAGAATACGAGAAGAGCGGTCGAGAAGCAAACAGCAGTAAAGTCAACTATACGCACCTGAATACGGACTAACATTCAATCTACTCCATCTTACTCTGACCAAACTCGTGGTTTTGGACATCGTATACCATCAACGTCATAATTAGCACCTTCCCATCTAGTGATATCTACCTATCTCACCAATGCACATACATCGCATCCTTTCTACCAATCACGCACAACGGACATTCCACTCCTTCGCTACTCCGTCCTCCCGCTTTTCCAGAAATATTCCCGCATAGATCTTCATCATCACCTACCCGATCTATACCTTCCATATGCACTCTCCCACATGGTGAATGACGAAGGATGAATTGTAAAAAACGTCGATCTCCCTCTTCTCTTTCAATCCTTCCCGAAAGCCCCAACCTCCAAATATCAGATACGGCAGGAGAGAGAGAAATCGATGGGAAAACAATACATACACGAAATAGTTGCTCGAAATGTACAAGGGTAATGTACAACAGCAATCGCGGCCTCTCGCCACCAATTAAAAGTGTCGTCAGGAAGAGAAAGGAAGGGGAAAATAGAGACGTCACATTGTAGTTTTTTTTACATTGTAATCCTTCCTGCATGGCGCTCTTTGCTGACTGCATGGTCTACGGGCGGGGCGGGGCGGGCGGTTGACGGTGCGCGGACGGAGTTCACTCGGAGGTCGTGTGCGGGAACTACACCGTGAGATGTACTCCGTACAAAGCGACTTTGCTCGATGGACGTGCGGATCGCAAGCTTGTGGCGAACCAACTGGAGCTTCGTGAGGTGAATGCATGGAGCGAAGAACATATGCATGAGGGGCGGAAATGGGTATGTGATGGCTAATGTGGTGTACGTTACACGGCATGAGCAGAGAAGCCTAGATCGGAGTTGGAGATCTGCCATGGGTAAGAGAGCGAGACATGGGAGTTTCTGACAGAGACACATATGCACTGAATTCATGCCGAACACGTGAGTGAGTGAGTTTGGTTTGATATTGTTTATTTGTAGACCATCTACTACGACAGAATACATAGTACATAGGGTAAAGAAATAAAGGTTGTTTTAAAGACGAAAGCGAAAAAGAGCAAGCTGAAATGGGTATCGATGCTCGACAAGAGAAGAATAGAAGAAAAATGTGGAAGATGAGAAGCGAAAAGATGCGTGCAAAGAAACAAAAGACAGACGCCATATAGATCTCGTGAACAAAACAATAAAAGAAAGCCTTGCCCCATCGCTGATGCATTTCGAAAGCATGTGATTTCATATCTGGGTCGTGATGGTGTTTTGGTCCCTCCCTTCTCTCGTCTTATGCACAAGGGGGAGTGCAGATGGTAAGGGTCATAATTGGCTTTTGTCGTCAACAGGACTTGATGAGGGAGGTGGTGTGATTGTGTTGATGGGACCGAGGGTCCACACCCATTCCCGAGGCTTCTTGCTTCGTCGAGTGATGGGTGTCGAGGGGCAGATGTCGCTGTCTGAGTCATCTTCCGAAGAAGAGTCGCGTTTGTCACCACAGATTGGTGATCTGATAGGCAGGGTTGCTGCCTTCTTGTGTTTTTGTTGTTGTTGGACGTAGCGTCCATGACCCGAGGGCAGAGGTTCTATCGTGGGAGTTGATGAGGGAGTCGGCTCAATGTCGGAGTGAGCGAGAGTGTAGAGGTCGTTGTGAATGTCTTCGGTCAGGGGTGCACGGAACGAGACCTTCTTGGCCGAGGGGAACATGGGTCGGGTACTTGAGAAAGACTTGCGACGGCGGACACAGCCATGAGGGCCGTTGGTGAGGATGGAGTGGTGGTTGAAGGGAAGACGGTAGGGGATGGGCTTGTTGTATGAGTCGTCGGTCGAGATGGAGGAGATGGAAGAGTCGGTCGAGGCCGAGGTTGCAGAAGTGGCTGACATGCAGCTGTCGGTAGAGGAAGAACGCGGAGGTTGCTGGTGAGTAGGTGCTACCGAAGTGTCCAGACACAGTCGAGACTTGGGTCGTACATCCTCATGGGGAGTCATAGCATCAGGACTCGCGACATGATGCGATCCGTAGGCATTGCTGAAGGTGTTCCTAGCAGTAGGCGAAGCTATTGAAGGGGTGTCCAGGCGGAGTCCGGTAGTGCTCTTGCCAAATGTCGATGGCAGGGAAGCAGTGTTGAGAGAGAGTTTCGGTCGTCTGGCCGGAGCAGTCGGGCGAGAGACGGGCGTGTGCGACGGTAGTATGGCGAGTGACATTGTATCCACGGGCATGAGTGCCAGCATCACGCGGGCGTCGACGGTAATATACTGTGGGCGAGTTGTGCAGTCGAGGTGTTGGCTGATCTAGCCGCTCATCGCCACAGAGGCTGTCGTAAACATCCAACCAAGTCAGCAGGTCCAGAGGGGCGCGGCGAAGGTGAACGACACAGGACTGGCCGATGACGCGCGTGAAGGATGCCTGTCCCTCTTCTATCTTGGGCACAGCACCAAAGGGGAGTGGGAGGGGGAGCCACCCGCTTAGATGTCAAAGGTCAAAGCCTCTGTTGGTTCTAGCAGGAGACGACCTGACACACTGGCCGTTCTGATACACTGGCGCCGCAAGGATTCGTGTGAGAGAAGAGTGCCTGTGTCTTCAGGATGCGCTTGACAAAGTCATAACGACGTCTGGGTTGGGAGCCATGGCCCTTGTAAACCGTGACCGGCAGAGCGGGCGCCAAAGAAAGAAAAATCTCGTCCTTGGAGCAATTCTAAACGAAGCCGATCTGCCCATGCATCGTCTCTATCCCATCCAACTTACCAAACATCCAGCCAACCACTCGCAGATGCTGCACGAGACGGTTCTTGCCGCGGCGCTGTGACCTCTCTCCTCGTGTTCTATTTCGAGAGAAAGCCCTTAGCCCCGCCTGTCACTTAGACCCCTCCGTCACCAAGTCCAACGGCCAGGGTTGAACGCCATCTCACGAATCAATGGCCAGAACCACTTTTGCTTGCTGCATCTCCAAATTTGCCGTGCTGCATTGATTTCTCGCCCCGTCTGTGTCTGAACACTCCTGAAACGCTACTCGCTGCTGCAACTCATGCGCTCTGCAAAATCTTCTCGACACCTCCTCGATCGCGCCATTCCTGAAGCTTCCCCTGGCCCACGACATCGGCCGGGCTGAGTAGTATGGCGACGTGGTTTGGAGGCGTATGTCCGCCGCGAGTTTCGCTCCGGCGTGGCGCTTCATATACATCACCAAGTCCAGACACGTAATTCACCTCCCTGCTTATACATGCGTCCGGCTCCCCCCTTGTCGGATTGGCAACATCAAAACACCTCCCGTCTTCTTGTGCTACGGCCGTTCTCTGCTTGCTGTTGCAAGATATGCGACTCAGTGCACTGTATTAGCCCTGCTCTGTGGGGAGCCGACACTTGAAACACCTTCCTCTTACACTTCACTTGCCAATATCTGTGCCAATGGTCTGCTTTCCAGACGTACCTGCATATCTTGCCGTTCTGCTATTCAGAACTCTCTTTCTCCTTGTCTTCGGGTCCTTTGATTTTTGTTCGGAATCAAATTTCCCCCATCAAGAGCAGTGGAGTCTTTCGCAGCCACAGAATACGAAGCCTAGAGTTTAATTTGGTCGCTTTCGCTATCCTAAAGCCCAAGCGCCGACAGACGTTTTTAGGTCCTGTGCCGAGGGAAAGCCGCTTTCAAAGCAAGCAAGCAATCGTCCGGGGTGTCCTTCTAATCCTTGATCGCAATGAGTCGAACGACAGGATAAGCCCGGTCCACGGACTTTTCTAAAATAGAAGGGTGTTTGCCACTGCTGAGAATAACATAGGCAACCGCAACAACAACAACAACAACGACGAGTCCTGTCATCACGGACTCACAACTTCTAGTTGCAACCGTTTTACGAATGATTCAAGAGTTCTTATCCCGTCAAAGACATGACTGCTGATTTGGAGCCGCACTCACCCGCATCGCATGCCAGTCACACTCACGCTGATCGCGCGCATCGCTGATCAAAAGCGACCCATCGAGGATCTGGCGGCGGTCAAGCGCTTGCCAAACGCCCGTCAAGTTAGGAGAGCGCCTGTTCTTGGTCGCATGCGCTTCATCTCTCATGCTCAACCGTTATTCATACATCTAGATTGACTTGCAGAGTTTCAGCTGCAATACCAGTTCCTCACAGTTTGTGGGTCTTGAGGACAAGCGTTACAAGAACTGGCACGACCATGAAATTGAAGCTTGAAGTGCCTCCACTCGGGGTTACATGTGGGTCGTTGCAATGGTTCCCGTGTGCCAGAATCTGGCGCATAGTAATTAGCTGTGAAGATGCAGAATAGTAAGATCGCCCGTGGAGAAGGGCTTACTGACGCGCTCTCACCAGACATTATTGCACTAGCTGGAAAGCAAATATGCATTTCGACGACCGTAACATTTTCGTGTACGATCGCGAGAGAGAAGCGAAAGTGACAAACCCTCACATATATTCAGGATCGATGAACAAGTCATCGACACAGGGTATGCTCGTATCTTGGCGCATGGACCGGTGCGATCCGAATGGACGTGGAGAGTGCCTTGGACGTGCATACCAGACTGCAATTTACAACGACAGCGCACGGTTTCCTCTATACATGAATGTTGATTGAATGCCGGACGGTGGGTATTGCATTGCATCACCGCATGCCGACAGCACACTGCGGTTCACGGCAGGAAAAAAGAGTGACTCTTGCAGCTCCAGCAGTGTTGCACAAAGCAGTGAGACGAGTGTCGTGCATTGGAGCTCGTGAGACCGCTTCTGCCATTCTCACCGCAACGGCATCAATTGCACCGTTCGCTGTGCCTGCCTATAACGGGTATTCTCTGTCTGTCTGCAGACCAGTGGTTGAGCTCATATAGACCCCACCACATGGCTAGCTATATGAGACATGCTGTCATCATATCACCCCTTCCGCTGCAAAGTTGGCATTCCGACATTTCGGACGTCTATCCAAGTTCATGTGGTTAGTAAGCTCTCCCAATGGATATTCAATCCTGGTAAAACTTCGTACATCATTGTAATGAGACCCTCCAATCAACGAGACGCTCCGAGAGAGCTCCGTGCTATTCAGATCGCCCTGAGGAACGAATCACAACCACAACGATTTCTGCCTTCCCGCATGTCTTGTACCCATGTGCTAAGGTCTGTCATGCAGGAATCGGCTGGAAGGCATGGAGATTCTTCGATCTCTAGATGCGTTCAGAGAGCGTGTCAAGTAGCTCATCTCACTGCATCACGCTCTTGGAACAAAGTCATGGTTCGCGTTCGCGATGGTTTCGTGTTCCGCTACTCTCGTGTTTTGAGATCACATCAATTCATCTCTCATGAATCGTCGAAAAGAGACATGTTCGTGCCTGCCATACCAGATCTATCTTTTTGGTTAAGGCTAGTCAATAGGGTCGGCGAAACCACGGGTGTAGCGACCCCTCCTTCCGACTTCCAGTGATCGACCTATCCTGTCCAAAACAGGCAGCTCGTCAACCAACCACCTTCTTTTTCGCCCTTGAAGCCGCGCATGATGTGCTACACCGCCGGCCACGAAGCCGCACCAGCACGAATGGTGTAGCCTGTGCCTCGATGTCATGAGTCTCAAGAAACACAATCACACGATGCCAGTGTGCTTCCAAAACACGTCTTGATGACACTGCGAAAACAAGCTTTAGGAAAAGCCTTGATTCAACTCACCAGAAGGTCTTGGTATGCTTTCTATCTCTTATCAACACGCGAGGACGTCATCAACAGCATGGTCGTCCCGACAAACCCTTGAGCTACTATGGAATATCCTTTTGCCGGCCTTCGAGCTGCTTGTTGGAGTTTAGCTGCCAATTAACCTTGACCATCTCTGCCTCTCTTGTCGACATCTCGTATCAATCGCATGAATTAGCCCATCATCCAGCATGGTTAGTTTGCTGCCTAGAAACTCACGGTGCGGAGAAAAGTATAAGATAGTTGATTGAGGCCTTTTGTCGCGTGAGTTTGTGTTCTGTCTCTCATCAACATACCTCTCAATCAAGATGTTTGGAGGAAAGATTATGCTAAGCAGCGCTGCTGCCTTGCTCTCGGCTACAGGAGTGTCCGCACTTGTCCCAGTTCTTGACAAGAGGCAGTACTTCCCTGCCAATGCCACCGGCCTCAAGACCATCACTGTAAGTACACGACAAAGCGACAGGCTAGACTGACGACAGCTGACCCTAGGCATAGACTCCCGGATCAAATGTCACCATCCGTTACAAGGAGCCAGGCAAGGAGGGTGTTTGCGAGACCACACCCGGTGTTAACTCGTACTCTGGATACATCGACCTTGCTCCTGACATGCACACTTTCTTCTGGTTCTTCGAGTCTAGGCGTGACCCTGCCAACGATCCGATTACACTCTGGCTCAACGGAGGCCCGGGAAGTGACTCGTTGATCGGACTGTTCCAAGGTAATTGAGCCCCAATTATCTTGCAGACATGCATTGTGATCTCTCTAGAGGCCCCAGTCTTTAGGAAAAAGATCGCGCATTGATGCAGTACTTTTGCAAATGTCGGGGCCTGACGGGAACTCAACTGTGCATCGAAGCGTCAACTTTCACGAATCTCCGCTGACCTGATTGACCTCAGAACTTGGTCCTTGCAATGTTACAGCCAACCTCACAACCCAGGTCAACCCATACAGTTGGAGCGAAGTCTCGAATATGCTGTTCCTTTCCCAGCCTTTCGGTGTTGGCTTCAGTTACTCTGAGGAAGAGCAAGGCTCGTTCAACCCTGTCACTGGCTCCTTCCAGAACGCGACCGAGGCCAATGCAACTGGTACTTACCCCGCTATCAATGCCACCGAGATCGACACCACCGATCTTGCCGCCATTGCTGCCTGGCACGTTCTGCAAGGATTCCTTGGTGCTTTGCCTCAACTCGACGCTGAGATTGGAAGCAACAAGGAGTTCAACCTCTGGACTGAATCTTATGGAGGGTATGTATACCATAGGCGTAAACTCCGCGAGCCTATCATGGCCTCGTCGAATGGAAGCCGTATCCCGATTTATCGTGTAGCTTTGCTGACCATGTCTTATAAAGGCACTACGGACCTTCTTTCTTCAACTACTTCAACGACCAGAACAAGCTCATCTCCAACGGAACCATTCCTGGTGTCAAGCTCGACTTCAACACTCTGGGTATTGGAAACGGTATCATCGACGAGTACATTCAGGCACCTCACTACCCCGAGTTTGCTGTCAACAACTCTTACGGCATCAAGTCCGTCAACGATACTGTCTACAACTACATGAAGTTTGCCTTGAACATGCCCGGTGGCTGTCTCGATCTGGTTGACAGTTGTCGCCAGTCCAGAGAGACCGGCCAAGAAAATCTGGCCACGCAGACCATCTGTTCTGAAGCACAGGATATGTGCAGAGATAACGTTGAGGGACCTTACTACTCCTTCAGTGGTAGGGGCACATACGATATCAGACACCCTCGCAACGACCCCACTCCCCCTGAGTACTTTGCCGATTACTTGAACATTGCTGAGGTCCAGAACGCTCTCGGTGTTAGCGTCAACTACACTGAGTCGAATAACGACATCTACTATGCCTTCCAGGCCACTGGTGATTTCGTCTATAACAACTTCTTGACAGATCTTGAGGAGCTGCTCGCTCAGGGCCTTCGCATCAGCTTGTTCTACGGGTTAGTAACCCCTCTAGTCTCATCTCTCGACTTTTGCTAACATGATTGACAGTGACGCCGACTACATCTGCAATTGGTTCGGTGGAGAAGCCATCTCGCTCGCCATGAACTACACCCACAGCAAGGAGTTCGCCGCAGCCGGTTACGAACCCTTCACTGTGGACGGAACCGAGTACGGTGAAGTTCGCCAGTACGGCAACTTCAGTTTCCTCCGCATCTACGACGCTGGTCATGAAGTTCCGTACTACCAGCCCCAAGCTGCGCTCGCCCTCTTCAACCGCACTCTTAACCACTGGAACATTGCCGACGGTACTGAGATGGTCACTGCCAACCTTACCAGTTACGGCTCGCCCAACGCTACTCACACTCAGTCTTTTGTACCTCTGCCTCCTACTTCGACTGCCAGTGCTTCTGCCACTGATGGTGCTGATATTGTACCTATCGGATGGAGATCTTAGATCAGCAATGAGAAGAGGTGCGCGACATGAATGTAGAGATCATGTTGTCGAATCTACGTATAATGACAATGGCTACATATGTCCCAGAAAGTATGTAAAATATGAAATCAAGACCGTATGATAACACAAAGAAAGTCGAATGAGATTGATCTTGAATCTCAGCCCAAGCTTTGAAAGATGGATTCACTACAATGATCAACGCTTATGTTGAACTCGCACTCTCTGATCGTGGCTGCTGCATGCTTATATAAAGGCAGAATGATTTCGGTACCAGGGTCGCGCACAGTCAGAGCTTGTAAAGTTGGCGTTCTCACGAGGACAATTTCGTCTCAAAACACATTGTGAATCTTGATAGACTCTCTCTAGCACTCGCTGATGGCAAGGATACTATACTGGTCCCACTGATGTCAAAACATAGCTTGAATAATGCTGGTCCCATGGTTATATTGTTCTCGCCAACCCATGCTCATGCTGCAGCACAATCCTTTCTGGATGAGGGGTCGACGCCTGGAAATCCTTCGTGCCTTCCTTCGAGCTTTATCACGTCGTACTTGCCTTCGCAAGAACTCTCAAGACCTTGACTAAAACATCTTGCATCGCGACAATATTCACTTTTATCCATCATGGCGTCTGAGAAAAAGGCGCTTTCCCTCAAGGAAAAGTATCCCGAGATATATGCTCAGAAGGATATTGATCGAAGGGGGTATAAGCGTGTTGTTCCCATGGAGATTTTGTCACTGAGCTTGGGACGTACGGGTACAATGTGTGAGTGGTTTTTTCGTCGTTCGATTCAGAATGAAGAGGACTGTGTGGGTCAAAACTTCATATCGGTTTCCCTTGAAACAAAAGGGTTATATATGCAAGATGGTTTTGATGTCAGTATGATTGTTCAATGAGAGTGTTCACCATTCTGTGCTCTCACTGAACAGTTATTCTGACATGAAAATCTTTGTATGTTCCCACAACGCCTCAGCAGTCGCAGTGGCATGAAGTTCGATTCAGGGGCAGTTTGTTTAGCTACTCCACTATCACAACTGAACAAAACTAACAAATCATAACAGCCATGAAAGCAGCCTACGAGATTCTCGGCTACCCAACCTACCACTGGGTCTCCATGATGGAGAACCCCAAAGACCTAGACCTTTGGACCTCCGCCTTGATCAGAAAATACGACGACGACAACAACAACCCATACACACTGGCCGAATGGGATGCTCTCCTCGGCCACGTCTCCGCAGTCACAGACTCCCCTATCAATGCTTTTGCCCCTGAACTCATCATCGCTTATCCTCACGCCAAAGTCGTGCTGGTTGAACGCGATACAGAAAGTTGGTATAAGAGTTTTGAGAAGAATGTTATCAGCTCTTTTGCAGCACCGTTTACGAGACTTGTTGTGAAATTGGAGCCGGAGTTTATTGGGAAGATGGGGAGGATTGGTGGGTTACTTATGCGTGGGCAATGGGATTCGAAAGACTTTGACGAGTGGCGTGCGAAGGCCAGAGATGGGTATGAAGAACACAATGCTCTGGTCAAAAGACTGGTACCCAGAGAAAGGTTACTGCTATATAAGCTGGGGAGTGGATGGGAGCCTTTGTGTCAGTTCTTGGGGAGGGATATACCGGACGTCGAGTTTCCGCATGTAAACGAGACCGAAGAGTTGCAGGAGCGGGTGTTCTTGAGTCTTATGCTGGGATTACGAAGAGCATGTATAAGGTCGATACCCTGGTTGATACTGTTTGTGGCTGTAGCTTTGGGTCTTTGGAGATCTCTTGCTTGAGAGCATTCTCTCCGTCTCGAACGGTGGAATCATCACAATGCAGAAACTTATCAAAAGTACTGAATGCACCGGAGAGAGCTGGAAACGCCTTCTGGTAGATATCAAAAGGGTTGTGCGTTTTGATAGCCTACTAACAAATCCACGCGTTTGCTACTTACTCTCATGTCTTTGTCCGCTTAAAGATTCTGGATCTTCTTGCCTGAATCTTCGCGTCAACTTCTATTTCCTTTGCTGTGACTGAAATACGTATAATCATCATCCCAGCATACCATTTGCTCCAGCTGTAGACTATTGCGTTGAGAATCGCAGTTCAATGGACTGCTGAGCAGAGGAGTTTGTGTAATACAGATAACGGTGAGAAATCTCTAGAATAATGCCGTGGTATGAGCTTCTTGCGCATATTCCCTCAGAAGCACGTAAGAAGCAACTTTGGGACAGTGATTAGTCACATCCTTGCTTATCCTATATATTCTTTCCTACTGGCTCGTGGCTACTACTCCCTTTTACAAAATTCAAATCGTATTTGACAAGAATTAATCATGATTTCTCTACCGTTCAAAAAATGGCCATTTGGAAGAAAGGCAGTTGACAACAGTCTTCCGTCATACACGGATATCTATCCTTCTGCATCACCTCAAGCGCATACGGATGTCTCGGTCCACAGACTACAGACCTTCATCACATGGCGACTGGCTATCGACTATCGTCTCACGTCTAGCATACCAAAGCCCAACAGGCCGAACGAAAGTGAATACGCGTATTTCGCAAGCCTCTGTCAAAGATACTGCATGATTCTTGCGCAAAGGAATGAAACCGGAGAGGAGATGATTGCAATCAGGCAACAACTACAAGAGGACGTTTTCGATCCAGCCCTCACCCTCGGCATACCGGCAGACATTGCAGAACTCTTTCTCTTCAGCACACGCATCTTCATCAAGAGGTGCCGCAAAAACACCTATATGGGAAGATGGTCTGCTAAGAGACATACCATGGCAGTCATGTCCCGCTGCGCCGTCGACTACAACGTTATCATCACCTCGGTAGTGACGGATCCCAGCTTGGCTTGCGAAATGATGGCGAAGTGCCTCAAGCTGCACAGCTACTCTTTCCGCTGCTTCTTGAGTCCAAAGTACTACACGCTACCTGATCTCAACATGGAATTACTACCCAGCTATATGACCGAGACCCCAAGTCACTGGCCAAACGTCTTGGAAATTCTCAAACAAGCTCACCGCACACCAGCCAAGTCGAAAAACGACAAGACTCTGCGTATCGACTTTGCAGAGTTCAAACAGTGGACACCGAGATTTAGTGATGGCATAAGACCTGGGGTTATATTGGCCAAGGATGACGACAAACTCGCAAAATGGGAAAATCGTCTCCCGCAATGGGCGCAATTGCATAGAGGTTTCATGGCAAATCCTGACTGGGAATACAAGGACGTAGCTCCAGGGGACGGGCTAGCTCCTGGTAATCTAACCTTGAAAGAAAGACAGGAAGTTGAGAGAAAGATTCGAACGCGGACTCTGGGAAAGAGTCCAAAAGACCACAGATCAGCGATTAAGGATGCGCTATGTGTTGACTGACCATCCAAGAGATCGACGGTAGTTTTGTGAATCTGACGGTACACTATTGTTGGCGGTCGTGATCCCAGCGAGCGCGTGCAGTATCGAACCGGGCTGTCAAAATGCACAAATCTTTTGAGATACGCTGAGAGGTCCAAAGAGAGTAAGATATTCCAAGCTCTCGAGCCAACTTGACAAACGCCAAACACCCTGCTGCAATGCACAGTGTTTTGAAGAAACACAGGAGAGTCCAGTGAGAGGCGAAACCCATCTACTGAATTTCAGGCTCTCCTTGAATATTCGCTGATATCAGAGAAACATCGTGCATTCCAGCAACCTCTGATCAGACCAAGCGGGGTGCATTGGAGTCGTGATCAAATTTGATCTCAAGCCCAGTGGATGGAGACCGAAAATGTTGTTGTAATGCACGAAGGTATTGAAAAGCATCGAAGAGTCCGGTGAGAGTGAAATCTTCTGTCACGCTCTCTGGACATGCTCTGATTTCCAAAAACACCGTGCATTGCGGCTGCCCCTGATCACATAGCCCTGCATGCTTGAGAGTCCGTATCGAGTGTTGATTCCAAGACCAGTCAAAGGGCGAAACATACTGCTGCAACGCACAAGATTCTTGAACAACGCGAGAGAGTCCAGTGAGAGTCGATATGTCTGTTCTGGATTTTCAGCTCTCTTTGGACCCACGCTAGTTTTCGAAAACTACTTTGCATTTTCACAGTGTCTTTTCGATAGGCGTTGTGATTAAAAGATGTGAGAGGTCCGCTGCTACGATACGCAAAGTTCTTCAACGGCTCTGGTATAGTACAAAGAAAGCTAGTATGGCCTTCAGCTTTCTCTTCACAGCCAGTCTCCAAGACTTCTTGCATTTCTAGAACATCATTTCCGAGGCGGGGATGGAGAGGGAGGTCGACAGGCTTCTCTGTTTGTGACATGAGAGTCGAGAAAAACGAAGTTCGTTGGATTTGTGATAATCAGTAGATCGATCTAGTCATATATACATACCCCCCAACGCCATGCACTTTTAGATACTTCAAAGAACCAAAGCTATTATAACAGATGAGAAAGATTCAGGCTTATGACGCACGCATCTCCTGCTGTCCATCGGTGCCAGGAATATGCTCGGAGGTTCTGAAGACAGCCTTCATGGCGTCCTCAAGGATGTCCATACCTTGCTCAATCTCGGACTTAGAGATGATGAGCGGGGGGACGAAGCGAAGGGTGTTGGTTCCGCAGGTGATGATCAGAAGACCACGCTCGCGGGCAGCGGTAACGACAGGAGTGGGGTCTTGGGAGAGCTGGACACCGAGCAAAAGACCACGCCCACGGACCTCAGTGATGACATCGGGGTAGTTCTGCTTAAGCTGCTCAAAGCGCTTGCGGAAGACCTTCTCTTTTGCCAAAACACCGTCCTGGATCTCGGAGCCTGAGAGACGACCGACGATGTAGTGTGCAAGGCGAGAACCAAGAGGGTTGCCACCGAAAGTGGTTCCATGGTCGCCAGTCACGATCTTGCTGGAGACGTTCTCGGTGACAATGGTAGCGCCGATAGGGAAGCCGTTTCCAAGGGCCTTTGCGGTGGTGAGGATGTCGGGGTGTGCCTCCTTGGGCAGAGCTCCGTGGGCCCACATGGTACCGGTACGGCCAAGACCGCACTGGATTTCGTCGAAGATGAGAACAGCACCGACCTCTGTGCAGCGGCGGCGAAGGGCAAGGAGGAACTCGTCAGTCGCGACGTTGACACCACCCTCACCTTGAATGGGCTCAATGATGACACCGCAAGTCTTTTCGGTGACGAGGTCGTTGATGGCAGAGACATCGTTGTATGTGCCGTATCTGAAACCAGGAACCATGGGACCGAAGGGCTTCTGGTACTTGGGGTTGGGAGTGGCGGAGAGGGAGCCCATGGTACGACCGTGGAAAGAGTTGTGGAACGAGACAATCTCATGCTTATCACCAGACTCATCAGCCATGCGACCACACTTGCGAGCGAACTTGATGGCAGCCTCGTTGGCTTCGGATCCAGAGTTGCAAATGAAAGCTCGTGCTGCGTCGGACATGGCTCCTGATTCCACCGTCTTTTCAATGAGTAGCTTGGACAATGCGCCGGTCCAGGGGTTGTGGTAAAGGTTCGATGTGTGAACGAGGGTTTGTGCCTAAAAGAAGCATTAGTACAGGCATATTCACTCAACGAGGAGGATTCTGACTGACTTGGTGAGCGAGCAGCTTGGACATCTCGGGGTCGCAGTGACCCAGAGCATTGACGGCGATACCAGAGGTGAAGTCGAGATATTGTCTGTTCTCAACGTCCCACAAGAAACATCCTTCTCCCTTCTGGAACATTGGTGGTGGGCGAACATATGTAGGGACCATGAACGGTGTCGACTGGCCTACCAGGCGGCTGGTCTGAGAGTCTGACTGAGGATCCGGAGTCGCCAGGGTTGCCTCCTTCTATTCATATCGTCAATTCGGTTCATCTGGTTTTACGAGGATATTGCGCACTTCGATGGCACTCTTGAGTGCCGCGGGCAAGTTTGATGCAGCGGCAGGAGTGGCATAACCACGGCGCAAAGCCAATGGCCTGAGCGAGGCGCTCAATCGCGATGAACAGATACGGAAAGACATGATGGGTATAAGAAGTCAAACACAAATGCAAGAAAATCAAAGGAAACGCTTCAACTTTTTTGATTGACAAGATACAGCTATTGTTGAGTCACGCTTTGACTCGAAATTTCTCTTATCAAGGTGGGATCCTGCATGCAGATGAGTCGTCTTTTCCTGGGGAAGGAACCCCGACCTCGGCTCGACACACCCGATCTCGCCACGAGGGTGTTCTTACAGAACGTATCTCTGGTCCCTCAAGGACCCATGCTCTCAAGAATCCCATCCATCAAAACGCACGAATTCGTCGAGGAATTGAAGAAGGCCCGGTGAGTGAGTAAGGAATCTGTACCTTCAGTGATCAAGTCTGAACACCACTGTGCAATTTGACAAGCGATAAGATCAACCATGCTGTGCAGGGAAAGCTGGCGCTGAATAACAAAATCACATCCGCCTGATATCGACTCTTGGATTGATCAATGATGGCTTCATCCTCGAGAACAGCTTCAACTTTGAACACTGAGCACATGATCAACCTGACTACGCGAATTGTCCGCTTGACCGAATATGGCGAAACACTCAATTGCATGGAGTCTTGGTTCGATTACAGGGAGAATAAGATATGCAAAATACCAACCAGGAGCAGAGCCTCCCTCAAGCTCCCTTTCGATGACGTAGCTAGCCATATCTCTGAATACCTGGATGAACAGATGCTTCCAACTACCATCAATTCATGTCAACCCACGCCGACTCTCTCACCAGGCACCAGCTATCGCGATCTACATGCGATCAATCATTTGAAACATAATCAACAATGATATTCGTCGACCCAATACGCCAGTTGCTCCAGATACGAGCATCGCCATCGAGATGGCATATATTCGAATGGTGTGATTTGACAATGTAAGAAATTGGAAGTCAAGTCATGTACTCGTACACATACAAGAGATCTCGTCAGATCTGAGCTCCGGTCAAATCCATCTGTCCCGACGCAGCATTGAATGCCAGCAGAGAGCTCTGGTCATCGAGAGCATAAGCTACAAGCTCTCAGGGTGCTCTCATGAATATTCTGCATCGCAGTGATGGCACAGATCAAGATACACTGCCATGTCTGAGTCTGAGCCCTAACGAGATCTCGCTGCAAAGCCCCAGTACCAAGTACCAGTTCTGATTTCCATGTCCACAGAACTCCATCGTTTATCAAGCATTGCTGCCAGGACATGCTCACAGCCCAATGGACACGAAAACTCCCACTCATACAACAAACTGCTCCAGCAAAACTAGCAGCCAGACTCATTCACACCTTTCTTCACGACTTTCCCGACATTGATATGGAACAATACTTTGTCATCGATTTCTGTTCAGGAGCTGGAGGTAAGCGAATCAATTACGTTCATGCCATACGTGCTCTTGCAAGCAATGCCCCTGAGACTGGCCTTCCTGCAACGATCAGCGCCATCTTTCAGAACTAGTAAGAGACAAGGAGTTGTTGAAGCCAGGCTTGGGGGCGTTGGGAGCGCATGCAGCGGTTATTCACAAGGGGCAACCGGCACTAAAGAGAACTTCGCGTCTACACACAATCAGATGGGGATACACTTCTGAAGCACCTCACGATACACCGTCCCCGTGTGCTAAAGTTTGTCACCGATACTGCTGTCAAAATGCACGATGATTTTCAAATGTAGAGCTAGGTCCAAGGAGAAGGCCCCAGATAGTCGCTCTCTGTGGATGACCTACTCTTTCTCAAGGACATTGTGCATTTTGATGGGTGGAAAGATGCGCATCGCAGCGGCTTGAGAGTCAAAGTTACCTACTTTAGCACATGGAGAGGACCGATGTTGACATGAACCTATAAGCGCAAATAGCTAACATCACAAATCCAGGTCCAACACCTCTGATAGAGAAGACCGTGAACGAAGCCAGAGCTCGAGCAGGCCACCAAGCCATCCCCTTCCGTCTCTCTGACTTCCATCCAAACTTGGACGCCTGGATGCCGTTAGCAACCCACAGCGCCAATCTTAGTTTTATACCCCAGCCAGTAGATGCCACTGATACCTTGCACGCACCCCCTCTCGTGGTCTCCAAAACGTCCTCCATGCCGAATTCGACAGGCGATCATAAGTCCATACACCTGTACAACCTCTCCTTTCACCATTTCGCAGACGCAGACGCTGCCAGAATCATGGCTAGCACGCTGACCACTGCCGATGGACTGGCTATCATCGAACTCCAGGACCGCACCTTGGGCATGCTCCTCCTCATGGCTGGCGAATTCTTCCTCCTCTTCCTCCTGACAATTTTCTGGTTCCCGTACTCACCTCTCCATCTGTTCTTCACTTACATCATTCCCGTCTTGCTATTTGTACAAGCCTGGGATGGTCTTGTCAGTTGTCTCCGCACCAGGACATTTGAGGAAACGCTTGCACTCGCGGAAAAAGCACTCGGCCAAAAGGCCAAATTCGTCAGCTCAGAGGACACCGAGATCGGAGAAAAAGTCACCGTCGCTATTTGTGGGGATTGGAAGTTCGTCGGTGTTAGACGCTTACACACATGGCCTTTTGGCTATATGAATGCCTTTTTAGGTCAGAAGAGGTTGTAACACGCGAAGCCCCCAACCACCCACACTTTCTCTATCTATCTCTCACGGCTACAACCAAAGCCCTCCGGGCTGGAGAAATGCACAATGATTTTCTGACCAGTGCAGCCCTGCACTGAGAGGCGGTGACTTTCACACTCTCAGTGGAGGGCTGCATTGATCTGAAAAGCATTGTGCATTTTTGCAGCATGTTTTGTAGGATATTCACAAAGCAGCACTCATCACGTGATATTCACGGTCGGTTAGCTCAGTTGGTTAGAGCGTGGTGCTAATATCTTCCTTCTCCGGTGTCATTTCGGTCACTACGAGGGATTGTATCTGGAACGCCAAGGCCGCGGGTTCGACCCCCGTACTGACCAGTCTTCTTTTGCTTCCCTGTGGTGAGGGGCTGCCTCTTTTCTTGTCGCTGGAGGATTGTCATTATGATTCTCATGCGTTGGTCAGGCGGAGTTATACTGCAGGGATGCACGGTGTATTTTTTGGCACGCTAAACATCACCAGAGAGAGTGTGGAGAGAAGCGAGGCAGACAACACTTCAATGAAAATATTCTACCTCCGACAAACCAGCCTTTATGATGTGAAATCTCAAGGCCAATACTCCTTCAACCACTCCTGCGCTTCAATTACCCAATCTACCTCCAGCCCAACCTCATCATTATCAAACCCATGTTCCTTGCCCACAACAACCCTACTCTCCACTTTACCTCCCTCTTTCTCTCCAAAAACACTCTTCACCTCCTCCATAAACTTCCACGTACCTTGAATGGGAATAATCGAATCTTCATCTCCGTGAAAAATCCACATTGGCATCAATGGTTTCCCTTCTTCCTTGACTTTTTTCAAATTCTCCAAGGGAAACAGCGATGAGTCGGCGCCTAGGATTTCGGTATATCGTCCTTGCTGCAACAATGCGACGAAGAGGTCCAGATCTTCTTCCTTGGGGATGCGAGAGGTCACCGGAGCAGCAGTCCCGGCGACTTTCAATTGCGCGTCTAGCCAGCCTGGAGGATATGATGGGGGAGGTTGATTGAAGATTTCCTTGTGGCTGGGGATGCTGTACCATGCGTCTTGAAGGTCAATCATGGGATAATGGGCGATGACCGCTTTGACACCTTTTGTTTCTCCCAGGAGGGAGGATTGGATTGCCATGTAGCCGCCTGCTGATTCACCTGTTATGAGGATATTCGAGAGATCTGGGGTGGGGCGAGAGTCAGAGAAGGAGGAAATCAGGAAAGACGAGAGGGAGGTGTGGAGCCAGGTGTAGAAGGTGTGGAGGTCGGAGAGGATGTCGAGGCCAGGTGATTCGGGCAGCAGACGGTAGTCCGGGCATACGATTATGGCCTTGTGGAGGGCTGCTAGTTCGATTATCCTGGCGGCGAGAAGGGAAGTTAGTGGTTTGATCTTGGGTACAAAGATATAGCATTCGAGATCTCTTGTAGATACCAGTCTCTCTTTCTATGCGTCACGCAGAGTTGACAACTTGAAGGAAGCTACGATGTTTTCCGAGATTGGTGGAGTCGTCACCAGAGAAGTGTCATTCTACACACACTCACTGAAACAACCATTCAATCTTCAACATTATCGTGTATCCTGACAGTATGTTCATACTAGGTGCGACTCCTCTAGGAACCACGCTCCCAATTTTCTTTACTCCAAAAACTCGATATGAGATCATCAAATCTTATGCAGGAAAATCACTCACCATCTAGGAAACCAAGGCTCATAATCTCTGCCACCATTTATCAATGCACCGCCATGCCACCTCACAAGCACTGGTAGAGTTGATCCTTTGTCAACATTCTTCGGTACGAAGACAGTAATGCCAATTTCCAGGCCATCAAAGGAGGTGTAAGTCGTGTCTTGACGGTCGAAAGCATGAAGTTTAGTTGTTGACAATAGTTCGGCCATCCTCGCGGGTAGTCTGGAACCAAATCTGGCGATAAAAGAGTCCAGATGTGAGATTGTGGATGCTCAGAGATGTTATTGAAAGTTGTCAGGAGAGTCTATCTATTTAGCCTGAGATGGTTCGTTAGCGGGGTATCGTATTTCGGTCAGTCATTATACCGGCAAGCAAGTCATGAGAACAGAGCAGCAAACACAAAGAAATTTTAGAGAAGAGCGTAAAGACTGACACGAAGGTGTATGTAGATACAATTGTTGTCATTAATCTAGCTAAAAACTTCCGAAAGGGCTGTGTACCAATACAAAGGCATGTTCAAACGTCAATCATCAAAAGGCATGAGGGCGGTTTTTTCTACTCGCAGTATGCGGTATGCAAGAAGAGACCATCCTCGGCGTCAATCTCGAGGTCGGTTCCTTGGGCAATGAAGAAGACGTTGCCCTCGGATACATCGTATGACTTGCCCTTGGCGGTGAACTTGCCCTTACCTTCGGTAACGAGCAAGATGCTAGGGCCATTGACAGCACCAAGAGTCTCCTTATCGCCCTTGCCAAGTCGCGACACAAGCATGTTGAACTCGCTCATAGGGGGTCTGTAGACTTGTGTCTTGCCGTTCTTGCTACGGTCATATGACTCGCCACGCAGCATACAAGACTCAGGGTCGTGAAGCTTGAATGTCAGGGTGGATGTGAAAAGGTCAGCAGAGTTACGCTCAGCCTGAGGACAGAAACCAGTGTTGAGGACGTTGTCGCTGCGAGCCATGCACTCGATGATGTCGCCTGCAAGGTAGGCGTGGATGCCATCTGCAGGGATGTAGATACCCTCGCCAGCTTGAAGCACAAGGTAGTTCATAGTAACGAGAGCGACCAAGATACCGTTGTCGGTCTTGTCATACTGCTCAGCCAGACGGGGAATGAGTTCTGGAATGTATGTGTCCTGACCAAACGAGGACTTGTCAAGCTTTTTCAAGCCATCAACAGCAGAGGCAACAGTCTTCTCGTCAGCCTTGAGCATAGTGTTTACGGTCTTCTTGAGAACTTCGTCATCAAATTTGGAGTGCTCAGGGACAAACTGCTTCAAGGGATCGATCTTGAAGAGAGGCTCAATGCGATCGAGAGGCTTGAAACCGCAGAAGGCCTCGAACTTGGACAGAGCAAGAGCAATTTCGGGCTTGTGGTTTGGGTCGGTGAAGTTCTGGGGGTCCTCCTTGTGTAGCTTGGCAGCAAGTTCCTTGTTGGGGTGTAGTTGGAGAGGAAGAGCCTTTGCGATGGAGAGGACCTTGGGCAGGAAGGGAAGGTTGGTGTGCCCGAACTTGTCAATGACATTTTTGCCGATGAGCTGCTCGGCGTTCTTGTCGATAACCTTCTGCAGGTCCTCCATGTTCGACTTTACGTACGAGGGAAGAACGGGGTATGTGCCCATCCACCTGGTATCTTGTTAGTGGCAATTCTGTTGGTAGAGTAGAGAGAGTGAAGATACATCTCGGCGTAAGCCTTGCTGTCATCAATCTTGAATTCCTTATCGGCCTTTTCGCCATCCCAACCGGGAGTCTTTTCGCAGAGGCGTGCGGAAATAGAGTCATGACCCTGCTTTCCCCAGGGATACTGGTTGCAGCTGCAGCTGAGCTGGATAACTGATTCGACTGTCATGTTATGTGTGGATTTGGGAAGTGGCGGAATGTGAGTGAGAAGAAAGTAAAAGAGAGAGGCTCAAACAGAGCTTTTGAAGAAGTCAATCGTATGGGATGTTTTTCTATGGAATCGCGCGGAGACGTGACGGTGTTCTACGTCACAGTTTATCAGCGTAAAGTCCACTCTCTCGGCGAACCTACCTTTTGCTGTCATTATGAGTGGAACCTCAAGTCTTGGGACTCTGCTTCCGATACAGAGGCAACTGTAAGCGCACACGCATCTTGTCCAAGGTTGGATACCTGACAACTTGGAGCTACGAGTATCAGTTGAGAGTCGGGTCGAATGTCTGGCGACGCGACGGAGGTCTTCTCCGCAGTTTGCGGAGCATCAATAAGGAAGGTTAAAAGACCGTACAGTCACAAACCCAAAGTGCATCAACGCAATCAGGAGGGATAGCCTGCGGTAGCAAGTTGCGTTGGACTGGCTCGAGTAGCATACAAGCAGGCCGAGCAGTACCTAGACTTGTACAGCTCATGAAAGAGAAGCAGAAGGATTCGAGAAATGGATTTGCGCCAAGACTATGCCCTGATGTGCAGACAGAAGGAGCGCCGGAGGGTGGAGGCTCGAGAGAATCAGCCGTTGAAGAAGGACATAATACATGTCGGCAGTCGCTCTCATGCATGAGCGAATGTTCTGCTAGAGACCGGCTATCATATTCTGTATGAGCCTTCGCAACGAAAGTTCAAAGTTTGATCAAAGCCAGGGGCTCTTGTTGAGAGTAGACGATAACCGTCGAAGCGCCAAGCGCAACTTGACACTTTATTGTTCTAGCCTGTCGGTCGAATACAAGGAAGCATCAAATCAACACATCTCTCATAGCCAAGCGCCCCTCGTTGTCGTCCTGGACGTCCTACGAACACTTCACCACGCATTGTATCATCGACAAGCACACGATGCAGCCATAAGAGCAGAAGCGCTGCTACCATTCGTTCCTTAATCCCGCTGCTGCTCCTTTTCCACCATCCCCAATCTCGACGAACCTCGACAAGCCATAGCATTGCACACGACCTCGGACGACCTTGACGAAACACGAACGGATAAAGCATATCCAACATGCATTTCGCATTCCCACCTCGCAAAACATCACACCCTCCGCCGTACGCGGCGCGCTCACGCTCTGGCTTCTTGCGCTATACTCAGCTGCGGAACCTCCTCATCCTAGCTGTTGGCGCCCTTGTCACATTATATCTGCTCTCGGGTCTGTTTTCTGGCTCAAGCAGTGTATCAATACCGGCAGGTACTCCGAAAGCTGTCGTAGTCACCACACTCGACCCTTCGCTGAGCGAATCTTATAAAGCTGCCATCAAGGCCAACAGAAAGCACTATGCCGCTAAGCATGGTAAGCAGCCTGCAATCATGAGGCTTCCGAAGCTTCGCATCGCTGACATGATGGAATCACAGGCTACGCTGCTTTCTTCCCCAACACGACCGACTACCCTCTCGGCGACAACCCAAGCTCATGGTCGCTGGTCCCCGCCATGCGCCATGCAATCGCCCTCTACCCTCATACACCATACATCTTCTATCTCACCAGCACAGCTTTGATCATGAATCCTTCATTGTCAATCGAAGACCACATCATGGACCCCTACAGACTCGAGTCTCTCATGCTTGTCGACAAGCCTGTTGTTCCTCCGGATTCAGTCATCAAGACTTTCTCGCACCTCAAGGGTGACAGAATCGACTTTGTGCTATCTCAAGACAACGAAGGTCTCGCTGGCGGCAGCATGGTCATCAGATCAGGAGAGTGGGCCAAGTTCTTCTTGGACTCTTGGTTCGACCCTCTATACCGCAGCTACAACTTCCAGAAGGCCGAAGCCCATGCGCTTGAACATATCGTACAGTGCGTCATTTCTTGGAATGCTCCGTTTTAGCACGCATACTGACGACTTCACAGATGGCACGGCACCATCTTAGCCAAGCTAGCCCTCGTACCCCAGCGTATCCTGAACTCCTACACCCAAGGTCCCGCAGAGGGCATCTACAACGAAGGCGACTTCGTCGCAAACTTCCACGGCTGTATCCGCGACTCAAAACGTAGCTGCGAGCAAGAGATGCAACCACTCCTCACTAGATGGAGAGAAATCACCGATCGCGAGCGTTGAAGGAAGGTCAAAAGAACCGGCACGACACAATATATGTTTACGGCGTAGGGAGAAAGACAGGGATTTGTTGTTGACTTTGTTTGAAAAGAGTATAGATTTTACAAGTGGGAAGCAGAAGCATATCACTTTCTGTTCAGGGTCGAAGAGATACTGTTGCATGACGAGCTGTTTGGAGTAGTCGGGTGTAAAACATCTCGCTAGCGGCACAAGAAGATCTGATATGGCCATATCCGCAACGAGAAATATAAAGCATTTTCACTTTTTCAACATTCGATCGCGCATACGGGATGATCAGAAGGACCTTTTTCCCCCTTTCTTCATTCAGTTTCAGATTCGATCAGATCATCCATCAGAGCTTTTGAGGCAAAAGAGGGACCTTTTCACAGCCAATCCCAAATCTTCTTCTTATCATTCCACTGTCAAAATCTGAACTCACTCTTATGCGAGACACCAGAGTTGGTGTTTTTCACAATCCCATGTTCCATCTTGAGTTTTTCCCATGTACCATCATCTATCATCTATCAAGGTTCGCGGCGCATGCTCCGGGCTAGGAGAAACAGGCGAGCGAGGCAAAGTTATGGTTTTCACGGCAGACCCGGCTTCCCCGAAGACAGCAGAGCCTCCTTCTCTTTTCTCTTTTCGTATTAATAAATTTTGCCTTATAGTTTTTTTATCATTACACGCAAAACGTATTCCGTACTCGTTACTGGCAAAGTGGAATAGTATGAGCACTGGAAGGTAACTACGAAGTATATTGGGGGCACTCTTGAGATTGCAAGAGTAAGATCAAGACATGATTTCTTTTGGCTCGATCTTTTGAATTGATGTCAAGGAAGGGGGCTTGAATATAGGGGGACGGATGGATGGTTTGGAAGGACTTGGTCGAACACACGGTCATCGAATATGGGCCCTGGAAAGTTGTCATGTACAAGCTGCAGTCACTCTTTTTAACCTTGGTTAACAAGTTCGAGTATTACCACCTCGCCATGCGCTGAACCTTGTCACACGTATGCTGTAGAAATGCAGAATGTTTTGGAGATTGGTGCATCCCTCCACCGGAGAAGCGCTAACGTTCACACTCTCAGTGAAGGGCTGCACTGGATTTTGAAATATTCTGCATTTCTATAGCATGCGTGTGATCGTAGTCACGGTCGCGAGAGGTGGCTTTAAGAGTGACAAGATCTGGCTCACAGGGAGGCAGAAAACAGATATCTCGCGATTCAGGTGACTGAACAAGAAAGCGAAGATGTGAACTGAAGTGGAGAAGCGTGTGCAAGCTAGAGCGGAAATGAACTAGGCAGAGACTGTGAAGTAGAAAATGGTAAGAAAAGACAGAGAGAGAAAAAGGGGCAAAGCTACAGTGACTAGATATTATGTTAAACAGAAAACGGAAAACGCCATTTGCTCCAGATCTATGACTCTTGTCTTTGTCTTCGACAACTTGGCAGAGCACGCCTCGGATGCAAGAACCTTGATAGAGGGACCGGCTGCAGTAAAACATGAGCTGAATGCAAAACAAAAAGGTAGGGCGGAGCGCTGCGAAAGGAAGTGAAGGAGGGAGTTTATATAAATGGTGGGGATGGTGGTGGTAATAGTGGTTGTTTCTTCTCATTGTGGATGAATTCATGACTTTTTGTCTCATTGATGTTTGGTGGCCTCTTCCCCTGCTGCTTCGCTCTTCTTTCTTCCCTTTGGGCCATATCGTTATATCGAGTAACCTACTCGTCGTCGTGGTAGAATTTCCTCAGCTGGCGCTCGACAACCTTGAACTCTTGCTTTGCTTGTGCGATGACGGCCTTGAGGTTCTTGAGGCAGACCTCATCGTCGGGCTCGTCGCGTGTGCCCGTCTCGTCCTTGTGTGCGCCGTAGTGCTGGATCTTTTCGCAGCTCTCCTTGACCTTTGTCATGCCGAGTGTTGCGCTGCTACCCTTGAGGAAGTGGCCGAGGGCGCTGAGTTGGGCAAGGTCCTTCTTCTCACTGTTTGTAGAAATTCGAGTCAGCTTTGGTTCTTTCTTACATTCGTTCGCGGCCACTGAGCGAGGGTATGGGGAACGCACAGGTAATCGTCCATCTTGTCGAATGTGCTGTCGGCTTGCTGGAAGAAGTCGAAGACGATGCTCTTGCTGAACTCTCTCTCCTCCTCGTCATCGTCCATCTCGAGGATCTGCTCAAAGGTTGCGACATCGATAGTGTCGCCAAAATCGGGGAGTCCGCTGGAACCCTCCTCGCTCTGTTATGCTGTGTTAGCTCCAGATGCCGCAGTACAATATGTATGGCCGGAACATACTCTAGTATCAGCTGCAGGCATATTTGCGTCTTTTGAACTGGAGTTCTGGATTTGAAAGTGAAGTGGTTGCTGTGTTCGCAAAGGTTGAGGTTGCGGAGTTCGAGCGAGTCGCGTGGCAAGAGTCTTGACCTGTTGACTTTGTTGATCGGGTGACGGAGTTTGCGGGTGTCGAAAACTTGATATTCCGGGCTTTCTTCTGGATGAGGTGGTCACGAGGAGACTGAGTGGACGATGGTGTCGAAAGGGCGTTTCCTCTTCAAATCTCTGCACGGACGAATGACGTGAAGGAGGGGAAAACAGATAGCTTCTAGCTGGAGAGATGGGCGTGTAGGTGGCAAAGAGGTGGTGAAGTCGATGAAAACAACACACACGAAACCTGCGAGTCGAAGGGGATACTGTTAGGGTGAGAAGGAATGAGGAGAAGTGTATGAGCTTCTTCGGAGAGTTGGACGTCGAATCCGTGCCCGCCCAAGTCAAGCGCAACAAACCAGTCGGTGCAGTAGTGGGGTTTTCCCTCGGCCAACTTGAAAGAATTAACGAGCCCTCGACACTTCTCATCCGGAGCTACCGTTTATGCTATCAATCCTTGTTTTTGCCGGACCACGCGTTGCTGGCTGCCCGCCTCATCGAACAATACAAACAGACTCCACATCTTTAGATTGTTCTATACTCATTCTTCTGTTCCCTACTTTCTGCATTGCTGGTTGATCAAGGGTCATACGAGTCCTTTAGGAGACGCTCATTTCTCTGTGATGAAAAAGACTTGGACGGTCTCCTTTCCGCGATTCCTCCAACCCGGAGGATTATGACGAAATCCTCATGCTCCTCTTGTTCCTGTCCTCGGCGAACCCTTGTCTCCTCGTCCTTTGTTCTTCAGCTGCCCGCTATCACTTATCCTCAACTGTGTCTCCTTAGAGATGCGTACGAGTACAGCCAGCCTCCTTTTGTATCATGCACAACGGAGAGTGTAGGTACATCTCGCTCGGCAGTTCAGCCCAAAGAAGAGGAAAGTGAAGGCGCCAAATTTCAAGCCACCACTCTAGCGGGAATGATGTAATGATTTTTGTTGACGATTTTGATGAGACCCTGCACCTGTCTAGGAGGAGGCTCTTCCGGCCACCTCGTGTCTCGAATTCGACAAGTCAAACGGATCTTCGAACGCAGATTACTTGAGACATGCCTGCTTCCAGTGTGTCGTTCCACGTTCCGATCAAACGGCTGTAGAAGAATTTCCTTGATTTCTACTTGAGCTTGTGCTCTCCCATACCGTTGAGCAAATCGCGGTGTGCAGCGAAACCAGAAAGCCATCTCCCTAGCGTGCCGAATCCGGAACCTGCTTCTGCGCCACAGCTGCCACGCGATCACGGTCAATCCATATTTGACACCTGACGATCGCAAGATTGCATTCAGGGGATGTGAGAGGTTTCGGAGAGCCTCGTGAGTTGCGACAGCGTTCGTGCATATGCTTCGACTGCATGCTGTCATGAGACATCCTTGACACTTGGGGTAGAAACAAGGACGTGCTTTGCAAGTGGAAACTATTTTTATAGATCGTGATTGATGCTTTTTGATTGCGACTCTTGTTCTACAACCTGCTTGTCCATATCCTACATTACGTGCTTCGTCAAAATACAGAAAGATCATATCCTACTCTAACCGGTGACCTTGTAGATGGACTCGGCAAGACGCTTGACGTTGGCGGAAGTGATACCGGCGACGGAAATTCTGCCGTCCTTGGTAGCGTAAACACTGTGCTCCTTGGCCAAGGCGTCCATCTGTTCAGGCTTGAGACCGGTGTAGGCGAACATGCCGATTTGGCTAGTGATGTGGCTCCAATCGTGCTTGCTGCCGAGCTTCTCGAGGTTCTCCTTGAGAAGAGCACGCATGGTGATGATACGGTCAGCCATACCCTTGACCTCACCCAGCCACTGCTTGTTGAGCTCGGGATCGTTGAGAATGGTGGAGGCGACACGGGCACCGTGAACGGGAGGGTTGGAGTAGAGAGGGCGGACCAAGATCTTGATCTGCGAGTCGACACGCTTCTTCTCATCGGCGTCGGCACAGACGATGGAGAAGGCACCAACACGCTCACCGTAGAGACCCTAGGTAATGTTAGTGTACATTGAGCAGAACCACAAGACGTTGGGAATGCTTACCATGTTCTTGGCGAAACTCTGGCAGAGGGAGATGTTGTGGCCCTCCTTGATGAAGTGGCGGATGGGGAAAGCGTCCTTGTCAGTGTCACCACTGGCAAAGCCCTGGTAGGCCATGTCGAAGAAGGGGTAGTGGCCGTTCTCCTTGACAACGTCGCTCAGAGCGCGCCATTGGTCCTCGGTGGGGTCGACACCAGTGGGGTTGTGCGCGCAAGCGTGGAGAAGGACAATGCTGCCCTTGGGCATGTTCTTGATGTCCTCAACCATACCCTCAAAGTCGAGACCGATGGTGTCCTTGTTGTAGTAGCGGTACTTCTCGACCTTGAGGCCTGAGTCCTTGAAGACGGCATTGTGGTTGGCCCAACTGGGGTTGGGAATGTAGATGGTCTTGTCGCCAGGGTAGAAGCGCTCGAGGAAAGCACCACCGATTCTGAGGGCACCAGTACCAGAGATTGACTGGGTGATGACAACTCTGCCCTCCTTGAGAGGTGCTGAGTCGGCACCGTATGCGAGGACAGCGGCGGCCTTGGTGAAGTCGGGCACACCGGTAATGCCAGCGTATTCCTTGTCAAGGTTCTTCTTGACGACTCTTTGCTCGGCCTCCTTCACGGAGGGCAGGACGTAGGGCTTGCCCTTGTCGTCGCGGTATGCACCAACACCTTGCAATGGTCAGATTATGTGTTGCTTCCATCGCATAGTTGAATCATACCGAGGTTGATCTTCTCGGGGTGGCTGTCGGCCTTGAAGGCCTCGGTGATACCAAGGATGGCCTGGACAATTAGTTTGTTGCTTTGTTCATGGTCTCTGATGTGCGCTTACATCCTGCGATATTGTCAGTGCGTGTCCTTGTAGTCGATTTGTGCTCCTGGTATACTCACGGGAGGTCCTTGGGGCACTTGCGACCAGGCCGAGGCAGCTCTGACGCTAGACTGCAGCTGCAGACGAAGCTTGGAAGCTTGAGCGGATGCTCTCAAAGCAGTTCTAGATCCTGACAGCATCTTGGGTATGAAGAAGGGAATGTAATGACAATAGATGGAAAAAAGAAGACAGCGTGACTCCAAAACTTAAACACGCCAGCGATGGTCGTTCTGAATCCTGGAGACAGAGCTGGGGCAATGACGGTTCTCCCGGTCTTGGCCGCGGTATCGGCCCTATCGCTCTTAGCATGGTTGAAAAGGCGTGACAACCGACTTTAACCGATCTCGACAACACCACTCCAGTCTTGCTCATCATTACGATGGCCTCTTGGTCGTACTTTGCACAAGTCATAGTAAACCACAAGTTTAGAGTCATCTAGTGGTCTCGAGATCTCCTTCTGCACGAGACTAGCATACCTTTATCCTGCATCAAAAGTGTGTTTTCCAACAGAAGCAGTGCTTCAAAGGGATGTGTTCTATGGTTTGTGCGAACTCTGCACCATGACAGTTGTCAGAGTTTTTGGACTACCTCGTGCTGGGGCAGAAGTGTCTTGAAACCGCAGATCGTGTGTATGAAGTGTCCTATGTGGTCGCAATATGTACTCGACGAAACCAGTGACAACCGACTGTTATTTCCTGCTGCAAGAGATACTCTGACCTGTAGCAGCTTCTGAATTCTTGCTCATCACAAACATCTCGTGTAGGTAGAATTTGATTGCTTCGACTGTTCGATTCTAGCCAGCAGAGAGGGAAGGTGCGTTGCACCACTCGTTTGTCGAAGAAGGCAACTGTGCAAACACTTCCACCGACCATTCCACCAACACCCCCACTCCATCACTCCTGTACCTTTACATCCATCAACTGACAGTTCAAGCACATCCTAAAGACCATCGACATGGTTGACAGCTGCAACCCAGGCGCCCTCATGTGGCTGCTTCTCGTCGTTCCGTTCAGAGCACCCTGCTGGCCTCATTGTCCTTCACCCTGCTATTCTACAATTGGCTTGCGCAGCTCTCTTCGTCTCGTCGCCATACTGTACACAAGCTTCGCGCTTCTAATATCTTTCTACAATCTTCGTGCCTCGCCCAAGTGCGGCCTCTTTTGGCTCTTTTCAAGAGCTGGCATCCACACTCTACTCACCGTGGCAGCCGTCGCGGAAGCCTGTCAAGGGCCGAGCTTGACAGATCTCAGAGCATACCACGATCTATTGATCCAGTCTCTCATGCTCGAATTCTTGGTCTTGCTCTGTGCCCGTGAAATGCTCAATCTTTGTGTCCGCATCCCTGGTCCGCTTCTCGCCAAATCCACCTTCATCTGGAACGCCTGGCATCTCGTCAGAGGCACCTATGAGCAAGCTGTTCTCGAAGCTCATCAAACCTATGGTAAGTCACTTGGACAGTGAATCTCGCACCTTTCAGCCAAACCTGAGACTTACAATAGCTCATCGATGTGCTAATTCGCATCCTAGGAGCTGTTGTACGCGTCGCCCCCAATACCTATTCGGTTTCCAGAGATTGCTCTCAGCTAGATGCTCGGTTCGAACTCCACCCTTGTGACTATTACAGTCCGCATATCGCTCTGATACGCATCTTCAGGCACTGCAGTAATCATGAGCATGTGCTGAGCCAAGCATCAGCCAACGAGCCAGCCATTGATGCCTGTATCGAAGGGCTGATTGAAAAGTTGGCCGCTTCGATGGATAAAGAAGGCCTTCAAGTCTCAAAGTTGCTGACTTGCTTCGGCTGGGATGTGATGAGTGCAATCATCACTGGCGACCAGTACGGATTCGTGGACTCCCCCGACGCTGCTGTACTTGCCGACATACTTGCTAGGTCCAGGGTTGAGTCCATCTGGGACGGATCGTTTTTCCGCTTCCATCCAGTGGTCGCTAAGATGACAGCATGGTTCGTTCCCCGAGCCAGCATTACAGAGTGGTTGTCATTATCCAAGGTTGCAATGGCCCGGCGCTACATGACAGACGACAATGGGAACGACCTTGAGACGGCTACAAAGGCTATGCAAGATCACCTGGATCGAAAATCCGAGTTTCTCCATACCGAATTCGGAATCCACTGCAGTCCTCACGACTATCATTACTTTAGCGTCTTGTCGCTCTTGATGGGAACAGCCGATCCCATTGTCGCCTATCTTCAGACAACCATGACATACCTCGCATGCCACCCTGATGCGCAAATCCAGATCAGAGCAGAGGCGGGATCAAGTCTGAGTGAAGACGACTTGTCTCTTCAGCATTTGCTTGGCCTGAGCTCCCGACTTCCGTACCTCAACGCGGTTCTGCGTGAATCTGACAGGTTGACGGCGACTGAAGGGATTGTCTTGAATCAGTGTGCTGAAGAGCCAGTCGAGACGCAAGGATGCCGCATTCCAGCGGGAGTAAGTCGAAATAGCGTACATCATTGAGCCTAAGCTGACAGTCAATTCAGTCTACCATTCGTTTGACAAGAAGTGCTGCCGGTCGCGACAGATCTCTCTTTGGTGATGATATGGACAGGTGGGACCCTTCTAGATGGTTAAACAAGGAGATTGCTGTGAGTTGAACTTTGTCACCATTCACTTTTTCGTTCACTTTCTATTCCTCACTTTTCAGTTCATCGCTTTCTTCTCTCATTTCCCATTTCCTCACTTTCACAAGCTCGGATCCCTCTCACTTTTGGTCACCTCGTATTGTCCATGCTATTGTCAGTCGTCTTCACTCTCACAAGCTATTCACAAGCTATTGAGAGACTGTGACAATAACATGCGACAATAGCAGGCGACTGGTCCTGAAACTATAAGTTCTCCCTCCATCCCTCCTCTCTCTCTCTTTCCCTTCCTCAACTCCGAAAAAGTCTTGTCCTCCGTACATCAACCCAACATCCATACATCATCTTGTACCTTTCTTCTACCTTTTCGCAGTCCATTTAGATTCTGTCACACTCTTGGTACCATGACTTATCATCGCCATCATATCGCATCCATGTACTAATATCATGCAAGTTCAACAGCACGACTCAGTCTTACAGCAACCCAATTTCAAGAGCAATCGTTGCAAAAATTGTACTTCGACTTGTTCATCAATTCCAATTCAGTGTCGACATGGCTTCATACACTCCCACCATCCTCTTCTTGTCCGCTCAGGAGCTTGAGCAGATCTGCCTCTTCGTCAAATGTGCCTCTCTTGCTCAGAAGCTCTCCGCTCTCAACATCACTCATGGCGCCACTCTCATGACTATGGGTCCTGATCCTGCTGAACGCCTTCTCTCTATGTTCGAGGGCGCTGCCAAGGAAACACTCTCTCGCCACATCAAGGATCCCACCCAGACTTCAACCTTCTCTCTCATCCAATCCATTCCTCTCGACCGCAACCAACGCAGAGAAATTCACAATCTCATCCGCCAGCTTTCAAAGGGCACGCTCGACTCTGGTCTCGATCACAAGACCTCTCGCATCAACGTCTACTTGAGAGGCACTGGTTCTTCGTACCACAAGCCGGAAACCCAACGCCCTCGTTTCCCTCAAAAGATCGCTCCTCGCACTGCTGGACCTCGCAATGTCGCACCTCGCAATGTCGCACCTCGTGCCGGTTTCGCCACTAGAAGCGTCGTCGCCCCTCGTGCCGGTTTCGCCACTAGAAGCGTCATCGCCCCTCGCGCAGCACCTTCGATCATTCTCAAAGCCGAGCAACAGCAGAAGCTTGACGCCTGGAACAAGGCAGCTGCTGAGCAGACCGCTCTCAACCTGGCTGCTCGTGCTGAAGCCAAAGCTGCTCCACCCATGACCGACTTCAAAGAGATGGACTGGGTTGCCAACGAGACTTTCAAGTGTACCGCCAAGCCTCAGGAGGAGGAAAGCGCAGAGGTGGTTGCTGAGCGCGCCGAACGCAAGAAGAACGCTGTTCCTCCTCACATGCGTCGCGCTGCAGCCAAGAAGGAGTAGTTGGACAGTTATGATGGGAAATGATTAGTTTAATGATCCGCTTTGCTTGTTTCTTTTCTGTTTTTCTCGTCTCGCTCGATACCCATGAATATTACAATCAGTCTGCTTTTGAAACTCTTCTTCTTCTGTCCTGCTGTGGAATTAATAGCTATCACGAATTCACAATGCAAGGCACTTCCGCCCAACCACGAACTTCGAGCGATAGTGATGTTTTCACAAGCTCTCAATGGACAATCACCGCCAAAATATGTCTTGTGTTTGCATGGTTCGAATTCAGGACCGCATGTAGATAAACCAAGAGTGCTCATTCTCAACTCTTCTGTCTCTGACCTCTAACTCAATATTTCTTCAATGTTATAAAATGCCTCCAGACATCACTACACTATCCCTCCTCCAATGCCTTCAAGAGGTGATCTCAATCAGCGACTAGCAGACTAGGAATGAACATTGTCAAGGTATTGTACGTCAAATCTCCCTGACTGCCACTCCCTTGTATGCTTCTTCGACTTTCCCGTCAGCAGAAACATGTTTCTTGACCCCCATCTCGCAAATAGCGATGCGGGAGATTGGAATATCAGAAGCCCAGACGTGATTCGCATAACGAGGGAGAAGATTTGTGGCGTCTAGATATAGCGATGAAGTTGCCGAGGGACCGTGGCCCGAGGATGGGGTATTTGCTGTCAGTGGTTGAGAGGAGGTCGAGGATGATGGCTGGGTGTCTGAAGAAGGTTGAGTTGTCTCTTGGATCGTTCTGTCGTCCTTTGTATGTTCCGGTGAAGCATTTGCAGTCTTCTCGCCCTCTTTCTTGCTTTTACCTCTTCTCTTTCGGCCTTTGACGTAGATTGTGTTGACGATTGTGGCATGTAGTTTTAGTGGTCTTGTGTCGGGGACCAGCAGTCCTGCTTCTGTAAAGGCTGTCCGTAGAGCTTGAGATAGAGGTGCCAGGCGATTCGTTGGATCTTGAGGCTTGACGTAGAGGATGCTTGTTTTTCGTGGTGATTGCATTGGTTCCAGAGACTCGAGAGATATGGTCAGAGGTTCGGTCTTGAGGGATCGCTGGGCCGGATCTGTTGCGGCTACTTCTGTTGCTGGTACCGTCACATCGTCCAATTTCGTCGTTGGTGTTGATGCTTCATGAAGTAGTTTATCCAGATTCAAGGATTGTAAGAGGTTCGAGGCTTGAGCAAGCTTCTCTTCATCAAGACTCATCACTCCGAGGGTCAAATGAAGCGAGCCAATTGGTCTAACTGCCTTCTCAGGTATGAGGGGTGCTTGTAGTGCCGATGCTGATCTCTGGTCGATCTCCTCGCGAGGTTTATCTCCAAAAGCTGTAGCATCCTTGCTAAGGCTTTCGGTCGTGATGATAGAGGTGTCGTCGTTTTCCTCTGCTGAAACTTTGACCCCTACAGACTCATCTGGAGCAGGTCTACACACGTCTTCCTTGAACTTGCTGACACTGGCTTCGAGCTGGGGTTTGGAAATGGAGTTTACGAGTGGAATGCAGAGGAAATGGGTAAGAGCAGGTTTCTTCAGAACGTTGCTCTTTCCCTTGTTTCCCTGTTTGTTATGCCGAGTCATCGTACCGAGACAACTGTGACGCAACGATCTTTGAGAGAGGATCTCGAGACAGGCAGTACGGAAACGAAGCATTCAAGACACATATAGTGGCACATGAGACAAGGTCAGCTAGACTTTGATATCACATCGGACTCGACATACTCGGTCTTTCAGGTGCAGCGACGAAGAAATAGCAACGCGATAATAGACTCATGTCAAACAAAGAGCTGTGATGAGTTGGTATCAGGATGAAAGAGGAAGGCATTGTCGAGGGAATGGTATAGAGCGGCAAGTTCCGCCATGACGACGTTCCTCGAGCTTCTAGATTTCCAAGCCATGCGACCAGCTTTCCGTTTGCTTGTCTCACAAAGGTTTCGACACTAGGAACAACAGCAAAACATGGCAGACGTTGATACAGAATCACCAGCACAGCATGCAGCTCGTCTGCGCCGCGAAAAGCGCAATGCAAAGATCCAGACCGAGGGATCGGACAGACTGGCGCGAATTACTCAACTGAGTGGAAGACCTGCTCCGGCACCTGAAGAGCGTATGTTGCATAGCATCATAGCAGTGAAGTCAGCAAGATCTGACGAGCATCACAGCATCCATGGTTCAAACTCCCACCAAGCCCGCACAAGCAACTTCCCCCATGACACCGCAACATGCATCCATCGAGGATCCAGATGAGGTCGACATCTCCGAGCACTACTGGACACCCACTGCCTCAGAACAAAGCCAACTCGCTCGCTATCAACAGCAACAGCAGCAGTCACCATTCCAGCGACCAGGCCAGCAAGATGAGGACCCCATGCTCAAGATGATGCAGTCATTGCTCAGCGGAGACGCATCTGCAGCAGGCGGCATCCCAGACTCGGCCATGGATGATCTACCCCCCATGCTCAAGGCCATGATGCAGGGACAACGCGCGACCCAACAGCAAGCCTCGGCACCCACGGGCACCACATACCTCTGGCGCATTGTCCACGCCGTCTTCGCCCTCGCACTGGGCCTTTACATCGCAGCCAGCGGCACCTTCAACGGTAGCAAGCTGTCACGCTCAAACTCCCTCGAAGGATCAGACTTTGGTCCTAGACTGTTCTACATGTTTGCGACTGCCGAAGTGGTGCTGCAGTCTAGCAGATACTTTATGGAGAAGGGAAGGTTGCAAGGAAGTGGATGGCTGGCTACAATTGCAAACTCGGGTTTGGTGCCACAGCCGTGGTCAAACTACATCAGCATGGCTGGCAGATATGCTGTCATTTGGCAGACGGTTGTTGCTGATGCCATGGTCATTGTCTTTGTGCTGGGATGTCTTGCTTGGTGGAATGGCATGGCCACTGCATAGACCATGCATGACTTATACCGCATTATTACAGCAATCAACCGCTTTCCAGACTCACATGCCTCTCTCTCTCTCTCTCTCTCTCTCGGGTCCGCAGTGACTTTACATCCGTCTTCTTTCGAAGAATCATAGAAAAGTAGTTGAAATGGCATATGCCTTTTTGTACAGGCCCAGTGATTTTGAACAACCCAGCATCCAAACGCCATGCGAAAATGCGGCTTCCCCTCCCAGAATATAATTTTACACGAATCGAGCTCTCCAAGTCTAGACAGCAGAAGCCATGTCACCTCTTGCCTGGGCCAACAAAGCCTCCTCTCTCTTCTTCTTTTCTCTGACTTCCAAACTGAGCTTGCTATCTCTCTCACTGCGGATCCGTTGCTCCTCGAGCGAACGCAGTGTGTCCAACTCTTCCTTTGTAGCCTCGATCTGTCTCGCATTCGTAAGGTTCATCAAGTCGGCCAAAATGTTCTCTGGCAGGCGGCCCGTCATGTCAATCGTTTCCGTCCTTGAGCTGGGCGCATAGTTGCTGGGCTCCTTGTCACCACTTGTGCTGGTTGTGGGTGTAGCACCACTTGTAGGCGATGCTTCCGGGTCGGCGAAGAAGATGGTCATCAGAGCGGGATCGGTCTGGGGAGCGGTGCGGTCGAGGGTCATGGGAATGGCAGGGTTGTGGAATTTCAGGCGGACGAGTTCGTGGCGCCAGAACTTTTTTGGGCCCATGTGGCCGCCGTCGATTTTGGGGGCGAAGCGCATGTGGATGCGGGAGACTTCCTTGGGGAGTACTGCTGCACCGGGACCGAGGCGGATGGAGAGGAGCTAGGAGGGATGAGGTCAATGGGTTGTTGGCGGCGGACGGTGCTGAGAGAAGTACCTTCTGCGGAGGTTGTCAGTACGAGTGGTACGTGTAGGCAATTGCGAAACTCACAGTTTGCAGCTTGCGCATGCGCTGAAGTAATGACACCATGACGGGCGAGTGTTATGTGTGATATATGGGAATCTTGGATTGACTGGTCGGCATGTTCAAGTCTCTCTAGACCATGGACACTTTCTGTCCGCAACCGAGAATTTGCCGATACCTTTGGCTCCATCTTGTCGTTGCTGCACCATCTCGAAACAGCTATCCAATCCAACCACTTTCCATCTAGTCATCTTGCATCATGTCTGTCGCTAACGGAGGAGCTCTCGCGACCACATCGGGCGGCATGAAGCCCGTTCAAATCGCCCAGGTCAAGGCCAACTCGCGCGAAAACCGCACCGCTGCACACTCGCACATCAAAGGCTTGGGCTTGCGCTCAGATGGCCGCGCAGATACGAACGCTCAGGGCTTTATCGGCCAAGTCGCTGCCAGAGAGGTTGGTCCTGTCCAATCTTCACGCGACCGCAGTACTAACATACTATGACAGGCTGCAGGCGTCGTCGTCGACTTGATCAGAGCAAAGAAGATGGCTGGTCGTGCTGTCCTTCTCGCCGGAGGTCCTGGAACCGGAAAGACTGCCCTCGCATTGGCCGTATCACAAGAGCTTGGAACAAAGGTGCCCTTCTGCCCCATCGTCGCCAGTGAGGTCTACAGCACAGAGGTCAAGAAGACGGAAGCCTTGATGGAGAACTTCCGCCGCGCCATTGGTCTGCGCGTACACGAGACAAAAGAGGTTTACGAGGGCGAGGTCACAGAGTTGACTCCTGAGGAGGCCGAGAACCCGCTCGGTGGCTACGGTCGTACTATCTCACACTTGGTCATCACCCTCCGCTCTGCCCGTGGTACCAAGAAGCTACGTCTGGATCCCAGCATCTACGAGGCTATCCAAAAGGAACGCGTCCGCGTCGGAGATGTCATCTACATTGAAGCCAACACTGGTGCCGTCAAGCGTGTCGGTCGCAGTGATGCCTTTGCAACCGAGTTCGATCTGGAAGCCGAGGAATACGTCCCAGTGCCCAAGGGTGAGGTGCACAAGAAGAAGCAAGTCGTCCAGGATGTCACCCTTCACGATCTGGACATCGCCAACGCTCGCCCTCAAGGTGGTCAGGATGTCATGAGCATGATGGGTCAATTGATGAAGCCTCGCAAGACCGAAATCACCGACAAGCTGCGCGCCGAGATCAACAAGGTCGTCAACAAGTACATCGATCAAGGTGTCGCAGAACTCGTGCCCGGTGTGCTGTTCATCGACGAAGTACACATGCTCGACCTGGAATGTTTCACCTACCTCAACCGCGCCCTCGAATCCTCAATTTCTCCCATCGTCATCCTCGCCTCCAACCGTGGCTCAACCACCATTCGTGGAACAGACAACCTCGTCTCAGCCCACGGCATTCCCCCAGATCTTCTCAACCGCCTCTTGATCATTCCTACCCACCCCTACTCCGCCAACGAGATTCGCAGCATTGTCGCAACCCGCGCCCGTCTCGAATACAGCAGTGCCGCACCGCCATCCCTGCAAGCCGACAAACCTGGCGCCGCTCAAGGACTTGTCCAGACCACCCAGCTCGCAGACGAATCTCTGGATCTCCTGACCAAGCACGGCGTACGCGTAAGTCTACGCTACGCCATCCAACTCCTCGCGCCCTCGGCCATTCTCTCGCGATGCAGAGGCTCCGACAACAACATCGTCACAGCACAAGATGTCAACGAGGCAGTGGATCTGTTCTGGGATGCCGGTCGCAGTGCCAGTGTGTTGAGAGAACAAGGCACCAGCACCGGTTTCATTTCATGATGCAGTTGCGACGTCTGAGCATATAAGCGTGTGGGTTATTAACGACGATAAAGTTTTTGAGGTTCACGGGGCAGCAGGTGTTTTTTCTGGCGTAGATTCATAAGGGTGCGGCTTAAGGGGGAACGTCCCTTTGCAAAAAAAGGGTAGTATTTGTACGATTTTTGAATTCGAGATTGAAGTTTCCTTCACCAACATCTTTTTTTTCTTTGTCACCGCCTGTTGTGCTCTCTTTGGTCAGTCGTGTTGACATTAATTTCATCATGCCTTTTTGATGGTTGCTTGACGGCTTAGTTGGCAGGCTGGGAGTGACCAATATCTTCCACCTTGACATGAAGATTGACAAAGAGACTCTGACAATTTTCCATCCCAAGCAACCAGGAATTATCGATCAACATCTTCATTCCCTGCGTCTATAAAGAGAATGATCGGAGAGAAGTCGAATATCACATGTCAGGGTTGCCTGACTTCAATCGATGACGAAGTTCTGCATCTCCACAACTTCAATCGCGAAGTCGCGACCACAAACCTTCGTTACTCCTTCCTTTGTGTTCTACTCATATCAACAACCACATACCACAGCAACCATGACATCCACGTTAAAACGCAAGCCTTCTCCTTCAGAAGATGACACTCTCGCCGAATCGTCCAAGCGCCGCTTCACCGAAACCACAACCGAAGATGCGACAACTACTGCCGATGCGCCAACCATGAGCGAAGCAACCACACCGGCCTCAGTAGCAGACTCAACCACATCAACAACAACCACAGCGCAAGCCGACCGCCTCGCCCGCTTCGCCGCCCTCCGCAACAGAAACAAATCCTCCCGCGACGACAACCGCAAAGCCACTACCCAAGAAGTCTCCCGCGCCTCCCACGACCCGGCCGCTCTGGCATCCCTGTCCCGCCGCAAAGAGCGCGCATCCGAAAAACTTCTCCATGCACAAACGCTAGAAGATGGAGATGACTGGGATCGCAAGCGCGCTTGGGATTGGACGGCCGAGGAATCGGCGGCGTGGGATAAAAAACTGGCCAAAAAGAAGGCGCATAGGGATAATGTGGCCTTTCAAGATTTCAGCCAGGATGCGAATAAGATATACAAGAGGCAGGTCAGGGAGATGGCGCCGGATACGGCCAATTATGAGGCTGAGAAGATGGCGGCTGTGGAGAGGGCTGCTGCGTCTGGAGGTTTGGAAATTGTGGAGACGGAGGATGGGGAGTTGATTGCTGTGGACAAGGATGGCAGTTTCTACAGCACGAAGGACAGTACGGAGTTTGTGGGGAACAAACCGTCAAAAGAGAAGATCGACAAGTTGGTGGGAGAGATTCAGAAGGCCGAGGAGGTCAGACTCAAGAAGAGGAAGGAGAGGAGTGGGAAGGAGGAGGACGGCGATGTCACATACATCAACGACAAGAACAAACAGGTATGTCCGCCCTTGAAATCAACAGAGTGCTGGATAATCGCTAACAAATCATACAGTTTAACCAAAAGTTGGCGAGATTCTACAACAAGTACACCTCGGAGATCAGAGACAGTTTCGAGAGAGGAACCGCTATTTGAGAGCATCATGGTATGCTACTTCTTCAGCATTCTCATTTCAATGTTACAAGGATTGGAGTGTCCATGCGAGCAGCATTATATTCCACGCGCAGTCATGGGAAGTTGCAAAAGACAAGCACTTCTTGCAAATGAAAGTAATAACGAATCATCCATTCCAAAAGTACATTTTGCACATTCTTCATAATTTTCTCAGTTTTGAGACTACGAGTGAGGATAGTCAACGGCAGTCACCAATACGACCATCATTTGTTCTCGGAAATCATCATCATCTTCTCAGTGTCAAATGTGGCATTAAATTATCTACATAAGGGAGGCACAAAAGAAAGGGAGGAGAGGTGAAAAAAATTTCTTGACCATGCTCGAGTAACAGCAATTCTTGCTCCCCTCCCCAAACAACTGAAAATCCAGGGCTTTAGTTTGCAAAAACCCAAAACTTTGCAACCACTTTGGATTCGCCAAACCCCCTCTTTGTAACAAGAAAAAAACAAAAAAAAACATCCATATAACGCCAAAAGAATAGCCGCAGAGGCGGTTGCACTGTGGTAAACCACAATGCAAGCGTCTTATGAAAACCAACCCAATATCCGGAGGACAAGGATAGTGCTTTTTACAAAACAGCCGCACTCAAGCCATAATATATCAAGATGATATCACTGCCCAAAAAAGGGGGCAAGTGATTCATCAACGCTCGTTATCAGTCAGCAAACTGTCTCCAGTCCTCCATCGTTTTTCCCACAAAGTAATTCGGTCTAAGGGGTATTCGCGGGAGTGTCTGGAGCAGGCGAATGAGCGCCATACCACCATATGTCCGGTCCGTGATCCCGGTTTCCAATGAGTTGCTGCACGCAACACAGTGCTTCGAAGTGGTGAGCGAATGATCTGGGTTCTCTCACTTTTCTGGGAGATGGACTCCCTCGGTTACGCGGTGTGTAGAAAAGGTAATTCAGGCATCTCGTGTTTGGCGTCGTTGGGGGTTTACACTCCATCTCGAATTTTGGCGGTCTGGGCAAAAAGGCCACACGACGGGCAAAAAACGAGCTCCGAAGCGCAAAGGCCGTGACGGCAAGACGAGGACAAAAAGACAGATCCAGACGGTTGCGCAAGCGAGAAGACGGCATGTCGCAGAACGAAGAAGAGAAGCGAGAAAGCATACCCACACAGCGGTATCTGAGAGAGCAGCGGTTGTTTGGAATCGTCGGGTAGAGGGACGGGAGGGATGGAGCATCGAGTACCGGAACATTACCAATGTCGAAACTACGACTCAATCCTTGAAATGTCTTTCCTTCTCAAAACCAGCCTACAGCTCAAATCTGCCAGATGAAAGGGCGGGCGAGGCAACCTATACAAAAGGGAGGGCGAGGCATGGGAGGAGTGAACAAAAAGCACTACCGGAAAAAGACGGATATGAGGAATTTCGACAACGCAAAAGTCGAGCGCGCCAAAGCTGCAGCTCGAGACATACATCAAGAGAGAGCACGACGCAGTAGCGACCCCGATCAATAAAAAAGCAAGTATCTTTTTTCTCTTGTTTAACATCAGTTTGTAACGTGCACCGATCAGTCCGAAAACTGATCATCACGCTTCTTCCTTCCTGCGGAGGAGCGGCGACTTGTTGTTGGACCGGAATCCGAAAGCAAGCGCAGCATCAACTCGGGAGGAAGGGAAAGAATGGGACTCTGGAACACCAAGCCAGGTCTGAGCATATTTAAAGTCTCCCTATATGCAGGTGTCGATCAAAACCCGTAGCCCACGGGTGACTCAGAAGAATTCACGCGGCCAACGGAGTTCAAAAGGTCATGTGTGGGCCGATAGCAAGCTATCACCGGGCATGATCGGCGAATGGGTCTTGTGGTTGCAAATGAGTATTACTCCTTTGCGGACTGGTGGGAGTCTTGTCGACGGGAGATGTGCCTTCGACAAAATTGCCATGGCTGCTGGCACGAATATGTGTAGGTCGACGCGTAGCAGCTTCCACATTCTGGGCGCCAACGAAACCAACCTTTTCGCTAGGGCTGAAGCCGGAGCTCAAGATTGGGGAAGTGACGCCTGGATAATCGGAAAGTTGGAATTTGCGAGGCGAAAGGGTGTAGGATTGGCCATTAAGGCGATTTGCTGAGTTGTCGCTTGTATCGACAGTTGTGGCACTGGTGGCTTGTTCGTATGTGGGCACTCGTGAAGAGATCGACGAATTTCTGCGAGAAAAGCTGCTGCGTGAAGCGTGTGTCGCAGAGAAGCTCTGCGGCGGCATTGATTTGAGCTCATTGGGATAGTGATCGGCTGGAGCTGGTTCGTTGTCAGCATGAGCTAACATGTAACCAGCTCTGATGAGTCCGATCAGCACAATCAGTACCCAAATGAGTAGCACGCAGGTTGAGATGATAGCTTCTTGCCTCACAGCCTTTTCCAGTGCATGAACGACAAACAAGATAGCTCTGGAGATTGCGTCGCCTGCGTCAAGACTATCTCCTTCTGCCAACATTGAACTGTTGCCAGAGGAAGTATCATTGACTTTGTCCATGGTTCCGAGAGAGAAAGTGTCGTTTCTGACCATTGGGAAGTCAACATGAGCATGATCACTGACCCAAGTCAGTGCACTTTGAATGCCCTGAATCTTGAGGGTGATCAAGCAGTTCACAACTTCTTTGACGGGATCTTCGAGGATCGTGCCACCAAAGGTGTCATTGATCGCATCATTCATCCCGTCAACGAAGATGTTGAGAGTGTTGTTAACTGCCCCAGTTGTGGTGTTGACCCAGCCGAAGATGTCTTCATTAATTTTGGTATTTGTCGTGTTGATGACGTGGTTGGTATCGACGGCCCATGCTAATGAAGCATTGTTCAGAGACCATTCAACTTTATCAGCAAAGGCATCCACTTTCTGGGTGAGCTCGGGAACTTCTTTTCTGATTGCCTGAAGCAGGATGAACTGACAGAGGCAACCAAGAAGTCCGGCAATTGCAAGACAAAGAACAAAAAGAGCAGGTACTGTAGTCGCATAGGCGACTGTCCACCTCACGAGTGTCCGCGCACGGGTTGATGAAAAGTGATTTGAAACTTTGACACCAAAATCGGCCGTGTATGGACGTGAGACAATGTAGACAGCGTCCATGGGATCGTTGATATGCTTGATAGCTCTTGCTCTTTCTTCTTGCAAGTTCCAACGACGAATCTCTCGATAGGCCATGGGGACACAGGCGAGGATTGCTGCAATGATGAGTACAGAGAGGAAAATCTTCTTGGCGAGCGTAATGACATCCGCGAGGTCATCAAAGAAATCGTTGATGCCATCGTCGTCGGAGCAGAACGTGAGTTTTTCCTTGGGCGGTACATGAAACATTGATCGATTCATGGTGTATCTGCCCATCGACTCGTTGAGCAGTTGTTTGACTTCCTCGAAGGGGAAGCGTAGAGCTTTGTTTGTCGCGTTATGCACTTCAGCAAATGTCGGAATGGAGTCGTTCATTTTGTCCAACCCTTTGTCATATCCGGAAGGAAGTTGAAATGTGTCGAGTTTGGCGATTGATGAGTTCAGGTTGATCTCAGGAACGTCAACATTCTTTCCAGTGAAAAAACTGCCGACGTCTTCAATCGCGCCAGTAAATTTGTTCATGGCTTTTTGGAAGTCTTCCATAGCATCACCGAGCTCGGTACCTACACTTTTGGCGGTGGAGTTCAAAAAGTCTCCAACGTCTTCAGCAACATCAATGGCAACATGTAAGCTACCACCGATGGCGAAGGTGAAAAGACAGACGTAGGTAGAGGTGAGAAGATTGATGTAGAATACAAAAACCTCCTCAAGCACGGTGATGCTGAGTAGTAGCATGGACATCAACCCGTTAATGGCCTTCTCGATTCCTGATGCGGTGAGTTCGTTGACGCCAGATGACATGTAATAAGGCATGCTCGCCATGGCGCTTCCGACATTTTCAACGCCAGTACAAGCAGAGAGTGCTTCTCTTTTTGCGGAAGTCAAGTTCGTATTCACACTTCCGATGGCGAGTAGTGCCCGTATCAGGACGAGAAGGATTAGGATAGTCCAGCGGTTGATCCAAACCTGCGAGAGCCTAGCTCGAAGACCAAGGTATGGTGTTAGGTATGATGTTTGATCGGAGGACGGTCGTGGTACATCTTGCGTAGCGTAGTAGTTTCGCATCTCATGGTCGCCAGCGGATAGAGAAGGAGGCGCAGCCGGAAAAGCATGCTGTTGGTTCTCTGCGGAGGACATGGTTGAGGGAGTGAAGTGTGAATCTCTGACCAGCAGGATAAATGTTAGTGTTTGGTTGCAGGCACGGGATAATGCAGCGCTGTGATCCAAGTCTTGGTTGATGGGGTGGATTTGTATGTACAATACAATCAATAGTGATTGTCGGCAGAAGTGAAGGTGTAATGGAGTGGAGGACAACAGCGAAAACGATTGCGGAGCGTGACAGAATAAAGACAATGGCTGTTTTTGAATGGAAACAAAGAAGCACATGCATTGACTTACCTGGTTGTCGGTCGCGGCCCAGTCGTGCGGCCGCAGACCTTGCTGTCTGAGACTTGTAGCAATGCTTCAAGTCAGCAGCAGTTTCACACGACATCCACTCAATCCAGTCTCTATTCTGGGATATAGGAGTTGCATCTTGCCAGAGCGCTGTTTCTTTTAGCGCCCTGGAAAGAAAAGTTGACGAATTCGTATAGCTGCAAGTCGGGTCTTTGATTGGGCGGTTAGAGTAACGCGCATGCGCGAACAAAGAACCGCCCAACCCAAAGCCCTCATGTTCTGTCCATTTCAGTACACCAAGGCATGCTGAGTGGACAAGACATGTTGACCAGTTGTCGTTAGCAGAGCGATTCCGTATCTCGCTCTGGGAGACTTCTCGTCCTCGCGCGACGGCGAGTTTTGAGACGAGAAGCCCGAGTGGAAAAACATCAGCGCCTCGCTGGCGCTTTATCGAAATACTTGCTGACGTAGAGCCACATGCAAATTGTGGCTGGGCACATTTCTTGGACGCCACATTTGAGCACGAGCCATATAAGCTCTCGGATGTCCGATCGACTTCGACTGCTTCCTTGCTTTCTCTCCTTCTGTCTGAACACAATTCAAGGTAATCTCCCGCAGCCTGCTTGATGCGCGAACCACCCGTCAAAATGCACAACGATTTTCGAACGGTGCTGTTCTTCCACTGAAAGCTCATCGTCTACGAGTTCCTCTAGAAGCAGAGACTGTTTGTAGAAACATTATGCATTTTGATGTAACATTTCTACCGTGCCCACGGTCAATGAGATAGCCAATTAGTCCACTCCATGGACCCCGCGACATCATTCGGGCTTTATCAAAATGCACGATTGTATTCGAGAGTATTACAGTAAGTCTTGAGAGCTTATGCTCCTCATCTGTTTCAGACATCTCATGCATGAGCTCCCTCCACCACCTTCTTGCGGTACCATAAAAATGCACAATTGAATTGCCTCTGATCAAGTTTACCATTGAGAGGAGACCTCGCTCAAATCAAGGCTTCTTCTACCCCGACATCTCGGGCATACAGAGAAACTAGCCCCTCGTGCCCCCAAGCAATGCCACCAACGAGCAGTCGACGAATGAGCGAAGCAGAGCCTGGGTGTCGCTGCTTTATGACCGGAGACGTCTCTAAACAGGAGAATCGCTGCCTCTATGCACACCAAAACCCAAATCTTGTGCCTTCCTTCCGTCAATCGACGACGTGTCGACGAGTAGACGGAGCGAAGCCTGAGCATCTATCTTGTCGACCGAAGCTCTTTCTACCCCGTGAATGAAGGGACCGCTACCTTAGTACACACCAAAAGTCACGTCTCGTGCCTTCCTTCCGTCAACTACGACGTGTCGACGAGTGAACGGAGCGAAGCCCAGGCATCTGCCTTGTCGACCGAGGCTCTTTTTACCCCGTGAAAAGGGGAATCGCTCATTCATCCATACCAACGAATCGTCGAAGAGTGAACGAACAGTTGACAAGCAAGCGAAGCGAAGTCTGGGATTACTGCCTCAATCCATGCCTAGGACCACGTCTCGTGCTCTCTGTCAACACATTAACGAATAGACGACGAGTGAACGAATCATCGACGAGCAAGCGAAGCGAGGTCTGGGATTGCTACCTCGACCCAGACCAAGAACCCTATCAACACATCAACGAACAGACGATCAGTGAACGAACCATCGACGAGCGAGCGAAGCGAAGTCTGGGATTGCTACCTCGACTCATAACAAGAACCTTATCAACACATCAACGAACAGACGACGAGTGAACGAACATTCGACAAGCAAGCGAAGCGAAGTTTGAGGATCGCGACCACACCCACCGGACTATCGCTGCCTTGTCGACTGGAGTTGCTGCCTCATCAATCTCTGATATAATTCAGTCGCCCTTTACGTCTTTTCTTTCTTCGACATCGACATCCAACATGCATTCGTCTACCAAGAAGTGGAAGGCACCTCGTGTCAAGGCTAGAGAGGATGGACAACGCAAGTTAAAGGCCAGAAAGTACATCTGCCCTGAATCTCCATTCTTTACAGAGCACTTCAACTTCCAGCAGCACGAGACAAAGATGCTCAAAGAGAAGTTGATGTACCTTGAAAGATCAGAGAAAGTCAACATTCCTGTCAAACCTTTTGGTGGAAAGATCTTCGCTCCTGTACTGCTTGAGATCTTCGACGAGAACTACCAGTACCAGGACTCAGCCTCTCTCGAAGGCAAATTCTTACAGAAAACCTGCAGTCCAGTTCTCTGCATGCCCACTATCTGGCAGAATGAACCGGACCAGAACAAGTACTTTGTGTATCCGTCAAACGCCTTTACCACATCATCAACCGCTCTCTTCCCCAGCGTTCAGGAGCTCAAGTTTGAAGGGACCGACAGAATCGCAAGTACCAACATCCACCGTCGTTTCCTCCCAGTCCCACGCAATCCTTGCAATCAAACCGTCAATTGGAGTGTCAAACCTTTCTTGAAGCCTCACAAGCTTGATGCAATCCTGGAGAATGAAGTTCCTACCGAGGAGGAAATTTTCACTTACGATTGGGAGATTGGTCTCCCTAACGATGAAGATCTCCAGGTAGGTCTTCCCCCCACCCCAATCAACAAGGAGGATGGCGATGCTGAAGACAAAGACACCTACAACGAAGACCCTTACAAGGGTGAGAAAGCTTTGCGTCTGCTTGGTCACGGTCTCTTCGCAGCTCTCGATCCTCAAAATGTGTATTTCTGACAAGAGTGGACGGTCGCATGCCGTTTCATGCGATCATCGATCCATCTTCAAAGTCGACATACATACGGTCCCACTCACACCTTGCCCAATCTGTCATTGCCAGCAGTTTCATCTCGACCGACTTCGCAAACAACCCAACTCATTATCAGCTCTGCAAATTTCTCTCCCCGATCTTCAAGCACTTGCCTCCTCTCAGAACGACGTTCACGATAACTCAGCTCGTGCTCTGAGCTTATGACCGTCATGCCCCAACCCTTTTCACGAATTTTCATGCTTTATACTGCGCTCTCAACGCTCAAGACCTTCACGACGTTATGCTCTTGCTTTTCATCTTTTTTGCGATCTTACAATGCGTTGTCTTTTTTGCTTCTCTACTCATATTTCGGATGGACGTTTCAACAACAAGCCCATCTGTTTCAAGTCTCGAACGCGAGCTCTTTTGCTGATTTCTCTCCTTTCGACACGATTTCCACGATTCACGACATTCATGATCACTTTACATTGATCTTTACGATACTATGATGCCCCCGCGGTGCAAGATGGAGGAATGTCTCCAAATTTTGTCATCTAATTTCTGATTCTCAATTTAAATCTCAGCTCAACCTGCTTTGCTCATTGCCACTGCTGAATCCGACCAGTGACCGCCAAGTTTCAATTAACATACACATACACTTTCAATAGATATCTTATCCTTTCTTGTTTCTCAATCATCGCCTCTCAAAATGAGACCAGGGTGATAGACTCAACAATCCAGCCATGACGAGTCGCATGTGAAACCTACGTCATTTCCAAGAAAAGCAACAACTCCACCTCTCCTGCTCTCCCCTCCCCAGATCTTCACGATTTAATTAACCTTTCTCTCCTCTCTCCAGATGCTCTAGATCTGTAAATAACGTCAACATGAGTATGTTCTCAAAGTTACCGTGGAACTCAGGCGGCGGCGAGCAACAACAGCAACATGAAGAAGAGCAATCCCTCACATCAGTGCTGCCCACGCCGCAAGCACGCAGCGATCTCACCTTGCTGGTCGCCAATTGTACCGAGACAATGAGAAAGGGCATTACCGACACCTTCGACCCGAACCAGACTGGAAAGATCGAGGATATGATGTCCGAACTCAAGATGGACGGGAAGGCAGAACAAGCCGCTGAAACCGACGACTCGACATCCGCCGCACCAGAATCGACCGAGAAGACCGAGGAAGAGAAGAAACAAGCAGAAGAGAAGGCGAAGAAAGAGCAGGCTGTAAGAGAAAAGGAACTCAGTGGACCCAAAATGCAAGAATTGCAGAGGGCAGCACTACACCACTTCGATGACTGGCGTGAGGCTGTCTTGCTTCGTATTGGCGAGGTAGTCAATCAGCGCGAAGAAGCCGTGTCTCAGAAGAAGGAAGCACATGCACAGACACCTCGAGTACCCTCGAAGAAGGCTCCCGAGCCGTCCCAGTACGATGAAGGTGTGAGCAGGGCATTGAAGGAGCTATGTCCACCTACGGAAACCCCTCTGGCCAAGCTGGAAGAACAGCACAGAGCTTTGATTTTGCATTCAGTCTTGCTGCTGTTGCTGAGTCTGGAACATTACTCCGCTCACTCACGTGTACTTCTCCTACATCTCACCAGCAGCTTGAACCTGTCCATAGGCTTCCTAGCTGATGATGAAAGCAAGATTGCCCGTGGTCTCTTATCTGCTGCTGAGATGAAGGCGGATGATGAAACCAAGAAAAAGGCAGATGACAACCAGAGTTCGAGGAAGTGGAAAGTTGGTCTGGCTTCTGTGGCTGGTGCTGCTCTCATTGGCGTCACTGGTGGTCTGGCAGCACCTCTAGTCGCCGCTGGTATTGGATCTGTCATGGGTGGTCTCGGTAAGTTGGACTCATCGTATTCAGGAACACTTCTTCTGACTGTTCTCAGGTCTTGGAGCAACTGCTGCAGCCGGCTATCTCGGTACTCTCGCTAGCAGCTCTGTCATTGTTGGTGGACTCTTTGGTGCGTATGGAGGCCGAATGACTGGCCAGATGATGGACCAATATGCCAAAGAGGTCGAGGACTTCTCCTTCGTCCCTGTTCGTACCTATCACAAGCCTCGCAAGATCGACAAAGAATACCGCCGTCTCCGTGTCGCTATCGGTATCTCTGGCTGGCTTACAGAGAAAGATGAGGTTGTTGAACCGTGGAAAGTCATTGGACCTGAGATGGAAGCTTTCGCCCTCCGTTTCGAACTACAGGCCCTACTCAATCTCGGAAACTCTTTGACTACAATGATTCGCTCGGCAGCATGGGGATACGCAAAGAGTGAAATCATCAAACGCACTGTATTTGCTTCTCTGACCGCAGCTCTCTGGCCTCTTGGTCTGCTCAAAGTCAGCAGAATCATCGATAACCCTTTCAGCGTAGCCAAAGCTCGTGCCGACAAAGCAGGAGAAGTTCTTGCTGATGCTCTCATTAACCGAGCTCAAGGCGAACGTCCTGTAACTCTGATTGGCTACTCTCTCGGCGCTCGTGTGATTTTCACCTGCCTGAAGTCCCTTGCCGCCAGAAAAGCATTCGGTCTTGTCGAGAATGTTGTGCTACTTGGTGCTCCTACCCCTTCAACAGCAGCGGACTGGCGTCTTATCCGTGCAGTAACCACAGGCCGCGTCGTGAACGTCTACTCAACCTCTGACTACATCCTTGGATTCCTCTACCGCAGCTCAAGCATTCAATATGGAGTTGCAGGTCTCGAGCCTGTCTCGTTTGTCTCGGGCGTTCAAAATGTTGACGTCACTGACCTTATTGCTGGAAGCCATACTGCTTACCGCTACCTTTGTGGTCGCATCCTTCGTAAGATCGGATTCGAAGACGTTGATCTCGCTGCTGTTGAAGCGGAAGAGGAAGCACTTAGAAAGGCCACTGCTTCTGAGGAACAAGAGCGCAAAGCCAATGAAGCCAACACCAAAGAAGGTGCAACTGAAGCAGAAGTCAAGGAGATGGAGGGCAAAGTGCAACAAAAGAATGAAGCATCCATGATGGATTGGGCGAGCGAGAAGTTCAAGGCTGGTGGCGCTTCAGCATCTAGTGCAGCTAACCAGGCCAAGAACTGGGTCCAGAGGACTGCTAGTCCCAAGACTGGCGATCAGAGTGCCAGCAAGGATGTTGGTGGTGCTGCTGGTGCTGTCGGTGGGAGTTTGATTTGAGCGTGATCTTTACTCTGCACACGTTTTTATGCCTTTTGCAATGCAACAACTTTCACGATTCACAGGAGCTGACCGCAAGGACTGGAGATGTCTGTCTTGATGCGATGCAGGAGAAGAAAGCTTGTAGATGGTCGCGGCTTCGGATGTGCCATGTTCCGTTGACAAGACGAGGTGGCAGGAAACGTCTTTCACCGCCACCATCACAAGTCAACTCATTCTAACACTCTGCTTCTAGTCCTGGGATACTCGTCTTACACCAGAACCATCAGTCTCTTGCAAGTTCTCAGCTAGTGATACACTCCCCTGTTTGATAGCCATCTTCCACGAAACCGTACTCCAAGAGCTATGAGTTAGAGTGCATCCGAGGAACTCCAGCTGAGCAGGAGTGACTACCTTAGCCCACCAAGATTATAACGTCTTCCAGGTCATCCGGCCACTCAGCTAAGAAGGTACGATGGAGAGTACGTACGATCACCAACCCCGCAATCCCGAAGGCTAACCCCGCACGAGCGCCCAAAAAGCCATCAAGGTTCTGGCCCTGCAACCTGAAAGGAGCACCACGATGTTTTTTGCACGCTCTTTCGGTCCTTTGCACCGAACGTGTCTACATTCTTACTTTCTTAGCTCCACATCTGGCTTTGTGCCCGCATCGTAGCGTTGTAAATTTGGTGCACATCCAAACACCAAACGATGTCCGTCCCTCGGTTGTTCTGCCAAAGAACACTTCCGAAAGAGGGGTCAGGGACAATCATGGAGACGCCTATAAGCTATATGCAGGGACGTGTGCGCTCGATGCACTCGATAGGTCTTTGAATCATCTCGTTCTGCTCTAACATATATCTTTTAATCTAAATCGACAATGACAACACACGTTCAAGGCCGCGAGTACGATGTCATCTTTGCAGGGTATGTATTCATCAGCAAAATTTCGAATCAGCATACTGACAGACAGTAGCGGTGGCACCGCAGCATGCGTTGCGGCCGGTCGTCTGGCCAGAGCAGACCCAGGACTTTCTATCCTTCTTGTAGAAGGAGGCAAGAACAACTACAATGATCCAACCGTCGTAAACCCAGCCATGTACTTGATCCATTTGGCTCCAGGATCTCAAACAGCTTTGTTCTATGAAGCCAACTCGGAAGAAGCCCTCAATGGCCGCAAAGCTATCGTACCTTGCGGTGGTATGCTAGGAGGTGGAAGCTCCATCAACTTCATGATGTACACTCGTGCCCAGGGAGTCGACTTTGATGATTGGGAGACTGAAGGATGGAGTGCAAATGACCTTTTGCCATTGATGAAGCGGGTAGGATTACTGTCATCATGTTTTTGACCACATGGACTAATTTGATCAGCTCGAAACATACCACCTCACAGATCCAGATATCGATCAATCGCTACACGGACACGATGGCCCCATTCACGTCTCGAACGGTACCTACTTTGCAGAAGACGCGGCGCAAGATTTGTTCAAAGCAGCGATTGCAACAGGGCATGAAATCACTGCTGATGCACAAGATCTCCACAAAGATATCAGAGGACTCAAAGGTGTTGGTGTGTTCTCTGTAAGTATTTGGTACCCCCGTGATTGGTTTGCGCGGTTTGTTGACTCGATGATAGAAATGGGCCAAATACATCTCTCCAGAAGGCAAACGCCAGGACGCTGCTCACACTTACATCCATCCTCTGATGCAATCGGGTGACTACCCCAACTTGCATCTTTTGCTTGAGAGCAAGGTTACTCGAGTACTTTTCGATGACAACAAGCGAGCCAGCGGTATTGAATACATCCCGACACCCTCGTCACAGCCTGTCGGTGGTGTCAACGGCACAGAACCCTTCCAGGTCAAGGCAAAGAGAATGGTGGTCGTATCCGCTGGAGCGCTTGGCACACCTTCCGTCCTCGAAAGATCCGGTGTTGGAAGCAAAGAAGTTCTCGAGAAGCTGGATATACCTGTCGTCAGTGATTTGCCAGATGTTGGAGAGAATTACCAGGATCACCACCTCGTGCTCTACCCTTACAAGACTTCTTTGAAGCCCGAACAAACTCTCGACGGCCTGCTCAGTGGACGCAAGGACTTTGGTGAATCAATTCAAAATCAGGATCCAATGCTGGGATGGAACGGTATCGATGCCTGCTCCAAGATCAGGCCCACAAATGAAGAAATTGAAGCCATGGGACCAAACTTCAAGGAACACTGGGACAGAGATTTCAAAGACCGCCCAACTCGTCCTGTAATGTTGACCGGTGTCGTACAGGCTTTCCTAGGTGATCAGAAAGTCCTGCCTCAGCGTGAGGATGGCGTGCCGCAACAGTACTGTACAATGGGTGCATACACCGCTTACCCTTACTCTCGTGGAGATATTCACATCACTTCGAAGGATGTCTCGACACCAGCAAGCTTCAACACTGGCTTCTTCAAGGCAGAAGCAGATGTTCAGAAGCAAATCTGGGCATACAAGAAGCAGCGCGAGATCTACCGCAGAACCGACGCATACAGTGGTGAATTGGCAATGGGCCACCCCAAGTTCCCTGAAGGCAGCAAAGCCGCACTACAAGACGGACCCGCCGCGAAGTTCTCGTCGCAGGAAGACCGCAACAACCTTCCCGAGATTGAGTACAGTGCCGAGGATGACAAGGCCATTGAGAAGCATGTCCGAGACAATGTCAACACGACCTGGCATTCACTGGGAACGTGTCGTATGGCACCGCGTGACAAGGGAGGTGTTGTTGATGCTGACTTGAACGTATATGGTGTCACTGGCCTGAAGTTGTGTGATCTTTCCATTTGTCCCGGTAATGTCGGTGCGAACACCAATAACACGGCGTTGCTTGTTGGTGAGAAGGCGGCCGATATTTTCGCAAGAGATCTCGGGCTTGGAGAACTTGGACAGCCGATCGAGCGTGTGGACTCTGCGATGCCGTCTCCTCCTAAAGTAAAGGTTTAGATGGTGTGGCTGGTGCGCTTTGCAAATATCAAGAATAATATTTCAAAACATTCACACTCGCCTCATGTGCCAATTGAATTCTCCAGTTTCTGCGGTATGCAGTGATGCACGGTTTGAAGATAATACTGAGCAAGAGCACGCCTCTCGTGAAGAGGGGCGATCTGCTGTTCTCTCTTTTGACCTAGCTCAACTTCCAAAAAAAAATCGTGCATCCCTCCAGCTCAACAAGCGACAGATTCCAGCGTACGGGGAGGTCGGACGACAAGATCAAGACTGACCACCTGTTATGGTCACAGGTTTGAGTTTGCTCCTTCGTGCAGCTCGGGTGTTCTGGCTGTTCGTGGCGTTGGCCTGACTAGTAGTCCTCCGTCTTCGGGGCGCACACACATGTGTTAGAGGTGTCCGGAGAGCAAAGGTGGTGATAAGATGAATGACTCCTTGCAACACCGTTATCATTATCAATCTACTGATCTATACGAGAGCTGAAAGTCGAATTGGAAAATTTTCATCTCCTGATCTGATTAGATCCCGATGCTTGCCGAGACTTGGAAGCTTATGCCGACCAAGCAAAGCTGAGCATGCACTTGAACATCCACATTGCTTGTCTGCTTTGTGATTACATGGTGATATATGTCTTCCCTCGAGGCCAGTAACGACAATTGAAGGTTATCTCTATATCACATGAAGGCGCCGGAGTCTGATGACTGATCACCGGCTCGACGCGTCTCCATGGGCTGCAGCTTCATGTCGCTCCTTCCTTTCGTTCAACCCTTCCGAACAATCCCACCGGACCGGCTAGTCTGGCAGCCACTTCTACGCCTCAGAATGTCGAGATGGGTCCGAAGGTTGTGAGCTCGGTCGACAGCACCACAGCGACCAACAGCACCAACCAAACTTCTACATATATAACTGCCATGGCCGGCACACAATATCTGCTGTTCCATCAGCATAGCATTGTATTTCATTCTTTATCTGCACTGTCATGTCTCGCTTACTGTCTCTTTCATTCTTCGTGCTGGGTGCATTGGCACAAGGCACTTCTCCATCATACGACTACATCATTGCTGGAGCTGGTCCTGCTGGTATCATTGTCGCTGAGAGACTTGCTGAGGCTGGAGTTAGTGTGCTCCTGCTCGAACGTGGCAATGCATCAACATACGCATCCGGAGGACGTTCCCTTGTACCATGGAACAACACTCTCACTCAATACGATGTCCCTGGTGTTCGACACTATATCAAGAACAGCTTTGCCGACAAGAGCGAATACTGCACAGACACTCCTGACAATGCAGGATGTATCCTAGGTGGTGGTACCATGGTCAATCAGCTCGCATACATCCCACCTCAAAATGTCGACTTCGACGACAAGTGGCCTGTTGGCTGGAAGTGGACCGATGTCGCCAGCGCTGCAGAAAGAGTCCATTCTCTCAACCCTGGTAGCACAAACCCCTCGGCGGATGGCGTTCACTATGATCAGACATCATACAACGCGTTTGCCAACTTCTTCAGTGCTCAAGGCTACACTTCTGTTGATGCCATTTCTGAACCCAACAGCAAGCACGATGTTTACAGTCATGCTCCCTACAACGTCAAGAATGGTCTGGTTGCTGGTCCTGTTATGACTTATCTCCCGATGGCGCAAGCAATGTCCAACTTCAAGCTTCAACTCCATACCAAGGTCATCCGCGCTGTCAGAAACGGTTCCACTGTGACCGGTGTCGAGGTGGAAGTTGATGGTCAGCGTCAGATTATCAGCCTCAACAATGGTGGAAGAGTCATTCTCGCATCTGGTGTATTCTCAACTCCTCGCATCTTGTTCAACAGCGGAATCGGACCTAACGAGCAACTACAAATCGTCGCTGGTAGCAAGGCAACTACCAATGTTACTCTGCCCGCAAGCCCCGATTGGATCGAACTCCCCGTCGGTAAAGGCATCAAAGATCACATCATTGTGACATTAAACTTCAACACCACTGATTCCGTGGACTTTCTTGACACCTCATACTTCATCAAGCCCTCATCAAACATCACTGACCCATATAGTCATGGCAGCGGTATTCTCACTCAAGGATATCAACGATTCACCTTCTGGACCTCAAATATAACATCCGACGGCAGTGTTCGATACTTCCAAGGCACTTGCTACGCAAGCGGTCAAAACTATGTGTCCATGAAGCTTTACCTCACGCATGGCCTCACCTCAAGTGGTGCTCTTGGTATCACTGCAGCTGGAAACACTGTCTATACTGTTGATCCTTACCTCAACACCGCCGAGGACAAGTACGCCATTGCTTCTTTCATTGACAACCTGCTCGTTCAGACACGCAAAGCAGACTCGACCTTGATCTACTCTGGTCCCTCAACTGACACTGGTGCTTCGCTGTCCAAGGTCTACACAGGTGGCAGCCATTGGGTTGCGACTGCCAAGATGGGTACTGATGATGGTCGTGTCAACAATGGTACATCGGTCGTCGATCTCAACCTCAAGGTGTACGGTACGGATAATCTGTTCGTCGTCGACGCTTCTATGCATCCCGATCTCCCCACTGGAAACTTGCAAGCTACAGTTCAAATAGCCGCTGAAGCAGCTGCTGTCAAGATTCTTGCTTTGCCAAAGCAACAGTCACTGTCAAGCTCGTCTTCTTCGAGCAGCAGCGCAACTTCCTCGATCAGCACTTCCTCTAGTTCGACTAGTCAGCTTTCCTCAGTCAGCACCACCTCTAGCACGTCCACCCAGCTATCATCATCTGCTAGCTCCACGCTCGTTACACTGACTACCTCCGCATCTACCTCGTCTACTTCCTCATCAACGTCCTCCACTTCATCCACCAACACTGCTCAAGCCACAAACCCTACCTGTCCAAAGTCAGATGGTACAACCTTCACAGCCAAGAGTGGCGCAGTCTTCCTTGTCGAGTGCTACGTGGACCGCGTCGGTCATGATATTGCATATGTCGATGTCCCTACCAACCGCATTGCAGACTGTGTGAACAAGTGTGATGCTCTGCCTGGATGTGTTGACATTTCCATGTCTGGTACTGCTTGCTACATGAAAGGTGTGGTCGGAGAGAAGATTGTCAACAGCAAGTACATCAGAGGCGCACGCAGGATCTCATAGGTTTAGTAGGAGAGAGCATTTGGGGCAGCATTTGTCTACATATCAGGAAATTTACGAAATTTACATGAAATTTACCCTCGTTCTCTGCTTTTCACAGTGAAGTCATTGCATTGACGTCTGGCTATTCATTTTCTTGGAAATCCCTATTCAGGAGCCATCGTCAGTACGACTAAGCAGCTATCACAATTCACGAAGAAATTCGATTGGCTTAGACATTCAAAGAGAGGCTACAGCCCTTTGAGCAGGCATCATCACTCATGGAAATCGTGCATTGCCGGATCGATTAGACCTTAGTGGGGTTATCGTTGCTTTCATGCGCAGGCCACTGTTGTCTTTCATTGATGTGGCGCTTCTTCTGTCCTGTCGCTAAATCTACCAAGGCAGCTTCGCTTTATAACTTTAGCATCTTCACGGCAGAACGTATACGCGTTTGTCGATATCGTACAAAACATTGAGCGAGTCAGAAAAAACGAGTCGAGATCAGACGAGAGGATGAAGCTCTTGATGATCTCTCGACCGTCATGGGATTGACAAAAAGGAAGCTCTCCATCGGGGAATCGAACCCCGGTCTCCCGCGCTTGACGAGATTCTCTTGACAAGCGGAAATCATGACCACTAGACCAATGAAGATGAGCCAGCTGAGCTGGTATTGGTATCATCACGTGATTCTTGTTTTGCCCATCTCTAGCAAAAGAATTAATCAAAGCCTCTCGGTCTGCGAGCTTCAAATATGCTTATTCCCGCTATCACCGAGTCACTTTGCGGCAGAGAGATTCTAGGCCGGCGGCGTCCGCCGACAAAGCCTCTCACTCATTACTGACAGATATCCGAACGATTACTTGAGAGGTCAGCACGAGCAGCAAGGAACCATGTTCATCCGACCGTGAACCGCCGTATCTTCGAGTTTGAATTTGGAGCTGGGGTAAGTCTCCAAAGTGCGATATCTCATTGGCGGTCGAGGCATGTAGAAAAGACCCTCGGACGCGGTGCCCCGCATTGTCTGCGATACGCAGAATAATGGAGAGGCAAGAAACGGCGGCGGCCACTGATAAGGCATAGAAGGGTAATCCCATATACCTTCCCCTTCCGTTCGATCAGTTGACCCTTCTCTTTTAGATAGATGTTTTGAAGCCTAGATACCTTGGACACGTTCCCATTCGCCACGCTTCGTCCTTTCCTCCTCCGTCTCCTTACTGGTCTGTACATGAATTGAGACTGAAACCGAGTCGGACAACTATCACTCTTGTCAAACATGGCACCTGGGTTGATCGATCCCGAGCCTGCCGTCTCGCCAGCGGCCTCGCGTACCCTCTCCTCGATCACCGAAGAATACGATGACACGCTACGATTCTATCTAAACGGCACCAAGGTCGTACTCGACACAGCAGACCCGGAGGTCACACTACTCGAGTATCTGCGTGGTATTGGCTTGACTGGAACAAAGCTTGGTTGTGCCGAGGGAGGCTGCGGTGCGTGCACAGTAGTCGTATCACAGTTCAACCCTACAACCAAGAAGATATACCATGCTTCAGTCAACGCATGTCTGGCTCCTTTGGTCAGCGTCGACGGCAAGCATGTCATTACCGTTGAGGGTATTGGCAGTGTGAAGAACCCACACCCTGTACAGGAGAGAATAGCAAAAGGAAATGGAAGTCAGTGCGGTTTCTGTACGCCTGGCATAGTTATGGTATGGTCCAACCATCGCTCGTTCAACTTACGGCCACTAATACCTTTTGACAGAGTCTTTACGCCCTTTTACGAAACACGCCCGAACCGACCGAACATGAGATTGAAGAAGGATGCGATGGTAACCTCTGTAGATGCACAGGATACAGGCCCATCCTCGACGCCGCCCAAACATTCAAGAAGACATCACCGAGCGGTGGCTGCTGCAAAGACAATGGCGAGGCCGTGTCCACCGAAGGAGGCTGCTGCAAGACAAACGGCAATGCCACCAAGATTACACCTCCATCGAATGGATGTGGAAGAGTAGGAGGCTGCTGCATGGACGGCAAGGACATGGCCGATGACCAGCCCATCAAGCGTTTCACACCTCCCGGTTTCATCGAATACAACCCCGACACACAACTCATCTTCCCCCCGGCATTAAAGAAGCACGAGCTCAAGCCATTGGCTTTCGGCAACAAGAAAAAGAAGTGGTTCAGACCAGTCACACTCCAGCAGTTGCTAGAGATCAAGAGTGTATACCCTTCAGCCAAGATCATTGGTGGCTCGTCAGAGACTCAGATCGAGGTCAAGTTCAAGGGTATGCAATACACAGCCTCCGTATTTGTTGGTGACATTGCAGAGCTGCGTCAATATGAGTTCCATGATGACTACCTAGAAATTGGTGGCAACGTCGTCTTGACCGACCTTGAGCAGATTGCTCGTGATGCGATCGAACGCTACGGACCTTCCAAGGGACAGCCCTTCAAGGCTATGCTCAAGCAACTCAAGTACTTTGCCGGACGCCAAATCAGAAACGTCGGTACACCAGCTGGAAACTTGGCTACGGCTTCTCCTATCTCCGATTTGAACCCCGTTTTCATGGCTACCAATGCCATCATTGTCGCCAAGTCGCTCGAAGAGACGACTGAGATCCCTATGTCAGACTTCTTCAAGGCATACAGATTGACTGCTCTGGCTCCTGACGCCATCATCGCAAGCATCAAGATTCCTATCTTCAAGGAGAAACACGAATACATGAGGGCATACAAGGTTTCCAAGAGAAAGGACGATGACATCGCTATCGTCAATGCTGCTCTTCGTGTCGTCCTGAACGACTCGAACGACGTCGAAGACTGCAGTCTTGTATATGGTGGCATGGCCCCCGTCACAATCTCTGCTAAGGAAGCCGTCAAGGCTCTCACTGGCAAGAAGTTTACTGATCCAAAGACCCTGGAGGCTGTTATGAATGCTTTGGAGAAGGACTTTGATCTGAGATTTGGTGTCCCTGGTGGTATGGCAACATACCGCAAGTCATTGGCTCTTGGCTTCTTCTACCGTTTCTACCACGAGATTCTGTCTGAGCTTCCGGTCAATGATGCTGCTGTCGACCCAGATGCAATTGGAGAAATTGAGCGCATCATCTCCTTCGGTAAGAAGGATCACAAGGCTGGAGAAGCCTATGAGCAGAAGATCCTCGGTAAGGAGCAACCACACGTGGCAGCTATGAAGCAGAGTACTGGAGAAGCACAATACACCGACGACATTCCCGTCCAGAAGAACGAGCTCTATGGATACATGGTTTTGTCGACCAAGGCACATGCCAAGATCACTGGCGTAGACTTCGAGCCAGCCCTGGGAATTCCTGGTGTCATTGAGTGGGTCGATCACAGAGACCTACCTAACCCTGAAGCAAATTGGTGGGGTGCACCTATATGTGACGAGACCTTCTTTGCTGTGGACGAAGTCTTCTGCGCCGGTCAGCCCATTGGTATGATCTTGGCCAACTCAGCCAAGCTTGCCGAAGCTGGTGCTCGCGCTGTCAAGGTTGAGTACGAGGAGTTACCAGCTATCTTCACCATCGAAGAAGCTATTCTCGCGGAAAGCTACTTCAACCATTACAGATACATCCAGAATGGCGATGTTGACAAGGCATTCGCGGAGGCTGATCATGTGTTCACTGGTGTCGCTCGTATGGGTGGTCAGGAGCATTTCTACTTGGAGACCAACGCCTGTGTTGCTGTGCCCAAGCCCGAAGACGGCGAGATGGAGATTTTCAGCAGCACTCAGAACCCTTCAGAAACACAGACATATGTTGCCCAGGTGACTGGAGTTGCAGCGAACAAGGTCGTTTGTCGTGTGAAGCGTCTTGGTGGTGGTTTTGGTGGCAAGGAGACACGCTCTATCCAACTTGCAGGTATCTGTGCTGCAGCTGCTAAGAAGGTTGGTCGACCTGTCCGCTGTATGCTCAACCGCGACGAGGATATTTTGACTTCAGGTCAAAGACATCCATTCCTTACTCGCTGGAAGGTAGCGGTCAACAAGGACGGTAAGCTTCAGGCTTTGGACGCCGATGTCTTCAACAACGGAGGTTGGAGTCAGGATCTTAGTGGTGCAGTCGTCGATCGTGCTCTTGCTCACATCGACAACGTCTACAAGATCCCCAATGTGTTTGTTCGTGGTCGCATTGCCAAGACCAACACTGTATCCAACACCGCTTTCCGCGGCTTTGGTGGACCTCAGGGCATGTTCATCGCTGAGAGTTTCATGTCGGAAATTGCGGATCATCTCAGCATGGATGTTGACGATCTTCGCGAGATCAACTTGTACCAACCTGGCGACAAGACGCACTACTTGCAAGAGCTCAAAGACTACTACGTACCTCTGATGTACAAGCAAGTCAAGGAAGAGTCCAATTATGCTCAGAGAAAGAAGGAAGTCGCAGCCTACAACGAGAAGAGCAAGTACTTCAAGCGCGGTATTTCGCTAATTCCAACCAAATTCGGTATCTCATTCACCGCACTTTTCCTGAATCAGGCAGGTGCGTTGGTACACATCTACCACGACGGGTCTGTACTCGTCGCGCACGGTGGAACAGAAATGGGTCAAGGTCTGAATACCAAGATGATCTCTATCGCTGCCGAAGATCTCTGTGTCGCCATGGAAGATGTCTTCATCTCTGAGACTGCCACCAACACTGTCCCCAACACGTCATCCACCGCTGCTTCAGCGTCTTCCGATCTCAACGGCTATGCCATTCACAACGCTTGCGCCATTCTGAACGAGCGTCTTGCTCCATACAGGGAGAAGCTCGGCCCCAAGGCCACCATGAAGGAGCTTGCCCATGCCGCTTACTTCGACCGTGTCAACCTCTCCGCCCAAGGCCACTACAAGACACCAGACATCGGCTATGTTTGGGGCCCCAATACCGGCCAGATGTACTTCTACTTCACCCAAGGTGTTGCAGCCGCCGAAATTGAGATCGACACTCTCACTGGCGAATGGACTTGTCGCCGCGCCGACATCAAAATGGATGTAGGTCGCAGTATCAACCCTGCCATTGACTACGGTCAAATAGAGGGTGCTTTCGTCCAAGGCATGGGTCTCTTCACAATGGAAGAATCACTCTGGCACCGTGCCTCTGGTCAAATTTTCACCCGCGGCCCTGGCGCCTACAAGATCCCCGGTTTCCGCGATATCCCTCAAGAAATGAACGTGTCCTTGCTCAAGGATGTGAACTGGGAAAACCTTCGCACTATTCAGAGATCTCGTGGTGTAGGTGAACCACCACTGTTCATGGGATCTGCTGTATTCTTCGCCATCAGAGATGCATTAAAGGCTGCTAGAAAGCAATGGGGTGAAGAGGAGCTGCTTGAATTACATTCGCCGGCTACGGTCGAGAGAATTAGACTTTCTTGCGCGGATCCTATTATCAAGAGATCGATGGTCAAACCTCAGGAGGGTGAGAAGAGTTTCTTCATGAGCATTTAAGGTGGTGTGTTGGATAGGCATTGGCGTTTTGGATGTGTAGATATCATTGATTAAATCACTCGATTCTTGTTCACACCACTGTGTCTTGTTTAAAATGTATCCTTTGAGTCGTTCCTCATAGCCGCAGCTTAGCTTTGGGCAAAGTGAACTCTCTTCTGCTGGATTTGTATCCGACATTTTGTTTTTGTCCTGATTTGAGCAGGTCGCTCCTTCCATCCTAGAGCGAGTGCATTACATCTTGTTCTGACCACCTAGTTGTGCCTTCCCACCTCACTGTATCGCACTTTCCTCATTTGAACTTTCTGACTTTGGTCGCTCTTTCCTTATCTCACGGCTGTTCTTTCCTCGACTTTATTTTGATCGTTTTCTTGGTGGTTCTTTCCTTTCTCGTTTTGCTCGATTGCACTTTCCTCGTTTGATGGATCGGGGTTGGTCGCTCCTTCTGATATTCGATCGTGCCTTCCTCGTTACGATCTTTCCTTCTTTCTGGAGGTGGACAACGGCCTCTTTAGATGTCGACATATGTGAGAGAACAGAATCATGCGACGAAGACAAGAGGGCAAAGCAGAGTAAAAGACAAAGATGATGTGTACTGTTGTATTGTATATACATTAGGCGTGAAGAAAATAGTGGTATCTGGCTAAAAAGCAAAGTCTATGTATAAAGGAGTGATTGAAGAGAAGAAAATGTCAGAAAATCGTGGTTGTGAATAAAGCTTTTTGGGAGCAAAAGAAAGAAAAGAAGAGAAAAAAAACCCCTAGTACGCGGTGCGAGTGAGATTGCTAGCGATGAAGCCTTGCGCAGGCTTTTGTCCTCTTCCTTTGGGATGGAAGTGACTGCTCTCCGACACCTCATTGCTCTCGACGACAGTTCTCTTGGAGTTCTTCGAGGCAGCGACTGCTGCAGCGTCGGAGTAGAGGCCAGAAGAGTAACCATAGGCGATTGTAACAGCAGAGTTTGTGACGTTGAAGTAAGGTGAGGCGTCTGTGTCGCTCTGCTCAGAGAAGTACTGAACACACTCCCAGTATCCCGAGCCACCTTCACCTGCAAGACCAGTTCCGTTGCTGATGAAGTGGAGATCGAAGGAGAGGTACTGGTTCGGATCGTCGTAGCGGTAGTATGCATCTTCAGCACATTGCTGAACAGCAGCTGAAGGAGAAACGGAGCTGTCGATGCGAGTGACGACGGGAGGGAAGTTGTCGGAGAAGTATGCGTTTCCAGGGTTGTTGGGGTCCTCGGTGAAGCCACATCCTCTGTAAAAGCGCTCATACTCAGTGTCGGCGATGACGATGGACGCAGGTGGAGTACTCGTGGGCTGGAGGGAGCAAGTGGATCTTGGATCGAAAGTTGACGATGCAGCTGTACCGGAGGCGGAGGAAGCTGCTGCACTAGACGGTGCGGCAGTAGTGGGTGCGCCGGCAGAACCACCCAATGCGGTGCCCGCGGTAGATACTGAGCTAGAGCTTGAGGTAGAACCCGAGCCAGAACCTGAGCCAAGAGTGATGACGGTAGTCGCAGTAGTAGCGGCCTGGGTGCCAGCTTGCGTCTGAGTGTTGGTGATCGTAATGATCGAAGGATAGAAAGTGGATGTGACCACTCTAGTAGCGGTGGTCTGAGCACCAACCGTACGTACGCTGGTGACAGTTCTCACAGACACGACCGTACTCTGAGCCGCGCTTGACGCTCTGGTAGCGCTTGAAGCTTTAGCAGTGATGGTAGTCCTGGCCACAGTGACTGTACTTTGTGCGGCGCCGACCGTTCTCACGCTGGTCACTGTTTTGACAGAAATGGCAGTGCTTTGGGCAGCACTCGATGGCTTGACAGTGACGGTGCTCTTGGCAATCGTGACAGTTTTCTGGCCAGATCCAACTGCACTCAAAGTGACAGTCTTGAACATGGTAGTCGGGGAGGCATTCTGGTTCTGAGCAGTAATGGTCGTGATGGCAATGGTGACAGTCGACTTTTGGGTAATAGTAGACTTGGCCACAGTGATGGTGCTCTTAGCAACAGTAATTGTTGACTTAGATGCTGAAGCCCCATTACCAGATCCATTCGCTCCCGAAGCCTTAGCAGTGATGGTCGTTTTAGCGATGGTAACGGTTGAGGTTTTGGCGACGGCAGTAGGCTTCAACGTAATGGTAGTTTTAGCCACAGTGATGGTGGATTTTCCATTCGCGTTACCAGCTCCTGAGGAGCCAGCTCCAGATGCCTTGATGGTGACTGTGCTCTTTGCGATAGTGACCGTGGATACCTTGGTGGAATCAGTAGGACGAGCAGTCACGGTAGTTCTGATGGTCTGTCTCTCGGTGACTGTTGAGACACCGGTTGTTCGAATAGGGACAGATCGAGCCGTGGTCAATGCGACTGTTGTTCTTGCAACCGTGACTGTAGAGCGGATAGTTCTGGTGACAACACTGAACGACGATCTTGGTGAGTTGTCGCCGACCCTTGCTGCTGGTTGAAATTGCCCATCTGTGATGCACTTGCAGACATCATAAACTTCTTGTGTACTCAGGCCAGGTATCGGGCTGCGAGTGCGTGGACTGAGAAACGTCAGTAAGAATTGATAAGCGGCTATGAGAGAGGCTTACATTGCGAAATAGAACTGACAGAAAGGGATACCGTATTTGACGTCGTCGTTGAAGATGTAAAGATGGGACTTGTTGCAAGCTGTGACATAGGATAAGTATTCTAGTATCTGCGTGTGGGACAAGGTGAACATACTTGTTGCTCTGGGGACAATGTCGAGGTTGTCCTTATCAGCGTTGGATAGGGGAGATGCAATAGCGAGTGATGACAGCACAGCGGCTGTGAAGATGGAGAGGAACCGCATTCTGTTCTATCAGGCTACCGGAGCCTAAGGTCGGACGAGAAAGGAGCGTAGAGATGAGAACGTGTGAGATAGGCGACCTAACCTTTGCTTTCCTTGAACCTGATCCTTGACTCAAGGAACTCACCTATACCCTATGGTCAAACGGAGTGGCAGGGAGGGGCTTTTCTATCAAGCCGGTGCCCTCTCGGTCATAGCCCGCCGTAAGAGCAAGTTTGCTTGATAGCGCGACGTTGGAGGCCACGCCGATATGATCGATATACATACCCACCATAGCATGCAAAGTGGATGCCGGCAATACAACAAACTCCAACGGCAATGAGGCGCTCGCATGCCGAGCAAGGCCAATGTATAAGGGCTTGCAACGTTTGCGACCAGGAGGGCCTGTTTGAGAGGGGAAGAAACAAGATTAGAGGACATCGTACAGCCGAGAATGTAGACCAGAGACATGAACGGTGCGGCAATAACGGTTGTTTTGCCCTATGGCAAAATGCAGTGTGGTATTCTGCTTGACGTTGCTGTCGACTCTGCTCCAACTCTTCGAGTCTTTAATCACGTCTCCGCCAATCTGATGTCGAGTTGGACTGTGTGAATTGAGCAGATGCATGACGTGAAGTAATTGATGATCAAAGATGGCGTGGAAGTTACAATATTGGTGAATGACCAAGAAGGTAGGTACGTTGGAGAGGAAGGATTCCCTCGGCGGTCCGGGTTGAAAGGATGGAGGGCACGAAGCCGGTATTGGCGCCCACAATCTCCCAGAGGCCCTGAACGGCACTGCATGAGCTGCTCTAAGGCATGCGACTGACTACAGTAGAAGGAACCACAATAAGAAGCCGCGTCAGACAAACACAGAGTTCAGATCGTACTATGTGATGATCTGGGAGAACTCTGGTGCATATTGAAACAAATTCAGAATGGATATTTCGGGTCGCGGTGGTGTGGGTGTTATTACCAGCGCGTCGAATCAACTTTGGCGGCTCACGCTCCTCCTTCCCTGGTTTGGCAATTTCATTCAAGACCCCAGCCTCTTCTTGCCAACCACTCACTTTTTTGTTTATCGCGATCGCATTGTCTCGTATAATAGATGTACGAAGCACTCATCAAGATGGCCTGGATCTCCGGAGCTTTACGTCCGTAGTCTTGTTCTAGAAAGATGGGCCGTTTTCAACTGTTCAATTTTAATAGCTTCAGCGTTTGCCAGTATCAACGGTCTGCACTCCTCTCCATCTATCACACATCAACATCGGACTTGCCACGGAATCGGTCCACACCTCAGAACATCATTCACCGGTTCGGCTCATTCATTGCATCAATCTCTCGTGGTAGTGGGCTGTTCTGAACTGTGCAGATATCGATTTGACATGAACCATTGCTCGGGTATCCTACATGGTCCTTGCTAGCATGCGAAGACCGTATGTGGTCGGAATTTGTACATGGCTGACTCGTGTACTCTCTGCTGCGGCTGTGAGGTGAGCGGACAACGCTGAGCCCTCGCAATAGCTGCTCCATTAGGAGTATTTGACATGCTTCTGTGGCCGTGGACTCACGACAGGGATGTGATTACTGGAGTCATGTCCATGACTCGGTAACCTGTGGTGTGTGAAAAAAAGCTTTCGATGGTTCTAATTCTTTCCTGCTCTAGTTCGTGTGCAATGGTAATTGGCTGCCGGACCAATCATCCCGAAGGTCGAGGCTTGACACTGTCAAATTGAGACAGGTTGGGCTTGCATTGAGAGCGCTTCCCGAGAAACATATCCTCAGCCTTGCCGGATGTCGTAGCTGTCCGAGACAATCGAAGACAGCTTCTTGCGCCTTACTATTGCCGCGCGTTTGAAGTGTACGCTCGGCGTCCAAGTCAGGAATCATACGAAAGACACCTTGGACATTCTGGTAGTAGTGGGCGAGAATCGGATTTTGACCAGCAAGCCATGTGAATTACCAGACAATCCAAGAGGCTGCAATATCTTGGTGTGCAAATTTGTCCCTACTGGACAACCAAACTCGACAGTGATATGCCTCATTACAGGATGAGACGTCGGACTAGGCTTTCAGAGACTTCAAGACTGCAACAAGAAAACATCCCCAGCTAAGGACATTCACTGTCAGGGATCGGATACGATGAACCTTGAGCCATTCATCTAGCACTTTGACGCTGTTTCCCTTCGTCTCATGGTTGATGATGGCTGCGAACTTCCAAGCCACCGCAGGTACGAATGCAAAATGAGCCACACTAAGTATTGCTCCAGCTGCGTACCATCTAGCAGAATCTGGTGCTGCAATGCTTCGATACTCATGATAAAAATTTGCTCCTGCAGTCAGAGCGGTGGCAGTATAGGTTGCGATTAATTGGCCAGTGTACCCTCAAAACCAATCTTCGACATATGTTGGAAGGAGTGAATTGCTCTTTTCTCTGTTTCTCTCTCGAGTGAAAATGCTGATGAACACATTCTGAGCCCAGCAGTATGACAGCGTTGTCGAAGCTGTTATGAGTGGGGTTATCCGTAGCAAGACCACCGGGTCGAAGAACTGGCGTGAAGCCATGTTGAATCGTCCTTGGGATGGTATCTCTGTCAACCTGTGGAAGAATTTTGATTATGATATTTCCAAGAAGTTGGCAGTCATCCTTCTTTTCATGCCATCGTCGCTGGCAACATCGCGTGATCGGGCACGTCTGAAGGATTTTGATCGTGACGCAGAATCCTACCTGATTGAAATCCGTTTCCATCAACTGTGGTTGCCTCAAGTTTAGATGGACTATTTGACTGCGATACATGGTCTCTGCTTCGAATGTAAAAGCTCATTCTTCTGGCCTGTGAACAAAGAAGACGATGCCCTGCATGATGCATCAGAATGGCGGTAAGCTCTTGGACCCCTCATCTTAGCCGGGCCGACATCCGGCGGCTAATTCATGGGCAAGCATTGGCCTATCGTCTGCCTTTTGCACCGCAAAGGGCCCTTGTGACCCTACATGGTAAGAGGCCTCTTGCACCATAATCTTTGATGATCGCGTGCAACCTGGACTTGTCCCTCAGTTTTTCGTATGAGAAAAACGTGAAATCGCTTCTCAGCTACTTGCAAATCTTTAGGCTGTTGTTAGTGTCAACCCTGAACAGCAGTAAAGATGGCAGCAGCCAACAAGAGGCTGCCCGAGCGTCGTCTGCCTGTGCAGCAGATGTGCGTGTTGGTGAGTAAGCCTTGTACGAACCTCTTCGTCTCTCAAATCTCGCATTTGGCCAACATGGCTAACAAAAATCCAACAGGCTCTATGTCGCATATCAGAGCCGATAGCATTCACTTCAGTATTCCCATACCTGCCAGAGATGATTGAAAGTCTAGGTGTACCAGAAGACGAAGTAGCAAGATGGGCAGGAATCTGTGTCTCAATGTTTCCCCTGGCTCAATTCCTGACTGCTGTATCCTGGGGACGTGCTAGCGATCGCTATGGTAGAAAGCCAGTCATCTTACTCTCCTTGACTTGTACCATGATCACGTCTCTTCTCTGGGGTTTCTCTAGTAGCCTGGGCATGGCTATTGCTATTCGAGTACTTGCCGGGGCGGCTAATGGTACCGTTGGTATCATTCGTACTGCCGTCGCTGAAATGGTGCCTTGGAAAGAACTTCAACCAAGAGCTTTCAGCGTAATGCCTCTTGTCTGGAACATCGGCAGCATTTTCGGACCTACACTTGGAGGTGCTCTGGCTAATCCCTATCACATGAAGCCTGGTCAACCTCTACCTGATAATCCTACACTTTTTGAGAGGTTTCCCTACGCACTACCGAATATGCTTGCAGTGATCTTGTTCCTTACAGGCATCAGCATTGGAATACTTTTCTTGGAGGTATATAACTACTCGTCTCAGCAGATTACGGAATGCTTACCTCTTTATCTAGGAAACCCTCGCTGCGAAAAAAGATCGCCGCGATTATGGACTTGAGCTTGGATTGAGAATAAAGTATTACAGCAAGCAGGCTCTCAGAAAGACCAAGCGCATATTTACTCGAGCGGACGGCAACGAAGATTCGGAAACTGAGCCGCTTCTCAAGCCGCAGTTCGCACCTTCCCCAACCTCAGATGAGGAGTTCGGAGTAAACACAGCGCCTAAGCCAGCACTTCCGCCACCAAGCTTTCGCGAAGTACTTCATTATCAGACCATCATCAACTTGATTGTCTACACTCTTCTTGCTCTTCACAACATCGCTTTTGATCAGCTCATTCCGATTTTCATGCATCACCCTGTGCAGGATCATTCTGCCAACAATCCTGACTTTCAACCTCCATTGAAGTTCGCTGGTGGGTTTGGGCTTGACTCCGGCCGCATCGGATTCATTTTTACGCTCTATGGCATCTCTGGAATGTTCACTCAGTTCCTTGTCTTCCCGCCCGTTGCACGGAAGTATGGTGTTGTCAAATGCCTGCGTGTTTGTGCTGTGTGCATGCCAGTCATCTACTTCTTTGTTCCCTTCGCAGCTCTTTTACCTGACAGAACAAGCCAGGAGGTGGCAATCTTCGTGTTGATGATCATCAAAGGCTTCTGTATGTTTCTTCGTCTTCTGACCATCTGAGCAAGCCACTAACTTTTGCTAGTCTCCACCTTCGCGTTTCCGTGTTCGACCATCCTTCTGACCAACTCCGCCAGCAGTCTTCGTATCCTCGGCACTCTGAACGGTATCGCAACAAGTGTTGGTGCAGTCGGCCGAGCACTAGGTCCCGCTATCGGAGGCTCGACGTTCACATACGGTGTCAAGATCGGATATGTTATTCTACCGTGGTGGGTTTTGTCCTTCATCGCCACAATCGCAGCCATCCCATCATTTTGGGTTGTCGAGGGCGAAGGCTTCGGTGGTGATGCCGATAACGTCGAAGATGACGAAGACAGCATAATCGAAGAGGACGAACAAGAAGCAGAATATGGTAGCCCCGGTCCTCTGCTCAGCCGCACCGATACAATCTCTTCAGGCGCAATCTCAGAAGACGAACGCGAGTACGACTCTGACGACACTGCTCGCGAGATCACACAATCTCCACAGGTCAGAAGTAGGAGAGCATCTAGTAGTAATCGTCTCTCTCGCCGACCTTCGAGGAAGATGTCTGCTCCCATTGGCATGGAGAATCGCACAATTTCGAGACGGTTCAGCAGCAACCTTGGACAGAGCTTTGGTAGCGCTGGCAGCTACAATCCTTAATTCGTCAATCTTCACGAAGCAAACCAGAGTAGCGAAGTGTCGTAAGAGAAGGGCATGAAGTTGGAAGATTTGGGATCAAGCCCACTAAAGGCTTTACAATAACGATGGGATTCTATTGGACACGAGGAGATGGGATGAACAAGTTGTGAATTTTTAAGGGGATCGAACTTGTGCTTTTGAACATTGAGATCATCTCTGCATGTATTGGCGTTTTAGGACTTTGGTCAACATGATACAGCACTTTGGTGGCTGATTTCTTGAACTTCCTTCACACTCAACGGAGTACTTTCTGAATGCGAGACCAGTGACGGTTCATTGGACGGATGGAGAACCTGGAACATATCAGTGAGATGCACATCGAGAACAGGAGAGCAGGGTACACACGAGTATTGTCTGCAGTTGCCTTTGTAAGCTCGTTGACGCGAACTGACGAAAACAGAAACCACATGGAGTTCGGACATCCGTTTGTCCCTTCCTGGCCTGGCGCAAAAAGTCAGCGTTGTCGACCGTTCGAGTTGATCGATACGCACCTCTTTGCATTGAGTAGTGCTTTCACATGTCTAGCTCAGCCTTCAGGACGATCGAAGCCCAACATGAACTCCATGTATCTGTACATCAAGAAGAGAGCAGTGCACGCGATGTTGAGGAACGCGAAGAGGGTGAGTATGGCGATGATGATCCATCTCAGAGGTCTGAGGTCGGGGTCGTCCATCATCTGGTCGAGATTGACGAAGGGATCCATGATATGTTGTCAGGGTGGATGATTCGAGTGGTGGACCTTGGTGTGCGTGCAACGATGTCAGGAGGTTGGAAGGCTAGAAGTGATTGATGTTGAAACTTGACTCTCGGTTTCAATCACGTTGCTGTAGCTTCTCCGATGTTGACAAGGCAAACGCAATCAAACGTAACCAAACGCAAGCCGGAGTCACATCAGAGTGAGAAAGACAGGTCGATATCAACGCACCAGGTACTCCCTTATCGATTTCATATTGGTAAAGAACTTAGTTGGCTTCAATCGCTAATCTTTATAGCTACCCTCAATCGAGCCTCGCCATCGTAAACCTCCAGTCACATCAAATCGCACCCATCGCCTTCCTCCAATTCGTGTACAAGTACATTCATCTCCATCTCGGAAAGCATACGGACGGAAAGCATACGGACGGAAAGCATAAGGACGGAAAACCGTACAGCCACAAAAGCACAGTACAGGGAACCAAAGAACCATGCATAGAAAGCGAAACGGGCGGGCAGAAAAACCACGACGAGGATAGCGATGGTCATCCAGCTGAGTGATTCGAGATCAATGGCGATGAAGACAACAGAATCGAGGTTGAGGTTTGAGCTTTGTGGTTCCTCCATTTGAAATGCAGGAACGAGGGCATAGGTTTTCTGGGATCATTTCGCACTGGTCTTCGAGGAGGTGGTGTTTTCTGCATTCTTGGGGTTAGAAAGGAAGCGTTTTGTTGGCTGACTGCGGATCTCGATGGATACTGTACTTCGTGGGTGCCTTCTTTGCCTGGTCCGGCTGTGTTCCACCAACTTCCTTTGCCGACATAGCAAACATCATGAGATCGGAAGTAGGAAGGCGCCTTATATCGAGAATGGTGATCGCGTGCCCGAGTGTCCTCCACAATCGAGTTGCTCCTCGTTCTCGTGGTAATGCTGTAGTTCATCTCGTCAGTCCGGTTCATATCAATCATCATCAACCAAATAATACCTTGCTCTTTGTGCTTGTCATCCGTAGGCCCCTCCATCAGTCGAACTGAAACACCGACATGCAATACCGTGAATACACGAAAATCCAGTATATCATAGAGATGGAAATTGTGAAGACGTCCCAGAAGAGTGTAGGTATGAAGATGACGAATGCAAACCCGATGGCTATCCAGGGGAGAGATCCGAGATTGAACACCGCGTCTTGCGATGCTTCCATTGTGTTGAACAGACGGTTTTGGTTGTTCGATGGAAGATGTGACGTGGCTGATGTAAAGATGCGCGAATAGTTATGTCGCGAGGTGAGGGTGTTTTAAGCAAAGGATCAAGAGTCGACTAGATGTACTTGGTCGATCTCAGACACTTTTTTTTCTACGTGTTTTGCAATGTCTCGTTTGCTTGATTTGTTCTTTGTTGTCAACTTGATTTCTTACATCTCGAACGTCAAAACAAGAGTAATTACGATGAGTTACACAAGCCTTGTCTTGTTCCAAACCATTGTCTCGCACCAAATTTTCCCTCCAAGCAATCCAACAAGTAGTGTCTTCCTCTTGCATGGACTTTAAGCACTTCCGGTCCTGAATCTTCAACAATTGCAAGATTTATATCTAGATTCAAGAGTCCCAATGATTCCCAAAACATGGTGTGTTATATTCTCTTCTTCTCCAGGAGACAACAAGAGCAAGCCGATAAGCGTGAGTAGAGCTGCTTAGCCATATTGTTGACAGTCTGCTTGTACTCATGGGTTGTGTTGAATTTCATTCCACGGTGTTCATAGCAGTGGATGTGTCGGCAGCGTCCTCGTCGAAAAGGCCCTTGTCGGAGCCGGTGTTGTCGTCGGAGATGTTGTCGCGAGGGCACGTGCTTCTCATATCAAGGTCACACGTACGTGAGCCCTCTGTATCACACGTAGTCTGAATATCCTGCAGTGCAGCTTAAGCTCACCTTGTCCCGCCTGGTCTGGGTAAGATCTCTCGCTCCCCCTGCGTGGTACTGTGATTGCACATCTTCGTACACAACCTGAACATAATTGCTGCCCGCATGCGCTTCGGCAAATCATGATCAAAGTACATCTTAAGCGCTACGCGCTTTACCATAGCGTTCATATCGTTTGCAGACATCCGTGCGAAGTCCTGAGCAGCTGTGACTGCAGATGCTCTCGATTCACAAGCCTCGGCTAACTTATATAGCTGTGAAGCTAACGGCAGAGTGGCGTCTACCACTTGCACGAATTTATCACCCAACAGTCCGAAGAGGCCGGTCTTAGCAGCTTGTGTAAAGTCAAGGTGTATAACGACGACCCTGACAACCACTAGCCACTCTGGCAGTAGTCTAAGGGCGGCTAGGTCTTGCTGCTCGTGGCGGCAGGATTCAGGTAAGCTCTGAAGCTGCCAAGTTATAGGTTTGTCGAAGGGCTCTCGCTCTATTAGAGAGTCACTCATATAACCTAGCATAATCGACGCGGACCCATTGACCAGCTTCGCTTCCCAGACCAAAGAATCTAAAGGATGACCATCAGTCTGATAGCCTAGTTCTGCCTCATAGGACCTAGTCCAATTGAGATGTGCAGAGTCGCGTAGAGGGTCCTGCCAGTATTCGCGGGTTACGAGGTTCGCAGCCAGCCAATTAGCCTCTAGCGGCCGGCTACCACTCTCCTCCTCAAGCACTGAAGACCAATTGCCTGAGCTTAACGCAACTCTGCGCGACTCACGGCAGACTGTCGCAAGTAATGGCGGACGAGCATTGCTAATAGAGGTCGATATAAGTGAACATGGAAGCTTGTCTTTAGGCTTAGGACCGAAGCTATCGTAGACCATCCAGTCGATAGGATAGTCCATTTCGCTCACTCGATGCGGGAGACAGAAGCGCCAGATTTCTTCGCGAAGCTCGGTAGGTAGTCGCGGAAAGGGGTGGAAGGGGTTGTTGGCCATCCTCGGACTTGTAGAGCGAGACGCAGAACCGTGTTTGTGTGCCATGGCCTGTAAGGATGTGTTCCGAAAACAGAAGATTGTATGAGTGTGAGAAAGAGTTGCGAGCTTATAAGTGAGTGAGGGAAGGCGTAGATTGTTTTCCAGACCAAGGAGTAAAAGAAGATGGAGGATTGTTATCAACGCTATTAGCTGAAGAAGTCCGGCCTTTGATAGAATTGACACGTACTGACGAGAAGGTTCGGACACGGGTGTGAGTGATATTTACGTTGAGCAATCGCGAGTCCCCACCAAACCACTGACCGCAATCTCGCTTGTTCTCGGTTTCCAAATTCGTTAGAATTTACCACCCCTAACTTCGAACTCGATGCTTAGAGTGGCTAATGAGTCGCGCTGTTCTGACTATTTCCCACTTACTGCGGTCAACTTACACTATTTACACGTTAATACAGATAGAAAGTAGAGAACAGCGGGCATTATTAGACCCTAATGCTGAGATCTGTAGAGCTCAGAGCAGACGATACGCATAACAACGAAGACTGAGCCTGACCTGCATTGCATGATTGGTAGAAGTCAGAGCTCGAGAATTGATGAGAAGGAGGGGCATTGCCGTGAAGTATCACATGGAGATGCTGTAGTTGTAAGATTCGTTAAGAGTCTCATGATCATAATGCCCTGCATTCCTGTTCCGATTCTAGAATTAAACAAACATAACACTTTTATCGACCGATAAACTTGAGTTCAAGAGGTCTGAGGATGAGATATGAGGTGAAGCCAAAGGCAAATCCGAGAGCGCTGCCAACATCACCTCCGTAGGGCGCGTCGCCGGCGGTGAGAGCAATGGGGCCGACGAACCAGGTCTGCGACATGCCCAAAACGAAGCCGCAGACACCGAAGCAGAAGGCAATAACGGCAGCAATGCCAATGGCGAGGTTTTGGGGCTTGTCGTAGTTGGAGATGTTGTAGGCTTCAAGTGATCTCTTGAAGACAAAATGGTCTGCGAATGCAACTCCGGTGTAGATAGCAAGCCAGTATCCTAAAATTTCAGTCAGCTCATTGCAAATGTTTTGAATTGACGCAGAGCGCACAGACCTATGAAGTTCATCTGGCTTCAATTAGCATGCTGTATACCATAGAGGAGGTGGTGGGAGGTGGTGGTGGAGTAGAAGGGTCAAAAAGGGGAGGTGGGAGAAAAAAGGAGAAAAATAAAAATAAACTTACGAAGTTCTCAAGGACAGCCTCGAAGTGGCTGTAGCCAGGAATGGCAATAGCAATGTAAACACCGGTAGCGACAAGAGTGAGAATGAAGCGAGGAAGACGCTGGATCCACTTTCCGAAAACTTGGACGGTAAGACCGACCGAGTAAATATTAGGGCAGTTGTTGGCAATGATGGAAAGAGCCAGGATGACAAGGCAGAACTTTCCGAAGCCACCAAGATGAGGAATCAAAACAGCTCCGAGGAGACCACCAGTGCTGGACTTTTTGTAACCGGCCATGTAGATGTTGTCACCATCGTTAATCGTGGTGGCAGTCATGACTGCCAGACCGAGCATCTGAGTGAACAGGAGAGGGAAGAGCAGACCAACAAAGGTGAACAGGAAGACCTTCCAGCGCTTCTGAGTGCTGGGCTGGTAAACAGTGTAATCGGCAGCGTATGAGGTCCAACCAGTAGCGAAACCGTAAATGGTAGCTCCGAAACTGAGAACAGCACCCATCTCAGTCTTGCCAGTCTCCCAGGGGATGTTGTAGAAGTCACCGGTCTTAGCAAAGACACCGATGGTGATGAGGAAAACGATGAAAGTGGGGATCCATGACCAGAACTCGTAAGCATGAACGATCTTATAACCGAACAGCGTGATGGCGAAAGTGCAGAATGCAATGATCAAAATACCAGCCCAACCAGGAACATCGCTGTTGACAGTGTTTAGGAGCTGAGCACCAACAATTGAGTTGACCGAAGACCAGCCAATGCAAGCAATGACGTTGAAAATGGCAATGAGCTTTACGCCATACCATCCGAACCAGAACCTAGAGAGAACCATCTGAACAAAAATCAGTAAATGAGCAGAATCAAAACTGACTGACGTGGTACAAACCTGACGAAGACCAAATTTAGGACCCATAGCGGAGAAGAACGAAACAGGAATTATACCGATGATGTTGAAGAAGAGAATACACAAGATACCATCGGCAAATCCAGTGAAGAACAATCCAGGTCCGAGGATACCAATGGCGAACGAGGAAACGACCATGTTGGCTGAAAGCCACTGAGGTATATCGTCAGCAAGAGGTTTCGCTTTTCTCAGCGAGTGCCTCAAGATCTCACCATTGTCATGACGTTCAACAACGCCTTGATGCCAGTCTCGGTTCTCTCGTTCTCGGGCACACGCTCAATACCACGCTGCTCGATGTTGAACTTGCCAGCCAGGCGCTGCATCTTAGCATAGTAACCATCGCCATACTCGAAGCTCTCCCCTGGGACAGCAGCCTCCTCGTAAGGGTACTCTCCCGATGAAGGGATGCTACCAACACCCGACTCCACGGGGTTCTTCTCCAGATCGTGAACGTGCGACATATTGAACCCTGGAATGTGTATAGGCGTTCACCGAAGAAGATGGGGAAGAATCGCGCAGTTCACCGCAAAGTCGCAAGATGGCGAGATGAAAGGGCGAACGGTCAGGTAAGAAGTTGGGGTCTAGTCGCAAAAATGGGATTTCTCTGACAAACTGTCGGAGAGGTCCTACGGGCTATATGTAGGAAGGGTGTCGCAGCTCGCCGATGGGAAAATTGATTTGTGTGCCAGGCCCAAGGGCTCCGGCTAGATAAGTGGAAGCGCGCCCCCAATTTTCGCGACAAAAACGCTCACGTTTCTCTCCGGTCCCAGATCTTCCGTGCGTGTCTAGACACGAGCTTTGATAAGACGGCGTGGTCCGGGTCAGTCTGAAGCGAGAAGGCTGTTTTGTGCTTATTCCTGGCGGGTGGCCCCTTCTGGAGAAGCCTACCCACCTGTTTGCCTCTAGATAAGGTGACATGCATCCAATCACGATCACTCAGCTATTGGAGGAACAGCTGAACAGTGTGTGTTGCTCTGTACTGCCGTACCCACGGATATCGGAGTCGACCACATTTTCCCACGCGAGCACTGAACTATGTTGAGCGCGCGCGGCCGCCCACCAGGTCAAAGCGGATCAGCAGTTTTCCTTACGTACAGGGGTCTCAAACCCTAACCGTACTTTTCACGTGGAGCGAAAGGTCCAGAGATGAAGATGTGCAGTAGGTACAACCCGCAGGTAGGTAAACAGCAACACTTGCATGGCATTTTGTTCTCTCATTGATATCTGGACAATTGACACGAGTTTTGAAGGCGACGTCTGTCAAGCAAACTCAAGCATCAAGCACAAGCATCCCAAGAAACGCCGCAGAGATTCTTCTCGGTAAAAGTAGCCCTTGGCATCATGCTGTAACGGCGATCACAGAGGTCTCTGTTGGGCCTCGAAGCATGCGAGGCTCTGTCTTCCTTTCTTCTTTCGAAAGTCAATCTGCTCTCTCTACAAGGCTGAAAGCAGACATCGCACCTGGTGATGATGCTGTCGCCATCAAGAACACAACAAACCACTTCGACCATTGTTTGTACTCGAGTAAAGATAACAACGTTGATGGGACTCTTTTGCAGTCACCAAAAATGCCTCCTTCCTGAATCGTCGCCAAGCGAAAGCCACACGGCTTGAGTTCCCGAGTTGATCCTTCCCGAATGCTTTTCGGGCACCTCGGTCATCGAACGGCAGGTTTGGTTTCGAAAGCAACGAAGGATGCGAAGAGAAGTGATGAAATAAAGGTCGTAGGCGAATCACGAGAGTGCATTGCTTGATAGCGGAGCATTGCAATTTCCTTCTTTATCAGAGGCATTGAGTTGATGCAGGATTCAAGCATGTGGTTCTAGGTTGCAGCGTTTCTCGCTAACCTCACGGCACGAGTCGGTTTGGTGAAAACTGCTCATGTGTAGGGTATGACCCTGTCTCAAAATCACAACACCCACATTATGCCAGCTGACGACAATATGATTTTGCTTACAAGTCGAGTCTGATTCAGATACGGTTTCCTGACCCTTCAAACTCTTCCAGTTGTCATTGTGATGTTGTGGAGCGTGGAAAGGTTCCAGGAAGAATTCGGACGTGGCTTCTCAACATTCCCGGCGAGTTACTTCAAAGTTGTACGTGAACATCGTTGTTAGCCGAGCGATATTTTCCTGTCCCAGTCACATCATGGACCTCTGCGCGAGAACGCATCCAAGCCCTTGGAGTGCACACGAACGCCATTCACATTGGTACTGCCGAAGAGAGAGAGCAAGATTTAGAGATTGTATCATGGATTTGCTAGGGTACAAGATAAGAGGAATAGTCAAAACGACAAGAAGGCAAGGTCGGTAGCACGCTCAGCAAAATGTGCACTCGTTTAACAGAAGCGAGGATTCATGCAAATGCAGGGCAAGCATCTTGGACAATTTCATGTCACCAGGATCGATCGCATGTCAACCACACTGGTGATTCATGATGTCCAGCGTCCGGTACTGGATGTGTTAATGGCTCGGGATGAAGTCGACACAATATCATGCATGCCTATGACACGAATCGAGTACGAGTGCAGGTCAATCGATGGTCAGAATCCATAGTCCAGATCCAGGAAATCAACGCTTGAAGCTTGAGAATCAACCACGTAGAACGAAGCATGAGCAACACAGAGTCGTCAAAGCACACAAGCTGCCACTGGGTCTGTCACCACGCTCATTTCAAGCACTCGAAGGCGACGAAGGTAATATCCAGAAGGCAGAAACAGACGACATGAAGACCAGGCATGTGAAGAGCAGCGTGTCACGCATGTCTACCAGTATCGAAAACGGCATCAAGCAGGCCTATAAGTAATAGTGCAAGTGTCGGTCGTTGTCGTCATGGTCATGGTCATGGTCATGATGTTCCGGGCAAAGCGATCAGAACCGTCACACGGTCACGGTGTCAAAGCGATGAGCCCTCTATTGGGGCGGCATTTGGGGTTGACCTTGTCCACCCTGTCCGTTCTGGGCGAGAGCGGCATACCCTAGAGCAGAAAAAATTAGTATGATGTTCGATGTGTTTGTGTTTCATAGTAAACTTACACATAGCACAGTAAGCTTGGTAACCACCGTAGGGAGCATAAGGATCGGCGGCGTTCGGGTCAGATGCAGGTGCTTGCTGAGGTGTAGCGGACATGCCCTGCAATGCAGACATTGCTTGAGCAGCACCGCCCATGGGCATCTGTCCATAAGCTTGCTGTTGAGGCTGCTGTGAGTATTGGTTGTTACCACCATAGGTATCGTTACGAGGAGCACGCTGTTCTCTTGCACCACCATTGCGGTCACGTTGTTGCTAAGCAATATCAGCAAGCTGTATGTTGAGGCAGGAATCGAGAGACTTACCACAGTGTCGACCTTTTCCCAGATGGCGCCCTTTGCCTCATCAATGGCAGAGCGGCTACCTACCAAACCTATGCGACGCTGGACGTCGGGTTGCTCGGGTTGACCAACGTTGATCTTGCAACCAGTGGTGGCCTGCATTTCCTTGATTGTTTCACCTCCTTTTCCGATGATCATACCGACGGCCTCAGACGGTACGTAGATCTCCTCGGTGATCTTGTCGGCGCCTCCACGGTCGTTGTTCATAGCTCCACGGTAAGGATCGAAAGGTGCAGGTCCTCGGGAATCCATCTGCTGAGCGGGCTGATGGTTGGGGTGGCCAGGAGGTGGGCGGACATCGCTCTCAACTATCTCGAGGATCATCTCCTTTGCAATACGTGCAGCGTCGGGCGTGCCAATCAGGTTCACAGGACGCATACCGTTGATGCTCTTATTCTCGCTGACAATGTTGACATGGCAGCCACTGCGCTCTTGCAAGTCACGAATAGTTTCGCCACCACGGCCGATGATCAGACCAACCGTCTTGTCGGGAACCATGATCTGAACGCTGTTCTCACCTTCGCGCAGAGCGGGTTGTTGATCTCTCGATTGTTGCATCATAGGTTGCTGCTGTCTAGACATGGGAGGGCCACGCTCCGGAGGGACGCTGCCACCATTCTCGTCCATGACACGGAAAATCTCTTGCTTTGCAAGCTCACGGGCCTGAGGGGGACCAGAAATGGTACATTGGCGGTTGACGGCGTTGGGCTCCTTGGCTGGAATGAACTGGACGCGGGCACCGCTCTCAGACTCGACGCGTCGCAGGTTCTCTCCATTGCGACCAATAATCAGACCAACAAGCGCAGACTTAACCGAGATTGTGTCGCTGTCGCCGGGAGGGGCGCGCGAAGTAGGAGAGCGAGGGCCGCCACGAGCGCCAGGGCCGGGCGAGAAGTTTCCTCTTCCACCACGAGGACCAGGAGAGTGGGATCTGTCGCGATTGTTGTAGCCACGGTCTCTGCGATCGGCGTCGCGTCGCTCGTCACGGTAAGGGTTGAAGTTGCCGCGGAAGTTGTCGCGACGAGGAGGCGAGCGCGAGCGAGATCTCGACTGTTGGTAGGGAGGTCTGCCAGCAAGACGAGGGTCGCCACGCGGGGGCTGGTTGTGAATCTGTTGTTGAGGAGGGCGATTATCGTAAGAGATGCCGCGGTCTGCAGCGATGCTCTTGGCCTTTGCGATGGCTTCGGCGATGCTTACAGAGCCGGTGTTAACGGGACGAATTGCGCTCAAGTCGACGCTGCCAGAGCTTGATGGCTGAGGTAGAGGGAAGCCGCCAAGTGAGGGGGTAGGCATTTGGGCGGGGCCGAGGTTCTGAGGATAGCCTTGAGGCATGCCACCAGGAGGACCTTGCTGGGGAGGCTGAGCGGGGTTGGAGGCAGGGCGCTGAGCTGTAAGAGACGTGTTAGTCGAGTCCATGGACAGTCGCATCAACCAAGACACATACCCAGAGCGGCCAGGATGCTAGAGATGTCGGCTTGACCGGCCATGTTGGCGCGACGTGAAGGTCGAGATGGAACGCTGTCTTGTCTGGGTGGTTGTATCGATTGAGAATGCGCGCGCAATTGTTCGAGTCAAAAACGGGATGCAAGTGTTGCAAGTTGCAAAGTCGAGGAAGCGCAAGGCAAGTTGGAAGAAAGAATCGTCACTGAAGAAGAAGCCATGACCACGCGACGCCTGCCACCCTCAACCCTCAAGGCCCGACGCCTTTCACTTTGACTTCCCAATCCGGAAGTATCCGAACCCGACGCTCTCACTCTCCGTGGTACTCTGTCTTCACAAACCACGGTACTTCTTTGACAGGTACATGAAGACATCTACTGTATGCAAATCTCATCTATCACCTCAACCGCTTGGGAAGTCTCATCTCGAATTGTGCAACACATCCCCGTTCAGTCCAACTCCTTCCATTCCTCGAAGCCTATCCTTTACTTGGCAGCTCTCTTCGACAAGTGATCCGATATCTTCGTATATGCCCAATCCACACATGCAGTCATGCTGCTCTGTACTGCCTGTGGTGCCGTATCGATGCCCAATCGTTGGCATAGTTCCTCCTTGAGCTTTCCTTCAACATCTCCATCTTCGAACAGGAATGCATGGTCCTTGGCATAGTTTGCCCAAACCACCGAGTCGACATAACCAGGCGGATCCTCCCAAAATCCCTCCAAAGTGACATAGCCTGATCTAGCTTCTCTTCGTTGCTTGACTGTCTTGTGGTTCGCTCGGAGGAACAGCTTGACGTCGAAGAGATCTCGAATGTGTTGCATCTCCTGAGAGAAGAGTAGGAACCCATCAATAATGAAGATGGGAACTTCTGTTGTTGCACCCGAGTTTTTGTGCGCTTGATCCTTGAGCTCTGCCACTCTCTGCTTGTCCACTCCAGATTCACCCACCGCATTCTTGTCCTCTTTGGACTCTAGATCCGGCGGTGATTGTCCATGAGTTTTGATGAAGTCGAGAGCCTTTTCTAGTGCTTCCAGGTCGAGTGATTCGAGACAGTCCCAATCTTGCACTCCATCTTTGTTGACCGGTATCTCCTGATCTGTCTTGTAGAAGTCGTCTTCATGCAGAATAAATGCGTTTGGAAGTATGTCTCGCAGTAGACGGGCCAGCGTCGTCTTTCCAGAAGATGACACTCCGCTCACGCCCACCAACACCGCCTTATTCTGTGAGTCGCTCATTGATGCCTGATTGTTGAAGCCGAGATGAAAGATTGTCGGCCTTGGGTGCGACGCTCGCTGACGTGGCCTTGGCGCGAGCTAGGCGGTTTGAGATTACAATAAACAACTCTCGTCGTTCAGAGAATGTTGTCTTGAGTTTCTTCTTTCGCTTCGATCTGTCGGTACCGAGTTGTCGTGTGGCTTATTATCTGATTCCATAAAAGGCAAAGTTCTGGAATCACCTCGCGAGTGGTCATGGAGCAATCACCGTTGACACAACAATCACGACCTGAGACTTTCGAGCCAAAGGTTGCTCAGCTCTATCGTCAATTGTTCAGGGTGCGTGGTTATAAGAAAGATAGAAATTGAAGTTGTTGCTGATGAATCCGACAGGATCGTGATGATGAAGAGAAGCCAGAAGGCTTCTGGAGGGAATTCTTTTTGTTAAAGCCTGACAACGCACGCTTCGGGCAACTGCTGGATGATCTCGAGGCCATAGACCTATTGCATGTTTCGGTATTTGTTGTCTTCTTTACGTGTCCACGAATATCTTTTCTGACTCAACCAGCATCACTGCGAACAGTTCGTCTCTCATGCCATTACGTATGCTGGATCTGGATCATCGCCATCTGATGAGAATGCTCTCGATGTATGTCTGGACATCATTCTCATACATACAGCATCCACTGACAATTTAGAACTTGACAGTATTTCTCACCAAAGTGCTCTCGAAGAAATATACAAATCCTAGCTCAGACATTATCGAAGTGTTAGCTGGCCTCGACAATGTGGATACTGTGTTCAACGACCTTGTAGCAACACTAGACACAAACATCAGTTCTGGCAAGACAGGTATGTCTAGTAACACATAGCTATAGATATGCCGGTCTGATCATGATCATGTACAGTTCGTATACAGATGAAAGCTGTTCAGGTGGCTCTGTGCGTGGCTTCAGGAGCATTCCAAACCGGTCTGCTTACGTACTTCACACAGCGCGATTTCTTCCCTTCTTTGATGCAAGTGAGTATCTTTTGGTCAACCGCAAACCCATCCCAGACTAACCTTGAAAGCTCATCCATGATCTCGAAGACCCGCTGGAAGCAGCACAACCCCTTCTTCTCGCAGGGCTGCTTGCGAACTACAACAAATTCGAGACATACAACCCATACCACGTCCGCTTTGCTGATTTTGTAAATCAAGAGACGATTATACAAATTTGCAAATCCATAGAGGGCACCTGTGTCTACTTAAGAGATCAATTTGTTGCAATTCAAGACGATGTTCCTGAAGCCTGGAGTATTGGGGGTACGTTGAGCTACATTGGTCTCGGAGCTCTTGCAGGTGCAAAACCCGCGGTACCTGTACCAACAGAAGACGAGATGAAGGCAAAGTTTGCAGAACAGTCAGTATATCTTTCGTTTGCTCCAGGAATACAACTGATCATGTATAGGCCACGATCGCAAGCCGGTATACTGCTCACCGTATATGAATTTGTTGTCGCCAACAAAGCTTTCAGCGCAGACTTTGTTGGCACATACACAGAAGGCAAGAAAGAGAGCTCACCAATAGCTCAATACCTATCCTTCTGCTCTTACTTATACCAACATGCCTATCGCTCACAGAGAGCAACGCAATACGCCCACATCACCTTGTTCACAATCCAGAACATGGTAGAGGATCTCGAGATCGCGAAGAAATTGTGCGAGACGACAGTACCACTCCGTCTGAGTCGTCAAAGGCCGCCGCAGTTGCCAGTGATCGCCACAGATCGTACGCTCGCTGCGAACATCATCGATATGATGATCGACTGCATAAACCACAATCTACGGAAGAAGTTGGATGTCGAGCTATACATGCTAAACGTCGGCATTCTGCTACGCCTCGTCACATTCCTCAGCAAAGCAAGAATACGCTTGAGTGAGTTATCCCTTCCTTCCAACATCATGAATAGCAACCATTAACAGTCAATCACAGCATACCACTGGTCCGAACTCTGGCGCTCGCTTCTCTCCTTCGTTCGCTTCCTCACCGTCTACGCCGATGACCTCAAACCCCTCTACCGAATCAACACCCTCATTCACACTCTCGTAAATCTAATAACCCTCTCTCTGACCCAAGGCGAATCCTTCCTTCCCGACTCTTCTTCCTATGACGACATATCCTACAAACTCGTCGAATTCGGACCCTCCCTCACCTCCTTCCGCGACGCCTATACTCTGCACAAAGGAGAGACTGCCGCTAGCATGAACATCCTGGTACATGTGTCCAAGCATTACAGTGATTTGATCGCTGGCCAAAAGGGCAAAGTCAAGAACCTGAGTCCGAAAGAGGTTACGAAGATCATCAAGGAAGGGTATGAGACTTTGAGTATCGAGGCGAAGGAAGGATTGGATCATTGGGATCTGTATCGGGAGAGTGAGCATAAAGCTGAGTTGAAGAAAATTGCAAGGACGGCCTGTGCGGACGCAAGAGCACTTGTGTTGTGAAGAGGAGCAAGAGCAGTGAAAACAATACAAAAAGTTCTTTTGGTAAAGCAAAAGTGGAGAGACAAGGAACGTTGGTCCAATTCGTGCAACTGAGCCAAACGTCCGAAAATTATCATCCATCTTCATCGACTTCGGCAACTGCTCATGTTCCAGAGTCTGTGACGTTTGTAGCTGTTAAAATGCAAGATGATTTTCGGTCTGTGGTCATGTCCAAGGAGAACGTCTCACATAGCTCGTCTCAGTCATCTCTGTGGACAAGCATGGTAGCAGAAAACCATCATGTATCCCACATCTCGACAGTTCCTGAACACTACTCTTACCGTGAAACAATGATTATGATAGAACTTCTACTCGTACATACAGGTAGAAAGCAGATACAGCACAAACATATCCATCCGTTATACCCCCACCCCTCTATATCACCACCCACCACCCACCACACCAACCTCACCCGCCTTACTCAGCCCTCCCGCCTTCCATCACAATCACAAACACCAAGTGGAACCCCTCCCATCCACACATGTTCCACCGACACCCACAGATCCTTCCAGCGCTTCCACACCAAGATACGCACCCAAATTCATATCTGCAGGGCAAGCGAAAGAGGCGTTCCTATAAGGCTTAGTTTGATTAACTGCAGCAAGCCCTGACCCAAGTCTGAGAATACACGGCATACAATCGCGCAAGAGCCGAGGGGGAGGGTAAATCACGGTTCATCGTTGCGAATGTCTTTGATCGGATGATTCGGATGGCCAAATAGACGAGAAGGATTTCGGTAGGGCTTGGGAGTAGCGAGGGGGGTGACTCGTGGGTAGAGGATGTGAGTGGAGTTGGAGAATGGAAAGTAGCGAGTCACTGAATATGTGACTGTCGGTTTATGAAACCGTGAATATTGCTTGTTTACATGAAAAATTCTTGTGTTGCTCTTTCCCCCTTTGTCCAGATTCCGCTGTTCATCCTGTGCTGTGGTCCGTCGCTATCCGAACCATGATGGCTATATACAATAATGCCAAAAGAAAAAAAAGAGAAGAAGAAGAAATGGGTATCTAATATCTAATGTCTGAAGTGAAAAAGTGATCTGCTTCTCTAGATCTGGGCTGTTCCTCATGCTGGTCTGCCCTGTCGGTATATCGTGGTCTCTGAATATGTGCAAAGAAAAGAAGGAGAAAAATTGGAAGTCGAAAGTATGTGCTGAGGAGATCATGTCTATCAATGATCAATGATCTTGAGGTAATCCTCGTTCGATATCGTATGCGAACGCGCGAGTGGATGACTGTGATGCATCGTCGCGATCGTCTTCTTTGCGATCAGATGCCATAACAGACATCTCAATCGTAGTCGATGCCATGATACCATGCAGAGGCAAGTCATCGACACTCGACTCGCTACTGCTTCCGCGAGCCGCACTCCGTGTGTGGTGATAGCTGTTGATCTCGCGCGTGTGTACATTTGTCGTCGTCTTGGCCTCCTGAGGCCTTGTTGGCTCGATGATAGCATGGAAGTCGTCCATCGACCTTCTTGAGAGTCCCAAATTGCTCTTTTGTGTGTTGCGAGTGCGGTGTTGGGCTGTGAGACCTGTTGTGCTTGCGCCTCTGCGTTTGTAGGCGGAGCTGCTGATGAAGCCTGGTGTCCAACTCTTGAGTGCTGGCAGAGCTTCGCGAAGCAATGGCCAGATGCATGGGAGATTGGCGACATATACGGCTACTGAAGCCTCTCTCGTGTACCAGAACATATAGTCTTCTGCGTAGATCGATCGGAAGAACTCGGCTTTGGTAAGACTGGCTGCGATGATAACGAAGATACCCATAGAGAAGATACACTGTGCAGGAGTTAGTACGTGGCTTGCTCATCTCAAACGTTCAGATACTGACCAAAAGCACAAGCTTTTGCTTGATGCCGATAGAGACTTGCAAAATGAGTGGGAAGGGGATGATGAGCATGAAAACGTCCGAAGATATGTTGAACGTTCCCTGGACGATAGCGTAGGCGTAAAAGACCATGCAATTGACCGGCGGAGATGGAGCGATCTGCCAGTACATGCTGAATGGGCGACATTCGCAGAAATACGCAAGTTGGCATGCTACCCAACCAATCGCAGTATAGACAGCGAGTATCTTAACTGCTACCTGTTGTTTCAACCCCATTGTGAGACGACTGTACAGTTTCAATGTACAGACTTTGAGGATCCAGATCACGTTTAGCATAGCCTGTTCGGCGACGAGATCGATTTTGGCTCCCTTTTCTCGGATCTTGATCTCCTCAGCTGTCAGGGCGAAGACATCTTCTCCTGGCATAGCAAGAGCTGTACCGCCACCTTGCGCTGTGAGGTTCAATGTGATGATCAGCAGTGTATAGAACAGAGCAGCCACGAGTATTAAGTAGTCATCAAACTCCAGATGGCGAAGACCAAGTTTTCTTGCTCGAGCATATCTGATGCAAGTCAGTAAGCAATTGGTCTAAGCAGAACTGACAGCGGGATGGGGACGACGAACATGCGGAGAGCAATAACCACTATACCAAGAGCGTATAATGCCCAGGACTCCCGTTGCAATTCATGTTGGAACTCCAGTGAGAAGGCCCCCATGTTTGGTGGTTCGTATGAAGGGTGTCGGCGTCCTCCGATGTTCGTGCTCCAAATGTTAGGTAAAAATTTGTCGTTCCCGTACAAGTGACACCGGTAGTTGTAGTTATGCTTAAAGAAACCTGGAGTTAGGTCGAGCGTTCTTGTGGAGAGAGCATGCTAGTTTGGACCCTTGAAGATGGAGGTTATAGAGATAGAAAGATCATGTCCTTTGGTATAGGTATAGATGAATGAATTCACAGCTCAACCCAGGGGATCCGCTGTACTATGTACGTGCAGCAGACACGCGCCGGGGTACAGTCACCTCTCGAACGGACCCCCCAGGAACTCGCGGAATGGCACCAATGGCAGATAGGAACCGTGCTCTTACCCAAACCGCCATGTGGATAAGAGATGGTGGAGCTTTGGGATGTGTAAGACGCAGCTCGTTCGCCAATTAGGTTTCTGCTAGAGCGGTTCGAGAAGGCTGACTGGACGCCAATCAGATCCTTTAGGCGAAATTACGAGCAGCCATTACTGCCAATCATGACTTCACCTCAGTCATGCAACACGTGGCGTGAGACAGTGTTGGTCTATTGGTGTTGATTGGTGGTAGAAGATCAGACAGGGACGGCAGAGCAACAGAGTTCTTCTTCGCGAGAGCTCGAAGCTGAGAGACAGAACTCTGTTGAAAAAGCAGCCCTATCTTGTATACCGGCGTCCAGGTACCGCCGCATGTTTCATCCTTTCGGATGTTGAGAACCGAGAAGCATGGCTGCATGGGAGATCCGCATGTGCTTTCGGCCGGCAGCAACCTCAACTCAACGTGCGTACGTGACTGATGGGAATCTTGCACGTGAATTCCCAGTTGATATGCAAACAGTCGTGTTCTCGGATCCTTCCCTCGCGATGGACCCTGACACTGAGTCGCTAACTTGAACATTCGCAACGACGAAGAAGCACGCGATGAGGGCTAAAGCATTCTCAAGTCATCTTCAAGCAAACGCTGCCATGTTCTGTGGCGCTTGCCTATTGTCTGGAGGCTTTTCGTAAAGAATAGGAGCCGCTGATCCTTCCCGGTCTCGCGGTTTCTCGCGAGAGCTGTTGGACCTCGTGGCCAGATCGATTCTGCTGTTTCTGGTTTTAGAACGTTCAAGGCTCAGGCACAAGATCGATCATCCAACACACGGTTACATGCGCAACCCGGATACCCGGTGTTATACAGGACACTAAAATCTGATCAAAGGCTCCGTGCAGCCGGGGTGATGGTATCTGGAGAACTGTTGACGCGACATTGCATATCTTAATCTCATCATGTCATTGCTACGATTATGTACGTCAAGCTAATTAGGAGCTATGTCCTGTCTTTCTGTTGAGAATCAGGTGAAGGGGAAGTTACTACCGCGTCCCCATGTTTCGGCCGGAAGAGGACGAAGTGACTCGTCAAGGCTTTGCGATATCGGGACATCAATGAGATGTTCCCTAAAAAGGCCGAACCAACTTTCTGTTGGCGTCTGTAGAACACAACCCTATTTGCGGCCGAGTCAAGTATAGAGGTACATCGTGGAGCGAGAAGTGACCTTGTGGCGGGCCAATTCTCCGAGAAGCCCGGGCATGATTCGAACGATGCTGGAAAGGGTTCGAGTATCCGATCAGAAGATGTAACCACTCAGTCATCGAAGTCCATGCCCATGAGATGACTGCCAATTGAGTCAGTAAAGGAGATCTTGAGACGAGGATGATGAATATCTGCTGTCACGGTCACTTACCTCTCAACGATTCGCATGACCTTGGCAACGAAGGCCTCCAGATGAAAGATGTATTTCTATCACATGTCAGTACGGAAGACCAGACCAAACTACGTAAACATCACTCACTGTGCCCATCTGGATTCGATGTTCGTAAAAGGCGGACCATTTGATGATGTCGGTCTTGAGGGCGTCGTCAATTTGGGGTATCAGCTTGAAGGTCAGGGTCTGTGGTGATCAGTCAGGGTACGTGCAGACAGAGTTGGCGAGAATAGCTACCTTTAGGATGGTGCTTGCTGGAATGCAGTGGGTGAGGAGATCATAGAGTTTGGCGCGGACCAGCAAGATCCGAGCAGGGCTGCGTTCGGCAAGGACGTCGTCGGCAATCTGTGAGATGAGAGCCTCCCAATCTGGAGGAGGAATAGGCGTCTTCTCCGAGACTTGGTCGCTATGAAGGGTTAGTATGGAGACAATGGTTGAAGGGTATTGGATAGGAAATGATACTTTTGAGCATGGACGGCCTCGAACATGAGCAAAGCGCGGCGCAGATTGCGGTAGCTGTCTGTGGCAATTCTCTTCTCTAGTCCCTCACAGCGTGTGTATCCTTCCTTCTTTCCAACTTGAGCCAGCACTGTGCAGATTTCGTCCTCGGTCGGTGCAGCGACTCTGACGAGCAGGGTTCGGCTTCGAATAGGAGCAATGATATTACTCGTACTGTTGGCCAGAAGGATCAAGCGCAAGTTGGGACTGTATTTCTCCATTGTTCTTCTCAGAGCGGCCTGAGCATCTCTGGTGAGGTGGTCTGCCTCGTTGATGACGACGACCTTGAATTTTTGTTTGGCTGCTACGTCAACCTGCTGTGTTTGGGCGACTTCTTTGAGTAGGTCTTGTACGACGACACGATCGTAGTTGCCGACATCACTGGGAGTGATTTCGAGATGGTAGTTGGATGAGACGATGTTGAACTCGAGCTTGCGGTTGCTCGTTGTTTGGAAGACTCGACTGTCGATCTTGATCTTTTCCACGCCAGGTCCGTAGAGTGCGCGCAGGGTAGCCGTGATTCTTGTCTTCTTGCCCGCTCCAGAAGGGCCGTAGATCAGAAGGTGAGGGAAGTCTCCGCTTGCCGCCTAGAGCCATGTTAGTTTTGTTCCGGCGCAGCTTCGAGATGGCGGGCACTCACCAGTGATCGTAGGCGATCCGACAAGTCATGGTGGTATGTCAATGTCTCCAAAGAGCGCGGACGGTGCTTGTCTACGAGAAGAGCCATGCTGATGTGATTGATTCAAGCTGTGTTAGATGATCGATTGAGATGGTTTGGCAGGCTGAAAGCTCGAGAGACGCGTCGGAGAGGAAGTCGCGTAGAGTGCTTTCGCGAAACGCCGCCAGTCGCTCCTTCTTGATCAGCGTCACAACGCGCGACACGAACAACACAACATTACAGTCACGTGGGCTGCAAAATCACATGAATTGCTCATGTGGATAGAAGTATGGGCTCGCAAGTCAGTTTTTATTAAACATCGACGATAGGTTCATCTTCCTTGGCCAACAAGTCTGTCGAGTAGAATGTCAAGCTTCTGAGATCGCCTTCAATTTGGAAGCGGGTAAAGAAGCCATCGCTGAGATATGGGTTTACTTTCCAGTCTATTCCTCCCCGGAGGGGCGGAGGAACTTCTGGGTCTCCTATTTGCCAGCCTTGGTTTACTGTCTCGCAGGCAAAGACCCATATCCGGAGGGGTACCTGAATACCCCCTTGTGATGTCAGGGGCCAAGAGCGACCTTCGACTATGTCGAGAATGAGAGCCTTGATGGAGTAAATCTGCGAGACCAGTGGCTTGTAGTATACTGCAGTAGACCAAATCCGGCATCAACCTGCGCAAATCCGGCATCATAGGAGACTCGACGTGGTGGTTCAGTCTACCGTCATAAACCTCGTCGAAACCATGAGGTTTTCTATATGGAGCCCACAAGACCTTGTTCTGGCCGATCACTTGTGGCGTGTCGTCGTAGAAGCCGAGAGAGACTTGAACATTGGCGGTTTTCAAGTTTTTGAAGGCTTGGCTCATGAGTTCGACATAGCGTTCAGAGTTGAGAAAGTTGGTCATGGCTTTTGATTTGTCGTAAGATGTCATCAGAGCTTCGGCAGCGACGTTTGCTTCTTCTACTTCGTGATTGGTGAGTGTATTCTCGGGTTTGCGATCTTTGTGGGCTGTTGTAGTAGTGGTGGAGTTTGCAGACGGTTCATCTTGAATGTTGTTTCTGAATTCTTCGCGACGATGTCTTTCCTCAGGTGAAGGTTTTCGCTCACCCAAAAGCTCCTCCAGTCTAAGCTCGGGCTGGATCGCATCCCCCCGTTCGTCCTCAATTTCGTCAGCCTCCCTTACTGGCGGCAATCCTAACTCCCCTCTTAACTCCTCTTCCTCAGCTTCCCTCTCATACTCCTCCCAGCGCCTATCGATCTTCCTCTCCTCCTCACTCTTGATCTACAAAACATGTATGCTGAAAACAAGCTTCTTAATATAGTTTACCAACTTACTCTCTGTCAATTCCACTAGATGACTCAAACTATGTTCTGAGAACATAAATGCCAGACTGGAAAGACATTTTTGTCCGAAGAAGGGTGTGCTGATTGTGTGAAACTGCTTAGATACGAGACGTGTTGCTGGAAGGGTGTCGGCGTCGACGTGAGAGATGATGTTGGTTAGGAGTTCGGGTGGAAGGGTTGGGGGCGACATTTTCGCCGTTCTCATTCGTGTAACCCGGTGTTCCGATGTGATTTTAGGAGGAAAGCAAGAGAGTTGTTGGATTGTGGCAGCAGGTGGTTGGGTTGACGCGATTCAGTAACGTCGATGCGTGATTGCTAATGGTATTACCATGGCCTGAGCCTATACGTATCATATCGTCTGTCAAGCCGACCAACAATGTGTCTGCGTCACACATACAAGAATGCGTAGAGATGAGCCGAACGTGAGGAGGATATTCGAGGGTGGCTCAGACGCGAACGAACTCATTGTCGACGAATACACGCTGGATCTTCCTAATTCACAGTCTCTGCCACGTGAGATACTCGCACAGGGTTAGACGATGGCGAACTCAAGTTCGTTACACTTTACAGTCGACTGACTGAGCTCATAAATATCAAGCCAGGCACCGACCTTCTCTACCTGTGACCAGCCCACCCATCTCAAAAAAGTCCCGGTTTCCGAATATCACAGTTGCGCGGCGCAGGCTGCGCCATCCCAGGACACCACGACCATGTCTCTATTTGAACAACTTTGGACATCTTACCAGTGGCAAAGAGGACTACTTGGCCTATTCGTCGAAAATCTCCTCAATGGAATTCTCGGCTCCGTCGTATATGCAGCCGTACACTATGTCCACTATAGACTGACCGTCTCCACGTGGCGCATGCTCGCGATCTTTGACGACGACGACGACGAAGTCGCTTGGTGTCATGTGGCCTTCACCGATGTGATTGGCGTGATCCTTGCTCTGATACGTTGGAACAGCATAGGGAATCTTGTGTTCATGGGTGAACTCTACAACAGCTTTGGGTACTGTTACGGGACATCAATTGGGCTGTGTATCGCAGTACACTATGCGCAAGCCCTCAGGTCATGGCCTAAGGTCAGGATTCGTCTTGTCTGAAGAGAGAAGAAAGGAGCCGTGGGAAGTGACGATGAAAAGGTTTGGAATGTTCAGGTGTAGAAGGCGGAAAGAGGGGGAGAACCGAACAAGCTCGATGGTCGTCTGCGGCTGTAGGTCGCCAGATAAGTCATGGATATGGATTAATCTTCAGATCCTCAAAGCCTTGTCAGTGGGAGATCAGTATCAGATCAGTATCATATCTGCTCTACAAGCGGTGACCAAGGCAGTCGTCACAAGCTGAGGCTACGCTGCCACGAAGGATTGATTAGCAATAAGATATCTTGCCGAGTAGTTCACCATGATAGGTTGCGTGGCCCAATGGCAAGGCGCTTGACTACGAATCAAGAGATTCCAGGTTCGACCCCTGGCGTGATCATCCTTTTGCCAGAAGATCCAGGAAATGGCGAAGAATTTTTGTTGATGGTGATGGGGAGGAAAGACATTTCTTCAAAGCTTGGACCTTTTTTGATGGCGTGCGCACGGCCTGCCGACGCTTTTGCCTACCGTAAAAAGCTCTATGCACGAATGCACAGCTGCGATGCTTAGCATTATTATTACACCAGAGTATGCAGAAGGCAGAATACACTGAGTTTAGCCGTCCATCATCAAACACCTTTCGTCTCAAAGCAACATAAAACCATCACATTAAAATAAACTGCTACCAAACCTCGCCCACACTCCGATTCAGCACAGGCAAAGCAAAATGATCATCAGCGGCCTTGACATCGTCAGTCGCCAACTCGTCCGCAACCTACGAAATGCAACCCACCAACAACAACCCTGCGGCGTGGACCTAACACTCCGCCAAATATCTCAATGGACCTCTCCCGCCATAATAGACTTTGACAACACATTCCGCCGCAGCGCCAAAACGTCCATTTTGACCTTTCATCCCACAAACAACACAATTACTCTTCAACCAGGAGCCTATCTAGTCGATTTCAACGAGACGGTGAAGATACCCAGAAATTGTATGGGTAGTGTGTTTCCGCGGTCGAGTTTGTGGAGGAGTGGGGTTAGTGTACAAGCTGGGGTTGTGGATGCTGGGTATGAGGGTGCCATGGGTGCGTTGTTGGAGGTGAAGAATCCATTTGGGGTTGTACTTCACAAGGATGCCAAGTTGGCGCAGATCATATTCGAGCAGATGGAGAAGGAGGTGGAGGGGTACAGTGGTGTTTATCAGGCTTCGACTAGTAGTGTGGGAGTCGATGGAGCGAAGAAGGCGTGATTGGCTAAGCGAGAGAAGTCCTTTGGGTGCTACGGATGTCTATATTGATCGACCAAAGTCCTGGATTATTTATTGAAGACCCTTCATCCTCAGAGTCCACCCAATGTACAATGGTGCCCTGCTGACGGCAGAATCGAAAGGGCTTACGAAGCTTCAGGAGTATTGCCGTCATGCAAACCATGCTCTTGTCGAAAGATCTCCATCCATTGAGTATCATCCGCGAACGTTTGATTCCAGGGGTCATCACTGTCAAACCACAGACGGCGAGATTCCTGCTGGAACATTTCATCAGTAGGCACAACCCCAGCCTTCATCTGCTCCTGAGCGTATCTTCCAAGATGCCAGGTCAATAGCTCCCAAGCTGTCTTGAATGGTTGGTTGCCTTCGCCCTGAGCGTTCTCGGGAGAAGGCGATGGATCCGCCACGATATTGTTGTTTGCTGCGTCATTCAAAGCAGCCCTTGAAGTGATCTGTGCAAGAAGTTCGGAGTGTCCAGACTTGGTGGCAGAGAAGGGTACTGGAGTCTTCGCTTCACCACCTATAAGGAAGGGCGGCATCGAATTTGTAACTTGCTGAGCAACGTGTGGCTCAAATCCATGCGTACCCCTCCATTCGACCATTTTCTTGCCTTCTCGGAAGTGCTTGCTCAGATGATCGGCTCGAGCTTTCCAGCTCTCCATCTCAGCATTACAAAATCCGCAACGTGACTTGATGCACAGCTCCGGAGGCTTCCACTCGCCAATCGTGGGGATGTTCTCAATCTTGTGAACCAGTCTGAGATGTTGAATGAGGTGGTCCTTACGCTTGAAGCTTCTGGACTCTAGGTTCTTATGCGCGCATGCACTAGGATTGTGTACTTCCAAGTGCTCTGTGCTTGGCTGAGGTATCAGACAATATGCGCAAAGCATGTTACCAGTTGTCGGGCAGGTGACCGTTTCACCTTCAGGTGTGCATACCCATTGTTCGGGATTCAGGTGCAATGATTTTTCGTGTCTGCACCAGTCAAACTTGTTCTTGAACGTATCACAGCAGAAGGTGCACTGGAAAGGTCGGTCGTCATTGCTGGGCCCTGGTCGAGCTCGGGATTTGGTGACTCGAGTATTGCTCCGAGACTTCTTGCGGTTGTCTGAACCTGTTGAGAGGCGAGAATTGGCCGACCGACCAGACAGGATCGAGTCCATGGACCCATTTGAAGTACCACTTTCAAGACTACTGATTGAGGCAGGCCTTGATGTTCGTCTGGCTGCATAGCCGAAGCCTCTTGTTTCTATACCAGGTGTGCTGACTCTGCTACTGCTCGTAGAGCCCACTCGAAGGTGTTGATCAAGGTCAGTCGAGGCCACTGCATGGTGGATATCAGATATTGACGCAGGTTCGTTCTCTGGCGGGCTATTCTGCCAACGCTGTAATGGATCCAAGGCCGACCAATCCGTATGTTGCTGTTTCGGAATCGAGATAGGTACACCAGAGCTTCTCGAGTACAATGATCGCCGCCTGGGAAACCCCTTCCTGGATCTGCTATCACGTCGCGCAGATTGTGCAAACCAATTCTGCATTTCTTGACTGTTTGCCGTCATTGCAGCATTTGCAGATTGGTCCGGATACGGAGATGCTGGCCCGGCGGACATTGAATGCCCATGAGATATTCCAGGCGTCACCACTGGCGAGTCCAGGTACTGACCTTGATAGGTTTGCATACCCGGTGAACTGAATGCTGACATGTCCATGGGATTCTGGAAGTAAGGGCTCGAAGTGGCTTCTAAAGAACTGTCCCACTGTCGTCCGCCACCTAGAGGTTCGCCAAGAGGTACATAGTTCTCTGGCATCCAAGGATAATTTGTTCCATACTGAGGAGGAGCTTGTGGGTTTGACGAGGTTTCAAGTTCTTCTGATGGCAGTCCCGGATGACTGGTTCATCGCATCAGTGCAAATTCTCTCGTAACAGGAAGAGAAAGACCAACTGATTCGCCGAATTGACCGGAGGTTGGTCTGCTCGTCGCATAGCTGACTCGAAGTCGAAGTAATCCATTGCCGCTTATACACGGCCTATGTATTTGTAGCAGTCACGAATATGATGGACAAAAAATTGTATGCACGAAGTCTTGTAGGTATTCTAGATGCCGATTGGTGCGCGCCTTCTGCTGAGGTCGGTGCTTCTTCTCAACTCTCGCCAAGGCGCTTTATCGCGACCTCAGCTCCCTCTTCCATGCAGAACAATCGCTTCATGCTCTCTGGACCAGACTTGCCATAGTTGGGACATTCAATCCTCTTTTGCAATGCTTCGCTTGTTTTTCTCCATTCTCGATCGATGAAGGCGGCATGTTGCTATGTTGCCATGGGCCCCTTGTACCAGCTCTCCTATCCCCTTGGGCCTGGCTTGAATCCTTTGCGACCGTGCACCACAACAGGAGACAACCGCTGCCACAGCACATTTTGCTTCATCTCCAACACATGTCGGACTGTTGAAGAAAGCATACCACATCGGGCTCACAGCAATCAGACTACCAAGACGTTACTCTACCAGAGTAATGATGATTCGGATCCTGCCTATTCTCTTCCCACAACTATATCGCAGTGGCTGAGTGTGTAATCATTGGTCCCGTGAGTCTCCTCATAGCATCTAACGGTTTCCCCGAACCAATTCCTGCAAGCCAACTCCATCATTCATGATACGAAAAGTCGATGTACGATCATCGTGCTTGATTTTTCGATGCTACACTTGGCAATGTTGATCATAGACACGTGAAGGGCTGGACTATCTTGTCTCTGCATGCTATCTCCACCATCTTCGATGTGCGTGCATGCATACAGCGAACATGCATGATGGTATTTGACCGTTCGTAACGTCTGCTGTCAAGCATCTCTTGTCGAGCCGCCCCCTTAGCGGTTTTGTTGCCAGTCCACCGGCTTTTTGCTATTTTGCACCAACAAGTAATCTTATCCCCAACTCAACGACAACAGTTCTGACGCACAATCATATCGCTAACCCATATCCACTGACTGTCATGCAGGAGAGTTACCGTACATGAAATGAAGATAGGCACGACAGGTTCAACGCCCGGGAGAGGCGAATTAACCAAACAACGAGTCAATGACACACTCTCCTGGAGCAAAGGCCTATATATACCATTGTCCTTCGCTGGTTGTAGTCTCATCATCCAACAACAGCAACAGCTTCCTTCAGCAGCATCTTTCCAGTCTTTGGCTTAGCCGTCCACTCTTTACAACACTCTTTACTAATACCAACCCGACCACCAATCACCTAATCCACCACCACCAAAACCAACAATCAAAATGCCTTCCTTCAGCACCATCTCCGCCGCTGCCGTTCTGGCTTTCGCTGGCATGTCCTCTGCCATTCCCCAGTACAATTTCGGTAACGGTACTGCCTCGGCTGTTGCCTCTGGCCGCCCCATGACCAGCTCCGTCTCTGGCCGTCCTATGACTACCTCTGCTGGCCGTCCCAGTGCCAACAGCACCTCTTCTGCTGTTGCCGGCCGTCCCAGCTCGAACGCCACCACCCCTGCCCTTGACGGCAAGTTCTGCCCTGGCCTCGACCTTTCTCTCTACATCGACAACAGCGGTGCTACTTTCAGAATCGAGTGCGACACCAACCACTTCGGTACCATCATCGACATCCAGGTCAACATCACCAGACGTGCTGTTCCTTCCAGCCTTGATGACTGCTTGAACCTCTGCGATGCCACCGCCACCTGTGTCGGCACTGCTTTCGACACCAACGCTCGTACTTGCACTCTCTACAGCGATGTTCAGGCTGCTTACGATGCTGCCGGCATCCAGTTCGCCCAGCGCGTCGCTGCCGGTACTGGCAACAACGGTGGAAATGGCGGTAACGGCAACGGCATGACCACCATTCCTGCCGGCGGTGTCGCAACCTCGACCATCTACTCTACCAACGTGGTCACCATCTCTTCGTGCGCTCCTACTGTCACCAACTGCCCTCTCAAGAACGGCCAGAACGCAGTCGTTACCCAGATCATCCCCGTTGCTTCTACCACCTACGTCTGCCCCGCCCAGACCACCCTGCCTGTTGCTCCCATTGCTTGCACTAGCTGCCCTTACACCGTTTCCACCGCCACTGTCTACTCTGCCACCGGTGGCAACATGGTCCCCGTCAGCACTCAGGTCTACGCTGCTCCTTGCCCCACTGGTACCGTCGTTGTTGAGAAGGTCTGCACTGCCTGTGCTGCCATGACCTCTACTGTCCCTGCCGGCAACACTCAGACCGTCACTGCCTGCAACGGTGCTAACTGCCCTGCTACCTCCACCATGGCCAAGTACACCCCTACTACTTCCGGTATGGTCATGTACACTGGTGCTGCTTCCAACGTCAAGGCCGGTATGGGCTTCGCCGCCATGGTCGCTGGTGCCGCCCTCGTCCTCTAAGCATCTGCTTAGCATCTGACAGCCCCAGAGAGTGCTCTCAACTCTTCCTAAAGGCAACAACAAACTATTTCGTATCTTCTCTCTATACACATCATGGTGGTGTTCTAATTAGTTCTTTGATTGGCATTCAAGTGTCTTCAAACGGGTTTTGGTTATAATGATTATCATATACGCTTACAAATGGAGTTTCTCATTTCTGCTGTTCATACAAACTTTCTATGCTTCTGACCACTCTCCTTGAACCTGATGTGATTGCTTTTCGACCTTGTTTTCTACATTTGCAGTGTCAAATTCTCAGAAACCCATTTCCCGAGGTTCACCTTTCCCTGCGGTCGCATTCCCCCGTCAAACCATGTTTCCCTAATCCTCTCCCCGAACTCACTTTTACCTAACTCTCTAAATGGAATGCTCACACACTCTGGATTTACTGCAAAATTCTGGACCTTGTGGAAAGGGTTGGACCATGTGGAATTCCTAATCTCCAAGCACTTTGTGACTGCCGAAGCATTCTGTTCGAACGATTCTATGAATTCGCTGACTGAATTCGCAATATGCAGTTTGCCGAACTCGCCAGGTGAACTCGCCAGACGTGGTTACCTCGAGCGAGTTCGTCCAGCGAATTCAGTATTATGTCGAATTTACACCTGTCCATCTCGGTCAAAGTTCCATAAGAGTGAATGCCTTGATGACTCAGTCGTCACTCGAAGCCAGCTCATCCCGAAAAGAACTCCCTCAAACCCACGTCCATCTCATCACACGCTCAGCCTACTCACCTAACCTTTATAATCTAAGAAATTCAGGTCTCTTACAAGTTCTCAGCCGTGGTGGTGTAGTGGTTTAACACACCCGTGGTCTTAACACGTGCGCAGTCATTCGTTGTTACTCAACGCCGTGTCAGTCTAGATCCGAGGAGGTCGGGGGTTCGATTCCTTCCCATGGTGCTTGTCTTTTTTTTGTCGATTTCTTGTTGTCGATTTCTTGTTGTCGATTCCTCGTTGTCGATGCTTTTTTATTCTTTTTTTTTTGAATCAGCACCTCTAAGCATGTTTCCAATGCGTCGGTTCAACATAAGGTAGGTGAACGTTGGTGGTTGCAAAAGTCAATACGTTCGAGATCTTGATATTCAAAAAGTTCAGCGACTCAACAATGGGCTCGTAGCATCCGTATCTGTAGCTGAACAACAGCGGAATGATGAGAAAGGTGCGTAGAAGGCTGAGCGGGAAGAGGAAAGCGTGAAGGGGGAAAACGTGAGGACGGAAGCTTGAGAGATGCGTGTAGACCGAAGTTTGGAGAAGGCGCCCGGTACAGCTTTGAAGAGGAAGGTGCGCTGTGTAAGTAGCCAGCAAGTCGACCGATGTACACAGCGTATACTCTAGCCCCTTGTGAGAGTCACAGCCCATAGAGCACTATCATGCATGCTTCTCAACACTAGTAAAAAGACACATGCACTACTTGTGCTGTTGCAAGAACGGTCGACATCCCGGAACTCATCGTCGAATTATTTCAATGCTGGAAGCTATGGGCTTTTCGAACCACCGCCCAACTCATTATAGCTGTTTTCTTTCTGTGCTGCACTGTTTCTTTGTAGTTGATGTTGTAGTCCTGCTCAAACTTGTGTTGTCGATCCCATGCTTGACGGAGTTGTCAGACGTGTCAACATCTGTGCTGCTGATCGTATCGGACCGAAGATGAGAATGCCGTAAATGTCCACTCACCCTCTCGAATAAGCCATTCAGAGACGACCACTGCTCTCGGGTCAGGGGTTCGACGAAGAAGTCTTCTACTGCGATATCTGCTATGTCAAGAGAGATGATGGAAGAAAGTTGAGAGCATATTGTGGTTTCTGCTTGTTTTTGTTTTTGCTCTTCTACTTACCCTGACTGGTTACAAAGCAGAAGATCGAATCGCTATGATGAAATTCCTTTGAGGAAGCAGCGCAATCCCCGTCCACGTGTGTAGTTTGCCCCCGGTATCTCTTTTGAATGCCCTCTTCAAGAATGAACATGCATAAAGCCCCTCAAAAAGCTCAAGAACCCGTCCCTTGTTTTGTCTGCTCCAAACGCCCGCCAACCGGTGTGCTAACTGCCGCTGGACTTTTGATGTTGCAAGAAAATCGTAATCGGAAGAGTTTGTCGCCTACCAGCCGTTTTGGCCGTAAGGAGTTGCGCCGTAGGGTGTCGTTCCTCCAGGGACAGCACCAGCGCCGCCGCCCCAAGCACTGGTGTTGCCACCGCCGAAACCACCTCCATAAACCGAGCCAGCGCCGTATGCAGTTGTGTTGTTGTAAGCTGTAGCGGAACCGGTCATGTCCATCATATCGGGACTTTGTGGTGGTTGAGCGAGATCTTGTTGATGTGCTTGTTGTAGGTTGGGAGAGAGCTCTTGAATGACGGTCGCAAGCTTTTGTTGCAGAACCTTGATAGCGGTGTGGAAGACAGTGTCTGGGGGCATGACGCCGGTGCCTTCAATGTCGACATAGAAACGATCAGGCTCCTTGTCGTAGTCGAAGGCGTCACCTTCCTGCGGCGGCTCTTCCCACTCGGCATTCTTGCTTGGTGGCCACTCTTCCAGCTTGTCACTCTCGTACCACAGGTCGGCGTGACGCAGGGCGTTGTGTGGGTCGTACTCGAAAGAGATGGCGGCTGTCGGCATCCACTTTGCGTGTTCTTTCGCGATTCCCTTCTTTGCGATACAGCGGAGCTTGAGTTCCTGGTTGCGGCGCAGCTTGCAAATGAGAGGGCCGTTGCCATCGGGATCCATAACAACAGGAGCACCACGCTGGGGGCCGTCGGTATCGGTGTTTGCGCGGTATTGGCTGAATGAAGGGTCGATGACTAGATCTCTGGCAAAGACCTTGACAACATCGTCGGAGTTGCGGTTGGCGGCGTTGAGAGACAAGACGACGGCGCAGTTTTCACAGTATTGATCGCAGTCGCAATCGCGTGTGTAGAGCAAATCGTCAATATTCTTTGCCGACAAAGGGATCAGACCGAGGCGGTGGGCCAAGAACTCGTCGGCCAGGACGGAAGTGTTTGATGAAACTTCGACCAGATCGATGGCTAGGGTGGGTACTTCGGCGTGCATGGTGCGGCGGATGCTGTTGGCCAGAGACAAGGTGGTGTTGCTGAGAACGAACTTGGCCGAGATGGGGGTCGTCTCGCTGATGTTGATGCGCGGACCCGAGTCGTCGGTGTCCATTCCCCGGTAGTCGTAATCCATGCCGAAGACGATGCGTGTGTAGAGGTGTCAAGAGACGGGGTTGTGGTGTCGACACGAATAGATGATGGGGTTGATTGATGGGTGCGCGTGAAAGTGAGAGTTTGGCGAAGCTGCAAACACGTCGGCGCCGGGACATGTCAGGCCGCAGACGGATCGTCAGCCAAGCAAGGACCCTTCGTTTACCGAGATACTGAGTACTATCAAGTGAAAGTCGCCTTCACTTTTCACCAGCATCAACCAAGAATGCGCACTCACGTATGGCGCAAACAGTTCAGTCGCCTCTCCCAGCAAGGTCAGCGCCTGCCGTTCCAGCGACCTAGAGCCTTCCATTCAGTTGCCCGTCAACTTGATGCGCATCCCAGCCCGAATCCGAATGTAGAAACGGCCAACCAAGAAAGTGCGCCGACCGAGACTCCCATCAGGCCGCCTTCCTCTTCTCGCCGCGCTGGTCGCTTTGCTGCTCGGAGGCCCAAGGAAGTTACGCCTTTTACCATTCCCGACTGGTTCTTGCACCACAATGTCCGCCTCCACGCTCCTTCGCCAGACGAGAAGGCCTCCCAAGAGGCTCGCTGCTGGACTCTGGTAGACCGCGACACTGGCCATACTGTCTTGACGCTTCCTTTTACAAACGACTCCGACCACCGAGATAACCACTTCTTCACCCCCTCGGCTCACCCCAAAGACGTCGACACTGCCTCTGTAGAGAAAGAGAAGGAGCTAGAGAACACTCTTGAATCGCCAAAACATGACGTCCCTCACGAATCTCTTTCTCCAGTCAAGGACAAGGATGCCGACCTCACTCCTGCCACAGCAAAAGACAAGGATGCTGTTCAGGACGAAATCACTCGCGCCATCAACCACCTGTCACCCAATACCCTCCAGACCCCCGATCCGCGCCTTCTACTTTCCCTCCAACTACAGCTGCTTCTTCACGCCGCCTTTGATCGCGCCGGCCCCCAGGCCGCTCGCTATACCAAGTGCCACCTCGACCTGAACACCAAAGACTACTTCGCACACAAAGAGCTTGACACATACGTTCACCAAATTGCTGATCTCGTACAAGCCGATCTGATCCAACTTGATGCCAACGATTTCGCCGAACTGTCTCAAGATTATGTTGAACCTAACGATCCCGCGCCTGGCTCAATCTCTTCCCTGGCTTATGACACTTTCAGGGGCGTTTCTGCTGCCCGTAAACGAGAGATACACGTTGACATCATTGACGGTGCCCAAAATGATGAAGCCAACGAAGACGAAGAGTCAGAACATGCTTCCGACTTTATCAGCTTCGACGGCCCGACCCTCCCAAACCCAGCCTCTGGAATCATGGATTGGATCAAAAAGAATCCCAAGCTCTTGCATGATGCCCTCAACGCTCGTAAGAATGGTATGGGCGCTGGCATCATTGCTCTGGGCGACATGGGCGGGAACAACAATGATCATGGTGATCATTCGTCCTCTGCTGACAGCCACTCTCGTGCCGCTAGCTTGAGTGATTGGGAGGAGCTGAAGCTGTCAACTCTTCTCGACACTCTTTTGGACAGCGTCCGGATCAAGAAAGAAACGCCTGTCCAGGACGCCTCTAATAACTTCTTGTACGAGCCCATCTCGACAAGCAGAGACGCCACTGCGCCTCCACCACCTACAAAGGATGGCCTTGAACGCTTCTTGGCCGATTTCCTATCAAAACGTATAGATTCTGGAAGGCAGGCGCATAACATGCAAGGAACCTTTGAGAGTGTCCCCAGCTCGTTGAAGTCTGAACAGCCCTCACAACGGACCATCGTTCATGTACGAGACATGGACCACATTCGTAACTCACCACAAGGAGAGACTGTCATCAACAAACTCGTACGTGTCGTACAGCGCCGAAGAAAGGATGGTGAGCAGATCGTCATTGTTGGTACCACAGCTAGCTCCCGTCAAGCGCCTTCACACCCTGGTGAAGAAGACGACGAGCTCTATTTCCAGTATATGAAATATCCTCTGGCCACCGCGGGCCCACAGAATGTTGGTCACCAATTGCTTATGGCACCTCACGTCCAGCAAAATCAAGAGCGAAGCGTAGCCGTGCCTGGTTATCACCGGCTGTTTGACATCAACATGCGTCACATCCAATCCATGGTACGCCGTCTAGGTCTGCCCGTCTCAGAAAACTTCTTCTCTGCTCAGACTCGTACACATCTCAATATTTCTGGCACGTTTATGCTAGGAGAGGAAACTCTGCCACAAGACGAGGTTCAAAGGATCGTCCTCTGCGCTGACAGCTTGCGATCACTCTACACCACCAGTCCCGCTCTCGAGACCTTCCACATTGCACTTGCCGCAATGCTGATCAACACAGTTGACAGCGCTCTAACGCCTGTAACAAATGAGTTGTCCTTTGATTCTATCATCCCCACAGCGCTCAAACGCGGCGAGTCTGAAGACAAATCTAGCTCAACCAAAGATTCAGCTGCTCCCAAACTAGACATGGAGAAGCTGAAGAAGTCTTGTTCGAAGCATGAGACCCGTCTTCTATCAGGTGTCGTTGACCCTGCAAGTCTACGAACAACCTTTAACGATGTGCACGCTGATCCAAACACGATTGAATCGCTCAAGACTCTGACTTCGCTGACATTGCTCCGTCCGGAAGCTTTCAGTTACGGTGTACTGGCGGCTGATCGCTTGCCTGGTCTTCTTCTGTATGGTCCACCAGGTACCGGTAAGACCTTGCTCGCTAAGGCCGTGGCCAAAGAGTCCTCAGCTACTGTGCTGGAAGTCAGTGGCGCTCAGATTTACGAAAAGTATGTTGGCGAGGGCGAGAAGATGGTCAACGCCGTCTTCTCATTGGCCAAGAAGTTGTCACCTTGCGTTGTTTTCATCGATGAGGCAGATGCTCTTTTCGGCTCTCGCGGTGGTGCCAACAACCGCACCACTCATCGTGAGATCATCAACCAGTTCCTCCGCGGATGGGATGGAATGGACGACCACAGTGTTTTCATGATGGTTGCTACCAATCGTCCTTTCGATCTTGATGATGCTGTGTTGCGTCGTTTGCCCCGTCGTCTATTGGTCGATCTGCCTCTTGCTAAGGACCGTGAGGGTATCCTTGGTATCCACCTCAAGGGTGAAAATCTCGACCCTGCTGTCTCGCTATCCGACCTCGCGAAAAACACACCTCTCTACTCGGGTTCCGACCTCAAGAACCTGTGTGTCGCTGCCGCGCTTGCCGCAGTGCGCGACGAGAACAACGCTCTTGAAGCTGCGCGCGCAAAGGGCGACACAGACTTCAAGCTGCCTGAGCGCCGCACGCTTGCACCCTCGCACTTCGAGAAGGCAATGCAAGAAATCTCAGCCTCTGTATCCGAGGATATGGCAACACTGGGAGCGATTCGCAAGTTCGACGAGCAGTATGGTGAGAAGAGGGCGCGAACCAAGAAGGCAGGCTACGGCTTCGGTCTTGGCTCTAGCAATGCTATTGACGAGACTGGAGCTAGAGTTAGACCTGATGAGTCTAGTCGCTAGAAGAGCATCTTGTTTCTCTTGTGCCCAAAAGTTTAAAGTGTGATTTTGTAAGACTAGCATGGTGAGAGAGATTGTACGATACATACGCATTAGCATAGATAGACATGTTGGAAATATTTTAGATCTTGTTTTAATTCATGTTTTTGTGCCGTCTCGACTAAGAGGTGTGACAGGCCAGTGCTGGACAGTACTCGAGTAGACGCGTCGAATGAGACTTTCATGTCGGTCGCGGCTTCCTGCAGCCGACAACCCCTCGGCGCGTCACCGTGCATGGCGTTATGGTTTATTTAATTCAATCACGATAAGATTCATCAGTGCATCGAGGGAAATGAAGGATCAAAGATGAATTGGCGGATAAGCTCGCTCCTTCCTTCCAGTGCAGTACCGATACATTCCTCTGAGCAGCGGAATTGAAAGGTCGCCGCGACGACACTGCTGGTATACAGCAAATACATGATCTTCTGAGACATGCTGTTGATGCTCGGCTGGCACTCTCCTCGTATCCCGTGGCACGTCAGAAGAAGAAAAGGAGGAGGAAGACACATCCATAAGCCGACAGTATGAACACCACCCCTCGAGGCCCCCGCCATACGACACCCCAAATCGCAGCCAACAGCCCGTTCGCTCGTAACAATGCCACAACCTCGACCGGACCACGTTCGCCCATCAAGGTCGGCACCCGCGATCGTCAAGAGCTGGGATTAAGTCTTAAACGAGTCATTGGAACCACCTGTCAGAGCGTTTTCTGCTTTGATCATCTGGCCTCGACCCGAAGCTTCGCCTATACCGCTGGTGCCGCTGCTGTTGTAGCCTCAGTGGGCCATGATGGGAAGATTTCACAACGCTTCTTCAGGGCGAATCCTGCGCAGCCTTCTCAGAGGTCTCACTTCCAACCGATTGTATCAGCCTCACCCGCCGATCCGAGGCTTCGCTCTCCTCTGCCACCACCCGATCGCTCTGAGTGGAACGACTCACCGACCGGCAACAAGAACGGTGCAGTACGCGAACGTGTCAAGGCTGCTACCGCCGTAAGCTTCAGCCCGAACGGTCGCTTCCTCGCCGTGGGAGAGACGGGCTACAAGCCGCGTGTTCTGGTCTTCTCGCTCGCAGACAAATCTTTCGCTGATTTACCTGTCGCTTCCATATCTGAGCATACTTTTGGTGTCCAATCCGTGAGCTTCGCCCCAGACTCCAAGTATCTTGCCTCCCTCGGCACTGTGAACGATGGCTTCCTCTACGTATGGAGCATTGACGAAAGAGGAGGTAGTCCCACCTTAATCGCCAGCAACAAATGCACCACTAGCGTAAGACATATGGGGTGGATGGGTTGCAGTCTGGTTACGGTAGGATTGAGATTCATCAAGGTCTGGAGACCGAATGACCTCCCAGCGAGCGTCAACGAGAACTCGGAACGAGGCTATGGGCTGTATAACCGCCAGCACAAGCCGTTGGCCGGTCGTAATACCCTTCTGGGCGATCTACTCGACGCTACTTTCACCTGCGTTGCTCCATTCTCCGAAACAAAGGCCGTTATTTGCACCGATGGTGGAGACGTCTGCATTTTGGATGATGACGAGAAGAACCAGAGGTTGATCAGAGTCACAAACGTGGACTTCAGTATTACTGCTGCGTGTATCGGACCCGACTCTCAGGTTATCATCACTGGACTGGATGGCAGTATTGAGGTCTTTGACCTAGACGAGCTCAACAGAAGCTTTGTGTTGCCAAATACGCCAGCGGGGTCCAAAAACCTGACACGACCGTCGACTCCAGGCTATGTTGCCGTTGGCTCGGTCGGCGATGCTGTTGTGACTGTAGACAACAGTCACGGCATTCAATTACGGCACATCGCCCCTAAATCACGCGATGAGGAATCAGATCAAGCTGTAATCCAGAAACTCCCAGCACACTCTGATGCCGTCCTAGGAGTCCGTGCGATTACTGCACCAAATGAGCAAGACATCGCTTTCATCAGCTGGTCTGCAAATGGCACTGTTATATTCTGGTCTTCAGAATGTGAGGCAAAGGCAATGGTCTTTATCCCTATGGACCAACATGTTGACATGTATAATGTTGTCAATGAGCTCAAGACCGTGGTAGCGTTCTCGGATGTCTCGCATGCGGTTAGTGGGGACAAATATGGCGTTTTGAGGTCAGTCAACTGCACTTGCTGGAAACATCTCGTACTAATTGATATCCAGAGTTTCGAACGTCGACACCGGAGAAGACGTTTCGCGTGTCAGAGCTCATGCAGGGGAAGTTACCGACATAGCCATCCATGAAAGCGTAGCGTACACCCTCATAGCTTCAAGCAGCAGAGATCGTACCATACAACTTCTGGCATGGAACTCGGGTCGGCTTGACCTGCTACAAACGCTTGACGAACACGCTGGCTCGGTCACCTCTGTCATGTTTGCAAAGGACGGCGAACAATTGCTATCTTGCTCTGCAGACCGGACTGTAGTGGTTCGAGGAGCTGCGAGACAGCACGATCAAGCCCCTCCGCTATTTGTTATCACAAGAACAATCACACTCAAGAGTTCACCAACGTGCTTGCGGATGTCGCTTTTTGAAGACACACTCTTGATATCTGCTATGGATCGAACAATTCAGCTCGTGGGCACAAGGTACGGTCGTGTCATCTCTTGCTTCAAAGCCAGCGACACCGATGGTGGAGACGCTGTGATCATGTCAAGCCTTGTTCATCTGCCCTCAACTACAGGATCGCCAATCATCGCGGGCGTGGCTAGCAGCGACAAATCAGTCCGCATGTATTCGGAAGACGGTACTCTGCTCGCACGCGACTGGGGACATACAGAAGGTGTTACTGATATCGCATTACTCAAGTCACATACCGCCCCTGATGATTTAGCAGCGATGAAGCTCGTTACGGTCGCCGCGGATGGCACAATCTTCATATGGGCGACAGTGCCCGAGAGACCCAGATCAAGGGATTCCTCCGATGCAGCGCCTTCGTTTGCAAGTATGGCACCAGGAATTGTGTCCGCAGAGCAACCACTACGAAAAGTCATTTCTCACAGCGAGCTTGCCAGATTCCAGCGAGCCAAATCCAGCGAAACGGAAAACACAGAGTTGTTATCTGCATCACCCAGCACACGGGAAACGACAACAGGGGGGCTGAAGAAGAAGCCTAGCAGACTGAGCATCAGACCACCACGGTTAGAGCCATCACCACTCGGGACTCTGCGCAATGGTCTGACAGCAAAAAGCAGACAGAGAAGCCCGAGTCCAACACCTCCGAGTCCAAGACTACCGCCTAGCCCACGAACACACCCACGAAGTGCACCCGGGCGGCATCGTCTTTCTGTCGGAGCAGTGCCACCTATTCTCGCGACCTCATCGACGGAAAAGACCACCACCAAAGACAGCAAAACGGAAACTACTACGACAGGGTTTGGAAGCATTGCGGCATCTACGGAACAACTATCACGCATGTTGCGCGCATACAGACAGAAGCTTGACGGAAACTGCACCGGCCTGACAGGAGAAAGGCTGAGAGAATTGGAAAAAGAATTGGACGCAACAGTCCAGATAGTTCAGCAGAAGTTGGCAGGAAAAGACAGAAAGGGGTCGCAGGATACGAGTGCGGCGGAGGATAGCGGTACGTCGAGAACAGCGTCATCCTCACAGGACGCTTCATTCATATCCGCAGAGACGAGATTAAATGATGAAGCTGTTGGTGGCGCCGAGGTGACGTCGTCATGATAGACAAACTCCAAGATTAATCACTATTCAGCCATGATTCTTCTGCCTGGAAGTTGAAACATACCTTCTATATATCTTTCATCCCTACTGTGTTCTCCTTTCTTTTGATTTCACGGTCGTCTTGTTTTCCTCATTGGTTGCTCTGGGGCTCGGGGAGAGAAAACGATTTCAGGGTGGTGTATCTGTAGTTGAGGAAGTCACGATTTGCAGGGTCGTTATTTCTTCTTTTGTGGGGAGGGAGGGGAAATGAGGATGTGAGAAGGAAGGTGGTACGTAAGAAGCGAAAGTATAGCAAGGGATAGAAAGGAAATACTGTACGTGGAGCAAACCGAAATTCGACTATAGCACGCTTATCACCACAAACAATCACAAAGCTGGAGGTGAAAAGGGGCTGCAGTGAAGTGAACATGCCCATCAGGCATTATTTTTTCGAGTAGATGTGACTTTCTGTACAGAAATGGAAAGTGAAAAGCAGTAGTAGTCTATCCCCCGATGGAAAAAAAGAATTTTTGTTGTGCATGATAATCATGTTCGCAGGCCTGGTTTGAATTGAACCCGCCGGACCGCAGCTGAAGGAAGATGAAATGAATAAGATCAGATCAACTCTCTGCTGCAGAGTAGCCCCAGATTCCCAATGACCTCGAAGGATGTGAAAGCAACCCCTAGAAAACACCAGTGACGCCGCCGCCGAGATGATGACCTTTGTAACCAAAAGCAAAACAACGCCGAGTTGCTGCCCATCGACCCTCTAGTCGACGGGAGCGTGCTTGAACAGGAAGGACACGGATTCGCCGTTGTGGGTACGACGGCAGGCCTCGGCGAGCTGTGAGATGGTGTTAGTGGTTGTCGTTGACCTGTTATAGGGGTCGATGACTTACAGTAGGAGAGATATCAATCGTCTCGATGCGGTCGCAGAGAGCCTTCTTCTCCTCGTGGGGAACAGTGTTGGTGACAACGAGCTTGGTCAACTTCGACTTATTCAGCTGCTCAATGGCGTTGCCAGAGAGGATGCCGTGGGTGACAATGGCGATAGCACTACTGGCACCGTGCTCAATGACGACCTCAGCGGCCTTGCAGAGGGTGCCGCAGGTATCGGCCATGTCATCGACAATGATGGCGATCTTGCCACGAACGTCACCGACCAGAACCATGCGGGAAACCTCGTTAGGACGAGCGCGCTCTTTGTGGATAAGAGCAAAGCCGAGGTCGAGGCCATCGGCAATAGAAGTGGCGCGCTTGGCACCACCGGCGTCAGGAGAGACAATGACACAGTCCTCGACCTTGAGGTTGTCGCGGATCCAGCGGAGGGTGCTGGGCTCGGCGTACAAGTTGTCGACGGGGACGTTGAAGAAGCCCTGAATCTGCGAGGCGTGGAGGTCCATGGTGATGACGTGGTTGCAGCCGGCAGTTTGGAGCATGTTAGCCATCAGCCTGGCGGTGATGGGGGCACGCGACTTGTCTTTCTTGTCCTGACGAGCGTAAGGGAAGTTGGGGAGGACGGCGGTGATGCGGCGGGCAGAGGCCGTCTTGCAGGCGTTGATCATGATGAGCAGCTCCATGACTCCGTCGTTGATGTCGCCGGGGGCAGTCGACTGCAGGACGAAGACTGGAGCGCATCAGTCAGCTTGTGTCGGGAGTTGGGAGTGTTTGGCAGGTGTGTCATACCATCCTCGTCACGGACGGACTCGCCGATGCTGATGCTGGACTCGTTGTTGGAGTACTGAAGTACCATAATCTTGGCCAACTCGATACCCAGACTGTTGTGCGCATTGTGTTAGCCATATGCGCGTCTGGAAGGGCATACGACGGGATGTTTGCGCATCGTGATGGTGGCTCGAAACTTTTTTGATTGGGCGCGCGGGGTGATGGATCTTTGAAGACTTTGAACAAAGGCAGGAGAGCTTACCGACTGGCGACCAGCTCGGCGAGCTGGGGGTGGCTACTGCCAGTGAGGAGCTTGATTGAATTAGTCGCCATACTTGTCACCAGAACTAGTAGGAGTTAATGCTTTACGTTGAAAGGGCCGCGATGGGAGCACCAGCCAGTGCCTCTCATGCGTTGGCCAGGAAGCATCACTGCCGAGCTTTAGGCGGGAGATCCGACGTATGGTACGTGCTTTGATAAGATCTCCATCACCCCACGTGATGTGGCGTTTTTGTGCTGCTGTGGCGTAGAAGCTGTGGCGTTGAACATACCTCCCTGCAAGCTGGAATTCCACAAGATGCGTTTGCCGCGTTTGCTGAGTTCTAAAATCCAGCTAAGACTACGCTGTCGTTATGATGGCCTCCCGGAGCATTCTTCAACTCTCTCTTGGTATAGCTTTACTACCATGCACTGCCTCAAACATTGACTATAGGGGTGTACTCCCAAGACCACCTGCCGAGAGTCGACTATAGAACGATCCTACCCCGATAACAGCAGTTCCATATCAACAAAGACACACTCGCTTCTTGTAAAGTGTAAAGTATATGAAGCATACAGGCATGGGATATCATGTTTCTGAAATATGTACAATATCCGAAAAATATATCCGACTAGGGATATGGAAAATATTCAAAACGCCAAAGCCGAGACCTGATCTAATCGATAGCAAGCCCACACGAAATTATGCGTACCTTGACCCAGGTGTGTATGCTGGCGGAGGCGGCCCTTGAGGTGGTGCCCATTGCTGTCCGTATCCACCTTGCCCATATTGTTGCGGTGGTGGTGGGTATGAGGGGTTCTGAGGCATAGGTCGCATCTGAGTACCCCAACCAGGTGGCGGCGCTTGCATCTTTGCAGGCTTGACTCTGCGTCTGCGACAAGCGCGAATACAGCAACCCATGATACTGAGTAACAGGAGACCACCTACTCCGACACAGACTCCTATCACAATGCCCTTGTGGTCGTCAATCCATGATCTAATCTCGCCTCCAGTGTTGGTGCCTCTGCAGCGTCCCTGTACTTATGTTAGCGTTTGATCATGCTTGATCAGATATTGCTCAGACTTACGTTGTCGCACTTGCCTCCGCCACCGCAAGGCGTACCATCCAGGAAGTTCTGTTGAACTTCGAAGCAGACGTTATTTCCGAAAGCGGACGATCTACCACTGGAGCATCGAATCTGACACGACGAGCTGTCACAAGCTGAAGTGTTGTTTCCAACTCCCTGGTAACCACCCATGACACTTCTGCACTGCTGATCACGACTTGTACATTGGCCACTGGCACACTGAAGACGGTTGCCACAACTGTCTCCATCGGGTGCGCTGGCGTCCTGAGGGCAGGTGCCCGAGGTTCCAGAGCAGGTTTCTGCTGGGTCGCAAGCACCAGTCGAAGCGCGACAGACGGTGCCGTTCGAAGCAAATTGACAATTATTGCAGCATCCTTCGTTACTGTCGTCGCATACCGCAGTATCCCTGAACTTGCATGTCGCCGCATCACAACACGAGTTGCCCGCACATCCGGCCTCTCCGCCACAATCACAGTCTTCGCCATCCTCAACAATGCCGTTGCCACATTCCTGTGCGCTGATGGTCTTGATGTTTCTGTTCTCAGTGAGACAGGTAGACCTGACGCTGTTGCGGCCTAAGGCACTACAAATATTACCAATGCTGCATGGACTGAAGTTTCTAACTCCAGAGCTGGTAGAAGGGTTCATGATATAGGCTTCGCCTGCATTGCAGGTGTTGGCACTCAAAGGGCAACATTGTTGACTCCCGACGGTCGTGGTTGACGCGCAAGTGTCTGCGGTACAGTCATGTACTGCGCCGAAAGTGTGGCCTGTTTCATGCGCAATAATCTGCCATTCCGAGGCGCCCCGAGTGCGAATGACTACGTTAGCGCCAGTCACAGTTTCTGAACCGGCGGTCGATGATTGGCCATTACCAGTGGTACTGCTGTTGGTAGAGTATGCAGTCTGAACACATGCCTGTCCGAGCCAGGCAAGACCGACTGCACTTCCAGTGTTACACGTGCTGAGTAGTGTCCAGTGACTGTTGCTATCCTGCTGGTTGCCTCTCCAGGCACTGAACAAGTTTAGTCGATCTTGAATATCGACTCCATCGCTGCAGGCTTGATTCCAGGCGCTTGCCGAGTTGGGAGTTCCGGGACAGTTTGCGTCTGAAATGGTCAGGTTCGCTAGACCAAGCGAGATGTTGAAAGTTGTTTCGTATATGCTGGAAGCAGTGTTCATCTGGTCGATGACGTTCATGCGCACTGACTCGCTCGAGTTGAATTGGCCAGTGTAAGTGCAGTCTGTAGCGACACCGACAAGGGCTACTCGTCTGGTGGTGGGACAACCTTGGGTTTGACCAATGGTTGAGCTCAGATCAACACCCGCGGAGTTGCCAGCAGTGCTGCTATCGACCTGACGTTTACCGAACAGATTGCCCAGAGTCTCACTGCCCAGCACGGAATCAGATCGCCGCAGCATGGTGGTATAGACAGGGTGGTCGGGTTGGTTGTTGAAGCCTAAGTCGTCCGACTGGCATGTGAGGCCATCTTCAAAGCCATAGTCGAGGCTTCTCCTCAGCTCTTGCATGTGATAGTCAACATCCTGGTCCAAAAGGATGTCTGAGTCGCGGTAGACGACCATGCTGTTCTGGTCATCGGTGTCGACATGAGGATCGAGATGGTGGCGTGTGTGGGCGAAATGGGGAGCGAGTTGGATGTGGTGGTTGTCATGGTTCAAGGAGAAAGCACCCTGGAACAGCGGTTGCTCGCCATCTCTGACGATTGTAATTCTTGCCCATCCTGCTCTTGTCCATTCATCATCCACATTCTCCTGGCGGTACCAAGCACTTCCACGGAAGACCTTGTGAGCTAGACGATCGACATCCTCGGTCCTAGAGACGGTTCCATCTGCATTCAAGTAGGAGACAGTCAGGCCGGAATTTGGAAGGAGATCATGATTGGGCTCGAGAGAGAGCTTGACATGTAGATCCGGGCGCAATATGAAGGACAAGTCGAAGTTATGTAGGGCCGTTACCCGGTGGGTATGCGTGTCTATGGTGGCATTCTGTAGGGTCGACAAAGCGCGCAGAGGATTACGTATCGTCGAGCTGGCAGCGACAAAAGATGCGAACAAGGCCCAAAGTAGACAAAAGCTGTACGTCGTCGTGGCCATTGCCGCGTGGCGTCCCCTATAAGATGGCGGCCGGAGTCGCTGTGGAGCGTTGTTTCCCTGCGTCGTCTTGTTTACTGGACAGCTGCCGCTTCTTGCTTTCGTGCGACCGGGCGACTGAGATCTGGAGATATATGGACGGTATGGAACAATGAGCGAACGCGATTGACTATGTAAGCAGTGTAGAATGTCGACTTTCTTCGGCCGACGGCGCTAAGTTGACCAGTTACTGTCATCTCTGCCATGGACATTGGCATCGCCTTCCTTGGCTACTCTGGCAACCATCTCACTGTTGGACCCTCCCGTATCCGACAAACTCCGCCCGTATTTTGGCCAAAGTCCGTGATCTTCATTAACCTCGATTTATTTTTATCTACTTCCAACACATCATCTCGCTCACGTCTTGTACCTCATCTCATCTTTCTTCTGTCGCGTTCGCATTTCTGTTCAGAAAGAGGTCATCTTGCTTTTCTTCGACTTGTCACAAGGTTTGGCTCTTTCAAAACATGACCCGGCGGCGTCAGTGGACTGCATGCCGCGCCCGAGGAACGAATTTCCCTATCTCAAACAGCTTAGCCACTTATCCTTGGCGATTCAAGCCTTGACACTGACGAATACGCGTCGCTTTTTTTCTATTGCCGCCACTTCCTGACTTCGTTCTGCCAACAAGACTACGCAATCTTTGCTTGGCTGTCTCTCTACCTTGCACGCTTGTCCCCTGTGTCCACATCTTGTCTTGCCAAATGATTCTCTACTCGCGGGTCTCGTACGTGTACGCATCAATAGGACCAGAAAGGTACATGAAACGAAAGACGCTGCTGAAACAATAGGAGTTCCCGTGGAGTGCTCAACTGAAACTTACATCTGGAGCTCCGTCTGTGTCTGTGTCAGACCAACACAATGACAGAAATCGGGTTTGAATATCATCAACTGTCTATTATCATCCATTTCGCTCTGGTTCTTGAGTTCATCATGTCTCTATACAACTACCTGTTATCAGCTCCCTGAATGGGATATAGGCAAGGCTCAGCTTCCTCGGCCACTGGGTTCACACTATATTCAAGCAGCCAGTACAGTCTCGCCCACATCACATAACCCGCATTCAGTACCCCATCTTCCTTCTTTCTCACAGCACGCCTGCCATCGCTGTGGTGGCTCCCTGACATCTTCATACTGAGCAGAAAGTCCTCCTCTGACCGTGCCATAGTGCATGCCAATAGTCTTCCTGCTTCGGATATCCTTGTGGATCTCGAGACTCTGTTCCGGATGACAGTGGACATTTGACATGAACCACTCCGGGGAGTATAGCCCTATAGGCACCATGGACAGATCAAATCCTCCAAATATCTCGCCTATCTGCTTGAAGACTGGACAGGCTGTCGCCGCAGTGGTGGCTTTGTAGGCTGTGTCGCCTGAGAAATAGAGTTTCTTGTTGGACTGTGGGTCTTCTACTACCCATGAAGACCATAGGGTATGGCCGGCGTCGAATGGCGTGCGTCCGGAGAAGTGCTGAGTTGGTGTGCATGTGAGGTCGATGCTGCCAACACCCTCAATGTCAATCTTTTGACTATCCCACCAATCGCATTCTGTGACCTCGTCTGCGGTGATGCCAATACCGGCATTCAAGAACCATTGCTTATTCCCGAGCGCTGCGAAGAAGTGAATGTCTTTACCTGCTGCCTTTTGCCTCTTGTAAACATGAGTGATTGTGGCAATGTCCAAGTGATCGTAGTGATTATGGGATATCACAACCAAATCGACATCCGGCAACTCGGACAACTCGCATGGCGTAGGCGTATAACGTTTAGGTCCAAAAAACCCAACCGGACTAGTCCTTTCGCTAAAAACAGCATCGAACAGAATGCGAATGCCTCTTGCTTCCTGTTCACCTTCGGCCGAAGAACCAACTCGCGTCGTGGAGGCTGAGCATGCAGTCTCTACCAGGAATCCAGCGTGACCCAGCCACGTTGCTTTTAGACCTTGCTGCCAGTCAGGTAGACTTCTGCCCCAATCTGGTTTTCTGACTCTGACCAATTCGTCTCTGGTTTCGGGCACCGGGACGAAGTTACGATTTGTGCTGAACCGGGTTTTCAAAACATCTGCGAGACCATGTTGTTTGGCGAAGCTGGGCCAGGGATTCTTGAATGAGGACGGTGGATTGCCAACCCAGTGTGCAGGAGGGCTAATCGGCTCTGGATTTCTGGATTGCAAAGGCGTTACTGATATTTGCTTCATTTTCGACAAAGAGGATAGGTGGTTTCTCGACCAGAGCTTTGATAATGGCATGTTGTGCATATTGTCAGGGTCGTCCCTACAGAAAAGTGGAAGCCTAGAGTGGTGACGTAAGAGAGTAGATAGCGAGCAGACCAAAATGCCTATCTGGCATGTGCATGTGTCCTCTCAATGCAGGTCACTTATTGCTCATTAAGAACCGAAGAAAAGGCCCAGATACTTTCTGCAACCTATGGAGTCCAAGAGAGCATGACATGAGTGTCTTCCAAAACCGAAAGCGACGTCTAAGTTGGATGCGAAAGAAACCAGGTTCAGGAAGCTGCTGTCAGCGTACGTTCCATAAGAATTGCAATTTGCTTGATAACAATTCATGCCCATGAACCCGCCAGCCTCGACCTTGACCATCCTGCAACACCTCTTCCCTCAGCATCTTTCACTGAATTCACCGACTCGAAAGATGCCTCGTCTGTCTTCATTGAATCGCGGAACAAGAGGGCTGTAATCCTCGAGGCTGTAGTAGAAGATGCAGGGAGCAAAGCTGACGTCGGTCCTTCCACGAATTGGTCCTCGACGACGGGTCGTGCTTTCCACACAGGACCTGCCTTCTTAAGAAGACGCTGCTTCATTCCAAGTCGATGGAGTCGAGGTTCCAATGTTCTTCGTTGCGCTCCACTTGGGTAAGACACATCACCTCCATTCGTATACCAAGTTGTAGCAATACTGCTAGCGATACGAGAATGCGATAGACCGCGAGTCTGCAACCCTCGGATCATCAGCGACAGGGCAGCCTGTAGCCCTACAACGGCGTCTACTTCCGCAAGGCTTCTGTTCATTTGGGCTTTGGAGCTGGTCAACTGTTGAATGCATTTACCATGCCGTAACGTCCAACGGTTAAGCCTCAATTTTATGACCATACCGACACTGAACAATATCATGTATCTTGCTGGACGAAAGACCAATGGAACAGTACCTCAAAGATGTTGATCAGAAAGTAACATCAAGCTTAAAGCTTCATGGTATCACAACACGCCAACCTTCTCCGCCAGATCGTACCCTCCTACATGACGAAAAGGTATATAAACACGAAATATCTGTCGCCCTTCTTCTTACATGTCCAACATCTGCAGCCTACCGGCCGAAACTTCATGGCGTATTCTGGGAGGCGGCTTCCATGTGGCTTCTGAGAGCCGAAACGCATCCGGATAAGGCCCAAGTCTACCCAGTCCAATACTTTGATCAAGTCCAGGTCTGCAATGGTCTCACCACAAACACCGTAACGTTCAAAGTGAACGGTCATCCGCAATATGTGCCACAAGCTGCATACGAGATATTGATCTTATAAGTATCCTTAGGTTCTCATGTCGAAATTAACTTCCGAACAAAACCTTCTACGCTCATTCTAATCCCTAATACTTAATTTCGAAGCTATGATCAGATCACTGACCACCTTCGCCCTGGCCACAGCAGCCTCTGCTTTGTCACTCTCATCAAATGGTGTACAGAATGGTTGCATGTTCAGTGTCCCTGATGTTGGAGACTTCAATACTCAGATCCTCCACGATTGGTCCTCTTCGTCAACTAGTGATGATGTATTCAAGGATCTTCAGGCCTCTACTTACACCGTCGATGCTGGCACTGCTCCATTTGCCCGTCGTTTCGATATCGTCAACATCGGACAGGACACCAAGGATCCGTCCATCACCTTAACAGTCCCTGGAGGTCAGCAACATGGCCCAGTCAGTTCAGCACAGATAACCACAGGTGTAAGTGTACTCTTTACGTGAGCAGGCCGATCTAAAGCTGACCGAAATCAAAGTTTGCGGACATCCTTTATGGATCCGTACGTACCGTGGCCAAGGTCAGCAATGTTCCTGGTACCACTCATGGCTTCTCGTTCTATGCCAACGACACGCAAGAAGTTGACCTCGCCTTCTTGACCTCCGATATCTCGGTCATTCACTTGACCAATGAGCAACTCACTCCTGATAGTGAACTATCATCCTATCAAGTCGATGCACCTTCTGATGCTGCAACTGCATGGCACGAGTACCGTGTTGACTGGCTTCCTGGTGTCACCAATTTCTACATCGACAGCGAGCTGGTTCACTCAATCGACAAGAACGTTCCTACCACCCCCTCATTCTTCCTTTGGAACAGTTGGTCAAACGGCAACTCCTGGGCCGCCGGCCCACCCGCGTCCAATAGCGTGCTGAAAATCCAGAGCGTGACCGCCTACTTCAATCGTACCTCAGTCGCCTCCTCTATCGCCGCAAACCCCGGCGCTTGTGTCTCGAACCCCTTCTCCATCCTCAGCGCCTACTACGCAGACAAGAACGTCACCACTTCTGCCCAATCCGCTTTCATCAACGGCTCCAACCTCTACATCGACACATCAAGCCTTGACACTCAGCTTGGAGGTAACCCCTGGTCTGGCACTGCAAAGACTTTGACCTTCCTCTACACCTACGGCACCGAAACCCGTGTCTTTGTCGCTGCCCAAAACTCAGGCACTTATCTCATCGCGCCCGGAGGCATCGATACGGCACCAGGCAGCGTACTCGTACCTTCCATCACCGCACCCGCCAAAGCCACCATCGATATCATCTCAGTGGTCTGGGGCAAATCGCAGATCTCTACTGCCAGTGTATGGAATGCTCTATACAACGACTCGATCAAGAAATACTCATTCCAGCTACTTGACGAGTTCTTCGGCATCGATACTTGGTGGGGAACTCAGAAGACTGCGGTGATTTGGTATACTGCTGCGGATGGTTCGTTCAAGGCTGTGGTCGGAAGGGAGAATGCTTGGGTCAAGTTTACTTAGGGAGGGGTTTGAGTAGTCGTTTCTGTAGCTGCACGTCTTCTAGTGGTATCGAGAAGTGGTTCTGTTGTAATGATAATTGTACCGTCGCGCATGTTCATTCTTGGTCTGGAGCACTAGTCTTGAAAGTCGTGAGTAACACGTCACTCTTCCTCTCCTTGTACTGAACTTTGTCGCGCGTCAAGGCGGAAAGGCATGATTCTTGCCAAGGTCATCGTTGCGGCTCCAACATAAGCTCCTATCTTGGACGAATGGCACGTATATGGTCTTGACAAGCGGCGTTACAATGTAATGGCCTGATTCCGAAAAACGCTGTATAAAGGGCATGTGTGTATAGAAAGCAAAAACGGCCCTGGGTATATGAAGAACAGAGTGAGAAGAAAACAGATGTTCGTGAGTCTTTCGTTGGGGGACGTGTATCGTACAGATCTAGATGGTCGTCAGTATGCTGTGTGGGTGTTTTGCAGGTGGGAAGCGCCAACATACCGTTGCAAAGGTAAAGATGCGAAGCTCAAACAGCGCAAGGAGAGGACGTGATTATGCGCAAGTCATGATCGCACTACCATGCAATCTCGTGTCTTCCAGAATGAACTTGACAGCTTCATTGACGTCGTCGTGGGTTTTCAGGTGCGTGAGTATCAAGGTCGTGTCTGTAGCTGAAGCTTTCCGTAGCATGCGGACGACGGTCTTGTAGGCTCTCAACTCCTCTCTCGAAGCCTGCTGCTGTGTCTTGCCCTCTTCGACAGAGTAGTTGCATGGTGTTGCCTTGTCCAAACAGGTGTTGCATCTGGGACGGGCACCGTCACACTGAAGTCATAATTCGGTCAGAATCACGCAAGGAAGGGTCTGAGTTTTGCTGTGGGAAAACGACCACATACCCTTGATTTACGCTTGCGACATGGACGGCATGCGGCTAGTGTTTGTCTTCTTTTAGATTTTGCTGTCTTTGGCGATGTTTCCAGATGTTGTATTGTGGATGGTGGTGGTGAGATTGGGGTGGCTGTGGTTGTGGGTGTGGATTCGTGCGAACGTTCTGGCGAGCTCGAGGGTATCGAAAGGGCTTCAATGTTGCCGGGGAACGTCGGGTACCCGACAGCGCGTTGCTGTGCGTATTGAAGCATTTTATAGTGTGTGGCTGGCAGGTGCTGGGTTGGGTATCTCAGGACGTTTGCAAGCAAGAGCAGCGGCAGGAAGTTGAGGGGAGAGAAAACACGCGGGCTTCTGCTTGCGGCTCAACTGTATATATATGAGGAATTTGGTTGACGCGGGAGCTCGGAAACACGTCCGATAGTTTTGAGGGGCCCATACTTAGCTGAGACCTTAAGCCTCTGTGCGACCTAGACGCCGTCGTTCTTCACACATGGTTAGATCGATCGAGGGTTGGATCGGAGCATCGACCGGCAATTTTCGAGTCGAATACGCACGCGGAAGCTCTATCACCTGTCGTACCAGGAATGCTTTGCCTCAAATCAATAATGAACATATTGGCAGGCGATTCCTTTCATTCATTTCTTTAACCGTGTAGCCGATAGAGTAATACAGACGAGATGCCCAGAGGAAGGACGATGATCATTACCACGGATTCTCGCTCCGGACGGACCTTAGGTCCTTTGTGGCTTGTTCGACCGCGCTTGACGTTCCCAGCGGAGACGGTGTGATGGCCGTCACACGGAAAAGCTCCAAGCGGCAGCCTGCATACACGTTTGCCGGCCATGAGTTTCGTCGAATTTGCTGAGATTATTCACACTCTCGTCGGGCCCTCGGACTCATCGCCATCTCCAACAGGCTTGTTCACCATGTCATGGCTGTCTTCATGCGGTTTGCCTGATGGCAGGATCGTTGATCGAATTGTAGTCGTGGTTGTTTTAGAAGGTTCACTCAGCCGAGGATCTGCGTGAACCAACCGCGTTTACACGACTCGGACCATTCTCCGTACGTCGCGGTCTCGCCAATCGAAGCATTTCCCATTTGGGGCAAGTTAGTCCTGTGCACGAGTGGTGAGGTTGTTGTGGGTTATTGAGACATCCAACCTCTCGGTGGCTTGTCAGTTGGTCACTGGCACGTTTTATGCCGCTCGCGACGATTGAGATTTTCTACTCGTCAGCAAGGTACATGCATCTTGATCTACCTCGGACTGCCCGAAAGTCGACAAGTTTGAGCAGTGCCGCATTCTAACACCCATGTTCATGCAGCTCGAATACGGGATTGCTAGGGCATATATAAGGCACGGAAACCCATCAAGAACGATACTGTCGCGATGAGCATGGCTTTCGAGGAAGAGAATCTGCTTGAGCAAAGTGTAACAACATGTCTCCTCCCAATGCACGGCTTGCGCGAGCTCTAATACAGGCAAGGGTGCGTTCGGTTCGCGGTCTAGTAATGGTTTAGTCAGAGGTGGTTCGTGTTGAGGAGTGGCGTAAATAACCTTCTTGACTGTAACTATCGTCGTGTTCGGTTTGGTATAGTCAGCGCCCACGTGATGTTCTGCGGGGCCGTAGATTTGGGTGATACCCTCACCAAAATGGTTAGTTTAAAGGAATCTAAGACAGGTCGACCCGGTAAAACTTACAATGTCAATGCTACTACCCTCTCTATTAGCTTCTTAGATAGTAGCTATTATGGCAGCTACTGCGCTACTAGACCCTCGCCTCCGCTCGCCATCTTAAACACTAGTTTAGACGATAGAGAAAGAGATACTATAGTCTCTAATACTAGACCCTAGGCCGTAGAGTCCCTCTCGCGTACCGTCGATAACTCTATCTCCTATCCGCGGTCGTATAAGGATAGTCTCCGAGACTCCTAAGATAAAGTAGGACAAGATAATAGTAAAGGAACTACTTAACGTGCTACTAGAAAGACAAGATAGCGGAAAGGCTATAGATAGTAGTTTTGTAAAATAGACATACTAGCTTATAGCGTAGAGGGTTCGCGCGGTAGCGCCGGCGACGGAGAAGCTTCTAATTATAGATTAGAAGTATAAGGGTAAGATTAAGAACTTAAAGAAGGACTAGAAGTGCTAGAAGGAGATTACCGACAAGTTAGGTTAGGGTTAAGATAAGTACGATCTGCCGTAGGTAAGCAAAGAGGTTATAGTAACCTACTTTAGAGCGTATCCTTATACGAAGCAGTTTAGAAAACATCCTCTTTAGTAGGAGGAGGAGCTTACTACGCTATTTACTAGTACTGTTACGATAGGCGAGTTCGTTGCTAATGTTAATGACCTAACTAATAATACCGAGTCGACGGCAAGTAGCTAGAAGCGCGCCTCTTCGAGTACGGCGAGCTTATAGGTATCGTCGAAACGAGGGTCTTAGAAGGTAGCCTTTAGTAAGGAAATCGAGAGTTTGTCGCGCCTCTAGCAGCATATAAATAAGATTATAGCGACAGATCCTATTACGGAGGCGGTAAGGGTGCTAGATAAGGAGTTTATACCTTATTTAGAGATAGAGCAGCAGATAACAGTAATAGAAAGGCTAGCGAGCGAGGTAACGGCGAAGTTCTTCCTCTATAGTAATAATAAGAGAAGGAAGGCGTACATTAAGAAGTGGATTAGCGCTAAGGTAGTAATGTCGGCGTAGAGCTCTACGTAGTAAATAGTTAAGTAAATAGTTAGTCAAATTCTCGCTAAGTAATGCTAGTAATTAGTCTATATAGCCTCTATAACTACCTCTCGAAACTTAGTTATCTTCTTGTTATCTAAACTACTAACCTGCACGCGCTCGCTACTATTAAACTCGTTCTTACCGCTCTAGATGTCTATCTCTGCCTTATCGACGACACTAAATTCATCCTCCTAGCCATTAAAGAGGATCTAGTTATAAAGCGCTGTTAGCGCGTAGACTATACGGATCTAGTCTCTTATGCTAAACTTATAAGGCAGTTTCAAGATCGGCTAGCGCCTCTTAATAATGCCGAAGGCGCGCTTAACAACATTGCATAATAAAGAATGTCGTAAGTTAAATAGTTCCTCCTTCGTCGCTAGCCTTAGCGATGCTCTCTACTATTCCTTAAGATAATAACGAGTACCTCGATAGGGCATAAGAGTAATAGTAGTGTTTAAATAGCTAGCGTCGGCGAGGTAATATCGTCTATCTAGCACCCGGATCTTTAATGCGCCTTAAGCATCATTTAACACCCTAACGTTATAAGTACTACCTTCCTATCTAGCGAGGACGTAGGTAAAGGCGCCCGAGGGACTAACGACTACTAGAACGTTTTACGAGAGGAAGTGTTTACGATTCCTCTAAGGCGCTTAGTTACCGATAACATGGATTAGGACATAAGACCTATCTATCGCGCCGATATAGTCCTTAAAGTAAGGATAGAACTTTGGATTATCCTCTATCTTAGATACTACTAGAGTCTCGCTTATTAGCTACTTAACGACATGTTAATGTAAGTAGACGAGGCTAGTAAGCACTTAATGAACGATCTTATAGATAGTTAACAAGGAGTGCTAGAAATCCTCTATTAAGTCCTAATATCTTGCTCCTTTCGCAACTAATTTAAGGAATAACACTAACTTCTTAGTAGCAGTAATCTAGCGACCGTCTTAAAGCAATCCCCTTATCGTTAGCTACTCGAGTAGCCCTTTAAATGTCGATAACTTTAACCGCGTAGCTCTAAACAAGCGAATCTCGTAGGTGCGATATCCTAGCATACGGGCATAACCTTAACTACCTTCTATATATACGCTTCAAAGACTAGTGTTTAGTAGTCTCTACTACTTAAGAGCCTGCTATCGGTCAATAACAATTCCTATAATAGCTATAATCTGCATTACGAGTCGTCTCTACGTATCCCTTTAACGAAGCACTTATTATTCGGCTATAGCAATTTATCTCGGATTTACGTAAGTTGCTCCTCTAACTAAGCTTAAACATAGCCCTCGAGCAGCGTTAGGCTCTAGTTAGACTACCTCTGCAAAAATTGTCTCGATCTACGCTAAAAACGCTACATCTAGTGCCCCTCCATGCCGAGCCTCTTTAGCTAACTAAAACCGAGCTCTGAACCGAACATATACGCCGTTACAGTTACAGTTAGAGTTACGAAGCCTGACGGAGGCTAACTAGACTGCGAACCGAACGCACCCCAAGTCGTTGCGCATTCTGACAACCAGAGATCGGCGCTAGAGTGAGCTGGAGTGAAAGCCCGATTCCGGTGAGCGAGAGCAAAAGGCGTGCTCGGTCTTTGACTTTTGTCGACAACCAGGGAGCCCGGTTTATGCGAGCTTATGCAAGCAAATGCATTGTTCAACACGTAGTCGGCCTTTCCGATGTTCCAACAAGCATGGAAGCTGCACCGGAAGCTGCACTCCGAAAATGGTAATACCTGACATGACCATATCACGTAGGCCTCCAAGTGGACAATTACGATATATGCCACATGTGCTACCCATCGCGTCGGAAGCACACTCGGAGATTCTACTTCCGAAGACTGTTGCTGACCAGAAGGTATACGTCATCATTGACCACCAGAGGCGGAGTATCATGGGGTAACTCCTCCATGATGACCAGTAATTAGGAACACAAACACGGGTGTCGCGGATGATGGTATCACGAACGCTTTCCGAATGCTAAAGCTCGGTGTATATATCCACAGAAGGCACTCTCCTACGTCTACTTCCTGCGTCCACCTTCATCTTGCAATTACATACTCCGCTTCCTTGACCTCGGATAATCGTTCGTGAAAGGAATCGGCAGTTATTCACTGAGAATCGACAGGCGACTCACCTCTAACATCACTCATTAATCTCACAATGCCGGAATCGAAGCCATTGGGCAAAATTGCCATCATTGGCGGTGGCATCAGCGGCGCTACTCTCGCAATTGCTCTACTTCATCGCGGACTGGATGTCAATGTCTACGAACAAGCAGCTCACTTTGGCGAGATTGGAGCAGGTGTCGCATTCAACCCCGCCGCAGCAAGAGCAATGAAGATTTGCTCGCCAGACATCTTTGAGGCTTTCGAGAAGGTAGCAACTCGTAATCAAGGAGAGGACAAGCAGTCTGTATGGTTCGACTGGGTGGATGCCCACAACGACACAGAAGTTGGAAAGCAGGAATATGCTTTCAGCATCAGCAATGAATTTGGAGCCAATGCTGTGCACCGAGCACATTTTCTGGATGAGCTGGTTAAGCACGTTCCTGATGGAGTTACCCATTTCGGAAAACACCTGGATACTATTGAAGAGCTTCAGGATGGAAAATTGAGAATGAAGTTCCATGATGGAACAGATGCCACTGCTGATGCAGGTAAGCAAAATCGGTTCAACCATCGTCGATAAAATAAGCTGACTCTGGGCAGTGATCGGATGTGATGGCATCAAGTCCAAGGTGCGAGCATGGATGATGGGTGCTGATCACCCCTGCAGCCCGCCAGTGTACACGCATAAGTATGCATACCGTGGTCTGATTCCCATGGACAAGGCAAGAAAAGAGCTAGGTGACGACCTGGCGCAGAACGCTAAGATGCACATGGGTCAAGATGGCCATGTCTTGACATTCCCAGTCAACAAGGGAGCGACCATGAATGTGGTGGCATTCAAGGTCGACCCAGGACAGTGGCCATCAGACACTAAGCTTACTCTGCCCTCCGAGAAATCTCATGTTCTCAAGGACTTCAAAGATTTCGGCGCGACTGTCCACAAGATCATCGACATGTTGGAGCCCAATCTCGATTGCTGGGCCATCTACGGTGAGTAAGTTCGTCACTTTATCACGAAACATGCAAAGCTAACGAGATGTCAGATACTGGAGATCATCCTATGCCTTACTACAACAAAGGTCGCGTAGTTGTCGTCGGCGATTCTGGCCATGCTACATCTCCTCACCACGGAGCAGGCGCGGGCATGTGCATAGAAGATGCAGCAGTTATGGCAGAGCTGCTGAACGATCCTAGAGTCGCGGAGGCAGGCCACAAGGGCTTCGATGCCGCTTTCCAGGCTTACAGCGAGCAGAGACTGGAGAGAACCCAATGGCTCGTGCAGAGTTCTCGTCGTTCAGGAGACCTTTACGAATGGAGAGCCGAGGGCGTTGGCAAGGATTTCAAGAAGATTGAGAACGAGTGTCGCGAGCGAGACGAGAAGCTGTGGAATGGTCAAGTGAAAGAGTATATCGAAGAGGCCAAGTCGTTATTGGGTAAACACTTGAAGCAGTAGGCAGTCGTCTTGTAACTCCAGAATAACATGTTTCCAATAATCTTCAAGTGCGTGTGAATAGTGATTGCAATTGATGTTGGTAGACGGGATGAAACGGAAGACTGGCAGCTCCTGTTTGTTCTCGTCATTCTCGAAGCGTCTTCGGAGCGATCGGCGTCACCAGAGCTCGAGGGCGACTTTCTTGGCACCAAAAAACACCAGACAGTCATCATTGAAGCTACACTTTCTCATTCAATCCACGAAACATTCCTTGTCCCCTCAGTCAATTCCTTCGTCACACACAATTCAAAATGAGCTTCAGATTCCTCACCAGATCGGCCAGACCCCTCTCGCAAGCGGTTGAGAGCAGAGTACCCTTCTCTTTCAGAGCTGTGCAGCAGGGTCGCGCCGTCGCCGCCATTAGAAGCTACTCAGCCGAGACTGGAGCCAAGGAGAACGACGTTGCTGCTGAGAACGCAGAGAAGGTCGCCGAAGCCACCAAGGAGGACCCCACCCTGAAGGAGCTCGAGGCCAAGAAGAAGGAGGTCGCAGATGTCACGGTTCGTTGAGCGCATACTCTAGAGAGCAAAGAGGAAAGCAATACTGAGACAGGTGTGTACAGGACAAGTGGAAGCGCCAGATCGCCGAGTACCGCAACTTGCAAGAGCAGACCAAGCGCGAAGTCCGCGCAGCCAAGGACTTTGCCCTCCAGAGCTTCTCGAGAGACTTGCTTGACAGCATTGACAACCTCGACCGTGCTCTTTCAGTCGTTCCCAAGGAGAAGCTTGACGGCAGCAACAAGGACCTCTTGGACCTCCACTCCGGCCTCAAGATGACTGAGACCATCCTCATGAACACACTCAAGAAGCACGGTCTCGAGAGATTCGACCCCAGCGCCGAGGGCGATAAGTTCGACCCCAACATGCACGATGCAACTTTCCAAACTCCTCAGCCCGACAAGACCGACGGCACCGTCTTCTTCTGCCAGTCCAAGGGCTTCACCCTGAACGGCAGAGTCATCAGAGTGAGTACAAGCATCGGGAAAGATGTCAAGCCAAACAGAAAGATGCTAACAATCATCACAGCCCGCCAAGGTCGGAGTCGTTAGAAACTCGTAAAATCGATACGGCAATGAACGTGCGCATATCATTTGAACGCGAACGCATATGGGATGGCAGGAAAAGTATTTCAGATGATGGAATTGTTTTTCTGGAAGAGCAAGCATGTTTGGCAATATTTGGCTGGGGCGAAGTGGCATCAAGGCGTTCCGGTAGATTGGAGACTGAGATGTATACCCCTCTCTCTTGACGGCCCGACATGGGTCTGTCGTGTAAAAACAACTGTATATATATGTAGTCTGTATTATGAGCGAAAGCAGACGATTGATGAACAAGATGGCTGCTTGACTGAGGCACGTGATGTTGGATACAATTGTGCCCTTGGATAGATGGGCGTGGAATAGCACTTGGCCGAAGTCGGAATACGCACTGCCGACGCCCTGATGCAGCCACGAGTACAATGCTCGAGTAGCTGACTTGAAGCGAACACACAGGGCATAGATCAAAAGGATCGATCAGGACTCGGTCAAAGATAGTCCGTGTAATGAGGAGATATAGTAGTCGAGTAGAAACAACGAAAATCGCACGGGAGCATTCGAGTAGTTTGTAGCCTCGGCATGTGATGGCAGATGTTGTGGAGTTTCTGGGGTCGCAGCAGCGCTCCATCAGCCCGAGGTGACGAAGTCGATGATTCTGAGCACGCTTGACTCACCACCCGTCTCTTCTCGTCATACAACGCACAAGACAAGACCTAGACGTCAGATTCGTCCTCTGCTGAGCACTCGCCAGCACACAGCTTGAGCTCGCGAGCTTGTCACCTCCTCCCGGATTTCTGGCCGCAAGGCCTCGACAAGCCCAGCCATGTCGTGGAAAAAGTCGACTGAGCTCATGGACACGATCCGCCACTATGCCAACTTCCCTGCCACTGGTGTGAGCTTACGGCAGATGGTCCAATTTGGAGAGAGGCCGTCAGTGGGTGAGTCTACCGTCATCACACGAGTCGACCACAATCACGCAGAACGACTGACGACATGAACAGGAACTCTGTTCCGCGCATCGCAATTCCTCTCCGAAGAGCTGCCTATAAGGCTGGCACATCGCGTGCAGGAACTCCAAGAATTGCCCGACGGCTTGGGCGACATGCCCTCGATCGGCCGAGTACGAGATTGGTATGCCCAATCTTTCGAGGAAATCACCACTTTGCCCAAGCCCACCCTCTCGTCCGAGATCCGCGATCGCCTCTTGAAACCACAGAATGGCAAAAACTCGCGCATCCTGAGCGAGGCCACAAAGAACCCCAGCATAAACCAGGGCCAGTATCGCTCTCAGCTTCACCACAACAACCACGACCATGGCGAAAACAGAAAGAACGCCCTCAAACGCTATTACAGTGCTGGCGACGACACCAATGACTGGCCGCCAGAGCTAAATGACTACAACACCCGCTTTTCAAAGACTCTCGAGAAGATCAAGCGTCGTCACGATAGCGTTGTGACCACCGTCGCCCAAGGCATCCTCGAATACAAGCGCAAGCGTCAGCGAATGCAAATAGACCACAACATCCAGGCTTTCCTCGACCGCTTCTACATGTCTCGTATCGGTATTCGCATGCTTATAGGCCAGCACATTGCTCTGACCGATCAACGAGCTCATTCGGATCCTACCTATGTCGGCATCATCTGTACAAAGACAAACGTGCGCGATCTGGCCCAAGAAGCCATCGAGAACGCTCGCTTCGTCTGCGAGGATCACTACGGCCTCTTCGATGCTCCCAAAATTCAACTCGTCTGCAACCCCGACCTCAACTTCATGTACGTTCCGGGTCATCTGTCGCATATGCTCTTCGAGACGCTCAAGAACTCCCTTCGTGCTGTCGTCGAAACACATGGACAAGACAAGGAAGAGTTTCCCGTTACAAAGGTCGTTGTGGCCGAAGGAAAGGAAGACATCACCATCAAGATCTCTGACGAGGGTGGCGGTATTCCGAGAAGCTCCATTCCCCTTGTATGGACTTACATGTATACGACTGTCGATCAAACGCCTCAACTCGACCCAGACTTCAACAAAAGCGACTTCAAGGCTCCAATGGCAGGCTTTGGTTATGGACTGCCCATTTCCAGGTTGTACGCCAGGTACTTTGGCGGAGACCTGAAGCTGATCAGTATGGAGGGGTAAGTGCCAAGTTTTCGCCTGACTCGAGAGGCAATCTGCTAACATAACTCACAGCTACGGCACCGATGTCTACCTCCACTTGAATCGCCTGTCCTCCTCGTCGGAACCGCTACAGTGACAACGACCAGTCATGAGGGATGAATGGTTTCAGCCAGTCATCGACAGACCGATGGTTGACGAAGGCTCACCATCAGATTTCCCATCCCAAGGATTGACGCGCCAGCCACAGAGAGCCCCCTCAAAGAAGCCCTCTATGCAAAACATAAGTCTGGCCATGGCATCTCGCGCTATGAAGTTGAAGCGTGTCGCGACTAGAGAAGTCAGTGAACGTCGACAAGTCGGAGACGCCGAAGAGATGGTCAATGGACCGCAAGACAACAACTCATCACCCTGGTGGAGGAATGTTAGTATGGAAGAGGGCATGTAAGAGCGATTTGCTATGCTACGCTCTTATGGCATGCAACGCCTGTGTGCACATTATGCTTTCATTTTTCTCTTTTTGTTATTACGACGCATGGCACAGGCGTTCAGGGTGGATTATATTGTACAGATTGGAAAGGACATATGATCCAGTCTTTCTCTACAATGAATTGTTGTATTATTTTGCACATTTTTTATTTTGAGAGTCCATGACATGTGAACGATGTGAGAGCGAAATGCACTTGTTTGCCTTGCAAGCGGGCGAAGCCAATCAAGCCCAAAAAGGCAATTCGTTTTGCGGCGCGTCTTCCTCGAGACTTCCGAGCCCATCATGAAGTGAATCAATACATCAACATCAAAACTAGGCCGTCACATCTCGCCGGCTTCCCCAGATACTATCGAAGATCCAGAGAAAATACACACCAAAACTCGAGAGAAGACGATCAACACCTCCGAAAACATGTCTACTCAATCCTTCCCATCAGTCACACCAGTCCACATATCAAAATCCATCTCGACATCATCAGCACCAACGGAGGACCCTAACAACCCACTGCCTCAACTTTTGCACACACCTTCCGGACTCGCGATAATCGAACTTCAAGGAACCATCAACTTCCCCCAATCCAACCCTACAGAAGAAGACTCCTCCGACGCCAATAACACAATCACGTCGTCAACAGAAGTCGGACGCTTAGTATTTCCCCTCTATACACCAGGCATCTCAGATCCCAACAGTGGAGCATGGATGAAGCGTGTTTACTTCTACATCGGCAAACATCAACGCATGACCGGCGAGATCAAGAAATTACCGAAGCCGCTGGCTGTGTTGAGGAAATCACAGAGCGGAGAGGAAGGTGCAGTTGAGATCGTGGAGATTGTGAGGTACAAGGTTCTGTTTGGAAGTAGGCCTGAGCCTGTGAGTGAGGATTTGGCCTGAGAGATCGAGGAAAATGGGTGCAGGAAGTTTCCATCAAGGATGGGGCAGGCTTGGAGAAGGATTGAGGATGCAAGTGTTACGAGAATGATGCGTCTGACATGAGTCCTACAAGCGCTTATGGAGACCGAGGTCTCGCATTAGTTAGACCTAGGCACGGTAAAAACTGGCCGTCTCCTATACATGTTACCCTCGTGTCTATTGATGCACCGTCGGTTCGATGTAAGCAAATTTATAGACGAAGCCCTCCTCACATGGAGGATCATCCGGCCGAATCGGATGAATTTTCCCGCTCAGTACGGAGTAACAGCACCTCGTAGCACGATGCAATTGGAAAACCATGCCAGAACATGACCTTCTCTCATGTGCGTGCATAAATTACACAACCTCGGCGTCCATGCCATCTCCATCTCGGAGCTGCCATAACCGAGTTTGCAGATCTGCCTGCAAAAAGCATGGACGTTGCGGGACGCAACCTGTCAAAAGAGAACGCACCCCCACCTTCCAATCACCAGACTGCCGCAACAAGCGAGATGGTCAAGATGACTGCTATGACAGTGCAACATCAGCATCCTACCAACGCTGTAGACATAAGCTCAGAGCAAGATCCTCTCAAGATAATCGCAAAGACTGCCTCTTATGGAGAGTCAGGTTTGGTCATCCTTCTGGATGTGGTCAGACGGATGGACGGCGTACGTGCGACCCGTCTGGCGCTTACATACCTACTATTCTGATCTCCAGCATTAGCTTGCTTGTAGCCGGCACGCTGGCGTAATGGTTCTGATTGATATGGGTATATTAAGCATGACTCCCGCCCTATGCTGACCTTTGCTTTGTTCTATCGAGTCGAGGCTCACATTTCGACTTACTGGATCATCGATATGGATCTCTTCTACTCTCTGAGCCATACAGTGGTTATCGCTGGTGGCTTTGCTGCTCTGGTATCTGACTTGATTTCATTGATCATTGATTCAGGTCAAAGGACTAATGCTGTTTAGTATATTGTGTATCAAGTCTTGAACACGGTGTACACCATTTTCTTCCACCCATTGAGCCATGTTCCTGGTCCTTGGTATCTTGCTGCATCTCGCATTCCTTACATACGCCACAGCTTGAATGGCACTCTACTGCCTTGGATGCAAGCGTTACATGAGCGCTATGGCGAGATCGTGCGATACAGCCCAAACGAGGTAGGTCAAACAACCTGGCGCTTGAGTCTGCCACCATGGCACAAGTCTGCTATATCAACATCTTGGTCTATATATGGTCGGAATGTATCAGCGATATGCGCAGCGAACTGACTTCTTGACTAGGTCTCCGTCATCTCAGGCAAGGAGAACCCATGGCAAGAAATCTATGGCTTCCGCACTGGCAAGCAAAAGGGAGTTAGAAGCTTCGAAAAAGACCCTGCTTGGTATCCGACACCCATGAACGGTGTTCCAAACCTCTTGACTGCTCCAGGAGACAACCATGGCCGCCAAAGACGTGTTCTGAGCCATGCCTTCTCCGACAGAGCTCTTCGTGAACAAGAAGGCTTACTCCAATCTTACGTCGATCTACTCATCTCACGATTCCGCGATATCTCCGATCGTATCCCTGAGTATGTCGCTGGTGGCGATGGCTGGGACTCTACTGGAAAGATCGAGCTTTGCAAATGGTACAATGGATTTACTTTCGACGTGATCACCGACTTGAGTTTTGGTCAACCTTTCGGCTCTCTCGCAGATATGAAACAACATCTCTGGGTTGGTAACATTCTCGAAGGATTGAAGGCCGTCAAATTCGCTTATGTTACCCACTACTTCCCCTTCGTCAGACGTCTTGGCTCTTTGATCATCAACAAATCCCAAATCCAGAAGCGCATCGAGCTCTTCAAGTGGATCCAAGTCAAGACTGCCACCAGAGTCGCCACAGAGACTCAGCGACCGGACTTCGTTACTGCAGTCATGGAACACCAGAAGGGTAGATTCGAAGAGGATGACGGTAAACACGCCGAAGACCTTCGCAAGGGCGAACTGGTGTCCAACCTCGGTCTCTTCCTTGTTGCTGGCACGGAGACTACGGCTACGACTCTGTCTATCGGCAGCTACTTTTTGCTTAGCAATCCTGCGGTCATGGAGAAACTCAAGCAAGAAGTTCGTGGCCGATACAAAAGTAACGACGAAATTACCGTTGATTCGGTCACCAACTTCGAGTATCTTAACGCTTTCATCCACGAAGTTCTGCGTTACTATCCTCCCGTACCTGCTGGATTTATGAGGAAAGTGCCAAAGACTGGTGCAGATGTTGCTGGTGTGCATCTTTCTGGCAAGGGCAATGTATGTTTGCGTTATCTGTATGCTGGTTCGCTACTTGCCCTACTGATGATGGTTCCAGGTTTCTATTTCAATCAACCAATACATCGCCAATCGTTCCTCCCTCAATTTCACAGATCCTGAGCGCTTTGTACCTGAGCGTTGGCTTGCATCTCGACCGGAGAGGTATGCTAAGGACAATCTTGCCATTGTGCAGCCATTTTCGTTTGGTCCTAGAAAGTAAGTCAAACATACCGTTCTTGTAGTCAGTGATATGGCTAATAGTCTTAATAGTTGTCTGGGTAAAAACCTTGCTTATGCTGAGCTAAGATTGGTGTTTGCCAAAATGTTGTTCAACTTCGACATGGAGTTGGATGAGAGGAGTGCGGGATGGGAGAGCAGGCTTCAGCATCATACTTTGTTCTACAGACCTGACCTATGGGTCAAACTTACTGCTGTGACAGATTGACGGTAGGCATCATGTTCTTGCGCTCTCACTGGGTACCATACTGACTTCCAGAGAATCACGCCTTTTGATGACTTTGCACAAGCTTTGCAGGGACAGCGGAGTTCAGTTCTAGTGCGCGTTTCATTGCAGTTACATAACGTTATTGATGCTCATTGCCTAGACTTGAATTCATCCACAGCAGACAGTAGCCTCTGAAATACCAGGTGCTTCATCTCGCGACTCGTCGAAACTTTGCTCCGTCACCAGTGGCAGTTTCACAACCATCCAGTCGCACAACACCTTGCCCAAGAAGGCTCCAACGATGATCGAAATGATGATGTACCCGTTGAAGTACATGGCCAACAACATGACTATGTATCCGACGCCAAAAGTTGCAGCATGGATGGCACCTCTTGTGATCTGCTGTGCCGGCGTCGCACGGAAAGTGATGAATTGTTGCTCAGGAAGGGGAGGAGCACAAGAAGCATCCGGACCACAACCACTGGAATTGCGTTCGTCGTCGAACTTGGGTGCAACGTACGATACACGGGGTCGGTATCGGAGGCTGGCTGCTCGTCGATGGAACTGACGGAGAATGTAGGAGTCGTACTCTTTGCCGATTCGTCGTAGAAACTCGAGACACACTACCAGGAGGGCGACTCCGATGCAGGAGGCGGCGAACATGCCTTTGGTCTTGATGTGCCATGAAGATGCAAGGAAGCATGCATCAATCGTGTACCAGTTCCATAACATCTATCTTCTGTTAGATGGTGTGTTCAAGAGTGAAGAGAAAAGCCGGGTAAAGACATACAGAAATCTTGCATTCTGTCGAGTTGCCTCCTCCCATGGACATTGAGTGCGACATCTTTGGATCTCTGCTGGCTGCGTTTTCGACAATACGGATATGAAACGGGTGTCAAGGGACAAAGTGAAGTATGGATTTGCGAATGCGGGAAGTAAGGTATCTGTTTCCATCGAAGTTATATCAGCCCGGCAAAAGACCTCTCCTTCAACCACATGCTGGCCATGAGCCATGGCAGTCGGGGATCCGCATGTCCAAAACGTGTAGCCACCTCAAACTTGCTCAAATCCAACGCGCTATGGAAGGAGTAAACGCGCCTGTTCTTGGCTAACCGAGAAACAAATCAACATGATTGGCCGGTTCAATGTCCCGAGACTGCCAAGGTAAGCCACCCCCAAACATCACCTCTTCTCGACTTCCAAGACTATTTCTCCGACACAGCTGGACGTTATTGATGAACCGATTCGACACCCGTACCGTGCTTTTCGTTGCGTTTGCTGCAAGAATCTCCCGTGCGAGTCCGAATACTTGCTCAATTTCTCCTCAACGACTTGCTAGATAGCTCTAGGCTCCGCCGATTTAGGCTTTAGGACCATGCTGTTACATGCTTCAGGTCCGTGGCAGCTCATGGCGCCAATCGTGATCGGAACATGCAGATGCTCTGGTCTTCGGTACTTAACATAATCGCAGTCCTCGTTATACTGTTGCAATTTTATACAGGCATTTGTCTTTCCCTTCCCTTTCCTTTGCTCTCCGTTACTCAATTTGCTTTCTTTCTGCTGTGCAGCAATGGTACATATTCAGAACTTTACCGATGCTAGCTCATTGGAACCACACTGGGGATACGCCGATCGCGTAGTCCCTTGTACCAACGATGCCGGATCATGCAAATATCTCGACGTTGTCTACCATTCACATGACTTGGGGATGCTATACTCTGGCATCTTCTGGGCGACGATTGCTGGTATATTATTCATCTGGACATTGGCTCGTCGGTTGGCTCCGTCAAGGCGCGCCGATGAAGAACTTCTCGTTCCCGTACGAGCATCCTCGTCTCCTTCTCAAGGTGGCATTGAACGACTGAAAAGTGCATTGGCGGCGCACTCTCGACGATACCTCCTTCCCGACTTCTCAAGACCTATCTTCGGACGCACCACCAGGCTACAAGTCCTTACTCTAGTTGTTCTGACTGGTTATCTCGCCGTTTGGTCCTTCGTCGGTATCGTATACAACACTTGGGTCACACCTGTCAAGAAGATGCCTGGCGTCTACAATACTCGCACTAGTCTCGGACCTTGGTCAGACCGTGTCGGCACGCTTGCTTATGCTCTAACGCCACTCTCTATTCTCCTCTCGAGCCGCGAATCCATCCTCTCGCTTATGACTGGGCTACCGTACCAGAGCTTCAACTTCCTTCATCGATGGCTCGGCTATATCATCGTAGTACAATCTACTCTGCACACAATAGGCTGGACCATTATTGAAGCGAAGCTTTATCAACCCCAGCCCACTGTTGCTCGTGATTGGATCAAGCAACTCTACATGATCTGGGGATGCGTGGCGATGATCCTTTTGTTCCTCCTCTTTGCCCTCAGTACTCCCTGGGCTATCCGTCTTACTGGCTACGAGTTCTTCCGCAAATCGCACTATATTCTCGCAATGGTCTACATTGGTGCTTGTATTGGCCACTGGGACAAATTGTCCTGCTACCTTGTTCCTGCATTGGTTGTTTGGTTCCTGGACCGTGGCGCACGTCTCGTGCGTACTGCCATCTTGCATTACACAGTGCTTCCTGGTGGCGAGGTTGCTTTTGGTCCCGCGAAAGCCTCAACGACTGTCTTCTCCGACCCGAATGGCGATGTTGTCCGCCTCGACTTCGTGCACCCGCATGACGCCTGGGCTGTTGGTCAACACTTTTACCTCTGCTTCCCTGAAAGCAGCATTTGGCAGTCACATCCCTTTACGCCACTCAGTCTCCCTATTCATGATGATGTGTCCTGTGGCGTTCAGCATTCATACATATTCCGTGCCAAAGGAGGCGAAACCAAGAAGATCGCTCAGCTGGCAGCAGCCAAGATGCAACAGGCTGGTGGGGTTACACCCCTGACCTCAGTCATATTGACCGGTCCCTTTGGCGAGGAAATCACTACCCATCTCACTCAGGATGTCAATGTACTCTGCATTGCTGGTGGAACAGGTATCACATACGTGCTTCCTGTCCTCTTGGGCCTTGCATACCAACCTCGCTCAGTGAAGAGAAAGGTTACCCTCGTCTGGGCTGTCAGACAGAAGGCCGATGTTGCTTGGGTACAGCCAGAGCTTGATCGCGTGAGGCAACTGGCAAAGTCGATTGATTTGACCATCCGCATCTTTGTCACACGAGAAGCAGAAGGACAATCCAGCATCTCGGAAAAGTCAAAGTATGCAGACCACGACTTCAAGTCGGTTTCAGAGCCCATTGTCAGATCCGATCAGACGCCGGACTCATCGTCTGCCGCTTCTACTTCCGCCGCGTACCCTTGCTGCGGCCCGCCGTCGGACTCCTTCGCTATCCAAAAGACAGCGATTCCAGCCTCGAATCCGCATGACGAGCCTATCCACAGACATCCTGACTTGAGCATTCTTGTCAAAGACTTCATCGACGAGACAGTCTGTGGAAGGACGACCGTGTACGCCAGCGGACCTGGACGTATGATCTCAGAGTTGAGGAGTATCGTTGCTCGGTCCAACGATGGTTCAAAAGTGTGGAATGCAGACGAGCGATACGATGTTAGCCTTGTCTGCGATGATCGATTAGAATGGTAGATGTGCAGTGCTCTGGAAAGTGTTGCGATGTAAATAAATTTCACGCCTTGATGTTCTCCTATCGCTCTGTATGTCGTTCTTGAGAATTGTCGTGAACTCCCGCAATACTCGTTTTCACACGCTCGCTCTTGTGCTCGAGACTGAATTTATTTCCTTACGTCAGCGTATAATGTGTCGAATGGTGTTAAGTGTATTGTGTTGGCCGCATAATATCTCAGCTGCATTTGATGCGGATCATTGGTGGCAAGTAAGATAGTCCCGAGTGATGTGGCCTATCCACCCTGGGTGTTGCTCGATCCTTCCAATGACTTTCGGTCCAGGGATATGGGTCATGCCAATCATTGTGAATCAAAAGCGTAGCACGTTCCCGACTGCGGATTTTGGGCTACTCGCTCACTATGCAAGACAAGCTGGCAATGAGCCGAGATAGTCAGAATGGGGGAAGAGCTAACAGTGCATCTGACGCAAACTTGCTCACCTCCTGTAATCCTTCCCGAGACAGCCATCTTTAGGGCTCATTCTCGACATTCGATTCGTGGTGGCGCTTCAACGCAAGTTACTCCAAGGCTTTGTGGTATATATAGAGAGCATACTTTCCGGATTTATCCTGCCTGTGACCATAAGCATCTGATTTCGAGTGCCGAGCTCGCAGACATACTTTGCCTTTCGTGATTCTATCAATCCGGAAGGGGCGAATCACAGCTATGGCGCAACCGACGTCTGCCATGGGTAAACATCCAAACTTCATCAGCACCTTGGAAATGCAAGAGCAACCCAGAAACGAGAAAGACAGCCACGACAACACCAACCAAACTCCCTTGGACCAAAAAGCCCAACTCGGCATCCAAAAGATCGAAGCTGTGACCACAGTCTGGTCAACCAAGTCCTTGGTCATCGCTTACGTCCTGATGTGGCTCATTTACTTCGTCGAAGGTCTCCTCTCCGGCACAACCACTGCGTTGAATCCTTACATCACCTCCGCATTCGCCTCTCACTCTTTGACACCAACCGTGGGCATAGTAAGCAGTATCATCGGCGGCGTGACCAATTTCACCATCGCCAAGATCCTTGACGTCTTCGGCCGCCCACAAGGCTTCCTACTCTGCATCATCATCGCTGTTATAGGCTTGGTCATGATGGCTGCATGTAAGAGTGTAGAGGCCTACGCAGCTGCTCAAGTCTTCTACACGGTTGGAAACACTGGGTTACAATATACGCTTGGTGTGTTCATTGCTGATACTTCGAGCTTGAAAAACAGAGGGTTGATGCAGGCGATTGCTACGAGTCCGAATATGATTACTTGTTGGTTGGCTGGACCGCTTTCTTCTGGCTTCTTATCTGGGCCTGGATGGCCTTGGGCGTTTGGCATGTTTTCTATCTTGGTGCCTGCTTTCTCGGTTCCGTTGTGGGTACTTTTGTTTTGGCATTACCTCAAGGCTAGGAAGATGCAGGTCGTGCCTGAGAGAAAAGAGCAGACAAGTCTTTGGCAGTCGGCGGTGTACTACTGTCGTGAATTCGATGCTGTGGGATTGATCTTGCTGTCTGCTGGTGTGGCACTCTTTCTTCTACCATTCAACCTTTACGCCCTCCAGGTAAAAGGATGGACTTCTCCGCTCATCATCTGCCTGTTGGTGTTTGGATTCATACTAATCATTGCATTCGTGCTCTGGGAAAGATTTTGGGCTCCCATCACCTTCATTCCCTATAATCTCCTCAAGGATCGGACTCTCTCTGGCGCCTGCTTACTCTCCTTCACCATGTTCTTCAGTTACTTCTGCTGGTTTAGTTACTTTAGCTCTTTCCTCCAGGTCGTCAATGGTCTCAGCGTTACCAACGCCAGCTACGTTATGCAGATCAACACCGTGGGCTCAGTGCTGTGTGCTATCGGTGCAGGAGCACTGATTCACTACACCGGTCGCTTCAAACCGGTTTGTGTGTACTTCGGCATCCCAGTCAGCATCCTAGGAGTCGGGCTGCTCGCCTACTTCCGACGTCCGGGTACTGGTATCGGATATCTGGTCATGTGTCAGATATTTATCGCTCTGTCCTCGGGCACACTGGTCATCTGCGACGAAATCGCGGCCTTGTCCGCAGTCTCGCATCAGCATGTCGCCGTCACTCTAGCCACTATAGGCCTATTCGGCAACATTGGTGGAGCCATTGGTCTCACAGTCGTAGCTGCCATCTGGCAAGCCGTGTTTCCCAAGGCACTTGCCATGTATCTGCCGGTCGAGGAGCTTCCGAATTTGCTATTGATCTATGCGGATATCACGACGCAGTTGTCTTATGAGATTGGTTCGCCGACTCGTGTGGCTATCCAGCATGCGTATGGAGATGCGCAGAGGGCTATCGTAGTCGCTGCTACTGCTGTGTGGGTTCTTGGTGCGGTTGCGGTGGCTATGTGGAGGAACATTAAGGTTAGTGACATGGAGCAGGTTAGGGGTCATGTAGCCTAGATTTCCGAGAGGCCCTTGTCTGTCATATGTACTGAGGATGCTCGATGATACGAGTGCATTGATGTCGTATCTTTTGAGGCTATCATGACCAGGATGTAGGGGCATATAATTCGAACACTGTCCGCAGAGAGTCCGAAGAAGATAGACAGCTACCCGAGCATCAAAAACATCTTACGATGGCTGGTTCGGAACGTCATCCGTGCCCGGGTGTGTCAGTTCAGGTGGATAGCAAATTATACATCCGCGACTTTCCAAACCAGCTTTTCACCACTAACACCTTCCCTGAGTGCCGTCAAGGCGTTCTGCGCTCGTTCCAGTACATCCTTGCCTTCAATAACGCGATATCTGTTTGGACGAACAACACCAGCTTGGAGAAGCGCTGGCATAATTTCCGGTTGTAGCAGACGAGCAAGTTGTTCATTATCCTCGTATGCATGCGTACGGACGCCAGTGACTCGAACGCCAGATGCCCAATCGGCAACAGCAGTCACATCATATCCGTACTTTGGAGCAGCAGTCGGTGTTGGTGGCGAGAAGATAAGTGGAAGCAAGATAGCGACGTGGTTGCCGTTGTTTGCTAATTGTGCGATTGGTAAGATGGATGAGGACACTGAGCCGATGCAGTCGAAGAAGTAGGGAATGTTGCCAATGTCTCGTTGTAGCTGGGATACGATGTTTGAGTCGCTGTAGTCGTACGTTTTAGACGCACCGAGAGTTTTGAGGTGTGCGTGGTGTCGAGCAGATCCGACAGCGATTAGGTTATTGTAGCCGTAGTATGAGAGGATTTGTAGTGCATACTGACCCACGCTACTCGAGCCACCCCAGATCAGGATGGCATCATCAGTAGAGGTGGGAATGTAGGAGTCCGGTTTAGGCCAAGGTAGGGGTAATCCGAGGGCGGGAATTACGGTGTGGAAGACAGTGACAAAGTTGGTCGGGACAGTCGCAGCCTCGGGCATGGAGATGTTGGAAGGGATCTAGAATGCTTAGTAGTTATTCTCAGGAGAAGCATGCTGAGGAGGATGTACCTTGGCAAGAAAGCGTTCCTGGGTGATAGCATAAGTCTGATGGCCTCGCTCCTGCGATGTCTTCCACATGTATCCAAAGACCTATAATTGTCAGCCGACCACACACAGTAAAAAGATATCGGAAAAATTACCTTATCTCCAACCTGAAGCCTCTTTACCTGGTCACCAACTTCCACGACGATGCCGACACTACCATCTCCCATGATGTCCGGGTATTGTGCCAGGGCACCATCTGCTTTGTGGAGGTCGAATGGCTGGGTCGAGGTCCACTCATTCAGTACACGCACTTGGTCACCAACTGGTGTAGGAGTTGGGACTTGACGAAGCTCGAGGGGAGCTCTTGGTCCCACACTGAAGACTGCTGCGTGATGCATTGAAAATTCGAGGGAGAAAGCTTGATGCTCGTGTTGATACAAGACTGTCACTTCTTGATAGTTCGTTCTATCCGAAAGAATATGGAAGTCTTATAGCAACGAACTTGATACTAGTAGGCCTAGACTATGGGGGAAGCTTAGTAATGGACTTACAAATCAGAAATCCTTCAAGATGTCGTTTGCAAGCAGGAGAAGGTAGGTAAAAGTCATCTGTCGAGGACGTGCTTATGTGATGACTGATGGTCGATCGAGATTACCGACGTAGGCACTGTAACGTAGCCATTCGACGCATAGTGTAGCCTTTCTGCTCAAGTCGATGTCTAACGGGTAGACAGAGCGGTGTCCAATGGACGACCCACATAAATTTGAAGGATTGGTAAAAGTTGCAAAGAAATAGAAGTCACGTTGGATCGAGGCACGTGGAGGTGGGCTTCCCCATTGGGCAAGCGTGGTTTCCTCCGCAAATCATGGACATGTTTCACATGTCAGGGTCCAAGGAGACACGAACAAGACGAAGATCGTATTCAACTCCTCAACCTTTAGCCCTTAGCAAGTCGTCCATGCCTCGCATCCTCTCCTCGACACGTTCGCTATGCGGGCCTTGTCCCGTATCATCATCGCCGGGCTGATACTAGCGACACTGCTATGGCTTAGAGGTCAATTCTTCAAGCTCCACCAATCTATTCTCGCACTCGACAGGCTATCACAAGACGGTGGTCTTCTCTCTAACCATGTACATTCGAACAGTACCAATGCGTCGAGTACCGCGGTAGAAGACCCTTTCAGAGCCGTCATGCATGCCATCTCCAACACACTTCTCAATGGCACCATCGAAAATCTTGCGACTCCAAAATCTGGCCTTAGAGACACGAGAACCAAGGTCGTCGTCGTTGCCAAGACGGCCAAAGAGCATACTCAGTGGGTTGCGCGTATGCTGCCCAAGTACGTCAACATGTCCAGCAAACCTGACCAGCGCTGACTTCATTCCAGCTGGAAACATGCCATCTATGTCACCGACGACCGCAAAGCACCCCTGCACACAGCACGCAACAAGGGACGAGAAGCGAACGCCTATCTCACCTACATCATTGAGAACTATGACAATCTACCCGAGACCATCGCCTTCATCCATAGTCATCTGAGTTCCTGGCACAACGATCAGAACGCTGCAAAAGCGTTACAATTGCTGAACATCGACTTCGTTCAGAAGAACGGTTACGCAAACTTCAGATGCCACACTACACCAGGCTGCAATCCGGCAGAGATCCAGCCATTCCGCAATAAGAAAGAGCAAGCTCGGATAGACAAGCACGAAGCAGCGACCGAGAATGCCTTTGCTCAGGCATGGACCGACCTGTTCAACTCCACAGTCGTCCCTGAACAGATTGGTGTGGCCTGTTGTGCTCAATTCGCAGTCTCTCGAGATCAAGTCCTGAAAAGACCCCTGTCTCATTACATCTGGTTCCACAGCTGGCTGATGGATACATCCTTGAGCGATGCGACCGCAGGCAGAGTCATGGAGTATCTCTGGCACATCATATTCGGCCAGGATCCTGTCTAGTAGGTCCACTCTCTATCCTGGTTGATAAGCACTAACAGAGCCACAGTTGTCCAAAGGTATGGCAGTGTTTCAGAAACGTCTATGACCAATGGGACGTCTTTTCATAGCCCTTCCGGTGGTATGCGAGATTCCTGCTGTTGGCTTTGGTGAGTCCTCTCGCACTAGATAGTTACGCAATTTCTGGATTCCATCCCAATCCACAATTTTCTTTGAATCGAGTATGCCTAGGGAGAGTCCTGAGATTGAGACCACCCACAGGTCTTTCGGAGCTGGCTTGACCCCCTCACTAGGTTTCCTGATGTCGTGCCTCTTGCCGGGTATGAGACAGAAGGATTGTCCCAACAAACACTCCTTCGCACTATATAGATTACGGCACAGTCTGGCCACCATTTGACCGGCGGCATATCTCCAGCCGTCGGCTCGCCATTATCCATACAGAGACAGGCTGTCTGTTCCGCTCTGCCATCTCACTTAGCCAGGACAAGTGTGCTCTTAGATCATGACAACAAATCGGTGACAATGACCTGAGGGGAGCCGGACACCAAAAATTGCTAATTGTTGTCCCCTGTGGCTGACCGTGGTAATGAACGTATCCGAGGTCGGTCCGCACGGACGGATGGTGGGACAGAGCTCCTATCCAGCCCTCAGGTACCGAAACAGTTGCTCCGTCGATCCATAAACTTACAATGCACAAAAACATGCACAACTCTCCGCTCAGAGACCTCCGTGCGACGACCTTCTGGTTGTTTACAGGCCAAACAGCGTTCGAGTATTTCCAATTGAGAACGTTGTAAGGCGCGGCGTGACCTCCTGACGTATGCCAAATATCTGGGCTTCTCGAGTCTAGCCAATTCCAAACGATGTGATAGCCGGAATGCAGGCAGAGAGAGAGCTCCCGCTTGTCCGCCTCGACCCCGCATCACTTTGGCTCCCCAAATAGTCATAAAAGTATCCGGCTCAAGATGAGATGAGCCTCGAATAAAACCTCCGATTTCTCCTGTTCCTGCTCTCGTACGACTTTGACACTTCAATCTGAACGTCCTGTGCATCTCTGGCAGCTTCAGACATTTTTGCGCACTACGAGTAAAGCCAGCGGCAGCTTACCACGGTTTTAAGGAAGACGCCAATCCTAGAGCTCCCCATTACCCGCTCGAGCCTCGGAAAACCGTTTCAACCTGAGTGGCATAAGAAACCCTTTGTACTCGATCATTTGCGACCACACTTTCTTCCTTCTTTCCCCCACTATTCTTCCTCGCGCCCATTCTTCACACAATGTCTGACGGCGACGTTAAACCACCAAAGCCCTCAGTTGTCCCTGAGGCACACGAGGTCGACACTTACCATGTGCCAAAGGCTTTCTTCGAGTAAGTTGCGAGATCGGGAGCGCTTGGCGTTGCGCTTTGCTAACAAATTCTTGCAGCAAGCACCCCGACAGCAAGCCTCATCTGGATGGCTTGGACCACTACAGGGAGCTCTGGAAGGAGTCGATTGAGAAGCCAGACCAGTTCTGGGGTCGTATGGCTCGCGACCTGCTCACATGGCAGAGAGACTTCCAAACTGTGCACAGCGGATCGCTGGAGAACGGCGACAATGCATGGTTCGTTGAGGGTCAATTGAACGCTTCTTACAACTGTGTGGACCGCCACGCTTTCAAGAACCCCGACAAGACAGCCATCATCTACGAGGCTGACGAGGTCAACGAGGGTCGCAAGATCTCATACGGAGAGCTCCTCAGAGAGGTCTGCAGACTGGCCTACACCCTGAAGCAGATGGGTGTCAAGAAGGGTGACACGGTTGCTCTGTACATGCCCATGATTCCCGAGGCTGTCATTGCTTTCCTTGCTTGCTCTCGTATTGGTGCCGTCCACTCAGTCGTCTTCGCCGGATTCTCCTCCGACTCGCTGAAGGACCGCATCATCGACGCAGACTCCAAGGTCGTCATTACCACCGATGAGGGCAGACGCGGAGGCAAGCTCATTGGCACCAAGAAGATCGTCGACGACGCACTCAGCAAGTGTCCCGGCATCAAGCACTGTTTGGTCTTCAAGCGTACTGGTGCTGATGTGCCCATGACCGAGGGCCGTGATCTGTGGTGGCACGAGGAAGTCGAGAAGTACCCCAACTACATCGCTCCCGAGCCCATGAACTCTGAGGACCCTCTCTTCCTTCTCTACACATCTGGCTCGACCGGCAAGCCCAAGGGTGTCATGCACACCACTGGTGGTTACCTGTTGGGTGCCGCTGCCACCGGAAAGTACGTCTTCGATATCCACGACGACGACACTTTCTTCTGCGGTGGTGATGTCGGTTGGATCACTGGTCACACATACGTCGTTTACGCTCCTCTATTGCTCGGCGTTGCAACAGTCGTTTTTGAGGGCACTCCCGCATACCCCGACTTCAGCAGATACTGGGATGTTGTTGCTCAACACAAGGTCACGCAATTCTACGTCGCGCCTACTGCTCTGAGACTCCTGAAACGTGCTGGTGACCACTTCGTCAAGCACGAGATGGAGCACTTGAGAGTTCTTGGTAGTGTCGGCGAGCCAATCGCTGCAGAGGTCTGGAAGTGGTACTTTGAGATTGTCGGAAAGGAGGAGGCTCACATTGTCGACGTAAGTTGCAAATTCAGCATTTGCTTGATCAGATCGGAGTTCTAACAGTTCGCAGACATACTGGCAAACAGAGACCGGTTCGCACGTCATCACTCCTCTCGGCGGTGTTACCCCTACCAAGCCCGGCAGTGCTTCCCTTCCCTTCTTCGGTATCGAGCCCGCAATCATCGACCCCGTCTCCGGCGAGGAGCTCCACGGCAACGACGTCGAGGGTGTTTTGGCCTTCAAGCAGGCATGGCCCAGCATGGCCCGTACCGTCTGGGGTGCACACAAGAGGTACATGGACACATACCTGAACGTTTACAAGGGATACTACTTCACTGGAGACGGTGCCGCTCGTGACCACGAGGGTTACTACTGGATCCGTGGCCGTGTCGACGACGTTGTCAACGTCTCCGGTCACCGTCTTTCCACCGCTGAGATCGAGGCTGCTTTGATTGAGCACAACGCTGTCGCTGAGGCTGCTGTTGTCGGTGTCGCAGACGAGCTCACTGGTCAGGCAGTCGCCGCCTTTGTTGCCATCAAGGACGGCAATGAGACAAACGACGCTCTTCGCAAGGACTTGGTTATGCAAGTAAGGAAGAGCATTGGTCCTTTCGCTGCACCTAAGGCAATTCACGTTGTTCCCGATCTTCCCAAGACCCGTTCTGGTAAGATCATGCGTCGTATTTTGCGCAAGATCTTGGCTGGTGAGGAGGATCAGCTTGGCGACATCACTACTGTAAGTTTTGAAAACACCAACTTGATCGTGAGTACAATTATTGACTTATCGCCAGCTCTCGGATCCTTCAGTCGTCGACAAGATCATCGAGGTTGTACACGCCAGCAAGAAGTGATTACTTTGCACGATTTGACACGCAATTTTGCTTCCATTTCCTTCGGATACCACTCACGTTTTTTCTATCTCGAACAGCTTTGTTCGTGGACCCATCTTGTTATGGAGCGTCTGAAAATGCTCACAGGATTACTATTATTATTTCTTATCAATTCCATTTCTTTGAAACGAGTCTCCATCAATTGTCTATCAACCGTGTCCTTTTGACGTGTACTCGAGTTGGACTCCATTAATCGATCTTGAGTGCAATGACTGCTCACGTGCCATGCCATAAATATATTCTTCAGGGTTGCGGCGTGAGGGCGAGCACTACCGAGTCGACTGCCACGAACATCGCCTCGTCAATCTCAAACATCGAAAGGAAAATCACCTCTATATAGAAGCAGATCGAGGGTCGGGTCGTCACGTCGAAAGGAAAACCATGCGGCTGAGAAGGAAACCCTGAAAAGGGCACCGGAATGTGCAAATTGCGATGGTTCTAAATTTGACCGCGAGACAAGAATCTTCAGTTAAGCGAAATGCCACATCTAGGCCCCTTCGCTCACATTACCGTCTTTCGCAAGGCTGGCCACTTTTGTCATGACAGATCTTGAGGAGAACAGAAGGGAAGTTGAAGGGGAACCTGAGCATTGATATTGTGCCAACATGCAGGCGCACCGTCATTACATATGTCATGGTCGTGTTTCTAGAGCAAGGCATGCTTCTTGTCGACGATCAGCCCAACCAAAACAGTTGTGTGGTTCCTCGGACGTTCTACAGGTTTCATGTCTGTGCCGGTACCGAGAAAGATTTACGGGCGTGAGCGGGCAAGAAGAACACTTTATTCTGGAGGGTGGCCGGAGAAGAAATCTTCGTTAGAAGGGAGATCATCAGGTACTTCGCGTGGGTCGTTAGCTGTTTGGAGAAGCCACTCCGTCTGTTCCTGCCTTGTCCTTCCTTCGACATCTATCAATTGGATACAAGAATGTCTTGAACTCTATGAGGCACTGTGACATCTTAGTTTGCGTGCTCCAGGGCCTTTTTCTGGCATACAGGCCGCCTGTTACGGCAGCTGAAACCGTGCTTCTTCGAATTAGGGTGTTGCAGAGTTGCAAGCTGAAACTCGCCAGCTCGGAGGAAAGTGGACAGCTCGAGCTCCCCCGGATCTTGGCTCCGTCACCCTCTCTTTCTTGGTGCAGATCTTTGGCGATCATCGATCTTGCCGGCTGCCAGCTTTCTCCTCCATGGCCTGTTTTTGCATTCATGCCTCTATGGACCTTGTCTATTCGCTACTTGACAGCTCGTGTTACTTATACCAGACTTTCACGTGCTCGGTCGACAAGCTATGAAAGTCCGTCTGGCATCAAGACTATTGGCGTGTTAACACCATGCATCGAAACCATGTTTGCACCAAGCATGATACCAACTCATCATGCGGATCGATTTCATCATTACACATCTACCGAAGCTGAGGTTCCCGATCGTATGGTCGTATCTGAAGAAAACATCTGTGAGTGCGGGTGTTGATGTCAGAAGGCAAGGCCAACCATTGTCACGTCTCAGGTTCGGCCTTAAAGGACCCTAAAACAAATTAGCGTCATTGTTTCTGGTTCGAGAGGTCTCGGAACTCAGCTGTCTTATACTATGGCGACGGCTCAAAGTAACATTTCAGTGAACCTCGTGTCGTTCAACCAGTCTTTACCCTCGAATCTGCGATTCGTCACACTCGTTTTTTGAAGCCTCTGTTCTTTCGTTTGTACCAACCTGACCTGATCCTATCTACCTTTCTTCGGTAACTACTTCCTCTTTTGCCAGCCCTATCCCGCTTGGAAAACATCTGGATTCTCTCGATCTCGAGCACGATCTAGCTTTGTGCATGAAACACTGTCAGCACCCAAAGACTTGAAGCCCTCACGAGTTGCTGCCAAAGTCAAAACCTCGAGGAAAAAGCCCTAAAGGCCAGCTTCAAAAATTCACAACCAGGTGGTTCATGTATGTTTCTAACTACACACTTGACAAGCATGCACCTACTGACTGACAGCCAGTCAACGTATCACCATCATGTCTGGAAAAAGTCAGTATGCGCTGTTCCCAAGGTCGGACAGTCAGTTGCCGCCGATGAGATACAAGCTCACACAGTCTCCTGGAGAGAGAGCCAAGCTTGTTCTGGTGAACGAGACTTCGAATCTTGAGCCGCGACCTCTGTACAAGGAGGTAGCACGGGGTCGTGGAGTTGTGAGAGGGCACCGTCAGGAACGATCAGATGTGTTGCCGTTACGCAGCTCGGAGAACCTTCGTCCAAGCCCAGCCACACATGAGAAGCAAAGATCGTTGTCTTCAAATCCTGGCAGACAACGGTCGATGGTCGCTCAAGAGCTCTACAGCCGTCCCAGAGATGCTATATCAGCAGAGACTTTGCAGCCTGCCATGTTGCAACCAATGTCTTACGAAGCACCACGCAAAACTTCAATCTCTGACCCCTCTGAGAAGTTAGGACCGAGGATTATGGCCAGAAAGAATTCAAGAGATGAAGCTCCTATGACGATAAGGAAGAGCTCGCGGGACGAGAGTATCCCATCGTCGAGGAAGGGCTCACGAGACGAAAGCTTCACATCGGCAAGGAAGAATTCAGTGGATGAGGTGCCGGAACCCTTGAAAGTAACGCCGCGCTTACAACTCACCACTGTACCGGAGGCCCGCGATGAGTCAATCATGGAACGAGGACGTCCGATATCACGACGAGACAGCAAACGAGGACACAGTGTCGACCCTTTCTCCGGTGGCATGAGTCCACGATCACATTCTGCAGCACCTACCTATACGCTGCCTCAAACCTGTTATGCACCTTCAGGCTCATACTCTGTACAACCTTCACCTTCTAAGACACCTACATCTGCCCGACCCTCGCTTCATTCATCAGCGTCGACACCTGCTGTTCCTCGCCTTCCTTCAATACAACAATCGCTCTCGGCTCCTAACACTGCACGACCTACTTTCCATCCATCGCCCTCAATATCAGCTCGTCCCTCCCTTCAAACTTCGCCCTGGCAACCCGAACATCCTCGAAAAGACTCCCTGGATCCCCTTCATCTCCGGACCGAAGGTCCCTTCCGAGTGGTACGCGCCCTCCGTGAGATTGATAAATCCTGCCTTCGCCTCTTTGAAGAATGCGAACTTCTCCAGCAAGAACGCCAAACTCTGCATACAGAGATGATTTCTGTGATCAATAACAAAAACTTCAATTCGAGCCATCTGGCTATAATACGCCAACAACAACAAGATCTTGTCGAGCTAGACAGCAAGATCGATGCTTGTATGCATAGTATCATGGAGCGTCAGCGGAAGAAGACCAAGCTCGTTGATGGATTACCTGAAGTCCAAGAGATGGACAAAGCAGAGGAACTGAAAGAGAGGATAGCGGCTAGAGAGGCCGAGGCTAACGGTGTCGCTAGCCCGGTCAAAACAGCCTCTTCTTGGGCCCCTAGAGAGAGTTCGTTAAACTCTTCGGTGCAAGCTAATGGGCTACTATCACCACCACCTTCTTTAAAAGCACAACAGAGAGGTACAATCACGTACTCGGCGATCTTCGACTTCCTCGACGAGTTCGATTGAAGCAATAAATTTTTTATCACGGCTGTCTATATAATGTCAAAAAATATGTTCTCTTATGTCCTCCCCACGCTGTTCCATCGTCTCTTCCAGCATTCATTGCTTCTCTGTGCCATCTCCTCCACGCTCATCTAGTTATTCGGTTGCTCTTTCTCTTTGCGCCTCATCTTGTTTCTCTCATCTGTTGTGTCTCATATCCTTATATATGGCTATATCGTGCCTTCTCTGTATCTTCAGTCTAGGTCGCTCCTTCCTTGTCGATCCCTCCCATAACCTTGATCGCTCCTTCTTTCCTAACCGTTCCTTCCTCTTTTGTCGCCTGGGTCGCCCCTTCCTAATTCGTCGAGCGAGTCATTCCTTCCTGTTTCGTCGGGTGAGTCGTGCTCCTTCCTAATTCATCGAGTGAGTCGTTCCTTCCTGTCTTGTCACATGGATCGTCCCTTCCTAATTCATAACGCGAACCGTTCTTTTCCTAACTTGTCAAGATGATCATTTTTTTCCCTTGTTGTGTCGAGCAGATCATTGATTCTTCTTTCGAGTCAAATGGCATCAACGTCTTTCTAAACTAACAAATGCGGTTTGTTTTCCATTTCTTTCACTTGACTAGGTCGGTTATCTTTTGTTTTGCTTCATGTTTTGCTTCATGTTTTGCTTCATGTTTTGCTTCATGTTTTGCTTCATGTTTTGCTTGAACATTTTTCTTTTTTTCCCCTACTTTAGTCTTTTTTGTTTGAAAACCATCACTCTTTACTTTTGTGTCATCTAGATATGACTGTTTTCCTCATTCACCAAAACTAGTCGTGCCTTTTTGTTCTATTCGAGTGAAACGTGCCCTTTCTTTTCTCTCCTTTCTTGCCACCTGGATCGTTCCTTCCTGTTCATGTTGATTTAGTCGATCTTTCCTGATATCGTGCTATTACAAATTGGGAAGAAGCATTAATCGTTTCAATATTGCAGAATAAGGAAGGAGCGACACAGTGCGATGCAAACATGGCAGTCGCGAATGTCAGGAACGGAAGGAGCGATGCAGAAAAGTAACATTCGATTTGATTCAATTCGTAAACTGACGAACAGAGTTGGGGAATAATGGAAAAGAAGAAAGACCCCCCAAGAAAAGACTATCCAAACACCAAAGGGAAGACAAACATTATCAGGAGTCATCACAGCCATACACAAAACAATTTTCAAAAGTTTCCACTCCAATCCAACAATCTCCAAGCTCCGCGTCCGACAACGCCAAACACACCAAGTCGTCTGGTAATACCTCTGCCCCTCTGCAGGCGCTGAGCTACCTAAGCATCCGGCCCATCCCAGCAGATCTTCAAGCTGGCCGGGAAGGGGAAATACTGATCCCAGTCCTCGAGGAGATAACAGTGGTACTCCCATTCGGGCTTGAATTCGACATCAGGTGCGAGTGCTGAAAAGTCCTTGACGACCTTCTTGACCGAGTCGACAGGACCAGGCCAGACAGGTGCAGGGCGGAGATTAGGGAGCTTACAGAGAGTTTTGAGGATGGCACCCATAGCGACCAGCGTCATGGGTTGACCGAGACATTGGTGAGGTCCTTGACCGAGATGGATGTAGGAATCGATGGGACGGTCCAATTTGATGGTTTCTGGGTCAGGGAAGATTTCAGGGTCGCGAGAAGCGGAGCGGAAGTTGAGGGCCACGGTGTCGCCGACATTCAGCTTGACTCTGCGGTCCATATCTTCGACAATCATCTCCTTTGCTACGGTGCGGTAAACACCAGTCTCGCAATGTAGACGCGAGAACTCGAGGAAGTAGCGCATGATCTTCTCCTCGGCTTCGGGTGTATCCTGGACTGCCAGCTCGTGCAACAATGGAAGGTACTCGCGACCATCGCTGAATAGCCAATCAATGACTTGACCGAAGAATTGACCTTGGTTTGCACACATGCTGCCGGCAGTGGGGATGATCTGTGCCCACACGAGCTCTTGCACATCCATGCCTGAAGTATGGAGTAAACGCTCGATCATGTGCTTGCCATATTGAGTGAGGACTGAGCGGTCCTTGCCTGACCACCATTCGCCGATACGATCAACGGCGTTCGAGAGATGAGGCAATTTGGCCAGAGCCTGCACTTGCATCTCCATGAGCTTTCCGACTGCCTGAATAGCGCCGTGTGCTCCCTGCCTGAGCGCGAACGAGTGTTCTGGATCAACGTCGAAGAAGACGCAGGCGAAGACAGCGGCCATGACAAGATACATCTGCTTCTCGGTAAAGGCACCATCCGGGTTCTCCTCCGTCTTGAGTGGCAAGTTGAACACTTCTGAGCAGAAGTGTACATGCACGATGTTGGACACATCTCGGATAAGATCCACGTAATTGGTACCGGCGAGTTTGTATGAATGTTTTTGCAGCAGCATGGCGGTGTGCTCTTCGTAGAACTTGCGGACTTCAAGAAGCCACTTCTCATTTCCTGTGGGTTCTTTGCGGGAGAACTTGCCTAGATATAGAGCTTGCTCCATCATATCACGTGAAGCAGTGTTGGTCTTCGTGTCGCCCGCAAGCATGAAGCTCTTAGCTTTAGGGCCCATGAGAAACTCGATCTTCGAGCCCCAATACACCTTGAAAGCCTCTTGATCATAGAGCACCTTCTTTGCAGCAGGGTATGAGAACAGCATCTTAGTCGGGGCGAGACGAGTAGGTCTATCGAAGTTGTACTTGTCCGCTTTGCCCAAGCCAGTCAGTACCTTCTTCATCTCCGAAGGCACAGTGAAAGGGAAGTGAACATATACTGAATCCGGGCGGAAGTGATTAGGGAAAGCCTTCATGAAGAGCTTGTACATGACACAGCCATGATTGACCTTGAGATCGGATCCCTGCTCGGCGAAACCCCAGTTAGTAAGGGCCGAAGGATGGTGAGAAGTTGTATAGAATCTGTCGCCGCGGACCAGTACCGTAGCATCGGAAAGGACTGCACGAGAGGTTGTGTAAGATGGGCAGAGTCCTGATCCAGGGCGCATAGCGAACTTTGCATCTTCAACAACCAGACCAGGATAAAGCTCGACGTTATCCGGGTGGTCATACAGGTGCTTGAGAGATTCAGAAATCTCCTTATCTGCGGTGATTTCCTCGAACGTTGAGTAAGGCTTCAGGGAGAAGTGCTTTCTGAACTCGTTCAGAGTAGCCAAGTTCCATGCTCTCGCTTGTCTGATACCCAAGACTTCAATCTGCCTCATGACCTTTGGCACTTGACGAGGACCGAAAGCGTTGGCGCAGTCTTCGATACTTTCGATTAAGATCTGAGCGAGCTCGTCATCTGGTAAAGTACCGTCGTCTTTCCTCTTGATGTCGTGGAAGTTACGCTTGGTGGGATCTTGGGCTCTCAAATCTGCCTCCATGTGGCCCAGGGTCTTCAAAAACTCAAGCTGAGGCACCTCGTCTGGTGTCTTCCCAGGGAAAATCTTTGCAAAAAGATCCTGGGTCCATTTATCATCCTTGTCTGATACTGCTGAATGCCAGCGATATACCAGATTGAACTCCGCGCTGACTTGATTGCCACATCCGAGATCTGGCTGACCAGAAAACTCAACACGAGGATCGAGCTTCCAATCAGAGTCTGTCCGGTTAAGATTCAGAATTGTTCTTACGTAGTCGATTAGAATGATGTTGATGTAGAGACCACATGTGATCAATCTGCCAGTCTGGAATAGGTCGTTGTCATACTTGTCCCACTTTTCTTTTGTTGCGTCCTCGGCAGGACGAGTGAATCTGCTGTTTTCGTTTATGAGAGCGAGCTGCTCGACAATGTAGTTGTGGAAGCGGTTGAACATGACCATAATCACGCCAACTCCAGGAGGGAAGGATAGCAGGCGAGTCTCTGCGAATGAGTCGGGCTTGATCTTGCCGTCCTTGAAGGTTCTGACACTATCTTGCTCCTTCTGATCGCTTCCGTACAGGGGAGACAGGTCCAAGTATGATGAGGTGTCGGAGATCCTGAAGTCCTTGTGATTGGTCTTGAAAAGATCATGGATAATGATCGATGCGATGTAGAACAACACACTCGAGATTTTGTTCGGATGCTCTGTGGGCTTGTCTCTGGCCATGAGAACATCGAACAAGACAGCCGGGTCGGGGAGGTTGCCTGGCCGTACGGTGGTCGGCTTGACAGTGCGCGCGTAGGCTTCATGAGCAGCTCCTAGGCGAGGATGGAGATAGCTGTTATCTGAGCCATCTGCACTGCGGTACTGGTACTTGTCGCTCATGAACGCTTTCGGAGGATGCTCTAGGTCATTCCAGAGCGTGGCTACAAAGCCATTTGTGAGTTTCTGTCCAACCATATCATTCGGCAGACTGGCAGCAGCCTAGTGAGTTTGTTCAGCAGATGTCCAAGAATACGGGAGAGAAACATACGTTGATCAGATGTTCCATGAGATATTCCTTGTCGTCAACGTATTCACCACTCTTTGTCTTGATAGTCATCTTTGCAACCTTCTCGACCGAGTCGAATCCGAGATGGGAGACATCCTTGACGATGGTAGCAAGTGTCGAAGCGACGGAGTCATCTTTCTCCACTGGTAGAGCAGAGCCATCACCAGTGCCAGTAGGCAGAGGAGCTTTCATTGCCGACAACAGGGTGCCCATTGCACCAAGGGATTCGCGGACCTTGTCGGCCATGCCGTCCAAGGCTGAAGGGCCCATTGGGACGGAGGATTCTCCGAAATGGTTCATCTCGACTTGATTCACCATTGGCTGCTTCTTGTTAGTGCCATTGACTCTCGATGGATTCTCCATGTACACAACACCATGGTCTTCATCAAGTTCTGGTCGGAAGCATGATGCGCTGCTAAAGACTCGACGAAGACCCTTCATGCTGACTTTTTTCTGATGCAAAGACAAAAAAGAAGACAGTCGGACGGGCTGAAGAGAGGAAAGAAAAAAACCGCTGACCTCGACGATATAAAATAATATTCCGTGCTGAATGGACTAAGACCTCGGAACAAGAGGCTAAAGGTTAAAAGATTCCAGGGACTCGAGCTATACCCCAGGGGGCTGAAAGTATAAATTTCAGCTTTCAGCTGAGCGACCGTTGATAGATACGACTACTCTAGAATGTAGAGCTAATGTCGAAGAACACAGGGTGTAGGAAAGCGACACAGTTGAGCAAAGGTGATTGATGGAGAATGAGGAGGATGAGCAGATCTCGAGAATCCTCAGGCTTTCTTATGTAGAGAAAGCATCTTTCACCACATTGGGAAGTGCTACCATTTTAGGAACGAGGCAGGCACGGCTGACGATGACAGCTGAATTGTGCGGGCCGTGCCACACTGGACCTCGTCGCAACATCAGGTGTGGTCGTATACCTCACTCGTCAAAAGAATATTGCAAGCGGGTCTTGTCTCATGCGGCACAGAGAGGTGTTGATAGTTGTGGAGGCATTGTTGGTTACATTGTTGGATGCCTCAGCACGGGCATGCTGGGCGCGTCGAGGGAAAGTTCGTATCTGAGTAATCATTGTGCGCCGAGCAAGCAAAGACGCTGAGGCTGTACAGTCATGCTCGATAGAGCGCGGCAGTATTGGTCGAGTACATATGCAGGATGGAAGCTGCATATTGGGGGCCGACTCAGCCTGGTTGCCTTGGGTAGCTTCGTCTATGCTACCATCGAGCAGCGAGCATCAAGCAGCATGAAGCAGGCTGTGTATGAGATGCAGCATCGACAAGATAGAGTGAGTGCACCTGAAGGATCACTTGCAGGGTTGATGAAGCAAAAGGATCAACTTGCAGGGTTGGTATCCGGGAAGACCAATGCCCTTTTAGTGATTAGTTCGGCGGGACCGAGCGAGGGAAGGGTGGACCGTGGGAGCTTGCAAGGGGCGTCGAGCTTGTGAGGAGCCGGAGGACCTCGGCACGTGGAAGTTTGGAAGGAATGTTGCCAAAGCTTCATTTTATTAGCGCGAACGTGTCGTGACAGCCCTCGAGTCCAATCAGCCGGCTATCCGTTTCCTTCGCCTGTGTCCTCTGCTAAACACTAAACCAATCTGCAATCAATCACACCACAGCAATAGACAAGATGGCTTCAAAACCGGTGAATCTGGTTATTAAACCCAGAGGTTCGCATTGGCAATCATCACGGCAAGCTCAACGAGAGAGCCCAGAGCTGACGACAAGGGGTTAGGACGCACCATCAAGAAGCTCCCATCTGAGGCCACGACCTACCTGCAGGGCAGCACTGCCGACCTCTACCAGCGCATTGCCGCCGAGTCTGGCATCTCTATTCACCGCCTCCGCTTGACCAAGGGCAGCGATGGCTCCGCCGTCCCTAATGCAAAGGACTACACTGTCGAGCGTACCGGCCTACGCAGCGACAGCGTCGTCTACGTGAAAGATCTTGGTCCGCAGATCGCCTGGCGCACCGTCTTCATCATCGAATACCTGGGCCCGCTGCTCATCCACCCTCTCTTCTACTACCTGCGCCCCTACCTGTACAAGAATGCTCCCGCGGAGCCCTCATACCTGCAGTGGCTGTCCTGCGTCATGCTGGCACTGCACTTTGCCAAGCGCGAGTTTGAGACTATCTTCGTACACCGCTTCTCCAGTGCTACCATGCCTGCGCGCAACATCTTCAAGAACTCTGCTCACTACTGGGTCCTCGGTGGTGCCAACATTGCTTACTGGATCTACTCTCCTACCGCTCCTACCGCCGGCCCTTCGAACCCTTTGATCACATATCTCGCAATCGCTCTCTTCGTTGTTGGCGAGCTGGGCAACTTGAGCAACCATTACACTCTTCGCAACCTTCGTAGCACGGGCGGCACCGAACGTGGCATCCCCAGCGGTCTGGGCTTCGACCTTGTGACATGCCCCAACTACATGTTCGAGGCGCTCGCATGGATCGGTATCTGGTTGGCATCATGGAGCTTGAGCACTGGTCTCTTCGTCGTTGTGGCTGTGGGCCAGATGGGCGTATGGGCAAAGAAGAAGGAACGCAGATACCGCAAGGAGTTCGGTGACAAGTACCAGAAGAAGAGATTCGCCATGCTTCCCGGCTTGTACTAAAAAGACATGATATGGTAGACACGGTGAGATGATGAGCCATGCGGAATGGTCACAATTCGTTCCACAGGTATGAGCATTTTCAGAAAACATAATCCCAAAAGTCGATGTGCTTCGAGGGACGAAAGCACAGTATATGTATATATAGAAACGTATCAAAGCATAATACAAGCACAGAGTGAAAGGTGAAGTTGCAGAATCATGTACATTGAAATATCGCTTCCTTGAAAAGCCAAAGCAGAAAAGGAGAGTCGGAGAAAAAGAATGGCCTCAGCGCGTTCTCAAGCCAGACGAACCAGCCGTCACATCAAGGCTATCTTCTTGACCCCCTAGCACCCTTGAAGATTAGACCGCCAACGACGCCGGCAGCAACAGCCAAACCACCCACAATAGCGACACCCATCAAACCCTCCTTAGCAACCTTGTCGTCAATCAGTTGCCTCAAACTCTGCGCTTGCAAGTTGTTAGGCTCAAGATCCACCAACAGCTCATTATAGCGACGGGCTTCGGCATAAGAGCCTAATTTGTAGTTGCCGAGAGCGAGGTAGTACAGACATTCGCGACGGCGGTCGGGAGAGGAGCGGAAGATTTCTGTGAGGAGACGGACACCTTCTTGTTGTTCGGGTCGTTGGGTAGATTTGATGAGACCCTGTGTGGTGAGAGCAACATGTTAGTCGAGAGGATCTTTTGGTGGGAGGGATGAGGTGGGATATGTTGCGTACCCAGGCGAAGTTGAACTTTGTTTGGAGAGAGACGTATTCGCCTTCCTTTTCGTACTGGTGGCGGAGGACTTGTAGTTCGGCAGGCTTCAGAGGGCTAAGACGGGTGTCTGTTAACTGGTCGACTTGTCGTGAGTGGGAGGAAGAGAGGCGTACGACTCCGCATCTGCGGCGTCTGTGAGGAGGGCGTTAGTATAGCTGTAGGTAGCAAGGGCAATGCGCAAACTCACATGGTAGATGGTCACCCATATTTGTTTGAGTTTCAAAGATTCTTCTTGGATGTTGAAAGTGTCGAAAGTCGAATGCTGGTGGCTGCTTCCTGGTCGCATGTGAGATCATCGGACAGGGTCTCCACCGTCCCCCACGTGAAGCGGCCTCCAGAAATCCGTTGCTCCGCCATCGTCAAGTTTGTAAACAACAAATCCCAGTCAGAGTCATCATCAATCACCATCACCGCCGACGACATCAACCACAAAGGCATCTATACAACACTTCGCCCACTTCATCGCATTACCCGCAATCATGGTCCTCTTCGATGAAGATCCCGTCACTGTACGCCTTTTCCTCGCGAACACACTGCGACAACAAACTAACACGTCCTCTCCAGCTCATCCGCCAAACAACACGCAACTTCCACACCGACAGCGACCTACAAGCCATCTCGCGCATAACATCCTCCCTCTCTACCCTGCGTAGCGCCCGCAGCCTCCGTCTAAACGCCCAACAAACACAACTCTCCCAGCTCTCGCGAAAAGCCCACCACCTACGCACAACCCACGATGCCGACATCTCGCGCCACGATCCTGCCGCTCACGCCTCTGATATCTTAGCCTTGGACACTGAAAAGTTCCGCGTCGCAAAAGCTGCAAACGAGCTAGAAATTGAAGGCGAAAAATTGGGCTCAGAAGTCTACGGTCTGAAAAAGCAATTGCAAAGATTGGAAGAACAAGGTGATGAGGTCGAAAGTGCTGAAAACAAAGCAGAAGATGAAGTCGTGTATGTACTTTCCCTCCACACTCCCACCACCACCACCAATCAATCATATCCAGAATGCCCGGAAACTTACAACGCGATACAGATTAAAACTAGGCGTCTACCGCAGTCTGGGAATCGACGCAGAACAAGACCACAACACCGGCGATTTCACCCGTGCAGTTATTAGAAATACAGCAAAGGGAAACGTCAATGTCGTCAATCTGGGATCAAAATTCGACCGCTTCTTTTATGCAAACCACTTTTGGAACAGCATGTAGAAGAGGGAGGAGAGCCAACGAAGCTTTGTTTTCGGGTTCAAAGGCGTTTTTGGTTTTGATCGGATTCCTTGTATATACCCACGTTTTTCTCACGGTTTATGACCTTTCTTCTTCTGTTCAGTCATCCCAAGAGCATGTGGTTAATAGACAGAATTCATCTCTTTTGCTCTCCCAGCCTCCCACCAGCCCCTTCAAGCTCCCTGTAAAAATGCACAATGTTTTTGGAAACCGAACTGCGTCCAGAGAGAGCCCTAGAGTTCAGCGCTCTTACTGGACCTCTCCTAGACTTCAACATCATCCTGCATTGTTACAGTCCTATTCTCAGCACTAAAAGGCAAGTGGACACACATACAACAACTCGGCATAATGATCATTTCGATTTCCTTTGTAGACTATCCACTACCTACTTGCCAATCTATACACTCCCAACATATATGTTTGACAAACCGCCCGCTTTACTTCTTACTACCCTTCTTCTTAGTAGGCACGACTTTGAAGCTACCGTTATTGAGGTCATCCTTAGGCTCTTGCTTAGTAGCTGATGAGGCAGCGTTTTTCTTAGCGACCTCGGACCAACCACCGGATTGACCTGCAGCAGGGCTAGCGGGCTTAGTGGTGTCGATAAGGCCCTTGTCAGCAAGCTTGCGTCTACGGATGAATTCTTCGGCAAAGTGACGAGAATCAATGGTGTGAGACACGCTGTGGACGGCTTCGGTGACGATTTCGAGCTCGGAGGGGAAGGAGAGCAAGTTGCTAACAAACTCGTCGGCAGTCACGCTCTTGTTAAGGTCGTGCTTGAGCTCGTTGACAGCCCACTTTTTGAACTCATCAATAGCGTTGACAGCAGAGGGTCCGGTGGTAGCTCTGGCCGGGACGGTCTTCTTGACCGCAGCGACGGTGGGAAGAACAGTGGCGCTGGCCACTCTGGTGTTGACGGGAGTGGGAGCAGGCAGAGGAGTCTTGACCTTGCCGCTTGCACCGACAGTAGTCCAAGCACCTCCAATTCCGGGCACGGGGCTGGCAGGTGCAGGAGAGCCTGCGACCTTACTAGCGAGATCGGCGTATCTCTTGCCGGCGGCGGATTGCTGGACGGGAGTGGTACCAACAGCTGCTGCGGCTTGAAGGGCAGCGGCAGCTGCGAGACGCTTCTTGCGAGCCTCTTCTTCCTTCTGGATCTGAGCCATACTCTTGGCACTGGCGGGAGCGGCGACAGTCTTTGCGGCCTTGGCCCAGGGCGAAGGAGCGGTGCCAGTAGCGGGAGATGCAGTGGCGCTGCTGGCCCAGTTGGAGGTCAATGGAAGACCGGGCGCAGGAGCGGTAGACAGCTGAACCTGAGCGAGTTCCTTCTCGTAGGCAACGCGACGAGCTTCGGCGGCGAGAGCCTCGGCTTCGGCAGCGACCTTGGCTTCCGCCTCTTGGATCTCCTTGAGCGAGGGTCCTCTGGATGACTCAGCGGGCTCCTTGGCCCAGGGTGCGACAGAAGCACTGGGAGTCTCGGCCGAAGGAGTTTGAGAACGAGATCTAGACTCAGCATGAAGTGCATCAGCGACGTGAGATCTGTTACGCTGAGCAGCCGGTGCAGGCAGAGGAGACTGCGAGGGCGCAGGAGGGAAGGGCTGAGGCAGAGAAGTGTCGACCTTGGCCCAGGGAGACTGAGCAGGGGCAGGAGACTGCTTGACAGATGCAGCCTTCTGGACTTGTTCAGTCAGAGAAGGCTCCTGCTTGGAATGAATGGAAGCAGCGGCAGCAGCCTCTTCGTGTTGAGCAAACGCTTCAGCCTCTTCTTCATATTGAGCTTCGTACTCTGATTGGGTCTGTTCGTGGGACTGAGCTTGGGTTTGCTCTTGCTGAGCTTGCTGCTGTTCAGATGGAGGAGCGATAGGCTTGCCAATGACACCCTCGGAACCGACACCGAATGGATCAGCTCTGGCGTGCTCCTGCAGGTTCTGGAATTGTTCGAATTGCTCGTTTCTTGCGGGCTGGTCCGGTTGGAAACGTTGGGCAGCATCGTGCTGAGCCTGCTGCTGCTCAAGACGAGAACGGTCGTTGAGCATTGTAGAGATACGTTGCTGTTGCTCCTCAGACTGGGGGAAAGGCTGGCCGATGCCACCAAAGTTACCCTGAGATGATCTTCCAAGGTTCAGTCTGTTGACCATGCCTGACACATCTTCTTCCCTAATGTTGCCAAGTGCGTCTACACCAGCACCAACAGCTCCAAGGCCACCGAGCGATCCAGAGGATCTGAATGAGTTGTCGAAGAACCCAGGAACGTGGGAGCTACCACTGGCGCTGCCACTGCCGAAAGTGCTTTGAAGCGGAGTGGATTGGAACGGAGCAGGCGAGGTGAGGCTGCCAAAGCTGTTTTGGCTGTGCAAGCTCTGGACACTGGATTGAGGGTGCAATTGAGGGAACAGCACATGACCGGTCTGTGCTTGGAAGCGTTGTGCGAATTGCTGCTGAGCAAGATGTTCCTTTTGGCGAGCCATCAAGTACTGCTCTTCCTGTTTGCGGCGTTCCAAGGCATTCTGCTGGTCTGCAGTGAGGGTAGTTCCAAAGCTGGGGAAGCTGTTGGCGAATGGAGGCTGAGCTCCGCCAGAAGACAGTGGGTTACTGGCCCAGTTGGCTGGAGGCTGCGGAACAGCGGGGACGCCGTGCGGAATCCCAATCTGAGGGACAAGGAAAGGCTCGCGAGAGTTACCAATTCTACGGATAAGTTGGGCCAGGGGCTCATACTCGAGATCTTCAAACTTCTTAACAAGCAGCTCGGGTGAAAAGAAGCCGGCCTTGTACCAGTCATGCATCTCCAGGCCTGACCAAGGGCCTTGAGTGACTCCCTGAGGATCACGGTAAATCCACCTCATACGGTCGGGCATAACCATGGTCTTCTGTTGGGCTGGGGGTGGTTGGTTGGATGCGGAGCTGCTGACAGCTTGAGCTTGCATAGATGTAGCGGGCTGGGCAGCGCGCTGGCCGATGGGCTCTTGCTGAGACGTCTCGACGTTGCGGTCTTGGTCAAAGGAGGCACCGGTAAGATCTGCAGTGCGTCTGAAAGGACTAGAAGTATCGCGAGCTTGAGTCGCAAACTCTCCAGATCCGGCGTCGTCCTCGTCTTGACGGCCATGCTCAGGTCGCATTTGCTCTTGCACACTGTTGGGGAAAAGAGAACCAAGTCGGCTCCCGCCACGACTCTGGCCAGGATGGCCGCCGAAAGCTCCCAGGCCGCTCAAGCCGGAAAGGCTGGGCGAGCCTATATCAGCAGAGCCGAAGGGGTTGTCTCCAAAGTTAGCGGCCATGGCAGCTCTGTCTCTGCTGGGTGTACCCATTGAAGCCTGAGGGCCACCCCAGGCAGCAGCACCTCCGAGGCCTGGTAGAGCGCCCAAGCCAGAGAAACCACCGAAACCTCTATTGGGTCCAACGCTGGACGTCTGACTGCGATCACTTGGTGGTGCTGCAGGAACACGTCCGAGGTTGCCAAGACCATGGAAGGCTCCTGGGCCAGAAGACATGGAATCGTTCATGAGTCCACCCAAGTTGGGTAGATGAGCGTTATGCATGTCGGACTCGTCGTTGTCACCATCGTCCAGGTCGACAGGGGCGTTGTCGGGACTCTGGTAAGGGTTGGTATCGGAGGGACTCATTGGGTCATTGCCGGTACCCTGCTGCTGTTGCGAGCGGGCCTGGGACTGATCATGTTGTTGGCTCATCAAGGCACGGAAGGGATCCGAGGTCATACCAAAGGCAGCATGACCGAACTCGTCACGCGAGTCTTGACGGCTTGGAGTGCCGAAGCCACGGCTACGTGGAGGCGAGATGTCTTGTCCACCACCAAGAGCAGCACTCCCAGTGGGATGCTGTTCGTGTTGCTCCTCGTGGGGAATGGATTCCAGACCTGATTGCTTGTCTCTCAAGCCGTCATCGTTGTCCCTAGCCATAAGTCCTTTGAAACGACTCTCGGCTCTACCGCCTGCCAGTCCAGGACGTTTATCCGAAGTTGGGGTGCCCACACTCGCGTTAGAATTAATGGCAAAATTGCCAAACGCGCCCATGGGTGAAAAGCCTGCACTCTGAGGAGTGCCAGACCAGGGGGAGGACGCACTTCCGACTGCCGTGTTCAGAGGACCAGTAGCGGTACGTTTGAGGCCAGAGAACGGGGGGCGAGCAACATCGCTGGCGTCGTTAGCGGGCTTCTCGTCAGAAGAGTCGCCCAAGTCTCTGAAGTCGGTTCTTCTTCTGGTTAGAGAAGGCGGGGGAGACGTGGTACGAGAGTCGTCGCGTGAAGTCTTGACCACAGAAGGTGAGTTGAGCTGCGAACTCGAGGGGAACGGATAGGCCTCCTGCGTTTCGCGGCGTCGAGGGCCTGGTCTGGCGCCACCGGGTGAGGCAACAGCAAAGGCACCGGGGCTGTTGACATTTTGCGACACGGAAATCTTACGCATGGGGGGATTGACAGCGTCCTTGGTCACGGTAGTGGGCGGTTTCAGAGGCGAATTGACAGATGAAAAGTGCTAGTCGGATGATTTAGCAGCAACTCTGTGTGTGAGACCAAGATGCGACGTACCTCCTTCTCTTCATCGTTCATATCGACCAAGCCCAGAGGTCCTGTAGAGCCGTCTTTTTCCCAGCAGACTTCAGGTCCGGGGACGTGGTCTTTGGCTTGTTCGTCTCTTCTGCCCCATCCACCCAGAGAAACACCGTTAGTGTGGGTTGGTTCCCATCCGGAGACGAATAGGGGTGAGAGAGAGTCGTCTAGCGAGCCTTCTACGTTCTGCTTGTGATACAGGTCGAGCAGCTGGTTTTTGGAATAGCGTGTGTCCGAGTGGGTAGGGCCATTGCGATGCGGAGGTACGTAGACGGCAGGTTGTGCGCCAGAAGTCACTTCCCTGGCACTGGAACTCATCATTGAAGTAGCGACTGAAGGACGACGGAAGGTCTGGGTTGCGCCGTTTGTTCGGCGTGGTGCCCTACAATTCGTGCCGAGTCAGTCTCTTGTGCTTTGTATACGACCGACTTGTTCATTTGCGCCTCTGAGCTCCATGTCACTCGAAGCTTGAACAAGCTAAGGCTGACGTACCATTCTCCGCTCGACTCGGTGCGCGGAGTGGTGGGTGTATTGCCGCCCGCGGCGGCGGATGCGAATGTGCTTGGGGCCATGGTTTTCGAGGGCAAGTTCGGTGCGAAGCTCGAGGAAGAGGGTAGCGATGGGGGCGACTTGACGTCTGTGGGTTTGGAGAGGTTTCGGGTGGAGTGCTAAGAATCGTATGTGGGCCTGAGAGGTGCGCTATGAATCGTTGGTTGCGTGAACGATGATGGAAAGAAGTCGCGAAATACTGCTTGTCTCTATGGCGTAGCAAATCTTGGCGACCACTTTGCAGCTCTGTGTCTCGGCTACGAAGCACGTCTACAACCTCCCCGTGTGCGGAACTTTGTCACGCGTATAGCTGTGGAGATACACAATGTTTTTGAGATCAGTACAGCCCTCCACTGAGAGTGTGATAGTCAGCGCCTCTCTGCGGACGACTAGAGCGGTTTTGAGAACATTGTGCATTTCTACAGACTAAACATGGCCGTGGAAAATGGCTAGAAGTGACACAATTTAGCACACATGGAGGAAGGCCCGTCACAACTTGCACAAAACATTGCCTCTATGGCCACTGAGAGCGCTCGGCCTTACTCTCTCATTGATCATTGACACCTCTGAGGTGACATTCTGTATTGCGGCAGCTGAAAGCAGTCAAGTAAAATGCTGTGGAGTCTAGCATCACGAGTACATGCACAGCAATTGATCCCATGACAGTCTACATTTCTTACAGCAAATCAACCATGTGGGGTTGGATTACAGACTTGCTGCTGATAGACTTCCAAAATTCATCTACTCGAGTATAGACCAGTGGCCAAACACATCGGAGGGTATGCTGCATCGACATTTTCCAATCCCTCCGTCACTAACGACCTCCAAACTCTTCTGCTTTCTCAGCAAAGTGTGCTTTCAGCTCCTCGGCCATCTTCCCTTCTGTTTCCGCGATGATCGTGCCGACCAACGAGTAGTTGTTTGCGAGGAAACGCTCCCTCTTCTTTTGTTCTGCAAACCCCTTGCTGAGCTTCGTCAAGAACGCTTCGAAATCATTACGCAATCTTCCCAGACTATTGTGGACTGGCTCGTCATCTCCGGCTTCGCTACTCAAGGCCAATATACCTTGAGTGAAATTGGCAAATCTTTGAGTTATGTGGTGAGGTGCAATCGACTGTGGTGCGGATGACGACGTCAAAATGAGTGCTGAGCCTGCTGGCCGTCCTGAAAGCGATGAAGTGGCTTTGCGAAGAGATTCACAATGAGTATCCATGACCATTTGGAAACGTGGCCACAAAAGCATGTTGGTGCCATTAACGTAGCCTTCCATGGCGGGCACCTTCCTCCGTTGCAGTTCAAAGGCAAAATGCTGATTCAAACGGACGGTGATCAACAGGCCCAGCGCATCCACGGTCGGGTCGATCAACTGTTTCGTCAAGGCCTGGCCAAGAGCAAAGGTTGGCTGGAATATCTCGGCGAACTTGCGATTCACTTCATGGTAGGACTGCTTGGAGAAAAACTCGGTAAGGAAAGAGTACTCGGCAGATGCGTTGTCCATCAGCGCCAGGTTAAATGCCCTGAAAGGGGCTTCCAGATAATGCGCCGACTTGTCTTCCTCCGCGATGTGGGAAGAGAGTGCTGACTTGAAACTGCCTTTGAGCATGTCCATGCGTCGTCCGAGCGAAAATGCATCGTGAGGTGCGGCCTGCGTCTTTGAACCAGAGACTACAGTGGAACGCTTCGTAGCATCGTCCTGAGCTAGAACCTCGGTTTTGTCGATAACATGAATGTTCATCCTTTCCAACGATGCTTTGTAACGTGAGAAATTATGCAAGTAAAACCAGCGCATAGTGTTGATATAGGCACGGCCAATTTCTTGGCCCAGCTGAGGTTGATGTCGGTCCAGGAACTGGAAAGCATCCTTGTATCTCATAAAGTTGTTCTGTTGTAGGAGTTGTGCGTTGACACCAGGGGCGCGTAGTGCTTTGATTTGGGATACAACATAGTCACGGGTACGCTCAACAACCTTGTTCTTGAGACTGTCTATCAGTGGTTTCAGATCCGCAGCGCTTTTAGAACGTGGGGCCTTCGAGTCAATGGTCTTGGAGCGTTTCTCCAAATCTTCCAAGGCTTTGATCCATGAGTCGTCGATAGGGCCATCTGAAATCTTTCGTACAATGGCTGGTGAAATGGTCAAGGCATCGACTTCTGGGGCCAGGAGCTTCTCCACTTGCTTGCGCGTTTCAAGTTTGGTGTTGAGGGCAGACGAACGATTCTGGAGAGTCTCAATCTCGGCGGAGACGGCGGCGAGATCAGCCTGAAAGCTGGTGAGGTAATTCTCTACAGACTTGAGGACTTCGTCACAGGCGACAATGGACTTGTGTAAATCCTCGAACTTGCCTTTCTCCTTTTCGACTAGACGAACCTAAGCTTCAGGCGGGGGACCAGGATGAAGAAGGGCGTGCCAACATACATTCTTCGACAGACGGCTGTTCGGAAGGTTGGTCCGAAGATGGAGGAGCATCGGCAAACTCTTGCAAACTCAGCTCGCCAAAGTCGATGTTTGTGCCACGTTGATCGGACGTATCTGAGGGTACGGGTTCGGGCTGTATGGGACCTAGGATGTCGCGCAATACGTCGAGTGGATGTGAGACATTGTCGATCGGAGAAGCATCCAGCTGGTTCCTCAGATTCGAAGGCGCAGGCGGATATCTTGCGGCGGCAGGCAGACTATCGGTGGATCCATTGGTGAGAATGGACAGAGACGACGAGCGACTTGCGATGCCAGGCCTGTGGGGAAGGGGGCTCGGGGCCAGATGACTTGGTCTACGTTGCGGTGCGGGCGAAGACGACGGCGAAGGGTGTTGGGAATAGCGATTTAGCCACATGCCATCTACAGTTTTACGGTGGAAAGAGCGAAATGAGTCTTCGAGGACAAACAGTCATGTGTCGCGTGGTTGTGGTGGGAATGGGTCGCGAAGCTGAACAGTCAGTCAACAGGCGTGGAGTTGTGCACTGTTCTGAGTTGTATGGGAAAGGAAGGCGCGCCATTGTTGAGGTCCGAGCTTCGCGAATTCAGCGTGCGGCGTGCCTTCCTTTCCCCACTTCACATCTCAAATTTCATCCTTTTCTCTTCATCTCGCCATCTCTATCCACACCACTCCATCTACCCACATCTCACCAACACAACCTTCAAAATGGCCGACAACGACGCCCAGGTACGTTGAACCTCTGCGGGAGCTCCCCTGTCCGGCGCGACCGATTCTTCTCGACCCCGCGCCGCGACAACGAAGCCCTCCGAGCCCACTCCCGTCTGTCGTTTGCTCAACAATGCTGACCAACTCCGCCCTATAGCACGAGCAGCACACCTTCGAGAGCACCGATGCCGGTGCCTCCACCACCTACCCCATGCAGTGCTCTGCCCTGAGAAAGAACGGCCACGTCGTTATCAAGGGCCGCCCCTGCAAGATCGTCGACATGTCGACCTCCAAGACCGGCAAGCACGGTCACGCCAAGGTCCACTTGGTCGCCATCGACATCTTCACCGGCAAGAAGCTCGAGGATCTGTCTCCCTCCACCCACAACATGGATGTCCCCAACGTCTCCCGTCGCGAGTACCAGCTCGTGAGTTTTCCTCCATCGCCGTCACCTCGAAGACTCGCATACTGACCCCTGTTTAGCTCGACGTCACTGACGACGGTTTCCTCTCCCTCATGCTTGACGACGGCTCCACCAAGGACGATGTCAAGGTCCCCGACAACGAGATTGGTGAGAGAATCAACAAGCTCTTCATCGAGGAGTCCAAGGACACCAGTAAGTCATACCGCATCTAAGCCTCCTACTTGCAGCAACTAACCACTCTTCTCAGACGTCATCATCCTTACTGCCATGGGTGAGGAGTGCGCCATTGAGGCCAAGGAGGCTCCCAAGTCCGGTTAAACGATTTGCACATCCAACACATCGAGACAGCGCATTCCAGGCGCTGCTTCGGAGCCAGACGGGCATTGCAACATTTCCGCTCAGCGTATCGCGGATGCTTGGTCATGCTTGGTCATGCTTGCTTTCCGCTGCTGCTGCCAGCTTTTTGTTCAATCTCGACGGCGTCTAAACGCATGTTCCCCCTTTCGACCCCCTTCTTTCACACGGGCGAGTCGTCGTGCGTGTCTTAGACAATAAATGTCACGAAGCGATGGTTTTCCAAAATCTAAAATGCAAATCAATTTCCGAACAATGAAGAGTGGTGCATATTGTGATACTCGGTGCTATTTGTGACAGAAGGCCGAACACTCCATGATCCCATATATGTACATGTTTTCCAGATCATGACCAGTAAGCAGATCCTCCATCAAGGTGATGTTTTTTATAGGCATCGCGAAAATCGTTTGGTCGGTGGATAGAGTTAAACGACGGACAGGGTGGCGCTCGAGACTGGATCAGGTGGTCCCAAAGAGAACCTCTTAATCGTTGCTACGTTGCGAGGTAGACTGTGACATGGGCTCAGCTACTACAATACAATGTGTGTTCAACCGAGCTCGATCTCAAGAAGAATTGGTACATCGCGTGATGGTCGTCGTGGTCATGGCAAGAAAAAATCCGTCCATCAAAACCCAAACAAGCTTTATCCCATCGATTTTCTTACCATCAACATTCACCGCGATCCACGCGTGTTTTGCCTCAATTGCGCCATGAAATAATGATTGCTCAAGAAGAGCATAGCTTCCAGAACTCGACCTTGGTAAATGGAGAGCGAATGTGAGGAGGGCTGTGGTTCCACGTCGTTCCGCATCGGCGACGATGGTTACACCTACTGTACAGAGGGGCATCGTCAATGGCAGGTAAGCTAACGCCATTTGCGATTCCAACCTCAGCATATCTAACGGTGATCATCGCAGCGAGGAACACAAGTAGTCGAAGACACTGAAGGTGTGCCATTGTTCGGCAAAAAGGCACGAAGAGAACGAGACATCGAAGAGAGTGTCGAGACTGGTAAGAGTTCGAGTCTTCCCAACAACAAGATTATGCTAAACTCCTGCAGCTTTGACTGGCAAAAGAGCCTTCGAGCACTATCTGTTGTGTTTTCAACTAGTATTATGGAAACAGGTATACTGGCTGGTCAACACAAAACATCTTCCCAAAGAGCTCGAAGTAAGTCGTGCTATTCCCCTAGTAGAAATATTGCCATATTGACATCTCAAAGACATTGGTCCGCGACATCTGGGCTCTACGCTTGCAGAGCCTGCAATCTCGTGTCAGCTACGAGTCAGAAAGCGAGGCCGAGCAGAGCTCACAACTATACAGTTCTCAGTCGGAGGCGGAGAGAACTGATGATACATCACAGAAGCGCCGGGCGAGAAAGAGTAAGAATGACGCTGTTCCTAAGCTCGTCGATGCCTTGAGCATGTGTTACATCGGATGCCTGCTGCTCAGACTGCCAGTGACAGTCAGCGACATCTACACATGGGCGGCCAGTGGTGACTTGATCTACTACAGAGCTGTCAGGGTTCTCTCGGAGTCGATGAAATCGCGCCTTCCATTCAACTACAACAAAATCATGGATCCGCAAGACATCCTCAATCCAGGAGCAGTACAGCAGGCGGTCCTTGACAACATCACAGCCTTTGACCGCGCTTTCGGCATGGTCACTCCACCTATCAACCATATTCTCATCCTCTACCGATGGATCCGGAATCTTGCGCTCCCTCTCGAGGTATACTCAGCGACTCTCCGTCTAGCCAAATTGCTCGACATTACATTCGTCTACGATGTACAGGTCAAACGATCCTCGAGGTACAGAATTGTTCAATATGCTGAAGCTCGACTTATGGGTGTCCTCGTCGTCGCGACTAAGTTGTTGTTCCCTCTGGACAATGTCAAACGGTACCCCAAGAACCCCACTGAGCTTTCTGCTCTGAGTATGGACTGGTCGACTTGGAGCAAAGCACGGGTAGAATACAATGAGACGATCAAATCTGCCACACCACTAGGCTATCAAGAGGCCATGCAAGTCCAAGAGAAAGACGTACTCGACATGTCCGAAGACAAGCTTGATGAGTATATGGACTGGTATGGTTCCGTCTTTGCAGAAGAAAATGTACGTGAGAAAGGAAGAGTAGGTAAAGAGGCCGAATTCCGCAGAGCTCTGCTCCGCTTCTTTCCTGTTGAGCGCATAATCCAAGAGTCACCCGATGCCATGGATCTGGATAAGGAAGCAGAGACGGTACCCGAAGACGAGCGACTGAAGAAAGTACAAAGCAGTCTGAGACCTGCGCGTGTCAAGGCAGACGTTGCATCGACTGAGAACAAGGTCAATCGTCCTGGCAACAGCTACAAGCGATACAGAAATGCGGGAGAGCTTGAAGGGTACGCAAGAGAGTTTTACGAGGAGGCTGCATGCCTGGCTGGATTACCCTTGAGCTCACTGGTCAAATGTGTGTTCATTCTAGAGAGAAGATTGGAGATATGGGAGAGTGGCGAGAGGAAGAAGTAGATCGTTGCTATTTGTTTTATGAAGATGGAATAAACGGCTGAAGCACTTGAGTCTTCGGACGGTACCTTGCTTCTACGAATGGTGACCTCAAGGTTCAATCAGATGTTTCTCAATTACTGCACATTATCAAGAACGACTATTCAAGATGAGAAGTGCTTTGGCATATTCAACTTGTTCGAGTAGCTGTTGGATCTTTTCCAGTTGTCTCGATGAGAATACCTCTCACTCTGTTTGAATGAGGTAGCCAGTCATTATAGCATCATGTTCGTTTTCAGTACATGTCTCTAGATGACTTCCGGCAACATAACGTTGAAGGCTTGCATTTGAACAGTAAGGCCTCATGTGATGGTCGAAGAAATGATTCCGATGGAAAGGCTTGGCACGGACTGCGCTAGTCGGTAAAATCGCGGGACCTTCCAAGCGGGCGGCGGCCGACGCACCAGCAAAGCCGCACCTTCTCAAATTCACGTTTGCTTCGTCGCGAAATAGGTATTGTATTCAGCACACGAAGACCGTCACCAGTAAGTGCTAACAAGACGCTGTTATGCTCATCTGACGAGTATCGCTAACATGAATTTGTGTCACAGTGCAGATGTAAGCCTCTCGAACCGCAGCCGCCGCGTGCGCACACCAAATCGCAAAACGGACTCCCAACTGACAGTATTCGCTATACAGCTTCGTCAAGACCCTTACGGGCAAGACCATCACCCTTGAGGTCGAGTCCTCTGACACCATCGACAACGTCAAGAGCAAGATCCAGGACAAGGAGGGCATTCCCCCGGACCAACAGCGCCTGATCTTCGCCGGAAAGCAGCTTGAGGATGGCCGCACTCTTTCCGACTACAACATCCAGAAGGAGTCGACTCTTCACCTTGTCCTCCGTCTCCGTGGTGGTATCATCGAGCCCTCGCTCAAGGCCCTTGCCTCCAAGTACAACTGCGAGAAGATGATCTGCCGCAAGTGCTACGTAAGTCGCCTCGCTCCCACCCCCACCGCCGGACACACGCGACACACCTGGGAAGAGATGAAGACATCAAGACACAGCCGGCAAAGGAAAACGAACAAGATGATAAAGAATATTTCTAACACGACGTCCTTGTCTACAGGCTCGTCTTCCCCCTCGTGCCACCAACTGCCGCAAGAAGAAGTGCGGTCACACCAACCAGCTCCGCCCCAAGAAGAAGCTGAAGTAAACTACTCGACCCATCACTGCTATCTTGGCTGTTGTGCTTCGTTACCTCAAGGGACTAGGCGTTTGGGGAGGAGGGATCTATCACGGCGTCTCAACCCGATGCCTAAATCGCGAGTAGTGGTAGCTCAGAAATGTCATCACTCTCCCGCGTTGATGTCCGAATGCAAGAAAGAAAAAAGTCATGCCCCCCAAACTTTTCCATCGACCGCCGTCAGAGTGATTTTTATTTGTTCATGTCAACAATTCGATCACATCGTCAAGTCTGGACTCGCAACAACCCCAGATAAATTACCAGGCAACAACATGCTATGTTTAGAGAAGCAGGGACTTGTAAAAACCACTTGAAGATTAATGTTCTGCAGCATCATTCTATGAACAAATCATGTCGCTATGTCATACCATGTTGCAACCCGGTTCGTGTCCTCGGCCTCTATTTCCCTGCTTGGCTAACAATAGTCATCGCAACAACACGACAAGAAATTCGATGACTTTCGAGACATGTTCCTCGTTCTAATTCGATGGTAGTGGTGTTCCAAAGAATACACGCTCGCTTCTTTCCAATTGACATGGCAACTGTTCCAGAAACACATCGACAAAGAAAATGTTTTGATATCATTTGCAGTCGATATTAAATAATTTGTTCATTGCATAAATACTGTTTTGTCGACAGTAACATGTTAGTGCGAGCTGATGTGATCTCGATCGAAACGAATTATCGATCAACGTCTTGCTGTCGTGGAGACTGGAATGCTCGATCTGAACAAGTAATTTGATGTGCACAAAGAATGTATGCTATGGGAGAGACAGGGGTAGATACCGGTACACGAGTATGCTGACCGGACGCGTTGTGGAAAGACACGAGAACGCCAAAACCAAGATATGAGTGGATGCTCTTGTCGTCATTTTTCTGCAAACGATATGATGCAAAAGAGGCTGGTTGATTAGGGTTTATGAAGTTGGTGCAAGCTTGGGTACATTTTAGTTAAATGTTTAACCATGCACAACGGTTAGTGCAGACTTCATTAACCGTCTGTTTCATGCACCATAGGTACTGCCACAAGTAGTTTATAGATCTGAATTGAAGTTGGAACAAAGAGCAATTGATTCTCAATAATCAAGATGAAGGGAAAGCAAGCAGTAGTGCAAAAAAGAAAGTCATAAAGTCGTTCTGGCGGGAAGCTTTGGCAGGGAAGGCGCGTTTAACGAAGACGCGACTCTGATCGCGTCCGTTCCTTCCCTCTGGCAAGGCCTTCCTCGTCCTCTGCATCACTGCCCACGACCACTCTCTTTTCAATTAATTGATCATCACCCTCTCTTGATACCGAGTATTCTTAATCAGTCATCGAATTGTTCCCTCCCAAAACAGCCCGCCGGCTTGTACTCGATATACGATAGTTCTGGACACGCGTGAGCAGAGAACGGGCATCTCACGCGTGTGCAGAGCAGAACAGACAGCATTGATTCCACCATGGACTCGATGTCGCTTGACAAGAAGGTCCTCCCTTCGACCGAGAGGCCTGAACCCGTCAGAAGGCCCTCGTTGCTACCGGCTTTCGAGCCATTGTCGTCGTCCCCCGGCGGCCTCCCTCGGGCATTGAAACGCAAATTCCAAGAAGACGACGACGACACGCGCAAGTTCTACCCTACTCCTGTGCCGACCTCTGCCACTGGTATCCTCTCGTCATCGCCGAACCGACGCGTCCCAGGACTGCAACGTACCGCGTCGTATTCATCGCTTTCCGAACGAGCTCCCTTGGGTGCGGTACCCAGTGTCAAACTGCCTTCCAATGGCGACCCTCTACTCATGGGCCGCTCGAGTAACTCTTCAGACTACCAGCTGTCGGCTAACCGTCTTATTTCACGCGTTCACGTCAAGGCTTCGTACAATGCACCCGAGGGACCGCGTCTTCTTGGCGAGATGGTTGTCCAGTGTCTAGGATGGAATGGGGCAAAGATTCACTACCAAGGATCTGTGGTCGAGTTGGCCAAAGGAGAGAGCTTTGTGTCACAGAAGCCGGGCTCGCAGGTCATGATTGACGTGCAAGAAACGCGTGTCTTGCTCACATGGCCGCAGGAAGAGAAGCAGTGTCCTTGGGATATCGAGTCATCCGTCAGCAGAGAGAACAGTGCCGCACCTGAGAGAATCGCCTCGAGTCCTCCACCTGTCCTCCCTCGACTGCGCTCGCCCGAGTCTCCCTCACCCAACCAACATGACAATGCCAATGACAGCGTCAACGATACCTTTTCCGAAACTTTCATCGCCGACCCCTTCGACCTTCCTAGCAGCCCAGCGCCTGTCCATGTTTACGAGGACAACGAACCCGCCGAGGACGATGACTTGCCTGCCTCATCAACGCCAGTTCCAGCAGCTAGAGAGTCTCCGGAAGTCGTGGACCGTTCGACACCCACACCTACCAAAGCCTCTGTTCATCAGTCCATGTCTACCACAACGTCCGATGCACCTGATGAGCTGCTCGACAATGACGAGGAGAACGACCCCATCGTCCACTCCTTCGGTCCATACGGTGACAACCTCCTCACACGCTTTGAGTCTTTCAAGTCGACCTGCAAAGAGGAGGACCGCCCACGCATTCCCCTCAAGATCAGCCTCAAGTCTGCAAACCAACTTCCGGTCGAGGTTCAGTCCACACGTAACCTGTCACCAGTCAAGAACCACATCATCAACCAACTGGCTTACACCCGCATTCACTCCCTGCCCATCTCAGCCATCTACAACAATCTGCCGGCAGAGATGAAGGGTGGTCGCAGCTTCGGCGAAAAGGCACTTTCATCCGAAGAGCTCAAAGATCTCATGGATAGAATCCCGTGTGTCGGCGAAATCGCTCGCTCGGGCAAGGATGCAGCTGGCAAGGCTCTGGAAGATGAGTTCTACTACGTCCCCGAAATGGACACTGACGAGCATCGCCGTGCTGCTGTCAACATCGCCAAACCTCCGCTTAGGTCCACTCGCAAACAACACAAGGTAAGATCATATCTGCATCTTATTGACCTTGTCACGTATACTGACCATCTCTCTAGCAATACTACTGGAAGAAGCCTCGCGTCTGAGTCTCTTGACCCAGCTTGTGTTAATAATCCGTCTCTTCTGCTTGGAGAGTTGTCACCGCATAACACTCCTGCTTTGTTTCACCTTGCTTTTCACCCGATACCAACCCCACTACACAGGGCCACTGTTTTTGCTAAAAGGCACACTGTGATGTGTCTTGCTTGCTTGCTTTTCAACCCTTTTCTACTGTTCACGAGGCGAAGAAGAATGGATATGGAACATTCTTAACGACGAAAAGAAGGAAATGGAATATGGGAGCTTACTGGTTGTGTCTTATTTTCTGTGTTGTCGCGATATACTTTTCCTTCTTTTTTCTGTTTCTGGCGAAGTAACTGTAGTGTAGAACTAGCGGATCTTCAACGTTTCTCAGGAAATACAAGTCTTCTTTTATCACGTATGTTCTGGATTCTCTCGTGTCACTTGTGTCGTGCTTGCTGTTGATATTCATGATGATATGTGAGGGTATGTGTTGAGTTTGGTCTGTCTCAAGCAGCGCGTGACATGATCAATCGCCTCGAGTGGGTGGAGAGGGAGTCCAGAGTCCTTCATACCGCGACAACCAGATGCAACACAATTGAGCAGCTCATCATCGATGATGGAAGGAAATTTTGTGATTGACATTCTCGGATGGTCGAGGGTATCACCCTGTCTCTTTCTGGCAACGAGTATATCTTACCGACGAGAGCAATTGTCGGCTCGGTCTCTCCATCAAGGATGAACAGTTTACCATTAGCTCGTGTTGTGCTAATATTGGACTGTATAGTCTGTTTGGTGCTGCTTTCGACTGACATTCTGCGTTTGTCATGACTTTGCACTTGATCTCGAGCAGAAACCACATGCCTTTTGTGGAATTTCAAACTGGAAGATACAGACACTGAGATTCTCCACTATCAAAGCATAGCAATCGCTCTCCATATGCACGATTGACGCTGATGTGAACTATGGCATGATACGACACAGAAACATATTTGGTCGATGGACAAAACTGGTCAGCCGGACAGGGTGACACCCAGCTTGCTTTTCTCCCCAACAACAGACAAACCCAGCGAAAGAAGAAATGTGCATCAAGTCCGAGAAATTTGTGTAGGATTACTCGAGTATGATGAGTTGAACATGTTACAAGTACCATGCTTGCTAGACTAGTAAGTGTGCGTCTTGTGATCAGCTGGCTTTCCAAGGCCATTTCTGATCTTCTCCTCCTTGTCCACAACTTCCAATGGCAATCCAATGCCCACGCCCGTAAACACAAAGATGGCCCACTTCCATCTGAAGGGGTTGATGGTGATACACTTATCAAGTTAGCTAAAGTCTTTTGAGTTGAGCTCTCAGGCTGACTCACGAAGAAGAACCACCACAGCAATTCGCTGTAGGTGAAGAAGTCAAAGGCCCCTGTGGGTGCTCTAGCTTTGAGCCATCTCGTCATGTCCACCCAAAATTCCATCCAGTAAGTTGAGGGACGGGTCAGAGGGTCGAGGAGGAACATCAGGAGGATACGGGTGTAGACACCAATATGGAAGTTTCCGACCGTGCCAATGCCGCCAACATAGGTGCAGTTGTTGGCACAGATAGACTTGTGCTGCGGAGGGAATGTTTGCAGGTACCTTGAGGGAGTCAGTAGGTTTAGAGGTGGTATCTCATCGAGTAACATACCAGTTGGGGGCAGCGTAAGGCTCCTTGAAACACTCTTCGGGGAGGAAGCTCAAGCTAGGGCGCTTATATCCTGTTGCCATGATGATGACCTCGCCCTCTTCCACTCTCTCATGTCCAGGGCCGTTCTTAGGGACACCTTGTTGACGACGGTTGAATCTGATACCGTTCTCTTCCACCTCGAGGATATCGCCTCGAAGCCATTCGGCCTTGCCGGAGCGGATCTGCTCCAACACATCGTTGTTGACCATGGGCGTTTCTTCGAAGATACCAGCCGAGCCTGGAGGAGGTGAGATGTCGGCCAAGTCACGGTAGAAGAACTTGCGAAGCAGTTTTTCAGGGATCCACGAGAACATGGTCTCTTGTCCAAAGATGTTGAAGGACAGAAGCATATCGATGACAGGGTTGCGAGGAATGATCCACTTCTCAGATCGTGAGAGGATCTTTGCGTTCTTCGCCTCTCCCTTGGTGGTAAACTCCATGGCCTCGATGGCACTGGCACCTCCACCGATGATCAGGACGGTCTTGTCCTTGACGTCTTTACCGTCGAGCTCGCTGGAGTGGTAGATTTGTCCCTTGAACTTCTCTTGACCAGGGATGTGCGGCATCTTCGGGTCACCACAGCTGCCAACGGCGGCAATGATTCCGTCGAACTTTTCGCTTGAGTCGTCATTGACGATCCAGCGTCCCTTATCGTCTTCCTTGACAGAGTTGACCTTGCAGTCGAACTTTGTCTTTTCATTCAGGTTGTATTGCTTCCAGACCTTTTCAATCTGCTCGACAATCTCTTTGCGATTGGGATAGCCTTTGTTCCAGAAAACTGTAGGGAAGAAGCGATACATGACGGAATGGATTTGCAGTCCAGAAGTGTTGTTCACCTTAGCCCAGATACCACCAAGATGTTCTCGAGGACCAGCCTCGAAAATCTGGACATCGAAACCGTTGCCGACGCAGTGTGCTGCGGCCGACACGCCTGTAAGTCCAGCTCCTATGATGGCGACACGAGGTCTATGAAGCTTCTTGCCAGGTGGTGGAGGTTCGGGCGCGAGGATTTTGGCGAGGCCCATTTGCCAAATCTGAAACAGGACCATAATGATTTTGTTGATGGCAGCTGCCGCCGTATCGATTGGTCCAGCCATCATGGATATAATCCCTCGAAAGAACTGAGATGACTCGAGACAATAGGTACTAGGTGAGGATGTAAGATGAAGTGACAGAGGTTCCGTTGAGGAAGCACGAAAGGCTTCAATCACATGCAAAATGCGTTGGTGTTGATCGAATGCAATCTGACGTCACGCGGAGCACAGAGCCGTCTTCTTCCTCTTGAAGCCGACTGAAGTTGCATCTTTGGCATCGACTCGAACGGTATACCATCCAATTGTAAGATCGACGTGGTGCAAGTTAGTAATCGATTGGCGAACAACCAGTGACTGCTTCTTGTGCGAGGTGCAGCTGTGAAAGCCATAAATCTCATTCCCGAACATGTGCACAGCCATCAAGCTGGAGAGCAAACACAAGCCGACTCGGACAAGTCAAAGAGTGAGGCCAAGGTCAGAAGCTGATGGCTGTTATTTTGGATGATCTGTTGTAACATAATCTTGGTCAAATGCAGCTCCAGTGGCTTTGTGTTCGTGCCAGTCAAGCTTCAAGATCAAGCTTCAGCCTTGAAAGCTCCACCATGGCTGTGTAAACAGTGTCGTACTGCGTTTTGTGATGACTCTTCAAATGGCGAGAATCTGTAAAGCATATCGTTTGTATACTGTGGAGTGGTCCTAGAATAGCCTGTGGTCGTGCGAGATATCAAGGTGTAGTTTGTCGTGCGCTAGACTTACCAGGCTACCAGATCAAGTATTCTCAGCTTTGTCTTGTGTATTCTCCGGCTAGGCAGGAGGCAGCAACCAGAGAGCCAGCTCTGTCCCGCAAACAACTCATCGCACCATTCCACCTGCAGAGCAACAGTATATTAGACATGATAGCATGGAAAACATTAGATGCTGAGAACTACCTTACTCGTAGAAGCAGAGAATAGAGCTTGCGTGCCAAGCATGTTCCGTCGCGTGAAGGGGACAAAACTCCGACGTCCAAATTCTTTTGCTCATCGACACAGACCAATCTCTCTAGTCGAGAGCAAGCCGATAGCCTTGCGAATCATGCTAGAGATAAACCGTTCGCTCTTGATTTGACGAACAACCTTGCGATTTCCGAGAAGTGCCACGCATCCTGGCAGCTGAGCCTTCGACACACTTTGAGTATACCTGTGAGCTCATGATGGTTTCAGGAATATGGTCATCCTTAAGCCTTGAAGGAGCGCATGTGTGCCAGTAGGTCTAATCGACGAAATCCACGTAGCCATCTCATGCTTTCAGCCACGATTCACAAACCCTCTCATTCCCTCCATGCACGGGCTCAGCTCCTTCCAAAGACGCCTGAAATGTCGATATCGGCCCCAATCTTGATACTGTCTCATTCGTCCACTCCCGTTGGATTTACGTTCTCTTTCAACGTCAGCTGGAAGTAGTCGAATCTCAGCCTGAGAACACATGTAGATTGTGCTGACAGACAACAAATCTTCGCTATGAATGTCTTTCATGTGAATCTAGTACGCCTTAATTTGTTATCCTCCCGGAAACAATGCCAAATCGGCAAAATGCAAGCGACAGTTTCGCAGACCCAATCAAGGATGATACAGGGCTTATAAACGTTGACCACTAAAATTATGAGGAACAGTAGCAGATTGTACAACCTGCAAAAGTGTTTCGCTGGCTCCGTGGTTGCTGCTGCCGCGCGATCTCGGGACAATCAGACTCAAACAATTCAGGAACCAGGAGCTACTATTGTTAGCTAAGTATCTGGGTGCGTATCTTCACGCTCCGTATCAATATCGCCATGATTCTTGATACAGACCGGTACCACTACACTTTGCAACTTCACAGCCCAGCTGCTTTCTATATAACATGAGGTCGACCGCGTCTTTCAAAATCCATTTGTACCTCAACATTTGGTATACCATCGTACCTGACTATGGCATTCCGGAAGCTCAAGTCTCATGTGACAATGAGGACCACTTCGGTCGTCTCAGACACCAACCTCCAACAAAATGTTGAGGATGGCAGAAATTCTCCGAAGTGGAAACCAAGCAAGCAAGTCAAGCTTATAGTAGCTACGCAAGCCTTCGTTTGCTTCTTTGTGGCGTTGGACTCCACTATACTCACGACTACACTACCGGTATGTCATACATCAGCTTTGCGAAAAACAATAAACTTACTTTTTGTAGACACTCTCGAAAGCATTGCATACAAACACCACCCAGACTTTCTGGATTGCGACCTCGTACCTCTTGACCTCGGCAGTTTTTCAACCACCTATAGCTGCTCTATCAGATATCTTCGGTCGTCAAGCACTGTTTCTTCTGGCAATCATTTTGTTCACCATTGGGTCGATCGTCTGCTGCGCATCACACGGTATAGTCAGCATGCTCATCGGTCGTTCCGTCAAAGGCATCGGCGGTGGCGGTATTCTATCGCTCAATTTGATCATTTTGAGCGACATCATCCCTCTCCGCCAGAGAGCACAATACCAGGGCTATCTACAGCTCTGTTTCGCTCTCGGAAGCAACATTGCACCCGTGATCGGAGGGCTTATCGTTGAAAGGACTACCTGGCGGTGGCTTTTCCTGATCAACCTGCCCTTTTGTGCGATATCGTTGGCCACAGTGCCATTCATTATACGGTACTCCAGACCCAAGACAACAATCAGAGATCGACTGCTTTCCATCGACTGGGCAGGAATCACGATGAGCACCACGAGCACAACATTGTTCTTGATCGGCATCAGCTGGGGTGGCACTGAGTACTCCTGGTCCAGTGCTGCAACACTCTGCCCTCTCATAATCGGACTAGCAGGAGTGTTATGCACCATCATCTACGAGATGAAGTTTGCTCGGATGCCGTTCCTTCGGACATCACTCTTTCACAATCGGTCGGCTATCGCTGCATATGTCTGTACCATGCTCATGGCATTCAGTGTCTATGCAACGCTCTACTATCTGGTTCTCTGGCTGCTGGCGGTCAAAGAGATGTCGGAGATCATGGCAGGGGTGTGCATCTTTCCATTAGGAATGACTGTGGTACCCATCAGCGGCATAACTGGCGTCCTCATCACACGTCTTGGTCGCTACCAGTGGGCTGTGTGGGCGGGATGGGTGATTGCTACTCTCGGCATCGGTACATTGGTCTTACTCGACCAGGACACATCGACTGTCGCATACGTCTTCATGTTCGTATGTGCAGGTATTGGTCTTGGCCTACTGATGAACTCGCTGAGCGCAGCCGTCCAAGCCATCTCACACACGAAAGACGTGGCATATGCCTCTTCCATGTTTGCATTCATGAGAAGTCTTGGTCTGTGCTTGGGTGTTTCCATCGGCGGTACGATCTTCCAGAACTTCTTGCGTCAACGCCTGGAACACTACGGGCTCTCGACAGAACTCGCAGAGAATGCTGAGGTATATGTCTCTTTACTGCGGTCCACGCCCTCATCGCCGCACAAGATATTGTTGAAGGAGATTATCAATTGGGCATTCAGGATGCTGTTCGCTACATTGTGTGGTATCTGTGGGCTTGGGCTGACCATAAGTGTTTTAATCGGCAAGTACTCCTTGGACAAGGAGCTGGACTCACAACATGTCATTGTTCAGAGCGAGTCTGAGTCTGAAGGAAAGCGGGAAGTTTCTGATTCTTCTGTTGTAGTGGCCTGAACGTGTTGTGATCAAAGCCAAAGTTTGGTACGATTATTCGAGAAAGTTATGAATTGCCAATTTCATCCCGTGTGCCGAGGTTTGTTAATTTTCTTGTTGTCAAGATGCACAATGATTTCCGGCAATAGAGCTTGCCCACAGGGAGAACATCATGAAGTCGTTCGCTCCGGGCAACCTGCTTCTGATTAGAAGTACCGTGTATTCTAGTTAGTACATCACTGTATATCGCTATCTAGAGAGTGAAGGCGACTAAGTTTAGCACGAGGAGAACTGGAGGACCAGGGCATGAGGGTATCTTGAAGGCAACGTACACGAGCGGCAAGAGCGTGGGACTCTGTTGCAGACACCCGCAGCTGTATCAGCGTTGGCAACGTCACTGATGGTCATCATGATCGTCCTGTTTCGTCACGTTTCATCAACTTCTACCCGCTGTCCAAGCTTTACACCTCCCTAGTCGATCACCACAGCCAGACATGTCACAACACTCGACATACTTGCCTACATATCTTGACCATGGCGTCTGATGACAATATCGAGAATGGTGTCATGATTCTGGTCCGTTTGCACCCAGGCAACCTTGATGACGAGATACACATCTCAACATTGACAGCATCGTACACATCGACGCCTGAATACTCAGAAACAACGACTGAATACTCATGCATATCACACATCAGCTCCGGAACTCAAAAGGAGATACTTCGAGACAATCAGCCGTACCTGATCGACTCTGCTTTGGCCAATGCTTTAAGAGCACTCAGGAGTGCTGAGGCCGAAACTCTGTGGTGGGCCGAAGGCTTAACGACAAACACAGAAAGCAAAGCGGTACAATCAGCGGAAGAGTTGAAGATTATATTGCAACATGCCGAGATGGTACGGCTTTGGGTCGACAATGGAGATACTCATGGTCCTCAGGCTGTCCAAATGCTGCAAGAACTGGCCGAACAATGGCGAACGTTCGCAACCGAAATGAGTTTACCGGACAATTGGTCAAGAGCAAGACCCAACCAGATGATGCAGATTATTCAAAGAGTTCAGCAGATGATAGCTACCAATACTCTGCCCTTTACCGGATTGCAAGACACTGCTATCGTCGAGTGCGCGACTGCCTTGGCGGAATCGCCCTTCTTCCGTCACGTCAATGCAATCACCAGTGTCGTTCTGGCAAAAGAAGCAATTGTAACAATAAACGGGGCATCTATGCCGTGGATTGATTACAGTGACAGTCTCAACCTCATCGGAGCAAGCGGAGGTACACTTCCAGTCAAATGCAACACAACACACCTCACCCTTGTAGGCGGCATCAAGATTGCAGTACGGAGATGGCGAGAAAACAATCAGCATCTAGAACTGCTTCCCATGCTTCAACAAACTCGACAGAGTGAGTGCGCAGATCCGCGCGATCGCATCTTTTCAATGCTCCCGATCACCTCGCCCAGCAAGCGTATTGAGCTTGGTGCCAGTGCTCCTCAAACGCCACTGCAGGTGGACTACACCAAAAGTCAACAGCAAGTCTTTATCGATGCAGCCAAGTATATCATCAGCGAAAGGCAAGACCTGCTTCTCTGGAATGCCATCCCTGCGCCTAGCAAGCCGTCTCGTTTGTCTGATCTACCTTCTTGGGTCCCAGATTGGAGCGATGCAACAGATGTAGTGGCGCTGAAAATAAGGCCTAGCATGGCTCTTCGTACATGGGAAGGCGCGGCCTGCGTCCAACAAGTCCAAAAACCTCTCTCGGTCACAGATGAAGGCATCCTCAGAGCACAAGCACACATCTTCTCACCAGTAAGAAGCGTCGCAGAAGAGAGATTTACAGATGAAAACTTCCAAACTCTCTTCCTCGAGTTGTTGCATTTACTACCGCCTTCGGAAACCATGCACGGAAAAGATGACTTGCCACGAACGCTCATGCTTGATCTATGGCAACTTAGCGATAAGGTCCCCAGATCAGTCACCAGAACCTTCGTCAGTTTCACCGCCAAAATTCAAGCCCTCAAGATGCTTGGGATTACGCCCGAGCAATTCATCGCCGACCCCAGTATAGTGACCCGTCTTGCACCTGCTGTACCAGATCTCGCTCAACAGCATGTCTTCCGTCTGGCTGGCAAATACGACACGACAGAAATCTCCAGAGCACTCACACAATCTCTGGGACGCAGGTTCTTTGTGCTCGAGAACGGACATCTGGGCTTGAGTTATGTCGAGCAAGATGGCGAGAATGATGAGGAGTGTAAAGTCAGACCTGGTGACGTGGTTGCGGTCTTTGTTGGAGGCTATCTGCCATATCTACTTCGCGAGTGTGGGAGAAGCGAAGAAGGCGTGAAGAGGTACAAAATACTCGGAGAAGCGCATGTGCAAGGGTTGATGGAAGCCGAGGCCTTGAAAAACAAGGGATGGATCTTTAACAGCTGGAGAGACGTGCAGGTCGATGATGTGGAAATTGTTTGACCATGGGAAATCCATAGCAATTGTGAAGGAAAAGCTGTCAGATGCAACATAGAGAAAGTGGCTTGAGATTCATAAATATACAATATAATTGAGCGGTCGAGGCTGCGAAGCGATAGTGACGAGAGGGGATATCTTCAAATCAGATGCAACAACATTCCGCGAGCAAAAGGAACAGGAAACACGCAGGCATCAACACTAGAACCAGCCGCCACTGCTGATGTTTCCACTGCCCCAATTGCCAGACCAATTTACAGACTGGCCGGCTGTTGGGTCTAGCACTGCTGCATTGTCTTCAAGCCCGAATTGACGTACAAGCTGATCCCAATTCTGCCAGTCGATGTCGGCTGCAGGATCGAGTGGTGAAAATGCAGGAGGCGTGGTGTTGTTGTTGTTGTTGTTGCCATTCATGCTTTGAGCTCGTTGGCTCGTCGCCTGGAAGTTGTTGGTCGCTGTCGCCTGAGGGGATGGCCCTTGATAAGGCGCACCACTAAAAGAGCCAAAGTTCCGTTGTGAAGAGCTGCCTGAGGAGGTGTCCATGGCCATTGTGGTCTGCTCCAAGCTTGGCGTAGCTTCTGGGGCTGAAAGCGAAATGTCCATTGGATCTTCGGTCATGATCACTGCTTCCTGACCTTTCGGTGAGTTCATGAGTTCCGTCGAGTCCAAGGGCTGTGTGCCATATGCGGCTGGGCGCATGAAGCGAGACAGTTGCGCTGCACTGAGTGGGGCTCTAACCATGCGTGGTTTGGGCATGACCGGAGATGTGCCTGGCGGCGTCGCTTGCTTGATCTCTTCGTCTTTCCGGATCGCTTGGAATCTCGCCATTCTGGCCTTGGCAAGCAGCTTCATGAGTGGTTTCCACAGATGACCACTGCGTGAGCCATCTCTCGTAGCTGTCTCTCTCCAGTTCGCTCCGATACATCTTTCCACCGACGACCACGCACGATCGACCAGGTCTCCAGTCGTACGATGACAAAGCTCACCTAAGAGAAAGGCCAGCGCATGCCACTGCATGTATGTTTTGAAGAGCCACTCCCACTTCTTTGTCCGCGATTCGGTTTCCATTAGTAGTGAATATTCAATGTTCTCCAGACTTGTGATGAAGAGCTTCTCTCGAGTCTCCTCCGAAAGACTCTTGCCGCCGTCCTTTCTCTGATAAGGATGGTAACTGTGTTTCACGTTAGAAGACAGAGGTAACAAGAAATTGGGGGAAACGCACATCATCAACCACATTTTACTCATCATCAGACGAGCGACCGTGGCAGAAACCCAATAGATGGGAACTGTCATGTCGCAGTGTTGCAGGTACCTTTCTTCAAGTCGCTTGTGGCATTCGTTGATCCAGCGCTCCTTGTCCTCGAGAGTCACTGAAGCAAAGAAATCTCCACATTGTCTAGGTTCGCCAGGCGGAATGTAATTGAGGCGACGGAAGGTGTTGGCGACTTCAAACCTGATTAGGCAAAATGACATGTCTGTACAGCCTCGACGCTCAGCAGGTAGTTGAGTCATAGCAGGATCCAGATCCTCATCATTGATGTTGAGTGGCATCTTGGTGTCAAAGGCTTGTTCGGCTGATTCACTTAGTTATACACCCACGAAAAGACGCAATAGACTTACTGATAGTAGGATCGCTGCCGTGGTCTTCAGAAGCGCGTACATCGAGAATACATATCTGCCACCACAGACGTCGGCGCATCTCAATCTCGAACGGCGGCAGTCCGAAATGCAGACCGTCTCGATGCACACCAAGAGTTTGGGCAATGCGAACGACAAGACCTGTTAATGTCCAGATGACGCGCGCGTCATTGTTTCTGCGTAGACAAATCAAAAATATCACTATTGCTTGCACCACCATCATTTCTTCGGTCGTAAGAAAATTTGCTCTAGCAAGAGCCTGCTCAACACCAAATCGATAGCGAGACAGAAGAAGACCTTTCTCTTCACCTAGCTTGTTTATGCAATCCTCTTCTGAAAGACTAGTAGTAGCACCGTAGTATATGGCAAATAGTAAGGCCTCGAAACTCTTCGATAGATTGGCGAGATGAGAAGCTGAAGCTAAAACGGTAGGCTCGATGGTCGGTATGTGCAAGACCTTGACGAGAGGGTCCACACGTTCCTTGTACACGTTCCAGTAAGTTTCAATTTGACCAGCAATAGGGTGCAAAGACAGGAGGTCGACATTCTGAGAGCTGAAACTAAAGATCCAGCCATGGTGTTGATCGGGAAGAGTTTGAACTGGAGACGGATCATCGCCCTCATCGTCGGTGTTCTGGTTCAATATGCCCTTAAGATCTTCTACCTCGTTGCTGAGGTTGGCCCAGAAGGAGTTGTTCACATATCGCGAACGGCCTTCATTGATGACCAGACGGCCAAATCTGGTTTCGAATTTGGCACTGCGAGATTCGTCTATGTATCGATTCTTCGCAGCCCACTCGTCATCATCGTTGCCGTGCTTGTTGGTCTGTGTCTGATCCGGCGGATTTGGACACTCGCGAACAGTAGGAAGGGTCGCTTCGTGGGTATCCGATGGGCCAGACCCCAAAGGCGCAGCCTCTACCGCGGACTCGGGCAGCGGGTCGGGGAGCGAATCAGGGTTTGCAATATCTACACCAAGGCCTTTGACGACACCCTCCAGACGACGCAATCTGGCCAGCAGTTCGGCATCTCGCGAATCGCTGACTTTGCGTGGCTTACGAGGGGCCCTTCCCGGGGTGGGAAAGACGCATTCGATGTGTGCGCGAGCGCAATTTGAACACGGGTGTAGTTTGTCGCATTTGACCTTGCGCTTACGACATGTCACACATGATCGAGGATTGAGGACACGACCGTGAGGGTCGCGTAGCGGTGCGGAGGCTGGCACCGGGAGCGATGATGCAGATGGCGATGACTGGACGGGAGGCTGCGCAGACGAAAGCGATGCTGGCTGGCTTAAGGCAGAGGGCAGACGCGATTGTCCTGGTAGTGATATCGAGGGCGACTGGGTTGGAGAAGGGTCCGGGTTAGCAGACATGCTGCGACAGGGTGATGGTTTGGGAGTTCACAAATCGTAAGCCCACAGATCAACCATCAACCATCAACCACTTCGACTGGACCCCGATCCAGCAGAATCCACAAGTCATCAAGCTTCGACCAGTGCGGGGTGTGGGTGCCCGTGCATCCTGCCTGTCAGTAAGCCTCAGGAAAGGACCTTGGCTCCGGCCGACGAAACGTGTTATCGGGTAGTCAATAAGATCTTAATCCATAAGATGGCTGTGTTGGACCGCACATGCTCTGTCTAGAAAGGCTCGAACTTACGGCTCTCCAGCATCACATCAAGAAGGAGCAAAGAAACACGAAAGGTTGCGCGTCAAGACTGAAACTGCGCGTGGATCCCTGACGATCTGGGCAATGACTCGCGCGCTGGGTTTATGTCATGACCCGTCAGCGCCTGAAACTGCCACCGGGAAGTCACTCGTACCGTTCCGCACCTACAGCTTATCTTTTTCATCGTCACTCCGAAGAGCAGAGATCGGGAGTGATGGCGAAGGGACAGCTGGGAAAGAGCGACTTTCAGAAGCCGGGGAAACGATACCGACGGAAGTTGAGGTGCATGGAGCTAGACGTCCAAGGCGGTGAGATGGAAGCTCTAGAAAGACGGTGACGAGCTGGCGTTTCGGAAGCTAGGTATGCACTACTTCAGAGCATCTAGTAATAGAATATCATGCAATTCCACAGCGTGTCCCCTTTGCGCGTCATAGCCATCTCAGCCCCTCTTGCAAGAGTCGTGAAGCGTGTCGGTCGTTGAGGAAAGGAAATGGCCAGCCTTGCAGCCAGAAGTGACTATTAGCAGCCATCACCGTTTCTGCGCTTTCTTGTTTCAAAGCCATACGGCCGCTGCTCCACCACAGGCACAGGCATTCGACAGCAATTGTCAATCATCCAGCTACACCGCCATCCCCGCCGACCAGTGCCCGTGCACAGTCGAGCTCTCAATTTCTGCGAAGCATACTCCGTACATTGCACGTACCAAAGTACGCAGTACTACCTTGGGCACGCGTGCTCGTCTCCTGCTTCCATCCACCCCTCTCCCGCCGAGTGCAAGTGCCTGACCTGAACAATGCGTCGGCACCAGCCTCCGTCCGCTCTGTCCTCCAGCGATCCCCTATCTCTCCTCCGCGCATACGACCACGAATCGAATCCCAGTCGTCCAATCCGCTCCTCGCCGCTGACGGCCTCGACCATCCATGGCCTACCGCTTGAGCTGACCGACCGCCTGCGCTCCTTCCCTCTCTTCGCCTCCGCCCCGGACTCCTTCCTCGCTGCCATTGGGAAATTCCTGCGCCCGCAACTCTTCCAGCCGCATGAATACATCCTGACCGAAGGCGATGACGCCAAAGCCATGTACTGGCTGGTCCGCGGATCGCTTAGAGTCACGTCAAGAGATGGAGAGAGTACATATGCCGAACTGAAGCCTGGCGCCTTCTTTGGCGAGATTGGCATTCTGATGGACATCCCACGCACCGCTACCATCATTGCTCAGTTGCGGTCGCTGGTCTTGAAGCTGAACAAGGAAGACTTGCAAAAGGTCCTGCCATCTTTCCCTACCGTCGAGCGCGCCATACGTGACGAGGCCACGGAGCGCCTGGCTATTCTCGAACGATTGAAGAAGGAGCGCGTCACAGCACCTCCCACATCTGGCTTACGCAAGCGCTCGCGTGATTTTATCGAACGCGATGTCGACATGCAGGACGTGGGTCTCCAAGATGATAGCAACAAGCGTCGCAAGTCTCCTAGTCCTAGCCTTGCAGAAGCAGCCGCCAACAGTGTCCTGGGAAACGCCAATTTGACTGTCCGACAAATTCTACAAGAACTACCCTTGTTCGCTGGTCTGCCGGCCGAGGTTCTTCATTTCCTAGGCGTCAATGCCCAGCCATGTTCATTTGGACCTTTTACAGATATCGTTACTCAAGGCTCACAGGGAAGAGACGTCTTTTTCCTTGTTCGCGGCGAGGTCGAGGTGGTGACTGAGACTCCTGGCAACAAGACCGATGAGATGACAGGAAAACAATTACCTGTGCAGCGTGTACGAGCTCGTCTTAAGCCTGGCCAATATTTTGGCGAAGTCACCAGTCTGTCACTAGCGCCCAAGAGAACGGCTACCGTGCGATCTATCAATAGCGTCGAGTGCCTGCGTATCACAGGTCAAGTTCTAGATGAGCTTTGGCGGAACTGGTCGTCAAACTTGCGCCAACAAGTCGAACAAGAAGCCAAACGTCGATTGAAAGAAGTCGAAGACACAGATATCATCTTGCCAGACGCCCCTTCTGCCGTCGAGGCTTTGTCCGCATTGCCGCCAGAAGATCAATGGAAGAAGAGCGTGCCTACGGTCACTTTCAGCAATACAGAGACCGAGAGCGCAATCACACGAGACATGTCTCCCGTGGCAGCTGAACCCATGGATCCCGATCCTTTCTTCAGTATCGATATTGACAATGTGCGCGCGAAGTCAAGAAGAAGCTCTCTAGCGCCTCCCTCCCCAGAGCCTGTGATGCACGACCCCACGCATCGCCAACCTTCACCACCCTCCGCAGGCCGCGCTCTTCCATCATCTCCCTTGAAGCCGAGAACATCCTTCTCTTCTTTATCTCCTGCATCCGAAACCCGGCGACCTATCAGCAGACGCCCCAGTGTATTTGGAAGACCCTCCAGCCGGTCAGGACGAGGCCCCCTCCCAGATTCCGTTCTTGCCAAGGTCTTCAAGAATCTTGATCTGCCTGATCTGATGCGTCTCAGATTGGTTTCTCCACACTGGACTCGTCTGCTTACCACAAGTCCGCACATCATTCAGGATCTCGACCTCTCACGTTACAATCGCCGTGTCACAGATCATGTTTTGAAAGAGGCCATTTGTCCCTTTGTAGGATCTCGTGCATGGCACGTCAACATAAACAACTGTTTCCATGTAACCGACGACGGCTTCGCCGCACTGGTAGAATGCTGCGGCGAAAGTGTGCGTAGCTGGAGGATGCGCAGTGTGTGGGACGTCACTGGCCAAAGCATTCTGGACCTTGTCAGTCGTGCCAAGCGTCTAGAAGACATTGACCTCAGCAACTGCCGTAAAGTCGGTGATAATCTCCTAGCGCGGATTATTGGCTGGATTGTACCGCAGCCACCCCCTGGTCAGGCAGCGCCTTTGCTTCCTCCTGTGGCTTCATCATCACGCCGCCCTACAACGAAACGCGGCAACAGTAATGTAGTGGTTCCACAGGTAGACCAGCCTGTTCCGGGCACTGTTGTTGGAGCCCCAGGGCTCAAGCGATTGACACTGAGCTATTGCAAACACGTGCAAGATAGGAGTATGGCACACATAGCTGCACACGCAGCGAACCGACTCGAGAGCATTGACTTGACGCGTTGCACTTCAGTCACGGACCAAGGCTTCCAACACTGGGGTCTGTACAACTTCCCGCGATTGCGAAAGCTTGTCCTGGCCGACTGCACATACTTGACCGATCAGGCGATCGTAGGCATCGCGAACGCCGCTCGAGGGCTCAAGGAGCTCGATTTGGTACGTTCAGCATCCAACTGATCCTCAAAACATTGCTGACCATATATAGTCTTTCTGCTGTGCGCTCTCGGACACAGCAACCGAAGTCCTCTCACTAGGCCTTACTCACCTCACACATCTCGATCTTGCATTCTGCGGCTCAGCAGTCTCCGACTCAAGTCTTCGCTGCATCGGTCTTCATCTTCTCGAGTTGGAGTATCTCTCCGTCCGCGGATGTGTCCGAGTCACAGGTCAAGGTGTCGAAAGCGTGGTAGATGGCTGCCCTCATCTACAACTATTCGATGTCAGTCAATGTAAGAACCTTCTGCCTTGGCTACGAGGGGGTGGCGTACAAGCCGTCAGACAGAGAGGCTGCAAGGCCAGATTTGAAGTCGTGGCCGACGGATCATGGCGTGGCAGTGGTGAAGCGTACAAGGGGTTGCATTGCTCAATTTAAGCGAGTTGGACGTTCTTTTTATCATTGAGCATTTGGGAGGAGTTTTGATCTTGGATGTGTTATATGTATGCGTTCTAGCGATCATGATGTTTTTTTTTGCAAATTGATCTTCTAGTCGTTATGTCTTGTGATGCGCTTTCTTCTCGTCGATGGTCTCAGTCGACCGTGTTCGAAATTTCGCGAAAATCATGGATGATTATATTGAGAAAGATTTGGAAACTTACCACATACGGCCACAGTCAGCTGAAAACTGGGCATCCCGTCCGCTCTGCCATACATAAGCAGTTGAACGGCAGATTAGTACTACGGTGGGTGACCACGTGGGAATCCCTGCTGCTGTATGTTTTGCATTTCTTTTGCTCTTGAGAATTCTTAAGTCTTTGATCTTGTGCTGAAGGGACGATTTTCTGAAATCATGAGATGCTTTGAATATCCTTTTGCTTTATGAAACCAGCTTTTCTTCTGCCTTCCACGACTTGGCTGTGATCATTTCGAATGACAAAGTCTTTCTCTCGATAGGCCTTATGCATAGCCGGATGTCGAAATTCATCCAACATCATCTCCGGAGCGTCGAACCGGTGAAGCCTTACAGCTAGCTATCGTTGACAGCCAATCGTGCCTTATGCCACCGCCATCTCCATGTCAGAGACGCGGCCGAGTCTGCGCGAGCGGAGGAACGCGAGTGGTAGGGGTGAGCCAGCAACTTCTTGGCAAGCAATATAACGATAAATCTCACGAAACATATACGACCATCAGGGTTCCTTCATCAAGTGTCAAGAAACTTCGTCTGAGGAGGTCAGTTGACAGAGCTTGTGAACCGATTCAAGCGATCAAAAACCATATAAGCTCCTTGAAGAAATGTCATCCTCACATTCAAGTTATGAAAGCCTTCTAGCCGCGGACATATTTCCTCACGCTTCACCCGACCTACTACGCCTACGCTGGGATCTCAATAGCGATGATATTTCCGACTCGATCCTCATTCTTGATGATCCCACAAATGGGGATTCGGATGGAGAACCATTTTCATCTACGCATCGTATCTGCGAATTGGCTTCGCACTGCCCAGCGGTTTCATCTATCGTTGTCTCCATCGAGAGCTTGAACAACTACGCAAATGAATGGATCTACACACACAAAGTCCATGGCTACCCAGTTGATTTTGATGAAGAAGAATGGGGTCCTCCTATTTTCGACAGCGAAGGTGTTGCTATCCACTGCTGCGGCGAAGATCGTCCTGGCCAAGGACCTAAGCTTGAGATTGTTGCTGAAGCTGGCCATTTTGTGACTGTTGGACAGTTTGTCAATGCCGTCCACCCTTGCTTACGTGGGTTGAAAGGTCAGTTGAACAGCGCTGTGAACGTTTGGCGTTGTTGGGGTCCTCAGGAAGATCCTGAGATGATTGTGAGGCTGTCTTGGATTCCCATCAGGGTGCATGATACTAAAGGATGGACGCCAGAATGGGCCGCGCGGGATAGGGAGATCCAAGCGAAAATTGCAAAGAATACATTTCAGACCATGGGAGAGCTCGGTCTGTAAAATCATCCACTTGCGCTAGTCGTATGTTTGAGTGCTGTGAGAATTAGGCGGACGCGTTGAACGTGTGAGTAATTGCACGAGTCAATTATGTACATACCATCTTGGGGCCACGACAAAGACATGTCTTACGGCGCGTCTGTTCATCAACACAGGGTCGATAGAAATGGCAGAATCACATGATTTTCTCGATATGAAGCCCCTCATTTTTGGGAAGTCACATCAGATTGGCCAAGTGCACAGAGCCTTGGATCTGGAGCTGATACCAAGCACGACTGTCACCGAAGACATTGTTGAGCATCATGGCCGACGCGAACTCGCAACTTCATGTACGAACAGCAAACCTCGATGGCGACGACGTAGAGTTCATCCTGGCGGCTTGGGACTCTACACTCCCATTCCTCGCCTCGATAGGAGCTGGTGAGATGTGGGGCAATCAGCCACTCTCAGCAAGAGCAGGTCAAAGGCAAGAGGTGATAGATATCATCGAGGGGACGACAAAAGAACTTCATGGCAGTCGCGACTTCTTGATTGCGGAGACACGTCGCTCAGAGGGAATGGTCCAGCTGGGGGCCGCTATGACGCGTCAACGTCTACCCGACTATCTCAATCAGCATGTTGATATCAGAAGCCACATAGATGCCAACAAGGCACTCATATACCTTGAGGTTTTAGTTGCCGACCAGCGACCAAACAGGCGCTACAAAGGAGCAGGACAAGCGCTCGTTGAGGCCCTCAAACAACGCGCTCGATTGGATGGCAAAGACATATTGTACGTTGACGTTTGGGCTGGCAACAATAGAAGGCTTAACATGCAAGTATGGCCATGAGAAAAAGAAGACGCATGACTGATTTTAGCATGAAGGTACTACGAGGGTATCGGCTTCACGAAGGTCGTTGACTTCCAACTGGAAAGAGGGGATAGGAGCTTCTGGCCAGGAACACTGTATTGTGTCGATTTGAGTACCGTTTGAATTGGCGACAGGCTGGGATGAAATCACACTGGTAGCAATAATGATGCCTGCAAGGATGAGATGTGTCGACGCGATGGCTGAGTTACGACCAGGGCTGCTATGACGTATGTCCTTAAATACACAAAAAATGGTAGGAGCGAAGAACTCAACTTGCTGGGTTCCTTCCTCCTTGCTATTGAAAACCTTCGAGTGAGGCGTTTGTTTGTAGAACTAGACCTCGGATGTTCGAGATGACGACGCAAGTAGAAGATGTTTTCGAGGAGATCCCTAGTCCGGGAAAGCGCGTCCAGAAGATGATTGGTAAGGAACAACGATGTGTCAATTCCCATTGGAATAGAAATAAAATGCTAACAATTCCTAGACAAATCGAATAAAGCCGATCAAGACGTCCTTCTCGATCTTTGCGGTTAGATCGCGTTCTTGAGAGAAGACGATGATTGCATCGATGCATTGAATAGAAACATCCCTCCTTACGACTGGCTTGAGAAGCCCGATGCAAAAGCGGCTCTCAAACGTCGATACGGTGGCAAACTCCTTTCCAAAGACAAAAGACTACGGTACAGCGGTCCGGAGAAGGTGTTCATATCTTGCGAGGAAAGGGAAAAACGAAAGTTTCTCGACCAATACAGGTTAGGAATCGACACTTTCGATCCCTTGATTGAGGGTATGGGCTGTGGTACCTACATCTTGGGTATCGATGTTATTTCTTGCATCTCTCCTGTGAAGCAGAACATGCATCTCGCGATCATGTCCGGATCGTGGCGGAAGGGCGGACAAGACAGTATCCGTCTTTCAGAGATCACTGATGATATCGCTGGAGGTGACACGTACATGCTTCACTCCGCACTTATAGGTATGACCATTCTCTAGGAAGGTACGCACAATCTACTCACGAGAAACACAGATCAGGTAATCTTCTTGCCATCTCCTGTTGATGCCAAAGCCTTCCGGATTGTCGTTGTACCATCAGCTGCAGCCGGAGCTTCTACGATAACAAAGACACTTCCAAAACTCATGGTTCTGGATGTACCCCGGGAGCACAAACTTGATGGAACCATGGGGGAGAATGCTGGTCCGTACGACACTGCCGAAGATGTGATTGAAAGAGTTTTCGACGACAAATCTATGATGGGCGGACATGGAAAACATGTTATTAAACCTGATCCTGCAGAGTTCATCAGCAACGTGGGAAACTCGGAACGAAGAGGAAAAGGAGATAATGTGCACACGAGATCCCGCCAACTTGCAACCGCTGTATACGAAGGTGAACGAACCCGAAGGTAAGAGATGCCGCTACGCCTTCGAAAGTGATAACACAGCTAATATCGAGAGGTTTCCTCTATTTGCTACCGACTGGATTGTTCTATGGATGGAAAGATCCTATTCCACACCTACCCCACGAGTTGGTAAAGAGCGTCGAAATCTATGAAGGAGCAAAGACAAAGAAGACATTCGATCTCGTAATTCATGCATCGGAACCTTATTATCACAGAGGACAACTTACCGAAGTCCCCTTCAAAGGCCTTTCGAAGCAGGATTTGGAACCTGTAAAAAGGCAAGCAATCACCGTCGTAGTCCCCCAACCTTCTTACTGACTCTTTTTCTAGATATCTGTACCTGAAATGCGGTAAGAAAGTGAAACAAGCTAGTCAGAACACATCTCCAATCGGCAGCGAGGACCAAAGAGTAGCTGTCGAGATACGCGATACTTTCTTGCATGTGCGGTGTGCCAATCGAGAGTAAATACACCCCGCGCTCTCTCTGGACAACCACCCCAATCCCAAATACATCGTGCATTTTGACGTGGCCACTACGATGGGTGATCTTTGAAGGAAAATATACAGCAGGGGTTCTCCGGGCCACGGAAAAGGGGTAGAGTCCGATCTCGTCGCCGGCGTAGTTTATGGAGAAGTCGTCAAAATGCATAATGATTTTCGGATACGGTCAATTGTCCGTTGAGAGTGCCACCTCTGCATGCTCTCACTGGACACCAATCGAATCTCGAAAACGACCTTGCGTTTTGATGGGCTGTTTCAAGGGGAGTCTGATGATGAGATGCTGGCTCAGGGAGCTCGGTGGCAGTCAGACAGGTCTTCAATGTAGGTACAAAAAAACTCAACTCCCTATCGCCAGCGATGCACTGTTGCGAGCCCGTCAAAAGACACAGTGTTTTTGGGCTTCGTAGATCTGTCCATTGGAAGCAACTGCTTGGTTATCTCTCACTGGCCATCTGTGGCTTCCCAAAAATGATCTTGCCTTTTCACGCATGCGACAGCCCCTGATAGGAAGAGGGATCGCGGATAAAGTGCATTACCGTTGCGGCTTACTCTGGTTGATACTATGCATGTTCACGATCTCTATCACATCAGGGTGCACCTACTAGGCGTAGAAATACAATTGATCGTCTGGGCTCTAACGAAGACTTAGGAGCTGTCGTCGAGGGCGAAGGCTTCGAGGCCGAGGGCGACTATGCGATCGGCAGCCTCCTCTACCTCGGCGGTAGACATTTCGGCCACTTCGGGCTCGGCGGCGACATCGTCACTAGCCTCGCTAGTCTCGCGCTTGTTCTTGCTCTTGTTCTTCTTCTCCTTCTTCTTGGAAGCGGCGGCGGCGGCATTGGCTGTAGCGGCCCTCTTCTAATGCTTGGTGTTAGTGTGGTCCTACGTAGATTGAAGATAAGTTGTTGTATACGTACTCTGCACTTCTTGCAGGTGCCCATTGTACGGCCGGTAGGAGCACCCTCGACGTCAGCAGGCAGGTACTTGTTGAAGTCTGGTAGGGGGAAGGTGCCCCTACAGCCCTTGCAGTAGGTGGGTGTAGTAGCTTGTTGTGCGGTAGAGGTCGACATTTTTAGTCGCGCGTTTGATGATGTGGATGTCGTCGAATTGTTTAGAATTCAACGAGTCGTTCACCTTGTAATGGACGCCGAGCTTGCGGTCAGTGTCGAGACTTTGCCGTGCGTGCTGTCTCGGCCTCCTATCTTGGCCGTTCACATACTGGCATGAATCTCTGGACTCGAGAGCTAGTCGTGAATATACCTGACTGTGTTCTTTGAGTTAAGTGCTCCTTTCTATGAGTAAAAGGCTAAACGCAAAATCCAGCAGAAACATGTTGACTTCCTGATAGACTGTTCTTTTAGGTAGGTATGAGAATATGTAGGGAAGCAAGGATACAAACATGCGAAAACACTTGGGTTACTATACCGACAAAGGATTGAGCAGATCCGTTGAAAACATATTCTCAGACGCATCCTTCTTTTGGCCTATATCGCGGTAGGATCATCATAGTATGAGAGTCTCTCCCTGACTATTTCCGGAATCTGTGGGTCGATAAGGGCATCGGGTATCGGCTGATCGTTCTCGATGAAGTTGAGGATAAGCTGCTCCCGCTGGATGTATGTTTGCAGCGCATGTTGGATCCTGTCGCCTTGAAACATGCCTAGACGAGGGCCAATAACTCTCGTCTCGTCCCGTATGCTTATAAGCTCCTGCATCATCAAAAACTCAAGTCTCATACCACGGAGCTGCTGAAGTAAAGCCAGTGGCCCGCGATGTCCCTCAGGGTCCTCGTCCTCATCGTCAAACTCGACGTACAGATTGCGTAATACCAGCCAACGCAAGGTGCGACGTTGTTCTCCCAAGAATTCCATCAGTGCACCTAGGTCGACAAAACACTTGTGCAGCGAGAATTCGCGAAGACCAATGAGAGCGAAACATGATTCCAGAGAAGAGCCACAATCCATGGCAAAGTCCGATTGAAATCTCGCTCTGCGGAGTGGTTCGATGTATTCTTGAGCATGTTCGGATGTGGTGCTGAAAACGAGACGTGGGCCATAGGTGCTGAAGAATATGTTCCATGCGGTGTTTAAGGATGGTTGATGACCAATGATGTCCAATGTTCTGTCGAATCTCAAGTCTGTAGATATGCCCGCGCCTGGTCGTTTAGGTTGAAAGAGGAATTCATCGATCGCATTATTGAAGCCGTAAGCATTCCGTTCTGTTGCCCAGATAGGAAAAGATACACCATCGCAGAGACTCATCTCCATCCGCGGCATTGCATATCCTGCTCGTTCTGCAGCCAGATTGATGGCTTGTAGAGTACGTCCGGGATTTGCTTGCAGAAACGTGTAGTCTGTGAGTCCACTGTAGGAGTCTTGAAATCCATAGGCCTTTTTGAATGGCACCTTGTTGTACTGACCACTGCCAGGCTTTGTGACCTCAGCAAGATCATCATGAAGACCAAGTGTAACGTCGAGCTCGCGATCTTTAAGATTCTTCAATGCTCGGGACAGCATATCAACATGAGCTCCCGACTTCACAAATTTTTCAAGTGCCTCTGCACGAGTTTGAAATTCGCCTGGCATATCGGACTTGTATTGAAGATAATGGGTTCCAAATGTCAGACGGCGAAGTTGTCTTCCAAGCACAGGGTGTGCTGTCAATTTGAGCAAAGCGGCTAGACTGTATTCTGAGAATATCAAGGATATGTCCTCAAGATAAGCTCGAGCGAAAGGCTCGCTGAAGATGACACAAAGACCTTTGCAAGTTAGACGAAGAGCAGGCAAGTCGTCCCGGTCCACTACGTCGCAGACGACATCCATCACCTCCGGAGGGATGGCTAGAAACGATGACATCTTTTCGACACTCCAGTCAGACAATGTCTCCAGCTCCAGTCTAGTTTGCTGCAAAGAACGTGATGTGTGACAAGAACCGAATAAAGGTCTTGGGTGATTTCCAGGAGAGGTTCAGAGGCACGCTTGGACCGTGCAGGCCCCACCCTGAACACGGCGCCAACCTTGTCTCTATCACTCTCCGTCCTTCTTTCCAGACAACTCTGTGTTTCTTGTACGGCATCAAAGAGTTATGGCTTCGTTGCTGGATCTACCCATCGAAGTTCTTCAATTGGTTCTTGACAACATTAATTGCGAAAGTCTCGCGTATCTTCGACTCGTTTGCAAAAAAGCGTACTATACCGCAACTCCTACTTTTGGGCGCAAATATCTAGGAACCATTCATCCCGTATTGTTCTCAGAATGCTTGGAAGCATTGGTTGAGATCTCCAAGAATCACATTCTGCGCCATTACGTCAAAAGTATCTTGTTTGTGTCTTACGCTCTCAAGCAAGGAAGCTGCGCTTTGCAGGTCGTCGTTTCTCAGCATCGCCCGGAGACCAGCGAATGGCTCATCCGCAGACATCAAGATTGCTCGGACCATCAACTAAAATTGGTCGAGTCTGGCCGCCACATCGAACTGATTGCAGAAGCTCTCACCAACTTCAAGAATGCTCAGATTCCGCTGAATCTGGGTATTTTCGACCTCGAGCTTAACAACAGTGACAAGATCCCTATCGGAACCGGCTGGGGTGCGGAGTTGTTCTATGGTGAGCTGCTTGAACTCGACATTTGGACCACGGACGGCGGAAACGTGTTGAATACAGTCATTACTGCTGCGAACTCCTGCGAATATCCTCTCGAGGCCATTGAGATAGATGCATGTGCGTGCATGACGGTCCCCATGGGTATGGGAAGGCAATTGACAGCAGACACACCTCAAGTTGATCGACTACTTACCGATCTCCTTCTCGACGGCCGCCGTGGCAACTCGAAATTTAGTGTCTGCGTGAAAACCACTCCGACCAGTGACAGCGTTATGACTTCACAACTCCGTATTGAATGGCCAGAGCGACGCCTGATCTTCCAAAGCCTGCAACGTGCACGAGAAACACTCCTTGCTCGCTTCAAGTATAACACGGGTCTGGGGCTGCTGGCAACAGTGTTGAAGACCAACACGTTCAGCGAGATTGAACTATCACACTGCGTGGTCGAGACATACACTCTGGCCAAGTTTATTCAGAACCATGCTAGAACTCTGCAACAGCTGAAATTGTCACACATTGTGTTTCGCAAGGACCGTCGGCATCGCCGAGAGTACCCAAGCTTTTCTGCACGACGATTTCTGACTTTCCTGAGGGACAATCTCAAGAGCTTGGAGTATCTCGAAATCTGTGATATAATAAGCCTTGAACCTCCTTGGCCATCTGGTAGATCGTTTGTCGAAAGTCCAAAGCTGACTGGCCGGAAGGAGATCGTATCTACCATCAACTCTTGGCTAGAGAGAATGACCTCCTGAGGGGGGCGACCGCGTACGGCTTCCAGCACTCCGAATCTCTGCGTGGGCGACCATGTGGACATTAAACAACACCCCCAAACCACCAACGAACTCACGAATCACTAACGACTTATGACTTGACAATTCACGGCTTACGACGACTTCCAATTTCTGTGGAGACGCGACACATCCGTGGTGTCAATGATTCACTCTTTCCTCGCAAAAGCAACCTCATCCAGAAACTTAACAGCGGCATGAAAATTGCGAATGGTGGATACTATAACAAGCTTATCTAGCACCACGTCCGGACAATCGACTCAAGAAAGATTAAGCCATTTCGTAAGTAACTAGCAATCCAGGTCCATGATCCTTGGCGACTTTCTCTATCGATGGCTCTTGAACGACTGACATGCAGAGACAGAAGGAATTCACGTTACTTTCGACCTCCTGTCTTGGTTTGCGTGACAAATCCTGACTTCTCATCCGGTATCTTTTGGTTACCCACGACCCACCTAAACCATTCATCGTTTCCTTCAAAATCTATTCTTAGATCTCATAAATCATATCTTTTCTTTACCCACTATCTTCTACACCCCTTCACCTACCTCTCTTGTACCCGTCGCGCTGCATCTCCCCCGCCTCTCAATTCCTACTCTTGTACCAATCTCTCCACTTCTGCATCCCATCTCTCGTAGAAGGAGGTGTTCATGTTGTAGCTGAGGAGGATTGTCACTTGTGAAGTACTTGGCCGTTGATGTTTCGCGCGATAGCAGGAAGGAGCCGTGTGACCTGCGTTAGAAGCTTCAGAGCAGTCTTTGTGAGCAGAGTGTTCTGATCCAGACGACCTTTTTTCATAATGCTTGCGAGGATGACATGCACCAGAGTTTACAATTGTTACGCTCAGCGATGAGGAAAACAGTGGTCATTGAACCAAAGAAGAAAATGTCATTATCTTGGATTATGTTAAAAGCAAAGTACTATTGGCCCTTGTCCCCGTTGTTCCTCGTGTCTCGTAAAACGATCTTTATTTATCCTTCTATCGATCATGCGCCATTCTGCTTCATCTTCTGGGGCTCGACGTTCCAGATCATCTCGGCGTACTCCTCGATACAGCGGTCGGCGGTGAAGAAACCCATGCGAGCGACTGAGATGATGGTCTTGTGGAGCCAAGACTCCTGGTCCTTGAAGGCCACATCGATAGAATCCTGGGTCTTGCAGTATGCTTCGAAGTCGGCAGAAGTCAACCAGTGGTCGTGATTGACGACTGTGTTAGTCAGAGCGGAGAACTCGTCTGAGTGACCAAACATGCCATTGTGGATGGCATCGAAGACCTTCTGGAGACCGTCGTCGATCAAGACGCCTTCGTAGGTGTGCTGGTGACGGATGTCCTCAACGTCCTCAGCCAAGTTTCCGAACAAGAAGATGTTGTCCTCGCCAATCTCTCTGGTGATCTCGATGTTGGCACCGTCGCAAGTACCGATGATGAGACCACCGTTGAGGACGAATTTCATGTTCGAAGTACCAGAAGCCTCAGTACCGGCAGTGGAGATGTGCTCACTGATATCAGAGGCAGGGGCAATGATCTCACACTTGGACACATTGTAGTCTTCGATGAAGATGACCTTGAGCGCATCGCCAATCTCAGGATCGTTGTTGACGACTCTGCCAACTTCGTTGACAAGATGGATGATACACTTAGCCATCCAGTAGCCGGGAGCAGCCTTGCCACCAAAGATGGAGACCCTAGGCTGCATCTTCTTTCTCTCTTCGGGCGACATAGCCTTTAGAGCCAGATAGCGATGAATGACACCGAAGATATTGAGTTGCTGACGCTTGTACTCGTGAATACGTTTGACCTGGATGTCGAAAAGAGCTGCAGGGTTGACCTTCACGCCAGTAGTATCCTTGATGTAGTTGGCAAGGCGAGTTTTGTTGGCATACTTGATGTCTTGGAAAGCCTTACGGAACTGCTTGTCATCGGCGTAGGCCTCAATCTTGTGCAAGAGGGTAAGGTCCTTGAGGAAGTCGTAGCCACCAAGCTTGGAAGCGATGAGCTCGGACAGCTTGGGGTTGGCTTGGTGCAGCCAGCGGCGAGGAGTGATACCGTTGGTGACGTTGGTGAATTTGTCTTGACCGTAGATCTTGACGAAGTCCTTGAAGATGGTGGTCTTGATCAGATCAGAATGCAACTCGGCGACACCATTGACCTTGTGAGAGCCTACAATGGCAAGGAAGGCCATGCGGATCATCTTGGGGTTAGACTCCTCGACGATGGAGACACGGGAGAGCATGTCGCGATCCTTAGGGAAGGTGCGCTCGACGTATTGCAGGAAGTGTAGGTTGATCTCGTAGATGATCTCAAGGTGACGAGGGAGCAAGTGCTGGATCAATGGGACAGACCACTTCTCAAGAGCTTCTGCCATGACAGTGTGGTTGGTGTAGCCAAAGGTATTGACAACAATGCTCCAAGCAGTGTCCCAGTCGAGACCCTCCTCATCTACCAGGATGCGCTGCAGCTCAGGAATGGCAAGCGTCGGGTGAGTGTCGTTAAGCTGGATGGCAATTTGGTTGGGGAACTCCTTCCAGGCCTTCTTCGACTTCTTGAAACGACGGACGATATCGTGGAGCGAGGCAGCGCACCAGAAGTATTGTTGCTTGAGACGAAGCTCTTTGCCGCGGTCAAGGCTGATGTCGTGTCAGTAGATTATCAAGCATGTCAGATAAAGTAAACTCACTTGTCGTTAGGGTACAAGACGGCCGAGATAGTCTCGGCTCTCATCTGATCATGTACAGACTGCTCATACTCGCCAGAGTTGAACTTCTGGAAGTCGAACTCACCGCTAGCGGCCTTACTAGACCACAGGCGCAGGTTGTTGGTGGTGGGGGTGTTGTATCCGGGGATAGGTACATCGTAGGCGTTGGCAGTTACTATCTCGCCATTTTCCCATACGGAAACCTGTCTTCCATTTTCATCATTGTACTTGCGGACATGTCCGTAGAACTGGATGTCAACCGTAACGTCGTGTCTGGGGAACTCCCAGGGGTTGAAATCGAGCCAGTAGTCGGGCACTTCGACTTGGTAGCCGTTGATGATCTCCTGCTTGAAGATACCATACCTGTATCTCAGACCATAGCCCCAGGCGGGGTAGTCGAGCGAGGCAAGACTGTCCAAGAAACAGGCAGCCAGACGTCCAAGACCGCCGTTACCGAGAGCGGCATCGCGCTCGATGCCAATGACATCTTCCATGCGGAAGCCAAGGTCGGCGAGACCATCTGTAAAAGTGTCAGCTCCGTTAGGTCCAGTGCAACAAGCTGCACGACATACCTCTTGCAACGTCCTTCAAGCCGACATTGAGCATGGCGTTGTCCAAGGCTCTTCCCATCAAGAACTCAAGAGAGAGGTCTATGCTTGTCAGTACTAGAATGCTCATGACATGTGATTGGGCTTACAGTAGACGCGCTTCTGGTCGGCAAAGGTATGACTTTGCTGAGTCTTGTTCCAATCAATTATCAGACGGTCGCGGAAAGCCAAAGCTGTTCCGCCGTAGGCAGCGCTGCGACAAGTGTCAGCCGATCTTCTGCTCTAATGGGACTGTGACACGCACCCTTCATCGCAGTTGTAGAGCGACCGAGCGAGAGTTGTCTCGATATGGCGAATGGCAGCAGACTATCCGTCTAGTCAGAAGCGTGTTTGGATGTGTATATTGAAGCCTCCTTGTACCTCGAAGTCCTCCTTGTTCTTGAATCCAGAAGCACTCTGCTTAGTGTTAGCGTCGGTTCGGGGGTGGTACGGAAAGCCAGGCAAGGTCGTACGTGTTTCTTCCAGCTATAAGCTTCGTGTTAGTCAAGTCGTCGATATGTGGACCGCTTTGCTGACTTACGCAGTCTTTTGCTCGTCGGGAATCTCAGCTTCGACGCTCTTGATATCAGATGCTCCGAAGCCTGTGATTGTACGCTTGTGCTTGGGCCTCGTGATGCCGGCGGGTCCAATTGGCCCTGAGAGTTCAGCGACAGGAGCCGATGTCGATGGTCTACGCGACCGAGAAGGGGTCGTTGTGGTTGCCATAATTACAATGGTACGAGTGGTCTGGGGAGTGAGGGGGCTTGAGGGGGGTGAGGGGCAGCTTTCTGCGACTCGAGGCGTTGCAAGGAACAGGAAGATGATTGACCGAAGGAAGAAGAGGACGAGGTGAGAAGGAGCTGAAGAAGAGGTTCACGGCTCCCAACGATTCCCGAAGCTCTGGTCTTGCTGCCGTAGGTGGCTGCTGCTGCTGAGAGCGTAGAGGATTGGCTCTCTGCTGAACTGTTGCATGCTCCGTAACTTCCCCCGAAGCTGCTGATGCGGGGTACGAAAGGGAAGGCGCGGGTCTGGCGTGATCTGGAGCCGCTCGGTTCAGCCTTCCGAAACCTTCACCAAAGTCGTCGCCCGACGCCCGTGCCTGAGCTGTCGTGTTTGTTGATGCTCCTCACACATGCACCCATCACGGAAAGGATTGCGATATGAAGATAGAGTAGCACCCAGCGCTTGTTGATATTAGGATTACTAGCTAGCGTCTTGTCTGCTTTTCATGGGCTGTTGCCATGTTGAAATATCAGGTGGGTATCGTCACGACCTGTCAAAATCCACGCTGCCTTTCCTTCCCGACCCTATCCGTGATGCGCCCTAGCCCTCATGTCGAATCTCGATTATGCTGCCCAAACGCCTGATCCCATATGCATGTGTCGTACCTGTATCCACATCGACCTCCGGGGTCGACAAGCTCGACGAAGCCTGCTTCGTCAGATATCACTAGCCATACAATCCTGTTTATGCTGGCGTCGCAGGCAGATATTTAGACATCAAGTCGTCTTCTCCGTGGATACAGTTGGGCGAGGGTTCTGGTGTAACAAGTCCATGCTGAACCATGGTCTGTGGGCCGAGGATTAACCTGAGAGATTCCTCCTCATCGACAATGAACGGCGCGAACGACGAGAGCTTCGTATGTGCGACAACTCCCGAGCCCGACAAAGCCTTGAGCGCTGCATCGATGGGCGTAGGGGCGGAAAGAGGGTGGATTGACCATTCGAGTTTGGCAAGAACGATGCGGTTCATCGAGCTGATCTGCTCGGTGCTGAATATGCCCTCGGCCACCTGTCTCGACCAGTGGAACAAGTTTCTAGAATTGTCCTCTGTGAATGATACTGCGACACTCAAAGCTGAAAGAATGACTAAAGCTCGCTGGCAAGAAGCATCCGATTCCGGTCCGTGGATTTGCATCATCTTCGATTGCATCTGAGCGGAAGTGGAAGAGACCGAGTTGCCGTGCCAGCAGTGGATGGCAGCAACGGCTGGTTGAGACAGTATGTTGTAGACCAGAGCTACAGTCTCCATGGGCACACGAGAGTTGTCCAAGAATTGCGTGATCATCGACTGCAATGACTTGACAGAGTTGCAGCTGTCACATGCAGTGATGTTACATAGCACTTCGGCAGCAGTTGCGACTACGATTGCCATTAGCTCACGTGCTCGTCGACAAAATATGTTGGTCGTACTTACATGAAGAGGGGACGTCGGACATGAGCGAGTCATGTCTTCCATGAAAAGATTCTTCTCTCCACCAGGCTTCCTTCATTTCGGGCGAGGGCAATTGAGATAGAGGTGGAAGACTGTCGAGGTAGGCATCAAGGTCCGGAGAGGAAAGAGTGTCGCAAAAGCTAAGGGCTGGAGAAGATAGAGCCGACATTTTGAATGACTGAAAACGCGTTGAGGGATTCAAACGAGCATGCTCTTCCAGGTGGGTCAATACCGATGTTATATGTCCAGAGCCGAGACCAGGGCAGAGACGTTTGTCTGAGTTGGGGATGAGAGAACGCGTGAGAGTGAAAGGTGAAGAAACGGCCAGGTATTATCTACCAGAGAAGGCACGTGGAATCTTCCTTTTTCCGTCGAGTGGAGTGCGGACTAGAGGCCCAGAGACTAATAGAGTAAAGGTGCGAGACACGTAGGTCTTGTGTGGGGATAGTGGCGTGTGTTAGGATGAGAACGCTTCTCAACGGTAATTGCGAAGCCGTTTCGAATATGTTCAATGGTGCCGAAGGAGGATAGCGACGTCTTTTAGAATGGAAAAAGGGAGAAAAATCAATTGATGCTGTCTTCACCGACTTTCGATGTCCTGCATTCGCGGCGTCGTGAATAGCTCGGCCTTACTCGAAATTGGGCAGATCAGGAGGGCGCAGTACGGGATGAGACTTTGCCGGGATGCTCATGCGTCTCTTGGCGAGTTGGCATTGCCTTTAAGGATAGACAAACACGAGCCAAAGCTGCTTTTCTAGAAGTGATGCCGCACAAGGATTGTAAAAGAGTTGCACAGGCCCTTTGGTGTCGCAATTTGATGGTCGTATCAGGTACGTTTCCCGCCAAGGGGTGTGTGTTTCGAGAGTCAGGGTTCAAGCCAAACAAGGCCCGAGGCGGCCGAAAGTTTAGTATTCTTCGCGGCTGGGCACACTATCGAACAGCTTCAAGACCTCAAGTCGTTTTCCCATGGCCGTTGTCTCTATCGATTTGCCGGCAAGAGGAAAGAAGCCTTCCACTGCCGTCAGAGGCTTCTACGATGTTCAGATCCAGACCTGTTGTTGTCTTATCGGGCTGAACACGTGGAATCCGGCATTGAGGTCGAACAGGTCAGAATCAAGACATCAACGACGAATCGATGATGGTCCGGGCTGTCTGGCAATAGATCGGCAGGTGTGTGATGCGGGGAAAGCTCTTTGGTTGTTGTGCAGGAAAGAAGGTGGAGGTACCTCCAAGATGTACCTTCTCCGTCAAGAGACAGAACTCGCGATGGCAGCTCTTTCCCACTCATAGAATTCGTAAAGCAAGATGGAAGGCAGGCAGCATCCAACCCCTCGTTTCCCGAACGAGACGAACAACATCGACTGTCGAACACGCCGGGGTAAACAAGACTGTTCACTTCGCTCTTTCATTCAAAACAACTCCACATCATCTTACCTGCAAGAAGTCATCCCTCATCACAGTTTCTTGTCCGTGTATCTGCAAAGATCACACCACATCCATCTCAAGCAGCTCCTCGTACAGTGTGGCGTCGACAGAAGCACCATCACAGCACTCTCAACCCATAATCATCACCACAACGAACCATCCTGCAATGGCTCCTACCGCTCCCAACCACGACGACCTGATCAGCGAGAGACCCAGCACCAGCACTGCCGGTAGTAGCCCTGCCTCAGCCACTTCGCAGGTCTCCAACGACAAGGCCGCCATGTACCACTCGCCCGAGTTCCACCCTGCTCACTCGCACGCCGACAAGGTGCAGGAGGCCCACGAGCCCCAGCCTCACCTCCACCGTCGCATGACCGACAACTACGAGCGTGACTTGAAGGCTCAGGCTGTCGCCGCTGGCAACCACGACCCTGATGCCGCTCATCTCGCCTACCGCAGCGACCCTACCATCCCCGACGCTCCCCCTGCTCTCAACACCACTGGTAGACAGCCCAGCTTCAAGCTGAGCGACCAGAAGAGAGCTGCCATGGAGCGTACCTTCAACTCCGACCCCAAGTCTCCCGGCTACACCACCACTTCTCCTTCTGCTGGCAAGTAGCTTCAAAGCCATCCGACAACACCTACATCTTCCTTTCTGCACTCGTGGTCGAACGCTTCATCGACATTGCAGTTCGGAAAAGCAATGCTCTCACTTGGCCATTCAGTGTGGAGAGGGTCCATGGACATGTTCGGTCTTCGCTCAAAAAGCTACAAGGTGTTATCGAAGGGAGAAGATGGCAGTGTTGACGACCTGGGCGATTGAGAATCGTCTGGCTGCCAATGACTTTTATGCTTTATGGAAAATCATTGCTGATGATGATGACCTGGGATGGGATATCAACGGCGTTTATCGGGAACCAACGGGCGTTATTCCTTTATCTGTACCGACCTGCGTTGCTTGACCTGAAACCTTAATCCAAATCTTCCTTTGCCCTGTTGATCGTGCTGATCGCTTGCAACGTCCGTTCACCATCGTCTTTAACTGTTCCCCATGTTCGTCAGTTCCGCGTTGAATGTGAGTGCAAGTCTTCGCAGCGGCTGTTCGTCAGTACAACTGCCGGTATAACTTGAGCCTATACACAGACAAAGCAATCACGCTCTTTTCGCGATGTCTAAATGTACAAAGGCAATGTCAGTCTGACGAAATTCTCACAGCACGTCCGCTCTACACCCATATACCGCACCAAGATATAGAAACGGTAGAAGAACAACAACACTCGAGTGCTGAACGGCAAGACCAAGACAAAAACTGCATGTACTGCTCATGGCTGCTTTCCCTTTCGGATCAAGATATATCTATACTCTGACTCTCAAGACCTCATCTTCAGCAATCTGGGCCCAAGAGATAACCGGCCAGCTAGTAAGCAAGCAAGCCACAAAATAAAACGAGTCATGGGGAAAAAGAGCAAATGTCTCTCCCTATAATCTTCCCGCATGTCTCAAAAAATGCCACGAAAGTATTACCGGTGCTGCTAGCAAATCTGCCCGTTCTGCAGGTCGAGACGCCTCCAATATCTTCTCCATCTTCAGGGCTGTGTTTGGACGAGGCGTTGTTTTGTTTGTCGATGACGCTGTCGGTTGCGGTACTTGGAGTTCAGCAAGTGTGGCTTACTCCTTTGCAGAACAAGCGCTGCGAGCAATGTTCCATGTGATCAAGACGAATCGTCGGCAGCGAAAAAGACGCTGGTCGGTGTGGTTGAGAGCTATCGGGAAGCTTCCCGTGGTTGTCGTGGATGGATATGCATATCGATATCGTTCAAGTCCTGCGATTGCCCGACGGGGGGCCTTACATCAGCTTCTGTTTTGTCGCATCTCTCAATATCGTCGTTTATCACGCATTGCCAAGTGCATCCGGTTCCTTCTTCTTAGGAGCCTTCTTCTGCTTCCTGCCAATGACAACATACGAGTCCAAGCTCAATTTCGTCTCCGGCTTCTCTTTCTGCTTGGAAACAACAGGGGTGTTGGGCGGGGTTTCATACCAGTCGACATCACTGAGCTGCAGCTTTCTGCTTCTGGTGACGTTGCGTGAGGTCCCGGACTTGTCAACACGGGGTTGGTTATAGGGGGACTGTGCATCTAGAGCTGCTGTAGGGGTAAAAGAGGCATGGTCAGCATTTGGAGTCGCGGGAGAAGCTCTAGGCTTGAAGTTTTCGTTGCGTGTGCTAACGGCGTAGGAAGATGAGATTGCAGATGGGGGAAGGGGTGTATGAAGACTTAGACCACGAACAATGTTGATATTGCCATGGCTGCTTGTTCTGGGTATGTGTGAGGCATTGGCTGCTGCAGGATTGTTGAAATCCCGAGGCAGCTGTTGGCGGTTTAGGGCGCCTTTGCCTACGAGGACAGTGCGATTTGTGTTGGGTTGCATGATGTAATGGAAGGATGATTCACCATCGTTGGGGTCGTCGTCGCGAAGGTCATAGTTGAGGACCAGATTCTTGATGCGCTGTTGCTCTGCGCGAGCCTGCTCTTGCTGGCTCCGCATAGCAACTGCAAAGTTCGAGTCTGAAGGCAGGTCAATGGAGCGAGTCTGTTGAAGTTAGCGCTGATCGATATAATCATTTTGGGGAGCTGGTGTCTGGTTCTTGCCTGTGGTTTGTTTCCTTTTCTGCTGAGAAGTGCGAATTTCATCGTGTTTGAGGTAGGCTCGACGGGCTGGGCCGGTTCGCTGTTAGGAGTTGACGTAGCAGTGGCAGTCTTACGCATGGGCAAGGGAACGTCGAAGACAGGCTTGCGGTCAAACTTGCGCGACTCGACGCTCTCCGCCATCATCTTAGCCAGTTCTCTGTCGAACTCGGCATCTGCCTCGGGATCGCGCTGGTCCTCGGGACGTGTGACGACAATATGCTCTTCTTCGTCTTCAGTACCTTCCTCTGGGGTCTCACCGGCGCCTTCATCATCGGTGGGCTCGGCAGATTCGTCTCCGGATGACTTGTCGTCTTCACCGTCATCATTGTTGACGTCGTCAATGCCACGACCGTCTTCTTCCTCTTCTTCCTCTTGTTCTGCCTGCTGCTTGTTGGACCCAGAGTTCTGGTAGTTGTGCTTGACAGCCTCGCTGAAGACTTGCTGTGCTTCCTCGAACGTGGTAGCAACCTTCCATTGGGGTCGCAACAGAGCAAACATGTCCTGAACCACAAACTCAACATCCATAGGCATCGGCTCCTTCGTCTGGATGTAGTACTGGAAGAACGACAAGAAGAAGTCAAGCTTCTTCTTGACCGCACCCTTGTCAAAGTACATACCGCATGTCTCAAGGAGACTAGCCACGAGTCTGATGCGGAAGTAGTCATCGGGTAAGTCGAGCATGTTGTAAGCGCCTGGGCGGGCGAATCCACCTGGATGACCATAGTTGATGATGTGGTAGAGTGTGTCAAAGATAAGAGCAGAGTCCACCATACGGTAGACGTACAGCTCACCCAGATACTTGACTTCGGCAATACGCTTCTGGTTCTGCTTGAAGTCGTTGGTCTCGAGTCCAACCGTTATTTGCTCGAGCACATCATCTAGAACAGAAACTGTGAAGCTCTGATGATAACGATGCAGCGCTCCAAGGATGACAGCCAATAGATGGACATTGCTGTACTTGATCTTGCCTGGCTTGGTGAAGATCTTGCGAAGAAGCTCCGGGACCTCTGGCTCTTCCCAATGTAGCTTTCGGATCTGCTTAATCACCTTTTCGAGGGAGCGCTTCGAAAGATCAAGGTAGATGAGCTTGCGCACGTATAACTCGAGAGGGGTTCGTTCTTTCTGCTGAATGGCCGCGCGCTCCGGAGGATTGACGTAGTACATGGCGTTTTCAATAAGCATACGCTCCTGTTGACCAAGATGCTGAGCACCCTTCTTGCGTTGCAATGTCTCCAGGAAGGAGGCCATTCTTGGTGAGGTATCCGGGTTGCGAAGGAGATACCTACCGCAATTCTCGAGAAGGTTCGAGATGATCTCGATGTTCATGCGCGAAAAGTCGTCGAGACTGACCTTCAAGCAGTGGAAGATAACATGCTCGGGCACAACGCCGAACTTAGTAAGCTCAGCGATGTAACGGATGTTGATCATACGGACTTGTCCAAGGAAATCCTTTGACTTGCGGCGCTGTAAGCTCCTGAATTCCTCATCGAGGTAAGCGATCAAGGCTTGAGGAACATCGATCAAGTGTTTTCCAAGAGTCGCGACGAGTCGTGAATATAGGGGCAACAGGTCGGTGCGACCCTTGGGAATATCCTGGATTGCCCTCACCAAGCGGTTTCGAGAGGCCTTGGAGTTCAAGAAGCAAAAATCAATGGCAAATTGATCAACTTGGTCTTTGTTGGTCAAGTCGACAAGTTGGGCAAGCAATGCATCAACCTGCGCGCCTACGGTCTTGTTGGCAATAGCAGTAGATTGGTCATCCCCCTCTGCTGACTTGGGCTCTGCGGCTTCAAGCTTGGCTTCTGCAATTTCTTCGACTCTCTTTCCTACCTGATCGTCGCCGTCAGATTTCTTCTTTTTGCCATCCTCAAGTAAGATGCCAGGGACTCTGTCTTTGAGATCAATCAAATTCTCGTAAAAGCGTCTCTCTTCTTCGTCTTCCCAGATGCCGGCGCCGTCGCCTTGACCACGTAAGTATTCGCCGGTCTTGACCAGGCCAATGCCGCCGTCGCCGCCAGCGTTGTTAGACTCCTTCTCGGACAGATCTGGCATGTCCACACCAAGCGCATCTGCCAGTACTTGAGCATTTGAGACCAGCTTCTCGTGAGACTTGGTCTGTTTCTCAAAGTTTGTTTGGCGGTCTTCAAAGACTTCTCCCGACTTGACGTATGCTTCGGCATTGCGACGTCCTTGAGCGGTCAGATGCTTCTGGTCGCGAACAATATGAGCTTTGACGTCCTGGAAATAGCGGCCGAGAATATTCTTGAAGCGCTGCTGCATGTCGGACGCGCAAAGTGGAGGATCTTGAGTGCCGTTCGAGTCAGCGTCGGTCTCTTCTGCAGCCGTTACTGTCGAGCCATCCTCAGCGACAGTCTTGCGGCCATCTTGTGTAGGTTTCGAGGCCAAAATGTCCCAGGCAAAACTCTTGACGAAAATGACCACCAACGGCAGGTTCACGTGCTCACGGTCGTGGCCCAGCATATCCTTGAGTACTTCCAGAGGGAAAGGTTCTGGGTCTGCAGTGTCGGGTCGTGTAGTCTTGGCCTTGGGCAGGGTATCCACTGGCTTTCCCGACTCTTTCAACTTATTGGCCTCTTCCGGACGGGCAATGTCCTCCAAACTACGCAGGACACCGACAAGCCACAGTTCAGTGGCCACTCGTAACAGAATGCGCTGTCTTGAGATACGTTCCTTCTCTTCTCTTTCACGCACATCTTGAGCCAGAGCTTTCAACTGCGCTCTATCGGGCGTAGCCAGACCACGGCCAACAAACCAGCCGAGCATTTTGGTGAACTCATCGGGACCGAAGCGTTGGTGGAGAGCAGAGACGATTTCGACACCAGCGGCGATTTCTCCAGGAGTCTTGAGTTTGGTCAGGCCTTCGAAGCAGGCAGAGATGATCTCGGATAGGTATTTGTGCAGCGAAAGAGTGCAGATTTCTTGTAGGAAGACACTCTGGCCAGCAGCGTTGATTGCGGTACGTAGACGTTTGATGAAGGCGGTATTCTTCTTCATGGACGAGTCGAGCGAGCCCTGGACAGCGAGAACATTTGGCTCACCAGCCCATGCACGTTGGTTGAGGTCGCGCAGCTCGCCTGCGATTGGTCATTAGCATTGTACACTTCCCTTTCGAGCTCGATCTTCGGCGTACGCTTCCTCTGTCTTTCCATCGCGTCACTGTTGTTCAGCGATGTGGCGCAAGGTATTTGTGAATAAGGGGTTTAACGTGCAAAGATTCCAGCATCTGGCTAATCCTTGAGTTGAATCTGGTAGAAGTGAATTCACGGGTTGCGAGTTGCTCTTGCGATGATGCTGGCCGTGCGTGGGGCCGCCATTGCTCGCGCTTTCCCGGTGGATCTACGAGAGTGTAGATAAGATTAGATCATTGTCCTTGCCCACCACCTCACGAACACAAATGTGTCACTACGTCTGTCTCCGGGATCATGTCCGGAGAGATCGAAGCTGTAGGAATGCGAGATGATTTCAGCATGGCGCAGTTGTCCACACAGGGGGAATCATGAACGTTCTCTTACTGGAGACTCTAACTTAGAAAGCACTGTGCATTTCTTCAGCTACAGGAGTCATTTGTCTCGTTAAAACATATGGTTGGGTGATTCAAGGTAGATACAGATGTGATAACGTTTCTACGAATCTCTCCCCATTATAAAGAGGATTATTCATTGCAAGAATGGAAAAGCCACAACCGAACCAGAACGCCTTGCTCGAAATTCTACCTGGGCAACCCCATTTTTGCCATGGTACCCATAACTCCTGTTCGCATGTTTCGTAGCTTCTTTTTCTAAGCCAAATAGCCGAGCTCATCGCCCTCCAAACGCTCGAGATATTCCTTCTCCAGAAGGATATCGATGCACTTCTTGATGTCGGGCACCTTAGGCACGAATCTGTTCTTGATTTGCGAGATGACTTCGGCAACCAGCTGTGTGTGCTTCATGGTCTTGCGAGACTTCATGATACGGACAATGGCAGACTGGTCTTTTGTTAGCATGCTGTAAGAACGAGTCACGAAGACGATTATAACTTACCTGCATGAGCATCTTTCTGTCCTCCTCAATGGTCTTGTGCGTGTCCTCGACTTCTTGCTTCTGCTCAGATCTGATGGCGATGTTGAGGTTGACCTTCAGTTTCTTGTTCTTGAAGCCCTGGTTGAGCGTGTAGGTGGTTCCGCTTTGTTGGCCAGCACCATCGGGCTTGGCTGTGAGCACTCTTGCCTTGAGCATGATAGCGACTGAGGGATCGAGAGTGTCCTTGTTGAGCTTGGTAGCTTCGGACATCTCATCGTAGGTCACCGTGTCGCTGTCGTTAAAGAGCAACAGGATGGCCATCTGGTAGGTAGATACTTGGAAGGTGTAGGGAACCTTGTTCATTCTGACATAGTTGGCTCTGATCTCACCTTTGCAGAGATGCCACAGCCATGTCAGCTTGCGGCCACCATGCTTGCTAAGGTAGTAGTTCTGGAAACGCTCATATGTGCGCGCAATGTCTTGAGGCGGTGTGAAGGGGGTGTTTGAGGGTTGCAGCGGCCAGAAACCAGTACCGAGGATGTTGTAGTAGGAGTCGATGGCAGTCTTGCGATCAGCCTCGTCAAGATTCTCCTTGCACCAGTCGTCATATGATGCGTTCAGATCCTTGGATGTTTGCATGTCCTGGAACATACGCTGGAGCTTGTTGGTGTACTCGAAACCACTTGCATCCTTCAGCTTGGAGATCATGCTAGTCTCAGCGTCACCAGAAGCAGAAGTGCCCTGGACCAGACGCTTGGCCAAAGTCTTGGAGTAGAACTTGTTGAACACATCCTTGTCCTCGATGTACTTGAAGACGGTCATGACTTGGTTCAGGTTCTGCTCCATGTCATCTTCTTCAGTGCTCTTTTGTGACTTCTTCAGAAGAGTGTCGGCGTGCTTGGACAGAAGTTCTGGAGAGCGTGTTGAACCGTTCTTGCAGACGGCGTTGCGGTTGACATAATTGCGGCAAGCGTTGTCGAGACTGCGGACAAACTCTGACTCGCCGTTGAAAGCAGTCTGTACAAGATCGGAGTACTTGGTGTGAACCTCGAGCAGAGCGTCGACGTAGGTCTTGGGGTCCAGAGCGTTCTCAGCGGCCGAGGCGACCTTGTCGACAGCAGCGTTACCAGCTCTGAGAACATGGGCCTCGAATCGGCTACGCAGAGGGTCCAGTCCTTCGGGAATGCGGGCTAGCAGCTTATACATGCGGGTCATGTCTTCAACTTTATCGTGGTCGAGAAGAACCTGGAACTCGTCGCGCAGAATGGCGCAGTGATCGGTAATCAAGGCCTTTTCGCAAGTCTTCATCAGGGGAGCCATTATCTCGTTGAGCAGGTACAGAGGAACACGCTCCTTCTCTTCTTCAAGGCGCTGTTCGGCCTTCTTCATGTATTCGACGACACTGTTGTCGGCGAGGAACTGGCGGGACTCCTGGGCGTAGTACTTTTCGGTGGACTCGAGGTAAGGCTTTTCGAAGTAGATGCGGTAGACGTCGAGGGTGGATTTTGTGCTGTCCTGCTCATCGATACCCAACGACACGAACGAGTCGACGACGCTCTTGATCTGACTCTGCTCGATCGTCTCACCGTTGCGCTGCTTCTCCACCAGGTGCAATACGGCATCCATAACAGCGTTCTGGGTGGTTCCGAACATATCTTCCTTCCAGCGGACAAGGTGCAAGGTGTAGATATCGTAGATATCCTTCTTGCCCTCGTCTATCTCGCGCTTAACCCAATGTCTGTTGAGGTAACGGAACAAATGGTTGTTATAGGTGCCTGCGGTGGTGTATCGGTTCCACTCCTTGATGTAGAAAGACAGGAGGGCCTCGTCCGAGTGCTTGACCATCTCGGCATGGACACTAGCCAAGTGAGATTTGAGGTAGTCATTGAGGCGCTTGTACAGATCTTCTCCGAGGAGGTGTGCTGGGTCGTATGTTAGTGTGCTGGATGGTATGGACGGGGCAGAATGGCTGGACTGACCTCCACGATGTGTGGCGTTGAGGTTGGTTGTTTGGCCGACAGCCTTTTGAGCGGTACAGAAGTTGTGGATGGCTGTGTACAGACTCATGTACGTCTTGAGGTCGATACCGTCACGGAGGTGGTTCATAATCTTCTCGACTCCTATGGCGAGAAAGTTCCAAGTGCCCTGGATATCGTCCTTGCCTGGGAGTTGGGGCATGACAGTAACATTTTTAGCCATGTTTATGGTTGCGGGTGTATGAATGGGCGAAGGCGCGCCTTGAAAGTCAGAGATGGGAGCACGCGGGCGGTTGTGAAGTGCGTGTGTCGAAGGTTAGGGAGCGGTTGCGAGAGGGTGAGAGGACGCTGTGAAGTCCCAAAAACACGGTTTGTCGCTTCACAGGAAGTTTGTGAGGGGTTGGTGTGTGAATGTTCGTAGGGAAGAGCTACCCAGGTATGAGTGTTCCCGCTATGTCATTTACCGTCTGAGCGCGCTGTTGCCTCTGCCTTTCGGCGAAATCCGCCACAATCTGGGGAAGCGCCAGCTGCCTAACGCACGTCCTTTCTTTGTCTTCACTTCTTAAAGCCGACGTGTGGCTGCTTGCTGTAGAAATGCACAAAAGAAAATGAGAGAGATGAGATTGAGCAGATGATCCATTGTAGACCCAGATATATCCATTTCTCAGTTACAACACAGATGTCATATTCTTGGGCAAGTCCAACCGGCTTTGTGTACTCAAGTACGCTCACCTTCGAAGCTATACAAGTTGCAACGCCTAAAGGTTTCGGAAGTACTAATAAGAAGGACTGTTCGTAATATGTTGTTGTCTTTATACACTGTGTACTTATCTAACGGGACGAGGGAAACGAGGCTCTATGCATACGCAAAATCTTGATTTCGGTGACTGAGACTAGCAGGCCATTGTTTAGGCAAGCAAAGAGACAAAGACTTGCGACTCTCCGTAACCTCTGTCAAGTATAACATCTTAGCAAGCATGTAGGTTTAGAAGGAAGGTACAACATAACGAAATGGATCAGGCATGTTAGAGCAAGGAGCCATCGGAGCCCTAAGCAGCACTCCTGATCTCCGAGTCACAAACCCTTCTTAAGAGTCCGAGAAACCACACCGCAGATTATATCCAAAGGAATAGACTTCTAGGATATCATTTGACTACCCATCACTCCTAAACCTCCAAAGCCGGCCCCTCATCCCCAAACACCGGATCTCTCTTCCACCACCCCAATTTCTCAATCTCCTTGATTTTCTTCTCCTCCCCCTTTTTCCCATAACACATATCCCAACTCTTTCCCTTCGGATAGCTCCCCACCATTTCAAACCCCCCTTCTATATCGTCAAGTAAACGATGAGCCACACCCGCAGGAACGACGATAACATCGCCAGCAGAGACGGTGGGTGTAATGTTGGATGGATTATCTTCATGGCCGAAACAGAGGCGAGCGGAGCCGGTGGAAATGCAGAGGAGTTCGTGCGAGGTGGAGTGGAAGTGTGATGTACTGTACATCTGTAATTTTCCATCCTCGTTAGCAAAGACCATGTAGTATCAACAGAAGAACCACTTCTACCTTTTCCCCTCTCTCTTAAACCATTTGGCATGTGGAACAGCAAAAGGTTTCAAATGGTAGAGGTAAGCGGAAAGATCAAAACTTACAGTATACCTCCAAGCCGGCTCGACCTCTCCGATGCCCCTCAAATGTTCTTCAATCTGTGCAGCAGAAGTACCTTGTTTAAACGCCTCTTTATACACAAGTAAAGGCTTGTTCTGAATAGACGTATTCGGTGTCAACCCATATGCTGGAATCTGATGTTTGGCGACTTTGAGGTCTTTGAGTGGTGTCAGGATTGATGAGGATGTCATGATTGTGCGTGATAGACGGTGGAGAGTTTGGTGCATTCGATTGCTTTTGTCTTTTTGCAATTGATTGTTCGAAGATGTTGCTTGGATCTTTGATGATTGTGCTGGTGTCTCGAATGATTTGGTGGTGATTTACCATTACGTCACTATTCGTTATCGATAACTACCTACCTATCTGATATCAGTTACATGCGGGGATGGATGTTTGACAGCTTGAGCCTCACATCGAGGTACATGACAGGAAGCGAAGATTGGTGATTTTGATTGTCAAAAAAGAGAGCAATGAATATAACGATTGAACCTATTCCTAATCCCAGTGTTTGATCCTTGTAAAAACACGTTGCCTTCCCAAGCCCAGATCCAGCCTACCCTTTTCGAGAGGGGGGAATATCAATCCAGAAAGAGACACCGTCCACCCAAAAAAGAAGAAAAGAAGTTGTCGCTAAAAACTCCGCAATGAAAATAGATATATTGAAAAGAAAAGGAGATGTGTGAGGTCGTGATTTGTTGACGAGTTTATTGCTCATTATCGTTGTTCCGGGATTTGCTCGCCCGCATGTCTCCGACCGCAGCTTCATAAGAAGGGATCGGTGGGTCATGTGGTAGTAGATGGGAGCGTTCCGAGTGCATACTTGCTCGTGGTGTCGAGAAGTGATTGTCCTCGTCTGGGCTTTCATACTCCGGTGGTGGGGCGTCGGGGTGAGACGGCATTGTCAGGTCCTCTTGGGATTCGTAACTTGCAGCTGCATTGCTCGTGCCCTCTCCGGCATCATCTTCTCGGGACTCATTCAGGCTGAGTTGGGCGAGAGAAATTTCAGTGGGCGATCGTCGAGGGCCAGGACTAGTGGCTGGCCTTCCGAGACGGACTGACGCGCTGTGTGTGCGGCCGTGAATATATGCTTGTCCCTCGCGAACACCTTCTCTTCCACCTTCGAGAAGGATACTGCCTTGTTCGCTGCCATATGGGGGTGGAGGTGCAAGACTACCAGTCATAGGCGCAAGACCCCACTTCTTAACATTGGCTTCGATAAAGACAAAGCCCATCTGGCCGAAGTTGACTTGGACGTTGCAAGGACCGTTGGCTCCGACTGTAGGGAAGAGGTTCTGAGACTTTAGACCGTGGGCGACATCTTCCAGTTTCTTGCCATTGCGCGTGAAGAAGACGGTTCCGGTACGGGGTCTGTAGCCAACACCGACGACATCGCCCTGCTCATATGAAGGCGCATAGCTTGTGCCTGAGAAAGGCTGGTTGTATCTCCGTTGGCCGGATGAGGTGTAGGCTATTGAATATTTGTGCATGCCTGAATTCGTTAGCTGTGCCTTCTGACGCTAAAAAGGACATTGCAAGATACCAGGAAGTCTGAAAAGAGGGTAGGGTTTTGTCGTCATGCCAATGCTGAGTAGAGTGTTGTCTGGCTTGTCGAAGACCTTGGCCTCCCAGTAGTAGACCTCGTTCTGCTTGGGCACAGGGAGATTGCTCTGAACACTGCACTCGGCATCGAAGAATTCGATCTCGGTACGACCCTCGACGAAGCAGTTGGCAATCTCGAGCTCGGGTTCGAATTCCCAAGCTTGTACACCCTTCTCTTGAATTGCGAGGAACTGCGAGAGCGAAATGTCTGTTTGTACGGATTCGGGGGGATTGGCTGTGACGAAAGCTGTAGTATATAGTGTCAGCGAATCTGTGTCTGCGGCATGGCACATGTGCATATGGATTTACCCTTTGCGCGGAGATACTCGGCACGCTGCAGGTCGTCCATTTCTTCCAAAGCATCCTCCTCTTCACGTAAGAAAGCTTGCTCGTCATCGTACTCTCCAGGCCGTCCGATGCTGTCCAGGAAGATGCGACCACGATTGGTGTAGCGGAAGAAGTAGATGAAGGCCAGGATGATGGCGACCAGGGCGGCCGAGCCAAAGGCAGACAGCATTCCTATGAGGATGCCCTTGCCCGTCGAACTCAAGCCCATGGCCGTTACGTGTGCATTCTCCGAGTTCCAGGATATGGGGCGGTACTGAGAAGCGACGGTCCATGGTTTGCCGTTGACGATGATGGCGGGAGTCGACGCGGGTTGGACATAGGACGTCGACATTGTTCGCGGAAGAGTCGGACTAGAGGCCATGTTGAACTGTGACTGTCGCCGCACTCGCACCGGGGCGATGGGCCTTGATGGGTCTTTGTCGAGTTACTCCTTGCAAGGAGTTGTAGACTTCGGAATACGGGCTGCGTCGAGGGACGGGAGGCTGCGGCGGGGAAACGGCTGACGATTAAGCCTCAGGTGATGATTAAGAAAGTGCGATATCTTGATACAACGCTTGTCGCTGCAGCAGCTTGTCTTCAATTTCAGCTGTTTCGATGTGAAAGCAAGATGTTGGTCGGGTTTGCAGGTTGGAGCGCCTGGATCATGTCGAGCATTCGTCGTCGCTACGCTTGGCGCATCCTCCAACTTCTTGCCGTCCACCGACGATCTAGATCTTGGTATGAGCGCTGCCATCGCTTCCGAACCTTCTCTCCTGAATTCCTCTTTGTTTGCTTTAGAAAAGGGGTTCTTTGCATCTCTTGTTGTACGTGTTTATGCCCAAGGCCTTCTTTCACAATCGCCTTCCGAACCAAGGCCAACCACTGCTGCTTTCACTTCGAGTCAGCCCCAAGGTATAGCTTCGGAAGCGCTCGGGATTATCGGCCAAGTCGAAGAGGCTGTCCTGTCGATCCTGCTTCTTCGACCGCGATCGCCTGGACAATAGCAATACACAAATTCAGCTTGCCGTTCAAGGCAGGCATCCGTCGCATTGCATGAAACCATAGTGCCTGTTATCGTATCGATAAGACCACGACTGGCATAACATGTCTGGGGAATAACCTGTCAGTCGGCACAGACATCAAACTGGAGAGAAACACCGCTGAATGAGCAACATTGTGCCATCAAAAAAGGCCAACCTATATAACTATCTAATAAAACGCAGAATCGATAAGTGATAACTCGTTCCTCAAGCACCATCCGTTCCCCGTGGGTTCATCCCTTCCCAAGAACGGCCATGCGAACGGGTAACAAAGATACAGCAAACGCCACATACCGTTCATGCTGTATCGAGAAAAGATGGTGGTCGGATGTAAAATCTGGAGAGAAAAGAAATGGCTGCCGGCTAACCCGTGCAGATGCTACGCTAGTCCGCTAAGTACGCTCAAAGATCATGAAGAATAAGAAGAAAGAAAACAAATACCACTTTTGTGTGTGTGCTTTCGTATCATAACCGCCATCATATCCATGCGTTTCGCTATAGGCATATATACGACATGTTCCCTAGTGTTTTTTGGTATCGCTATTCGGTAGACTGAAAATAAAGAAAAGGGCGTCGGTCAAGTTATGTGCGTGTCAATTCCGAGTCGGAAGTCTTTGTTGTCATTTACAAGCTGTAGTTTTGTCTGAGCTCGTACTGCTGCTCCTGGGGCAGGTGGCTGATGAAGCCATCGAAGTCGGGGATCATATTCTTGTATGCCATGAGTGCCTATATGCGATTGTTAGTAATAAGTTCACATCGTCTTACACCAGCAACGAAAAATACCTTGTGGAACCCTTCGAACGGTCTCTCGTTCTGGGATACTGGCAGCTTGCGTGAATCGGCTGGCACGCTTGCAATGGCTGAGAAGAAGGCAAGCAGACACTGCTCAAGTGCCTGGGGATTGTCCAGCACAATCTGAACAAATCCTCTGAAAGCGTCGAGCTTCTCATCGGTCCACTCAACAGACTGCATGACATTCAGGAAGGCCGGAGCGAATTGGGCGAGATGAGGTGCGATTTTCTGGTCGTTACCCAGACCCATGCGACCAAGTGCGATTGCGGCGTTCTGATTCAAGGACTCAGGGACCTGCTGGTTGAAGAGGATCATGCCGAGCTTTTGCAAGAGATCCTCGACGTAAGGGTCCATACCATTTTGGTGGCGCATTGCGATCTCTCCGACGGACCAGCAGGCATTGTTAATCACTCTGAATGCGGTCTCCTTGAGCATTGGATCAGTGCCACGGAGTGCCTCGGTCAAGTCCAGCTGCATGGTCAGGATTCGCATGATCGAGTCAAGGTAAGGCTGCATTTGGGCAAAGACATAGATGGCACAGTCACCAAGCAAGGCGAATGCGGATTGCTTGACATCGTTGTTGCTGTCTCTCATACAGTAGGCGAGCAGCTCGAAGAAGTTGGGGTTGGCGGTTGCAATGAGCTCACTGGCTCTGGCCTCATCAAGTGCTTGGATAATGGCACTGAGCAGATCCAAGCTGGTGACGAGGAAATCCTTGTCGGGTGTGTCCATATATGCTTGAGAAGCGGCAAGGTTGCCTTCCTCCAAGTTGTCCTGGATAATCTTGATGCATCGCGAGAAGAAGGGCTTGGCGTAAGGGGCAAAGGCTTCACCAAGAGCAGTAGCGATGTAAGCCAGGCACTCTAGCAGAGGGAACATTTCCCTTGACTTGTCAGAGACTGAAGTCCAGCGTTGAATGAGGGCAGGCATGAGCAGATCGACGATGGCTGGTTGTGCCATGTCCGGGCCCACATGCTCCGCCAGAGTCTGAACACAGTCATAAAGGATGTACATGTTCTTGTCCTTGTATTTGGCGAAGCACCTCACAAACTGCTGTGCGATGATGACACAGTAAGGTGTGATCTCGGTAGTCGCCTGGTCCTCGAGGTTGGCGAATGCGGAAGCTGCGGCCTCCTGCACACGCTTGTTGTTGTCCAGCATGCGGAACAGGATTCCTTCCATCATCGGCTCGAAGAACTGGCGCTTACCTGCCTCATCGAGGTGGGAAGCCCAGGAGGAGTAGCGACCAAGTGCCCAGCAGGTGATTTGTCTGACAACGGGCTGAGAGTCCGTGAGTAGCGAGATCAGGAAGGGAACCAGATCAGGAAGACTTGGCTTGACGGTCTCCATGCAGCCAACGGAAATAGCGCCAAGTGCGAGCACAGCAGCTTCTCTATTGGGCCATTCTGCGTGGTTGAGGTTGCTCTTCAGATAGGGTAAGGTGAATTCAAAGACACGCTCGTGGAAGCGCGTAGCAAAAGTGTCAAGAGCGGCTGCAGAGCATTTTCGGAGGTTCCACATCTCTTCAGGATCCTCGCCGTAGTCGTCATCGTCCTCAAGTTCACCATCGCTGAGCTCGCCATCATCGTAAGCATAGCCATTGCCGTTCACAAAGTCTTCAGACTTTACAGCAATGCCCTTCTCCTTTGCACTGGCAAATTGAGGTTTGATGTCTTCTTCCTTGTCCTCCTTTTCGGCATCCTCTTCTGCTTCGGCCTCGAGCTTTGCTTGGTCATCCTGGCTGTAGATCATGCTTTCCAACAAAACCGGTACAATTTTGTCAAGGTGCTGGTTGAACTCGTCTTGGAGTTCCTCAACCTCACAGTTCTCAAAGAAGAATTCGGCAGCATCCAGGGCCAGATCGGACTCCGGGTCGCTCTTTTGCTGAACCACGACGTAATCGATAATACCACCCAAATGAGGCATTACCAATGCAGGAACGTTGCTAGCAAGTTTGGTGAACGAACGGCAGATGAATCTTCGGACCTCCTCGTCTTGGTCGTTCTGGGCCAGGGTGAAGAGTTGAACCAGGAACTTTTCAACATTGTCTTGCATAGCCTGCGGCATCGGATCGTCGACAAAGAAGTTGAGTGTTCCCAAAGCTTTTGAGCGGACTGGTGGTGTCGGGCTAGTGGTGAACTCGATAAGCTTGGGAATCAGGAAATCCAAGGGGCGTTGTCCCTCGTAGAGTCTGTTGAGAGCCTTCTTGTTGTCTTCACAGATCTTGAGTAATGCGCTCATGGCTCCGTCCTGAATGTGTGATGCGATGTTGCCGTCGCGGTTCTCGATCAAAGAGATCAGCTCAGCAAGCACTTGAGGCCAGCCCAAGATGCCGCCCTGGCGCACGATCTCGGTAACAACGTTTCCAGCGTAGCTTCTGATGCGCTTGTCCTGGTCTTGCAGTCCTTGGAGAATGGTCGAGCGGAGGTATTCCTTATTCGGTTCGGCCATGGTCTTGTACGAGATTTTGACGTTGTTCTTGAGCATGACTGCAGCAGCACTTCTTGAGACGAAGTAGTCGTCGCTTGACAAGGCGGCAGGAGCTTCGGGGCTGACACACAGGTAGGCGAGGTAGTTGTTGATGTCTGGGTTTGAGCCGGCATTTTTTAGTGCCTGGAGGACACATGTTAGCGATGCGAGGCGAGGTTGGGAGCGATAGGAAGCTCACCAGCTCGGCGTTCTTTTGCGCAGTCTTGTCGCGGGGGTTGAGCGAGTCCTTAAGGAACAGTGCCAGCTGGCCCAGAGGCTCAGGCTGTGGACTCCAGGACATGATGTCGGGATGTGGAGGTGGGCGACACTACGATGACAGGGTGTGGATAGATGACAGACTGAGAAGTAGAAAATTGAAGGTTAGCACATGCGACAGAGTATGGGAGTGATCATGTCGGCGTCGAACATACCTGGGTAGGAGGAGAAAAAAGGTCGTGTAACGGAGTGCTGCGTGGAGAGGATGGAAAAACAGAAGCGACGGCGGATCAACGCAGGCGGCACTTTGCAGCTGCACAATCGGGTGATGTGCTATTATTCGAGCCTGAATACGACAATGCCAAATGACTGATTCTCACAGTCTATTGTCAATTTTGGTGGTGAAGGCTTTTGGATGCTTCTCTATTCGGAGCAACTTTGCTCAGAGCTGTCCTTGGCCGGCAAAATGATGATGCTCGCTTGCTTCAAACTTCAACCAAAGGAGGCCTCTGCGCTCGGAGGCCCCGCGCTTGATCGCCCATCGACAACTTTCATCGCATCTGCACGAGCGCTCCAATCATTCTTTCTCAATTCGCCCTACAATCTGTGTTACCATCAAGTCAATTCGTTGCATGTGTCAAATCGCATCTTTATATCCATCAAGGAGTGCTGCAGCTTTGCCCCACACAAACTCTCTGCCTTTCAGCGATCCATTCACTTTGACTTCGCTTCTTGTTTACTTTCACTTGATATATAAGATTACGGTGACAGATATCGCAGGTGATGAGTTTAGGGCGCAATCGGACGATGCATCTCTCGGATTGCGCAGCGCTGACAGCGTGTTGCTTGATGGTTGTGGACCCAGCTCGTTTGGCATCATATGAGAATGACATCGACCGTAGCCTTTACTTGTCGAAACGATTCATTATATCCATTCCTACTGATCGCTCATCGTTGTTGACGCCACTGTCATCTTCGAATGGATTCGGTCGGTTCATAAGTCCTCCTCTTTGCGTGTTGTACATTCCCCTAGCCTGCTACGCTTTTCCGACGTTCAACTGTGAAGAGCACTTCCACATCAGTTGAGATTGTGACTTGATCTTTCACGATGTGATTGCTGGTGCTGACTTGACCCCCCATTTGCGTATGCCAATCTTCGACGTCCCATTCCAACCCACTCGTAGAGATATGCGCGGGGCCGAATATGGGTAGGATACCAATATTTGGTGTGATGACTTTCTCAGCCAGTGGAGTGTGGATGGTTGTCGTTCCAGGGGCGAGTGTGAAGGAGATACTTGATTCGGAGAACAACCAAAATCTAATGTTCGGATGCTGCTCTGAATGTTGCTCTCGGTAGATTTCTGACAAGAGGCCAATACCCTGGTCAAGTCGTCCTGCTATGGTTCCGAGAACCAGGAAGTTTCTCTGACAGGGTTGCTCCCTCAGCACTTGTTTGATGGCCTTCCCAAAGTCTGTACTGTATTGGTCTGGGTCTTCTGTGACATCTACGCCGCGTGATTTGTAGTGATCTCTGACATCCTGTCGCAGGGAGTCGAGGTCACCATGAATGATGTTCGGTAGCTGGATGGGTTCATCACAAATCAGACGGTGGCTGGAAGAATCGCAAGTCGTCTTACATATTGGTCGAGCTGCGTTGGATCATTTTGTTTGAAGAGATCGTAAAGTTGATTTGCACCACCATCAGCACACAATCTGTAGCTAGTATGGTTCCACAAACGACCTAATACCCTCGTGTCTGCTATCGGCTGGTTCAATATGATCAAAGCCGGTTTGGATTGTTCTTTGCCGAGGTGGGATAATTCGTTACCAGCTTTGATAAAGTCGGCAGGATAGACATCCGGGTGTTTGTTGGCCATGTCGTTGTTCTGGAAGTTGGCAGGTTGCACAGCATGAACGTGATGTCTTTGCTCCGGTTGAGTCTTGACTCTGGAGCATCGGCCCAAGGTTGCGCGCTTGGACGCCCGTCGGCGATGGCGGCGTTTCCATCTTCATGATGATTAATTGTTCCCACCTTTGCTACGACAGTCACCACCTATCCAACTGTTCGACTTCCCTTTGTTCTCGATTCCTTCTGGAGTTTCACCATCGCAATGTTTCGTCCAGTAGTCAGACGCGCCGTCGCGCAGGCCTCGCGCAGCAGCGCCCCATCGCGGAGATTTCTAAGCACAGCACCTCCGCATGAGAAGTCGCGAAGCTGGAAGAACTCGGCCGTGAGATGGACTTTGGCCGGTGCTCTGGTCTACTATTACAACACTAGTAATGCCTTCGCCGAGGAGCCTTCTTGTAAGCCCACCTGTTGCGAAGCTGCGCGACCATCGGAACTGACGCCATCCAGATGTCAGACACGCCCCTCCGGAGACACAGATTGAGTCCGAGACTCTTCCCACACTCGATGCTGTAACAGCAAAACGTCAAGCTGTCCAGGCTCAGGCCAAGGCCGATGCAGACGCCGATCTCAAGAAGGTTGCCGCCGCTACTACCGACGCCGCACACAAGGCCCGTGAAGCCACCACAAACGCTCCCGTACCGGAACCTGAGGACGGTGCTGTTCCCGGATCGCCGCAAGATCTGGAGGAGGAGGCTGGCCAGCAGGGTGCATTCAACGAGGAGACTGGCGAGATCAATTGGGATTGCCCATGCCTTGGTGGTATGGCCTACGGCCCTTGCGGCGAGCAATTCAGAGAGGCTTTCAGCTGCTTTGTTTTCTCCAAGGAAGAGCCCAAGGGTATGGACTGCATTGAAAAGTTCAAGTATGTTGGATCATTGTTACGGAACACAAACATTGCAGCTAACAAGAGTTCGTAGGGACATGCAAAACTGCTTCCGCGAGCACCCCGACGTCTATGGCGCAGAGCTTGAGGACGACGTCGAGACCGAGGCCAGAGAGCAAGATGCTGCCAGCCAATCTAGCCAGCCCAAACAGCCCGAGTCCAACCCCGATGCTGAGAAGGTCGCCGATAGAGAACCCGACCACCCCGAGACCATCCAAGCAAAGAGAGATCGCTCTAACGCTGCAAGCGAGCAGGTCAAGCGCGATCACGGTTTGATGAGCGAGTCCGACAGCCTGGTCCCCAAGGCCGCACACGACGCTACCGGACAAGAAAGCAAGGGCGCCAAATAAGCCAATTCTGCCCACAGATACCATGTACATTACGCATTGGGGCATGTAACTATATTAGGCATGTAGAATACAAGGCACAATACCAGCCTGGAAAAGCGAATGCATCACCACCTCTCTAGATATAAATCAATCTTTGTGTATGAATCGAAGGCATCTCCCAACTCGAAGACTGAATAACGTTCGGATGGCTCGAAGACGCACGCGATAAAACCGGTAGCTACGTCACAACTACGACGTCCTGAAGTAGGAACGGAAAATGCCAAGGAAACAGAAAACAGGGCTGCATCGGCAGCATGTGATGGTATTAGGTAGGTTCAGCAAAACCAATCATCATGAGTCTCGAGTTCCTCCAGCGACCAAACAGTGACGCCGCTCCTGTTCCTGTTGCATCTTCACCAGAACCCCAAATCAACACTTCCACCGCACCTGTTCCCGTCCCAGAACCCGCTACTGCTGCCTCTATCGAAGAGCCAGTCACTATTTCAGAACCCGCTCCCTCTCAAGAACCAGACACCGCTACCGAAGTGCCCGCACCCGAAGCTCCCGCTACCATGTCTTACGCATCTGTCGCCGCCAGTGGACCTCAACAGTCCGAGGAAGAGGTACGTGCTACTGCCTGACCTGTCCATTGACCATCTGCTAACTCATTCAACAGAAGTAAGTCTCGCCAAAGATGCGCCAGCAGCACGTTGATACTGACAACAATCTAGGCGCGCACACGCTGTCCCCGAGATCCAACATACCGACGACGAGGTCCACGAGCTCATCGACGTCGACAGCCCTCACATCTCGTCCGTCCCCTCCGACTTCCAGTCACAAGAGATCCAGACCGAGACTCAGGCCGAGCGCGAGCGTCTTGAGTCCGAGGCCCGCGAGAAGGCCCAGCAGGCCAAGGAGGTCGAGGAGAAGGTCAAGCAAAAGGCACAGAAGGCCGCAGAGAAGGCCAAGGCCAACAGCGATAACCCCGTCATCCTCGGTAACACCGTCGCTGTCGTCGCTCTTGGTGGTCTCCTCGGTTTCGGCGCTTACAGAAAGTATACTGCCGGCGAGCTCACCTGGAAGGTTGCAGGTGCTTGGGCCGGTGTTGTCGGTGTCTTCGCCCTCGGCGACTACTACGCCAGCAAGTATGTGCCGATTTTGTGACTTGAAGCCTAGAGATTGAAGCTGACTTTTACTTTCAGGTTCCTCTTCAAGAAGTACCCTCCCAAGAACTAAAAAGTTCCCACGACGTTTCCATTCTTGTACTTTGAGCGTCCTCTCTCTCGGCTCTAGTTTCAACCGTTTCTCTGCTTTGGATAATTCTTTCGCGTCATGCTGGTCGGATGAATGCTCTGGCGCTGGAGGCTTGGATGCGTGTATCATAAACGAATTTCCCACATTTCTCCCCTTCATCCTTTTTCTGGCTGCGTTGCAGTACTCTCTTTATGTAGTGACTGCTTCATCTTTTGTCGGCCAGGTGGCCGTATCAGGCAAGATTGTCGATCGGCACTGAGCCTTTATGCACACTTTGAGAAACACACAAAAGCACTCACCAGTGGCATGCAGTTCCAATATTATTGACTGCCGACACATCTAGGTCTATACGGACCACGTGCGTGAAAAGCATGATGATATAAAAGTGGCTTAGACTAGGTAGAGATGGTCAAGGCATTTCGATGTCCGAGCCGACCAACAACACGTGCAATACCTGTATGATGGTATCAGCGATATACGATGTTCCGGTCAGCTGCTTGTCATCAATGCACAACTACAACGACAAAGAATGGCTAGACATGACACGACAAAGGAAGTAGGATCCCCACATGATTCCCCGCGAGAACAAGGTGTCGGGAATCTGGAGGTCCGGCCTCGGGAAAGAGCGAACCCGCCGCGCCATCACTTTCACATGCAAAGGCATGAAGACGTTTGGACCTCATGACATGCCAGTTATCGACATTTCCAACAGCACTAGGAAAGAGCATGACGGCTTTTTCTATGCCAATTTCTCTTTCACATGCGGCCACGGCTGGCCCTATATCGTATTCTGCTCCCTGCGTAAACTCCTTTTCCTTGCCATTGTTATGAAGACTTGATTTTGACCTTGTGCTCCTTACTCCCTTTGTTTGGACAAATACCGCAAATACCGCCTGCTTTTTCTGTTTGATGACAACCTTTAAGATTGGAACTGTCTTTGGAGGCTTCCTGCACTTCTCCCTGTCTGCATGTCTGCTAAACATTCTACATCATGATAGGTAAGACATCCCTGTTACGGACGCTTTCCGCTGCACGCAGCCGCTAATCGGCCTTTGTTTAGACCACGTTCTTGGTAGGCCTTCGGTCAGATTTCGCAAGTATCAGGTCTTTGCTGTAGTCTCTTTTTGGTCGTATTATCTTTACAAGTAAGCAATTCAAATTCTGCTTCTGCGACATGTTGCTGACAACGATACCTGTAGAGGCAATCCCCATGGCCCACCTTACCTACGACGCCTCTCCAGAGTCTTCTCTACGCGCTTGACGACCTGGCACACGGTTGTCTTGACACTCATCTACCTATACATCACACGTAACTTTAGCAAACTCGTGGGCCTCGAGTGCCCAGAACCGCTGGCCAACCTCTACACAAGATCATACTTCCGAGCAACATGGGTCACAACAGCCTTGGATGCAGGCTTCTGGACGGCTATGAACCTACGCCCCGTATGGTTGAAGGATATAGCAAGTCTTGTCTTCTCGGTGTACTATCTCATCTGTGCCGAGCAAGCAGACGAAAAAGTACGCAAGATTAGAGCTGGCTTGACCTTGGAACATTTGAGAGTGAGCTGGAACAAGCCCAACACACCATACATCAACTTCTTCGGCAAGCTGATGCGACCTAAACTCATGCGTTACCCGCCGCGCGCCATCCGCATACCCAGGCCAAAGCAAAGCAGCTACGATGAGCCCATTCAAGCCTGGCTATACTTTGATGGCCCTATCAGCGACCTGAAGAATCACGACAAGATTGTGCTCGATATTCCTGGTGGTGGTTTCGTGGCCATGGATCCGAGAGCCCATGACGACAAACTGCTGGCCTGGGGTGCAAGAACAGGCTTACCCGTATTGGCCTTGGATTACAAGAAAGCTCCTGAACATCCCTATCCTTATGCGCTGAACGAGTGTTACGACACATACCATACTCTGATCGCAACCAAAGGACAATGCATCGGCCTTTCTGGGGAGACTATGCCCAAGATAGTCGTCAGTGGAGACAGCGCAGGTGGGAATCTCGCAGTAGGCTTGATCCTTATGATCCTGCAGTCCGGCAGCACTGCGACTCGCCGTTGGCAAGGTGAAACCTCGCTTCCCGTACCCGAGGGCGCAGTTCTCATCTATCCGGCTCTCGACATGAACATTGGAAATTGGATGACGGACGAGCAGATGTCTCTGATCAAGGATCGAAAGATGCGCAAAACCAACCGTGGTGTCTTGAGCAGAAAGAGCGACGACTACAGGAAGCTGACACCGAACACTCCGCATGGATCTGAGGATGAAGACGACGACGTTAGCCCGCCAAAGACGAAACGAACGAATACGGCAGTGCAGCAACTGACCGACAAGCAAATCGTTGCGTCACCTACTGAACCTCATACCAGCGCCGCCCACACAGTTGATGCTGCGCCCACTGCACCGGCCCCACAGATGCTGCGTACCCGACTTGCAATGTCCTCTATGATATCTTACTTCAACGACCGCGTTCTGACACCCGAAATGATGCGCGCTATGATTATCCTCTACATCGGTCCTCATTCGCGACCAGACTTCTCGACCGACTACCTACTATCGCCACTTCTCGCACCTGAAGCGCTTCTCACCCGCTTCCCCAAGACTTACATGATGACTGGCGAACGCGACCCTCTTGTGGATGACACAGTCATCTTTGCAGGACGTCTAAAACAAGCCAAATTGGCCCACTGGAATCATCGCAAAGAGCTAGGTCTGATTCGCGAGCGTGATGTCTTCGTTGACACCGACCATGTGAACGTAGTCCTGATCCCTGGCATTTCTCATGGCTTCTTGCAATTCGCGGGCATATTCCCAGCAGGCTGGAAATACATCTCCCGATGCTCACGTTGGATGGCGGACCTCTTCCGCGAGGCAGATTTGCGTGCTGAGTTAGACGAAGAAGAGACCGACTACTTTGGCAAGGAAGCAGGCCTGGGTATGAAGAATGGGAACGGCATCAGACATCATCGCCGCATGCCAACAGAGTCCTCAGGCGACGAAGACAGACCGCTCGAAATGAGTACCTTGAACGGAGGGGCTCGCACCAGTCCAAAGAAAAAGGGAAGTCCGAGAGGTAGTGGCAGGACTGTTCGGGGAGCCAGAAACGAGCGGCCCAGAAGTCAGAGGACGAAAAGTCTTGTTAGCTTGGCCAGTGAGGATGATCTCCTGGGTAGGAGAATGAAGGGACTGACAGGCAATTTGATGGGTGATGGCGGAATGCCTCAAACACCGTGATTGGTCTGGAATTTCCCATATCTCTCGAATTGCCTACAATCATTTGTACACCCAATATTTGCCTCATCACGCAATGAGCCAGGAACCAGATCGTGAGAGCAACTACCATACCGTGTGCCCCTTCAATAACAAATTAGTACATGAGCAAGGTAGAACAACTCGTACAGTATCACAACCCAGGATACATGACAACTTTGGAAGGAGAGGTGACCAGGTACATATTGTACTTACTACAAGCAACATTCCAGAGATCAAAGTCTCACCTGAATCCGACTCTCCAACCTGCTGAAAGGATTCGGTTCAACCGCCATCACAACGCAATACGTTCCAAATAGGTAAGGATCTGGTACTCCTTTGTGCTAATGTTCCATATTGCTCTACCCATTTTACGGTTTGATAGCTCAGTTCAGGTGGGGTTGCTCTCCGTATTTATACGTTGGTCTTTTTAGATGACCGACGCCAGATACCCCGAAACTTTCGATGTGTACAGGAGTCGAAGCTGAAATGCTTGAGACCGACAGCATCACCCAGCTAGCTGGCTAGAAGTACTTCAATGTGAAATATATACATACAAAATCTATACTTGAATATGCAGCTCGACTTTGGCGATCCAAGTCATGGAAGTCCATACTAGTCGCAGAGTGATCGGTCGTCATCTGTTCCTCCGATTCTAGATTATCCAGGCATGATAAGGTATTGCTAGCATTATTGTCTCAAGCTGTCTCCATGGTACTTCTCAGTGTCTGCCTGGGCAGAACATTCGAGCTCGGTGCAGATCTGATATTACTGTGTCGAATATTCGTTATTACTCGTTAGCGTTGCCGCTGATTGTGCAGCATCCAGCCCATGTGTGAACCATAAATCTGGTCGCTTAGAGTACATTCAAATGGTACTTGTAAAAGAAGGTGGCAGTGCACAGGAAAGCTAAATCCTCATCATGGAGGACTTTGCTCGAGAGGTCTCAAGGGTTTCTCAGGCTTCTCGAGACTTGTGCAATGCTTTTGTATTCTGGCGATATCAATGTTAGCGACTTTTCGTCTTGCTCTTCGTTACGGGGGCATTCTCGTCTCGGGGTGTCGGGGTGTTTATGACCTGTGCCCTAGCAGCTAGTCAGTTGGAGGTTAGCGTGGCATCGAAATTGACTCAATCTTGCTCTGAGTGACGAAAAGATCTGCAGCGGAAGCTACTCCGAGAGAAGTGTCAAACCTCTTGTGCTTGTTCGGGAAGTGCGTATTGCTTGCGTATACGAACGGAAATAATCCCCCCGAGCCACGACCAGAGATTTTGCTTGCGTTCGAATTGCCTGTTGCAGCGGATATCGTAGTCGTTGAGTCCGACTCCTCACCAAAAGCTCAGTCGGAAAAGGACACCATTTGCTTCGTACGGACGGACTGCATCAGACGGATTCCAAAACCCGGTCGTTTGATGATTCAACATTCTAGACGGCGGTTGCAGCCGGCATTAAACCCTCTTTTCCAAATGGTCTACAGCCAAACTCTTGGACGGAAAATCATGTTCCACCATCTCTGATTGGCGATTGATGCGGAGGAGTCTTTGTCCGTACTGCCCTTCCGCAGGCGCTTCGCTTTGCCCTATCTCGAAGGAAGCCCACAACGATGGCTTAGACTTAGGGCTTCGCATGGTTTGCGAGAGAGGGAAAACTGCAAGGGCAAAGTATATATTCGGCCGACGGTGTCTGGCTTGTACGACAATGAGTATGTTGTTGTTGAATCAATTTCGGACTGGTCAAGTCAATCGGCTCGCCGCTGTTATAACATGGAAAGGCATATCGGCGCTTCTTTCTGGTTCTAAGCCCTAGTAGAAGGATGCTGGTCGTTCGTAAGTAGCAAACGCATTATGAATATCAAACGGATATCTCAAGGCCCTAGCTGTTGTGACGCTTAAATAAAGTTGAACTCTATCTGTACATGTTCGACTTGGGCCTCGACATATATACGATGGGAGTTCGACTCTCCGAGCCCAACATCACATTGCACTTCGACAGTCCTGACGGTTGGAGGCGCAACTGTAAGGCGTGTTGGCTCCTTGCGCACACGAATGAGAAGAGGGCTCCTTTCTATTCCCTATTCATCTTGACCCTAAACCACGCTCGAATTCCAGCGTCCGAGTTCTAGTGGCTGCAGACTCGGCCGAGATTTCTGAAAGAGAATCGATGTTCACTTGCTACCGAAGCACATACCAGTAGCTCGCTCCTTCCACCTTCAATTTTCATCCCGACATTCTCGCCCAGCAAAACCAGCCACGCTGGACATCATGTCACTGTCAACTCTACCACCCGAACTTCTCACCCACATCATCAACCAAGTCGATGCCAAAGATCTTTCCAATCTACGACTTGTTTCCAAAAACCTGCAGATCGTTTCGACCCCAACTTTTGGAGAACGATGTCTCCACAATCTAGCATTTATGTTTTCCGAGTACAGTCTCCAACATCTGGTACAAATGACGGAGAGTGGATTGGGGAGATATGTCAAGAAGATCATGTTCGGAACGCATGTGTTGAAGATCAAGACCGAAGAAGAATTGGCTTGGGAGAAATGGGAGATGCAAGAGGATGAGGAAGATGAGATGACGGAAGGAGAGCTTGAAGAGCTGGATCGTGAGATGGCCGGAATGAGTGCAGATGAAGACGGTGATGAGGAGAATGGAGGAGACAGATTTGGACATCTGGAGGAAGCATCATTTCGAGCCGGACACGACTTTCACACCAGCATTGCCCAAGGGACCACGGGACTGGACAACAATAATGCACATGTCAGATCTGAAGACCCAGAGACAGTGATCTCAAACAACTCCAGATCCAGACAGGACTCGTATGAACACGACACCATGCCTCGACTCACGACTACCTTTCAGCAAAAAGCCATTACCATGACAAGATTCCTAGACTCCGGCAGACACATCCAACTCATGACTCAAGCATTCACGAACCTCAAAAATCACGGCGTAGAGACCACTCTAGGCTTCTTCGATGACGCCGTTCTCGTCGACAAAACTGGCAAAGAGTTGTGGTGTTTGGGCCGAAAATGTCACGGCTTCGATCAATTCTACAGCGGACGACTAAACAACAAGACAGAACCATCATCATCGTCAATGAGTCCAGATTTCCGAAGACTGATGCCAGACCTGGTATTCACAAGCTTGCTCAAAGCTACGGAAGCCGCCGGCTACACAGTGAAAAATCTACAACTGGATCTGGTAGAAGGAAAATCATGGCCATTGTCCGAGCAAGGAGGTGTGCAAATCCCACTAGAACGCTGGCTATTCGAACCTTGTCATCAAAAAACAACTCCTGATGGTATTTCCATACTCACACCAGGACTGGAATGGAAAGTCAACGCAGTGCTGGAGGAAAGCATTCTAGCACATTTGCACATTTCAACTTCTGCCCGCAGTCTCAGATTCTCCTCTGTCGATCTCGCGGCCAATGCAGAAGAACTGCACGCCAAAAGGCAGAAAGCATATTTCAGTAATCTGTATGATTATGGAATGTATGCCATATCCCTGGGCGATCACGCTTTCGTCGAAATCTCCCTGACATCCTGCTCCATGGATATAGTAGATATGATGGACTTTCTACGCAGCCAACATAAAAGTCTGCGTTCGCTGACTCTAGCACAAGTGGATTTGGATTTTGACGACAATGCTTTGGAGCAAGAGCACACACCACTAGCATTCCTAGGATTGATGAGGAATGGTTTACAACTGGAGTATCTAATGATTGATGAGATAAGGAGCGCCGAGCACAAATTCAGATTCATCGGTGGAAGAGGAAATATCTGGACTTCCAAAAAGGAGATTCAAGATGGGTTGGAAGCGGATATGTATAGGGAAGAGACTGGCAAATATTCCGTGGACACCGAATACCTGAAGCATCAACCCTCGATGGTCGGACTGGCTGTCGTCGATGAAGTCGGTATTGGTGCAAAACGTCTGGGAGAAGATGGTGATGAGGACGATGATCGCAACTTATCGGCGTCCGAGGTTTCACAAAACATGATACATGAATATCAGATGCCACCGTAGCTTGAAAATCAGCGAGCTACAAAGGAGCCCCCAACTGTTTGTTTACACGTTCCAACGTCTCAACTAAACCATCTGTGATGGATCGTGTCAAGTGATCTACTGGAAGAGGTTTTTCTCATGTCAGAAAAGCAGTGTCAAGCGAGCGAAGCAAAACTCGCCCTGAGGCAGGAGCACCCGGGGGTTGCGATATCGATTTGTTGGGCCTGACCCTGGAACAATATTGACCACATGCACTTTCCGTCGCGAATTGTTAAGTTATGCTCGTTCCTATGCGTTTGAATATCCTCTAATCATGATCTTTGGCTTCCTCGCGGGCCATGAAATTCCTCAGGCTCCTCGTCTTCATCCTCCGAATGATGCACCGAGATCCACTCGGCTTCATCGTCATCGCTGAACTCTTCATCTACAGAATGCTCGTCATTCTCTTCTCTTTGAATGTACATCTGTAATCCGTCTTGAATCTCCTCTGTAGTAGTCCAGGTATCGTCATGGCCACCGATCAATCTTGATTGATCCCGACTGTTGCTCACTCGATTCATCCTCAAGTAGTCCAAATCTAGCTCGTCTCTCAGAAACAATAGAACATTCAGACCAGTAGCATCTGGATCTGCAGCCCAAAGGTTGTCGTCATCCTCCTCTTCGTCGAAGAGATTAATTGTGACGTATTCGAGATGAAGTATCCGCAAAGTGTCTGCTTGGCTACCCAGAAGTTCTGTCAAGAACCGAAATGAAGTGTCGACCAAGGCCAGACGGAGCTGATGGAACTTGTGGGGCATGTTCGAAATACTAGGGACAAGTCCTTCCCGTTGGACTAGAGACATTCTAGGATGTCTGAGCCAGTCACGCTCTGGATTTGGCAACGTGAGGTACTCATATTTCTGACTCTTCGTATCGATATTTATTTGGAAGTTCAGATTCGCCTGTCGGTTGAAGCTGTTGTAGACTACTTCAAGATCCAGATCAGGTTCGCGAAATGCTGGAGTAATAAATCGGTATTTGAGAAAATCGAACAGGTCTGTGTCCAGTCCATCTTCAGACCGCCTATGACTATCCAAGTGAGCATGGAATTCTCTGAGTGGAAATCCTGCTTGTTCCACGGCATCCAGGACAGCTCTGACTGTCATTAGGGCCCATGTACGCATGGTAGGTTTCACTTGCATATCACCGTAAAACTTGTCGAAGCCGTATCCTTTTCTTTCCCTGCCACTTCGGGTATCGTCCAGCGCTATCCAAGGGACCAGTGGATCATATATTCCAAGGATCGGTCGGATTCCAAGGCCATCCAACGTTCTCAGTGCTTGCGTCAGCGGTGAGCTAGACTTCCCGAAGTCCCAAGTGTCTAAAACTCTGGGTCTTTCGCGTTCAATCTTGTCCACTAATGGGCCCTGGAATGGCCAGTCAACATGAGTAGAGAAAGTAAGACGTTTGATGTATCGGCCCAGTGGATGAGCGACAAGTTCAAGCAAGCCTTTCAAGCTAACTTGATGGCACAGAAAGGACAAGTCTGCTAGGCATTTGAGTCCGAATTGATGGGTTGATAGCGCAGAGATACGTCTGTTGACACGGCGCAAGTTCAGAACATCGTCGCCATCGACATCTTCGAGGACCGCTTCGAAAATCTCCGGCGGAAGCGAAAGTAGCGAGGCCATGTAATCAAAGATAGATCCGAGATTTGATGAGCAAGATGTTGATAAGAAGAGGGAAACATTGGAACAAGGCAAGAGCGGTGATTCAATTTAAGGGCAACCCTGGCAGCTCTTGGCAGGCATGCATGCTATAAAGTGGTTTCTCACTTCCTTGTTTTTGGTTCAAGTCTTCCGAAAGTAAGCAGGATACCGCGAGAGTGGAACTTGAGAGGTTGAGATTTCATCAAAGATCAAAAGTAAAGAACAAGGTCGATAAAAACATGGGTATCTTAGGACGAATAAACAATAAACCAAACGACATCAATGACAGTTCCGCAACGTCTATCTCCTGCGCTTGCTAGCCCTGGGCTTCGCAGCAGGGGCCTTTCTCTTGCCCTTTGACTTTGCAACCTTGGGTGCAGGTGTGCCACTAGCCATGCTCTCCTGCTCACTTCCTTCATCGCCCTCACTGCCCTCTTCCTCCTCTTCGTTCCCATCGTCGTCAGGATCGACACTGTCGGCCACTCGACTCGACCGCCTAGTGTTGAGTGACGGCTTGGCCCCCTTTCCCTTTACAGACGCTGCTGATTTTGACTTTGAGGCCCTCGTCGAAGGAGTCTGTTCCTCCAAGGCAATCTCGAAACTCGGTGTAAACCGCACGGGAGGACTGTCGGGTCTAGGGACCAAATCTTCGTCCAATGGCGGTGAGCTATCCCTTTCCTCGTCGTCCTCAGAATCTGGGAACCTCGCACGCCAGATCAAGCCTCCAAACTCTTCGTCGGGAAGTTCAAACTCGGTATCGTTCTGACGTTCCGGCTCATCCTCATCATCCCCCAATTCATCCTTTTCATCTTCTTCCTCATCTTCATCCTCAGAGGTTGACCAAGGAGCCGCATTGGCATCTTCGCGTTCATCCAGCGCTTCCAAGTCGTAGAGATCGTGTAGTTTAGCCCAGATGCCAGCAATCCGTGTATGTGGTGCTTTGGGATGGATATATCCATTCGACAATAAATGCTGATGCAACGCCAACAGGTGAAAATGTTTATGCATGCCGGTAGGTTTCCAACGTATCAAGCCTTTGAAAAGACCGATTTCTTCGTCGTCGGTCCAGGGGTCTGCTACTAGTGCTGCGTTGGCGGCTTCTTCATCGTATTCTTCCTCCTCTTCTCCTTCTTCCATGGCTTCAGGTTCTGCATCTGTGGCTTTGGGGTTGGGTGTTGAGTCTGTTACGGGCTTTGGGCGTCGGCGCTGTTCTATCTCGACTGCGACGGTTTGGTTGGAGCGGGATGGTGTGGGTGCTGGTGCGGGCGCGGGGCTGGCTGTTTGCGACACGCGTGATTTCCGTTTCGGCGCCATTTGAGTGTGCTGTGGTAGGCGCGCCAGATATGGGAAAGGCAACTTGTTGGATAATTGGGAATGGAGGATGGGATTCTGTTTCCTTTGCGAACGCCTGTTCGATGGTTGCGCATGACGGCCTTGCAACTTTTGGCGGGCCGTTCCTTTTGGGCCGAGATGGAGCTTGGGCCACCTTGGATCATGATCTGAGGGGAAAGATCAAGATTCACCAGCCACACCAACCATCATATACTTTGACACGGACAGGGCATTCTTGTGCTTATGATACAGGACAATCAAAAAACTAGATAAACGCGTGTGGGACATTGTCAAAGTCTCTAGCCCTCGGCATTCGCTGCAAATCCCCCTCCTACATGAAGACATATATCCCCTATACCATCAAGCCCACCCACATCAACAAGTCCAGACACACGGCAGAACACGAATAAAGCAACAAATCAATCGACCCTCATCATCTAGCCATAAGCATCACGCATATCACCCAGCGATCGCAACCGAGCAAGACCCCTCTCTCACCTGCCAAAAACCTATTCCTATTCTTATTTAACTTTACTAGCCACATATGCAAGCAGCAGGCAGCATTGTCCTCTTTCTACTTTGTAGCTCCCAGTTGCCGCCAACCTGGTTCCATCTAATCCTCTAGTTCCAATATCTGCGTTTGTGGAAACCACATGGTCGAGTGGATGTAGTGGTTCCTTCCGTGCATATAGATAAAGTGCATTTCTGCACGGCAGTTGTGGTGGTGGTGTAGCGATTTTTTTAGTCTTCTTGCTTCGGAAAGAGAGGGATTTGGGTTGGTGTCTCCGTCCTCGAGATGCGAATATGCAAAGGGAGTGGTTGTTCGCGCATTTAATGATCATGTATTAGACTTTCCACTTGCTCGGTCTTTACTCCGAATGGTTCTCAGTATGGAAAATGGTTGGTCTGCAATTCTGCGGTAAGAATGTGATAGGTATGTGATATGTCATTAATTCTCGAAAACGCCTTGCGGCAATCATCTGTAGACCAAGACAACATGTTGAAGTGGAAGAAGATACTAATCATATGCCTGTGAAGGCATTGTGAGAAAAGGGAAAATATATGAAGAGTGTAGAAAGGAAACGAAAAGTCGAGAACAAAAAATATCGAAGAAGAGATATATGCCAGGCTCCTGTCGCGATTTCCCCTTGCTTGTCATCCTTGCGGAAAAACTTGTAAACTCCTGTTCCCCTGATCCGGTACGTTGAAAATTGTTCTAGTACAGCCGTGAGGCATTCGTGATATTTTTTCCCCGAAAAACACCTGAGGCAATTGCTCGCCATAAAATCCCATTGTCCTGTTTCTTTCGTGGAAAAAGGAAACTCCGCGCTCGACGCCAAATAATCCAGATGCTCGGTTAAAAAAATGGTCCAGAAGTAGAGAAAAGAATGTACCGATAGAAAGGCTTCGAAAAACAGGGCATTAGTGTAAAGGGAGGTCTAGAGCAAGATCCTTTTCGTGATCTTGTGCTGACGGTTGAAGATGCTCGAGAAGCTAGTGATGTATCGCTGAAGATGTATGAGGGAAACAATTGGCCGTGAGCGTCGCACGCTAATGTAGTAGCATGTCGTCGGTTGATCGCGCGAAAGTCATCGTGACCCAGATGCTCGGGAGAGAAGATTGTGAGCCAAGCGAATTAGATGAGGACTGGACATGGTGGGGAAGAAGGGCCATGCATGTAGGCGGATGCATGCGATTGATCTGCGTCAAGGGGTAGAGACATCGGTACGCAAGCAGGTCGAAAAAAAGAACTATTCCATTTCAAGTCAGTCCACTGGGCAAACTGTAATAAGATCCGGCATGAGCGGGATCGAGAGATTGATGTGTTGCATGCGTCGTGTGAGATGAAAGGGTTGGGAGGCCTTGTGTATACGTACTGGGCTCGGTGTTGCCGATGACATTGCGTCTCTCCGGCTCTTTTATGCTTTGCGAGTGCAGGGCTCGCATCTCTTGACCTTGCATTTTGTGCATTCGTAGATGAACCAATGCGGGCCCGAATGACATAGGCTGCAGTTCCAGATGATGAGAGTCGTGTCGGATTTGATCACCCTGAAGCGGTGCTCGCAAGATCCAGAGATGGCCATTGTGCTGTGCGTGTCTGGTCAGTCCAATTATCTCATGGTAGAGGGGTCGCATGGCGGGGTATAATTACCTGGAAGTGGGAGGAGTGAGGATTGGTTGTGTGGAGTGTTGGGGCTGGTGAATTGAGTGATCAATTGTCGACAGAGTTGTTGGACAGAAGAAGCGAATGGATTAAGGTCGACTAGAACGACGGTAGGAAGGCACAAATGGTCGAGGGGAAGGTGGTGAGAAGGTCAATGAGATAGAATGTCTTCTGGAAGAGGTCGAGGCAAAAGATATATATAACAATCAAACCCAAACAATGCAGGCCAGATCTGCTACCAATGCAACATGCCCGGCAGCAGCAAGAGACAGAAGTAGAAGGGTAGAGGATCTTCGCTCTGAGGAGGCGTCGGTGGATAAGCCAGAAAAAAACGTTCGCGCCGCAAGCAAAGCTGAGACCTTAATCCACATCCCACAAGAAATGATGGCGTCTTGAGATGGGAATGAACGGCTAAGAGTGGGAGGGGTGGGAAACCAGAGTGAAAGAGGCTCTTGCGCTATGCGCACTTGCTCGAACGGGTAGCCAGCCCAAGACCAAAATGGGCGGCGGCGCGTGCAAATGTAGCGGAGAGGGCAGCAAGCCTATGTCGTACTGTTGCATGCGCCGCCATTCCGTTTCTTGGTCGCCGGATCTCCTTCCTGTCCCCATGTCACGATCTGTCTCTGAGAGGGGTGAGCCAGGGAAGGCGTGATGGGCTAGAGTCTATCCTAGAAACACGGCAAGGGGACCCGTGGCTCCCGCAGCCATCATTCTTGATCATCCTCCCTCACTGCCTGCTGGTTGCTGCGTGCTGCCTTTCCAAACATTCGAACTGATTCATCCGTTCCCACGGTCGCGGGTGTGGATGATCAAACCTAGGATTCATCAATTGGAAAGATGTCGCACGGCTCGAGTAGGCCCCCATGCCGCTTGCAGAAAGGGCCGGTAGATTCTACTGCAAGACGACGTCTTGTTTTGGCGCGTGTTGCTTCCCCTGCTCGATACCCTATTTTCTCCATTCCCACCGGCGGAGCTACAATGGGCGTAGCGGAAAGGTCGAACCGGACATGCATGAGATCCAGCAGGGAACATTCACAGCTTGCATCGGTCATCGCACATCTGCTTGGTCCACCGGGGACTTTCTGCTTGCACAACGATGTGGAGTTTCCTCTTTCTGCATGGCACTTTTGGTTCCAAGGGAACACATAGATCTGCAAGCGGCGGGACGATCTGTGAGACAAGATCTGTTGGTATGGGACCAGGGCAGAAATGCTCGGTGTTTGTCTTTCTCTACTCTTCTACATACACTCCTACATCCATTTGCCCCTTTACCAAGTACATTCAATTACATTGGGGCTGGCTGATGTTATCATCTTCTTCCTTGAATCAGTCATAGTCCAACGATGCCCAGTAGCTGCATCTCTAGCACGTCGGCATAAAGCCTGAAAAGATGATGTCGTGACGCTCGAAAGTTCATGTGCGTGGTCCGAAGAAGCCTCATGCATGAAGCCACGGCGCGCCAGTCCTCGAGGGCCCGACCAGCAAGAAATCAACAACCTGGTCCTCCAGGCCTGAGGGTGAAGGTGGAGATAACGCTATTCAAGGGTTCAGAAACTCTAAAATCATACCGTAGACCTGTCACTTTTCAAAGATACATTCCTGGTCACGATTATGAAAGCTGAGCAGGAGATGATACGACCCCCTGTAAGCCCTGAGTTTCGTCAGAGACATGGCTACCAGTATCCTACCCAAGGTCACTTCTCACCATATCAACCATGACCTCGCGCCAGGTGCGACGTGGTTGATATAGCATGCGACCAGATTCTTTTGCGACATCTAATTCCAGTCGCCGAGCAGCAATATGTAGCACAAGAGGTTGCATCTCACTGCTCACTCCTTTCTCCCACCAACCCGGTTTTCAAAGAGGTTGCTGTCATGCAGCCACACCTTATATAGATCTGTGTCACCGGAACATTGTATCCTGCTGCTGCCCATCTCGACACCAGTTGCCCATTTGTTTGAACCTGGTCGGCGGAATGCAGAATGCAGAAGATCTCATCTCGATCTTCTCGATAGCGTTATCCTTACCATAGTGTCTGGCACTTGCATACGCATGCCTTGACTCTTGCATGCTCATCATTCCGCAATCAACGCTGCACAGCGTTGCACCAGGATGAGCAGGAAGAGTCACTCATGAAGATGCAAGTGCATGGAAATCCTCAGGCTTGGGCGTCTAGACACGAAGACGGGTTACTGGTAATTAGTTTGTCATTCCATAGAGCCGGTGCTGCCTCGTTATCTTGTGTTGCGATGAGGGCCTCAGCTCTCCGTTGAACCATCAGAAAAGAGTTTCTACACGCCGTGTGCACGCAAAGAAGCAGTAGCAGCAGGAGGAGAGGACCATTAGCATCATTCCACAAGATCTGAACCCCATCGTAGTCTTGCACAACACTGTTGGGATATTTTGTGAAACTCCCGATTTGGGTCATTGGCATATGCCAAACTCGGCCGAGTTTGAAAGCTGGAACTTCCATTTCTTCTCGAACGACGACTGATCCACAGGTACACACGGCGTGCGGATCTGTCAAGCCATCCCTCAGACCCAAGGCCGGATTCGACTACTGCAGGAACAGCCTTGGACTAAGTACCAGGTTGTGCAACGGGGTAATGTTACGCTGGATGCGTCATGTGCTTGGGGCGTATTGGAACACTTCTTCAACCAAGGTGCTTTGCAGGTGGAAAAATGAGGCACTTGTGTTGCAGATGAAGGTAGTCACTGCGATTGGTCAATCGCGAGAAGGCAAGTGGAGACGACACAAGAATGTAGGAATGAAAAATCAGGTACCGCTGTCTGCAATAATCATGAACAAGAGTCAGTCTTTTCATCCTCAACCATCCCCAGGCAGCTTGCTGACACAGCTGCGCAACTGCATCTCTCCTTCTATCAACTTTTTGTTCTCATCAAGAGCGTCATTATGTGCATCGCTTCCTCGGTTGTTACGGCTGCCATCCATGGGCTTCCAATGCGAGTAAGGCGTGTAAATTACAGAACGCCAGTTTAACCTTGATCAAAGGTAAGGGCTGGACGAAACGGTTGATTTACTGGGTCTTCTTGGGGACGCCCTGCTGCTGAGCGCCGGCGTAACGGTTGATGTCGGTCAGGTCAGCGGCCTGCTTGATGCCGCCCTTGACACCATCCCAGCCCTGTCTGACAGCGGGAGGCATGTCCTGACGGTTGGCGATGGCGTCACCACGAGCGGTGAGCTGGTTGACGGCCTGCTGGACGAAGGTGCTCTGGTGGAAGCGAGCTCTGAGGAAGACAGTGTAGACGGCAATCAGGATCCAAGAGCCCTTCTGGAAAAGGAGAGCGGAGAAGCCAAGACGGAACCAAAGAGCGATCTCGAGGATAGCGACAAGAGTCATGGATGAGTCGTAGTAGTTCTTGACGAAGTTACCAATGGTGTCGGCAAGGCCAGAGGACTTGGGCTTCTCGCCAGCAGCAACAGCAGGCTGAGGCTGAAGAGTGGGGAGAAGGTTGGATCTGGTGTAAGTTGCGACGTGGAAGATGGAGTAGACGGCAAAGGGCAGAACGGCGAGGGGGATCTGACGAGACCAGAGCCAAATCAAAGCCATGGCTGAGCGAGTTAGAAGGGGGAGCAGAGATCAAAAGCAGCTTGGAGACTTACCCAGGTACTGAACGTTCTCGTCGCCAACGATCTGGAGGGGACCGCCAGTGGCCTTGCCGGCACGGGCACGGGCGCGGAAGCTCTTAAAGACGACAATGCCGTAGGTGGCAGCGGCAGCAACGAAAGCGGTGCGGTACGAGAAGATGGCCCACTTTGAGTTTGCGTGGAAGGTCAGGTACGACAGAGCGTAGCGGACCGAGGACAGCAGGAGAGTGACATGGCCAGCGAACCATGCGAACTGCAGTGTCTGCACGAGCTGGAGCACGCGCTCCTGAAGAGGGAGGTTTGAAGGTGGAGGAGGAGCCATTGTAGGGTAGCTTGAACAGAACAGATGTCAGTACAAGTGGTAGAGATTGGTGGTGTAGGAGTAAGAAAGCTGGCAGGAGAAGCTGAAGTAATGACAGGTGTTGGCCGGCCGTGACAGTGGGGTCGTCATGGTCAGCGCTCTGCCGTGGCTGGCGCGCACAAACTCACGCGAGCTACCAAGGCTGGGGAAATCCATCGTCACTTACTCTGTGATTGCTGGAGAGTCTGTGGATGCTATCCTGAGATGTGAAGGTGATAGGTAATGGTAGAGCGTGGGATAGACTGTTGTTTGCAAAGAGGTTTTGATTGCAAGCTTATGGGTGGAAGAGGCAGCAGGTGCGACCTTCAATCAGGGAACGTAGCCAATGACGTATTTATCAAGAGGTTCGACCGCGCAACCAAGCCACCGCACATGCGTCGACATGCCCAGCCAGAACCGTCATGATTCAATTATCAATGTCGAGATCAGTCTTTTCTAGCATCCAAGAAGGTCCAGAGGGACAGTGTGGACATGCTCCTTAACGAGTTTGCGATTTTGTTTCCTTGTACCTGTCCAACTCGACCTCTCATTCCCTCGACAGCTGCTTGATCGAGTACAGATAGTGTACACCACGCTATACAATGTCTTGTCTGTTCAATCTACCAGGCACGTGTCCATTCTAAAAACGATAACCATGCTGTTTGCCTTTTTCTCGCTTTTTGTGTGACTAACGGTACAGAGTAAGAGCAATTAAGTAAATTGACATGAAAAACGCAACGAACAAACAAAAGCGCTGAGGTATCACAACTTTGAACCCAACTTGTGCAAAGGCAGTCCTGCCCACCTTTGCCTCGCTGCTCAGCAACAGCACAACCATGGTGATGATGTAGATTGACTACAAGAGCAGTCTCATCTTCTTCTTGCGCATACTCAAAGGTCGAACATATCACGCTTAACCACGGATCGAGAAACCCTTTCTCTTGCCCTTCTCCTCGACCGGTCGGCCAGTCTCGATGCGTCCCTTCTTCTCCTCGAGCTCGCCCTTCTGCTTGTCCAGCTGTTCCCTCATCTCGCGATGACGGGCGTAGAGCTCTTCCTCGCTTTGCTTGAGCTTCTGCTCCTTCTCTTGTACCTTTTGTTGGAAGACCATCTTCATCTCGCGCTCCATCTTCTCCAGCTTCTGCTCGTGCAGCGAACGCTCCTCCTCCTGCTTGGCTGCAGGGTTGATCTCCTTGAACACAGAAGGGTCTTGCTGCATGCCCATCGACTCGAGCTTGTCGGAACGGTAGTTCTCGTAGAGCGTGTTGTTGGTGTGTTCCTTGAGCTCCTCCATGTGTGTGCGGATGAGCATCTGGCGAAGCTTGGCAAAGTCGCAGTGGTCCTCGTTGTCGACCTCGATGATACCCCAAGGGTACTTGCGACCACGCACCTTGCGACCTTCAGGCGTGCTGACCTCAGCGTTTGCTCCGACAACGGCGAAGGGGACCTTTGACATGATCTCCTGGTTCTCGGCAATGGTCTCTTCGTCGTCAAGCTCGTAGCGAGGGCCTTCAAAGATCTGGATGCCCTGGTGCTTGATGTCTGAGAGGATCTAGAATTTTGAATTAGAGAATGATCTCACAGACGGAGAGTACCAGTGTGCTTACTCTTTGCTTGAATGAGAGGACCTCCTCGTCTGTGAGGGTGTCGGCCTTGGCGATGACGGGGATCAGATTGACCTTGGTGTGTAGTCTGCGCATAACCTCGATGTCGAGAGGCTTGAGCGAATGACCAGTAGGCTGAATGAAGTACACACAGGCGTGGATGCGGTTGTCGACGATGTTCATGCGGTTGACCTTGTTCTCGGCGTCGAGATAGGCATCGAAGCGCTGCTCGATGTTCTCGACAATGGGGCGCCAGGACTCGTTGTTGTTGACGAAGTCACCGAAGCCGGGTGTGTCGATGACGTTCAGTCTCAGACGGACGCCGTTCTCCTCGATGTCTGCGCTGATGGATTGAATGGCGACAGTTGTGGGGGCAAAGTCAAGGCTGGGCTGTTTCTGCTCCTTGGGTGGGTAAAGCGAGGTGTTGAAAAGAGTGTTGACAAGAGTCGACTTTCCGAGACCAGATTCACCTGGGTATTGATGTTAGAAGGCGCACACGCACACGAAGTTGATGACAATGACACACCGACGACCATAACGTTGAAACTGAAGCCTTTTCTGACACTCTTACGGTGCCATTGGTTTGGCAGGTTGGCGAAACCGACGAAACCGGTCAATTTCCTGCGCACAATGTTCTTCATGTCGCTTGCTGCTGCAGCGGCAGCCTTGGGGTCTCTGTGAGAGACAGTCTGGATTTGAGGCGAGATAGAGCCCATCAGGGGAGAGGTAGGACTGCTGTCGGAAGGGATCTGAGGAGGAATTGGCGATGCGCGGACTGGAGGAGGCGTGGGAGAGACGCCGTTGGAAGCTGTGTCGACGACCTTTGCATCAGCATCATTCATGGACGACTTGTTGACGTTGGCAGATGATTCGGCGTTCGCAGCCTCGGTCTGAGTCTGCGATGCGCCTTCTTCGGTGACGCTCATGGCGACGGGACAAGAGACGGAATTGCTCGTGATGCGAGAGGCAATGGGAGGTGGTGGATGGAGAGAGCTTGCTTACCCATGGCGAATGGATTTCAAGTTATTACGGGTAGATGGACGTTCCTTCTGCTATTGGCAACCACGTGTCAGCAACATGCAATCGGCAACTCTCGTTTGTGTTGAGCAAGTTTGCGGCGGCAAGAGCATCCACAATGGTGGTTGCCCGACACAAGTCGGCAGCTTGCTCGCTGCTTGCACGCACACATCCAACGACACCCTCAACATTTCCACATACCGTCCAATTATTGAAGATGATGGTTCAAAAGCGATCCGAGAAGCGATAGACAAGGGTGAGAGTCACGGAAGTATCAACGCTACAAGATGAAGGTCGAATTGTGGAGAGACGCGGTTTGCGAGTAGTTGGCTGTCCCTTTCGAACGCCGCGGAAAGGGGTCTGTGTCCGAGCGTCTCTCGAGATGATGGAGAAGCAACCGCAGATCCGACGCCATTTCTCTGACTCTCCCATCTGTCCACCAGTGTTCGAACACGACGAATCAAAGTCCTGTACGGATATCTGTTTGCTTTTCTACTTTTATAACAGGTATCAAGATACGGGTTCTTGCTTGAGATAGAGGTACAGCAGTGTTCGTACAAGTCAACACAATTCTTAATCCCATTCAGGCAAAGCGTCATGCCGGCATCGAAGCAGCCAGCACGACCATCCCGGACACATCTCGAGCTAATCTCACATTCAAGCAAATCGGCCTCTCTCCACACCATGCATCTTTACAACTTCCCGTGTCTTGGTTGCATAGGTACAGAAACTCCCGGCGCCACGCTAAAGTCCAAAACCCCATCTTCCTTCACCCCAAATTCGAGAGCACCGCATTGAGTTGCGTCTTGTCGTACTTTACATACTTGCCTCTGCCCTTGTCAATCTCGTGGTATCTGTCCCAGTGACGACCATAGAGTGGCTCGATGAATCTTTGGACATCCCTCGCGAACGAGGTCTTGACTTCCTTCTCCATCTTGTATGTCTTGTGCTTGGCGACCATCTCGTCGAACGATGCGTTAAATCCACGGAACTTCTCCTTCATGGTGTCTTTCTCTTTAGAAGATAACGCTTTGACAAAGGCCGCCGAATCGACTGCAGCGCCCGTGCTTGGAGGACGCGGACCACGGTTCGTGTATTGAACGTCGAGTAGGTAAGCCGAAACCTCGTTCCAAGTGGTCATGTAGTGCTTAGTCGCCTTGACACGCCATGACTCGATCTTCGGCTGTGCAGGCTCTAACAGTGGACCAAGTTCGGAACTACGGATCATGCGTTCAATGATGGCAATGTTGTTGGCCAGGAAAACACCCTGTACCCCTTTGCCCTTCTGCAAAGCTGCAGAACGTGCTTCCAAGTTCGAGAGAAGAGTGTGGATAGTGTCCGCAGCGTAATCTGCAAACAGTTTGCGACCATCTGCACCAACGTCAAACGACTTGAGAGTAGGTATGGAAGTACTCGATGATGCAGGTCCTGGAGCGGACCACCCACCCTTACCCAATGATGTCAAGATTGACGACAGAGGCACTAGGAAGCTAGTCATAGTTTGCAGGCGGGTCATCATCTCCGATGTCAGGGGTATTGCTGAACCGTCGGCAGGAAGCTGCATCATCTGCTGCACTCGGTTCCGTACATCCGTGAGGAGCGCAGAAAGGGACGACTTTGCAGTCTCGCGGATGGGCTTGAGTGCATCAGCTATCTCAATCTTGAGCTCCCCTGTCTTATTGTCAACCTCGAGGGCAGTGTTCGACACGACTTCGATGATTTCGTAGGCCAGAAAGCAATCGCTTGTGATGTTGTCTTTGATATGACGATCAAGGTCTTTCAGCGTCGCGGCAAAAGCCTTGAGGGCACCCTGACAGGTCATTGACAGAACCTGACCCCATTCCTCACGATCAAAGATTGGACATATGTTGTCGTATTCGGCAATGAACATGCCCTTGATGCCTGCAGCGTACATTCCGATGGCGTTATCACCTTTCTTGTATACTGTGGCGGTACTTGGATTCTGTTTTCGAGCAGTCGCTAAACAGGCAGCAGCCATGTTTTGCAGACTCGTGGTGATGTATTGGCCTCGCACTTCAGCATAGATCTTGGCTGTAGGTGTGCTTCTCGAGTCATTTTGACTCATTTCAGCAGCAGACGAAGATGCATGAGCGTTGATGGTTCGCAAGTGAGTCGTCTTCGTGGAGGGGATGCGAGGGAAATCAATGTTCTTGGTAATGAAGTGGAGAGGTTCGACAGGCGCGACTCCCTCACGCAACGTGTTCTGGAAGACATCTTCCAATTGTCTGCTACCCACACCGAGTAGACCGTTAAGCTCGGAGATGGCTTGCTGGTTCGAGCGGAGATTCGATTGCTTCAAGTCACCCAGGGCTTGACGAGTGCGATCGATAGAAGCAATGTACTCGGTCAAGCCCACTGCTTGCGGACTCGAGCGCAAAACTTGCTCTTCTCTGTTGCGCATATCCAGGGGCTCGCGGATTCTGTCGATGGCCATGATGACCCGGTCGATGTTCGCGTTTGTGGTTTGGAGTCGCTGTGTGTTGCCATAGATGGGCCCAATAGCCTCTTCCACCGTCTTTCCACTGGTCTCGAGTCGGCTCATGGAGGATTGAATCTTCTTGGTCAAGCTCTTCATCTTGCTCAGGTTCGCGTAGAGCACCTCGACTTCGGCGCTCTCCTCGGCGAAAGCGGCCGCCCTCTTTGGACCCGCCATTCTGAGGACGACGTCGTCGGAACTATTAATGTCGATTTGGTGTTGAAAGATGCTGGTATCAATACATGCTGAAGGCTGATGGTGGCTGTGATTTCCGTGAGCAAGCCCAGGTAGCTGTGTAAACACTGGGGAACGGATGGCAGCGACAAAGTATACGCCAAAACGCGTAAGGAAGCTCTCCAGCCAAGAGAGGAGGTTCGTCCTGACTCGCGATCGTGGGGTGGGTGCACGTACCACGCTGCGGGAAGGATCGCGTGATGGAGATGCGTGTTCCTGTTCCTGAAAACGAAACGCATATCGTAGCCATGACGAGCCATCGCTGGATTTCAAGAATTTTATACAAAAGCCTCATTGTGGCAGTGCTGCCTAACAGTGCCCTGTTCAAGTCTCGACCTACTGCCATCTTTTGTTTCTACATGGCTTTTTGAAACCCCATCATTATTACCGACAACAATGCTAGCTAACCTGTCTTACCAATGCTCAGATCAAGCGCTTTCCACCTTCGTATAAAGCCCCGTGCGGCATGGTAAGCTCGAGACGCACCTTTACATCCCTTTCCATGTATACTAAGGCGCTATTCAGTCGCAGGCTGCTTCATCAAGCCTCGCCAACCTTTAAAGACACACGCAAAGGCACGGCTGGAGTCGCCGCCGCTGTATTAGTTGTTACAGGCGCATACACTCTGGGATGTCCTCGTCAAGTCCTCTATGCCGATAGTCCTGAAGGCCCTGACTCGCAAGGGTGGTTCTCATGGCCAGTGGTTGTCAAGGCAGTGACCCCGGACCCGAAGTCCAAGGCCGAAGGTTATGATAATGCCAATCAATCTCGACCCGGACAGCAGGCACCTCCTTCTCAAACCAAGGGCCACAAGAACTCTGATATCAGTGAGGCTTTAAACGATTCCGATGTATCAGCATGGCACGGTATGATCGAGAGTTTCGAAACGGCCAAAGACAGCATCGTCAATTTTGAAATATCCAAGATTGGCGAAAAAATTGCTGGAACCATCGTACCACGTTGGGTCAAAGTCATGCCTGGTTACATCTCTAAATTGCAAAATGAACTTTCCATGGCTCCTGGGTCTTTGGCAGAAGAGATCTGGCATGAGGCAAATGATCCTGAGATCAATCCAGAGATCATTTGGGATGCAAGAGTCCGAGTCTCGGACGACATCTGCAAAGAGGAGCGTGATTTTTTGCGCAAGAGGAAAATCCACACGACTGCTGCTTTGGCCAAATACCTTGATGTACCAGAGACAGAGATTCATCCGGCTGACGTACCAACCATCGCAATGTGCGGATCTGGTGGTGGACTTCGTGCTCTAGTAGCCGGCACGTCTTCATATCTCTCTGCACAGGAAGCGGGATTGTTCGACTGTGTGACTTACACAGCAGGTGTAAGCGGCTCCTGTTGGCTTCAGACTCTGTTCTACTCGTCTGTTGGCCAGCAGAGTCACGGTCGCATGATCAATCACCTCAAGAGCCGCTTGAATGTTCATATCGCCTATCCACCAGCTGCACTTTCACTGTTGAGTAGTGCGCCTACGAGCAAATATCTGCTCAGTGGCGTAGTAGAGAAGATGAAAGGAGTACCTGACGCTGACTTTGGCCTTGTCGATGTATACGGACTGCTCCTTGGCACTCGTCTACTGGTTCCTAAGGGCGAACTCGGCATCTCGGACAACGACTTCAAGATTTCCAACCAGCGACAACACACCGACTCGGGCGCTTACCCGCTTCCCATCTATACTGCAGTCAGACATGAGATCCCTAACGTTGCTCAAACACAAGATCGTGCTATGAATCTGCAGGACGAAACATCCAAGGCCATTGCAAGAGCCGAAGCATGGTTCCAGTGGTTCGAATGGACGCCTTATGAATTCTTCTGCGAGGAGCTCGGAGCCGGAATTCCGACATGGGCTATCGGTCGCAAGTTCGACGGAGGCAACAGCGTTTACAGAGATAATGGTCTTGCTCTGCCTGAACTTCGAGTGCCTTTGCTAATGGGCATTTGGGGAAGCGCGTTCTGTGCAACGCTCTCCCATTACTACAAGGAAGTTCGCCCAATCATCCGCAGTCTCGCTGGCTTCAGCGGCATTGATCAGCTCATCGCCGAGAAAGATGAAGATCTCACCAAGGTTCATCCTTTCGAGCCTGCATCCATTCCTAACTTCGCCGCAAACATGAAGAGTCTGCTACCTCAATCATGTCCTGAAAGTGTGCATAATGTTTCGACTTTACAACTCATGGACGCTGGTATGAGCAACAACCTCCCTATATACCCACTGCTACGACCAGGAAGAGACATAGACGTTTTGATCGCCTTCGACGCTTCTGCGGATGTCAGACAAGACAACTGGATCAAGGTGACAGATGGCTATGTAAAGCAACGCGGGATCAAGGGATGGCCAATGGGTGCTGGTTGGCCTACCGAAGAGCTTAACGAAGAGCAAACATTGAAGGAGCTCGAGCAGGCTCAGGCTACTACCGAGGAGGAGGCCACCAAGAGAGTTGAAGAAGCACAAAACGCAGAGAAGTCCAAGCCTGTCGTGGAAGGCGGAAAGGTCCCAGCGAAGCCAAGTGATCTCGGCTACTGCACCGTTTGGGTTGGTACAACTGAGGAGCGCGAGAATGACACCGAACCGCCCTTGTCAAAACAAGTCGAAGAAGATTGGGAGCTCATGAGACCAGATGCTGGTATTGCCGTCATCTACTTCCCATTCCTCAAGAACAAAAAGGTTCCAGGGGTAGACCCACAGACATCCGACTTCATGAGCACCTGGAACTTTGTTTACACCGACGAGGAGATTGACAAGGTTGTGTCGTTGGCTCGAGCGAATTTTGAAGAGGGCAGAGAACAGACAAAACGTACAATCCGAGCAGTTTGGGAGAGAAAGAGGAAGCATCGTCTTGATCGCGAGGCAGAGGCAAAGGAGATTCGACGACAGACGAGAATGAGGAAGGTGAACAGATACAAGCAGTATGGTGATCACGGTGACCAGTTCAGCTGAGGTCAGAGTTTGCGGAAGGAGTAATTCAGGATCCTAGAAGCCATATTATAATACCCAGCGCGGCATCGCGCACATGTAGAGAATACACATACCCGTTCTAAGGACACACAGATCAACATGTTGGCGGAATCTCGATGCTCATCGGTGATTCTGACTCGGATTCAAGTCACCAACGATCAGCAACCCTATTCAATCAAGCCCCTTAGACCCTATTGTATGCTGAAACATCGCCACGTCAGCTCCCTTGCGGCAGCGACACGCATTTATACACCTGTCCGAGTGCATGATGATTTTAGGTCGAACTACTCTGTCCGGGGGAATCAACTCCTCAAAGCTCTCTCTTCGGACCAAGCTATAGTTTCGAACATTATTGAGCATTCCTCCAGCTTCGTGTGTGGAAAAGTCTCAGTACTCAGGGAGGACATTACTTGGTAGTGCGCTTCCGATGGCATCCGATGGCAGGCTGTTGCTATCAACAGCAGCTTGTGGGGTTGCCAACAGGCAGTGCCAAGGCCAGCACGCGTGTCTGTCACGACTTCGCGCTCAGCTCTCAGAGAACACACCATCATCTTCAACTCAAATCGTTCCAATCTCAATTGCATACCACTTCTGAGCGGTTCTGGTCCGGCTCTATCCCTGGGAACTTGATCTTCTCTTTTCGCTGTCTTCGGCTCTATCCCAACGTTGTTTGCGTGACTGAGCTTTTGACAGGGTGAATTGCAGATTTGAACCCTGTGTGAATGAGCCTCTCTAGGTCCGCAATCGTTGTGGCTTTGATCCTCCAAAGTTCTTTCGATACCGAGTCAAGGCTGCTCAGCAGAGACGCCCAACGCGAAAGCCTGGGAGGGTGGGGACTGCGTCATCGTCAAGCACGCAGGGAATCGGTAGGCTGAACTGACTGCTTAGGTTTTGCCGACATGTCTTGCGAAGATGGCGCTCTTAAACTCGATACCGACACAGGCCATGTGCTTCTGTCGCCTGATTCGCGATTCGAATGGATTGTGGGCGGCCACCAGGTCGGCGCCCAGTGGGAGGAGAAAGAGCTTGGAACAAGGCGTCATCTCGGAGGTCCTTCACCCGTCCACAACAACGACAGCTCACTACGCCTCTGGTTCGCTGTCGACCAAGGCAAGAACGAAATGCTTGTTGTCTTGACCATGTCTGTCAAATCGCGCTCCAAATCAAAAGCACGCCCACGCAGCTTCTTTCTCCTCGTACCTGCAGAAGACTTGTGCATATCTAGTGCAATCCATGACTTTCAACCGATCCCTCTTGATTCTGTCCCCGAACCTCTGTTTGAGCGACCCGCCGATGTTGTTTCCGCCAAAGCCACACGCATCTTGCATCTATCATTCTCTCTTGGACATAAGCGCAGAAGCGGAGTAGTCATGACTACTCGACCTTACTCTGGTAATATGCGTGGCACCCCGCTAGCTCTGCTAGATGGTCTCAAATCACTGTCCAAAGCGAATCAGGTTGATGTGTACATGAAGTATAGCTCGTATGCTCAAGTCGGCCTTCAACGCATCCGTGAACAAATCGCATCTCAACGTGTAGCTTTCTTTACACCTTCGTTTAACTTGACGGACATGTATCGAGGTGGATGGCATGGCGATTTTGATCTATGGGAAGCTCAAGGATGGCATGAAACTGTCCCAGATATGCCATCGCGAAAACGAAAAGCATCTTCTCCTCCACTCGAGGAACCACTTCGTGCTCCACCAGCCTATGAACAGCATGGCACGCCTGCTCCGCCGGCGTATGCTGACACTGCGTCGCCATTACCACGGGTACCACGCACTCCACATAATGAACAACAGCGACCGTCCCCACGACCTGACATTCATCTTACACCCAGCAGTATCGTCTGCGATAGCATCGCCCCTGGCATCTCTGCAACCCCCCTGTCGCCTCATCCCCTCGTCTTCTCCGACATTGGATCAGAGCCTCCTTACTCTGCTCCGCACAAACAATCACCAACCCACGCCTTTCTTCCTGCCCAAAAGCAGTTGCTGCCTTCCCTCTTCCCCGCAACCGACCCATCATCTCTTTCCCAGCTGTACGACCACGAAATGGGCATGTGGCTCCTGACAGCCTGGAATCTCGTGCCGAACATACATTTCGTACTCATCCATCCCCTTCTTTCCGTCGCTTCCGCGGTCACCAGTAACGACGTACAAGCTTATCGACTCGCTCGTATGGAATGTGCAAAAGCCCTATCCTCTTTTATCGCAGATCAACGACAAAAACACGACTCCATCAACCAATCTGAGGAAACACGATTGCGGAAACAACATCATCTCAAAATTCTGGCATCTGAACCCGATAGTCTGCTATCTTGGCTCTTCATGCTGAGATCAGAAGGTGATATCGGGTTTATGGAAATGCTTGGGGGGTTGGAAGGGAGGAAGAGAATTGCTATTTCTGCTGTCGATGATGGGGAAAGGTTTAAAGAATGTATGAGTGATTTTATGGTTATGAGGGCGGCGATTGTGTTGCAAGCTTTACTTATGGAGGGGTCGAAGGTTATGCAGAGATTACAAGGGAGTGATGGGGAGATGGTCAGGACGGAGATGCAAAGGTTTGCTAGCTGGTCTAGTAGATAGTTTACGAGCTTTTTGATGATATGTATATTCCCACCGCTATGCAAATCAAAAACAACACCTTGACTTGGGTCTGATATCTGCATAGTTTGGCTACTCGGATTAAACTACAGTGGCTATTCAAAAGGGCATGATGGGGTTTAACCTCTAGCGGTGTCATCAGTGAGCCATGACCACCAATATCCAGCGGCAGTCCTCTCCTTTCCACCTCCCCGTGTGCTGAACTTTGTCACGCACATGCTGTAGAAATGCACAATGCTTTTGAGATCAGTGCAGCTTTCCACTGAGAAAGCGCTAACTTTCACACTCTCAGTGGAGGGCTGCACTGATCTTACAAACATTGTGCATTCCTTCAGCCCGGATGACCTCAGTCACGGTCGTGAGAGATGGCTAAGGGGACAGAAATCAGCACACAGGGAGGGCAAGCCCACAGTTACGAAAAGCAACAAGGTGTTTTATCAAGGCGAGAATGCATAAAGCACAGCAGCTTGGAGTCCAGATCCAGGCACCCGTGTCATGATCTCGTAACTCGTATCGACATCTTCGTATGCCTTGCAATGCCCGTTCAAGTAAGTGATACTCGCTGTCCTAATAAGATGTCAGAAGTCGTGGAAGGAAGTCAAGACTCAGGAAGTTCTTTCCTCGCGAATCCCAGCAAAGCGCGTTCGAGCTGTTCACCGTTTTTAAGCATACTTAACGTGAAGGATTCGGCTGCGCCGTGGCCACAAACATCGATGGAAGTACCTTCTACCTCCCCGTGTGCTAAAGTTCTTCACCGACGCTGCTGTAGAACTGCACGATGGTTTTCCGAAGGAGAGCTAGGTTCAAAGAGATGGCCTCCGAACGTCGCTCTCTGTGAATGACGTGCTGCTGCTCAATATTATCGTGCATTTTGATGGGTGGATCAATGCCAGCGGTGAGAGTCGGGGAGGTAGTCCGCCGGCCTTCGACAACATCCCGTCTTGTGACCACGGACGAAGCCGAACTTGATGTTTCGTAGAGAAGAGGTTTCACTTACACCGATATAGGTTTACATACACAGTGTAAATAGTCAGCAGTTTAGGGTGTCTTACTGCAGCTGTAACGATCTCGGCGTGACCGTCTCTCTTGGTATCTCTCTCGTATGACAGCTGATTCTCAGTCACAGTCCAATGCCATACTTCGACAGCCGAACATACGCGACACGCTTCCAACTCTGCACAGGAATTCTGGACATGTTGAGCGACTTGAACTTTTGATGCATCGTCAAGGACACAACATGAAAGGTACCTCGGGCAAGCTTCAAAGGACTTCCATCTTGCCGTCGGCAAGGACCCCGCACATCATCATCACCACGGTCAACCACCAGGGTATCTGTATCTATTCTTCAGAAAGCTCTTCCATCTCTACTCTACCAATAACTACGCACCAGCACCGGCACCAGCACCAACATCCACCAAACTCAAACCACTCGTCCAAATCCCCAACCATGTCATCCTCATCCCAAAATGCCGACAAGATCAAAGAAGCCCACTCAACCCTATACGACGCAGGTCTAGAAATGCGCAACAAAGTAGCCGGCAAAGAATACGTCGACACCGCCCTCTCAAACGCAACTTCCGATTTCGCAAGACCAATGCAAGAAGTATGTAAACCTCTCTCACCCCCTCCCTGAAATCCCCCCCCTTCTAACACAACAACAATCAAAAGCTGGCAACAGAAGCAGCATGGGGTAGCATCTGGACACGCCCAGGTCTGGATCTGAAAACTAGAAGTTTGTTGAATATAGCCATGCTCTGCGCACTCAACCGCGGGCCAGAATTGGCAGTACACACAAGAGGAGCGCTGAACAATGGAGCTTCAGAAGTAGAAATCAGGGAGGTTATATTACAGGCTGCAGTATATGCCGGTATGCCTGCTGGAATGGAAGGGACAAAGATTGCGGAAAAGACCATCAAGGAGTGGAAGCAGAAGAATGGTAAATAGACTATTTGAGTGCTCACAAGTAGAAGAAATCTTAAGTATTATTGTTTGCTGTATATGTGATATCACTTTCAAGTAACGTAGACGTAGGGGCATAGGAACTGCACTAGAACCGAGCTCTCAGCCTAGCAAAGGCCCCCTACAACATAGCAGTCAAAAGGCACAATGATTTTGAGTTTTCGATGTAGGTCCAAAGAGATTAAGGGGCAGTATCGCTCTCAATGGACATGTACTTGATAATCAAAAGGATCCTGCCTTTTTGCAGCTATGGTTGCAAGGCTTTATAGGCGAGAGGGAGTTCAGTGCCGGGTCAATTTCATTGCGGCTACGTCTACGTTATAGATAGCTTCCAATCAACCCAAGGTCGAAATCTTGACACCACCATCCGGCAATTTCGCCCTCAACACAGCACCGGGATGCAATCTTCCATCAACGCCAAAGTTCCAATCGGGCTGGAATGGCAATTGATTGATGTTCAAATAGATATATCCATCTGCACCGACAGTAGCACCATCAGGCCATAGGATTCTAGGATCTCTGAGTAAGCCATGGGTTTGACCGTCGTTGGGATCGTAGTAGTAGACAGCATTCTGCTCAGGGATGAGTTGGAAGATTTTGCCAGTGCTGTCGCCTTCGAAGCCATTGGCGTCGCCTCCGCGTTGACCGTGGGAGGAAACATTGCTGTGGGCCCAGATTTCGGCGAGGGGGTTCGTGTCCTTTTCGCGAAGGTTGGCGGAGGGGATGGAGTAGAGAGTCTTCGAGGTGAGAGGGGAGTAATAGATTGTCTTTCCATCGCCAGAGAGTTGGATTCCATCCAGTCCCTCCTGTTGCCACGAGATAGGCATGCCAGACTGCTTGAAGTAGAATGGCTTGCCGAAGTAGGTGGGTACATCGTTGGGCACACGCAAGACGCTGAGGTCTTGGTTCAGTCTTCGCCAGGAGTCTCCAGTTGCGAGATCGACCATGATAAAACCTGTGCGTCCCTCATTACTGCTGTCAACCAGGTATGCGATTCCTTGTCCTGAGGTGCCTGAGACATTGGCTCTGAGGTCGAAACGCAAGTCATTGAGGTAAGAGTCAGGGTAGTGAACTGTGCTAGGGAAAGTGTAGGTCCTGTAAATCGTGTCGTTTGCAAGGGAGATGGCCATGAGTTTGGGTCCACCAGGCTGAGCGTACGGCATGCTGGGATCACCTGCAGCGTTGTGAACAGTCGGGCGTCCAGTATCCAAGATCCAAAGGGTCTCCGGGCGAGTTGAGGTCTCAGGAGTGATGTAAAGAGCTTGGACAGAGACGAAAGCAGAGCTGTTGCCGCTACCAAATGCAATGCCATTCCATGTCATATTCAGACTGTCAAGAGGCAGCTGTAGGCCTTGGGACGGGTATGGCTTCTCTGCAGTCTTGTTGACAACTTCTCCCACGGTGTACTCGTAGTCACCACGAGTGTAAGAAACGAAGAAACGTCCAGTCGAGGAGACAGCGAGACCAATCGGCCATTGGTCATAGTAATAATGATATTCTTCAATCTCTGGACCGTAGGTTCCATTGTCAACTCTAAGAATAGTGGAAGATGAGTTTTGGAAAGTGACCTGTTGAGCCAAGGCACTTGCTGCCAGCAGCGAAAGAGTGCCAAAATACTTCATGATGGCGGATGGAGATGGAAGACTGTAATCGGAATGGGACGGCAACAACAATATATACACCTACGAACATCATCAATTACGCGCATCATGCAACAACGGCATAACAACCGCGTCACGTCACCGGCAAAATAGCATTATTGTCGGTTGGTGAATGTTTTATTTTCCCCTCCTCAACTCAGGAACGCATGACGTCTTTGAAATGATGTGCCGTGGGGATGATCGGCGAGCTGTCCGGGGGAGCACCCTGTCAGAGAACGGGAGATGCGGCTTCTCCGTGCTCTTCCTTGCTGATCGATGGCATATCAATTGTCGATCGTGAAACATGCCGTAGGTGTGTAATGTGGATGATTCTGAATGTCGAGGTTAGTGTGTCGCGGATTTCGGCGCACGATAGAACAAAGACCGGGCTTTGTGCTGATTGAATTTCTGATGGATGACATGGAGACTCCACTAAACAATTAGCCAGAGCACGAACGATCAGGAAAGACAAGCACCACTGAAGAAAGGCAAAGTGGAAGTTCGGATGCTCATGGGTCGTTATTAATTGGCTACAGCCAGGGTTGAAGAATAGTAGTGTGCGATCATAAGACATAGCAAAACCCGGTTCCATGCATGGGCGGTAGTGACACTTCGACTAGAATCAAGGTCTACGAAACCTCTTCGACCATCTTTGGTGGTGCTTTCCAACCGTTGCTCAGCACTTTTGCGACTGGCTGGTCTTCTTCGAGCCATTCAGATGGTACACCCACACGACTTCCGGCCTTGTTGTTGACGTAACGAACAAAGAGGGGATTTGCTGGGAAGTAGTATTCTTCGCCGTCCTCAGTGTATGTTGGGGTTCCCTCTGCAGCGTTCTGAGCGGCAATGATTTCAGCGCGAGTCCGGCGTTTTGTAGCAGGCTTCTTGAGAAGTTTGTTGATCGTGTCCATCTGGAAGTCTGTGTCAGTAAGAGGATCATGTAAACGCAAGGCGAGAGACAGACCTTTTCTTCCTCGTTTCGCTTCTCGGAAAGGTTCTTCCTTCGTCTTGCCATTTCGGCTCTACGCATAGCGTGTTCTTCTGCAGTAAGATGCTTCTTCTTCTGTGCCTCGTTCGAGAGAGCCATCAAACTGTTGTCTTGCTCCTCATCGTAGACGGCGCGTTGACGGCGGGTCAATTTTGTGAGGTCCAAGGTAGTATCACCGTCCTCGCCTTCAAGGTCGCTGTCAAGCTCTTCCTCGTCGTCTTCGGCACCTGGCATGTCCTCGTCTCCAGATTGAAGATCAGAGAGCTCCTCGTCGTCATCTTCGTCATCGTCTTCCAACTCTTTGGCTTCAACACTCTTGAGGTTGCCTTTGTGTGGTGGTGCTGAGACGGAAAGGTTTACTTTCGGCTTTCCTTTGGTCGTGTTGTTTGATGAAGCGGCGTGGATGACGGGAGGTGGTGGGTGGGGAGAGTCCATGTCCATATCGTCTCCATCTGCGTCGGCGTCTTCGTCGCTCCCATCAGCATCCATCATTTCGGTGTTTTCCAAGTCATCTTCTTCTCCTTCGGCATCCTCATCCTCGTCTTCATCGTCGTCATCCTCTTCTTGTTCCTCGTCGGATTCATTGTCAAGTACGGTACGGGGATTGCGAGTTGAGCGCGCAGTCCTTACAGGAGGCTCAGGGGAGTCATCGGCGTCGGGAAAGTCAGATTCGGGGTCGTCGCCGGAGATGGCCTGGCGCAGTTTGCTGGGAGGGGCTTTGACAGTGATGCGCAGGTGGTGAGCGTCCGAAGCTTGTCGGTTGATGCTTGCTGATGTGGCACTGGACGGTGTCAGTCGGGATATTCCAGCTCTGCTAGATCTGGTTGCGCGGGTGGGAGGCATTTTGGCAGTTGTTGTGATGGTAGTGAGATATGTTAGAGTTTCCCAAGATTGGCAGTCGTCGTCGGTTGCGATTGCGATTGCGCGACTGGCTCGTGAATTCCTGCGCCTCGCGGCAACCCGCCCGTCGTATTACTTGGTCGTCACCCCAAACTCTTTTTACCGGGGACCAAATATGCTCGTACCCGTTTGTTCGAACAAAGAGAAATAGACCAACCTGTTTCCATTGGATGGATGGCTTCTCGGCGGAGCACCCATGTTTCTGTTTCCATATGCTCCACCAACAGCGGTTCCGTCAGCACCCTTCTGCCTCTTGTTTGTCGGTGTAGACATGTCTATATGTTCTAGATTGTATGAAATAGATGGAACGAAAAGATTGACGAATGTCTGGTTGTATACAGCCTTTGGGTCATAGTATCTCCAAGCTTCCAGTCGCAAACATGTGTGGCTGAAGTTCGGCCTCTTCTCTCCGCAATCGCCGCAGATGCCGAGGCATACATGGGTCGTCGGTCATTGCGCATCATGTTGATGTCCTGATATTCACACCCGTCTCTCTTCCTCACATCGCCCTTCACACCAGCAGTCGCAATGTCTGACAAAAAAGACCTCCCGACATGGCAACGGCATGCCACCGACGCCTCAGCTCAAGCAGCCAAACAAGAGCACGATGCGAGCTTATCGGCAGTCCATCACGTACGCAAGTTTCTCGAAGATCCCGCCGTAAAGGACGCTCCTCTGGATAAGAAGAAGGCATTCCTGCTATCTAAGAATGTCTCGGAAGACATGATATCCCAGGTCTTGGGGTCTATAGATGCACAAGACGCGACCGACACAGATGGATCTAAAGAGGCAGCACGACAAGAGTTCGAAGCGAGCAAGGCTGAACCTAGCACCGATGGCTCGACCGAAGCTGCGAAACAGGAGTTCGATGCCAGTAAGAAGTCTCCACAACCTCCGAGCTACGTCAGGACCACCGATGGCTCGACAGAGGCCGCGAAGCAAGAATTCGACGCATCCAAAGCCGTCTCCTTCTCCGCTGCTGAATTCAAGGCCACAAATCCATCTACCACTCCCGCACCTGCTCCTCAGCGTAGAGATGTTCCACCTATCATCACATATCCAGAGTTCCTTGTCCAGCCTCAAAAGCCACCACCACTTGTCACTGTGAGCCGCCTCATAAACGCTACATACATAGCTGGAGCCTTGACTGCTTCTGCCTATGCTCTATCCAAATACATTATCGCTCCCATGGCCGAAAATTTGAATGACGCTCGCCACGATTTGTTCGAACATACAACTGATCATGTTACCGAATTCAACGACAAACTGTCCAAGCTGGTATCGACTGTTCCCTCATCAGCAAAATCACTACCACAAACACCTGCCGAATTTGCTGATTTCGACAACGAAAGCATCACCTCCGATCCTACCGAACTCTTTCATCGTGACGTCGGAACTCAGACCTCGCCATCCCTGTCCCGTCGTCCTAGTGTGGCTTCAGATATTGAAGTCATCAGACCAGACACAGTGCCGCTCAAGCAGACCAATCGTCTTGAAATCATGAAATCACATATCTCGGAGATATTAGAAGCATCTGAGAGCAACGGTGCGAGTAACCAGACCTTGCAAGAGAGCATATCCGAAACAAGACACTACCTTGATGGTCTCTACTACACACCACCATCTTATTCATGGAACGCAGACAACTCTCTCAACACGTCAGGTACCTCTAAGGACAAACAGCCTGATGCTGCTGTCGCCTTGAAGGCAGAGATTAGGGGCGTGAAGGGCGTTTTGCTCAGTGCGAAAAGGTTCCCCTCAGGCAGGGTCGGCGCTTGAGCTCTATCAAAACCAATCAGATAATTGAAGAATAAGTCGTCTTGACCTAACATTCGGTATTTGAGCATGGTAGTTACGAGCTTGGATCAACCAGGTTCGCTTATGTCGCACGGCAAGGAAGGGTTGTTACGCATTCCGCATGAGCTAGCAGCAAGGATGATTACGATACGTAGTCGCGTCCGGACCTGTTGTCCGAGGTCATTTCAAGAGCTCACAAGCACAGAGACGTTTCGTCCAATGGTTGGTTGTAGAATGACTGCCAACTTCATAAGTTGGAAGGGGAAGGCATTGAAATTGAGCAAACCATTATTACGCCCGAATGGTACACGAAAATGATGATAATAACGATTCGAGAGCACGCGTGTGTTGAGTACCTCATCATGTCTTACCATTGTGTGCATTGTGTAAGCCTACTACCTCATCGAAACAAGATTTTGTGCATAGAACGCCCTACTATAGCGGCCTGTAAACGTCTACGAGTGATACGCGTGGCTCTCGTACATCGAAGCCCCTCTTCCAACTATTGGTGGAAGATGATCAGGGTTCACATCTTGGAAACTCCACATATCGAGGGACAAGCATTCGCCAAGCTTCTTGGAGCGTCTTAAAAAAGGCTTGTTTTGTGTCGTCGAAGCCTACCAAGGCGGTTCTGTCGTCATGCATCCGACCGAACCGGCTAACCAACCATGACAGGGCAGAAAACAGGACAAAGTCTCTCACCCGTCGCTTGCGCTCCCATGCCAAAAGAACAGGCCGCGTCAGCAAAGTAATACGTTGGAAGGATTCCGTTTTTTGTGGCTTGAAGTCTGGGCTTATAGGACATGGCAGCCACAGGGTAGTGCCTTCTGCCATGCCTCGAGCTACCTCACTCAATGCCTCATCGTCTTTCTTTATCGTCGCACAAACAGACACCTCGCAAAAAGATGTCTCTACATGAAAAGGTCGAAGGCCTCTGTCGCAATCCTCACAGTGTCTCGCAAGCGCTTGCTGAAGACCCCTCACTGTCACCTGGTGAAGCTGCAAAGAAGCTCTATCATCCCGACAACATCTCCATCAGCGAGGGTCATGTACCTTCAAAGAGAAATCCTGCAACTGAGGATGAGCTGGAACGCGCATTGCAATGTGGAAGGTTCACCACTCAGCCCAGTGAACTGTTTCTACGAGTGTTTCATGACAGTCTGATGCCGCTGGAACATGACCCACTCATGGGTTGCTGCAGCCCTTCATTGGTTGGTTCAACAGGAACCTGTCCATTGACGATTATCTCAGGTCTGCCTGATATTTGCAGACATATGGTATGAACGTGCTCTTTGTATTGGCATTCCAAACATACTAATGGAAATTTAGTCCAACCTGATTGCAAGAGCAGATAAGGAGGTTCTGCTTGCGACAAACTACTGGATGGACTCGGACGCTTCACGACTAATCACAGATGGTCTCAAAGAGCTTTCAAGGCGTGCTGGTGAGAGGGGCGTACGTGCTGTCGTCAAGATCATGTACGATCGCGGAAATGTCAAGCAGGTGAGTGAACTCTTTAATGAGCTTCATGACAAACTGCTAACGTGGGCAAAGGTTCTTGACAACCATCAGACGGTGTCTGAGGAAGAATATACTGGCAAGAACATTCGTCTGCCGTCAACAAAGGAGGCACCCAACCTTGATATGCAGGTCTTGAACTACCACCGACCTATGTTGGGCACTTTCCATTCCAAATTCATGGTTGTGGACCGGAAAATTGGCATTGTCAGCTCAAACAACATCCAAGACAACTCCAATATGGAAATGGTGAGTTTGATTGGGACTCGATATGAGCAAGGACAGAAAAGTTGACCGCTGCATAGATGTGTCATGTCGAAGGTCCGATCGTTGACTCTCTTTACGACTCTTTCTTGATCTCCTGGCACAACGAGCTCGACCCTCCTCTACCCTCTCGTAATACACCCGCTGTTCAGGGAGGCTTGCCAACATTCGAGCAAGCTTCGTTCCAGGGTCTCTTTGACCCAAACGGCAACCTCAATGTTCCAGAATATGGCAACAGTCGTTCTTTACAGGAGGTTGCAGAAGCCGGCAAGCGGACAGAGTTGCCTCTTCACGCTCCTGGCGATCCACACTACGATGTAGACATTGCAGGCGAAGTTACACGCATGCAATCTGTCATGTCGCCACGTGATGGCGAGACTGGCCCTGCCGTCGCAGCTCGCCATCTAAATCGCGGCAGACATCTAGATCTCAAGCCGACCATTGAAGGCAATTATGCTCCAGGCGAGGAGATGACACCGTATATCCCACACAGAGTGCACGACCTTGTACCAATGGCTCTCGTCAATCGCAAGCCATACGGAGCTACAAACCACAACGGCGTCTTCATGCCACAAAACGAAGCCTGGCTCTCCGCAGTTCGCAACGCAACGACATCTGTCTTCATCCAGACCCCCGATCTTAATGCTGCACCACTCCTTCCCGAACTTCTCGCCGCCGTCCGCCGTGGTGTAGACGTAACGTACTACGTCTGTCTCGGCTACAACGATGCAGGCGAGCTTCTCCCCTTCCAAGGTGGCCACAACGAAGGTGTAGCAAACAAACTCTACACCTCTCTCACAGCCGAAGAGTCTGCCGCAAGGAGTAGACTGCACATCCACTACTACACAGCCAAAGACCAAGTCGCACCTATCCACGACAGCTTCAAGCAACGTTCCTGCCACGTAAAACTCATGATCGTCGACTCACATCTCGGTATCATGGGTAATGGAAACCAAGACACACAATCCTGGTACCACAGCCAAGAAGTAAACATCATGATTGACTCAGCCGAAATCGTCACCAAATGGCGCGAAGGTATCGAAAGAAATCAAAACACTGGAAAATTGGGCAGATCGAGCAATGAAGACGGCATCTGGAGAGACGCGCAGGGCAACCAAGCAAAAGGAGCCATCGGCGTTGATGCTGGCAAATTCAGCTGGGCAAAGGGTGTCGTGGGTGCTGTACAGAGGGTCAGAGGCGCTGGCGGATTCTAGGAGAAACTCAGGCTATGAATCGATGAGTGGAGGATAGGTTTTCCGGAAGAGGAGCGATCATGCTCGTGTGATGAAGGAACGATTAACGGAAGCACGGTAATCCTATTTATTCTCTTCTCTTTGCGGGAAGAAGTTGTAATCAATCATCGTTTTTCAACGAAGACATGGCTTTTCTTAGCTATCGATTATTGAACGCTACAGTACTGTATGATCTCGCACCCTTGAATCTCGTTTCTGCTTCCACGGTGGTTCTCACAATTTCAAAAGTCTGTTCCCTCTCTTTCTAGTTGATCGTTTCTTTCTTGTTCAAGGGTCGTGCCTTTTCATTGGTGGGTCGCGCCTTCCCATCTCGAAGGTTGTTCCTTCCTCTTGGGTATGTCGTTCCTTCCTCATTGATTTAGTCGTGCCTTCCACATTCGTGGATCGCTCCTTCCTCAGTTAAAGGTCGCTCCTTCCTCTTCCATAAGTCGCTTCCTCATTCCTGATCGTTCCTTCCTTGTTTGTTCGGTCATGAAATCCTCTTTTGATCATTTTCGACATTGGACATTTCCGTACAGCAAGAAAGTCAAGGCTACATAGATGTAAAGAGCTAAGTGTTTGTAGTCTAGTGGCTGTATGAATGAACCTACCATATACTATCTTGTTCAAGACAATGTACAGGATCAAGAAAGCGGAGACAAGTGGCATGAACACACAAAGCAGAGAGTGGGCGATGTAAGGGATGGAGATGTGTGGTAGTGATAAGGACATCGGGAAGAGCAGTAATAGAGAGCAAAGAGCAATAATAAAGAAGGAAAAGAGCAATAGTGATAGAGAAAGAACAACTACATATAAGACGAGAGGTCAATGTAAAAGGGAGGAAGCAACGATGCTGTGGAACAACAACAATGATATACTTTCCTTTTCCAGTCGATTCGATTTTTTCTTCCTCCCCTTTCTATTGCCAAACCGAAACCTTCTATCATATGTACACACACGTCTGAGAACAATTAGAAACGGAAAAGCAAAGAAGAATGCAGATGTATGAGAACCTCTGAAAAGAAGGGACCATCCAGACACAGCAGAACGTGGAAAGGAAGGGGCCATGAATGCACAGCAAAATGTGAAAAGGAAGGGGCGCTCGAGAGCAGAACACCGGATCATGTCAAAAAAGCTGCATCTGTCAAAAAAGGAGTATGCGCAATTCGTTCAAAATATATGCCTCAAACTCCAGACGATCCCATTACCACGCCAGAGGATGGAAAATACGCTTTACGTCGCATTTGATAAAAGTGAAAGCAATGAGAAAACGAGGTGTCAAGAAGAAGAGAAGTTCTGTAAAAACAACAAGGCAGAAAAGCTAAAAGAGGACGATTGGGACTTTTTTCTTCGACCCGTATCTGGCAAAAGGGAACAAACGCTCGCAGGGGTGTACCGGCGTAATCATTAATTTTCGAAGATGGAGTCCGCGTGTTCGAGCAGCGCCTGCACTGCCATACGCTGGGCTTGCATGTCCGACATTTCGCGTTCAATGCTCAGTGGTCGCAGAATCGTGGGTGCAAACACGACTGAGAGATTGAGCGGCGTCATCTGTGTATTGTCAGTCGAATGTACTGATGTTGTGAGTGTTGAAGATAGCTTACCAAATTCTCCGACTCCTGCTTGACAACACGGCATAGATGCTGCACCAAGTACTCCAAAACATCATGGTGAGCTTGTGGCATAGCCTCCAGGGCAGCCTTGATAGCAGCAATCTTCTCATCTTTGTTGGTGATTTGGGCTGCCTCCAGTAGCGGGTCGTATGCTTCATATGTGATGAGTGGATTGGGCAGCTTGCGGAAGTATTGCTTCAGCGCGCTCGTGACGGCATGAATGTCGAGGTCCGGGTCTGCGATATCGTAGGTGCCATCCTTCTCGAAGCCTTGCTGGATAAGCTTGACTTGCCCGCTGCCACCGGACTTTCGGTAAATGCCTTCCATATCCATGCCGCGCTTCTCAACTTCCTCGATACAATGAGTGACAATTGAAGGTAGAATTCGTTTCTCAAAGTCACAACGCTCGCGAAGGTCGGAACCGAACAATACTAGAAACAGATTAGCGTACTGGTCGGATATATTGAATGGTAGAAGATACTCACCAGAAGGAGCCTCGGCAAGCAGATTCGAACTACTGCCATTCTTTGCATGAATACCTTGAACACCAGGCTTGAGACCATTCTTCTGGCCAGAAGAGAAGAAGCCGAAGCCCTTCGCGTCTGCAGTTCTCAGAGGCTGGTCGCCCATAGTTGCGCCAGGGCCTGCCTGCATTTGTGAGTACGGCATACCAGTAATGTCATACGTTCCGTCGGCTTTCATGGGAACACCTCGATCGTTACTGCCGCCGGCAAATGCACCCTTGATGCCCTTAGTGACGTTCTTGGCAAGACCGGAGGAGCCCTTCTTCCAGTTGAACTTCTTGGGCTGTCCTTTGCGGATATTAACTACTTGGGGTGCTGTGAGAACAGTGGCTGGCTCTGCATCCGCTGCGTGCGGCAAGAGGTCGTGAAGACTGGAGGACTCCTGCAATGAGGAGGAATGAAGCGAGGCCATATCGCCCCTGTTGGAACCGTTGTAGATGCCCAAGCCGTTAGTCAGGGGTGATCGGTCTAGGCTACCGTTCTTGATGTTGTGTGTTTTGTACATGTCCTGAATGCCGCTAACAAGCTGATTGTTGAGCTCTGCCAGTTGCATGTTCTTGGACGACAATGACTCAAACTCTTGCAATCCCTTGTCCTTGACTTGAATCAAGTTGGTAATGTCATCTGTAAGTTCATTCCTCTTGTGCACAAGGTCTTCGATTTGTGATCCGAGATTGTCCTTCAGCTTTTGCAACGAGTGCGCAAAGTCTTGCAAGATTTCGGACTTGAGCTGACTGATGTCCAGAGGCTTGTTGCTCTCTTTCGCTCTTGTCAAGTGCTCGGTCATGATTTCAAGTTCGCGGACGACCATCTCACGCTGAGTGTCGAGGAAGGCCATCGTCGAACGCTTCTCTCGCAGTTCGGTGTTAACCTGCTTAATGTCGGCGGATGTGTCCATCTTCTCCTCCAGGCCGAGCTTATCAGCCTCAAGTTCGGCAATCTTTTGTTGAGCACGGCGCAGCTGAGATCTCAGAGTAGCCACGTCCGCCTGGCTGGGCGAGGAGATGGGACTAGTAATCAGAATCGGGCTGCTGATGTCGGCCGAACTGATGGTAGGCGTCTTTTGAAGGGGTATTGACTTGTCGCTGAAACTTCTGCCGTGCTTGACAGCATTTGAGACGCGGCGCAGGACAGAACCAGCATTCTCATTCTCCTTTCTCTTCTGCTCATCACCCCTCAAGATGCGGGACATTTCTTCTTCCATAGAGAAGGCTTCTCCGGCACTGTGCTTGGGTAGGTGTGTACGCCAACCCTTCGGCGAGGCTGCAGGGTTGTGATCATGCTGAATGTGACCAACAGACTCAGCGCGCGGTCGCTCATTGGCAGGAGGTGCAGGTGGAATCCTGGGGGCTATGAAATCGTCGTTGGCAACAGACTTGCTTGGAGCAGACGGGCGATTGGCAGCTCTGGGAGGTGCAGTCGGTATGCCCATGCCGGATGAGTTGTGAGCCTCAGACTCGGGGCGAGGGTGGGTTGGAGCATCAACGAATTGAGCAGAGGTCGAGGATTGTTTACGTTCGTGAGTAGCATCGGACTGTCTGAGAGCGGGAGTGGTTTCGGGAGAAGTAACGCGCGAGGTTTGCGATTTATCAGTAGCAGGTGGCAGGGAATCACCTCTGGTGGGATGCTTTGCAGCTGATGGGCCGGCGCTAGACGAAGCTTCGCGGAGCTTGGGATCGTCGAAAGGATTGATGCTGGAGCTCGGCGTATCCACGGATGCTGGTGACAGGGAAAGATTGGAGTCTGTCGGAGTATGTCTGGATGGTGGCTGAGTGTCGAGGGATGTGGGAGAATTCTTTCCAACGCGCGGGCTATTGCGCGACACTCTGCGATCGCGGGGCACATCCTGGAGTTTGAAAGGCTCGGGCGGTGCTAGATTAAAGGAAGCGCTGTTTGTTTGCGGCATACGAGGACGCTGTTGACTGGTGACGGAAGAGGGGGAGGCAACGGCTGATGTAGTGACGGGTGTGCTGTTACCCGAAACATTGCGGAGGCCTTGTTGACGACTCTTGTCGGGGTGACCAACTCCAGGACTGCGGATGCTTTCGCGCTCAGTCGATACGGATCGCGAAGATGATGGACGGTCTCTGTTGAGACGAGAGAAAGCGCCTTGAGGAGAAAGGTTGTCTGACATTCTGGGCGTCGTCTCGGGATGTGTACGGCGCGGAAGGGGTGGAGGAGCAGGGTTGGGATCGTAGGCCATGGGCAGGAAGCCGTCGTCGGCATCAGACATTGTAGTCATGGTGTTAGATGACATGGTCGAAGCGCGTTCCTGCTTGTAAGTGCTAGCGGGCAGGGTGAGAGTGTCTGGCGTCTGCTCGGAAAGCGCACTTGTGTGAGACAGGTGACGGCTGCTGCCCTTCTTACTGTCGTCGGAAATGGACATGGGAGAAGTGTCTCTCTTTCTGTCGTGGCCAGCTTTGAGATGATCGCTGGAGTAGGATCCCGAGGGCGATGATTCTCGCAATGCGCTTTGCGGAACGGCGTTGGGTGGTAACGCAGGCAGACTCTTATCCAGCACCATAGGATTGCTCCCTCCAGCTGCTATCTGTTTTGAAGCCTTTGCCTTTTTCCGCCGTCTTGCCATCAAACTCTCATGACAGCTCATGCAGAAGATGCCCTGGCTGGTGCGAGCATAACGTAGGTTCTCAATCTTTCTCTTGCAGTTGCGGCACTTGAAACAGGTGGCACAGAAGGCCTGGTCGCCCGTTAGGATTGCGAGGTCCTCGATCTTGTTGCCGCACGAGCTGCAGCTGTATGTGCAGTTGTTACAGATGAGGGAGCCATCGCCCAACAGGAGCAGGTTGGCGTCCGAGTCGAGGAGGGTGGCGCAAGAGTGGCAGCGGAAGCAGCCAAGATGCCATCGGTGGCCAGCTATACATGTCGTTGTCAGCAAGTGCGCGACCCCTCAACGCTGTGTGTGACTTACCAAGCTCAAAGGCTCGCCCCTGTTCTAGGATCTGCGTGCCAGAAGAGTCAGTCAAGCTGTACGTGTATATAGTGTCGTGCAATCAAGTACCTCGCCGCAGCCTTTGCACAGAAAGACCTCGTCCTCCTCCATAGGGGACTCAGGGTAGCTGGAGTTGTTGTCGGTATCCATCTTGGTGAGCTCCGGGAGCGGCGATGACGCTGGAGAAGGATCCTGGTGTCGACGAGGACGCGGCCGTCAATCGCCGGCTAAGTGTTGAAGTGACAGGCCCACGGGCCTAGAGGGTGTTGACTCTGGTGCAGACGAGTGAGCGACGGATGCAGCGAACGGGCGGCCGTGTCGTTTCGCAGCAGGGCAGATGTTTCAGCGAGTGGGCTATCGCTATGTATAGTGAGGGTAACGGCGGGGCCTGCCGAAAGACGACGTCCAAAGTCGATTGATTGTCTTTACGTGCGCACGCATGCGATTGTTGCTGGAGTGCAGTCGCAAGTGCAGCACAGCCGGGACGTGTTTGGGACTTTGCGAGGACGACGACGACCAGCGAGCCTCAATCCCAGCCAAGCGGCCGCTTCCACCCAAGAAGACCATGCAACTTTATTTCAAGAGTTTCGTTTATATGGCTCATACTCCTGCAAACAATCTTTAATATATACCGCAATTGAATGCCACATCTTATTTCAAGCTTCTGTATCTTTGCTTGAGCTTCCTGTTCGTTCAATTACCCCATGTAGATAATTCAGTCTACCGCATCATTCTGCTTTGCAATCGGACGAACGCGTTTCTCAAGCCATGCTACTGCTTTGAAACTGCGTAACCGAACACCAATGACGACAATCTCCTCTTTTTCCAATTTCTTGCTGCTCCATCTTGAGCTTCTACACATCGCCTTGGAATCTCTTCTCGTGAAGCTATGCATGTCTGGAAAAAATCCTCATCGCTGCAAGTTGCTCCTTCCACATCGTCTCCCTTGACCACTCCGTTCTCTAAATAGGCAGCACGGGCCATCACACGTTTCAACCCTCGAGGCTGGCTCGAGCAGTCTAACGTTCACCGCCTTTCCACGCTGCAGCTTCCCGTTCAAGCCGTCTTTCCTTGCACTCGATATCCGGAACATCTTCAAGGTATCGGCCACATGTATAAGCTTATACCAGTCTCCTGCGTCTGTTCGTGTCGCAGGTTCGTCTGTCACCCACTCGTGGCATCAAGACATCCTACATCTGGTGGCGCCAACTATCAACACATGCGACACTGGTGTTGATTCATGAACATCAGCCACGCCAAGTCGATTTTCTCAGGGGCTGAAGATGCGCCTCCGTCCGCACTCCGTATTTTGGCTTCCGATTTGATCACCTGCAAACTCAACTTAGACCTCACCTCAGCTCTTGCCAAGCTTATCCGACAACGATGATACTTCTCGAGTCCGCTCACCGTCTTTACCGTTATCGCTATCTCTTCTCCGGGACGCCATGTCAATCATCATGGACCCTTGTGTGGGGTGCGAATAGTGCGTCAAAGGTAAAGTGTCAAGGACAGCATCATAAAACTTACCACCTTTTGTCTGTGAGATCTTTTCTTCTGAGTTCTCAAAATTGTCTCAAACATGCAATTTGATTACAAGGTGAACTGCAAAAACGCTCATGTCGACTTCTTAGAAACGCAGTTCAAAAGCACGCTGACAAGGCACTTGAACAATGGTTGGGGCAACTTGTGCGTGAATTACTGGAAGACGAGCATCGATGCGCGCAAAAGCTCTGAATCACGTTTTTGCCGAGCGCACGACATTCTTCGATCGCAATTGGAGGCATCAGATCTGCAGAAACACTGCTTTCCAGATGTGTGCAGTTGTCTAGAGATGGAGCTTTTGATCTATTTTCACAGTACGCAATCTTAGGTGGGAAAGATCCGTTCGATCTGAAGCACACTTTCCGCTCTGCAGCACTACAGAATTTAAGCCTATCAAGATGCAAGATGAAATTGGGGTTGGAGTGTTTGTCCAAAGAGAGCCCCGAAAGTTGTGTGATATCACTAGACAAATCGCTGTTTTCAAAGATCATCTTGCATTCTGACTGCTGGGTCTCAATGTAGCCCTTTACCACGCTCTCGCACTTGACACGATCCTGGTTTCGTAAAGCATTGTGCATTTCGATACTTATAGAGACCAAGGCACAAGGGGAAGAAAGCAAGTACACATACTTGAGAGATTTTAGCACATGGGAAGGGTAACTGTTGACCAATAGAGCTGCCACACGCAAGACCGAACAGGAAACATCAGCCCACAACACCGCAGGATGAGTTCTCTACATAAGGTCACTGGACTGTCCAATACTTTCAAATCTCTGCTTACGCACACGAGCTCCGAACCGGTATCGAAGGAGTTCCACGACCTGACTGCCCTCCAGAATGCGGTTAGCGAAGATACTTGGCCCAGTCGGTGCCGCTGTTGCCGTCAAAGCTATTTGGCACAACGTGCCATCCTTCTCCACCATATTTATCACTCAATCTCCAAGTGTGTCGACAACTCAAGCAGTAAGCTGGATGAAGCTTCAACAAACATCACCGGTCGAGAAGTCAGAAGGCTGGAAAGTTGTGTCTGAAAATCCAGTCTCTACGGCAGATACCTCTTGTGGAGTGACCACGGTCGTTGTCAACAACACTCCGACCATCACCTCTTATTGTGGAGTCACTACAGTTCATGTCGACAGCACCCAAGCCACGGCCACTACCAACGCCAATACTACCCGTTCAGACGACTATGTTGTCGCGCAGAGGCTTGCACACGCCGCCAATCTTTACTGGGGAAGATTCCCTACCAAGCCAGATAACGAGACGGACCGCTGTGTAAACTCTACTACTGTCGATGATGGTACACAAGGCATTTCCTACAACAACTCCACCGTCAACTGTACTGCTTTGATGTTCGGTCACCGATGGCATGCGTGGGAATGTGACCATAATTGCCAGGAAAGACTAGCCATCGCTATACCGGCCGCCTTCACTCGCGGTAACCGTGGTCCTCTGAGTGAAGAAACAACACGAGCTCTGCAGGCGATCGCTAGAGGCCAAAGATCATTTATGAGACTCATCAGAGATTATAGAAGAATTGCACACAGGATACACGTCGAATGGCAACTCGCAACTTGGGATCGTGATGGCTTCATGGAGCAGATCAGGATTGAGACAGAAAGAGTAGCTCGCCGTTTTCGATTGAGAGAGGAAGCGAGAGCTCGTGTTAGAGACCGTTACAATGAGCTCTCACAGCTACCTACCATCTGGGAAGAGGATGAGACACAAGAACCTTTCAACTTCAGATTGGAAATTGAGTGGTATGTCCATGAGCTTATGGGCACGCTTGCTGTCATTCGTGCAAATAATTACATACAATATAACCCCGACCGAGAGCGATGGCCAGATATCCCAGAGGAAGACGAGGAGGAAGAGGTACCGCCGCAGCCTCCTCCGAGATTGCCCAGTATCCCTGAGGAAGATGAAGAGGAACTGCCCAAAATCTTGGAAGAAGAAATACCAGAACAGCCTCCTTTGGACCTGATTTCTCCCTTCGAACCTCGACCGGAACAGATGCTCTACGATTCAATGATTGAAATCATGGAGGCACCTCCGAGACCTGGTGAAGGTAGAAGGCCAATCCGCATTAACGAGCCGGATCCTGATACCAAAGACCCTGTCACATCTTCCGTCAAAACTATGACCGAGACGGCTCCTCCAACATCTATCCCTACGTCCATTCCTACCTGGATTCCCATATCTAATCCCACGTCCATTCCCGTTTCTTACAGAACCTATGTCTCCAACAATCCTAACCCGTCTGTTGGTCCCTCTGGTATTCCATCCTCTGTTCCAATCAATCCACCCAACGGTAATCCAATCGGCCATATGGATGTCAGTGCAGACGGCACGATGACACTTACCGGCAAGGGCGCCTGGGGTCTCGTGTCAGGCTTCTCCTCCCTTCTCCACAGTAAACTCTCCACCTGCACCCCCATCAAATCCTGGACCTTCATGACCAGCAACAGCGCCGAAGGCCAACGTATCAAACTTGCAGAGCAGGGGATTGATTTCCTCATCGACGCCAAGCTTAGCTCATGGAATGGAGTTGGCCAAGATCAATGTTTTAACAAAATGATCAGTGAGGTTGGCGGACCAGCTGATATTGGATATAGCAATGGAATGAAAATTGTTGATAGACCGGTGGCGCCGAAGCCACAGCCCAAGCCGAAGCAGGAACCGGTGAAGGAGAAGCCGAAAGAGGAGAAACCGAAGAAGGTTCCTGAAGTTCCAAAGGTGAACCCGGATTGTTGCAAGTGTCCTAAAGGATGGTGCTGGGGGTGGCTAGGTTGGCACTGTTGTGGTTATTGATGAGTCTTTGGGCGTTGTGATGAGATGACTGTCTCTTTTGCATCGGACAAAGTCTTCGATATAGCAAAAGTTGATTTTTGCAAAAATTCATGCAGTCTACTTTAAACGGGTGTATGAAGACTTCAATCATGCGCGACATACGAGCGTTTCATACAAAGCTGCGATTCGTGGGAAAGGAAGGAGCAATCAAGGTTCGTCGACGGTCGGGGTGAACGCAATGGGCCGGAAAGAACGATCAGATACACAATTTTCATGAAATTCTTTGACTAACTCGATACACTGAAGTAAGTCTTCTCTCCTGCTTCGAGACGACCCCTGAATAGTTGTGTCAAAAGACACGATGATTTTGCAGGATGCAGCCTTGTCCAAAGAGAGCGATAAGTGCTGGCGCAAAAAGTCCGACTTACTCCACTCCAAGACCTTCACTTGTTCATGACCCTGATTTCTTCATGCGTGAATCTTCTTCACCACTTCCATCTACCTCCGTCAATACTCTCTCTCATAAACTCCAACATCATGGAAAGACGCGCCAAAACCAAGTACAAGCCCATTCATCTTGCCAGGGAGGATACCAGCAACCTCAACATTGACATCAACCATGATATCAACCGCAGGATTGCTGAAGCTACGGTAGGCGCAACGCCACTCGTCAGAGGTGTATGGTCTGCTATTGAAGTCGGGTACGCGATTGAAGAAGCATCACACACACGCCGAGCTGATGAGAGACAGCGCCATCGTTGCCAGAACCAGCGACACAATCGACATTATTTCAGCAGATGACGACCAAGACGGCAAGTTTAGCCAGCGAAGCAAGAGATATGGTCCTCACAGTAGCCTATATGCGAGAGGTGCTCCTTTCAAGGCTCAGATACACCTTGACCTTCTCTGCTTCTTCTCGCCCTATCACCGTGCTGCCTTGAAAGGCGTGTTTCTGGAAGCTCAGCACAACACAGTCATTCTAGAGATGGATCCTGTTTGCTGCGACATCTTCGTCAAGTGGCATTACACAGGATGTGTTCCCAATGACGACCCGTGGGCCCTGTGCCAGCTGTATATCCTAGCCGACCAAAACGAAAACCTGGCCCTACGTCGAGCTATCTTGACCCAAATCGTCAACGTCAATTTTGCGCCCGACCTCAACGACTCCAATACAGCAGCAGTAGTCAGCTCGTTGCCCGAGAACTCGGCTCTTACCAGATACCTGCTTGACAGAACCTCATATCACCAACGGGCTGAGACAATTCAGATCCACACTGATATGCCTGTCGAATTTGTCGAGACGTTGAAAGAGCTTATCAAGAAGCCACGTCACTGGCTTGATGATTGCCCTTGCTGTGACAAGCCTTGCAATTACCATGAACACAATACCGTGGAGGACTGGAAATTAAGTAAGGTTCTTTTCATGATTGCATGTCAGGATATTTAGCTGATCAATAACAGGCTGTGCCGAGAGCGGCCCGTATCCTATGCCGGAGCCTGCATATCTTAGAGCTGAGATTTGAAGACCCTCGAGTGGTATCAGGGGCAGAGAGGTTTCATCGGCAGTTACCCCGAGAGAAAGTACCATCGCAAGGCAAGATGCTTTTGGGCTTGATCAAATGGTCCATTGAGATTCGCTGCTCCAGGGGCTTTCACTGGCCAACACACTGGATCACAAAAGGTTAGTGCATTTTTACGGTGCCGTGATTTGGTTGATGGGGTGAGGAAGAGAGAGACCTTTACGTAGCAGCAACATGCTATGCTTGACAAACAAGAGGTTTTCATGATCCCGGGTAAAACTATATCTGAGTGAAACATGGTGAACGTGTTATCGGTGAGACACTGTTGGACATGTGAACAGTACGTCTCACGCCAACTGCTGTTGACTGTACCGACCGTTCATATTTGAGCATTTCGGGTCTCTCTATTGCAAAAACCAATTGACCGTTCAAGTTTCGATGGTTAACCCTTGCCTTTGTGTTTCTGTACACCTTCTTATGCTAGATATAGCGAAACCTGGCTTCTCCTTTGTGCCGACTTACGCTTCTGCACAAACCATCAAAAGTTTATCGGTTTGGGTATCTCTTGCATCTTTCAAACACTTTTCTGTGTGCCGCGTGCAATTTCACAATGTCAGTCGTGCTGAAATTTGGCTTCTCCTTCGAGTTACCTTATAGTGATCCGGGTGTCTTTCTTGCAACGAAAAATTGACCGTTTAAGTTTTGATGGTTTAACCCTTGCTTCTGTATTTCTCTGCACGCTTTTGTATTAGACGGACCCCGAAGAGGAAAAGAATTACTCAACCCTAGGGTTGAATGACATTGCCCTTTGCGAGTCGTTCCATCCTGGGGTTGAATAATACTACCTTTTGCGAGTGTTTCAACCCTAGGGTCGAACAATATCATTCAACTCAACCCTAAGGTCTATCAATTACCCCCTGAAGGGTGCAATACAAGAAATCCAAGCTTACCTCGCGATTAAGATACTCCCTAGGGTGTAAAACACACGGATTCTTCTCGAGATACTCCCCAAGGTGTAGACACGCAGTGATTTCTCGAGATACTCCCTAAGGTGTAGGCACGCAGTACCTCTCGAGATACCCCCCAAGGGGTGTAATTACAGGCTCATTCAGGAATACTTACTCGAACACCCCTCATGGAGTAGGTCAAAGTGGTCATCCTCCGCCTCGTCAACTAGGACGCTTGAGATACTCCTAAGGGGGTAGGAGTACACAAGTTGCTTGAGATACCTCTCGGGGGGTAGATATCAGAGGACCACCTAGGGATGTTTGCATGGATACCCCTCAAGGGGTGGGTACAGATGGTCACTCTTGTGTTTGGACGACGCCTCTCCGATGACAAAGCCCGAGATGTGTGATTTTCCAGAATTCGACTTCAACACTTAAGAGAATGTCGGAATCTTGGATTTTTACAGCTTCACTCAACCAGGACGCTCGAGGAAAATAAAAAACTCGTGTTAAGAATGCTTGACAAGAGATATCCGAAGACTGTGATTTTGCAAGGTCGAGTGGAGTGGGCTGCCAAGCTTCAGATTCGTCATCCTTCTCTGTTGCCTTCTTCCACACTCCAACTCACAACTTTTCAGCTACCACAAGACACGTAATTAATCGAATAGATACTGCCAATCTGTCGCAGTATCATTGCATTGTGGATTTAGCCCTGAAGTAGTCGTGTATTGAATGGTCTTCAACCGCGAGAAAGTCGTTCTGGTCGCGTCGAGGGGATGGAAGTCGAGCTTCCGCGCGACTGCTTGTCGCTCTTTCCTACAGTAATGTTTTAGGCGCCACTCGCCGATTGAAGCGTTCCTGCCTACCATGATGAAGCCTCAAGCTTCGCATCACTCTCATCACTCTCATCTCTCTCTCGCCGAAAGCTGCACCAAAACCACTGCATCATTGCACAAACGAGATGTCGCCCCTCGAGCTCTCCGCTGGAGCGCTTCAATTATCACTCATTGATGCCTATATCATCGACTTGCAAGACACGTTCACTCAAGTGCTAGGTCCCGGCACTACCTTCATTGGACCGACACGTTGTTGCGCACTGCTCGGAGGCGAGATCGTTACACAGATTGATCAGCTGCCAGCTGGAGTCGCTCTCAGCGATGCCGCTGACAAGTTCGATCAAATTGCTCAATACTCTAGATTCATCGCATCATTCTGGATGGAAGACGATTCGTTGCATGCTAAGGTGTCGCCAACCTTTGGTCTCAGGAGCCCAGAACCAGCTTGTGCTAGCCCACATCATGCCACGCTTTCTGAAAGAGCCAAATCATGGATGGGATGTTAGCAGTCCGAACGAGCATTGGACGATGACTCGGAGCCCGAGGAAGTTCCATTCCTGCCGAGCAACGAAGCAGCTATTACTACGAGAACAGACGAATCAGAATAACGCAGAATAACCGACGAAGCCATAGAGCACGGGCAAAAGCTGCAGGATGAGCTTGAGTCTACTACGCGGGGCAAAAGGACCGTTATCGAGGTATACGTGGTGGATCCCTAGACCTTCGAGACCAGAGAGAGTTGCACCTAAGCCCGTACCATCAATTCCGATGGGTGGTCTCAAATGGTCGCTCTGCCCTTGGCTGTCAAGCAGTTACGATAGATAGACTTCCAATGTGGATGTAGAGCCAACCGACGACGAACCAGGTACTGCTGAGCAAACTTAGCCTGTTTATTTCGACGAGGCGATAACTTCTAACGTCAACTACGAGCATAGGGACCCCCAGCTCTAGGCCTCGATCTGCGCTTTCTTTAGTTGTGATCCCCTCTATAAGAGTCCAAACTCGGGCGTCTACTTCCGCGGCTGGAACAAGAACAACTTTATACTAGCATACCAGCTCTCTTCTACTGATTGGGTATTGCAGAGACTTCTTTTCAGCGAGCCCGCTGTCTTTGTCGCCCACGACATGGGCCTCGGCAAGTCGGCCATAGTCGTAGCAGAGATCTAAATAATAGAGGACTCCAAGAAGGCTATCGACGTTAAGAATTTCCGACATAGCAGATACTTCGATGCGAGAACACTTATGGACAACAGGGGCCACCTACAGCCCGCGCATAGAAACGGGTCCTACTCTAGTTCTTGCTATGCATCGGTTGCACAACGTATGGTTTACTAACATCCGCAAGTTCGTTGGCAAACCCAACATTCAGATTGTGCTTGCCGGACCACAGCTTACCCGTGCCGAGAAGGACTTCTACTAAACGTGAATCGCTGTTTGATGATGCTCGATGAGATTGCTCCTGGCTCGAGATGGTACCCTAGCCAAGCTCAGCTAGAGATGAGATATACAAAGAAGGGCCTCCGAATTCCAAAGCCCTTGCTTGTAACACACCTACTAGAGCGCAATCTGATTGTCGACCCTAACTGGTCGTGGAAGAAAGATGACAAGACCCCCGAGGAAGCCCATGCGCGTGAAGCAACAAGAGAGGAGATGCTCAAGTATGTGATCTTCCATGTCCACAGGCGTTCCTTTCAAGAAACTTCCCGAGCTCTTGGACAGTCCTACTTTGTTCGCTTCGAGGAAAACGAAGAGTTCTGTCAAGATCAAGTGCAGATCCTGAGACACAGTTAGCAGGACTCGAGGATTGCAATGTCCTCAGCTTTACGCCAATACCGACCGACGAAATCGTGGACACCGCCATCAGCAAAATCCTGGGACGGATGCACAACCCCTGCCCCTTCAAAGGCCCTACTGGAAAGGCATGCGTCGAGTGCGCCAAAACTCATCCCGACCCTGTAAGTGCCTCACTCTTCTCCACTGTCGCAATGCACAAAGTAATTTCTTCACCTCAAGCGTCCGTTGAGGAGCCACCCTCTCTGCTCAGAATACTTACTCTCAGTGGACACTCCTTCGATGTGAATATGTTTCTGCATTGCAACAGGTGGTCATTCCTGCTTCTAATTGTCTTGGGATGATTTTGTCCTCGAAGAGGAATCCTGATTGTGCCGAATCATAGGACTGCGGACGTCGCTGTGTGGAGTTAGCCAAAACCTGTGAGGCAAAGGCTGTCGAAATAATCAATGTCGCCATCAATGGCTCAATTCCTCCTGTGGGCTACAAGGAGAGAGAAAAGGAACCGTGAGTCGCTCCGGGGCTGGATGAATTGCTTTGATCAATCGGAGAAGAATGCTCAAATAGTTAGAGGACTAGCCAGTTAAGATTCCTTGTTCCTAATCAAGGATTGATAACTGGTTCATGCCTGTTTGTGGTCATGTTCGATACATGGAAGACCTGAAAGAAGTGGGCACGTAGACTAACAACAGTAGCAACCATACCCGCTCTTGTAATCAAGTAGATAAAGCCGTCTACTTAAGAAGTCTTACCGAGCGCGAGAGCTCTAATTTAATATCCGGTGTGCTTGTACTTTCGCTGAAGGCATTTCAGCGATCACAATTTCGGAGGTCACGTTAGAACTTCTAATACCTTGTTAGTTCTGTTCGATTGACTAGACTAAACACTGTATCAAGAGATCTTAACATCGACGAGTCTTGGCATGATTGTTGCTGCAATACAGGAGGTCTTCCAAGAAGCCTTAATTTCTGCGGCTCCTTTGTACGTAGCCATCATTCATAGAAGCGAAGGTGAATAGGCACGGTCAATCTAGCAACAACATCACATAGGTAGCGAAAGCGATGCTCGAACCACTTAAATTTAGAGAGTTGCAATAACGATTATGAGAACGAACAAGAAAAATATGATGATCTAGAAACGAAGTGCTAAAAGAGAATGCTCTCGCCGTCTAAGCCCCTCTCAAACCCACTGTCGAAAGGCACAATGATTTGTGTTTCGTGGATACTTCCACTGAGAGCGAACCTGACTAACCATTCTTTCCAGCCATTTTGCATTCTGCCGAGCAATAATGCCCCCAAGTGCCACCTTGTACTTTCGTGTTTTTGCAGCTAATTCGAGTGCAAGGTAGAGATTTGCCAGGGGTCTTGGTGACTCGCTTCGTCTTGCCACCCATAATCGATTTTTTCCTTGGTTCATCCGAAGTTTTACATGACTTTGAGCAGTACTTGCCATACTTTTCGCCGAGAGGAGAGTGACTGTGACAAGGGGGATAGTCACATTTCCTGTAGTCGGGGCGCTTCCTTGGTGGTGCATCCTCATCTGAATCACCTTCTGCCTTGCATCGACTTGAACAATAGGACCCGTATATCGTTCTGAGAGGTGCGTGATTGATACATCCGTCCAATCGACACTTGCGAAAGTCCGGCTCGTCTGGTCCCAACATTGATAAAACAGGAATTGCGAAGTTCTGAGGCTCGATTTCCCATTGGAGGCGGCAGACTTTCGAGCAACAAAGAGACTGGTCAAGCGTTTCGTTGTTGCAAAGCGAGCGCGCGCAGACATTTCTTTTTTCCCGCTCGTATGTCAGTTTTCCATCAGCCAGTACGGGCGGTAGAGACTGCAAGCCTTTTTCCTTGTCGTACAGGCAAGCACTCGAGCAAAATTTGTTGTAGTTCGAACTTCGCGGTACACGGTTCTGACATCCCATCCGAGCACAAATACGCACGTATAAGGTTTCCACAGCGGTCGCGATACCTGCCGATTTCTTTTTGCAAATTTCCGAACAAAAACTGCCATAGAGACGGGTTGAGAGAACAGCTTCGAAGCAGCCAGGCGCCAAGCACGTTTCCCTGTCGATAACCTCAAACTTCCTTTTGTTCAATTTGATGGACTCGATTGTGTCGACGACATTTCCCTCGAATATCTCGCGGCGGCGGTCTTTCTCCAACAACCTACGATAAAGGTCTCCATGATCGAGACAGAGTCGTTCCCCACCGTATGATCCAACAGCTGGAGAAGTACAAGCGGGAAAGATGCAGTCGATGGTGACTTTTTCCTTCCGATGACAGCTTATGCATCGGCAGGTACAAATATCCGGGCAGACACATGTCGGTAGGTCAACGCAAGGGCAGGCGAGAAATGACATGCAATGCTTGCAAGAGCATACGCAATCCGCACCATGGCCAGTCTCTGCACATCCGCATGTATGTTTGCCTGCGTATATGACATTTATCGGGATGTCAATGCAGTCTTGCAAAAATTCGTTCCACTGCTTGATATGAGCCTTGTCGAACATTCTGGTCAATGGTTTGGTCAAAGCATCAGGAATCTGCGTTGACGATTCTCCTTGAAATCGTGTTCCACAGGCTCGAGCGTAGTTCTCCGCGGCAGAAAGCTTGAGTTCGATATCATGCTGTAGCTCAACCGCACAAGGAACCCATATGACAGGCTTGACAATCGGCCGATTGCGCTTTGATGGCGGGCTTCGTCTTTGCTCCTCGAGTTGTTGATCGGCGGCAGTCAACTCAGGACGAATGCGGGATTCTGCCACGTACAGAGCGTCGTTGATTGGGAGATTGGTACCATCATCCCAGAGAAAGGACATGAACATGTGACCAGCTGTTTCGTGAACTTTCGTGCAGAACTCGTGGGTCTTTGCGCTTCTTGAAGCACGATCCACAGATGTTGACAAGATGAGAGCTTTTCTCGAAATTGCTATAAGCTTATCCTCTAAGAGGTCCAGAAAGTCTTCTGAGTAGGCAGACACTTCTTTTGCCTTGACGTAATGGATCGAAATTCCGGACGGTATCATGGCCTCGAGAAACCTCTGCTGACGCACTAGGGATGGCTTGACGCCATCGTGCTCCGCAGTACCTCCCGGCGTTGGAGAGACTCTGCACACAACGACTGCTTCAGTCACTTTGTGTAACCTGAAAGCTTCAGAAACAACGTATTGCAGTGCTTGAAATTGCAAGCTTTTTGGACCTGCTGCCATGGTACGGATCATCGCATGCTTCATGAGACCATACTTGCCGATTTCCGATGCTGTATGCCGACCTTCCTGACATTAGCATACCATTGTCAATGGAGGTTCGTCACGACTTACCAATCATGATTTGTTGCTTGATCACCTCTTTTTGCAGACACACATCCACCCAATCTCGAGGATGATCTCCCACACCTCTCGTGAACCACCGACCTTTTCCCAAGACGATGTCGACTTTATCAACTCTTCTCGTCATGCGATCCGGATTGCTTGTGAGAAAAACAAGTGGTAGATCATCCGGTAGGTCACTGAAGGTCTTTCTGTCCCAAATTGGGTGCTTATTCGATGAACATAGCTCAATAACGACCGATATTTCGTCTCCGATTGTCAGCTCACTAAAGGGCGAATCACTACTGATCAACATAGCCCAAATCTGTCTCGGTATCGATGTCTTTGATGGTACTGAGTCCTCTGTGGATTGTCGGAGTACGAAAACCCACCTAATCGGCATCCTGGAGGTGGCAGATACTGACATGTTGGGAGCCCGATAGTCCTGCGAGTTCTCCGCTAGAGCGTTCCGAAGAGCGATGGACATCTGCCGGGATGACCTGTTTTGACATCGAGAACCACTCACTCTGAATAGAGGTTGGCCATTAGGCAAGTGCTGCGGCTTTGTCGTAACGGAACGGCTGCCAGTTGCCACATCTAGGTGACAGCGTAGGAGCTCGATGGAGCGCGACAATTCATCAGCACTGGGCTCATCTTTGAAGGACAACAGTAGGGAAAATCTTTTTCCAGCAATGTTCTCAACGACGTGAACGTGCTGTCCATTGTCCATGAAGAATGACGGTACCAGAGCCCTGACAGACGCGAGATACTTCGTGCCCGAGAACCAAACCGCCACAAGAGCCTCACTCTGTTGTTGTTTCTGTACGGTGGTGTAATATTTGGTGTTCTCAAGTTCGAGTAGATCTTTCACGTTGTTGAAGGAATGCATGATCTTTTCTAGCTCAGGGCACCTGAGTATTCGTCTCAAACTCTCGATCGAAGCTTTTGTGGTGATTTCGGTCGACGGAAGATTTGTGATCATACCTGAACGAGTCAGTATACGAAGAAGTAGACAATCAGCTTTGACATACCAACGAGATCGCACATCCTGATCCTATGATTTGCGAGGAAGCCAAGAGCCTTGGAGATGTCATGATGGTTGAGGCGTAAGTCTGTCGCCAAAATGTGCGCGAAATCTTGATACTCCTTTGCAACCCCGTCGCTTCCTTGCAAGAAGTCGTTGCAAAGGTGCTTTTTCATCGTGAGAAGACAGACTTGGATGTTGCTCTCGTCGCCAACCATATACCCCGAGAAGATGTTTTCTGTCTTTGTCGCTGCCAGAGGATCTCTGGCCATATTGATCTTGACGTCTGCATCTGCTGTTATCCATGAACCGATCATGAACTTGGAATTCGTCACAGCCTCAGGTGCTTGCGCCTGGATGTCGGACCAATCGATGCCGGGTGGTAAACTGTGAACGACGAATCGAATCTCGCCATGTCTGATATTGCAGCAAGCTTGTGGCCTGGCAATACTGATCGGGCTGCCAATTGCATTCGAGAAACTACTCACGAGGTCCTGATGAAACTCGTCGGTTAAGGGTAGAAAAGTCGGCACTGGATTGGGGAACTCTTGCTTGACAAAGTGCTGAGCGTCGAAGTTGTGGGCAGTAGCATCCTCGGAGTCGTCGAACTCGTCGTCTTCGTCGTCGGAGATAATGATTGTGTCGTCGTCGTACAGATCGAATGTCGGCGAGGGAACCGGGACGCCGTCTGAATCAAGCTCTTGTTTGATCCTGGGCGATGTTGGAGGCGAGGACCTCGGCTCAACCTTGACCCTGGAGGCCATGTTGAATGAAGCCTGGGTCGAAGTGGTGTGGCATTGCTGGATAGAGCGAGAAAAGGCAGCTGGACTTCAACGTGCAAGGCTTCATCGCTGAAGGCAAGAGCGACTATCGTGTATGTGAGCGGCTAACGGTCAATCAACTATGACAACTCTCTTGCTGAGGCAGGGGCGACGAGCAATTACGTAGAAGCTCGGACACCATAGTTGCTATTTCCAGTACGCAGCTGTGCACTTTACGTGCGTCCAGTGAGAACGCATCAAGATAATAGCTCGTGTGTTCATTGCAGCAGTAGTGCGTATCCTCACTGTTCCAAATTTAGTAAGTCCGACTGCGGAAAAAGGAGAGAAGGATGATGACGGACTGGGCAGCGCGGTTTGGCTTACTTAGCACACGGGACCTTGCAAAGTCATGCGAGTAGATTTCGGCTTTCTTTGTCAAGCATTCTCGAAACACGAGGGTTCTGATTTCCCTCGATCTGGTTGAGTGCAGCCGTGAAAATCTCGAGCGTGCTGGTTGAGTCGCAAAATCACAGATGATATATCATATATTCCCTCGAATGTCCTGGCTAAGCAGTGGTCGGAGATAGACTACGTCTACCTACCCCATAAGGGGTAATCGTAGGTGTTCCTGGATAAGCCTGCAGTTTCCACCCCCTAGGGAGTATCTCGAGAAAGCACTGCGTGTCTACACCTTAGGGAGTATCTTGAAAAGAGCCCGTGTTTTTTACACCCTAGGGGGTACCTTGATTATAAGGTAAGCGTGAGTTGTATGATATTGTTCGACCCCAGGGTTGAATGTTAATGAACCCCAGGGTTCAACGCCTCGGAGGGAACGATACTATTCAACCCTAGGGTTGAATAATCTCTCTATCCCTTGACGATTGAACCGCTTTCCGCGAGGGAAGTGCCTCTAGCAACATTGTTCAACAGCGTCAGGTCTTTCTAAAGAGAAATCAGCTTTCGCTGACTCTAGCGAAACGATACGGCCGACCACAAGGGAGAAGCCGAAGCCGGCCATATATTAACGGTCACTCGCTTAAGGAATCCACGGGACAGGTGAACCGTTGATTTCTTGACGGTCAACACGTTTAGCGGCATTTGAACCAAGTACGGGTGACACGCAGACCGCCAAATTATTAATGGTTCATAAAATCATGCGGATTATAACGTGTAACCAAAGACAAGGCCGATGTTGGCTAGGCTTAGCAAAACGACAACATGTGGTCTTAAGTAGAGAGGAAAAAACATGAGAGTGGCAAAAAGGATGACAAGGATTTGAGGGGAAATAGCAACCAAGACAAGAAAGAATAACGTTTATAATGGGACACCTAGGAGGAAATGGTGCAGAACCGGTCTAAGCAGACGAATTTGACGAGCAGTTCGTGTTTGTTCAAGTTGTCTGCCAGTGCTTCAGACAAATTACAAATCTTGTTACATAGCACTTCCGGTCACACATTGCAAGCAATATATACCAACAATCTGCTCCAAAAGTGTCTCTTCGGAGACATCTGTCAATTTGGTGCGTCTGGTCGAACGTAATTTATCCACGGACGTATCGCTAACAAGCCGCTAGAAACTATACAGAGAAGATTAGCATGGCCCCTGCACTAAGGATGGTGAGTTCGAATCTAAGCATCGTCAAAACTTTGACACAAACTAACATTCCACAGACACATGCAAGTAAGCACACACGTCCAACGACCTCCTAAACACCAACCAGCATACTAATTGCCTAATTTAGACAAGTGACTTAACACATTTTTTTTTTGCTTTTGAGCCGGTAAGATATGTCAGAAGTGTTTCTTTTTGGCCCCAATAGACAGGAAGTTGATGAAAAGCCTCGAAAACGACTTGTTTTGGCCTAATCACGAGCGACAGCCAAATTGACCATGGTAGTCTAACTGCTAGTCATTACATAGATGGATCCGAAAACAAGAGCATTCTCTCTTTGCACTTCGTCTCTAGATCATCACATTCTTCTTGTCACTTTCCATAATCATTGTTGCAACTCTTCAAATATAAGTGGTTCGAGCATCACGTTCGCTAGATGTGTGATATTGTCGCGAAGTCGATTGTGTATTTTTAGTGTGCTTATAGTGTCTATTCATCTTCGCTTCCATGAATGATGGCTACGTACAAGAAGCCACAAAAACTAGAACCATGGCGCTCCTCCGCTCAATGACAAGCACTCGTCCCACTCTATCTTTCCGGAGGTGCGCAGTATGGGCTTTTTTCTGGACCTTGTAAGCTAAGACACATAATTCATGGATTCCAAAGATCCGAAATTTCTTGTTTATACGGCTTAGCAAAGTGACCAGGTTAGTTGATAACTCTCATAATCAGAAATCTGCACAGTCTGGCGGAAGACAGTCTGAATCCCACCATGCTACATGTAAGGATCGACGAGAATTGAATGGTTCGACTCATTGCTGCATTGTTTGAGCCTTGGATGTACGGCGTCACTTGTGCTGTTGGCCTCTTGCACTCAGTTCTAATGCCGCTGATTGTAAAAACCATTAGGGCTTTAACGGTTCAACTGTCCGCTGTGTGTGACGTGAATGCCACTGATTGTAAAACCATTGAGATTCTAACGGTTCACCTGTCCCCTTCGTGTGATCCGAATACCGATGATTGCATTGACCATTAAGATCTTAACGTTCTGACCGTCCTGTACAGTCTCTAAGCAGACGACGGGTGTGATCTGCCCAAACTTGGCCTCTCGCCCTCTCCTCTCCGAACAGACTCGTCTTCACGTTAATTCTAGCGGGCCACAGCTCTGGCTTCGCTTCTTCGTATGTCAGTGTCCATTGTGTTGTTGATGTCGTTTCGCTAGATACAGCGAAGAAGAGGTTCGCCTTTCCATGTTCTTTCACTAGATCCCGCGAAAATCAGCCTTAACTTGGTCCACACGCTCTGGTACAGCGTCGTCTATGCCTTCTCATCTTCTGTATAGGATCTTGATGCTTCCAATAGTGTGGACCATATATCTCTGCTCCTCTAGCATGTCGTCTGCAGCGGTCCCGTTGAAGTTGACAGAAGAAGGTAGTATGTAGAGTGCGTCGTCGAAGTGACGGCATAGTGCTTTCTGATAGCTTGGCCCGCAGCAGCAGACGAACCTTGCTCCAACGACTACGCCGCCCACATTCCCTCTGGCTTTGCCGCCGGCAACTCGGGTTTTGCCCATGGAGATCTCTCCTTCTTCAATGGCTTCGCTGCCCCTCAGCCTCCCCCTGGCTTCGGCTATGGAGATCCTTCTCAAGTCAACGGCTCCACTGTTGATTAGACTGCAGATATTGATGTAGTCTTACAAGTCGTATCTAGTCATCAATACCCTAACTGAACATCCCAAAGATACACGCCGTGCGCGCGTAGATCATCAACATCAGTAGTTTCGACAAAGACATCGACTTAACTGGCTTGCATCACAACATCCTGCACGGGTACGAAACCCATCAAAAGTATCAAAAACTGCATTTGGGTATCTTCCTAACTTACACTCTTTCCACTCCCTCCCATATCCCCCGATCTACCCCCAAGGCAATACCCTCAACCCTTGCAACCCTTGGCCTTGTCCCGCCTTCATCCTCTGCACACCGCTCCTCCCCACACACCCATAATGAATGACCTCGTTATCCGGATACACCCTAACAGCCGAATTGCCAAATCTCTTATGACAGACGCGACAATGGTCGTCTTCTCTTATCACCACCCTTCTACTTCTTCCACCTTTACCTTGAGCATGTTCAGGGCCGAGAAGCAAGTCAGAGGAGAGGTTGGTTTTGAGGATGGCTTGGAGGGATGTGATGATGCGTTCTTCGCGGACGACGGTGTTGGCGCTGCGGATGCGGCCGAGGAAGTAGGAGTTCAATTCGCTGACGTGGAGGTCGGAGGGCATGAGATCTAGTGTGTTTGCTGCAGGAAGGCGGGGACCGTGTTTCGAGAGAAGTTGCAGTGCAGGCTCCCATTGCACTTTGTGCGGTGATGGCGGTTTGAGGTAGAGGGACAGCAATGTAGTATAGACGTTCGGCTGCTGGTCCTCGGGATCGGTGGACATGCTACTCTTTTCGTAGGTCTGGCTGCCGGTGTTGGGGTTTGAGCCGACGGGCGCTGGCGATGTCGAAGTCGAGAGGTAAATTTTGTTGCAATATTCTTCTGCTTTTTCGTGGTCTTGGATCTGGAAGACATAGATCTGGAGAGCTTGCTTGTGGTTACCCATGGCGCAAAGGACGATCGCACGAGCTTCGTAAACATCGGGATCTGCGAGTTTGTGTTAGTATACTTGGTATCTGTAGGAAATGACGGCGCAAATTACCATCAGCAGGCAGCTGGTTGAAAGTCTTGAGTTTATGGTATTGCGTGCTGTTACGCAAAAACTCTTCCAACTTCGTCCGAGCTTGGTTTCGCTCTTCATCGCTGCTTCCTTCTCTGTCTCGTAGTTTCTCCAAATACAAATCGACCAGTTTCTGGTGGAACTCCGGCGTCTTGTCGTTGAGTTCAAGAATGACATGCTCCAGATATTGCACTGCAAGCGACTTGTCCAATGGAACAAGAAATTTCAACACCTTGTCTTTGGGCAGATTTGCGGCGTTCTTAGTATCTGCAACAAATATCTCCATACCCTTTTTCGAATCAACCTTTATTGGCCACTCCGCGAATTCCAGGATGATGTCGATGAGTTCAGCAGGCAAATTCTGCAGATATCCGATGGTCCTGTCTGGTCCTCTCAAAGCTGGCATGACCTCTTCTGCGGCCTCATTACGACCAAACTTTTCTAACAATTCCAAGGCTTCACGATGCAGCTTCTTGCCATAAAGGAAGTCAATAAGGTCATTGTATCTTCCACTTTCGTAGAGCTTCTCTTCAACAACAAGAGGGTCGCAGAAGTTGTCAAGGCGGAATAGTGGTCCAGCGAGTGACGGCAGAGCGAGCATGTAGGCGCGGAACAAGGTAGTATCGACCAGCTTAGCGACTTCCAACAACTCAGCTTTCCAATCGATATTCTCGGCACCTTCAGGAAGCTCAATAAGATTGCTGAATGATGGCGTAGTACCTTCGGTCAATTCAACCTTGAGTGTACCATCCGTGTTCATATGTCGCTGGACTTGAACACGAGATTGAGCTAGGTATGAACATAATGCCATGACGGCAGCTTTCAAATCAGATCCAGTCAATGGCGCATCCTTTGCAGGCTTTTCGCGAGGAGCTTCACTCGTCGTACGGAAAGAGCGAATGGATGCAGTATCAGAATCATCCTTAACCGCCGATGGCTTGAACTTGCCCAATACTGATTTTGTAGGAGTTGGTGTGTTCTTGACCTGATCTTCCGTTTGCGACGAGTTTTCCTCCGCAGCACTAGTCTCTCCAGAAGGCTCATCCGTATCAGTAAGCTCCGTAGGCTCTTCAATAGTCGAGAGATCACCAGCGATGGACTTCGGATATAGTGAAACAACACGCTTTGGCGGAGCAGAAACGTCGGTAAACAGATCCAACGCTGGTCTATACTTCTGTTGAGAGAACAGGTTCTGGGCTTTGAGCATGCTAATCTCTCTGATCGAACCCTGTTTGTCCTTGAGAAGTGTATCTTCCAGCATGTTGAGAAGACTGATGGCCTCATCGAATTTTGTCTTCTCGACAAGCTGGCTGACCTGAGCCTCATAATTCAGAGCAACCATACGCCAGATACACCTGTCACTAGCAACAAGAAAGCCTTTACCAGCATGCGCCAAGCTGATATTGGGCTGAGGAACATGAAGTATTGAAGCGCCTGGTAGAGGGATGGTCTGTAATAGGTTCAGTGTGTCGGGACTTCTGACATCCAAAGCTCCCTTCGCGGTCTGTTGTAGTGAGAGTAAGTAGGGGTAAGAGTATCCTAGGGCTTCAGGAGCGAATGCCCATGGTATTTGACGTTTATCGGCAGGCTTCGCATCTGTGTCGATGAACAGAGTGTTGACATCCTTCGCAATAAGCATTTTGTTGTTTGTTAGATTTGTTGCCATGGGTTTCGGAACCCAGCTTCCCATTCCCATATAGCCCATGCCCGACGAACTGACAGCACCAAATCTGACATTGCCGGTCGGTGTAGGTTTGATGACATCTGCCACAGCTAAAGTCTCAATATCAATGATTGAGAACCCGGGATCCAGACCAACCAGCATCTTTGTTCCAGTAGCCCATAGTAGTGACTTGGGAGAGTGTGGTAATGTTATCTCTTGAACCTCAGGGGACAATTCCATATCTTGCCAACTCCACCAGAGAATACGACGCTTGACAGCAACAGCCAGACGTGATACGAGCGACGGAATATCGGTGACGGGGTCTTTGATGACATTCGAGGTTACGGCGAAAGCAGTTGCGCCCTTGGTCTTGTCCAGCTTCTCCTGCAATTGGAACGTCTGAAGGTCGTGTATTGAGACATGACCGTCGGACAGCGAGACGAGTATGTTCGCTTCCTTGATGATTGCCAATTGTTGGATTGCTCTTCTTGAGAACTTCTCTTCCTCCCGCACAAGGTCGACAGCGCGTGTCTTTGACGGTGTCGCATCTGGGCTTGTCTCGGGTACTTCGTTGACGCGGTATATACGGAGCGTGCCTGTACTGAGGCCTACAAGAAGTCGGTCGCCTGCACATCACCTCGTCAGTCTTGCCATGCCTCATCATAGACTGACAACATACCATATGCTAAGACCGACTCGATCTTGGACTTGTCTTGTTGTTTGAGCTCATAGATGGGCTGCGCGCGAAAGGCCGACAACATGGCGACCTTTCACCATGAACTGATTCGGTTCAAATTCGGTGATGCCTCTGGTCGGTATCGTCTTGAGCTTTTGATCAATTACAGAGCTTGTCACTGCACCTCGTCGTCGCTGTCGCATCACCTTGGTCGACCGCAATGACGCCCGTGCCCTGATCTGGGAAGGTTTGCCGACTGCCGAAATCACCACCAAGACACTCCAAAGCTTCCCCCATCTCACTTCTCTCGCAGACCACATATTTTTCGCTGCAAGCATGGTAGGTCTTGCCTTGTTCATCACTATCATCTGATCAGGCCAGGTCACCTTCTTGCTTTCTGAACGTACATCGAAGCTTCTGTCGCTGCCAAACAATTTGTGAATCCCTTCACAGCTAGGTGACAAACATCAGCCATCATTCCGATCCTGTTCAAGCTTCATCTTGGAGACTCTCACACACTATTCCAAACATCTTCTGTTTATCTTCTGTTTTGAGACTGATTATAACTTATGACTGATTACAACTTATGATCGTTGCCATGAGCATACAACAGATGCGTGATATGGATGGATGTATTATGTACCGCACCCGCCTGCTCGTGTGTCCAAAGCTGATCATACACACACGATATCGTCGTAACTGCCTTTCATGGCGAAGACGCGTCAACAGCTTGACTTACATGCGCTACAAATCTCCTTTTCGGCGTTCTAGCATGCTCGTCGGTATCTCTCCCGCCCTCGAATGTATCCATGTAGTTTGAGCACTATTGTGAAGAGGCAGAGTGGCTACAAGGGACACTTCCACGTCCAGTAAGAGTCCTCATCACATCCGCCGGGGTGTTCGATTACGGACAATTCATGCATCTAGAAGTTACTGGCGCATGTGGATGTGATGGTGGATGTGCGGCAAGGAGGCTGTGCAACGAACCGGAGTCACGGGTGAGCTACACACTAAACTCGAGGCACTACTTTTAGACCGACCTGTTTTTATATAAACGAACGCCCAGCCTACTTGATCTAAGATCGCGTGAGATATTTTCTGTCCCTATGTAGGTTCAAATGTTGATTGATTTGATTGTATCATCGGAAAGATACTGCCAGAGTGGAAAAAGCAAAACACCCCTCGACAAAGCAAAATCAACACCACCACTTGCTGGAAGAACAAAGAAAATCATCAGATCATGAACTCATCATTAAGTCGGGTGACAAGGCATTCCCAAAACTCCTGGATATGACACTCCAGCCTCGCAAAGACAGATCAACCTACGACCGCTGGATATCAGCATTATGAAACCACCCAGCATATACCCATCACTACTTCAACCGCCAACACGATAAGAGGTCCACCCTCTCGGAGCACCTTCTCTTCTCTCCCTCCTTGGAGAATGTGTCTCCATATATACACCACCCACTCCGTCACACCAATGGGCTCTCTCCAACTCTTGATACTCTCCAAAGCTCACCACCTTACGATCTAAAAGGTGTCGGAACAGATCATGGTCAGCCCTATAGCCAGCACTGATCCTCTGGTTTCTATGATAGGCAGCCACATGCTCCAGCCTGTCATTCCAAGCATTGTCTGAAGTCCATCGATAGCTGCAGAATGGACATTGTGAGCGGGTAGGTGGGCGATGAGAGCGGAAGTGTGAGGTTGAATGCGTCATCCAGGATTCGGTATCGGTGAACTCTTCTCGGCAACCTAAGAAGGCGAAGGAACATTGCAACACCCCTGCTGGAGGTCGACGTATGTCATACCCTGACACTGATGAGTTGGCCTTCGAGGACGCTATACTGCCGTCGGAACCTGAGGTCCTTGTCGACATTGTTCCAAAGGATCGACCCAATGATGGCACATTCTCGAACGCCGTGGAGCTCAGACCACTGCTGGATGCCTTCGTGTCTGCTACAGACAGAGCCCCTGAGGAAGGAATGCTACTGTCGTACTGTCTAGCATCTACCCTGAGCCCGCCGGACACGGCGTAAGGATGGATGATCCTTTGTTCGAACCGAGAAGGGGTATATTGGTCCCAGTGCGCCATCACCGGTTCGTCCAGACGATTATGCGAACGTCGCGACATCGCCGAGTTGATTCCTATCCTCTCATCAGCACGAATTTCGAGTCACAAAAAGTACACCCACTTCGAACTTCGGATCCCAGGAAAAAAAGGAACAACAAAACAAAGCGGTGCCTCCCACCCAAGTTATACGAACACAGTCTTGGTCTTCCGTTTCTGCTACGGTGAGCAAGGCAGGTGGCAGACACGAGGCAGCTGAACACAAGAGCAATATAGCACTCGTTACTTCCGCTCGACCATTCTTCCAAAAGCACAACGATGGGTTCACCTCTAAAGCAACAGAGACGCTGCCCCGGCTGTAATCGTCCGCAACTTCGCTGCTGACAATCACAAGCCAGCCTTACTTGCCGATCAAAAGATGCGTGCAGCCCCTACTGCCGTACTTCCGACTTGGAACCACTCCCATCATCCACCTGCAATGGCCAGCAAAACCATCCAGTGCTGGCAAAGGAAAGTTCAGTGGTGAACTGGTGTTCTTGACCTTTTTCCAGATTCGATCCTATCCCACGAGCGAAAAAGAGGGGGTGATGCTGTCAAGGAGTTCTGGATGCTTTGGGTCTGAGATCGGGTAATCGACTAGGATAAGCTACATGCATGCATGCGTGCATCCGGGAACATTGGCGCATACAACAAATTGCACGCCACAATATCGCACAACACCATGCCCTTCACCGACGTGGAGATTGGGATCACGACAGGACGGCAAAGCAAGCTTATGGAGCTATCAGGCAAAGAGTATGAAGTTTTCGCGGAAGGGTAGCAAAGATGCTGCCCAAGCGGTTGTTTGACGGAGTCAAGGGGAAACTCGCAAAAGAGGGGAGCTGTTGAAGCTCGGCTGGGAATTATGAATATGCATTAGGATTATGCATGAGGCATGTGATAGCATCTTGGTGATGTATGATTGTACGAGACTGCAGACAGCTCACAGCACAACATTCGACGAATATCAACCAGATGGCAGTGATAAGAATAAGACAAGAGGATCAAGTGTCTCAAACAATGGTAAAAAAAATCCAGCTTGAGAGTGCTTCGTCGCAAACACCTCAAAGAGTCAAGGCTTGTGCTGTAGATAATCCTGTCGCTAGTATGATATTCATGTCCTAAAGGATATGCAGATAGACGTTTTAACACATCACGTTGCTCGAAGTTAGGACGCAGCTTTTCCCACTGTGTGTTGCCTGGTCCTCGATAGCCGAGAAGGTCAAGTACACCATGATATGTGGACAGGGTCAGTGGTTGAGCATTTTTGAACATGATCTTCTAGATATGTGCTCTTCCTCCACAACCTAGAATACTCACATGCGACACGATGTACAACAGGCGGACAAAAGCCGGGTAGGTCTCTGAACTTACCTGATCTACCTCTATAGATGCTTCCTAGACAAAGTCCCGAGTCTTGGTGAGAAGACGAAATCAAAACCAGAAAGTTGTCTGCTGGATGTGTATGGATGGCTTTCGCGACATAGTTTGTCTTGCTTCTGACACCGAAGTCTTTGGAGGAAAATGAATCTACAGCGAAGGGCTGGCTCCGCTGGTTGATAGAATAAATGCCGAATGTACAATCAACATTGAGTTCGTGTTTTTTGGAAGACAACGAAAACCGACAAGGCAGCAGTCGATGATCTTGTCAGAGATGAAGCCAGGAATCATGGGCGCACATAGGATTGAAACCACCAGCTGAAACAATAGCCTCGTCCACCAAAATTTCGACCATTTGACAGTATTGATTATCAAGGACCGGCTACGCATCCAACGAGACGCTCTCTGCGAAGGCGCAAGCAGGACAGTCGGAAAGATATCAGGCCATCCGCAAGAACTCGTGATACTGTGCAGATATGAAACATGCTTTGAACTTCCAAGAGACGCCTCGTGTATGCCCATGATCTCGGCGCGCTATCCACCACGTTCGTACGGAGCTGACACCGTTACCATATGGAGGGTGTCGAGTAAGTACTCAAGAATCCGCCAAGTAGAAGATGCTCGGCGCGTCTGCCCACGACATGATGGTCGTAGATAACACGAACAGCTGACTGGGGCACATCACCTTCCGCTGGAAAACATCGAAAGTCCATCATCTATAGGGCGTGTGTTTTGGTCCAGTCGCTATTCCATGCCTTCCAGACGTAGAGTTTTCGAGCAGCCAAGGTATTTCTTGACACGAGAGGGCCGAGACGGATATAAGGACAGCAACTCGAAGTTCACAATCATGAGGGCTTGATTCTGGTCAAAGTATGACATGGTCAAAGCCCAATGCGAAATGCTGTTTGTTGGATTTCTCGGCCGAGTTTTCATGGCAACGTTCAAACAAGAACTCGCACCGCATTGCATCACTTCTGAATTGTCATCTGAAATATCAATGTGAGCCTTGGAAAACCATGGACGAGGAGATCTTTTATCGGCCGTAATCCGGATACAAGAGTCTTGTATGTTTGCACTCATCAGAGTTTTGTACCTTGAGAATATCGTTGATGCCGCAGCCAAGCTTCTTGGAGATTGGCAGGTGTAGAGTAACTTTTGTCGATGTGAGCAAGCCACACTCCAAGGCCACACATGGTCGTGATGTCGTGAGTTAAAGGGAGAGTACTTGAGAGGGACTCTTGGTATTGAGGGCGGAGCAACATTATTGGCTGGGTAGTCGCCGGATCAGAGACCATGATGGCAGATCATCCGCCCAAGGCCGCGGCCAGATCTCCATGGAGGAAGAATAGAGATGCAACTCATAGAAAGATCAAGAGCTGTCTCAATTTGGACGTAATGCCAAACTGCTGAATATACGGTAGTCGTGAGGGCAGGGCACGATAGGCGAGATAAATTATAGGAGTCTTGGAGCTTACGTAGGTTGAACGACGCCTAGAAGACACAGCTGCCGGATTTCCGTAAGGGAATTGTCGCTCTGTCGTGTCGCATTGAGTAACGGGCCAAGTGCATGCTATGAGTCTTGGTAAAATTGGTGCGACAACACTCGAGCTCAGCTGGGGGCGCAGGACAAGGGGGTGTTTGACCGAATCTTTGCATAATCACGGTATTGGCGGCTTGGAAGAGAACAAAAAAGTGGTGGTCAAGAAACCAGACAGAACTGGGCGAGCACGAAGTGATCAAACGTGCGCCTTGGCATCGGGGAAAGTTGCACCTGCCGTAGCAAGGATCGAAGGAACGCTTCGTCGAAACAAACAGAGAAGGAGCGCAGCAACTGCCCTCTCGTGACGCCAAACAGCAGTCATAACACTTGAAGATGGTAAAACCTTGAAGAGGAGCAGCAACATCGGCGACGACAGGTAGATCAGATGGAGATCCAAACCATGGTTCTTGGCAAAACCATGGCCAAGGATAATAGCAGCCTTGGCTCCAAGACACGCCTAGTCTCTGTTCTTGTTGGCATTTCCTTTGGCAAACATGTCAAAAGAAGCACGACGGCCGGCCATGCGTGACTGACATGAGCTGCTTGTCTGAACGCCGCCTATAACAATCCATCGACTTTCGCCGTGTCAACTGAGGCAGCCTCGTATCTGCACCTGCCCGGATTTAAGCTGGACCATGGCCGATCGTTCTTCACACCGGCACTCGAATGCCTCGGATTCCGACTCTCAACACACCTTCCACATCGCTCAAAATGCTCCCTCGACACTACCAAAGCCACCGGCGCCCGCGGTCGTCCGCAACTCGCAAGGAGAGCTGAATGAGAAACATGAGGCTGGTAGCGACCATGATCTCGAGAAGCAGACCAACGTGTCGCCTCGCAGGAGTCGAGAAATGGCCGAGCGATATAATCCTTACTTTGCTCGCTCTCCCTACCAGTCCAGCATGTCTTCGGACGAGGACAACGATCTGGTAGATCAACGTTTACACCTCGAGTCCAAGGCCATCAAGATTTTGGTATGTCCATCTGTTTGCTTCAATACCATATCCCCTTGCTTACGTTATGTTATAGCTCTACCTATCTGGTCCTTGTGTCTTACTCTCCGGTCTACTGTGTATCTGGTCGCTGGTCGTCACCCTTTTCACCGTCCTCACCTACCCTCTACGATTCTTCTCTGCTTCCCGCCGATCACTGTCTGAAGAACTTCGCTCCCTTCTTGCCCGATCAAACCGTCTTCAACTCCGAGCAATCTACTCGTTCAACATCACCCAAGGAAAGAGTGTCTCAAGCCTGCTACTGGTTCATGTTCTGTCGCCTTTCACTGCCATGGCCGTCTCGCTCAGCGCTTGGGCTGTCGCTATCTACTGGATCTTCGCTGCCATGATTGGTGATCCGGACGGTACTGAAGGTGGAAATGACGGTAGAGCTACTGTCCTAGGCCTCAGAGCCTACTGGGAAATGTGGCTTTGCAAGGCCATGGTCCAATAACACACTCTAGACCCCGCGGGCGCCGATGCTATCACCCTGATGCTTCGGCCCACTCAGAGCAGTGTTCACTCTTCCACTCTTATCTGCGAATTTTGTGCCATTCAGGCTCCCGGATTTCTTTGTTTTTACCATCTAGCAAGGTGTTGGAGGAGTTTTGCATTTTTAGGCCGGTCTCCCCACCTCGCCCACGACCACGACGACAAGGCGATTTCCGCCATGCTTTTTTTTTCCAATTTGCTCATTTTCAGAACTATACCACTCAGCGTCAATACTATTATTATTAAACCCCACCAATTTCATACATCAATTCATAACGTGGACTGACTACTGCACGATTAGACCGCGTATCGTTTGAGTGACTTGTCTCCAAAAACCACAATGTCCACCAGATGTGTTTACCAAGCCCTGAGGCCATTTACTGCACCGCCCTCTGACGTGCCCACGCAAACTCCAACCTTCTCTATTCAGAACACGAGTCAACGATAAAGTTTCTGACAAGAACCGTTTGAAGTTGATGTTTCCGACTTCCACGGGCCAAGTCGGCATTATTCGCTTGGGCGTTAGTAGTCCTCATGGCAAAAAATTAGTGGACATGTATCGACTCAGCGCAAACTCGCCCATCAAACCAATACCAGCTCAGCTGGCTCATCTTCATTGGTCTAGTGGTCATGATTTCCGCTTGTCAAGAGAAATCTCGTCAAGCGCGGGAGACCGGGGTTCGATTCCCCGATGGAGAGCTCATGTTTTGCTCAGGTCTTGCCGGCCAACTTTTTTGGATCAGCGGATTCAATTTGTGCGATGCGGTGCAGAGGTAAGGATGTGATTGTGTTTTGTAGTGTGACAAGGAAAGCGCCAGTCTTTTGGGCGAAGCTTGGAGCCGAGAATTTTAGTACGAACTTCATTCTGGATTGTTATAACTACATCTAACACGTCGGGGGTATCTTCTTTTTGTGCACCCAGTCCTTATTGACAAGAACGAAAAACCTCTTGAACCACCGACTCCATGTAAACGCCTCCCTTATGCAAACCTGCCACCCGCTTGATGCAGAAAAGAAAATTTTCAGATCATGAAGGTCATGAAGACCCACGATTACTGACCAAGAGGAACATCGATCTCCTCTTCGTACTCCTCCCACTCGTCTTCGGCGAAGAACTTGGCCACGGTTTCCTTCTCACCACGAGCACGCTCAGCGGAGAGCATGAAGCGAACGGTACCATCCTTACCACGCTCGCCAACTCTGCTTCTAGCACCAGTAGCGGTAGTGGGGCCCATTGCAGGAGGAGAGTTAGGGCTCATGTTGGAGCCTGGAATAGCAGGTGAGACCGGCGAGTGCTTTGCGCCACCATTGGATGCGCCATTGAGCACAGATTTGTTTGCGGGTTCAACCCAGTTGCAGTAGCGAGGAATGTTAGAAGCGGTGGCTTCCTTGTTGAGAAGGATGCGGAGGGCGATGTAGTTATCCATGGAGAATTGGGGGCCGACAATGGTAGCATGGCGATGGTGAGTAAACAGGTCCAGTAAGTCCAGAAGGGTTTCTGCGCATTGGTTAGTTATGCCATAAGATGTAGAGACTTATGGAACGTACCCATGACCATGCCGCGGTCGGTGGACCATTTCTCGAGACTGGTACCCTGAGGTCCCACGATAGCATCCATGTTGAACTCGGTAGACATGTTCAGGAGACGGGCAGAAAGCTCAACACAAGCAATTGCTATGGTTGAGGTGGTCTGCTTCAGGGGGGCGAAGGTGCGGTAGACGTCGATGGACATGTCGTAAGCGGTCCTGCCCAAAGGATCCTTGGGCAGACCTGACTCCTTGACCACCTTGATCACGACTTCCTGGGGGTGTCTGCTTCTGAAGTCGAAGCCTGCTGACTCGAGCATAAGACGCTCCAGGCCAACAACTGTCTTTGATGGCTGCTCAAAGATCTGCGAGGAATTAGTCTTCGGATTCAAGACTCATGATCTCTAGACCTACCGGGTCATCGGGGCTCAAGTGCTCTGATGAGGGGAACTTGAGATTGTGAGCGGCGCAAAGAACCTCGCGCGACTTCTTCAAGGTGTCCTCGATCTTGCAAGCACAAAAGAGCGCGGCGGCTGCGGCATCCTATCGAAGATCAGTAAAGCCCTAATATAAGATTGCATAATGACAGAAAAAACATACTGCGAACATGTACTCGGTGTCGGCATGGACCAGGCGGAATTTGTGGTAATACACAACTGCGGTGTTGAAGGTGCGAACAGGCCTAGATGGAGCGACGGTCAGATGAGATAGTGCGCAACAACGACATGGAAACCTTACAACTGCAAGGCCTTTCTAACACTGTCAATGTATTGAACGCCTTGAAGACGGAGACTGTCCTCCTTATGTTCAGTCGCGCCAAGAGCAGCCAGACTGTTTCTTATGCTTTGTTCGAAGATGTAAGGCCTGGCGACCTGGATGTATGACGGGTGGGGTCCAACACCATTGGTATTGGGCGCACCGCCATTCTGCGAGATGTCTCTGTTTTGGCTCATGTTGAACGATGAGGTTGTTGATGAGAAGGTGAATACATGGTGTGGTGATGAAGATTCACGTGTGGCGTCCGTGCGTTGGGTGAGGTCGACTTGGCCGAACTGGCGTCGCAGCGGGTTCTCGTTGTCCACCTGCATCACATTCGACATGATCTGGGAAAGATCGTTCTCCTTGTCTTCGGGCTCTTCCTCCGAGTCGTCGCCGAGCTCAGCTAGTCTGGAGATCTCTGGAGAAGCAACATCAGTAAAGCTGTAGGTAGTCTGTGGTTGAAGAAATATACCGTCATCGGTGTAGTCTTCACTCATAGGCGCGTCGCCGTCGAACTCTTCTGGGTCCTCATAGATGGTCATGTCATAATCCGGAACGAACTCTACAGGTATGTCAGTGTCGCAACCCGGTAGATCTGGTCACAAGAGCGGCATACCATTGTGGTGCTCTCTTTCGTCCTTCCAAGCGTTGAACGCGTCGGTTTGCGACACGTCATCCATTGGCATGCGTTGGCCTGTCCAGAGTCAGAAAGAATGCTACAAATGTCATTCGTCGCACTTGCCAGAAGCGTTGAACTGCATCTCTCCAAAGGTGTTGTTTGCGCCAGGCTGAATGCGTGGGCTGCCTCTGAGACTGCCTCTAGGACTGCCTCTAGGACTGCCCCTGGGGCTTGCCCACCTGTCTTGGTCGATGTCTGCGCGCAAAGGCGATTGACGGAAGGCCAGACCAGGACGACTCTGGTCGATCTCGAGGATAGATGATGAAGGAGCAGGGAGCACAAGCTCCTGCAGAGGCTTTCTGTCTGGATGCATTCTGTGATCGTCCCAATGAGGATCGGGCAAGCGCGGCGAAGGGTCGAAGGCCTCGGACAGCATGGGCATAGGCTGTGTATTGAAATCTGGCTCCGCATGGCGGAACTCACACTGGATGCTGTTAAGTTCGCAGCGACCCATCTGCCACATACGACACACAGGTCTGTTGTTTCTTCTTAACATGGCATACGATTGATCCATGTTTCTATCGATCTCAAGTCAGTAAGATCGTCATTCCATTGGAGAGAGAAGACTGGTATGGCTGCCACCATGGACAAGCGCCAATCTGGATGGGATGTTTGCTTACCTTTGCGCAAGATCGTTGATACCAAAGGTGAATTTGGAGTGTGAGGAATCTCTCTTGCTATGAGTCCGAGCTTTTTTGCGCTCTTGGGAGGTCATCTGCACTCAAAGTTGTACTGGTCCTACTCGTCACTTGATGGATGACGCCGCGAGTAATGTGCGGTGGTAAGTCTGGGTTCATTCGATATCATCCACCAGCCATGACTCGCGACAGACATCATCTTGGAATCAATTCTGAACGCAATGGAATTGATACAGGTCTCTTGTACACACTCAGACGGGACTGGCCACTTCTAGAGCAAGCATGCCTAGCCCTAGGCCTTCGGAGAGTACCTTGCATGTATGGCATCCCATCCGTACTGGTTTTGTACTAATGACATAGAGTTGGAAGCTCTTTGATATGTTTGTTGCTTTACTTCGTGATCAGCCGTCGATATAAGAGACATCCTAAGGCAAGCATGCTCGGCGTTTGACCTCAGCAACGTATGGCATACTACGATGAAGATTCTGTCTCCTGAGCTGTCTGAATGAGGAGCGAGTCGATGAGCTTATGTGGCTTACCTGATCACAGGTCAAAGAGACGAGTAAATGTGTTAATCGAGCGTGTTCATTGTCTATCTAACCGGACGACATGCTTGCCCCCCAGAGAATGCGGGTATATGCTCTATTAATGCAATGTTCCTCCAAGATATTACATGCTAACACCATGCTTTCTTTCCAATCGGATAGATTATGCTTGCTCAAAGCCTCTCTGAGGACTCATCAAATGAGTCTCGACCTTAGCCAGGTCCTCCTGGGAGGGAATAGGACCCAACCAGCTCTCGCCGCTAGAGATCTCCAGCTTGTCTCTCAGCTCCTTAGTGACTTCCTTCACCTCTTCCTCGACATCAAGGTACCAACGCAAGAATTCACCGACCTCTGTGTTTTCGTGGTTGCCCTGAAGCTTCTTGGCGGCATGGCGATCAGAAGCGTATATGTTCACGTCAACAGCACTATGGCCGTGAGTACTCCAGCCTGTCTGACTACGCTTGCTGATAACATCGGCAAGTGTCCAGGGGGCGTAGATAGGGTGCTCAATCAGGTATTCGATCTCTTCAGGGGTGACGTTCTTGATTCCCAAGTTGTCGTTGATAAGCTTGGGGAGATATTTGCGGAGGTCGGCCTTGGAAGGCTGGGATGATGAGAGGTGGGAGAAATACAGACGAGCGGTGTGCTCGGCACTATGAGTAGCGTTTGCGAGGACGTCGGGATACCACAGATATTCGGGGTAGTTGACGTTCAATTCTAGGGCGGTATTAGCAGGGACCGAGGGAAAGCGACAGACGATACTTACGTCTAGCGGAAGCCAGGCCACCAGTCTCATGATCACTAGTAGCAACCATGAGACCTTCAGTGTCGTCCTCCTCGAGGAAGTCGATAACGGCCTGCATAGCTCTGTCGTAGGCAAGCACCTCATGGACCTGAGCAGCAGGGTCGTTGTTGTGACCAGCATGGTCGATTCTGCTGCCCTCGATCATGAGGAAGAAACCCTGGTCGCTGTCCTTTGTGGCATCCTTGAGAGCACGCAGAGCGGTCTTGGCCATCTCTTCGAGCGAAGGGTACTCGTCATCGACATGTCTGCGGTCAATCTCGAAAGGAATGTCGGTAGGTGCGAAAAGTCCAAGCAGAGGCAGCTTGACCGAAGAGCCAAGGTTGAGACCATCAAAGTCCTCACGGGTGCCAATGTAGTTCCAATCGTGTTCGTCGGCCTTCTCGATGAGGTCCCTCCCGTCCGCTCTGCATCCACCAGCAGTTGTGTTGGGTAGGAAGTGGCATCTTCCTCCGCCAAGGATCAGATCGACATTTCTGCCCAGAGGACCATCTCCAATGAGTTGTTCGGCGATCTGGTCTTCCATGGCACGGGTTCTGACGTGCGAGGCAAAGCAGGCAGGGGTAGCGTCGGTAATGCGGGTGGTGACAACGAGACCGGTCGTGTAGCCAGCTCTCTTTGCAGCCTCCATAACACTTCCGCAGGGCGAGTGGTCGGGCATGACACTGATAGCGCCATTGTATGACTTGTGTCCACAACTGAATGCCGTCGCTCCAGCAGCACTGTCGGTGACTAGACTGCTGCTGCTTCGTGTGCGACTGTTTCCAATCAAGTGCTTGTCCAGCACCAAAGTGCCGTCCCAAGGCAGAGCATTGACGTACTGTCTCCAGCCTCGAGTCAAGGCCAGCGACGTAGGGCCCATACCATCAGAAACCATGAATACCAGATTCCTCTTTCCATTGGGTCGTTCACCATGTCTTTCGGATGTTGTCTTTGAGGTTTGGTGTTGGTATACGACGGCTAGAACAATGACGGCGGCGGTGGCAACGAGTCCCCAGGTGAAGAGGGCAATCTCTCTGTATCTTGCCCATCGGGAGGCAGCGGGTTGGCGGGTTGGCCTCTGGCCGGTCAAGAGGGCATCCTCTTCGGTTGCTCGCTCGTCGTTGTGCGACGACGGGCGGCGCGTCAGCATTGGTTCTTCCCCTCGAGCCATGGCGTTGTTTGAACAAGGAAGATGCTCCTGAACGAGATCGAGAGGTTGGTCGTTGCTATGGGCCTGTCCTCATGACCCAACATGACGCGCTAATTCTTGAAAGGCGGCCGTGCTTTCTGCATGTGAAGCACGCTCCCGAGTCCCTTATCAGTAGATAAGCAAATAAGGTAGCTACCCGTCCGCTCTTCCTACTTTATTCTCATACCATCAAGTCAGCTGCCAATGGGATCGTCAGATACGTACCAAGTACACACATGAACAGCTGATCATTATGAGCGACCTTAGACTGGTTTTCTTGGCGGTAAGGTTGTCTTCTTGCGCTTCGTACCTCTGTCGCAGCCACCCTCTGCCTCGGCGAACCAGGCACAATTGGCTTCACATCCTCGAATACCTTGCGGCTGTAGACAGAATCTATACTTTGGAGCTTTCTGGAATCCATTCTGCACCGAGATCATGTTGATCAAACATTTGACATGTATACCTATCTTCCGTCTCAACACCGAAATATTTCGCTCCCTGTAGCAACCTAGTCAACAACATCGCGTGAACAAGCCAAGATACAATCTCTGAGGTCCTCCAAGGCTAACAATGAGCGCCTTTGTAAGGGCAAATCCGCGGTTTGCAATGCGTTGAGGCGTCACTTACGGTTCATTGTCTCCATCTGCATGTCACCATGAGGACAATACTAAGATGCCAATCCGGCAATTCTTCTTGCATTCCTTATAAGCGATATCCACAGCCATTCATGATCTATCTCAGTATACTGCCTTTTGGTTAGAGCATATTAAACCATTTGCAACATGGCAGCAGTCAAACTTCCAGCAGTGCGCGCTGACGACGCTTTTGGCGAGCAAGTTCGGAGTCATTATACTGTCGAAGAAAACAGTAACAAGCCAGTCGACCTTGTGAAACTCGAAGAAGAACGCGAAAAGAGAAAGGGCAAATATTCTCAGATCGCTCATGAGTATGTACTATGCACCACAGAACAAGACTTTGCAGGCTGACTCCGAGATAGCTACTACGAGTTGGCAACTTTGAACCTCGAGTTCGGATGGAACAGAAAGTTCCATTTTGGCCCATATCTCGATAAGGAACAGTCGATCCGAGAAGCACTAGCTGCTCATGACCACTATCAGTTCTTGACAATGGGTGTCAAGCCTGGCATGCGAGGCTTGGATGCTGGGTGTGGTATCGGCGAGCCCGCTCGTGACTATGTCAAGTGGGCCGACGTTCATATCACCGGTGTCACCATTACTCAATTTCAGGTCGATCGTGCAACTCAGTATGCCGAGGAAGAAGGTCTTAGCGACAAAGTTGACTTTGTCCGAGCAGACTTTTGTGTAAGATTACCATCTCCTACTGCGATACTTACGAACATGACTGATCAATGTTCTAGCAAATGCCATTCCCTGACAACACTTTCGACTTCGTCTATGCTCAAGAAGCTACCGTCCACGCTCCAGAACTTCGCGATGTCTATACTGAGATCTGTCGTGTGCTTAAGCCCGGCGGTGTCTTTGGTGTAGGAGAATGGTGTATGACTGATAAGTTCGACCCCAAGAACGAACACCACATCGACATCCGTCGCAGAATCGAGCGTGGTAATGGTATTGCCAACATGAAGACAACTGCAGAAGCCCTTGAGGAGTTCAAGTTTGCTGGCTATGAAATATATCATGTCGAAGATCACGCATTGAAGGGTCTGAAAGACCGCCCTTGGTGGAGTCCTCTCGATGCCAATACCAAACTGTTCCCTACAGGAAAAGATTGGTGGACCGTATACTTCCTTAAACCTTGGGTCTGGAGACTTGCTCGTGCCTTCACGTGGACCGCAGGCAAGGTCGGCTATCAGAGCAAGGTCGATACCGACACTCTTCTAGAGGCGCTCAACACACAAGGTCAGGCCGTCTGGGGATTGAGAGATGGTGGTAAATATGAGAGTGAGTGCCAGCTAGACTTACAACTAAAATTTCACGAGCTAATACTGTAAACAGTCTTCACGCCTTGCTATCAGATGTACGGCAGAAAGCCCGAGAACTGGGTACATCCCCAGCCCGAAAAGGCCAAAGAGGCTGCTATCAGAGTGGCCGCCGCAGCAGCGGCAAAGACAACTACTAATGGCGAGGCCGCAGTCGTCTAAGATGGGAAGCAATGACAAGCGCGTGAATTCTTCCTGTAAAGTGCATGCCGGTTACTCCATGCCTGCGAATGCTGCAGTGCTCGTGTGTCCCGAAGGTGCATCAACCCCTCTAGCATTCCAATTAGGCTCCTTTATTACAAAACTATGTCTATTCAAACCGCTTCCTGTTCTGTGAACATTAGCTATGACTTTCCGCAGTACCTTGATTCATGCATCACTATGGTAGGATGTGACGTGCCATCGTCAAGTTACCGAGGGGGCAACCCTGGTGTAAATACACTTGCCGCGCAACATGCTGGATCGTGATTAGATCCAAACGATGACCGAGCTATGCTTCAGATGTTCGGGTAATGCGCTGACGCATCTGGCTATCGTCTGTGTCTAATTGACATCAGTTGTGTCTTCTATGTTGTCATCGATGCATGTGCAAGTGGGCTGTTTCAGATCAGTAAACAAACCGAACGTGACTAGAGACTTGATAAAGTAGAGTTCAACTATTCCAGAGTCTGCTCTGGAAAGATCGTTCCTTGTTCAGATTGTCTGAAGTTGACTCAACAATCATCTCGACTTCATCTTAGCCTGGTGACGAGGGCAAGGTTGATAGGAAGCGGCAACGCCCAATTTGGAATGGAGCAGGAGTCAGCCACTTACATGCCAAAAGGTTGACACCCATCTCTCCACCACGACTTCCAAACTCTATTCTGTGCTCCCAGAACATGTTCACCTCGAAAGAGCTGGATCTCGGTCGACAGTCCGAGTATTCAATGATTACTATTCGATAAGAGACAGTTGAAGACGTCTTCGAAGAGCGACAAGAGGTCTGGGCCGTACCAGAGATCTCGACCGCCGGTGCAATCGGAATCCGAGACAAGCAAGATCTCGCCACAACGTCGAAGCAACCCACGAGCAAGATAGCGAACAGATGACTTGCTAGAAACACGAGCCGTGGAAGTCTGAAGGTATTACGAAGCTCGACAGGCAAGAATACGCTTCACACCCTACTTGGAGATAAGGGCAGCACTGCCATATACAGCACACCGTTTCATCCGTTGGTGTCACTACGAACTGGCTTCATCATCGGCATTGCCGAAGCGGTTTTGCAAGAGCAACAACCACATCGAGTTAGATTTGCGCTCCAGGATCTACCGTGAGATCTATGATATGATCGATCCTTGGGAAGGGCGAAACCGTTGCTCAATACAAACGTTTCTTATACAAAGGATTCCCGCTCCGCCTTGGACCGTCACAAAGCGGATACGAATACTGGTTCAATATATACATGCATGCCTTGCTACTCCGGGGTTTCTGTGAGAGCTGGAATCGATCACTGACATCAGTTACCTACTTTTTTTTTCTCATACAGCTACCGAACACCCCCACGACGACTTGATGACAACCATCACCACAGAGACTTGTTACCAACAAGCCATGTTTGACTCACCCGTGCTCGGAAGCATGGACATTCACACCGCTATACTTCAAGAGGTAGCGAAGCGTCACGCCGACCTCATCAATGGCCTAAATGCGATGTACGCCACATTGATCGAGATGCGATACCTTCGTGAAGATGAAGTACTCTACCCTCCCTACGGTGTCTCCGGCAAACCAGCAGTGGCCGTTCAACAATTACAAGCTGCTGGTTTCGTGCCAGAGGCAATCGCTCTCATGGAACTACTACCCTACCCGTCGAACGAAGCACTGGAGTACTGGTCAGATCAAGAGGAGGGTGTGCCGATAGCGCCAGATAGTGGTGCCATGTCGTATCTCGAGGGTCACGAATGGGACAACACAATAGCGACATCAAGGCAACCACTTCGCGGTGGCGAGACAGGATTGCCAGCATGGGCCTTCAAAATCACGTTCTGCGGGAGGGGTTGGGGCACGGAATACATATACGACACAAGAGATCGTAAGTCGGCAACGCAAATGACAGCGATGTCCACCAGCTGACAACATTGGCTTCAGAGAGAATGAGACGCTGGGCCTCAAAGAGCGAACACACAGAGTACGAGCATCAACCCAATCGAGCTACGGAAGAGTCATGGAATCTTCTACGCAATGAGGTACTCAGTCTGGACTGGATTCCATGGCGCGATGAAGGCGAATGCTACCAGACACTCAATTTACACGCGCGACCAAGCCTTCTCTCTGGCGTAGGTGCTGGTAACCGCTACGAAGAAAACGCCGGAGAGACGGAGATGCTAAGAGACGAACGCGCCAAGTTAAAACAGCACATCGAGGCAGCACGAATGAGGATACCTGCCTTGAATGCGGCGCTAAGATCAGGCCGAGAGCGATCGGGTACCACGAGCGCCATGAGCGTCGAAGAACTAAAGCAACTGGCTGCCGAGCACAGGATCGCGATAGAGAATTCCCCGACCCGAGAAGCACAACCAGAAGGCTGGGGTATCGGGATGGTCCTGGACGGAGTCGAGCAAAATGCGCCAGACAACAAGGCATTACGGCAGAAGATCTTGTCCATGCGGCACGCCAGTGCCCAGCAGCTGCGCGATACAGCCATCGAATATGGTTGCCCCATTCCGGAGGTACCTCCACCGCCCCCAGCTCCACTAGCACCACTGGACTCCAAACTCGAGGTTGCAAAAGCAGTCCAGAACATGTTTGCCTGCAAGCGCCAACTGTTCCAGGACTGTGGTTGGGGTGAAGAGTTCAGGGGTGATGAGTTTGAGAGGAGGCGAGAAGAGCTATTGACCGAGTATCATTCCTTCTTCTCATTGTTGGGTCCCAGAGGCCAGAACATCCATGACCTGGAAGAGGGAGCGTGGTTGAGAGACTGGTTCAGGCAGAAGGCTGGCGAGAAGGCTGTTTAGATTAATTGAGACATGATGACCACGAGAGAAATGAACAAGATGTAATGCACCACTCCTTCTGATTTGCGAAAGTCATTGTCTTGCTTCGTGATAGTCGTTCTCATGCTGAATAGGAAGGTACCGATGTTGCAACCATCAAGGTCTTTCGTAAGGCTCGTCCTCATGTTCGTAGTGCTGCATCTCCGTGACAAAAGCGCCAGGCTTTTCATCTGTGCCATTCAATACTGTGCTCTTCAAAATCCTCCCACCATCTCAGCTGTTTCCTGTACGTCTTCTCTCGAGTCCTTCTTCGTGTCGGTGTGTGCCCGTCGTCGCGGCAGGTATCGGCACCTTCGGAGCGTCACGTCGTTGACCACTCGGTCTTTCGGTAAGGCTGGGAGCTCGTGGCCTTCTCTTTCCTTGAGCTTTGCCGCCAATGAATGGGATGTGGTATGCGCAGGAGCGGTAGACGTAGAAGAGCAGGTCGTAGACAAGGAGGAGAGCCCATGGTCCTATCGTGACAACGCCGAGTAACATCTGTGTCGACGTCAGTTAGTCTAATTCATAGCTCGGGAGACTGGTAAATATTACAAAGATGCTAGAGATCCATCCTTCAATGTCGCTCAAATGCGTGGGCAGGAGTGAGTACCAGCCCATACTGTGTCGTAGTTGTGAAAGATGAAGCTCGTTCTCGGTCGCTGATTCGGTTGGGCGATGGATCAGTTGAGCTATGAATGGCTTGATGATAATTCAGAAGAGCAGTAGTTGAGGCTGACAGACAAGAGGACTTGAGTACTCTATGCATCCCAATTCAACGCAACTGTCGTCGGTAGCGAGGGTGCCGCCAAGCTTCGTCATCCTTGAGCACCGTGGGATCGTGGGATGCAATCGAGGGGTAGGTCAACATTTCTCCAAGACGTGTCTTGAGCTCTTTTGGACCATCGAGGCAACAAGAGTGTTTCTTACAATAGATCCTCACGTATTACAGCAGATGTCTTCTCCGCTCAGATCTTCGGTGGCTTGATGAGATCGTACGCTACGGTGTCGAGCCGCAACCCTGTCAAGACCGCCACCACAACTGCTGCCTCTAAACAACACCGCAAACCATGAGCTTTTGAATCATCATCAATTCAACAACAATAGACTCAGGAATAGACTGACCGATATGCAGCCGTAGATCTTGCACGAATGCGTAGATTTTGGATAGGGAGGGCAAGCTCATTGGGTACCTTGAGCCGTACCTCTGATCACATGCCACACCCTGACGGCTGCCTAGCTGCACACCAATAGGTAAGAAGGATTGAGCGTTTTCAACAATCCACAGCTCTCTCTATTTCCTTTAAAGACTTTCGCTCCTTCCTCCAAACACTTCCACCATGAAGCCCTTCGTGCTCCAATCTATTCACAAAATGCCGCCTAAACCACCTGCCAGGGAGCGCATGCGTCAATTGAACAACCTCGACGCTTTCCGAGAGCTGGACTCTAGGCTGCAGTGGTACCGGGAATACGACAACATGAAGGAGGAAGAATCATACTCACCGTCTGTTCCTTCTCATCAACCCGGACAAGCAAGCGTCGATAACGACTACTTCGGCTGGACTGCAGACGACGACAGGTTCGCCCAATCAACACTTCGACGTCGTACATTCTCACGCAAGCACGAAGAGGAAGAAGACGACTTCGAAAGAGACCGCGCCGAGGACTTACGGTATAACGCTATTGCGGAAAAGATACGGGCCACCCACTCCCGCAGAGCTCAACGCCCACCAGAGCACCACGCGAACCCGAGAGACAGTACCATTCCAGGCGCTGGGCAAGAACATGTTCTGATTGATCGCTTCCAAGACTCACCACCTGAGATTGTTGGAGGAGACCATCCGCTCACCCAGGATTCTCGCCAACGTCTCGTCGAATCGTTAGATCGTTATGGAGGTGAACGAGGCCGTGGTATCCCAGATGCGGAGGACAGCTATATTGCAGACCCTCCGCTGTCTGTCATGCGAAAATCGAGAGAGATGCAAACAGTAGACGACACTTCCTTCCTGTCCATGCACGCCGAAGGAGGGGAAGGCACTCTGACAGTCATGGACCCGTACACGCATAAGACTACAGTGCTGAAGAACCTGAACTTGGTAACAATAGCACTGGTCTCACCGGTACTGGCTTTCAGCTTTGAGGAGTCTAGAAGCGGACCGAAATGTTCGATCGAAGACACATCCCTAGCGGCCGTGATATGCATGCTCCGACACATCTACACATGCGAACACTACGTACCCAATGACTGTCTCCACGACCAGATGTCCGTCTTACTACACATAGAGATCTTCCACCTAGCCTCCGTCTACGACATCAGCAGTCTGAAAACAATGGTCAAAGCACGTATATTCCTCGAATTGGAGCTTTCAACCAGCTACCCAGGCCCACCCAACGATCTCTGCAAAGCACTAGCTTACGCATACAAGCACCTGCCAAACGAAAACGACATCACAAAGACACTGGCACACTACTGCATCACTTGCTTCCTGCAACACAGACTCAACGAAGATGAACTGTTTACGACTTTTCATTACAATTGCCGTCCCTTCCAGCGCGACCTGTGTGTCATTCTACGCGAAAACAGCTTCGAGGACGAGAGCGCGCCCACGTTGATACAACTCCCCGTAAAGACTTCATTCGTCCCCACACGCTGGCCCGTCGTCTTTGACGCGGATCCTCAGGGGACTAGCGCTTTGGAAGACGAGTTTGACAATGAAGTCAAGCGCCGCACCGACATTTCAAGGCTGGACAAACTGAAAATCCATTTCCGCGTGACGCTACCAACAAGATAGAAAAAACATGAAATTTTTGGGTGGTGGGATGCGTGGCAGAGGGAGAGAAAGAAAAAAGGAGAGACGTGAAGGATATACATATCGCTCGTTTAAGCTTGCTGTCTTCTGCGCTTGCCGATTTGGGCCGAGAAACCGGTCTTGATGGCGGAGACTGAACGTCTGGAACCGCAGGAGTTGCAGGTGACGAAGTAGAGACGGTTCTCACCCTTGTTGAGCTCGGTATCCGGCGAGCGGCAGGTCTTGCAAGTAACGTACTCGACTGTTTGGGTAGTGTGTTAGCTTTTGAATCTTTTTGTAGAGAAACAGAAATGCAAAAACTTGGAGTTTTTGACAAGGGAGAGTTTGACGCACCAATGTATCTTCTCAGGACGTTCTCCAACTGCTTCTGCTGGAAACGACCCTTGATAACAAGCTGACCCTGACCAGCAACGGAACCAGAAGTACCCAATTCGGAGAATAGGAACTGAGTGACGTGTTCGTCGGTTCTCTTCATACGGCGACAGATTTCGGAAATGTTTGCGAAAATGGTCTTCTTGTTTCCTTCGCGCAAGCACTGGGGAGGGGGGATCTTGTACGACTTGCCACCGCTAGAGGCAAGATCGGGGTTGTGGTGGTTGAGCTGAGAGAAGAAGCGGGTGAGGAGCAGGGGGTACTCGATGGGTGTGGTGTTGCTGTGCTGCCAGATGCCGGTTCCCTTCTCCAAGTCGCCCTCCTGGCTGGTAGATTGTTGCACGACGGGCTCCTCGTTCTCGTTGGCGTCCTCGTTGGCGTTTGCTTCGGCCAGCTTGGCCTCAAAGTCGTCGGCCTCGACCTTCTTGGCCTTCTTCTTCTTCTTCTTGAGGGCGGAGGGGTCGAATTCGGCGTCGGCGGCGGGTGCCTCTGCGTCGTCGGCGGACTTTTCCTTCTTGGATGACTTCTTCTTCTTCTTGGCCAGGCCCTCGAACATGGCGGTCATCTCATCGACTCCTCCTTCTGCTGGCGCGGTGGCTGGTGAGCTGGTGTCCTCTTCTTGTGCTTCTTGGGCTGCGGGGAGCTTCTTGATCGTACCGGAAGAGTGAGCTTCGGCGCTCGACTTGTCGCCATGTTGCTCAGTAGCCTCGGTGACTTCGCCGTTGCTGTCGACGATGGTGGTGCCCTCGCTGAAGGCGACCGACTTGCGCGGCTTGCGCTCTTCCTATATTTCACTCCGTCAGCCGATTTTCCCTTTTCCGACATGCGCTCCGACGCTACTGACAATATCAGCCATGATTGCGGTGTCTATCTGATCCAAAGAATGCGTTTAGTGAGGTGTAGAAGGCGATATCTGGGTAGACAAAGGATGCGGTTGTTCGTGACTCAAAAGTTGCTGCAAGGCCACAACGAATGACGCTCGAAATTGGCTTGGCGTTTAGCGTCCCTCCTTTCTCACGTGCATTGCCCTCTGTACTGCACATTCACAATCAACACCTCAGCCAAATTCATGACATGCATCAATTTTGCGTTTTGAATCCAAGGAAAGATCGTTGACGCAGCCATTGCCATTTAACCATGAACTCGGTCTTCTTGAGAACACTCGGAATATCCAGGCCCTTACTCTGGCCACCATCACTCTCTCGCTGCTTTTCTCTCTCCCACCCCCATCATGTCTCAAAAGCACAATACGACCTCCTCCGCCTGGATCCAAAGGCCCTTAGAGATTACATAGATCGTTCTCGACATGCACACGACCTTCGGTACCACAGTGATCCAGTGTTCCGGGCAAAGAAGCTCAATACTGCCAAAGCTTGGCGTGACAAGTACAAGCAAGGCCAGCGTTATCGTTTCAGTCAGCTTTTGAGGCATTGGATACGCAGATTGCCATGGTTTCGCGATGAATTGCCGTGGAAGACCTATCGGCCTGTTTGCTACGATCGATCGACCGAGCACTATTGCACTGGTTGTGCGTGGACGAGACGGGGAGGCAACAGAGTGTGGTGGAAATCCACGGACAACGATAGCTATCTCTGCCATGCTTGTCGGATACCTGTCAATCCGGACTGGAATGATATAATGCCTGAAGGTTATGCCGATATCAAATGCTTGAAGGATCTCAAAGCGCGAAAGGAGCAGCTGGAAGCCGAAGCTCATTCAACAAAGGATAGTTGATATTCTTGGCTATGAACCAGACATAGTCTAAAGGAAAGACGAACATATATATTAGGTGGAGAAGATGAAAAGATCCAAACGCCTGAGAAGCAAAGCAAGAGATGTACAAAAGAAAAGTGAAGGAACAAGGGAGATTTCCGCAAGACTATGCCGCCTCTTCCTGGAATCATCTGACAAGTCCAACGAGTTTTTCCAGTTCCTGGATGTATACCTCTGGCACGGGCTCGTTTCTAAGTAGATCCGCAAGCCTTTCAGCCCTTTCCTGGACCATCTCATTGTGCAACACTTCCTGGCCAAGCTTACCGAGCACATTGAGTGCAAACATGCTCTGCGAGGTCGGGTCGATCATCTTATGGAGCAAGCTCCTATCCTTGAGACTGAGTCCGGAGTACTGCGGTGTAGTCACAGCAGCACTGTCATGAACATCTGCAGCATGGACAATCAATTGCTCCAGAGTGTAAAGCAGAATACCACCGATCCTGCCCTGGAGAGAAATTCCCATCTTACCATAGTGACGGGGATCTAGGACAAAGGACTGTAGGTAGCCAATCTCGTTATGGAGAGCTTCTGCGGTCGCATCGAGATTGCTCTCGTTGGGCGAGCGGATCACTCTCCAGTATCCGAAGTCGAAAAAGATACGTTCGATGCGGCTGTGGATTTTCGTGAGATGGAGCAAGTCTCGCTCGGCTTCAGGTACGGCTGCTCCCAGAGCGATGAGCAGGAAAGGGGCCGATTTGACCTGTCTGATCATTTCGTTTCTGTATCGTGCAAAGAGTGCTCTGCAACAAGTCAGATCACGGCAATGTTAGATGTCAGTGCAAAGATAGGTCAAACTCACTGCGACTCGCGTTGCAACATCTCAAAATTGTCTTGGCCATGCTGCTTGGACAGAATACCACAAGGCTCAAAAGCCGACAAAATGTTTGCGGCGGTTTGTTCGACCAACATCAAATCTCGTCGATCTGAGGGGTCTTGCATCCACCAACCTCCGAGCTTTGCAACCCTAGGAAGCTCCGTTTCATCCAGATAGTCGTAAAACATGAAAGGTTCTCCTTCCTTCTCTTGATTTGCTCTTCCATTCTCACGAGCAGCCTGCCCATCACGAGAAATTTCGTATTGAGCGCGAGATTTATCGTGAGGAGCAACTTTGGTGTTCAAGATCTGATCATTGACCCACCAAATGTGTCGACAGGCACGACCATCGGAGTTTGAGCAACTCGAGCAGGTGGGAGTTTCCTCGTCAGAAACCTTGACGCGGATTTTTTCTTGCAGTTCGAAGTAATAGTCATCGTCGTGCTTGTAACAGCGGGTCATTGACATTCTGCCATCGCAGAGGCCTTCTTGAGCATGCTTTTGAGAGGTCGGACTCAGTGTTCCCACGTTGTATGCTATCTTGGTCTGGACGGCAGTCAAGATGCGGCTACAATTGTGTTAGCGTATCGGTCTGTTGAGGGCTGCGTAGAGGGTGGTGCTCACGGTGGGCTTGACTGAGGATTGGCCTGGGATTGAGGAGTCATGGGTGTAGTCATGTTGAATCGGTTCCAGTTTGGTTGACAGAACAATCGAGTTTGTGGACCGGATCGAGCTGCAATGTGGAGTGCTTGAAGGAGGTGGGAGTGTGACTTCCTAAGCAGATTGAGAACAGCGGCGATGAACGAATTGATCTGTTGTCCTTGATCAAAGTCTTCCTGATGTACAAGAAGGATGCAAGAGAAGACATTCGCTCCTATATATCTTCACGCAGTACAACAGACATGAGTCCTGAAGCCTAGAAGAAGATGTTGCATCGGGGACTTCTCACCAACCACGTTAGAGCAACTTACTGTTGGCAATTAGCAATGAGCTATCCCAAAGTTCTTTCCCCAAGAGCATGGTAGAGTTCACAGCATAAAGCAAGATAGGAGTAACCATATGTCATTTCCAAGCCAAGAGGGGCAGAATGCTGTATTGGTTGTTGGGCGGGGTGAACTAGCTTGAGAGAGTGTTGGAGTCCCAAAGTGCTGGACTAGGCAGAGATACCATGACACGGAAAGCTATTCTGCCGAGGTGTTCACGCAAGGTGGAAGGCCCTAGGATCTTAATCGATATTCTCGCGTGGCACAGCCGTGCAGCCGGGCCACGCCCTGAGTGACAAGATGGGTGTATATGCAAAGCCGTTGGCACGGCTGGACGCCATACAGCATGGCAGCATGCAAGAAAGGTCACCTGAGAGCTGCATAGGGAAGGCATTTCGATCATTGCCTGTGCCAATGTGCACAAACAGGGGGCCCAGCCAAACCCTGGCATGTCAGACAAATCGAGCAGTACAGCATACTGCAATTTGTTGTTGCAAGAATGACGAAAGCGGGTAGATCGACAACGCAGGGGAGTAGACCCGTGAGAAAGACATCAATATCGCACTGGTCGTGCAGACATTAGCCAAAGGCAGCAACTGTAGACGCGAAGTCTGGTCTTTACGTGCTTGAGAGTTTTCGCGGCAAGTGGTGCATCACAACCACAACCACAACCACAACCACAACCAACAGCAAGACCAGTACAGTGCCACCAACATTGGTCGTTGCTTGTCAAAAGCTTGTATGAGCATTATGTGATACATTCCTATGAGAGTCTCATATAAGCGCTCAGGAGTTAGGCGCCGGTGTACACACCTCACGAAAATCTGCGGAGACTTCGGCTACCGTGGCCGGATACGAACCCTGCCAGATCTATTGGGCGGTTAAATTGACTTGAATAGGTGTTGAATGGTATGCGAGTGGTAGTTAAGGTTAATGGTTGCATGTGGTTCAAAGAATTGTGAGTGTCCCAACAGTTGGTCGACAACGCCGCGTGAGCATGATCGATCAAGCAAGCGACCTGTTGACACATCAGAAACGGAGTTGGATGGATGTGGAGCGAACGAGAAACGAGCAAAAAAGGAGAATGGCGGAAAAATGTTGAGAAGCCATGATTTGGGCCGTAAATTTCATGAGAAGAACCTAAGAAAGACGTAACGTGACAGCCGCGCATGTGATGGCGGCCTTTCAACTCCTGAGCGCCGTCCGCAATGCCAATGCCCTCCTTCGTGTTGTACAGGGAATACGTACGTGCGCTTACCGACCGTGGTCTGATTCGCACCTGGTCCGGCCTTGTTTAATCCTGTCTGCCCTTGAGCAGTCTCTTGGTGACCTTGTCCTTCTCAATGATGTAGACGTGTGCTCCCCAACCTGATAGAGCATCACGGTCGACGGCGTTAAGCAGAGCTTGTGAGATGGTTTCGAAGAGGTCCTCAGGGCCCTGTTGTGTATGTCAGTATATGACCCTTCTTCAAGGTATGCAGATGGCGGTTCGTACAAGATCAGGCTCCCACAATCCTTCGCAAGTACCGAAGAGCTGATCGCTAGCAGTTCCGCTGACAATGAAGTCCTTCGCAAAGTCGATACAGCCGATGCTGTCGAAGCCACAGATGAAGGGCTTTCCGGTGGTGTGGTTGATGCCAGCAATGACGGGGCTGATGAAGTATGGGCCGAAACGCTTCTCGTAGAGGGAGGATGAGACGAGGTTGGCCATGGTCTGAGGCGAGATCTGGCGCTCCTCGCGCAGGCGGTACATGTTGACCTTGTAACGAAACAGCTCGCTGACAGTCTGGACATCGGTGGCAAGACCAGTCAAGCCCAGATATACGTCGCCATAGTTGAAGATCTTGGGGAAGTTGTTGGAAACGGTCAAGGCCTGGAGACCGAGGCGGAGATCGCAGGCGATGGCGACACAGTCCTTGCCGACCATGGCAACACAGGCACCGCCGTCTGTACGAGGTATTAGTCGAAGATCAGTGAAGGATGGCGAGGGTACGACGGACTTATTGAGAAGGGGTTCGACTAGATGGTTGTGATTAGCTGCGATCATTCAAGGTGGCCGCGGTATGCATCTACTCACCATGCTTGTGACGAATGTATTAGACGAGGATTAGTGGAGGAGGTAGTGAAATCGGGATGAGAGGTCGATGTGGAAGGCGCGACCTGGCAGAGTTGACAAGACAGAAACACAAGGTTGAATGATTGCTCGAGATGGATGCCGTGAAGCTGTTCTAGCTGGGCAGGTACTCAAGCACGCCGGCGGACACTGACCATGACGCCGCCGACTGGGAGCTTGCGGCCGGAGAACGGCAAATCCCGCTTAGATTCTCCAATTCCATCTCGAGATCTTGAATCGCTCTTTCCGCGCCGACGAGGTCAGACCAGACATTGCAGACGATATGGCGACAATCAACCCAGAGCATGTGCGACTTGCACAATCACTTCCTCCACGACTCCTCAACTTCTTCAAGCGCTACCCGCCGCCGGCTCTCTCACAATCTACTACCGGTGCAACCATCGCCGCCAACACTTCCTCGGCCGACGCAAATGCAAACACCCCTACTTCAATCCCAGAGAACGCCGTTTTGGAATCGCCGCTGCAATCCGAAAACCCTTTCATGCCTTTCAAGAACCCCATCACTCAAAGGTGGCAGCCCGCCTCTTTTTCTCTCCGCAAGCAATCCGAGATCATCAAGCTCGCCATTAAGCACAACGTCGTCTCTCTGCTGCCATACACACACAAGCTGCCTGAGGAGGTCGCTCGCCGTCGTGCCGAGCACGGTCTTCGCGTCAAGGGAACTGGTGTTGGTCAGAAGGTCAAGGGAAAGATGTGGGAGCGTACGCTCAAGGGCAGATTGGAACAGCGCGAGAAGGCTATGGTTGCTATGCCCGAGATGATCCGTCACTGGAAGGAGAGAGGTCACGGAAGAGGTTGGAAGAAGTGGCCCAAGAACTAAACTGTTCTTCGATCCTTACTTTCCTTGCCATCAATCTGCACAAATCGGCGTTAATCATTGGGGGGACTTTGTATCGGCATACCACGATTGTACATTACTTTCAAAACAGATGGGCCTTTGGCTCTTTTTCACGCTTCCTCAGGAACAGTCCTCCATCCGCCAACCTTCAACGTAGCCGCGTGACAGTCTGTTTTAGGAGTATGATGGGTGTATCAGGTTATTGAAGAGCTCAGGATCCAAAAATGCAGGGCTGGAACGTGCATTCCTACAGCATGCGCGTGACAAATTTCAGCAGATGGAGTGGATGTCTTCTATATTAAGACATTGTAGATACGATGCGATAGAGAGACGAGGGGAGTAGTCATGAAGATTTCATTAGGGTTTGACTAGCGTAAATTCATGTGTCCTTGAAGAGCCACTGCTAGCACTCTACTTCTTCTCCTGCTGCAATCTCTCGTGCTCGTTCTTGACAATGGTCGGCACCTCGTCCTCAATGCTTCTCTCCTGAGGCTTCCAGCCGAGCACCTCCTTGAATCTTCTGGCCTTACCTCTGGAGTTCCAGCCCCAACTGACGGCCTCGAAGCCAGCAGTCTTCTTGGCTGTCTCCATGTCCATCTGCTCCATCTTGACCTCCTTGAGGAAACCTTGCTGCTTAGCACTCTCAGCAACAACCTTGCTCAATTCTCCCCAGACGTGCTCGCCGTTCTCGGTGAAGTAGTAGCCATTGCTGCCCCAGAGCTTGGGGTCGGTGTTGTTCTTTGCTGCTTCCTCGACGAGCAGTACAAAGGCGCGAGAAAGGTCGTGGACGTGTACGTTGTTCCACATTGCCTTGCCGCCGCCAATGAGGGGGCCAGCTTGGATCTCCAGGACACTCTTGGCGAGTTCATAAACCTGGCGGCCACGGGTAAGGGAAGGACCACGGCCATCACCGTAGATGGTGGGAGGGCAGACGATGGCAGTCTTGACAGCACTACCAGCGTTTGTGCCAGCATTGATGACGATCTCGTCAACGTTCTTGTGGAAGGCTTCCTTAGGGAGGTTGATGAGTTCGTCCACGCCATCCAGGTCATCGAAGACTTTGTCGGTATGTTCGCCAAACTTGTCGGCCGATGAATCGAAGTAGGTCAAGATACCGGTGCCACCGGTGTGAAGCCAGTATCCGGGCTTGGAAGCACTGTGACCGGAAGCAAGACCTTCAGCAATAGCCTTTGCGGCTCCCTCGTGGTCAGAAGCATCCGCGGTGTCTGTCAAGTCAGTAAACGATGTATTGGTACAAGCATTGGTTCAGCTTACGAATAACGATGTTAGCCTTGGAAGCCTCCTCCTTCAGCAGATCGCTGCTGTCATTGTCTCCTTGTACAGTCTTGACCTTGGGGAACTTGTCGGTCACTGACTTGCCCTTCTCAGGTGTGCGAACCAAGGCAGTGTATGAGTACTCGGGATGCTTGTTGTAAAGCTCATATAGCGTGTCGCCGCCAATGTAACCAGTGGCTCCTGTAATGAAGATGTTGACCATTTTTGCTATGTTTTATGAAATCGATTCGAAATTTATAGTTGTTCGAGAAGGCAGAGGAGGCTCGAATCGAGTAAATATATTCGTTATTGGATGCTAGGTTAGTGACGTCGTTAAGTGGGGCTGAGGCTCCAAATGGTACCTCCGGCATAAAGAGCAGCGATAGGACACATTCTAACGCCTCACAGATTCTGAACGAGGAACTCGGCCGCTCATAATCCACATTATGTGCTTGATAAGCCTGTTAGGACATGCCACAGTATGATGACATACCTTTGGATCCGTTCAAAAGGACAGCTCACGATCCGCGGCACTGGAAGAGTGAAGTTTAAATGCATTTTCGATATATTCTCTGGTAAACACCTGAGAGCAAAGAGACAGACAGACTTTGATGACCCCATTTCCATGTATACTCCGGTTGTTTCCCAACTCCCCATAACCTTCATCCGAGCTCCCATGCAATAAAAACGAGAAAGAGTTCTGTGCTAAATCTTGGTAAAGAGAGATGCCGCATCTACTCGACAGTGACACTCTTGGCCAAGTTTCTGGGGAAGTCGACGTTCAAGCCCTCAGCGACGGCCAACCAGTAGGCCATGAGTTGAAGAGGAATGACGTTGAGCAGACCCTGCAGAACATCAATGGTCTGGGGAACCTCAATCTTGTCGGTCTTGTCACCAGGGAACTCGCTGTCGCCCTTGCTGCAAATGACAATGGGGCGGCCCTTGCGAGCAATGACCTGCTGGTAAGCGTTCAATGACTTGGCGAAGAGGCTGTCGCGGGTGAGGATCATGACAATGGGAAGAGACTCGTCGACCAAAGCAAGCACACCGTGCTTGAGTTCACCAGACATGACAGCCTCGCAGTGAAGGTAGGAAATTTCCTTGATCTTCAGAGCACCCTCAAGAGCAGTGGCGTGCTGAGCACCACGACCAAGGAGAAGCAGGGACTTCTGGTTCTTGAACTTGAGGCACAGGTTCTTGATGTCCTGATCCTGCTGGAGAATCTCCTTGAATTGCTCAGATATCTTGCCAAGACCGTCCATGATTGCCTCTCTTCTGGCTTGCTTGGAAGCACGGTCCTCACTAAGAGACAGAGCGAACATAACCATACAGACGAATTGAGAGGTGTAGGCCTTGGTCGAGGCGACACCAATTTCGGGACCAGCGTTGATGTGGACACCACAGTGGGTCATCATCGAGATGGACGAACCGACAACGTTGACAATACCGACGGTCAGAGCACCACGCTCGAGACAGTGACGGAGAGCCAAGAGGGAGTCGGCAGTCTCACCAGACTGAGAAACGAAAACGCAAGTGTCGTCACGGAAGACAGGGGCCTGTCTGTCAAGGAAGTCAGATGCCAACTCGACCGAGATGGGAATCTCAGTCAGCTCCTCGAAAACACCGCGAACAGCCATACACGAGTGGAACGAAGTACCGCAAGCGATGAAGATGATTCTGCGGCAACGACGAATGGTGGTGATGTACTGCTTGAGACCACCAAGAGTGATGGTCTTGTTCTCGGTGTTAAGACGACCGCGCATAGCGTTGACAATCGACTCGGGCTGCTCGAAAATCTCCTTCTGCATGAAGTGGTCGTAGCGGCCCTTCATGATCTCCTGGAGCTCAATCTCAATGGTCTGAATGGCACGGACGTTGGAGGCGCCAGAGTCCTTGGACAGACGATGGATGTTCAGCTGACCGTCGTGAATGTGGGCAATGTCGTCGTCCTCGAGGTAAAGGACCTTCTTGGTGTGCTCGACAATAGCGGATGGGTCGGAGGACAGGAAGAACTCAATGGGCTGAGGAGCACCGTCTTCGGAGAAGAAAGCGCGCGACTGAGAGCGGTGGAGCAGGCTCTTGTCAGGAGGAGCAAGGAGGTTGTTGGACTTCTTCAATGCGACGTTCTGGGAAGCAGCCTCAGCGGGGAGAGGGCCATCCTCGCCGAACTCAACATCGACAAAGTCGACCTTCATCTTTCTCTGTGTGCGGACACCAATGACCAAGGGAGAACCCTTGCGGGCAGCGACAACTTCGGTGGGGAAGTGGATTGACTTGAGCAGCAGACCGAAGGCGCCCTGGAGCTCCTTGATGACGGCCTTGACGAGGGTGGTGAAATCGATGTTCGGGTGCTCGTCGAAGATGTACTTGGCCAGCTTTGCGATGGCCTCGGTGTCGGTCTCGGTCTCGAATCTGAAGCCCTTGGTCTCGAGCAGAGCTCTCAACTCCTTGTAGTTGGTGATGATACCATTGTGGACGACGGCGAACTCCCACTTGGGGTCGGATCTGTAGGGAACCACGTATTAGACTTGTGTATGTTTCTGCTGCAGCTCTTTCTTGCGTACCTGTGGGGGTGGCAGTTGACACGCGAAGGGGGACCGTGGGTGGCCCAACGAGTGTGGGCAATACCGGCGTGTGCGTCAAAGACCTTTGTAAGATCGGGCTTCTCCTCCTCGATGAGCTGCTTCAGCTTGGCGACCTTGCCAACCTCCTTGAAAGCGAACACTTCGTTTCTCTTGTCTCCGTCGATTGCCAGACCAGCTGAATCATATCCACGGTACTCGAGACGCGCAAGACCTGCTATGCGTCAGCCGAATGCGCTTGCTGTGACTCTTGTCCGAAGTCAGGGGTCGCGTGAGACGTACCATTCACGAGAGTGTCAAGAATTGTCTTTCTGTCCTTCTCCACCAGGTAGTTGACGTAGCCGAAAATGCCACTGTTAATCGTCGTTAGCACCTCCTTCTGTCACTCGTTCGGCCTTGTTGTTGCTGATCTCGGTCTGTTTACTCACCACATCTTGTCGTGTAAATAGTGTACGGGGTATCCTCAACACTTGAGTATGAAATGAAAGCAGATGGGTCGCAAGCTTCGTGATGTCTATCAGCCTGGCAGATGCAGGAGCTATTAAGAAGCGAAAAGAAGATATATGGAGTGAATCAATGGAGGAGCAGAGAGGGAAAATGAGAGTTGGCGGAAGGGGCAAGCAACGAGCTCTTTATAAGCACGGCCCCAAAATACAGTCCCCAGAGAGAGCTGTTTCTCAGGCAATCTGATCCAGGTCCCTTGTTTCAGACCAGCCCTCCAATTCTGTTTCTTCCCTGTGCCTGCACGCCTGACTAGCTGCCATCCGACCACCATACTTAGCAGCTCATACCGTTCAACTCCATCACAGCCCTCTCAATTGGCTTGTGTCTCTCGTGTTCCTGCATATAAATACCGTCGCCATCCCGACATGGTGCCACTCGGTGATCCCGACTGTAAAGTACCTGGGGTGCCAAGCGGGTGTGTACTCAAAAATAGCCTACGCTTCACCTCCATCTGCTATTGACGTCTGCGCCCTTCGCCCTATTATTGATCAGAAGGCCTTTAAGTGCCGATTGAATTCGAGCCAGCTTGCTAGCATCTCGTTTCTCGGTTGTTGTTGTGCCCTGTAAACACCTTTCGACCTCAAAGCATTGGCCAATTCGTCGGTCTGAGCCTCTTTGGGCTTGTTGCGCTGGGGCTCAAGCTTGACCCTTCGAGAAAAACAAAAACGCCTGTCACCCAGCAGAAGTTAGGTTGGGCCCGCGCTGTGGAAGCTCAAAGCTGTCCTTCTTCCCATCAACAACAAAGTGCTATCATATTCTTGTTTCCTAGAGTCTATCATTCATCCGTCTACACGAACAAGCAGACAACCACACCGCTTCCTAAAAGCAATGCCTCCCACCGTCATCCTGATCAGACATGGCCAAGCACTGCACAACGTCAATCATAAGTGCTCTCCTTCACCGCTGAGGCGTCTCTGAATGCATCTTGCCTGACGTCCTGCACAAGAATATGACATCCCCGACCCGGAGCTTTCTGACTTGGGTCGGCAGCAATGCCGCGCGCTCGAGCAGCACCTTCGCCAGCATCTGCCGCTCGCCGACAAGGTCGAGCGCATAATCACTAGCCCCATGCATCGTACCTTGGAGACCACCGTCCTTGGACTTGATTGGCTCATCAAAAGAGGTGTCCCGGTAGAAGCTGACGCTCTATGGCAAGGTAAATGATCGTTCTCCTATTTCTGCTTTGTTCCATTTGTTTGCATCAGCTCAAATCCCATTGCGAGATTTGACAGGCTGTATAGCCGTTTCTAGCCTATACACGCATGGAAAGCCGATGCAGGCGCAGCACCGTTGACCGTTGAATTATCTTTGGGCATTGATGCAAATGTTCTGCTCGGCACTTCTCTACTTCAGCATGTCGATCGCTTTTGTTTATACATGGGCATACCAATACGCCTCATTGTCGCTCTCGACCAGGCTTTACTGCAAAGCGTTGGATACTCTCAAGGACTTCAAGATCTTTGAACGGCTTTCCTCAACACCCATGAGTCAGCTGTACTGGACTTGTCAGCATCTCACCAACCCATGACTTGCAAACGCGCTCCCTCCGATAATCGGTCCGCACTGGAGAGTGGTGGTGTTTGCTCTCTCCTGAGCGCTGCAGGCACTGCTTGGAACCATTCCGACGCTCGATGCAGTTCCAACTCGTGGTCTTGGTTGTTAAGAAGCCGACAGCCTCTCGATGGACAAGATTCCTCACTGACAACACACTGTGGATCTCAATGGCTGCTTCATGAGCGGAATCACGTTCCTGAGAGAATCACCATGACCCCAGCCTCACGATACCTCCATAACCACCGCAGTCTCTGAATGCTCAAAGACTAACCCCTCTCCTCCTCCCAGAAAACTCAGACAAACCCTGCGACACAGGCAGCCCCCTCGCAAACATGAAACAAACATTCCCAAACAACATTGACTACAGCACCGTCGATCCCCTCTGGCCCTCAAAAATCGGTCCTTACGCCTTCACCCGCTCCGCAACCATCGCTCGCGGTCAATCCTGCCTCCGCAACCTGCACTCCCGCAAAGAAAAAGTCATTGCTGTGGTCTCGCATTCGGGATTCTTGAGATGTGCGATTAGTCTTTGTAAGTATGCTAATGCTGACTATCGCATTTTTGACTTTGCGGAGACGAGCAAGGAGGGTGGAGAATTGGAGCTGGTGGAGTGGAAGGAGACGGAGGAGAATGGAGGTGGATTGGGAGAGAGTGAGAAGGGGAGGGCGAAGGTGGAGGAGAGTGATTTCCCGGCTGAAGAGCAGGTCGAAGAGGTCAAGGAGCAGCTGGGTGGAAAGACTAATGACGAGGCTGCTAAGGAGATCCCTGAGAAGAAGTAGAAGGTTGATGATCGTATAGTAAACCATTAGAGAGTTACGATTTCGCGGTTTGCTCACTATGAAACTCCTGATAATAAATAAGGATATGTTGCGCTACATTGTGTGTTCTGCCGTACTCCTTGATTGCGCCTGCATATGCTGTCGTAATTGTATCCTGTCACCCCCTGAAGAATACTATGTGCTGAACCGAACCGGACCGGACGTCTTCCTTCGTGGAACACACATCGCCTACAACTCCATATCGTCATCATCGTGTGCAGCAGATTGGTAGCCACCATAGCTGCGCTGCTGCTCAACCTGAGCATTCATGGCCTGCAGCTGTTCGAAGTTGCGTGCCTGTGCCCAAGAACCGTATGCATCTTCCATCTCCTTGACAGAGCGATCCTGCTGCGAAGCTTGAGATTGCCACATGCCGCCAGAGCAAGAAGCATACACAGGCTCACTGTGAGCAGAGTGGGCATAGCCCGACTCCATATAAGGCTCAGCCTGTGCATCGTCAACTTGTCCACGCATGCGCTCCTCGTAGCGCAACGATGCCAGCTGCTCTTCGTGTGCCAGACTTGTTTCTTGCTGCATGTGGTCTGCTGACTGTGGGGGAGAGATGCGCCAGAGTTCGAGTAGGCGTAATCGCTGGTCGTAGTCTGCGTTGGTGAAAAGCTTGACTTGCGAAGGGCTCAGCGAGGTGGGGTCGATGTCGTGGTTGCGCAGCATCGACGCCAGATGGATGGGTGTGAGGCTGTTACTGTGGTTGTCTAGTGGGCTGCCACTGAGGGGAGAGTCTGCGCGGGGTGCTACTGCCTGCTGTTGTTCCGGCGTTGGGGCAACGTGCATGTAGTAGGATGGAGTGTAGTGCTGGGAGCTGTAGTAGATGGGCTGAACGGTAGACGTGTGGCCGAGGAACTGCTTGTCGGGAGTGGATTGAGGCAAGGTGTGATTCAAGCTCATGTTGTTGGCAAAGAGACGAGCCAATTCGTCCTGTTGATACTGTGACATGATGATACTGGTGATGTGCTTGGTGTCGATCTGCTAATACTGTGCTGTGGGCAGAGTGTCAGTCGACTGCGTCTCGCAGAAGAGAACGCCTGCGCCTTACGTGTTGCAGGTGGTGAGTTCTGCGAAACGCCGGCAAGAGGGTATGGATCAGGCAGATGCGAAGGTGCTGAAGAAAGAGATGCGAAAGTTGGGTGAGACAGAAGGAAAGATGTCGAACGAAGAAAAAGGATGATCAAGATCGCGGTGTATGGAAATAAAACGGACTGGTATTGCTCCAACCTGACGAGTTCTGCCCAACCGTGCTCCACCTAGAAGGAGGCTAATATCGAGTGGAAACAAGCGGTGTCCAAGGGGGCGGCGGGGTAAATGAGCAATCCAACTACAAAGAGTGTAGTCGTAAGATGGAATGATACGGGAATGGAAGTTGTCTATGGTGTTTACGCTGAGAAATGCTGGAAGGTGCAATGATCTAAGGAAGTCATGGAGAGAGGCGGGGTTGGGAAAAGTTGGTGGGTGGTCGTCATTTGAAGAGGCTTGAACCATGTCACATGGGCTTCATTGTTGGACAAAAGCAGTGGATGTAGAAGGTAGTTATGCACTCATACCGAATGGATCTGTCAAACAAAAATGTTGTGTATCTAGAGAATAGGTAAAAATGATAATCCAGGTACTGTACTCTGCATCTCGTCAAAACAATTGTGCAGACGATCGGTGACTCTAGTGAGAGGTACAGGATGACAGGGTGTCGGAGCTTGGCGTGCGTCTTCGCCGTGAGATGGAGCTCGTCCGCCATCCGGGAGAGCTGCGTCGATACATCACAGAATAGACAGCCAAACACCTAATTCTTGCATCTGCGCATCCGAATCTCTTGTTTCCCTTCTACTCACTCACTCGATTCATCCTCATCTGAATCTCTGTATCCGCTTCTCATCACTGAATAACTCGCCTTCCTTTCCACACCTTCATCAACCGCAAGCATGGTCAGTAAACGCCGCATCACATGTCGCATCGTGTTTCTTTGCTAACTCCCATGTCAAGACTTCGATAGGAACGGGCTACGATCTGTCCAACTCGGTCTTCTCTCCCGATGGACGTAACTTCCAAGTGAGCTCATCAACACTCATCCTTGTGAAACCATTAACTGACGGCCGTCTAGGTCGAATACGCCATGAAGGCAGTCGAGAACGGCGGTACCTGCGTTGGTATCAGATGTCGCGATGGTGTTGTTCTGGCTCTGGAGAAACTCGTTACCTCCAAATTGTTGAAGAAGGATGCAAACAAGAGGATAGCCACTGTCGATCGCAACATTGGTGTTGTACGTTCAACTTCCACCCTACTTACGATATTTTCCGGCTAATGCTTGTTTACAGGTTTCTACTGGTCTTCTCCCCGATGGTCGCCACTTCGTTACTCGCGCTCGCGATGAGGCCTCATCATGGCGCTCTCTCTACAAGCAGCCCATCCCCGTCGCCTCCCTCGCCGACCGCATGGGATCATACGTCCAAGCCTACACCCTCTACTCGTCAGTCCGCCCCTTCGGCATCACCGCCATCATTGGTGGTTGGGACTCGGAGCTCGAAGTGCCCGTTGATGCACAGGTCGGTTCCGGTCCGTCAAGTGGCAGTGGCGGCAAGATGCCCGACGCAAAGGAGGGTGGCCCATACCTCTACATGATCGAGCCATCTGGACTGTACTGGGGATACTACGGCGCAGCTACTGGCAAGGGCAGACAAGCAGCCAAGGCGGAATTGGAGAAACTGAAGCTCACCCCCGATCAGGGCGGCATCAGCTTGGAGGAAGGTGTCAAGGAGGCAGCAAGAATCATCTACGTGGCACACGAGGACAGCAAAGACAAGGAGTTTGAGCTGGAAATGACGTGGATCAGCAAGGTTGATGGACCCACCAAGGGCAGACACGAGGAGGTACCGAAAGAGATGCGTGAGGAGGCAGAGCGTCTGGCCAAGAAGGCACTCGAGGGAGACGATGACGAGATGGAGGAATAAGCAGCTCGGTGCCCACCACTCATGACATGTACGATACAGCAAGCGGGGGCCGGATATTGAAAGTCGAGGATACAAGCAAGCAAAGCGTACACGGGAATGGCTATATTACATTTTGAACATGACAAGGGAGCTACTTTTCTACAAATTTGCCGTTCGGCTTGTCGGAGGGCTTGATCATCTTTTGGTCGACGGCTCCCCAGTTGATAGCCTTCCACCAATTGATCAGGTACTGTTGCTTTCCTCCCACACCGTATTGCCTCAAGTATGCATGCTCCCAGGTGCTCACACAGAGTACCGGAGTGATGAGCTCAGTACCCGGAGGAAGCTTTGGGGTTGCTCTTTCACGAGTCGATGTAGGACCGAAAGAACCAGCAGAGCCGTTGTAGCCCTCGGAGGTGCTCAGGTCAGCACCTTGTTGTCGAACACCAGCCTCAGCGTACGGGGTGCCAGCATTGTAGGTAACTAGGAGTCTGAATTCGGGCGTGTTGTTTCCGATTGACGAGGTGGAGCGCTTGGTTGCTTGGACGAGCCAGACGAAGCCAGGGCCGGTCATGGCGCTTGCCTTGGACAACATTATCCTCCAGAGGGTGTCGATGTTGCCGAAGGATGCAATCAGGGCTTTTTCGAGAGTCGGGAAGGCTTCGAGCTTTTCGCTGTCAATACCAACACCCAGGCCGTCGAAGAAGAAATGTGTGTTGTGGGCCATACTGGCGGCTGCAAAGACGGGGGCATATTGGGGATTGCGGGCGAACTGGAGGATGAGCTGCTTGGTCGACGACTGTTCAAAGTCGGTATCTTTGAGCGATTGGGTCAGATGAATGCTTCCTTGTAGACAGTGCTGGTGGTGTATTTACTCATGGTGGCTTTGTTCAGTCGTTCGACAAGGTGTTCCATGTTCTGTCTCCATGCCACATCGTAGGCAGGTTGATCAAGGAGACCGGGAACACCTCTGGCCTCGAACTGTTCCTTGTATGACAGATTGGGAACCTCGTGGAGTCTCGATATTGATGATGCATGAAATTGTCTAGCCTGCGCAAAGATGTTAAGTAAATGGTTGGGTGTATGATGATTAGGTATCAGACGTACGTGAGGGCGCGACTCCAGCAAAGGAGCCCATGCGCTTCTTGAGCGCGCTAATCTGTGTAGAACCATTGCTGTATTGCTGTATGGCGGCGGCGAGGCTCAAAAGTTGGAGTCTGTTGTACAATCGAAAGTCGCCGGACGGAGAATTCCGACTTGCGGTCTGCGGTGGTTTGTACCACGCCCTGAAACTATGATCGCAACTGATGACTTGGACAAGTATTTCAAGCCTGGTTTATAAGAGACGAGCAGATCGGATACGGTCTTGATCTGAAAACAACGAATTGATGCCTGCGATATGTGATGGCTAAGATTGTCGGCAGCCACATGATGATGAGCTGCGGTGGAGCGGGCTGGAGCGCGCCGATCGAAGACATGGTCATGTTTGGCCAGTACTTGACCATGTACACATCTATTTCTTCAAACCCACTGCAACCATGCCGACCACTTGACACGACCAAATAGCACTATTCATCCACAATCAGCGTACTGCTTGTCGCATATAATCTCCTTCACTGCTTAGAAACATCCTAACCCCTTTCCACTCGGCACGTGGACTTTCTCTACAACATGGCCAGCGCCGTCAGCAAGAGACAGCAGGCTCGCAATGAGCGCATGTTGCAGGATCTTTTGAAGTCTGTACCTGGGAACGACAGATGCGCCGATTGCGCTGCGAGGAATCCAGGTGAGCCAATTCACAGAGACGTGGGACTTTCTGGAATCTGCGTGCTGACACTGTACCAGCATGGTCCAGTTGGAGTGTGAGTACAAGTCGCTGAAATCCGATGCGCCTTTCTGACAACATCAACAGCTGGGCATTTTCCTGTGCATGAGTTGCGCCGCTCTGCACCGCAAGATGGGCACTCACATCTCCAAAGTCAAATCGCTGAGCATGGATAGCTGGACTCCTGACCAGGTCGACAACATGAAGCGTGTAGGAAACGTCACGTCAAATCGCACATTCAACCCCCAGAACATCAGACCCGACATTCCAACCGACGCAGACGAAGTTGGAGGTGTCATGGAGCGTTTCATCCGCCAAAAGTACGAGCACAAGGCCTTTGTTGGTTCGAGGCCCAGGAGTCATACGGTTGGTGGAGCCAGTGTCAGCTCCAACGAAGGAGTACCACCGCCTCTGCCGCCAAAGCCTGGAAAGAAGTTTGGTTTCTCGCTGGGAGTTCGTTCCTCATCGGCCACTCAGCAAAGGTTCACACCTCCCCTGTCACCCGCTTTGACAGGATCAGATGGACGTTCCACACCGCCTATCGGAAAGATGAACAAGCCGTCGCGCGTCTTTGGCTCGACGGTAGGAAACCAAGAGGAGGACACATTCGATACCAAGCTGGCATCGCTGCGAGAGATGGGTTTCCCAGACACACGCCGCAACTCGATGGTTCTGAAGAGCGTCAATGGTAGTCTGGACAAGGCAGTCGAGACGCTTGTGCGCTTGGGTGATGCGACCTCAGGGGCACAGGGTACCCTAACCCCCATGTCAGGCAGCACCAGCAGTTCCAACGCCAATGGCATTTACATCGAGAAACAAAGAGCACAAGAGAAACCAGCTTCCTCGACGAACCCCTTTGATGCTTTGGACTTGCAACCTCCCCGCCGTGCCTTTACCCAGCCCGCACTTTCGACTGTGGCGCCGCAACCTTCATACAACCCGTTCCTTCAACCTCAAACTCAGCCTCAGGCACAGCAGTCCCTACAGAACTCTTTCTCGGCCATGCAGATTACCAACCAGCAGCCTCAGCAATACCAGAACAACCCATTCATGCCCCAGCAGATGCAACAGCCCGTACAAGCTCCTACTTATCCTCCTCAGGACGCCCAGCAATACCAACAATCGCAACCACAGTCCAACCCTTTTTTGAGAAAAACTCAATCCCAAACATTTGCGCCTTCAAATCCATTTGGCATACAACTATCAGCAGCTCCTCAAAACCCATGGCTTGCACAGCCTCCGGTTCAGATACAACAAGCACAATCGCCTGGTGCATTCTACCAACCCCAGCAGGACTTCTTTGCTACTCAACCGCAACAACAACAACAGCAGCAGCAGCAGCAACAACAACCTCAATACCAGCAGCAGCAACAGCAAAACCCTTATCATCAACAACAACAACAACCGCAGCAATTGGCTCCCCAACAAACCTCGAACCCCTACGCAAACATGTCTTCTCCTCAACCCTCTTCCAACCCCTTCCAGATACCCCAGTCCAGTCAACCAGAGCCGTACCAATCTTATCAATCCGCGCACCAACAGCAGCAGCAGCAAATGGCACAACAACAAATGCCTCAGCAACAACAGCAACAGCTGTATCCTCAGCCCACTGGACGCTTTGGTAAAATGGACATCATGGCACTGTACAACCATCCCCAGCTTGCACCTTCAAGGCCCCTACAATCACTACCTGAAAACGGTATGGCTCCCAACATGATGCCAGACCAACATCAACAGCAGATGCAAGCTCAGCAGATGCAAGTACCACAGAGAAGTGTCACTATGCCTGTTGGAAGTGGCAGCATGAACCCTTTCGGCTCTGCACCTCCCCCGCAGCAGCAAGAACAGGCTAGAGCGGGCGCCAGACATGTCAGCCAGGAGAGCAGAGATTTTGTTGGCATGGGTAATGGAAGACCGCATTCCCCCGACGCATTTGCTAGTTTGAGCGCGAGGTATGCTCGTTGAGCTGATTCTTTGGATACCCGATTTCTTTGGTTCTCGTTGGGCACGTCGTACGTTCTTCTATTCATCGGCGGAGTCTTTGTTTCAGCGAACGTCGTTTTTCTCCTAAGGCCGTCTTTTCCTTTTTGGTCGGTTTGTTCTTTGAAAAAGCCGACTTCTTTTCTTTGGTTCTTCCCATGGCCCAAAAACTTCTGTACATATATTTCTCCTTTTTTTCCTTCTTTTGCATTCGAGAAAAAATGAAGCCTTCTTTCTTCTTTTTGTTGGTAGAGATTTGTCTACTGCGATTATTGAATTCTCGTCTCACCTGCTTGATCGCTCCTGCCCCTTCGTGCATCTTGATCTCTTCAATTGGCATCTGCTCTCGGTCGCTCTTCCCGATGGCTTCAGCTCTACATACGCGTCTTTTCTTTTTACTCGTTCCTTCTCCGAATTCGTTCCTTCTTAGTGTTGGTCCCTTATGCTCGATGTTAGTCTGAATCTTGTTTGCCTAAACAGGACGACTTGCTTCTGTAACAATTATCAGATAGGCAAACACATCCTTATCTGGATGCAAGAAGATCACTTGATGACGAACGACAGTAAAGGATGAGAAGTTTGAAAGAGAGAAGATTCAATTGTCATTGTAGTCCAGAGTAACAGTAAAGCTATAACGAACTTCGCTTATCCTTGAATACTCCATTTCCTCATTCTCCTTCAAAAAAGTTCTTTTCTTGTTCTTTGTTTTCTTTCTAACCAGGTTTTCTTCTCTTTCCTTGTACAAGCTTTCTTGTTTCCCATCGACAAGTGAATGTCCAGATAACGTAGGGGATTTGCGAAGAGTGGCTGAGGTTGAGAAGTTCCGGTACTGATCTGGTGCGCACCTCTAGACGGCCAGAGTGACGTGGGCCGAAGAGGTGGGTGATCAACAGTTGAGAGATGGGTTCAGGACAATGTGATTCGGAGATATCGTGTCTTGATGGTGTAGTAAGTGGATTGGAAAGCTTCCACAGGCGGCTGGAAAGTCTGACCATAGCATCGCTCTCGGCGATCAAGCCAAGGTCGGATTCGAAAAAATGTATGCCGACCTCGACCTGACGGTGTCGATGATTTGAAGGGTACGTATAAAGTTGTGATGCCGAATGAACAGATAGCGGGTGGGTGGTGACGTGGTAAAAAAGCAGAATAAGATAACAAGGCAGTCATTTGATCTGGTCCAGCCGGATTCGAATCAACAGCATAACGCCTTGTTGGGTAGAGGGGAAAGGTGCAAAAAAACGTGATGGTACATTGTGCATGAAAAAGGGTGGGGAAATGGAAAACGGGATTCGTTGCATCGCATGTCGAGATGGCGCGTGAAGAGGGTCGAAGATGATGTTTGATAGTCACTAGTCTGCGCTTTGCAACCAGGAGGCGCGCGGTGTGTAGAGTGGTGATGTTGAATATAGTAGTGTCGACGTTAGGCTTGACCGGAAGGGGGTAAAGTAACTTCGTGGTAGCATGACGCGAAAACAATCCATGTCTTGCTTTTCCCTTCTCATCTCATTCCCATCATGAAAATGCAAATAGACCCGCCTGGGTCAAAACGCCGAAAAACGCCAATTATCCCAGTCAAGAAATTGGTATCAGATTACCTGCTAGGTTGCTGCCCCTGAGGCTGGGGGAAGCTCTGAGGAGTGGGGAAAGCGCTGGGCTGAGAGAAGCCGCCTTGGGGGTAAGAAGGAGCCTGCTGAGGAGCCTGCTGAGTAGGGAAGGCTTGCTGGTTGTACTGGGCCTGCTGCTGCTGGAAGCCGCCACCCTGGCCACCCTGGGAGGGGTACTGGTTGCGAGGAGGTCCTCTTCTCTGACCTTGCTGGCCCTGGTAGTTGCCGCCGCGGCCGCCACGGTAGCCCTGCTGGTGGTGCTGACGGCGCTCTTGGGGCTGTTGCTGCAACTGCGGGGCACTGGTAATGGGACGGGGAATGTTCTCGGGAGTGTCGTAGACGTACAAGCCCTTGTCGATGTGCTGAGGAATGGGCTTGATCTCAGTGCCAAGCTCCTGCTCAATTCTGTACAGGTTGAAGCGGTCATCCCAATTGATCAAGTTGATAGCCAGACCAAGGTGACCGAAACGGCCGGAACGACCGATACGGTGGAGGTAGGTCTCGGCGTTCTTGGGGAAATCGAAGTTGATGACAACGTTTACAGCCTGAATATCGATACCACGAGTGAGGAGATCGGAACAGACGAGGTTACGGCAGTGGCCAGCGCGGAAGTCGTGGAAGACACGGTTACGGTTCTGTTGAAGCATGCGGGCGTGCGAGTAGAAGCAGGAGTAGCCGAGCTCAGTAACCTTCTTGGCCAAAAGCTCGACACGGGTGGTAGAGTTACAGAAGATGATGGACTGGTTGATCTGGAGACGGGAGAAAAGGGTGTTGAGACAGTGGACCTTTTGCTTCTCCTCGACGAAGGCATAGTACTGGGTAATACCGCGTAGTGTCAGCTCGTCCATGAGGTTGATCTCGTGGGGGTCCTTCATGTGCTTGTCCTTGAATTCCTTGACAATGACGGGGAAAGTGGCCGAGAAGAGCATGACCTGGCGGTCCGGAGGGTGGAAAGAGAGGAGCTGATCGATAGTGGAGGTAAATTCGGGGGAGAGGAGCTTGTCGGCCTCATCCATGACAAATGTCTGGGCGGTCGAGAGGTCTGCGACACCACGGCTGGCAAGATCCAAAATTCTGCCAGGTGTACCAATGAGAACATGTACGGCCTCGTTCAAGCGGATAATGTCGTCCTTCAAGCCAGTACCTCCAGTAGTGACCATGACATTCACACCAAGGTGTTTTCCAAGCGTCTTGCAGACCTGCGATGTTTGGAGAGCCAGTTCTCGTGTGGGTACCAGGATCAAGGCCTGAATCTTGCTGTTCTTGGGGTTGACGCGTTCGAGAGTGGGAATGATGAAAGCAGCCGTCTTTCCGGTGCCGTTCTTTGCGCGGGCAAGGACATCTCTGCCGGTAAGAGCGACGGGGATAGCTTCTTCTTGAATAGGTGAGGGCTTTTCGAAACCTGACTCAAAAATGCCCATGAGCAGTTCGCGCTTGAGATAGAAATCTTCAAATTCGAGACCCTTGGTCGCGGTAACATCTTCTGTTTGGACTCTGCCATCCTTGGCAGGTACCTTCAGTCCTGACCTCCAGTTGCCGTCTGCCTGGTTTGATTCACTGAGGGGAGATCTTGTCAGCGTGTGGTTCCGGGTAAGCTTTGGGGCCGGTATAGGCATACTTGAGCGAGGCAGCTTCGAGCTGACTTGCGAGTTGATCCGCCATTGTATGTTGTTGTGTGAGATGTGGTGGTGGGGGAGAGAAAGAGACGTAAGCTCAAGAAACACGCAATGCAATGTGGTCGAGTGAGTTGATGTGAATATAGGAGTGGGTGCGCGCAGTGAAGAGGTACACTGAGTGTAGTAATCGCGATTCGAATACTGCGTGTGTTTGTTGGTGTTTGGAGCGGATGAGCTGTCGCTTGTTTCGTGACACGGAGTTCGTCGTGGGTGGAGTCACACAGTATTCACGTCAATGCAGGTGTGAAATCGAGCGGCGGAGTAGTTTGCAGTTCTAGTGTGGGCAAGAGGATGAAGCGAGCTGGTGGTAGATCAAGCGGGAGTGCACAATAGGCGGCGAAGAGAAGGTTGCAATGAACAAAAGAGTCGTCGTGCGCTTGCCATGCGGATATCATCAAGCTTGATCGAGTAGAGCCTTGGCACACGTCGGCCAATCACACGACCTGATTGAGCTACCATACATCAATTGCTCCTTCCTGATATTCTAAACCTTCTAGAACAGTATCGAAGTTTACCTTGTTCTCGACATTTCATCTGACTGATCAGTTGCCAAAGTGAAGTAACGATAGGACAGCTCATTCCTAAGCGCGCACCACAGCTGTTCGTGCCGCAGCTCTGTAGGCGAACATCATCCGATGACCCGATAATATATATCAGCTCGACTCCATCGCATCAACCAACAAACCATGTTTTCCCAAATGCTCCGCCAGAGGTTGGGGCTGAGCAATTCCAATCCAATTCTCCAATCTCGCAAGGCTTCCTCTCTACTCAAACCACGCCACCCGTTCTTCAACCCATCAACAACACGCACAATGAACAGAGAACTTGATCCCATCAGCCAGTTCCGACTTCAGCGTATCCAACGCTTCTATCACTCTGGAGGCTATGGTCGTGCTGGCTCGAACGGCGTAATGTCTGCCTTCTACTTCCTCTTCGCCGCGAATGCAATGGTCTTTGGCGCCATTAATTACGCGAAATACACAAAAGACTGGCGTCTTGAAAAGAAGATCCTCGGCCACACTCTACTCTCTCCGGCATCTTTTGATAGCGGGCGGTGGTGGACTGTGATCACTTCTGCCTTTGCTCATATTGATCCGATGCATTTCGCCTTCAACATGCTCTCGCTGTACAACTTTTGCTCCCTATGCGCGTTCATCCCAGGAATGAACGGTCTGCATCTCTTTGCTGTGGCTGGAGGTTCAGCAATCACTGGTGGAATGGGCTTCCTCTATCATCGCAGGAGAAAGGTCGCAGAGGCAAACCGCAGTGATTGGCAGAGCAAGACTCGCAATTACAATTCCAGTGCTTTAGGAGCTTCTGGCGCTGTCATGGGTGTAGGCGCATTGACTGCTTGCTTGATGCCCAATGCTCCCATGCAGTTGATGTTGATTCCAATCACATTCCCGCTTTGGGTATTTGTTGCCGGTTATGGCTTGATCGACTCGTACTTCCTGGATTCGCCTACTTCGTCTATCGCTCATGCTGGTCATTTGGGCGGTTTGGTGTTTGGTGCTGCATACTACTTGGCCTTTATGAGAAGATCTCCAGCGGGTGTGTGGAAGAGCGTCGAGCGAATGATCAGAAGAAGATAAGTGCTGACCTGGATTATGTATAATATTTACTATCAAAAAAAAAAAAAGAACTCAAGTACAATGTTTCATCGGTTTCCAATAAATGCACGTTTCGAAAGCAGAAGAGGAAAGTAGCTGAATTTGTTGCTTGCACGGGCACAGCTATGAGAAACCCCAAAACCTTGATCCCATAATAAAAAAGACCATCCCAACCGCTGTTAATGCAATCTGAAACCAAAAAGTGTGATATGATCATCACCACATAGGGAAAAACTCCACTGTACACCATTACATCCGTCCCAACCAAGACCCTCCTAAGATTTCGCAGAACATCCACCGAGCTGTGCTTAGACAGCCTGCTCAGGCGTCTCGTTGCTTGCTACAACAGCCGTACCAAGACCGCGATCAGCAGTACCACGGATGATCATCTCCTGCCGCCTGGCACGGATGAATTGGCTGACAGATCGGATAAGAATAAACCAACCGACAATCATGAGGCCGTACGAAATCCAGTCTTGAGCACCAAGTCCGCTTGATTCGTCCATACCGGTGACATTTCCAGCAACCTTTGAAGGATCGAAGTCGTGAGCGTTAGGGTCTGAGGGGATAGTGCCGTTCGGGTCGTTGGCAGGTACGCCGGTAACAGGATCCGAGGGTACTGATCGGAATGTGAAGCCGTATTGGATCAATGTGATACCGAGACCGGCGCGAGAACCGTGCTTTGCGGCGTGTGTGGTGTGAAGGAGGTATGTAAGGAGGAATCCGATGAGTTGGAAGGACATGGAGATAAGAGCGTTCCAGACAAAGGAGAAGAGACTGCCAACAACAAGGCCGTCGACGAAGATGTCGTCGCTGTTGAAGGCTCCAGGGGCCAAAATAGAGGTTTCCCAGTATGGTGGTGCTGAGTCGGCAGCTGCTTGCTCATATGTCTGCGATAAGGTCAGTAAGTTGCAGAAAGGGGGGACGAAAATGCGGTCGAACGTACCGGAGGCTTCTCCTCAAGTTCCTCGCCACGGGTAGGCTTTGCCGAGATGTTGGCAAAGACACCATCGTTGACGCTGTTTCCACCTCCGTAGGTCCTGCTGCTGCTTGAGCGACTGCCGCCAGGTAGGAACATATTAATCTCAGTGACTCTGCGACCTAGTCGTGGAGGTTGGACCTCAGGAGCTGTGGGTTCGGGAGAGTCGCGGTCGTTGGACTGGACCAGTCGTCGACGGTCGGCGTCGGGGCCGTCATGGTCGTCCTCGTCATCCGAAGGAGCGGCAAAAGCGTCGTCGATATCTCGGTCGGCATCCTGGTCGCGATTGTGGTCGTGTTGAGCAGAGTTACGGCGAGAGGAGTTGAGAGAGCGGAAGGACGGCGGAGGCGAGTTCGGGATTGGTTGTGAGTGTTGGCCGGTTACGTGGTCGTCCTCGTCATGTGTTTGCACCTGAGAGTCGAGTCAGAATATGCGAATACAATGGAACAGCGAGCAGAGACAATACTCACACGTTCATAGTTTGAGGAAAACATTATGGTAATGGAGCGCAGAGGTTGGGCGCTTGAGATAAGACGAAGTGGGCCGAAGGGCGGAGAAGAAGGGTCGCTGGTCAGGGTCGGCGGTCAAAGGAGGCGAAAGTAAACAGAGTCGAGTCGAGGGATTAAAAGGCAAAAAGAGCGACGGAAGATGGGGCGCAAAATCTCAGGAGTCAGAGTCGGAGTCGGGAAGATAATCGAGATATCAAAAACAAGACGGATGGTGGTAGAAGAGAATGGACGGGTCGTCAGTGACTGGTGATGCGAGGATTATGGAAGCCTAGTCTCACTCTCAGGTCGACCTCGCTTCCCGACACTCCCGCGATCCGTACAGCGTATCAGCGTATCGCCCGCGCTAAGCCACGCACCTCAGCCTCAGCCCAAGGGAATCTGGGGTAAAATGCGAAAGGGTTTTGATGATGTCGTCGATCAAATTGTTAGACGCTGCCAGTCGATTCGTCACTACTTTTGTTACATCGACAATTGCTGTATAATTCATACTCAAAACACAATAATCCTACCCTCGCCACATCACATTCACAATGTCACGCGCTGTAAGTGGACCGCTCTTTGTGCCACCAGACAAAGGCGACTGACCAGACACGACAGCAAGCTTCAAAGCACTACGCCCGCATCCTCTCACAATGGCCCGTAGACCGTCTGCGCCCTGAAATCTCCTTTCAATCCGTCTTGAAGAAGCGTCTTGAAGCTGCACCAGTCGCACAAGTCAATCAAGCCAACACGGCCCAGACACAAGCACCCAAGGCAAGAAATGAGCTCCGCGAGATCAATGCCTTGTATTCTCTGCTCGAGAACAGATATTCTTCGGCCGTATGTCGCGACACACTCTGCACAAAGACTCTTAGGATGCAATCTAACATATCACAGTACCCTTTGTCAAATGCTATGATGCACCCTGCCTCGGCACCCGAGCATTACACAACCCTCGTCAAGGAGCTTGACGAAGTCCCCGACCGCACTTTCTTCCAAAGAATCGCTAGTCGCTTCAAGGGCATGGTCCGTTTGCAATAGACCTTTTCTCGACCTTTTGTAAAATATTGTACATTACTGCCAGAGTCCAAGACGTCTCGGCTGAACAAAACATAAAACATGGAGCTCGAAGCTCTATTGTGTACTAATAGCATATAGACACTTATTCACGATGTTATGCCTGTGTTCCATCTCAGTCGAGCTTTTGTTTGATCTTGCGAATCTGGTGTGGTCAGCTCGAAGCAGAATTCACTGCTCATCTCTTGTTGCTGCGAGTCGAATTTCTGTCTGTTGGACAAACCAAGAGGCCGTTTTCAGGGAATCGTATGATCGTACTCTGGATTATGACATTGGTCGAGTTGAAACTATCTGCCATCTCTCATTGGAAACCAGTCTTACGAAATGGTCTACCAAGGAGCATGTAGTATGTGCGTAGACTGAGCGTACGTACTGGAGCTTCCATGGTGGCGCCCATGTTTCCATCCTAGGGAAACAATTGAGAGTTTCGCTAGCATTTCTGACCTGAACAACACAAATACTGTAGCCATCTTCTGCCAGAGTGACTGCGGAGTTCGACTCCGATGTAATCGAAAATTAGCCTTTCAGCACGTTTGTCTTCCATTCTCAAGCTTGCGACCTCAACTCCTGACCTCTGTCCTCACATTCGGCATGACACAACGTTGACTGCTCATACCGTACGAAAGACGAAGTACATCTCGCTGGCTGAGCATCATCATCTCATCAATTTATCCAGTTCACAGCCAAGCATGTTGAGGATTTCGCGACAATCCCTTGGGATGGCGTCATTTAAAAGATCGTCCGATATAGACAAAATTTCGCCATCTATTTAGACAAAGGTGAGTTTGTAGATTTGTTGGTATAGAGGTCAGGTAATCTTCTTCTGTCATTGCTCATACAATTTTCTTCTTCTCTCTTCTTCCGCGTCTTGCTCTTGCCCTATCTATAATCGACTCGGCCGGACTTGGGAGATACGCTGCTTGGTCTCTCAAGCAATCACGATCACAAATCACCCATCGCGGACTCTGTTCTGCTCAAACATCTGGACCGGAACAATACCATCACAATGGCGGTCCTAGACAATAAATCCGCTTCACCAGCAGCCCACCCATCTCCAGATTTCCACCATGACCCAGAATCAGACGCCGCCCTCATCGACCCAGAAACAGGCGTGAAACGCGGTCTCAAAACCCGACATCTCACCATGATGGCTCTAGCCGGCATCATCGGACCCGGTCTCCTCGTCGGCGCGGGCGGTGCTCTCTCCAACGGCGGACCTGCCTCCCTCCTCATCGGTTTCGGCGTTATAGGAATCATCGCATTCAGTATCATGCAATCACTCGGCGAATTGACCACTTTATATCCATCGGGAGGTGCGTTTACCTCTTTGGCCGAACGTATGGTTGACAAAGCTTTCGGCGTGGCGGTGGGTTGGAATTATTTCATCATTTGGGTTGCAGTACTGGCGAATGAGTATAATACCATTTCCTCCATTTTTACCTTTTGGGGCCCTCAAGTCCCGCTATGGGGTTACTTTCTCATCTTTTGGTTCTTCTTTCTCGGTTTCCAGTTGCTTGGGGTCGAAGTCTTTGGAGAAGCGGAGTTTTGGCTCGCGTTGCTGAAGTTGGCTGGTCTTGCTGTGTTTTTTGTCTTTGCGATTATTTATGCTGCTGGAGGGTTGGTTGGCCAGGATGAACCGTTGGGATTCAGGTATTATCACAATCCTGGAGCTTTTGTGGATGGGTTCAGGGGTGTGGCTACCGTGTTTGTGTTTTGCTCTACTTTCTACGCTGGCATTGAGAGTGTTGCTGTTGCGGCGACAGAGACGAAGAATCCTGGTGTTGCGGTGCCTTTGGCCATTCGTCAGGTCTTTGCTCGCATTCTTTTCGTCTACATGGGATCGGCATTCTTCTTTGGCTTGGTATGCCCGGCTGATGCGGATGGCCTTGCTAATGGAGGGAGTAGAGCACTCAAATCGCCCATGACGGTTGCGATTCAGAATGCTGGGTGGAATGGGGGTGTTCACCTCATCAACGCTTTCATCTTCGTCACATGCCTTTCAGCTACAAATGCTTCCATCTACATCGGCTCGAGGACTATCTTGTTCATGGCAAAAGATGGCAAGGCGCCGAGATTCTTAGGATGGACAGATAAACGCGGTGTGCCCGTCGCAGCCATCGTGTTTACAAACCTCTTCGGTGCCATCTCCATGATGAACGTCAGCACTGGAGCAGGAAAGGCTTACAACTACATTGTCAACTTATCCGGAGTCTCGACCTTCTTGGTCTGGGGCAGTATCAGTTTCATCCATCTACGCTTCCGAGCCGCATGGGCACGTCAAGGACGCACTCCTGAGGAACTTCCCTTCAGATCTATGTGGTATCCATGGAACGCCCACTTTGGACTCGCAGCAAACATCTTCCTCGCTCTGGTGCAAGGATGGGGCAATTTCGTGCCTTTTGACGCTGGAGGCTTCGTGGATGCGTATATCCTGATTCCACTATTCCCGATCATTTACTTGGTCTACAAGTTCTGGAACAAGACGAAGTTTCACGGGTTGGAGGAGATTGATCTGGATGCTGGAAGAAGAGGAGATGTCGATGCTGCGAAACAAGCAACTAGACTCGTGCCGGATGAAGCGTTGACGCCGAATGTGAAAGGGGGAAGACTGAGGGCGATATGGAAGAACCTTTGATTATCTGATAACAATCTGATCATATCTATGAACAGCTTGCAAGAAGCAGAGTCATCAGCAGGCATGCGAAGTGGTCCAAGAGTCATAGAGAAATGAGTCTTTGAGCAAGTTTGCTTACTAAGCATCCACCCCTATATAGCATGTCCTCTCCCCTCCCCCTACCATCCTTTCTTTCTTCATACACACTCGTCTTCGGGCTAGAGGTTGTGCAAATCTTTTGAACCCACCTGAGGGGTTCGCGGTGTGCTGCAGCGCACTTCGAGCCTTTCTAACCTACCCACTTGCCCCTTCCCTTCTCACTGGCAAGAGTCCTGCACACTCATGGCGTCAAACATAATGAGCGCTCTTTAGTAATGACTCCGCCAAAACATCTTTCCCTTCTTCATCTTGGGCCGTAATAGGATCAGTTGTCGTTCCCTCAGCGGCTGGTCCGAAAGGGACCCTTTTTCTCTTTTCCTTGATGGTGGCGCCTTTTTTTTTCGTTGGTGTACTGGCTGTAATGGCTGGGCACTGGAGAAGAATGGAGATTGTATGCGGTTGCAGCCTGCTGTGTTACTGGCTGTCATCGTCGTCGCTTTCGTCGCTTCCGTCGCTTTCGTCGCTTTCGTCGCTTGTCAGGATATCGACCAATCCTAAGTGTGGACTTCACGGACGCAAGTTTGTGTCCGCTCTCCACAATACCTGTGTGACATTGCAAGGGATCATGACTGTTTTGTCCACGGTGTCGTCGCCAGGCGTGACTGTCCCATAATGCGCGCAGATCATGGTATCGCAACATATTTTCCCGACGTCGCGGTGATATCGCGTCTAGGTCCAAAAGTATCTTCGACTATCAGCCGTTCTGATACCTAGGCCTTTTAGGCGCATACTGAACGTGACGATCCCAGTCTTCCAGTCTCTCGTACGGGCTTCTCAACCAGGCTTCCAGTTCGTGCAAAAACAGCGATCCAGCACTTGTTCCTAGAAACTCTGATACCAAAGCACTCGCCGAGCCGGCAGCATCTTTTATCTCGGTCGTCTTCAGTATAGCCACAATATACTCGATCAAAAAGCCGAGTCTAGCATTGTTCTCGGCCAGAAAATCAAAAGCCTGAAACTCGCGGCGCATAAATAGGCGGGCACGGGACTGGAGAGCAGGAGAGGTTGTGAAGGTGGCGGGAGTGAAGTTGCGGTATTGAGAGGTACGATTTGCGCCAACGTGGAGACTGTAGTTCTGCTCTGCGTAGATGCGACGACGGAACGCGAGAGCAGCATTTGGGTTGTGTATTCTCGGATGGCTTGACTGGGCAGGACGTCGACGAGGTAGGTGGAAGCGATTTGTACTTGTGGTAGCAGCGGGTGCTTTGGGCTTGTCTTCTTTCTTAGGAATGGTGTAGACCTTGCGATCTGTTGGAGACCGCCAGTCGTATTCGATGGCTGTCAAGGGAGTCTTGCATAGTGGACAAGAAGGATGTTCTTGGGTCCAGCTACATAGGCAGAGGAAGTCGAAGTTCAGGTGATTGCAAGGGACGGCGACGGCGCGCTCGGTGACGGCATCCAAGCAGATAACGCAGGTGTCTTGAGGAGCATCTCGCTGCTTGGCCTTGCCCTTGATGCTAAAGCCGAGAGTTGGGTCATAATCCTTCTGCAATGCTTCCATACGGCGAAGAAAGACAAAAGAGGCAGGAATGGAAAGTCGAGAAGTTCGTTACAATCGCAAGACAGTCAACGTCATGCAGGGAGCGGGCCGAGCCTTTTCAGATCGACAAAGCCTTTGCTAATTGGAGAGTTCGTCGAGTCGCAGCTTCCCAGAACATTTTGTTCTCGTCATAGACACAGATAGTGATAATTGTATGCGCATCTTCTCTGTCGCTCGCTCTCTGTCCCCAATCGCGCGCCGCCTGTCTCACACATCCACCATGGACGGAACCGCAATGCATACAGTGACGGGTCTCAAAAGATGGTCATGTCAGGACCCTACCGTTCTCCCGGATATGGACAAGATCAAGGCCATCCACGTCTACGACTTTGACAACACGCTATTCTGCAGTCCGTTACCGAACAAGCAAGTCTGGGCTGGTCCGAGTATAGGCACACTACAAGCGCTCGAGCAGATATCGACTGGCGGATGGTGGCACGATGCGAGTATCCTGGCCTCGACGGGAAAGGGCCTGGAAGAGGAGGAGAAGACTGCCTGGTCAGGTTGGTGGAATGAGGGTATCGTCGACCTCGTGCGACTGTCAATGCAGCAAAAGGACGCTCTCACGGTGCTCTTGACGGGTCGCAATGAGAGAGGCTTCGCCGACTTGGTCACTCGCATGTTCAGAGCAAAGCAGCTCGAGTTCAACATGGTCTGTCTGAAGCCTGCTGTCGGCCCTGCTGGTCAGCGCTTCTCGTCGACAATGCTCTTCAAGCAGGACTTGTTGCGCGACTTGGTCTGCACATACTCGGATGCTGAAGAAATCCGCATCTACGAGGACCGCCCAAAACAGTGCGCCCTCCTTCCCTTCTTGCTACCGTACCACCATGTTAACTCTTCTGCAGTACCAAAGCCTTCCGCGACTTCTTCGATACCTTCAATCGCACAGTCTCATCCCGCTCTCCCATCCAAGCCGACGTCATCCAAGTTACAGAAGAATCCACCACTCTCGACCCTCTCGTTGAAGTGTCAGAGGTTCAGCGTATGATCAACAAACACAACCAAGCCGTTGTCGATGGCGACGTGCCGGGTCTCATACCTTTGGCCATCAAACGTAACGTCTTCTACACCGGCTACCTGATTTCACCTCAGGACACGGAGCGCTTTGCTTCCCTGGCCAAGAACACTGCCGACCGCGACTGGCGGACCCTCGCAAACAACATCCTCATCACTCCTCGTCCCGCACCGCAGAGCATCCTCAATAAGGTTGGAGGTCTTGGTCATCGCATGACTTGGAGAGTAACAGGCATCTCACACTTCGAGAACAAACTATGGGCCGCCCGTGTCGAGCCCGCCGACCCTAGAGCACGCTTCTACTCCGAAAACCCAACACCCACCGTCGTAATCTCCCTCCGCAACAACGCCCGCCCAATCGACGCAAAGTACATCTCGAACTGGCAACCCACATCACCCGAGCAGTCCTTCGAGTTCGAAACCGTGGTCGGCGAAAAAGTACTCCTCCGTATTGAAAGAGAATCTACCGACCAAGACGATTACGAGAATTCCTATGCGTCAAAACCTCGTCCTCAACAACGTAGATATCATCGCGAAGAAGACTTCCCAGCTCTGGGCTCAGACCGTGTACCTCAACCACCGCAACCGCCAAAAGACCCTCAAACCTCGCAACTCGATCCTACAGCTATGCAATTCGGCCCCAACGTCCCCACAGGTCCGGGTCAGCATAACAACAATAACAACCGCAACAACTACACAGGCCACAATAGCCGCGGCGGCGGCGTCTCCAAGCCCGGAAACAACAGAGGCGGCCGTGGAGGCAGAGGAGGCCGCGGTAACCGTTTCGGCGGCCGTGGTGGAGGCAGAGGAAGAGGAAGAGGAGGAAACTACCGCTCTTTGGATGACCGTCAGGAGAATTACGGAGGAGGCGGTATGCAGTATTAGGAACAACGCATCGATAGAAATAGAGAGCATGGTGGAAGTGGACCTCGGAGTCAACACCATGATAGTGTTATGCGACGCTAGGAGCAGCGTTTTCTTTTCTGACGGGATATCGTCGTTTGGCGGACTATTGTTGAGAAGTCCATGGGCTTTGATGGGTCTGAGAACTAGGGAGTTGAGGGGATATGGTGTTGGAGGCGTTTCTCATTCTATTTCTGGCGAGTGTATTGACTACCTCTATTGCTCACGAAGAGTGAGGCTCCCTACATGAGGGTGATTACAGCAGAAGATTGCATGGGTGGAGTTTTCATGAATAGAGTGTTTGCTCCGATCCCTCACTTGCTTCTCTTTCATATGCGTCCCTGTTCCTGCTATCTCGCGTCTTTTTTCGCTCTTCGGTCGTGATGAGCACCTTCTTGTGAAATGTTCCATGTAGATAATCACTGAGACTGACATGCAGCACACAAATGTCAATCAGATATTCACCATCGACTGAGAGACTAACAGTAGGTTCGCACACCGGAACGAGTGGATGAAGAAGAGGCAAAACTGATTAATTCATCTCTAGGGTTCTGTAATAATCGTGATAATCTGACAAATGCCTGTCCCACTCGTACCCTTCATCGCTCTATTCCTCGTCATGGCCACGGTCGTGGTCATCGTCTTGATCATCTGCATGAATTATATGCCCATGGTGAGGAACGTCTTCTCCAGCAAGTACGTGCACACGGTGCTCAGGATCTTGCATCACAGTATTCTGGTGACCAACATCTTGTTCGGCAGCATCCTGTTCGTCAACGTCCTGGTCATGAACATCCTGAACGGTCCTGTTCTGACCATGGTGGTCCAGGCCACCCTCGTCTTGATCATCCTCTTCTTGATCATCCTCGTCTTGATCATCCTCGTCTTGATCATCCTCGTCTTGATCATCCTCGTCTTGACCATCCTCGCCCTGGTCATCACCTTCGTCGTCGTCTTCGGCTTCCAGATCGTCATCACCCTGAGCGTCGATATCTTGGGGGTTATCAAGCTTGGCCTCTCCCACAGGCAGGTGATCGATGTAAGGTTCCAATTTCACTTCTGGCTCCAGGTCGCCATTGTAGTACTTCTCGCCAGCGAGGCGATCCCAGGGGCACTTTGGGTTTGGCCGGTGGGTGAACCATAAGAAGCTGCACTTGATGTTCCACCAAAATGCTTTGAGGAGGCTCTTCGCTTTGGCGTGAGTGGAAGTACTTGGGCTCATGCTTTGGCGTAGCTTGTGTTTTCCATCAAAGCAGCCGTGTGTCTCGGAGCCAGGATTATGGCCTGGCACTAGTGATGCGATGTGCTTCGCTGACAGTCGATAGAGATCGCCTGGGACACGGAAGAAGAGATATTCATTTGCAAGGAGCCCGATGTACATGCTTGTATCCGCGATGACCCAATTGGACTTTTCTGTAGCCGAGACATCTCGAACAAGAAGACATTGAATTTGAGGAGAGAACTTTGCCATGTCTTTCGGAAATTCTCCCATCGCGTTCGTGGTGTCACCAATCGCGATGAACCTTCGCTCAGGATAGCTCTCCATGAGTCGCTTCACGTTCCAAAACCGGGCGTTGATCATCTCCCCGGTACTGGTGAAGTTGACAGGACGGAAGTCGAAAGATCCAGGTGGATAGAGTTCTGTCAGGGCTGGGGTGTAGGTGCTTGCGACCATTTCGGGGGCGTCTGTCAGGTAATGGAAATGAACATTTTGACCTTCTGCCTCGATCCGACCCTTCAGGTCATTCAGCACCTCAGGCATATCTCTCCATGGCGTGAGTGGTCGTGCAAAGGCGTTCAGTAGTGTTTGCTTCACGTTCCAGACATCCATGACGCGCAGCGTGTCATCAATGTCGGCAATGATGGTCACTCCTTTTGGAGGAACGAAGAATACGTCTGCGGCGTTGTTCACGTCATCGTCTCTTGGGGTGCGGACGTTGCAAGGTGCCAGAATCATTCTGGTGGTCGGGATGGTGGTGGTAGTCTCATTGGACGCAGTCGAGGGGACACATTCATCAGGCACAGTGATGGCGCCGTAGAAAGAGCCTTCGACATTGGTTCTAGTCGGGAGAACAAAACTTTGCTCGCAGGCCGGGAAGAAGACCCCGATGACACCGTCTTTGATAGGAACTGAGGCGATCTCATGCATCAGAGGCCTTGCATGTTCCAGCTCAGTCTTGGTCAATGTGTGGTAGTTGCGTTGCCAGAACTTCCACTTGCTCTCCACGAGGCGGACGCGAACCATGGATTCGAGGGCTAGTTCGTTCAGCTCTTTCTTGCTGAATGGTTGTCGGTTGTGCAGATTGCCATGAATGTGTACATTCCAACCATCCTCAGTCTGGTTTGCGTAAGCTGGATAAGTGGCGATGGTCCAAGGCAGGTCTTTGGCGTTCTTTTTGTTGGCGGAACGAGGGAATCGATGGAACATGAAATCGATAACACCCTGGAATGGCTTGAGCAAGAGGGCGAATTTCGAGGTCTTGGGCTTCGAAATTTCAGCAGGGAAGTTCTCCCATGAGGTACAGGCATCGGTCGCTGCCACGGATATGCATGCGAATGCCAATATACAGGCGATGAGGAACGGGAAACGCATGATGATAAGATGTAACGGCGAAAAATGGAATTGCCGGTGATGAAAGCTGTATGTATTCGAGATGGGTGGAGACTGCGTGACAGCTTCGTCGAGTAAACAGGCGAAAGGTGCTTCTGCTAGAAAGCAAGAACTGGCCAACGCTACTTCCCTCTGAGTCATGTTATACCAGATTCGCAAGCTTGGCAGGGAAGCATCAAAGCGGAAGGAAGCAAACACAACGATGTAAAGTCGAAACATTATGAGTGCTTGCGATCGTGAACAGAGAGTACAAGAACTAGGGCGAGTTGAAGTAGTTTACAAACCTAGTACAAGAGCAAAGGCCTAGAGCAACACGTATCCTATTGCATTATCTCTATCAAGCGTCTCCTACTTCTGCTTCGAGCTCCTCAGAAGCTGCATCAACAGCAGGCGATTTTGTGGATCTTGGTGGGCCACCTGCCTTTGGTGGAGGCGGTAGACCCTGAGTTGGCTTGGGAGTAGGCGCGTTGTCCAACTCACGGCTCTTTTGCTCTCCCTCGGCAAAATAGTCGTCGAGACCAGCAGTAGGGGATATGGCATGGTGGACCCGTTGTTTTCTAGAGCCCCTCTTCTCTCCCGTCACTCCAGTACTTGCAGGTGGGGTAGTGGCGCTGAGGTTCAAGTTTGCAGGTACCAGGAAGTCGCCGGATGGGGTGGAAGCAGAACGAGGCTCTTCGTTGCTGAAGCGGGCTGTTTCGAAGAGGGTCTCGCCGGGCGCTTGTGCTGGTTCGTTCAAGGGAGCAGGCACACGATGGAGAGCTCCATATCCCAGAACGCAGCCCAGGGCGCCATCACCACCCCAACCACGCGAAGGGGTGATTGTGATCATGCGCGTCACGTCGTATTCGTTGTTGTAGACGTACAGTCGGAGTGGGCGGTTGAGGAACTGTTGCTTTCTGTCAGTCTCAGACTTTGGAGTGTGCCTTTTTCTCTTCTTACGTCTTCAATCAGCTCGCTAAGCCCGCTGTCACCCCTCATCAAGCCTTCCGGGCTTCCAATAACATAATCGCTGTAGGGGAGAAGTCCAGCGACGTCGGCGGGCGAGTTGGGAATGACATCAAGGATGTGCCATACAGCTTCAGTAGTCGTGAGCGGCGACCATTGCAGAGCGAGACCGAGCGGCGATCCGTCTGCTGGGATAGAGATGAAGACCTCGCGGATCTGCTGTCCCTTGGCACTGTACACTCCGAGACTGATGTTGGTGCCGGCGCAATTGCGCAACTCCTGAACGAACAGACTGGGCTCGGGATTATCCTGCGACGTCTTAGCTGCCGGATCTTACTACTGGCATGGTGTGTTTGCGCATACAATGGTGCGGCCGTTGATACCAATGATCGAGTCGAACCATGGCTCCAGGGGTAGCTCTGGGTTGTTGTTGCGAAGCACCTGGAAGCCGTACGTGTCGGATGCTCCACCCTGCTTCTGGGCTTGTGGATCTGAGTCCAGGCGCGAGATAAATCTGTTAAGAGCTCCAAACATATTTGCCATGGTTATCTCCTTCCTGTCCCTGACATCAACACAGCTTGACATGCTCATCATTCATGGTGGTCTGTGCGCATTCTGCTTGTCAAACTCATCACCCTGTCTCTCTCCCGAGGAAGCATCTTATGCAGCAATTATCACGATTTCATGCCTTTAGTAGGCCTAGATCGCTTCCAGTGTCACACTGCGCTTTCCTGTAGGAGCATCAAGTACGCGCGCAAGACATAGAGCGAGATAGCCTCTAAATGACACTTGCCCGTAAGAGCTCAGTGGAGAATGGCACAGCACGAGCAGTTCTCACCATCGCGGACGATCCTTCACATATGCAAAAGTTTGGAGACATACGGGTCGATCGAGACAGTGACACTATATCTCTAAAGTGTATTGTTCGAGCAGTGTACATGTTTCCTGAACAATAATATGTATGCCATGATGTGGATGAAGTTCTGGGCGCGACGCACGCCGGCGGGCAAGTCCTAACGAGCTGCACGAGCCAGCCGTTCATGATCTGCAACGGTTGTGGCGCACGTCAAGCAAAGAATGTGGGGATGGTATATAAAATGATTATGTAGTACAAAATATCAAGTCGAAAAGTCACACTTCACTTGCTGGAGACTGCAAAGCCCGTCACTCGAGCTATTGGCTGGAAGCTTCCGGCGTCCTCGCTGCTTACTAAGCAAGCCGTGAGCGAGGACCGCCGGAGCACCTATAAAGTCTCTCTCCTCACCACTCTGCCTCCCTCTTTCTTTCTCATGCCACTTGCTGCGACGAGTGTTGGAGTTTCATGCTGCAACTTGATCATCATATCACTTTGCCAGAAATCTCTGAGGTCATCAATTCGCTTTGTGCGATGTGCTCAACTAATTCTCTTCCTCCAGTCTTCATCATTGGGGACTCCCTTCTGATGGTTGACTGGGTAAGGATCATGCCATAGTACGATGTAGACTTCTGGGGACTTTCATTCCTCTTGAGCAAACGGTCGCAACTGGCGAGCATACATGGAAACATAGATAGAGCGAGTGCGGGCCTTCTTCTTGTGTAGCAATTCAATCTTGTTGTCTTCTCTTCACTTGTCCTGTTGCTTGATTGCGTTGTTCCTCTTACGCGTGAATGATCACTCGTCTCCCTCGAACGCGTTGTTGTTGTTTCTCAACTGTGTGAGCCGCGTCTTGTTGTTATGCGCAAACAGGCAGATTCACGTTAGTCAAGTGAGATTATCTCGCATCCTTCGCCGCTGTGTTGAAGCAGATGACATCTGGGTATCTCCAGAAGCACCAACGACCGCTGTTGTTCAATCCGTTAGTCACAAACCAAGTCGCGCGCTCGCTCGACCTCTGACTGCTGCCTTCACTTTGCAGCCGAAGTTGCACCCTTCCGACTTCAACACTTGCTCACAAGAAACACTCGAGGGCCTACCAAGTGGAACGTGCCGTATACCAATACAGCGAGCCCCTAACTCGCGGTCAGATCTACACTCAAGCAAGCGTAGTACTCTGCACACGACCCAAGAATCTTCAACGATCTCCAAACCAAGGAAATTTCACTCGAGCGCGCACACCACAACAGGGCTCAAACTCACTACAGAATGTCTGCCCCTACTCACCCTCAATGGGCGGCAATGCCACCTATCATCGGCTTTCAGGTGATGGCTAAAGATGGAAAAAAGGTTCCCCCGTGCGAGTGTGACAGCTGTGGACAGCAATTCATCCGAGCAGACAAGCAGAACTACGACCTCTTCAGATACGAAAACATCGTTCCTCCAGCCGAAGCCCAGTCCACGATCACCGCATTTGTGACTCAGATCACAATCGATAGAGCTTATCTGGCCGGACTTTGCGACAAGTTCGGAAACACGATTCTTAGTAGATGGAGAAAGAAGAGTCATGACAAGCGCGAGACAATCTTGCTAGAAGCGGATCCAACCATCGAGAAGCAGGCTTGGTACAGACTGCGCAACGATGGTGGTCCTTGGAGACCAGAACGTCAGCTCCACAGAAAAGTCAGGTTGCTTCCATACATGTGCACCACAACCATGAAGCCGAATCCATCAGTGCTCCTAGGACTGATCCACAATCGCGTCCGTCACTCCCCACAGGAGTGGGTACCTTTCGACAATGATCTGATCAGGCAAGGGTGGGAAAACGGAACCCTCGGTCTGGACTATTGTGGGAATCACTGCATTGTCATGCATGGTGTCAACTACGGTCAACTCGTGCCATGGAACAAGGAGGCTGCGGAACGATGGGATATCATTGGATATCCGCGTGCTCGTTTGATTATTGAAGCGCAAGCTCTCATGTTCTCACGTTCCCGGTCCATCGTGGACCTCATATTAGAGGGCGTCAACGATGACAGCGCTCACGGTTCAGACAAGTGGCAAGCGATGGTTGTAGCCGGCTCCAAGCAGTCCAACAGCACCGAACTATGGTCAGACTACATCAACCAGCCCTTCTCAAAGCCTCCTAGGTTTGACGTCGACTACTACTGTTCAGTAGCCAAGGCTCGTTTACAGGCAGCCCAAGACCATCTCTGGCTGTTCCAGACGGATCCCTCCTACACACGCCGCTTCATAAGAGTCATGGCTGCCAGCGAACTATACAGAACCGATTGGAAGTACGACATCATTGCACAAGACATCCATCAAGCTGTGGTGGACTGCATGAGGTGGCAACAGCTGAGTGAAGAATGGTCCGGCATCAAAGACCAATACAACCGTTACCGAGACAGTATTCACCCAGGTCAACTACTCCCAAAAAGTCTAGAGCTAAGCCTAGCTTTACTTGAGGGTGCTCTTCTTGTGATCTTGGAGAAGTGGAATAATTATCTCAGGAAGTATATTCCGCAGCGTCCTGGATTTCAGCATCTTTGGACAACAAAGCCCGCTCCGAAAGGAACCACTTCCGAAGGAAAGCGAGTGTTCGGAGAAATTGAACGCAAGACGTCCATCAAACAGGGATGGAATGAGGACCCGCTCGACTGGATTGTAATGAATCTACTGAGCCACGCAAATGCTGAAAATCGCTTTGATCAATCCGAGCTTCTCGCCAGGCTAGAGGCCCACGTGGCAGAGACGAATTCAACAGAGCGTGCAAGACTGGACGAAACCATCTATGCAAAGATGTCGGATTCTGCAGCACTACACGAAATGCTTTCCGCAGTGAGACTGCATCGTCCTGCCTTCAATCGGCGCAGCGTATTGGAGATATTGGATATGGCCAAGCAAAACTCGACTCTTTTCACTAGAAGCCTAGTATCTGGTGACGGCCCAGCCAAGGTTTATGCGTTCATGCCGGGCTCTCTCAAGTTGTTCGATCAGATGGGACCTGCCGTCGGACGCAAGAGCGAGGCATGGCTCAAACACAGGACCGCTGAGCGCAAAGCTTTGAACTCATTCTGGACTCAAGCTCATGAGACTATGCGCGTGGAGCTGAACACCACAAAGCTGAGGCAGGAGGAAATTAACGCCACTCTTGCCATCATCTCAGTGTCCTCCACCACCGGGTACGCGGAACTCGTAGAAGCTGAGCGCCTTGAGACACTGGAAGCAATCAGAGACGCCGTTGTAGCCAAGGAGGTGAAGAAATCAATCTCAAAGGAAGTCTTTTCGAAAGGCGGTACATTTGATATGATCCCTTGAGCAAGAACCCGTCTGCCCAGGACTCCATTCTGCTATTAGAGCTGTGACTGACTTTTGTGTTTCTTAGATCCAGACGTATCGAAACTCGCAATTGCAGAGCGAGCACCAAAGCCGAAGACACGCCCGGCCGCACCGATCGATGCACCAGACGATACTCCAGCTCTATCCAAGCCCGGCGAAGAAAACCCAATTTCCAGACAACAGATCCCAGCACCTCCACGTGCATTCGGCCTCGTCAAGAAGATGTTTCCTGTCACTGCTCAGGAAACAACCGCCAACCTCGACTGGGACATCTTCGTACACTCAATGGCCGACCTCAATTTCGCCGCTCGCAATGTTGGTGGCTCAGCCGTCGCATTCGATCACGCTGCATCTGGCCGCAAGATCATCTTCCACCGCCCTCATCCCGTCTCCAAGATCGACAGCGTCATGCTCCAATCCATGGGTAAGCGATTGAGCAAACACTTCGGCTGGAACAGAGATATCTTCGTCGAAGCCTGAGCGGCGTCATCGAGGCTGCTGCAAGGCAGGATGGAATCCGAATCCGAACAGACGCACAGAGAGAATGAAGAGGAGAAGGGCTCTCACTGGACCGCTGTCGGAATAGAGCGAGTAACTAGATTGCCACAGCGACTCCTTCAGGCTCTGCGGTCGAAAGGACGTTGATTGCCGTCTCTGACAGAACCCAGAACCGACAAGAGCTTGTCCGGAAGAGAGCTGCGTCGCCCATTCCCTCGATAAAACAATCTTCTTTGCTTGTCGATGTTATAAAGGATGTGTCATGCTCGACGAGGGAAAGCCATTGGTGCTTGATGTGCTTTGGATTTCCACGGCACGCACGCTACTTTCGTTCTTCAAGCCCGGCTCTTTCTGGATTGCGTGGATATGGATAGAGAAATAAAGAGAAGGGAATGCTGTCATGTAAATCACACAATGGCAATACATGAGACAACGGGCAAGCGAACAAGAGGCGGCATAACCAGCTCGATTCAAGAGAGAAAAAGAAGAAGGAAAGCCAGCAATAGGATGAGAGGAGATCAATCAAAACGAACAAGAGGGCAGAAAAGGAAATAGTTCTTTGTATCAATAGAGAAGCACCCCTTTCTATACCCAAGAATGAAACACTGAAACACCTTTGACATGAATTCGTTGTGATGGAGAAATGAGGAAAACATCGTTCGGTCCACCCACCTTCTCTTTCTGTGGCAATCACGTGCCCTTCGACCTTGCCATCAAAGCATCAATCTCAGCCTGCATAGCCGACATATCAGCCAATATATCGGGTCCTCCACCTGAAGCGGCAGCGGCACTCTGCATCTCCGGCTGCGGCGTAGCGTTGAAACTCCTATCCTCACCACCAGAGTCACCCTCATCGACCGTAGGGATAGAGGACACAGAAGATGTCCTGCCGCCGAAACTAGCACCGCTGGATCTGCGACTTGTATCGCTCATGCGACGTGAGCTGGGCGCAGAAATACCTAGCATAGTGCCATCGAGACTTCTGCGTTTGTTTTCTCCTCGGCGTGGAGGTGGTGGAGGCGGCATGGCTGGTTGTTGGGTACGGCTGTTTATTGAGCCTACGGAAGTTGTGGAGGGTGTGCGGCTGACGCTTTGGGGTCTTTGTTTGGCGTTGCGAGGGGGAGGTGGGAGGGGAGGACGTGCTGATGGAGGCGGTAGATCGGGTTCTACGCTGTGAGGGACGCGTCGTGCTGGAGGTGGAGGTGGTTTTGAGGGTGGCGTTGCGGTGCCATCGGAGTAATCGTCTGGTACTGAGGAGCGAGATAGATTGGAGCTACTGCGAGGTCGGCCGCTGCCGCTTCGCAATTGACTGCTTCTGCGGGAAAGAGGTGGAGGGGGAGCTTTTTTGAACTGAAGGTAGAAGTCTTCGGCAGGAAGCTGAGGTGATTGAGCTGGCCCATCAGCTTGGTCTAGAGTGATAGGAGGAGCCACCTCTGGACTAGGTGATTGATGCGGCGGAGGAGGCGGAGGCAGAGGTTTGTTTAGATCAGAAGGAGACCTCATGAGCTGTGGCTTTGGAGAGGCCAGCGAGGGAGACGGGAGGGCGGGAGGGGTGGCAGGAACATCAAAGTCGGCAAAAGAGACAGTTTGCGGGCCCTTTCGCGTTGGAGGGAGGGCTTTCCCATGATGATGTGCAGGTGGTGGCGGCTTTTGTTTCTTGGAGTGTGCTTCTGGAGTCTTGACCAAGCCAGTCAATTGCTCGTAGTCCTGATCCGGAGGATCATCGTGATGTTCGTCGTCGGAAGCAGAGGGAGACTCGGGGTGAAGGTCGCCGAGAGAGTTGGTCCTGCCAGATGGAAGACGGCTCGATGGAGTCATGGGCCCAGGAGAAGCAGACGGGGTGTTGCCGGTCAACAGCATGCGTGTGAAAGCATCAACATCCATGGCCGGCTTTGCGGAAGGAGCGGATACATCCCTTGATAGTCCGACAGGAGCCGACGAGGCATTCTGAGGATCAATGGTAGCCAGCGTTTTGGCAAAGGGATTGTATGGTGCTTGAACTGGTTGGGAGGGGTTCTCCATCTTTTCTGGTAGAGGAGAAGGTACGGAAGCTGGATAGGTCGATGGAGCTGGAGCTATCGCTGGAGCTATCGGCGCAGCGGCCCCAGTGAGCTCAGTGTTGGGCTTGGAGGCTCCCCTTGCCAGTGACTCGATAAAGGACTTGCGTAGCTCGCGAGCGACGTCGATGTCTTGGTCTTCGGTGGTTGGTGGTATGGATGCAGACTGCCCCACAGGGTTGAGGTATGAGTTGAAGGGGTCATGTTCTTGGTGGGCGGCCGGTGTATCCGGACTGACGACAGGCGACAAGATGCGAACCTTCTTCTGCACCTTTCCTTTTGGCTTGGCTGGGGAAAGCTCAGTCTGTGTCTGCTAGCAACGGCGGTATGGACGAGTGCTCCTTACTCTGTGTGTTTGTCGCTGTTGTCGCTGGCTGACTAGTGTCGAGTCTTAGGTCGGCCGCTGCTGCTTCGCGCGCCGCTCCAACATCCAGCGACAGGAATTGGGACTTTCTGAAAGGGTTGCCCGCCATGCTCATCCGTAGCTTGTGCTCTCTCTAGTCTCTACCGCTTGATTGCTTCATCGTGCATGTCTGAACGCTCTCGATCGTCTTGGGCGGTCTCGAGAACAGCTAGCCGCGTGTTTCGCCAAAAGCGCTGATCACGGCGAAGCCGATTTGACCTTTTTTGACCTTTTCCCCGCGGCCTAAACTCTATCCATCTGTGACAGCATCGAAGCCATCGACAACAACATCATCGCAGTCATGCGCTGTACCCCTTTGCAAACGTCAATTTACCATGCTGCTGGGTGCCTTTTGCCTTTATTTCCGATCAAAACTCATTCCATCATTCTACCCAATCCGTCTCGCTTCTGAGTCGACTCCGCCCATTCCGGCATGGCGAAGCTGCTTATCAAACTTCGACTTTGGCACTGATCGACAATACGGAAGAATTGTTCGTGACTCTGTGATAGTTTTTCCAACTTGGTCTGTTTCGATCAATCGATGTATACATGCCATCCGTATTCCTGTCCAAACCACCGCCTCGCTAGGGCTGTGCCCATCTCGGTAGGTTGACTAAAAGCAACCATGTCTTTGGCTGTAACCTTTGTGAGGAACGTCTTTGCAACACACTTCAGCAGTGCCTTTGCGATTCCTTTCTTCCTCGACCCTTTGGATGTCCAGATTCGAGAGATGCCAATTGCGGCTTCGTTCGCTTCTTCGCTGACGGACAACAACTCACTCCCCTGTATCCGAGGTAAGTCTGATGTCGTTGTCACCGTTTCCTTCTCTTCCTCTTCCTCTTCTTCACCCCTCACTCCCTTCTTTGACTCGAGAACCTTGAATGCTTTCTCAATTCCTTCTGCAAGACAGACACCTACACATCTACCATTGTCGATGTACAGATACAGCTTGTACCTGTCGCAACTACCTTCCTTCGCATCTGCTGAGTTTTTCTGAGCAGCGGATGTAGAGGTCTGCCATCCCCATAGCTTCTCATCTGATATGTCAACAGCCCCCAAGTCAGCTGTTGCCATATCAAACACGGCACGGGCTTTCTTCAGCCAATGCCTGGGATCTTGAGAGCTGAGGGATATAATAAAGTCTCCGTTCGGTCCATGCCAGACTGCCTTTTCTGTCTTGACTTTGGTAAGGAAGTCTCGGTCCATCGAAACGCCGTTCGTGTGTTGGGCATGAAATTTCTTGTGTAGGGCAACGTCTTCTGGGGCAGAGGGTACAAATTCCATACGACATTCTTTGCATGTCTTTCGCATGGACTGCCCGAAATTGAGCTGCATCTGAACGAGAGATTTCTGCGTCTTCGAAGGAGGTTTCATGACCAAGGTAGACTTGTCATCTTTGAGTTCTGAAAGTCGCAGCTTTGTAGGCACCGTTTTTGGAGAGGCCGCAACACATGGTGGTGAAGATGGAGGGGTTGAAGGGGGAAGGTTTTCATCGGAGAAGATAGCATTGTCTGATGATGGAAAACCCAAGTCTGAGGAAGGAGCAGATTCGCTATCCTCGTTCTCGACTATCGACACGCGTCGTCGTTTGAGTGTGCCGTCAGAGCCATCCTGGTGCTTTCTTTTGGAGTATGTCTTTGAATATGTTCTTAGCGGGGGTCTGGATAGAGATGATTAGCATATTTAGGCGACTCAAACCAAGAGAGACACACCTGTTCGATGTAGAGCTCATGATAATTATACTGTCTGAATTAATAATGTGTTGTCGTCGACAAAGAGATGGTATGCGACGCGTATCGCGACAGAAGACGCGTCTGGTTAATTGACATGTGCCAAGCATGTAAACTCCGAGCTCGGAGGTCCTCGACACTCATGCAGCTGCCTTCATACCACGCATTAGGAACCTCTGCTGGGCCTGGAATTTCTTTCTCCTGCACGAATCACAAGCATTTCGCACCAGTCTCACTGTGAAAATGCTGCCTCATATCATTGCGCCAAATTTGAATATTCCGGTGGTACCCTTGACTCAGGATAGCTTCGCTCCCTTTGGCACCGTCGTTGAGAATCCAGCGAATGCAACTGGGAGATCTCAAGAGCTCAAAGTTGTTAAGGCAAACCAAGGCTCGGCCCTCAAGTACATCGACGTCTCGCATGTATCGAATTTCTACCATCTGGCTCCAAGCAACAAACCTGCCAGAGCTGTCATGAACATGTTCGTTTGTTCACCGCGCCAGCTCGAATCGGCCAGTAGCGGTTCAGATATCGGTCAGGAACAGGAATCGAAATTCCCAGTACAGATTTTGGAACGACACCCGTTCACTCCTCAAACCTTTGTTCCTCTCGGCCTCGCTGCCGACGATGCGGCAACGGTCTACCTTGTCATTGTTGCTCCAACACTGCCCTTCCCATCCAAAACGACGGACCGACCGCTACCATACCCTGATCACGCCCCGAGACAGCGACGGAGCTTGACCGAAATTTTAACCAGGGCTCAACCTTCTCCATTCAACAATTCGGATGGCTCTTCTCCATCTTCAGATTCTAGCCCAGGGCCCCAGCTGCCTAAAGGCCCCGGCGAGCCAGATCTCAGCCGTGCGCACGCGTTTCTTGCCAATGGTTCACAAGCTGTCACCTATGGTCCTGGTACATGGCACGCGCCAATGGTTGTGCTTGGCGCTAAAGCTATCGATTTTGTAGTCGTACAATATGCCAATGACGTTGGCCTGGAAGACGTCCAGGAGATTGAAATCAGGTCAGAGAGCGGATCGGGTGGACTCAATGTTGTCATCGAGAATGCGCGACTCGGTCGCCAACTGCAAGAGAGGGCGAAACTTTGAGAAGTGTACCAATTTGACTGCCATCTTTTTAGCCTGTGATGGGTATGGAACATCTCAAACATCCCATCACCCGCAATTTGCTTCATCGTTACTTGATAAGTATACGCGTATGACTCCACATTCAGTCCCCTTACTCGTAAAACGACTTGGATGGTAATCGTTGGAGGCGCCTCAGCCTGTCAGGCCCACATCTGCATCCTCGGTTTTGGGTTGCCCTGAAATTGCATCCACCCTGGTGCCTTGATGGCGGAAAGACGTTCTCTTTCGCGGAATTTTATGCCGCGCGCCCACGTCGAGCACTCTGCATACTGCATTGGGGAATGATGGACGCTCCAAATTTGGTGTCAAGCAGACCTTGCCTAATCTGAAACCATAAGAATCAAGCTTCAATAAGGCACCTTGATCGTGGGGCGGAGGAAAAAAGCAGCACATCGAAGCACGAGCATCTGAGTCGTACAACGCTATTTCGTGGCTGAAATCGGCGTCTCACTGCTGAACAGGGTCAACCTGTCGAGCTTGCATATTTGGTTTGCTTCGTATCTGTCCTGGAGATCAAGCAACGGTCTCTGCGAAACAATGGACAACTATCACCACCATTATCGCAATATAGCAAGCAAGCCACTAGGTTTTCGGTGATTTGCGGATCATCATGACCGCCTAATCTTCTACGATGGCCAGAAGCTCAAGCTCTCGCCGATCTTAGTGCTCTTTGGAGGCAGCGCGAGGTCCGCACGTGATGGAAGAAGTAGGGGAACACCTTCGCCCTACTTTTAAGCGTGTCTACAGTGTAACTCAAAGTTAAGCTTCGGTCAACGACACCGCCGGCCGGCAGGCCATAATTTAGATGAGCAAAGAGACAACAACAAGCGATGGAGCGGTAGAGAACGGGGCAGTTCGCGAGGCTGAAATTGACCGGTCGCTGGTTTACTGATTGTGCTTGCGCCGCTGGCGGGAGTCTTGATTCAAGGCATCAAATCAACAGATGAGCCCGGTCACCAAGATGAAGATCCAACCCGGGTCACGCCATATGCTTGCCGTCCTAAATTTCTATTCACCGGTTCGACGGTGCTGTGCCCATGTCCCAGGCAGACACGTTTTTTAGACGAGAACGCCGGACGGCGCGTGAAGTCTGAAGACCCCGATTGTGATGCGGGGACAGGCTCACAGACCAACACCAAGCCGGAACAACTGGCACGCCAACCATGTGAAAGCCACTAACCCTTCTGGGGGGCATTCCGCGAGCCATCTTCGACCAGACACCTCCCTACATCATGGTCTCAGAGCGCGGCCCGAATGAACCAAGAAATCTCCCTGTGCTGTTTGACTACTAACGAAGATTGCCAAGGGCAAGAAGACATGAACGACATCAAGATCGAAGATGCATTCGTCTTCGATGCCAATTGAGGGAGTGGCCTGTTGTGGAACTGCTGGCTGCCATGATACTGCCATCCATTCCCTTCGTGTTGCAGATGAGCCTTTTGCTGACGATAGGCAAGCCACATCTCTACAGCCGATGATAACCTCTTGCAACGACAGGAATGCGGCCCGACGGCTTGTCGCAAACGGCAGAGGGCTTCAACGGTCGAACCGGTCAAAGACCAAGCATCAGCCCCCAGGCATGGATTGGACTTGGTGGGACGGAACCCAGCCGATCCCATTCTAGCATAGGGCGCAAGACCCTGACCCCCGCTATTCGGTTCGATACTGCAGTCGCAACCAAAGGTCAGAGCAAAATGAGCTCTTTAATTATCGTTGTTCGTTTTAATTATTGTCCGGTCTAGTCACAATTCGGCAAGAATTGGCCGGTTGGCTGCCACATTTGAAGGGAACATGAGATTGCTACACAGAATGCAGGTCGTCAACATTGGCTCAGGGCGCGGCTCTTTGGCTGCATATGATCGGGTGCAAATCATATCGCATGTAGAGTTCAGAAACGATGGAAGAAACAAAGGGATGAACAGGTCGAAAATGGCAAGCTTTCGTGTGACGAGATCTCAAGCAGCTCCGAAGCTCCATTTTCTCTTCTTGGTTCAGAGCTGCGAGTCAACCCAGGCTTGGATGCCTGGTACAGCGTGCGCTCTGTTCCCAACTTAGGTCTCCACTAAGATCAATGTGGTAGCCGGTTGGCACGCGGCGACTCACCTGGACGCTAAAGGAGAAATCGCGGGTCCCGGCTTCGACATCTGCCCCTCACCACTACCTTCTTTTTGACAGCCCCAAACTGCGCCAAACCTCTCACTAAACTCAATCCATGACTCGACTACGGAAATGGTTGCCAACGTTGTAACAATCTCATCAAGATCTACCAAGTCTCCAATCGCGAGACCCAAAACCCGGCTCAGCCGTCCCCTCGGGTATGCCATAGGGATCATGCCAGAAATGAATGCAGTCTTGGTCGAGCTGTTGCCTGCAACTCACATTACAAATTTCAATCTGCATCTGGAGATATGTTAGCTTCAAGCATACCCGTGCGCAATAAATGGAGGGGCAGGGGTCTGTAAGTTCTGTCCTGGAGCCCCGGGCCAATTAGCTCTGGCGATGCCTGGCCATGTGTTGGTGGTTGCGTGCTCCCGCCGTTGCTTGTTGGAAAGCCCACTGCGCCTTGTTAGTGTTTAAAACTGAACCAGCGCCCGAGATAGCCATCCCGGCGTAGATCCTCTCCGCCTAAGACGTCTCATGTCAATGCGGCCTATGAAAAGTAGGCCAGCATCCTCTTCCCGCTCTGGTTCCCTTTGTCTGAGCAACTCTTATATCCGTCATGAACTCCCCGTACCTGAGCCCATCCTCTTCCTCAGACCCTAGGACAAGGACAGATAGTATCTTCCCTATACATCTACAAGACTCTGGCGGCATCAAGAAACGAAGCGACTCTCGATCTAGTCGACCACGATCTATCTCATCAGCCAACATCGAACGTCACCCCGAGCTATTGCCCGACCAAATACAGAACCGACTCAACCTAGGCAGCAACGATTGGACTGCTTCAAGGCTCTCCCCTCGACCTCAGCATCTTCAAGCTTCATTCAGCTCGCCATCAGTCACTCAGCCACTCCAAGCTCCCACGCTTCCAGGATTTCAGTCTTTGCAACACGACGACACTAGATTTGGTGCTTCCTCACGCGGATCTAAAGATATTCCCCATACCACATCAGCAGACATGGCGTATGTGTTCAGTCCACAAAGAGCTAGACCATCTACTAACAGCGACAGCAGTTCCTTAAGTTACCTCCCTCCTCCCCATTACGGCAACATGGCATTCCAGGATCCTTCTTTCGATAACAGTGAGTCCAACTGATATTCCGCTCCGCAAGCACCTTTCGCTGACTTCAGCTACCAAGGCTACCAACAAGCCGATTCTCACTCCCACATTCACCCGTCGAGCAACTTCGGCTTCATTTTTGGTACCTCCGCTCCATCACAGCACAGCATCTATGCGTCAGGTCCTCTACACATGGAGCCCGCATATTCAGCAGCCCCTCTGGAGCCATCTCTGAACCACGTATCCGAACCCGCAATGAACCACCTCAACAGGGCTGTTAGCCCTTTCCACCAATCGAACTACGACAGTCTTGAATACCCTCTGGGATCTACCACAAGCAGAATGCCCGTCAACAGAAGCATATCACACAGCCCACTCTCTCAGAACATGGACCCATTGACTCCTCCACTCACGGCTGGATTGGATTCGGTGCCACCGCAAATGGCTGGAAGCCCTGGAGCGCAAGCTGGCATGGACCGTATTCGATCACCGAGCATATATGACGCGCAGTCGTACTCTTCGTCGTATGCAGCACCGGCTGTACAGGCACCCCTTTTCCCAAACCCACAAAGCTACAGCTATCCTCCCCCTCAGTCAATCAGCGCACACCAGCAAGTGCCCCGTAACAGTACCGACTCCCAGGTCAGGGTGGTAAACCAGAATCAGAAACCGAAACCACAATGCTGGGAGCATGGATGCAACGGCCGCGAGTTCTCTACATTCAGCAACCTTTTGCGACACCAACGAGAAAAGTCAGGAACGGCCGCTAAATCATACTGCCCCAAGTGTGGTGCGGAATTCACCCGAACGACAGCGAGAAACGGTCACTTGGCCCATGAGAAGTGCTCAAAGCAACGCAGAACGTCAGAGGCCAAGTAGCGCAGGCGCTATTTGATGATCCAAACGGCAAAACAACCATCGGAGGAGCCGATATGCTTGAACATCCTCTGAACGACCAATATGATACCCTTCTTTGCCAATCTATTATCCAAGAAATTCTCCTACCCCTTCTTCTTTTGCTCTCTGTGTATTTTCCGAGTCACATCGCTTGCATGGTTACATTACCGATAAATGTTTTTGAGTTTCCTCACATCCCTTGAGTCGTTCCTCGCATACGCATTTGCATGGCTCTTTGCATAGTCGAGGCGTTCTGTATATTGATTACGAGCTCGGTTAGCGCTGAAGATCAGGCGTGGAGCTGCCTGTCTCCCGGGATATTATCATTCGCCTATCGCATGAGGCTTGCTCTTCCAAATAGCAATTTAGATGGGCTCTTTACAGTAGATGACTACACAACATCGAGCAGGCTGCAGAGTCTGACACACGTGAGCGAACACATCTGCATGCCGATCTCTCTTTCACTTGGCCGTGTGCCGCAATTCGTTGTTTGCAAAATATTCAATTTCTGTCATTCCAGCCCGTAGCACAATTTCGGTCTGAGACCAATCAACCACGATCGGAGAATCTCCCATTCGACTCTTAACCGATGCCTCAATGCCCAATCTGATTGAAGGAAAAAATGCCATGCCCAGACTCGCATGTATCACCATGTCATTGAGCTCTAGGGTCCCAAAGATGTCCTCATCATGGTGCCATGGCATGCAGCGTGATGCAGGCGATGAACAACGCAGACAGTGCTCTAAATAAAGCCGTCCAATCGGAGAGTCTGGGCAGAGCCTTGGTCTTTTTGGGATGGATAAGCTGTCTATCAAGGTGGGGACAGAGTCTGGTGGCGCAAGCCAGGGGCTGCCCTTCCATTTTCCTATCAGAGAAGGCTTGAACCTTCCGATCGAGCTTTCGCGCTTTCCCCTTTTCTGATACAACTGCGAGGGCAGGTGCAGGCGCGCTCAGATTGACGTGTTCTCCATATTTCTCCCGCCCTGTAATCAGCAGCAAACGGGACGCCAATACCACGCAACGGCCACCGGTGTCTTCGGCCTTGGTCCGCCGAGTCTTGCTCTCGTAGATGGTTCACCGGTTAATCTAGTGTGCCAGTCTGAGCACACCGGTCGACTCGAGCAAAGAGTAGCGCACATACGCTCGCGGAGTGATTGTCGGATAAACAAGTCCAATCAATCGAGATGTTGCTTTTTGCCATGACTCTTTTACTCCATACTGACACGTGATGTTGTGCTTTCACGTTCTGACAACTTCGGCTCTAAGCGCGTGTTAAGCGCCGAATGCCGAAGGCCGAGGGCGCCCCGCCAAGAAAATCTCAACCTCGAGTCGTCCTTGCTGTGACTGTACGGACTGGCCTTTGCATAATTGCTCAGATGAACATGGTCTCCGACACCGCCAGCACAATGAACGCTCAAGTCTAGTACTCTTGACACCGTCTCGACATCAGATACCAGCCAGCACTCACCGTTGCCTACTATCGCCACCATGCTTCCATCATTAGCAACCTACACTGAAGTTCGACTCTACACCACTGATCCATTGTCAGGAAGATATCCGACGCGAATACCATATTTACGCAACAAAAACACAACTCCCTGTGTCTGAAACACGCCTATACTACCCACCATACTGTGTTTAGCTCTGACTCACGTACTCTTTGAAGGAAAGCCTTTCTTTGTTTTGAGCTCTATCTACGCTAAGAAGAAGCACACATACCTGTGAGACTCCCAGGAGAGTGAACATTAATCTTCGTCGTTATGGAGTCAATCTTCAGTTTCGAGACTGAGATCCCACGGGTATCTTCACCCTGGCTTAAACAGCTCGAATCTTTGAAATCTACCACAACTCCCCCACCACGGAACGGTGACTTCGTTACAAACTCTGAGCCCACGGCCTATCTGGATGGAGCTGGTAATGTCACCAGGCTCGAGGCCGAACCCCAGGACGGTCCTGTAGAGTATAAGCTTCATCTACTGCTTCGCCCCCGTCGCAATTACACCTACATGAATACGGTGACGCAAATATCTGGTTCGAAACATTCGAAGTACAACGGTCCTGCTCGTACGACTTCCGAGACTGCACTGCCGGCAACAAGTTCTTCTTCATCTGTCACTCACAACACCAGACAGGATAGGTTTCAGCACCTGACCAACCAGCTTCTTTGGAGGTTACAACAATCGGCCCCAAACCATACAGCTTCGGCTTCTTTAAACACACATTTTCTCGTGCCCCAATTGCCAGAAGATACAGCAGAGTTACAAGCACCATCAAAACTGGGACCTTTGTTGCATTCGCTAAAAGAGAGTGAAGGCGCACTCTATGAGATTGGTGTGTCCGATGACGGAACGCTAGTTGGGCTCGCAGAAGACGAAATGCAAGACAGTCTCAACAACCTGCGAGCTATGGCTGCAACTTTAGGTTGTGTTGTGGAAATACTTCGGATGGTAAAAGTTGGTCATTGCTCTTACACGGAACAGGTTGACGAGAAGTCGCCTCCGAGGACAGTGGAGCGTAACAGCGATCTTTTCGTCGCAGAAGCGTTGGTGAAGCCTTATTTGGGACCTGATGTCGGAAATGGCAGCGGAACTGCAGACAGCATGTCTACTGAGCACCTTGTCGCGGAAAAGGAATCCGTGAAGCAACTACGAATATCACTCACAGGGGCCACCGCGTCTGGAAAGTCGTCTCTACTGGGCACTCTGTCAACGACGACACTGGACGATGGCCGAGGCTTAAGTCGTATGAGCATGCTTAAACACCAACACGAGATTACCTCTGGTATAACAAGCTCAGTCACCCAAGAGCTGATCGGCTACAACCCTGCACCGACAGGAGATATACAAGTCATCAATTATGCTACCCAGGGTGTGAATACGTGGGTTGATATGCATATAGCTTCTGTAGATGGTCGTTTGGTTTGCATAGCGGACTCTGCCGGACACCCGCGATACCGAAGAACAACCGTCAGGGGCCTTGTTGGTTGGAAACCACATTGGGTTCTGCTCTGTGTTCCAGCAGATGATGAAGAGCGAATCTCTAGCAAAGTCGGCAGCACGCCACCGTCAAGTGTGGCACTAGGCCCAGCCGCCGGCGACGTCGACCTCTCTGCTGCACATCTAGACCTCTGTCTCCGTCTTCAACTACCGCTGGTGGTCACTATCACTAAACTCGATCTTGCTTCGAAGACCGGGCTGAGAGCGACACTTGCAAAATTGCTTTCCATTTTGAAGTCAGCAGGCCGAAAGCCGCTGATCATACCCAACTCGCCTGGAAATATCTCGGTAGAGGAGCTGCAAAGCTTTAGCGAGCAAAAATCGACTGGCATACGCAAGACCATCGACAGCTTGTTTGACGATCCTCTATCAGCGGTGCCCATCATCTTGACGAGCGCAAACCAGGGCGCAGGCTTTGACAACTTGCATGCTGTGTTGAACGAGCTTCCTATACCAGATCACCGGGAGGATTTGCCATCCCACGAGGAAGCCATCGACTCTCTCTTCCATGTCGAGGACATATACAACAAGGCGCAAGACCCAAACACAATCATCTTGAGCGGCCACTTGGGCAGAGGCACGATAGCGACGGGTCAAGGATTCTTTCTAGGACCTTGCTCGCTTTCTGGTGGGGATGACTCGGAAGACTCTGATACCCAACAGCGTCCTCGACTTGGGCAAGCTCTACCGACATCCCGCTCGTTTCCCGGCGCACTCAAGACACCCAGCACACTTCATTCCCTGAGCAAAGCATCGGGCCAGGAGTGGCGCAGGGTCAAAATTGCGAGCATTAGAAATCTGCGCCTTCCCGTGTCTACACTGCACTCGACGCAAGCTGGCACCATCGGAATCGAGTTGGCTGACGACACGACTCTCGACACTTGGGATAAAATCAAGGTTCGAAGGGGCATGATTCTCTGCAACAAGCCCGCAACTTCGACCAGCACTATCGTCGCGCAATTCAAGCGAGATGATTTGGGCACGTTGGCCGTGGGAAGTCAAGTTGTACTGTATCTCGCAAGTGTCCGCTCTTCTGCCAGAATCTTGTCATGCAGAACACCCGAGGCTTCAGAGCTGTTGGACGAAGACTTGGATGCCGTAGACGAAGGCCATGGTTCTCAAGACGGCAATTCCTTTGATAGAGCCGTTGCTGGCGCTGTCACGCATCAGTTCTTGCAAGTGACGTTCCACCTCGAATCCACCAAAGAGTACGTCGAAGTCGGCACAAAGACCCTAGTCATGCCCGGAGGCGGTCCGGGTCTATTCGGTGGTACAGAGCGCGGAGAAAAAGGCGCAGCCGGCTTGGAAGGATTTGTCGGTAGAGTAGTTGAAGTCCTCCACTAAATTCTTTCCTTTGCAAATGCCACATCTCATCCATTTCCAGCTCTATAGCACGGTCCAGCTGGCTTCAAGATATTCTGCTTACACAACGGACAAGTGACATGGAAAGCTTCAAACCACACATCCATGCAATCTCTGTGAAAGACATGCAAACATGGTAGTCCTCGGACCATTTCTCTGTCGCCGATGGGATCCAAGCAGATTGTACAAATGGCATGATCAAGGAACAGATTGGGGAATTTGGGCTCCCATTCTGCACGCCAGTCTGCGAACTCGCGCTCTACTGCCGTTTCATAGAGATGTTGCTGAATCTGAAGTTGGGTCTCATGGAGACTTTCGAAGTTTTTGTGGTCGAAGTAACATAAGCTGTGTATCGGAATCAGTGAAAATGATTTGGAGGGAGGTATAGGTGATGATGTGCGTACATGAATATCACTATTATCAAGATAGCTTCGCAGGTATAGGATACCCATGCTCCGTTGAAGACATCGCCTTGCCAGTCCCAGTCGGGAGAATCAAAGGTTATATTCGAATTATTCAAAGCCGTATATGCGAGGTCCAGGTACGGAAGAGTTATGTACTGAGGTAGCGGAGCCATATTTTGGGCGAATTTCGAAGTTGATATTACAAAGTACTCTCTACATTGCGCGCGAGAAAAAAAAAAGCAAAGGGTGCGTCTCAGTTATTGTCAAGGGATGAGGCGTTCTTTCCTGCATACTATAGGGTTTGTGGTGGTGCGTGGTGAGCACGTTCGGCCCACACCGCTTTTGGCTTGGGTGGTTATTGTCTCGAGGTAGTTGCATGGACACGTGAGGGTGACTTTTAGGCTGTTGTCGATTGATGACTGGTCAGGAAAATAAACAACGCAAAAAGTCATCTGAGTGTTACAAAAGTGTAATAATAATATATGATCGTAGGATCCTATCCAGTGGTTGTGTACAAAATGTCCTTGATACCGCCATAACGCCCATCCACCCTGTGCATGCATCCAAAAAAGTTCAAAAGATCATCATCCTAGAGTATCGCTTCAAGCGTCCCAACCGTAGATCTTCAGAACTGGAGGCTCCTTGCGTGGGACAAACTCATCAACACGTTCGTCAATCTTCTCCGTCTCTGAGAATTTATACTCCACGTCTCCGAAACTGGCTGTGGGGAAGACATAGAACCATTTCAACTCCTGCTCTCCTGTGTTTTTGATGCCATGTTCGGCATCACCAGGGATGAATACTGTGCTACCTCCAGTCACGGCATGTACTTTGCCATCCACTGTGACTTCACCCTTGCCAGAGATGATGTAGTAGATCTCGGATTGAGTGTGGCGGTGATGGGCCAGGTAGCCTGTGTTTGCTGGACATGAAGCGATGCCGGCGGACATGTCTTGGGAGGCAGTCTTGTTGGAGGAGAGCAGGGTGTGCCATGTCACATCGCCGCGTGCTTTATCTGTGAAGCTCTCGGGTTGGGTCGTGGCTGTGTAATCTGCATTCAAAACGACAGCTTTCTGAGCTGTGGACTTTGGAGATTCATCTGCGGCTTCCTCCTGTGGAGGCGTGAGAGGTCTTGCTTGATGTAGGCGGGGCGATGATGCTGAGTTCTTCCTTGGTAAGACGGCCCACATGATTGAATGTTGCTTGATGGATTTGTGGCGGGGAAGGTATTGCTTGATAGCAAAAGATGGTTTCCAGAAAGTCAGGAGATGATTTTGCAGGTATCAAAGGATTGTTTTCTGGGGTTTCACGTCAAGGGTCGTCGCTTGTTATATCGCAGCCTCGGAATGATAAGCAACTTCTGTGGAGGAGCTGACTTCCTAATTCGGAAAGTCGACCCTGTGTGAGGGGTCGGCACATGATAAAACACAGTAAATGCTTGCCCGAATCATCAATACAGTCCATAAAGTCTACCGTTATGCCCGCTTCAAAAGCAAGAGAGTTACAAAGCTGTTTTGGAAGTGGACCAGATAGTCGACGATGGAAAAGGTGGGAAGCCTTTAGTCCAAGCCGAGGTTCTTCCATCAACTGGTGATATTTTGCTCCTGTCACGCCACGACTCCGGTCGCGAGACTAGCCTTGCAGAATCGTTCCAATCAACTGGTTGACGAAGCACAGCCTCTGCGTGCGATTCCGTCAGTCTCATGATAGTTGTCGTAGCAAGGGTAAGCTCGGAGCGCTCGAGATACAGTAGGTAGGTCGCCGTATAAACACGTCTGTAATGTCCGTCACCGCGGGCCACACAGCAAATCTGCGTTTCATACCATTTCCCAAAACAAAAACAACAATATTCGCCTGAACACCACATCGAGTCACAATGGCATCTAACACGAGTTCTACCGTGTCGCATGTTCTCACTTTATTTCCACACGCTTCAGAGACCGGTCTACAAGGTAATTCAGACCAGAGGAGAAAGCTGCCTCCAATACTGACTTATACCTAGACCCTGCAAAATACGAGCAAGAAGTGCAACTAGAAATGGATCGCCGTGGTAACTTTCACGGTAATCATGGTAATGATGTCTGCTGTGAGAGGAGGCAATCAGTGCCTGAGGTTGCAGATGAGGAGCTCGAGCGACGTCTATCGTGGGCCCGGCAGATGATTATACAGAACCCTTCGTTGTGCTCCAGGTCTTGTCAATTGCCTGGTCTGCAGGAGGAGTCTCGATAGCCAACTTGCTACCGGACCTATTCTTTTGCTTCGATGAAATTCCTGAGGACATATCGGCGTACGGAGTCGCGATCCGAGAGTAAACGCTCTATACAAGTCTCGCAGTTGAGAGTTCAGATCTAAGCTGGACTGCTGGTTGGAAATTTCGGCGAACAGCACCTCCTGGGGTCTGAAATCATGAAATTTGGACCACGAAATGTCAGTATATGAGATACGATATGGAGCATACAATACAAGACTCAAGATCACACGTTTCCCAGCAGCCAGGTTGCTGGATTACAGAGCTAAAGACCGAAGATTGCCATTGGCTCCATACAAGAGCCGCAATGTGTTGCTTCCACCTTATGCTACGTGCACATTCTTGCGTCAACCTCTAGTCCAGCCAGATACATTACCCACGATCTACGAGCTATACTGTCAAACGCAGGAAGTTGAAGACACAATGGGATGCAAGAATCGCGTGATTCCGACATTCCGTGATATTACGACTTTTGCTAGGTGTCAGGTGAGGCTGAATCAACCGCCCGGATGAATCAGAATATCTCCTGTCCACGAAAATTGCATACGGACGCAATCGGTATGCAAGTTCTACTTCAGCATGAAGTGTAGCTATAAAGTTGAGATCTGTTTCCTACGACATGACCATATCGCAGCAAAACTACAGCACATCAACACACAAACCCAGCAATCAACTTTTTAACACTCCCCAAATTTGATACATCAAATGTCGAATTGGGATCAACTTTACGATCTGGAACCTCTTCTCCACACGCCCCCCACAAACTCCTCTACAAAACAACATTCCTACTTCGCCTCCAAACCCTCAAGACACTACGATTCAGACGTCTCCTCGGTCAGCAGTGTCGAAGGCGTCGACGATTTTGACAGCCCAACCTGGTGGGACATTCTCGATCACGAACAAGAGGTTATCCAACGCTACAAGAAGTTCCTTCGCGGACAGTTGCACCAGGGCCAAGGCTGTGAGCAGCGGCAAAAAGCCGAACCTGAGATCGCGATGACAAGGATCGAGGGTACTTTTGCTTGAGATCCCGGTCGCTATCAAAGAAGCATAACCTAATCAAATGTCACAGCTAAGAGCAGGCCTCTATCAGCCAAGAAGACGATATCTTTGCCAAAGCGATGCAAGGAGAAGAGCAGTAGTCACGCACATATTGTCGAAGTCATGCAAGACTCACATGATCTGGCTGGACCGGTCGAGTTTTGCTTCTGGTCGATGAATGGACAGCCTTGTCAATGTGGAAAGTGTTGAGCCAAATTAGTTTCCTGATGCTTCTCAAGGCGATAATGGTACGAATAAGAAATTAGGACATGGAATGATTAATGAGCGAACACTATCAACCAACTACTTGTCTAAAAGATCTAGCGATCTGTAAAGATGTAAATCTTGATCCAGAGTCATTCGTGTGCATTGTGGTTATGAGGCACGGCTTTCGTGTCGATGTTCAGCATGCTAGTGATGACAGGGTCACAAATTTGACGTGCGGACTTGGTCATCTCAAAGTTGCGACTTCCTCACATCCGCGTCGATCTCCTTGGTCTCGATCATCGGACCCTTAGGAACGGCACATAACTTGGCGCCAACTAATTAGTGGGTACCGGCAATAAGCATCAATGTTAGTTCTCTACACCCTCAAAGGAGCACCGAGACATTCCAATTTCGCGAAAGAGCTTGCGTGAAAAGCAGAAGATAAGGAAGGCACAGAATGACGAAGCGAAAAAGCAGAGGAAATCAGGTTTTGACAACCCACTTCCTGAGAATCAAATTCTGTTTGGCAACTTGACCATCTAGCATTAATGAAACAAACGATGTTGACATCCTCCCAAATTTGCTGTCTGAAACCCCTTGACCTTGCTTTTGGCCCGTAATCGTACATATCCTCCCTTCCGATCATCCCATTACAACGCCCGTAGAAGCAGAGATCATTATCGTAAAAGTCGTGTGGTCGTAAAAAGCGTGATCGTCATTTCGACGCGCGCTGAGTTTTGTTGTTGATAGAGCAGGTCCGGTGGTCATACTCTACTCATCGTCGATAGCAGATGCCTCCTCGGACAAAGACTCCATGGACCATCGGCGCTTAATATCGTCGAAGCCCTCAACGGATTCTCGTCTGGATGAACCGATTGGGATGGTGTGTCGTGTGCTTGAGTGTCTGTCTTGGCTGTTGTTGCGTACGCCTGCCGAGGTGGCTGTGGTATCGGGTGTCCAACCCTTGTAGGACTCGGCAAAGGAGTCCACAGACTCGATGCTGTGTCGTCGGTCGTTCAGAATCTCAGAAACAAAACGAACATGTCTGGAAGGAGGAGTTAGCAACAAATTCATGTGGCATCAGACCCAGAAAGAACTTACTTGACAGGTCGTAATGAAGAGCTTGCCGTTGTTGGTGAGAGGGATTCTTGCGAATTGGTTGTGTGCATAGTAAGAGTTGCAGGCATGTTGATGTATTTGGTGGTGTATGAAATTAGACCTTGATGTAGAGATGCGACTGGAAGACGAGCTGGACAGCTATAAGTATTCTTTCCTTGCTGCAAAGTTCTAGAAACCCGATGACGGTGGGTAACTTTCTTGGGGGCCCGATCGAATTTGAGCCGCGCAATCGCCTTGGTGAAAGTAGGGAAAAGAGGAGAAGATTCGCACAGTTGCTACTTGCGAAACCGTAGTCAGGCCGGTGGTGTGATGATAGTTGACAATTGCGGAGAAGTACGGGAACATAAGGCTGCATATGCGAGAGTCAGGTACCAACAGTCAGCCTTTATCAGGCGAGTGATGCAGAAAACCCTAGCATGGATCGCAGAATGGGTGTGTATCGAGCCTGTACTTGAGCACATCTTGTCCAGGGATCATGATCCGTGTGTCAGAGTGGAGAAGTGGTCGTGCAAAAATGAGGCTCTTCGGGAGCTAAACTCTATAGCATCGTGGCCCTGTTGATCGCGGCGACCTACCACATCATTTACTGTGGGTTGAAACACTCATGATGTTCGCATGGCGACGATCTGGTGGCCCTAGAGCAGAGAATTTAGGGATGAAGTCACTAAGTGATTGGGAATGTTCTACACCAGGCTGTTGGTGTCCTGCCAAACATCATGGTTTTGTGCGCCACTCGTATTGCTTGGGCAATTCATCAAAGTGGGACCGGGGAAGGCAGGAGGAATTCGGAGAGCCGGACCAAAGATACGTTCGGCGCATGATCGTTCGCAGGTATCGAAGCTGGGCGCGATGATCGTGCAATCGTCCTATCGTGTTTCTTGTGCCATTCGGCAAAAGAAAGCAAGCCCCTTGGGGTAAGAAGGCGCCTGTCGTCGCAGGAGCATCACATCTTTGAACACTCATACGTTTGACAGTCGCCTTTCGATGATCGTGGATGCTGTCCGTAGGTATCACCAGTTTCAACGTCATGTCAGAGCGCTGGAAGTGATGGACGAAACTTGCGGAAGAAAACTTGGGTTGTTTTCGGAAGCAGCGTCATCGCGAGGGACCGTGCATGACCGACTCAGAACATTCCTCTCATCCTCCACCACACATTTGAGCACTCCACCGTGTTACCTATCCGGACCCTGGTGCCGATTCAAGTGCTTAACACAAGGAGGCTCTTCGTTTAGGTGCAGAAAGATAGCGTAGAAGCTAGGCGTGGTTCTCATACGTGCCCTCATACATTCCCGTGTACAAGCACTGCCACAAAAGCGTGTGCTTTCTTTTCTTATTAGGAAGGTGCAATCGTTGCCCTTATTCCCAGACTCAGTGTCATAGCGACACATCATTGTACAGTGAACGCTGGACGATCGATTGTTAGTCCTCCCCTATTCTTCCCAGCCCGTCACCTTGATCTCCCTCGAGCCAACCCTCCTGGCCTCCTCGTTCAGCGCCTCGATCTCTGCCTCGACATAAGGAATTCCTGATCGACTTCTTTCCTCATGTACCAATTGCTCCAATTCCCCAGGCATGTAAATTCGGTCAACTCCAGCCATCTTGTCAGAGCCGACAACTCGTTGATAGAGGTATTCCATTCTCTCCTTGAAGTCCTCCATGCTCATGAACAGATCCGGTTTGATAGCAACCAGGAAATGTCCAACATCTGCTGGCCGTGAAGGGTCGTAGGGATTAGTGACATGGCCAGCGAAGGCAGATCCGGATAGGACTCCGCTGAAGACATCCATCATAATGGCCAGTGCGCTACCTTTCGGACCGCCCATGGGAAGCATGACTCCCTCAAGAGCCGCCGATGGGTCGTCCGTCTGTCGGCCTTCGGCATCTAGTGCCCAATCTTTTGGTATTCTCTCACCACGGCGCTTCGCTTTATAAATCTTGCCCCGAGCTGCAATGGACGGCGCCATATCCAGAATAAATGGATGTTCGTTTCCTGGAGCTCCACAAGCGATAGGTGATACTCCCATGAGCTTTGACTTTCCTCCCCAGACCGGTAATGCTGGAGATGAGTTGGTGAAAACAAGAGATATGAGACCGGCGTCCAAAGCCTGCTGGACCACCCATGCCGACATCCCGAAGTGATTGGAATGTTTCACCGACACCATGCCGATACCGAATACCTTGGCCATATCAATCGCCTTAGCCATACCAAGTTTCGCAGAGACAAATCCGAATCCGTTCTTGCCGTCGACTTGAGCAACAACAGGAGTAATTTCCTTCAACTCTGGCTCTGCTTTCGGATCTAGCACACCTTGCCTGATGCGAGCCACGTAAGATGGAATTCTGTTGACGCCGTGGGTATCGACACCTCGCAAGTCTGCAGCAACCAGACAATCGGCGACTATTGAGGCATGCTCTGGAGAGACTCTATTCACCTCCAGTATCGACTTGACATATGCATGTGCTTCGGCTGACGGTATCCTGGCCTTTCGAGAGCTGATTTGTTCGTCGGACATTATTAGAACTGAGAAAACGATCTTTGATAATTGGTACTGTGAGATAGTCGCGAAGGCTGCTGCTCGAACTCCAGGATGCCAATTTTGATCAAAAGGCAAGTTTGAACAAGCTGTAAATTGATTGGTGGGGCTTCAATTGCCGGAGTCCGTCCCGAGCTCCGTTAGGTGTCGTACCATAAATCAGCCAGCGAGGTCATGAGAGATCATGTCTTACAGACTCTCTCAAGTAAAAACATACATGGAAGGAGTTATTGCTAAGCCTTTAAACGCCGGAGCAGAAAACAAACACATCATAGAGTGGTATTGCTCGGTTAAAATCATACCGAGCGTCCTGGAGAGAAGTGCGGAGGGGATGTGGGGCGTGCCCAATCACATCACACAATTGATCGATGATGACCACCTCGGTGACCACGATATCTCACCAACTTGTCAGGTTAATCACGAACAAACAACAACAACATGGAAGGTGAGGAGATCAAAGTCGACCCTCAAGATGATTACGATCTCTCGAGACCATTGACGGCCACTACTGGATTACGGCAAGGACTTACATCATATGGCGATGCACACTTCTCCTTGTTCTTACGGAAAGTCTTCATCAAGGCAGCTGGATATGGAGAGGATGCTCTATCAAGGCCAATCATTGGAATTATCAACACACACTCCGGCTTCAACCCTTGCCATGCCAATGTTCCGCAACTGATGGAAGCCGTCAAGCGAGGCATACACCTTCATGGAGGCCTTGCTATCGACTTTCCCACCATCAGCATTCATGAAGCCTTCGCATCACCTACGAGCATGTACCTTAGAAATCTCATGAGTATGGACACCGAGGAGATGATTAAGGCACAGCCTCTGGACGCTGTCGTGGCAATAGGAGGCTGCGATAAGACTGTACCAGCGCAACTGATGGGAGGTATATCGGCAAACAAGCCGATATTACCCCTTGTGACTGGTCCAATGATGCCAGGATCTCATAGAGGTACCCGTGTAGGTGCGTGTACGGATTGCCGAAGCAATTGGGCTGCCTACAGAGCGGGTGAGATTGACATGGAAGACATCGCTGCTGTCAATGATGAGCTCGCACCCACTGTAATTTCGTGCCTCCGTATAGTGATAACCTGCTGACTTTTACCAGTCAGGAACGTGTGGTGTGATGGGAACAGCGAGCACCATGGCCTGTGTGACTGTGGCCCTCGGACTTATGCCCTTTGATGGCGCATCTGCGGCTGCAGTCTCCTCAGCTCGCCTAAGAATTGCAGAACAGACCGGCTCAAACGCAGTCGCGGCGGCAGCCGCCCAAAGATCTCCACAATCGATACTTACTAAGGAATCGTTCCTCAATGCCATTACTGTGCTCCAGGCTATCGGAGGGTCAACCAACGCCGTAGTTCATCTTATGGCCATTGTAAATCGACATCCGCAAGTCGCTGGCTCAATCACTTTGGAAACGTTTGACGAAGTTGGAAGAAAGACGCCGCTCCTCGTTGACCTCAAACCAAGCGGTGATAATTATGTGCGTGATAGTAGCTGTCGATTGTGCCGAGGCTATGCTGACGGGACAACAGATGACAGATTTCCATAATGCTGGCGGCATGCTAGCTTTGCTGCACACACTCAAGCCGCTATTACACCTGGAAGCAAGAACAATCCATGGCAAGACTCTTGGAGAGGAACTTGAAGCCACCCCATTCAAGCCTTTCAAGTATTCGAGCGACCTAATCAGACCGCTCTCGAACCCTCTGTATGCTGAATCTGCGCTTGTAGTTCTGCGAGGCAATCTTGCTCCTCGAGGAGCAGTCATGAAAGCAGCTGCGTCGAAAGAGAGACGTCTACTAAGCCATACAGGTCGTGCTGTGGTCTTCAAGAACACGGCTGATATGGCGCTGCGCATTGATGACCCAGATCTACCAGTGACGAAAGACTCTGTATTGATATTGCAAGGCGTCGGACCTGTCGGAAATCCTGGTATGCCAGAAGCGGGAGTCATCCCAATACCTCGCAAGCTAGGCGCTCAAGGCGTCAAAGACATGTTACGCATGTCAGACGGGAGAATGTCTGGCACAGCTGGTGGCACGATCGTGCTGCATATTTCCCCAGAGTCTGCGCAGCCAGATTCGGTATTTGGATGTGTTGAGGATGGTGACTTGATCGAATGCGACGTTGAGAAGAGGCTTCTTCGGTTGCATGTCTCGGACGAAGAGATCGCAAGACGAATTGCAGTGCGAACAGCAGCTAAGAAGAAGGAAGACTTTACGACGAAGAGAATCCGTGGCAAGCAGCGTGGATATCGTGGTCTCTACGAGCGAAGCGTAAACCAAGCTGAGGAAGGTGCCGACTTCGATTTCCTCACTGCCCTTGGTCCTGCCTAGCTCATACATGAATCATGATTTGACGAGCGCAGTATATCGAATGTCACTTCATAGTCTCATTGGTATTCACAATTTTCCGTGCATTACCTCAACGTCCACACATGGTGTTGGAGTATCTTTAATTCCCATGGCTTGAAGGTATGCCACGCTGTGTAGTGCTGATACTGATGTTCCTGTGATCATGGGAGTCTCGGTAATTCCACATATAACTTCAGACACATGAAGAGCTTCAGACTTCTCTCCAATAGGTGCCATCGATTTGTAAATGACATGTTGGGGTGTTGGCAAAAGAAGATGAAGAGGTCCATCGCAGTTTCTCAAGAGTTTCGGCATCACCCCGAAATGCCTCCTTGGCATCTAAGCTCTGTCTGCCTTAAGAAACCAAGCCACTTTTTCTGCCTTTTCGGTGAAGACAGGGAGTGTGACCGCTCTCCCAGCCGTCTTTCAAAAAGGACCCGACAGTGCAAATCACGGCCGAGTTTTGTCGCAAGAACATCAAGAGCTTGCGCGTCCTCTGAGATTCTAGCGGCATCAATCGAGGCTCTCACAACGGCCTGCGTCTCTCTGATTGGTTGATTTTACGACGAGAGCCTCAATCTGAACTCTTGAGGCTTGACAGTTGCCAGAATCGAGTCAAGTGCGACCCTAAATATAAGCAATTGACGGAAACCGTCTAGACAAGCAACTCGGCCGAAGAATATATGCGGATCAACTTGACGATCGTTCTTGCAGGAGAGACCAAGTTCGGCTGTTAGCAAGAATTAAACCGCGACACTGCCACTTGTTTGGACTTTAGCGACCAACCGCGTGCGAGATCTGATCCCTCCGCTGTGGTACTTTTGCGGAGATACGAGCCAATATGCATGGTAACGTCGAAAGGTAAACAGGTCTGCTGTACCGCAGCCCCCTCATCCTGCGCCAAGATGCAAGACATGCTGCTCCGAGCCATGCATATAAGAATCAATGCTCCCCTCTAAGTAGATGTCGACGTCTTTTGTACACAAAAGCCTCTAGCAAAATGGCCACCTCAACTCCTTCGGACCTCCCAACTAACAGGAAGACCGCTTGGTCTCGAAAGGTCCTCATTCCACTATGGACATTGCAGATTGCAGGCGCGCTTTTAACCATTGGTGGCTGCATGTGGTACCTGGGCGACTACGATGGCGAGTTCGGCTTGTCATATAGCTATACCTCGAATTTGGAAATACACCAGTCAGTATCCTATCTATACCGCAAGACCAAATGTTCACAGTACTTACGAACAATCCCAATAGTCTTTCTCGTGCAACATTCGGATACGTTTCAGCGGTCATTCTGATTTTTCTCTGGGCCATTGCTCTAGCGATCATCGCCTTCCAAATCGTCAGATATCACAGAAAGAATCTCCCTGCCAAAACGATGCTCACTTCGCAATACATCCTCGGTGTTTTCGCGACTATCTGCTTCCTGATCGAGTTCCTTGGACTGTTTGGGATAATCCGCGGTGGATATAAAACGTTCTACGACTTTCTTGGAGTTGTCATTGCCACGTAAGTTCAAGTGCTTTATGGTTGTCGATGAGGACGAGTGGCTAAAGTTTGGACAGATTGACTATCTGGGGCACTATGATATACACCGGTGTCATTCGTCATCGACGCAAGCTGGCAAAGAGAGAGTCCAAGAATACGTATGGCATGACGGACTTTGACGGAGAAGCTGGTCCAGGCAAGAACAACGCAAGAGTCGAGGTTGTCAATTAGAAGTCGAGATGAAGCTTCGAACATGGTTCTAGAGAATGTTCACGCTTCTGCCATGCTGCACGGAATATGCATAAGAAGCTTGCTTGATGGTATCACGATGACAGTTCGTTATTAACGACAGTAGTTTAATCATAATGCGTTGCCTCCTGTCTCTATCGTTGCTATCAGGATGAGCGCGAATGCTCGGACACATATGTCAGGCCAGGGTATCTAAACAATTAATCCTCGGAACAGAAAGGGAACGACTCCGCTCTAAACATCGGAGTTTTTAGGTCTAACGTCGGAGAGTTCTACCGATGTAGACTCGTGGGTGTGGCTCTTGAGCAATTTGCCGTTGCGGGTGGACAAGTTCCCATAGAGGCCCAGCTTGGTCTCGGTAATCCATTCACGGAGTTTGATCAGGAAGTGGACGATGACGAAAACCACAACTGCAGCGGCCAAGATACCGATACAAGCTCCTGCAATTAGACCTCTTCCATTCCGACTATTCGACTCGTTAGCATTGGCAGAAGTAAACTGGCGGAAAGGTACCTACGGGTCCAAGAATGGGTAAACGTAGAAGTTTTGGGTCGAGTGCGTGAGGTATGCAAGTCCAAGGTAAAGCGCCAGCAAAATAACCAGAGGCAAAATGTTCAACCAAGGATGCGGAAGCGTACGCGGGATCACAATCTCGCCAAACGCCATGACAGAGTTGAGTGCATGTTGAGAAATATTCGACCAAGTCGTCCATTCATTGGCAAATGCTCCGTTGGACAGAGCACCCCAGAAGACAGCTTATCAGAAAAGAGTCAGCGTTGGCCTTTGCTGTATAACGATTTTATTGCAACGCCCTTACCGGTTACGACAAATGGAAATACTGTGACGGTGGCATAGAACACAGAGTGCAGCCATTGAAGAGACCTAGGCCATTTCTGCAGCCAGGATTCGCCGTAGAGCCAGAAACTTGCCGAGTGTGCGCAGGAGACGGCGTAGTAAAATGCGAGACCCCAGTATCCCAATACCGTGAAGTAGCTGAAGGATCGACCTGCATCGCGACTGCCTTCATGTCCAAGACTGATAAAGATGACGATGAAGGCGTAAAAGGCGACAATGGCGCGCCATATCGCGAGTTGAAGAGGTGAGAGGAACCAGGATGTCGCGAAGCGCGAGGTGTATTCGTTCGTAGTGGCGAGGCGGTAGGGCTCCCGCACCAATCTGTCAAACATCGTGTCTCGGCAACTCCAAAGAATCCGCGTCCAGATAATGTATACCGAAGCCTTGCAAGCAAGGGAGAGAAGAATGCCTTATGCCAGTCGAGGAATATTTGATTCGAGGCAATAAAGAGGATGGGAAAATATCGAGTAAATTAGACGACGATAATCGATCACGGTTAAGCGATCAACGAGCGGGAAGCACATCACTTTATTTATATGAACCCAAATAGCGCCTCGCGGCCTGGAAGCCTTATTTTTTGAGTTCGCAACCACGTTTTTACTGGTCATCAGATCCGATCATAATCTTCCTAATACTGAAACACATGTTTGGGTTGTTATAGCTATCGGTAGAGACGAGAACCTTGGGCGAAGTCAGGTGGGTGAGAACGGATGGGCTGCGGCATTCAAAATTAACTACGAACTCTACTCGTCACGCTACACGAATCGATCAATGCGTCAATATTTGTATTGACTTGCTACAGCGCTTTGTTTGAAGGTGGAAGCAATGTTTTCCTTGCTGTCGCGGTACAAAGAGAATACGGCGCCTTCGAAAGTGTGGCGGGCCGTTGTGCTAAAACTGTCATAAGCAAGTCACCATGTTTCATTCATGCTTCTTCGCTTCATCATCCTTCACGAGCGATCCTTCATCAGACCGCAGAGTGTGCAACACCACCACATGTGCTCCACAAAGGTCCCGCACTCGCGACAATGCCATCCCGGGGTTTCTTTCTTAGCCTCCCTTTTATCTGCGTATGCTGGCGTTGGTTGCCCATTGTTTTTGCGGCCGACAGTGCCAGAGGGAGCAGGCGAAACCATGAACGCTGGGCGCTCCACACCGCAGGCATCACATGCCAAATGCGTCTGCAAGTTGATACAAGTGCACACTTGACATGCCCAGCTGCCGGACTTAGGTGGCGGGTGTAGGATGGGCTTTTATGCAGGACCCTCATTCTCATCTTCATCGTCCCCGGTCAGGTCGATGAAGGGCGTATCCTTTCTGTCCATCGTTTGGAGTGGTGGCTTCGTTGGAGGAGGAACTTTGTTGAGAGTCTGATCATCATCATCGTCTATGGAGAGCGGACGCTTTCGGGAGTGACCATCTTTGAGACTTTCCTGCAGTGCCCACTCCAGTTGTTCTTCCTCGTTCCGAGGTGCATCACCACCAGTCAAATCTGGTCCTGTCGTGGCAAGACCATGCTCTTTAGACCAGGTCAAACCACCGGTTGGTGAAGGTGTGCTGAAAGTGCCCTTCATTTTCTGTGCTTCTTCTTCCTCCATCAGATCCATCAATGCCTCGGCAATAGCGCGATTGTTAGCATCGTCTTCTTCTGCCTTGGTCTTGAATGTGTGTCTGCCGGCTTGTTCTGCCAGGTTGTTGGCCTGAGCGGTACCGGATGCGCAACCGCGATCAACAGTAGCCCTTCGATCTGCTGCATCCGCCAGAATCTTGCGAAGATCTGCTCCTTGAGGTACTCTCTTTCCACCAACAGTCCTGCCAGATCCCTTTTGGAGTACTCGGCGCTTCTCCGCATTGGCGCGTGCCAAACGCCTCATTTCATGCTGTGGAGGCACGGGGCCACCACCGAGCTTCTTACCGCCAGTCAAGAAACCTTCACCAGTGTAGCCTCTGAGGACAAGGGTTTCGTGGTCGTCTCTGAGCTCGTCCCAGAGAGCGTGGAAATTGGAGTCATGGTCGCCGAAGATGATATGAGACAGCTCGTGTAGAAGCGTGTCGACGCATTCTTCAATTGGTAGGAAGGTTCCCGGGTTATGTGTATAGCGAAGGCGTACACAGATCTTGAAGGTCTTGTTGATATTCAGGCCCAGTAAGCGCTGATCATCAGGGAGGAACTCAGTCAGGACCTTGACCTTCCAAGAGCGCTTCCTCATGAGAGGCTTGACGAGAGATGCTATCTTTCGCAGGCGGAGAAGTGCTTCCTCGGGCTGGGGACAGTCCATAAGATGTTCGTAGGAGCCAAAAAGCGAATCATGTTCTTGAAAAGACGACGGATATGATTTTTGGTGGTTCGAAGGACCACCAATCCTGATGTTGTTACCACCAGGAAACATTGTGGCTTTGAAAAGTGTCAGTGTCTCTTCGCGGCGCAGAAGGAGTCAGTGGTGAGAAGCGGTGGTGCAAGAAGCTGATTGCTGCTGTGAACGTGCACCTGTAGCAGGATCAGTGACTCTCAGAAAGTGCATTCACAGCGTGCCAGGGTCTTTTCGATTCCATCACGTTGAGATACAATGCTTGGTGTTGAGTTGTTACAACACGACAAGGGCCGGTTGAAGTTATTTGAGACTTCGTAAGCAGTGGCGAGGCCGCACAACACACGACCAACCTAGATGGAAGGCGCCAAGACGACTACGACGATGGATTGCGTGTTAGCAGTCTCAGGCATTTTTTGGAAACGCGCTCTACGGGTGTAAGGCAAGTGCTTTGCTTATGAAGATCAACGATTCACTGCGAGAAGAGCAGGAGTGCAGGTTCATGGCAGGGCAGGGCCGGGTTGGCATCGAAGAGATTAATTGAGACAAGCACTCGGCAGAGTTGCCCTGTTCGAGACCCCGCATCATACCATGACGGTGTTTTCTGAACCAAGTCGCGACACCTGAATTTATCAAAGCTGCACACGACAACATCGGCATCCAAACATGACTGATGCGCAATTCCTATTTGACTCGGCGCGACAGCAATACAACGACTTCGCGGGAGGCGTGGAAAGACATTTCGAGAATGTCGCGACACAATTGAAAGACTGGCTACCCGAGCAAATGCGCCCTCGTCCGCCTCCGCCACCACGCAGACTCACTCCTGCAACTTACTGGAACCAAGTAAACCGCTGGGTTTCGGACAACACCGCACTGAGTGCTGGTATCCTTGCTTTCGTGGGTACTGGTGCTGTACTGGTTTTCATACAAAGAACCACACATGTGAAGAAGAGAAGAGCTAGGAAATCCAACGGCGGTGCAAGAACAGAGGCTGTCGGTATGTTGGAGCCGTACAAATGTTGTGGGAAAGAACACACTGAACTCATGTCGCAGTACTTGCTGGTTCTCCGACCTCGCCCTTGACCACTGCCATAGCCTTGGACCTCGAGCGTCGTGGTTTCATTGTCTATGTCGTGACGAGCAATACCGAAGATGAAACCCATATTCGCAAGCAGTCTCGTGTAGACTTGCTTCCCTTCAACCTCGATGTTCCTAATGTGAGTTTTTCTCGATGGTCGACACAAGACATTCTGACCGACCTTGCGCAGCCTGGCGAAGCTGAGGGCCAGATGCAACGCTTCCATCATTTCCTATCTCGCCATCATCATGCCTTTGAAGGCGCCTCTTCGCATCGTTTGACGCTAGCTGGAGTCATCCTCGTCCCAGATATCTCATCAGTAGCGGCAGGATCAATCTTACAGCTTTCGCCAGAAGCCTGGTCAACAGCTTTGAACGCCAAAGTCCTGCACACTATTACCGTCGCGAAGTACATGCTTCCCCTTGTAACAGAGTTCAAGAGCCGGATACTTCTACTCACACCGAATGTTGTCTCATCGCTACGACCACCTTATCGTGCCATCGAAAGTACAGTCTCCTCGGCGCTCGGCGCATTTGCTTCCTCCCTATCATCAGAGCTCAGCCTCCAAGGGCTGCACGCTTGCCACTTCAAGCTTGGAAACATCGAGATTGCCGGCAGCAAACAGAAAAAGGATGACAGCAAGAGAGTCAGGGGTACATCGATACGGAAACTGCACGAGTCGATATTTGATGCGTTGCACAGCAGCAAACCCAGTCGTACATGGCACGTTGGCAGGGGCAGCTTGATCTATGAGCTGATCGGATCGTGGATCCCTGGTGGAGTTGTGAGTTGGATGATGGGATTGCAGCAGGTCCCCAGAAACGACGATCAGCAAACTCCTGAATCCGACGATTCATCAAGCGATCGATCAATTACTTGGGAGAAGGTCTAGGAGTCAATTTCTTCCCTCATGTTCGGCTCGTAGACAAGCTCTCTCTTGCAGAACAGCAGGCTCTTTCTCGGTTGGACGAGGACTGGTGATGAATGTGGTAGTAAACGGGCAGCAGAGAAATAATGAAATGGTTCGTCGACGACCAAGATTGGAAGGCGGGTCCCAGACGCAGGGACGCTGAGCAGTCCGTCCGGGATGCAACGTTACAACGGTAGTACATGCTGTGAAATGACGATTGAAGACATGGTCAATCTATTCTCGAACATCTGCTTGTTTGCGTGGTAAAGTGCCTAATCACCTACATCGAACAGGCCGAATCAGGAGAGGTGTTGTTGCGACTGCGCACGAGAGTCTTGTCAAAGCAAAACAAAAGTGGGGTTGAAGCCGAGGCTCAAGCCAACCAAGCCACTCTTCGAAGACGTGGAAAGCACACGAGTGATGGCAACTACAAAGCATGGCCAGTGCAAGCGAAGACGGTTTGCTCAGCCTGCCAATTGACGTAGAAGAGAGACCGGGGGATAGTGGAAGATGGTTGAATTGAGATTGTTGCTATGCGGGCAACGCAACCAAAACAGACATTGCACAAACGGGCAGAGGGATGAACCATGAAGGTCTCCCAAGCGCACGGCAAAAGAGAGGACCGTTTTCCAGGGTCCCGTACAAAATAGAGCGGCGCCGCAAGGTTATTATTTGTAGCAAAAGTCACGGGGGACGACCGTCTCTCCGTCTTGGTAGATTTGACTAGCCTAATCAACGCATCGTATTCCACCGCCGTCCTCTGCTTGACGGGGCTTCGTGCTGTTTTGCATCTCTTCGCACCTTCCACATCCACGACGCCTTGTGTTGTGTTGTTCTCCTTCGCGCTGTACTCACGCTCCTTTGCATCTAAGCGGCAACCTTCATAGCGTCTCATCGCCACGCTCTTGGCTCGACGGCAGTTCATCTTGATCTTCCAATTCCACTCCTTTTCTACTGCACCCCGCGAATACGAATTAGCCAGCACTCTAGTCGACCTCGTCCCTGCACGCAATCTTTCTATTTTGACGACATTTGATTCGTTCTATGCACCTGTCTTGGCCGCCGGCGACACTCACCCTTGCAGAAAATAAAGACATTGCCGACTGCATTGTAGGGCACCCAATTAACACTTTCTGGAAGAGCAATTAATCTGGAACCCCACTCATTCCCTGGCAAACATGGCCAAGCGACCACAAAACCTCGATCTGAGCGGTGCGAGAGGTCACGACCGCCTTCCCAGTCGCACCCGCCCAAACTTCCACATGGACCTACCGTCGCCTCGAGCCGGTGAAATCCCGCCGGCTCTGTCTCCCCTCGATGCCTTCGCCCTGCACTCTCGCGCCCTGGCTAGGAAACTGGAAGAGAGCTCTAAGGCCGGAAGACGCATGAGCAGGCTGCCACACCAGGACATCGCCGACGAACTTGCGAAACGACCCGGCTACTTCAGATCGGTTTCGAGCGGAGTTGAAAGTCTGTACGACGAGGATCAAGAGGAGGACGAGGATGACTATGACGAGGAAAGATACCAACCACCACGGTTACAGGCTCAGACACCGAACGGTGCCGTGTACCGCCCTGTATCGCATTATCCTATGCTAGGCAATGTTGTCCGAGACGACCAAGACATTCCCAATGTTCCCGCGCCTATCAAGGAAGCAGAGACTGAACACGAAGAGAAGGGATATTTTGGTATCGAGGTTCCGCGTTCCTCTTCTCCGGAGCCCTTTGACTCGCGAAACATCAAGAACGACGAAGCCTCTCCCGCCTTACCCAGTCTCACCAGTAGCATCGATTCAATCCAGTCTTCGCAACCCAGGACTTTGACTAATGAATCATCCAAGAGACAAGACAACAGCCTTGCGCTACCGAGATCACCTGTTCATCCAAGATCAGCACGTAGTATCGCGAGCATCCGATCTGTTATCGACAGTGCTGAGGAGGACAATGGTAGCCCCTCTGGCTCACTCGAGGTGGGCCCATCTAGGAAGGCTCGTACTCCTTTCAGTCCGGAAATGCTGCCTGTTTCTCGTTCTCCTTCCGCTTTGTCTGAATATTCCGTCGCTTCAGATCTGCCCCGACCCTCTTTCAACTTTTCAAGACCTCGTGGCAACTCGACCACTCGGCCGGGCGCCGAGAACAAGCTCTCTGTAGATACTCATCGTGCTCTCGAACGCCAGGCATCCAACGACTCTTCCGTATTCCAGACCGTCAGGAGCGCAAACTCCAACCAGACTATGCGAGTCAGGGCGCCTGTTGAACGTCAAAACTCAGATAGCGCAACTGATATCTCAGGCGCACTGTCCGACAGAGATTGCTTCAGCGGCGAAGAGACACCCATTGTCCAACCAGGTCCGGGCGCACCATCTTACGTATATTCCAAGTACTCGTTGCCTCGTGGTCGTATGCTTGACAGAGATTCGGTCGAAGCAGCCAGGGCCTCGTGGGCTCAACATCAGTTCAAATGGGAACAACAGCCAATGGGGCTGGAGCCAAAGATAGTCGAGAGCCCTCTACCCAGCCCGAACTTGGAGAACCCCATGCTGAGCCCTGGCGGGCCTCGTACACCGCGCGGACAGAGTCCTGCACCAGGGCCGAATCGCAATCGCTCGGCGGAGCGTCTGGCTCCTTCGCCCGGTCGATCTCCCAACAAAGCTACAGTAACAGCACCATCAATTGCATCCGAAAGTACAGGTCGCACGATACGGGCTGGATCGCATATGCGAAACAGCCCATCCACTGACATAGCTGGTCTATCACCAGAGCAACATCTCGAAAAAGGCATAGAATGCCACTCTTCAGGCTCCCTCAGCAAATCAACATACCACCTTCGTCTGGCCGCTAGAGCCGGACTCCCTACAGCGATGCTTCTTTACGCTCTTGCTTGTCGACACGGCTGGGGCATGCGTCCCAACCAAGCTGAGGGCGTCTCGTGGCTTAGACGTGCAGTCGACTCGGCTGGAGTCGAGTTCATTGAGGACGGAACGACTGATGGCTCACAGGCCGTATCAAAGGAGCAAAAAGCCCGCAAAGCCCAATTTGCACTTGCCATTTATGAGCTTGGCATGTCGTATATGAACGGGTGGGGTATACCCAAGGATAAGCCTCTTGCTGTCAGGTGTTTTGAGATCGCCGGCAGCTGGGGCGATACCGACGCGCTCGCCGAAGCAGGATTCTGTTATACCCAGGGCGTGGGATGCAGAAAGGATCTCAAGAAGGCAGCAGAGTTCTACCGCCAGGCTGCGGACAAGGGTATGAGCATGGCTGGTAACAGCTGGTACGTTTGGAATAAAAGCCTTGGAATTTCCAGTTGACTAACATTCTCACAGGATCTACAAACCCAAGTACATGCCTGATCCACCTCCGAGGGAAGAGACTCCAGAGCCTGTAAAAAAGTCTCGTGGCAGATCCAGAACGCTGTTTGGCCGCAAGAAGGCAGCGGCAGCCTCATAGGCTCACAACAAGTCATACGTCTCATTTGTTTTTGGGACATCAGATGCAGCATCTCATCTGTTCAACTTCTTCCGCGTCCAAGCGACGCATTTTCTGGTTTCAATGTATATATTTTTCCAGCCAACATTGGTTTCTACACATGGATGACATGAGGGGTGTTGGGGGTAGGCAGGTTGTTCTCGAACAAATGGGTTCGTTAGAGCAGACAGGAATGGCGTTTGCAAGACGTCAGATGGAGGGCTAATGTTTAACTTGATAGTTTTCGCGTCAGAATGCAAGTACATTGTGATGGCCAAAGAAACAGTGCACCATGTTTGTTTGAAGCATTTTTTGACAAAGCGCTGAGGACGTGGATGTTTTAACCTTTGCTAAACATAGCCATCGCCCAAAGCCAAGGGTTCGACGGAGATTCGAGCGGAGATATGATGCGGCTTAGGGCATCCACAGGGCGAGCTAGACCAGTAGCCGCCGGCCTCCGTACGACGATGCACAAGTCATCCTCGACTCTTGACATGGTTTCTGAGCTCTAGGCATCGCCTTCTCGAAGACATATCCTTCTTCCCTTGGACATTACAAGACACGCCTGCAGACCTTTGACACCCAACTGCCGACCTGCTCCTGCTTCAGCCGGATGAAGTCATAGCCTCGACCCTCTTCACTCTTCGAACATAGACATGGCCGACTACAACTCGACCGCACGCGCTCTTGCACTCCCCGTAGACGACACTGAACGTCGGTCTCAATCCAATTCGCCCGTCTTCTCCCGCCGGTCCACGTCAGTACCGCGTTCGACCCGTCGTGGAAATGCAAGCGGCCTGTTAGCTCAGGCGGCCAAGCTGCAACGCAATGCTGTCAAGACATTCTTCGGCCTCAGTCCCGCGAAACGAATATTGCTGTCAGTCGGTGCTGTGGTAGCTTTCGTGCTCGGCGTCCTGTTCCTGGTCTTTAATGAGAGGATCTTCCATGCCATGTCGCCCGTGGCTGAACGATGGAGGAACATCACTTGTGGCTGGATGATCCTATGGGCGGCGACATTCCTGGTCAGCTTCCCCCCACTGATTGGCTACTCTACCTGTGTTACTCTGGCAGGATTTGTCTACGGGGTGTGGAAAGGGTAAGTTTTTGTCTCCTCGATTCCGCATGTCGGCTTAGATGCTAACTACATGGCAGATGGCTCATCGTCGCTTCGGGCACCATCATTGGCAGTACGGCCTCGTTCCTCGTGTCGCGCACACTCCTTAAGTCGTATGTGACTCGACTCACGGAAAACGACAAGCGTTTCGCAGCACTCGCTCTGACGTTGAAACACGACGGCATCAAACTCTTGATGATGATCAGACTCTGTCCGCTACCATACTCACTCTCGAACGGAGCCATCTCTACAATCCCCACAGTGCAATGGCCGCAATTCATGATAGCAACGGCAGCGGCAAGTCCCAAGCTGTTCTTGCACGTTTTCGTGGGCAGCCAGCTCGGACGCATTGCCGACAGCGGAGACAAGATGGACGCAAAGACAAAGGCTATCAGCTATCTGAGTATTGCGATTGGACTTACAGCAGGTTTGGCTACTGGCTTCATCATGTACACCAAGACAAAATCCAGGGCTCGCGAGTTGGAGGCCGAAGAGCGTGAAGCTGCTATCCGTGGTGAAGCACCGGATGGAGACGAGTTTGAAGAGGAAGGTAGATACGAGTACTCGGACGACGCTATGGAGAGAGAAGCGACTGAAGCAATCCGTGGAGACGACGGTATCAGTCTGCGCAGTGATCAAGAGTATAGGGACGACTTTGACGATGACGCAGATGATGCTCAAGACTTGGACAAGGTCTTCCGACATGGCGATGGAGACGAAGAGGAGGGCTTCAGGGATAGTCAGGATAGGCGTTAGTCGGCTATAGAATGGAATTATACATTTCTAGAGAAGATGATGGTATACTACAAGTCTTGGCAGATCGACGTCAACGGACAGGACGCGAGCCGCAGGGTCTTGGGTAAAGCAGGAGACACGCATACGTAACTTTGACCACTTTGTACCATTCTGCCATCCTGCAACTATAACCATGTCGGCGACAATGACTTCTTACGTGGTGGATACGCTGTGGCAGCTCACCAACTGCTTCAACTGCTTCCCGAGCAATCCGGCGCTCAAGATCAATGGTCGGTCATACAAGATCCTCCGTCTGCTGGGAGAGGGTGGCTTCTCATACGTCTACCTGGTCCAATCACCGCCGTCGCCGAACCTCTACGCCTTGAAGAAGATTCGCTGTCCATTTGGTGCCGAGTCGGTCGCGCTGGCTCTCAAAGAGGTCGAAGCATACAGCCTGTTCCAGCCACACCCGAATATCATCCACGCCCTCGACCATGCCGTCATTCCGGATCGCAGCGACCCTTCAGCGAAGACCGTCTATATCCTTCTACCATACTACCGTCGCGGCAACCTACAAGATGCGATCAATGCCAACCTTGTCAATGGCGCCAAATTCCCGGAGCGCAGACTGATGGTCTTGTTCCGCGGTGTCTGCGTCGCACTACAAGCAATGCACAACTACAAGGTTGGAGGAGCTCCGGGAGGGAAGAATGCACAGTCAAAAGCAAAGCGGGTGCGCGCCGACGCTGCAAGAGCCGACAGAGGAGAGGATCATGGCGACGATGATGACGAATTGGGCGATGCTGAGCCCTTGATGGAGGGTGAGATCACCATGGCACAAGAAGGCATGTCCGAGGGCCAGGTCAGGGCATACGCTCATCGCGACATCAAGCCTGGCAAGAAACATGCAACTGAAACATACCACATTCACAAGACTAACCTCGCTCAGGCAACATCATGATCTCGGACAACGGCCAATCACCCATCCTCATGGACCTTGGCTCATTAGCCCCCTCACCTACACCAATCACATCTCGCGCTCTCGCATTGCAAGTTCAAGACACAGCCGCCGAACACAGCACCATGCCCTACCGCGCCCCTGAACTCTTTGACGTAAAGACCGGCTCCACCATCGACACAAAAGTAGACATTTGGAGTTTGGGATGCACATTATACGCCTGTCTAGTCGGCAAGTCGCCATTCGAAGCCCGTAGCGAAGAGACTGGTGGAAGCTTGAGTCTCTGTGTCTTGGGTGGAGATTGGAGATTCCCAGACGAGCACAACGCACAAGCAAACAAGAGCAGAGGAAAGCAAAAGATGCCTACAAACTCAGACTCGGCACCGGCCCAAGACGCTGCTGTGAGTGAGATGGTCAAGGATGTTGTAAGAAGATGTCTTATGGTTGAGCCTTCCGAGCGACCAGATGTCAATGAGTTGCTCACAATGGTCGATGATGTTATCGCCGCTCTACCAGAAGATGGGGATTCATTGGAGGAGTAGATTTTGATGGTAGCCTGAAAGGTCATCTTTCTTTCTTAATGCATGTACGATACTGAATCTTAGATGTCATGCTAGCGTGAGCTGGCTCACTGCGACATATCACAACAAACATGCAAGGTGCTTATGAGACAAAGTATCAATAAGTGCCATTTCTAGAATGTTTCCTGCTGCCTACTCTAGGCCCACCAGATTCCGTGGACCAAACAACATGCATACCGAAAGAGGAAGGTGCGGGGTGGGGCTCTCCAGCTTCCCCTCGAAGCCTAGCGTACGAGTCACGTTTGCGTATATATCTACCTTGATGTCCGTCAATTCGCATTGTGTCTTCTCCGACCCAAATCAACACAATGACTGTCAGAGCTCAGAAATTCACACCAGAGGTATTGCTCTCGGCACCGCGCCGGTCAGCAGGCGTACCCAATGCCGACGGCTCTTCAGTTCTCTACACCACCAGCACATACTCATTCGAAACTCACGCTAAGACCGTCGAGTTGAGATCTCTGGATACTAAGACCCAGGAAAGTAGATTGTTGCTGCAAGATAACAGCATCAGCGAGCCGCTATGGTTGCCTGGCGAGAAGGAAGTATACGCTTGCCTCAAGAGCGAGGACAAGGGCAAGACTTCCATCCTCATCTCCATGATCATGGCTGGATCTTCTTGGAAGGAGTCTACATATACTGCTGGGTCAATTGATGCTCCTGCGAGTAGCTTGAAGATTACGCAACTTTCTGAGGACTCTTACGCTGTTGTTCTTGCCGCTCAATCATCCGCCGATGGTTCGCTGTACAACTCCGGGACTGCTCCAAAGACGCAATCGACTGGAAAGCTGTACAAGAGCTTGTTTGTCAGACATTGGGACGACTACGTTACCCCGCAGAAGAACAGTCTGTGGTATGCTACCCTGACCAAAGCCAAAGATGGCAAGTTTGAGTTGAGCAAGTGGGTCAATGCCTTGAAGGGTGCAGGTCTCGAGAGTCCTGTTCCACCTTTCGGAGGTACAGACAGCTTCGACGTCAGCAAATCTGGTATCATCTTTGTCTCAAAGGACCCAAAGGCCAATCCTGCTTTGAGCACCAAGTGCGATGTTTACTACATCGAGCTTTCCAGCTTCACCGAGGACCCCGCACCCAAGCCTTTCGAGTACACGACTAAAGGTTTCAAGGGTGCTAGTGCTTCTCCTGTGTTTCTTCCTGATGCCAAGAAGGCTGTCTTTCTGAGCTTGTCTGGTGCTGGATACGAAAGCGACAAGTCGCAGATCTTCTTGGTTGAGGACCTGAAGAAGGACTCGGTCAAGCGTTTGTTCAATCAAAAGACGGAGGGTTCACTGGACAAGAGCCCGCAGGTATGTGCAGCCGAGCTTCTGATCCAACTCAAACTGACCTATGCAGAATCTTGTCTTCAGCCATGACGGCAAGACACTATATTTCTCTGCCGAAGATCAAGGTTATGGTCGCATCTTCGCCTTGACTTCAGACCCCACAAATGGCGAAGTACTGCGCGCCCTCACAGACACTGGCTACGTGTCCGACATACATCCTTTAAGCAATGGCGATGTGTTCTACACCAGCAGCTCGCTCGTCGATTACTCCTCTTACAGCATCATCGGAACCTCCAAGTCAGAGTCTCGAGCTGCGAAATGGACACACTCATCGTCCAAAGATGGCTCTTCTCTTGGTTTGAAGGCCTCTCAAGTCTCGTCCATCCGCACACCTGCTTCAGACACGACTGTGAACAAGACTGTACACTCTTGGGTGTACAAGCCTTCCAACTTCGAAGAAGGCAAGAAGTACCCACTCGCACTCCTCATCCATGGCGGACCTCAAGGAGCCTGGGGAGACTCCTGGTCAACAAGATGGAACCCCGCTGTGTATGCAGAGCAGGGCTACGTGGTTATTACACCAAACATCACCGGCTCCACAGGATACGGTCAAGCCTTCACAGACGCCATCAGAAAGGACTGGGGCGGCGCACCCTACAACGACCTCGTCAACGTCATGGACTGGGTGGAGAAGAACATGCCCGAAGTCGACATGACCAGAACAGTAGCTCTCGGCGCCAGTTATGGCGGATACATGGTCAACTGGCTGCAAGGTCATGATCTCGGCCGCAGGTTCAAAGCCTTGGTCTGCCACGATGGCATCTTCTCCTTCGCAGGCGGCCTTCTCGCAACAGAAGAACTCTACTTCCCCTTCCACGATTTGGGCGGTACACCATGGTACTCTCCATCCGCAAACCAAACCACAGACGACGCAAAACAAGCATTCGGCCAAACATCCCTGGACGCATGGAACAAGAACGATCCCAGCCGCTACCTCGATCACTGGCAAACGCCTCAACTCGTCATCCACAACGAAAAAGACTATCGTCTGTGTATTTCTGAAGGACTTGCCGCTTTCAACGTCCTTCAAGCTCGCGGCATCGACAGTCAATTCCTCACTTTCCCTGATGAGAATCATTGGGTTCTCGCGCCTGAGAATAGTTTGGTTTGGCATAAGGTTGTGTTGAATTGGATTAACAAGTATGTTGGTCTTCCTGCTTATTGCGAGGATGACGAGGAGAGTGCAGACTTCTTTGGTGGATTGAAGCAGGATGGTGGAAAGACTGTTGAGATGCCTGGGATGGGCAAGCCTGAGACTTAGGGGTGAAATGGCTGTAATGCTACTATCAGCGATCAAGCGGCTGGTGTGAGGTCTTGACTACTCGATCATTCCAGAGTATTGTCATCTTATGCATGACTATTATGTAAATGGATGATGATATATGCATATCATGAGCTGCCAATCAACCATTCACCACCTTTTCAAATCCCCGACTCTCTGTGCTTTGATTAGGGGATATCCTTAAACTTTCCCCTCCTTCGTGTATTCTTTAATTCTCTACCACGGTCAAGGAAGGAAGAGCAATATCTCAACCCTTCCCATGTATACTAAAACTTTCGTCACGCATATAAACTGTAGCACAGCACAATTTTTTCCTAGCATTGTTGGGGGGTTAGCTCCTACTAAAGAGCGTTGGTAGTTGGTGCTTCTCTGCGGACGATTATATCGATCTGGAAAATATTGTGCAATTTTGACGGGGTGGAAACGATGATGCGCATCGCCGCCCCGGCATGAGAGTTTTAAGTGACTGAAGTTTAGCACGTACATGGGGAAGGGAGAAAGATTCAAAATATCAGAGGTCGAGAAATGTGAGAAAGAGATTAAGACCTTTTTGTCCATCAAGACGTCCCTTTTTTCCCGTCATCTAAACACATCATTCAGATCCACATCCTGCTTTTCCTCCTCTTTTCTTTTAGAATCCACCACTTGTCCGTTTAAATCCTATGTTTTGCAATACTGTATCCTCCATGACTTTCATCGCTTCCACCAACTCCTTATCTTCGAGTGTCAAGAGTGCTAATGGGGAAGAAGTGTTGATGAAGGGTTTATGGTCGGTTTCGCAGATTGTGTTTGGAGGTGGCAGAAGGCCGGATTGGAAGTAGTGGCGGGTTGCTTTTGCTGTGCAGAGGGAGGGGGAAGACCATGATGTGTGCTTTTGTGTAAAGTCAGTGATGGTGTTTGTGTGATAAATGAGGAGGGCTGCGTGGGGATGGGATGGGACTGGAAGATGCAGAGGGACTGGGGACTGGACTTACACCCTCGGAATCCTGTTGTAGGACTATTGAGCCAGGGAAGTTGTGGGCCATTTCTTTTGCACTGGGATGACTTGTTAGCGATGCCGTTGATCAGAGATGGTGACACTTGCTTTGCTAGTGGGGTGACCGGATCCAGGGTATTCCCAATGAACAGAATTGGGTGAGACAGGTTGCCAGCGAAGGGGCCTTCGAATCTATTCTTCGCTTTTGTCTTCCACCCAACACATCCTAGTCGTGTGTGTGCCCACCAGTCTCCCAACACTTGGCTTTGCTGCTGTAAAGCATGCCAGTATTCCTGGAAACTCTCTTCATCGATATCCCCAAGACCAGGACCATCAGTGCACAATATGGCAAGTGTAGCATCAGCGCCATTGTCATCTTGATTGCACTCATCACTGAAAGGGCCAGCAGAGGTGCATTCATCACCAGGACAGGTAAAAGTGTTCGACATGGCTTTGAAATCGGCAAACAAGCTGCCATTTCCAGAAGAGATCGAAGTGAGTAGATCCGCTACCATCGGCGAATAGATGAGTGGTTGGTACATTCCCAATCTAACCATACTCTTTACATCAGACCAAGTAATGACATCCGGTCCTCTGGTTCGCGAGCTCGGCACAACCATGGGATGCTCGAAGATGTGGCTTAGGAGGTCTTTGTAGTTCTGCTTGATTGCAGCGGCACCGGAAGCAGAGTAGAAACTGCAATTTTCGGGTCCGGCTGAATAACAATATAAGAAGAAGCGCTCGAGGATTAGATCGGCGTCGGAGAGATTGCTGAACCAGGAGCCGAAGAAGTAGTCATGGGCGTTGCAGACGCCATCGAGGACCATCCTATCTATCCGGTCTGGAAACATGGATGCGAAGGTTTGACCAATAATGGTGCCGTAGCTGTTGCCCCAGTACTTGATTTTAGGCTCGCCTTTGATATAGCGAAGTCTTTCAGCAACTCCTGGACTTGTCTCTGAAGAGACTTGCTTGGACACCCACTCGGCATGTCTTTCGATAATCTCGAGCATATCTCTGGCCACAGGTGATGTATTCGCATGCTCACCAATGGCTTCAGAACCATCTTCCGTGGTACCAGTTGCTACCGAACAGCCTTCAGCCAACGCCCTAGAACGATACCAGTTCCGATGGAATGAATCCTCTGAGCTTCCGAGCAATCCCAGGGCTTCGTTCTGTAATGTCCAAGTCGAACGTGCCAGTGAATCGGGAAAACAATGTATACCTGGTGTGGTATGTGCGATGCCTCTAGGGTCGAAACTGATGATGTCGTGATATCTGGCTTCCGAACCGACCGAAGTGGTATTGGGATTCATTTCTGCGTCGACGATGATTTGGGTTGCTCGTCCATTGCGTAGCATTTGGGCTACTCCACTACCACCAGGTCCACCAGGGTTTGTCAACACAGCACCTCCGTAGCGTGGGTCAGTCACTGACACCCTGGCTGGTAGCCGTATGACAGCGATGGAGATATTCTTTCCTGGTTGTGAGGAGTTGCGCCACCAGTCCATGGGTACTTGTAGTTTAGCACATCGATAGTCCTCGTAACATTGGTAGTAAACGAGTTCGGGGCTTGCTTCAATAACGTGCCATGAGAACTTTCTCTCACTGTGGTTGTCGGATTTTAGAATAACAGCCACATTCAGGTCTTGGTATGTTGGTAGAAGATCCCATCCATGAAGGAATGTTAAGAATGATAGGCAGGCTGCTACACACAGAGCGGTGCTTCTCCAGATTGGTCGGGAAGTCGTCACCCCTTCTCTTGAGACTGACGGTTGATCTAGTCTTCCAGTCTTCTGCTCCATTGGACTATAACAACTCATTGTGGAAGGATAGATTCGTGATTGGTCGTTAAGGCGTTCAGTCAGACACACATGTCTTCAGGTGTGAACCATCCAGATTACAGGCAAGAGATACTCGATTAGGTCAGGGTAGGATATCACAGTCCGGAAGGAGCGGTAAGAGATGTAGAAGGGCTTGTCACGAGACGGATGCGCGGCGGAAGGAAGTTGCATGGGCGATAAGGAGCCGCCAAGCTGGCGACGATCTTCTGGCTGTGGCAGTGACTTGTCTCCAACATCTTGGACCTTTACGATCACCCATCTTCTTCGCTCTATGTTGCTGAACAAGCTGCTTTTAGTTGATGAACAACATCAAGGTCAAGAGCACCCAAGCAGAGGTGCCGTTGGATAGATCCGCATCAGATTAGACACAGAAGCCAAAAGTGGTGATAATGTCTGTGCTTTGCAGAGCAGGGCGAGCCGAGCATCGGTTCGCGCTGCCTCTTCCAGCTGCAACCACTCAGCCCTCACCATTCGGGTTGACCAGAAAACCAACTCCACCTTTGCGGAGCACCATATGTTGGTCAGGCGTAGGGTTGGTAGTCAATGCTCGGAGGTAAGTCATACTTGCCGGTAGGTCTGGTTCCTCGTCTTCCTTCTCTTCACATGCCTTTCTGCTTTCTTCCCTTTCATACCACACATCGACATCAACAGCTAGCTAGGATATTCACCCGACTACCTTGTCATTGGAGATCAAGCATACATACTCAAACCCAGCCGTCACACAAACTCAGCTCCAACATGGGCGCTCAGAAGTTGCCTTCGGAAGAGGGATATGCTCAAACCCCCCTCAACACCATCAAGGTGTACAAGCACAGAGGTAGCCAATATCTCTCCAAGCAATCAACCACAACCCTAACAACCCACTCACAGCCGCATACGACTATCAAACCGTCCACTCAATCTTCGCCTCCACCCTCGTCTCCCACGTCTCTTTCATCGGCACCGACGAAGAAGGCGACCCAACACCCATAAACCTCCCCCTAACCGCCGTCCTCGGCCGCTACGACCCCTCCCACCCCCTCCCCGAAAACGACAACCCCTCTGAATCCTCCTACCACGAAGACCTCAATCGTCCACTAGACCTCTACCTCCACGGCAACGTAGCAATGATGCTCCGCCGCGCAGTAGTAAAAAACGGCACTTTCAAAGTCTGCGTCGCTTCCACAAGAGTCGATGGCGTAGTCCTTAATTTCACACCTAATGGCCATTCGCTGAATTATCGATCGGCGGTCATTCATGGAACGGCTAGTATGGTGCAAGAGGCCGAGGAAAAGAGGTTTGCTATGCATATGCTTACGAATCATATGATACCGCACCGATGGTCGAATGTCAACCCCGTCACGCCTTCTGCGATGAAGAGTGTTCAGATCATGAAAGTACACATCAATTCTGCTTCTGCGAAGGTGAGGGCCAAGAATATGGGATTGGCGGATAGTGTGGATATTGCCGCTGAGAGGGATGATGTGTATACTGGTGTTATACCTCTATATGAAACCTTGGGGACACCGGTGGAAAGTGGATATTCTCCTGCTCGTCCTGTGCAAAGACACCTAAATGCGTGGATTGGGGGAAGGAATAAAGAAGAGAAGGAATATGCAATCAAGGCTGCAGAAAATGAACCTGAGGAGGCAGAGACGATAGCCGAGCATGTGCTGACGATTGCAGAGCTCAGGAAACAAAGAGGCGTCGACGCGGTCGAGAATGGAGTGACAGTATAGGTTATCTCTTACGAAACAGATGCTTGACGAAGCTACCCATCGAAATACCAAACGAACTTCACGAACCATGACCTGTCCGTCAAGGTACAGAACCGTGTAATAAAGATATCTCACAGTAGGACTATATCCATCAAAGTGCACAGAACTCTGAGAACCTCGGAAACGCCAATTGAGAGCAATCTCAAAACACCACCCTACTGCACCAATTAACAGATTTGAAAAACATCTTGCATCTTGACAAACCCTGAAAGATCCTCACCACAGAGCCTGGGATAGACTCCTCGATGACCACAACAGCAGATACAAAACCTCATGCTCTGTTTCCTCAACCACTTCTCATACACACTTGACGCTGGAGTCCTATGGGAAGGTCAATACATACTCCCACATGAGCGGTGCTGTACGTTCCACCCAGTATCTTCATGCTCGATGCACTCGATCACGATACTCGGGTCGACAACACCATTGTGGATCAGTCTCACTTCAGCCTTCCTCGAGGGTATGGTGCAGCATAACGGAAGGAAAGCACAAGTATACCTTACCAGTCAAACCCACAGCACAAGCGGTGGACTACTAATGGCAGAGCCCAAATTACATACAGTAGTCTTCCATATCAACCTGGTCCCACAATGAACCCACCGCTTCATCAATATAGACCTCAAAGCAAAACCCACGGAAACAATTCACGAGTGCTGAGCATGTCATGGAAATGCCGCTTTGGTCTATATGCCTGGTATATGTGAGCTATGGGCACAAGGATGAACATCGACACTCGCCCACCTCTATCGCCTAGGAGAACATCCTCGTGCGTCGACTCCGTGTTCCTGCCATTACTGTGCACTATGTAGACGAAGCAACGAGGTTGCGAAAGCGTCGTTCATAGCCTAAGTCGCGTATGCAGATGAGTTCGGTCTCGAGCAACGCTTTGTTGCAGACCAGCGCGTCCGAGATAAGGATGAACGTGCAATTCTACGTTGAATATCTGACTCTGTCATGTTCGAGGTCACAGCAGCATTGGCAATGAGCTTTTAAGCAGGCGTCAACGAGGTTAGATCTAGGTCGTCACAATTGGTTATGCTGGAACACCGATAGGGAGTAAACCGAGCAACAGGAAATATCACTGAAAAACAAGAAGGGATGGGGAGTAGTGTTCAAAATCTTTTTTTTTGCTTGTTCTGGTTCTGAAAGAGCTACCTATTCGCGTCCATTGTAAGAGGAAATTGTTCATTACAGACTGTGTGTTATGTGCGTTTGTGTAACAAGGAGCTTGGTTGGGGGTTTGGGGTGAGGGTTGGATGATGGTGATTGTTATATGGACAAGAGAGAAGAAGAGGGAGAAGAGAAAGGAAATCAAAAAGAAGAACACAAGGAAAAGGGTGTTGTTTCTCTGGCGGTTGTCGAGCAGAAGAATTGCTTCCATTGCAGTGAAGATGGCACAGTAAAGTGTTCCTCATCATTCAAGATCAAAAAAGCGCTCCGTTGAATACGCCTGGAACATTTCCCTCAGAAAAAGCAGTGGGAAAGAGAAACGAGATTAGGAAAACGTGAAGGGAAAACGGGTGGTGTTGGTAAAGTCGTTCAAGGTCGTGGATGTTGTAGAGAGTTGAGCGCTCATTGGATCATCTAAGCGTTGGTGACCTGGAAGAGGATGTTAGTATTGATATCAAGGCGGGTCGTCGACAGAGATTCGACATACCTTCAATATCCTCCTCGAGTAGTCTTCGTTATCGGCAATGCTACCATCACTCATTCTTCTTTGGGCCATGGCTTCGGGGTCGATGCGTGAATCCGGACCTGCGGCAGGTCTGAAAGCCATAGGTTTGGAAGAGCCTGAGTAGTCGTTGAGCTGTTGGTGGCCAGTCTCTGCATCACGGCGTTGCTTGCGGCGCCAGAAGAAGAAGGCGGCACCGATAAGAGCAGCAAGAACAACGATACCGACGACAACACCAGCGGCAATTCCGGCAGTGTTGGAGCCACCCTTGTGAGACTTTTCGGCGTCAGGGGCAGTGGTTGTGGCCTGGGAAGCGGGAGCTTGTGTGATGATGACAGTCTTGCCAGGAGCAATGCTGGTGATGACAGTTGCCTTGTCCGATGCAGCGGATGCGGATGTTGCGCTTGTTACTGACGAGGCGGCTGCAGTGGTGGATGATGAGGCGGCAGCAGACGACTTGGCCGAGCTTGACGAAGAGCCAGATGAGGAGCCACCGCCGTAGTTGTCGACATCAGTATCGGAACTTGTGTAGTAGACGCTCCAAACACCGTTACCACCACCTAGAGTCAAGATCAGCACATATTCACGGGCAGAGGGTCACGAGCCTTGACTTACACATGTCCGAGGGGTATCCGACGCAGGTGGTGCTGCACTCCGAGTCGCTCTGCAAGCTGCTCTTTGGTGGCAGGGTGTTGCCACACCAACATTCATTGCCGTTGGACATGGCCATAACGACGGCATTGGCCTTGACGCATAGCTGCTGACAGTGGCCCTTTGACTGATAGTTGTATGTGTCTGATTGAGTGAGACCACTGGAGCTGTCGAAACATCCAGCTGACGTGACAGCTCCAGCAACGACGCTGGCGGAGACGGACTGGAAGGAAAGAGCCGAGAGGGCGAGAGTGAAAGCTGCTGCGGAGCGCATTGTCGACAGCATCGTGTTGGATGAGAAACGCAGAGGCGAGAGTAAGAGAGGTTGGTGCGTGAGAATGTCGAGTGGTGCGACTTGAGTAACGTCAGTCGCCTTGTCGTGCAAGCACAAGAGAACGGGTCAAGTGCCAACCTCGTGTCCGTATAAGCCAACTCAAAACCACACTATCGTGACCAGCACGCGGATGTGAGTTTTTTTCCGAATATTAGGATCTTGACAAAGATCCAGTACAGAGATGCGAGGGTTTCGTCTTTGGCCGACTATGTCGCAAGATAGCAAGGTCGATGGAATGTTTGGGTCAATACACGGTCGAGGAATGTAGTGGTCCAGGGATTAGCGGTCACTCGAAGGCTGGTCGGTCGAGTGATTTTGGTGAATAGTGATAGCGAATGTCGGTCTGCCAGGTGAACAGGCAGGGTCGGACGGTCTAACTAGTGTCGATGATGAATTGATGGAAACTTGGACAGGGAGCGAAGACGGAGAACAATCAAAGAAGAGAAAGGCAGCGTCAAGGGCAGAGCGTCCGTGACCAAGCAGCCGTCCCTCCGTCCACTCAAGCCACCAAAGTCCACTGATCAACCCAGCCCCGTTGCGTCTTGCCGTTGCGCTAAAGCAGGAACCGCCTAGTGTTCCTGGATGGCCCCTGGTCAATATTGAAACACTGAGCTCTGTCAACAACCTTGACTGACTTCTGTGAGGGCATGCAAACAATCACTTTGTTTACTCTCGCTGTCTATAAACTCCATCGCCATCCCACAATCCTCTCGTCCTCACGTCTGCATGTCTGTTCTTCCCGTTTGATTGCGCTCAACATCCCATCTGTTCTAGATCCCCCTGTGCCAAACGCGTACCCTCGCGTATCCAATGCCAATCTCATGGCCAGTGCACAGACATTCTTTTGCTCCGCCTGACTCTTTGACTCCCTCTCCTGCTCGCCCTTCACGACGTGCCAAGCTTTTGCTCTCTAATTCCCTCTTTCCTCCATGAGAAACCGTTCACAACGTCTCTCAAATGACAGGATCCTACACAGGGCAACCATGCAGGGAAACAATAATCACCATGGGGAAGGGAGAAGAACAAGACAAGAAAAAGAAAAAGAAATCCTTCATCGCTTGCGATCTCTCTTCCCCCACGCCTCTTCGTGTCCCTCGTTTTCCACCTGCCGTCGATCTCACTTTGTGCGAAGCAGTCGCGTCCTGTTGATCGCCTGTCTTTTTTTCCCGCCAGCAACCTTCTTACCCTTCTGGCCACCCGCATCTTGCCATGTGCCATTTCTTCTTTCTCACTGACAACCGTTGGTTTCGAATCCTTCTTCCTCAGTCCTTGATCTTTCTTCAGTCGACGCTCTGTTGTTCTTTCGAGAGCAATGCCGCAACGGGCCGTCGGATTGAATTCGGTGCTTGAACACCATCTCCGTCTTGACGTCGGCTTTTGTCAGAAAGACAACATGCCAGCCCAGCGCGGGGGTTTCAGACTGCGCATAGAGCCTTGCTAAACCGTATAACGTCCTTGGCTGTTTTGTCTTTGTCTGCCACAGAAACGAAAAGAAGTCTCAGCAGAACTCACCATCAGCCATCTGTCATGCTTCAATCAACCTGTCAATCCTGACCGCATGCGATAGAGTGTTTCTCGTATGCAAAAACTGCTAGACCGGATCGGATCCTGGAAGTCTCAGACCTCCGACTAACATGGTTTCTGGGCTTATTAGATCACAAACGGCAGTGCCACCATCGTTCTTTGCGATACACGACCATCGACCGGAACTTGCAGGAAGTTTAGGCCTACGAAGGCAGAATTTTCAACCTTCTCGACTTCCAAACCCTATAACTTTCTTTCTGTTCATGGTCACTGCACTGTGGTGCGCAGCGTAGGTCGTTTCATCATTTCCCCGAGTTTATATCTATGAGGCTCGACCTGCCTAAACCGCGAGGAACCGCATGTAAAAGGCCTCCCAAGCCTACAAGCAAATCGACGATGTCCGAACTCCAGGTTCCCGGGATCTTAGAGATGATGGCGTAAACAGCGGTGATGTTTCTCGTCCCTTGTTTTCTAGGGTAGGTCGCGCCATATGTCCCGCCTGACCACCCTTCTACTCATGGCAAACTACCTTGAGGGTCAGGCTTGAGGGCATGTGAAGTCCTAGTGTGACATGCACGACATGTACCAAGATGGTGTTCGTCAGCTGCGAAAGGGCAATGCTTCGTGGGGTGCTTCTGTACCATGAAAAGCTGACGACAAATCCCAAGCCACACCGTAATTTAGGTCTTTCACCAGAGATGCTGACTCCCATGACTTTGAAGAAGTCCGTGGTGATTAAGACACCAAAAAGGTAGTGACCATGGTTTTCAGCAGCACTCCATGTTCTGCTGAGACTATTGCTTTCCTTCCCGTTTTCTTCTCCATCAACATCCCAAACATCGAAGCCATTGGCGTCGACACTGACGTGCGCACAACTATCACGGTCTGTGTGTGCTGCTTCTCCCGCCCTTTTCTTCGATAAGAAATAGCGCGAGCCGAACCGGGTATTGGAGGCTGCCTAGCGGAGTCTCGCGCTTCGCCTGTTCGGTATGGTATCGGAATGGGTTACAGAAGTCATGCACGAGTGTACCGCTTTGCGCCAGGGAGTAGATGGTAGGCAACAAGCTTTTTACGAGGATCTCCTCTCAAGTCGATGGAGAAATGTATCGTTCGTGTAGTAACGCAGTTGCTAAGACTTTCCTGCGACGGTAGAGTGGGCTGCTAGTAGCTACGTGTTCGGGGCTGTACCTAGTACCGTTATAGTTTTGCGCAGGAACGTTCTATCAACAACTGAAGGAAGTATATTCAGAAAGAGCACTCGCTGCTTCTGCTAACTCATTGAAGACGAAGTGATCACAAGAACGATGATCCTTCTACCGCGTGTGCCTACGACCTCCGTTGAAGAAGCTTCGTAACAGCACAAGGTTCCACCACAGCTATAAAGTCATGTTAATGGTATACAGAGGTGGAAGCTTTCTCGAGATACGGTAGAGAAGTTGCCAATCAGGCATCTCCAATCACGTTGCTGCACGCCCGATGATTCTCGTGCTCAATCAGCCTTCCACGTCTGAACGGCTCACAGCATACACTAGACACATGCTGTGTTCCCAGTCGATCAATCCATCTTTCCTACCGTCGCACTTGATGATTAAGACACCACATCAATCATAAAGCTCAACAATCTACACGTCTTACCGACCCGTCCTATGACATATCGAGTATCATCCACCATCCACCTACACACAGTCAACAGTGACAACATCACCACCGCAATCTCCAAAACATCGGAACTTTCCAACACCCGATCATCCCGTCGGTGCCGCCCTTCACTGCCTACCCGCGGCGCCCGAGACTCTTCGGACCGCAAACCCTCCGCTGTGGCTCGCACCCGTGCCCCCGTTCAAGATCCCAATCTCGGCACTGTGCTTCCGGTGGAGCCAAACAATCAAAAATTTGCCGAAGACAAAAATTCTAGACACTCCAGAAAAAGTTTGGTGTGGTTTTAAACATGCAAAAGAAGTGTTTCCGACACGGGGAATTGAACCCCGGCCTCCTCGGACCTGGTTGTTTCTTGGGAGAGACGGTTTGAGAGCGAGAAATCCTAGCCACTAGACCATATCGGATTTGATGTAAGCGAATCTGCTTGTTCAAAATAAGTCCCTCAACGCCACACAGAGAGGGGAAGTAGGCTACGCTTGAGGTAGCACCCTGCTCTCCGCTCGTAACGACGATATTCACCTCTGGCCTGCACCTACTATGATTCTGTAAGCAAATGTGAGATCCCGAACATTTTAACTATATTCTCATACCTTCTTGAGGTATCGCGCCTGGTAATGATGGAGTTTGATGCGGTGCCGCATCTGAACATGCTTCTAATTTTCAGGCTTACATCCTTTGCAATAAGACTCGTGCTTCATGGTCTCGTTGCAAAGACATTATAAATCCGGACGATGACAGCGGTACCCGGATCAAAATTACTCGCATCAGAACTTCTTGAACTCTGTATCACGATTCATAAATATGAGTGGTCTCGTCCTCAATTCCGCCATACCACTTAAGCGAGAGCCCAGGCTCCAAAACCAAAACCCCTCCCTCCCCACACAAAATATCCTTCCGCACCCAAAAACGAAAAGCTTCCTCCGCCCTTACAAAAAGCACCCAGAAACTTGCAAGAAGATACAACAAGACAAAAGTAGATGTATGAGCACTTCAAGGAGCAAAAACGAAACGTCAATGCCGCTTCTGTGGATCGAACACAGTGCCTCCAGAATACTCCTGCGTGATGCAAGAAGGACAGAAGTTGACTTCAGTCTGGCGCTCTCCCAGATGAGCTAAAGCGGCTTATTGGTGAAGCAGAATTTGCTCATAGTATAAAAATTGTTGTGTGAGCCACCCGATCGAAACCTGAGGCACTGCACGGCGATCACATCTTGCAGTTTGAGAAGGTCGCAGAAGATGGTCCGACAGATGATGTGGTACTGAGGTCGCGGTGTGTAACTGTATCGTACGTCTATACGTCTATACGGAGAGTCGCGTGGTCACAAGGCTCTCACATCTACGGATCTGTGTCTTCTCATCCCTGTAGACGTACGGAGCGTGCCGAGTGGATGGAAGGCAAGAGCGACTGAGAACAGAAACGGGAATGGAAAGATCGACCAGGTAGAAACCTATCTTGAACACCAAATGAAGATTTCCCTACCAAGTTCTACATGCACAATCTCAAGGTATCCTGCATATGTGTGTGTTTATATTGTCTTGCTGCTTACTTATATAGCCTATGGGCCTGTTCTAATTTGTGCTATTCGAAGGTCAAGTCCCTCCCTTCTCCTGTCTCTTTCAGAACTCCTTTTTCTCCATCCCACCTCCCTGCGACCAGGGATGTCGTATTTATGTTTTTGAGCCATAAAAACCGTATCTTAAAAACTACGGTTTTTATACGTGTTTTTATACGGTTTTACCCCAGACGGGAAGGAGCTTGGCATGGACGTGCGGGTTAGTATAATGGTGCACGGATGTGTATATCGCTCATAACCCCTATGCAAATCCCTATGCACGTCATATCTCGTTTTATACACGTTTTTGACCTGATAAAAACGAACGTCAAAACGGTATTTAACCGTATCTATAAAAACCAGAAAAACCGATGTACAGTTCCTCGTCAAAAGTCTCCGCGTAGCCTGCTTATCCCACCAAAATAGCACTTTTTGAGCGGTCAAGTATCTTTTTATTTTGTTAAACTATTCCTTAGGTTTCTTAATCAAATATGTGCAATACTATATGAATTTTCATTCTGTCTACTTTTCATGGCAATTGATCCTATATACGTAGCGCAATCCGGTTTCGAATAGGGATGGGTCGGAATTTAATGGTTATAAACCATAATCAAGCAGGATTTTAGGTACCCCCTGCCACAGAATTGCTTCTTATAGCCACAAAAGTTTATAGAAGTATGCAAAAAAACGATTTTACACAAATTTAATGGTTCATCTAGCATGCAATAGCTTTTTGTCATTATTTATCGAGTGGTTGTAGTACATTTCAATGTTTAGAAACCCCCAGTTTTGGTGGGATAAGCAGGGCTGCGCGGAGACTTTTGACGAGGAACTGTACAGCCCTGCCTGCGACGTCTTCTACTGTCTTACACCTGTACATCCCTGCCCCCCCTTGCCTATACCCCTCATGATCCCCTACCAAAAGCCAAAAAAATCGCCCAAATCCTACCCATCTTCCCCCCAACCTCTCTAGCACCTGTATAGGACCAAAAGGAAGGTATGGCAATGCTCAGATGAGCAAAAAGAACAGCCCGACGTGGGGCTCGAACCCACAGCCTCAAGATTAGAAGTCTTGCGCGCTACCATTGCGCCAGCCGGGCTGGTTTGTGCTTGGGTCGCATGTGGATGGGATTAAGAAGAGGAACACTGTCATCCTCGGGAAGACGACCACGGTGTTGACAGCGAAAGCATTGTATCCTCAGGTCTGTCTAGCTCTTGGTTACCAGAAGAACACATCTCAAACTACAGATTCGATTCTTCTGCTTGCCACTTGACATTCTCTTGCGGACCTCTAAGAGATTCTCCTTATGGTGTCAGGCTTTCAATGTCAGGCTGCTGCAAGACGACTGGCCGTGTCTACCACAGCCATTCTCTCATCCTCCTGCGGCACCGTATTGACTCTCATCCAACTAGATTTTACGCCGCGAACAGGATCGCTATCGTCAAAGCTAGAAGAAGACCGGGTAAGCGAAAAGGATTCAGAAGCTAGAGAAGCACTGCAAGCCATCTCTGGTAGGACATTCATGCATGGCTTTATTTAACCGCCGAGATATATGAGGCTGCATCTGCATCGGAATCTCAACCCCCAAGCATCTGCTGTCTTAATTCCTTATAGGCTATATTCCCGAAGCAGTACAGCAACCTACGGTGTTCAATTGATTTCGAGTCTGAACTCACTACACGAATCCATCGCGATGATCAGCTGCTGCCTTTGATCGCCTTGTATGGTCATTCTGACGACGCCTTTTAAACTGTTGTTGGATTCTTGCTGTTTCCCGTCCACAGATTGCTTCCAATCTATAGTAAATCCTTCAGAAGATGGACCACCAACACGCATTGTCATATCCAAGTATTGCACTATTGGATTGATGCATGAGATATGCTCGTGAAAGAGGTGTCCGGATGTTTCAGCCTCTGATCCTTCGAGTACGCCCTCTTCTTCCCTTGCTCCATTGATCTTCTATATCAAGTTCGTTGCCTTCTCCTTTTCCTGAGCGAAGCAGAAACGCATCCATTTCTGAACCACTGTACCGGAGGATTCTCCTTTCACAGTTGCCATAATGATGCTCAAATATCTTACCCCCTTACCTCTCTTCTTCACGTCCGTTCTCGCTCAATCAGCACTCTCTTATCCCTCCTTCCCAAACGTTTCCACTCTAGACCCCCATCAAACTCCCAACTACACTTTCGATGAACTCTACAACCTCACAAACCGCTTCCTCCAAAACCACATGTACCCAAACAACATCGCCCAATCTCTTGCCATAAACTCCACTCTCCTCTCTGACGATGTCCTCGGCCGTGTCGATGCTACCCGCGACTACGCAGGTCGCGAACTCAACACCGAATACCTCTTCGGTCTCTTCGCCAACATCGCGTTAAACCCTGATGCGTTTACTCTCCTCGGCTACCCTATCAACTATACCTTCACCAGGTTCTTGGGGATTGGAAATGTAGTTTCCTTTGCCGCAATTATCGAGTACAAACTTCCAGTCACTGGCACCACTATACCGCAAGAACTCGATTTCTGGGTAACTTACAACGACAAGGGAGAGATCTCGCAATATGACGGGTAAGCTTTCTTCCTCCTTCCCATTTTTCCTTTTACTTTGTACTAACCCACACACTCCAGCAATTTCCGCTATCTCCAATGGCAACTCACCAGCACCATCGCCTCCATCGCAAAAGCCCAAAACCTGTCCTCTTCAACCTCTCTCCTGCCCATCTTGCACGCCAAACTCGCAAATTCAATCTGTGAAACCGCAACAACGTTTTGCAACGGCACAAATTTGCAATATGCGAATCAACAAGCTTGTGAGAATCATCTGTACAACGAAACAAGGTTTGGAGATGGTTGGGAGTGGGGCATGGATACTGTGTCTTGTAGGATGGTAAGTCTTCTGCTGCTGAAATTTTCTTCCTCTGCTTGTTCTTGCTCTTCTTCGCCTGTTTTCGGGAAGAAAGATGTAACGTAATTTATGCTAATGTGATTCACAGATTCATCAGAACATGGTACCACTACGTCCAGATGTCCATTGCGAACACATTGGTCCTTCAGGAGGAGGCATGTGCGTAGACGATAGAACATACGTGGGCAATCTGGAAGAGGAATATTTCGTAAACACGCCTTTTCTAGCTCCTGGCCTCGAAGGTGGTGTGCATTGAGTGCAAGTCACGATATCAGCAGAGAATTTGTCCATTGCCAGCTAGCTAGATGTATCACGCTCTATCACCCACATCATCGATACAATCTGCCTTTCCACTGCTGTGATCCCATCTCTTCAACCCTAGCCACCTCATTATTCATCCCTCCAATTGCAATATACCCATACTCAGCCCTCGGCTCAACATCCCCGTACCTAACAACAACATTCCTCAACGCGCGACTCCGCTCATCAGCCTCCGCAGTCGAATTAACACCCACACCATCATCAACGTACGGATTATCCTTGATCAACGCAGATACCGTAAGCTCCAACATGGGCATCCTACGCATAACCTCAAGCCCAATATCGCACAACCCAAGCACCACCAGAACCGCCGATGATGCGAGTAAAATCACAAACCAAACACTTTGACACCTCATGACTTCTTGCACAGAAGAAACAACAACGGCAGTGGCATTCTGGAATAACACAACATGACTCCAATCATCGGAATCGGTGATATCGTTATTGCGCAGTCCTTTTTGTATCATCCCTGGCGCCATCCACGCAATCAGGTATGAATTCAACAACTGCGCAAACCGTGTTTCGAATAGTCTATTACCGAGATCTGCGACGTGGCCACCAGTAGCTTTGGAAAACGCAGCAGAGGGGTTGAGTAGATATCCTTGATAAGGATTGTATTCGTCACTCATGGAAATATCAGTGGGGATAGCTGCGACGAACCCTTCTGCGAAAGAGAGGAATCCTGTGCCGTTGTTCGAGTCTAGGGGTGTCCATTGTGGAGGTGGTAGGTTGGGTTGTTGTGATTTGCGCATGCGCATTACGGTGCAGTGGATACCATCTAGGCATGCGATGTTGACTTCAACGTAAGAGGTTGATATCGTGCAATTTGCAAAGGTAAACCCATTCCAAGCTTCGTAGGCTATATCTCGTGAAGTGAGGTTGGGCGGGAGATTGTGTATGTCGGCATACAGAGTACGATCCGAGTTTGAAAATAAAGACGGATTTGTCATTGAGATGTTGGAAATCACAGCTTGTCTGTATGACTTGGGATCCGTGGCCTGAGTCTCATTCCGAAGCTCCGGGCAGCTTAGAGTCCAGTAGGAAGTTTCGAGACCAAAGGAAGTGTTTTTGTTTTGAGGGATTGCAGACATGGGGATACCGATCAGTGAAGAATAAGTAACGTTGGCCGCTTTGCTGATATCATGCCAGCCGCTAACGTCAGGCTGTTCACCAGACAGGTGCTCAATAAATGGGATCTTGACGTTATTCCAGGCGTCTATACCCATCGTTCCGATGTCTCCGGGCGTCATAATGGCGGCGGCGAAGATAGTATTGACAGGTAGAGCATTGTAGAATTGTTCAGACATTGCTTGTTGCGCTATTACTGGGGAATCAAGTCCACTAGCAGGGCCCAGAGGTGTGCTCATATTAAGATATTGGATAAGCATGGAGTTGTTCGTGTAGAGGGGCGCTGTACCGACTATGAGAAGTGAGGCTTGACTTCCCAAAGGAGAAAGAGTCCAGGCCAAAGTTATACCCAGCCCAAGCAGACTGATCTGTCTAGAGTTGATAGATAGAGCTTGACCAAGAGTCGTGCTGCTGAGAAGATGATCGAAAAAGCCAACTCGTCCGCCTCTTTCAAGTTTCCAGAAGACCAAAGATTTCAAGAATGAGCCAAGGATTTTTGCAAACAGGATTGAGTAAAAACTGGGAATCTGGTTGGGTCAGCGATGAAATTTCTAAAGTTCGAGACATCAGAGCGAACAGTCTTTGCAATGCGTTGCAGTATCTTTGCTGTATTAGACTCGATGGGTATTAAGTCATATCTGCGGACTTGGACGGCATAGACAAAGATAGAAGCGGCAATAGACACAGTCAAGGCTTCGGAAAGCAGAGCCGTGATCTTTCGCGTCGACCATCGATGCAGTCTTCTGGGTGGAGGATAGGTGGATGCATTTGATCGGTCGTTGCCTGGTCCGGCGTTGGTTATCAATGGAATATCGAGACTTTCTGCTGTATCTGCCCAGGAGCTCTTGCGAGGCAAGATCTTCAGAGGAGTCCTGAGAAACGTAGCTTTTGGAGCAGTGGCCATTTCGAGACCGCTGAGGAGATTTCCTAATGACAACATCAACTGCGTGCAACGGCTACGGCATATACTTATATGCTGCTGTTCTCCCATACTGTACCAATCAAGCATACCTGTTGGTCTTCAGCAAGTCGATGCGAGATGACCAAAATAGTATCTGAGCTGGCTTTGGCGCTGCAAATCTGGAACGAGAACCAAGTATAAGCGAACCGTCCTACTGCCATTATCGCTGTGGCTGTATATTTCTTCCTGAGATAAAGTGTGCCCTGTCGTGATTGGAACCTGGCTTGCCCAACAACAGCAGTAAGCACGGGATGGCGCTTGAGATTAATATACAAAGTTCCCTTGTCGCAACAAGATATAGATTGTCAAGCGTTCCAGCTCTCGCGACCAATCCGACTGACGAGCTGTGTACGTGTCCATCAAATGTTGGAAGAAAGGAAACGAGCGGTTGCAGTGATTATAGGTCCGCTCTTCTTGCGGACCAGATAGGGCAGCTGCAACCTTGGCGGCATTTCTGCTCTTGCTAATAACGACAGCAGCAAGAGAGAACAACAATTTCGCACTAAAAGCAATAAGTTGTATAACTCTCATTCTTGTATCACTTATACCTATCAGAATATCTCCCCTTCCTACTCCGAAAACAAATGTTAAAAAGAACTCCATTCACACTCCTGACACCGAATCCCGAAAGATGTGCGGAAACAACAACTTTTCCTTGCAAGAACGACGCAAGGAATCAAACGCCAAACAGTGAAGTACACCATGCACCAGTAAGCCATGCTGTAATGAATAAGGAGACCCTTGAAATGCGAGTACCCGAATAGACCCAAGAAAGAACAATCCGGACAATGCAAATTTCATGATACCTCCCATGATGCCTCCAAGGCCCCGAAAGGAAGAAAAAACTCAAACAAAAGATTTCGCTATGTGCGCCCAGAAACAAAGAGACAGAAGGGGAGGATGCGAGGTGGCGGTTGTGAGTGTGAATAGAGTGGTAGCAGCATTCAAATCTCAAGGCTGAGACTATCGCCTGTAAGACCCTAGCTTTGCGAGGATATCGGCCATATCGGGTTGTCCATTGTTGGGTAGAGAATGTTGCTGCTGAGGCTGGATTGGTGAACGCAGGTTTGGGGTTTGGACGCCCAAATGAGGAACACCAATGCTCTGAGGCGACTGAGCAAGGAGATTCGCCAAAGCAGGGTTTGCTCTCAATGCAGCCAGCGGATCTTGGCTAGGGTGAGGCAATTGAGCGTAAGACGGTGGTGACTGCAGACCCGGTGTGTGAATACCGGGCGACGACAATGGAGGTGGTGGGCGAACTGCAGTAGCGTTACCAAGAAGTTTGGCCAGGTCTGGTGTCAAGGCTGTAGCAGGGAAACCAGTTTGAGGGCCTGTGGGGATACCTGGCGGCTGCATGACACCGAGAAGCTTCTGCAAACCAGTAGGATCAAGAGAGGTGATCAAATTGGAGAGGTTTGGGCCTGCGGCGGTGACGCCTGCTCCGTAGCCATACTGTACAGGAGCAGGTACGGGTTGAGGTGGTGCATAAGCAGGAGCAGCCTTTGCGCGCAAGACTAACTGAGCGGCGATGGTGGGATCAAGGTTGTCGTACTCGTCAAAGCGCACATTCTCTATACCAGCGCGTCGATCGAAGATTTGCAGAGGTATTTTGGCCGTTTGCTGATTGATGCGCGTGATGCGCGAAACTGCCAGAACGCCCTCAAGGATCTGACGACGGACGACAGCAGCTTCGGACAGACGTGGAGACAAAAGCAAGACATCGACACGGATGCCCTGGAGAGTGAAGGAGTGCTCGAGCCATGCTATGAAGTTGCGATCGAGGTCGTCCAGAACAATGATCTGTACGTCGGGTACATCGCGTGGAGCTCTTCGTGGCAGGGGTAGGTCATCGTCGCTGTTGCGTCTTCTCGGACTAGGACTGCGGAAGCGACCGCTACGTCCACCGTAGGGTGGTGTTCTGGACCTGCTCCTGTACCGAGCATCGTATCTGTCTCTACTCCTGTCGCGACCGCGGTAGGATCTGGGAGATCTAGGAGAGCGTGGCGAAGGAGATCTTCCAGGACGATAGTCGCGGGACCGTCTGTCTCTGTTTCTGTCCCTATCTCTGTCTCGATCTCTTTCTGCTCTCCTGTCGGCTGGTAGATAACGATCTGGTACGACCGAGGAGCTACCAGCTCGGCCAGTATCGGGCGAACGTGAACGACGAGGGGCGCGTGGATCGGGGTTGCGGTTCTTCTGAGGCTTGCTCACTTCGAGGTCTTGAGCGCATTAGTGTTGATCCATCTTCTGAATACCATGCATAACTCACGAATCTTCTTTCCTCGGATAGTCTTTCCTTGCTCGGCGCTAATAGCTTTGGAGCAACCACTAGATTCCAGAAACTGCACGAAGCCATACGCCTGCTTGATTGAGATCTGTGCCAAATCGCCATACTTGTGGAAGACGTGGAAGATGTCACGCTTCGTCACTCTTTCGCTGGAAAGATTGCCGACGAACAATCTCGACCCATAGGGGAACTGCTCCCAGTTACCCTCAGTCACATACTTTCTCTCCTCGGTAAGGAAGTTGTCGTAGCGATGCTGTGTCTCTGGTGTCCAAGGCTGATCGTCCTCGTCCAGAACTTCTCCTGCTGCTTGCTTTCTCTCACGCTGACTCTCGAGCTTGACGCCTTGCTGAAACGAAGCGGTGGGTGGAGGAGGCAAACCATTGGCGCCTACGTTGTTGCTTGTGTATCCTCCGTTCTGCTGTTGCGGCTGCGATTGCTGGCCTTGTTGACCTTGGAAGTTGTTCGTATAGGTCGAGTAAGCTTGCTCTTGTTGAGCAGCGGCTTGAGCAGACTTTGCAGGATTGGGGGGAGTCTGAGCGACTTGGGAGGAGGGAGAAGTGGACTGAGCCTGACTATGGGTGGGTTGCGACAAGTTGTTGAGAAGGCTCTGCAAACTATTGGTCTCAACACCTGGGGGGAGCTCAGTCGCACTGGCGTTGGCTGTAGAGGCGTTGACTTGGTTCTGAGCGTGGAAGGAGTTGCTCTGGAAGGAGGCATCGTTGTTGAAATGGGTTGGCAAGGCAGGGAGATGATGGGCAGCAGTAGAGGGATAAGGAATGTCAGATGGAACAGATGCAGAGGCAGAAGCGTCATGCGAGGCCACGGCGCCAGAGGCGGTGGGCTGGTAAGAGTACTTCTCGTCATAATGTACGACAGGAGGAACTTGATTGGTCTGACTATCCGTTCCAATCATGGCCTGCTCTTGCACCTGATGATAAGCTTGATGACCCTGACTCTGCGCTTGAGAGAGAGCCTGGGCTTGACCCTGCCCTGCTTGACCTGTTTGATGAGTCATGTAGGCTTCAGGATGGTTAGAATGAGACTGAGTATGTTGGGCATGTTGGTGTTGATGAAGTTGTTGGTTGAAGGCGCCAGCTTGCTGGTCTTGATACATCGGAGGAGGGAGCTGTTGAGGCGGGACTTCAGCCATATGCGTCCTGGTCTGGTTGAAGATGGGATCGATCTGGTTTTCGAGAACAGGAATGTTGGAAGGCACAGGGTAGTGGACTGGCTTGGGAGATACTGGACTCAAGACGTTGAGCTCGCTCGTGTACTCGGGTGTTTCTTCAGGTGGGATCATGTAGGCAGGAGTCGATGTGCGCTCAATGCGCCAACATGCTATGATGAGATAACAGCGCCGGGGAGAGGAAGGAGCGAGATGGAAGGGACAGGAGTGGACAAGAAGAAGAATCAGACGATGAGGAGAAGGACGACGAGATGATGGCTGTATGACCACAGAAAGAAAACGTGCGTCGAGGCGCGAATTTCAGCTCTGCAGTAGCGCTTTCCGTAAGGACACGGCGTTTGCGGGGCAAAGGCCAACTAAAATGTGGTCGTGCGTGATGGTCAAGGCCGTGCTATTACTTCCGAGCTGTAGTTAGGTCAGAGGAGAGTCGAGTCACAAACTGTGCCTGTTTCTTGTCCCTGGAACGAATGTCTGCGCAACGGGAAAGAAGGGGACAAGACGCGAAAGACTGCAAGTCCATCCCACCAAATCTATGCATGAGCACGAGCCATCTGAACGTCACCGGATCATAGAACATCGTGAGATCGCAGGCCATGCTCGAGCCTAATCATGCTAAACACGACGACTGCTCTTCGTCTGCTTGTCCATCTTGCCTTTTAACATGGCCTGGTGTTTCTCTTTCTGTGCCACTACCCTCTCCACTCCATCGAACGCCTCTTAGTCAACGCGTCGGCACTTCATCAATCTTCGGACATAAGTTTTGAGCTCTGCTGTGCCAATATATTTCCATCTTTCTAGAATCCAGGGAAGGATTCAGCCGCAAGAAGCTGTCAATATACGCGTTGGGAATGCATGCGAGCGTGAAATCAAACTTGACTTTCCCCAGCCTAGTCTTGATCAAGGAAGTGAGAGCGAAGCAGACTTGTCCATTCTTCGCTTTCGAAGAGCGCTTCAAATGACCTGACAAAAAATGACGGCGTGAAAAGAGCGGGCTTGACTCCCAATGCTCCTAACTCACCCGAGGTCGCTCAACTCCCCTTTTTACACCACCTGCACTCTCTCCACTCGCGCCATAATGTTCCGGCCCATCGCCATTCTGCGCCCAAGGACCGTCACGCGCACCCCAACCTCGTTTTGCACTTCGACACGTCTACTGGCTGCCAAGCCGAAAACGGCATCAGACGGCGGTGAAAATGGCGACGACGAGCTAGACGCCGCGAGGCGCTGGCTAGCAACTTTCGATGCCGAGACCATACCGAAGAGCATTTGCGATGTGTCTTTTAGTAGATCCTCAGGCCCAGGTGGCCAGAATGTGAATAAGTACTGCACATACCATGATACCTTTGCTAGATAGACAACTGAGACGTTTTGTAGAGTAAACTCAAAGGCTACACTGCGCCTGCCGCTATCGGCATTGCTGCCCATGCTTCCTGCTGTTCTTCGACCTGCAATATCAAGATCACGCTATTCCGCAAAAGATGATTTGGTGATACAGGCAGATGACAGTAGGAAACAGAATGAGAATTTGCATCGCTGTTTCATCAAGCTGCACGAAATGATAAAACAAGCAGGACGTGAGGTTGTGCCAGGCGAAACTAGTGCTGAGCAGGCGGAGCGTGTCAAGAAGCTGTGAGTATTCCTGTGTCACCGATACTACTCGATTATCACACGCTTACGGGTGTTGCAGACAAAAAGCAGAAAATGAAGGCAGGCTTAAGATCAAAAAGAAGCATAGTGACAAGAAGAGCGCACGAAGAGGCGGCGGGAAACCCGACTACTGATGCGTCTTTGATGAATTGCGTATATGCAATAGAGAGTACGAGGGAGTGATGAACAGAGGTATCATTGTATCATTATATATCATTCAGTCGTAACTCATGCGAGACGGCACGATGATGATGGTGACATGTCCAGATTAAGACACATCACAATTCTGTGATATGCAGCCATGAGCGCTTAGGTCGTGTACCTACACAAAACAAGTCAGCGATGAATGTCATGACAGTTGAGATGTAAGGCTGGAAAAGTGTGTGTAGGATTGAAAATCAGACATCCAAGGAAGATATAGCGCTCAACGACCGTCTAAGATAGGTTCTAGGCGACGGCTAGCGTGAAAACTGCGAATGTGGTATGGGTTTCATCATAGAAATCCAGGTGGAAAGTGAGAGAAGAAGAAAAATACATACGACGAACGTATCGCCGAAGCGAGGGCGGAGGCTGAGTTCAACAGAAGCCAGTCGTAGAAGCACACTGCTCTACAGCATGCTGCATGATATCTGCAGTGGTGGTGTTGAGTGGTGCGCGCAACTTGGAAAGCGCGTTGGTGGAAGAAAAGAAGAAGCTTTTGGGCCGAGGTGGAGGTGGCCTTTGAGCTCACCGCCCGCCAAGACATGGTTCTGCCACGGAGCTGTCGGATGTCGGAGCGCCCGAGTCGAGGGTCAGGGGATGGAGCTCTTTGAAAGTTGTCCATCCTTCTTTTGTGTTTCGTAGAGAATCAATTGAAGGAGACATGGCTCCGAAACACAAGGATGGCGACGTTGTCGCAGTGGTGAGACCGCCTGGCAGTAATGATGGTTTCGCAAGTTGCTGACTCTTTGCAGATTCCTGGACAATACATCTCATGGTTGCATACCATAGTGGCTTATGCTGCGTTTCTGGGAGCTCTGATAGTTGGAGTGTGAGTAGCGCATGTGTATTGAGCTCCAGAAAGTATACTGACGACATCAGTGCCCTCCACTATGAAAAGATCGTTCAGAACGAGCACTTCGTACGTCTTGCCGCCGAACCGTCAACATAACGCCGTCTGACAGCTTCCTACAGGGCTACCCTATCGAATGGTTTCCCTCAGTCTCTGCCACCATTGGCGACCGATACCCCGAGCGTTCCGTCTTCCAGCTCTTCATTGCAGTCACATCTGGTCAGTAAAGCCAATCTATGGCAGAAAGAGCTTTGTCTGAACAACCATATAGGCCCTCGATTCCTCCTCGTTGCATTGTGGTACATCCTGACAGCAAGGCCCGGCCAGACTCTTCCTAAGTTCATTCTGGGAGTCGGCATCTTCAGAACCTTCACCTGCGGAGGCTGGACCTACGTCACATCGACCGACGACCATGACTGGCACGACATTTTCATGATCTCATACCTCGTGGCTACTCTACCCTGGACAATCGGCTGTATAGCTTTGAGTCCCAACAACCCCAAGGCCATCTACTACCGTAAGGTCTTCGGTGGTGCTTTCTTCGCCACCCTCGTGCCCCTGGTCTACTTCTTCATCCAGCACAAGGTTCACAAGGTGCCCGGCGCATACACCATCTACGCCTTCTTCGAGTGGGCTCTTGTCCTTTTGGATGTCGCCTTTGATGCTGTCACGGCACTCGACTTCAGCGGCCTCGAGCTGGTGGTCAAGGATACCAAGGGAACCAGCAAAGGGTATGTCAACTGGCTTCCAAAATAGTGGTATGCTGAAAACCACAATGCCCAGCCATGACCACAATACTAATGCCTTTCGCAGCAGCACTCAAAGAGTGGCCGATAAGCTTGCCGAGACAGAGAAGGACAAGCCCGTTGGTCAGATCTTTTCTACTACCTACTCCAAGGGTGACATGATTGATGCACTTGCCGACGTCTACCTCGGTTTCACCTTCTGGTCTGTTCTGACTGGTCTGGGCTTGTTGATCTGGTACTTCCCTCTTTGGCACATGGGAATCTCTGGCTATGAAGCCTTTGTCATGGCCCCCATTTCTCCTTTCCTGCTCGGCATCACTTCTATCCGTAGGACTGTTGTCCACAACATCCGTTTGGTCCACTTCCTCTCGCTCTCAGGCCTCGTCGCTTTCCTCATCCCCAAGCCCGAGTACCGTCTGTTCGCCGTCGGGTTCTCCATCTTCATGTCATCTCTCGCATGGTCTGCTACTTGGTGGTCAGAGCGTGCTCAACCTGCTCGACTCGAATCTCGCATCTCAGCCTTCTCTCTGGGTCTGCTGACCTCGAGTGTCGCGAAGTATGCTTGCCAGACTAATAACCCCATCTGGCCCGCTGTACATGCCGAGAACGGCGGCTGGAACTACACCGGTCTCGTCCTTGCCATTGTTGCCATCTTGAGAGTCACGCGTAAGCCGCTTGACCCTCGTAATGATGTGCCTGGCTACAAGGCTGTTTCCGGCTCTTCTTTCCCAGCTGCCCTTGGCTTTGCTGGTCTTATGTTCGGCATGCACTCGCTTCTTTCAGATTCGAGCACCATGATCTCGTGGGTGTGGGAAGGTTTCCCTATCCGTGGGCCTATCGCCGTCCCTCATGGTAACTACACCTTCCTTGCCATGGGTCTTGGTCTGCTCATCGGACTTTACTACCCTGCCTTCGCTCGCACTTGGACTTTCTATGGTATTGGTGCTCTCGGAGCCGCCTTCTTGACGGCCTTCTCCCACTGGTCTGGCTTCTATGGTGGCCTGGCCCTTGCCACATACCTCATGGCTGCGGCTCCCGTCTTGATTGGCAATGCTGCTCGTTACCCTCCTGGACGCACTTTCTTCGCTGGCTTCTTGTTCTACAACATTTTGGTTCTTGCTCACGTCTGGACTGTCGCCTATGCTTTCGTGCCTGGTGGCCCCCTTATGCGTGAGCACACCGACTGGGTCATGACAGCCATGATGCTCTTCATCGGATGTGGTATTTTCTCTGCCACTGCTTCCGAGACTAAGCGCTCCAAACCTGCTCCTGCCAACCCTTACGCTCGCAAGCAGCGTTCCCACTACATTTACATTCTGGTTGGTCTCCAACTTCTCGGTGCCTCCATTTCGTACCTTCGCTTCCCCACCTACGATTACACTCCTTACCACGCACCAGAGAAGAGTGTCACAGCCGGTATCTGGACTACCCACTTCGGCCTTGACAACCCTATGTGGACATCAGAGCGTCGCATTGGCGCTTTGGTCAAGGAAATGGAGCTTGATGTCTTGGGTCTGCTTGAATCAGACACTCAACGCATCATCATGGGCAACCGTGACTCAACTCAATACCTTGCTGAAGAGCTCGGTATGTACGTCGACTACGGCCCGGGACCTAACAAGCACACTTGGGGCTGCGCTCTGCTCTCCAAATTCCCCATCGTAAACTCGACTCACCACTTGCTTCCCTCCCCCGTCGGTGAGTTGGCTCCTGCCATCCACGCTACGCTTGATGCATACGGCGAGATGATCGACGTCTTCGTCTTTCACTCGGGCCAAGAAGAAGACCCAGAGGACAGACGCCTACAGTCTGAGTATCTGGCCGATCTCATGGGCTCGACTCCTCGTCCAGCAATTCTCCTGTCCTACCTTGTTACCAAGACTGGACAGGGTAATTACAACACCTACGTCTCTGAGCGTAGTGGAATGAGAGACATCGATCCATCCGATGACTGGGACAGATGGTGTGAGTACATCTTGTACAAGGGTTTGAGAAGATCTGGTTACGCTAGAGTGTCCAGAGGCACCATTACCGACACCGAACTCCAAGTAAGTTGTCTTTTTGTGCTTCCTGCACTTTTAAACGGTCCACTAACATCAATGACCAGGTTGGTAAATTCGTCGTTGGTCAAGCCGAGGGTGGCAATGACCAGATCTCAGAGGACCAGGTACCTGAGGGCCTTCGCTTCCCTGCCATGTTCCGTGGCGAGGGCGTCAGAGGTCACAGATACCATGTCTTTGACGAGCCCAGATACTATGCTTGAGCTTTGTTTCATGACAATCAGTATAATATCGGTCAAACCCAGGCATTGTAGCGTACTAGAATCTCTCCTTGTATCTTTTGTAACCAGATTTTATTCTTTCTCAATTCGAGCTTCGCATGCAAATGTACAACACTCTGTTGGACGACATCATCACACACAACTTCCGCGTCCTTCATATCCCAGATGTCCTGGTGCGAGATATCAACAAGTATCCTATCGTGGCAATCTCGCGCCACAAGGCTCATCGCTCTCATTAGACACCAACCGATTTTCAATAGACTCGTGCCTTGATGAGTCCGCTTCATGCCATAAATCATACGGGCACGGGAATGAATATCGAGATGTTCAGGTCTCGTAACCACCAGAAGGAAATGCAAAAGTATCCAGGAAATCTCACCCCTGGGTTTCGAACCATGGTCCCCCCGTCCCCCACAAGTGTATATGATTCAACCAGATTGAATTAAACGTCAGCAATCCGCTGAGTGGTGTGACGGCTTACGCTCAAGATTCGCTTACATCCCCAAAACTTTCGAAAAGTTTTCCGATGTGTAGTCTTAAATCAATCTGGGAGCCAGATGTAAGCTGTTTCATTCTGGTGGCAAAGATCAAGGAAGATTAGTAGAGGAGTTTTTCCATATGAGCTGCGCTCTGGTTTTTTGCAGTTTTGTTTTGCTAGATGCTTGATGTGGGCTGCGCAACAACCCCCCAACGGACTCCAAGGGCGTTGCAAGAGTACAGGTGCGTTTTGAGGAAGGCATTTGCAAGGAAGGGGTTGATTGGTTCCACGGTGAATAGGTCTGTCTCTTCCCGCTCAGCCATGGTCGAGCGGCAGGCTGCATGGTTCTTTCATGACCATCACGGGATGATGAAACAACACTGTTTGCACTCACCGTAAGTGTTGGAGAGCGATTGGAAGCTTTGAAATTATCCTGCTTCTTCTTTCTCTTCCTTAGAACCCAACCTTCTGCAAGCCATCTGGATCTGTCATCACACAGAGATGTCGTCCCTTACCAGCCTCCCTCCGGAGGCTCGTTCAATGGTCTATGACCTTCTGGCACCATGGTCGAAACCCCAGCAACATCGCATACTCTACTATGGTCACAACCCTCTACGAGCTCGTAACCTCCCACCTCCTACTCGCTCTATCCAGAGATCCGGCTTAGACCCACAAGACCGCATCATCTTCCGTTCCCGCAGCAATTTCCACGGAAGCGCAGTGAAAAGAGCAAAGAGAGCCATCCATCTCGCCAACATCGAAGGCCTTCTCGCCCTCGCCGGTGCATGTCGCCTACTACGTTCAGAGATCCTGTCCCTCGCCTGGTCGAATGCCGATATCTACGTCAAGGCCTCTCCTATCTACAAGGAACTGACCTGCATTTTCGACAACCGACTTTCCGCCGAGTGTTGCAACTTTATCCGCACACTTCGTATCGAGATCAAAGACACACAGTGGCCGCCCTCAGAGATGAAGAAAATGGGCCAACTTATCACCCGCCGTCTACCTCAGCTTCAGACCATGTTCGTGGTCATTCGCTCTGACGGCTTTCGGACAAGTTCGGACCCCCCTCAAAAAGGCTTGTTGGCTCTCGCGAGTGTGCCTCTGAATGTCACCATCAAGATTTTGACCTACATGCCTGGCGATATCGATCTGATGATGCGAAACAATGGCCAATTTTCTGATCAGCAACTCAGGGATCATAGAAAGAAGCAGGATGGAAAACATGAAGCGAATTTGCTTGCGACTCGTTCGAAGGGGCAGCAGCGCAGGGTCATGCAGGAGCATGTCAAGCAGCAAGATGTGGTTGGAGATCTTCTGGAGGATACGGTGGAGATGCGTAGTCTCATGTTCAGCTAGACTGGTTTGACACTGCTGTCAAAATACACGATAATTTTCGAAAGTAGAGTTAGGCCCAAGGAGAGGGCGTTACATAGTCGCTCTCTGTAGACGGCGTGCTCTCGTGCATTTTGATGGGTGGAGCATGCGCATCGCTGCGATTTCAGGGCTGAGGTGACAAAGTTTAGCACACGGAGAGGCTGGGTCGTCACGTCTGTAGCATAGCAAACACTATCTTGAGCTTGAGTTTTACTGTTATCGGATAGTCGGTCGAGGTGTGATGTTGAAGTGTCTGTGTCTGGCGATTTCTGCAACAGACAATCATATCTGTATGAATGGAAAAGATCAGAGTTGCTACTTAAGGTCAGAGGCTAGTGGTGTGGTTCGGAAGGACAGCCAGAACACAGGAGAATTTGTGTAGCATCGGAGATGCACGTTGAAGGCATGGCATGTTAGAGACAAATGTTCTCTCCGGAGCGGAAAGGGGCTTGGTTGCCATGTCTTTTTGCGGGCCGACTAAGGCTCTACTAGAGAGAGATACAACATGTCTACTCCAGGTAGGCGATCAGTTACTTTGGTCTCGGGTAGAAGCGGACAGAGTGTTATCATGGAGTGGGAGGGGGCGTGTTCAGCTGCGACTGTCGCAGATACTGAATGGTCAGTACACAGAGAGAGGCGATGGAAGATGACTGTGTGCACCAAGCTAGCCAAAAGTAGTTGAATAAGAGTAGACATCAATATAGAACAAGCATGATGTAAGTTGTGATTGCCTCGGTTAACAACAAGTACTGTCAAGCCGAATAAATCCGAGCTTGTGTTTCCGAAACATCTATCCGAGCACGTTCGACCGCATCTCAAGTGTATCCTCAAGAACCTCTCCAACTTCATCCCTCTTGGCCTTTTCCTCCCTCTCGCCTCTGCGTTTTCGGCGGACCAAGTCAACATCTTCCCTCGCCGCAAGTAAAGCCTTCTCAGCCCAAATGCTCTCCTCTCTTACGTTATCAACTTGTTGCAATTTATTCGCGCTGAGAGACCTGTTAAGAAACCAGTCTGAAAAGTAGTGGTGGACCTTGACAATCACCCTCATCGGCAGGATCCTCAGCGCCAACAGTTCAGGTATTGGAAGATCCTTGTTTGGTAGATAACTGATGCACACTTCGACAACCAGCAACTTGAGCTGTGGCAGTTGACGAATGAGGAATCCAGCTGATTTTGTGATCTCCGTGTGCGAGGGTGAGGGTGAGACTGAGCGGGTTTTTTGATTGATGTGAATGTGTAGAGTGGTGATGAAGTCACACGCTTCCCAGGACAAGCGATTACAGAAAAACCAAGTCAATTCATGGGATAACTCTGGTGATTTGACATGGATGTCTGCATTTGACCAGATCAGAGCGAGCAATTCGGATCTAATCAGACGGCAGGTTGCGGAGATGGAGAGAAGGTCATCGAGGTTAGAGTGGTGGATCTTATCAGTGGCTTTTCGGATGTTGCAGGAATAGAGGATCCTGTGGAAACAGACGCGGTCTTGTGAGTCTACGTGATAGGAATGTTGGTGGCGGATCGAGTGCGGAGTGTCGGCGCATCGAAGGGGGTTCGTACCGCTGTAGAGGGTTCGTGTATTACTGGCCAGGCATGACTGGAGCAATATGTTGTAGATGATCATGCGGATCTCTGGAGGTAGACTGAGGAAGGACATGATCATCGTACAAAGTCAAGAGAGAACGGGATGCTAGGTAGCGTGAGTTTTGTAGGTGGCTGTGAGACAAAAGGACTGATGCATGTTATCTTAAGATCAAACATCCATGCCTGAGACAAAAGCTGCGAAGACCAGACTTGTACAGTCCTTATTCTTTGGCCGGTTGCAAATTCCTTATTCGAGTTCTCTACATCAGAGATGGGATATTCGTTTTGTTGATGTAGAAGTATCTTGTTGATTCTCCGGCAGACCATCACTTGTTGTGACAACACCTTCCGCTTTCATACCCAGCCTTCCGAGAAGTCCTTGATTTAATATATCTCCATCATAAGACTGGTGCCAAGGGTTACGAAAAGCAGGCGTCCAAGGGCCCCTTCATGGGTCTCTGGCTCACCAAGGCAACCGAAGGAAGAAAGAGTTATGCTAAACACATGACTGAGCAGAACTATTAGATATAGATGTCCTTTCGGGCGGGAAAAGGAGGCAGCGTACGACCAGCGTCATGTTTTCGTTGGCGACCTCTACTTTCGGCTACATTTGACTCAGGCAAGACCGACTGAAGTCACAGACTGTGGAAAGGGGAATGAGAGTGAGTACTTGCAACTTTGCAGGTTTAGACGTTGTTTTGTTTCGATGCGGGCGGCAACTTCTTTCTCTTTTAATGACTGTGAGCTGCCTATTTCAACCCCATAGTCTAAAGTTTAGTATTGTCATCACATTTTTATTACCCTGAAGATAGGTTGTGTATTTGTGTAGTGAAAGTGATAAGCTTTCTCTGTGAAAGGAAACCACTCATCAAGACAACACTTTCGCTTTCACACCCATCAATCCTCAGACATCTTGACCTACTTTGATTCCTCTCTTCCAAATTCCATCACAACGCAACCTTTCTTCTTATCATTCCAACAAGAATTGATTCACGAAGATTCGTATCGACACAAGCATCATCAATCATCAAGCGTACCATGTCGTCCTTGTTCAATCCTCCCCCTGAAGTGCGCACGATCGTCTATGACCAAATGGTTCGAGACGTACACGCTAGCGACAAGCGTATCATCTACTGCGATCACCACTCCCAGTACGACGAATCGTGCCAAGCTATTGTAGAAAAGCCGACCATGTGGTTCCGCTCAAAGATGGAGTTCGAGACAGACCATCAAGGACGCATCGATCTTCTCACAGAAGATGGAACTTTCTCTGAAGGTACGACAGTGTATGGAACGTGCATACCGGATACCGCTATCCATCATGCCAATATTGATGCTTTGCTTGCTCTTGCAAGCACTTGCCGCCAACTCCGTGCCGAAGTTCTCCATCATGCTTGGGAAAATGCCGATATCAGAATCTTTACGATAGACGATACATACTTCGAAGCTATGGTGCACATCTTCGAGATGCACCTCTCCACGGAGGTTTGCGAGCTCATCCGTACCCTTTTCATCGAGGTCAGTGATGATTGCTGGATGCCATGCGAGGTCAGCGAAATCGCACAATTCATCATGAGACGATTTCCGAACCTCAAGCAGCTGACCGTCGCCGTGGCACGTCGGGACACAGAAGACTGGGAGCTCGACTTTGAAGTTGGTCTGAAAGCTCTGTCAATCCTACCCTTCTCTATTGACGTTGAGATTGAGGCATACATACATGCCGATATTATCCATTGTGGATCCCTCAGACCACTTGTCATCCACTCCGCCTACAAAGATTTCACCAAGCTCGCACCAGACGCTGAGTACTGGGAGAGAGCTACCGGCTGGCATAACACCTTTCTACTGAGCAGTTGGCGTAAATGGAAGCAGTGCCAGATAGCTATGCGAACACAGAATGACGAACGCCAGATTGACGCATCTCTCCTCGAAGACACACTCGGCATACGCTCAGAGATTGCTGGTTGGCCCGTCATTGCCAGTCAGATGACTCCAAAGGAGAGGTGGGAGGTACGCAGAGAAGGAAAGTGGGAGGAAGGTTGGCTGGTCAGAGAAGGGATTGATGACGAAGCCAAACAAGAGCCTAGAGATGGGTCTGCGGAAGAACACGATGCCGAATCTGCGTAGCGGGTTGACGACGAATTTGTACCAGAGATCGACGATGACGCTATGAGAGAACGAGACTGAGAGTTTGGCGTCTAGCGCTTCTCAGTGGACGAACGTGTTGACCTGAAAAACATTGTGCATTCCAGCGGCGTGATAGGAGAAGGCAAAATGAACATGCTCGATTGTTGTCAAGGGAAGGGAAGAGAAGAATGGGCAACATGATCTTTTCCAACGTCTGTCAGGCCAGAGCGCTTGCTTCGAGAACTTATTGGGGAAGGAGAGATGGAGCTCATTCACTATTGCTCGAGATTAGAATTACGTTTTGTTTCTCGTTGGCTACTTCTCTTTTAGAATCGTCGCAGCTGCCTGCTACAATTCTGCGGTGAAATCCCCAGCTTCATCATTGCAAGCCTTGTTGACCTTTCTCATGTGGTTCTTGTTTTGTGTTCCTTCCTCCGTCATTCATACACTATCGTGGCAGCAATCATGGAGCAACCTGGTATGTCCTTTCCTCTTCGTTCTGTCTCATCAACGACGCACTATCGGCAAAGCATATCTTCCCATGTCAACAGCAAACCACCTCTTGACCTCTCTCAGGCAAACACCGGCAGCGATGTACTTCCAACTCTGCAAATCGCCAACCTTCTTATCTCCGTACGAAGGTTCATTCATGCCAATAGCCAGACATGCAATAGCTCTGGGCAGAGCTTCTTCATTGCGGTCGTCTTCGTCATAGTCGCCATCGATGATGCGGGAGATGGTGAAGGTGAGGACGTCTTCGAGTTGTGCGCGCATGGCTTGAGTGGTCTCGCGGACGCGCTTGGATTGCTTTCCACCGTCGCGGCCGAGGATAGTGCCAGAGAAGATCTCGGTCTCGGTGAGCGGGTGGCGTGGTGAGGAAGCAAATTGGTAGAGGGATTGGAGGAGGGTTTGTTCGTAACTGCGAAAGAAGTGTTAGCGGGCCGTTTATTGTGTGTGGAATGTAGCAAAACACTTACCCATCTCTAATCTGTCTAGCCAGATCTGTGTGATGCTGCCACTGAACAACAGAAATGTGCTGTTGGATATAGGTCCACAGGGTGTCCAGCACGGTATCTTCCAGTCCATGAGCCAGTTTAGGCACATTCTGCATAGTCTCTAGAAATTGGTGTTCGTCGATTGCGCGATAGAGGTGGCCGAGGGCTTTTTCACTGCGGTAGTAACGAATCGGACGGACGCCGTCAAGATCGCTGATGGGGTCGTTTTCTTCGTCTTGTTCGTTTTCGAGAGCGTCTTGGAAGCTTGCGAGACCACCAGATTCGAGGATGACACGGGGGCTAGGGGCCATGAAGTCGGGCTTGACGCGCTGGGCTCGAGGAGCGCGGTCCATACTCACCTGTGGGTTGTTAGATTGGTCGATGGGTCAATGGCCAAGAGCAGGACTTACCGCAATGCCAGTCTTGGAGAAGTCGACAGCTTGTGATGCCATGTCGGCAAGAGCAATACAGTCATCGTCGAACACGCCCCGAAGCTTCTGGTCAGCAATCTGGAGATGGCGGTTGCAAATCTGACCAAGTTGATCAGTCTCCATGAATTCGACGAAGAAGGAACTCATGTCGTGAATGGTGACTTCGCGCTCAAGCTCGTAACCAGGAACTCGAGGGTAGTCAGCTGGCGGAGCACTGTTTACCTGAGGCATCAACGTAGGCTCGAAGATGACATTGTAGAGGTCGCCGTCCAGGTCACCTCCGCTGAGTTGACTGGGAAGGTCGCGGTCGCCATGTTGACTGAATACAACGCAGTTGCGAAGCTGATCGAGAGGAGAAGTGCTGGGCACGTCGATGGCTTCCACGGTTCTGATGTCACCAGGATGGAGAGCAGGGGAACGTGTGATAATGACCTTGCCCCCAGTCAGGACTTTCTTTGGCTTATCAGGGGAGCTCTGCGTGGTAACGTAGATCTGTCCCTCTTTGAGATAGCCAGTTTCATCCATGATGCCATAGAGTGTGACTCCATTCTGGACCGGGATGCGGCCCTTGTACTTGATCTCGCGCAGCTTTGTGATTACAGCCATCTCGACGACACCACGAAGGAAAGTATCATCGTGGTAGTCGAGGCCAATGTCGGCCAGCATGTCGATCAGGGATGGAAGCCTTGCAGCTTTGCTTGTCTGAGTGTCATTCAGAAGGAATGAGGCGTTGTAAGTATTGGTGGTCATCATTCTCAGCTTCTCCACGGCCTGTTCTTGTAGACGCATGAAAGACTCGATGGGCACCTGCAGATCCTCAAGAATCTTGATAAACTGACGGTTGAGCACCATGGGATAAGGGCGCCAAGCTGCACCGCAGACTTCGAGTGTGATGGAGCCAGAACCAGAGAACTTCACCATGGAAGGGCGAATATTGAACTGCTCGTCGCCAAGACGGCGGTCAAGAGACACGACTCCTTTCGCACCATCGAATCTGATCTGGAGGATGGTGGGCTTGAGCGTACGACGTGGACCATAGACACGCCAGACCTTGCGGAGAAGGTCAAGAGAGATGGTACCACAACCGTCACTGAAGCAACGTCCATTGCGTTCGACGTCTGGAATGCGTCCAAGCATACCAGCTTCCACCTCTACAGTACCGGTCGTATCAGTGAAAGACTGACCAATACGAGCAGCGCAACGAGCGGGAGAGCGGATATGGCTGAAGTCTCCAAGCCCTTTGATGAGCTCTGGAGCATGCATCAGTGTGCCTTCAAATTCGAAAGGTGCCATGAACCAACAGGTCTGCGAACGAAGACTTGAATGCGAGAATCCTAGGAAGGAAAAGCCTCTGCCTGCGATAACATACTCTGACTCCATAAACTTCTTGAAGCGAGCGTAGACTTCTTTCTGGTCGGCTTGACCGTCAAAGCGCACTGGTTCGCCATCCTCATCCACAAAAGTGACGCGCATGAAATAATCGGGGTGATCTTCATACTTTCTCAGCACACGATTACTGACTTCTGGCTCAGGTCCCTCCAGATACACACCGGCTGGAGTGACCGTCAACTTGTGGACCAGAACAATATGAGCATGGTGGTTGGCTTGGTCATATGAGTTCTGAAGCTTTGATCGATCGTAGTCTTGGGCGTAGTCAAGCAAGTTGTTGGTGAGTGTCTCGATAGAATAGCTTTGTGCCTCGACATGAGGTCCAATCAACTGCAGGCTATGATAGAGACGCTTCAACGACTCGACTATGGCCGGTCCATCGTGGTTAGCTACCAGCAGAGAAATCGCGGGTAAGATCAGAACAACTTGATCCGGCTGGAGCGCCCCGTTCCTGGCCAAGCGGAGAAGCTGAAACTTCACATCGAAAGCGAGATCACGATAGGGCTGCATCGAGGCAAGATGTAGCTCTAGTCGCGCGAACGCGCCGCTGAGAGCCATAGAAGGGGGCATGGATGGTGTCGGATGATTGACGGTAACGGATGCGGTATGACGATTGTGCTTCAGCAGGCGGAAGACATCTGGAAGCTGTCTGTAATCGGCAAGCTGGATTTGGTAGACATGGCAAGTAGATGCCACGGCGGCATGGGCCTGGTTGATACTGGTGACACGCTTCTTCTTCGGTGGCTGCATTCTCAGCCCAGGATTCATGAGCCCCACCCGGGCGAACAGGTCCACGAGCTCTACCGAGGGTGAGCAATAGAAGCTCGGTGGACAGTGAAGGTTGAAGGTGATGGTCGGATGCTCGTAATTGCCACTAGTCGCCGTATCGATGTCGAAGTATTTGATATTGATACGAGTGGCGAACTGTTCGCCGTGGTCATTGCCATGGCTATCGTCAAATAGTATGGCAGTTTGACGTTGGCCAAAAATGATCTTGCCCTGTCTTACGTCGATGTAATGAGGCACAAAGGTGAGCTCACCATCGACGAATGACCAAATTCCGCAGTGTAGAGAGGATATACTAAAAGTAGTCGCCTGGGATCCCCCATTGGTAGGTCGACTTTGTGCAAGCGCCTGGGGCTGAGCGATGATGTTGGCCTTGAGACTGCGTAGCAGCCATGGATCTGGCTGGTTCTTGGACAGTGAGCAGTTTACGGGTTGACCGTTCATAGTGAGCGGGAAAGCTGACTTGCGCTGGCCATTGACGAGGCCATACTTTGCAAGAAACTGCTCGCCTTTTGCAACATCGAGGAAGATCAGCTTGCCACAAGGCTTGCTGCCGAATTTCTCGCACACGTAGTTTGTGATACCAAACTCAGAGAGAGGTGCGCGGAGCTGTCTTTTCAAGTCGCGCTCCGTACAATGGGGCGGTATACGGCTGAGGAACACCTCCATGATGAAGTTGGATAGTTGACTTGAGAACAAAACTTGGTTGATGATCGATCGATGGGGGAAGAAGATAATCTGAAGCGAACATTGGAGCGGTCAAGAGAAGTGAAACGCAATCAGTGAAGCGGAGCGGATATCAAACGCGGGTCATTTCTCTATCGAGCGCATGCTCCAGCGACAAATCCCAGCAGGAATCTGGCTGTCCAACTGCATGAAGGTTTTCAGATACTAGAGCTCCTTGAGTGAGAGGCCATGGTATTTGAGCTCTCAATAGATCCTCTTCCCAAGCTGAAAGCATTCGTGCATTTTCACACTTGCATCGGTGGAACCGGTCGGCGGATGAAATACTATGCGCTGTACAGAAGAAGCCCATGTGTCTGCTTTCAACTCACATCACCCTTAGACATGCAGGCTGCCGACGTGGTAGATGTGCTCGAGGTTACGCGACACATCATTCACAAAGTACGTCGTGAGATGATTGTGGTATGAATGATGAAGTCCGAAATGCCCTTGATGCGATTGGAAAGAGCTCAACGGAGCTTGCCGGCTGACTAACCGAGGTACGGCGACGCCACGCACCCTTTCGTCTCTAAACATCGATTTCCTTACAACTGTGTCCGTGGATATCTCACATGTGGTTCATAGTTGTATCGAGTTCATGCGGCTGCCCAATTCACAGATTGAAGGGGGGACTGGTCTGGAGGCCATAAACGCGACATTACTCGCATGTCAAGACTCTTCACGCGTCTGTCGAGTTTGATGGGTGTCTACTCGTACCAACGAATAACATCAAGAACCGTTGTAGCGATTTTGCTATGCCGCCAAGCCATGGAATGCTGATGCCTGAAGTCGTGCATTGCCAAGATCACGACACTGGTCATGACAAGATGCATTTGTCCTAGACCACCATAAGATCAAGTGCACAGGCCTTGGATGACGGCTTCAATCGAACTGCTTTGGTCCAAGATCGTTCTATCGTGCGAAGTCGGATAAAGTTTCGACTCTGACGCCCGCGGCTTTAGGAGTCTGTAGAATAGATTCAGAGAGCCTCCAAGACTTAGGTACTTGATACATGTGGGGTAAACAAGGAATGTCTAGAGTAACGTCTTATCAAATACCTTCAGGCTCCTGGATTCTATAGGGTGTCATTGAGGACATTCGTCAACGAAAAAATCACATCTCCGGATGGCTGCACCAATAACTGCTCCCGAGCCCGCTCTCGGGGCACCACAACTCGCTGAGGAAAGCGCTATGGAGAAAGCTGGATCTTCAAAGTCCTCATCTCAAGACCATGAACAGTTTGAAACTGGAAAAAAGCCGGACAGTAACCAGGCCAAAGGATTCCTAGGAACATACTTTGTGAGTAAGGAGGCAACTGAATATCTGCAGTGGACTGATCATTCCAAAAGCGGATATTCAAATATGGCGACAACTTGGACTATATCTTGTACGCCATGGGTATAGCAGGCGCTGTGGCAGTCGGTGCCACTCTTCCATTGATGACTGTGGTCTTCGGGTCTTCTACCACCTCATTCAACAACCAAGCAGTGGGTCAAGGCACAGCAAATCAATTCCAAGATAGCATCAACCGCCAAGTGCTTTACTTTGTGTACCTTTTTGTCGGCCGTTTCGTCATTGGCTACATAGCGACCCTATGCCTCTGTGTCGCTGCTGCTAGAACAACAAACTCTTTGAGGAAGGCATTCCTGGAAAGCTTACTAAGAAAGGAGATTTACCATTTCGACTTGCAAGGCAATGGATCCGCTGCAACTCAAGTCACTACAAGTATGAGCTTCTCTATGGCATTGAGTGCATTGCTAAATTATTACCAGACGGCCACCGCATCAACCAAGGTATCGCTGAGAAGCTATTCTCGCTCGTCATGGGCATCTCGCTTTTTTTCTCGTCGTACATCGTTGCGCTTACCGTTCAATGGAAGCTTGCTCTCATCACGATGAGCATAGTGCCGGCGATAGTTGTGATTACAGGAGGCTGTATAGGGCTTGATGCGCCCATCGAAGCCCAGATTGTAAGTTCAGTGATTTACAGGCCTTGACTAGCTGTGTCAAGATCGCGCTATACCGAGGTACATATTATCAATTACTGACAAGCCATATAGACACGCATTTACTCTAGAGCAGCGACTCTGGCTCAAGATGCTATTGGATCTGTCAAAACTATCCATGCATTTGGAGCACAGCAAAAGATTGTAGAGTGGTACGACGAATACCTGCAAACAGCACACAACACTGGTAAGAAGAAGTCACTGTTGTATGGCGTCCTATTCTCCGGTCAGACGTTTCTGGTCATGTCAGGTACTTCGCTTGCGTTCTGGCAAGGATTTCGCATGTTTCGAAGTGGGGAAATTGGAGATGTCGGCACTGTCCTTACAGTTATATTGAGTGTCACTCTTGGTGCGACCTCGGTCATGCTCATTATGCCGCAGATTCAGGCTATCACGAATGCATCATCTGCTGCAGCAGAGCTGTTTGCCATAATCGACAAGCCATCTCAGCTCGATCCTCTTTCTACAGCAGGTATGAAGCCTGAGGTCTGTTCTGGAGACATCGAGATCCGCGACCTTTGCTTCTCATATCCTTCCCGACCCTCGGCCCCTGTACTACAAGATCTAAACTTGCGTATACCCGCGGGTAAGACTACCGCTCTTGTTGGGCCCAGTGGCTGTGGCAAGTCGACTCTGGTTGGCCTACTGGAAAGATGGTATCAGCCGACTTCAGGACACATTCTCTTGGACGGTCATGACCTCAGCACTTTAAACACGAATTGGCTACGAAACAATATCAGACTTGTTCAACAAGAGCCGACACTGTTTCAGGGCACAGTATTCGACAATGTTGCTAAGGGTCTGATCGGAGAGCAACTAGGCTTCACCAAAGAGCGGCAAATGCAGCTCGTCCAACAAGCGTGCATGGCGTCTGATGCGCATGTTTTCATCCAAGGCTTTCCTGAAGGATACAACACACAACTAGGAGAGCGAGCAAGTATGCTCAGTGGTGGACAACGCCAGCGGATCTCCATCGCCCGAAGCATTGTTGCTGATCCGAAGATCCTTCTGTTCGACGAAGCAACGAGCGCACTAGACCCTCGCGCAGAAAGGGTTGTTCAGAATGCACTGAATCGTGTTTCGCTCAACAAGACCACGCTAATCATCGCGCATAAGCTGGCTACGGTGATGGCGGCTGACAATATTGCGGTCATGACGAGTGGAAAAGTGGTCGAGCAAGGCAGTCACAGCGAACTACTTGAGCGTGACGGGCTATATGCGGCTATGGTTCGAGCGCAAGACCTAAACACGAGTTCGAGCAAAGATAGCGATGATCTGCCGGAGAAGCCAACACAAACAGACACTGACGAAAAGACACTCGATACTGCCGTTCAAAGTACAGAGCTCGCACCCGACACGAAGACGCAGAAGCAAGCAGCAAACAAGCTTGCTGCTGGCACTCTCAATTACTCACTACTCAAATGTATCCTGGTAATGCTCAGAGAGCACCCAGACCTGTACCCATGGTATTTTCTCATGGGTGCAGTCTACCTCACTATCGGAGGCACGCAACCAGCACAAGCAATCATATTTTCTCGATTGATCAGAGTGTTCACTCTTACAGGGTCGGAAGCTAAAACGCAAGCCGATTTCTATGCTCTTATGTTTTTCGTCCTGGCAATTGTCAATCTGTTTGGGTACTTCCTTATTGGGATATCTTACAACACTGTTGGTCAGATACTCACCCATCGCTATCGTCGAGAGATGCTTGAGCGTATAGTTCATTTCGATCAAGATTTCTTCGATCGACCAGAAAATTCTTCGGGGGCGTTGACTGCTAAGCTGTCATCAGTTCCTTCTGCAGTACAGGAGTTGATGTCGGCAAACCTCGGACTCATGCTCAACGTTGTGGTCAACATCATAGCTACCAGTGTGGTTGCAATCGCATTTGGGTGGAAGCTAGGCCTCACTTTGGTATTTGCAGGACTGACGGTCATCGTTGGTGGTGGATACACTCGAATCAGACTAGACCAAAGACTGGAAACCTCGACTGAAGAGCAGTTTGCAAGCAGTGCCGGCTTGGCTTCTGAAGCTGTGTCTTCAATAAGGACAGTCAGCTTCTTGGCACTTGAGACCTCTGTGATGCAAGAGTACAGCAAAACCTTGGATGCTATCGTCTCAAAGGTCATCCGAAGTCTGGTAAGTGGTGATCAGAGGCAGAACTTCGTTGGAAGACTATTGGCTGACCGGTTGCTTCTTTTTAGAGTGTTACCCTGATACCCTACGCCTTGTCCCAATCAGCGGACTTTCTCGTCATGGGACTTGGTTTCTGGTATGGCTCAAGGCTTATCGCACAAGGCGAGTACTCTACGACGCAGTTCTTCGTTGTATTTCTTTGCATCATCTTCGGTGGTCAGGGCGCCGCCCAGTTCTTCGGTTACACAACCTCAATCACCAAAGCAAAAGGAGGCGTTAACTATATCCTCTGGCTACGAACCATCAAGCCGACCATCTGTGAGACCGATGGCAATAGGGGCAAAGGCCCCAAAGGAAATGATGTGAGCATCGAACTCGAGAATGTCGACTTTCAATACAAGCAACGTGGGACTGCAAAAGTACTGCGCGACATCTCAATGAAGATACCCGCAGGAACATACGCTGCGTTCGTCGGTCCCTCTGGTTGTGGTAAGAGCACCATTGTTTCTCTTCTCGAACGCTTCTACGATCCATCATCTGGCCGCATTACGATGAATGAAGATGATATCTCGCTCATGTCGCCGAAACTCTATCGAAGCACCATGTCACTGGTGCAACAAGAGCCTCCATTGTATCTTGGCTCTGTCCGGCAAAACATCACGATCGGACTCAACTACGAGCCCTCTGAGGATGAGATACTTGAAGCCTGCCGTCAAGCCAACGCCCTTGACTTCATCACTTCTTTACCAGAAGGACTTGAAACACCTTGCGGCTCTCGCGGTCTTCAATTCAGTGGTGGTCAGCGTCAGCGTATCGCTGTAGCCCGAGCGCTTATTCGCAAGCCTGCACTACTGCTTCTAGATGAAGCGACATCAGCACTGGACACGCAAAGTGAACGAGTAGTGCAGCAAGCACTTGATGAGGCTGCGGCGGGACGTACAATTATCGCCGTTGCTCATCGATTGAGCACCATCAGACATGCTGATGTCATTTTTGTAATTGAGGATGGCAAGATTGCGGAGATGGGCACGCATGAGGAGTTGCAAGGACTGAGAGGAAAGTATCATGCCATGTGTTTGGCACAGACACTGGATCAAGCGGCTCCATCGGGTTGAGGTTCATAGGGATGTGTAAACTGTACACAACTCATCAGCATACGACATCACTTACAAATGCCTTGCTGAACGTGCGAGCGCAAAATGTGAAAGCTAAGAGCGTTGTTGTTCATAATTTCCATCTGCTCCCTCTCTTTACCTTCTTGGTTTCAGACACGTCTGACGATCAGTCCTTGTGGTAGCATATTATCGAAGCATTTGCACCTGCATAGCTGATTGTGTTTCTCCATGCGCACTCTGACTTCCTCCGCAGTGAACTTTGCTGCATAACACAACCTTCGCGTTTGCTGCGTGGTTTTGCCTCTGCAAAGAACGTCAAAGTCGCAACGACACTTGAACTCCTCATGATGCAGCACCAAAGCCGTCGCGATTGCCAAACACAAGTCTGCAATCTCTTCAATTTCGATGGAGCGGTCCCGGGGAATCAAGTTGCAGGTAAAAGTGGTTGTTGGCTGCTCATCGCCGTCGTTGCTAACACCGCAGGCGAAGTATCTGGTACCAGCTGCAACGTCTCTGCCTCGGCGAAGCCACAAATTCCGTGCGAAATACCGCCAGACGTCTGGAGCCATGTAAGTAATGCTTGAAGCATAGGTGAGTCATACGCACCTGATACCTTCTCTGGATTTTCTAGGGTAGTAAAAGGTGCTGACTCTTCGGTCATGTTGCTCGCCTTTGGACGTGCCTTTCTGGAGAGCTTTTTCAGTGCCCCGAATCCCAGGGGCATGTTGAGAGCAGGCAGTGAATTTAATGCAAGAGTCGAAGCTGTGCTGTAAAGATGGCACGATTGAAGGCGTTTGAGGAATGACTGGGTTTACACCAATTGTTGTGGAAGTCCAAGAAAGGACAAGAAAGAACAAAAACTGCTACCCCAAGAACTTGAACTATCAGTTGAACTCTATGACGTGTTGGTGAAACGTCGACGAGCGCGATTGAGTGGATTATGTACCTAAAGGTCTTGTGCTTGTGTGTCTGAGCGCCAAACCCCTCGAAATCTTGCTCGGTGTATCTAGAGGGCTTCTGACTCGAGCTTGAGATCATTACAGCTGGAAGGGGAAGTGTGAACTTCGCAATGTGGTATGCTCCTGCCAAAAGTCCAACCACCCAACCACCAATAACGACAAGCGCTACTCTATCGTTGAAGTCGTGGCTTCCTCCAAAAACCATTTTTGTCCGCTGAACCAACTTCTCCCAACAATCGGTCCCTCGTTGTTTCCAGGACCTCAAGGACATATGAGCCAAGCACTTGTCTGGTCAAAAGTCCGTGACTTCCCTCGCTGTTCAGTCTTCTCACTCAATCATCATTTCCAGATTTACTTCAAACCCCGTCCTGTCTTTCCTGAACAGTATTTGGCTCAGAACCATCGAATGGAGACTGCACTGTTTGAACCAAGCGTACAGGGTTGTTCTTTTGTCGCTACAACGTCAGTAAATGTATCTTTGTTTTATTCTCATGGGAGTTTTACTTACAGCTACCATGCTCTCGCTGAACTTCTCGCGCTTTCCCTAAATCATCCTGCATCTTGATATGTATCGATCAATCCTGCTTTAGTGCTGAGAGTCGCTGCATCATGAGCTATTTTCTGTCTCGCTGATCATATTCCGGGTTTGTTTCCTTAGTGGGCCTCTTGAGTTCTTGTGAATATCTCGAATTTGTATGATTCAGCGTCCTCTCAAGCGAGACTCCGATCATACGATCATGTCCTGTGATCACTCGCAGTTCTGAAATTTGGAACAGTCGAACGTTGAACGACGCAAGTCAATGGTCGCCTCCAGGGACTCGAGCAGGTGGTCAACAAGTCGACCCTTTCGTCTCTGGTTTGCTCGAGCACGGCAACGTTGCATTGTGAGTCGCAACGATTGCATCATGTTGATGATAGTTTGGGTGTAGTAGTTGGGGGCTTTGGAATAATGCAGCCATTGTAATGTCGATGTGTTGTATGAATGTGAGTTAAAAGTGAAATCAACGCGCGAGGAAATGAGCCCCAGTGGCTCGATTACTGCGAGACTCGGCGCAACAGCGCCATTGAAGGGTTCAAACAGATCATGGTTGTTGGAGACACTGACTGACATCTTTCTGAGATTTGGGAGGTGGTCGCTAATGAGCTTGGTGACTTGTCTGACCTCTCTGGCACCGTTTCGAGCGCTTACGTGAGTGACGTCGGCGAACAGAATGAGGTTGATATGGTTGATGTTGGCAATAGCAGTGGAGCCAAGGACGCCCAAGTGAGCCTCCATCGTAGTGAGCATGGCAGTAGGAGATCCACGAACGGTGTAGTTTGCGTTGCCCCAGATTATCGGAGCGACCTCTGCATAGAGAAGTTTGTTGGTCATGGCAAGACTGAACAACGCATCCATACAGATGTACTGACAAGAAGGGCTTTCGTAGGGGACTTTCTTGAACTCGCATGCGCCACTGGTTTGATGCCAAACGCACTTCTCACGCTTGTAGAACAGAGGCACAGTACCCTGAGCAGCTTCGACGGCATCAGGGCGAGCAACGACATGTCTTTGATCGTTGATAGCATCCTTGACCAAAAGATTGAAGACAATCACACGAAGCTCTGGCGGGAGAGATAAAAGCGATGTCATAGTTGAATGATGAGTCGCGGGATAGTAAGCAGTGCAATGTTGAGTAGTGCGACGTTGAGCAGGGTGGTGCAAAGAAGTGTGATGTTAGGCGATGTTGTCAGCCTCGCAGAATACAGTTGTTGATCAAGAAGACGAAGTCTTTCCAGCGTTACCAACCAGGCGCAGACGCCAAGCTATTCGGACAATTGACTGAGTTGTGGTTGCCAGGGAGCCAGGAAGCGATATTCACTCCCGATGGATCGCCCTTGTCGTCAAGCTGATGATTTGTTGGTTACACTGTTTGCTTTTGATCTATACCCCTCAGCCCCAACTGAGCATTATTCCTCGTCCTTGGAGATGGAACAACAAGAAAACTTCGATAGATAACTAGCTTAAAAAGACCTCCTTGCTATTTTATAGCAACCATGGTTCGAATCGTTGCGGAGGATTTTCTTTGTACGCTAAATTTGGGCCACTTTTGCACACACATTACCCAATTAGGCCTGCCAAACTACTAGACTGGATATTCAATGGATATGTACTGGATGGATTAGACCCCATATCCATATCCAACCGTTTATCCAACTGGATATCCATCCGGTCCCAGGCCTGGGATGCTTTTGATGATCAAGTGGATGTCCACTAAGAGCGGCGCTTCTCTGTATTTTCCTCGGATAACTACATAGAGCTAGAAAGAATTGTGCTGTTTGACTGCTGTTTCGCAAGACGCCTCGTCAGGCTGAGAATTTGATTCTGGCGCGATTTCTGTGCCCCTACATTCACGTCACTGGTTTCATGGAACCCATCAAACGTGATAGCCCGAGCGTGAAAGAAAAGCATTCATCGTGTGAACAGTGTGATTATATGGAAATAGGAGAGCAACAACAGATAATGATTGAAGAGACTATAGTGTGTGGGAAGAAAGTCGACAAGTGACAGTGTGGGCAAAGATCCGATCATCATCCGTCACTACATCTTTCTTGGTGGCTCTGAAACGTAGTCGAATTCGGCAGTACATGCTTTGGTAATTCAATCGATGCAAAGCGAGCGCAGTCCGATAGTATCCTGCAGAATGCGATCTTCGATTGCTTCCAAAGCCTTCGAACGTTCACCGTCTGTTGATCCTAGCTGCCCTAGCTGCTCTAGCTTGTTTTCTCGGAGCAGGTGGACAACGCGACGTGTGGCATAAGCATTCTCGTATGCAGTATTCAATCTGTCAAGGTACGCGATTGCGAGAGCATCGGGACCTCGGAAGTGACTGTTACTTTGGGCATAACCTATCAGCAACTCTCCATCTCGTGAAATGTAGGTTGAGAAGTTGACGCTAATTCTTAGAGGCAGCGAGGCCAGTATACCAGCTAGAATCAGTCCATAGCGACCTGGCAAGCGCCATGAGGCTGTGGCGGGTCTTGTACCGATGTGATAAGGGCTTGATAATACCCACACATTGAGATTCCTGAGTTCAGGCAAGTTTCGAACAAGAAACATGACAAGTTGCTTTGTGGGAATAATGTCGTCCATGCTTCTCTTGGTCCCAGTGACGGCATTAGTGGTCTCCTGAGGCGAGCAGAGATTGATGGTACGGATATTCAGGCACGTGTAAGGTGCCTCCGGGAGCCGAAATAGATCGTTGAAGAATGACTGTGCGACTGCCCGGTCTCCTTGAATCGATGGTGCTATTCGAGCCCAGACGAAAGGGAGCATCTCGGGAAGAATAAGGTGCAATGCACGTCCGAGCATTCGTAGTGCTCTTAGCTCGACACGGTCCCAGATAACGTGCTCTGTGGGACTCAGATCACAGTACGAAGGACCATCGGGGCGCCGTCGGTATGCTAGTCCTTTGCGCGTTGAAATCCCCGAGGGTTGACTGCCACTATCTTGAATACAGAAGACGCGGTCGCCGCTCGCTTCGGCGTCGTCCAAGAAATATTGATATACCATGCGACGAAACTCTGGTGGAAGAGAGAGAAATGGAAACACGGTGGGTGCGGACATTTTGTGGTGGTACAGATACGTGATATGGATGCGTGATGATAAAAGCTGCCGAAGAAGACATTCATGACGCTGCATCGATGATGAAGCTTGTTTCTCAAGAAAAACAAAGCCGCGGTCGTACTTGCCTAGCTAATTTCATCAAATTTGACCATCTCAAAAGAAATAGGAAGGCGGTACGGACGACGTGACACGTCCTCCCAACGTGCTAAGTCTTGTCACTCTTAGCCGCCTCTCGCAATCGCAACTGAGGTCCCGGGCTGGAGGAATACACAATGTTTCGAAGACCAGTGCAGGCTTCCACCGAGAGCGTAAAAGTCAGCGCTTCCCAGTGAAACCTAACTTTTCGTCTCTTCTCTATATCCTGGCATTCTGCCCTTACAAGAGCATCTTTTCCGGTCACTTTGCCCGTATTAGCACCATATCCGCGACTTATCTGTTGCTGTAAAATGGATCGATGTTGAATCTTCCGAAACCTCGTAGAGGCCTATAGCTCCTCTTCGATAGTCAGGTAGAAACCTTTTTGCTTTATAGCCATGGCAATCTGGTATATTATCCAACGATTGTAGAAGTTGCGCTGGAGGACGAGGTTGGCGTTATAAGCCTTGGCATCGTTATCTAATCAATCAGATCTCCCTGCTTTGGCATGTGTAGATTACGTAGATCCAGGTAGGATGGTCCAGGACGCGAAAGTATGAGTATTGCGGAGTCGGTGGTGATGAAGAAGTGTTTGTTCATGTGTTGCAAAGATTGACACTATCGTCCCTTGAAAACAGGCGGTCTCTTCTGACCAAAAGCCTTGAGAGCTTCAATCCTATCCTGTGTCACCAGAACACGCTCATAGGCCAGGTTCTCGGCCTCTTCGCCAGCACCCCAACTATTCACAGCTTGTAATGCTGATCTTGTAGCGACGGGTCCTCCTTCGCAAACATCTCTTGCCAACATGACAGCCTGTGCCAAGACCAAGTCCCTTTCCTTCTTTGTGTCACCTCCCTCTCCACCTACTTCGACGAGCCTATCGCACAAGCCAAGGAAGTAGGCTTCTGCTGCTGTGACTCTTCTACCTGTCAAGATCATGTCTCTAGCTCTTGCAGTTCCGATCAGAGCAGGCAGACGGAACGTTCCTCCTGCGCCAGGAATAATGGCGAGCCTCGTCTCGGGAAGTGCGACAGTCGACGTGGAACCGAAGACGCGGAAGGTAGTCGTGAGAGCTAGCTCTAGACCGCCGCCAAACGCGACAGAGGAGATGGCCGAGATTGTCGGAATGGGAAGGAGAGAGAGGCGGGTGAAGGTGTCGCGAAGGAGCGTGAGGAATTGTTTTGTTCTGTCAAGACCTTATCAGTGACCGCTTTCTATCGTGAAGGCAGAGGGTGAGACTCACTCATCACCACTCATGGTCAATCTCTCCTTCAAATCGGCACCGGCGCAGAAGGCTTGATCGGACTCGGAAGCCAAGATCAAAGCCCTCGTAGGACCATCTTCAGGCTCGTTGCTGATTTCCTCGACTTGTTGGCGGAGTTCTGAGAGTAATTGCTTGGAGATTGCGTTTCTTGCAGAGGGTCGATTGAGGGAGAGGATGCGTATGCTGCCGGCGTGCGGTGCGGGTACTTGGCTGACTTTTATTGTTGATGATGGTGTGCTGTAGAAACGGCGGCTGTATAGAGAGGGCTTGAGGAGGGCAGGCGCCCGGAGGTTGGAAAGTCGGAGAGGCATCGTGTGTGTTGTGGTATAGACGATGGCTGCTTGAAGGTTTGTGTTTTGGCTCGTGAAACATGGAGAAGCATGCGGGGAAAGCTCTTTCCTCCCTCCCCGTGTGGTACGAGTAAATTCTGTCACTTCTAGCCATCTCCCACGGCCATGCCCGGGGTTATTTAGTCTGTAGAAATGCACAATGTTTTTAAGATCAGTGTAGCCCTCCACCGAGAGTATGATACTTAGCGCCTCTCTGCGGACGACTAGAGAGATCTTAAAAACACTGTGCATTTCTATAGGGTGCGCGTGACAAAGTTTAGCACACCGGAAGGTCCGAGGCTCCTCAAATTGAATGTCACCCTGACCCTGACATCTCAACAACATTTTCGACGTTCAGTTCTCATCTGGTTTCATTCTTTTTCTTGCCATTTTCTGCTGATGGTTATCCTGCGAATGCTCATTTCGCAACATCCCGCTGCCAATAGTACGCTTGACTGAGGCCGAAGGATGCTCCAGACGCTTTTCCGCACGAATCAACACGTCCATCATGCAAGCCACTATGCACCTGGTCAGCCTGACCGATAAGAAGCACATATTTAAACAGGTATGCTGCCGCTGATGCTGTGGCCTCCTGACCTGCCGTACCAGACACCACTTCTCTCGGAAACATGTCGGACTCGACGCAATATACCGTGGGTTGGATTTGTGCTCTGACCCTCGAGCTGACAGCAGCACGGCAATTCCTTGATGTGGAACACCAACCAACCAGCCACCTTGCAGCCAACGATACCAACAGTTACACGCTGGGTGAGATGGCTGGCCACAACATTGTTATCGCAGTGCTCCCAGAAATTGGAACCAATGCCGCATCAAGCGCCACTGCGAACTTGCTTAATAGCTTCCCAAATATCAAATTCGGGTTGATGGTTGGCATAGGAGGCGGTGTTCCAAGCAGAAAAAATAACATTCGTCTGGGTGATGTCGTGGTCAGCAAGCCTACAAATGGCGTCGGCGGCGTATATCAGTACGACTTCGGTAAAACTATCCAAGGCCGAGAGTTTCAACAGACTGGCCACCTCAACCAGCCTCCCCCAGCAGTTCTAGCTGCGATCAAGAACCTAGAAAGCTTTTACGATAGCGACGGACACAAGATCAAGGAGAACATCGAAACAATCCTGGAGAAGAAACCGAGACTCCGGAAGAAGTACCAACAACCTAGTCAACTCCATGATCGTCTCTACAAGTCCAACATCCCACATCCCGATGGAGATGATGGGAGCTGCGAAGAGCTCTGTGGAACGGAATCTTCCCAATTCATCGAGAGGCATCAGAGAGAGGACGATGAAGATGACCCAGCGGTCCATTACGGTGTCATCGCCTCCGCAAATCAAGTCGTGAAAGACGCTCGTCTCAGGGACGATCTCGCAAGGAGCAAAGGCGTTTTGTGCTTCGAAATGGAGGCCGCTGGAATGATGAACCAATTTCCCTGCTTGGTGGTGCGCGGTATTTGCGACTACAGCGACTCGCACAAGAACAAGGAATGGCAAGGCTATGCTGCGATGACTGCTGCAGCATACACCAAGGACCTTCTCGCAACCATCAAGACCCAAGGACTAGAAAGCGAGAGGAGGCTGAAAGATGTCCTCGACGAATGTTAGTGACGGGATTGCACATATCGTTGCGAGAATGCCTCTGATAGATCATAGTTTCCGACAAAATTACCACAATCCAAGATGACACGCGGCAGTTGCGAACCACCGTGGAGGAATCCACCCAAATGAATCTAGCAGACAAGATACGAGATTGGTTATCGCCCTCAGACGCTTTGGTCTCCCTCGAGAAAGCTCTGGATCATCGACACCAAGATACGTGCAGATGGTTGCTTGAAAGCGACCTCTATCGTCACTGGCGGACAACTCCAGACTCGTTTCTCTGGCTGTATGGCATCTCCGGTTGCGGAAAGACTGTTCTTGCATCGTCCGTCATAGATCAGTTGCGTTCAGAAGATCGAGCATCGCCTACCGCGTTCTTCTACTTCGATGTCAATGGCGGAGGCAGACGAGACTTGCCGCAAATGCTACGGTCGCTACTCTTCCAACTTGGTTCACGGTCGAAGGAAGCTGCTGAACAAGTTCAAAAGATGTATGAAGAGTGCAGGCGTGATAACACGAGTGCTACCATCAAGCAGTTGTCCGCCACGCTCAAAGCCATTCTACATAAGCTGAGCAGCATCACGGTAGTCATTGATGCTCTCGACGAATGTGATTCGCCAAGTGACGTGATAGACTGGTTGGAAGATCTGCATAAAGAGCACATTGATAGCTTGCATCTGCTCATCACGTCTCAAAGATACGGTCCGCTGGATATTGCAATTTGCTGCTGGCCTAGACAAGATCAACTCTACTGCGTTGGCACAGACGATGTCAATCAAGATATCAGGAGTTATGTCCATGCACGGTTATTTCAAACCAAGGAGTTTCAGCATTGGGTCCCTCACGGGAACCTGCAAGAGGAGGTTGAAAACAGAATCTTGAAACAAGTCAATGGAATGTAAGTCAAGGCTTTTTAGACTGGTGATCTTATGTGCTGAACAGCTTCAGGTTCCGATTAGCTGCATGCCAGCTAGATGAGCTGAGCAAATGTTTGGATCCACCACGGCTCATGATGGCCCTTGATAACCTCCCCAAGACCCTTCAAGAGATTTACAATCGGATTCTTGGCACACTTGAGCAAAGTCCAAGGTGTAGGGAAGTTTTGCTCATGCTCCGACTTCTCACATGGTCCGAAACCCCTCTCACTTTCGGAGCGATGATCGATGCCCTTACTGTTCGACCAGAGGAATCGCCTGCGTTCGAGAAGGGAAACCGATTATTTAACCTCAAGCACGTGATTCTGGATTGTTCAAGTCTGGTATCCGTCATTGGCGCCTCTGAGACACATCAACAAGATCATAAACAGCAGGAAATACATCTCGCACACTCATCTGTAAAGGAATATCTGAGATCACGGCATTTGGCCCGCCCGTTTGATCAACTCTCAGAAGAAGTCCACGCGAGAGGACTCATCGCGCAAACCTGCATTGGCTACCTCATGAGCCTACCTATCGATCATTTCTGGGATCCAGATCAGTACCAATTTCCGTTCGCGGCTATAGCAAGTCATTGGATGGAGCATGCGAAAGTGGCCGAGACTACTGACGATACCTTGGTCCAGCTTATTCTGAAGCTCTATCAATTGGAAAGTGCTAGACTTGGTACCGCTAAAGGCAACAATAAACTATACAATCACACCGAAGGCAACGGAAAGCTCGAGTACAAGGATTGGAATGATGGTTTATACGATTATATGTACAAGAGCTTCGCTAAACCACTCCCATATCAAAAAGATCTAGGCGTGCTCTACGAAGGACCCTTGACGCATGCTTCATACTGGGGGTTAGGAACCGTTGTGCATCGGTTGTTGGAAGCTGGTACCGACGTCAATGCCGACCAGTGTTCTGATAACCCACTTCATGCGGCTGCATTTCATGGACACGACAGTGTGGTCAAGATGCTGCTGGCAAATGGCGCAAACGTCAATGGAACAAATGACGGACAGTTCTCTATACCCCTCGTCGCAACCTCGTTCAATGGCCATGTCATGACTGCGCAAATTTTACTGCAACATGGTGCCAGTATCTATGGTCGGTCCATGCGCGGAAATGACGCTTTCGGGATGGCCTCAATGAGCCCCCATCCAGAATTTCTACGCTTTCTGCTACACAGCAGGCTGCTTCTGGAGCAGTCGTCGGACACTATAACGAACGCCAATAAAGAATTGCACCTTATGAACAGAAGACCCGGCCGTTGTGTGCATGGAGCTCAAGATCGAAGGCGTCGGTCAGCCGAGATGGCAGCTGGACTGCAAGATCGGGATCTGGCAGTGGATCCGTCATGTACCCACTTCTGCCTCCATGAAGCCTTGTTCGAAGCCCTGACCTCGTCTTACTTTGCTTGTGTCGAAACACTCATAGAATACGGCGCAGATCCGCGTGGATGCAGACATGATTGCGGGAACGGAAGACCACAACGACCATGGTTATTTGCAATCAAGTATGCAATGGGACCGGATTTTGGACGGATAATCAATTTACTCTGGGAAAAGGGTGCAGAACTTGATGCACAGACTACAAGATCTGTGTTACTGGGGGTGCTGTACTTTCGAGTTCAAGGGGGGGGTCTATCGGATGTGCCTCTTTTACTGGAGATACTGGGTGATACGGTTGTCGGTGTTGAAGAGCTCAATGAGTTGCGGCAGCGCGCTATCGATTGGCGGCATGACGAAGCTGCAGAATTGTTTCTCGAGCTAGGCGCAGATCCTCATGCCTGCGAACACCAGAAAGATTTGGATTTCCTTGAGGGAACACTCAGTATACCTCGGTCTGATGGTCATCATGAATCAAGAAGAGGATCATGGTCTGATTCGATCGACTAGAGCCAAGACGTTCAGATGACCATAGAGCTAGTCTCCTACATTCACTGCTTTCCGAAATCTCCAAAACCCATTACTCTCTCTGCCCTGACAAAATTAGACCCTCTCAACTGATTCAAGGGATGCTATACTATCGGGGTCTTCTTGCCTTATCGCAATACTGAAACAAGCTACACCCACCAGGACACCACGTTTTTCCAGACAGCGCGGCTCCTTTCTCAACCACATTCACAAGACCTTGTGCTCAATGCTGGAAACTCCTCATCATACACACTCAGCTTCTAACTTATAGCCCATTTTCTGGAATACCAAATCCTCCACTCATCCACCACTACCTCCTCCTCCTAGATACATCTATTCCCCCTTATACCATTCCATCACAATCCTATACTTTCTAGCACAGATATCCCATATCCTATATCCCTATATCAACTCTTCCTACAGTACTTCTTCCTTATAACAAAACATTTCCCTAGTAGTTCTACAATCTCCATTAAACTGATTCTTTTCCATGTTTTATGTATAAATGATTAGCTAAAAGTCGCCGCAGGTTAATCAAGTCGTCGTAAGCGGATGAGGAGAAAGGTAATTGCTACTACTTGTTTACTTCCTAACACTCTGCATTTCGACTACCGGTGCGTTTTTCGTTCAAAATCTCCAAGTGGATGCATGTGATGATATTGTATACTTCTTCGAATCTCTGCAGAAGCGGATGAATCAACTCATCATGTCTTGGCAGAAAATAACACTCCAGAGGAAAACATTTTTCAACATAGCATTCATGCATCGATGTGCGTGTTGACCTTTTCAAGATCACATGGGGGAATAGACGGCATGATTTTGGATGATGATTGACAATGCATTATTATAGTACAATAGCACTTCCTCCTTCCATTCTTCCGTTCATCATGCTACTCATCTTTTATGCAGAAAAGCAAAGCAATCATAGCAAGCAAGCTTTCTATCATAATGCCCGTGAGTAATCGTTCTTGTCTTCCCAAGCCATGCATGCATTCATGCCTCCTCGTCGTGCTCGAAAGAATGCAACAAACAACCTTTCCTCCTCGAAAGCCATTCCTTTCCAGCATCCTTCCTCTGCTTAAACCATATGTACTACTTCTCATACCAACGAGCGCTTCTGCATGTATACGTTCGGAACTTCTTCTGTGGCTGTGGCTTGACGACTGCGCCTTGTTGATTCAATCGAGAGGTGGTGCTGTTGGGAGTGTTGTTGGTCTATGGAGAAAAGCAGTGAGTAGACTGCTCTTGATTTCCCTCACCGGGCCTACCAGTTGATTTCTACCGGTTGTGGTCCTTCTGGCTCCTGCTTCCAGTCCCCTTCAAATCCGACACTGCTGGTTTGCGTGGGTGCTGCCGAGAAAGAAGCCGCTGCGTCAGGCATGGGTTCGTCGACCAACTCTTCAACATCACGACGAAGTGGCTCGACGTATTGCTCCTTGGTGTCGTCTCGCACGTACACAGCATATGTGGGTGTACCCTGGTGCCAGCCCTCTGCATTGAGAATTTCATTGATCTTGGTGAATTCCTCGACTGTCTCGTCATTGTACAGTCGCCAGATGTTGTGATGTATGTCGTAGATATAAGTCCAGTAGTGGCCATGACCGGTGGAGCCGCGATGGAAGAACACGGCATGAAGGCGGTACTTGAGCTTCTCAAACTCGGGTCCAGAAAACTGCTTTGCGATATCATCTTCCAGCTCTCGCACCTCCTTGGCAATGTCTGTCAGATGAGCACGCTGGGAAATGCTTTCCTGTTGGAGGTTCGATGCAAGACCCTCAGGCACATTGACCGGGTCAACTCCTACGTCTTTCAGAATTTCATCCACGTCAGGGATAGTGGAGAGCCAGTCAGAGATACCATCAAGTGTTGAAGGCCCATCGATGTTGATTTTCGTCTTTTGGATGATGTCTTTCTCAGCCTGCAGGCCGCGTAAACGTCTGCGCCACTCCCAACATTGCTTGCGTCGGGCCAATATGGCCTCGTCCTCCGAGTAGCGGTCCATGTAGAGATACTCCTCAATCTTTATGCTGTGTTCACTCTTGGCTGGTTTGCCATGACGGTCCAACAAGATGCGATTGATGCTGATCTGAAGTATCGGTGGGAAAGACTTGAACGTCTTGTACACGCTGACCGACTTGTTGGCGTTTGGCTCTGGATGAAGGTCGAGAACTCTGTCAAGTGCTGAGTAGATATTGGTAGGCTCATAAGGTGGTAGAAGCATGAGATTGGTAAAGTCGTCTTCTTTGGTCGAGGTTTCCTCGCCTTCCGCAACGATCGTGTCCGCAATTCGCATGTTGAAGATACTACAGCCGTCAGTTAGCGTTTCGCTACGACGATATTAGAAAGTGACTTACTCTCGAAGCTGGTCCATCTGCTCTCCTTGGGAATCCTGACCAAGCGGCTTAATGGATGCTCGCAGTCTGGTCAGCAACTCTTCCATGACTTCAGCAACATCCTGCTGTTGTCTTGCAGCCTCTTCTGCCTTCTCGAGATTGGTTTTGCTTGTCTGCGATGGCGTGGCGGGCCTTCTAGGCGGCAACGGCGGCGCGAGCAATTCGCCTTCCTTCTCGCCTTTAGGTGTGGCTGGCGGAGTAAGCGTAGCGTCACCTTGAAGTGTCGTCGAACTGGCTTGAGAGATCATTGCCGACTCTTCCACAGTACCGGGTGTGTTTACATTTTCGGCTGAAGTCATATTAACGTCCACCGACTCATCTTGCTGTGCTCCTGTCGTATCTGCTTCGGGACTTGTTGGTTTCAGGAAAGCTCTGCAGACCAAGTCCGCCTCAGGTCTGACTGCTGGTCCTCGGTCTCTGATCATGCGCTCGAAGAGATGGCGAAGATCATTGGTGAGGCTTTGGAAGGACTCAATCTCGTACTCTGGGCGATGAAGATTGCCAACACGCTCATTCTTTGCACCCTGGGTGGCCAGATCGTACTTGTAATTGTCAAAGTCGAGCACAAGCTCTCTCAGAGGCTTCACCGTGAAGTAGTATTGCAAAAGACTGTTGAGATAACATGTGTTTCCATGGCTTATTAGTCCCACAGGCCAGGTTTCTGTAGAGTGAGAAGGTTTGCCGGCATCTCGATCGGCCATGGCTTTGCGGATGGTGGCAGTTGCTCTGTCTGTGGTTGTGCCCGGCGGAGCTACCAAGAAAACAGCCTCGAGCGTATCTGGATCAATCTTGTCTAGATCCTCAAGTTCAAAGTGTTTGCACGCATCTTCGAGGGACATGGTTGAAGATGTCATCTCGCCTGTAGCAAGCCAGCTGTGTAACATCTCGCTCTTGCGTTGTTTGGCGATGATGTCGACGGCACGACGAGCGAGGTCTTTCGTCATTGGGTCGTTGTGACTATCGTCAACCTGAAAGACACGCATTAGTTATGTTCAGGGCGTCGGTTTGTTCTGCAACACGAAGCGAAGGGAAGTAATGATTGTAAACGATGGAACTGTTGTGGGCTGTCGTTTGAAGGTGCAAACAATCGACGAGCGTGAGAGCTTGTGGATGTCTCGATCGGGAACCACAACGCCGGAGACGTGGAGTTTCACCCTCGGTGAAGGAGGCTTCCAAGGCACAACAAATGACACGTGTAATGCAACTTTCGACTTACTTTGACTCCATACAGTGCGATGATGGTATCATCAGCTTGTGATTCATTAGCATCAAGCCATGCAAGTGCCTGCTCATATGTTTCCACGGCTGCTCATATCAGTCAACGAATGCTGCACACACTGACGAGGCTACACTTACTATCTGCTGCAGCATCAAGCATAGGTCGACTACTTCTTGCGTTGCCTAACGTTCTCAAGGCTACCTTGAGATCCGATCGTCCTGTGGGACCAGAACTTGACCATCGTGATCTGTAGATTCCGATAATCTCTTCATCGCCTACGGTTTTCTGGCGATCTGGATCTATACCCAGAGCCTTGTAAGCCTGATCGATGTCCTGCATGGCACGTCAGTCGCTGAACCAAACTAGAGTTGCAAGCAACCAGTACCTTTTTGCTCAAAACGTTCTGAGATGCAAGTTTGCTTGATTTGAGGATGAGCTGCTCGCTAGACCTGCCTGTTGCAAGGTCCTGGAGACAGTCAAAGTAATAAGGACCTTCTTGAGGGTCACATATGGTCTGCCTCTCATAGCAGTACTCTATCAGACCGTCTGAGAAGTCACCGAGGGCACCAAGACTGGCATAACAGCTGTTCCTATAGTCAGCACAATGTCTTGACGACACACAGTATACACGCCACTCACGGGTGGTCTTCTTCTGATGACGCCAGATTGCGTCCCGGCACTTTGTCGTCTACGAACAAACAGTCAGCACAGCTCAATGTTTCCGAGGATCAGGAGATCTTACAGCCTTGTGCGCTCAGTGTACGTGCGAGATCCACCTTTGCATCACGATAAGACGGTCGTGAAGGGTTGGGCTTGGCGTTGCTGGCACAATAATCATCCATCAAATATTGCAGCTCCAAGACCAGTCTCTCAAGAGTCAGACGCAACGGGTCCGAATCATGTACTGGCTTCGGTGAAGGCAGCTTCCATTGATGCTCGCCGTCGCCGTCTTCGGCTTTCTCAAAGCCCAAACGGAGGAGAAGCGAGTCGCATTCTGTTCCAAATGCTTCCATAAATCTCTTATTCCTTGCGGGGAAGCTGCGTCTAGCATTGCTCTCAAGAAGAGAGTCCGAAACGTATCTCTTAAGGCGTGTGTACACATCCAGAGGGTTGGCCAGACGTACGCCTTCGCGGTCCGGAGTGTTATCCAGAACAGCTTCATAGCGCCTGCTGAGAGCTTGGCCGTCGGAGAGGAGCAATACATCTTCTTTGGACAAAACCGGAGCCTCATAGACAACGTGGACAAGGGCCTGACAGCCAAAGTTTGAACAGCCAAAGTGGTAGCCAACACCGGAGGGGTTGGTCTCGATGTGACGAAGATGGTGGAGCGGATAATCTTGATTGGGACATGGTTGTTTGCAGCCGCTTTCTGGATAGTCGATGGATAGGGTAAGGTAGAGGCGACATTTCTTGCAAGAAGCAGCGACCTTCCAGCAAGTGTCTTGTTGTGCAGACTCGTCGAGACGTGGCAGGTTGCAGCGTTCTAGGTGGGAATAGTATTCATGCTTGCAACTGCCTCTGTCCAAGACCAGGGCCGGACCGGAGCGAGCCTTGCCATCGTACTGTGGAGGGTCGTCGATGAGGATGTTTCGGTTGGCGTGAACGGATTGAGGATCGAGTCGAAGGAGGTCGTGCAAGAACTTGGGCGCAGTCTTACCTGTTGTGAAAACATGGTTAGCGAATGCATACCAAAGGCTATTTGGAAGGCGGCTAGAATGTTACCAGGTTGCGAAGCCCGGAGAGGCATGGCCTTGGTGGAGTCGCGAGGACTTTTGAGATGGATGAACAAGTTGGCCGAAGAAAGGCTCAGCGGTCAAGAAGAGATAACAAATTGTGGTCGTAGGAAGTGGAAGTGTTTCCATGGACCAACTCTCTAGGCAATCACAAGATTTGGGCCAGTCGCATTCACGAGCATGCCACGATACGTCAGAGTAGGAAGGTACGACCTCCGACCCTCCGCGCCGACTCCCGAGCGTTAGCGTCAAAGGTCAGCAACCCAGTGCCAAGAGCGGAAAGCGCGACCTCATGCGAGCCCGGCAAGCAGCGACAGCATCATCTGAATTGAGCTCGACAATCCTCCCGCCAACGACGTACTCGATCACCGACACTATGGCACAGCAAGAGGAACAACCATACCGCCCCAAGGATGCCCTGGGCTCCTCCATCAAGGCCACCATGATCACCGCCGGCGCCGGTCTTTTCGTCTCGACCATCCAAAACACCCTGACCAAGCAGAACCATGGTGCTATGGGCGCCTTCACCAAGTTTGGTGGCACCACCGCCGTCTACGGTACGCGCCCTTTCCTGGATTGACCAACAGGGCCGAACTAACGAGCTCCTCAGGTGCCATGGGAGCCGCCTACGAATTCACCAGATGCGCGTCCGCCAACCTTAGACAAAGAGACGATGCCTGGAACTCTTTCTGGGGTGGTCTCGCCGGTGGCTCAATGCTCGGTCTCAGATGTACGATTTACGATACCAATTGACCAACCTGCGCAATTGCTAAGCTCCCTACAGTCCGCACCGCTCCCGCCGTCGCTGGCTACGGAACCGCCCTTGCCGTTGTCCTCGGTACCTGGCACTTCGCCGGTGGCAAGATCACCGGCTACCAGATCGATACCACAGTCGATGAGGTTGCACGAAAAGAATATGTGCGCAAGAACAGAAGGAGACCAATGGAGGAGACGCTTGAGCAGGTCGGCGAAGGACGTGGTAATTACACCCTGCTTTTCGGACAACGAATTTCATGCTGACAAAATCAGGAATCTTCGGACCTGGCTACCAAGAGAGAAGAGCTGAGAGACTTCAGCAAAACTACGGCATTGAGGTGCCATCCGCTGCTTCTTCTTAGACTTCCGATATTTGTAGATACCTTTCACGCCATTATTTCCTCTGTTCAAAATCAACCAATCGAACCCATCAACCATTCCAGGCTGGGGTACATACATGTTACCATCGCCTGCACCTTGATTTGGAAGCGAAAATATTGACGGGTAGAACAACGAGCCCATAAGCCCCATTGAGGATCAGACGCGTCGACTTCCTGGCCATTCCAGCTACTTGCTTCCGGCCGCAATGCGATGGGAAGGCAAGACAGCCATACGGTTTAGAATGTGATAACATCGTGAGCAAGGCAATGGTGCTTAGACCGGTCTCAGCGGCTAGACTACAAATCGCAGCTCAATCTATCAAACTCCATTTTGAGACTCTTGTGACATTGCCCTTCGTGCCTATTGTCGATGTGCCACGGCATTTCCCCGGAAGCGTGACTCCCTTTCGCTCTTCAACCCCGCATCCATGATGGAAGTGGGGGACAAAAGATCATCATCAATCAGAGAAAACGACGCAACAGTTGATGAGCAGCACAAGATTGTATTAGTGTGCTGGTCTACAGCACAACAGGCAGGTAAGGTCAATAGATACTCCTTGCACTACACATGCATGCCACACCGCTCCCACGAGGCTCTGCGGAGGTTTCATCTGGTTAAACTCTGATCGACTTTACCGCGGGGTTTTGTTCGACCAAGACATCGAGTACTACTCTACACATCAGGACTGGTGACATCAGGATTCAGCTGCTGTGTTGATGTGCCGTGCGACAAGACATTACACTCATATCTCTCACTCTTATCTCTCTTGGGCGCCTGCACTTTTCTCCTCCCATCTGTTCTTTCTGACCACCCTCCGTCTCACAGACAAGCCCCCTATCACATTTCCTATATGACTGCCATTGCCGTAATTCAACCATCGAGACTTGAGATGAGTGAACAAGAACGGTTCTTTCGGTACTTCCGGACCGAAGTGGCTGGTACGTGTCTGCTATCTTACATCGCGATTAAGATGAATGTCCTTTACTGACCAAGACACCTTGATATGTAGCACTGCAAGAGCAGATGCATATCATCCAGGACCATGGTACTTCCGGCGGCGAGCGAGCAGATGCCATTGATCACTGTCTGGCTGGTATGTCCAGACTCTCCAACGACGTGAAAGACATTTCTGGTTCCCTTCCAGCACATGATCAGAGAACATACAGCGAGGTTGGTCATCTCAAGAAGTGCAACCACGAAACATCTGGAGCTAAGATGATTATGCAATACAGGCGATCAAGGCATTATCAGACAAATTGCAAAAGACACGAGCTCAAGCAGCACCCAAACCAAAGTTCTCTTTCAAGAAGAAAAATGCCTCAGCAATTTCCATCAACGACGCGGCAGAACTAGCAGCAAAAAGACGTCTACTTCAACCGAACAGCAATTTCTCCTCCAACGCCTCTTCCTTTGCAACAACACCATTAACAATGCCCCAAACACCTGCCAACGGACCAGTCGAGACCGAAAGCGACAACAACCGCACCGATGAGCACACTACCATAACCGAGGGTATTCGCAAAATGTCCTTCTCCAAAGCCACAAAGATCAACATCTCAAATCACAACAACATCCACATCATGCTGCCTTCCTCCGCCACACACGCAACTTCCGGAACCTCTGGCACTGTCACCAACGTCCGCAATTCTGTCATTGATATGAGTATCTCGTCGACCTCCGCATTTGCAACACTGACTCTCAAGAACATCAAAGAATCTCTGATTGTATGTGGTCATGTGGATGGCGCTGTTCACATCACTGGAGTCAAGGACTCGGTTCTGGTGGTAGCGACGAGACAATTCCGAATGCATGAGAGTAAGAACGTCAGGGTGTATATGCTCTGTAAGAGCAGACCCATCATTGAGGATTGTGAGGGTATTGAGTTTGCGGAATTACCTGGGTGTTATGTGAGTTTGCTTCCTTGTTACATTCGACCGCTTGGTGAAAAGAAGACCCAAGCTAACGAGGGAAAACAGGCTACCGAGAAAGATGCAGAGATTCAGAACTTGTATGATCAAGTTGATGATTTCAAGTGGCTCAAGGCAGAGCACAGTCCGAATTGGAGCGTACTGGACAAGGACAATTACATCAAAGACGAGGTGTGGAAGGACATCGTACCCGGCAGTCCCAAAAGTGGTGTCGATGATATCCTCAAGGCTGTTGGAGTATAAGAGCACAACCTAGGGAATTTGCGTTCCTCTTTTTCCACGCACTAATACCCGAATTCCACAACACGAAATCTGTTATCAGTCTCTCGCTCCCTTTCACCATTATCGGAATCTTTTCGCATCGTGGTGGTTCTTTCCCTTCCCAGCGTTGAGTTTTCGCCGCTTACCCTTTCCCATAGCGATCACGACCGTCTTGTCTTTCCCATAGCGATTGCTGTTACACAATTCCGCGCACAACCTCAACCGAAAATACCAAAAACAAATTTCCGATATCGTCACTTTCACAGAACAACTCTGCGACTACAAGTATCCTGTCTTTTCTCCTGCGAATTGCTGGTTTTGGTTTATATCAATTTCCTCGGTTTTCGAATTCCCCTGTTTTGGAGCATTTTCGTTGGATTTGTGACCCTGTCTTTTTTGACCATCATCACCACTATCGATCTTGCCATTTCTGGTTTCACCAACCTTCAGCGATCTTCGACATCATCGATCCTCCAACGATTACCTCGCACCTCGCTTTTCATCAACATCAACTTTCCCTGAAACCTTCTCTCCAACACACAACCATGTCCTCCCCCACCCCCTCCCAAACCCCCTACAAACTCATCTTCTTCACCCCTCCCACCTCCCTCTCAGCCTGCAAAAGCGCAATCTTCTCCACATCCCTCTGCGGTGCATTCCCCCTGCCAAACCGTCCCGACACCATCGGTTACAAAAACGTATGCTGGGAAACCACAGGAACTGGCCAATTCATCCCCGGTGAGGACAGTACTCCTGATATCGGGGAAAGAGGGAAGTTGGAAGTGCTGGAGGAGGTTAGGGTCGAGGTTCAGGTTAGAGGGAGGGAGAATGTTGCGGTTGTTGTCGAGGCTTTGAAGAAGTGAGTTTGTTTTGACTTCTTGTTCTTTTTTTTTTTGCTTTTTCTTTTTTGATATATGGACGTTACTGATGTTTGCTGCAGGGCTCATCCTTATGAGGTTCCTGTGTATGAGGTTTACAAGATGGAGGACTTTTGAGAGGGTCGGAGTTGAGTTCTAGAGGTGGAGATCGGACTAAGAACGATATTGATGAGCGACGGGACATCGACATCGACATCGGAGCATGACGATGTGTTGCTAAAAGAGATGGAGCATGATGCTACAGAAGGAACACACGGGCATTCGTGAAAAGCCTCTTACATGAGCTGGGCGGATGGAAAGAGTCATCTACACTGCGTCGAGACGAGTGTGGTATCTTGGGACTACTATTTTGTGTTGTGGAGAATACAATTGTATCACGGTCTGGAGTTGGAATAGCTTTTTGAAGACAACAGTGTTGTCATGTTGATATATTGAGCAACACCGGCTCATTATTGTACAGCTACTCGAACCAGGAGTGATACACTTCCAATAACCCAATCCCCCAAACGCCATGCAAGAACAAAAGAGAAATAGTCATCATCATAGGAGAAAAGAGGCTCCGGTCCCCAATCGACACCCGCATGCCCATTCAGTCACCTCTCTACTCGTCCTGAACATCATCCTCAGCGTCGTCCTCAGCTGTGAAGATCTTAAAACACAGGAAGCTCTCCGCCATGTTGTCAAAGTTCTTGGTTGTCTTGCTCAAGTCGGGAACACCTGGCTTGACAACACCTCCGAAGTATGGTGCAGCGTCATTGCAGTGGCCAGTGTAGAGAGAACATCTGGAGCCGGCATCCGGACCGAAGGAAGTGACTTGCTTGGTGAGGTTGGCAGGTAGGTCGACGCAGGTGTTGATGGGAAGAGTGAACTCTTGGCATGTGCCGGTGAAGTTAGCACCTGTGCAGGCGAGGGCCTGGAACAACAATGTCAGCAAGGAGTCTGGATGGATATGACATCGCCGAGGTTGCAATATGATGCTACAATCGGAGCGATGGTGTAAGGAAGAGGTGCAATGACTTACGTATCCGGGTGTGTCACGGGTGACGGGCATGGTGGAGAAGGAAGGCTTGGTAGGGAAAGCAGCGGTAGATGCTACGAAGAGCGAGAAGATGGATGTGATGAAGTGCATGGTGAGTCGAGATGGTTGTGTTGATGAAGCCTTTGTGGTATTCGATATTCTTCCGATTGTATGCTCTAATGATTTCAGCTGATGATGAATTCAGTATCCGATGATGAGCAAGGAATTGATTGATGCTTTCGATAATTCAGAATGTTGTTGTGATGAGAATCAAGAACAGCGGACAGCCTTCTCGTTTTGTTTGCAAAGCAGCAGGTCGTGCAAGGTAGGAAGCAATAGCATCACATGGCATCGTCATAGCTCCCCATGAGTAGTTCCTTCCCCTTCAGAGGAACAAAGAATGATCAACATAGCAGGTGCATCCTGTCCCCTGCCCATCACAACCTCTTTCAAGCATTGATCTGCAAATTGTACCTGCCTCGTCGTTTCACAATTCATCCGCCAAGCGTGTCATTCCTCTGAGGGTTCATCTCCATTTACGACTCCTTGAATTGCTCTTTACTTTGATGAGATGTCCAATTTGCAAAGGACGCAAGGGGGTTTGAACAGAGATGAAGGAGGTCGAGAAAGCAGCGAGAAGAAACCGACTTGGCGACACGCGTGTTGGTTGTTTTTGAAAGCTGCGTGGAGAAGCTTGAGATCAGCGCTCTCACCAGCCACCTCCACGAGTCAATCAACTCCGAAACACTATTCTTGTTGTGGCAGTTCTTAACGTCCGCCCATGACGATGAGTGTGCTTTGTATGACATCGTCCGACGGGTCGACGGGTGAGTTCAAATGGTCACAAGAATCATGCTTCGGCCGAGAGCGAACGACTTGCAGGACTCGGTGAGTTGATGATCGTTGTATTCGTGGTTCGTTGCATAAGGTCTATATACCATATTGACGAACTCCGTGGAAATTGTGCAACACCCTTAATCCATACCATAAAGTCGTGAAAAGTAGAAAAGGGAAATGATCAAGTCTTGACATCCTTGCTCTTGACTGCATCTCTCCATTCCTTGAACTCGGCATAGCTCAAGTCTACCTTCTTACCCTCGTATGTGACCAGCTCCAGATTTGACAGTTTTCTCCATTCGTCCTTTCTACCTGACCAGCCGGCCTTGCGCAGCAAACTCACAAGAGCCTCTTCCTTTGTCCAGCCCTGCTCTTTGGCAACATCAGGCAGATATGTGGCACCGAGCTTTTGACCATGATGGGTGAAGCTGATACGGATACCGTGCTTACCAATCTCCCAGGCCATGATGTCGCGAGTAGGAGAGCTGAAGTTGGTGAGCAGTGTCACACAGCATTGCAGTTGCGATAGTTGTGAGGGAGCTATGGGTGGGAAACGATGGTCTTCGAAGGCGGCCGTCAAAGCATATTCGTGTAGACCTTTCTCGAGAGGTAGAGGCTTGAAGGTGCCGATGCAGCCGCGAAGAGCTTTGCTACCGTTGCGAGACGAGATGGTGTTCCAGGTTACGAAGAGTGGGTATGGATCGTTGGGGTCGACAGCGGAGTGAGAGGAGAGGGATGTGCGGCTTGAGGATGTCGAGGCTTGTGTGGAGGTCGACTTCGACGTGGACTTTGACGTCAGGCTCGAAGACGACGAGTTCGAGGTGGGTGTGACGGAGCTGAGGAGACGGGAAATGGCAGGCGCACGCGATGTGGACTCTCCGTCGGCGTCCTCTGGGTCATCCTCTTGAATCCCAACATGCTCAGTCCAGAGTTCTTCGAGCTGCGGCAAAGGGAGTGGCTTTCTACCCTCGAAACTGGCGACAAGCGATTCGAAGCAAAAGGCGCAGTGAGCTTGGGTAGCCATGACTGTACTTGGGTCTGTTGCCTTGAGTAGTGAAGCCGGTAGAGACGCGAAAGAACAGCAGTTGTGAATGTGACAAAACAGGTGACTGAGTCGAGCTGCAAACAAAGGGTCAAGCAAGATATCAAAAGGTGGACGTCACTGAAAGAGGAAGACGAGTGTCGTCAAACTGACGCGGCCAGGGAAGAGGCGACACGAAGGAAGAGGGGAATAGATAGCACAAGGCTGGAGCCGACACTGGGCTTTCTCTGTCTTGTTTCTAGAGGCACTGCTTGGGTATGAGATGTGGTCCTGCTGAGCACCGGTATCGTTGCAATATGTGTGTTTGCTTGAATGCCGATTGAGACGAGTGAGCACGTGGAGTGAGGCAGCTCTCTATCCACACAGGTCACCCATGTCACCGCTGATGCAACAAGGGTCCAAGCGCCCGATTGGAGAGCATTATATGCATGTCTTTTCATAATGTTTATGCAAAGTTCATGCTGCTGATGGTACGACCCTGTCGAGAATATGATACTGACTTCCAAAGGCACTATAGTCCACAACCAACGATCATGGACAGTCATGCTATGTAAAGATATGTCCCAGTATCGATCACTGGTTGTCCTTGTAAAGTTGGTTCGCCTCGCTCCAAGCCAAGTCTTGCATGATCTTTTCTGTGATTTAAGCTGATGGTCCCACGAGAGCTGGCGTAGCATCAGCGTTGACCACCAATGCAGGCATGTTTACAACGTGGCTGGTTCGATATCTACTCAGAAGGTAATATTGGCATGACAATGAGAGGCTAGAGTATCAAAAGTAAGTCGTTGTTCATGGTTCAGAGGGTCAAAAAGCGGGTTGAATCACAAGAAGGACAAGTCAAGCTGCACCAGCAATGATGAAATTTCATATACAGATGGTAGCTGTGCGCCTTCCATCCGTGCAGTTAGCTACTTACAGACATAAACCTCGTTCACGCATAGCAGTCAATTCTCGACAGGATGCGCCGTATGCAGAAAGAACATAGCAAGTACTAAACAGAGATAGATCAAAAGGAAGGTGAGAGTATTTCTTCTTTCTTCCGAGTTGAGTTCGAATGCAGTACCAACACAAGAACACGAAGCAGAGAGAATGAAGAACGGAAAAGAAGGTTCAAGAAGAGGAAAACGTAACTTGAAAAGAACACCCGAGAAAGAAGAAAGAAGAAAAACCCGCAAAAAAGTGTCAAAGATTGCACCTTGATCCATCCCATCTCTGCCATCTTCTTCTAGCAGACCTTTTCCTCTCCACCCCATCACCGAAGAAAGTCTGCTATGAAGAAAAAAACACCACTTCCACCCTTTGCAAATGTTCCTCAATAAAAACACCCGGTTACCGATCTCGAAAGCGCCTCGTTTCCAAAGGGAGAAAAACAACAGACTCAAAGACTCCTAACAGGCTCCTTCCTCCTCCCATTCCATTTCTCATGTGTAGAATATTCGAGTGTTTTTCGCGTGTTTGTATGATAAGTCATTGTTGGGAGAAGTCCAAATGTATCCGTAGCGGTTCATTGGCACCAATCTATCGATGCCTATGATCATGCGAACCGTGCCCGAAATCTGCTTCCGCCCTCTTGGACTCCTTTCTGACCTTCACCGCAAACTCGGCCACTAGACTAATGTGGTCAGAGGGATGGTAAATGTGAGGGAATCCAGGTACGCGGCTGAGGTATTGCTTGTCGATTTCTCCGAGGAGACCGGTGACGTTCAAGGCGTTGGTCGAATACCAGATGTAGTCGATGCAGCCCACAAAGGTAGGTGTGTAGTTGGTGAACTCGAGCTCACCAATGTGAGAGTATGAGGACTTGAGACTGAAAGGATGGGTCATACCCTCCTTTGTGAAGTTACCATACTTGCGGCCGGCCAAATCGTCATGCGAAGATGAGAGCGAGCCATGTGCCAACAAATCGTACACACCACTTTCGGAAGTACTGTTGAAATCACCACAGATGATCAGCGGGATATCAGTGTTGGACGCGTATTCTTGCGAAGGTGCAGGTGGTGCTTTCTCGACAGGTTCTTCATCCACTTCATCGCCATTGGCGTAGCGGAAGAGCTCCTTGTCTTTGAGTGCGGGCCACTTGGCGTAGTCTCTGCTCAGACGATTAAGCTGCTCTAACAGAATAGCAACTTGAACGACCTTGACATCCTTGAATTGAGGGTCCCAGAACAAGTGAAGATTGACCACCATCTGTCGGGCACCAGTTTGACGGCTCTCCAAGAAGGCTACAGTAGCAATGTCGTCACGAGTCATGACACGGTTGAAGATGTCGTGCTCGCCCTTCATATCAGGACGGTTGATAGCTGTGCGTCCAAACTCAACAACCTGCTTGTCAAGCAGAATGTACTTAGTGTTGTTGTAGAAAGTGGCGCAGCCATCGACCAGTTTGGCATTCTTCTCCGACATCGTGTGGGCGCGTGACTTTTGCCAGAACATTCCCCTGTAGTCGTCGCGGGCAAGTTCAGGACGGAAGTATTCGTTGAAGCTTTCAGCGTCGATCTCTTGCAGACAAATGATGTCGGCTCGGCGTTGTCTGATCTCTCCCAGAAGAACCTCTCTGCGGTTCTCCCAGAGTAGAGCGTGTGAGGGCGCGTAACCGTATTGAGCTTCAGTCGTGTATTTGTCGCAGAGAATGTTGTGACTGTAAACCATGAACCGTTCTTGCTCGCCGGCAGGAGCCTCGTCGAGGACAATCCAGTCACGCTCGTTCGGCGGTTCCGGGCCTTGGGCGTGCTCACGTAGGGTGCGGATGAGTTCTCCAGTACCTGACTCGGCGATGATATCCATGATGTTTTCGTTCAGAGGATTACCTTCGAGTCCGAGAACCTCCAGCTGATAAAGGTAGCCCAACTCGCTAGGCAGATCCACGAGTTTGTTGTCGATGAGAAGAAGCGTACGAAGGTTGGTCAACATACCAATCTCTGGCGGGATGACCTCGAGGGCATTTTGTGAAAGGTCGAGGAAGGTGAGTCGGCGTAGCAAACCGATGTCGGGCACCAGCCAGTTGAGCTTGTTCTGGTTAACGTAGAGCTTTTCGAGGAAGTAGTATTTGAATAGTCCGTTCGCGAGAGCACGCAGACCCTGACCACCAAAGTCAAGGGCAGTAAAAGGGTGCTTCTCATCGTGATAGGGCATTCTCCTCCCACGCTCCTCCTTGTTCTCCTCGGTCTTCCTAGCACCGGGCCCCAATTGGGCAATTGCCTGCCGACTGGCAACATGTGCATTTCTGGCGTAGTGGTGGGGTTGTGCAGCGTCACGCGAAGCTTGGGCCAGGCGCAGCTGCTCCTGCCAATGTTCACTGGTAGGCTTGCTGAGTTGGCTGTGGGTGCTAAGCGGAGTCTGGCTCTGCATGTGACTGGGAGTGAAGTGCGGCGTTGAGCTGGAGAGATTGTGCGAGTGAGAAGCGAAGGCATCGTGGTGTTGCTGGTGTTGGGTGTGATGGGGTTGCTGCTGCTGATGAGAGTGGGCTTGATTTTGGTGGTGTGTCTGCAAATTCTGCTGCGACTGCTGTTGCTGGCCGAATTGCTTGGTCATATTCATGTGCATCTGAAAGCGCTGGTGACTTTGGCCGTTTAGGATGCCATGTTGATTAAACATGTTAAAGGCGGGCGAATTGGCGCCGGGGGAGCGGTTGGGTGAAGGCGTGTCTTGAGTATGGAAAGGGATGCGCTGCGAGGTGGTAATGGGCGAGCCGTGACGAGTCTGAAGCTGACGCTGCGACTGTGGTTGGTAGAAATACTGGCCGGCTCCTTGGAACCGAAAGGCACCATCGGCCATCTAGGAATGGAGGGAGGCGGTGACGAGAGACGGGCGACGGCTTCTTCTTTTCTTCAACATTGAACCAATCCGACGTGTCAAAGGGCCAGCCGCTGCTGGATTGGCTGGCGGGAGCGGCGGCGGTGATATCTGCGGGGGTTGCGCTGTCGAGAGAGCTTCGCGACGTGTTCAGGCCGAGTACGAGTAGTGCAAGGCGGGAGAGGGTCGGGTCGGGGGTCGGCGCCAGTCACTCTTGTGTGTAGGGACAGCTGTCAGTGGCGGTATAAGCGACAGTGTCGTGGGTGGATAGCGAGCGATGGCGATGTTTGATAATGCGAGGCCAAGTACGTGCTGTGCTGGAGGACGACGATGTCAGTCTTCAGCCTCTTAGTCACAGACTGCTGGCTCGTACGACACTGTCTGAGTCGAACAAGAGCTTGCCAAGGTACAGAAAAGGGGAAACGACTTACCGCTACCACTCAATGCTCGTCGGGAAGAATACTACACGTCGTCGCTGAATGGAGGTCGTGGATGACGGGGGAGTCTTCGCGGTGCTTGCTCAGGCCAGCTGCGTGGGAGATGTGGTCCGCCAAGACTTGAACAAGACATACAAGTTGCAGCTAGCTATTCGCAGCTTTTCGTCTTCCAAATACTTGATTTGTCGATTGTGAAGACAAGGATTAGAATGAACAGGCCAGTCGACAGCGCTGAAGCATTGTGTTAATCTAGGTATCCATATAGGTACCGTCCATTGAACCTGCCCTATAGCCCGTGATCTTCTCCCTCCAAGAACAATAGACTGCTCCTCCAGTCGCTTTCTGTCCTCTTATCATGTACGAACACACGGAAACACTTCAAGTTGCACAAGTTCAACCTTCCGAAACCTGCACACAAGCTACACTGCCCATGTTCCTGTTTCATCGATGTGTCGCTATCAATTGCAGACAGCAGCGAGACGAAGCTGTCTTCAAAATCACTACCGTGTCGGATCCTACAGCCACTATTTAGCTCGGCCCGCAGCCATAGACAAGAGACAGCGGCTTCGCAATCCCGGTTCCTGCAAGGGCCATCTCCGCCAGATCTCAATCTCGAGACAGGCAGCCCCAACTCAGTTGCGACGACCAGTCGAAGCATGAGTGAGAGGAGAGGCTGAAGGGAGCAAAGGCCCATGGCCCCTTTGATTTTAACCATGGCATCTTTCCCAAACGCGGGGCTGAACAAGCGTCCCAGATGAGAGGGGTCATGCGATGTATACCCTAAGCGACAGCGAACCTTTTTTTCCCATCAGGAACGCGACAAGTATATAGCTATGTGGTCGTGTCTCTTTCTGTCTCAGATGAGCCTGGTTGTTGTACCTCTGCCGCCCTGACCTACGCGTCCTTTCGACTCGCAGCGTCTCACAAAGTCCCTGGCTGGTCTCTCCGCACGCTCTGTCGCCTTGCTGATTCTGTTTGATGCGGACATCAGGACAGCCAGCCACTTCGATAAAAGGTACTTCTTGCAAGTTGCAGGTCTTCAAACACATTATTGCTTCATCCTCCAACGGCCTTCTATCTTATCGAAACGGTGTCTTTCGGCCTGCTCTCTCAGAGGACACTCACTCCGCAGCGAGCCCGTGCACAGTGCTCGAGCGTTCGAGCTTCACGAGTCGTTGTGGGTCTTGACTTTCCCAATCCAATCTGAGTGCCGTGATGGATGGCTTCGCCTATTTTCATTACCATGCGCCCAGACACCATGGTACTGCCAATCGCCAGTCACCGCGTACTTCTTCTGGCCATGTGAATACTTCTCCCCATCCTTCATCACCCTCCTCGCCTTCCGCTTCTCTTCCATCCTCGCCTCCGACATCTCCGCTCTCGCTATCTCGATCGACCTCACCTTTTCGCAAGTCACGTCGTAGAGCACCCTCCGCCTCGACGACAGGTTCAGACCCTCTTTTCAGTCTCTACAGGAAGGACTCGGCCTCGTCAGATCAGACGACAAAGCCCAGAGACATGGACACAGCGACGATTCGCGAACAACGCCAAGGTACGAGTGGCAGTATTTCTTCGGCCGCCTCGAACTCGTCACACAACCTCCTCGCCAACCCTTTCGAACTACGCTATGGACGCCGCTACCTGCGCGACGTACAATACCCTCTACCTTGCGATCTCTCGGAAATTCAACGCCAATCACTACGAACACTGCTAGGCGTAACAATCCTCGGCAAACCGTCATGCGTCCCCAATGTCGCAAAAGATGTACCTAAAAGAGTCTTGGAAATGGGGTGTGGAAGTGCTTTCTGGACAGGCAGTTGCCATGAGTGGTTTACTAGTCTGGGACATCCGAACGTCGAGTTCACAGGACTGGACTTTGCACCACTGGCACCGGATCTTCGCCGACAGGGTGTTAACTGGAAATTTGTACAACACGACTTTCGACGATACCCTTGGCCCTTCGAGAACAACTCATTCGACTACATTATGTTAAAGGATTTATCTCTGACAGTACCAATGGGTGTAGAGAGTCAGCGATTCGTGGACGAGACCTTGCGCATCCTAGCGCCCAAAGGCACATTGGAAATATGGGAATCAGACCATGTATTACGTTGCCTGCTACCACAACCGCCACCACCTAGAGGGATGACAGCAGAGGAAGATAAAACCTCGCGAGAAACAAAAACCTATCTCATTTCGCCCGCCACTCCCTTCGCACCAGCACAAAACCGGTACATCGCCGACTCCAACACTTGGATCCACGCCGCTCTGGATAAGCTGAACTTGCCCTCTTCACCATGCACACGCATGGCCGAAATTCTGTTCTCAGAGACTTCTCTCGAGGACGTGACGTCCCGCCGCATCGCCATCCCTCTAGGCCAAATGCGTTGGGAAAAAGACCCCGAGGGCAAACTGATCCGTTCAGGAAGTAGCGGCAACCTCTTCAACCTCTCTCCAAAGGGGAAATCCAAAGTCGGCGAGCCCATGCTCACGGATGATCAAGCTGCCATCCGGTCCACAGCGCTCCTCACAGTGATTCAGAAAGTCGAGTCATTGGAGCCGCTGCTTAAGGAAGCTAGCGGAAAAAATGCGGAGGAGTGGACGAGATGGTGGTCTAGTATGATGACTTCATTGCTGGATCAGGAGAATAGCGGTGGTGGCAGTGAGGTTTTGGAAATTGGGGCTTGGTGGGCTACTAAATGCGAGTGATCGTAAGGTCATTGGAAGTCGAAGAAACCGGTATTTCTCTTCTTCATTGCTTTTCGTATCGCTGTTTCAATGCTCGGTAGCGCTTGAGGTAATACCTGCGCTGAAGGTCAGCAAAGGATTGGTCTTTATTTGTACATGCGACTGGATTTTTTATGTAAATATGCATGTGGACTGCCTTTCGAGCCAGGAGAAGAACGGAAACAACAGCACGTTCTTTCATCTCGAGTCATAGGCAGATAGCTTCATAACACACCCACTGGATGGGAATTGGTTACAAACTTACAATGCTTCTATCTCCTTCTTCACGTATTCTGCACTTTCTATCCCCTTTTTGATTTCTGCTTCTGAAGTGAGATTTGCTTTGCTGGAAAAGGCTTTGTGCAGGCGAGGGCGGAAGTAATCGTAGCCTAGAGGGTATTCGCGGCCGAGATAGAGGAGTTCTTTGTAGATGCGGATGACTTGATAGCGTAATTGTGTTTGTGAAGTCATGATTCCAAGTTATAACGATATCGAGGAAATTGTCTGGGAGTTCAATGATGTCAATGATTGAGAGATAGAGAGCAAGAGCTGTGGTATGCAGTTGAAAGAAGAACCAACAACGGCAATGCAGTGGGTTGCAAAACCATGACGCCTTCGTGTTTGCATCCCGTGGATTTGCGGGGATGGGTGGATGCTTTCACCATGCACCTCGGCAATCCTTCCCGAATCCTCGAGGGCTGGTGGGTTCGATGTTTATTTCCACCAAGGTCGCTGGCTCATTACACCTTTCCCTCGCTCGTACTCACCATGCGCCCTTCTCTCCGACCACTCGTGGTTACGCCATTTGCTCACTCGCGAGCTACTCAGTTTGCATATACATCGATTCGCCAACGCTCCACCGCAGCCGCAGCAACCGAATCATTGAGCCCACGATGGCTGGCGGATGTCAAGCAGCGATTGGGCAAATGCATGACTTTTGGCATGAAGCCTGAGCAGGTTGTTCGTGCAAGTGCCGTGTTGGAGACGGTAGCAAGAGACTGGAGGGAATTGGTTGCAGGCAGTGAAGGGTTCTTGACTGGAGAGGACAGGAGGGGGTTTTATCGGCATGCGGTCGTTTGGGGTGAAATGGATAGTATGGTGAGTGCTTGATTGTGCTATTTTGGAGCAGAAGGAAGGGAGGGAAATATACAAGGAGTTAAAATGGGTCTGAAGAGAGGTTCTTTGACGAGCTCTATCTGAGCACGACTTTGGCCTGGAAGGAAGGCATCATGCAATACTACAGCGATGACAGAGGACGTGAAAAACGCGAGAGATTAGAGTCAAGGGCTAATGATTGCAGGGGTGAGCAGTAAACCGCGCGATCATCCACGACAAACGCTGAAAGAAGACCAGCCATGTGAACAATGTGATGTATAATCGTTATGCAGAGTCCGCTCGCGTCAACTGGACAAGGAACTTTGCTGTGGATATTGATCCCAAGCACCGAAAAGAATGGACTGAACTCATGACACCAAAGAGTCTGGGATTGATCCTCCGGTCGATCACAACTAACTACAAGTTTGTATGTGCAAACACTCTTTGTCGAAAGCAGATGATGCTTGTTACTGTACTGATGCGATCGGAATCTACAGCCAATGAAGTGGCCGGATCACATTTCGGTTTACCATAAACTCGCTTCCGAACCTACGGCCGAAACAGACTCGTTCATCTTGGACGTCGTCATTATGTCTGAACTGCAGCAACGGCCTGCTGCTCGTTGTGTGGAAGACATAGTGGTGTATGATTATCAGGCAGGGAAGAAGGCGCCTCTACTGCCATTCATGGTAGACGCATTCCGCAAGACGTGGAAGTTGCAGGAGGAAGCCAAGAGAGTGAACAGCGAAAAGGTGAGAGGGCTGCTCAAGGAGGTCAGAGCGCTTGAACAAGAGACCTGGGATAGAGAAGATGCTGTAGAGGATATGGGTGTTGCAGGGCAATGATAGCATGTGATGCTATATAGGCACAGGGCACACTGATAGATGATACAACCATGTCTGATAAGACTAGACAGAATGGACTCGTTCAGATGCCGGCATGTCAGAGGTTGCTAGCCGGGATAGATAGCTGATAGACGAGATCAACAAGCCAGACGCCGCCACAATTGCGGAGGTGAGTCCCGAGAACTGGCCAGATATATATTGCACATGCCCCGCAGTCTGAGGATCATGATATAGTCGTTGATGACAATACCAAAGAGGCTTCAGGCACGCCGAGTATGAATCTCATGACAAAAGAATGCGAGGTCCAAGTCTGGTAAGTTTTTCAGCTGAGGAAAGAGCAAGCCGATTGGCGTCGGGGAGAAGCGTGAGCGGCATGAGGGATCGACAACGCCAGTCCATGACTTGATTCAAAACTCTTGCAGGCATCCTTGAATGTGCATGCAGCAGTTGCGCGCTTCTTGCGGCGTGCGTGTTGCTCGTGCTTTGCTTGGTCACACGAGCTGGTTATAGATGTGTCAATATATGCAGACAGTGATACGGTGAGCATGAGGGGAAGCAAAAACCGGTACAAAGCTGTTTGTGAAGGTCTTGGAGCGTCGAGTGGAAGGAACAAGCTCTTTCTGCAACAAAGCCAACAGCCATGACGGACGCTTAGCTTTGGGCCTAAAAGCAACCTAGTTTGTCAAGAAAAATCAGCGGTGACCAAGAGGTTGGTCTGCTTGAGAAACAAGTGTCGCACGTGATCGGTAGCATAGCGGGCCTTTCATAACTGGCAGTTAGCGGCTGGTGGCTCTGGCTCTTACGCATTGCGAGCGAGCCCGTTTGTTCCCCTAGAAGCCGCCGGCTTGCCATCTTTTGACATTTGCATAGCATTTTCTCTCCGCCACCACCTTCATTCAACACCGGCATATATCCCTATCCGTTCTCGTCTCTGTAGCCCCGCGTCCGAATCGCCGGGCTCTGTTGTACGAGAAAACACGCTGGCGGCGCGCTGATGCCGCCAAAGGCCAAGCAAAAGAATACCGCAAATCGTCATGAGAGCGGACTGGCCAAAGGTGCCCCTGGGAAGCGCATCACCAAGCAGCGATCCAACAATCACCTCCCGAGCACCAATGGTCAGGCTGCTCACTCGATCCCTGCCACCACCACCGACGGCCTAAATGACCACGACACGGCCGACGACTCGCCCGCTTCGCTGCCCGACGACGACATGGTTGCCGCTACCACCGCAAGCAGCACCCCGCCCGTTACAGCTGCTCCCTCCGAGTCTTCGCGTCGCGTGTCCGATGCCACCGCCTACAGCTCCGCCGTCAATACCTCCAAGCTCGTGGGCCGCTCGGCCAGCAGCAGTTTCTCCATGGCAATGACCATCCTCAGCGCTTGTCCGCTGTCTGATGCCATTGCCATTCTGATCCTGCTGATGTCGCTTCCTCCGGCACTCATCATGCTTATACACAGTCTCTTCGCCTCTCTCACCTTCGTTCCTCCTACCGCTGGTGTCTCGTTGAGCTCATGGAACGGGATGCCTCCTCTTGGAGACTGGTTCCATGGCTCGGCCAGTGGTGGACCTTCGCTCTTTACCATTCTTTTCTCGGACGGCATCATGTCTGTGGTGTACCTGGCGAGCTCTTACTGGTTGCAAAACATTTACTTAGACCTCGGCCAAGCCGTCGTAGCCATTTCTCTCAGCGGTGCCACCGCAGCAAAAGACGGCTCTGCCAATAGCGTCGCTGCTTGCAGTATGCTCGTTGTTTTTTCTCATTTTCTCCGCTACAACAAAATCCATCTCATCAGCTTGGAATACCTGCGCTCGCTGTTACAAAATCTCGGCATCGGCCAACATTGGAACCCCATCTCTTCAGCAGACTTCTCTTCCTCTCCTTACGTCGCATACGGCTGGTATCGCGCCATCCTCGGTTGTCACATCCTGGCTCAAGGCGTGCTTACTCTTGGTCGTCGTTACCTGCACAGCTACTCTAACCAGTCCCGTGCCAGCGCGAACAAAAAACAAGATCCGGAAGCAGCATCGTATGGAGACGGACCCAAGTCATCGACGAGTCCTGGCGATTCAGGTCAGGAACCTGCCGGAGGTCTGGGCTCTGACGGTCGACCTCCTGGGCCGTCTTCAGCGATGCGCGATGGCAATCAACGTATCATAACAAGTAAAAAGAAGAAAAAGCACGCGACCCAAGTGCGCAGTCGGCAACCGCTATGGGCGGCTATAGCCAGTACAAAAGTAACCTTTTTGAAAGAGATGGAACAGAAACAAGCTTCCGAAGACCAAGCAGAGGCTTCCGCTCACGACACGACCAACGAAAACCAACTTCTCCCACGTATTTCTACCGAAGACCGCATCTCCATTGTTGATATCCGTCCAGCCGACATATTATTCCGTGCCCATCTTCCGTCCTTCTCCGCCACCTCCAGACCGAAGCTCGATCCGAATGCGCCCATCAGTGCGGGTATTGACAAGTCAAAGCCTTTCTTTGTTCGCATGAATGGTGCAGATTGGGGATCGACCAAGATTAGTGAGGAAGGAGAAGGAGCGGACACAGTGTGGCATGGTGAGATATTCGGCTTGACCCCCTTGACTAACTACAGCTGCGAACTGGTCAATATGTCTGACCATAGCGTTTTGTGTACAACCAGCCTTGTCACTCTCCCTGCACCCAGTACCGAACAGACGTCGATTGTCACTGCTTCTCCTCAGCCGCAATCTCTTCGCCCACTATCGCCCATCTCAACCTTGAAGCAATCTATCGCCGCTGCCGAAATGAAGCGCGAGGATGCTCGCAATAAGCTCAAGCGTGCTCGTCGTGATCACAAGAATGCCGCCTCTGCTGTACGCAAGGAAATCGATCAGCTCAATGCAAAGGTTGCTTCTAGTGGAGGTCAGGACGAGCGCCAGCGACAAAGAATACTTCAATTGACTCAGCATTTGCGCCAAGCCAACGAAGCCACAACTGCTCTCAAGGAAGAGACTGATGCCCTGGGCGAGATTCCTCAAGCCGAACTTCGCGAGTACAACGAAAAGAAGCGCGCTTGGCAGGCTGCCTGTGACAAGAAATCTGCTGCCATGGCCGATCTCGAAGCTGCCAAAACTCAAGCTCAGCGCGAAATTGCTCAAGTCACGTCCGAGTTGACTTCGGCTGCTCAAAAACGCGAACGACTCAGCACTCGCAAAGGAAAGCTGACGGAGCAACTGGACCGCTTGACGAACCAGAAGAACGCCGACATGAGCGCTAGACAAAAGCATGAGCAGGAGCGAGCCAATCGTGTTTCCGAGTACCAGCGCCAGGAAGCAAATCTGTTGTACTGGACACAGCAAAGCAACAAGGATGCCGAAGACTGCACTTTGCGAGCCAACGAGTTTTTCACTCAAATAGAATACCTCACAAACGTTGTCGCTCATCAGCAACAAACTCTCTCTGGACCTCCCACTCCCGAAGGCACTCTTCCCGGCACAAACGGACCTCCTAGTCGCCAACCCACTGCATTCGACTTTAACATGTTTGGTGGTGGCTTTGGGCAAGGATTTGGAGGACTGAGCAATGGCGGCGTGACTCAAGTCAGAGGACGCAGTAGCTCGATGCTCTCGGGTTACAGTGGCTTCACAGACGACGATCTCGACACGTTGGCTGGAGCTGAGAGTGCACAGAACGAGGCGCTGTTGTTGGAGAATGACAAGGGCAAGGGCAGGTTGGCTAGTCCCATCGGTAGCAAGTAACATTGGTCATAGTAAATTTTGGAAGAAAAAGCTTGTGCCTGTTCTCATGAATTGCTTGCGTGTCTATGTACACGGCGTATGGGTGCACGTGTGAGATATAGGAGAGGTTGTCGTGTTGGATGATTAAAGGGCGGGCAGATTCGAGCTTTGATGCACGCTAGAGCGTCATTTCGGCGGCATCGATCTGGATGAGGGGCGTCCTGCTGGCTGCTCTTTTGAGGACACTTTGACTGGGGGCAGCCAAAGCCAAACTGCCCCTACAAACAAAATAATCCACCCGACTCACTACCCAACCTTCTTCCTCCCCTCCCCGCCCTTTTGCCATCATCCCCATCCTTGACTCGAAGCATCCGGGTCTCGATTCAGACACTCCTTTGTTGATTTTACAGCTCGACAACAAGTCACCTCCTTTTCACATAGCCGACACCAGCGACAGCTACCCCAGTACTTCACAATGGCCTCAATCACCCAAGACCCCAAGTACGACCACTACGACTTCCCCACCGTTTCCAACACCAACCAGAGCGGACACCCCGGCCACACCACACCGGAGCAGGATGCCCAAGTTCACCAGCTCCGCGCCTCGCTCGAGCAGGCCGGCTTCCACGAGCGCCTCGACACCCTGACCATGCTCCGTTTCCTGCGCGCCAGAAAGTTCAACGTCGAGCACGCCAAGCAGATGTACGTCTTGCCGACTTGCGATGCATGAATTGCGCTGACAGGAACACCACAGGTTCGTCGACTGCGAGAAGTGGAGAAAGGACTTTGGCGGTGGTGTCGACCACCTCCTGCAGACTTTCGAGTACAAGGAGAAGGAGCAGGTCTTCAAGTACTACCCTCAATACTACCACAAGACCGACAAGGTACGCACGGCTCAAGATGGAAGAGAATCAAAGACAGCGGACTGACAGCATTGCAGGACGGTCGTCCCCTTTACATCGAACAGCTCGGCAAGATCGACCTCACCGCCATGTACAAGATCACCTCCGAGGAGCGCATGTTGCAGAACTTGGTCGTCGAATACGAGAAGGTCGCCGACCCTCGTCTGCCCGCCTGCTCGCGCAAGGCCAACCACCTCCTCGAAACATCCTGCACCATCATGGACTTGAAGGGCGTCGGCCTCACAAACATTAGCAGTGTTTACGGCTACGTGCAAAAGGCCTCTGGCATTTCGCAAAACTACTACCCCGAGCGCATGGGCAAGCTCTACATCATCAACGCTCCCTGGGGCTTCTCATCAGTCTTCAGCATGGTCAAGAAGTTCCTCGACCCCGTCACTGTCGCAAAGATCCACGTCCTCGGCGGTGGATACACCAAGGAACTGCTCGCTCAGATTCCCAAGGAGAACCTTCCCAAGCAGTTCGGCGGTTCTTGCAGTTGCCCTCACGGCTGTGAGTTGTCCGACGCTGGCCCATGGCAAGACGCCCAGTGGGTCAAGCCCGCTGCCTGGGAGAAGAAGGCTGGCGACAATGTCATCGAGAACACCGATGCCACCATCAGCCACGGTCTTCCTGGTGACGCTCCCGCTGGTGTCACCGCCGGCACCGCCCCTCAAGGCCACACCCACGGTGTCCCCGCCCCGCAATAGTTTTGCTCCAGCGGCTCATCATTTGTCTAAAACAAAAACTTTATTTTCGTAATATTGGTGCCAGTGTGTTTTTCCTTTCCTAGGGGTTCTCTTTTTTATATCTTGGGGTTCGCGTTTGTTCAGATATGGGCTTCCCTTTGTTAATCCTAGAGAAGCCAAAGAGAAATACCATTGGGGAGACTGAAAGAGATTCAAAGCGTATACAGTGAAAAAATGTCACAAGGAAAGACGGAATTTTTCTTAGTAGTGTCCATTTTGCAGTCTTGTTTTGTGATATTTTCGAACTGGTCTGGAGGGAGGCAGGAACGATTGGTGCACGGACACAAGGCTTCAACCTCGTTCGTCTGCCAGCTTGCCATCGAACTGCTTTCTTTCCATTTGCTTTTCAGGAAATCGGTGCATGCTTCTTTCGAAATGATTCTACCAGCCTTGCGGAACCTTCTTGATGTATGCAAATCATCATCGCTTCGACTACCCCCGACTTCGCGTCTCTTCTCAATCCGCCATGTCAATTGCGACTCCACAGAAGATGCCATTGCACTGAAAGAGGCGAAACGCAAAGCCAGGAACGTCAGAAAAAATGAGAACCGAACACTCCAGCTTCTCACAGATCCGGACTATTACGAGCGATACTACGAGCGCCAATCTGACCATTTTCGCAAATGGTACCAAAAGCCGAAGTCCGCGAAAGAATAAGGGTGAAACATAAACTCGACCGACTGCGAAAACTCGCCGAGGATCCTCATTATAATCTAAAAAAGATGATCTTCCGCTGGTGTTATCGCTATCCTTGGGTCTGCGAGGAGCTCGACTGGAAGTCCCATGTGCCCGTCAGTTCGGAACAAAGGATTTCCAGGCTGTGCACTGGATGTGGCTGTCGACGGACGGGAGGGCAGAGGTTGTGGTTCCGTCGCAAGTATGATCCAGATCTCTACGACTGTTTCACTTGCTTCTTGGGTACGGATCCGGTTCAGGCGTTGCCTCGAGGCTGTGAGGATATTAGAACCATTATGGAACTGCCAGTGCGGAAGGGAGTACTTGATGCGCAGGGTTTTACGTCCAAATCGTCGTCTGGAGACACCGCGAAAGACTCGAAAGAGAGCGAACCTTGAGCTTCTGCAACCGTGGTAGGATTCCACTCGAACGATGCCATGACTGATATGTCGAATTCCTACAAAGACTCATCACTCACACTCCTCGACCCTGAACCATGTCACTGATTGGAGCGGAGACTTCGGTTGGTGTGTACTCACTGTGTGGTGTGCCGTCCACATAGGTTCCAGCAGTCGAAAGGCGTGATCTACCCGAGGAACAGACATTTTTTCTAGGGCCATTCCCATATATCCATGGACCAGCATACATTTATCCAGGCTCCATGCGAGGCTTATTACGCAGGCCTCGTTACATCAGTCTTCTTGAATGGCTGCTTTGCTCGGTCTGATCGAGGTTGAAATTAGCAAATGATTGCTCAAAGATTGTGTTTGTATAAACGAACAAGTCAAGATCGCCCGGGTGATGGCACGGGTTCCGACATGTAGATTTATCGGAACATTCGGGATTTTGTATCCATTCGTTTACCGCATCACGTCTCTAAGCGTGGAATACCTTGCTCTTCACCTAAAGCGTCAGCTTGGAAATCAGATCATCGCGAGTCTCGACACCTACCCAAACGCAAACACTCATTGTCAGTCTGATTCCAAGATCTCTGTATCCGCAGCGCGTACGGAATCCGCACTACACGATTATACTTTGCCCTTTCTAACCTTTCCGTACATCAGCGATAAATTCGCGAGTCGCCTGCCAGAGCGGTACTACATCATGTTCACGCAAAGCTCGTACTCCGACTACAAGAGGTCGACGACGTATCTCATATATTGGCTGTCCCAAGCGTCGAACACTGTCATCGAATGTCTCCCGAACACGCAGCAAGACGACTCTGTCGCCGAAGTCAATACGACAGGTCAAGTGTCATGCAAAGAGCTGATCACCATGACGAAACGTGTCGCTGCCAATCTCCATGAGGAGGTCCCTTCCACAATCTTTCGACTGTTCCGCTCTGTCATCAAGGCACGCTCAGAAGCATATGAGATGTTCCGAGAGTTGGCAGCTACTCACGCAGATGAGAAGATGGAAGAGAGCAATATCTCTCACAAACACTTTATCGACAGACTGGACGAGGCCTTCGCTATCCTTGGAGGAGAAGCCTGGATGGCAAAGCAGCGAGCCGGTGATGAGGAGGTCGAAGATCGGGAGACTATCGAGCGCATCATCTTCACCAATCCTTTCTCCGCACTCATAACAGAACTCTCGGCCGACGATCCAAGCGATTGTGACGACGACCAACTTCTACAGTCGTCCAGATCCCGCGCCAAGAAGACATTTGGGAAAGGCAAACGAGGTCAGAAGAGGAAGCAGAAGACTAAGTCAACCCCAACGACCATCAGCGAAGGGATCGATCTGAAAGACATACCCTTGGAAAGTTTTCGCATCCTTGATGGACCCGAGGACCTGATCACAGACTACTACATCGCTGTCACATACATTATCGACGAATGGCAGAAACTTCGTGCATTCATCCACGATCAATGGTATTTTGTGACTCACAAGGACCTAAACAGCGCCATTGCAGGCACTTTGTCGTGTTTGGCTATCGGGATGGTTCGAAGGACGATGGCAACTATTTTCATCGAATTCCCCAGAGAGCAAGACACTTATGAAAGTATCATGCAGACCTTTACCAGAGGCGATTTCAAGAAAGGTTTTTGCACATCTGTGCTCTCTCCTGATCCAGACGACAAACATGTTGACGTCGCAGAAGCAATCTCGATGTATGCTTATCAAGATCTCCATGATTTTCTTCTGGATTACCAGAAGAATCGTAATGGGAAACCGACAAAACGCATGCAAGCTCATCTTTCAGACTGGGATCCAAAACTTGACCTCTCTCAAGTTGATAAGAAAGCCCGAATTGCATGGCGTCGTAGTTTCACGATCAATTGGCTGTATGATTTGGTCAACGTGCACTCTCACAACGTACGTCAGTCTCCTTACATCAAGGTCGAAGGTGTTGCGCTTGAGGCGATACCGTGGTCATCTCAACACAGCTCATTCGCGTGTGGTCAACTCCTGGGTGTCGAAGAATTCGCAGGTGCCATTACCACCCTGGCAATGCAAAAGCCTGGTACCAACCTTGTGGCTAAGATAGCAATGTGGCTTGTCTTCCAACTGCAATGTATTGTCGATGCAACCACTGTCTCGAGAGGATGGTCGTTCATGATGTCAAATCAGCTTCTTGAGCCGTCATGTCCAAGTTACTCCCCCAGGCAAGATATTGATGTCTTTCTAGGAGAGACCACAGAAATCTTCGAGGGATTTCACTGGGGAGCACGATTGAGCTTAATCAACCTTGAAAAGGATGCTGTGGAGTTCGGCAACCCTGCCAGGTATAGTTCTGCACGACATGGGCTTGACCATTTTTCCACGTACATTCGAATTTGGCTTGGAGCTTCAAAACATGTGTTGTCCTGGAGTGGCGTGCCTTCAAGATTTGCGGAGCATGATTCTAATGGACTCTGGAATTATTCACCGTTTCTTTGCGGCACTGGTCTTATGGAAGCGTTAGAGATCACATACCGCGGCACTATGATCACCTGGGACAAAATGTCCGAGCCTATTGGCTTGCTGCATCTTTATAACATGGCATCACAGAAAGGATACCTAACCAATCAGAAGACGATCTTCAATGATCTCACGACGTTATTTGCGGATTCGTTTTTCGATCAAGGAATCATCCCTACCAGGAGGTTCGACCAAGCATGGCGGCATAGGACGCAGGACGTTCACACTCGCCCCCTCAGGATGCAACGTTCAGAGGCTGCGAGAGCAGCGAGATGCGGCAGAGATTTTCATTCAACCCTCAGCTTGGATCACAACCTCTACTTTCGCCGAAGATCGAACCTACTCTTGTACCGTGAAGCCGATTGGGACCCTGAGCGTATTCCAGAGAGTTCCATGGAGCCTCGTACGGCACTGGGTCGCGTCCGTATACATCAGACCAAACGAGTGGTGGACATCGAAACCGGTGCGATGACTTACGAAAAAACCGAGCTCATCAAGCGTGCCATCGCACAAGGCGCGACGATCGACTCCCTGTCGACTTTCCGCAAACATTACTCGACTTCATGTGGAGATAAAGGAGCTACCGAGATTCAGCCATCGGGATCAGACCTGAACACAAGAACTTGGTCCTCTAGCACCAGAAAGTTTGGCGACGCGAGCAATGGTGGACAAACGCCCTCTGGTCTAGAACTTCTAGAGATAATCTCTGTTGATATTGAACGAGATATCAGTGGCTGTCGGCCAGTCACAGGCTTGAATTACCTGTGGATAACCTCAATGATGCTGGAAGTTTACGTTGAATGGGAACGAGATCTGAAAAGTGCTCGCAATCCTCTTCACATGCGGGTATTCGGAAAGCCCCAACAGCAAGGTATAGACCTGAGAGCAACACTCACGCGTTTCGTCCTCGAGGAAAGGCCAGGCTATGAAGAATGCTTAAAGGTTCTAGCCGAGGTGATTGGCAGAATAGGTTCCAGCCGTTTAGAGTTCATATGCTGGCAAAAGACGAGCATCATGCAAGGCTTGACTTGCTGTGGTCGCATTGAGAGGGATTCGCATAAAAAGGTCGCAGAGCAAACTGGAATAGAGAAGGCCAAGGATAAGACTAATAAAGACGAGAAGACCGGAGAGAAGACTAAGGGCATGATGGGTGGAGATGATGACACTGGAGATGGTACAGAGAGATGAGACGGCTTGCGAAGCGAAGAGAAGGAAACATGGGCTCAAAAAAGCTCTGCGCTGTTTCTTTGACTAGAAAGAAGGCCATGCAAGCGTCTGCAGCAAACACATCAAGCACAACCCAGTATATTTATCGTAATCCTTGTTCCCATCTCTTCACTCTCTGTCTCACTAATCTCAAGAATTCAGCACGATGTCGACAGACAACGGCTACCTCGACTACAAGCGAGACACCAAATGTTTTCTCCACTGGCTTGGTAGTACTTACAACCAGGTCATCATTTCGGCTTCTACAAATCCACGACTCCCATTGACTGGGCTCAAGAGTTCTGGTAAATTCACGCTGAAAGATATTACTGAAATGGTCGAGCGTGTTTCCCAGGCTCCAGAACAAGAAACTCCTTCTATGATCTTTCGCTTGCTCCGATGGTCAATCAAGGGAAGGAAGGCTGCTCACGCAAGACATGTCAGAAAAGTAGCAGAGCGTCCAGACCAGGAGACTGAGAAGAGCAATACTTCGCACAAAAACTTTATCGATTGTCTGGAGAGCGCATTTGAATCACTCGGGGGTCTTGAGTGGCAAATTCAGCATGAAAAAGAGGCCAACAAACCATACACCAAAGTCGACGTCGAAGAGTTTCACAACAAATTTGCCGCACTCCAAGGCTCCCAGTCCGGCAGCGGTAGCAGTTCTGGCAACACCAGTTCGACATCATCACCAATCATCGAATCTTTTGGGGCCTTGTCTTTGGGAGACTTTCGCATTGTCGAAGATGACAATGAACTGGAGCTGGATTACTCAATGGCAGCAGATTCTATGTTCGAAGAATGGAAATGTCTCAGAGCTTACGTTCAGGATCTCTGGCACCAGGTTGCGTACCGGAATCTCAACAGCGCCATCGCTGCGACCATGTCTCAAATTGCCATCAAGATGGTTAAAAGGACAGAACTCAACATCTTTGTCGACTTCCCAAATGGGTACGATGCTTTTGAGAAAGTCATGAACAAGTTTGCGGAAAATGAAGAGAACGCACGCGAGGTATCGTCGGCCAATTTGCAGACACATTCTACTGCCAATTCGTCAGATGCCAATGCACCCGATGACATCGCAAAAGAAATGATGTCCGGTTATACGTATGCCGACTTTCTTGACTTCTTCAAGGACTTCCAGAAGAACCAAAATGGACGACCTAGTAAAAAGATGGCGAAGCGGCTAAAGACTTGGAACTCCCATCTTGATCTTCGAGTCGCGAAAGATGCAGAGAGAATTGAATGGAGACGTCTGTACACAATGAAATGGCTCTATGACTTGGTCAATGTCTATGCCTACACTGTGCTCAACAGCAATCTCCAGGCAGACAATCAAAAAGCCTATTGGGAGCAAGACTGGACCGACAAGACTCCTCATGAAGATAACAAAGATCTGAGTCGCCTCTTTGGCTGTGAGGAGTTTGCTTGCTTTGTCACTACCTTGGCGATGAGCAAGCCTGCTTACCATGGTGATGAGTCCTCAGAGCTAAGCAGAAGAATAGACCCGCATCGCGTCTTCCAGCTCCAGAGCATTGTAGATTCATTCATGGTGTCCAGGGGCTGGTCACTTGGTCCTGAAGGTCACATCGTCAGTAGTATCGTCAGCACAGTCCAGTTTTCTAGCGACCTCGGTCGCTTGCTTGGAATTTTTACGCGCGGAGCAGAATGGCTCTCTAGAGCACTCATGGTGCCTGCGTTTTCGAGCGCCCCCTCATGCAACCAAGATGCATTCGACCGTATCTTCGCTATCATGGAAGCATGGATGGGCAACTCAGAGCGGGTGTTCGACTCAGCGGCAGCCTCGCAATTCGCACCATCGAAGAACGGTCTGTGGGACTATTCCCCTTTCATATGTGGCGCCGGAATGGCCGAAGGACTGGAACTCATTTACCGCATGAGCATGTTGCTCTGGGATGAGATACCACATCCAACACTCGTGATTCATTTACACAACATGTGTGTCAAAAAAGGCTACTTGAAGCAACCACGCGATTTATTACAAGCTTTAGATAACACCTTTACAGCCGCCTTCTACAAATCCGCCATCGTCCCTGACCAAGACTTCCACAGACAGTTTCCTCAACTCCTTGCAATGGGCAGACGCGAATCATTGCAACCCGGACCCGTGGATCAAAGCACAAACCTTCTCGACTTCCTGAGCTTAGAACACAACACCCGCTTCAAAAAACTGTCAAACTCGATGTACCACCGCGAAAGCAAATACGCCCCTGAGCCCAAACCCACCAAAACCAACAACTCTGACCAAGACCAATTTCTCACCCTGCAGATCCTGCAATCCGGCGTTGAAGAAGACTTCATCGACCCCGATCGTCTGTCTAACCGAAATTATCTATCAATCACATTGGCGTGTATGATGATACTCCATGATCTCAATGACTACCTCGGAAACGCAGAGAATGGCAATCCAATGCGGGGACGGATACACGACTGGGTGGAACTTACAGAGTGGATTTTGCAAGAGGAAGAAGGGTGGGAGGGATGTTTGGAAGCTGTGGCTAGGGCTTTGGAGAACTCGAAACAGCTGGTGGTTGATATACAGAGTTATTGGTGAGGCGCAGGTGATGGAGGCGGATATTCAGATGCTTGATATGTATCGCTGCGGTTGGGTTTTGAGTAAGGTGTCGGTTGAACGGAAATAGGTAACTTAATATTTCACCGTAATCAGGAATTTCCCATCGGAGACAGCGGACCAGTCGGACTCCTCCATTGGGGACCCTGCTACGGCGGTGGTATATCCTATGGTGTGGGGGTCGGGCTCCCCTGTTCTCTAAACTCATCATCACTCCGAGTTTCTTTTTTTGCTAGGTCTCGAGTTCGATCCTTCCCATCAACGATTGATCAATCTTTTGCATTTACTCTTCTGCCAACTTCGACAGCATTGCATCCTCTGCGGTTGCTAATGCCATCGAAGAGGCTCATTGTGAATACTTCTGCTAGCTGATACGGTTCCATACCACTTCAGACGAAAACTCCTAAGCATGATACATGTATGGTCAATAGTTTGGTGACGTTATTTTACATCAGGACAGAGGCTATGAAATTATGATACTTGACAGATGCGTAGACAAAACTACCGTATGATACTGACTCTTGAGACTTCCTTGACAAGCAAATCTCGAATCGAACACACTGACCGAAACGAAAGCTAGATTCAGGAAAAGCGTACGTTCCCAATCCTCGACATACCAAGAAACTAGCTGAAGAATTGATGTCTCACGGCGACCCCTGAGTCACCTAGAAACGCTGCTGAAAAGCCCAACTACCTCGTGCATCACCTTCTTCATTAAGATCTGGCCAGCAGATCGTACCTTGCCCATTGTCCTCGTTGTTCTTGCAGTCTGTAGTGACACCATCGCGGCATCTCATAATAGGAGTCCATACGATATTTCCATTCTGGCCGGCAGGAACCTTGTAGGTAATGCTCAAAGAGGAAGTCACTGATTCCTCGGTCGAGAATTCGGCACCGACGCTGAAGATATCGCTTGAGATGCCTGCGCTGAATGTAGTTGTCCAGCTGACTGTCTGCGAGGTGGAGATCTCTGGCTCGACGGGGCCAGTGAAGGGGCCCTCGATGATTCGCGTGTCTCCAGGAATGGTGTAGGTCGCTCCTTCCTGAGTGAAGACGCAGTTGCGCTTGGCGCGTTTGGTAGGGGGGATTGTGGCGCCCCCTGCTCTCTCGTCCTTTGAGGTGGTGCTGTCGCTCTCAAAGTGCTCAGGGGGAAATCCGACCTCGAGTGGCTCAACAACAGTGCCATTGTTCATAAGTTGTATGCCGCTGATACCACGCTTATTAACAGAGAGGACGTCGCCATTCTTGAGATCCATGGACCTGATGAACTTGGCTCCAGCACCAGCAGCTCCACAATCACCATCTCCGTAACACCATTGCAGCATGAAGGTGTTGGACAACGTAGCAAAGGCACAGGCAGCGTTGTAGGCCGTGATGACATTCTGGCCGCATTCAGGCATTGAGGTGCCTGCTGGCGAACGAATGATCATAGCACAGTCAGGATCAGGCTGCTGGATATCGAAATAGACTTCCATGCCACCGCCTTCGGCATCAGGGAAGGCACCGCGGAATTGCTTGGTGTCGTAGACTTGGCAAGCGGGATAACCAGTTGCGGAATCAGTCGTGAACCATGGGCAGTCCTGGCAACTGCCATCCGTACACATATGGGTGTCTTGTCACGCTGAAACGTGGTGGGACAGCGCGAATATACTGAGAAGGATGGGAAAAATCATTGTGATATGGCTGGTGATGTGTGAGTCTAGAGAACTGAGTTATGTGCTGATGAGCCATGAGAGCGAGCAATGTTGCCGACTTTTATATCTGGATCAGAACCAGCATCATCAAGGCTTCTCACAGAAATTGTTGGTCTCCTCGCCGATGTGCATACTTGCGAAGCAGGGGTGTGTGTTCCTCTTCCGCGCAATGCACCTAGAACTGGAAACTGATACCAACTGCATGCTAGCCCACCAGCAAATGTTGGCAAGGAAGCGGCCGAGAGAAGGCACGAACATTGTGCAATCCAAAGTGATGGGCAGTGGGATGCTTTCCCGTGTCATCTCCCATGGATTTCCTGGTCACTGCAAGAAAGAGACTGTGCCTTGATGTAACCACTTTGCGGGTCTCAAGAACTCATGAGGTACAGGAACGATGGCTTAGTAGACTGGTAGTATAGTCTATGTTAAATCTTGAAGGTTCTAGCCTCGAGGTTGAATTTCCCTTGCTCACATACAACGAGCTCGGAAGGACATTGGAGCATGCATGAAGCCGATGTCAGACGGGCTGCGGAGCAAGATCTCATCGTTTGTGTGTAGGATTGCCGCCCATGCCGTGCAGGATATGATCATTGATCGATGCCAAGTGTGTTGGTCAAGTGTGATTTGGTTTGTTGGTTGCTATCTGCTGAGCAAAACCAGCACACGACGGGATCGATCACAGATGGAGGTTTTACTGCCAAGATGCGGTGTCCAGAGATCAAGGAATCGGAGCTCCAGCGAGAGGACACAACTTGCCAGATCAGGCGAATCATGACAGAGATACTGGCGCAAGATGAAACGCTGTTGTGCGCGATGGAAGTCCCTACATGCAGTGTGTGTGTGTGTCTCGAAGGAGGGATGACGTTGCGAAAGCGCCTTCCTTTCCAGACCTGGGCATGCCAAGGCCAATCCGTCCGAATGAACATGCTGCAGATACTGACGACACTCCGCTTTCAATCCCAAGTCGTTTGATCTACCAACCAACACTTGCTCCACTATATCATGTGGATAAAATATTCTGTAGGTAAGATCGGCCATGCGACATCGTCTCTAAGTGCGGCAGCCGCGATCAACACCAACAGCCAAGCTCTTCGCGACAAGAGCATGTAGAGGCACACTGATGCCGAGAACGCAAGGAGCCGGGTTCTGTGAGATGTGGAGTGACGACAAGCTTGCAACAACCTGTATCATGGGGATATTCAAGACCTGTTGGAAGGTTTCATTCCAATAATGTCTTAAGTGATCTTTCCGACCTTCAACCTCATCATCCTCTCTTCCAATCCCTCACACGATTCCTCTCTGCCTGCTTCCTGCACACCTGTCTGTCTCAATATTCCCGCCATGAATACTTCGATTTCAAGCGACCCTTCTGCAGTATGTCCCAGGATCGCCGGCCTGTGGGCTCGAGTTCCTCCAGCTTGGGAATCAGCAAACTACACAGAGCGAGCATGCTCAGCACCCGCCTGCAACAACTTCCCAAGCACTCTGGCAACCTGCTGCGGCCGTGAGGAGACCGCCCTCGATTACTTCAACACAACAATCGGACCCTACGTATCTTGCAACCTCGATTCAAGCGACGACGAAGCATATCAAAAGTACCAGCAATGCCTACTCTCGAACTTTGTAACCCCATTCAAATGCAACGACGACGATGGCCTCACAAACTCAGATGTCTGTCAAGGAGGCACAGCAGCACCGCCTCAAGACCCAGGCCCAGGAGAACAGATCTGTGCCACACAAGCCACGCCCAATGCAACTAGAGCGATGATCTCATGTTGCTCCAATGCTGCAGCCAATGGCACTGGTCTGATACCCTTTGACAATGGCTGTAACATCGCATGCTCTTCAGAGTCCACGGATGGACAATTTTCAAAGTGTTTGTCTGACGCCTTCGACCCTCAGATTGGAATCGTATGTTCGAAGCAAGAGGACTCAAAGGCTTCGAACAAGGATGGAGATACCAGTGGCGCATGCCAGGGCCCACTGCCTAGTCTGGGTGTTTTGGGGGTCGCTGTGTTGGCGTTGCTGGCTAATTCCCAGCACAGTAATATTTGACACTGCCATTGCTCAGCCTGATTCATCAAATATATAGAAGGGCATGCGTATAGGTAGGCGACTTTAGACAACTGTTGAACTGGACTCGTGATCGCTAGTTCTGAATCCACATCTGACTTGCCTTTGACCTTATGGCAAGAACAAGCTCCTTTTTTGAGTAACGTTGCCACAGTGGTTACGCATTCATCCGTTCCCAATCCCATTGCAACAAGAGACCGACATCTACGATACCCACACTTTCAACACAAAGCAACGTAAACGAAAACAGTCGAATCATCTCATAGAACAGATCGCCCTCCCAGAACCAGCCTGTTTAAAATGCACAAACCATTCAAGATCCATACATCGACCTCATCAGAGCTCGAAGTATTCACAACAAACAGACCAAGTACGTGGAGATTGAAAACAGTCATCTCTCCCATACCTCTCACTGGGCTCAGAAAATCACCCGTAGAAATGCACAAACAGTTTTGAGATATAGCCATGGGTCTGGTGACGAGTTCAAACGCTGTGATACAGGATGGATCCCGAACACAGAACGAATTAGTCATCTCCGGTAATCCTCCCTGAAGAAATTATCTGTAAAAAGGCGCGAGAATTTTGAGATTCAGCTACGGGTCCACTGAGAGTGTGAAATTCTTGAATATTCTCTGCATGAACCGTCGATTCCAACATCACCGTACATTGTGGCAGCTACACGAACATAGTTTTGGGAATGAGGAGAAGAATCAATTGCTAGAACTATGCACCACGCGATCTGAGTGCGTGCTGAAGGAAAATGAGCCCAAGGATGATGGTGATACTCAGCAAAGCCACCCTCCACCACTGACAAGCCATTTTCCCCTTGTACTCCGGGTAATTGCAGACATCCAGACGACCTTGCCAGCACATGTACCAGTTTTGATATGTGCTGTTCTTGCAGTAGTTGACGTGCTGTGGTGGTCTATTTGGCAGCGTGAAGATTTCTGAGAATGTGGCTTGCCACTCGATAGCGAGCTCGGTACGATTTCCATCCTTGTCCATGTAGAGACGTTTTGCAAGACCTTTGCGCATAGGCACACTCTATGCAGCCTGCCACTCGACCTCCAGTTCGGTACCAAGGCTTCCGTTGACATCGTCCACGTGTATGACGACCTTGTCCCACTTCGTAGGCTCGCCTTTGGCATAGAAAGTGGTGCTGCCATTGAAGCTCAACGAGCTGCCATCGCTGGCAAAAACAGTCGGGTCGTTGATCTTGGGACCGCAGCCGAACATGCCTTGCACGACTGCGCACTTGCCTTTTCTACTTGCGAGCGTAAAGCCATCCTCATGCTGGGTAGCACGGAATTTAGCAGGGGTACCTTGCTGATACCATTTGCCAATGCCGATAACAATGCCATTGTTCTTGCCTTGCGTCAGTACCTTGAGATGGCCTGTGCCGCTGAAGGGAGGACCAGTAGGCTCAGGGACATGAGTGCGGGTGCGTGTATGCGAGGCAGTTGGGGCCGGAACGCTCTTTCCCTTTGGGGGATAGCGGATACCGCTGTATGGGCAGGTGCTCTTACCGCCATCAGGATCTGCAGCCACGAATTCGCCAGTCTGGACACTGCCTCTCACTTCGAAATGGTACCAGACTTCATCGAATTTGCCGCCCTTGCAACCAAGAGTGACGGGCTTGCCATGCCTAGACTCGAGGGCATCCTGTATCTCGGCTCTGGTGTATGACTTTGAGGTACTGGGCTCGATACCAGCGTCCATCAACCATTCGTAGGTGGGGCGTTGTTGGTAAAGTGATACGGCAGCGGCGAAGTAGTCGACGACCTCTTCCTTGGGGCGGTATGAGGAGCTGTAGCATGACGGGTTGAGTGTAGAGACGCAGGTGCCGTGCTTGGCCCACTCGTGCATCCAGAGATTTTCGTCTTGGCCTTTGTAGTCTTTCCAGTAGGTTGTCATGTTAGACAGGAGGTCGGTAGCTCCAAAGGACTCGAGGATGTCTCTGATGTTATGGTAGGCACGTTTGTCGTCGCAATTGGCTTCATAACTGCCGTCGCAGCGGTCGGGCCTGTGGTTGAAAGTGTCAGCTACTGGTATGCTGGGACTGGAAGGGTTGAGAAGACTTACCATAGGCCATGGATGGTCCAGGCATCCTCAGGCCCGGTAGGTGGATTGGTGTCCCAGAACTGAGTCTGCAACATCTGACCACCTGGATAGTTGAAGCAGCACAAATCCTCGATGGCTGTCTGGTTGTGGCAGCTCAATTGCGGGTTGGCACAGGAAGGTGCGTTGCCGACGTCGAGGCCGCCAAAGTAGGACTGGGCACCCAGCACTATCTGGCCGCCATTGAGGAGCATTGACTTGACGGACGGGAGGCGAGTAGGCATGTCGTTGGCAATCTTGTCTGCGAGGTTCGACCAGAAGTCGGGCATGTCTGCAATGACTGCCATGGTTGATGGATGTGCTGCTTGTGCTTGTTGGTTGTGGACAACCTTGATGGATGGATGGGGTGGCTGTGAAGTGCAATGCTCTCAGAGATATGTCGAAAAGGCTATGGTACGTGATGCAATGCAGGAAGGTTTGATGTGAATTGGAGTATGAGAAGGCAGAGAAGGTCAGTTGTCCAGAGGTCGCTGTAGTCACAAGGCAGTCGCGCATGCAGCAACGATAGCACATGACTGGTCCGCATTACCCTGTGAAACCGATAAGCCGTCCTTATCGCTCGTCATACCCCAGCTTGGCATGTGATGGTCTGCGCCACATCCGTTGTTCCTGCAGCTGTTGAATCAGTCCCTGGATCTGCATCTCCAGTCTCCAGCTCTCTTCACAAGGCCGAAAAGAAATTGTAGAAATGCATGATACTTTTCAAGCTCTTATACATGTCCGAAGAGAGTAGTTGCTTGACGCGCTCTCACTGGACACGGCTCGAAGCCGAAAAAGACTGTGCATTTCTACAGCAACTACGCCCCCGGTGCGGCCGCTGGAGCAGAGACTCGAAGGCATACGAGAAACAGGCTGCATACCCATTCATGGCATGCCTAGGCCATCTGTCCGATCAGAGTGTATGTTCAGCATGCTGGTGCGAGCTGTAGACGAGCAGGTAAGACGCAGTCCATTGTTGAAATCAGCTTCACGGCAGCGATCTGCCGAAGTTGACCCATCTTACCGCTCGCTGCCTAACCCCCAAAACATGACCTGCAAGCTTTCTTGATTAGTGTCACCACGTGCACCTACTGTAAACTGCTGGATCAGTTACGGACTTCGACAACGTGATTCATCTCTTTTGCATGTATTCTGACAGCGTAAGTCCCATTTCGATCTTTCACCGTGTCACAGTCCTGTCCACAATGTCAAGAAGCCTCTATGTCTTCCCACTATGGTGATTGTACGGCATACAGACCAGCTAACATCTCGTCAACGCTTGAGCCAGCTGTTTGACACTGTTTCAGGTCTTTGCTCTTCCATTTTTATTTCTGCTATTCGCCCGGGCGGTGTTTGCACAGCCACACGACACTTACGAAACCCATTCTGAAGGCTTTATAAATCAACAACATCCTCTGCTCGATTTCACAACATATAAGAACACAACAATGGCATACCAACACGGCTATCGTGCCGTCTCATACTTCGTGAATTGGGTATCAGTATCCCTAACCGCACTCCACGTGAAGCATTACTGACTTCTTGAAGGCAATTTATGGCAGGAACCATCAGCCCCAAGACTTGCCTGCAGACAAACTCACCCATGTCCTCTATGCATTCGCCAACATCAAGCCTGATACTGGGGAAGTACATCTTACCGACGCTTGGTCAGATACAGACAAGCATTACGACGGGGACTCCTGGAACGACGTCGGAACCAATGTCTACGGCTGTATGAAACAGCTCTTCCTGCTCAAAAAGCGCAACCGCAATCTCAAGATTCTGCTCAGTATTGGTGGCTGGACTTACTCTCCCAACTTTGCCGGACCTGCATCTACGGAGGCTGGCCGTCAATGCTTTGCCAACAGTGCTGTAGCTCTACTCAAAGACCACGGTCTCGATGGTCTAGACGTCGATTGGGAGTACCCGGCAGACGACGCGCAGGCTCGCGACTACGTACTCCTCTTACGAGCCACGAGACTTGCTTTGGATGCATACTCTCACTCCCTGCCAGGAAACCCTCACTTTGCCCTCACTGTGGCTGCTCCGTGCGGTCCTGAAAACCTCCATCGTATGCACCTGCGCGAGATGGATCAATATCTCGACTTCTGGAACTTGATGGCATACGACTTCACTGGTACATGGAGTACACATGCTGGCCATCAGACCAATATTGCACCCTGCCAACAGAATCCACAGTCAACACCTGTGAGCACTGAAGATGCCGTCCGCTGGTACACGGAACACTGCGGCATCCACCCGAGCAAGCTTGTGATTGGCATGCCATTGTACGGCCGTAGTTTCGCCAACACTGACGGACCTGGCGCACCGTATTCAGGCGTTGACTCTGGAGCTAGTTGGGAAGCTGGATCCGGTATCTGGGACTATAAGGTAAGCTCCCATGTCCTCCATACTCCTCCCAACCCACACCTTCCATGATGCATAAAAAGACATCGCACGACCTTTTCCACCGTTCTTACTAAACATCGGATACATGGCGAGAAATCATGCATGTGTCAGAAACCCTTGTCTTCACTGTGGTTCCTGCACTGCTGAACTCTTGCCTGGGTCCATGAGCGCCAAATAACTTGATCTAATCTGACCCCTTCCTCACTTGCCCATCTCTTCGCGTTCCGCCTCTAGAGATTCAAACTAATGACCACAACACAGGCTCTCCCCCGCCCAGGAGCGACCGAACACCACGACCCTTCCGCCGGCGCATCATGGAGCTACGACCCCTCCTCCCGCGTCATGATTACCTATGACAATCCAGCCTCTTCGGCCGCCAAAGTCTCCTACATTCAGCAAAGAGGATTAGGAGGAGCCATGTGGTGGGAAAGCAGTGGAGATAGAACAGGTGAGGGCAGTATCATCAGCATGGTTGTCAACGGTGTGGGTGGATATGGCGGTAAACATATGCAGAAGGTCGAGAACTGTCTGGAATATCCGCACAGCAAGTATGATAACTTGAGGAAGGGGTTTCCCGGGGAGTAGAAGATCTTCTGCCGCAATGCATGGAGCTAGTAACAACCAAGTTCTTGCATAGTGAAAATACAATCTAACAAAGCACCTTGCCCTCAACATTAACAACTCTCCTCCTAACACCTTTGCATTTCGCTCCCTGCACCACACCCCCCTCATCCCATCCAAAATCACAACTTCCACCCCCTCTAATCCTCAGCCCCCTTACACTACCCCCAGCCCACTCTTTAGGCACAGCAGGCCCCAACACCACACTCTCCAACCCAGCAATATCCACAACCAACATCCCCAACACCGCCCCCACGAACCCAAAATTCGCATCGATTTGAAAAGGCTCGTTTTTGCCCGAATACATGGACAAACCATTAGAAGCGATATTTTGGGAAATGGTAAGTTTCAACTCGTCGTATGCGGAGGAAGAGTCATTCAAGCGTGCCCAACAGGCCGATCGCCATACTTTTTCCCAGCCGGCGTTTGAGTCGGTGATGCCTGGGCCGCGTTGGAGGAGGGTGTTGCGGACGAAGGTGGAGATTGTGGTGTTGGTGTAGCCGGAGAGGAGGCCGGAGATTGAGGAGCCGGGGAACCAGCCGATTAGGTGGGAGAGATGGCGGTGGGTGGAGTTTGTGTTGTAGGTGGTGTCGAGGTCGGTGAGTTTCCATTCTTGCAGGGTTTGTAGGGAGGGATTTATATGGAGACCGGTGTCTAGATGATGCAAGGCATGCGTGAGGTCGGGGAGGAGAGGGGAAGAGATGTGAAGCGCTTTTGCAGCGGAGACGGTGTTTGTGAAGAGGGAGTGGAGGAGTTGTTGATAGTGTGTACAGCCGAATGTTGTAGGCCCGTGTTCTGGCGATGAACAGGGGTTCACTACCAGACTGCCATCCTTGAAAGAGGCATCTTCTTGCAACTGACTGAGCCAAAACGCAGATACACCTTCGAGAAGTGGGTATCCGGTTTCTCGCAGCCATTTCAGGTCTTGAGAATAGTCGAAGTGATCGGATACGTGGAGCATCATCCATGCTGCTGAAGCTGGATAGTTTGCCCAGTATTCGTCACCCGTCTTCATACCGGTGTGACCGAATATATTCATCTCGTCATGCGTAACCCAGCCTGGTGCATCGTACAGTAGTTTTGCAGTCTCGGTGCCTCGTGGTATCCATGTCTGAACCATGTATCGCCACAGAGCTTCTTGCAAGTCTCCAAGACCGGTTTGATCTACACCCCAATGATTCATTTGTAGATTGATGTTGGCGTGGTAGTCGGCACCCCAAGCATTTTGAAGACCGTAGGCCCATTTGCCTTGCAGATTTGGGGGTAGAGAATTCTGGCGTGACGAAGAGATGAACAGATGACGACCATAGTCGAACTGAAGTGATTCATGATATGGATCGCTTGTTATGTTCTCGGTGCCTTGGTAAGAGGCAATCAGTTCTGCTGTAGGCTTTCCTGCAGATCCGGCGGTGTCTGGTAGGCTGAGTGTGAAGCGTGAAGACAGAGCGGAGTAGTCTGCAACATGAGTCTGCAGCAATGCTCTAGCTCCTTTGGCTGCCGCCAGAGCTGCAATAGTGGCAATGTAATCTCCTGGGTCTGAGCCCTTGAAAGAGTAGTTGGCAGCTGCTGTTCCCTTAGTCTCTGCATAGTTGGTGCCTGCAGCGACGACCAACGCTAGAGAGTGTTGTTGCGAGCTGGGTTTGATGGTTAGGATACCTGAGGAACAGGAGAGTGAAGCTGATTTTCCCACGACTCTGGCTTCAGCACGGTATAGCATACCAATCTCGGCTTGGGTGATGCCAACAAATGATGCGGTCCTGGATGATGTCGAGCATATTGAGTTGACCAAGGAGGCATTAGACTGCTGATTTTCAAACGATATATGGATGATCGGCAGAGTGCCAGTCGAAGAAACTTCGTACACGCAAACACTGTCGGGATACGAACAATAGATTTTGCTGAATCATGTCAGTGCCTGGCACGTTGGAGTCAGAAGAGTATCACTTACCTCGTATACTTGCTGTCGCCGGCCTCGAAGTTTGTAGTGTACACACCAGTGGTCAGATCGAGAGACCTGTTGTATGCAGTAAAGTTTGAGATCTTGTCGATTGAGATGGTCAGATTTCCGAGAACAGCATAGCTCCCATAGTTGTTGTCATCGCCCATCAGAGCGGTCACGTTACCAGTGCCATTCTTGAAGATCCAGTCACGTATACCTGGAAGTGCAGATGCAACCGAAGATCGAGGATTTCCTCCATTGTAGCTCGAATTTTCGAACGGGCCTCCACTCCATAGCGAATCAACGTTTAAGCTGAGTTTCTCATGTCCAGGGTTACCGAAAGGTAGTGCTGTAATCAGATTAGAAGCCTGAATGGGTCACTGTAAATGCAAACTCTACCGGCTAGTTGTCCATTGCCGACCGGATAGGCGGTCCTGATGATGTCTGTGAAATTGTTCGCTGGCTCGGTTGCCCAAAGGGCTTTGGCATAAACTGCCGGTAAAAGGCATATCCCAGACAGTATGGTACACGGTATAGATTTCATCATGCTGAGAGATGATAATTGCTCAGAGAGAGAACGGGTATTCATGAGGATCATATAAGATGCGATATAAGAAAAATCTGCAGGCTATACCTTCGCTTGCATTGTGGTGAGGGGTGCATGAGATCGGACCCATTAATTTGTCCGGATCGTCATTGTTGGCTTTCTCTCACCCCTCGAACCTACATCATTCAGACTGCAAGAATGTGTGGTCCACTGGGCCTCGCCGTAGACCTTCGGGAGAAAAGCAGGCGAGGTCTTGTTTTAGAGGGAAGTATTGAGGTTACTTAGACGGATGAGAACTGGTGGAAGGCTCACTCAGCAGCGTTGATGGTCCTGCGTGCTCGACTTTACAAAGTATAGACAGCACACCGAGCGTGGCTAGGGGAAATGATCAGCATCAGTCATAGTCCAAGGAGGCAGGAGAGCAAGGTGCGGGCTCAGCGAAGATCGAACACAAGGCAAGAGCACCCGAGCAGAAGGAGCAACCGTCTGGATTGCTTGGCATTCATGATTGCGGAGAGAATGATTCCCTGAGTCTGTGCGGCGAACTTTTGAAGATTCCATCAAGAAGGCGCGAAGATTTCAAGCCTCTTTCCAAGCACAACCTTGCGCATACACAAACTATGGAGGCGCTGGGTGATTTCAACACTCTACAACAGCAGATCCAAGCATCCCTCGTCGCCGTCACCCGATCATCCCAGGCCATCTCATCCGAGGATCTGGGCTTCCACCGATCACTCGATCCATCACTAGGTCGCGCACTCGACACACAAAATGCGCGGCTTCTGGGGCTTGCGGAACGCCTTTTGGGCAATGCGGCTTCGAGTACGGAGCTTGTACGTCCCAAGTTGCCCGACACAGACGCCGTAGACGCCTCATGGAGCAGCGTCGTTGATGTTATCGACAGCTTGCTTGAGAAGGCCGATATCAGCCTGGACGAATACACGGGTGCAGTCAAGCGCTTGAGCCCGAGCAGAGAGCAGGTCGGACACCTCTATTCTCCTTGACCTTGCTTCCCTCAGCTAACCCTATCTCAGGCATCGACACCGACCAAGTCGAATAAGTTCTCGCGCATCTCCCAAGCCCTCAGAACACAAGACATTCCCAAGCCGCAACAAAACTTCGTCGACATTCCTACAAACTTCGAATCTGGTCCTTTCAAGCCTCTCCTCGATTCGAAGCCCCACGCCATCGTACCCTTGACCAAAGCTCTGGAGCCCTTCAAGGACGAGAACAATGTCCCGCACCACCGCCATCCTTACCAAACCGAGATCGAGCAATACGAGTACCCGTCATTTGTCTACACCCAGGCAGAGCCCATCCCTTACCTACCCTACGAAACCACAACCGCTATATTTGTCGATACCGAAGACAAGGTCGATGAGATGCTTCAAGAGCTCAGGAAAGCAAAGGAGATTGCTATTGATTTGGAACACCACGACTCTCGCTCATACATCGGTATCGTGTCGTTAATGCAAATCAGCACGCGCGAAAAGGATTGGGTCGTTGATACCCTGCAACCCTGGAGGAGGAAGTTGAGCAAGCTGAACGAGGTCTTTGCCGACCCTAGAATCCTCAAGGTCTTGCACGGAGCTTTCATGGACATTACCTGGTTGCAAAGAGATTTGGGACTTTACGTTGTGGGCTTGTTCGACACGCATTTCGCATCAAGAGCGCTAGGATACTCTGGAGGAAGTCTGGCATTTTTGCTCAAGAAGTTTGTCAACTTTGACGCTCAGAAACAGTACCAGACTGCAGACTGGCGCATTCGACCTCTACCACAGGAAATGTTCGAATACGCCCGCTCCGACACGCATTTCCTCCTATACGTCTACGACAACATGCGCAATGAGCTGATCCAGAAGTCCGACTTTTCTGTTGCCGACCATGAGAAGGACAAGATTCACGACGTCTTGACTCGTTCTAGAGACACGGCTCTCCAGCGTTACGAACACCCCGTTTATGACGCAGCACAAGGATTAGGCGCAGGAGGGTGGTACAAGATGCTGAGCCGTACACCTGCTCTGCTCAACAAGCAGCAGTTTTCTGTCTTCCGTGCAGTTCACCAATGGCGTGACCAAGTTGCTCGTCAGCAGGACGACAGCACTCACTATGTCATGGCAAACCACAACATCTTCACTCTTGCCAAGGAGATGCCCACTGAGAAGGCCGGTATCTTTGCCGCCATTCAGCCTGCTAGCCAGACTGTTCGCCTGAGAGTTGACGAATTGCTGTCAACAGTAGTCAAAGCCAAGGAAGAGGGCGAGAACGGTCCCGATATGGTGTCGATGTTGAAGGAGATTGAAGCACATCTCTTGGGAGTGCCGCTCCACGAAACGCCTACCCATTTCGCTGCTCTCAAACACTCACAGCCCAAGCAAGCCGCGCCTGCTCATTCGGCACCGAAAGCACCAATCCTGAACCGCACAGACAGTAGCGAGCCGTCAGGAGTCCGCTCGAAGGTTTCACAGTTCTGGGGTGGCCTCTTCGGCGGCAAGAACCAGAATGAGCAACCTCGTCCTTACTCTTCCAACATCTCACTAGCTGTCCCTCTTCCTGCTTTGACGGCAGAAGTCTTCGCCTCGTCAGCTCCCGTAACAGCACCGCCCACCCCTATCCAGACACCAGCAGCCGCCACGCCCTCGAGTGCGCAAGCGACACCCAAAGATCGCGTCTTCACACTCAAGGAGCGTGGACGCAAGCGCAACTCTGACGCCATGTCAACCGGCAACGACAGTCTTGCGACCAACGCCGATGAGATTGATCTTACTGCTGATGAAAGCCTCGAAGCCAAGCGTGAGGCTAAGCGTCAACGCAAGGAGCAAAAGAAGGCCGAGAAGGAGGCGGCAGCCCAGCACGCAGCAGAGGTTGATCTGGAAGAGGAAGAGTTCGATTACGCAGCCGCACCTAGTGTGCTAGAGGCGAACAAGGAGGATCCTCGCGACAGAAGGAAGAACAAGAAGGAGCCCAAGACCAAGGCATTCAATCCATTCGTCAAGGCACTCGACACGATGAAGGGTATGCCAAGACAACAGAAGGAGAGGGCTGGCAAGAGCATGACTTTCAGGAAGTAAGGGCATGGAGTTTATTGGGAACGGCTTTTGCATTAAATAGACATTAGACCATGACAGGTCTGTCGGCTTCGACGTCAAGACACGATTATTTCTTCTTTGTACTCAGCATGACCATCAGTTTCTTGGTGACCCTGACCTCATGTACCCCACAAATGCACATGTCAGACCCACGTCGATGTTCCACCTCGCGTCAACAACTTCCGCATCATCGTCAACTTCTCATCTACGTTACAACAAGACCTGACGAGACAACAATAACACATACAGCCCATCATGTCGATCGCCTCACCCCGACCAAGTATCAACCTAAGCCGCCGCACCTCCACCAGCACAATAACCTCCACACGCTCGCCCTCGTCCTCACGACCAGCTTCCATCCGCGACAGCACAAACACCACCGCAAACAGCACACCCGTACCAACACCCTCACGCCGCCGCGACCGCGCCGCCCTTCGCGAATTCTACAACCTCCAAGCCTCCGACGCCGCGAAAGCCCCTCCCGCACCCATCACACAACAACAAGAAGACACCACACCCCCAGACGCCCTAGCAGTATTGGACAACCCCTCCTTCTCCGCAGACCGATACGTACAAGAGCTCCTAACATCTTCCGATGCGGAAGGTCTGCTGCGAACGTTGAATTCCATCACCATTTCCTCCTTGGGGTTGGAGGGTGATAAGAAGGCATTGGTGTATGATAATTATACCACGCTGTTGTCGGCGACGAAGACGATTTCGAAGATGAGGGAGAATGTGGATCCGATGGCGCCGGTGACGACGACGTTGGAGCCTGCGGTGGGTCATATTGTTGATGTTGCGGTTGGTATCTCGGAGAGTCGGAAAGGAGGAGGGAAAGGTGGGAGTAAAGAGGGGGATAGAGAGGTGGTGAGGTGGGTGCTGGGTGCACCGGAGAGGTTTGGTAAGATGAAAGAGGAGGGGAGGAATGAAGAGATGGAGCAGCAGTGGGAGGAGGTTAGGACGTTGCTTGAGAAGTGGGAAGGTGTGAAAGGCGTTGAAGAAGTCAGGAGGAAGTGTGAAGAGGTTGTTGGCAAGGATTGAAGACATTGAGATGTTGAAGAGAAAGATCACAGTATATCTGCTCCATCCAGGCTCTGAGACGGTTCAAGACAGCAGGAAGAGAGCAGACCGTATCAAGTCTTGCAGCTGTCTGTCCTTGCATGGTAGGCATTGACGCCAACAACACTCTTCAATATCACAGCACAATGTCGATAGAGAGCATCCCTCGAAGCCCAGGGTCTGGTGGGAGAGAAAGCTCATGTCACGGTCACCCACATTAGACTTGCTCAGCTCAGAGCAAGATATCATGCTAAGGTCTGGATTAGTGCCAGCTTCTCCGATAGAGAAGAGCAACACCACAAAAGCGGCATATGGTCATCGGTGCTTCAAAGCTTGTCATACTTTCAGGCGCACCTGGAATGCTCCAAATGCTTCAAGAGTTCATAAGTTCTGCATCGGCGATAGCAACGACCATGATGCTGAAACTTCCTTCCCGAAACTCGAAGGATATCGAGAAGAGACCAAAGACACAGAGCAACATCGTCTGCTGGTGTCTTTGATCCCCAGTCCGCAAATGACTTTGATGTCAACATTGAGTCAGGGTGATGAGCTCAACAATGGTGTGCAAAAAAAGAAGGAAAAGGAGGAATAAAGAATTACACCATAGAAACAATGGTTCGTGAGGAACGACCATAGTTGGAAAGCGTGTACAACAAAAGATGATTAATCAATCAAGGCAAGCAGAGGAGCTTGTTTGCGCCAAACATCTGGATGGAAAGGGAAAGCTCTTGCAACATGAAATCAATCAGGACGAAGCAAATATTGTATTCCCTCATCAGAGGCTTGAAACCACGATGCCGGGGGCAAAAGCCGGAACGAGGCTACCGTGAGTAATCTGCAGAGGATCGTCACGGTATCGTGGTCAAGAGGAATGCAAATGATTGTGCGAGGATGAAGTGTGACCATGAATTAAAGCTACGGTGCTGAAGATGTGACGGCCTTGTTCGTTGGCCAGGAGGACTTAGATTGCGTGTACTCTGTCGGATTGGTTCATGCGATCCATGAAAGAAGAAGTGCCCTAAATCAAGCGCCGTTCTCAATGTCCGAGATCAAGAGAAGCAAAAGTATGCGCACGAATCCACACATCAAACACCAAAACAACACCACAAGCCATCAACAAACGAGATATCGACGCGCAAATCTTCCCTCTCACCAAAAGAGTGCAAAACAAACACCCTCCTAGAGAGGGTGGAAAGCCAACCCCGAAGGATTTTCGTTTCAGCTCAAGTTGTGGAGTGTCAAGACTCTTGGTCCAAAATCGGCGACCTATGATGCCGTGGATCGAACCGATGACCTGTGGGCAATTTCTCAGGGGGTCGCCAAACACGAGTTGACGAGGGTAACCGCTGGGCCACCCCGCCTGGCGATAAAGCGGGGATGGTGTTGCTTGTGAGGGGATCAAGTGGCAGGGTATATAAGGGTAGTGAAGGGGGTTTGGGTGAATTGCGCTGTTGGAACGCGTGTGTGTTGTGATCATTGAGTCTCAGTTAATGATCTTCACTTACTGATTGTAGAGCAAGGTGTTGAGTACATATTGTCTGAGACTAATACATTGTTGCCTACCCTAAAGGCGCGTTGAGATTGAAGGCGCCGCTGTGACCGAGATGCGCACATCTGCGGCCACTGAGAGGACGGACTCTACACTGTCGAGGCGCTTAATCCCAGTTCAGGAGATATTTCAGCCATCCAGATAGTCAGTACAGCCTTGACACGTCAGTTTCAATATCTAGCCACGCCAGCAGAGCTTCATTTGAAATACAACCAAGTCGCAATGAGAGCTTCCAGTGCCAGTTGTTTGAGAAATGGGGCGCAGAGCAGAAATAAGTCACTCCAACGAAAGTGCTCGTTTTCTGCGGCCAGTAGCTTCTTGCATCGGCGCTTTGTGTACCTGGTTTCCAAACTTTCTCCTTGCTCTGAGTGCATTGTTGGCGCCGGGACATCTCTTACTACTTGGTCTGCGTCAAAGCTGTGTGCTGGATTCTGAAGTCGGGGATATCGATCGTTCGTCGAGGAGTGTACAAAATAACGCGTAGGTTATTTGCTAAGCCGATCGACCCTGGTGAACTGGGTGCAGTCAGAGCAGTCGAGGGAGGTTCGGTGTAGCAGGAATGTAAAATCGATATGTCGAGTCGCTGACTACGATGGAGCGTCTTGAGATGGCGTGGAACATACATTGGATCGATCTAGACATGCTATCAGTCATTCTTCACTCAAGGATGCCTTCTCAAGCGGTGCGATCGTCTCTTGAGAGCGGTCGTTTCACAAACCTTTGCTGATCATCTGGTCCTTGAAGACGTTGCTGCCTGCTGACAGCCTTACGACAGGGCTCCTAGAGGGATCAACACGAAGTCAAAACAAGAACGAGCCAAGATGACAAGACAGCCTCAAGAAGCTTCAGAAGATCAGTCATATCCGCCAAAGGCTTGACCTGCCCAGAACTGCTTGATTGCATGCCATGACATTCGTCAACTCGCCAAGGACTTGGTGAACTTGAGGCGGTTACCAAGAATTCATCGAATGTCAGCCAGGAGCTTGACTCTCATGCTTGACTGGCAGCCATATTCTTGGCTTGCTTCATCTTTGACGACAACCCTTGCCATCCCAGCACGGGGTGAAGGGCGACATCAAGGACAGATAACCTGAGCCGAGTAAAAAGCAGAGCGTCGCTGATCTCACCATGTACGCGCTCACACTCGCACCCTGAAGTCGAATTCGGCGAAGAGCGACAGAGCGGCACCCTCCTGCTTCTAGAATCCGGTACATCAGACCCACAACTCACTGCACCTCATCCTTTGCCTCGAAGCGTATCTTGCCTGCATGAGAGGCTGATATCCGCCTGACTCGAGCTTGTTGTTGGTTTTGCCGTCCAGACCTATTTGCTATTTTGCAGTCCAAATCTGGCTCAGCCATTCACCTCGAAAGGAATCGACACATGGGTTTGGAATAGGAAATTCAATGTCAACTTGACAACGCGGCCATTCAAGCCTCCTGCAAAACTTGGGAGGCCGGGAAATTGGAGAGACTACACGTGCTGCCTCCAAGGATGGTGCACCCGTACGTGCAACGACCGCGATAACCGCGGCCGTTTCGACGGACCGAAGAACAGAAGTTCGTTGAGTGTGAAGAAGCTGCCAAGCTGAATGTTCGAAGCAATTCTGCCGTAGTCAAGGGCCATCATCGCTTGCGACACGAGCATCCCGATTCAATAGACGAGTACTAGACGCCCAGTAGTCCGAAGGATTGTGGATTGAATGCATCCAGCACATGTTGCGTGGGTGATGAGCATATCCACTTGCCGTCGTGGAAGATCCATTTGGAAACGCAACTTGAAGCAAGACATCAGCCCAAGGAAAATTTTCTCATACGGGATGTCACCCAAAACCTGAAGGTTGAATGTAAAGTTAGGAGGAAGTGGCTTTCCGCCAAGTCAACGTGGAGAACCAGAACGAGTCTCCATTTCACCCACGTTTGAAGTAGAAAAGAGCCGATTGGCTCATTTTCACTTCACATCTTTGACACGCCCCTCGACTTTGTCGAGTCTTGCTCGGCTATCTGCAATAAACGTCCCTCGGACTCACCACTCTGCGGCAAGGAGTAGGCAGGCGACGCGCCAAAGAAAGGGTAGCATTGTACGACTCGGCCTTGCCGCGCACGTGTAAGTGGGACGACTACCCAATAATTGGTCCGGATAGAGGAGTCCTCACATTACGTGTACCACACGTCTGGAAATATCGAAGATCGGTCATGCAGGTTGTGTCCATTCAAGAGACGGCATCGAAGTGAGGGCATTGTTTGCGCGATGAATGAACCCTGAAGCATGTTCGCGAGACGAAGTGTGTGTTCTAAGAGCCGAGACTGTAGTCGAAAAGCATGAAGATCGTTCATCCTCTAATCACTAACATTGTGATAGAGCACGAGCTGCACGACTGGTCTCTCATGGCCCCACGCGGAGATGGATCACTCGACAAGTTGCTGAAAATGGCCGTTGGTGCTAAGTAAACTAAGATTAGCCTTTTGGAGCAAGAACCGTCAAGACCGTGCAAGACGTTCTCAAGCACCCCAAGATCCAAAGCCACGGCCTTGGCCGCCTCGTGCGTGATGAAATGGGGTACTCTGATTGGATCCCAGACTAAAGCGCCACAGTCTGGGCCTGCAACCAGTTGGGGAACAAGCAAACACCCGTCTGACAGCCAAGTCGGATGCTCGAGTAAAGATGCTGCAGATAAAAGAAGGCATCTGCTCACCTCTTCCCTGTTCGTCTCGTCCATCATCAGCCATTCACTTCTGAAGACAGATCGTTCACAGTCGGATCTTTCTGACTTCCCGTTCTCCTTTGCTCATTGCTTCTATCTTCAATAGATAGCAACTCACAACAGCAATGGCCACTCCTCACAGAACCGCAGGCGGAAACGCTGCCTTCCACAACTTCCATAATGACTTCGCTCACATCGAGGATCCCAACGAGCGCCGCAGACTCGCTCTTGCTGAAATCGACAAGGCTCCTTTCGGCTGGTACCACGTTCGCGCCGTCATCGTCGCTGGTATTGGTTTCTTCACTGATGCTTACGACATTTTCGCCATTGGTCTCGTCACCAACATGTTGGGTGTTGTCTACTGGCAAGACGCCCCCGGCAAGCTTGCCGGAAAGATCCCTCAGTCTTCCGACACTGCCATCAAGGTTGCTACCTCCGGTGGTACCGTTATCGGTCAGGTCGGTTTCGGTTGGCTCGCTGATGTCGTTGGCCGCAAGAAGATGTACGGTCTCGAACTCATGATTATTATCTTCGCAACTCTCGCTCAAGCTCTCTCTTCGGACTCTCCCGCTATCTCCATCGTCGGCATCATCATCTTCTGGCGTGTCCTCATGGGCATCGGTATTGGTGGTGACTACCCTCTCTCCTCAATCATTACTTCTGAATTCGCTACCACCAAGTGGCGCGGTGCCATGATGGGCTCCGTCTTCGCCATGCAGGGTATCGGCCAATTGGCTGCCGGTCTCATTGCCCTCATTGTCACTGCTGGCTTCAAGGAGTCGCTCCAGAGCGGAAAGAACGCCGCCGCCTGTGACGGTGTCTGCCAGCTTGCTGTCGACAAGATGTGGCGTGTCATTATCGGTTTCGGTGCCGTCCCCGGATGTATCGCCCTCTACTACCGTCTTACCATCCCTGAGACTCCTCGTTACACTTTCGACGTCTCCCGCGACGTTGTCAAGGCCGACACCGATGCTAAGGCCTACCTCAACGGCAAGTCCCACGGCAGCCCCGATGAGATCACCCGCGTCCAGACTCGTGAGGCTACCGCTGGCCAGCTTGAGATCCCCAAGGCTTCTTGGGCTGACTTCTGCCGCCACTACGGTCAGTGGAAGAACATGAAGATTCTGATTGGTACCGCTGGTTCCTGGTTCTTCCTCGATGTTGCTTTCTACGGTGTTTCGCTCAACAGCTCTGTCATTCTCGCTGCCATTGGCTACACCGGTGGTAACAACATGTACGAGATCTTCCACAAGAATGCTGTCGGTAACTTGATCATCGTCTGCGCTGGTGCCATCCCTGGTTACTGGGTCACAGTCGCCCTTGTTGACACCGTCGGCCGTAAGCCCATCCAGCTTATGGGTTTCACTCTCCTCACCATCTTCTTCTGTATCTTTGGTTTCGGTTACCACGTCATCGGCACCAGCGGCAAGCTCGGTCTCTACATTCTCTGCCAGTTCTTCTTCAACTTCGGCCCCAACGCTACCACTTTCATTGTTCCCGGAGAATGCTTCCCTACTCGCTACCGTTCTACTTCTCACGGTCTCTCCGCCGCTTCCGGCAAGGTCGGTGCCATCATTGCCCAGGTTGTCATCGGTCCTCTCCGTGTTCGTGGTAACGTCACAACTGCCAACCCCTCCCCTTGGCTCAACCACGTCCTCCAAATCTTCGCACTCTTCATGTTCCTCGGTATCTTCACTTCTCTCCTCATCCCCGAGACCAAGCGCAAGACCCTCGAGCAGCTTGCCGGCGAGGTCCCCGGAACTCCTGAGTACGACGAGACCACCCACGGTGCCGCTCACACCAAGACTTCTGAGGACTACTCCGAGTCCAACACTGCAGAGAAGTCTGCAGTCTAGATTCTTGCGACGAAGATTTGACGATATTGCTATTCTGATAAAAATGTTCATGGTGTAAATAAACGGGACTCCCAAGCGCTGGGTTGATGTTCTATTTTTATTGCTTTCTTTTAGCGGCCTTTCTTGGTGGCCACTTGCTTGATACCTAATGTTACAACAACCTTCACTTTTTCAAACATTTCTTCCCTCGTCGTATCTTGTGATTGTTGCCTTGTGGTCCTGTCTTTGTGAAACATGGCAGTTGGCCCGATCAATGCTCAAAGCCTCCCACCAGATGCGCATTGCGCATGCAGGCGTCGTGGCTGCCAATATGGCCCCAGTCGAATGCGTATGACGTCCGTCTTCGAGCTGTGCGTATTGCGTATTTGCGTATAACTGTTACTCGGCATACAGCAAGCTCTCATCATCTCACAAACTTTGGGCCAAAACGCACGCTCTTAGGGTCTTTGATGAATGGCTGGGATCGAGTTTCTGTGCGTCGTCACCTTTTGAGGCTTGACCGACTGGTGACGAGATGAGCATCCGCGGACGAGAGTAGGGCAGGTCAGAAAAGCTATAAAGTCCACACCCACGGGGCAGGTCCAAAAGCCATCACACAACTACGAATGCCAACAACTCAACACGAACAAACTCTTTTTAGCATTCAGAGTCATGAAGACTTCCAACATCGCAACTCTTGGAGTCACGGTCCTCACCGCAGTCATGGGCTCAGATGCCTGTGGCAATTCTGGAATAACCACTCTGAGACAGACTGCTGCTCATAAAGACATTCTCATCGGTTCTGGAGCCATCAACCCCACCTACCTCAATGATGCTCAATTCTCCACGGTCCTTGCTCAGCAGTTCAACAGTCTCTCCCCTGAGAACGAGTTGAAATGGAACTTTTTCCATCCCACCCAGGGTTACTACAACTGGACCGCCCTCGACCGCCTTGTTGACTTCGCCGAAGCGAACGACATGGCCGTCAAGGGCCACGGGCTGATTTCCAGCTGCTGCAACCCAGACTATCTACTCAACATCACCGACCCCACCCAATTCCGCGCCGCCATGACCGAGCACTTTAACGCCGTCATGCACCGCTACCACGGGAAAATGGACCGCTGGGACGTCGTCACCGAAGCACTGCAGACAATGGGCGGCGGCTTGAACAACAACACTTTTACCAAAGTGCTCGGCCCGGGCTACATCGCAGACGCCTTCCGCATCGCGCGAGCGGCCGACCCAACCGCCAAATTGTTCATCAACGAAAACCTCGTCGAATCATACCCAGGCAAGCGTCAAGAACTCTTCAACTTGGTCGCCGGACTCGTGGGCGACAATGTACCCATCGACGGCGTCGCTCTCCAAATGCACATTACCGAAATCGCACCCATCCCCGGCGTCATCACAAACATCACAAACTCGTACAAGGCACTGGGGTTGGAAGTCACGATTGCCGAAATGGACGTGCACACCCTCAAAAAGACCCTCGTGACCGAAATCTACGGTAATGTCATCAGAGAAGCTCTGGATGCGGGTATCACGGACATCAGCTTTTGGGGATTCACTGATAAGCACGCTTATACCTGGTTGGCTGGAGCGAAGCCTTTGATGTTTGATGAAGAGTATAATGCCAAGGGTGCTTACTATGTCACCCATGCTGCTCTGACTGACTTTGTCATGGATGACTAGTCAAGTACAGAGCGGCGTTGACATTCTGGGGATCCATCGACTCGTCAGCGTTTGAGGATCCAGAGAAAGGCAGGAACTTTGTCGCTGGTCAAGGGAACCTCGGTTCTTTATTGGCGGACTAGCATTAGCATCAGCATATAGAGAGGGAGATGGTGTACTACACGGAAGAGGTTGGTGCGGAAGAGATTGGTGCGGGAGATATTGGTGCGGACAAGATTGATATTAGACACATAGGAGGCTGTAGTGACAATATTAGACGTCGATTTCTGAAAGTGGAATGACAAGACAACATGATTGGGACCCCTATTCGCAAAATTAAAAGGGAACAAAATGGTGTGGCATCTGATTGTACAGGATATCAAAAACGAGAAAAGGGGTATTGTAACGTAACAGAGAAGTGATGAGAAAAAGAGAACAGGGCAAGAAACAAACACAAAGAGATTGGATATCGCCAGCCGTGGAATTCACATTCGATGCTCTCTCTTCCACAGAGCATCTCGCACGAGTTGAGATGCAACAACAGAGTACCGCTCGAGATGAAAAGAAATTGTCGTCTCACTCGTCGAAGATAGAAGGGTTACCAGCACTTCAAGCTGGAGAAGAAACCGGATTTCTTCTTTTTGTTTTGCGGTGAAGTGGCTGTGGATTCGGATTGCGAGTAGCGCTGCTTCTCGGCGTCGCTAGTGATGTTTGGTGCAGGCGCAGATTGTTGTGTTTCGGGTAGTGCGGATGCGCGTTGGTTGTGAGGTGTCGGGTTGATCAGCGAAGGGAAGTCTGGACGCATGCCTGCTGCGTGTTGTTCTCTGGCCTCAACTACGCGCTTAACGATTGCTGTTTGGAAGTCAGTATTCTTTTGATCTTTGAGCTCTTTGCGGAAGGCATATGCGAGGCTTACAAGCAAAAGTCTCCTCAATATTCACGACCTCACGAGCAGAAGTCTCCATGAAACCGCACCCTCTGCTCTTTGCCCATTCCAAACCCTCGGCAGCACCGACTTGTCTCTGGCCCTGCAGATCGCACTTGTTCCCGGCGACCATGATGGCGGGCCAGCATCTTCCCTGCTCTTGTCTGTTCTCCTTCTCCATCTCAATCAGCTCTGCAAAGAAGTCCAGATTCTGCAACGATTGGGCGTTGGTGATGTCGTAGACGAGGAGAAAGGCGTCAGAGGTCAAGTTTGCGGCCGACCACATGCCACGATATTCTTCTTGTCCGGCGGTATCGGTGAGGTGCAGAGAGTAGGTTTGGCCGTTGATTGTGCGGGTTACAGAGTAGGAGTCTTCGATTGTGGGATCGTAGTCGTGAGTCCAGGCCGAGCGGACGATGCGAAGGGTGATTGATGATTTACCTAGCGCAATTGTATTAGTCGCAAGTCTAGGTAAGACTGGTGAGGGGTGCATACCGCATCCGCCGTCGCCGCAGATGGTGATTGAGATCTTGTCGTCCATTGTGTCGCGCGTTTGCCGTTTTGAGAGGTGGACAGAAGAATGAGAACCCTGGACAAGAAGCAGGTGTGTTCTAAATGCAAGGATTCTGGAGTAACAAGGTACAAGATGTCGAGGATAGTCGAGGTGGGTCAAGTGGTACAGCTGCCGAAGGTCCGATTGTGCGCTTTTCCACAGAGAGACAAGGAGGGAGAAGGAATTATATGTGATTAAGAAGAGAGTGAAGAAACAAGTGCCGGCCGAGATGATTGCGCCAATGAATGCTAGAACGGAAAGGAAAAAGTGAAGGAGGATGGAAACAATGGAACAAGCCAAGTCAAGACAGACAAGAGAGAGTCATGTGAAGATGGAGTCGTCCTTGGTCCCTTGAGTTCGAGACGCTCGGTCCATTTCAGCCCAACCTCACGGGCCACAAAGGATGCACTGTCGATCTGCTCATCTCATCATGCTGATCTGCTTTGCAGTTGAACGTTGATGCAGGAAACACTTGGTACATGCTCATACTCTGTGTCCTGAACAGCGACTGTTAGAAGTCGACATGGATAAGTCCAAAGGCGAATGAATGCTTCTTCTCTCTTTGAACACAAATCACCACTGAGATCCACCGTTTCCGGGCCATCTTGAAACACTTCCGAGCCACGATATCTTCAAGTTCCACTTTTTAGACCTCACGGTAGCTCCCGGATGTCGACTCGTGCTCGCTCCCATCCAGCCTCCCCGTCTGCAGAACTTTGTCACGCGCATGCTGTGGAAATGCACAATGTTTTTGAGATCAGTGCAGCCCTCCACTAAGGGCTTAATAGTTAGCGCCTCTCTGCGGACGACGAGACCGATTTTGAGAAAATTGTGCATTTCTACACACCAAACAACACTAGGCATGGCCGTAGAAGATGGCTAGAAGTGACAGAATTTAGCACACGGGGAGGAGGCGCGTGCTTGAACAATTCTGAACATAGGGAAGTCGACGCCAGTCGCTTGGTCAAAGCTGTGTTCATTTGAAGCATACGCATCTCAGCTCCTCAATGGCAGACAACTGAAGTAATCAAATGTCAAGTATTCACCAGTGTTATCTGAATTATCAAACTCTTCTCGCGAAACTGCCCCTCTCTTGAATATTCTGCAACTGAGGCATATCATAAGTTTGTGGCGGCAGGTCCTCATCCTTGGGCCCAGTGATGATACCAAACTCCTCCGTATAATGCGAGCTTGTGCCATAGAACCCCACAATCTTCTCTCCCACCCCAGGCTCCAAGACTTGTAATTTGTTGCTCACAGGGATGCTTCCAGTGAACTCGCTATCATTGAGTGCTCCCTTTCTGATACCGTTCGAAAGGGTCATGACTATGCCACTAAGCACCTTACAGCCATATCCAGATCTGTTCACCTCTACCTTGACAATGTCGACATCTTTAGGAAGATGGATCTTTTGTGACTGGTGGCCGCCGAAGTAGTGTGTAGAGCCGGTCTCAGTGTAGCGGAGACCACAAGGCGTTTTGTGGCCGTCTTCATAGTATACGACTGCGCCATCGAGGACGCAACCAACACGAAGGTCGATGGTGTTGGCCCGGCTTAGCTTGCCGTTGGGACCCTTCTCGTTGAGCAGAACTGTCCATTGATGTCCCTCAACCTCCGCATCGGTATCTTCGTAGTCAACCTTTGACAGCGCGCTGACACCAATGGCAGACTGTTTGCGTAGAATGATGTCCGAGTTGTCAATGCGAATGACATCCCGACGTTTCGTCCCCCAGGCGTTCTGACTTCTTGCAATACGTCCGTTGCATCCAAGAACATCCACGTGAAGCGGCACAGTCTGATCGAAGTCTGCCAAGTCGAAAATTACGGAGTTGGTCCTCTGACCAGACAGTGAGCAATCGTAGCTCAATGTTCTGCTGATCAGGCCATTGATAATACTGATTTGTGCCAGACCAGCTTTGCAGTCGACAGTCATCGTATCATGTTCTGAGGTCTCGGAGAAATTTGGCTTGATCGAGGGAGCGGCACCTGGTCGCATGGGAACAGCAGATGGCTTTGACCTGCGGCGTAGAAAACCGTCTTTGCGTTGTCTGATAGTTGAGATGCGCATGTTGCAAGAATTTGTGGTGAATCCCTGGTGAATCGAACGGGGAATAGTGTTTGAGGAAGTTCAGGAGTGGTAGCAGTGATAATGTCATCAAAAAGAGCAATCGACGGGCTTTAAATATCGTCTTGAACACAATGAACACAAGTAGTACTATACCTTGATCAGCCGTATGTTGCCTGGCGTCGGTAAGTCGGAAGGCAGCATTGCCTTAGGCGAGACGGTTCCCAAGGCATCAGCAGCTGTGGCTTCGCGGAAACAGGCAGAAACGCGTCCCGAAGTCAGCATCACGTCGTTCTGGCGCGGAAACACGCGGTACTGGAAAGGCATTACCGGTAGGCGGATGAATGACTGCTCTTGGAATATTGTTCCACTAAACAATTTCGATATGGAAAAGTGGTTGTGGTAGAGAAACAGAACGGAAAGAAGGTCGTGACGCGGTGCGTCTTTGTCCGCGCCTGCAGAACTTCCGAGTGGGTGTACGTCATACCTCGGCCGTCAGCAGCTCTCTTTTCCCAATCGCGTGTCCTCTAACAATGTAACACTCATCAAAATGGGCGACAAACAAGAGAAACAGACACGTCCGATAGTGTCTGTGATCTCTGGCGGAATTGCTGGCGGTGTGGAAGCATCCGTCACATATCCTTTCGAGTTCGCCAAAACCAGAGCTCAATTGCATGTCCGAAAGGCTGGAGTGCCATATCCGAAGAATCCATTTGCGGTTGTCGGTCAGGTTTACAGTCAAGAAGGATTACGGGCACTATACAAGGGGTGTGGAGCTTTGGTGGTCGGATCGGTTGGCAAAGATGCTGTTCGCTTTCTATCTTTCGACACTGTCAAAAATGCGTTCAAGGATCCGGAGACCGGAACCTTGTCCCCTCTCAGAAACATGCTAGCTGGAATGGCAGCCGGTGTCGTTGCAAGTGCGACTGCAGTCACGCCAACGGAGAGAATCAAGACTGCCTTGATCGACGACGCCAGGGGACCCAGACAATTCACATCCACTATGCACGCAGTCAAAATGATCTTGGCCGAGGACGGCTTCAAAGGTCTCTATCGAGGATTTGTAGGGACGACCTTGAAGCAAGCATCAGCTACGAGTTTCCGTATGGGCTCGTATAATATCCTCAAAGATTACGAAAAGAACCACCATATCGAGCAGAACACGGCTGTAAATTTCGCCAACGGAGCGGTAGCTGGCGTTACTACCACCTTGGCGACCCAGCCTTTCGATGTCATCAAGACGAGATCTCAGACCGCAAAAGCCACGACAACGACGGAAGCTATCGCGAGCATCTGGAAGGATGATGGCATTCGTGCTTTCTGGAGAGGTACGGTCATGAGATTAGGACGTACTGTGCTTGCTGGAGGAGTACTGTTCACCACGGCAGAGGCTGTTGCAAAGATCATCAATCCCATCTTGGACCGATGAGATGAACTCATGCGCAAAGGTTGAGCCCTGCTACTTCTCATTCTAGCACAGGCTTTCTTCCTTGTGTCGGAAGGCGCAATTCTTTGACGGTATAGCTGTTCAAAAGAGAGCACACTCCAAATTTGCTTGTGTTCAGTGCAGACGTATCTGTCACATTATGTGTATTTCGATAGTGGAATTTGAACGGCTGGCACTCGATCTTCCTCGTTTTGGTCGTCCTGCATTCAACTCTACGCTTGCAAGGTGCTTGATGGCATTCTGTGAGATGACTAGCCGTTCATTGCGGCAGCACATGCTTGCTATGTTTATGCGGCAAGTCCTGATTGCAAAGCCCCTCTTCCACCGATATTGCTTAGATCCCGTTGGACGGTGTAGTATGTGATGACTGGTCATTCGTTACAGCAGTCCAAGCTCGCTGTACTAATGCAGCAAATTCGGGCCTAGCTTCTTGTAGTATAGGTATGGTCGTTCGAACAAGTCGCTTTCCTGCATTTCTTGCCCACCAGCGATCTCGCAGTAGATGAATGATGATTCCGTAGTGTGACAGTATAGCGATGGCAAGGGGTTCCTTATTTTCGATGAGTTGTATTATTCCTTCTCCCAGTCCTACTGGCCATGCCATGATGCCGGAGAAGAGACCGCCTGTGCAGTATACGTGCATGGCTTGCTGTAGACTTGATATAGCATCGGAGTAGGACTGAGTGTCTGTGCTATCAGGTATCTTGGCTCTCATGCTCTCCAAGGTGGTATCGACTACGCTGTTGCACATCAGTCTGTTGCTCTGAGCCGATCACATACTAAGTCCGGATTGAAGCTGGAGTGTCTTACCGATGCATTTCTGACAATGGTACACCTGTGCTGTCATCTGTCTCGATCTGACGTGGCGTGTGAGGAGTAAACAGGACTCCAAAGCTTGAAAGACGTAGGTAATCGTGATAGTCGTTTTGCACTACGCCGATGCCGACCAGAAACTGGCGCAGCTCCAGAATATCAACCAGGGCATCCGAAAAATGATTATCTTCTTGCCAGTGGGACTGCGCGAGAGAGAAGACCATGATCAGTATCGAGCAGGCGAAAATCGCTTCGCAGTTGCTCGAAACTATGGAGCCGATGGCAAGCTGAAACCCGGTGAGAGCTTTGTTCTCATAGTCCAGGGCAGCGCAATCCCAGGATGCGGCATTGGCTGGATCGTCGAGCGAAAGGTGTCGTGCTGATAGCGCCAGCAGGGCATCCAAGAGATATTCGTGTGACAGGGCCAAGTCTGGCACGACAATTTGCCAAAGATACGACTCATCAGAATGTTGTCTCAGCGTTTTGTATGCTTTGGTTGACCAATTATGCATCAGTCTCAGTTCTGATGCCCTTGATGTTGAGGCGTGCGGTAATGGGAAAGCGGAAACATCTGATTGACTATATGGCGATGCGTTGACACTGTCGGTGTTGTCGCGACTACCAGTGATGAAGCTACATGTGACTTCGCGCTTGAGGCAATACCCACAGCTAGGAGTCGCTTCATCACACTGAGAGATCAAATCATCAGTAACGAAAACTTTAGTATAGCTTCCTGTTGGAGAAGACGTGTGGTGCGGAAGCGATACGCGATCCAGAGCGTATTCGGTAAGGATGCTGACCTTGACATGACGTTGCTTACACTGTATGCATCCTCTGCGACTCTTGGTATGGGAGCGGCGACAGGTTGGCATGGCTGCTTGGAGGGGAGGTCAGTGTCTCCAAAACACTGCACGGCGTATGTGACACGAGGGGCGACCCTATGTACCTGCCTCGGCTGACTGGAATTCTCCGAGCCAATCAAACTTTCAGACGTTCTTGACTACACCTTTGAAAGTATAGAAACAAATCCTATGATTGCTCTGCCCTCGCTGAAGCTGATCCATGGTGAGAAGTGTCCCTGCCCACGCAGACGACGCCGAGGAGTACTGCCTCATGTTCGAATCGTGTGCAGGTGCCAGATGAGAATATGATCCCTGAAATAGCTGTCAATCCGCCCGGACTCGATGGTGCCATGGAACATTCTCTGGGCCCTGCATTTGCTGGCTGAGATGGCGTTGCCAGAAGTGTTTCGGAACCGTCTCCCGCAAAGCGCAAAACTCAATACGTCATGATACGCAATACGCAACACGCAATACGCAATACGCAACACGCACCAACAAACATCGTTGACCGTTTTGGCAGAGTTTCTGGCGTTACAGCTTCCATCACTGCTTTTTTCGCCAAGTTCTATGCAATGTCCAGACCGAACGCATGTTTTGAATACTGCCTGCCAGTTCATGCTTCGAGACTTGTTTGAGGCCAAAAATAAAGTACTTGTACGCGTACCAGCTGTTATGCATCATACGCAGTACGCAAGATGCAAGTTCGACCTGCCTTCGCTTATTCAAATGAGCTGCGCCCCGACAGTCAGGAACTCGTGAATGTTTATAATCGAGAGTGTCTCCGTCGAGATTGAAAACATACAGTCTCTCCTTCCATTTTCTCGGTCACCACAAGGTCGCGAATTCGGTATATTAAATAACACACCTGTCGTTCAGCACATCCGACGAAGTCAAGATCACACAGTGTCACATACAGCGAACACACCAGCTCGAAACGTGCAACATGTCGGACTCCGGGACTCAATATGGCGACTTCAAGCTCTATCGCTATGATCCCAGCATGGCTGCAGCAGTCATCTTCATCATCGCTTTCATCTTGATCACCGCCTTGCACTTCTACCAGATGATCCGAACCAAGACATACTTCTTCGTTCCTTTTGTCATTGGCGGCTTGTTTGAAGTCATTGGCTTCATAGCAGTGAGTTGACTCGCAACGTCTGGACGAGTGTCATTGACTAACCCGCCTTTCCCAGCGCGCTAAATCGAGCCAAGAAGCACCCAACTTCAGCATTCCTGCATACTCCATCCAGGCGATTCTCATTCTCGTCGCACCGGCGCTGTTCGCCGCCAGTATCTACATGGAACTCGGCCGCATCATTCTCCTCACCGACGGCGAACAACACAGCATCATTCCCAAGAAGTGGCTCACAAAAATCTTTGTCATCGGCGATGTAATCTCTTTCTGCTTGCAGGCTGCAGGTGGTGGTATCATGGCAAGTGGTACGCTCACAGCGCTCCAAAACGGCGAACACATCACCATCGGCGGTCTCGTTATCCAAATCTTGTTCTTCGGCTTTTTCGTCGTCGTCAGTATCACCTTCAACATCCGCATGAACAAGATACCCACTGGCCGCAGCATGATTGCCCAGAACCCTTGGAGAAAACATCTCTACACTCTCTATGGCGGTAGCGCACTCATCCTGATTAGATCCATCTTCCGTCTGGCCGAATACGCTCAGGGTAATGATGGTTACCTTATCTCGCACGAGTGGTTCCTGTACATCTTCGATGCGTGTCTCATGTTCGCTACCATGGCTTTGTTCGCCTGGTTCCACCCAAGCGAGATTTGGGCCATGTTGAACAAGAATGGCGGAATGATGGTCAGTCATGGTTACAAGATAGAGGCAGCGATACCTCTGATGTGAAGCATGACTCGGGGCAGATAGAAGACGAAAGGTAGATAGAAGACGAAAAGTGTTGTACACTGGCTTTCGAATAGAGAAATACCAACATGTTAGATTTTACAGCTTTATGTTGAAACCTCCTTTGTCTACTTTAGCGGAACCTGACGCTGCGATCCTCCCGAAACGACAGTCCAAGCAAGTATTTATGGTAGTCTGGCTAGCCGAACTACATCTCTTATGAAGAATGACGCGAATGCCCGGTGGTAGAGGATTTACATTCTACACAGTGTTGCTGTGCGGAACATTCATATACCATCTTGAAACTGCTAGATGAGCTCCTGCCTCGAAACGTGGTTATCAACATATGTGTGCTTGATGAATACGAAAACTTCAGAGAAGCCAAAGAACAACATTAACTATATTCACTTCTTGTCCTTTGCTTTCTTCGTTTGCTCTTTCGAAGACCCTAAGGCGTGAAAGCTCTCAATCAAACCGCTTAACTCGCTCCCACTCCACTTTTGGTTTGCGACTAGCCACTGGCCTTCGTCCCTACGCTGCAGGTCGACAAGCTTGCGTGACCGATTGTGCACAGCTGATCGCACACTCTTCGCAATGCCCGCCGCGGGATACGCGAAAACGCCAAACATGCCTGCTCCTGTCTTCGTCACCATGCCTGCCATACCTTTCCCGAGTCCAGTAGCTATGCCGGCAGCACCATTCTTCTTGCACTCTTTGTAAGGTTGTACGACCAAGTCAGAGACACCATCGATCATACCCCACGCGAATGTCTTACCAGCGACTGCGAATCCACTGCCTACACCTGTGACCTTGCCGTTGTCTCGCAATTTGTCGCCGTAATGTCTTGGTGCTGTACGGAGGCCTTCTGTGATTGCCATCGGTATGTCGACGGTCATGCCTTTGAGGGCCGTTGGCGCGAAATTGCCGATGCTCTTGACACCTGCCAACGCCGCTTTGCCGCCTGCTGACGGCCGATTGTCCCGCGACCTTGCGGACGTTCCTGTGCGGATGCTCGCACTTGAACTTTTGAGGTCAGGTTCGGCTAAGCGCTGGTCATCGATCATCGCATCAAGCTTATCGGCTCTGTCTTGTTTTCGGCGCTCGTCGTCGTATGCCTTCATCGGTTTGGTGACTATGCCGGTGATACAACCTGTGAGGTCCATCGTTGTAGCCATGACGGCGGATGCTCCACCACTCAGAGGATCCCATCGGGTAGGCTCAATAGAAACAGGCTTAGACTGGTATCTATAAGTCTGTCAGCTAATGCAGCGTCATCTGCGCGAGCGCCCGGGGTGTCTTACGTCTTCAACTCTTTGAGGAGTCTGCTGTGCTGCGAGATCAAGACTTCAGCGGCCAGCTTAGACAGCTTGATCTTTTTGCCGCCTGACTTAAGGGTCCACACGGCAGGCTGATCGGAGATCAAGTCACATTTCATCGCCGCGATAGGAAGATGTCTGTGAAAAGAGTCTACCGCGGAACGTACGCCTTCCTCGTCTTGCATCAGTGCCGCGATAGCTTTGGCTGCCACAGACGTCTCTTCTCTGATGAGGAAACGAATAGCCTCCGCGAGTTTGGCAGGCGTCATGTCACGGGGTGGTAATGGTTCGGGTCCCGCGCCTGCGCTGGCAATCATATGGCCCCAGAATGGCTGACTATGCGACACCGCTCATTAGCCCTGGCAGTCAAGAATCAACACGAATCCCAGATTGACTTACTCTCCAAAGAACGGACAGACGAGCGTGGGAATACCGTTTCTGATTCCACATGCAGTAGTACCTGCACCACCATGATGCACTACGGCCGCCATACGTGGAAACAGCCACTCGTGAGGGCAGTCGCCGATGTAGTAGATATTCTCTCCTACATCGCCTCCGAGATCTGACCATCCTTTCGAGATGATGGCTCTGACACCCGCAGCACGAACTGCATCAAGGATTGTGGCCAGCATCTTGGCAGGATCGTCGAGAACAATACTGCCAAACCCGATGTACACAGGCGGAGGACCAGCAGCCAAGAATTGAGCAAGTTCAGGTGTGGGGGTGTATTTGGGCGTGTCACGAAAGAAGAAACCGCAGACGTCTGTGAGGAATGTAAGCTTGTTGACGACTAAAATATAACAAGTAAACTCACCAATGTATCCAGGCCAGTCGTGAGGCTTGGGTACCAATGCTGGTGACCAACAGTAAGTGAACGGGATCTTGAGCATTTGTGCCAATGCCGGTCCGTCGAGTAAGTTGATAGGTTCCAGCTGGATGCTTTCGCGCCAGTCATTGATTACATCGCCTAATCTTCTCAATTGTTAGCCTCACGACTGTTCGGATGTGGAACAGATTTTCGAATGGTTTACCCTTGCCAGGTCATCCATTCCACCACATGATACGACACATAGTTCGCTATTGCCTGATCTCCATCGACGTTTGCCAGATTTGCTAAAGGATGAGGGAAAGCGCGAGTGGGAGTCCATGGCATTGTAAACATTAGATGGACCGGTATTCCCAGAGCCTGAGCGCAATGCACATGTGCAAAGCTAGGAGGGTTTGCGATGATGGCATCCGCGACGAAAGGTGCCTCTGTAAGCGGGTCTGCCAGCACACACGAATCCCAGCATCCCGATAGCATTTCGGCGACCATTTGACGTTTGCGACCGATCTCGCCCGACATCATTGTCTTCATCGAGGGCAGAAGGCTGGGGTTTTTGACCATGTATGCCATTAGTGAAGCTGGATCTCCTCCTATGGGATAGAACTCGAGGCCTGCTTTCCGGACGAAGGAAGCAAACATGTCGTGGGTGGCCAGCCTGACTCTATGGCCATATTTCTGCAACTCGCAGCCTAGAGCGATGAAAGGCTGTACATCTCCACGGCTGCCCACAACTTGAATCACAATGTTGAGTTTTATGCCGCATGTCAGAGTTCCTGGAGCTTTGAACTCGTAGTCGGGAGGCGGCTGCTGCGAATGATCGACTGGTGTTGAAGAAAAGAATCTTGAGAAAGTTCGTACTGCGCGTGAGTTGCAATCGATATCGACGCGTCCATCATCTGATCCTCAACGGTCAGCTTCATACTTCTCACACAGCTCCATGATCAATGTCACCTCTTATGTGGTAGGGACCTTCTGCAACCTGGTCCACCGACTCGGGATCGTGGCCAGCATGGTAGCTATGGTCGTGAATATCTTCGTACGCAGGCGGTGGTAGAGGTTCGGCTTGAGATTCGGTACTAGTTCTCTCTAACTTCTTGGAGTCGTGATCGAAGTTGCCCATGGCTGATTTGTGTAGTCTAGGTATGGAAAGAGCAATGTCTCGAGAGTCGGCCAAAGGATTCAAGAACGGTCAATATGTAGTCGAATCTCTGCTCTGCTGTGATTGCTCAAGCCCGCAGACAATTTGAAACAATACATGATACATGATTGGTGCCGTTGAATATCACATGTTCGGCCTTGACCAACACCCTAAAGCTGTTAGATTCAGGACTTGACATTTAAACTTGGCGTTCAAACTTGACGGATCGATGATACGCAGTGCATGAGCGTTGCGTATCGCGTATTGTGTATTGCGTATTGTGTATCGCGTATCACGCGCAGCTTGGCTTTGCTTTTGACCGTTGCCTAATTCCGAGCACAAGCAATCTGACCGCCGCTCTTCGAATTTGATCTGCGTTACGACAGCCTCAAATACGCGAGAGACACGGTCTATAACGCAAAAATTGTGTACGCAAGACAAGTCCCACAATAGCGCAACTACGTATTAATCACAGGATATTCGCACGCGGCTGGAGGAGCGGGTATCAAATTTGGTGCGCAGTATCTCAGTGCGTACCAAGGATAGGTCTGAACGAGCTGTGGTGCGCGTTGATCAGTCGACAACAAAGCCAGCAGCTAGGGAGATACAGCCAAAGTCAACAGTTACGCGATCATTGCTCTTTTTTCACAACAGGATCACGACTTTACCATGTCGAGTATTGGTAGCCAGTTCATCGCCCTTACTTAGACTTGTGACACTGGCAAATTCTGGCAACGCCGCCATGCGCATAACCATCTCTTGTACAAAACCTGCTTGTGGAAAACCACGCGCTTGCTGACATACAACATAGTTCAGGGCCGCGATGAGAAGGGAAAAGAGTTGTACTCAAACCCTGTCATTACATCGACTGAAAAAGCACCTGCTGTAACGAGACTACAGCATCTGTGAATACGATGCTTGCTGTAGTAATATTGCAGTACTCCTAGTCATCTGTGCTGCGACAGGCAGCTACGATAGTACAACTATCAACAAGCCAACGCCATACTGGCAAACCTGGACGACCTCGAGCGGCGGCATGACATCGAGTTATCCACTGAGAATTTTACCTACAGTGCCTGAACAGCCATGGCACAGATTTGGGCTATTAGTGGCATTCGATACAATGCTTCTGCTTCGAGTCCAACGGTAAGTCTTGCGCAGTTTGCTCATTTCCAACTTTCTATTGTCAGTCACTATATGGCTATATAGACCTTAGACCATCTAGCTGACGCCTGCGATAGCGACATCCGTCCTTTCCTCCAAGAGATATTCATCAAGATGAGCTATTTCTTCAATAATGCAGCTGCTCCAAGAAGGCATCCGAGCACTTGTTTGATTCTGAAGGAATGAAAACTCCATTGTCGATCTCTTGTCCAAGGCCTTGATACCTCCAGTTGGAGATATACGCTTTTGCGGTGGCATTATCGCCGTGGCCGTTGGTTGTTGAGTATGCTCCGACCAGAGTTCCGGTAAAATCACCCATTCCACCGCTGAGCAGAGATCCGGGCGCTGAGCCCATCACGATTGATTCCCAAGGCTTAGTTGCGGAAGAGGCAGAGAAAGCGTAGTGAGTCGAGTTTTGGGCGCTAACCATAAGACGGATAGGATCCTTGACCCAGGCCTGAGGGACGACCTTGATATTCGTTGTGGGTGCTTGAGTTTTATCAAGACTGCCGCCAGATGTGACAATGAAACGCAGGTGAGGAGCCAAGGTTGAGTTACTGGAAGTGTTGTCGGCAGAGTTGATTGGAAGCATGACAAGTCCAAGGTTGATGTTCTGGGCTTGGTTTAGGAAAGCAGTAACACCAGTCTCCTCCTCTGCAGCTCGAGGGTTGAAGTCTACGTCGACGCTGTATTGGAACAAAGTGTCCGTCTGACGACGCATGATGAGCGTGAAACGATGAATGTCAAATCCCGCAATAAAATTGGTCGCTCCGGCGTGGATACTGCCGTTTGACGGTGTCAACTCGAGTGTGTTCGGATGGCCGGCAGGAGAGATTTTGAAACTGTCGTTATCAGGCCAACGCCAATAGCCAAAGTGAGCGGGTATGCTCGAATTGGGAGCGAAATCAAAATTGTCTGGATCGTTGACAAAGGAGTTGTTTCCAGCAATTTTGCGATTGCATGGTAGAGACCATCCACTCTGCACACCACGAACGGGAGAAAATGTTGGCCAGCCATTCTTGGGCCATGTCACAGGAGTCAGTGACATTTCGCGACCCATCGGATACGTCAAAGCAGCAGGCCCTGATCTCCAGGAGAGCATTGCGCACCACCAATGACCCTGACCATCTTGAAACAGATCGGCATGACCAATGTTCTGGAAATATTCGTTGGTGTGACGATTCGTCAAAACGGGATTGTTCTGGTAGCTTTCGTAGGGGCCGGTTATATTCCTGGACCGCGCAACAATGACAGTGTGGTTGACTCCTGATCCGCCTTCCGCGGCCAAGATATAGTAGTAGCCGTCCTTCTTGTACATGTGTGGGCCCTCGAGAAAGGTTCCTCCAGCGGTACCGTTGTAGATATTCACCGGGCTGGAGAGCTCAGCGGTGGTCAAGTCAACTCTCTGGAGATTGAGACCGGCACTAGTGACATACGCGGTACCGTCACTGTCCCAGAAAAGATCGGGGTCAATGTACTCAGCGTCGTACCGAACGGGGTCGCTCCAAGAGCTAGAGTCGTAGATGTTGGTGGTGTTGAAGATGAGACCAGTACTCTTGTTGTTGATGTTGTGCTTGTAGACTGTGATGATGTAGAAGACGCCTTTATGGTAGCGTATAGTTGCAGCCCAGATGCCATCAGACTGAGGAACTGACTCCAGAAATTCGGGCACCTGAGACTCGCGAGACATAGCATGGCTGACAAGCTTGAAGTTGACCAAGTCAGCACTGGCATACACAGGAAGTCCAGGGGTCAGCATGAATGTTGAAGCAGTACAAAACACTTGGTTGTGCTGCTCGGGAACAAAAACGCAGCTCGGATCGCTGTGCCATCCTGGAAGGGCCGGGTTAACTCGAGTCTCGTTGTGGGGGGTTTTGGCAGCTGCTAGAGCTGCAATCAGCGAGAATATAGAAATGAGAGAGGTCTTCATGCTCATCGCAGTCGATATGCAATGTACTGAGCAGTGAATCAGATATGTCGTTTGGTATCAATGGCAAAGAACAGTAGCAGCTTGTGGGCTTTTGAACTTCAGAAGACACCCTTAGTGGTAGCAAGTGTCGAGCGTCATTATACAGAAGGACCGTAGACATTACAAATGGCTGTCTTGACGCGCGTTATAAGGTACCAACGTGCACAATGCTGTGTTTTGAACAGCACAATACGCGACACGCATGAGAGCGTTTTGGATTAAGTTAACCACAATACGCAATACGCATTTGAGACAAAACAGCAATCAAAGTTTGAATCTCACACATAAGCAACGAAAGCTCGATGACCGCAAAGCATCAGTCGTATCCTTTACTAGGTTCGGCCGTCCGTGTAGCTGTGAAAATATACGATGCCTTTCACGTTCCAGCTAGCCTCAACTGACAGGGTCAAGGCCTGCGCTTCCCAATGGGCGACGGTACTAATCTCAGAGATTTGTGCATTTCTACAACCGGAAAGGCTTCAGTCGTGTCGAGAAGTACGTCTGAAGTTCTCGGATCCTAGATGGCTCGACCTGTGTCATCCTTCTCTGAATCCTCAAGTCACTCGCGCATTCTAAACTCTAGAGGCCTGCATGCAATGTGTGTGACTTTGGACCTTCACCTGTTCCCAGTGGCCAGAAGAGAGGACACTCCCCCTTGGCCTCCGCTTTCCTTCCTAGCTGTGCAAGACGCCGTTCCCACACCTTCATTATGATCGCTGGGTCCAGATTCCAGTTAAAGCTTTGGCAGGTTGTTGAAAAGGAGGGTAGTTTAGAACATGGTGGAGCTGCGGAGACTTGTCCCATCTCGACAATGCTAAATTAAGCTCGAAAGCATGATCCCATTTGCGCATGTATCGGCTAAATAATCAACATTTATTGTTGTTTCAGCGGTTACCATCAGTCAGGAACGAATCCGCGAACAGATTGCTTCTCGGTACTGAATGCTAGCATGCCAATGCTTCATCGAGGGTGGTTCGGCTTTGGCGGCCACCGCGATGCGTACCACTATCACTTTCGACACAGATTGATTCCATGAGTCTGGAGGCTGTCTGATAACCTCTACACTCCTTGGGTATAACTTATGCTGACGGATGGGTCTCTTCAGGCACAGGAATAGCCCATAACATGTGTAGGTCCACTCAAACTCCCAATTGAGACAACGAATATCATCATAAGTTTACTGATAAGATAATCGTACTTGTACGTGTATCAATCGCTCGTGTGCCAAGCGAGGGATGTGGTGGACAACTGTGTGATTCGGCTGCATCACAGCCTCGACAAAGCGGAGTGAATGTATGAAGCTGTGATCACTTTTACCTTCCTCATCGAGCAACCTGCGCAACCACGATTGTTCTGTCCTCTCGTTCATCACTCCAATATACCTCAACAAACGAATGACAGAAACACTCGGTGCTGATGCGTCAGGTATCGGCGTCGCTGCTCAAGCTCTCGATGGCGTCTACAAAACACGGCTTGGGAAGATTGAGAGTACTTTGATCGGCTGATGCGCAGCTGCTCCAATGTCGATTTGAGACCCTGAGAAAGTGTTTGACCTGATCTTTGTGGTGAGATCCCCACAGTGTACCGCCATCCTCAATCAACTGTGGTGGCGGAGCGTGGCTCTAGGGTTTCTCAGGCCATCGCAAAACGCGAAAACATTTACATCAAGCATCTCATCTTTCGGAACTGGCCTCCACAATCTTGACGCATTAAGCGAAACCACTCATGCCAAGCCAAAAGGTGTTCTACCTCTGCATGCCGCCTTCGAACTTCTAAGAGTTCAGCGACGTCCATCAAACAAATGTTGGTGAGCCTGAAGAGGGAACTATGTTGTGTCGATGAACGTGATGCCACGAGTTCGTTAGAACTTGCGATCATCAGACGAGCAATACTCGCTGTCCTAGAGCTCCCATCGCGGTAGTCCAGTCCCAAAACTGAGGTGACCCTTCAATGCGAGAAGACCAGCACTTCTGCATGACTTTCAAGGCTGTGGCGGAGTTGCCAAAGTCATGAGCTTCATCTCCAAGGCCTTGAATTAGACTCTGAAAGTAGGACTGAGTAGGCAAATCTCCAGCCATGCTGCCAGCAATGCATATTGGCCAAATCAGACTTCGCAGCGCTTGTGCATCGCATACATACTGCATCTCCTGTAGGGCATTCATTGTGTCTGCAACGCTATTCTTCACGTCGTCGAGCTTCGGATCGGCTCCTGAGATAATCGTGTTGAGGTATACTTGAGCGGCATACGCGAACACGAGTGTGATCGCTCGCTTGATGGCTTCTTGTTGGAGGGCAGGATTCGTTAATACCAGGTACGCGCCCGTAGTCCCCAGATGCGAGAGGCCCAGCTCAGCAAATGTTTCATCAATACTTTTTCGGAGACTAGAAATGCCATCCTCTAGACGTCGTCGAAGACGATCGCCCCGCCCAAAGAGTGTCCAGAAGCTTATGCTACCTGCCACAGTTGCATCTGCTTTCCATACACTCAGTGTCGCAATATCGCCGATGACCAAAGCAATCCAGGGTTGGCAGCCTATGATGTTTGCAAGATCGATTTTGTCTTTCAAGAATCTAGGGCTCTCAGAATGCAGACGAGGGGCATCATTCGTCGAAGCGCACGACAAGATGTCGAACCACAACACAGCTCCGACCAGGAAGTGCTCTGCAGTGTCCTCAAGGCGATGAGGTTGGATCTCACTGCCATAGCCTTGTATAACATCGCCCGGTGAGTATACATCTAGCTGACTTGGCGACAGCCCATTGCTCGAGGAGTCTATGATCGCCATGCTGCGAACTACCGTAGCTAAGGCATCAAGATGGACCTGCCATTGACTTGTGCCACCACGAAAGAGCTCGAAACTGATCAGCTGTACACCACAAGCCAAGATCTGCAGTCGTCTTTTTCGCCCTGATTCTGCCCCAATCGAGTCCTCATAGCTGCTTTGCAAGAATATTTGAAGCTCTTGCAAAGCACGATTATGGTGCTCGTTTAGCTCATTCAACGTGTCATGATATCGTTGGCCTCGGACAGAACGGGCAAGTAATGAGTGCTGGTGTAAAGCTCCCAAACTAAGAGCCGCGTGGCGTAATGGTAGTGTGTCGTTCAGTAGCCACAAGAGCCACCCTCGCCCTCCACTCGCTACAGACGGAGAATGAAATCTGAATTGGAGAGCGAACACGTGATCCAGGTAGTGCATCAATAGTTCGAATTCGCGGTCGTGTCCAAACAAAAAGCGGGTGCCGCTCGGCGTTGGCGTTGTCGAAAGCGTCTTCTTTGAGAATTCATCGGGTGTTGTGAGAGAGGTCTCTCCTTCCAGAAATTCGTGCGTCGACTCTTGCACCTCTGATCGACCATCAATGGGTTGAATTTCATCGTTGACAACGGATGTTCGTCGGCTTTTCCCTCGATTTTCTTCCGTCTTAGACCTAGACATTTCTGTTCTCTTACGCTTGTTGTTCTTTTTGACTGCATCCTTGATTTTGTTCAATTCTGCACGCTCCTCTTCTCCACCGTTCATCCACTCAGGCCGGTCTCCGAAGCCATAGCATGGGATATCACGCGATTCGCACGCACGACACGTCGGTTTTGTTGCATCACACTTCTTGCGACGAAGTTTACATGTCCAGCAGCATATGGATTGTTGACGCGCAGTAGCGTTTTGATTCGGCGACATCAAGAGCCTCCATTAATGATGCTTGCTGGCAAGTGTGTTAGTCGATGAGGAAGTCGTGTTCTCAGATGGAAGCCGAGGAGCGAACTGCAACTGCTGCCGGATCTGTGTTGCCGAAGTTTCTCCGTCCACGGCAGGTCCAACCGAAGGACTTGCAAGTCGTTGAGACTCCTTTCCACTTCTCATTAAAAAAATACAGCTGCACATGTACGACGACCGCTAAGGGGCATCCTTGAATTAGTAACACATGCACTCTCGTTCCTTCGGACGTCTGCGCGTCGCCCGAATCATTGAAGTCTCCCTTTAGCCGACTTCCTGCTCTTTTAACGATGTGCTTTCGAGGAGTAATAACTACACATCATCGACATTTGACATCGCGTCACGTCTTTGAAGACTGCAGTCCGAGTACATTGGAACGAGCTAGGTCTCGACGCTCAAACCGGCTCCAGCATGTTCTCCTTGATGAAGCATCCACTTCCAACGGTTTAACCATCTTCTGCATTCAATATGTGCAGAGCAGGAAAACGATTCTCGAGATCGAATTCATTCATCTCAATAAGAGCGCAGTCGTGACTGCAACAAACCTTTTCTGCGACACAAACATCCATGGCAAACGAGTCCATGGATGTCGATTTCTGACTAGTTGCAGTGGGATCATTTACCATAGTTTCCTACCACCGCTCACAAGCCTTCATGCGCTAAGCCAACGTTGCGCATGCCCTTGCCCACAACCCTTTCCTCTGCGCCCGCATTATGCTCAGCTACGTTTCTCCTAGCATGTGCATGGTATAGCTCTGCGTCTTGCCGATATATGATCCTTGCTGGTTGCTTATCCCAACAGAAGAAGAGGCATAGTCAAGTATAAATCTTGCCCCTTCCTCACTACTAACATCATCTCCTGATCATCGGACACCACTCGCTCTCTCATCTCAGAAGAACACCTTCCACATTCCAACTGAAGTCACTCATTATGCTTTTCATAATTCAAGCACTGTCCCTTGCAGCTCTTGCCGCCAAAGTGCTCGCAAATCCGCTCCCACAACAAATCCACCACTTCAAGCGCACTTGCTCCACAGGACCAGACACTTCATCGTCCTTCCTCGCCAATCCAGCCTACTCAGCCGCAGCGAACAATGCTGCAACACCCTCAGGCTACATCAACACATTCACAAACCTCCACGCCAGCAACAATGCAGACGGCTACCAAGGCTACACCATCCTCTCCGCCTACGATGTCGCCTCGTGCGCCAATTCATGCACAGCCCGCCCCTCCTGCCAGGCCTTCAATGTCTTCTTCGAGCGCACCCCTCCCTCTTCAAACTCTTACAACTCCACCTGCTCGACCGCGACCATAAAATGCGTGTTCTGGAGCGGTGGAGTTACCGCTGCCAATGCAGTTAATACTGGCTCCACTCAGAATGGCTTTGAGATTGTCATTGCAGGATCAAATGGCTATATCAAATCCGCTATCGCTGCTTCTCCTGGTTATGGTCCATCTACATATCTGGGAAACAACGCAATCAGTGCTCCCAACGACTGTAATGGGAAAAACACATATATGGGATTCCGGATCCTCAATGACGCTCCATTCAACGCGACGAGATGTGCTGAGGCTTGTTCGGCACAATCGGCTTATAACATCGCGCATCCGGGCTCTGATGGCGTCAAGCCTTTGACCTGTCAATTCTTCAACACATACGAGACGTTCAAGAATGGTGTTAATCAGGGCCAGTGGTGTGTGCTGTATAGTCAGAGTTGGGGCAAAGGTGTTGCGACGAACACTGGATACACGTATGGGAAGGATGTTTACACCATCGGATCATCTTATGCTTATGCTAACGCTACGGACGCTGGGGTTTGCGTGAAGGCGTGATGAGTTTAGTGCACACCGGAGGAAGGGTTATTGTGGTTGGCAGGCTACAGCACTTGTATAGAGTCATGTGTATAGAATATTATGTCGAATCTATCTGCATATCAAGTTCAAGGCACCGTCAAAGGCTCCTCAGATCTTGGTTTTCTAGACGGAGCTTGTGATCCATTCGCTCACTTTGGAAAGTACCTCCATGTCGGAAAATACTCCGCCTCGCGACAGTCAGTCTAGTTGGGTGCTTTGGGAGTGAGTTGGGAGGTACGGTTTTGCAATCGTGAAGCTCATATGGACTAGTCACATATTGACCTTGACTTGCAGAATCAGTAGGTCCGAGAGTGCTCTTTTACCCTCGACGCGCCGATAATTTGTTGTTTGTTGGTCTACATGGGGTGAATAGTGTCGTTGTTGATTCATAGGAAGTACGACCGATAAGTGATCAGTCATTGTGGTGTCGACAGAGTAGTTGGTTCAAAGGCTCGAAGGCTTCGCGAATCAGTCTGCCATTGCAGGCTTCTGGGTCCTTTCACAACCTAAGGCTGTCTCTTACACATCTTGCCTTGTGCACCCTTGCCAATATTGTGGCCACCACATTTGTCATCCATCCAGGTCGCCCACTCTGTAAATCGTTAGTAACGACCACCTAAGAAGCCCTTCTCTGATTCGTATACGCACTGCCCTTCATCATCCTATTGTCCACCCACGACAGATGGTTGTTCTCACAAACGCATGGAAACACGCCGTGTTTCCACCACGACCGAGAAGGGGTCTTGTGTAGCACACTGTTGTCGATCTTGCAGAATTTCTCGTCCGATAGACTCTCCCAATGATATTTGCCCATCCAGTCCACACCGGTGTGGTGGTTGCCGATGATGCAATCTTGCTATAATGTTATTAGTACTATTTCTACTAAAGCAAGAGGTTGATTTACGATTTCCTGAGGCAGGCCAGAGATGTCGGGTGTAGCAAGGATTGCCGTTGCGGCAGCCAGGAAGCCGACAAGATAAGTGGTTGGACGCATCTTGTGTATTGTGTGGAACGTCGGAATTTGTGAAGTAATTTTGCGAAAAAAGAGGGAATGGCGAGGCTCTACTTGTACGACGATGAATAGTTCAACGAGTCGGAATGAGTCGAATTCGTGACATGAGTTGGTTCATCGAACTTGAATCTTCGCACTTTTGAGGTTATTTTTCGCTACCATGAAGCTCGGCCGAATTGTGGAAAAGACCCATGTATGGACTGATGGGATGTGCAGTGACCTTTTGACTATGAGTAATTCCATCGATATGACGGTATGTTATTGTCCGTGTCCAGTGAGAACGGGCTCAAGGTTCGAAGGGCTTGGGATACAATCTGCCATTGAGAGCTTCAACACCAGGTTCATAAATGTCGTTGCCGTGAAGATCGGCCCAGTTGTCGGGGAGGCGCATGTTCGGAGGAAGACGATACTGTCCATAGCAAGCTCTGTTGTTGCAACTGAGTTTGCACTTTCCATAAAGGCGGCAGTAACAGTCAGAGGCACTCGGGCACGCCTGCTCGTTCAGCTGATCCAGGTCCACACGTCCATGGTGCTGCGGGATGAAGAGAATGTGCCAAAGATAAGATAGCACGCGGCCAGCAATACGGTCATCGCGAGGAGCAGCGTTGGAGTTGCGTGACATGCCGTAGCCATCGAGCAGCCATTGTCGCAGTGCAACATATTCCTCGCGGGTGTGGCGGTGTACGGCTTCTTTGGAGACGACAAACTGAGCACAACACTGTGCGCGCACGGGATCTCCTCTTCCAAGTTTCAGCCCTTTGCTCTTTCCGTTCTTTAAGTATTCATCTCCGCCGAACAGAACTGCAAATGCCTTGGGCATGGCAGCATCCGAGACTGATCGGGCGCTCCATGGTTGTAGTATAGAGTTGAAAGTGGTTTCAAGACTTCCTTGGGCAGGAGCAGAGTCTTTTGGACATGTTCCAGCACTCCAATCGCAGCGAAGGTTGTGGTAGCCGGTGGCTGAGAGAGCCGAGGGGACGTTCAAGGCGGCTAGGCTGGCGGCATTGTCGTAAAGTGGATCGTCGTTGTGCCATTGGAACCTGTTGCCGTGTATAAAGACGGCGCCGGCTTGTGGAATGGAATCGTAGTTGTCGATAAGGAAGGTAAGGTAGGTGATGGACTCGTGGCCACGATTGGCAGGTACGCGAAGATATTTTACGGTCGGATCTATCGGCGCGTCGACGTCGTAGATGCAGAGATGGTACTTGGAAGAGAGTCTCTTCAACCAAGCAGTTTCGCCATCGGCAGCAACATGTGACACGATCAAGGCAGGCTTGGAGCTATCTTCGAGTCCTGGACACAAGCCTCGAGCTTCGGGTAGGCTTGCTGCCGTTGTTCGATAGCGGATTGTGTTCCACGAGTACAGCTTCGGCGCTGATGGTTGAACCAGAGAGACGATGAGATAGATTACGATACAGATAGAGGCGAGCTGCAGTAGCGACTTGCGCGACCTTCGTAACATGTCGGCGAAGTTGTGTTTACAGCACCATCATTACGCTTGAAGCTTGGGTACTTTTTCACTTCTCCATCAATGTCCCGCACGAGCCGCCGGTTATTCTACTTGCACAGCCACACCCTAGGGGCCATCTTTGAGCCACAAAGCTTAGTTGAAGCATCTAGACCTTTGCATGGTCATGTACATGCCGGACCACTCATCTTATACAATATATCAACCTGTATGAGCATAATCGAGGACGACTTCCAGCAACCTCAGGTAGCAGGAAGCAGGCAGTATGTCATAGACCGGCTATACGGCTGCGACATCAATAGTTGCTCTTCCGGTCGTGCCTAGCTTTTTGACTTTATCCACACATTTCCTGATCCGGCTGTAGAACCAAGTAGCGAGCATCGAAACTATCCTGCTCCTGCCTCCCCATGTGCTACATTTTGTCACTCTTAGCCATCTCTCGCGAACGCAACCAAGGCCATCCAGGTCGAAGTAATGCACAATGCTTTTCAGACCAGGGTAGCCCTCCACTAGGAAGCGCTGACTTTCTTGCTCTCCGTGGAGGGCTGCACTGATCTTCAAAACATTGTGCATTATTGCAACATGCGCGTGCGTGACAAGGATCAGCACACGGGGAGGTGACACAGCAGCTCATGTCTGAGTGACACTTGTGAAAGGGCATCGCTGTTGAACGAGAACAAATGAATGGCCATCTCATTCGAGTTGCAGACATCAATCGCGGTTGTCGAGTTAACCGCGTAATGTGTTTTCAGCAACGGCATCTGTCCGCTAGCTGCTCTGTAGACTGGTCGCTAGAGAAATTTCAAGCCAAGCCGCGGAATCACAAACAGGATATGGTCTTGAAGCCCAAGGTGGTCTGGGTGGAGACATTGCGAAGAGTTGGTGCTTGTTCATCATCTTCTCGCCAAGTCGGAACCAGGCGGGTCGTGGTATGGGAGTACGTCCTTAACATCCACTGTCAATCAAGTATTGAGAGACGATAATCTTGATCGAAATTCGTCGTGAACGACCATACTCCTCATCTAACAACGTGCTGGACAAGTGAGAGTACTTAAAGACATACTCGAGTACAATAGACCTTCGGCAGACGAAGCTGGGGAAATTACGAGGTGATAAGCTCAGGGAACTCTGGTGGACACTCCGGTCGATCGACGAACGAGATGAAGATCAGCCGTATTGATTTGATATTTGCGACGCCCTTTTGGCAGCAGACTTTGGGATCAAGTGAAACACAAGCAACCAGAACAGCGACAATCAGCAGCAACAATCGCAAGTGGCTTTTCTCCAGCCTTTGTCCTTTTCCAACTAAAAACGGTCGGTGAATCGAGTACCAAACAAACCGGCAAAGGGTCTCTACACCGCGTCACCAAACAAGCCTTGGCCTGCGTCACGCTGCAAGTGTCGAGAGCCTCCGCACAATTCCATCATCTCGCGACCATCTCCCTCGATACCGTTCACTTTTCTATCCTTCTCCATTCTAGCCGTGTCTTTCTTGCAGAGACACCCCGATTTCACTTTACAACCGAATGGTCAACATGGCTTCGTATACACAAACACCGCAGCAGAACGGCTTCTACGAGTCTGTGCCGCAACCCTCTGACAGCCTGCAGAACAGGGGCTATGGCAATCTTTCGCAACATGATTTCGCTCACGGTGAGTGTCAGTAAATCGCGATACGATCGCATTGTCTAACTTCATGTAGAAGGCGAACGTCCTATCACAGTTGGCGACACTGTTGGCAACCCGCACTCCATCACTCTCGAGGATGGCGGCGTCAACCGTACTGTTTCCAATGCCTCGACCGCAGCATACAGAGACATCACCCCCTCGCGTGCCGGCACCTTGAAGAAGAAGGCAAGCGTGAGCCGCAAATCTAGTCTTAACCGCAGCGGCAGTCGCAGAAGTACCAGAGCTGGCAGCATTGCTGGTGTCGGTACCCCGGGCGCCCATGACGACTACAACAGCGCTTTGTCGACTCCAATTCCCACTCACGGCAGCCCTACTGATATCCTCGCCAATCGCTTCCAAGGTATGTTTTCATATCCTCGAATTCCTTACTATTCCTTACTGATCATTTCACCAGCATGGCGCACTCTGTTGAAGTCGCTCATCACCTACTTCCGAGAGATCCAGTCTAGCTACGAGACGCGTAGCAAAGCTTTGTTGAAAGTGTCGAATGTTCTGTCCAACTTTTCGCACCCTTCTGTCTTCATCACCGATGGTGGTCTGGCTGATGCGTCGCGCATTCTCGGCGACTACCACAAGCACTCTGTCGCAGAATCGAACAAGTCCCGCGATATTGAGCAGGATGTCATATCCGCTCTCACTGGCCTGCGTAGCGATCTGAGCCAGAAGATTAAGGAGATCAAGAGTCTCAACGGTGACTTCAAGAACTCGGTCGACAAAGAGAAGGACGCAACACGCAAAGCGATTGACCAGCTTGCCGAGGCCTTGCAACACGCAGACCACGGCGACAACAGCAAGACCGACCCTTACATTGTCCGCCTTGGAGTTGATCGCATGGTTGAAAAGCAGATTGATGAGGAAAACTACCTCCACCGCGCATACCTGAACCTCGAGAGCTCGGGCCGCGAGCTCGAATCGATTGTCGTGGGAGAGATTCAAAAGGCATACAATGCCATGGCCAGCATTCTCAAGCGTGAGGGCGATGATGCCTACAACACCGTCGAGCAACTTCGCGGAGGTCCCATCGCTATGCCCAAGGACCTTGAATGGGCGCGCTTTGTCGAGACCGATCCCCACTTTGTCAACCCCAGACTGCCTCTCCGCCGTATTGAGGACATCGACTACCCTGGAAAGAACGCTCCTGCAGCAGCTGAGGTCAGAGCTGGAATGTTGGAACGCAAGAGCAAGTATCTCAAGAGCTACACACCTGGGTGGTACGTCTTGTCGCCTACTCACTTGCATGAGTTCAAGTCGGCCGACAAGATCTACTCGCAACCTCCAGTTATGTCGTTGTACTTGCCCGAGCAGAAGCTGGGTTCTCACTCTGAGCCCGGTTCCTCGTCGCACAAATTCATGCTCAAGGGCCGCCAAAGCAGTGGCATGCACCGCGGCCACAACTGGGTTTTCCGCGCTGAGTCTTACGAGACTATGATGGCTTGGTACGAAGCCATCAAGATTTTGACTGAGAAGACTGCCGAAGAACGCAACGCCTTCGTTCGTCAGCACGTTCGCAGCATCAGCCAAAACAGCCACCGCAATAGCATCAGCAGTGACGGTCTTGAGGAGGACGAAGCTGACCAGGTCCCCTATTCTGCCCAATCTAGCGTCATCAACCAGCCCATTGGTGAGACGCGTCTCCAGCGTCCCGTTCCAGGTGAGTATGTGCTGCCCCTTTCATAGCGTCAACATCCATCTCACTGAGCCCTGCTAACCTGATGTACACAAGGCGGGCGATTCCCGTCTGATCTGCAGATTCCTCGCACTCTAGCTGCTTCGCCAGACAGTGAGTCTGACGAGCCCGAGCACCACAACACTGCTGCCGCCACCGCTCTCCCCGGCGTCGTCGCTCTTGCCGCACCTACCCACTACGATGATAACCCTTACCGTCTCGAGGGTGTCTCTACCCACGAAGAGGTGCCTGCGCAGCAGAGAGTAGCTTTCACTTCGGCCACTCCAGGCTCTATCGCCCATGCCAGAGAGACACTTGCCCTTAGAGAGGACGCTCCTCATGGCTCGGTTGCTCACGCCAGAGAGACAATGCCTCTGAGAGAAGACGCTACCTCTACACCAAGTTCCTACCAGCCCAACCCTGTTGATAACTTCAACAATACCCCAGTTCAACCTGCTGCTCCTCAGAACAATGTTGTTCAGCCTACTCAGACGTTTGTCTTGCCTGTCCAACATGCAGCTCCAGCTCACCAGCTCCAGCGTGACGTTCCCGTCAGCCCCATTGAGCAGCAACAATCTCTAGCTCCTGCCTCCAAGCCCGTCCGCCAAAACACCAACTACAGTGAGTGGATGGCTCCCGCAGCTGCAGGCGTGGGTGCAGGTGCCTTGGGCGCTGAAGCCTACCACCGTCACCAAGACAGAGACCTTTCTTCCAACATCGAGGAGGAACAACAGACACCTTATGCAGACGAGCGTCCTCGCGACTTGACTGGTGGTCACGCTGCTATGCCTACGTCGAATGAAGCTGCTACCAGCAATCCTGCCGCATTTGCCAACAACAACGGCATCTCTGGCGCTACATACACTGGCACAGCTCCCTTTCCCGTCTTGATCCCCAACTCTGCCAACGTTCCTCAGTCGCCTGAGTTCGTTCCCTACGGCGCGAGCACATTCGGTGCCCCCACTCCCGCTGCTGAGGGCTCCGAACATCTCGGCGGTCTCGAGAGTGATGGTGCTCACCAGACTGGTGCCATCTTCCCCAGAGTCGTTAGACACGACACTGACATGAGCGTCAGCCAGCTTCACGTTCCTGGCGAATTCCCTCCCGCGACCCCCGGTTTTGCCCCTACTGAGGAGAAGACCGAAAGATCATTGTCTCCCCGTCCTGCCGTTGGTTCTCACGGAACTTTCATTGCTCCCTCTGCCTGGGAGTTGGCTAGAGAGTAAGAAGTTGATGAAGCATGGGAAGCAACAGGATTGTGGTAACTGAACCTGACCGTGACGACACGATTTCCTTACTATCGTTGTTTCACTTGTTGTCCGATGTCTTAATACTCTCATTTGTTTCGCGAGCGCTTTGCTTCATGCTTGATTATTGGTTTTTCTGACTTTTTTACGACATTGCGATTACCCTGTGTTTCCTCTATACTAAGTAACCCCAGTAATATAATTGACAGTAGTGTTTCTTTTTCGTCATGGTATCTTCGTCCATATCGTCAATTGGACTCTTTACGTGATATTTGTCCTGAGGGAGATCGGTTTCTTGGCTGGAAATACTGCGTAGTAGGGAGGTTCTGAGACCATCCACACTCGCATCCACACTCGATCCACAGTCTCAAAGCGGCCTTCGGCTATTCACGGATGGCTCGATCGATCGCTGAGTTCCTTGCTATCCACACTAAGTGTGGATGGCAAGGAGGTAGTCGAAAAGGAAGGTAGAGATGCCAAGTAGCTAAGCGAGGAAGACTATCGAGACGTCAGCTGGCGGGGGTCGAGGCCTGTTGTTTGTTAGCCTTCTCTATACCAGTTTAGCAACATGTCCTAACCTCGTCGTGGTGGTGAGCTCGTCACCTTAAACGGTCGTGATGATAATGACCATGCTCCCCCTTCTGCTTAACCTTAGTAGTCGCCTACTCCCTCTACGACACCTGCTGCCTAAATACCCTCTACGACACCGTCTTCCTAGCGACCCTTAGTAGCACCCTCTAAGACGCAGTCTTAAAGCACGACGACCGTGGGTAGCAGCTATAGAAACAGGTTAAATGCGCGAGACAAGAAGCTGCTTGCTTAGTATGCCTCCGCCAACTTCGAGGCGCTATATAGTGACGGCAAGATCACTAAGTTCTAGAATAAAATCGTAGACATGCTAGAAAACGACCGGGGCATACCGTACACTACCTAGAGCTGTTAGTGGTCGATAGAAAGGTAGACTAAGATCCGTCGGAAGGAGGTTAGCAACTATAAGAGTAGTAAACAAACTAACAATACGCCCTTTAATGTCGCCATAGATGACTAGATTAAATGCTTCGACAACTACGCTATAGTAAAGGAGGCAGTAACTGCTGTTGCTGCTACTACTACTCGTACGCTCGAGCAGTCTTAGAGTAACCGCACTAATATAGGTGAACGAATGAGGAAGAAGAAAAAAACTAAGTCGACACTACTATCGAGTGCGCGTACTCGAGAACTGTTATTCTTAGATCCTTCCTCTACTAGCGAGATGACCGAGGCGACGTAGTTAGAGGTTAGCGATTTAGGCCGACGACCGCCTTAGCGCTAGCGAAGACTACGACCGGAAGATAACGCTAAGATGTCTACGTAGATAGTGTTGTTATTAAAGGGTATAAACGAGGATAGGGAAGAGAAGAGATTTAAGAGAAGGATAGCGCGCTTACGGTCTAGTCGCTCTCGGAGCGTCCGATCTTCTAGCTTATTTAATAACGGTATAGATAAGAGGCTTAGTCGTGTTAAGCAAGGTTAGCAAGAGATTTAGAGCTTATTATCGTAGGTCCTCTTACTTATATTGTTAAAGGGCTCGGTTTCTCCTATGTTAATAGGGTTCTTATTAGATCTAGTAGGCGTAGGACCCTCCTCGAGCACCCTTATAACCTCGCTAATACCGGCATCTTATAACTTAAATGGCGCGCGCATTATAGATGCCTTAGTTAAAGAGGAGGAGGAGGTAGAGGAGGACGACTTTAATCTACTAATGCTACGAGAGATAGGACCGTACGCACCTAAGTTATTAACTATGCCTTACACTATTGCTAACCTATCGTTTAAGGAGTAGGAGAAGCATAATCTTAAGAGAGGGTAGCCTAGTAGTTAGAGTTAGTAGTAGGAGGATATAGTACGGGCCTTAATGTACACGGATACGTAAGACTATTTAAAGTATTGTTATATAAGAATTAATGAAGGAGTAAGCTTTAAGGTAGCCTTAGTAGAGTAGATAGATTAAGGGGACATGCGTCTACTAGACAGTTCTATCTAGTAGCTAACCGCTCTACCACCACCTCATCTTTCTGATTTATTTCCTTAATATATTATTAACCTAATGTAATGTAGCGTAGATTTAATTTTCAGACTAAACGAACAAGAATTAATGTTATTATATTACTCCAAAATAAATTAAGTAGTATAGCAATGGCTTAAAACAATGCTAAGATCCTAAGTTACTACTAAAGTTCCCTAGATTTGACTCTCCGGAGCACTCCGGAACATGCCGGCGGCTAATTAGAGTACAACTTGCCCGCATTTATAATATAGCAGCTCTTCGAAACAATTTTACCATAACTTCTAACACCTCCCTTACTACTAAATAAAGTCGGAATTAGACGAAAAAAACATTGGATTATAGAGCTATTCAAGGCCATTAATCTAAGCTATTAACCATCAAAAACTGTCTAAGCCTCGTGGTTCAATGCGCGAAGGTTAGCTAGAGGATTTTGGCCGGTTAAAGCCTAGCGGTTAGTTGCCTTAGGACATAAATACCGTTTAAGCGCGAGGGGTCTTATATTAAACCGAGTCGTAATTGTGCTTCTATATGGATAGATACACGTATATATGTTAGACATTAGCATAGCAAACTCCTAATACAGAGCTACAGGTTATAGACTAGACTTAAGTCCATGTTTAAATAGATTAAGTGCCTAGAGTCCCTTATGCTAACTAAGGTTATGCTTAACACTAATACGTATATTAGACATAGCAGTGTTAAACTCTTGCTTCCACTTCTAGTCTGCTATAAGGCTAGTCCTTATATAAGCATACATGACATAGACGAGAGCCTTATAAGTAGGATCGCTATATAGATAGAGCTTGCGTACGTCTTTAACTATAATTAGTCGAAGTCGTTCCTTAATGCGAGACTACCGAGCTATAGTAAGGTCATTTCTCTTGCCCTCCTATAGGCCATTAATAGACAGCATAAGGCTATTAGGTGTTATTATTCCCTAGTAGTGTAGACTATAGAGCTTCTTATATCTAGAATACCATTCTCTTTGCTCGTACTCTAGCTTATAGAAGGGGTTAAACGTGCCATCGATGAACCCCTAGATCTAATTAGTATCGCTATAGTCCTCGATAGCCTCTCGGCATTAGTCTATAAAGTCGTACGTAAGGTAGGGGTGCTATCGTAGCATCTAACGGTATCGACTAGTAATCGAGTTAAGGGTATCGTTAATAACTAAGGAAACAGTAGAAGGAGCAATGCCGTATAGGTCGGCTAAAGCAGTAAGGCGAGTTAGATACGCGAATCGACTAAGGGTAAGGTAGAGGGCGAGATTAGATTCTACCTAGTAGCTATGTTAGAATCGGAGGTAGTTTAGCTCGAACTTGTCGACGAGGACAGGTATATTATCGCGTCCGAACCTATAGTAGTTAGTACTACAGTTAGGGTAGAGCGAAGGATAATTATACCTATAGTAGAAGCGAACTTTCTAATCCCCCTATTCGTCTAACACCTATTAGTCTGTTTTATACTTAAATCTCGGCCGAAAAGGGTAAATAGGGTATTGTTTAATGCGCTAACCCTTCTAGATAAGGAATATAGTAAGAGTATCCTCTACGTTAGTGTCGTCGTCGGATGTTATAGTAGAGGACATTATTGTTACTAGGTGTTAATAGAAGCTAGCGTTAGCTAAGAGATATTTAGAGCTCGGCGATAGCGAGGTTATATAACTAGAGAGGAGGTAGCAACTAAGTGTAGATACGAGTGTTTATTAAGTGTAGATAGGAGTATAGATAACTTTAGAACCTCCCTAGTGTGTTGCTATTCTTAACCTCTACACTAGTTTATACTATACTTTCGCAGTGAAGAATAACGTCGAACGTTTAATCTTAGAGCACAAGCATTTAACAAAGTTATTCTCTAAGTATATGTCCTAGGTATCTTAATAATTGCAAAGTAGGAGCTAAGATCGCTTTATCTTATAAATTAGACGTTATACAAAGATCGTATAAGACTTATGTAATTATGACGGATTTATGAATTTTTCTCTCTCTTTATATAACGTCTAAGATCTTAATGAACTCGTTTAGTGAGAGGTTGCCACTAATCGGTTAAAATCTATGATTTTTCGACCTGTTTTTTCGATAGCTCTACTACAATTCTACGAACGGCAACTAGTTATTACTACTAGTAGATGCGCACTACTATGTTCTATAGGTGCGCCTATTTTATATATCCCTATCGAGTGGCAATAATGCGTAAAACGCTAATCCTTAAAATGAGAACAGATTCTTAAAATCTAAGTAAATTTTGGCCTATTCTACTACTATATAGTAACAACAACATATAAGAAGTAGCTAACTAGCTAGGGGGGTAGCTAACAGTGTAAATAAGGAGCTCTTATAGTTAAATAAGTAGTACTAGAAGTACTAGTCTCTATTTTAGTAGGTAGGGGGTAGGGAAAAGAAGAGACAATAGAGAAACATAAGGATTTTTCGACTTTTTTTTCGATAGATAGAAAGGATAGATATAGAACTTACATTTAAGCTTATGAATAGCTTAATAACTGTTGTGGTTGAATTGTTATTAATTAATTAGTAGAAATCCAAAATTCGTCGTCAAATTGCGACTAGAAGCAATAATAACAATTACAAAAATTTCGACTTTTTTTTCGATAGACAGAAGAAATGGATGTAAGACTTACATTTAAACCTACAAGTGACTTAATAGCTGCTATAGTTGAATTGTTATTAATTAATTAGTAGAACAACTAGAATTCGTCGTCGTATTGCGACCGAAGCCCTAGGCGCAATTTTGAACTTCGACGACGAATTCTCAAAATTAACCGCGTTAGCTATAACTCTACTAAATCAGTATATACTTTGATAATTATCGCTTTATATAAGTACACGTACATATGTGTATGTTTTAGAGCTTTTAAATTAATAACAGCGTATAGTGTTAAATTATAGTTAATTTTTGACGTCTGTTCGAGAGGGAGATAGCTATTTCAAAATTTAAGAACTTATATACTGTCACTAAAAGACGTTCATTTAGCCCTTAGACGCTAGAACGACATGTCGTTTCTAGCCCTCTAATTAGCTAACACCCTACATAAATTTGTGCGACGGGGCTCGTTCTAGCGTCTAATTAATGAGATAAAGATTTATCTCATTAATTAGAAGCTAGAACTCTTACGTA